TTGGCCGACACGAGATGGATCGAGGAAAGAAATCAAGTGCTCCAAAACCAAACCGAAAGGAAAAGATTCAACCTGTCAGGTGAAGCCAAGGAGAAGAAAGAGTCGGATGAAGCTTTCAACAATACACCGAGAGAGAGTGCAACGGATGATGTCATGGCCGAGGCCGAGGCGGCCGCACAACAGCTCCTAGATGAGATGGGTGAAGACGATGAGATGCTTGGGGGCATGTTCGGTGAGGCTACCGAGGGCGCCTCAAATGGTATTGCCTCGGAACAAGCTGACAATGCGGACCCCAACCTGACGATCCGTAACTTTGGAAAGATCACAGGAATCAACCCTCGCAGAACCTTTGAGGAGGCTTGTCGATCAAGAGATTCGGGAGCCAAGGTCTCTTACAAGATGGTCTCTGCCACAACATACAACAGCCGCCACTCTGTGACTGTTCAATGGTCGAAAGACCAGGACATCATCGATGGCTCATTCACACCAGACGTCAACGTCCTATCAAGCGATCGGAGGACGGTTGTTACCATGACCAAAATCGCATGTCCAGAAACACTCCAAAGCGAAGGTTACGTGTCCACAGTCGCTCTGTTCCTGCTCTTCTCGAACTCTCCCAAAGAGGAGAAGTCTGCGTTGCGCTTACCTCCTACATTCAGAGATCTCTGGCAAGAGCTTGTTGACGCTCGTCAAGAGAAGCGTGACACCGCCGACCGCGAGACAGTCAAGTCTCTAAGAGAAATGGTCAAGGGTCAGACTGAAGACGATGGAGATGAAGATGTCATTCTCACCGCCGGCTTCAGGAACCGTAACAAGGGAATGAGCGGCGTCTCCNACACCGGTCGGCGACAAGGTCGAGAAAATCACAAAATCGAAGAGTCCCAAGCCCTTAGGGATCTTTGGGCGCGTAAGACATCCACCCCTGCATACCAAGAGATGCTCTTGGCTAGATCGAACCTTCCTATGTTCCAGTTCCGAGACATCGCTCTCGATGCCGTGGAGAAGAATCAGGTCACCATTCTTTGTGGTGAGACTGGATGCGGTAAAAGTACCCAGATGCCTGCCTTTATCCTCGAACATGAGCTATCCCTTGGACGACCTTGCAAAATCTACTGTACAGAGCCCAGGCGTATCTCGGCTATCTCGCTGGCTCAGCGCGTCAGCGAGGAGATGGGCGAAGACAAGAAGGCGGTTGGCACTGCCCGTTCGCTTGTTGGTTATGCCATCCGCTTGGAGTCGATGACAACAGCACAAACTCGTCTTGTGTACGCGACTGTTGGTATCGTGCTTCGTATGTTGGAGTCCACCAAAGGTTTCGACGAGGTCACGCACTTGGTTATTGATGAGATTCACGAGCGAAGCATTGACACTGACTTTTTGTTGATTGTTTTGAGAGCTTTGATGATCCGTCGACCAGACTTGAAGGTGGTCCTGATGAGTGCTACAGTCGACGCTCAGAGGTTCTCGAGCTATCTTGACAACGCACCAATTGTCACGGTACCCGGTCGTACATTCCCGGTCGCGGCCAAGTATCTCGAAGACGCTATCGAGTTGACCGGACACACTATTGAAGACGGTTCGCCAAAGACCGCTGACGCAGACGAAGATGACTTCGAAGCAGGTTCTTCAGAAGCAACGATCGCAGCCGCCAAGCAGCTTACTGGATATAGTCTTAAGACTGTCAGGACACTTGCAGGATACGACGAATATGCTATTGACTACACTTTGATCGTGAAGCTTTTGGAAAAGATTGCTTACGACCCGTCATATACACAATTTAGCCAGGCCATCTTAGTTTTCCTGCCCGGTCTTGCAGAGATCAGGTCGCTGAATGATTTCCTCGGTGGGCATCCTGCCTTCTCGAAAGGCTGGCTGGTTTACCCTCTGCACTCAACTTTCTCCAGCGAGGAGCAACAGGCAGCTTTCAAGATACCTCCTCCTGGTATGAGAAAGATCGTATTGGCTACCAATATTGCTGAGACTGGTATCACCATTCCTGATGTAACTGCTGTGATCGATACCGGAAAGCATAAGGAGATGCGCTTTGATGAGCGTCGACAACTTTCACGTCTGATTCAATCGTTTATCTCTCGTGCAAACGCAAAGCAGCGTCGCGGACGTGCTGGTCGTGTACAAGAAGGTGTCTGCTTCCACCTCTTCACCAAGTACAGGCACGATGAGATTATGGCACCGCAACAGACGCCAGAGATGCTGCGCCTGTCGCTCCAAGATCTTGTTATGCGCGTAAAGATCTGTAAGCTGGGGGACATCGAGCAAGCATTATCTCAAGCGCTTGACCCTCCCTCGTTGAAGAACATCCGCCGTGCCATCGACGCGCTCATTGACGTCGGTGCCTTGACTTTGTCGGAAGAATTGACACCACTGGGAAACCAGCTCGCCAAACTTCCGCTCGATGCTCAACTTGGCAAACTCATCCTACTATCATCTGTCTTTGGATGTCTTGACTTTGCTCTAAGTGTCGCAGCAACCCTTTCGTCAAAGACACCCTTTGTGGCACCCATGGGAGCCAAAAAGCAAGCGGACACGGTACGACTAGGCTTCAAGCGTGGTAACTCAGACTTACTCACAGCCTACAACGCATACTGTGCCTGGCGCAAAGCCTGCACCACACCAGGAATATCCGAGCAGCAATTCTGCCGCAAGAACTTCCTCTCACCCATCAACCTCGGCAACATCGAAGACCTGAAATCACAGCTGCTGGCCTCGCTGTCAGATGCAGGCTTTGTGTCTCTAGAGTCTGGTCAACGCGCCGCTCTCTCCCGCGTCCGCAACAGCGGCAGAGGACCCAGAGCTTTCGTCTCTGTGCCGGCCTCACACAATACCTTTGACGCCAACGATGCCCTGCTCAACGCAGTGACAGCATGGAGTTTCTACCCCAAACTCGCCGTGCGCGAAGGCAAAGGCTGGCGCAACGTCGCAAACAGCCAATCCCTATCTCTACACCCCCAGAGCGTCAACAAACTCTCTCCTGCACTGACGCCGCCGTCCTACCTTTCCTTCTACAGCATCATGCAGTCCAATTCTCGCTTCACCAATGCCCAAGAGACTGCGCCTGTGGATCCATTTGTGTTGTGTCTGCTTGCCGGAGATGCGAAATTTGATCTCTATGCAGGCGTGTGCGTTATCGATGGCAATCGCTTGCGCTTCAAGGTCAATTCTTGGCGCACATGTTTTGCGGTCAAGGTGCTCAGGGCAAAGGTCAAGGAGTTTTTGGCCAGAGAATTCAAACAACCTGGACGTGCTGTTGTAGCTGAGAGACAGAGGGCTTGGATGAAGGTGTTTGGAGCGGTGTTTGAGAATGTTGAGGCTGGGAGGATTAGATGAGTGTTTGCATCACAACAAGACAGTATTGGCCTCAAAAGACTGTATGGATAGTGTGGTGATGAGAATGGAGATGAGATAGCATTTCATGTCTTAATTCCCCTTTTTAATGCACACATGCTCAGAATAGACATGCAAAAACGAGCAATCGCACAAAGTCGCAACTCACCCATGCATGCTATATTTCCAATCTATCCACCTTAATCTCAAACCCCTTCGATCAGCATATCCCTCTAAATCAAGTTTTTGATCCTGAGTTTCGATGTGTGAGGTAGTGTGGAGGCAAACCATCGCATCGCAGAATGCATAGCTTTACATCGGATGCATCGACCGATGCATACATCCGATCATGCTAACCACCCGCAGCACCAAACCTTGCACTGTGTATCCACAAATTTCCCTCGCAAAGAAGTCAATAAACACGGCACACTGCCACAAGCATCGAGGTTTCGAGTATGCATCGTTGCATCGAGACATGTGCACCTGCATCGATGCTCTTCGATGCACGTTCGTTGCTTCTGTGACCCTGACGCAGTTCATGCATCGATCTTTGATATCTGCTTTTTGCTTCCATGACATTTTGGATTCTTCTTTCTCACGGAGAATAGAGAAGAGGTACGGCCCGTATGTCTGGGATCTTTCTTTTATGCTTAAAAGGACCTCTGGAGAACTGCAGGGGTCTTGTTGAGACCTTGATGGTTGTGTTTTTAGTGACATGTTGATGGGCTTGACTTTACATATAGAGATGCTCACATACAACTAGACCAAGATTGTATGACAAATGCATGATGTACTTTCACCAGACTTTGTAAGTGACAGTGATCTTGACTTTGAAGTATGTAATAGACACAGGATCTTATGTGCTCAAAGAATACAGTGTTGATGGAAGAAGTGGAAGAGGTTGCTTCAATATGGCTGCATAGGGAGATGAAGTCATCGAGTTTTGTAGACACACCTACCTCCGACACTTGCATTTCTGCCTTCTATCCGATCATGTGATATCTATCTCAAGACCGTTCGAGGGCCACATCATTACATCTTGCAGTTCGCCGAAAGTAGGAATCACAAGAAAGATAGTCATGTGTTTGAATGTGGAAGAACTTGTATTCTTTGAAGATTCTTCTTGAGGCTATGCTTGAATTGTAATCTCGAGTGTGTAGAAACAAAGGAGAAACAAAAAACTGTATCGAGTAACATAGGAAACTGTGACGATGACCGCCCAATGCTGTTGTCTGTAATGTTTGTGTGGACAAATGAGACAAGAGAATAAAAGAGGATGAAGAAGAAGCTGCCTGCTTTGGGCAATGGTAGAGAATTTGTAGCTGGAAAGAAAAGGAAGAAGAAAAAGAACATCCAAGGGCGAGGTCTGCCTCTAGCCCAGAGAAGGGTATCCGCGCAATATTGACATACGAANNAACAGAAATGTGGCCGACCATGTTTGGAGACACCCAAAAGTAAAAACACCGCCATGAAGTATCCGTCCCACCAATGCCTAAAAACATTGTGATGCTGATGAGGTTTTGCGCCATGAGAAAAGATTCGCTTGAACGCCGCAGATGATAAACAAAGGATGATTGTGATGCAATCCAGCCGGAACGCCATGCATGGAAGGAGATTGTAAACATCAAGGGAAAACAATGATGGTGAAGAAGAAGAATTTAATATGAGGCAAGGCGGCGGACGAGGTTGTGGCTCAGAGGGGAGTTGTCTGGGCTGGCGTCGAAGATGCCGATGGTGCTGAGACTGCGAGGGCCCATGCGGTTGCCGGAGGTAGGGCTATCCTCCATGTTGCACTGTTGACCGAAGGCAAAGGTCTGGGCACGGTTGAGCTTTGCGCGCTGCTTGAGCTTGCCCATGCCCTTTTCGCACTCCTGCTCGTGGTCCTTGTGGTGCATCTCGACGTAGTTCTGAGGGAAGCACTTGGTGCGGTGGCTGGCAAAGAACTTGCTGTAGCCGCCCTCGAGGATGTACATCTCGGGGAAGGTCAACTTAGGGTACTGGAAGTCGTTGACGGCACGATCACGGTTGCGGACGAACTTGGCCATGCGAGGGGCACGGAGCTCGGAGTATTCGCAGTGGAGGATCAAGAGAGTGTTGGGGGTGACGCCGCCGTGTTCGAACAAGTCGGTGGTCAGCTTGTCCTTGTCGTTGTAGTTGACGGCACCGTTGATGTGACCGCCGTTGTACTCGTACTCGAAGCGGCAGTCGACAATCAGGATCTTGTCGTAGTGAGAGTTGTAGTCGCCATTGAGGACGTTGATGAGAGTGTCCTGCTTGACGCGGGGAAGGCTGTCGGGCTCTTCCTCGTTGAAGAAGTGAGGAAGCTTGGGCTTGTAAGGCTCGTCGAGGTCCATGGAGACGGAAGGAGAAGAGTTAATGTGAGAGTAGTCGTCCTGTTGGCCATTGATGACATCGTCGGGGTGCTGAAACATGCTAAGCGAACGGCGCACCTGCTTCCTAGGAGGAGGGCGGACAGCGGCCGACTTGCGGACTTGCGAACCCAGAGGCGAGCCGTTGTTGCGGCAGAGCGAGGTGCGACGAGGGGGAGGGACGAGATATGACTTGGAAGGCGATGATTCGCAATCCGAAGAAGGGCTTGAGGTGCAGCTGAGGCCGGCACCGCCGAATTTGAACGTGGGGAGCTTGTGCTCTTGTGTGGGGACTGATGTGGTCGAGTATGAGTGGCCCTTGCTTCTAGTCAGGGAAGGTCTGAGGAAAGCGGACTTCTTGCGCTCGGGAAGAGGCATTGGCGAGGGCTTGTCGGGCATGGGCAGGGAGAGAGCCTCCTGGCACGAGAGCATGTCATCGTCGTCGTTCTCGGCAGGCTCGGGCGAAGGTGAGGGGAGGGTGATGTGAGCGACGAAGCAGGGCTGCTTGTGAGGGAGGGGCGAGATGTCCATCATGTCACCGGGCGACGACATGGGGATGGGAGGGGTGCAGAGGCCGTCGTACTCGATGAGCGGCGGTGTTGCGAGCTGCTCGGATCTGTCACGGGGCAGAAAGAGGTTTTGGTTGAACAATGAGCGTCTGGGAGTAGGAATCTGCGGGCTGNNTGGATTGTAAGCTTTGGGCACTTGGTCTAGAAGGTTTGGCGCGGAATGTGGTGCATACCTCTGATCAATGTGGAAGTTGGACGACAGGTCTGCTGCGAGACTCGCTGTGGGCGACGAGCCACGTGCCGGGCGTAATGTGAAGTAGTCAGGAGTGGTCTTCTTCATGCTCAGTTCCTTGAAGTTGAAGCTGTTAGATCCGACTGTCTGTGACTGGTACATGGTTCTCGAGGCCGGCAGGTCGCGGCGGTTGCCCCATGGCGGGCACGGCGGCGGGTGCATGGCGGCCAGGGGAGATGAGTATTCCATCATGGACATTGTGATAGATAGTGTGGTAGTGAGGGATGGAGTCGATTAGAATATCCTTGGGGTGTATCGGCTAAGATACGGCGTCGTAGTCACTGCTGGGCGGAAGATGAATTATGTGACGGTAGGCAGAGCTGCATAGATATGGCGGATGGTGATGGTGATGGTGATGGTTGATGCTGATGATCCAAGAGGAGGCTGATGGCAATTGATTGATGGTATAGCTATATTGGTGTCGGAGCAGATTGGCGGGCGGTGATTGGCCGAGAGAGTCGCTGCGCAGGATGGAAATGTGGATGCGTCGGTGGGATTGATTGTGGGTGGTAGAATGGTTTTGATGCTTCACAATCAGACTGCACAATCCTAGCAACAGTAACGGTGGGATGACTACGGCTCAACTGCCTTCTCTGAGGGAGCAGGAAGAGCTTGAAGCGGGCGCGGCTTGATAAAAGAAGGCTCACGGCAAGGAAGAGCGTTGGCATGGAGATTGCTCGTCGCAGCAAGCTCAGGCAGGCCAGGCCAAGAATCCAACCAAGGCAAGGAACGCACGACCGCGACGAGCAAAGCACCAGCACCAGCACCAGCACCAGCACCAGCGACCGCTGGACCCAGCATGGACAGCCCCACGAAACTCTGAACACTCGCCCTGTCACACTCGCAGACCCGGGCCCAGTTTAGCGAGACTGAATCCATCAAGCATGCCCTAGCCCGATCCGAACGCCATGACAAGCGCGCAGAGCAACGGGCCTCCCGTTGGACAAATCATATGCCGCTGCCGCAACCAGCACGCAGCTGATCATGCATAGCATCCACGAAACTCTATGTGAATATCCACGTCCATCGTCGATACTGACTGTGCATCCCGAGCCTTGTCGAGCCTTGTCGAGCCTTGTCTGCTGCGATCCAGAGGACGCTCGATCAAGCCCACTTCTTTGGCAATAATCCGTCGAGCCGCATGCATCATGGGAGAGGGGTACGAGTAGATACTCAGCATATGTGCACAAATATCAGAGTTGCCCGGGTTGCAGCCTTCGTACCGCCGTTCCCACCCTTCTCCATCCATCTGCCCACCGCACTGATGCACTCGCATCTGGCGTGAAAACACGACACCAACAACGCAGATTATTGTCTCGTTGCTCGGTAGATTGTCAAAGGTTTGCTCGACGCTGACAAGGGCCGCCGTCCGCCGAAGCCGTCCGTCCCACAGACCAAGCACCATCCGTCGCAACTCCACCCAGTCGGGAATAGATGCTGCTTCTATTTTGTGTCACCATTTGCTTCACAGGGCATCTGCATCTCTGTCAATCAATCAATCCGCGTATCCTGCTGCCCACAAAGCGCGACTCCTTGCCGCAGCATACGAACATCAAACTCAAACGAACAATCCCATTGTCGACCCTTACTCGGGCGTGGCCAGCTAATCTGGCCCTCGCGTCCTGCCTTGATATCTTATCGTCAAGTTGCGAATACGTCAACATCACGCCTTGATCAAGGCATAACAATGTGTAGACCCTTCCTTCATATATTCACCTGGCGTCATGGGTGCTTCTCCGCAAGGAACAAGAATACGTGCGGATGACTGGCCACGTTCTCTGGTTGGCTAACTGCGATCAGGCTAGACGATCCTCTGGCGTCCGCCTCTGGCGTATTCTTCTTTCTGGTTGAAACCGGTCCTCGCACGGCCGCCCGCCTTTAACGGCGTTTCGTAGACAACCAAAAGTGGGTTCTGAGCTGCCATTTGCGTGCTGCGTTCGCGTGGCTTCGCAAGCTCCCTTCAACTTCGACGTCTGCATCACCTCTCTCCAATCGCAGATTCTCCGCGAACCACACGATTGCTGGTAGTGCATGCGACGTCACTCTTTGTGCCGTCCGATCACATCTCAACCTGCTCTACTGCATGCCTACTCCGCCCGCCTGATATTGTGGGATTAGTTGCTATCTTATTTGCTCCGAGTAAACACAACACGACATAGACGATGATTTTCTCTGCAAATTCTGCTTTAATATCCTGAAGCACATTAACACGACTAATGACTGGTCTCCGTTGCAACGATGCGTTTGGTAAGCACCGACGAACGCCCTGAAGCACACTGACATGCGGCTTTGCCGTAGACCGTCGCCGGAGCCAGAGACTTTTCTGACTAGAATCACGGTTTCCCTATCGCGGCGCGGTCCCCGAGCTTCAGTCCCTTGCACAGAAAATAGTTTTGATGGCTTGCTCAGCTGCAGCTCCATCGTCGTGTCACCTCTCGACTATTCCCTTGGACTCGGGTATGGCTTGATCGTGTACCCACCCCATATGCGCGCTACAGGCTGTACACAGATTTGTGGAGGTCAGGGTTGGTCATCGTGTGCGTGATAAACAAAGTTAGTGACAGATCCGCAAGTGCGGATACTGGCTAATACTTGATATGCCATTGCACGTGATGTGCTATTCTTACTTTAGTCCTCTGTATAGGGCTGCTGTTGCTGTCCATATATCTATCCAAGCATATCGCCCGTTTGCATCGATGATATTGAATCGTTCTTTTTGCTCCTCCGACTTTTGCCCATACTACTCAATTCTCGTTCACTGGCGTCTCCTAGCGAACAGCCACTGCTTTTGCTTTGTTCGCTTCCCTTTGCCCTTGCTTCTGCTGCTTACTCGACGCCGGCCCGCGTAAGTTTTTTTCGCTCAGCAGATGGTCATCTGTCTTCGACCCATGTTTGCTCCGCACCAAGACCGTCGTACCACAATCGTCTAGATTGCAGTAGATGCTACTCGGCGGAGAACAGACCTTCCTCAATATTGGAAAAAGAAAAAGAAGCATGTGGGTCGGATGGGGCACTGAAGAAGTGAAACTGATGGTTCTGACCCGGGAGGGTTCTTGGGATTGATTTGCTAACGGCTTTTCGAACTCAAAGTATGCCAGATGCATTGTAGGTCGTTGTACCGGTCATATAATAGCACTTCCCCAGCTTAAAAGTAGCATGCAGGTTGCACTCCTTTCACATCAACGTCTATCGCAGCCAAATTTTACATATCACGCATCGATGAACGGCCAAGTCTTTACACAACAAATGTCAACCACCATCGCGCCACCAATTGATAGGCTCTTCAACAACTAAAACGATCAACACCACTATCGATTCTTGTCACGATACCTACTGCACTCCTGCGGCATGCCATGAGACCCTCGACTCAAATCCTCTGCCTCATCCGTCATGATCGTTGAGGTTTCTTCGAAGAGTAGCAAGGTAGACGTTGTTCAGCGCATCCATTCAACCGGATGGCACGGCGACGACGAGACACCAATGCATGTGTTGCTTCTCCCCGGTCGAGACGAGGATCATAGTATCATGCGCGGACGCCCGTACGTGCTCGTAGTCTCGTACCCTGACTTTTGCATTTGACATATGATGGTGGAGTGGAGAAAAGAGACCCATGGAATCTCAATTGTTTCACTCAATCCGAGGAACAAGAGTTTTGCTAGTTCGTCACGCTGCATGGGAAGTTTGACTCGCAGGGTCCGCAGATATTGGGTCCTCGAGTTAGCCCTTGCAAGTGCGCCGTGCGATGCGTGTACGAGAGACGCATACAGCTTCAAATGGTGTGGTAGGTTTCTCGGCCGTGGCTTGCATCTTTGGCGCGTCGTGATCTCCAGGGGAACGTTTTTTGTGATTCGCGTTGCTCGTCTATTTGAAATCGTAGAAAAGCAGCGCCATGCAGTGTGGGCATAATCGTGGAGAAATCAATCTTGTGTGTTGTACATGATGCATGTGGGAAATGTCAGAAATATAAGCTCGCTGTGCTCCAGCTTTGCGGCTTGCATCCCGATGCTGTTCAGGGTCCTTGTGCTATGCTGCATTTGGGTTGAAATTATCACGCCAAGCTTCCCCATGGTTATCAGAAATTCTTTGCCTATGCGGCGCCATGTCTTTGCGGTTGCTCTGCCATCGCATATATCTTGACACATCCTCATCAAACACTCTCCACCATGGCTGGAAAGCGTGCACGCGATTTGAATGGCGAAGATGAGACGGCCCATGATACGACTCATCCCTCGCGCAAGCGACGTGTTGAATTTGGTGTTGCCGACGCTAAATTGGCTGCCCTGTACAACGATCTGTCCGACGATGTGAAAACAACCAGATTGAAGGCTGCAGCAGACCTTATTCGCACCCTTGCAGAAGCGGACCCCGAAGCCCTGGACAAGTCCCTGACTAGACTCGTTAGAGGTCTCTGCAGTAGCCGTAAAGCCGCGAGATCTGGATTCTCGGTGGCTTTGATAGAGATCTTGAAGCTGACATCCAAATCTCCGGCCACGGGTGTTGAGGGTGTGGACTTGACTCTTCCCGCGATCATTGACAAGATTGTCTCGATCACACAACCCGAGGAGCAGAGCAACAACAAGGTACGCCAATGCCAAGTCCTTTGCACATATCACAATGCTAATCACCCTTACAGGNAAAGAAGAGACCATCTTACAGGTCGTTGCTTTGGTTTCAAGTCTCTCATCCAGAGCCAACTTCTCTTTGCAAAGGATGTTTCTGTAGCTGAATGGGAAAAGGTTCTTGATCACATCTTCAAGCTTGCAACCGAGACTACCTGGCTGCGAAGAGAATGCGGCGTGACTCTCTACGAGACATTGGCTACACTAACCCAGATCAAAGATTTTGACCTCGAATATGTCAACTTGCTTGTACAGAGACTTGAGCCCTTCAAACTCAGCAAGACCCCGGAAGGCCTTGCCATCTGGTTGACCACCTCTGCACTATTCCCTGAAGCTAAGCTACCTAAGGGAGTATGGAACCACAACGATCCTCTTTCTTCAAAGGAGAGAGGCACCGTGGCAAAAGTCCTCCGTGATAACGGTGCTCAAACTGAAGATGGCCCAGTCGGTAACAGCACTGGTGCTGCACAGAGCTCGCCTTCGTTTGCCTGGTCTATCATCCTCTCGCACCTCTACAAACGCCACAAGCCTAGCAAAAAGTCAGACGAGAAGATCTCTGACTTTGAAAAGTTCTGGCTCGAAGCCGTGGATCGTAAGACACCCTTATTCAGACCCTTGTACCATGTTCAACGACTGAGCTGACCTGTTGACANNGAGGGACTGTTTGCCGCATCTGCCAGTACCGAACGCAAATCCCTTGGCCTTCAGGTCGTCTCTATGGGAATCTCAACCGCTCCAGTTCAGCTGCTCCATGCTGTCTTCAGCCCCAACGCTATGCGCTGCATTATCAACCAACGTGCCGGACAAGACCGATACCTTCACGAAGCAGCCAAGGGTCCGCTATCACAGATGGTTACTCGCTCAAAGTCTGATCAAGAAAGCATTCCCGTGATGCTGAAGGGTTTGTTATCAGGCAACGGCGCTGTGGATTTTGACCGTTTGACAAAGTCCAAAACGGCCGAAGACCTCTTCGCTCGCGCAAAGGATGAGAGCGCAGCTGGCGCTCTGACCATCTTGCAACAACTCTCAGCTAAACCAAATGCCGAAGATCAACCGCAGGCTGATACCAAGCGCCGCCTTCTCGCTGATATGATGCTGAATATGGCTCGTAAGCAACAGGCTGAGGAAGGTAAGGACAACGAGAATATTACTTCTCTTGTCTTGTCTATGGTGCCTTTCGGCTATGCCGATGCTGCGGCCGGTGCTCTCAAGGCATCCCCTCCGTTGTCTGAAGCAAGCCAAGAAATGTTCCGCTCGCGTCTCATGTCCTGTCTCAACCACATTCTCTCTGCTCGTATGGATCCGGACTTCACGATCCTTGAGAAAGTCGTCGAAGAAGTCAAGACAACTGATGCTGCATCCAAGATCGGTCTGCGAACCAAAGCCGATCAGGAGATCGTGGACAATCTGGAAAAGGCTCACAAGACCTTGAAAGCTCTGAAGAAGCTTGAAACAAAGCAGAAGGACAGCAAGAAAGCACCTCTACGTGCTTTCAAGGCCTTGTATGCTCTCTCCATCTTGCTTGTCTACAACGGTGAAGCCGATGTCGTTCCTGTTTTGGAAGACTTGGAGTTGTGCTACCAATCGTGGAAGAAGAGTGAAGACGCTTCTGTCATGCTTGTTGAAATTCTGCTCAGCTTCATCTCCAAGCCCTCTGCTGTCTACCGTAAGATTGCCCAACAGGTATTCGAAGCCTNNTTTTCTTCACAGCTCGATGCTGAAGGTCTGCAATCAATGCTCGATATTCTCGACAAGTCCGAAAACCTCAGCGGTCAGCAAGAGCTCTTCGAGCAAGCTGATGATGCCGAGGAAGATGGTGAGTCAGGATCCGATGAGGATCCTTCTGACGTCGAGATGATAGACGGTGAGGATGACAGCGACGTCGAGGTCGACAGTGATGTTGAAGTTGTCGAAGATGCCGAGTCTGGCGCTTCCGAGGACGACTCGGATGAAGAAGCCGACGCCGAAGATGCCGATCTCGAAGACTTCGAGAACAAACTTGCACTTGCACTGAAGACGCAAAAACCTACAGAGGATGATTCGGACTTTGATGAGTCGGACATGGACGACGACCAAATGATGGCATTGGAGGGCCATCTTACGACCATCTTCACAGAGCGCAAGAAGAACACAAGCAACAGTAAGAAGGACAACAAGGACGCCAAAGAGAACATTGTTAACTTCAAGAACCGTGTTCTCGACCTTTTGACTATCTTCGCCAAACAGGAACACTCCAACAAATTGACTCTGGATCTGGTCTTACCGATGATCACGTTGATCAGAACAACCACTAGCAAGCAGATCTCGGACAAGGCTTTCGGCTTATTGCAACAGTTCTTCGGAGCTTGCAACAAGACCAAACAATTCCCCGAAGCCGATGAAGCATCCGAAGTTCTCGCCCTCCTCAATTCCGTCCACGATGAAATCCGAGCCAACGCTTCAAAGTTGCACAGCAACGCCTGTAGTCGCTCGAGTTTGTTCCTCGCCAAGATTTTGGTTAACCTGGACCCTAAGCATTACTCGGATGTTGCCGACTGTTACAGTAACCTCCAGAAGGAATGGTATACCGACCCGAAGTCGCAAATTCAACCCAGTGTTTTTACCGAATGGACCTCTTGGAGCATTACCACGAAGAAGCACAACAATTGATCTCGGAACGGACCGACATTCGAGAAGCCTTGGACAGTCGTGACAGGCCTGTTCGATGAATGGGAGGAACGCAAAGCTTGGACCTTGGGGTTCGACACTTTCGACTTCGAAATAGGCGTCCAAGGCCTAATTGCGCAAAAAGGATGGACAAGTTCTTCCGCATGTTGACTCCGAAAGAAGGCGGACCGCCTCGACTACAAAAGCTCTTCCTGACGTCAAAGTAATTAGACTTTGTTCTATACGGCGTGCCCGTCTCCTGTCATCTGGGTCTAGGCGCTTTTTGATTGTGTATACTCTAATCCATGCCCAACTACCGAAGACGCAATGTTTTTCCCGACGTCAGGTTTAATCTCGCTTGTTGCATAGATCACATACTTTCATACCCAATCACAATCATAACACTACGTCGTAGGTATACCGTTCATATCTCCCTTTCATTTCGGCATACCGTTCAGGCTATCGATCCCTAAACGTGTTTTCAGGCCTTCATCTCAAGTAGCCAAAAGTCGTGGTATGCTATCTAGGAGACTGACAAACCGTTTCGCAGTCGTTCGCATGTAGCGTGAACGCAATAGGTCAATTTGCCTTTTCTTGCAGCATGTGGTGGTGGAGTTTTGAGGGCTTCTGGAAGCCGTTTTGGCCGTTGCCCGCACCCGCCCCTGTATACACACAACCTCACCTCAAGGCCTCTCCCTATTGACAGTATTGTGTATCTTCGTGGACTGCTTAATTGCTCGACTGCCTTGTGTCGAACACTTTGGTATAGCCGATGCGAGAATTGAACTTTAATGGCTGGCATGTCAGCTGTTGTTTACAAGCTGATATTGATTCGCAGATTATCCAGGGGTGACTGCTATTTCCTTCTTGTACTTTTCCCCTTTCCACTTATCGTAGAAGGAAGTAATAGGAGTGCGATCCGATATTTGAGATACAGACAATGCAAGATGTCGTGTGCCTGCCTCAAGGCCCTGCATAGTATCTCATTTGCATAGCCCAAACACAACGGTATGATGCTGGAGATTGTAGATGTATCTATCTGGTGTATCCACGACATCATCAATCTCCAACGCATGTTCTTGCTGCCCAAGCAATTCCAAGCCTTTTCTTCGATATGCATTTTGTCTCTGATCGATGTTACTCTGCCTCTCCCTCCAGATCTGCGACGTCATTTGACACCGTGCACAATGTTTATGGGCCAATTCCAAGAAACCACAGAGCCTCTGCACAAAATCAAGGCAATATTCCTTCGTGAACCCTTTTTTCACCGCTGGATCGTGATATGGACATTGCCTTGTTAAGTTCCCGCCGAACTTGCCCGCCGTAAACACAAAAAAAAAGTGACAGAAGAGGCGTGCTGCCATTGACATCGTGGAAGGCGTGTCGATCATACCCTTGTTATGCCCATGAAGAGCAGCAGCCTGTGCTTTTTGCACTCCCGAGCAACGCAGTTCACAAACACCACCCTGTCTCTTTGTGAGTCATGTGTGCCCGCGATGGTTCCTTGGATCGCGAGCAGCGGGAAAGAACATGTCTGACGACCGGAGCAGTAAAGCATACGTGTGTTTCTTGCTCCCGTAGTCCCTGAGAAGGCGCTTTTTGGGCTTGGCTTCCTCGATGCTCGAAAGACATTTGCATGGACGCGGGTGTTCCTGAAGATCGCGAAGGTGGTTGATCCATAGTAACATCACACGTGCCTTTTCCATCTGTGCCATTCTTTGACTCTTCTATCTGCTGAATCGTGGTGGCACTTCCTGCATCGCCTTTTCTGCCCGACAATAGATTGCTTTGTGAATCCTAACGATTGTAGAAAAGAATTCTCTGCTTTGTTGTGCTTTTGCCTGATACTTCCCTTTTCTACTCTTTGCGCTCCCGCAGCTCATAAAACTCTCCATGCTGCGAGTCAGTCTGCATGTTTGGGCAGGGAAAGACAGAGTGTGATGAGATAAAACGGTAAACATATCAGACATGCACAAATTTCCCCAGGTTAGGACAGGGGAGCGAGATGCGGATAGGAAACGAGAAAACGGGATCATAAGGAGCCGCAATTGCGATGGATCGAAAGAGATGGGAAAATCAAGGATGAAAATAGAGAGCCACTGTTCATGACGACATAGGGAATTGCATCGAGAATCTGAAATCACGATCTCACCCCAGCGGGGAGTTCAAGGGAGTGATATGATGATATGTTATTTGTTGTATTGTTGTAATGTTGTTTGCATACAGATGTGAAACAAGCACATATGACAGTCCCCTATACTGATATAAGAGACTTGAGCAATCCTACGAGAACCAGAGTTTCCGATTTCCTTTCTTTCTGCGACTTACTACTGCGATCGCATGACATCGGGTCTTTCCTGCATGCGATATACGACTAACAGAACAGGTATCCACAAGGCTAAGGGAAGGCCATGAGAAACCCTCTTTTCTTCAAACCAAGACCCGGATGCTGGAAAGCAGCCTTTTCTCAATCAATATGCCCCGCCTTTATCCCATGCACTACATCGCGATCTACCCTTTTGAGTCTTTGTTTCCTCTCTTCCGGGTTCCACAAGTTTGCTTCACGAGAAACCAAGAAAAGCCACATGCGAGTAACCGCGTCGCGCGCGGCAGAAAGGACCCACTGCTAAATCGATCAACATCTCGGACTTCGCTTTTGTTGCATGACCTCGACTGAAGAATTGATGTGCATGAAACACAGTGATACTCGTGTCGAGCAGAGCAACGCAAGCATGAGAATCATGCAAGTATGCGACAACTTCTTCAAGTCATGCACCCAAGACAATGCGAAGGAGGGCAAGAGGAAAAGTCATGCTGGTGGTTTCAGTCCAAGGGTCCAGCGATTGATACCGCCATCCCGCGTCGAATGGACGCCGCACCTTTCTCCAGCCGGACTCTACATCTACAGCTTACTCAGGACGCCTGAAGACTGTCGGATCATGCAAGCCATAGTTCTTTGGGGTGGTTTGCTCGCCCCAGCAACAACAAGTGGAAGTGTGAAACTCGAAAAAGACGAAACGTATCATAGCCAAAGCCATGGTCGGCACTCGGCAATGCATCAGAGCAAAAGAACGAGTCTAGATGGAGTACGTGATACGAAGTCTCAAGAGCCTTGCACTCTTCGTATGCCAGGAACGAGGTGCATCCTGGCAAAGTTGCACCTTCTGTACCACTCACAAACCTTTTTAGTTGTCCAATCCACCTCTGCCGCCACGCCAAAACCGATTTCACACGCGAACCGTAACTGTAACCACGAAATCGAGGATCACTGGTGAGGAAAGCCTAGCTCACTCAGCCTGACTATCCACTTCTCGTGAACATCAACTTTCCTCTAGGGCTACTCAACAACCCTCAACGTCCAAGCATGAAAGAGAGCAAACACGCGTTCATCCGGAGCATGCGGAGTTCCGCCCAATGCCTTTTAGCTCTGCGGTCTACTGCGCGTCTAAACATGCATCTTGCGGGAACTTGCATGCAAGTCAAGTCTATTCTGCAAGTCACCAAAGAGGCCCCAGTGCCCCACGCAGGATGCTGAAGAACGTTGTGCATACTCGCTTCTTTCGGGTGGCTTTCAGCCGGAAGACGTCTTTTCAGCTGATGTGCGTCGTGTTCCTTCACCTCAACAAAGCAAGAGCTGAAGCTGCATGACAAGGAGTGTGCTGCTGTGTCCCTGTCCATCCATCGAAGCTGTTGCACGAGATAGATCGACATTTGTGGTACCAAGAGCACACACGAGATATGAAGATCCTGCGCTTGTGGTCTTTCTTTGGGTACAGTATTTCCGTTCCGTCTCCTCTTCTGTATTAAGCATATGCAGCTATTATCAGCTCCATGCAATCCTTCCCGAAGGACGACTGCAGTTCACTGAAACATAAGTCACGGGCTGCTGATAAGCGGTGAGTTTCTTGTTACATGCACAAACTGTCACGGTCGAGTATTGGTTCTAGCTTGAACAAAGTATAGGGATACACTCTTGTGATGCCGTTGAAATCAAAGAATGCTACAATGCGTCTCGATGAAAATCACGACAGTCATAATAAGGTTCTTGGTCCCTTCGGTCCATAATGCAGACAGATGAACTCTTCTTCTTTGCAACATCATTTGAGATGCAGATTAGGCTAGGCATCCAGTGTAGGTCTGTCCGAATTATATCAAGTATCAGCACGTAACACAGCGAGTCAAATCTCCCATCTTGTCCACTCACCCATATCTTGATATTGATGCCTTATGCTTGACTAAAATCCACACGACATGTAATTGCCATAGTGAATTAAGACCACTATTCTTCATCTCCCACTTGTCCTTTTACAAGATTTCCATGAGTGAACCGAACACTCAACCGCATGTCTTCATATTCCTTTCGTCACGTTAAACCCTCTGCATTCTGTTCTGTGCTCTGATCCTTTGTTTCATCACAGTATGAAGAGCGAGAAACGCAAACCATGTACCCTTGCCTCGATAATCTTCACAGCTTTGCTCTTCTCAGCGTGTGCTTAGAGAGTTTGCTCTTTGCATTACTTCCGTCCACTTTTCTTCTGGATTACAGGAGACAGTGGCTTTAGATTGTTACTAGCATTGACGCACACATTACTGTTCAGCTTTTGAAAGTGCAAGAGTGATGATATCAGATACCACCATGATTTCATGCACTATCATCTTTCCTCGAATCCGGGCCTTGAGTCCTGGATCTTCTTTGTTGCCCTTGATACATACTTTTCTGGATCCTTTGCCCTCAAACACTGCCATGATAACTCTATACGTGCTACTTGTCTGCTTTGCCTCTGCATCCGCCTTCTTACTTTCCTGAATATAAAGTTTAGAGCAAAAGACCAAGCATCAAGTCCTTAGTAGAGAATGCTTTCGTATGTAAACGAGCTGGTATTTTGGGAAAGGGTTTTTTGTCCCTATGTGTGTTGCTTTGTGTCTTGCTTTTATTGAGATAGGCATCTTGAAGCACGAGAAGATAGACTCGCACAATGCCACAGACGTTGGGATAGAAGATTGGTGAGCCAGTTTTTGATACACTTGTTAATCATTAAGGATACCGGTGGTATGGGCGAGGCATTAGTAATGTGCCAAGATGTTTTGCCTTGCACTTTAGAACGACAATATGTGTGTTGTGTAGCTACTGCTACTTTGTGCGCCGTCTCTCATCATTATACTAGTCGAGGCATGACAGCCCAATTCCAGAAAGTACGTCTTGGATTCTGGCAAATTTCTGTCTAGTTGGAAAGATTCGGTCAAAAGTATTCGTAGAGACAAAGCTAAAGGCCTTTCTTTCTTTTTTGGCGCCTTGAGCGGAGTCTACTGAGGTATCTTCTCAATACAGCAATTTTGCAAGAAAAAAGAGATACCCTGTTGGGCATCCAGATGTCGAGTTTCAAAAACGCTCCAAGAAGTTGAGAAGATACCCCTCTCTTGATTTCAGAAACAAAAGGAAGAGAAATAAGCTGCTACTGCTGCCAAAAAGAAACAAAATTAAGAGAACTTTGGAGAGAACACCCCCGAGATCTACGCTACACTCTGCTTAGATCTCTTGCCGGCTCTCTCAACAATACCCTTCTGGTGCCTCAGTCGGGGACTGCCGCTCACTAGAAACTTGAGATCGTTGATGAACGAGGTGGGGTTCCAGGAAAATCAATGCAGTCCATACATACGGCGTATGTGGAATGTTTAGGAAACAAATATGTTGTATCACTTATCGCGGCGCAAAAGGATACTGTGAGTGGGGCTTTGACTTTAACATCGCAGATGTGTTGTGCAGTAGATCTAGCAAGTGTGTGCATGAAGTGTGGCTTTGAGAAAAGCACTGTTAAACCCCATATCAGGAGAAACAAAGAGAACGAAAAATTTGTGTTTTTGCTTGGAAGAAGAAGAAGTTTTCAAAAATACATACACCGCATCCTATCCTACCATAACCACCCACGAGCAAAGCGACCTCTACTTGCCCGCATTGTTCTGCGCACCAGCAGCAGCCAACCTCGCGTCAACCACGGCCTTGTGCTTTCTGTTCTTGATGTGCGCCTCGAACTTGCCAATTGTGTCATCTCTCACTGCAGTATACAACTTGCCAGGGCAGTCATCACAGCGGATGCGCGGTTGCCACATCCATTTGACCTCCAGCTTCTCGCCGGTAGTCGGGTTGGTGAAGTTGGCAGGGGGCGGTGAACCAGCGGGCAGAGAAGTGTGGTCGATGCGGACGGGGTCGCCAGTGAGGGTGTCGATGGCGGCGAAGCGCATGAGGCCCGAGAAGCGAGAGCCTGGGTACATACGGTGCAATTCCGCAAGTGCGGTGTCTAGCCAGGGTGGTATGTCTGGNCTGAGGGAGGAAGCGTGTCAGTCTTATGGTCCGTAGAGAGAAAGGCGGGTTCAAGAGCGTCTACTCACTGTGGCACCATCTGGTAAGGGTGTGGTGGCGGCTTCGACTCGTCCATGCGAATCATACTCGACGTCTTTTGTGATTTTGGTCGGTGTAGGTGCTGGGAGCTTGGTCGTTGGTGTTGGCGCTTGCGGTTGAGCCTGACGAGCAGGAGTGACTGCAGCCGCTGGTAAAGCTCGATTTTGCATTGCCGGCGTTGATGGACCTGCCGTTTGCTTGGCCGGTGTAGCATTAGGTCTGGTAGATGGCATGGTGAAAGATGTGGGGAAGCCTGATAGAGGAGGTGCCGCACTACGGCCAAACTTTCTTCTAGCCAGAAACTGCTTGAACTTGTCAGGGTTGACACGAAGCTTGACAACCATCGATGTTGGCTCTGCAGTGTCTTCGCGGGCTGTTGTCTCTTGGACACGTCTAGATGCTCTGGTTGATTCTGGCTGTGAGAGCATAGCGATGTCAGGAGTAGCCGATCTGCCATAGGTTTGACGCATAGCAATCTGTGCAGCACTGGCGGCACCTCTCATACCCCTGGTTCTCGCTGTACCAGCACTTGGAAGCTGCGAGGGTGCGGGAGATTCGGCTCCAGACTCCTCTTCATCCAACTCATCAGAATCGCTTCCATCATTGAGGCGAGCACCAGGTCTACGGCCTCTGCCAGTTGCAGTACGACGAATCTTGTAGATTCCACTGGCTTCTATGGTCTCTGCAGCGCCTGGGATGACCGTTGACACGACCAATGATCGCACAGTCCTTTGACGTTCCTTGAGATCTGGCAGAGCTGGTCCACCACGCCTGTTGAGTTGACGCTTCTGTGCTCTCTGTTCACGCAACATGGACAATTCGGTCTTTTCCAGTTCCATCTCAGTAAGCTCGTACATGTAAGGGGTCCAATCTTTCTGGCTTTGTTGCTGTCTGAACACATTGGGCACGGGCGAAGGAAGCATATTCTCCCGAATGTCAGGGTCCTCTATCGGTCGCCCATCAAATTCGTAATTCGTGACGAACAAGCTCTTGGTGTAGAGCTGGCATTGCTCGCGAATCGAGTGTGCAATGGCTGTGGTGAACTCGCCAGAAAGCGACAAATCCAAAGACATCTGTCTGGCGAATTCCTCGGGCGAGTTGAGCGGGTTGTTAATGTCCCATTCAAATTGATCCACCAGGGTAATGTGTCCAATTGTAATATTGAGCTTGACAGTGATGCGCATGTCATCGTTCTTGTGCGCGTTGTATAGGGTATCAGGCTCTGCAGGTTGACCGGCGGGGTAGACGTGAGGATAGTAGTTGTTCAGCTGGTCGAGCATTTCCTGGTGGACTTGACGAGCAAGCAGTTGGCTATGCTCGGTAGGCATCTTCAGATCCTCAATAAGATTCTCGGCGAAGAGCTGTGGAGAAACCAGGCGGTCATTGAGGTTCCAGGTAAAGGTGTCGCGCAATCTCAGCTTGTCAAGCTCGAGATCGAGTCGTACGGGTACGAGCTCTTCCAGATATTCAGCTTGCTGTCCTGCCTCTTTCCTGGCAACGCGCAGCTCGCGCGTTCTCCTGTTGCCAGCTCTGCGGCGCGTGGCTGGATACTCCAGGCGGGTTCTGTCGTCGGTCCGGCCATTGCCGTATCCAGCATATCCATGGCCAAAGACAGCTCCGGGATGTTGTTGCCGCTGTTGTCTTCCCTCGTGGAGATACCATTCCTTCTCCTGCTCCTTGAGCCTCAAAAGCTTGCGTGACTTCTCAGCTTGGTCATTCATGGCAGCAGCGTACAGCGAGTCGCGCTGGATATAGCGCTCGAGAAGAACCTCCTGGTGGGGAGGGTTGTTTGGCGATTGCGGACGCGTGGGAATGCGCGAACCGGAGCGCGATCGTTTCCTAGACATGGCGACTCCGTTACTCGATTGTGAGGATGACCCGGTCACGTCAATGCCTGATGCGGCCATTATGTCTTTGGCGCGCTGCTTTCCGTCACGAATGGCATCACCAGCGTCCGAGGGCGGATTTGGGGGTGGATCGGTCGAGGCGTTGGTGGGGGAGCGACACTTCTGCGACCTGGCGGGGGTNTGGGAGAGGTTGAATGGCTGGCCGCTGTTTGGTAAAGGTGAGGCGGTGGGATTGGTCGAGGGCGATTGCATGGTTCAAGGAGAGTTTATGGCGAAGTGACTGAGTTGGGGATTAGCAGGCGCGTGGGTGGTCGCGTCGAGTGGAGGTGGTGAGTGGGCAAGGAAGCCATGGTGGAGCGATGGCGCGTCAGACTCGACAGCGTGTGGGAAGTGATAACAGAAGAGAAAAGAAACAGAGAGGGCAATGACATACCTTGGTCGAACATGCCCCTCAAAGGGCAGTTGGTCTGGCCGAACGGGAAAGGACGGTGCCTGAACCAAGCGGTGTGTGGCTCCGAGGGCAGTACAAGGCCTTTGTTTCACGCCCTGTCAGCGCCGAGAAGGTCGAGGAGTATTGCGCGCCGATGATTGGTGATTAGCAAATGGCTATTTAGATAAATCATGCACATTCCCAATGGACAGCGCTCTCCAGGCGCGTCTCTCTCGAGAGTCTCTCCAACTTGGTGCACGGGCCGCCATTCCCGCACCTTCCCCAAACCAAGAACCATCCATGACTTGCTCGGGGCCACATTCAGATCAAGAACCAATCATAGCTTGCTCGATATGGATTCAAATCATAAACACGATGCTTGTCGCTTGCATTTTCTTCAACTCCTGCTGCTATCATAAACGCCTCGTCAGAACGTAATCACTTTGCTGCCCTTTGGTATCCCTTTGCTGTCCCCAGTCCTCTAAAGTAGCGAATCCAATCTCGTAAAGACGCTCAGGCAAGCAGCCACCACCNNTGTGTCAAGTCAGCATATCGTCCTCTTCTTCATTGACAAACATACCTCAAGTTGCAGCTCCTTGTCTTTTGCGTTGTTGACCTCATCCATAACCACCTGTCCGAGATTGGCTCCAATCGTGCCAGGTCCTCCTGTCCTTCGGGCAAAGGGGTATTGTGAGTATTCGGCCAGCAGCTCGTCCACCTGTGCGAATGCCCTCTCGCGTGCCTCGTGTTGCAGGGTTGTCAATGCATTCTCCAGCACGTTGGCCGCGTATGCTCCGCAAACCATGGCGATGGTTCGCAAATATCTAAACTCCATATTCTCGGGCAGATATTCCGTGGGTGGCAGTACAACAGTACGGTTGGTCAGAACGTTGCGGACACGACGGCGGATCTCGTCCTTTGCACCACCATCGGCCACGGGGTGAGTTGCCATGTCGAATAGCAGGAAGTTGCGTTTTTCCGTGCGCAAGATGCCCTTGTCGACCAAGCCCTTGGCCAGTCGCTCTCGGACTTGCTTGAGTTGGTAACCGATTTTCATGAGGTTCCATGTCTCGCCTTTGCGTGTGTTAGCAGTGCAGTCTTGATGCGTTCATATCGAGCCAGGAGAAGTATTACCACTCATAAGGTCTATCCACGAGCTCACGCTCATCTTCTCGCTGCTCTTCATCATCTTGAGCGCCTCGTCAAGCAGAACCTCGCCCGTCAGCGAGTCGTCAATGACCTCGATGACTCTGTCGGCCAGAGGGAAGCGTCTTCTGTTGGAATCTTTTTGCATGCTGATTCGTCCGCGGAAAGCCAATTCGATAACAATACAGCCTCTGAGAGCATACGAGATGTTGTCGTTCCAGAAAGAGAGGTAGCCCTGTGTAGATGTGCATTAGAAGCAATTCTTGTTTTGGCAAGCTAAAGGGCGCAAAGCTACCTGCTTATCCTTGAGACCCATGAGCAGAATCTCCTCCATTAGGGTCAACTTGGGTTGCTTGAGTCTCTCGGCACTCTCGCTGATGTCGCGAGGGTCAAAGGCAATCTTGTGTCCATTCTCTCCGCTCTCGTATGATGTCTCGAGGCCTCCGGCTCTGTTCTCATCGTTGCGCTTGTTGCCAGGTGCGGGAGAGCTGACACGGCTTCCGTCTTCACTCTCCAGACCGGCGGCAGGACCAGCACCACCTCTTCTTCTCGTCAAGCCCGAGCTAGAGGCCATGTTGGGGTTGTGCGATGATGTCGTGTGTTCGGGGTTTCGCGAGACGCCGGGGGTGTTTCGTGGCCGTTAGACTCAGCTGTATGGAGGGGAGACGCGGCGGGGTGGCAGGGGACAAGTACTAGTGGAGTAGGGGGCACGTAGGTAGCAAAGCAACGCTGGAGCTCTAGGACGGACAGCTACACGGTCGAATGCAAAGCAGAGAATCAGGCGGCGCAAGATGAATTAATCAGGCCTGTTGTCGCATGCTTGGAGGATCAACTTTCCCCAGTGGCGCCTGCCTCCCTTGAACAAACTTCTTGGCACTCTGTTGTTATCACCGAGATGAGGACATGTACAATTTCACTTCATTTCGCGACGTTGGCTTCAATTTCCAGCTGTTAATGACCAAGGAAAATTTCATAGTACAAGGGCGCAGGACCTAATGGCTAAATACCTCTACAGTGGCATGTGTAGTAGTCCGGATTTCTTAAAAACATTCCATTCCATGCACATTTAGATGGCGCATCTAGTGGGCTATACACAAGTCAGAGGCGAATTGGATGTGTGTCTGCACAGGAGAGCTTACCGTCAGGCTGGCTAAGGATGTACTCAACAGCTTGGTTCACNTATCAATCGAGTCAGCATTGGTTTGGGTAGCTGTAGGAGTGTGGGCGCAGCATACCGCTGTGGATGGCGTCGGCCTCCTTGTCGGGGATCTCAATGCTGAATTCCNNTGCAATTGGTGTGAGCGTGTGGGCTAGTTGTGTTGTGCAGCGCGTGTGACCGACCTCCTCAATTGCCATGACGACCTCGACGGTGTCCAGAGAGTCAAGACCGAGGTCGTTGGTGAAGTGTGACTGGGCCGAGAGCTGTGACAAAGTGTAAGTATGGTGTCCAGAAGTTGGTATTGCGATGAATTGATAGTACCTTGGAGGCGTCCGAGACCTAGTATGCGAGTTAGTACGAGATGCGGCAAAGGACTCCAAGCAGTTGCGCACCTTGTCGAAGTTCTTCAGGAGGTCGAGGATACGGCCCTGAACCTCATCTTTTGAGAGACCAGCGTGTGCCGAGTAGCATCTGACGGCCGAAACAAAGGTCGAAGGAGCGGCAGTGATCGAAGGCAAGAAGGATGAGGGAGCGACGCGGCGGGTGATGGGAGCCTGGACTCTAGGAGCGGCCTGGGCGAGGCATCTGGCGGATCTGGCGACGGCGAGGCGGAACATTGTGGAGGCGGACAGGTGGTGAGCGAGATGAACAGAGTCTATGGTGTAGCTGGGCCGGTGGTTGTTGGAAATCGTCACTGACGATTCGAAGCTGCGGCGGAAGAAGCTTGGCAGCGAGCGCGCGCCTTCCAATCGCGAAGGCCGGGGTAAGCAGCGCCTTGATTGGCTGTGGAAAATGGAAGCAGCAACCAACGCTGACCTACTACCCGCGTCTGGCTGCTGAGGTCTAACTCAAGGACGCCACTACCACCTAATACACCTTCGCCTCTCTCACACACACACAACATCATGGCAAACACAAGGACCATGGCTGCAGCAGTCCTGCGCAATTCGGCTCGCCCGCTCGTCGCCTCGCCCCGTCTCTTCACACCTGCCTCGGCCTCGCTCTTCTCGACATCGACCGCCCGCCTCGCCTCTGGCTCCGGTGCCCCCGTCCAGGGCTACCGTATGCCCGCCCCTGCACGATGGGACCAACAGAAGGAGAGCACCGCCGATAGACTCGGCAACTACTTCCTGCTTACCGAGATGATGCGCGGCATGTACGTCGTGCTCGAGCAGTTCTTCAGACCTCCGTGAGTCGACCCGCCACCACCCCTCGCCAAAACTCCAATTGTTGACAAAGAAAAAGTTNACACCATCTACTACCCCTTCGAGAAGGGCCCCATCAGTCCTCGTTTCCGTGGCGAGCACGCCCTGCGCCGCTATCCTACCGGTGAAGAGCGATGCATTGCCTGCAAGCTGTGCGAGGCCATTTGCCCCGCCCAGGCCATTACCATCGAGGCCGAGGAGCGTGAGGACGGAAGCAGAAGAACCACCCGCTACGATATCGACATGACAAAGTGCATCTACTGCGGTTTCTGCCAGGAATCCTGCCCCGTCGACGCCATCGTCGAGTCACCAAACGCCGAATACGCTACCGAGAGTATGTTTCTCTTTGTATCAATTAGTCAACAACCCTCAGACTAACTGTATCATAGCCNNCGTGAGGAGCTGCTTTACAACAAGGAGAAGCTTTTGATGAAGTGAGTTGATATCATTTCCGGAGTAGAAACATCGACTGACTTGAATCTANGCGGTGATAAGTGGGAGCCCGAACTGGCTGCTGTTGCCAGAGCTGACGCCCCTTACCGATAAACGGTTCACTTACGAAGATACCCTCCCTCCCTCACAGATCTCGCAGCCATGACAAGCAGGCACCATAGGCGACCGCGAAGCAAACAAATCCAACCCGCATGTACTCGAGACGGGTCGTGGCCATGGACATGGTCGCTGGCGATTACTCTTTGATAACCCAACAGAGGTTAATGTATACCTGCTTGCATTGTACAGTTTACACTTTCTACCTTGCACTTTTTCTTTCTTGAGCATTAAAAATCGGAGCACTCTTTTTCTTTTGTTTCTTCTGTCATACTCTCTATGTGTCAAGGATTTCCACTTTCACCTTCCTCTCACTGTGGTATAGGAAGAAAGGTGGGCTATAGAATTGTACAATATCTACAAGCTCAGAATCGTGTGCATCGAGAGCAGTTTATACGGAGCATGACTCCTTATCAAACGGTATGTACATTGCTATCGACGAATCGTGATGTTCGGAAAGCTTAGCGATACCAAGACTCGTATCTAGGCGCCAGCGCATCCTGCAAGCCACTTGACAACCCGGCCGTAGAGGATGCGGGTAAGCATTGCCAGGTCACATGCAATGTTCCAAGTTGGCTGCATCGTAAGGCAGCAACCTCCACTCATATCGATCTGCTTGCTGGTATTTATACTGTCCCGTTCCTTCATTCATATTCAATCACCATCTCCACCATCTTCCAACAATGACCGAAAAACAGCCTGACGCATCAGAGACTGCTGATGCTTCTTCTTCTTCCCATGTCAAATGCGAAGTCAAAACATGGCATCTGCTCCAAAAGGAAGATGGAACCGAGGAGAAGACATCTGTCGAAGGCTTTGGCCACGTCGAGCCCTCGACAGATCACTTCGCACTAGCCGTGACTCGAAAAATGGATAAGAATCGCAAACTCGAGTCGACTACGCTGGATGTCAATTCTCCTTACATCCTCAAAGCATTCCGAGATGTCGTCAAGTCACACCCAACCATTCCTTCGGACTTTACATCGTCGGTGTCTATTCCTATTCCCTCGGAAATGCTGTTTCACCACTGGGATGGCTTGCAGAGCTACTGTGATGATCTGGGAGACGATACGGCCCGCTCGCATCTCGCGCTATTGCTCAAATTTATGGACTTTGATATGGGTGCCGCGAGAAAGAATTATACGGCACAGGTACGCAGCGGCCTTGTCGAATTTGCTAGACTGGGCATACTCTTCCGACCAGGCGATACCGTGGTCACCTATGTCAAGGCTCACCCCTGGCTGCTCAAAGTAGACAAGACTGCCTACGAAACACACGACAAACGAGGCAAGTACTGCGAAATCCAGTGTTCGTTTTCCGACTACGATGGCGAAAAGTATGGTGTTTCCAAGCACGTGTTTCGTATTTATCAGAAGGAAGATTTTGGCTCTGATCACCCGTCCAAGATTTTGGAACTTAAAGTGTTTCCGAGAGTGTGTGCGCCTGATGATAAGGATTTGGAGGCTAGGTTGAGGGAAAGAGGGCAATTGTTCTTGTCTATTACGGGTGTTATGGTGAGGCAATATGATGGCCCGGCTCAGTATCTCAAGTTGCCGCCTTTGTCGTTTTTCCATCCTGACGAAGATGACTGGAAGCAACTCTGGATGCCGTTTACGGAAACAGGAAGGGTCATCATTGACCGCAAGACCTTTGAGCAAGACCACCCCAGCGGCATCATCAGCAAGCGACCCTTGGAATCTCTAGACACTGCCCTGTGTCCCNCCTATGTTCTCGGATTCTCCTGCAGCCGCAAAGACTGGTGCCGTTTCTACGTCACCTCTCTCTCAGAAGTACCCTGGAAATCCCACGCCTTTGACGAACTCATTCTCCCCAAAAGCCAACTAAACCTCGTCCGCGCCCTGGTAACCTCCCACACCTTCCCCACCTCCGCCCGCGACGAAGGCCAGCAAAAAGGAAAAGGACTCGTGTGTCTGTTGCATGGCCCTCCCGGCTCAGGTAAAACACTCACCGCCGAATGCGCAGCCGAAACCACGCAANAGGCACTCATTCGCGCCTCCATCAGCGAGCTAAACAAACACGACTCACCCTGGTTTTTCGAGTACGAGTTGACTCGCGTGCTGCGTCTAGCCACAACCTGGAAAGCCATCGTGTTGCTCGACGAAGCAGATGTATTTCTCGAAGCCCGCGGTGACGATTCCCACGACGCGAGTAACAGAAACGCCTTAGTCGCCGTCTTCCTCCGCCATCTCGAGTACTTTTCCGGCATTTGTTTTTTGACAACCAATCGCATTGCAGTCTTTGATGCAGCGATGAAGTCGCGCGTGCACTTGGCATTGGGATATTTAGAACCTAACAAAGAAGCCCGTGGCCTGATCTGGAAGCAGAGTTTGGATAAGAAAGAAGCATTGCTGTTGGATGACAGCGGTAAAGAAGTTGCTGTTGATGACGCTGCGGAACTGATGTCGACAGAAGCTTTGAACGGTAGAGAGATTTCTAATGCCATTCACACGGCAAGCACTCTGGCGAGATATGCTGGCGAGCCATTGGCGCTGAGTCATATCAATGAGGTTCTTGGTGTAAAGAGGGACTTTGAAGTTACTTTGGAGAAGATGAGGAAGGATACTCTGGGTCATGCACCGATCAAGCATAACTCGATCATTGACTGAGGAGCATGAAGTGCTGGACAGACTCTTAAACAGTGGCGGAAAGAGCGATGGACTAGAGCTTCTCCTTCTTCTCTTGCGTCAAAGTGTTTAGTACGTGTTCGCTGGAAAACTAGAAGATGATCTTGGAAAGCTAGAGGAGTATCCAGTCAGGAAGCGACATGTCGTCAATCCTCTTGGATTGCACGATGACAACTTCATCAATCATTCTATTCTACCCTTCTACCTCTACAACTCGTCGTGTCCCTTTTGCTTTTCCTTCTTCTTCTCGTTTTCTTCTTTCTGCTTCCTGGCATCCTGCTCCTGCATCTCTGCTTGAATGCCGGCACCATTGGCGTTACCAGCGATGGGACTCTTACCCTCTCCAACCTTCCTCTGCGCCAGTGCTGCAATCTCATCGTCATAGATTGTCCACTCGGGTACCTGTCTTCTCGCCCTCTCAAGCTTAGGTTCCTTGGTCTGAGGATTGTTACAGAGGTCTATGGTACGCGCAACACCCAGCGTTTCGTCCGAACACCAAGTCTCGCACCACAGCCACTCTTGCGGTAAACTGTGGATGGGCAATACATGCTGCATATGATTCGGCAGGTCCTGATCCAAATTGGACAAGGAGTTGGGGTCTGCGGAAAGCTGATGGTACTGTTGACGGAGCCTATCTCCGGCAGCCATTTGACGGAATTTTACCAAATCGACAACGTAAAGCGCAGAGATATGGTAAGGCAGCCCGCGGAGGAAGTTCTTCCAATACCCTTGCTTCCAGAAGCGGAAGCCTTCCATCGAGGTGCGAGAGTCGCACATGGGTGTGAAGCCATATGGAGCACCTTGCAAATCATAAGTGACAAGCTCATACATGTCTGTCCTGACAACCTGGTCTGCATCTACAAAAATGACTTTGTCGAGATCCAGCGGGAACAGGACGTCCAGGAAGAGGATCTTGTAGCCCCAGATTTCGCGTTGCTTCTCTTTCTGGCCGCGCAGCCAGTGTGGCCATTTGTAGGTTACCATTTCGTAGCGGAAGTTGTATTCTTCGGCCATGATGGGGAGGAAGGCTTTGAAGGATGGAGAGAGGAACTGTTCGATGAACCAGAACTTCACGGTGTGCGAGGTGTGCTTTGTGACCGAAAGCATCATGATATTCAACATACGCTCGTAGAGGTGGCCAGAAGCAACCGAGAAGATGTTGATGTCGGCATGGGGCAAAGTCGAGATGTCAGTGGTAGATCCAGACGATCCGGAAAGCAGGCCAGAACCAAACTTCTGGGCTTTGGAAAGGACTTCGCCAGATTTTACGCTACCGAGCCCAACCTTGGCGAGAATCTTATCGGCCTTGTCGGTGATGTGGTCGGTCGTTGTTTTGGCACTCTCAAGAACGTCTTCATCCTCCATACCGGATCTGCGAGAGAGGCGGGGNAAGATGGTAGCGCCTCGGAAGCTGGTAAGAGCAATCTCAGTCATCTCGTCGCCTGTTTGGGGACTGTAGCCTAGAGTTCCGGCACTGTCGATTTTGAAGATCTCCTCACTCCTTCCCTTTTGTAATGTGAGGTTGTAGAAGCCAGGCTTAGCCTTGAACTGGAAGTAGCCCAGGTTCGCCATGATGATAGTATCGGCAAAATGCTGATCTTTGTTCGTACCCAGCACAAGCTGAGCTCCTCTAGGTGCAGTACCGATGGTGACATCTCTCGAGTGACCTTCAATCAGGATACTCTCGAGCTCATAGGTTGCTTCGATATCTCTGCCTTGAGTCGAGCTCAACTTGATGTTGTCCAGATCGTGGACACTATCCTTGGGTGCAACAAGCCATGCAGGCGGCATGTCCATGGCCATTGTAAGAAGAGCGTCTGCGGGAAGACCTTCAAAGTGGGCCAGGGTGCCTTCAAGGGAGCCATGCGTGTCGAATCTAGGCTTTGACTCCAACACATGTCGGTAGAAACGCTTTACAGGTAGCTCGTCCAACCTCTCCTTGGGGTTCAGGTACAGGCGCAGATGGACACCGGTGAGCTCGGAGAGGACTTTGAGAATAGGAACCCAACGTTGAGCTGTCTCAGACGCAGGATCAACAGCCGCAACAATCTGAATAGTTGCGGACTCGGGATCACCACGCTCTATAAGGGTGTGTGAGCCAGTCCAGCCACTAAAGACGTCTGCTCGAGCAGGAGGAGCAGAATCGAACATGCCCTCGGGGACGTCCGACTTCAATGACAGCGCGATCAAGTTCGACAACTTTGAGAACGACAAGGCAGTATTGGCTTTGTCTACGATATTGACACCCTTGATTGCTTGAGCCGCTGGCATCAAGCGCTTCATGCGTTCGTATGACAAGAGCGTCTCAAAGTCGTCACGGCCGAACCCTTCGAAAGATGGCATCGGCCCAACAACCCGACCTGCCAATATGATACCTTGTTCGCCGTTGCTGAAGCCAACATCGTCGAGGAATCTGTCAGCCGATGACCAGAAAGCCCGAGCTGCGACAACATCATCTTCGGAAACGGCAACCTTATCCTTCGATATCAGCGCGTCCAAGGCATCCAATGTGACAACAGGACCCTGGATCATGGTCTTGAACAATTCAGCCGCAAAGCTTGAAGTCGACAGTGGCTCAACAGAGCTGTGAACGAGTAAAATCTCAATTTGGTCGTATTCTTCTTTGCGCAAGGCAATAAGTTCGGAAAGCAAACGCTGAGCAGATTCCGAGTCAAAGTCTGCAATGACGACAAGGTGGACAAGATCGTTCGAGACGGTATCCTTACTGGCCGGCAAGCTGGGTATCGACCCGATTCCTCCTTCAGTCAGGTCTGAGATGAATGCCAGATTGACTTGTCGAATACTGTTTTCATCTTCAGGAATGATCCAGGGATTACGACGAGTGGATGCACGAGACAAGAACACTTCAGGAACGTAGCTCTCATCATCGAGTTCGTTCTCGAAGACGGCCTTCTGTACAGTACGCAGGTCGGTGCTCACGCGTTGGCTCATCTCTTGGAGCCATTCATCGGACATTGGCAGAGGAATACCATTGACAAAGAAAGGTGGAGTGGATCCAGATGCACCTAGACGGACAAGATACTTTTGTGCAGATGCAACGCGTGTGTTGAAGTCATCGTTCTGCAACACCTCTTGCAAAGGTGCTGCAATGCGATCCTTACGGAGCTTACTAACCTTGGTCGCACCTTCAAAGACGGACTGCACTGGACCAGAAAGTTTCCGGCCTTGACTGGACGAAAGCTAATTGTGTTAGCAGAGTTCAACAATATCTTGCAAGAAATTTGANCTAACCTTTTGAAGATAGTGTAGAGCAACACCAAGACCGTAAGTATCGAGCAAGTGATAGACAGCCTTGGCTTGTTCCGAAGACGCAGTGGAGGATATCTTGGGTACCAGGCCAAATCGAATAGGGACCTTTCTTTTCACGAAACTTTGCAAGCTCTCAACGACCATCTCCACGTCCTTGTAGTTAGCGAAGTCGATTGGAAGAATAAGGTTGTGAATCTCTTTGCGAACGGGNGGCAATTGTCCGGGATATGTTCGTTGTAATAACTTTTGATTGTTAGTGTTGCTCGTGTAGTGATCAGAATCGTGACTTACTGCTTTTACTTGGGATGGCCATTCAGCATATCGTTTGTCATGCTCGATGTCATTCATCCAGATGATAACTTTGCCACCTTCAAGCTCATCTCTCCAGTCATAACGCTGGAGCTCCTGAGTTGAGGCAGCTTCTGAGATTGAAGAATGTGACAAGAGCTGCACAGCCTCCCTTCCAGTCAGGCCAAGCTCGCTAGCACTATTGATCAACTTGCGCTCACGGCGCAAGTGCTCGAGCATAGCGTAAGCATCAAAGTCACGAGCCAGAATCTGGAGACCATTCACCCAGATGACATTGTATCCCGATGGCAAGAAGACTTCACGGTTGGCCAGGTGCTCCATTCTGAACTGCTCGGAGACTTCATGAGTAGACATGGCTGCTGAGTGCTTCGGAAAGTCCTGGGTGAGTTTCAACAAAGTCTCGAATGGATCTGCACTGTCCATGACAAAGCTAGACGCTCTCATGTCCAGTCTAATCAACTCTTTGGACGATAGTGGTTTGAGATCAGTCACATCTTCGTCTGTCAACTCAGCGCTAGAAGCATTGTTGTCTGTATCATCCGAGTCATCGGCCTTGCGGTCGTCAATGACGATGTAATCGGTCCTCTTCAAATCGAGCGCTATACCGTATCCACTAACAGCAAGCGGGAATCCAGGCACGCTTAAAGAAGGTCTATATCTCACTCTGTATGATGTCTTTCCAGACTTGGCGGTCAGACTGACTGTTTTGTGGAACTGGCGGAAAGAAGGAGACATAAGATCTGCGTAGAGGATAGCAGGCGTCTTGCTCTGCTTATCACCCATGATGCGATCAAATGGAAGGTCTAGTATGCGGNNCTGCAAAACGTCAGCATTCTGGCGATCATGTAAAGAACAGTCTTTGGCATACTCCTGATCTACTGAGTTCCCTGATGAGCTCGACAGATCGGCATCGCAATATTGTTGGCCATTGAAGTGTAACCAAGTCTCACAGCTCCTGTCCAACCGGTTCTTGAGCGTAGGCTCTACTGTGGTGTTGTAGAACTGATAATGTGCCTCAATCTTGGGGNNTGCAGCAGCATGTATAGACAAGGCGTAGTCGAACGAAGAGATGTCTTCTGCTTTGGCGAGATGTCCTTCTTCTTGTAGCGTCTTCTTGAATAGGTTATAGAGATCTTGGTCCGTCGAGGCATGATCGAAGTGGCCTTCGGCGATTCGGTCGAGTAGTGGAAAGTAAGCGGCCGCACTCTCATCTGCAGCTGTCTCNTCTGGTTCTTGTCAGCTCTGCTCTAACTTGGCTGCAAGGGTGTCTTACAATAGTTCTACTAGATACGGAGCCGAGTTGAATGAAGTTTTGAGTGCTACGTTCACCGTAGGGGCTGCATTGGTGCAGACAGCTTGCAGTCCAAGGACCAAGGCAGTTTTGACTGCCAGGTGCTGATATCGCACCATCCTTCCTAGTCGCAAAGCAATGTGGATGGTAGACTGCCGTTTAGCTGGAAAGTTTAGTGTTGAACACGTTTATAAGCCAGACAGCCGAAGTGAGGCTCTCCGAGGATATGTCGGTCTATATACCGCTTTGATCCAGCTGCAAGCGGTGAGAATGCCTAATCCAACGAAGACAAGCTCTTCCTCTACTTGCGAGCTGTAGAAGACCCGTAAGACTATAGCCACATGTCATTCCAAGATGGTTGTTTGTCTTGTTTGCATATGGGGGAAGCTCCTTCCGAGTTCTGCGGCCGGTTAAAAATGCCTCACATCTGACCCATGCCCGGTGGTCGACCATCATGGTGCAAAGGAATCTTTGAAGCGATCAAATCTTGTGGTGGGTTCATACAGCGACTCCATCCAGTAAGGACATATGTGCCTTTCTGTTTATGTCTAGTATAGTAGCATAGTCACAAGATTGTCTACCTCATTCACATTGGAATACTGAGGCAGACAAAAGTCGCGCCTTCCCAATTTTCGAAACTGCCTCGGTCACGGGGTTGCGCGCGTCGACGCCACCCTCTAACACGTACTCTAGGCACCCTGATGCTCATTCTTTTGACAAGACCACGACGATTCTTTTGTGACTGTAAGTGGCGACCTGACCAGATAACAACCATTCGTAATGTACGTTACTCGTCTTCTATACTGGCGATTGGACCTTCCTGACAGTGCTCTACAGGATCGCCGTTATCGAGAAGGAGTATGTCGCACCAACGCCACTGCCCACCCAAAAGCGTGCTCGCATGTATGGCGGCACACCTATCACCGCCGACCGATTGATGAAGCCTTTCAAATGCCCTGGGTCTGCAACACCCACGAGAGCCTCGGAGAAACCTGCCCGCAAGCGAAGAAAGGTCAACTACGGAGGTGCCGATGGCGAGGCCGACGACGCCGACAAGCCCTACAGCAATGAAGACCGACTCGCCCTTGCTACTCGAGATGTCAACCGCTTCCCCGTTTTCAAGCCCAAGGACAAAGACCAATCGATACGTCAACGCTTCTCGGTACCTTTCCTTAACAAGGATCCTTCCGCCTACAATTCGTCTCGCNCCCCGCCTCTCCTTGGACTGCGACAAGGCGCAGTTTTCGTTGCGAAACCACTCCACGATCCCAGTGGGGAGTTTGCCATTGTTCTTTACGATCCCACCGTCGACGACAAACCTGCGAAATCAATAGAAGATGCATCCGAGGAAAAGACAGAAGAGCCCAAGGAGAAGGTGGACGAACCAATCATGCACAAGAGCTTAGCAGATATTCTAGGACTGAAGAAGAAGGTCGTTGATGAGCGTCCTCGGGTTCCTGTTGTCATTGATCCCAGGTTAGCCAAGGTGTTGCGTCCTCATCAAGTCGAGGGTGTCAAGGTATGTTGCTCAAGGTCTTGTCATTCGGCCAGAAACTGATCACTGATTGCAGNNTTCTTATACCGTGCTACGACCGGACTCATTGACGAGAAGGCTCAAGGCTGCATCATGGCAGACGAGATGGGTCTCGGCAAAACGTTACAGTGCATTGCCCTCATGTGGACGCTTTTAAAGCAATCACCGGACGCCGGTAAGCCGACAATCAACAAAGCCATCATTGTTTGTCCCTCGAGTTTGGTTCGCAATTGGGCCAACGAGCTGGTCAAATGGCTAGGCAAGGATGCCATCAACCCCTTTGCTATCGATGGCAAGGCCACCAAGGACGAGCTAATCCAGCAAATTCGACAGTGGTCAATTGCATCAGGTCGTGCCATCATTCGCCCTGTCATTATCGTATCTTACGACACGCTGAGACTCTACGTGGACGAGTTTAGAGAAACGCCCATTGGACTCTTGCTCTGTGACGAAGGTCACAAGTTGAAGAACGCCGACAGTCAGACTTTCATGGCTTTGAATGGTCTCAACGTTCAGAAGCGAGTTATCTTGTCCGGCACACCCATCCAGAACGATCTTACTGAATACTTCTCGCTACTCAACTTTGCCAATCCCAACTACCTTGGAACGAGAATGGACTTCCGCAAGAAGTTCGAGCTTCCTATATTGCGCGGTCGCGATGCAGGTGGTTCCGATGCCGACCGCAAGAAGGGTGACGAGCGACTGAGTGAGCTCTTGACCTTAGTTAACAAGTTCATAATCCGCCGCACCAACGATATCCTGAGCAAGTACTTGCCCATCAAGTACGAGCATGTCGTTTTCTGCAACATGGCACCTTTCCAGAAGGATCTCTACAACCATTTCCTGCAGTCTCCTGACATCAAGAGTTTGTTGAAGGGTAAAGGCAGTCAACCTCTCAAGGCTATTGGCTTGCTCAAANAACTTTGCAACCACCCTGATTTACTGAATCTTCCGGAAGACTTGCCTGGTTGCGAAAACACTTTCCCCTCGGACTTTGTACCCAAGGATGCCCGTGGTCGTGACAGAGATGTCAAGTCATGGTACTCGGGCAAGATGCAAGTGCTCGATCGCATGCTTGCACGAATCAGAACCGAGACCAACGACAAGATTGTCTTGATTTCGAACTACACGCAGACTCTCGACGTCTTTGAGAAGCTCTGTCGTGCAAGAAACTACGGCAGTCTAAGACTCGACGGCACCATGACTGTCAACAAGCGCGCAAAGCTGGTGGATAAGTTCAACGACCCTGAAGGCAATGAATTCATCTTCCTGTTGTCTTCCAAGGCAGGTGGATGTGGTCTCAACTTGATTGGTGCCAATCGTCTCGTGCTATTCGACCCTGATTGGAACCCAGCAGCAGATCAACAGGCACTTGCACGTGTCTGGCGTGATGGACAGAAGAAGGACTGCTTCGTGTACCGCTTCATCGCAACTGGAACGATCGAGGAGAAGATCTTCCAGAGACAATCCCACAAGCAGTCACTGTCATCATGTGTCGTGGATTCGGCAGAGGATGTGGAAAGACATTTCTCGCTGGACAGTCTTCGTGAGCTCTTTCAGTACCGACCCGACACGACAAGTGATACGCACGACACGATCAAGTGTAAGCGTTGCAAGGAGGGCAAGCAGTTCATCAAGGCGCCAGCAATGCTCTATGGTGATACCAGCACGTGGAACCACTTTACCAACGATGGCGAGCAGGGAGCATTGGGCAAGATCCAAGATCTTCTGCTCAGACAGGAGTGCTCAGAGGACGCAGTCAGTGCTGTGTTCCAGTACATCAGCCATTAGTTGGTGGAAGGCTTCTCGGGAGACATAGGATTATGGCTTGATATGTTAATCATTGTGCATGGTGCATTGAGCGTGGCTGGGTAGCATTTGATGAATTGAAAGAACTACGATATGAAGATAACAATTTTTCCTATGCTTGTGTTTGTTCAATGTTGTAAGCAGATGTCGCGGCAAGAGCGAGAGCAAGAGCGAGGGCGAGCGTGGGGGCAGACTCGAAGTGTTCGGACCGAGGAGTTGGGGAAGACAGGGTCTGTGCAGAGACACTGCATTTATTTCTTTATGGCAAGTACAATTGAGCATGGGAAATACATCGTCGCAGCCAGGAACTCAACACGCTGCCGTCGTATCGCAGGCTCTTTCTTCGAGTCCGCCTGATCAAGTTGATCGAGGTATGTTTTACACAAACCTCAGTTGCTAATCGTGGCGCGCGCTGGTCAACTAACGACGCGTCGCAGTCATCACACGCACCCTGATCATGGAGTCACCCCAGGTCGACACGGCCATTGCCCAAACACCAGGCACTGCTAAGACCAAGGCTGGCAAGCTGAAGACATATGCCAAACAACGCGCCAGCTCGGGCTCCAAGCCAATGAGAAGCAGCGCGCGCATCCGCGCAGCTTCCGAGGAGATTGGAGAGCAGCACACTCCTGCACTACCAGACATTCCGCAAACAATCGACGAGACCCCCCGTCAAGGCAAAGGCTGCCAGAAAGACTCGCAAGCGCAAGGCCGACGCTGCTGCTCCTGTTGTTGAGGAAGCCATGGCCGATGACGCCGCCGCCGCCGAGGAGGAGATCGCAGAGAAGCCTGCCAAACCCCGCAAGCGCAAGTCAAAGAAGCAGTCTATCCAGGCCGAAGAGGAGCAGGAGGTTGAGGTGCCCGAGACACAGGAGCCCGACGAGGAACAAGCCAACCAAGACTCTGGAGAACACCCTCGGAGCTCGAGCAACAAGCGTATGAAGATGTTGTAGAGGAGGAGCCTGAGGCCGAGGCTGGTGCTCTGGATGCAGAGCCCGAGGAACCCATGGACAACACTGAAGGCGACATCAGCCAATTCGAGGTTCCGCCGGACTCGNGACAACGACATGGAGCAACCTCAGCCCTCATCAGCAAAGCCAAAGACGAAACGCAAGCGACAGTCTGCCGAGAACGGCGAGTCTCCTGCACCAGCANNGTCAAACGCGTCAAGCGATCCTCAATGCCTCGAGCTTCTGTTGGCGACTACCCCGAGCAAGGTCCTTTCACGCCTGTCGAGTGTGATATGATCGAGTCTCACATGTTGATGTTCTGCCGCGACCACAACTTGTCGCGCGATCAACTCATCGGTATGATCCAGTCCTCGTCACGCGAAATGAGCAAAGTCTACGTCGACCTCGCCACCGACATCCTGCCACACCGCAACCGTCGCGCCGTGCAACGCTACTGCCGCCGCCACTACAACAACTTTCAACGCGGCCGCTGGACCGAAGAACAAGACGAACTACTGCGCACCGCATACGCCGAGACTCCCAACAAATGGGTCAAGATTGGTGAGCGCGTGGGCCGTATGCCAGAGGACTGCCGCGACCGCTGGCGCAACCACGTCTCGCTCGACCAGCGCCACACGGACGTCTGGACCCAGGACGAAGAACAGAAGCTCGCTAACGCCGTTAGCGAATGCCTGCGCGCCGTCCAAGCAACTATGGACACGACCCTCAGCCGCGAGATCGAAGACGATTACATTGCCTGGAACGTGGTCGTGCAGAAGATGAACGGCAGCCGCAACCGCTTGCAATGCAGCATGAAATGGCGCAAAATCAAGGCCCGCGTGATCCGCGAAGAGACCGCACAACGCGAACGCGAAGACGCCATTGAGCGCGGCGACATCATCCGCGAGCCAGAGGAACTCTACGACGACGGCATGACCTCCCCGCACACCACCACCCGCTGGAAAGCCGAAGCCGCCCGCCGCTTCGACGAAATGACCGTCGGCGACATGCTCGACGTCACCCGCGAAACCCTCTACGGCGCTCAGATGGGTGCCTTTTCCTCCAAAAACACCTTCTGGGCCGTGGTCACACGCTTGCACGGCGGTTCTCCCTGGACAACCGCCGACCGCAAGATCGTCTACAAGCGCCTCCGCGACAACGTCGGCGACGTCCATGACTTCAAGAGCAATCTCGAGAACCAGGTCGCATGGCTGGAGAGCCATTTCGACCCTGAAGCACTGGCCGTGCGCACGGCGCCCAGGCATCGCTTGCAGCACAATGGCAGAAGAAGCACAGGCACCTTCCGTAGCGAGGAAAAAGTGCAAGAGAGTGATGAAGAGGGAGACTTGACCATGCCTTCTTTGGGCGTTGAACAGCAGATCAATGAGGAGATGGCAGATGCTGTTTCTCATGCTGGGGACGATGCCAAGTTTGGCGCTGAAGAAGAGGCGGAAATGAATGGAAATGGTAATGGATATGTTGATGAGCAGGAGCCAGAGCAAGAGCCTGAAGTGCCTGAGTCTGAGCATGAGGAGGCGGACTATAACTGATGTCGAGTGTCTCTTATCATTCAAACAAGCAAGGAAAGCTGTAGACACCATCGTCACAATGGAGAACAGACAGAGACGAAAACATGGTTTAAAGAAAGCAGGCGTAAATGTTCTATGGGTGTCTAGGACAAGGCGTGGTTTTGCTTTTGTCCCTTTTGCTCAAGCTGTTCTTGTCGCTTTCTGATATCCCCAAAACAATGCAAATCGATACTCAATTCTACATCTCCTCAAATCCATTTGTGCTTGCCATTTGGGAGAAAAAGTGTCTCAAATGCTGGCTGTAGACAGCTGCAGCATATCGAAGAAGCGATTGTTTCCACCCTCTTACTCTCCAATGACTGTATCTCGCTCGAGTGAGTTACCAACTCTGCCTCGTACGGCGCATACACATGATGTGTGGCGTTCTAGAGTAGAAAAGATAAATACCGGTTCTGGGATCAAAGACGCAATGCTTCGTTTCAGTCAGTTGTGGATTTCCCAAAGTCGGAAGTAATCAACCACAAAAACCACAACACAGCATCAACAAACCTAGCTTATACCAGAAGAATAGGATCCTGGAGGAGTAAAGACAGTACACCGTTTCCGTAATTATACATGAATGCTGTGGCGAGGTAATGATGGAAGTAACTTCGAAACCATATCGAGCGTCAGGGTGTTACTCCTTACAAGGCGGACTTTACCGTGTGGCACAGCTGACCCTCCATAAATGGCTGTAATGATAGGCACCAATCGTTGCACGGACACAGTGAGCACAAGTGAAAAGGCCTTATGCATATCGACTCTATTCAAGATGAGACAATGTATGGAGCATATAGAGGAATATGTTGTAGAGATGATAAACATGTATTCATTAGGTAGATGGAATCTTATCCAAAAGACAATAAACTCCTTCGCTGTTCGTAAAAGTAAAACCAATGCTTGCCAGACCCCCAGCGCCGAGGGTCGGCTTCCTTTTGTGGAACGTGGGCGACAATATATCTTATCTCCTCAGAACGTTCCGGTATCCTGCTGTCATGCCACGAACACCTGTTCGGTGGTGTCTATGCCAAACGACCTTGGCCTAACCTGGCCTGTGTATATGCAACTGGTCTCGTAGGACCCTTCCAATAGAATAAAAAGAAGATAAAAAGGATCAAACAACTTTTTGTGGCAGTGATGTTCGTTTAGAGCTTGGAAAGGTGGGAAGCGAGCTCCTTGACCTCGTCCTGAACCTTCTTGCCCTCAGTGAAGGGGTCGTACATGCGCTTCTGGACGTACTCGGTCAAAGCCTTGTCGTCCATGTTGCGCAGACCGAGCTCGCGGTCGACACCAGCCTCCTGGGCAGCACGGATGACACCGCAGGTGACAACAACGCTGACCTCACGGATACGGCGGATGTCGGGGTACATCCAGTTCTTCTCAATCTCCTCAGGGAGGAGAGACTCTGAGAGGGCCTTGCCAGAGGCGTAGATCATGGACTGAGTGACGTTGACGGCCTTGGACAGGATGGCACCGAGTCCAACACCAGGGAAGACGTACATGTTGTTTCCTTGACCGGGCTCAAGAGTCTGACCGTTGTACTCAAGGGCAGGGAAGGGCGAGCCAGAGGCGAAGAGGACGCGGCCCTCGGTGTACTTGATAGCGTCCTCGAATGTGCACTCAGACTTGCTGCTGGGGTTGGACAGGGGNAAGATGACGGGCATCTTGTTCAACTCGGCCATACGCTTGATGATCTCGGGAGTGAAGGCACCACCGATGGTGCTGAGACCCATGAGGATGGTGGGCTTGACGTACTCGATGACGTCCTCGAGAGTCTTGTACTGCTGGCCCTCGTTGTCGTCACGGGAGAAGTAGAGCTTGTGCTCGGCAAGCTTGTCGCCACGGTCGTTGGTGATGAGACCCTTGGAGTCGACCAGCCAGAAGCACTTTCTGGCTTGGTCCTCGGTGAGACCCTCGTTCATGAAGAACTCGACGAGCTGCTTGGCAACACCGACACCGGCAGAGCCGGCACCGAAGAAGACGGCACGCTGGTCGGCGGCGGCAACCTTGGACTGCTTGACACCGTTGATGAAACCACCGAGGATGACAGCACCGGTACCTTGGATGTCGTCGTTGAACATGGTGTAAGTGTTCTGGTAGCGCTCGAGCGAAGGGAAGGGGTTCTTGAAGTCCTCGTACTGGATGACGATGCCGGGCCAGCGCTCGGTGAGGGCAGCCATGAGCTCATCAAGGAACTCACGCTCCTCATCAGCGGTGACCTTGTCACGTCTGCTGCCCATGTACAGAGGGTCGTTGCGGAGCTGCTCGTTGCTGGTGCCCAAGTCGAGGGTCAGGGGNAGAGTGGCATCGGGTCTGATACCAGCGCAGGCAGTGTAGAGAGCGAGCTTGCCGACAGGGATACCCATGCCGTTGATACCAAGGTCACCGAGACCAAGGATACGGGAACCGTCAGTGACGACGGTGATCTCGACGTTGTGGGGCCAGTTCTGGATGATGGAGTGGAGGTTGCCCTTGTCGGAGAAGGAGAGGTACATGCCTNNGGAGGGAGTTAAAATGGAGCAAATGCGTTTGACAGGCAGAGAAAACTTACCCTCAGGCTGGGTGTAGATTTCTGACCATCGCTGGCAGGCCTCGCCGACGGTGGGAGTGTAGATGACGGGGGTGATCTCCTTGACGTTGCCAGACAAGAGACGGTAGAAGAGGTTGACGTTTGTGTTTCTCAGGTGGGTGAGGTATTGGTACTTGTCGATGGGATTTTGCTTGTTCTCAAGGAGCTGAAGGCATCTCTTTTCTTGTGTCTCGAAGCTCTCGACGGCGGGAGGAGTCAGGCCGTATGTGCGGAGGTACTTGCGGACCTCGATGGGGTATGCGGTGTCGTAGTCGGCGCTTNNCTGAGGGAGGTTTAGAGTCGGGGACGCTTCAATGGCTGCCTGAGAGGGATCTACTCACGATTGCCTTGATGAGACGGCAGGAGGGTTGCTCTGGACAATGTTTGCTGCGGGAGCAGGGGCAATTGATGCGGAGGAAGACATGGTGGAGGAAGTGTGAAAGAGTGCAGATGGTCGGCGGGAAGAGGTCGAGGGCAGGGGACGTTTAAGTAGGTAACGGAGCACGCGAGATGAGGATAGAGACATAGAGACGAGAATTCAGGCTAAAGCAGCCAGCGGTCAGCAATTTATAACCTTTGATGAAACAGAAGAAAAGGTCGCCCAATGTCGGAAGAGGTTTTGTTCGGCATATGAGGCCTTACGAAAATACATTCTGAGGCAGTTGCATTCTAGACAATAAAGCTCCACCAAAACTTATACCATCCCCAGCCTGTGTGGGGTGCCGATGACTCGGCCCGGTCGCCCTTGCCCTACGCCGAGTGCCCAGTCCGACCTCCTTCCCAAATGCTGCTGCAACGACCTCAATTGAATTCTCGTCTGCGACTTGTCCTCAAGTTTATGAATGGTTTTGTATGCTTCCTTTTACTTTGTCTCGTACACCTTTTCAAACATGTCGAGTTATACGTCTTAATTGCCGCTATTTGTTTTCCGAAGTCGCAAAGCCGTGCGCAACCGTAGCAGGAACCCCCACGCCCTCCGATTTTTTCCGCTCAAGGAATATTTTCAGACTAGTCGTCGTCGGTCGGCGCGTCGGCCTTGTTCCCATTTCTTCCCGTGACTTCCAAAGGTCATCTTCCCCTGATCTCCGTTTTCCATCGCATCTCCAGACCTCTTCCTGTATCGGTCGGTGCTTTGTGATATAGGACGGGCCGTGTTCCACATTGCCATCGAGTGCAAACCACTCAGCCGTCGCGGGAGGCATCCTTTTGAACTCCGAATGTCACTGTTTTCCTCCGAGCCTGTTCTCACATGCATTTCCCCGCAATGACGACGATATCATGACGGACTTTATACGTTTGCCCTCGTGCTTCGCAGCTGCCTGCTTGCTTGCTACATATTGAATCTCTCATAGTCTTTGCCTATCCACCCCGAATCGATACTTTTTAACCTTCCACTCGCTGCAACTAATCTTCGTCCGGTCATCCCTACAGTCACCATGTCGTCCTGCCTCGGATTCCGCAAGTCAAAGTCCGACGACACAGAGCCCTTGCTACCCCAGTACCGCGATGACACAATCCTCCAGCGTGAGCTGCACCAGAAGCTGCACTCATATCAGATGATCAGAGCCCTGGCCGATGGATACATGCCCTCGAACGAACAGCTGGTCATCAACCTCAGATCTTTGCTCTCTTCCGATCTCTTGAACCCCAGCGACCCAAACCTTAGTGATTCGGGAAGACGCCTAGCCAAGTTCACAAAACAGTGGCTCAAGGACTTCATCGAATTGCTTGTGCACAAGAACAGCGAAGACCAAATCCAGGATTTCATCTGGTCACTGACTCAATCCAGAGTGGAAGTCGACGTTGAGGATCTGGCACAGAGAGCCTACAAGGCTCAGTCAAAAGCTAAGACTGCCGCTGGTGAGTACTACCACAAGCAATCTCTTATCTGATTTACGCTGACTCTGCACANNGCTTACCAGAGCCTGCAAACGGTTGGATCCCTCCTTCTCACCAACTCTGATTTCCGCATCTTCCTGTCCGACTTGAACACTGTCGGCCGTGAGGTCTTCAAGGATGCTGCCTTCTCGCTATCAAACGTCGCAGAAGAGGCAGGCAAGAAGATTGAGCCATCGCAACAAGAACAAGCCAAGTTGACAGAGCCTGGCGCTGACTCTGGACCCCCACCCTCCGGCAAGGACCTTGGAAACGACGTCGCAGATGTAGGCAAGGTTGTAGCAAACGGAGTTGCTCAGGTCGCTCAAGACACCGAGCAGAGTGCCGAGGAGAAACTCTCCGGTAATGAAGGTCAGGTCATGATGAACCGCTTGAAGCAGGCAGTCATGCAACTCAGAAAGCGTCCCGACTACAACGAATCTGTCTCTACCATCGCGACTCTGCTCAAGCGCTACGCTATTGCTTACTCACGCTCGGTCGAGGAGACCGTCAACGCACTTGAGGAGGATGTGCACGAGAACGCCGCCATGGACAAGGCTGGAAAGAACTTCTGGTCTCTACTGTCCTCTTTCGGTGACCGCGAGGCCTGGAAGAAACTCGAGGAAACGTTCAAGAAGGTCATTTCGCACTCCGAGAAGGATCCCGACTTTGAGAACCTCATGGTCGATATCGGAAACTCGCTTCAGACTCTTCTTACTGATCCCAACTTCTTCGACACTGCTCGCGAGAAGTTCGATGAACTGCGTGAGAAGTCTAAGAAGGTTGGCTCAGAGTCTGATCTCCGTACCGATATCGACAACTTCCTTGGACAGCTTCAGGAAACTCTGGTCTCTGTTCTGCACGACGAAGACGTGGCTAAGCTCATGCAGCACACTCTCAAGATCTTCCGCATCCTGTCACCTCTTCACAACGCTGCTAACCCCGAGCTCATCACTGATGCCATCAACACCTTCATTCCTCTGATGATTGCTGCCATTCAGTACGTTCCTATCCCTCGTCTGGAGATTAGCACTCCCGACATTGATCTCTTGCTCGAGAACCTTATCATCGAGCCTGGTAAGACGGTCAACCACACCTCATTCTTGCCTTACAAGCTCCGCGTCGAGACCTACAACGACTTTGAGATTCGCAAGGCCAGATTCCGTACTACTTCTACATCATCTCACCTGGTGACCATCAAGATCGATGGTATTTCTGCCCGCGCCGAGGAAGTTGGCTTCTGGATGCGCGCTCACTCTGGTCTGTTCAGATTGGCTGACGAGGGTATTACCTCATTCGCTCTTGACGAGAAGGGCTTGGACATTCACCTCGACGTCGAGATTGCCAAGGACAGAATGGAGTCGATGCTCAGCCTTAAGGCTGTTCGCGTCAACGTGCACAAGCTTGATTACACCTTGCGCAAGAGCAAGTTCTCCTGGCTCGCTTGGCTCGTCAAGCCTATCCTTCGACCCATCGTTCGTAAGGTTATGGAGAAGCAGATTGCTACTGCTATCGCAGACGCTTTGCACACAGCCAACCGCGAGCTACTATACGCACGCGAGCGCCTGCGTGCCACTCGTGTTGCCGACCCCAACGATCTCATCACCTTCTTCAAGGCAGTTGCTGCACGCCTGCAGCCCGAGGAGGACCCAGACCTCTACACTCGCGTTGGTATTGCTCAGCCTGGCCAGGGCGTCTTCAAGGGCAAGTACGCACCCGGAAGTGTGGTCAAGCTTTGGAACGAAGAGGCTGCTCAAGCCGAGGAGAGAATCGAGGACGGTTCAGAGGTCAGAGGCTGGAGAAACGATGTCTTCAGCTTGTTGGCTGTTTAGGTTCGCAGCACATAATATTGACGAGTTACGAGGAATATGCTTTCGGATGAGATGGGAAGTCTGCACGAAACTGCAGACAGGTGAAAAGAGCCACGAGAATCAACAGAACGAACTGTATTGTAATTCGAGTTATTCGGTTTTTAGTCGATAGCGAGCACAATTGTCATAGCATTTCTTGTCATGTACTCACTTCCTATTCAGTTGAATGTCACTGGCGTGCCAGCAAATCTATAGACTTACGTCATCGCGAACAGCTTAGTGGCTGGTAAGCAAGCCTCCAATTATTTTCACGACTTTGGTCGTTGTGCTCAATGCAAATCTTTCTTTCTGACCAGAGAAGATCCTGCACTAGTAAAGAATACAAAGCTTGAGAGTTTCCCGTTCCTCTCACACAGACATCCGCCAACCACCATGGCATTGACTACACCTGACCCCGAGCACCTCTACGGCTTGGTTGACATGGGAAGGTAAGGCATTCTTTTGTTTTCTTCTCTCACTATCAAAGAGAAAACATTGAAAAAGATCAGAAAAATACCAGTTGCTCTAGAAACACAAAAAGCAGATCGAGTGCTCTGTTTGGAAAAAAAGAGAAAGAGCAACCACGTCCCCGACCACTACTGACAAGATGAACCACCTAGCAATGGCATCCGCTTTTCCATCACCGACCTCTCACCACCAACAACGAGAATTTTACCTACACTGTACACCTCTCGTGCTGGAATCTCGCTCTACGATGCGCAATACTCTTCCACCGGCACACGCATCCCCATCCCCGACAGAGTGATACAAAAAGTCGTCGACAAACTCATCCACTTCAAACGCACATGCAGCGATTTCTGCGTGCCCGACCAAAACATCACGGTACTCGCCACCGAAGCCACTAGAACGGCAGTAAACTCTGAGGACTTTAGGGGAGCAATTAAGCAAAAGACGGGATGGGAAGTCAAGATGCTGAAGAAAGAGGATGAAGGGAGAGTGGGTGCGTTGGGTGTGGCGACGAGTTTGGGCGAGGTTAAAGGGCTGGTTATGGATTTGNGGGGTGGGAGTACGCAGTTGACTTGGTTGGTTAGTGATGCGGACACGNGGGAGATCAAGATGCCTGAGGGAGGGGCGGTGAGTATGCCGTTTGGTGCTGCTGCGCTGAGCAGACGACTTCAAGAAGCTGAACATGCAGGAGAGAAGGCGAAAAAGCGTTGGAGCNAGGAGGTCAAACAGACCATTACTGAGGCATTCAAGAGTCTGAGTATCCCTCACGAACTCCAGGAGTTGGCGAGACAGCAGGGTGGATACGCGTTGTATCTCTCCGGCGGCGGATTTAGGGGTTGGGGCTTTGTGCTTATGAGCGAGCACACCGTGTCTCCATACCCAATCTCGCTGATCAATGGCTTCTGCGCTGACAGAAGCTCTTTCTTGGACACCACTTCTGTCAAAGCCGCAGCATCCTCACATCTGGATGAACAAGACGACAGCGCCATCTTTCGCATTTCTCAACGACGAGCTACTCAAGTGCCTGCCGTGGCTTTCCTGGTCACCGCATTATCAGAAGCCCTGCCTCACATCAAAGAAGTCCGTTTCTGTCAAGGCGGCGTCAGAGAAGGCTATCTCTTTTCCACTTTACCGCAGCAATTGCGTGCACAATCGCCAGTAGTCGTCGCTACCACCTCACACGCAACACCTGGATCCCCTCACCACACAAATCTTCTGCTTTCTGCCATTCCTTCTGGCACTCTTGCTTCTACGGGTTTGACGCCTGCTCTCATCACTGCTTTTGCAAATCTTTCTCACCATTATTCTTCGCATCCAAAGGACATTCGTGCGGCGGCGGCTTTAAGGTCGACAACTACTGGGTTGCTTGCTCAAGCTCATGGGCTCTCGCATCATGAACGTGCTTGTCTGGCTTTACTTCTTTGTCATCGTTGGGGCGGTGCTCGCGATCTTCCTCCCGTGGACATGCCCTTCTTTTCCTCTTTGCAGGCACTTATCGGTGCTAAAACATCATGGTGGTGTGTATACTTCGGCACCGTAGCCGCTCTCGTCGGCGCAATTTATCCTTCTGGCCGAGGCAATGAGTTGATGACTCTTTCCTCGGCATGGAGTGTTTCTCACAAACATGGAGAGAAAATGTTGGTGCTGAGCACGAGGGATAAACAGGGTACTTCTCTCCATTCCATCGTCCCAGAGGAGATGGAAAAGATTGAAAAGTGCGGCAAAAAGAAGAATTGGATTGGTGGAAGAGAGGGCTATGGGTTCAAAGTTCAGGTGCTGTAGATCTTCTTGTTGGGATTACACTACATCAGATATTGTACAAGGTTGCATTGGACAGTTAGAATATCGATGCCTCTACTCTTGTTTTATTCTCATTTACCCATCACGTACAGGTGCCATCAGATTGGCTACTAATTTGGCTCGTGAAGCTGCGATATATCGTGTGATGAAAAAGTACGGATCTTGAAACCAGCGAGCCAAGAGCGACTACAACAACACTTGGTGAGCTTCCAGGTACACTTTGTTTGCAGGTTTGATCTCAAGCTTCGGCGAAGTGTAGGCGAAGAAGGAGCACAAAGCTGCTCTGACAATGAACACGCGAGTACATCACATTATGAATGTCTTCGGAACCTTCTAGACTTATGTAAATCAACAAACACGAACTGACACAGTCATCATTCTTTGCACATGTAAGTCATTCAAGTTAACCATTTGTCTCGTGATTGTATGTTCTCGATAGCAAAAGCAAGTGTAGCATCATATCATCTTCTATCCCATCATCAAGTATATCCCCAGCAACATAAAAGTGTTGTCCGTCCAAAGCTATTCTTGCAGTAGTAAAAAGCAGTGTTTCCTCGTTCCTACGTTTCAGTCGTTACAGGTCGTTTCGTAGCCATTCATGGGTTGTCTCATCATGTGTCGTGATGTTGTATGTCGTACGTGTATGTGTGTCGAGCGGTGTTGGATTGGAGTGCAAGAGCTTCAGCGGAGACCTTGCTCAGTGCGCTTATTGAAGGTACGAAGAGCCTTTCCACCTTCACTCTGAGCGTGCTTGGCCAACTCTCCTGAGAGGATGAGCTTTGTACTGTAAACGGGGAGTTAGTATGATGAAAGGCGAAAGAGGATATGCGTCAAAGCAAGAACAATGACGAAGACAAGGATAGGATAGCCAAACGAGAGGGAAAGGGATGACACTTACGCAGTCTGGATGTCATGAGCTTGAAGGGTCGCCTTCTTCAACTTCTTGCACAGGTCAGATGCGAGATCTGCAATGCGAAGACAAAGATCTGTATGTAGTGTTAGTAATATAATCCCGAATGTCAAGGACGACTCCGGCTGTCACTAACCCTTGATGAAGTCACCCATGATCTGCATTCCGGACTTGGTCATTACGAGGTCNTGGGTGATCTTGTCTCTGAACTGAAAGCGTGTGAGTCAGTCATTGATATACACAAATGGTGTCAAGATTGGGTAAATAGACAAACTCTTGTGGATGTAGGCCTGGAAGTTGGTAGGGTCGTGCTTGCGCTTGCGCTTTCTCTTGTTACCATCAGTAGCAGGAACCTTCTTTCCTGCAGGCCTCTTCTTTGATGAGACTTTGGTCTCAACCTCATCAGCAGAAGAGGCAGCAGTGTCAGCTGCAGAGGCTGCGGCGCCATCGGCGGTAGAGGCCATTGTGACGTCGGCGACGTTGCTGTCAGCACTGCTCAAAGGGTCATCGGCATCTGGTTGATTGTCGCCATCAATTTGAATCTCTGCATCAGGTTGGGCAGCCTGCTCCTGACTGGTGTGACGAGGCTCGGCTTGCGTGTTAGAGATGGTACGCTGACTTTGGGAAGCAGTAAGCTTCTTTGCGACCTTGGGAGGCATTATTGTAGTTGTAAGAGGTGTGAAGAGGGCGCAGTGACTTGATACACGTAAACAAAGAAGACGATAGACAGGTAGACCCAGTAAACACGTAAGATGGACGTGCTGGAAGAGAGAGACAATGAAAGGCGTGGGAGGAAAGGAAGTGGTTGACGCAAGAAGAGTGTTGAAGGTGAGAAGCTGCCGAGTCTTTGCTCGAGGCGGCCCACGCTCTAGGCAGCGAGACCACTTCCTGGACTAAAGAGGAAAGAGCTACCCCGTACGATAGCTCTCGGCGACGAGGTTTACCTTCCTCGAAGTGGTTCTAGTATTTGATAAGTCCTAGTGAACGATATGCATTGCCCGACAAGAAGGATATGTTTCCATCTGTACGGTATCTACAACATCGAGTCAAGTCTGTGATGGATAGATCAACAAATCAAATCGTCGTTATGCTTGCATCCAAGCTCGGCTAATGCTACATGGCCTGCTAACGCCCATTGAAGCACCGGGTCCCTGCTAAAAGTACAGTAGAACGATCCTATATCCTTGAAACGCCAATGCACACGTACCGTGGATACACCCATGCTTATTTTCACCTTTGCAGCTCTCTCAATGCCCTCTTCATGCTCTCGAGCCTGGCTTTCTCCTTGACGACCATGCCCTTAGCGAGGTCTTTCAGCATGCGTTTGCCAAACTCAACGTGCTGTTCTTGCCAACCAGCCAATTCAGCTGCAACGGTCTGTTGCGTGTAGCGTAGTTCACTGCCGAGAGAGTCAAGCTCGCCTTGAGCCTTTGTTGCTTTCTCTTCGGCTTCAGCTGCGATCGACCGCCTTGTCTCGTCAAACAATCCTATATTTGGTGTCCAGCGGGATTGCCTGCTAAGTGAGCCCAGAGCTCTCTCAATGTTTCTCCTGGCTTGGTTCATACTGCCAATCAGGCTTGTTGGTCGCCCGAGAGCAACTAGAACCGCTGTTGATGAATTCGCAATTGAGTGTAGTGAGTAGTAAAAGCTTGCCAGAGGGTCGGATTCGGAAGGCGTCATAGCTTTCGTGTACATGTCGAATGCTGTGAGATATTTCCGAGGAAGGAATTGTAGAGTTGCGACGCCAGTATTGTTGAGCATACGCGCATCATACAAATCCGAGTTCAACATACGCTGAGCATTCGTGCGCCTGATTAAAGACTTCACAGCATGAGAAACTCCACGAAGTTGATCTTTTGCATGAGAGACGAATGATTCGACCTCGCGTGTGTCTGTGATCGGATCGTAGTCATCTCGAACGTTTTCGACACGAATCTCTGCCTTGTGCTTCGCTCGCTCGGCTAACATGGCTGGATCTATATCTGGAACGAGGAAAAACTCCCATACCATCTCGTGTGTCGAGAAAGTAGAGTGTGTCAAGAGGCAGTGCAAAAATGCGTCAAGACGAAGTTGAATGTCGCGCAATACAGCCCTGGAGGGCTTCGATGGTATCAAGAACGGAGATGTTAAGTTGAAATGAGTCGGTATCCAGGACGCGGGTTGCTCAATGGACAGCCACTTTGCGAGGTGCTCAAAGTCAGCGACAGAGCGACGACATGTGGTGACTGTGATCGTGCCGTTTGGATTTGGACCGCCAGACTTAAGAACTAGTCGAACGGTGGCATCCTCCACGAAGAATGAGCGAACAACAGAAGTGATTCTTCCATCTGCTGCAGGCCGTGTGGACAGCAAGACCAAATCATCGATTCGGTTTCTGACCTCATCGTCCTTGGCTAGCTCAACAGCTGTCAACCCTCTGATGTCCTTGATCTGCAAGTCCACTCGAGCGTCACCGAAGAATGTTCGAACCAAGTCGAGTCTACCGTATTTGCTTGCCATCATCAGCGGTGTAAAACGTTTGTCATTCGCTGCATTCACATCTGAATCGCAATGAAGAAGGAGTCGTGCCGTCAGATGAGGGTCGTTGACAATATGTAGTAGAGTGTTACCCTTGTTGTCTATGTGATCAGCAAGATGTAGTGGCTCTTGGTCTGGTTGGGTATTTGTGGCGAGGGTCAACGCAGTCTCGACCATCCATCGGTATTCCTGGTGATCATATGACCTGCATAGAGCAAATAAAGGCGTTTGACCATTCTTGTCCTTAAGCCGCCAAGGCAGCATCTCGCCAACCGTCTCCATTAGATGCGGCTGGTTGAAAAGGTAGTGGGCAAAGGTTCTTCCTTTGCTATCTTGGCGAAGGAAGTAAGATCGCAAAGTACTATCAGAAGGGGCATTATGGAGAATGTGATTGAGTAGAGAGTTTGTGAGGTTTTTGTCGTCGCCCTGGACAGCAGCGACAAGCAGAGTTACTCCCTCATTGTTACAGTCCTCCAGAATGAACTCAATGGGAAAATACTGGTCCAGACTTAGCAGGTACTCCAGAGATGCAAGCTGCCCGTTCTCAATGGCCATCATTAAAATCGAGTCACCACCCAGTCCTTGTGATTGTGAGATCTTATCAAGCGAGCTGTCGCCTGCTGAGGCAGTACTCAACTGCGAATCAATACTCTTAGATCTAGAGCGAGACGGAGATGAGTACCCGGATGACACAGAGGCGCTGCGGAAGCTTGCCATAGTAACACGCTTCCGCTTCGGTTGATTGACTTCTGGAGGTGGTGTCGGCGGTTTNTGGAATGGAAAAACGTGAGCCAAGGATCCTCTAACCGCAGCAAAGTCACCATCAGGCATCGATGATCGTTGTTCTCGCTCAAGGTTCACATTGGTCAGCCGTGAACTGAGACTTGATGCATCGGGATCTCTGAAGCTGTCGTCGAATGATGGTGCCTCTTCTATGACTTGTCCACCTGCGATCCAAGGAGCGTCTGGTTGAAGCATGCTCCGCAGATCCGATATATTCCCATTCCTTGTTGCTTTCCATAATCGCGCGTTTTTCCTCGCAGCAATCCGTAAGGCGTCCGAGTCCCGGGAAAGGTAAAGTAGCACAGCTTCAAATGTGCTTAACACGTAGCCCATCTCTCCACTGTCCACGTCGTCAATAAACACAAAGTGCCTCATGTAGGACAATCTGGCGTGCAAATAACGAACAGAGCTTCTGATGACAACAATCAAAAGCATGGAGACCAGTGCATCGGCATTGATAGTCATGGCTATGCTTGGTTTTTCAGTGGCACCGTCCGGCCGCGTTCCTGGCTTTCCTACGCTGGTGTTTATAGTTGCGGTGACAGTCTTTGCCGTTTCCAGCAAAACTTCGATCATCTCCTGAGGACTACTGGCCACGCCCATCTTCTTGAAAATGCCTACAGCTCTGTCGATTCGGACTGCCATATCTCTTTTCCCTCTCATGCCATCCTCTATAGGGATACCAACTTGGGCAATGTCGATATTGGCCATCTTCCGCAGACGGTGCTCGAGTTCGAAGTCCTCCGAACGGCGAATGTTGCATATCCGGGGAAACAGAATCGATTCATGTAGTTGCTCAGCAATATGACGTTCAATCATGCGCTCGACGACCGGCCCTGATAAGTCAGTTGTGGCGCCAAGGAGAGATAGTTGTTGTCTGTCGACTCCTTGGAAAAGATCAATCGCGGCAGTGGTCGCACTTTCAAGCGCAAAGCGCATAGAGTCCTCTTCCGGTTCAATGGTCAGTGATGAAAGACGGATACTGCTGTCGCTTCCAGACACCGAAGACCTTAATGAAGCCAAAGAATCTTCCAACGAAGTAGAAGAGTAATCCGATCTTTGTGAGCTCACAGACGGCGCTCGCGACGATTTGTTGGGTACAGGGCCTTCAAATTGGGCTGCAAATTCCTTGAGAGTTTTGTCCAAACCATTCTGCAGTTGCCGAGAAATCAAAGGGAATGCGGTCAGAAGTTCTGTAAATGATGCAATGTCCTTCTTTTTGACGTCCGAGGCAGATGGAGTTATAGTCCTCGGTTTGTCTGCGGCGCGCTGGGCAGCGGTTCTGATAGTTGCGGGTATGACGCGAACGGAGTCGTAAGAGCCTATCAGGGGTCGCGAGATGTAGTAGACAAGCCATTGCTGAGATTCAGGGATGTCGGGGCAGAACAGGGCGTCGGTCAAAAGTTGAGCCTGGGTCAAGCTCTTGAAGCCNTAGATGGTCATGTCAGCGGTGTCGCTCGAGCCTCCTCTTCATATCCGTGGACGGACGGGTAGTGATAGATCTAGCGAACCTTTGTTGCTGTAGACATAGGTATCCTTGACAACTACCGTCCTGCCATTGAGTGTGTTATACTGCTTGGCCTTGCCTTTGGACTCGCGAATGTTTCCTCCATCTTTTGACGTGGTGCCGGGTGGTATACCTCCAGGTATGCGGATGACATGGCTGGAGAGAAATTCCTCCGATGCGGCAAGGTCGGCATAAGGCGCAGTCGTCTCGCGGTCGCGGCCTTGCAAGAGCGATTCTGTCGTCGGAACCAGGAGGATGTGGTGGTTTACGGGCAGACACTGCGAGGGGAGGGTGCTTCTGAAGAAGGCCCGCAAAAAAGGGTTTAGAGGGTACATTCAATCGGTGGTCGCAGGATCATGGCAGAGTCTGATGCGAAATGCGCCCACGGCTGGGCGGGTCTGTCGTAGTTCCTCTCTTGTTTCCTCTTGAATGACCGATTCTTGGATGCGACTGTCTGGTGTTTCGGGTCTTCGCAAACGTCGTGAATCTAGACTGTTACTTTACTAACACATCCCAATGTTGCTTGCATGCCTAGAGCTCCGCCTCGAGCGCCTTCCAACATGTGACACACGTCACCGGCAGCCGGGATCTGATTCTGCCCGCCAAGCTCCACTTTCACCTTCGTTTAACCACACGAGGCTGACTGAAGGACGCGCACTCTATTCACATATAGCCTAGGGCTTGCTAGGTTGTCTTCGGATCGAGACATGTGCATTCGTGGCGTGCAGAAGGTTCCTCCAGGATCCATAATCAACCATATTCATCATGTTCGCTTACGGCATCCTGCATCCGGTGCCATACAAAGCACAAGAGGTACTGGTCACATTTCTGGAGACAAGATAGATTGAAGAATGTTCATCATAAAAAAGTCATTTACTTTTCATTATCAAGCATATGCTAACGGGGCATGAGGCGAGTCTGCAACATATATCGAGCTGCCTCAAACATATGTGCTGGCCATAAAAGAGGCCGGGTATCAACTCTTCGCAGCAAGCTGCTTCGGCACCGCCTTGTTCAGTCGGTGCCAGGGACGTTTTACTGTCAACCAGTAAAGTAGAAACAGGAAGCCTGGGAGAGTGACCAGAAACAATCCCACTCATCATTCATCCAATGCTGCCGAGCATCTCAGCATCGACACATCAACAACTCATTGCTTAAGCCTTGGCGGCACCAGCCTTGATAAGAATAATGTCTCCATCCTCAACAACGTAGTCCTTGCCCTTGGTCATGATCTTTCCTTGGGACTTGACCTCGGCTTCGGTCTTCAGCTCCTTGAGGAGGTTGAAGTTGTAGACAATGCACTGAATGAATGTCTTCTCAAAGTCACCGTGAATGACACCGGCGGCTTGAGGAGCCTTAGTACCATTACGGACAGTCCATTGACGGACCTCGTCAGTACCGGTGGTGAAGAAACTGCCAAGGTTGAGAGCCTTGCGCATGGTGGTGATGCACTTGGGCAAAGCGGACTTGCCACCAATCTTCTTGCACTCCTCCTCGACCTCGGCATCAGTCTCGAAGCGAGAGAGACGCTCCTCAAGCGAGATGGAGATGGGAAGGATGGGCTCGCCGGGGAGTGGGTCTTGATCCATTCAACAACCTTGGGCAAGTGCTTGTTCTTCTGGCGAAGGTAGTCCTTTTCGCTGAGGTTGGTGAGGTAGACAACAGGCTTGGCTGTAAGGAGGAAGAGAGGGTTGATGACCTCGACCTATTGAACATTGTTAGCCATGAACATGTGGAAGACCAGGTTGATAACAAGTGTAGAAGTTGATGTGTGTTTCAGAAGGGACTTGACAGCAAAAGAGTTCTGGATCCAGCTCCCTGTTGGGTCCAATCCCAACAGGTTAAGCCTTTCTCCGATGAACCGTTATTCTGAGAGCTGGGTATAAAAGTTGGATCATCATTGCAAGGGGCGCGGTGCGTGGTGGAGAAGTGAAGTGCAGGGTAACGTACCTCCTTGGGGGTCCAGTGCTGGTGACGGATGTCCTTGCCATCCTGGAGGAGGGCGAGAATCTTCTCAACAGTAGCCTCCTCCTCCTTGAGCTTCTTCATCTCAAGAGACTGACCACCACGGCGGGTCTGCTTCTTGAGGTTCTCAAGAGCTTTCTCGACGAACTCGGTGTCCTTGATACGGAGCTCCTCGCTGATAATCTCGAGATCACGGACGGGGTCGACGTCACCCTCGACGTGAATAATCTCGGCATCATCGAAACATCTGACGACTTGGAAGATGGCATCGACGGCGCGGATGTGGGACAAGAAAGCGTTGCCGAGACCAGCACCAGTAGAGGCACCACGGGTCAGACCAGCAATATCGTAGATGGTAAGGTGAGCGGGGACTCTCGACTTGGGGTTGTACTGCTCGCACAACCAGTCATAACGCTCATCGGGGACAAGGACACGAGACTCCTCGGGGTCGATAGTGGCGTAGGGGAAGTTCTGCAGGAAGCGTCAGTGAGAGAAGCATTGAAGTAATCGAGGTGACACGTACAGCAGGGTTACCAAGGAACACTTGGTGATGGCCTGGAAGAGGGTAGATTTGCCGACGTTAGCCAGACCAACCTGCGATTGGTGTTAGCAACAGCTTTGTGGCCACGTCGGCGGGCTAATCCCTACATACGATACCACTCTTCAGGTTGTTTCCGGGACGACCCAACAGGATCTTCTCCTCCTTGACGACCTTCTTGGGAGGCATTCTTCCTCTGGCGTAAGTTCGGACTAAGGTAAAGCTTTGGGCTTTAGTGTTCGCCGACCAGCAGATGCGCAAGTGGGCTGTCGCAAACGCAGGGCCTGCTGCGGATACTCGAGAAAGGAAGGAGAGCGGAGCGAGTGCGGAGGAAATGGTCGCAGATATGAAGGAGTGGGCTGTGACTGGCCGACCCCGAGAAGATGTAGTAGATGGAGAGAGGGAGTAAGAAGAGGTGAAGTGGGATGGTGGGATGTGCGACCTGCGCTGGCGTGGGACGTCTCATTTTTCTGCTGTGAGCTGCACGGAGAATGCCGATTACCTAATGTGGAAGGGACGTGCATTGGTATACCTCGCAAACTTGATATATTTGGTGGACACTTTGATCTAGAGTGATAGGTGAAGATCACGAATGTTATAGTATTGAAATGTACAAGTAGTCATGGAACATCTCACGTGCTGGGGCAGAGATGCTGTGCAGGGACGCTATGCAGCGCGGAGGTCTGTTCATCATCTAAACGGATGATGCTCTTGGTCTGATATATGATGCTACAAGCTATGCTAGTATGTGATAGCCATGACAAAATTGTCGTCGTGAGAAGACTAATGATGAGTTGTGGCCACACCAGCCGCGTTTGCCTGGGCCGTAATTCTGCGCTTGTAGTCGTTGACATCGCCATCAAAGTGCTCAACACTTCCCTGGTCGCAAACCCACAAGCTAGAACAGACAGCGCTCAAGATGGTAACATCGTGAGAAACCATGAGCACACCACCCTGGAAGTTCTTCAAGGCATCTGCCAAGGCGTCCATGGCTTCAATATCCAAGTGGTTAGAAGGCTCATCGAGAACCAGAATATGAGGATTTTGAAGAGACAAAATGGCAAAGGCAACACGAGACTTCTGACCTCCTGAGAGAATCTCCATCTTTTGCAGGCCAGTCATACCAGTGATACCAAAGGCACCAAGATGTCTACGGTACTCCTCGTCAGTCTTACCAGGGTACATCTTGGACATGAAGCCAACAGCGCTCATGTTCAGATCGAGGGCATCGACATGATGTTGAGCGAAGAAACCGATACGGAGACGAGGGTTCTGAGAAATGAGACCGGTGGTCGGTTGCAGCGCGCCAATGAGAAGCTTGAGCACTGTTGTTTTACCAGCACCGTTAGGTCCAACGATACCGATACGCGAGTCGAGCTGAACGTCGAGGTCAACATTCTTGAGCAATGGCTTGTCTGGAGTGTAACCGAAGGCCACGCCGCTCATTTGAATAATAGGAGGCGACATCTTCTCCACATCGGGGAACGTGAATTTGACTGTGTACTCGCTCTCGGGAGCCTCCAGGATAGGCATCTTCTCCAGCTTCTTGATACGCGATTGTGCTTCGGACGACTTGGCTGCGTTGTAACGGAACTTGTCGATGAAGGCTTGCAAATGCGCACGTTCGCCCATCTGCTTCTCGTACTCTCTCTTGGCTGTCTTTCTTCTCTCCTCCTTTGTGTTGTAGAAGGACTGGAAGTTGGCACCCTTGTAGTAGTCGAGGCGTTCTGAGTGTTGGTGAATGATATCTGTGGCAACTTCATCAAGGAAGGCTCTGTCGTGAGAAACCACCAAGACAGTGCTGGGGTAAGTTTGCAGGTAGTTGGACAAGAAGGTAATAGAGGGCACATCCAACATGTTGGAAGGTTCATCGAGCATGAGAAGATCAGGTTCGCAGAACAGGGCACGAGCAAGTGCCAATCTCATACGCCAACCACCTGAGAAGGTCTTTGTGGCGAACTGTTGTCTCTCATGCGAGAAACCAAGACCAGCCAGAATACTGGCAGCACGAGACTCAGCCTTGTCGGAATCCATCTCAGCAAGCTTGGCTTGAACATCGCTGAGTGTGATATCAAGACCCTCTCGTTGAGTATCGAGCTTGGCGGCGTCTGTTGATGTGTCTGCCATTTGGGATCTGGTGGCTTCCAGCTCTGCGAGTTCCTTGGTGATCTTGTCTTGCTCCTTGAGCAAATGCTTGCGCCAGACATCAGCGTCCAACACGGCTTGAAGAGCAGGAGTGTCGTCTCCCATAATCNNTGTGAAAGTTAATAACAGATCAGATTTCATATTTGAAGAAAAGCTTACCTCTTGCTCAACGTGAAGAATAGAAATATGAGTGGGAATGGCAACCTCTCTCTTACTCAGAGCTCTGAGCAAAGTAGATTTACCAATACCGTTCTGACCAACCAAACCGTATCTGCGGCCATAGGCCAAGGTCAAGTTGGTATCACTCAAGATTCTCTTGCCGCCGATTGTGATATCAATGCCATCAACCTTAATGTCCTTACTCTTGCCTTGGTTGTCTGAGCCAAGCTGCAGAGGGTTGACCTTCATGAAGAATTCTTCATAGGATGCAGCATCGTCAGGCTGCTCCAAAAGCTTAGAAGCCTCATACTCGACGTTCTTGAATTCCTTCCTGTCTTGCTTTGCGCGAAGCTTCTTCTCGGCCTTCTCGAGCTTCTTCTTGTCAACACGAGATTCGATTTGTCTACCAGTGTGCTCCAAGTTGACACCACCAGTCAAGCCAAGAGTGGATGAGATGTTTCTTGCAGATCCGACCTGGATGGTTTGATCCAGCTTTCTGGCAGAAGGTGCCTGCTGGCGTATTTCACCATCGAGACCAGACTGTGCTGAGAGCTTGGAGACAAACTTCTCGACCAGGTTCTGAATTGTCAATTCATTCTGGTTAGACAGGTCACCGGAAGCGGATAGCAGCAGAGCTGTCACAGCAGCGGCGGCATCGGACAGTGGGTCGCCTTCCGCGCTGTATGCCTGCGAAGCGTGGTTGAGGTATCCAGCGGAATACTCGGACACGACAGGGTCGATGCCAGGAATCTGGGCTCTGATCTCGGCTTCCATGGTATCACAGAGAAGATTCGGCGATGTGAGTTTTTGCGTGTTTGGTTAGGGTGGCGGCTGTAGGGGACTTCACCGCTATCTTCGTCCTTGTGGATCTTCGAATCCTTCGTGGGAAAGAAACAAAAATCACGCTTCTACGGAAAAGGCGTTGTTGTTCGGTGATCCGATGCCCTTGCGTAGTTTTCCAGCTCTTGTCCGTCAAACCAGTGAGGGGCGGCGGCGTTACGGGAGAGCTGCGGATGAGAAATCTTGTACGTATAGCTTATAGAACGTCTCTTTACTGCAAATGAGCGTCGTCTTGCTCCTAATCTGACCACCGCACTCCAAGAATCCAAGCACGTTATACTCCTTCGGTAGTTCTGTCAGCAAATAAGCAATACACAAACTACCAATGAAGGTTTCCAATTCAGGATTGATCGGAAAAGGGTCATGCAATCCCGGAGTACATTCTATCACTACTGCTTGAAACGTGTATCTTCGAACTGCCGTCTTCAAGATAGCCACTTGGCGTACGCCATATAACATACCTGCCTGGTACCAGATCTCCACAGGACCACAGCCCAGCTGCACGAGAAGTGAGCACTGCCAGCCGATGGTTCTTTCCCTGTCCGTTCTCGCAAGAGGTCAAGCTATTTTCAAACAGTGATCAATTAACCGCGGAGAAGGATCTTTGCTCAATCAAAATCGATCTTCTTGTTCCCCAGACCCTAATTGGTCACGAATAGTTGTACTACCTGAGTAAAAGGTGCGGAAAGCTAAAATACGATTGGGCGGATCAGCAAAGTGCATTTAAAGTGGGATGAGCTGGATCCCGGGTTGAGCAGAGNTATCTGTGCATGTTGCTGCCCGAGCAACCTTCAGTAAGGTGATTAATCATGTTGAGACTGAATTTTCATTCCTGTAGGGCATAGCTAGAATTATGTCGAGCTTGAACAAGATTGAGGTTGGATATGGCAGTGGANGTTTGCTTTCTTCAGTATTCTCTGATCGACAAANNTATATCCTTGTACATTTAGAGTACGCAGTGACATTCGTCNCATTTATCCCCGTCGTCTGAAGGAACCTGATAGCTCTGCNNCAAGCGGTGTCAACCTCCGTCAAGTCCGGATTGGGCTTGTGCGTGTGGACAAAGAGGACCGTGCCGTTTCACAGAGACAAGCCACGCTACAAGAACAGAAGTGGAAGGNTTACTGTGCAGTACCAAACTCCCGGAGCTGGCGAGNATAAATTGGCGATCACTNTTCCCCGACCTCCCTCGAGCCGGCGTTGCGTAAGACCAGCCATGATCCTCTAGGGCCTGTGAGTAGCTTCCGAGGGATGGTTTAGTCCCTGCTTGTCAGTCGAGGACAGTCGTGTAACTTTTGGAATTTGACGTGTTGGAAGATGTACACAGGCACTTCTTCTTCCCGCTGCTGCACGCGGCTGGCAACTTACGCGACATCATGGGTCTGTCGTCTTAAACTCCACAGCTCAGGCGGACCGAGTCGATCCAGACGATATTCAAGGCGGGTGATCCGTCTGCCATGCTTGTTAGCGTTTCAAGTTGCTTGCTGTCATGAAGCCTGAATGTGTCATGTTTTGGTGCATCGTTGCATGGCTTCTCAGAGTCACCTTCGCACGCAGGCACGCGGTAGATGCATGGAAGTCGAGGTCGGTTTCATTCTATACACGTACGTATGAGTCGTGTGAGTACATGTGTACCGTCATGCCAGATCTCNGGATGNCTCGATGCACGGCGGTTCAAAGGTGACAGAACNCCCATTTGATCCAAGCGCTTGCGTGGAACGCCTTAGGAAAGACGNCCCCTGCGAGTTGCAACAATGTCCGGGATCCAAGACAAGACGACGCTAAACACCCTGCAGCTGGTACAAAGCAGCATGTCGCTGCTTTAGTGGTGGACGTTTCGGTTGTTAACTTTTGGCTGGACCCACGGGTTTTGCTGGTCAAGGATAGATTTGCGATTTCTTTTCTGTACAATGCTTGGTCGGAATCTCAGCATTCTACTNACTCTAGGGTTAGATGTTCAACTCGGGTTTCACGGCAAGTGGTCAAGAAGTTAGATCTATAGGATGGCATAATACGGANNTACATGGATGCGGAAACGGCGTTGCAGGCTGAGGCGTATGGCAGGAGCTATGTGCCGTAAGGATTGATTGCTAATTGCAAGGNNATGGTGCTCAGTAGTGGTCGACGATTGGACGAGTCGCACAGCGTTCTGGCGGTTGAGGGCGCTGTGCAAGGAGAGAAATTTGACAACAGACTGCAGNACAAGATGAAACAGAGCGACGTACGTGTAGTTATGTAGTTAGGGCAGAGATGGAGTCGACGAATGCAGGTCTCGTGCATGGCTGCTAATGGCATGGATTTGGACCGCGGACAGGCGTTGGACAGAGAATAGCATTGAGTTGTTGTGGACAGCGGCATTCCTTCTCGAAAGGCTTTGATGATGTCGCGGGAGCATTTCAATGAATGTCTGGCGCGCCGTTGAAGTCTGATCTCTTGCTGCATGGGAGCGTTCAACGGGCTCGTGGTGGCGTCCGAGCTGAGGGGTATTGGTTGCTTGAAACGCAGCAAGCGCAGGTCAGCGCTTCATAACAAAACCGGGCATCCTGACTCCTAAAGTTTAGGCGAGACCGAGTGCTCGCCGTCCTGACCAGCCATCCGCTCTTTGCTGTCTGTGCCTGTGCCTTGTTTGTGGGGCTCTGCGCTGCGGGCCTTGACTCTTTCTTCTGAGCAGTAGAGCGACGAGCCTACTCCACTATGAAGACGACTAGCACGGGAGGATACACGTTGAGCAGTCCGACCAATTGCACTCTCTTGCTCCTTCCGCCGCCCTCTGGTTGTGTGTGCTGTTGATGGGCGCATGGCATCGGCCAAAGCATGAAAACGATCCCCACGGTAAGCTGCACAGAGACCCGCTTGCACTATAATGTCCCCAGCCGCTACGCTGCCTGCCGCCATGGATGCTTGATATGCGCATGCCCTGCCCCTCGCTATCCTGTCCACGTCCCTGACTGCACCTGCTGCTGTTGACGCTGCTGTCCCCTGTCGCTCGCTCTGTGAAGCCTAATCCTCTTCGCAAAGCTGCTGCACCTCCGTCATGCAGCATTGACCGTCTCTTCTTTCCCCCCCTTGCAGTCTCGATCAGCAACGCCCCGACTGACCCCCAATCCTATACAGCTCTGTGCAACGAGCACCGGCATTGGCGTGTCTGCCCTGGGCTTTGTGCTTGCCCGACCCGACCACGACACACGGCTCGACCGTCAACACCGCCCTCCCAACAACCACGCCCGTCGCTCCGACTCGCATAGATCCTCGACCTTCCTCCACCCTCTTTCTGTTCCTCCTTCACTCGACCCGGTCCGATCCCGACCGCGGTCCACCTCTCGAGCATCCTCGCTCGTTCCGCCCACGAGTGACATGACATCGACGGCCACCTGCACGGTACAGACCGTCGACACGTACGCGACCCCGGCCTCCTTTTGTCCTTCCTTCTCCTTCTCGGCTCGTCAGGCCCTCGNNCGCTCCGCGAGCACCCAACCCACCACTGCTCCCCCGACGAGGAATGCGCCGGACCATGCAAGAACGGTGCTGAGGAAAAGAGACGGCCACACAATGCCTCGCGGCGCAACCCCGTCCTTTCGACACGGTGCAGAGGCCTCACCTCCCATATCTCCCACTTTCGCTCCTCACCAGACGCCGTCATGGCTCAAAAGATTTTCCTTTTCTTCGCGCGACTCGACGCAATCTTCGAGCCCTCGCCCAAATTCTTCCGTCATTTCTGTCGCTCCTTCAGCCTCGGGATCCACAACCCCGATGATCCCCAGCCACACTCCACCCATCAACACAGCCCCGAACAAACTGGTCAAACGCTCCACCTCGGTGAGCAAAGTGCCCACTTCCGCCTCGTATGGCGGCTCAACCACAAAGATTCCCACTCCGACCTTGAGACGCCCAGCTACCAGCCACAAACGGAGTGCCACACTGCAAGAAAGACGTACTCCCACTGTCCCGAAAGCAGAAGACGCTTTCAGACACTCGCTCTATGGTTCTCCGTCAGAGTCCATGCCCGAAGACGTGCAATGGCGTAACTATTTTGCTCCCAGAGAGGCTGTAGTTCCCCCAGAATCGACACGGCGTCGCAGCTCAACCAGTATCCCTAATCCTATCAAAAGGGTGTATGCGGATAGGAAATACCGACCCGTTTTGGTGTCTGCTAGAGAGAATATCAACGCTGCTCCAATCGAGTTTGATCATGATGCCGATGACCTTGAGCCTGTATTCAATTCGAATGTGGTATCGAATGTCCAGGGAGCCGACCGTTTTTGTTCCTCATCTCAGCAGACGCCCCTTACGTCGAACCGACGCTCGCGAGCAACGGTTGATTTTCAAAGTACCTCATTCGATTCGAGGATAGATGAGCGGAAAAGTATCGAAGACGCATTAGACAGACAAGAGGTCGCCGAAATGTCTAGGATCGAGTCGGCGTCGAGCTCCTTCTCTGTCAGTGACATTCTCCCCGCAGAGCCCCAAATCTGGAAGCAGCCACCTCCTATCAAAGCAGCACCCGTCGCCAAATACCGACGACCGGGTGCGCGAGCTCGATCCAACACGCCCACCAGCATGGGCAACAGACAAAGTCTTTCTCACGATGAACCGTCCGAAGCGCTCGCAAGACATCGTGACTTGGATGACGTTACGCAGACTGCAGAGCCGCCATCTGTTAGCAGCCCCATTACCGAAATAGACCTTAGACTACCATCGCACCAGACGCAATCCGCTTCGAGTGCACTACCCAGCCACTCCGACCTATCAAATCCACAGAGCGACGACAGTGTGTACTTCGATACATTACCTTCACCCTCACAGCTTTCCCATGAAGCGGCGTACCATGCCGACACTGCATCACATCTGACCGGATCAGACAGCGACATCAGGTTAGGTGAGGATGAGGGGCTTGACTCACAAGGCGACACCATTTATGACTCTGTCCGGACGCGGGCGCCAAAGTCGAGCCCAGGCAGGCGAGGACCTTCAATAGAAACCATTTTTGGCGAGTCGCCGCCATTTCACATTCATGGCAAGCATACCATGCTCAGAGACTATCTTCAGACGCCACCTTTACATGCCCAGGCATATTCACTCAAGCCACGACACAGCATCATACACGAAGAAGACACCATTTCTACTCCAGCTCGCTCTGCTCGGAAACAGTCCTTGGGCAGTTCGCCAATGCTTCACATGAAGCCCTCACCTGCACAGACTAACGTTCCGTCATCGCCGCCCACCATGCCATCTCTTTCGTCCCTCTCTGACCTTCGCCAACATGCCGAACATTTCCCCGATTTTGCCGATGCTGACGATGACGAAGAGAGCTCTTGGTCTTTTGCCGAAGACGATGATGAGCCTCAAGTTCCCCGTAAGAATCGCTTTGCCCACCTTGGTATTACTCCGGATCTATTATCGCCCCACGGACATGCTTCCAGCTCTGCGAATACGACCCCACAACGACCAAGTGTTAGAAGCACGGACAGAGACACACGCAGCAGCATTTTTGATTGGTCCGAACAACAACCCATGGAANAAAGTCCAAACAATCGTTCTCCTCCTCGTCCCAAAACTGTGCACGGTAAAAAGGATGCCGAGACTCGTGGTAGCAGGTCGGTCGGAAGAAGAGCTCCAAGTGGGCTTCATGTCCGCAGTCAAAGCGTACCAGTCGCCCAAGAAGGTGACGGGAAACGAACAGGCACCAACAAGTTTGGCACTTGGGGCATTGGTAGTAAGGGCGTGACAGAAGACTGGAACGAGGATTTCGATTTCGAGGATGAAAGTGGTCCGGAAGAGAAGAGGCTCGACAGCGGTGTCTCGATGTTCGTACCCAAGTCCATTCGAGACCAGCAGGACAACGTGCTCGCCAACATTGGTCTTCTTCGGGACTGGGGCCTTCTGATTGAAGAATTGAAGGAACACAAGATGCGAGCTGTCATGTTGGAGGTGCTCGACGGGCCCAACGAAAAGATGTGGAGCGAAGTTGATGCCATGATCGATCTCGCGGACCAGGAATCGGACGAACAAACAATCGCCCCTCGGTTCTCGCCATCTTCGTCGCCGTCGTTCAACTACGATGCTTTTGACGAACCACTTCCAGCACTTCCGGCAGCGGAACATCTGATGCCCCCTCCCTTATTCGGCCTCCCAGAATCTCCAGCGGACGGTGAATTTGACTTTTACAGTGAAGACGCGACTATTTCCCCAAAGAGAAATGATAACGGCATCTTTGTCACACCAGCAACGCCTCGAAGACCGCGAAAGAACTCGGAAGCCGTTGCTCGTTCCGTCATAGAAGCACTGCAGCAAAAACGACTCTCCAACGCCGCCCTCGAACTCGAAGAGCGAGACAAGGTCCATTTCGATACAGCGACTTTGAAGCGAATTATCCCTTACGTTCAAGAGTTGCGTGACAGAGTTAAGAAGGTCATTAGGGACGCAGAAGATCTACTCCCCAGTCCGAAGAGTCTCAGAGGCAGTATAGGTTCGCATGGAAGTCGGTCAGTACGCCGAAGAATACGCGAGGCCCCCGAGTCTCCGACCGTTCATCGTCGGAGTCGACGCTCGACAAGTGCTCTCGAACGTACATCTTCAGATGATGGGGTCCTGACTCCCACCGAGGAGCTAAATGCCCGATTACGTCTCATGGCCATGACATGAAAAAGCCGATTCATTACTTATGATCGTCAACACCCAGCTTTCCGATCAACCAATTAACAGGACCATTTTGTCACGTATGCGAAAGAAGGCTGGCAACGATTTTTCTCTTTGTACTACTAATGTCTCTTGTTCCCGTTTCTCTTTCCTCCACACACATTTCTGCGACCACATCTTTTCATTCCGGTTCAGCGAACGGCCTTCTTTACTCTTTCTAAACTTCAAAGTTTCCTTTTGGCAAAGCGTTTTGAGCGGATTTGGAATTTGTCGCACATCTCTCACACCTTGTCTTTTCTTGCTCCCTCTTGTCTCCTGTTTCTTTGGTGGTCGGAGGTTGGAACGAGGGAGCTGTAAGAAGACATGAAACACTGCATTTCTTCTTTTATTTTCGCGCAAGCGTTCAAGCAAGGCACACACGATAAAAAGCGTTTGTGGATCATCACTTGTTTTTCTCCTAGTTTTCTCTTCATTAGCCAGCCACACACACACACACACACTGCATAGACATTTGTTCTCCTACTGCCAATCATTGATTTCCTCCCTCCTTCTCAATCTGTCGTCTTGTCATGGTCCTTGCGTGCTTGGTCTACTCTCTCTCTTTGATGCCTTCCGCGTGTATCTTTTAGATAGTCACTCGTTCCATAATGTCATTACGTTACTCGTCCGATATACCTTTCTTCCTTGTGTCGATGCCATTCCCCTGACCATCAATAGTTCATTTGCTTCTTGAGGTTTTCACCAAAGTTCAGCACAATGTCGTCGGCTTACCTCACTCATGGCAGTATTTCTTTAGTCCAAGGTAACTGTTGTCTTTCTGCTGGAATGTTTGACAGGCGAGTGCCTTGTCAAAGAAGACATCAATCGACTGACAACCCCAGATTACTACTCGGTCGTACTCGGCATCTTACTTTCTCTGGCTTCATGTGTCTCTTAGTTTTGTGGTATGCTTTGACAAAGAAGGAATATGGAATTACGAGACGATATGGTGTGGTTACAATCCGGTATCGTAGCTTCTGCATGGTAAGCAGCACCACGCATAGAGATCTTTGGTAGCAGACAGAATTGGAGTTTGAGTAATTTACATTGTTTCACGAGGGGAGCAAAGAAGTGTGATAGAGCATCAAACAAGCAAAAGAGCGTTTCTGTCGGTCTCTGATGGACCATAGTGATTATCTAGAAAGGTGTTTGTTGTCATGATCATCCTTCGTTCCTTTCTCTCGTCTCACCTTTGAGATTTCAAACAAAAGCAATCCAAAAAGTAAGGACGACCCTGGAAAAAGGCCATCTTGCTCCTTCCTTCCCATCACGAGTGTTTCCTTCCTACCTTCCCTTCTACACTCTTTCCCGTCCATCACTCAACCTTCCAGACCAGCAAACTTCTCCCTGATATCCTCGGCAGCAATCCTGCGACCAGTCATGCCGAAAAAGGCAGCACTGACTCTGTGCCACATGCCTTCCATATCCTTGAAGATGAGTTCGGAGAGAGCTTGGAGTTCGCCGAACGAAAAGAGATCGTCTTCGGCGAGGGAGGGCATGGTCTTGAGGGTGAAGGCTGTACGCGAAGAGGCAGCAATGGAAGCAGTGCGGTGGTGAGTCTTGTGTGGGCGTGATGGGTGGTGAGCTGAGTCGTGGCGGGTGTGTTCGTGGCGAGGGTCTTTGATGTGGTGGTGGGGCTTGGGGTCGTTGCTGGAGCGGCGAGGGTGAGAGTCGTGGAGGTGGACGTGGTGATCGTGATGGTGATCGTGGCGGACTTCGTGGCGATAGGCGTGAGCGTGTCGGTGCTCGTGTTCAAGTTTACCACCCAGAAGAACAGCGGCAGATAGAGCCTTCTCTTGCTTGTGCTTGTCGATAGCGTTAGACTTGCTCTTGCGATCCTCGACCTTGTTGTCCTTGTTGCCCATCTTGGCGACTTGTTTATCGTTGTGGTCGTTCTTCTCGTCAACAACACCAGCCTTGTCGATACCGTGCTTGCCTCCCTTCTGTGCCTTCCAGTCGACAGGTCTGATCTCGCCGAATCGTTTGGTAGTTTGTTTCTTGGTCTTGCCGATGGCTGCTGCGATTTCTCCCCAAGATTTGCCTCCAGTTTTCATGAGCAGTAGCTTCGCGTCTTCTTCGGCTATAAAGACGACGTCTGAAGTGTTCTGGGCACCAGCTTGAGGTTTGTTACCGTTGGCCTTGGATTCGTCGGCTGCCTTCTTTGCGTCTTCGGCTTTTCCGTTGGGCTTGCTGTCGTCCTTCTTACTGCTGGACTTGTTGTTTTCCTTCTTGTTGCTGTGCTTGGAGCCAGATGCCGCGTTCTCCTTGTTACTGCCTTTGGCACTGGCAGCCTTGGATTCGTCGTCGTCTTTCTTTGGGGTGCTGGCACGTCTGCGCACACGGACGAGCTCGGTTTTTCCAGCCTGTAGAAAGGGGAACTGCGTAAGTCAGCATTCCCAGATGACGGAGGCAAGTTGCAGCGTGCTTACTCCTGGAGGACCGGTGGGTCTGCGGATTGTGCGGCCAGAGCCTAGGAAGATGTCGAAGAGGGAAATGGGAAGAGCTGGCGGTTTTGAGCGTGCCATCCTGGCGCCGAGAAGCACAGACGAGGAGACTGGAGTAGGCGAGCAACAGCAGATGCTCAGAAGAGGAGCTCGAGGTGGAACTCAGAGATGGGCACAAAGAGAAGGGTGCGGAGCTTTCGGTGGTTTGAGTGTCACAAATGAGCCTTTGTAAGGCATTAGAATGATGCAAGTGAGGTAGTGAAAGTGGTAAAATGTGATAGACTAGAAAAGTGCGAAAAGGTGTTGGTCTCGAGGGGGATTGAACACACACACACCAGCCACAACAAAGACGCGTATTGGTGAGTGTAACAAAAGTGTTCAACTTTGTTCATGTTACGGTCTGCTCTTTTTGCAACAACAACACCTCTCTCTATACCAACCCCATAGAGGCATACTACACCAGGAAAAAAAGAGCAGAATAGGTGCAAAAAGATGTTGAATGGGTGTCCCGAATGCCGCTAGCAAGCTGATAGTGGTGAGTGGCCTCTGCCTTCCCCACCGTATGGAAAGACCCCCAACACAAAGTGTCAGTTTAGTCCGAGAACCACTCGACTATCCTTTCCATTCGGATGAAGGAAATTCAAACTTCATGAATTATATAGCCTGCTCTAAGGGTGACTTCCCTCATACAAACCAACCAAGGACACCACAGCTCTGCATTGCAACGTTTCACAATAATTGCATGGTGCTTGAAAGGGCATGACTTACCTGCTTCATGAGCATGTTGCTTCCTAACCTCATTCCATGGATACGGCTTGCTTCTATCACATAGCATGGATGCGAATCTGTCACAAGCCGCTGCGCCGCTAATGCTGCAACACTACAGCACCAACAACACTGACACAAAGACACCACTGCCACCATCAGACGACGAGTCGTGTCAATGTTGACAACGGAGTCTCGCGTAGTGCACAAGCGGCTTACACGGCGCAATATATGTATGCGTCGTCCAATAAGGCAAGTAGTGTCTCTCATCCAGCTTATGTGCACCTGGGCATTGGTCAACCCGACCGAACGGCACACAGCAAATCCAGTCGCCATCCATGGCCATTGTCAATCGAGCACAACGGTTTGAAGGACTGTAGAAGGCTACGAAGATTGTAAGGTCCTAGGTCCATGGCCACTGGACGTTCTGAACTCGATCGAGAACTTTTGGATACACTCGGACATGTCAATGTGTACAGATGCCAACTCTGTTCGAGTTCTGACAACCAGTTTTCAATACGGTTCCAAGGCCATTGAGATAGCATAGCATAAACCAGGTAAGTATGACGTGTTGCAAAATCTTGGGTATGTCCTCCAGTCTTCAGACCCTACATCAGTATCCAGTCCAGTTTTCAACTCGGATATATCTGTTCCCGATATGCAAAGCTGAGCCTTGAACTTCCTCTTTGCACTCAAACAGTCACTGACAAATCTTCGACTCCAGCAATAGCTGCTTTCGAGATCCTGCAGCGAGAAAAGTCCGTTGGTTTCCTGAAGACAGAGATTTCTCAAGGCCAGTGGTATACAGCTATGTACCAGCTCCAGAATACTGTCCAGTGTTCATGCATCCTTCCGGTATCTGTGGACTTTGAGGCGGCTCCGGACCCGAGGCTATCGAGATAGCTAGTTGACAAGTGTGTATCGTACAAGAGGCAGGAACGAACAGAGGTATGGGATGAGGTTCGATGAGCCCGGGCCACGAAACTTGGCAAGAAGCTTCAGACACGGGAAGGCATACCGAAGGTAACGCCCACAAGCTGTCTTGGAGAGCGATTGTCATTGCCAATGGTGGGTTCATAAAATACAGGTTTGACGATACATGTCGTTGATCTACATAAGCAGATATGTACTATACATGACAGGGACAGTCTTCAAGATCAATCATGTAGAGTCAAAGAAACGGTTCGTGTTTGGAAAGGGGGCTGCAAGAGCTCAGGGACCGTGCACGTCCATGTTCAAGGGACAGCGCAACATCTCGACTAAACAATTATTGCCGTCGCTCCAAGCCTTCCTTTGTGTGTCACGACTCTCGACAGACAGCAAACATGCTCGTCCTCGCCTTCCTCTACGCAGCCCTTTGCGGCCTCTTTGCCGTCAGCTCGGCACACAACATCCAGCTGAAGGCTCACTCACGCGAGTGCTTCCACGAGGAGCTGCACTCGGACGACAGAATGACCGTCACCTTCCAAGTCGGCGATCGCGAGTTTGGTGGCAGCGGAAACCTCGATATTGACTTCTGGGTATGTCTGCTCCAGAAAGTGTGAATGCGACACAAACTGACAGCAATCCATAGANTCCAAAACCCCGCCAACGCATACCAAATCCACGAGCGCTCCGTCAGCAGCGGCGACCACAGCTTCACTGCCCACATGGATGGACGTTACCTCTACTGCTTCAGCAACGAACACTGGTCGGCAAACACAAAGGAGGTCAGCTTCAACGTCCACGGCATCGTCTATGTTCCCGAGAGCGAGGCTCCTCAGGACCCCCTGGAGAAGGAAGTGCGCACTCTCGGTGAGATGCTGGCACAGGTCAAGGATGAGCAGGGTTACATTGTCGTCCGCGAACGCACTCATCGCAACACTGCCGAGAGCACAAACGCCAGAGTCAAGTGGTGGAGCATCTTCCAGCTCGGTGTCTTGATTGGCGAGGGCATCTTCCAGGTCTGGTGGCTCAAGCGTTTCTTCGAGGTACGCTCATAGCCCTGTTTTCTTGATTCAATTTCTCGACTTCAGGCGCTAATACTGGTCTTGTACAGGTCAAGCACGTTGTCTAAATGTCCTCATTCATCCTCTCAAAACTTTCATATACCCAACAGACCTTCTACGTTTCCAATGAGAACATGTTCTGATTTCACTCCTCTTTCTCTCTTCATTTTTGCTCCCTCGAAAACACATTCTTCTTTGTGCCGTGTGGGAGTGTACCTCCAAGCTTTGGATGCTCTCTATCTGGGTCATTCGAGCGTAATGCATTGAGTGGTGTCTTCAGATCGTCGCATTCAAGTTTTCATCCAACAAATTCTGTTCCATATACAAGTCTGGTGAAGATAGTCCGTTCGCTTGTGAGGTTGGCAAGACGAATAACAGCACCGAGAGTGGTATTCTTTGTGGAGTAATGATAAATTCCAGTCTCCATACAAGCCGGCTGTTGAACTAGAACTAGGAAGCGTGTACATCTAGCAGCACACAATTGTCGATCAGCAAGCTGAGATGATGATGGTAGGAGATTTACGCCAAAATCTCTCTGTACAGATCTGCAGGCAGTTTGACCTTTGAAACTTTGACGGTGTGATGTTCAATGCTTGGAAGGAGCAGATCTCTGAGTGCATATGGTTCCTTCCTTGTTCCATCACCACTCATTGTTCGAACAATCTCATCTCGCAATCGTCTCCTCCGATCACTGTACAATTGAGTCGACCTCCAGCTGCGTGATCTATCTTTCTAAGACCAAGAGCTCGTCTGGTAGCCAATACATGTCATTGGCGCCAAACCTTCACTTCTGTGTGGTTTTCAGATCGATCATAACAGCCAGCGGCCTGTCATTTGCCATTGAACCATGCAGCATTGAGATCAGTGGCTTCTCGCGCAATGCCTTGAAGGAGGACATACGCCTATCATTGCAATCCAACTTGCTGTATCATTCTCGACTCACTCTTCACTTTCACTCAAATCAAGTCCGGAAGGAGGTTGGCCACGCGCTTGTTGTCTAGGAGTTGACTGTTACCAGGCTTGACTCATACAAGGTTATATATCAGGGAGAGGACAACCGATCAACAAGCACAATTTACACCTAACACTTGCGCCCGGCTCCTAAGAACGAGTGTCCTGGATACAGAACTGGCCACAATTACACTGACTCGAAGGCCGGAGGGCCGGGGGCGCCAGAGATACCTGTGTCGGAACAGAACATCTACGGTGCTCACCAATACTTGCACACGGGGTGCAGGCATGATTCCATGACGCACGACGTGCGATATGATATGCCACCACTATAAGAGCCAAAGCGTTGTCGCTGGTCTCCTACTTTCACCACTCTCGACGTCGACAAAGAGCGTCCGAAGTCATGCCTTCGTTGAATGAGGATGAGAAAGCTTCGGCGAAGTTGTTATTCATGCATTCATGTCAAGCTGGGCGTCTCACATGCAGCTATTGCCTGGAAATGGCAGGCAGCAGGGCAGACGTCCCTAACCAATCCAGGGTTGGATGTCCTGCGAAGGGCGCAGGACTAGCGGCTCACGGCAAGATAAGCAGGATGCCGAGATCGGACAAATCTCTTCTTGGGCAACTTCCAAACAACACTGTATGGCAGAAGGTAGGTCGATTTGAGCGCGCTCAATGCCAGGAGAACACGTATCTCTAAAAGTCCTACTTGAGGGACTTTGGAGGACAGCGACTGGAGAAAGATCCATCGTTAGAGATGGATGGGTATGAACGAGCGGGATTAGAGTGAGCTAGCGTGCTGCGGAGTTGGGTGACTCACATCTGGTGCACCGTGCAGGAGACCCACCACACCGGGCAATGGTTTGAGGGTGTTCTTCCAGGCAGTATGTAAAGGCTGTTTCCCCAAGCCCTCTTGCGGTTCGTTTCCCTTCTCTATCAAACGAACACTCTACACACATATTCATTCCAGGTTTACGCATTCAGAATGGCTGCATAAACNNCCCCCCATACCGTCGCCCAGCATACCAGCAATAAGACAACTTCGTCCACTACTTCCCAAACACTCTCAAGAGCAATTGCCCTTGAGTTTCTCCAACACCTCGTCGTCGTCTTCGGACCTTCAGCAACAGAAACTACAGCCAACCACGGCTTTTAAACCACAACCATGTCTTCCTCACCAGAACTCCCCCAGGCCTACGTCCCCTCATCCAGCATTCGAACAGGACTTTGCCCTCTTCGCTCCGCCAGTGAAACTTGCTCATACTCCGCGTGTGCAGCAATTGCGAGATTCGACGCAGCAGCTTACGTCTAATCCACGTGGGAACTTGCACAGCTCCCAGGCAGCAGTGCAGAATTATAAAAACCTCGGACCTGTCTTTTCAAACCCAGCCTTTTCATCACAGTTCTCACCGCAGTTCTTGACCGATCCCAACGAACAATTCTCCGTCTCCCAGACTGAAATCATCACCAAAATCAACCCATCAAACATCACGAAAATGTACTCTTACGGATACTTCACCAACGAGAGCAACGTTGCCTACGAGGGCACCGCTGAAGACCTCCAGCTCGGCGGCCCTGGAGCCTTCATGAAGGAGGGAGTCGACATGCCCCTATTCGGAGGTGACGACGACCTCGAAAGCCGCCTCCTCTCTCAACTCACCGCCGCCCCTCCTACACTTCCTCCGACAACACTATCTCCCCTCAGCTACTCTTCANTGGGCCCTCCCCAGCAGTCCATCCCCTCTTCCGCCAACCTCCCCGACCTAACTCCTGACACGTACATTGGCGATTACTCGCCTGCACTGTCTGATTTGCCGTTGTTCTCGAACAACGGCTCGGTCGACCCATCTCCCGTCATGCGTGACGACATGGTGCCTCACGACTTGGACCTTCAGCCTCTGTTCGCCGCTGAGCCCTCTGTGCCTACTGGCGCAGACCTCGGTGCACGTTACACGGGGTCCCTTCCTCCCACTCCTGCCTCGGCTACGCTGGGTGCGTTCCCCTCGGGGGTTCGCAAGAGCAGAAAGGCCAAGCCCCTCGCGGTGATCGACCTCGACACGATCACCGACGAAAAAGACTTGAAGAAGTCGAGGAACACATTGGCCGCCCGCAGGTCCCGCCAAAAGAGGCAAAGTGAAATGGAGAAACTCGAGGCCAAGGTCGCGCAACTTCAGGCTGCGCTCCAGGCAAAGGAGCAGGAGTGCCAGCAGCTCAGGGCCCAGGTCAACGGGACCTCTGCTCAGCCCACCCAGAGCACCACCATCAACTTCTCTTGAGGCCCGTCACACCTCACTCTCCTCTCCTTCTCCGAGGCCCGTCACACCTCTCCTCTCTTTCGACATCTCCCTCTGTGCACTGTAAAAATGCACAAACGTATTCTGATCAGAGCACCGGTCCGCTGAGAGAAGCGAAAGCCACCGTCTCTTTGGAACCATCTCTGCTCTCATGTCTTCTTGTTTTTCATTGCGCTGTTTTTTTACAAAAAGTTGTTACATACCCATCGCGTTCTTTTTTCTTTGCTATTGAGAATTTACGGCCAGTTCAAGATGTCCGAGTTTAGCCAAAGACTTGTTGACTCGTGGGCCTTTTTCCTTACGCTGCTGCTGCTTGTTTTTGCTGCTGGCTTTTTCTCTGGTAGTCTTTCTTCTTGCAGACCCTTTTGGGCATCTGGGAAGAATAGGACAGATGATGCGTGGAGGTTTTTACTGTTAAATTTTGCTTGTTGTTTGCAAGCAAAGAAAGGGTTTTAATAGAATGAATGCGAATGCTTATCAAGCTATAACTATTGTGTCTGTTCTACTGTGATGTGAAGATGTGATTTGGGAATCAGAATATGATGTATGATATGTCAGTGTGTGGAGTATGATTCGAGATTTAGGAATATGTGATTATATATGTTCATTGGTGTAGACGTTGCTGCCGCTGATGATGGAGTATCTCCAAATCGCGAAAATGCTTTGTGGGTTGCTGCCTAAAATTGTGCTTGTTTGGGAAGTCGCAACGTCAGATGTTCGCGTGGTATTCGTTATCTGTTTGACTGCATCTCGAGAAATGTTCATCTTTCACATCCATCCAACATCTAGTCACTGTGTCTGTAAAAATGCACAGTACTTTGGATGAACAGAGCGACTTCCAGAGAGAGATGTCGTCTTGATGGCTCTCTATGGACACGGCTCTGGTCATCAGCATTATTGTGTATTTCTATAGTATAGCTTATGATGCTGATGATGTCGCTGAGAGAGAGGGGTTTGAACAACGGACTTTCAGTCAACCTCGACACGGTCAAGTATCTTCAAGTAACCCTGGCTGCTTCTTTACTAAAGTCGCAACTCAGTCTCTACCAACTCACGCCCTGTCTTCACCTTCCTCTCCCACTGTACCGGCTACCCCCGGCTTGACGTCGATGTCCAACTACTACCGACAAACCACCGCATCGCTCCGCTGTGCCCAGCATGCCCAGCAAGCAGATCACCACAGCACGGTCGAACTCTCCCAGGGCGTTTTCATGGTTGATATCTTGTTTCCCTTCTGTGTGACTAATTTTTCATTGTCGATCTTTGGGCGCGACTTGCAACAGCGGATACATACGTCGGTCTTGCTCGGCCATGGATGTCGCGATGCCGAAGTCGGGCATGGGAGCGAGTCGTCAAGGTTTATGGATTTTTTTCTGAGAACGATCTTAAGGGCTGGAAGGTCGAAGGTGTTGGAGAAGAAGGTATATAAGGAGTGAAAAGAGGTAGATCTTGGGTGGTTGGGCTGGTGGGAGATGGATGTTGTTCGAATGCAGTGCGCATGGGAAGATTGAGTATGGTATGGTCAGGGTCACTGTAGAAACTTGTGATTCAAGGCAGGGACATGCTTGTATAGAAGGAGGGCAGGGGTTGGCAAAGTCTAGTATGAGTATAAGCAGTGAGACTTGCTGGTATTGAGAAAGCAGTTGACAGAGAAGGATACTCGCACAGTTCTGTGACAAGATTTTGATGCACGCTTGACTAAAGTCTTAAAGACACATCGAACTTCTCTGGTCTTCGACCACTCGTCAATGCTGCTAATAACGCCAAAAGCCAAACAGTCATCATGCTCTGAGCGCTACTATGTCAAGACGACCTCAAATTACCCTTTCATCGATGCTCGAATTACACCTAACCATTAAATCCAAGACCCCTACACTCCTCATCCTCTCTTAGAGCACCCCTGATCTCCTCTTCACCAACACCCAACCTCACTCTACCAACCCTCTCACCCCTCCTCACCTCTAACCCCACAATACCCGCCTCTGCCAACTCTTCCGCCGCAACACCCATACCCCTTAACCTCGCTACTTTGCCTCTTTTCTTTCCAGCCACTCTCCCTCTTTTGCCAGGCGTAGAGACTCCGGTCAGAGAAGGGATGGGCTGGAAGGTATCAGGTGCAAGCAAGATGTCATGCAGAGGGACCAAAGACGATAAAGCTGCCATGCGAGCTGCTTCGTCGATGATGTCGCCGAGTGTACTTTCCGTCAGCCCAGTTCTGCGGATACGGCCTAGAAGAGCCGCGAGGAAGAGTTTCGAGGCCAGAGGCAGGGAACGCAGGTAAGAGGCCAACGGCGTAGAAGTAGCTTCGTTGATGGCACGTTTGATGGTGGAGATGGTCACGACGCCTTTCTTCATCGCTGCCGCTTTTGCTGGCGCTATCGTTGTTGTCTCGTCACTAGGCTCTTCGGTTAGTGTTTCCAGTGCTGCTTTATCGGCGGCTGCCTTGTCTGATTCGGCGATCTCTACTGCGCGACGGCAAATATCGAGGGCGCGACGTGCATCTCCTGACACAGCTGCTACTTTTCTGCTGGCGAATTGCACGGCATCGGGTTCAACCACCACTTGTCCTATGCCTTCGAGTCTGCTCTCGATAATCTTGATGAGTTGCTGATGTGTGTAGCCAGGGAATGTTATCCGCGTGAGTCCTAACCGCGAACTGATCTTGTTGCTGAGTGTGCGTTCGGGCAGATCCATGGTATTCGCTACAGCCAGCACGATAAGACGCGAATGCCGTAGTTGGGGCCAATTGAAAAAGTTGTACATGACACCTTGCGACTTTGTGACGAGCTGATCGAGCTCATCCATCAGCACGACGCAAGGTACTCTTCTCGGACTCGGTGTGCTGAACTCGCGTTCTAGCAATTCGAGAGCATGTGTGGCGCTGACACGTTGGCCCTTGAGTGCCTCCCAAAGTAGGGAGTATGATTGGTGTGGATCAGTGACTTTCATGCCGTTGATCTCGACAAATACAAAGTCGTCGAGTTCGTCGGCAGATACGGCTATGTTAAGTGCGGCCACCACCTCTCGTACCGTGGCAGTCTTGCCCGTACCCGGAGTACCAGAGATGTAAATGCAAGATCCTGTACCAGCCGAGATGGCGGTCTCCAAATGTGAATAGACTTCGCCGAACTCGTCTTCACGGCAGGGAAGTGCATTTGGCACAGCAGATACATGCAGTGTGCTTCGGGCAAGTTGGTGAGGGGAAGCAGTTGTGTGAGAAGGTGAGAGCATACGAGTACCCAGAGGTGTAAACTCAAGAGGTCTTTTGGCGATGATGCGGCGATGGGTGGGAGTGGTGAGTTTGCGAGGTGCAGGATGCTTGCTCCTGGAGGTCGGTGTAGCAGAAGTCAACTTTCTTCGTTTCCGTGGTGTGGCCGTCTCACCGTCTTCGTCGTCAGGAATCACAAATTCATCCAGATCTCCTGGCGTGGTTGCTCTGACGGTTGACTTGCGCTTGCGGGTTCGTACAGTTTGGCTGTCGACCAATTCGCATAGGGACTGCAGATCCTCAACTCCACGATACACATCCTCCCAGAGGAACTCCTCGGTGTAGGTGGTCGTGCGAGTGTTGCAGCCTCGTCGACAGATAAAAACTTTCCCGTGATCTCTAGAGCCTTTCGGGATCTTGCCGTTCGGATATCTCGAGTTGAAGCCCTCCTCAGAAAGAACGGTAGCCTTGCCATTGATGGTTTTCAATGAGTTTTCGTCCAGACCAGTGGTGATGTACAATTCATTTTCCAGGAAGTCTTGTCTCTTCTTGTTCTTGTTGACAATCTCCTTTTCGGACGAAAACCACAAGAAAGAGGCTTTCATGTCATTGATCATTTCGCCATCATCGTCTTCAATCTCGCCCTCTGCAAAGTCTTGGATGATGGCCACCCAAGCTTCGTTTCCGGCAGCTTTGAGAAGGACAGTGTCTCCTATGTGGCATTTGAAATCGCCCATCTGGGCACCAATGATGGTCTTGTTGGGTCCATATATCCATTCCCAGGGNAGATCCTCAGTGCCTAGCTCATCGTCCGAGTCCTCTCGCAATACACCACCGCCCTGGAGAAATTGCCGTGCTTGCTCGGCTCTCGAGCGTTTTTGTTTCTGAGCCATCTTTGGAAGTGATTTCTTGTCAATTGGATATATTCACCTTTGCTGTCGTTGAAGGTGTACGCGTTGGACAGACACGCCTTGTCGCGTGGTTTCGTGGTGCAAGCACTCAAATCCCAATGTGGACCTGTATGGACTGGGCCAGGGTGGGGGAGCAACTTTGTCAGTCAATTCGCGCGCGCAACGTCAGAGCCAAAAACATCACAACCAATCCAGAAACATGTCGAAACCAGCAGAGCAAGGTCAACAAAGTGCGTCAAAGATGTCTTAGAGCTCAACATAGCAAATGCAGAAACTAATAGCGCTTGCCANNGTCGACCTCGGATCCCTCTCAGTACAACAACTCTCCCAAGTCAAGAAACAGCTCGATGAAGAGACGCAACACCTGACAAACTCCTACGCCCAACTGCGCGCCGCCCAGCAAAAGTTCCGCGACTGCATTGCCTCGATCGTCACCGGTGTCGCAAACTCGGTCGCCGACAAGCCGCTGCTGGTCCCCTTGACTTCTTCCCTCTACGTCCCTGGCACACTAGCAAGCACCGAGACCGTTCTGGTAGACGTCGGAACCGGGTTCTACGTCGAAAAGACCACCGAGCAGGCAAAGAAGTTTTACGAGGCAAAGGCGGAAGAGCTGGGAAAGAATGTCAAGGATCTCGAGACCATTGTGCAGGGCAAGAATCAGAACTTGAGATTGATTGAAGAAGGTATGTGTGAACAGGAGAAGTTCCTGGTCATGTACATAAAACCGTCGCTAACATAAGGTGCAGTCATGCGTCAAAAAGTCCTCGCGAGCAACCAGGCTCAAGGAAGCGCTTCCGCCTCGTCGTAGTCAGTTTCCTCTGCCATCAAAGAGACCACCCTCCTCCTACACATCCGACATCGAGCCGACCACGCTCCGAGTCCTTTCAGGAGATGTCAGCTTCCACCATGTTCTGGGCCATCAGAAGCTATCGGCATGGTAGGAACAATACCGAAGGTCAGCTTCGCTTTGCAAAGAGCATGCACTTCACAAATCGAAGGCAAGGTATCATGTCTCTGGGCGAGCACTTGGTACATTGGAAATTAGGGAAATCTCACGGAAATATTGTCCTCATGTGATTTGTGGTAGCTAGTATCTAGCGGATGCCATGTAGAAGTTGAGACCGTCGACTTTTCTCATGCTGTCTGAATGCCCATGAGCTACAAGGAAGGGACCAAAAGTAAGAAATACACAGCCACAATGTCTTCTCCATCCTCTCCTGCTCAATTTCTCTTGCCGAGAACGATATCCTGCACACTCTGCAACGCATGCAAAAGCTCGACATGACCCTTGAGCTTCTCGTTTGTGTCGTTCGATTCCACCGGGAACCAGCTTTGGATGTCTGCCTTCCACTCTGCACCCATCCCAGCGCGAAGCTCGTGATTCTCCGAGAGCAAACTTGACCATTGGCGATGCTTGACATCGACTGTCCAGCGTTCTTCAAACGTAGTGACGGGTTCTCTGCCTCCGATCGGAGATTCCGTATAAACCCTGTTGAAGACTTTGGCCACCTCCACCTCATACCCAGCGTAGGGTTCCTTCATTTCAAACCTCCAGATGATCTTCTCCCTGATGGCTCTTTTGTGGGCAAGAGGCTTTAGTTTACCTTCGTACGTCTCAAAGTCACAGAACGATTCCGCATTTCGCGCCTTGTCAGGCTTCAGGTTGACGTAGTACTCACCATGGTCTCGGACCCACTGCGGAAGGTGGGATGATTCTGGCACTTCGAGTGCAGAGATGTCAAGCAGCCATGTGAGATCACTGAGTGTGTCCATAAGATACACCTCAAGGAATCTTGTACGACCGATTTTTTCAACCATCCTCTTGAATTCGGGATTAGATGAAGAGAATGAGCCATTCTCCTGGTGCCACTTCTTGGTGATTAGAACATTGCCGCGACCGTCCTTGATGTCAACCTCAATGGAAGCTATGTATTCAGGTTTAGTATCGGCAAGATCATAGACGAAACGATCGCAAGGCTTGAGTGAGTTCGTGGCACTCAAGAATCGAAGAAGCAGACTGTCTTCGATGAGTTTATCACCAAGTNNCTTGCTCATTGTCAGTAACGATCTCAGTGACCTTCAAGCGTCAACTTACTCTTCTGTGATCTTGGCTCGGAAGTTGTAAGAGTCCGAAATCATCTCCTTGTAATCAGGCAGACTCTTTCTGTCGAAAGTCTGGTATGTGATCAGGTTGAGTTTTCCAAGATGTACTCTCATATCGATGTGGCCCTGATGCCAGTGTACCTTGCTCAGAGTCTGAATGACAAGGTCTTTCATTCGTTTCGCGTTGAGAGCAATGTCTTCCACTTTCGGTTTGGCTCCAATACTCTTTACTGTCTTTCTAAGACTTGACTGTGATTGCGCACCTGCCTGGTAAACCACTTTTAGAGGGAGATCCTTGAGGATGACTTCTTGACAATCATTCTGAACCAGATAGAGTCTCTGGACTGGATAGCTCTGAACGACAGCCTTGCAGAGGAGGCCTCTGATACGCAGAAGAGCTTCTTGCACGTCCTCGATGTTGCCCTTGACAATGAAGGACGATCTCGAACTATCGTAGTTGATGACACAGTTGTTCTCCTTGCGAATCGGGTTCAGACTTTCGAAGTTTCGATGACCAAGTGCCTTGGCTGGTTCATATTCCTCGGCGGGCCACAAAAAGGATCCCTGCGCNCTAGTCAGCAACGTGGGCACGTCGAGTCTTTCAACACTTACCATCGCTTCGAACTGGGCATCACGAGGGGGCCCAACAGCACCCTGCTGGTGTTGAAAGGTTGGGTTGTCTTGCAAGATGTTGGTTGTGAGGTCGACTTTGGCGCGTTTTACCTTGATGAGATCAGTATAGTTCTTAAGAACGACTGTTGGTTACGAAAATCATACATCATCAGGAGCTCCCCAGAACTTGAACTCGAACTTGTTATCATAGTGGATGTGAGTGTTTGTGGCTTTTCCGATGGTCGCGATGGTTTGCGAGGGGTCCTTGATTGACATGTTTTTGGCGAACCTCCAGGTGTCAATGGGTTGGTCGCCTCTCTTCATAGCAGCAAGAGCTTCGTTCAATCGCAGAGGTGCGTTGGACCTGTTGTGTCTGGGTTGCAGTGGAGTTCTTTTGTTGTGTATAGACGGCATGGTGAGTGTGGTTAGATGTGCTGGTGATATGATCTGTGGGATTTACAGGAAGACTTTCGACCGAGTAGCGCAGCTAGAGGCGAGAACAATAGTCCGTGGGAGTTTTCGCCGGTTTGTCTGATCGAAACGGGTTGAAAGGATGGAGTGAAAGGGAATTGATCGAGCTCAAGGGAAGCTGCATCAAAGCTGCATGTGGCCCCACGGATGGACAAACGCAATACAAGTGAAGACGGAAGTCGTGCCTTCCTGATAAGGATGCGCAATCACAACAACAAAAAGACACAGCATGTACACGGCGACCAAATAACAACCTGACCAACAAACAAGCCTAGGGTATCAATCATCGTTCGTTATCTCCGAATTCTACTTGATTCTCCTAAGTCTTTCAGAACTTGTGTCTTCCTAGCGTGGGTTTCCACTCGAGTGGATGTGTCTCAGGTGTCGCGTTTTCGTCCTCACGCCAGATCTTAATGGTCTTATCTGCTTCTCCGGTAATGAGGCGTAGTCCAGTCTTGTCGAATGTCGAACTCATGATACCAGCCTCAGCGTCAAGACTACCAGGCTGGGCAATGGAGTCGAGTGATTGGTATTTGTAGCCGGTCTTCCAGTCGAAGAATGCAGCCGATCCGTTGTCACCACCAGAAAACAAGACATTGTCCTCGTTGACCGACAAAGTGTTGATGATGGCGTTGTGACCATCAAAGTTCTGCATGAAAGCACCTTCTGGACACTTCCACTGCTTGACCTGACCAGTCGAGGCAGAGGCGAACGTGAATTCGTGGGGTGCCGTGCAGAGAGCTCTCACACCCTTCTTGTGATGTGTCAAGACGCCCATGGTCTTTCCAGCTGCGAGATCGTACATGCGAACGGTGCTATCTAGTGAAGATGAGATGATCTGTGGATCGGCCTCCTGAGTGACGATGTCAGATACGGTCTGTTTGTGGCCACTTAGCACGTGGATGTTCGATCTTGTTCGCATGTCCCACACACGAACGACACCGTCTCTTCCTCCGGTACAAAGCACGTCAAGCGTAGGATGTAGACTCAGAGTGTAGACACCACTCAAGTGGCCATGGTAATCACGGATAACTTTGTTGGTCTCGAGATCCCAACACTTGACCTTCTTATCTTCTGCACATGAGAAAAGATATGGATGTCTCGGACTGAAAGCAAGGCCTCGTACGGTAGAGATGTGACCAGTCAGCGTGAGCTTCAATGTGCCGGAAGCAAGGTCCCAGATCTTGATAGTCCTGTCACCACTTCCAGTCGCGAAATATTGGTTTCCCGGTTCTACCGCGAGTGCGCGAACCCATCCCAAGTGACCAGAAATGACACGCATAAGCTTCCAGGGCGCCTTCCACTCGGGCTTTGGCTGGCGTACAACATCTCTGCGCACCAGACTCGAAGAGCCAGGCAGGTTTCTTTGTGGTGTAGGGCCATTCGCGTTTGGTGGTAGCTTTCCAGCGCCGTTTGCGCGCAAGGCAAGAGCGGTTGAGGTTCCAGCGGCGGCAGATGATGTTTGCGCAGAGACTCCCTCGATCATCTTGGCCATCTTTGGGTTTGATGCTTGCTCCTCGGTCTTGGGCTTCTTTCGGAGACTTGAACGCGACGCGGCAGCGTTTGCCTGCTTGGCCGCAAGCACTGGGGGCAGCTCTTTCACGTCGGCATATTCTTTATCGATTCGCGACCTTAGGGCAATCTTCTGGGCGCGTTCTGCAGGCGACGCGATCGGAGGAGCGATGGCGGGTTGAGAAGAGTTGTCGAGCGCTGTGGGTGCGCCAAAGTCGGCGGCAAAGATTTCTCTCGTACGTTTGGCTGATTTATGCACCAGGTCGGATGGCGTCGGTTCTGCTGTGGTCGTCATGGTTGGTTGTGTGGGTATGAAAGATGAGTTGTTGCGATGTAACTTTCTTGTCGACTTGGGAACTTCGAAGCTTCCGCGCTCTGGCTCATGATCCTCCCCACATTTCATCATTGAATAATTCAGAAACGTCTATCAAGAACGGACTTACCTCTCACTTTTTATTGCTACACCAATCCACATTGTAATTCACATTGAGCACCCAGCGGTAATAGACAGTGATCTTCTTGTGAGCAGTCATACTCCTGGAGACAAGAGCATGCATCAACGAACAACAAGTTCAATCAGGTAGCGATATTATCTATGTAGTCCTTCATAGTAATCAGTCCCTAATCTCATAGCGTCAAGCCTTTAGTCGTCCGCAGCATTTCTGGGAATATGGCCACTGCATCTCTGGCTGAATTCTGGGGCGCGTTCTTGGGGAGCTCCACCAGCACCCTCCTCAACGCCGCTATGCCTGCCTGTCCGTAGAACCTCAGGAACTTCTCAATGTGCGTGTCCACCAGTGCCTTGAGCACGATCCAGTGAGTCGGCTGTAGATTTGCCGGCGGTGTGTTGGCGAAGTAACTCAGGGCTCTCCAGTAATTTGGTGGTGGGAAGGGGTTATTCGACTTCGACTTGCTAAAGTCTCGCAAGGATATACAGCCATAGCCTGTAGCGAGACCCAACATGCGATTCTTGTGAACTTCGGAGTCAACCCAACCGTCGCTGTTCTTTAACCAACCTATCGTTGCCCTTCCACCCTCAGTTCTCTCGTTACCATATATGCCAAACAGGACAGGGCAGACCTTATGGTATTTGGCCAAGAGAATGTCGATAAGTGAAGTGGTGCCGTTGAGGAGGTACTCGGGTTTCGAAAATACTGTGACTAACACGATCGCGAGAGCGTCTACTGTTGCTATGTTGTCGTTGCAGAATTGACGAATGACCAACTTCGCTATCATATGGAGTAGATACACCAAAGCCAACGGCATGCGTCTTTCCAAGTTGTCTGGCGGAATGGCGAGAAAAGGGGTTATGTCGATGGCCGGCTCGGAATACTTCAGGACGTCGTTGAGGATCTCGAGAACCCTCTTGAGNCTGTGCACAAATGAATCAATTAATGTTGTACTTCTGTCATCCACGCAGCTCGTTCTTACCGTGGTCCTGTTTTTGACCTTGTCAGGAGTGAACTGGCCCATTACTGTATTAATCTGGCGACGGTAAACGCTAATATCTATTCCAGAAGCTTTCAATTGCTTTGAGGCAGAATTTCTCATCTCCTTCAGACTCTTGTGAATGGCGAGGTATTGCTCGTGCNNTGTGCTTTCAGTTGGTTTGGTGTGGACTTGAGTGATGATTGTGCTGCAGATGCTGAAGAGGACGCAGCTGGCTGAGNNTTGCGAGCTTGGGGGCGGATCGAACTGCAAGTGCAGGTACAGCGCCAGGTTGCACAGTAGGGATCGACGCAGGTGGTGGTTGAGATTGTGGTGCTGTTTGGGCAGGCGGAGCAGCAGCTTTGGTGGCAGCAGCAGCATCGGCCTCTTCCTTCGCTTTGCGCTCTGAGGCCTCCTGTTCTTGCTTTCTTCGCAAAGCGTCTGCTTCATTCTGTCGTTTTTGTTGTGCAAGTCGGGCCTCCTTCTCCTGTATCTCTCTTTCCTCGGCCGCACGTTTTTGCTGCTCCTGCTCTTGTCGCTCAAGTTCCTCCCTTTTCCGCTGCCTCTCAGCAGCCTCTCTCGCGGCCTTTGCTGAACGCTCAGCTTCGAGTGTGCGACGCTCTTCCTCTTCCTTCTGCATCCGCTCGCGTTCCTGCTTCAGTGCTTCGGCCTCGGCGGCCTCGATAGCATTGCGCAAGATGCGGTCGTGTTCAGCTTTAGCTTGCGCAAGAGCCTGCTGNNATGGAGACGTTCTTGTTCCGCATCTCTTTCGTCTTGTCTCTCTCTCCAGGCACGCTCCTCGCGGATGTGAAGCGCACCAATCTCGTCGACTAATGTCTCGGTACGGCGAGGGCTGTGTCGATATGGAGAATTGTGGCTCTTCCTGATGTATGTATGGTCGGCTCGAGGTGTGCGCGATGCAGGGCTTGCTGTGCCAGCTCTATCCCTATGAGGAGATGCCATTTGAAGTATAGTACGCGGAAGCGGAAAAGCTGCAAAAACGGTGTCAAGGCTGTGTCGCAGAGAGCTGGAAGCTGGAGCACAAGGCAGAAAAGAGTGGCTACGTTTCAGCAAATGACATGCTCAATGCTGTTACGGGCGGAGAAAGGAGTGATTGAGCGCGCGAACAAGGTCCAGCTGAAGCATCAAAACACCTCACAAGCAAGCAGTTCAAGTGACGATTCTTGCTCCAGCTTTTTGTCGCGAGTCATGAAACAACCGAGTTCCGAACCAAGAAGTGACGGGAAAGACCGACTTCAAGCTGCCTCTTGCGACTCCGTGTCAAATGAAGCTATGCTTGAGGAGAGCAAAGGGACAATGATGAGGGCTACACCAGAGTATGAGATGATATTGAACAATATACGAGCAATACGACCGATCTGCCTGCTATTATTGTCTGTCGGTAGTCCAACAGGTTTAACAAAGGTTTCATCGCGTAATCCTGCTTTACAAACGGCCTTGTATCCGGTCGTGCTTGGCAGGATAGGAGCTCCATGAGCTGGAGAGTATGAAATTGAATGCCTGCTGTCAGGTGAAGGACTGCATGTCGATTGATTGAGCGATTGACATGTAGTCCGAGCAGACGCAACGACCAACGAGTTCAGTGCTCTAAGATGTTGTAGATAGATGGAACACCCGCAAATGGGCACGTCTTTGTCCAGCTGTCCACGAATCCAAGCGGCATGACGCAGTAAAAATAGNNGTAGCCCTCTCCACGTCCAACACCACCTCCCGCCTTTCTCCTTGTGCTTTTTCTGGANTCCATATCTACCTCGCTCTCTGCCCTCCCTCCTGCCCTTCCTTCCCCTTCCGTAACACACTACCACTGCCTTCGCCCGTCTCTTCAATCATTTCGAGACGTGCAAGTGGAAAGAGCCTTGATCCCTCCCGCCCAACGCTTCTTGCTTTTGGGGAAAGCACGACCTCTGCTCGTCAGCCGAAGCCGTCCCAGGCTTCACCAGTCTTTTCGTCCANNACACGCACAACCAACACACACTTACACTCCATACCATCATCTTGCTTGTGGCACCCGCCCTCCTTTAGCAGCAGCTCATCATCTGGCATCTCAACTCTTCCTGACTCTATTGCCACCTACACTAACAGAGGCTCGCTCCTACTTGTGCCGTCGTCGTCGTCGTTGTCATAGCTTTTACGCTAGCCCCGAGGTCCACATCACCAAGTTTAGCTGTCCAGCACTCTAGACTACCATTCTCTCTCGCGTGTCAGGTACCTAGCCTCTGCCCGCATAGCTCGCACTCATCTCTGACGCCTGTCCTGCAGATAGCTTAGCATCATCAAGCTTCTGTCGCTCACCCCACCACTGTCGTCTGACATCCTTCCGCCATCCTTCTACGCCGCTTAGTCACCTCTTCGATCCTGCGACAATGGATCAGCACGGACAGAATGGCCCTTCCGGCCCTGGCGGTCGTCGCTTTCACATCGCACATAGACGTAGCCCTTCTGAGCTCACCCCCTGATGAGTACGTTGTCCTCCCGTCCCGCACTCTGCTGCGCTTCTATGTCACGATGGGTTTGCTGACAGTCTCATAGTGGAGCAACTCGCACTTGCCCAGCAGATCGAACTCCTTCAGCAGCAACAGCAGCAGATTGCCGCAACCCATCAACAGTATGTCAACCTGGGTATGATTCAACCCCAGCAGCAACTACCCAACCAAGCCTTCGCCCAAATGCAAGGCCAGATGCCCAACAACAACGCTTTCCAGTTCCCTCAACAACCACAACAGCAGCAGCAGCATCTGCAGCTGCCTGGTAATATGGGCCCGCCTGCAGGCCACCGTCGCAACCAGTCCGCCATGCCCACCATGACCATGGGTCCCCCACCTGCTCCGTCCGCCGGTACTTCTGGTACATTTGGCGAGTTCAGTTTCCCTGGTGCAAAGTCAGAGAACGTCAACCCCAGACCTCGTAACAGCGGCTCGATCAGTGGTGCTAGTGGCCACAGCAGAAGACACTCGCTCGCCCTACCCGAGGCAAAGAAGGCTGCCGAGATTGCTGAGCAGAAACGCAAGCAGTCAGGCTTCCAATTCCCCATTCCCGGTGCTGCCGGCGCCGCACCCGACCGCTCCGTGAGCCCTGGCAATGCCAACACTGACATGCCACCACCTGCTAACAACTTCTCTAACCGTAATGCTGGCCGTGGGGGACACGGACGTAGTCAGAGTCTTGCTGTCGGTAACCAGAGAAACCAGCGTGGTGGTCCCGCTTTCCAGTTCCCACCTCCTGCTGAAATTAACAATGCCCCTGAGCGTCGTGGTAGCCAGGGACACGGAAGAACCCAGTCGCGTAACTTCGATGGCAACTGGCGCCAGCAGCAACCGACGATCCAGGAACAGCATGCTACCAACATGGGTAACTTCCAGATGAACCAGCATGCTGGAGCCCAGCCATTCCAGCCGGGCCATCGCCAGCGCGGCTCTGTCAACAGCCAGTCGATCAGTTCGATAAGCAACTTCCAGTTCCCTCAGCAGCCGCAGCTTGTTCAGCTTCCTCAGGGCCAGGTTCTCATGCAGCCGAACATGTTTGCTACCCAAGGCTTGAATGCCCTACAGCTCGCTCAGATCCAGGCTTACCAGGCCGCTGGACTTCAGCCCCCGATTGCAGGCCTTCAGGGACAACAAGGTGGTCAGCAGATGACTATGCAGCAGCAACAGCAGCAGCGCAAGACTCTCTTCACCNCCTACCTTCCTCAAGCCACTCTCCCTGCTTTACTCGGCGATGGACAGCTCGTCGCAGGTATTCTTCGTGTCAACAAGAAGAACAGAAGCGACGCCTACGTCACCACCAACGACCTCGACGCCGACATCTTCATCTGTGGTAGCAAGGATCGCAACCGTGCCTTGGAGGGTGATCTCGTTGCTGTTGAGCTCCTTGATGTCGACGAAGTCTGGGGTCAAAAGCGCGAAAAGGAGGAGAAGAAGAAGCGTAAGGACATGACCGATAGCCGCGGAACGTCCATGACCGCTGTGAACGATGCTACCACTCAGCCAGAATCCTCTGCCGCTGAGGGAGGTATCCGCAGACGTGGTAGCTTGAAGCAACGTCCTACTCAGAAGAAGAACGACGATGTTGAGGTCGAAGGTCAGAGCTTGCTCCTTATGGAGGAGGATGAGATCAACGACGAGCAGAAGCCCCTCTACGCCGGTCATATTGTGGCCGTCATCGAGCGTGTTGCTGGCCAGATGTTCTCTGGTACCCTCGGTCTTCTCCGTCCCAGCAGTCAAGCCACCAAGGAAAGACAGGAGGCTGAGCGTCAAGGTCGTGATGGTGGAAACCAACGCAACCAACCCGATAGACAGCAGGACAGACCCAAGATTGTCTGGTTCAAGCCCACTGACAAGCGTGTGCCTTTGATCGCTATTCCTACAGAGCAGGCACCCAAGGACTTCGTCGAGAAGCACCAAGACTACGCCAACAAGATCTTTGTCGCATGCATCAAGCGCTGGCCCATCACCTCTCTGCACCCCTTCGGTACCCTCGTTGAGCAGCTTGGTGACGCTGGTGATCTTAAGGTGGAGACCGACGCCCTTCTGCGTGACAACAACTTTGGCCCTGATGACTTCTCCGACGCTGTCCTCAAGAACGTTGGTTACGAAGACTGGTCTGTGGCCAAGGATGGCGAAGCCGCTCTCGAATCTCGTCGCGACTTCCGCAACGAGCAAACCTTCACCATCGACCCCAACGGAAGCGAGGAGCTCGACGACGCAATCCACTTCAAGACCCTTAGTGATGGTCATGTCGAGATTGGTGTGCACGTTGCTGACATTTCCCACTTCGTCAAGCCTTCGTCTATGGTTGATCGCGAGGCAAAGAAGCGCGGTAGCGGTGTCTATCTGATGAACCGCACCGTCAAGATGCTTCCTCCCAAGATCAGTTCTGAGATTTGCTCTCTAAGCCCTGGCGAGGAGAGATACACTGTCAGTGTTGTCTTCAAGATCAACCCTGATACTGGCCGCGTCCTTGATGAGGACACCTGGATCGGCAAGGCGATCATCAAGAGCACTGGAAAGGTCTCTTATGATCAAGTCGACAGTATCGTCAACGGACAAGGTAACTCTGGTCTCGACGATGAACGTGCCAGCCAGATTGAGATGCTTCACAGCATATCCCAGAAGCTTCGTCAAGCCAGATTCGGTGATGGCACCTCCAACAACCAACCCCTTCGCTTGATCTACCAACTTGATGATGAGAATGTGCCCGTTGAGCACAACATCTTCGATTCTTCGCCCGCTCACGAGTTGATCGAAGAATTGAGCCACAAGACCAACTCGTTTGTCGCTCAGAAGATCTTCGCTGGCTTGCCCGAGAAGGCTCTGCTGCGCAAGCAGGCACCTCCCAACCCCCGTCGCTTGGTAACCTTGAGCGAGCGTATGGCCAACATTGGTGTTGATGTGGACACTACCAGCAGTGGCGCCCTCCAGAACAGCCTCTTCCAGATCGAAGATGCTGATGTCCGCAAGGGTGTGGAGACTCTTCTTATCAAGGCCATGCGTCGTGCGAAGTACTTCATCCCGTCCAAGGCCCCCGCCGACCAATACTCGCATTACGCGCTCAACCTGCCTCTGTACACCCACTTCACCAACCCTTCGCGTCGCTATGCAGACATCGTTGTTCACCGTCAGCTCGAGCACGTCCTCACTAACGGTGCCGTGGAGTTTACCGAGGATGTTGAGGCTTTGGCAAAGACTGCTGAGACTGCAAACACGAAGAAGGACTCGGCCCATGCTGCACAGGAACAGAGTGTGCACATTGAGTCTTGCCGCGCTCTTGACAGAAAGAGTCAGGAGCTTGGTGGCGATCTTATCAGCGAAGGTATCGTCCTTTGCGTCTACGAATCAGCCTTCGATGTCTTGATTCCCGAGTACGGTTTCGAGAAGCGTGTCCATTGTGACCAGCTTCCTCTCAAGAAGGCCGAGTTCGACAAGAACAAGCGTCTGCTTGAGCTCTACTGGGAGAAGGGTGTCCCATCCTCTGCCTACGTCCCTGAAGACGAGAAGCCCAAGGCTAGCCGAGCTAACAACTGGTCTGCAGCCGCCGCTGCTCGTGACTCTGCCGCTACTCGCGCTAAGGAGGAAGAGGCTCAGCGCAAGCAAATGGAGACTGCAACCATCTCTACCGACGACGCCGATGCTCTCTTCGATGACGACGATGATGCTGTTTCTGGGATCACCGAGCAGACTGCAGGTGTCTCTCTTAACACAGACCGCAACACCCAGAGCATGCCCCCATCGCCTACCCGCAATGGCATCTCTTCTCAGCAAGGTCCCCAACGCACAAAGTCGGACTCCAAGATCCTTCACACCACTCCTGAGGCCAAGCTCAGCAACAAGGATAAGTACCTGAAGTTGTTCAGCCTTCGTGAGTCGGATGGCAACTACATCCAAGATGTCAGAGAGATGTCGAGAGTTCCGGTCATCCTTAAGACGGACATGACCAAGAGTCCACCGTAAGTTTTACACCCTACCCAAAACAATTATAAAATGCTAATTCGATTTGCAGTTNGCTTGACTATCAGATCGCTCAACCCCTATGCCCTGTAGATTGCTAGCTGGTACCATCTTGCGCGGCTCAGTATGAGTAGCACGAGTCTGACGCTTGCTTCGATGCAAATATCACCACTCTTGTCAGATGCCACCAACGCACTTGCATCTTTGCATATGTATCAACAACCCCCAGGTGAAAGCCCGTGGACAAAACGCCGGAATGGGCTGACAGCGGTAGAACGGAAAAGAGTCGCACACAAAAGCCGGAGGCACGTTGTAGCACGAACTTGTAGATGGACAGTGGATCTTTGACGGTCCGGAGCGATGTTTCATTTTTTGTTATGGTTGATTTTCCTTATTAGAGTATTCTTTCACCGCTTGCTTCCGCTGAGCATATTGTATTAGTTGCTAGCGAAAATGATATACATTAATCATCAAATCTTGACTTTGACCATGGCCACTCCCATCGAATGTAGGGCAAGGCTCTTGTGGCGATAGACTTCCATTGATCGATAGGCTTGCTCGTATCAACCAAGACGATGCTGCCACCATTGGCAACGGTACCATCATCATGAGCTTCAACGCTGCGTCCAGCCTTACGACAGTCCTCCTGTATCTCAGAGACAAGTTTCTCGACGTCGGACCTGGGCAAGTCGGCGNNCTGAGCAGGTCTCAGCATCATTGTCAGTTTGAACAAAGATAAAACTTACTACATGAGGGAAAGGTGAGGCAGGTAGTCATCGTGAGCCCATTTCTCAGCCTTTGCCTGATCACCCCCNTCAACAGCCTCTGCACGACAAGCAGAGACTAGCTGCAACAATTGAGCAGTCTTGCCGGCCCTCAAAGTCAACTTCTTGACAAAGGCATCACCAGCTTCCAGCACATCTAGCGTTACAAAGACAGGGTCGTGCTGGTCTCCAGAAGGCAGATGCAAGCTTGACAGCCAGGCTTGAGGGTCAGTGCCATATAGAGACTGGTCGATGTTTGAGGTTATGGTGACATGCGGGATGAAGTCGTGGGTCTTTGTGTTTGGGAAGTGAGGGGGTATGGTTGTGGAGATGAGGGTTTGGAGAGCTTGGGAGAAAGAGCTGTCCTTGGGCGGAATAATCCAGAGAGAGGCACCGGGCATCTTGAGTAATTGGATGAGGTGTATTGGGCAGTTGTGAAGTCGATAGAAGCAGCAGCAGCAAGGGTTCTGTGGAATTGATGTTCAAGAAGTGATGATGATGGTATGACCTTGGAAGAGGCATGACACGTGATCTTGTAGCGGAACTTCGCAAAGCCGCGTCCTTGCCTGGAGACAGATCGTACAAGTTTATTGTTCGCGCACAAATAGCACACTCCGAGTGGATACAAAGCGAATTGGACTGGATGATCTCGGTCGCGAACTCCTCTGGATGAAGCAAGCGTGTTTTTGAGTGAAAGCGACGCTCAGCGCATGGATTGAGACGCGACACGACGAGACGCAACACGCCTGGCTTGTTACTCCTCCACACAGCCCATACAGCACTATACCAACGACACCATGTCCGCCTTCTCATTATCGAGGACCGAGAGTCCGCAGGCTTTCGTCTCGAGCTTCGCCCCACGCGTTCGCACATACCAGAACTCGCTGCTAACGCCAGCCATTCAACCACAAAATGCCATCGCTCCTCTGCGCACGACAAAGCGCGGTACTACGGCCATCAACTACTCCGAGGACTTTGAGAACGACAGTCTGGTTGAAGACAGCGACGCACCCCGAAGACCCACTGGTCTGCGCAGCCTGCGCCAAAACGAGTCCCAGACAGTCGTTAGCACTGGAGCCGTACAATCGACTGAGCTGACGAGTGCCGTCGACGTCCAAGGCATCTGGCGCGAGTGGATGGGCAAGCCCAAGAAGGCCATGACAGAAAGACAGGTCATGCTGCAAGCACAACTTCCCNTCAACCTCGTCCCCATCCGCATCGACCTGAGTGTCAGCCCTTTCCAACCAGAGGCTCCTCTCCCCAAACCCAACAATGCGCGCGAGCTCGGTGTTGACGAGAACTCGCCTGCATACAAGGCCCCCGATATGACTCCCGAGTTCCGCATCAAGGATAGCTTCCTTTGGAATCTTCACGAGTCTCTCATGACACCCGATCAATTCGCAAAGGTCTTTGTCGACGAGCTAGATTTCCCCTTGGAACGTCGTCCTGCTCTGGCCCTGCAGGTCTCGCAGCAGATCCGCACACAACTAGAAGAACATGCTGCTGTCGTCATGCACCCACTATTCAATCCTACCTCCAACCCTACCGAGACCCGCAACATCTCGACGCGCCCTCCCATCTCGCGCGAAGTTTCTTCCACACCTTTTGCACACACGCCATCTGCACAACAATCGCAGACAAACGGTGTCAACACTCCCAATGCCGCCCAAACACCATTGCCCAACGACGCTAATGTCTCCGCCGTTGCTCAACCTCTACCACCCTCCTCCGTACACAACCCCGACGACGCCTACCGCTGCATCATCTCGCTCTCGATCAACCTTATGAATAGACTTTATACCGACAAGTTCGAGTGGTCACTCATGCATCCGGCTGGCTTCNCCGAAATCTTCGCCAAACAGACTTGCGCCGACCTGGGTTTGTCAGGAGAATGGGTACCTGCCCTCGCCCACGCCATATACGAAGCTGTCTTGAAGCTCAAGAAAGATTACTGTGAAGCCAACGGCACACTGCTCGGTGTTATTGGCAGTGGTGTTGATGCCTGGGGTCAAATCGACAACGAGGCCGCCGAAGTACACGGTGATGGCTCGCTAGCAATAGGAGAAGCGGCTGGCTGGCGCTTCGACAACGATGATCTAGGAGCCGAATGGCAACCACGTGTCGAAGTGTTGAGCAAGGACGAGATCGAGAAGCGCGAGGGTGACCGCGAACGCCAGATCCGCAGACAGAGACGTGAGATGGCTGCGCGCGCTACAGCTGGCTTTGCACCACCGCCGGCTTTGGCAAACGACTACTTTGGTTCCCAGGCAGGCGCTGGTGACGAGGAGAGAATGGGCAGAGGAGAGAGAAGCAAGAAGAAGAGACGTTTCCGCAGTCTCAGTCCCTCCGGCCGCGAGACACCTGACTTTACCGCTGCCTTTGGTGGTGAGCAGGGCAAGTTGACAGAGTCGGAGCGTCCCGTATGGCAGTGCAGTCATTGTCGCATTGGCGGAAGTGCTGTCTGGGCTGTCCGCGACGGACCCAACGGACCTAGAGTAAGTGTTTACTTCCACTTGAATGCAGTTCAATATGCTAACAAGCTCTTTCAGTCGCTCTGCAACAACTGCGGTCTTCTCTACGAACGCGACAAGCGTCTACCACCCTGGGCCAAGGATCTCTACCTGATCGAACAGCCCAAGCCCAGCAGGTAAGCCTTCTCCCTGAGTCCTCCTCATACTCACCTGAGACACCTTGCTAACTCCATCCCCTCANGACCCGAACCACCATCACACTCCCACCACCACGCACCTCTCCCCCATACGCCCTCCGGCTTCATCCCCAACCCCCACCGCCAACTCTCCATGCAAGCCTCCCAAAATGGCGGCGGTAACAGCCCACACCTGCGCCACCAACTCTCAGACCTACCAGACGCATACGCAGCAACAGTACGCGGAGGCGGCCCCAGCATGTTTGAAGACTATGCGGTTGAAGGCGAAGACTTGGACTGGACCAAAGTCACGGACCCGCGCGAGAGGAAACGCTTGCAGAATATCATCAATGGCCGCAAGTACCGCGAGAGGAGGTTGGCTGCTGAGGCTGCTGCTGCCGCTGCCGCGGGTGCGAGTCCGGCGCCTATGAGGTAGAATGTTTCTACTGCACGGATTTCGCTTGGGACGGTTTGAGCGAGCAGTGTTTGCCTTCGATGGTGGATCGGCGGGCATACGTCAGATATCATCTTTCACGAGTGAGTAGGAAGAATGGATGCGAAAAGTGTGCCTTTTTCTGCTCTTTTTGGTAGCGTTATGGGAAGGAAGCTACAGTCTTTTGGCGGCTGGCCAAAGCGATAGACACTTTGATGAAGTTCCAACAGTTTTTTTCCTTCTACGCCGAAGCATTACAATACCACTTGCTATCCCCTTTTTGTGGGAAACCGATACATGCTTTCCAACATGCTGCCTTGTGAAATATGTTCCCTGGCCCGATGTGCTATGCCTCATTCTTTTATTCCCTCATGTCTTCGTTTTCTTGCCGTTTCGTGGGCCTCTTCTTGCGAAGCCGCATCGCGTACTTGGATCAGCGAATGTTGCGTGCCCGGCCACAATGCCATGTCGTATGCTCTGTACCCAAGCCTGCAGAACTCGTCATGCATTAATCCGAGTATGAGTGTCTGCGTCCTGACGACTCTGTGTTGATCTTCCTGCTACACCAGTCGAGGCACCGTCATCTCTTAGGCATCGGTGCTCTTTCACTGGCAGGCATCTCTCTACCACTGGTGTCCTTGACAGAAACAAGTCGTGGTGGAGGAGTCTTGTCTCTAGAAGTAATGCGCTTGTTGCTAACTTTGTCGCGTTTCGTTCGTTTGTCACGGGGTAGCATGGCTGCTGTCTCGTCGTCATCATGATCTTCCTCTTCCTCGTTAATCAACTCTCCATCTGCAGTCTCGTGGTCTGGCGGAGTGATCCATTCTTTAGGGACCACGCATGGCAGCGCAAGACCAACGCTAGCAGCTCTGTTCAGCCACGCAGGACCAGGTCTGCCAGTCAATCTCTCACACAGATACGAAGAAAAGTGGTTGCAATTATTACTGAGCAGATTGTATCGCGTGCCCTGAAAGACCCTCGAGGCGTCGTTGATTATGTCGGTGATTTCTTGTGGAGTAAGCACGCTGAAGCCGTGGATGATCTCGCAGCGAAAGGTGCCGCCTGGAGGTTCGAGTTTGGGTTTTGTCCAGTAGACTCCGCTGACGCCTTTGCGGTCGTGGCCGCCGTATGCGTATTCTCGTTCGTTGATTACTACGCCGGAATGTAAGAGGGAGCCGCCGATGTGCCAGAGGAGGTTGGAAAGACGACCGGGCNNTGGATTTTGTTAGTTTTGCTGGGGCAAATAGTGCAGAAGAGAGGGTCTGACTGGTAACAGGTCATAAACATGAATCTTGACTTCGGTCTTCTGGGCGGCCAGAGACGCGCGATGCACTGATGACGATTGTCGCTTGTGCTTAGAGGACGACGGCGTCATGGCAATTAAGCACTGAATGCGAGCTCTTGGATTATGTGATTGCGAAGAGCAATAGAGAAGACACTACTGGCGAGCAATCGAAATAATTCCGTGCGAGTCGTCAACCAAGGCGGTAAGTTGACCAGAGATTAAAAGAGGCAGTCGCGCCCAAAGGGTCCCATCATGGTTGCTGCCCCGCACTCCTTCAGTCAGCCGCGACGGCAAGGGCTGGCCATCCTGCTGCCATGTCATGAACAGAGTACAGATTTGACTTGCAAGATTCTTGATGTCGCATTGAAGGCTTCGTTCCAAGAAACATCCCATGCAGGTCATCACGTGTGTCTAAGGGGAGCAGAACTCTAGCCGCATGGATGGTGCCTTGGTGGACGCCCGATGTGCGCACAGACAGACGGCGCAACAAGACAACAATAGGAAAACAAAGCCGTCTTGACAATAGCAAATGCCATCTTCCAACCACACTCGGCACGGCTGTACGACAGTCGGCTTCCTCTTCGGCCCGAGTGTCAATAGAGCCCGACAATAGGAACCCCGTTCGCTGTTGGGAGGCTGACAATACGATAGCCCACCCTGCTGCGCGCCTACCAGATCGCGTCATGTGTCCCTTCCTATTGATACACCAGAATGAATAGATTTGCAGTAGGTACTTTGGTGATTGTCTCGTGTACTTCTTCTATTGTCTACCCACTCCGTTTGTTGTTTGAGATATCTGTTCGATTGTCTGTCTACCCATAAACAAGACTTCAAGAAGTTGCTTTCCAACAACAAATCACCCTCTCCTACCATCCATCCTGTCCAGAAGCTTCTTTCTCACTCCCCAGCAACACTGTATTGCACCTTCTCACACCTTCCAACACGTCATCTTCTTTCCTCAGGACCTCACTCTCGTTTGCTCGCGGAAGTCATCCTACACTACCATCATCATGGACTCTCTCATGCACTCCTCCCACAAGATCATGCTCGAGCGAGCCTCTACAGAAGACGGCGAGCACCACNCCCTGCAACTCTCAGACATTCCACCACCAGCCTACTCCACCGAAGACAACTTGACCGACTTCAAGAATGAAGACGAGGACCAAGACCCATCCCCAGTGACCCTCATCCTCAACGCCGACACAAAAGTCCATGGCACTGGCAACATGATCGCGACACCACCACTCGCCGACGCAACCCGCCTATCAGCACTCCTTCTCGCTGCAGTACAAAGCCTCAACGCTGCGAAGACCAGCGCTACAGAATCTGACTCGGCCTCGCCTGTCTTGCAGGTCAACCTTACCATCAACTGCGGTATCACTGTCAATGGCGACAAGAACGTCATCGGCTACAAGACACAGGGTGTTCTACCAACCACTTCCAAGAGAAAGGCCGCTGAAGAGGTATGTATCTCAGCCTTCATCATGTTCTTGATTCGTGTTACTGACATATCACCATCTAGGNATCCTGAGGATGCCCCTGATGCCAAGAGAGCTAGAGCTCAGTGAGCAGATCCGCTTTACGAAACACAATGCGACAAAAGACATGATACTTTCCTTTGAGATATGCTTTGAGTTACAGTGAATGAACAAGATGTTTTTCTTTGACCATTGATGTTGTTCCTTATCCTCCAAGCTCGTGTGCTCTCTTTCTATGCAGCCCGAGATCTACGCTGCTAGTCGAACAACTCTTGAATCGTTACATAAATACCCGTGGAGGGTTCCTAACACCTTCATACTTGCTTACACCTAGAAAGACGAACAAAGGAACAATCGATCAATACACAACAATACGAACTAAAATGTCTTCCACAACCAAGACTACAGGTAAGTCTACTTTTGGAGTTGAGTTGGAGTTTCTCGCTCTCGTCCCTGGTGAATATAATTTCACACCTCACCATGCCGTCTATGAATTCCTTCAAGAAAAAGTCACCCTTCCTTGCCCCTTCAACTGCGAGNCAAAAAGCCACGACCTTAGACTGCCCGTTGACGCCGAGACACCAGCCTTCTGGGCACACCATGATGACCTCAACGAGTACAAGACCTGGATCGTCACCCGTGATTGCAGCGTCAAACTCACTAGTGACGAGAAAATTCTATATCCTGACGACTCCGTTGTGAGCGATGTTGAGTTCCCTTCTCGTATCCTCGATTTTCACAATCCTAGCCCTTGTCCTCACGGTCAGGTCTGGCCTTGCAATGGGCAGCCTCTGATGTGGGATTGGCGTGATGAGATTGCTGTCATCATCAACACTTTAAAGGAGAGGATGAATAACCCTGGCTACAGAGTGTTTTGCAACAACACTTGTGGTATGCATGTTCACATCGGCCGCGATAAGTTTGGTTTTGACCTCAATAACACCAAGAATATCATGGGTATGTTTACGGCTTTTGAACGTTGCTTTGATTCTATACTCACTGTTGACCGCATTGCTGGATATGAGAATGATCACGCTGCTTTACCTGCTCTCAAGATGGAAGATCCAGACAACTCGATCATCCCATGGCAAGCCTCTCCTGGTTGGAAATACACTCTCCCCCTTTCGGTTCGTCAATTCGAGTACTTAGGTCATGACTTGATGGTCGCTTACGGCGCAAACGACTTTTTGCAATGGGATCAACTAAATAGAAATGGTGCCGCTGTGCCCTACTGGCTACACAGAATCTATGAAACCACTGGGTTTGCTGCTCTCGGTGAGTACAGTACCGCCCATCAAGCTTCAGTGAACCTCGAGCACGTCGTCCATAACGATACCAAAAAGCCAACTATCGAGATCCGTCTCCACCAAGGTACCTTGGTCCTCAACGAAATACTCGCTTGGATAGATCTCCTCGTCAACCTGTCCATCTACGCAGAATCCACTTCTACAACTGCTGTCCTTGCTGCCCTTGAATCATCTTATGCTAATCCTTCACTAACAATCGTCGATATAGCAAGACTGGTTTCTGCCTCTGCATCAACAATATCACACTACACTTCCTTTCTCACACCAACCTACTCCTTTAACCTCTTCAACACAATCATCTCTTCTCAACCCAATGACTCTCTGTCTGCTCTCTACGCCTACAATGCAAGAAACACCAGCTCTCAAACCCACTCTGTCGCCATCTCTACCCGTATAACTCAAAAGCTAATCTCTGGCCGATATGGCCAATTCCCTGTGGACTTTTTGAGTAAGGTGCTTCCTGACAAGGTTAAANAGGCTGCGAGCAAGGATGCGAGATTCTTGAGTGATGAGATGGGTGTTGAGGGATTGGAGGACTGGAGTGCAGAGGTTGAAAAGGTGGTTGAGAAGGATGTGGAGAGGAAGAGTGGATATAGGAGTTACTAATATGTTTTTTTCGCTGTCTGTATGCAAATTTACTGTATCGTTTTCTTTGACTTGCCTTGCCTTCGTCTTCCTAATCGTGATTGCCGTCTCTTGCTACTATGGAAGTCACGCGTGCGTCTCGTACAACATGTAATCTGTTATGCTTTTTGTCCATTTTCTTTGTCAAAAAAATCTTTATATTGTTGTCTTGAATACTTGAAAGGTTGCCTGCCATATCGGCAACCCAGCATCCATCGTTGTACGCTGCTCTCCCCAGCTGGGTTTTTCTTCTCCGCTCAACGTACTCTTGGGTTCAGATTTGCAAGAAGAGATAGTCAATTCCTCCTTGCGAATCTCTTTTTCATTCGTATGTCTTTCTTTTTCTCCCGTAAAAAGTCATTCCCCCTTCCTGATTAGTCGACGCCTGCTAAAGACACCCCCATCCAGCACGAAGCATCCATTTTTGTAAGTAACGCCAGCAAGCAAAAACAAAAAGCAGAAAGTAAAAAGCAAAAGCAAAAGCAAAATTGGGGGTATGCACGAGAGAGTTGTTGGTACAGCAAAGTGGACCGCAATAGAGATAAAGGAAAAGCGAAGACTCAGGGTCATTTCGCCGTGTGGTATCAAGAGAGATCCGTATAAATGGAAGAATGAGAGGGACCAATGGGCAGAGTTGTGTCATGAGCTTTTGACACCAACACCAAGCATGCCATTGTTGAAGGTTGAGGAGCCCCCAGAGGCCTCGAAGTTTGTGGAAAAGTCCTTTTGAGGATAATTAGCAAAATTCGGGAAGATTTGTAGGAGTAGATCATACTTTTCGACGCTTCTTGGTGGCAGAGTTTCGCTTGTCATCCAAGCCACCTGTCGAGTAGCCATCGTCTTCTTGATAACTCTCATTGTAACCAGTGTAGCTGCTCTCGTCATAGCGGCGCTTCTTGTTCGAGCGATCAGGACGAATGCCATTAGGGTGTGAGGCGCGTGGCGAAGCGGGAGCAGATGCACGCATGGACGAGACTTGAGCCTTGAGCATTTGAGGGTGGGCGGCAATCTTGTTCACGGGCTGAGAAGGAGTCTTGTTGCCATCATCGAGGCCGAGAATGGCTTTCCACTTGTTGTGTTCATCGGCAGGGAGGGTGCCAGGGTTCATAGTCAAGGCGCGGCCGAGGTTAGCCATGAGGGACGATGAGTCGGCCTTGTCAAGTTCTCTGCCGTGTATACGCTGGTCATACCACGAGCCTTCGTCCCATTGCATGAAGCCTTGCAACTCGCCTTCGATATCGGTCGGCTTGTTCTTTCCGCTGAGGCCGAGAGTCTTGACCTTTCCCTCGTAAGACTTGCGCAGCTTGTTAATCTTCTCGCCGGTAACGGGATCTGTTCGGCGAACCGAGTTGGCGATGCTTTGCAGGCCGTAGAGGTGGATGAGATCTTCATTTGGATGAGGCCGCGAGATAGGGTGAGCTATCCGTGGACTTTGTGTTAACCAAATAAAGCACATTTTCAAAACAACAAGGGATCAAGCCTTACGGGATTGACAGAGCAGCGGCAGAAGCGGCCGCGATGAGGGAGGCTGAGCGTCGGGCATGTCGATATCCATGTCGTTTACGAAGTGCTGTGGGGTTGAGTTGTGCGTGTTCACGTCAACGGTAGGGTGCGAGTTCGTCGGGGCGTAGGACGACGGCGGCGTGGGAAAGGATTGGTCTTTGCCATTATGCGCCGACGAAGACATGCGCACCGACGCAGGCGAGGGCGGAGTGTGTGGTGCGACTGAGACTGGGGCAGATTTGAGATTCACGGGCTGGTTCTGGTAGTAATAAGGCGGCGAGACGGGCGACGTCGGCATAGGGGCGACAGAGTCGTCGGCGGGTGGTGTGTCGGAGGGAAGACGATGGGAGTGTCGATGGGCGGATGATGATGATGATGATGATGTGGGCTTGTTCGGGTGGGTCAAAGGAGGGTGGTTGCCGGCGTCTTTGTTTGCTCGCTGTGGGCGTAGGCGTGTGGGTGTTCTTCAGCTAGTGAAAGCCTGCTTTGTTCGACGACGCCCTGTGTTTCATGTGCTGAACCGGCCGGCGATCCGTAAACTCGAGCGTGTGGATGGCGTGAAGGGGGATGTGATTTGGTGAATCCTGTCACTCGAGCGCCCACAGGTGCATGCCGCTCTCTCACTCACGGCGCAAGAACCGCGGCCCAACCCGACGCCAAGCCAATGAACCACGCCTCGTCATACTCGTTGCCGATCACTTGCTCTGGAGCTCGCGTGTGCTTTCACTGACATGAACTATCTACCCTCCAACAAACATCACCATGCCCGACGAGTACGGCGACGAGAGCGACCTGTTCGAGATTGTTGATCGCACTACCGCTCCAAGTGCTCGTCCACCTCCAGCTGCTCCTGCATCCGACACTGCGCGCAAGGTCGTTCAACCCACACCCCAAGCTCTACCTGCTCGCAAATCCGCTTCGTCCATCCTTGTCTCTCCGCGCCAGAAGGGCAACCCCATCTTGAACAGCATCAAATCCCTACCCTGGGAGTACTCGGACATCCCTGCCGACTTCGTTCTTGGTCAGACAACATGTGCTCTCTTCCTGTCTCTCAAATACCATCGCCTGCATCCTGAATACATCTATTCGCGCATCCGCCAACTGGGCCAAAAATACCTGCTGCGCGTCGTCCTGGTCATGGTGGATATTGAGAACCATCAAGACCCTCTGAAAGAGCTGTCCAAGACCTCCCTCATCAACAATGTTACTCTGATCCTCACTTGGAGCGCCAACGAGGCTGGACGGTACTTGGAGCTGTTCAAGTCATGCGAAAATGCTGCACCGACTGGTATCAAGGCCCAAAAAGCTGCCACCTTTGCCGACAACCTTGTCGAGTTCATCACCGTTCCTCGCAGTATCAACAAGACTGACGCTGTCGGTATTGTCTCCAACTTTGGAAGCGTACGCACATCAGTCAACGCCCGCCCGGAAGACCTGTCCCACATTGCTGGCTGGGGTGACAAGAAGGTCAAGGCTTGGTGTCAATCTGTCCGCGAGCCTTTCCGTGTGACCAAGACTAAACGTCGTCTTGGCCGAGAAGACTCGAGACCTACGCAAACCAACGTTGAACAAGACAGTCGCGTGGCTGCGAGGCTCGGCATTGGTGCTTCGCTTCCTTCTGTCGACGTCCCTGCAGGGGCTAGCACTTCCATAGGCACGTCCGACGCAGACAGGAGACCCGATATCAGACTCGCCGACGATTATGAGCCTGGTGCCGACGAAGAAGAGGCTATGGCAGAAGCCTTTGCGCTCCCACCTCGAACGTCTACTGCAAATAAGGCAGCACCTCCACCTGTCAACAAATCGCAGCCCGATGAGAACCTTAGCGAGGGCATGATGGCTGCGCTGGCCAGGTTGAGACAGACATGAAGCGTTTTCAGTAATTCGAAAACAACATCATCGTCACAGTCCCCCGCTGGAAGTCCTACTGGTTCTGGTTGCGAGACGAATTCGGAAACTCTATTCTTCTCAGCTGTAGTCGAAGAGTCCAACGATCTTCTTCGCTTCACGTGCCAGCATTAAGCACATTGGGTTATTGTTATGGTCGTGCATATCGTGTCTTCTCTGAGCCGGGTTCGGGCAATCTTCAGTCGGCTCCATGGTGTGCCACCGAGCCTGTCTCTCTTCCAAACTCGTCAAGACTGACATGAAGCTAACACGGCTAGCAACAGAAGTGCCGTAGACTTCGGCTTTTACCACTTTGTTGGCTAGCCTTCTCCATTCCAGAGGTGGCAATTCAAGCAACAGAGGCTCGTTGGAATCTATACCACCGACATGCTCGTGCTTCGGCTCGGATTTNTCGAGACTACCAATATGCAGAGTCTTCATCTGACCCGTCTCTTCGGCTTTCGTCGCGTCCGAGGCAATGACCTTGAGTATCCTATTGTATCGCTCGGACATGGAGAGTAGCAAAGTCCCAAGTAGCTGTGCATTTTGTGTGGCTGTAAGGTATTGAGCTGGACAGATCTGACAACCAATACATGATTTGCTTGTATGCAGCGCATCGCGAAGACATTGTAGGCTGGCAGGAAACTCGAGAGTGTCCATGGAACGTAAGTTTTCCATTGTCAAATATATGCTCGACAGACAAGCGCAGGACCGGGCCGGAAGAAGGTTGATAGCAGATGTATCAAGGAGGTTTGTCTCGTTAATATCGTCTAGATTAGGCAAGTTCATATCAGGAAAATTGCTCTGGTCGACGAGCGAATCGAATTCAATTGCGCTGTCAAAGAGATTTGGCTCGGCGGAAGATGTCTGCCCTGATGCTTCTTGAGATAGTTCGTTGACCGACTGATCAGTCTCACCTATCTTGCGTTTCCTCGGCCTTCCCATGGCTTTCTGAGTAGAGTATACACAGGTGATGTTATCGTTCATGCATCGCGAACATTCGGGTTGTTCGCCGGGGCACTTGAGCTTGCGAATTCCTGACTTGTTAGTATCGAGGAAATATCATAGAACAAGCGTCAAGCCATACTGCACTCATCGCAGGCAATCCTTTTACGCTCCATAACATTCATGATTGTGCTCAGAGTTGGTTGATGGTGAAGCTGATAGGCACGCTGGTAAAGTGGAGAGAGGAAAGATCGAAGCCAAGGCTGGTGATCAGATAAGATAAACCTTAAATACCTCTTTCGTGAATCTTTTTCTCTCCAAAGTCCGACATTTTCTTGTCGCAAACAATAATCACTCAAAATGGTTCTTGCAACTCAGAGCCGCAAACGTAAGGCTGCCTCCCGCGAGGAGCCTACATTGCCTCCGCGTGAGGAGCTCGCAAATGGCAACCTCGAAGGAATTTTATCCGAAGGCGACGATTCCGACGACAGTGAAGAGGTGGAATTTGATGGAGAGGACGAGGACGAGGAGGATGACGAAGACGAAGAGGAGGAGCTGGACAGCGACGAGATCCCCTCCGAAGACGACGAGCAAGATATCCGCGACCAACTGCGCAACCTCAAAACCACCGACTCAAAACGATTCGTCGACGAAGACGACGAGGACCTCAAGCCCAACTACACCGTCACCACAGATGCAAACGGCAACGAGCGATACGTCTACCGCGAGATTGATCCCGTCTACGACTCTGACGATTCGGATGCCGGTGACGCCAAAAACACGATTGGAGACATTCCTCTCTCTTTCTACGACTCATACCCTCATATTGGTTACGATATTAACGGCAAGAAGATCATGCGCCCTGCCAAGGGTGAGGCTCTGGATGCTCTGCTCGACAGCATTGAGCTTCCCGAGGGCTGGACTGGCTTGACCGACCCTCAGACTGGCAAGCCTCTGGAGCTTAGCAGAGATGAGCTGGAGGTTCTGAGGAAGTTGACAAGAAACGAAGCACCCGGCGATGGCTACGACCCATACCCCGACATGGTCGAGTGGTTCACAAGCAAGACTGAGATCATGCCTTTGAGTGCTGCTCCCGAGCCCAAGAGAAGATTTGTGCCCAGTAAACACGAGGCTAAGCGTGTCATGAAGATCGTCAGAGCCATTAGAGAAGGAAGAATCAAGCCCTGGAAGGAGCCTAGTGAGGAAGAACAAAAGGACGACGATGTGCAGACTTACGATGTCTGGGCGGACGAGACACCCAGAGCCGATCACGCCATGAACATGCCCGCTCCTAAACTGCCGCCACCAGGTTACGCCGAGTCTTACCACCCTCCACCGGAGTATCTCCCCGACGCCCAGGAGAGAAAGGCCTGGGAGCAGGCTGACGAGGAGGATCGCGACAGAGAGTACTTACCCACCGATCACTCCGCTCTTCGCAGAGTCCCTGGTTACGAGAAGTTCATCAAGGAGAGATTCGAGCGCTGTCTGGACTTGTACCTTGCTCCTCGCGTTCGCAGAAGCAAGCTCAACATCGATCCTGAATCTCTTCTCCCCAAGCTTCCTTCTCCGGACGATCTTAGACCTTTCCCAACTGTTTGCGCCACTCTATACAGAGGCCACCAAGGTCGTGTGCGCTGCGTTTCGGTCAGTCCTACTGGTACCTTGATTGCCAGTGGTGGTGATGACGGAACTGTCAGAGTCTGGGAATTGCTTTCTGGTCGTCAACTGTACAGCGTCAAGCTTTCTTCCGAGGAAGCTGTCAATGCCGTCAAGTGGAGACCAACTCGTGACACACTCATCATTGCCGCAGCTTGTGGTGAAACCGTCTACTTCATTACTCCTTCATCGCTTTGCTCGCCTGAGATTGAACAAGCCAGCAAGGATGTCATTGACGCTGGATTTGGATACGCTGCTAAGCCCGCCACTACCAACGCTGGTGCTGAGAGAAAGATCCCCTCATCTGTCTGGGCCAGACCCGAGTCGCAAAAGCTGCAAGACCAGGGTGTGCTCCTTGCTTGCACCATGCGTTCCACCATCAAGGTCATCAACTGGCACCGTCGTGGTGACTACCTCAGCACAGTTTCGCCGGCTGCCACCTCTACTGCAGTAGCCATTCACACCCTCACCAAGCATCTCACACAACATCCTTTCCGCCGCTTGAAGGGTATCGCCCAAACTTGTTCGTTCCATCCTACCAAGCCTTTGTTCTTTGTTGCCACAAGACAGTCTATCCGTCTTTACGACCTCCAACAGCAGAAGCTTGACAAGGAGTTGAAGCCTGGTGCTCGATGGATCAGTTCCATCGATGTACACCCCGGTGGTGACAACTTGTTGGTTGGTTCTTACGACAGAAGACTGCTGTGGCACGATATGGACCTTGCCGCTACACCATACAAGACTCTGAGATACCACCAGAAGGCTATCAGAAGTGTGCGCTACCACCCCAACTCTGGCCAATACCCGCTGTTCGCAGACGCCAGTGACGATGGTAGCTTGCAAATCTTCCACGGCAAGGTTGTGGGCGACAGCTTGGAGAACGCGTTGATTGTGCCTCTGAAGGTGCTCAAGGGACACAAGGTCACGGGAGAACTCGGAGTGTTGGATGTGGAGTGGCACCCTCGCGAGCCATGGCTAGTCAGTGCAGGTGCCGATGGAACCATTAGGCTATGGTGTTAAGTGGAGCGTTTATTCATGTGTATCGTTCAGTCATTGGGAGGAGTTTGGCGTAGAAAAACTGCAGCTTGAATCAATCGCTCCTTTACAGCAGGTTTTCTTGACAAGAACTCGTGGTGATGTTAGCCGAAGCGATCCACTGTTCTGGCAATATAAAGACATGGCGCTCGATATGAACATGTGAGACAAGCGTGGACAAGCTCCTTGGATATTCGCGGACAGGGTGCTCCTCTGAAGATGGTGTCGGCGCACAGACCACATGCTCTTTGATGTTTCGATCTTTGAGCTTCGAGAGGTAGCACATTTCAGAAGCTATCTACACCAAACAAGACAATCTCCAACTACACTCGCTGAATTCCGGACCTTGGAAACTGTGATTGCGCCTCACCGATACGAACACTTGCCTTCTGTCTCTACGCGCATCGATCCAGAAAGAAAACCGTAGCCAGGCGCAAACGCGCTTCGGCAACCTGCCACCACCATGTCGCTCAACCAGTATATGAACAGTGAGTAAAGCAGCATTCCATCGACTTTAGTAAGCGGCTGACGAGTTTGCCAGAGAAAATCCTCATCATCACCGTTGATGGACGCACATTGATAGGCACGCTTGTGTCTTGCGACCAAGTCACCAACCTCGTGCTCAAGGACACCGTCGAACGCGTTATCAGACCCCAAGACGACCCGGAAGATAGCTCAGAAACACCGCATGGACTCTACATGATTCGAGGCGACAACGTGGTGGTCTGCGGCTTGGTGGATGAGGCCATGGATTCAAGCATTGACTGGACAAAGGTCCGAGGAGAGGTCATTGGTTCCACCAAACACGTGTGATGGAACCCTCTGCAGGCAAGAGATGACGATGAACAAGGAGACAAAAGCCATCGAAGGCTGAGGTTGCTATGGCCAACCTCAAGCTCGGATCGGATCCTCTGGGCACATGGAACGGTCACATCAAGGTCGCGGTCAAGGCCTCAGCGCAGAACACAGCGGAACGAGGCCGACCGGCACCATCAAAATGAAGCGGTGGAAGAGACGCCCAGGAAGCATTTGCGCCTATTGCTGGCGCTCGGGATGACGATGGGCCAGCTGCGTATGTTGTTATCTGTATCTTACACACAGACAGGCGCCCTAACAAGAATTTCAAGTAAGCTCATTAGTAGCTCCAAGCTCACTTTCCACACGCCGCACACATTACAGTATATACCACTACCAACTCAAGGAAGCAGGAACCCAACCCACAGCTCTTGCGGTTCCTTCCAGAAAAAGTACAGTGAGCGCCTCCCGAAATAACAAACCCTTGAAGCTTGACAGGACCTGGTCAGATGCAGCCGTCGCAGCCATTCTTAGCCTTTTTTTTCGGTGGTGTCATGTCGCAGCGGAGGTATCTGGGCAATCAGGCAGGAATGGGCTGCCTAATGATGAGCATGAACCCGTCAATCAGCGCCCGCGTCCACGGAGCATCGCAGAGGGGACTGTGATTTGAGGACATGTTGGATCATCAAAGCTTAAAATGATACAATTCCTTTGACTGAACGATGTTTCCATGGAGTCATGGACCAAGCATTCCCAAAACTGTGACGCCCCGAACTCGCCCGTTGACCTACACCTACCTAAATCACGGCTCACCTTCCGGGCGCCGTATACGGCGGTTCCACGAGTCATATAGATGAAAGGAGCTTGCCGGTTCGCACGTTTTTGTCTAGCGCCGCTGCCGTCAAGGGTCGGCAGTGCTCGCAGCCGTGCACCTGAGAGTGCACGCAGAGATGGGGAAAGAGGCATTATTAATCAAACCATGCTGCCGTCACAGAGCCTTTTCCGCCATACTGTTGGGTGACTTTGTTGCTGCTCGAACCTCGATCGATCAGTGCGGGCCTCAACTTGATCCTACGCTTCCAAACTCAACTAGGTACTTGACTTGTGCGAGGGGAACCTGACTGCTTTAAGCTCAGGTTGGATGCCGTGATATTACAGCCGTCGAATGGCGCACGGGGTATGTCACTTTGCTATCGCTAAGGCCTTCTGTCCTCAACATTAAGTACACTTGGATGCTCCGAGGGTCTGCTCTGTCAGAAAAATAAATCAAACTCTTGCCACGTAAAGGAACGCCAGAGGGAAACCCCAATTTTCACACCAAAAAGACCACCATGGCGTCTCAATACGGATCCAATGATGGCGCCGAAGCTTCGAGGAATCGATCAACTATCTCGAGGAGCAGCGAGACTCCAACCCAGCAGGACGACGCCGAAATGAAGAAGGCCAGAAAGAGGGAACAGGACCGACTTTGCCAACGACGGAAGAGAGAAAAGGACCGCGAAAACCTGCGACGACTCGAAGCTCGATTGAATGGATTGCAGAACCCTGATGAACCCAAAGTTGTCCTTGACCTGATTCTACGCCACGAACAAGACCAGGAGAGATTAAACCGTCAAGCGGAACGACTGCGTCAGATTGAATCTCTGATCCGCACTTCTCTGAGCGACATTGGAAACGAAATCACATCTTCATCGACGCCGAATGATAGCGTTGTGGATGCAAAGCCCGATGTCAAAGAGACTACCAGCTTGCCGACGGCAGGAATTCCTACGACCGAGGTGCCAATGTACACGTCTGTGCAAGGCGCACCTATGCCGACAGCTACAGCAACTTCAATGGTCATGCCCGTTAACAACCCTGCCTTGTTGGCATCTCAATACCCCATGACAATTCCTCTCAACATGCCTTCTCAATCACAACCAATCATGCCACCATCGTCGCCCCCAAACCAACAAATCAGCACAATCACAGATGCCATGTCTGCGGTTCCAGGCGTAGCAGCAGCTTATACAGATGAAGCATTCGACCAACACATCATCGTTATGGTTCTGATACACGGCTGGGACGCTGTCGCCGCATACATGCAGCTCGATCCGCTGTGGTCTCTCTTACGCCAGATCGATGGAGGTGCCTGCTCGCAATGGAGAAAAGTGGATCGCATGGTGGGTATGCTCTCCTTCCGTCGTATGATGAAGGGCATGGCCATGGGTCCCCAAGCAATGGTTACCATAGAACCAAAGTTCATGCGACCACGCCCTTCTCAGCTACACGTCCCTCACATACCGAACGGCGACTACTTCCCCTGGTAAGTCGAATCCAACGCCTCACTAAATGAATACAATAAACAGCAGGCACTAACAGCAACGTGTGATCAGGNNCCTGGTGTACGCGAACGCTTCGTCTTTGAAGGTCCCAAGTACGACAACGACGCCTTCCTCAACCTCTTCAACTCCAGCACACGCTTCATGTGGAACTCGGATTTCGCGACCGCCTTCGTCCAGAATGACAAGCAGCTTTTCCAATTCTCAGACGAGTTGATCAAGCGCTTCTACAATCTGAGTTGTTGGCGCATCGATGCAGCCTTCATCGCCGCATACCCAGAGTTTGCTGGCGACATACCTACCTACAATTCTGTGCCCAAGAAGATCGACGATAAGCCGTATGAAGGAGAATACTTCTTTGGCAGCGACCTTGACGATGGTGTCACACACAATGGTCCTGGTGCCGCCACTACAGCTGGAGGACAGTGGATCTACGACCAAGGAAGATGGTACGTTTCAGGAGCTGTGAGATGAATGAACCATCCTAGCAAGGTGCCGACTTCGACAACACACCAATCCACACCCCTACCCCACGCCGTCGATCAAGACTACCACCTTCTTGATGCTACAATGTTTACAACAACATAGCGAAGTACTCCACACAGCACTGGAGTCGATACAACACCGTGAGAGGATACAGCGGTACAAACAGTCCCAACCTCCAATAATCCACACTCGTTTCAATCAACCATCTCCAACAGCTCGTCTCTGTCGATACCGCCCACGATCAGTCATACACCATCCAGACCACGACCAGCCAAAAAGCCAATCGACACTTTCAAACCCTCGATTTACTGCTGGCATGGCATGGCTTGAAAACGGTTTCCAACAACGGCCACTTTCACTCGCTCGAATGTTCCTTCAACTATTGTTTCGAGTGCTTTTTTGAGTTTACTTGCCCACAACGATACCAAATAGTGCAAAACTTATTATCCTTCTTTCTCTTGCCTGGGCAGAGAATATTCTTTTGCACCTTGTTTTTGCAATCGGTGTTGCTTTCTTCAGCTCTCGTTCGGCCGTCGGGGCGGCGGCCGGGGACTTCCTGGGGAGGAAAGCCGTGTTCGGAGGTTGTCCGCCGAATATCTCTAACGTTTTGTTTGCTTCAAAGTTTTTGAGATCTGGCTGGCAGGAAAGGGGATTACCAAAACGAACGGGGAAAAGAAGAAGGAAGGAAGAGTACGTAACACGAATACCACGAGGGAAGGACGGACGAGGAGTATAGGCGTAAAGGTCATTGACTTCTTTTGGCCAAATATTCTGACGAATATCAGTCACCCTGTCCATATCTCCGAAATCTTTCAATATCACTACGCAGCCACTTTAGCTCAAACACTCCCCGATACGAGGGTCCTCTCTCATCTGGGAACAAGTCTTCCATTTTCGTTCATTGGGCTAGAATTCGAGTTAAGGTATCCCTTGAAATGCGAACCATACACGTGGGTAATGATACGAGTCATGATACTCGCAAACAAAGTATGTTAGAGGTAGAGTTTGTGTGGCATTGATTCCTAGAAACTTAATCTTTTGTCCTCTTCTTCAGCCACTGCGACGTCTCGCACATGCAGCTACATCCGGCCTTTATCTATGGCATTGGACTTGGATGTAACATCCCTTCGAGATATCGTCGGCCCGAGAACTTGCAAGTCAGCCAAAAGAAAAAAATCTCAACAGAAAGATAAAAGATGGTTGAAGGGGACTGTCTAAGAATAGAAGCGAGTGTTTGTCTAGTCCCTTTTGAAGGGGATCTTACAGTCCAACACCAGAGTCTTGACGCTTCCTGACGACGAGTTCCTCTCCTCTGATGACTCTGACAACATCTGCTTCATCCAGCGTCCCTATCCTTTCCAAAACATTCCACATGTCTGTTCTGTTGTCTTCCACATTCGTCCCTGAAGCTTCAGCTAGCCGGCACCTGCATTCTGCAATCAATGTCTTTTCGCTTGCTCTTCCATCTTCCGAAGGTAGTTGTCTGGCTTCGATGTTTCGAACTTCGGTTTCTAGAAGTGCGATGGCGTGGGGACAGTGACAGAGTAGGGCATCTAGGAAGCTAGGGCCGTATTGGAGAATGAGTTCTTGACAGCAGACTTCGACTTCGAAACGTAGCATGCCATGGAGGAGTGGTGAGGTGGGAATAAGAAGGCTGGGGCCGTCGGCACGGAGTTGTTGAATACAGAGGTGGAGCGTAAGCAGGAGAATAGCGAGGGAAGTACGAGGTAATGATCTGATGATTCGGGATTTGTTCTCGTGATTCCCTAGCACGAAGCGTCAGTCTGATAGCCTGACAGACGTGGTTAGGCAGATGTACTCACCAGCATCGTAAAGACGGTACAGTAAATGCATTCCTGCCTGTTGTAGGTTTATCCATTCAGGCCTCATCCAGGCTGCCTCTTTGACTTCACGTCTTCGAATGTTGTGACAGTTTCGCTCTAGACGGGACAACGTGCAGATTCGTGTGTGTAGCCCATCAAGAGTGTTGAAGCCGATGCTTGTGTTCGGTTCCTGGAGGCCAGGGTGTTTGGCGAGGACATCTGACGGGAACTGTAGGCGGATGATCTCGACTGCCAGACTGTGTTCGTATTGTCGTAAGAGTTTGTTGAAGTTGCGGCATACAAGGCGGAGACCATCGAGACAACCTGGTGTGTAATCGATACGACTGAGCGAGTCGAGTATCAGTTCGGGNGGTAGCGAAATGCATATAACTCGTGAGACGCATGGTGATCGCCGTCCTTCTAATACAGAATCCATGCCCAAATCGCTATCACCTTATAAGCCTCACGAATACAATGAAAGATACGCATGAGGATACAGCTGGCCTTGAAATATGTTATAGCGATGGGTGGTGTTCGTGGTACCTTGATGGAATGATGATAGTGGAGAAGCCCAAACACGATGCTTTGACTGAACACCTTGATGGCCAAATGGTGCAACCGGGAAGTGCTACCCACGTGCCTGCTCATATTTGTACAAACAGAGGTCAGTTTTTCATGAATATCAACTGGGAAAGAAGGATGCGTTGTCCCGGTGAAACCTCTTGCCTTGAGTGGCAGAGAAGGGTCTGAGGAAGCATCTCGCCATGGTCGCAAAACATCAGCTCCTCTGAGCCAATGTTGTAGACACTCGGGTACCGTCTGTCGTTAATGATAAGGTCATAACACCTTGATGGTCATATGTTTGAGGAGTCCGGTACCGCAGACATTTCGAAATTCTTGAGCACCAAATCTGCTCGTGAATCATTCTTCGTCTGCAATTTCCTAAGATCGAACTTGTTGTACGTGTCTTCGAACCTCGGAGAGACGGATTAGTCTCCTCCCTTCGCGTCACTTCCGTGCAGGTCGTGAACATCTGAGATCCTTTGCCGAATGACCGCGTATTCGACGAGCGCATATCAAGCAGCACGTCTCTGTGACCTGCCCTGCGTGCCGAGAAGGCATCGTGTGACTCGAGGATTGACGCACAGAGGTGATACAGGCACAAAAAGATCTGGGATCAGAGTTAATCTGCAGCGTGATATGCGGCTCTGCGGGATGACATCAAACAACCCATTGCTCCGGTATAGTACAGTTTGTCACTCGTCCATCCTAGGTGCATGAATCTCCTAACATGAATCTCAACTTCCAAGAGCATACTCTGAGATCTAATCTCAAGCTGTTTACATGTACGGTGCGTCAATGAGAAGTCGATACTGCTTCAGTTTGTTGATGATGTGATCTTGCGGAATGGAGACCGCCTTATATGCACAAAATCACAGTGTGACAAACTTAACCTGTGCAGGACGGATCCAGGATCAAGTTATCACAAGTTTGCATGGCTTCATCAACCACAACCATTTTTCTCGAGACACGTTGGTCACACCAGCTGCATAACTTCCGATATGCAGTGTCTCTCCGGTCGGGCTTCTTATCTCACGTATTCCTTAGCTGAGGAACGCAGCAGAATGGTCTATGACGCCTCTTCGAGCAGCATATCACAATCGTCTTTCTCGGATGGAGCAATACCTTTCGATCACTGCTTATATTTGTATTGAGGCAATCCTTGCTTGGAACACCAAGTACCGCCGACTTGCTTGATTTCTCCGACAAGTCTCGGGATCTTAACCATCAAAACAATGTCGGACCTATTATGAGATGCTCCAGTCGAGCAGATAATTTGATGGCTCTCCAAGAACAAACTGCTGGAGTACTCGGAAGTGAAGGACCTTTCGATGTATGGGAAGTACCTCAATAGTGAGAAGTCAGCGAACATGGCCAAGGTTGGTCAGCCCAGCGTACCAGAAGACCAGGATAGTCAGGATCGTCCACGACACAACTCACAATCATCTGAGCCAACTTTGAGAGGAGAGGACACAGCAATAGATCCTGCAAGCAGGATGCCTGTCGATCCTGAGAATGGAAAAGATATCAATATCGTTGACTTGTGGGGACCAAACGATGCGGAATGTCCAACCGACCAGAGTCAGAAAGAGAAGTTCCTGGTGGCCTTCGAACTATGTTCGTTGACCACCAGCATCTACATCGGCTCTTCCATTTACAGCGCTGGCGAGCAACAGATCACACAGGTTCTCGGTATTTCGACAGTCGTTACGACCATTGGTCTTACCATATTCGTTGCAGGCTACGGTCTCGGATCAATGATATGGAGTCCTATGTCAGAGATTCCGCAGATTGGCAATACCCTAGGTACGTATATTACAGATTTTGCTTCTCCAGCTCAGCGCCCTATAAGAGGAAGATATACTAAAGATAAAGTTTCATGGCACCAACAATCTGACTACTCAGGGCATATGCTGACGATGAGTCAGCNNTACATTGCTACGCTTTTTGCGTTGAACTTTGACATGATCTACGCCACCAATATAGGTATCACATCGACACTCGTCATATTCAAACCCTTCATACTATCTTGTCAAAAGCNNATGCTCTTTGCTCTTAGATTCCNNCTCGCAGGATTCGTCATAAATCCTGTGGTAGCCATTGGTGGCTCCTCACTCGCTGATATGTATGTGCCGGCGAAAAGGACTTATACAATCGCCATCTGGTAAATTTGCGACCGGAGGATATAACTAGAATATCTCGCTGATTGAGTACAACAGGNNGGTATCTCAGCAATCTGTGGACCCGTTTTGAGACCTTTGATCGGTGGGTTCGTTGCTCAACATGGAGATNTGACTTGGTCAACTTGGAAACTCGTATGGCTCTGCGCATTCTGTTAGGTCTTCTTAACCTNNATTGGTCTTTTGGTTCGTCGTACGAAGAGATTGAGGAAGCTCACTGGTAATCAAACCTTGCGTTGCGAGGCCAAGTTGCAGGGAGAAGACATATCAGTCAAGGATATTGTCGGAATGTCTCTTGTTCGGCCGTTCACACTAAATTTTACAGAAANNGCAAGTGGGCTCTACTCTGTATTTGCGCGTTATAGACAATAGTACTGACAGTATCGGACACGAATCGTGCTTGCCCTCAACATCTATATTGCTCTCATATAATNNTATGGCATTCTCTACGTATGATTCGAGAGCTTTGTGATAGTCTTCACCGACATTTACGGCTTCAACCTGGGAGAGGAGGGCCTGGCAATTGGAGCATTTGTTATTCTGCCGCCTTTTTTCCNNTATCTCTACAAGGTCCTTGAGCCTCAGTTTGACGACAATGGAGATCTGAAGCCAGAGAAGTGTTTACCGCTAGCTTGTGTGGGCGCTTGTACGATTCCTATCTGTCTGCTTTGGGTACATTCTTATCTTGGACCCTAACTTGTCGACACTTATTGATCTTGTCTCTTGAACAGTNTTGGTTGGAGTGCTAGACCTGACATCCACTGGATCACGCCCATCATTGGCTCTGCCTTCTTCTCCATGGGATCTGCCCTCTTAGTCAACAGCGTGCTGAACTGTCTGCCCCATAGATATCCAGAGTTCGCAGCTTCAGTACTGGCTAGCACCGACTTTATCAGATCTCCATTTGGTGCCGGCTTCCCTCTGTTTGCACGTGCCATGTACAATGATTTGGGAGTTAATTGGGCATTTTCAACCCTTAGGTTCCTCGCTATTGCGTTCATCCCTTTCCCGTTCGCTCTTTACTTTGTGAGTCTAACCACAAAAGATCAGCGTTGCAGCTTTGCTGACAATCACCCAGNNTACGGAGAGACACTACGCAAGAAGTACAGTAAACATGCTAGGAAAGATATCTAGAGTAGCGCCAATGGCTTGAGCGCAGAGAATTCATAGCAATTGTGCTTCCTTCTGCATGTAGCAGATATACAACTGAAAGGCATGCCTTTGTTCCTGTTAACACACTGCAAGAATTACCTGTACTCGGACAAGCGAACCCCAAGCAAATTCTCAAACTCATCTGGAACGAAGCATCAGTGTGCGTACAAAGCACATACCAATCTCCCTGTCCTTGCGAAAGTTCAACGCGTGGCTATTCGAACACTGAACACCTTCTGAATAGAGACGTGCCGATTCATGGCTGTTGCACATGACCATCAAACACAAGTGTGAGCACTAGAAACCGCTTACGTATGTTCTGATGGTCTGTCGTGCATAATAATCACTTGGCTCGTGTAGGGTTCTTGGAAAGCCATGGTCGTGCGCTTTTGGCGGTAGAAGGGAGAAGAGATTGAGCGTTGGCTGTAGATGAATCAGGCGCCCTAGGGCGTGCAAGTTCATCGCATGTGAGACGTCGTATACGTTGTAGGGCGCTTTTCTGAATAGGTCACATGAGCTGTTCTCTTCTTGCTGCACGAGTACGGTCTTTTGCATGCCAATCGAACTCGCGACCTAAAGACAACTTTGAAGCTGGAGGTCTTTGTCAAATAACACAATAAGCGGATACTGCGGATAGGGTGGCCCGGGGCTGCCGAGACAGTTGCCGTGTCTGCGGAGAGTCGGCCGTGCAGGCGCATGCTCGCGCCGCTCGCACCTTGCGAGTGAGACCAGTTCACATGCTCCCGGGATCCGGTTTACTCGCGAGAGATGCCCGACTCGGTAAGGTATAAATCGGAAGGACGCGGGCGTTTCCCACATTCGTGTGCGCTCGTGCCCATTAGCAATCTAGAATGCCCCAGACGGACAAGTCTCAAGTAGTGGAGTTGGCTCACGGCGTCCTTCCGTCATGGCTTGAGATTGAGGGGTGCTCGAGTCTGTACGGACGTCAAGCCGCGTGGTTCATGAAGACTTCGACGATCTTCTAGTCGTTGTGACCTCGTGGAGTTCTTGACAAGATGTACTCTGCCCACGAGCCGCTGGACCGGCGATCGGGAGAGAATGACACATTGACGAATCAGCAGGGCATCCTAACGAGTGTAGGTTTGCGCCATCCCTGGATGTTCCTAGTGAACGCGGAGGCTCACTTGGCGGACGGTTTGTCACCGTGCAGCAGAGGTTCGTGGAGTCTCCACACACCGTGGGGCGGTGGATCATGGGGGAGGAGAATTGAGGGCTGATTAACCAAAAATGCATTGGTGGCCGCTGAGTAGATTAAATACAAAGGTAAGCAGCTCCCCGCGACCTCCGCGCGAGTGATTTCCTACCCCTTGACCATTGACCCTCCACCATGTCAGACTCATCTGTCAATGGCGACCTACTGGCTCCGGCCAGACCCTCGAGCTCTCCCAACTCGAAGCGGAAAGCCAGCGACGCCGGCCTACCAGCCACTGGCACCAGGATCCACAAGAGTGTCAAGAGACGTGCTTCGAAGGCCTGTCAGTCCTGCAGAGCTCGCAAAGTACGTTGCAATGTGGTCGAGCAGAGTCCTTGTACCAATTGCAGACTCGACGAAGTCGAGTGTATAGTCTCGGAGAGCAAGCGCAAGAAGTTAGTGCCATGTATCGATCATGTTCTCAAACCACCGTTGCTGATTGATCGCGTGAAGGNNAAATGGACAAAGGCAGATGAAGAAGGACATGCAGCAGGAGAAGGCTGCTCTCCGTCTGTTCCTGCCGCGATACAACATCCCAATATCAGCTTTCATGACTCACCAGGGCACCTACCTCATTCGCTTTGTTCGTCACTTCCAGATCGAAATCCTTGTACAAACAGCTGATTTTCTTGTCCAGATCAGGATCTAGATCCTCAATCATTCGACCCCGCTCGCCGTCAGAGCCTGGCAAGATCGATCTCCATACCTCACGATCCGACAGATAGTATTTCTCTATCAGGGGTTGATCCCAACTCTCTTTTTGGCCTGCAGACTCGTACCCCACCGCCTCCCCATCACGCACTCCCGGCCTTCATTAGAGCCTTTCCTTCAACCTTTGGTCCGGAAGATATTTCATATCTAGCAAAGAAGGGTGCCCTCACATTACCACCACCCGCTTTGCGTGCCGCTCTATTACGATGCTTCGTAGAGAACATCCACCCATATATGCCGCTACTGGACATCCACGAACTCATCCATACCGTGGACAACAATGATTCCTCCTCGGCTGTTAGTCTCTTGCTATTCCAGGCTATCATGTTCGCAGGCGTGGCTTCGGTAGACATGGCATATCTACAAACTGCCGGATACACCAACAGGAGAGCCGCTAGACGCGATTTCTTCCAAAAGACTAGGGTGAGTTACTCATAACTATCATCCTTCATCCTAATACTAATCTCAATACAGCTTCTCTATGACTTCGACTATGAAGCCGATCGAATCTCCCTTATCCAATCTCTGCTTCTCATGACTTTCTGGTACGAAACACCGGATGACCAGAAAGACAGCCACCATTGGATGGGTATCGCAGTGTCTCTCTCACACACTATTGGTCTCCATCGCAACCCAGAACGTTCCAATATGAGCCCCAAGCAAAGACGTCTTTGGAAACGTATCTGGTGGGCAACATATATGCGCGATCGACTCATCGCTTTGGGAATGCGCCGACCGACAAGAATAAAGAATGAAGATTTCGACGTGCCTATGCTGACGATGAACGATTTCGAATTCGCCGTTCTGTCTAGCCAGTCATCATGTATTCCGCCTAGCTGCAAGATCATGCAGGATACATCCATGCAGAGGNAGCTGGCCATCATGTGTATCGAGAAGGCCAAGCTGTGCATCTGCATCAGTCATGTCTTATCTACGCAATACTCTGTCCTGCACAACAATCACGGTGTGCAGAGTCAAGAGGGAACCACGCGTACCACTATGATGCTCGTAGCACGCAAGGACGATCCAGAAAAGTGCTCTGTCAAGGCATGCGACGAAGAGCTCAAGCAGTGGAAAGCATCGATCGCACCTGAAGCAAAGTACAAGCCCTCGTCATTATTCGACCTTACGGCTGGTAAAGGGGCAATCGCACTCCATCGCTCGCTTCTACATATGATTTATCTGGCTACGCTCTCGGCTCTGCACCGACCGCAAGTGCTTCCATCAACAGCTGCGCCATCTCGAAAGATGGCCTCCGAGGTCTTGGATACCTCTCGAAGGACCGTTCGATTCGCAGCTAACCGACTCACTGCGGTTGCTCAGAACTTGAACGAGCTCGATCTTATACGCTGCTTGCCCACCTCTGGAATCACAGTTCTGTTGCCGGCTATCATTATTCATCTCCTTGACATCAAGGCACCCGATGAGACAACTCGACGTGCCAGTTTGCAAGGGTTTTGCCAATGCATGCAAATTCTCAATAAGCTCCGCGATATCTATGCAGCAGCAGACTACTCGACCGCGTTTCTGGAGGCAGCGATCCGCAAAGCAGAAATCACACTTCCTCNNCCCCCCAAGATGGGTCCACCACCTCGACCCGCGCATTTGGCCAACATGTCCAACGTAATGAAGGCGGCAAGGCTGGGACATGCAAATGTCAGCCGCCTCACACCACCTCCCGAGCTTGCTGCCAGCACAAACAACGACCTCCAATCGCAATCTCGTCAACAGCAAGAAAAGGAGCCACAAGTCTCAGAAAATGACTTGGCCCAACACCTAAACAACTTCCTCGCCTCCACACCTCCAGGTTCTGAGCACACGACCGACAGCCAGATCGACGAAACCACGGCGGCCGCCTTCAACATCCCCGCTCTAGATGCCGATTTTGATACCTTGATCAATCTAGACGCAGCTGGGGAATCGTTCACTTTCGACGATGGCACTTTCCCCACCATGCCTGCTTTCGACTCGACTGACGGCGGGTTCATGGACATGGACTGGATGAAGCACATGAACAGTAATGATGATGTTTCTTTTGGCATTTGAGCGGCATGGAATTCGTAAACGGCATACAGTACGGCTTTCTCTTTTGATTTTTGGATTGGCTGTATCGAGAACTTCTTGTGCCGTGTTTGCATCCTTGTGTATAGCTCCTGTATACCGTCGATACCTTTAGACTGTACTTAAGAAAAGTCCATCTTGCAAACACTGTTCCCTCGATTTCCCTCTTACTTGTTTTGTGTTTGTTTTTGCAACAAATCTGCTCTGCTGCTCTCACTCGATATCCGTATGGTTGTTCAGCACAATCACCCCGACTGACAAATTTCGCTTTCCTCCAAACCATCCACTCCACGTCAATAATACATAATCTGAACGATGACCTAGCTGCTTCCCGATGTTTTGCGGCTCAGTAACACCTGCTGGTTATCAAAAGAATCACACGTGATCATAGCAACCTCAACAGCACGAGATACGAAGGAATATGATGGATTGAAAACAAAATTGCTTTTCTGGCCTGGATACTAAAAAGACCTATCACGTCCTGTACACCGCAAATCATGAATTTCATTACCCATCATTGTCCTTTTCCATGCAATTCTCGTACTCCGATTGACCAAAGTTCACCATACAAATTAGTTGCTCAACAGATCTTGCACACTCATAGCACGGCCGGATCTGTCCTTGTATGTTCTCCTGTCAGAATTCAGCATCAGGAGAGCAGCCATGGCTTCACGGTCCAAGTCCTTTTCTCTACGTTCGCGGACCCTTGCGTCCTCACCCACGACTGCTGGTCTTTGATGCATGGTTGAGTCTTGAGCGCGCAGTGCAGGGCTTGTGAGTGCGAATGGAGCAGGCTCATGTAGACCTGCGGTCGGCAGGAAGAACGGCGATGCTTGTTGTGAGTGGATGTAAGGAGAGAAGGAAGGCTGAGACGCAGAAGAGATGCTGTAGTGTCGCGAGGATGAAGCCTCAGAAGGTGCGATGGCAGGCGACTTGTATCCGAAGTGGGACATTGATGGTAGAGAGGCTAGAGATGGGATGGGTTCTCGAGATTGTGTGTGCGAGAGGAGTGGGCCGTTGGGTGTGGAGGCACCGGTGGAGTGGTTTGTGTCGGACATCTCTTGATCGTCGTCTTCTTCAGGCTCCATGGGCTCATCGACGACAGTAGCGGGTTGTGGGGTAGGAACAGCAGTAGCGGTGGGCTGTGATATCGAGCCCTGTCTCACAGCTGTGTTGTCGGCTTTGAGATCGGTGATGCAACGCTCGAGGTATCGAAGGTACTCGATGCTTGCCTTGAGGATGGTTAGTGTCATGTCTCAACCACAAAAGGGCATGTTGCGACTGACCTGAAGGATAGCCAGCTTGTGCATCTCTTGGCCTTGACAGGCGGGGATCATTTCCTTGAGGACGCCAAACTCGTCGTTCATCTTTGAGCGTCGGCGTCTCTCGATCAAGCTATGTGCTGTCTTGCGAGCCACCTTGCGGCTGGCGGCTGTGCTGCTGGCATTGGCGCCCTTCTTTCTACCAGCAGTAGCCTTTGCTGGGGCTGCCTCGACCTCAGGGTCTGGCTGCTTCTCACCAGCAGCAGCCTTTGGCTTCATCTGGATGATCTTGCGATTACGAGTCGGCGGAGGAGGAAGAGCAAATGTGTCGTCTGCTTTGGCCAAGGTTGACTGAGCAGCGGTAGACTTTCGTCTTCCATTGTTGTTCAGGGACACGGGTGAATGCGGGTGGTACGATGAGTCGGAGCCATGACTTGAAAGAGGTGACGAGGTGGCTCTATCACTGCCATCGGCATAGGCCGAGGGAGGGAGGGTGAAAGCTGGAGCAAGAGGCACGAGCTTCTCTTTGCCCCGGATATCCGTCGACGAGGCTGGGGTAGGAGGCAGGTGTGAAGAGGCCATAGTGTGTGAAGCGTATGGGTATGGCAAGAGCGGCACCCTGATGGTATCACAGACTAAAAGGACGAAGGCTTCTTGTGCAGGCAAGGGGATGGACGTGGACGAGAAAAAGGAATTGGAGGCTTGGGCTAGGAGACGACGACATATTTGTTGATACTTGCAGAATGTCACCTTCCCTATCAACAGGCGCACGAGGGGCACGTCGTGCGGTGTCGTGTGCCTCAACTGTAAAGCTGAGAGTCGTCGACCTGCCCTCGTGCGCTCTCTCCGCGTCGTTCATTGGCTGCTTCCCAACCGCCTATGGCTGTGAAGCCCACCACCTCCTGCCAGAGGCCTTCAAGCAGGCACGTGCTGTTCCAGTGAGAAACTGACTTTGCTTCGGTCGTGCAACTGGTTGGGAGTGATAATCCCCATCTGTCCCTTCATATGATTCCGTCTCGTCAACACGTTGCCGTTTTGCAGAGGCATATACGTGCGGAGACAAGTCCCGCTTCTGCAAGAAGATCAAGGAGAAAAATGTCTCATTGTAATTAGATTCATCAATGAGAGCCAAGCAGACATCTCGTCCTCGGACATGACCTAGCTGGGAGAGTTGTTTGTGAATAGATGAAAGATAGAGTGAAGACTAGAAAGTACAAGGTCTAGAATTTGGGAAGGAATCACTCATAAGATTGCGGGTCCTTTCCACGGTAAAGACCGCGATGGAAAGACCAAAAAGTCAGCCCATTGGGCAAAAGCAAATGCCGCTTCTGTGGATCGAACACAGTGCCTCCAGAATACTCGTTTTGGAACAAGAAGGACAGAAGTTGACTTCAGTCTGGCGCTCTCCCAGATGAGCTAAAGCGGCGACGTCACAAATTCTGCTACGTTACGTATATAATTCAAGAACCAAGACACGGTACAGCCAGCACGATACGATAGGCACGCCGCCGCTCATCCAAGACGGGTGCTAGATCCAAGCTCAACCTGGATAATCATACAGTGTTTGCTGTGTCGGATGGCATCGGCAGCGTCTCAATTCAAGCTGTGCGGAGACCACGAAATTTGACTGAGGCGATGCGTGTCTCGGAGCACATGAAGCTTGGGGTCTGAAATCGAGCTCTGTGTTTACATGTCTTCAACTACATAAACCCGTCATCATCCCCGCCATATCCACAAGAGCTACTTGAGGGCCATTTGCTCCAATATCTCCCATTTCAGTGCCGGACAATACACACACTCTTGAAGCAAAATCGCCATCATGGAAGCCGTACAAGGTGAGGCACACGATCACATGCAACTCAGCACGATCACCACTAACAATATACCACAACAGACTGGGCAAGCTACCTCTTCCGCAATGGATACCTCACCCCCGGCCTCTTTGGCCCTCTCAACACCCTCAACAACATCTTCCACAAATACGCACTCCCCACCTTCCAGTCGCTACTCGAAAAGCCCGATCTCACAAAGATCGCCCTCATGCTCGTGATCCTCTACATCTCGCTCAAACTCGTCAACATGCTGGTCCAAAGCGTGCTCTTCTGGGTGCGACTCGCTTTCCGCATCACCTTCTGGGGCGGCCTCGTTGTGCTGGCCTTCTGGCTTGCGCAGAGAGGTGTCGATGGTGCGGCTGAGGATGTGAGCTATTGGATTAGGATGTGGAAGGGTGAATTGCAGCACTACAAGAGCCAGGCAGAGCAGATTGCATACGAGCACAGTCATGGTTACGGAGGCAAGCACGGCTATGGTAGTGGTTACAAGCCTGCCGCTTCCAAGAAGCAGTGGTCATTCTAAGAGTTGGATGCGATACGGCAGAACATAACAGCATTTTGGGAGTTTTACGGCTGGGTTGCGTCGATGTCACGAGACATTATACGTTTGAGGTCAAGATGGTAATCGAGGTGTGGGAGACAAGCTACTACAGTACTGTGGCCAGTATAGAAGATGCGCATCACCATGCACGACTGCGTTGAGCACGTTGGAGTCTGTTACTATGATTTCTCTTCCTACCTCATGATTTACTGCTACAATATCCTACGAACGTCTGGTTGTTGTTGAGAGCTTACATTGTATTTGTTCAGCTGCTCGCGTGAGCAGAACATTGTGTGGCCAGATCGAGACTGTCTTGGTGTCAAGTAGATTCTCTGAAGAGAGACGGTGTGGATCATATGTCAATGTTGGTCCCATGCTGTTTACAGAGTACCTGTACAGTCGCATCTCAGTAGGGCAGAACAAGACAACTCCGTCGGATATCTTCCCGTGTCCGGATCAGTCCCTTTCACAAAGAGAAGGGTCAGTGTAGATGTTTACGCTCGAAAGAAATATTGCCATTGGTTGCAGCTCTTCGAAATTGAACCTCGGTCAGAATGAAAAAACAATAGTTACATCCAATCATGAAGAATCGATAAAGGAAGCTCGTGATGTATCAAAGCAAAGTCGTGGCAATTTGCGGGGCCGGGTGGCTGAGAGAGCCTCGATGCGGCAACCTACCAGACAATGCAAGGAGAAGACCATATTGTATTGGCTACCATCAGCTCTCGGCTAGTCCGATGGCTTGAAGACATGGACAATGTTACTATACGATACAGGCAAATGTGCTTGACATCACCATATGCAACCAGTTGTTGAAACAGAGTTTCTCTTTAGCCAACAAGAGCTACAGTACAATATCTTGTTTTGGTTCGGGCATTTGTTATTCCGTGCATCGAAAGAGGCCGAGAACAAGATGTTGAAAGCTCTACCACCGAAGATGAGTCAGCGCAGAGCACAGTAGTACGCGTCATGCACGCGATCTTCGCGCGTTAGACGCAGGTTTTGGGGTTATGACCAGCTTGGAGCTCAGGTGCATAGCTGCAGGAGCGTTAAGCAAGCCTCATTTGACGATATCAGGCTGGCTCAACGAAGTGCTGGCCTTTGTTGATTGAAAGCGATGTGCGCAAAAAGTCCTGAACGCTCAATCGACTCCAGTCTGATCATTGCCGTAAGAGGTCGTGGCTTGTGACAGCAAGGCTTACAGCAGCTCTTCAGAGCCTCTTGAAGAAAGTGGAGGAACACATGGCACTGCACAACCCGGCGTGTGTCGAACCACGCAGAGAGCGCAGCGGATACGTGCATCAGATCCCGGTGCGGGCGCTGGACACTGGGGTAAAAGAAAGGTGTAGAAGACAGAGAGGAACAGACTTGAAGAGGAAATGCAAACAGAAAGTGGATGATTATTTTGAGTTGACAAGAAGCGAGACGGAGATTGAGGAGATTCCTAGCCGTGACTAGGGGAATTGAAGGATCGGAGTTGGCAATGCAAATATAAAGACTCACGAGGCTGGTGCATACGCGCGGTTGCCGGCGTTGGATGATCTTGGATCGTGGAGTGAAAGAGCTCGAGTCTTTCGAGTCAAAGGAGCATGTCCTGGACAGAGAGAAATGATATAACACTAGAAGTTAAGATGGCGTGTGACTCTTCACAGCTTGCAGAGAAACCGCGGACCGCATTCTCGGGAGGAAGCACTCTGGCTGAAAATTGGTGCAGGTAGACAAGGAGCACATGACGTGAGGCAAGCGGCGGAGACGCGCTGGTTGGTCGGGCATAAGTGCAAGAGGCAGCAAGATCGCCATCCGACACGATTTTGTCGCTTCATGACGGGCGCATCTGATCCTTAAGACTCTGTTTGGACTCTGATTTACTCCTTCTTTTTGGACAAGCAAGTAAAGTCTCTGTGCTACGCGTGGCCGCGCCCGTCCCAGTGTCTCGTCCTTGTACAGTTAAGCTTGCTTACCCAGGTACTACTGCCTCGGTCGCCATCCCTTGCTGGAGCCCCGAGCTGACATACCTTTCTAAGGCAAATCGAAAAAGTGAGTTTAACGCTGTTTTATTGGCTGCACTGGCGAGAGTGGCGACGCGGCATTGATGTTGGAGCGCTCTGTCTCGCGTCTGTTTCCTGTGCTCTTGCAGAGTCCGACGCTGACTGGAACGCTTTTCTGTAGCCGAACAAAAGCCCGAGCCAAGTCTTCAGACTGAGATCGATGCGCTCGACCAGGCCGACCTCATCGCATCAAGCATCGCCCTCCGTCCGCTAGCTCCAGCACACACAAAGACGCGTCGCTCCCTTGCTTCTACGCGGCCAACCAGTGCTAGATCTTGGTCCGCTTCCCGACACGCAGGATCCGACAAGCAAGCTTATCTGGAATCCCTGGGCTCAAGCGACTCCGCCGACCTGTTTCGCGCCGCCAATGAGTCTGTAATCCTGCACATCGAGTAACACGGCCGACCACCCATTCACCGCTCCTGCGCCAGTCCGCAACAGTACCCATCCTTGGGGCATGCTACCGTACCATGGACGGCCATGGCACAATCAACCCTGCTGCGCTCAACTCAAGTACGTCGTCGCGTCCGCCCTAGCCCAGCTCGAGCGCTACACCACGACACCTGCCCCAGATCCCCCACTGACTCAGTCGCGTAGCCCTCGACAACTCGGCATATAACAATCGAGGCGTGAAGCGCAGCCGCTCCCCGGCCGAACCCGCCGACACCGGTACGTCCGCTGCCAACGTTTCCATCTCCTTTGCGCGTCTAAACGCTGACGTGTTAGACGACTTCAAACCTCGAAAGCGCGGTCGCCCCCCAAAGCAAANNAAGACTGCCGACAGTCCGCAAATGGCATCCCATCCCGTCCACCTGTCGTCGCCGCTTGCCGTACAGACTCCCCAAATCAAGCAAGGCGCAAACCAATCCTCACCTTCGCAGGCTTCACCCCAGCGACAAACTCCAGCTTCTGGCCAAAAGACAACTGTCGTCAAGGCCTTGCCTACGGTCAGAGACCACACCACGGACCAGCTCGGCGCTGAGGGCGACGAATACATCCCGCGCGAGATTGACGAAGCCGGCGAGAAAAAGGTGTCAAGCAATGGTTACCCGCTCGAGGGTCGCGAGTATCGCATCAGAACTTTTACCGTGCCCAACCGAGGCGAAAAGTTGTTTATGCTCGCCACCGAATGCGCGCGCGCGTTAGGATACCGTGACTCGTACCTGCTCTTCAACAAAAACCGATCACTGTACAAGATCATTGCCAACCAACCCGAGAAGGACAACCTCATCCATCAGGAGATTCTACCATATTCGTACCGCTCCAGGCAAATAGCAATTGTAACGGCAAGGTCGATGTTCCGCCAATTCGGGAGTCGCGTCGTTACAAATGGAAGACGAGTTCGCGACGATTACTGGGAATCCAAGGCAAGAAGCCAGGGCTTCACCGAAGAAGATGCAGCTGGAGAAAAGCGACCTGGTGCCGCCAAGCAGAGAGAAGCTGCAGCCGCCGAGGCCAGCACCAACACGACCGCCTTGACTGCCATGCCCCACACGGACATAATATATACTAATGGTCCTGGCCTCAATCAACCCACTGTCCCGGCAGGCATTCACCCTGTGACGCTTGCACCTCTCAGCATGGTTAACATGCCATCTGATGATCCCAGAGTCGCCGACTTCCGTGGCATCGCTCGTCCGAGACAGGAACTCACTGGACCTGCCTATCAAGATCGCACTCAACCCAGCAACCCTCAGGACGTCTTCAACCAGGCAAACCAAGCGGCTGAGTTCAACAAATCTTTGACTCAACAACGCGTTGTGCGCAATCAATACTATGAAGACTACTGGAAGCGTCCCCACGAGCCCCCGACCCCTCCTCCCCAGCCGCATATGCCCGACACCACCGACATGGGCACTGTCGCTCCTCACAACCTACAGTCGCCTCAGAGCCGCTTGCCATCTCTTTCGCAGCCTTCCATGATGGCACACCAACAAGCCGCCGCTCACATGATGCCTTCTCAGTTCCACCAGCCCAACCAACAGAACCCTATGCAGTCACCCGTCCGCTCCATGCACCAACCGCTTCCATCGTCGCAGATGCATCAGACATCGCCCGCCATGGCCATGGCTTCTATGCGCCAGCAAACTCCCTCATACGGCTACCAGCAGGGCCAGATGTGGCCGCCTTCGCAGCCTCAACCTTCTCCCTTGTCTCAGGCTCACAACATGGCTCAGTTCCAGCAACCAACTCAACAAGCTTCCATGCATCCTCCTCAGATGGCCGCCATGGGTGGCTACCCTTCTATGAACCACCCTATGAGCGCCGCTGGTGCCTTTGCTGGCATGAACCGTAACATGTATCAAGCTAGCCCGAGCCCACAGCACTTCGCCATGCAGCAGCAACAGCAGCAAGGAGCTGGTCAACCTCAGCAACAGATGCATGGATGGGCACCTCCATCTACCAACCCGGCTGCCGGCATGACTCCCCAAGATTGGCAACGCTACCAATAAAATTGTGCCAACTTGACTATAGAGCAAAGGCCTCAGCTTCGCATAATACCCTCCATCCCTACCAATTTCCAAGTCTTTGCACCTCACTGGCGGATGCCTCTCGCCTTCCAGCCGTCGGTTTCACAACCCTCCCTGATGGTAGTAAGGCTATTCAGTCATCACGTCGTGATGACAGCCTGACTTCAGTGTCTACTTGGTCTGCAGCGTTTACCCGGCCAACTTTTGGGCATTGCTCTGGGTGAAGATGAAAACTGCAAATGAGCTGCTTCGTTGTTCACCTGGTATCGGAGGAATCGACACTGGTTAAGCAACACACGTCGTCTTCGGAAACTGGCTTGCTCGGTGTATTGCTCTCTCGTACACTTTTCCTTGTTTATCTCGTTGTTGTTTTCGTTACTCAAGGATTCCCCTCGATGCATCACTGCATATGTCCTGCACCTTTTGCCCAACACCCCTGTCTGTTTACTCACCTCACGGAATTTTGCTCAACCCACTACCCACTACCCACCCTGCACTGGCGTTTTCTCGGTCTCGTTTTTCCTGTTCTTCACCCCGCTTTATACCTTTCCATTCTTGCTTTTTATCTTCCTTTTCTGTCCTCTCATGATATCGGGTCCACTATACCAAAGACACACCACTACGAAGAAAGAGAATTTGCGTTTGGTATAAAACACTGGCTGCTGGTTGCTTTGTGGGAGAAAGAAGAAGAACACAAACGTTGGGTCTGACTGCTTTACTTCTTACTATCGGCGGCTTTTGATGAAACTCTCTGGAACAATACCCCTTTTTGCTTTTTCTTTTTAACTATTACCCTTTTTTGGGTCCTAAACCTCTGTACTGTTGCGTACTTTTTATTCTCTTCGAAACTCTCTTCACCTTCTTTGTTTTTAACTTTTTAGTCGAATTTGACTCCTTTTTTGCTTCCGAGATTTGGTGCCAATAGTCTCCTGCTGTGAGTTTTGAGCGGCTGCCGTCTTTCTTTCATGTCAAACCGTTCTTACGGACACTCGAATGCAATCGAGAGAAAGATCACCTTTAGAATCAATCCGGATCTTGCTTTCACGTAACACAGGGCCCCCTCATGGGGGGTTTGCGGGAAAAAAAAAGACTATTACACAGGAGCTACAATGCTAGTGGCGATCCTGCGAGAATCAATAAACATAGGAGTTATCGACCGACTTCCCACAACAAAGGACATACTCGGCAAATAGCCACGTGATCGAGATGAGGGTGAACAGAAAAGGCAGGCACACTGAAGAAAGGGCGAACGGTCATTGATCCAGCAGACTGTTCTAGGCAGGCGGGACACCCAAGCACCTGGGCAGTTGCGAGCGAGCTTTTCCAATAGGGATGGAGAATTGAGGCAAGTGACGACCGACAACAGTCACGTTGCAAGCAGCGATACAGCAAGGAAGGAGTGGATCGTCCACATGATCAGACTCGATGACTTGATTCTCGTCCACAAACGACTGACACGAGAAGCCACGAAAGAACACTGATTGACTGGCTAGAAAAGCTGGCTCGGATTGTATAGACTGCATATCTTGCATCCAAGAGTAAGGTCACAACTTCTATACCAACAAGACCTTTATCCAGAACTACAAGAATCCTCATCCGAAGATCTCGTCTCTTGAAACATGCAAATGCCGTTTCAAGTCATGCAGATATGCAACCTGCTCTTTTTGGCCCTGAGATCAAGCAGGAGCAGCAGTGATGCCGCATTTCCTCAGCGTCTCCCTTGCCGTAGTAACTTTGAGACCGACCCTNGCGTGAATCAAAATTAGCACAAGTTACCGACTGACTAAACAATGGCATGTAAGGTTAAAAAGTAGGGAGGGGGAGAAGCAGAGACCAGGTTCCCGGGAAGCTCGTAAGCAACCCTCAGAAAAACGATGGTGTGCAGAGACAAAGGACAACCAGGTAAGGGGGACAAGAGACACTCACCTAGCATCCAAATCATAGGCTTCCCACCTCGCGGCCTTTTCCACCCATCGTGAGCAACTTTCCAATTGCTGTTTGCTGCCTCTCTCACCGCCGGCATCTATCCATTCAATGACGGACATTTCGTAATGCGCCACCGGCAACGACCAATTATCTTTGTTTCCGCCCTTGAACTCAGCCCACTCGTGTTTCAGCACCTGCGTCTCTAGGATCTTGCGAGCGGTTGCTGTATCGCCGAGCCATCGGGTTACCGTAGCGCGGAGAAGTGACAGTGTGGCTAGTTCATCGGTTGCATTATCGTGGCAGCCGTTTTGCTCGCTCCAGGCGAGACGCTCAAGACTGTGTGTAAGGTGCTCCTTTCTCATTCTCTTGAAGCCGGCCCAGAAGTAGATGATTTCTTCCACGGGNGCAATGCCTACAGCATCCACGAAGGAGATACCGCGGGCCTTGGATCGTTCCTCCCACTTGGCGATCTTTCGAGTTACAAAGGCATCGAAGGGTAGTTGACGCGCCATGAAGCGTTTCTTGCCAGCGTGGATGGGCACTTTGCGGAGAAGTTCTGTTGCTCGAGAGGCGTACTTCTCTGCTCTGCCTGCGTCGACTGATTTGGCTTCACGGTAGAGTTCGACGTAGCAAGCACCAGCAATGTAGTAGTAGAGGCCATGAGACCAATTGTTGAGCTCAACGCANCTGTTTAGACACGTCAGTTGACCTTCTTCACCCATGCGTGCTGCAATACGAACCGTCAAGAATGAGGTAGCACATTCTTCATATCTGTGCAGGTACATGCAGTTCAGACTTTTCTCGAACCACTGCAATGCCTCGACTTGCTTCAGCGGACTCTTCTCATGAGTGCCACACATGGTAACAGCATCTTCCAGCCGTTTGTCAGCAGCCATCATTCTTGCCTCCTCGAGTCTCCAGAGGCGGGACTGGGGATAGCGCTTGCGCATCTGGACCAGCAGATTTGTCAAGCGTTCTTTGGGATAAGCATCTGAGGTGACGATATCGCAGAAGCCAACAGTCACGTTGTAGTATCCTAGTGTGATCAGACCGGCCATAGCGCCATTGATGTTCGAGTAATGGGTGGCTCGCCATAACATCTGGATACCAAGCTCGCGATCGCCTTTAAAGCCAATGATATAAAGAAGTTTGGAAAAGGCCGGCGGGATCAAGGAGAGCATTAGTTGCAACAGGCCGAAGCAAAGGTTAGAGCCGGAATGGATGAAGAGGTCGATGGGGTGATTGCTGAAATCACTGAAGTCGTCTTCTTCTACCACGGGTGCCGCAGGAGTCTGAGTGGATGATGAGCCAAGACGAATAGACAGATTTCCTAGCTTGGATTCCAGCTCCTTAGACTCCAAGTGGCCTTGGTAAGTCGCGGGGATCGCAGGTGCAGCAATACTCTCATCTGCGTCCACAAAATCATCGTCGTCGTCTTCGTCTTGGGCGACCAGAGTCTGGCCTGATATACTCGGTGGTTCCGAAGCAAGTGATGGGGCTGGGTTGACAGTCGATCTTGTGCTTGTAGTGGCCACAGAAGCAGAGCTCCTCCCCTTCAAGTATCTCTTCTCAGCATCTGCTATCTCTTGCAAAGCCACATATGCCTTCCTCATTTTGTAGAAGCCCTTGATGCTCTCGGAAAGACTCTCGTTCAGGACGGCAACGACAGCACTCATAAGCTGTGCTTCGGCAAGGCAAAGAGCGTATTCGCTTCCAGCAGGGTATATCTTGGATTGGTAGGCATTCTTGTCGGCATGGCGTTGGTGTTCGTAGGCGGCAGACTCGGCTTGTCCTAGACGCTCCGAGGCCTCTCTCATGATATCCTGCTCGAAGCCGAGGGCTGCTCGCAAGAAGGACACGACACCTTGGCCCAACTACTTGATACGCAGTAAGTCGTCTGTTGGAGCAAGAGATGACGCAGGCAGAAAACGCACCTTGTGGAAAGGCGAGTTGCCCTTGGACAATTCTGCTTCGGCCGTCTCGACATCNTGGATATTGATAAGCTTAAGTTATTGGCGATCATGTAGTGAAACAATACCATCATTAAGTATATATGACACAGCAGCCATAGCATTCTCGACTGAGCATGTCGGTCAGTCCACGTGCCATACATGATATGCGTCTAGTCACCTACGTGCCTGAGGCTCCTCAAGAGCACTCAGCGAATGAGTCGAGCTCGAAGCACTGTGCTTTGCAGCTCCCAGCCATTTCTTCATGTTTGCTGCCTGCCAAGTGATGATAGGCAAGAAAGTCAAGACAAATCAAGCATATGCAAAGGAAAAGAGGAACAACTGCTCATGGCACGGCGGATTATCTACCGAACATGACGGACATGCACTGCCATGCCGCACGCGAACCGTGATATCATCGCTTCCGTACTCGTATGCTTTTTTGCGGAGGAGCGACCGGGAGCTTCATGTTTGCTCTGTTTGGCTGCATGATGGCAACACAGACAGCCCACCAGTGAGACCGAGCATCATCACCATCGCCATCAATCAACCGCCGCTCGTCAACACCATCGTCGCCTCGAAAATTCCATCGCATACACACCCTCTCACTCTCACGCACACACAAAACCGCAATCATGTCCGGCGCAGCACAAGGAGATGCCAACACCACAAAGGCCATCGTTTCAGACCGCAAGGACGACTCGCAACCACTGGCTCCCCAGAAGCAGGCCGCTCAGCTCGAGGAAGATGACGAGTTCGNNAAGACTTCCCCGTAGAAGGTGTGTCCTACGCACCCCTGCGCACCCCTGTGCCTTTTCCGTCAAAGGAAACGGAGCTAATCGTTGCGACAAACAGACTGGCCCGCAGAGGAAGAGCTCGGCTCGTCTGGCGCTGGTGCAGGAACCACACATCTCTGGGAGGAGAGCTGGGATGACGATGACACAAGCGACGAGTTCTCAGTCCAGCTTCAGTATGTGAACTTGTTCACGAATACGCCCTCTCTAACCGCATGCTAACTCTACAATCAGAAACGAACTCAAGAAGATGGAGAAGCGTTGAACACATATCGCCTTATGAAACCAAAGCAATCAGCCCACACATGACATACACCACTTCAACGAGTGGCTCAGACCAAGGGCTTGACACGGAAACGGCATGGCACGGCGTCTCGGAGTACTGAATATACACCATCATCAAGAAGGGAGCGGACAAAGCATATACAAGAAAATCAAGCTCATTCCCAAACCAAAAGTCACCAAAGTCATGACTGAGTCGTAACATAATGCATTTCGGACGTTTCTAAAGACTTGCTCTGCTTGCCTTGCCCGTGGTATAAATCAGATCCCGGATATCTCCCATTTGCGACTTGAAAATAAACACTCTAATGAGTTTACTTACTCGAGAGAGCAGTAACACCAGGGAGCTCCTTGCCCTCGAGGAGCTCGAGCGAAGCACCACCACCGGTCGAGACGTGGCTGAGCTTGTCCTCGACACCGTACTTGGCAGCGACGGTGGCAGTGTCACCACCACCGATAATGACGACCTTACCGGCCTGGGCAGCGGCAACAGCGTTGTCCAGGGTGGCCTTGGTGCCGTGTGCGAACTTCTCAAACTCAAACACACCGGCGGGACCGTTCCACAGAATGGTCTTGGCCTCGTCGATGGCCTCCTTGAAGAGCTTGATCGACTCCTCGCCGCAGTCGAGACCCTGCCAGCCGTCGGGAATGCCCTCCTTGTCGGTGGCCTTGCCAGTGTTGGCGTCCTTGTCGAACTTGTCGGCGGTGATGAAGTCGACGGGAAGGACGATCTTGACGTTGTTCTTCTTGGCCTTCTCGACAAGGTCCTTGACGGTCTTGCTGCCCGCCTCGTCGAAGAGCGAGTTACCGATCTTCATGTCCTCAAGGGTCTTCTTGAAGGTGAAAGCCATGCCACCGCAGACGATGAGGCTGTCGACCTTGCCGAGGAGGTTGTCAATGAGCTGAATCTTGTCCGAGACCTTGGCACCACCGAGGATGGCAAGGAAAGGACGCTGGGGCTTCTCAAGAGCCTGGGCGAAGTAGTCGAGCTCCTTCTTGACGAGGAAACCGGAAGCCTTCTGGGGAAGGTCGACACCGACCATGGAGCTGTGGGCACGGTGAGCGGTACCGAAAGCGTCGTCNTAAGATCCTGTTAGTATGCATAGTGTAGTGGACGTGTGTTGAGGTCGCAACTCACTGATGTAGACGTCACCAAGAGCGGTGAGGCCCTTGCGGAACTCCTCAACCTTGGCCTTGTCGGCCTTGACCTTCTTGCCCTCAGAGTCCTTGCTGCTGCCTTCCTCCTCGGCGTGGAAACGCAGGTTCTCGAGGAGGATAATGCCACCGTCCTTGGTGTCGTTGACGGTCTTCTCGACCTCAGAGCCGACACAGTCGTTGGTGAAGGTGACCTTCTTGCCGACGAGCTTCTCGAGCTCAGCGACAACGGGCTTCAGCGAGTACTTCTCGTTGACCTTGCCGTCAGGGCGGCCCAAGTGGGACATGAGGATAACGGCCTTGGCGCCATTGTCGACGGCGTACTTGATGGTAGGAACGGCACCAGCGATACGCTGGTTGTTGGTGATGTTCTTGTCAGCGTCGAGAGGGACGTTGAAGTCGACNCTGCATAGCATCAGTAAAGCTGAGAATTGGGAGCTTGGTGCCCGATAGCAACATACACGGATCAAGACACGCTTGCCCTTGAGGTCGACGTCGGAGATGGAAAGCTTGTTGGAGAGCGACATTGTGACTGAATTGGTATGTTAGACAGTTTGGTGTGAGAGATGGCAGCACAGGGAGACGTACAGAGTTATATACAACAGTGTTGGATGGAGTGTTGTGGTGTGAGGGGCTTGAATCTTTCCCCAACAGCTTTCGCCGGCCGGGACGAGGGGCAGCTTCAGAAATCTGCGTCACGTCCGATGTGCTTCCGAGATTCTGACCATGCCCTCTCGTGTTTTGCAAGCACTATACCCACCAAGAATACGCCGTTTCTGTATAGAATCGCCGTTGGATCACCTGCTTCACTTCACATAGTACCACATGCCCTCCTCTTCGGACCAGAACTCTTCTCAATCGATGTATCATTCAAAATGCCTCGCGCTAATCACTTGTTTATCGATCGGCCCGTAAAGTCGCCAGAACGCCCGCCTATCCCGCTCTATGATGCTTGAAGATGATCAACACATTCTCTCTGCCTGCTCCTTGTGGATGGCTTTCTATGCCTCCTCGGCCGAGTTGGTCAGAGAAAGGTATGCGGTCCATGCAATACCGATAGTAGACACGAACGGNCTGTACATTGTTAGCCATCAGTGTTTCGCTTCGGACTGGGTATCACTTACAATCTGGAATTGACGCGGCATCAATCTGAAGTTGATCAACTGCACAGCAGGCCAGACCAAGTAGTTGGCCTTGAGCGAAGGAATGTAGATATCCTGGAACTTCTTCTGGATCTCCTTGCGACCACCTCCCTCAGCCACCGTCATGAAAGTGAAGAAGGCTCCGAGACCGACGGGTGCGAAGAGAAGTTGGTCAAAGGCCGTTCTCTTGGCTGCTGCGCTGGTACCGGCGCCCTTGGCGAGAGGGAAGATGCGATTGAGGAAGCCGAACCACTTGTGCTGGATGGGGGCCATGATAAAACCGTATGCCATGAATCTTGTCAATCTNGCCCAGCTTGTCAGCACTCTTGAACCCTTGTATCTTGCTCTTGGTTCTGTGTACCTCTCAAAGTCGAACGGTGGAGGCAGAACTTTGGAGTCGGGAATGAGTTCCTCCTCAGAAATTCTACGGTCGACCTCATGAATTTCGATGGCCAATCTATCGGAATTGGGGTCGGGGCCGCCAGGTTTGCGAACGGCGCGTTCTCGGACTGCTGTAAGAGACTGTGCGACAGTGTCGGCTACACCACCAAGCACCNNTGGAGAAGAAGTCAGGAACGTCTATCAGCGAGTGGCCATGGATGGGCTTACAGCGTTGGTGACCATAGTCGTGAGCACTNNGTTGATGAGGTCAGCACACGTTCGCAAAGCTCGTCGCAATGGGTCAATCATACCTGGCCTCGCAGCATAGTAGCTGTTGAACTTGGATACCAGGAAGGAAACCATGATTAACTCGGTGACGAATACTAAGGTGTGTAGGAGAGGCNNTGTCGCGAGAATAGATAGGTCAGCTTCACGGCTGTATAGGCGAGGCAACGACCAAGTGAAACTCACATAGCGCCCGTAAATATATCTCGAGTTCAAATTCCACAGGACCTGCCTGCGTATGCTTTTGAAAGAAGGCATTATCGAATGAAGGAAAATGTGAATGACGCCCGCACTCTTCTGGGGGCTCTGACGTCGGTTCGAAGTGTCGATCGGGATCAGGGTCAGCTGCAGTGGGGCTCACGCAAAGGGACGTCTTATCGTCAGAGAGACTCTCGGCGCTTTGTGTCTGTACTGCGATGCTCAACGGATGCTGTTAAAGTAGGAGGCTGGAGACGTTATAGCTATTGGCGAAACTGGCCATGCTGAAGGAGGGGTCTAGGTCTGTCTCCAGCCAGCCGTCGTCGGTCGCCATCGATCAGCACCCACCCTGCGTCCCGCGCCTGTTTTGGTGGCCGGCCGTGGCATCCGAGAGGAGCAGTTGCCGCGAAGCTTTCAATCCTCCAAACTGTCTGTCAACCAATGGCCGCCTTCCCTCGAAGCAGTTTCATCCATATCATGAGTCCTACAGGCTACATCGCATGTCAAATGACAGACATACACAGTGTGACGAGTCAATGTCTTGATTACTGTAATATCTCTCAGAGCCGATACTAGCAAATGGCTTCTCGGTCGTCTCTCAGAACTCCGTGTGGCACGCTTTCAGCGAGCGGTAATGCACAAGATGGGTAATAGCGAATGTAGCAACATAACTCCTGCTGGCCGACCCATGCTGAGATTTTGTCCCCCTCGACCCATTGTCGATTTGTAACGCCTGTCGCAAAAAGAACAGCTTCAATAATCCAATGCATCCCACGGACACTCATAGTATCGCTTAATGCATGTATCGTCGTGATTTCAAACATCATGCTTCTCGACGCTTCTTCATCCACAGAATTTGTTTCATCCTTCTGCTTCGTGATCATGTATATTGCTCGATCAAGGCTTTTGATACAGCTCCAGGTTTAGGTTGCCTTGTTGGCGGCGGCAATCTTCTCATACAGCGTGCGGAGCTTCTGACCTGATGTGCGTTTGTCAACATTTTTAGCCTGCGGCCACCATGTCTCGGCAAGATAGTCCCTGTTGGTTGTCAGCATGTGTCGTCAATGGTAATGATGGTTCGAAACCTACCATAGTTTGTCCTCGACCGTCTTCCCCTTCTCGGCCGCCTTCTGTTTGAAGAACTTGCCAGCTGTCTGCAGCGACTCCTTCAAACTGTTTGCGCGCTCCTTGTCGTCCGGAATATGGCTTTTGGTGGCCTTCCTGATGCGGCCCAGACAGTCACGGATGGGTTCAACAATACGCCTCATATGGTCTTCAGATGCTGGACGGTCTCCGTTAGAGGCAGCCAGAGGAGAACCAGCATGACGCGGCAGCTTCCTGGTTTCAGAGTCACGGTGGTGTCTGCTTCTATCAACACGCTCAGCACCGCCGGGCGATCCTCTGTGACCGACGTTGTTAGATGATTGGCGACGATCTGAAGAGTTCCGATGGTCGTTGTGGAGACGCGAGCGGTAGGAGTCCTCGCGGTTCATCTTACGAGTCGCGCCAGGAGCTGGACTTGCCGACACACTTGTAGGACGACGACTGCTAGAGGCGAGAGCTTTCTTGTTATTGCGGTGGTGGTTCTCAAGTGCTCTCTTGGCTGCAAGGTTGGTGCCGTTGCTGGTCTTGTCTTTGAGAACACTGAGGAGGTAGTTCGCACGTCTCACAAGATGGACGGCTCCTGGCGATTTGGCGTTCTTCTCGTCAGCCTTGGTTCGTTCTTCTTTGATGCCCACACGGTGCTCCTCGAGGTAGAACTTGTCGCCCATACCAAGATCGGGATCATCGCGAATGGCCACCCAAGCACCGTAACCGTGTTTTGCTATACCAATACACAGCATGCCGTCCTCGCGAGCTCCCCAGGGGCAGGTGTAATGAGCAGGCTTGGAGGCTTCTGGAATGCGGAAAGTGCGCCAGTTGTCACCCAGCTGCTTCTCGACGTCTCGAAGCATACGCATTTCCAGAGGACGCTCGGTCAAGGTCTCAGCGTTCAAGCGTTTGACACCCTTGAAATCGAACAGAACGGCCTTCTTGTCTTTCTTTGTGATGGGCTTGTTAGTCTCACGCTCAAGGGCCAAGACGCGGTCCTGCTCTTCCTGGAGAAGTCTCTTGCTGATGCCCACGACTTCATCAAGAGTACCCTTGAGAAGGTCAACGTTACGACCAACAAGTCTGGCTTCTTTGATGATCTCATTCTGGCGTTCTTCGATAGAACCATACTTCTCGTAAGCACGGATCAAGTTACGGATGTCCTTCTCGCTCATTGGGCGTTCAGGGTCTGCGCCAGCATTGGACTCGTTGTCAGACTCGATGTCAGCGGCTGCTTGAGCGGCAAGGTCTCGAGCTCTCTTCTTGGCGGCACGCTGCTCTCGGGCATCGTCTTCCCTGGACTTCCGCTTTGCGTTTCTGGGTTGATTCTCTTCGATGACAGATTCGAGGTACTGCGCTTCGTCCTTTGCTTTCTCTTCGGCCTTGATTGCCTCGAGGTGCTCTTTGGGAATGATATCATCCCATTCGAGATCAAGCTTGACATCGGTATACTCGAAACTCTTCAAGAAGTCAGCGCCTCCACTTGCTGTAATGCCACCGCCAGCCTGTTCGGTTTGGTGGATCTCGGCGTTCTCGAGAACAGCATCGATATCGAGTTCTTCAAGCTTCTTCTGATTACCCGACTGCTCGAACATCTTTTGTCCACGACGCTTGAGAATACGAGAAAGGTCGTCATGTGCGACAGGCTCAGCGGTCGAGACACCGGCAGAATCAAGCTTGGTTCTGAGCGCCTTGGCTTCTTTCTCTGTCATTGCTTGGTGGATGGTGATGTGTTCCAAGATGAGCTTATTACGAGCGCGTTCCAAGACCTCTTCCTCAACGGTGTCTTTCGACACAAAGCGGTAGATTGTGACAGGGTTCTTCTGACCAATACGGTGAGCACGCGCCATGGCTTGGAGATCCGCTTGAGGGTTCCAATCTGAATCGAAAAGAATGACCGTGTCGGCCGTCATAAGGTTAATGCCGAGACCACCAGCACGAGTGGAAAGAATAAAACAGAAGTCTTTGCTGTCAGGAGCATTGAAGTGGTCGATTGCCTGACGTCTTGGGCCAGCCGCGATCGTACCATCAAGACGCTGGTATTGATGTCCACGAAGGTGCAGATAGTCGCCAACAATGTCAAGCATCTTGACCATTTGACTGAAGATGAGAACACGATGACCATCGGCCTTCAGTCTGGTCAGAAGACGGTCGAGGAGCATCATCTTTCCACTGCTCGTCACGAGAGCCTTGAGCTGATCTTCTCTGCCGGTCTTGCCCTCGAGAATGCGATCCTCGGCGTTAGGGAACATGAAGGGATGGTTACTGGCTTTCTTGAGTTCCATCATGATGTTGAGTAACGACTGTTTTTGTCCCTTTGTGCCGGAGTTTAGAGCGGCGTAGTTGCGGGTAAGGATGTTCTTGTAGTACTCCAATTGGACATCTGACAACTCGACTCGGATAATTTTCTCAGTCTTGCCCGGAAGATCGCTGGTAACATTCTCTTTGACACGACGAATCATATATGGTGAAATGGCCTTCATCAGTTCGTCGAGAGCTTGTCTCGTGGCTTCAGAATCGTCGATCGGAATGTCATCGTTGATGTTGATTAAGCCCGGCATGAGGAAGTCCATAAGAGCAGACAACTCCTTGAGCTCGTTCTGCAGAGGCGTACCCGTGATGAGCAGGCGACTCGGGGCGCCAAAGTCCATGAGCTTGACATAAAGTTGTGAATCTCGGTTCTTCAACCGATGTGCCTCGTCTACAGCCATAAATTGCCACTTCATCTGAGATAAGAAGGCCGAGTCGAGTAGAATGTATTCGTAAGTCGTGAGCATGACGTTGAACTTCGTCTTCCTCGGGTTGCCGTCTACGAGGAGTTCATGCTCGCGGAGAATCTTGCGGGAGGCCTCGTTGCCGTTATAAACAATGTAGTTGATGTCCGGCGTCCAGTTGTTAAATGTGTCGGCCCAAGCAGGCATAGTGGACAGTGGCACGACAACCAAGAAGGGTCCTTCTTGACGACGGTCATGGATGAGCCAACTCATGAAAGAGACAGACTGAACCGTCTTGCCCAGACCCATCTCGTCTGCAAGGATGACATTGTTGCCCTTGCACCAGTTGTGTGCAAGGAAGTTTATGCCTGCCAGTTGGAAATCTCTCAACTGACCAAACTTGATGTAGTCGGGTTGTGTTCGGAAAGGCTTATACGGCGAACGGGTAGCCAAGTTCGACTCACGCTTGTCAGAGGTAGGCAGACGAGACGAGCGATCGAGGTAGCGGTCAATCTCGTTCTGAGCCAGCTCACTGACTAGAGACTCTGGTTCCCATGTGCAGGAGTCGTAGGGAAGAGACTTCCACTTGACATAGTACTCTCTGCCGTCATTACCGATTTGTTCTCCGATTACTCTTTCAACCTTCATGTAGTCGTCTAGAGCATCAAGGTATGTCTCACGGTCGAGTGTGTACTTTTCCCGCTCTTCAGGGGCAACATCAGGGTCTTGAGCCAAGAAGTGTTCGGCCTCGACGACTTTGCGGTAGTAATTTTCGAGACGCCGGAAGCCACGGACGGAAGTGAGCTCAGTCCAAGGCTCCCATGTAGCATGGTAATGTGCTTTTCCCTGCCATTTGATCNNTGGAACAATGTTAGCAGAGCCAAGTGATGATTGACGTAATATACTGACGAAGAATTCGTAGTCGTTCTTTTCGGGGTACTCGGTGTCTGCAGGGCAGGATTGTCAGCGCGTGCTTCAGAGGTATCGAGCCACAAGTGTACAAACCTTTNNGCCTTCGCCAACTCTGTGGTTGAGCACAATATCTATGCCCGGAGAGTTGTCTTCGGCAGCAACCCAGTAGTTCGGTGTCATGTTTTCTGTGTCCTCCTCGCTGAAATCGTCGCCATCCTCCTCGTTGTAGGTTGTGACTTTCCCAGCTTGTCTTGTAGAGAAGCGGAGATCGCCCGCAAGTCCCGAGGCAGAGCGTGATGAGGCTCCTTGCAACCTACGGCGGTGCTTCTTTGCGAATTCTCGACCGCGTGCGCCACCATAAGTATCACTGTCTGAACCAGACTCGGAGTCAGATCGACGGACTGAGGCNTAGAAGCGCGTCCGGGTCAGTAAATAAAGGAGATAGGCGTCAAGGATAGAGGTACCATTGCGAGAGGTGGCCGGCCGTAAGCGTTTGCGGGCTCGGCCGGGGTTGACATCTGAGCCAGAGTCATTGTCGTCTTGCTCTTCATCACTGCTTTCGATCTAGAGATGAGAGTCAGTATTATCCGCGCTATCAGAACGCATAGTGAGACACACGATTCGGCGAGTTGGGCGGGCACGACCNCTGGAGCTGGTCAGCAAGAGCAAGATGAGCAGGACGACAGCTCGACTCACGCTTCGGCGGAGGCCATATAACTCTGGGTTTTCTTGCATGTATTGGTCATCGTCTACATCGGGTTCGGCCTTGCGCTTGCGGGGCACCGACGAGCCATCTGAGGAAACGCTGCTATGGCGGGAATCGACGCTGGCTCTTGAGGGAGGTGATGGAGCGTCGTAATCGCCATCATCAGAACCATCTGCATCTTCATCTTCATCTGACCGAGGACTTGCGACATCGTGCATGACATGGTCTGCGGACTCGGGGACGGCTTGGTCGGGGATGTCATTGACATCTGAAAGTTCGCTTTCGCTACGAGATGGTTTGGTGTCCAGAGTCGCGTAAGTCGGCTCATCAATGGGCGACAAATGGCCGTTCTCAAGAGACATGGTGGAAGAAGGTATGTGGGTAGGTAGCAGAGATGTCTGGCCGGCTGGATGGAGTGAGCAGTCAGCAAGATTGCTCAAGACACATGCGTCGGATTGAGTGGTGAGTTGGAGAGGGTGAGCGCCTGGCCTAGGCGACCGGTTTCCCCCAAAGATATTGCGGTAGGTCTTGTAGGAGGCTCTGAAGATGGATCGAGATGATATCTTGATGGAATAGATCGAGGGTGGACGCGAGTCTTGGATGATGGGTTGACGCGATGTAGGCCGGACGATGGGCAGTAGAGACGTTTTAGACGTGAAACGACGACGGCAGAAGGCAGACGACGTGATCCGAAGGTGATTTGAGCAAAACAGGCGACGGGAGCCTCGCGATATTGAATGGTATAGGCGATCGGCTCCAGAGATGAAAGAAATGCCAAGACCAGCCTTGCTCACGCAAGGTGTAGAAAAAGCAACAGAAAAGAGAGGATGAGCTTACCGGCCATGTGAGACCATGTCCAGACGGTGCGTATGGGCTTTTGGTCGAGTGGGTGATATGGTGCAGGTGATGTCGTGGTGACTTCTTGCTTGAGATTGAACGACGCTCCGACGGACGAGTGAGTAGCGACTGCCCGCTCTGCCTGCGGCTTCACACCCATCAGCCAATCAGAGTGTCGGGGATAAGCTTTGGGCAGCACATTGTTCCGCCAGACTTCGCTCCTGCCACTTCGCGCCGCCTTTGTGTCCTCACTCTGCGTTTGACGACCTCGTTTGGCATTCACTGTCTCGCTGTCCGCTGTCAGCTCAAGCGACACTCCATAACCGCCCAACATGTCGGACAAGTTGACTCGGTATGTCTCTGCGCTCGTTCCTGCGCGCCTGCGAGAAAAATCTGGTAAATTCAATTTCTAACCCGACGTCTACAGTATTGCTATTGTTAACAGCGACAAGGTGAGTTTGCTGCTTTCACTGCTCTGAAATTTGCTTACTGACAAATGCTATAGTGCAAGCCCAAGGTACGCTTCAACCGTCTCATGCGACCAACCACAAAAACACCCCTCTAACCGTCCGCAAAGAAATGTCGTCAAGAGTGCAAGAAGTCTTGTCCCGTCGTCCGTACCGGCAAGCTTTGTATTGAAGTCACCAACGAGTCCAAGATCGCTTTCATCTCCGAGCGTCTCTGTATCGGTTGCGGTATCTGCCCCAAGAAATGTCCCTTCGACGCCATCAACATTATCAACTTGCCCACCAACCTCGAGTCGCAAGTCACCCACCGTTACTCGGCGAACAGCTTCAAGCTCCACAGACTGCCCATGCCCAGACCTGGTCAGGTCCTGGGTCTTGTTGGTGGTAACGGTACCGGAAAGAGTACTGCCCTGAAGATTCTGAGCGGCAAGCTGAAGCCCAACCTCGGCCGCTACGACAACCCTCCTGACTGGGAGGAGATTCTCAAGTACTTCCGTGGCTCCGAGCTGCAAAACTACTTCACAAAGGTTCTCGAGGACAACCTCAAGGCTGTTGTCAAGCCCCAATATGTCGACCAGATCCCCAGAGCCGTCAAGGGCGACAACAGAACCGTTGGCTTCCTCGTCAAGCAGCGTGCCGAGGTCGACGAGGCCAGAGTCGAGGAGATCATCAAAACTCTCGAACTCGACGCCATTCTCGACCGTGACATCGATCTCCTCTCCGGTGGTGAGCTGCAACGTTTCGCCATCGCCATTGTCTGTGTGCAAAAGGCCGACGTCTACATGTTCGACGAGCCTTCATCCTTCTTGGATGTCAAGCAGCGTCTGGCCGCTGGTCGTATGATCCGCAGTCTGCTCGGCCCTACCTCGTACGTCATTGTCGTCGAGCACGATTTGTCCATTCTCGACTACCTGTCCGACTTCATCTGCTTGCTCTACGGTAAGCCCGCCGTCTATGGTGTCGTCACCCTGCCTTCCTCGGTCCGTGAAGGTATCAACATTTTCCTCGACGGTCACATTCCTAGCGAGAACTTGCGTTTCAGAGAGGAATCTCTGCAGTTCCGTATTGGTGAAGCTGGAGAAGAGTTCCTGGTCGACCAATCTCGCCAGTATGGCTACCCTGCCATGAATAAGACACAGCCTGCCTCTGGTTTCAAGCTGAAGATTGAGCCTGGTGAGTTCACCGACTCGGAGATTCTCGTCATGATGGGTGAGAACGGTACCGGAAAGACCACCTTCTGTAGAATGCTCGCTGGTGCCGAGAAGCCCGACGGCACTAAGAGCGTCCCTCCCATGAACATCTCCATGAAGCCTCAGAAGATCACCCCCAAGTTCAAGGGTACCGTCCGTCAACTCTTCTTCAAGAAGATCAAGGCCGCCTTCCTCAACCCTCAGTTCCAGACCGATGTCTACAAGCCCTTGAAGATGGACGACTTCATCGACCAGGAGGTCCAGAACTTGTCTGGTGGTGAATTGCAGCGTGTTGCCATCGTCTTGGCCCTCGGTATTCCTGCCGACATCTACCTCATCGATGAGCCTAGTGCCTACCTCGATTCCGAGCAGCGTATCATTGCTGCCCGTGTTATCAAGCGTTTCATCATGCACTCCAAGAAGACCGCCTTCATCGTCGAGCACGATTTCATCATGGCCACTTACCTTGCCGACCGTGTCATTGTCTTCGACGGTATTCCGTCCGTTGACGCTCGCGCCAACAAGCCCGAGTCTCTCCTGACTGGTTGCAACAAGTTCTTGAAGAACTTGGACGTTACCTTCAGACGTGATCCCAACTCGTACCGTCCTCGTATCAACAAGCTCGACTCCCAGCTTGACCAGGAACAGAAGAACGGTGGAAACTACGTAAGTCTTGCCTATTTGTCCTCCACACTTTGCAACGCGCTGACCTTGATGACAGTTCTTCATGGAAGAAGAGTCTTGAAAGGAGTTTTCCTAAACTCACAACACTGGCCCCCTTGGCGCCCGGCGAAAGGTTCCTCACGCGCCGCTCTGCTCCGACGCAACCGCTCCTATCGCCGCCGCATGCAGTGCTCGCGATCAGGTGCGGATGAGGAGATAAATCATACAGGAGTGGGTGACCAGGATGAGGACGAGGGCGGCCTTTGAACAGGTTACGGTGCTCTGGTCGATCACTCACACTTGATTGCTGCTGGACAGAACCTTGGGCAAACCACTCTCAAGTCGTGAGTATATGACTTGAGCAACAAACAAGGAGCGGCACAACGAAACCATGGAGCGCCATTTATATTACATGACATTTTGATGAACCAAGCTACGGCACGAGGAGCATAAAAGTAGAAACAAGGAATCACAAAAGTTTGACCTTTTCACTTTGAATTTCCTTTTGGTACATGAGACTATCGTTAGGAGAGCAGCAGTATTGCACGTAACGCACCTGTGGCATTGACGAAGCAAAGAGTAGAGAGGTCACAAAGGGGGTTTGGTGGGAATCTGCCTTGAAACTAGCATGTCATCCTTTGAGAAAGAAGAACGTACCGCATGCAAGAGCCTATATCTTCATTCCAAGCTGCTCCATTCTGGCCAGAATGGTTGTCTAGACCTCTTCAATCTCGCCCTCTTCACTGCCAGACTGCAGCGCGGGCTCGTCATTTCCTGCAGCCGAGAGAGCGGGAGTAACAGAACCACCATTGCGGGAAGAGTGCTCACCGACACGAGGGCGCTTGGCCTGTCTCTTTGCATCGCCGTCGCCATTACTAGCCGCAGATCTNTTTGTTGCTGTTGTTCCCTCCCGAAGTGCTCTCGGGCTTGGGGCTGTCNNTCCACCGTCGCCATAGTCCAGTTCGCTGGCCTTTGTGCGTGGGTCGGCACGACTAATGTACGATCTCTCACGTTCGGCCTCGCGTTCTCTTCTTTCGCGGTCGTAGATGGAGAGACTGACTTGTCGCTCTCTTCTCGGATCGCCTACGTCTCTCTCGTAACGGTCATCACGGGCTCTTGGACGCTCGCGGGGTGGTGGTGACAGCCCGCTGATGCTCGAATGGCGGTATTGACGCTCACGTTCGGTTGCAGCACGGCGGCGGTCGGCTTCGTAAGCGTCGACCTCGCGAGAAGGAGGCGAGCGGCTACGACGGCGGTCACGGTCTCGGCGTCTATCGCGGTCTCTTTCGCGTTCTCTGTCATGGCGGCGTAGACGCTCTCGCTCGGCCGCGTCTTCCCTGAGTCTGTTCATGAATTTGTCATAGGCGAGTTGGCGGTCCTCGTCGCTGGTCACGGCCTTGTATTCTTCGCTGCGCTCAACACGTGGACGCACCTGCTCCCATGTGTCCCCGATCAAAGCTGAGGGTTCTAGATGCTTGATGCGCGAACGCAATGCATCGACAGCCTTGCGCTGTTGGCGTTTGGCGTCACGCTCGATGTCTTCTTCTCTGTCGAGGGCGTTTCTATGCAGTCTTTTGTATACCTCTTCCAAGAGGTGTGGGTTCATGGACGAAATGCGTCGGTCGTGTCTAATAGCGTGCAAGAATTCTTCAAGAGTGGTCGAGGGTGTGAAGCGGAAGTGTTCCTCCTTGAGAGTAGCTTCAACTGCAGGGCGAATATCGTGAACCTCCTTGTCAAAGTCGTCCAGGAAATCGAAGAAGATGTCCTGGGGTGTAGAACCATCGGTAACACGGTCCTTGTGACCTAGATTGTCCATCAACTTGATGTAGCGAGGCTCGTTCTCAATCAATGGGTAAACTTCTTTCCACATAGTGCCAGGCTTGATGGTCTCTGCTTCTCTGAGCTCGGCCAGCAGAGCAGCGAAGCCCTCTCTTGCCTTGCGCTGCTCACGAGCCTTGAGCTGAGCTGCACGCTGCTTCTCGTTATGTGCGTCGTTCCATAGTCTACGCATATAGCGGTCGAAGATCTGCAAGGGCTCGGAAGGTGACAGGATCTTGTACTTGGGATCTTCCTGGAAGGTAGGGTGTGAGTGCAGACGTTCACGTGTGTCCATCCACTGCGATTTGGCGTTGAGATCGAGGTTTTGCAGAATGTCGGCAACGCCTGTCATGGCGGCATCGTAGTCACGCTGGCGCTTGTCCTCGGCGGCCTTTCTGAGATCAACAAGGTATTCGTCGAACATGCGGCGCTTCTCGTCTTCATTGTCAGTAGCACGGAAGATGGCTTCGTTTTCCAGCATAGGGCGGGCAGTCTTCCAGCGCGTGTAGTGCTTAATCTCTGGGTGTGTTTGCAGCATAGAGCGAAAGTCTGAGCGCAGCTTCTTGATGCGCTCCTTTTCGCGCTCCTGATCTTCGCGCACAACATCGTCGAGGTATTTCTCGAAGGCGGCCTTTCTCTCGCTAGGTTCCTTGATGGCACGGTATTGAGGGTCCTGGATAGTAGCACGCATAGCGCGCTCCCACGACCAGCCAGGTTGGACACCAGACTTCCTCAGCAGCTTGGTGAAAGCTGCCTCGGCTTCTTCGCGAGTACCATATTCGGGACCGGTAGCGGCAACGGCGATGGGGCCCCGGTAGTTGCTCTCTTCGCGACGGTCGTGGAACGGCCTGCTCTCTCTGGGAGCTCTCTGTTCGCGAGCGGGAGGATGAGCCTGGAAGCTAGACGATACGAATTGCGGAGCCTCTGGGACAGGAGCGGCAGGTGTTTCCCAGCCAGGTGGAGGGGTCCATGATGTCTTTGTCTTGTCGTCCTTGCGGAAGAAGTAAACTCTGCCTCCTTCGGCTGTGGTTTGCGCCCATCCAGTAGCTTTCTGTNNTCACAATTCCGTCAGTGCTGGTTTGTCGGCGACCTTCGCAGCGTAGCTCACCTGGGCCGGAGTCAAAAGATCATCGGGCACTGTGTACGTGTTGATGTTGGCGGAGCGATTGTAATAATACGGCTTGTTCGTCTTGTTGTCGAGCAGAACCTGCCATGCCGGATGACTCTGGAGGGCGCTCATGGTGCGTGTTTAGCAATTGGTTGGAGCGAGTTGTCTTTGTTCTTTCTTTCTCGAACAAAGCGCGCGCTGGAAAGTCCAAAGCTTCAGTCGGCTTTTGCCGCTTTCGGCCTGCGACTCCTATCACTGTGCATGACATGGTCCGAGATCAATACATTGTGAATGCTTCCACATCCTTGTAGTTGTTCGAGCATTCACTTTGCAAGTCCTTTTAGTGTCAGAAGACTCGCCAAATTGTACATGGACAAGATTCAATGACAACATCTACCGCCGCTGCATCACAGCCAACGCTGTCCTTTCCTGATGCTTCCTCTCTCGATCTCCTAATCCCAGAATCATCAGACTTTGATTCTGAAGCACATCTGAAGACTAGTGAACAACTTGTATCTAGAGACACCCTGCTGTTCGGTACGCGGTTAATCCCTTGTTTCAATTTTGGTCTTCTTTGTTAATGTTATCCAGAGGAATTGCTGCCTGTATATCTTATTCTCCGCAGTTCATTACCATCCTTTCAAAACTTACTAGACAATGTCGAACTATACATAACCGCATATGCCACCCAGCCTTCACCACCTCCTCGTCAACAACCGGGCGGTGCTCCGGCTCCTCCACAACAGCCTGTCAAGTTGGCTTTGGACTCAGTCACTATTACGCCAGAAAACAAACCAACCTTAATCCATCTCCCTGATAATGGAGGAGAATCATATGCTGTTTGGAGGACAACCGTCTATCTTCGCTACCCGCCCCAGAAACTTCATCGACCATCCATCCATCTTACAGCATCCGCTGTTTCGAAACCTGCTGGAACACCAACGCTGTCCAAAACTACATCCCAAGATGAATACATGACTAGTGCATTGCCAACTTCCGAAAACCTCCTCCAGTCTTTGCAGCACAGCTCACAAAGTGCTTCGAGTCAACCATATCTTCCATCTTCTCGCATTCATAAGGTAGCACCTCGTGCGACCCCTGAAGCACAGGATGCTCGTCCACTGAGAACTTCGTCAAGGCTGTTCGCTGTTTCCCCAGCTTTGGCGGTCAAGGTTCATATCACCCCCGAGCAAGTCTCGGACATACTGCTCTGCCTAGATCTGGAGTCAGCACGTCATACCGGATATGGCGGAATCCAAGTGGATGAGATCAAGGCAGAAGGAACCAGTCTCGACGTGGAACCATTTTCTGCCGACCTCGCCGCTTTAGGTCTACCAACGACCTTACAAACAGGAGATAGGAGCACTTTTCTGTATAAACTGGCACGAGATAAAGACGCAGCTCAAACTCCAACACACCATCCATCAAGGCCGAGCAGTGTCACATTCCAGATCCGGGCTGTCGCTCGCGTCAGCGACACATGTAGCGCTCAGATCCAGGCTCGCTGGCACGGGAATGTGAACTTTCCATCACTCCAACCGACTAAACCCATGCTACCACGACCACAAAGCGTAGCATCGACTCTCCCACCTCAGGATCTCAATCTGCGGCCATTGAGTAAGCGAATCAGCACAACAACGACTCGACCCCTGAGCGGTATGACGCAGGTCGACTCTGCAGGCGTTACGTTTGCATTTACAGCTCCAGAGAAAGTGATTGAGGGCGAGACATTCCATCTCGATGTGTTCGTGGTGAATCGTAGCAGTAGGAAANAGAGGCTTGCGATTGTGGCCATCCCGAAATCTGCCAAATCGACTCAACCGCACCACGCACTACGTTTTTCCAACATCTCGCGACAAGACAGCCATCATATTGCCGAAGCGGTGCTAGATGATCGCACAATATACTATATGCAGGACCAACGCGAGGCTCAGGTGGCAGAAGTTGTGTGTCTGAATGCAGATGTACGGGTTGNNGGTAAGTCCAATGTCTCACGCGTTCTATTTCTTCGCTAACAGCTTTCTAGTCCTTTGCCTCCTGGAGCTTGTCATAATGTACAGTTGGAGTTTTTGACGCTTTCAACAGGCTTGGTGGGCCTTGCTGCAGTACATGTTGTGGACCTTGAGACCAGGGAGACGACGCAGATCACTGAACTGCCAGATATCATGGTTTCGAAATAGACTTTCTGTGTTGACAGCAGGATCAAGTTCTGCTGAACAAAGTAAATACTACAAGTTACATGGCCCTGAAATAGTTGGGTGAAGTTATCACGGATTACGACCTACCATCTTGAATTTTGGGTTCTGGAACCATACAAAACAGCAAAGCTCCACACCAACACGTCAGACACTTTCTCAAATCACTCTGACTGGAGACAGTATACCGAAGAATAGTCTGATTCGTTTGAAACGATTAACCCAATGGAGGCGGTCAAGTGAAGGTGATGTTTGATACTCAAGTAATTGTTGAGAGTATGACCCTGACTCGAAGACCATGTCTCCAGATAGCCAAACCGCTCCGCTCCGCTCCACCACACGCCAAGACAGACAGCACAGATCACTTCCGCCCTCCACGATCGCATCTCCAAGAAACGCATCGAAACCACCATTCGAAAACTTGTCTATCCAGCACACACATCACCGTCGCAATGGCCAAGAAAGGTACCTTGCACCTGTTGCTGTTCTAGTCCACCTCCTCAAGTCAAGCAATACTAACAACTACAAACAGCAAAGTCACGCACCATCGCCGTGCGCCTCATCTCCATGGCTCTTACCGGCTACTACAAGACCCTCGTGCGCCCGCGTCAACACAGACCCTTGAGTATGCTGAAATACGATCCTGTCGGTACGTTACTGGTCCGCTTTTTACGAATCCGACATCTTGGGGTGTGAAGAGGAGGAAGAGGAAGGGAAAGAGGAAGACATGCAAAAGACAAAAAGAGTAGAGCAAGAGAACTGGCAAGAGATGGGGCTGTTGGTGTGGAATGACAGAACGCAACCGCAATCGCCAAGAATCAGAATGAGAAGGAACAAGTGCTAATTGGTAACAAAATACAGTCAAGAAGAAGGTTCTCTTCCTCGAGGCAAAGCGCGGTGGTTCGAAGTAATCGCATCCATCATATCTGGGACACGACTGGTTGCTACATCCGTGGCAGCACCTTCTACACGAAATGCTGCCATGCTGTTATTATTTTCGATCGTCACACCATCCCCCGAGGATACCAGGGTCATTATTTTATGGAGTCAGGAAAGAGCACGGGTCAGGCGTTCTTGGGGTTCGATATTATCAGCAAAACGATGCCCATATCAGGGGCCATGTACAAAATGTATCATAAGTCATACAACCTATCCATCAAAGCTACTGGTTTGATCAATTCTTCAGCCATGAGCAAGCGACTCTCCATCATCAACGCGGCTGTCCTCCTTTCTCGCCTACTGCATACCGAGCAACCGATTCCTAAACCATACCATCATAGAATGTTGTTCATCGGATCCTCCAGCGGACTCATCTCATCCTTCACCTTCCATCACTTCGCAACATCAACGACCGACGCGTGGACTGTTGATTTCGTCGTTGAAGCGGTTCGCCATGTTCTGCTCCTTGTCTGTTCATTCTTGTCAGATATGTCATATGCAATCAGAACATTATCCTCTTACTGGATCTGGTAGAGCGACGTCTCTGAGGACCTGGTGTTCCAGATGTTGTCTGAGAGCGGCGTGGAGTTGCGGTAACGCTGCGCTGGCTGCTTGATGCAGCAGCAGGAGCCGCCTTTTCTGTCCTCTGCTTCTTGTTGGTCTTCGTACTCTGAGGAGCGGGACGTTTCTGGGGNCTGCGACTGCCACGGATTGAGCTGCTGGGAGCTGAGTACACATCATCGTCATCATCGTCATCGTCCTCAACATCATAAGTGACGCGTTTGCCCTTGCCACTGCCTCCAGTCTTGAAGTTGTGAGGACCGCTGCTCAGTGCTGATACCTTCTTCTGCAGTTGGGAAGCAACTGCTGATTCTTTGGGCAGTTTAGGAATTGTGACGGACTGCAGAGCTCCAGGTCTGCTCTGCTTGGGCTGGCTCTCCGGTCTGGGTGTGAGCTTCTTGCCTACACCTTGTAGATTCCTGCCACCTGATTTCGTAGGTGTCGCGAGTCCAGGCTGTGAAGACATAGCCAGTTCGTCGAAAGCGCTGAGGTCCAACGACTGCTGCTGAGTCCGTGCGCTGAGATCCAGTGAGTGCTGCTGCTGCGTGCTTGGTTCGAAACCTTGGGACTGCTGCTGAAGGTTCTGCGAACGGTTCTGGCTCTGTGTCTCCTCCAAAGCCGCTTTTCTGTGACTGTCATCGAGGTCTTCAATCTCACTGAGAGAAGACGAAGACGCGACATGTTTCTGAAACTCAGATTGCGTCTGTGCCTGTGATAGGTTGTTCTGGTCTCTGAGTCTAACTCCATCTTCATTCAATTCCTCCTGGGATCCAAGACGGTATGCTCTTTGTGAATCTGACTGTGAGGTGTTGGGTCTCGAGATCGTCTTTGGAAACTGCAGATGCGAGTCATCCAGATCCAGCATTTCCTCTTCCTCCTGCAGAGGGCTGTTCAGACGATTGATGTTATGGCTGTTACTCCTGGGCTCGCTGAAAGGTCCGAAGATAGATGCACCTGTGCTTCTTGGCTGCGTACTTTCGGGAATGTCACTTGTGGGCTGAGTTGCACTGGTGGACGTGGCTGAGCTGGTAGACTTCGAGATCGAGCGAGCATTTCTGTTGACTGCTCTTCTGACCTTCTTGGTAGGCGGAGTTGATGCCTGATCCTGGAAATCCTGCTGTGATTGAGAGTTTAGAATCTGTACGGTGGCTGTATTAGCCTTGACATGATCCTCCTTGAGTTTCTCGATGTCCTGCTTCAGCTTCTCATTATTCGAGTCCTTTTGCCGAACCACCTCTTGTTGTTGAGTGTGACGTTCGCCCATTTCCTTGAGGCGACTGTTGGCGTTCTCTAAGCTTTGTCGCAGATCCGAAATCTCGTTCTGTCGCTGTTCGGCCTCATCAGTAGAACTTCTCTCAAGATCCCCAAAGCTAGTCTCAAGGGCACGTTTTGAAGAACTGGCTTCACACAAACGCGTCTCCATGATTTTGAGCCGGTCCTCGGCGTCTTGGGACTTTCGAGTTGCATCCTCCCGGATGGTATTGACAGTGACCTCGTTGGAGCGTTTGACTTCTTCAAGTTCTTGCTCCAAGGACTTGACCTTGTTCTCGGTGGCAGTGATCGTCTCGTTCAGTGACTTGATATGAGAATCTCTCTGCTGCAGTTCCTGTGCTCCCTTCTTCAAGGAGTCCTCGGCCGACCGACGTATCGAATCGAGATCTTGCTGCAGTATCTCAGGGCGACGACTTGTCTCAGCGCTCTCCTCGTTCAGGCGTTTGATTTCCGTGTTCTTTTGCTGCAACTCTTCTGACCAGGCGGCGGGACCTCGGTTGCCGTATGCTTGCTTCAGACGATCGAGTTGAGATTGCAAGTCTCTGACAATATCTTCTCTGGCCGTGAGCTCACGATCGACCTCTTCCTTCTTTTTCTGGAGCCTGAGTTTCTCGTTTCGAAAGTCGATGGAAAGCCTGCGAATTTCGATTTTGTGTTCATTCACGGCCTCATCAATCTGTTTCTTGGCCTGTTCAAGGTCAGCGGGTTCTCCATCTTCGGCAAAAGGACAAGTTGCCTACATCTGCCTCAACTCTGGCCTTCTCCGGACCGAAGTCGGGAATTGCATATCGTGCGTCTTCAAGCAATTTGATCATCTCACCAATCTGACCCTGGATGAGAGTTAGTATACGACCGACACTTGTTCTTCTACCTTAACTCACCTGGAGGTCTCCTTTCTCGCGCTGTAGGGTAGTCTTCTGCTCTGCCATTGACGCAATGGTGGCTATATTTTCCGCCTTCTCACTCTTCAGCTTTTCGAGCTCCTGTTTCAGATTGCTCTCAGACGTGGTCAGCTCCAATAATTTGGCCTTGTCGGCTTCCGCAGAGACTTTGTGCGACTCTAGAGTGGCCTGCGAGGACTGTAGTTCGTCGATCCTTTTTCTGAGCTCCGCTTCGGCGTTGGTTTTGTCGGTCAAGTTTTCTTCAAGCTTTGCAATCTTCTCCTTGCTTGACTTCGAGTTCTGTTCCTCCTCGACAATACGTTCTCGTAAGGCGGTGTTCTTCTCCTTGAGATCTTCCCAAGTCTCGAACTGATCTTTGATGGCCTCAAGAGCTGTCACGACCTTGTTCTCGTTTTCTGAGCGAGTTTTGGAGATGGAATTGTTAGCTTCCTTCAATTCTCTGACGTGCTTTTCGAGGCTGATAACTGTTAGTATATGCCACGCGCCACATATGGAATACACTTACCCCGAGGATAGCTGCTCCACCGATGTCTTTACCGTCTCCATATTCGTTCCAGAAGATCGGATTTGTTCGGATATGACTTCGTTCTCTTTCCTCATCAGCTCGAGAAGCTCGCGAGAGGTCTCGCTCGAAGAAGTGCCCTGTTCGATGAAGGCCTTGAACTCGCCCAAGCAATCACTGATTTTGCTGATGCATCCGTTGAGCATCTCTTCAGTAGAACGTCTTTCTGTCTGGAAAGTCTGGATACGCTTGTCGAAGGCAGCTTGACGTGACTTCTCCTGTTCCAGCGAGCTGGAGATTTCACGGAGGCGTCTCTCGAGATCAGACCTCTCTTTTCTCAAATTCATGATAGAAGATTTGCATTCTCTGATGAGGCTCAGACTGTTGACCTTCAACTTGTCGATCCTTGCGATCTGTTCTGGGAGGCTAGTGACTGCATCCAGATTGGTGGAGATCTGGGACCTGAGCTCTCTGAACTCCCTGTCATACTTGGCTCTGCTGGTTTGGAGTCCCTTGATATCTTTACCCAGGCCGTTGTAGGCATTGATAATGGTCTTGAGCTTCTCAGCTATTCCGGAATACCTTTTGAGACTGGCTTTGAGTTGTGCACATTCGGTTTGAAGGCTCAACCTGTCGCGGTTGGTCTTCTCCAGCTCTGCCTGTTTGGCAGCAAGATCTTTCACCCAGTCCCGCTTCTCCTGCAGCCGCTCTTGCTCTTTCAAGTAATCGGCCAACTGGTACAATTGGGCAGCCGTGTATGATGAAGAAATGGTTCTAGGCTTGGCTGTTAGGTTCGAGTTTCGTACGACGGAGCCAGGTTGTGACGCCTGCCTTTTGTTTTTGGCCACTCTCGGAGAATTGGAGCGGCCAACAACTCCACGTGCAGATTGTTGTGTGTCCACAAGAGTAGGCGGCATCGTATCTGCTGGAGTCTGTGGACACTGTACATTACGATCCACGTTGGGCAATGGTGCTTCGTGAGCATTCTGAATATACGCCTCGGGAACAACTGCTTGTTTTTCTTTGGCGAGTTGAGGCTGCTCGACAGGAGGATCATCCTCGACAGGATGCTGAGTTGTGATGGAGTGCTGTTCTGGGATCGAGTGTGCCTCTTGGTCGGGGTGCTGATCGTCATTCGGGTGCTGAGCCTGGATAGGAAGCTGTTCGTCCATGTTGACGTGGCGGCCTTCAGGAGACTCGGCATGGACGAGTCGTACCTCCGAAACTGGATTCTCGCTTATGTCACGAGGTAAATCATCCGAGGCAGCAGCGTCTTGCATTGGGACGTCCACATCGTCGGTAATTGAGGCCTCGAGCAGAGAATGGGCTTCGTCCTCGATGTTCGTATCTTGTTGCTCAGCACGCTCAGTGAGGGTTTGTGTCGAAACCACAAAGGACTTGGGTGGTTCAGGATCAGCGATCGAGAAGATGTTGTCAGTGTCGGAAGGAGTCTCTGAAAGAACTTCTGTATCCTTGACAGATGCGATTTGAGAGACAAGCATTGTTGCTGGCGAGCCACGTCGGACAGGATTTATGGCTCTTTCACGAATAGGATCGTTTGTCACCATGGTATTGTCGTGAGGTCGAGTCATTGAAACATTGCGAGGAGTAGATCTATAATTGGGGTCAGCAGATGCAGAAAGTCTACTCTAGAGGAAGCACTTGCCTCTTGCGTCTAGGTTGCTTTTGATCCTGCATGTACGAGCGGCCTGAGCGCTGTGAAACACTTCGTCGTGCGTGCGGGTGCGAGGGAGACTTCGGGACCGAAGCATCGGAGATGTCCTGGAATAGAGGTGAGCCACGTGGCTGCGCATCTCTTTGGAATTCGACGGGGGCTTGGATGTTCAAAGTCAGCCAGGAACCCAACCAGGAGAGAACTCTTCCCAGACCTTGTGGAGTCGGAACGACCGAAGATTCCTGTTGACCGATGCGAGCCGAGACTTGGTGTTCTTGATTCGACCTCTCGAATGAGGTAGGAGGGACAGCTTGACTCGACCGGCTCGATTGGACTGACTGCGATTTGCTCGAAGTATTGGCAGGAGGTGCCTCGCGGGCTCCGAAAGAAAAACCTTTGTCGAGATCGAGTTTAGCCTCGGTAAGAGGCTTCGAGATTTTTCTTGTCTGAATGTCAAAATCTCCAGCAGAAGGCGTAGCAGAACACTTTTGGATGATCTCTCTGTCTTGGTGATCAAGTTCGTCGCCTCTGCTGCTGGGTCTACTACTGGCTATGCTTGCGGAAATGCGGCTATCAGATTGGGAATGAGGGCGAATAGGCACTTCTGTGCCAGACTTGGTGGGAACGCTGGTAGTCTGAACGTTCTCGTAGTATGGCAATTCGGTCATACTGTCGGTGGCTGGGCCGTCGGACGAGACGACTCTGGTCATATGGCAGAGGCCACTGCTCGTTCGTGGCTGGCTTGACTCGAGCATGGCTGTGGCAGAGGGTGTCGACCTTCAGGAAAGCGGCCGATCAGAGGAGGAAGGAAGAAGATGGCATGAGAGGTGAGGGGATGCGAGGTGGAAGAGAAAGAACAGAAAAGCGTTGGGAGACATGTGAGCCTGTCGTGCCTTCCTGAGCAGGAGCTTTCGAAGGGAAGGAGCTGCCCATGGCTCACTGCCTGACCCGACGCACGGTCATGATGGACCTACTTCATTTTCGGATATGCCAGTATATATACATACAGCTTGGTACATTAGTAGACATGTTGCAGGTCTTGCCAAGCAATGCATGATTTATATCTGCTGTCAAAATCACTCGAGCTCAAGACACCTTTACGGCGTACGCGCCCTGCATCGAAACCGCACAACCCTTCAGTACCTTAGTGACTAGGCCCCTGCTAATGTTCGAGATCGTCTGAAAGGATGATACGGACTCTTAGCGTAGGAGAGAAGTCAAGGTCGAGGTTGGATAGTGCTTCGGGAGGAAGACAGGTGTTGGCTTGGCAGGCTCGCAACTCCGCGTCACCCCCGTGTCTCCATGATAGTCCATGTTGTAATAATAAGACACTGTACCACCACCACATGTCTTTGATACCAATGCGATATAGCTGCCTAGCCATATGGACAACTGATTGATCTGGTCACACGCGACTGAAAATAGCCCCATCATGGCCGACTCGCTATACGAACTTCTGGCACCGTACTTCGACCGGCCAACACCAGCGTCCACAACACCCGATTCTATACCTCTACCCAATGATCCCACAACGAGCGCATATCTAGCCCGATTACCGACTCTCTCGCTACAGTCTTTGACTACGACTGAGCCCTCATACCTCAATGCTGCAACCCAGTCGAGTCTACGTTCCTTGCAGGCACTATCCAAGCGCTCGCATCGCTCCGTCATCACTGCAACCGACCACCTATCGAACCTCTCCACCCTCCTGCCCTCATTGTACACACAGTCAAAAGAGTTAGAAGATGCATTGCCGAATCTGGAGTCGGCCGCTACAAGCTTTGCGACCAAATATGACAGAAACACCGATAATGCCGTACTCGACAGGAGGAAAAGAGCAATGTTGCTGAGCAGAAACGTGGATAGAGTCAGCGATGTCATGGAGCTGCCGACCTTGCTATCTACTGCTATCAGCTCCTCTTCCGTTGCTGTCACTCAAGGCACTGGAGGCGCAGCTGCTTCTGGTTATGCTTCTGCTCTCGACTTGCATGCTCATGTCAAACGTCTCAGAACGTTGTATCCAGACTCCGATCTGGTAGGAGATATCTCGCGGCAGGCTGATGACGAAATCCAAAATCTTATAACCGTCTTGATCAACGGTCTACAAAATCCCTCGCTCAAGCTTGCTGGAGCAATGAGGATGATCGGCTGGTTGCGACGTGTCGCCCCTGAACTTGCCGATGACACGTACGGCAATGTCAATGGACAGACAAGAGGCAGATCTTTGGGAGCTGCTACAGGGGAAGGATCGTTGGGTGCGCTCTTTTTAGTGTGTAGGCTGGGCACACTCCAGCGGACACTTGAAGCATTAGATCCTCTGAAAGACCTTGCGGATCAAGAAACAAGTCGTCGATCAGAGAACGGTGCCCGCCAAGAAGCCTGGATGGGAGGTGCTCAGACTGAACGTTACCTGAAGAGATATGTTGAAGTGTTCCGTGAGCAGAGCTTCGCCATCATCTCAATGTACAAAAGTATATTTCCTTCAGCATTACCGATACCTGGAATGGCTGGATCAGATATCATTTCGCCTGCTGGCACACCAACACAGACTCCGAGTATTTTGGACGATGCGACAACGTCCTTCTTCGAAGCCGACGATGACAAGACTCCATCGGGACTTGCGACCTTTGCACCACATTTGGTCGACATGCTTTCTGAGACATTACGTACCTACATGCCAAATATTTCAGAGAGGTCGTCAAGGGACAGTCTGCTCACTCAAGTGCTATATTGCGCGGGCTCCTTGGGCAGACTGGGTGCCGACTTTGGTATGATGCTTGCTCTCTTGGAGGACGAATTGAATGAGGAGGCCGAAGTTGGCGATACGGTGCACGTAGACGAGGATGAACATGAATGGGTACAAGTTATGAAAAAGCACAGAGTACAGGCTAGTCGACTAGAAATCCTGGCGAGTGGTGTTGGATCTGGGCGGAAGACAAGTACCAGTCTCGAAACTCGCAGGCCTTCTGCCGTTTCCGGTTAGAGAATGACAGATGACAGACGGACTCATGTTTGCCCACCTCCTCAATCTTGCATGTTCGGTCGAGCTTTGCCGTCTTTGCCGATCGGTTTGAGACTCATGAATGTGCATGTCATGTGTGAGACCGAAAGTACAGCGATGGATCCTACAGCTGCGGATCCTCGAAGGAGGCCAAGATCATAGAATAAAAAGCATGAAATGATTACTATCTTGGCTACTCGGCGAGTCTGACTCCTTCAACTTGGCATGGTGGTCGATGAAGAAGAATCACGAAGTGGCTGGTGTTTGCGGGAGTGGCTTGCATGGAGACAAGGGAGAGCCGCTGGCGCAACTCAAAATCCATGATCCGCGTCATTCTTGTGAACGTTCCTTTTTTTCTCCGACATCGAACCTGATAAAAAATGATCAAAGACATGGCATGCGACGAGCAAGTTGCGTGTTGATACCGTACCCTTGTCGAGGGATCGATCTCGATGTTGTTGTAAAGTTCTGTAGCACACGTTTCATCGTCTGAAGATGACAGTCACTTTATACAGCTGTGAACCAGGGAAGGTGGGTCAAAGAAGTCGGGATGCACATATCCGTTGATTGTCTGCCGCGCGGCCGTGGTCGACTGTATCTGTTGCAGTATCGATCTTATAGCAGCTCCGTTGCGGACACGCGGGATGCAGGATAACTTGGTGACGCGGTCATTAGATGCGTGGCCAAGTTGTCTTGCTCCGCTACGCTCGTCACCTAAGACCTAATCCGCCCATCCGATCCGCCTATTATCCTCAGCTCCTGCCTTCTATTGTTGTTGTTTTAACTGTATCTCGCCAAAATTCTGATTATTTGCGCAACTCGCTTCTTCGACTACTCGAATCTAGGATCCGCTTTTTACCTCTGGTTTACAGTGACAACACGCCCAGTCATCATTGATATATGTCTGCTTAAATTGTTACAAACAGCCAGCCAAACCGCCCACAGTTCGCGATGAAAGGATCAAATGCTCTGGTCTTTGCCAGTTTTATCCACACTTGCACATTAGCTCTCGACGTAGGANGCAAAACATACTTTGACCCTGGCGATGGCGAAGCATGGGAATTGAACTATGGTTATTATCCCTACCGATCATACCAGACCACCGACCTCATCTCGCCACAATTCAGGACCTTGGTTGATTCGCCCGACTGCCATGATGACCGACATGTGTTTTTCACTCCTCGAGGATTCTCTATTTCGGCACCTGGACCGATGATCGTGGACAGTTATGGCGAGCTTATTTGGGCAAAGAGTACAGAAGGACAGGCGTATGACCTGAAGGTGCAGGAATATAAAGGCGAACAGTATTTGACCTATTGGCAAGGTGACGACAGAGTTCGAGGACACGGTGCTGGAGATTTCTATATGGTATGTTTTGTTCAAACACACCGGTATCAACAAACCGCTGATATCTCCAGCNTCAATACTGGCTATCAAGAAGTACACAAGATCTCAGCTCTCAATGGTCTGACAGCCGATCTTCACGAACTGGTTATCACGCCTCAAGGCACAGCGCTACTCACCGTCTACGAGGTCTACCCACATGATTTGAGTGAGCTCCGCGACTTCGACGAAGGAGAAGAAGATCCCCACTACATCTGGGACAGTCTTTTCCAAGAGATTGACATCGAAACCAACGAACTTCTATTCCAGTGGCGCGCTTCGGATCACTACTCTGTCAATGAGACCTTCAAGTCGATAGGAGGTGCAGGCACGCGAAACGAGCCCTTTGACTGGTACCACATCAACTCGGTGGAGAAAGACGAATTTGACAACTATCTGGTCTCCGCCCGCTACACCCACACCGTGACCTACATCAACGGTACTTCTGGCGACATCGTCTGGATCCTCGGAGGCAAGCGCAACATGTTTAAAGACCTCGACGACGGCTCCGCTACCAATTTTGCATGGCAGCACGACGCCCGACTTCATTCTAAGACAGAATTCCCCCAAATGTTTCGTGAAGACATTGCACTCTACGGAAGCAGCAAAGAGGTGGATGGGGTCGTGAAGCAGCTTGTCACTCTTTTTGACAACAGCGCAGAAGATGTTGAACACACACTGGACTCATCTCGTGGACTTTTGCTCGAAATCACCTACCCTTCTGATCATATACCATCATTCCGAAATGACCTCACTGTACGTGATGTCGCCCAGACTCAGGACGACAGGTACTCGGCAAAGATCGTTCGATCGTACGATCATCCTCAGGGTCCACTGTCGACCAGTCAGGGATCGCTGCAGGTAATACCGTCCCAAGACGATAAGACAGACTCCAGAGTGTTCGTCGGATATGGTTACAATGCCCTCTTCTCCGAGTTCAGTGCAGATGGCACACTCTTGTGCGACAACCATTTCGCAACCAACTACTCCTGGGGACTAGGCGAGGTTCAATCTTACCGCGCCTTCAAGTTTCCATGGACTGGTCGTCCTATTGATCCTCCGACTGCGGTACTCTCGACAGATGGTCGGATCTACGTCAGCTGGAATGGAGCCACTGAGACCGGAGGATGGATTCTTCAGCATACTCGTACATTTCCTGCCACCGAAGATGCCTGGAAGGACGTCCTTCACATCGATAAATCCGGCTTCGAAAGTGTCATTGACATCGAAGACGTCGACCTGCTCCGATACATCCGGGTCAAGGCGGTTGATCAGGATGGTGTGATGTTGGGAATGTCGAGAGAGATTGATATGGGTTGGAGTGCTGTTTTGTCTAGCTCTATGCCACAGCTCAACGCCATGAATAGTGTGGCACCCATCAAGCTGGTCATGTTGATTTGCATCAACGTCACCATCGTGTTCGTCATGTACGAGCTCTGTAGGCGGCTCTACACGTGGCGCCAGACTCGCAAGTGGCGAGAAAGAAGAGGCATCCGCCTGCTCCCTGACGCATAAAGACCGGGTTGCCAGGTCTTTTCCTTTCCACGTTGTTGCATAGCGATGCGCGCACAATGTGACTTTCTTTGTTGAATGTTGGAGTTGAAGTCGGAGTTGGCCTGGCATATTGCTTCCCATTCTTGGACTTTTATACGCGGATACCCTTTTCTTTGTCAAGCTTCTTAATGTACGCATTCCGTCGCGTCTGATAATTCATTTTGACCATGCGCCGAGTTGTTTCATCCGTGCGACCAGATCCTTCTTCGTCCTGCAGTCTTCGAAACCTTCCGGCATCACTTCGTCCCAGTCCGCTTTTGCGTAACAACCAAGGCAGACATAGCTTTCCGAGTCCACAGACTTCCACCATGTCTTCAACCCATCCCTACGTGATACGCCACAGCTCGTACACGAGTGCGCAACCTTCTCGGGGTAAATAACAGGACGATGGGATTTCCAAGGTAGCCGCTCACGAAACCACGCAGCACCCCGGATCCAATTTCCAAGGGCTCTCCACCTATGGTATCGGGTCCATGTCTTTTGTATCTTNTCAGTCCGCGCCAAGTTCCTAGCAGCTACTCTTTTACGATACTCCGGATCATTTCTGTACCGATCGAGCTTGTATGCGGATACTAGAGTCAATTGTTCTTCGTACTTTTCTGGATCCTCCTTGCGTTTCGCGTAATTTTCTTTGTCCCAGGTTGAATTGACACATGGGGAGTAAGAAAAGAGGCGCAATGTTTGCAAGGGCCGTATAGATACAGGTCGACCGATCGATTTCCAGAGAGCCGGAAGCATCGTTCTAGGTAAGGTGGTATGGACGGTGCAGAGAAGAGTTGGCCAAGACAAGATTATTGATCAGTGTGCTGTAAGCAGAGTCTGAAGGCACTGTTCTGCTACTTCCAAACATCAGCCATGGCCGCCGATGAAGGACAAATCTCAATGCTCCTCACCAAGGAGTCTTTATGCTGGAGGACCAGCCTTGACCAAGTCTTGTAGCGGGTGTGTCTCGTCAACGCTGCCAAAGTTCGTGTCCTGTTTCGCGTCCGCCGAAAGCGCAGACGAAAATGGCAATTCAACGCGTGCAACCCCAAGGGCAAAATACTTGGCCAATACAAGAACACTCCTGGATTCCACTTTGTCTTTCTACAACTAACTCGTAGGCTATCAACGGGACAATCCTGGCGAGCGGATCGAATGTATGCTCAATTTTGAGACGTGCGTATAGAGGTCTCATCCATACAGCTGAGCAGCATACCTATCTTGAGAGTCTCGTCGAACACGAAGGAATGACTTCGATATATGGCCATACCAAGCCGCGGCTCGCCAAATTAGCGACTAATCGCTCGAAGCCTCAGCGCTCAGGGCTGACTTGTCAAAGGAAGGGCGCGCCCTTGTGAAGAGTCACAGGCATCTAGGTACTCAACGGTAAGCAAAGTCAATGATCTGACCTCCTTCGCTGTTTCGCTATTATTCGTCTAATCGTACGCCCTACGCTTCCCTCTTTCATGATTCTTGACATCCTGTAAATCTTTTCATTCATCGTACGCCCTTGACAATATGTCGTTGTCGGCCTTGCAAGAAGAAGCCGACCTCGGCGAATTCTTCGACTTCCAAAACGCCGTCTCGGATGGCGGTAGCATGCAAACTAGCAATGCCATCGCTGATCTAGATTGTCTTTCTCATACAGTAGAGAGGTCAGCTCATTGACATGTTGCTCATCTACAGATATCTAATCCTGAGCTTAGCCATCTCCACGAGGGAACAACCGTCCCCAGTTTCGCCAACGAGGAAATAGAGGCAGCAGAATACAGCAACTTCTCAAGATGGATTCCTCGATTCATTCAACCGGATGTAGCGTGTACCTACTGTCGAGATCGTAAGCTCAACTGCTTTCTCAGTTATGGAAAGGTCACTTGCACTGCTTGTGTGAGTAATATGCTATCATTGCTGCCTAACAAATTTGCTGATGACATGCCCCAAGNNGACACTCTCTTTAGACCGTGTAGCTTCGTCAACCCTCATAGCCACAATGCGTATGTGCCTCCCGAGGGCGAGTCGTCGATGGGCCTTATCGATACCTTACATCCTATAGGAGAGGATTTCCCTCAAGAACAAGGGAAGTTGACCGGCGTTCGATCACTCAAGTCAATGCCAGACAAGAAGTCCAGCAGTCGCTTCTCCAAGACTGCTGTGAAGGTACTGAGGGGCTGGTTGGATGAACACCAAACCAATCCCTACCCAACAGAGGAAGAGAAAGAGCAGTTAGGTCGTACCACTGGACTGCGAGTTGCTCAAATCAACACTTGGCTCGCCAATGCTCGTCGTAGAGGCAAAGTCGGTGTCAAGAACAAGGCTACCATGGACGGCCTCTCACACTCAGCTACCACTTCGCTATCACCCACAGCGGCCATTGGCATTCCCGGCTCTACAGAGATCGAAATTAACAAGTGGTCCGACATGAACCCTCTCGAGCGATGGAAGCACTCACCTCCTCAGAACGAACCTGCTCCTTTCAATGCTATCGCCGACGCTTTAGACAGAAGAGATCTGCCTGACTATGCAGAGGAGTCAAGCTCAGCATCAACCTTCGGCTGGCAAGGTCTTGAGTCGAGTCAGGATGATTCGTCTTTCTCTCACAACAGAGCAGGATCTGTAACGTCTATGGAAAAGTCTACGTCAAACTCTGCTGCATCATCTGCGGCATGGTCAGGCTCGCGCGATTCGTTCGGATCATATTCATCATTTGGAAGCAGTCTCAACGGCAGGAAAGAACGAAGACGCCGCCGAAAGCTGCCTGGGCCAGTTCTCAAGAAGCCGTCAAATGATAAGAACGTCAAGAAAGACAGAATCTATCAATGTACATTCTGTACAGATACCTTTGTAACCAAGTATGACTGGCAGAGACACGAGAAGACGTTGCATCTGTCATTGGAAAAATGGATTTGCTGCCCTTTGGGCCCTGAGACTCTCGATCCCGTCACAGGCAAAGTCATCTGCGCTTATTGCTGCGCTCCAGAGCCAACCAAAGATCACATCGAGTCACACAATCATCGACAATGCTTGGATAAAGGATTTGAAGGTCGCACATTCTATCGCAAGGACCACCTACGGCAACATCTTCGACTTGTACACGAATCGAAACTTCTACCCCACATGGAAGACTGGAAGACAACCTTGTCCAACATCAACAGCAGATGTGGCTTCTGTGACAAGCGGTTCAACGTGTGGTCAGAGCGCAATGACCACTTGGCTGCACACTTCAAGGAAGGAGCTAGGATGAGCGATTGGAGAGGCTGTCGAGGTTTGGATCCGGCTATCGCTGCTCTTGTCAACAGCGCCATGCCGCCTTACCTCATCGGCATCGAGACAGACTCGGTCAACCCTTATTCGGCTACATCCCCTTATAGATGTATGACCCTCCAGACACATCTTGATAATGGAGGCGCGCCAACCACATGCTGGGAGATCTTGACAGTACGACTTGGAAAATTCGCTAAAGAGCAAACTGACAAAGGCATCATCTTGACCGATGAGATGCTGCAGACACAAGCACGTCGCATCTTGTACGACTCTGACGATGCCTGGGACAACACCGCGGCCGACAATCCTGAATGGCTCGACCTTTTCAAGAGAGCTCATGCTCTGGATTACATTCCAACCGAGGTGTCGGGTATCGGCAAGAACATCCCTGAAGACCTCGAACTCTATACAGACCTGGGTATGAGGATTCCCTTCAGCGTGCAGCTAGCACATGGCATGTCAGTCGATTACCCACCAGCCGGTCTACCAACCGGGTCAAGGTACTCTGAGCTCTCTGATTCGAAGATACCACAAGATCGAGCAATGGCTTTCGAAGGCTTATGTACAGGACAGAATCTGCGCAACGCTTCTACCTCTGGCAGATCATCCCTGTCGCAGCCTTCACCGCAGCATGGCTCCAACTTGGCCACACCAGCAACTTATCAAACCTATGGTTCGACGCCTTTGAAACTTGACACACCTCACGATATGGGCTCAAACAGCTGTTTGGATGCAGATATTGATGCTATCTTGGCAGAAGCAGGCTACCAGCCAGCACTTCAAACCAGTGCAGGCGATCGAGCTCGGCAGCAGAATGCAGAGTTGGCACAGAAGCACGGACTAGATTCTTCTCTGACGCCAGAAAAGGCACAAGAACAGCTGGCCGAGCTGAATGCGGCCATGGCGGTGCTCACCGAACAGGCAGTCTTGTGCGATGTACCGCTATCCGGGCAGTCGTCAAGCACATTGGACTATCCAAGCTTGAGTATGGAAGCAGAACTTTCAGACTTTCTCAATGTTACAAGCACATCAGCCGATGATAATCTTNTTACGACGACTTGGGAGAACAAAGATAAGTTCGCAATCAGCACAGCCGGACAAGGTTCTGGCATGATGGCGATGGATATGACAATGCAAGACTTGGACATGAATGATATACAGTTTGGAGATATGGATTTTGGCTTGGGCTTTCAATGAAGAAAGAGTAGAAAGATAATACAACCTGATTCAGTTTGCGTGCTCTTGCCGCTTTCAGTCCTGCTGCACCAAGTCTATATACTCTTGGCATACGTATGATCATCACAACCTCCACGTCGACTACTCGAGCATCTTTTCTTTGTCAAGTTACTGACAAGACCATCAGCATGGCTCTCTTTGCGTTATGCTGCACAGCAGACATTTCGATTGATGTACGTCTCGGGTCTAGACCCTCGACAACTAGCGCTTACCGCGAGACCNAGAGAATCAATAGCTTCCTCGAGCAGACCTATCAGAATAGCAGCAAGATGGATTGTCAACCGAGTCTCCTGCTTGTCTCATCCCTGGACAATTGCAATTCACCCAAACCATCTGAAGCTACTCGAACACCGGTCAGTCCGTTCACGTCTCCATTGATTGGCAAATCCTTCGGAGACCTAGCAAAGATGCTTCAATCAGTTGCCGCACAAAACATCATAGATTCAAATCTCTTCGCCGTATTAGATGAAAGATCACTGTACGAGAACTCTGGCTTGATCGTTCAGGCTAAGGATGATGTGGTGGACTATGTGCGTGTGCACCTTGACACTATCAATGCAGAGTTGATCCGGATCCAGGTGATCACAGGCGACATTGCAGAGACTAAAGTCTTAGCTGGGAAGAATGGAGTATTTAGAACCAGATCGGATGGGAGTAGGAAAGGAAAACCTGCGGTGAGGAAGAAGTTGGGTACATAACTTTTGGTGGTGACTGATTTGAGACTTCTCATGTGCTACACTCCGCTAAGAATACGGCTATCGAAATGAATTCTAATGGTTTGAAGCATATTAATCTCTTTTGAGAGTCGTTGTTTCGACTTTCTCAACACGATCTAGATAGGTACTAAGAACTTATGACCGGCTCAACCCAGGGAGAAGCTGGAGAATGCAAGTCTCCAAGAACCTGAATATCACTTTCTCCAGAAACTCGGGGACTTTGTGTGATACATTACAGAGGAAATCTTTCTCAAAAGTTGCCGAGACGTGCGAGAAGCTGTAAACATCTTCAAGGAATCCAAAGAGTTCATGGGACACGCAATTTGTATCACTATAATCCCATGCCTTGCATTATCAACAGTTCTACGAGTTCCATTCCACCAGGCAGGTCCTGTCTAATTCCACGGCAGAGTTTCCTAAACATATCACCCTTGACAGAGAAAACACGTCATAATCTATTCGATTCAGTCACTCTCCATCAACCCAATCACAGTGAACCCTGGAGGCCCTCCTTCATGACAGGGAGATGTGTATCTAGCCTAGTAGCTGTGATTAAAGGGTTTCCTCTTGGTACTTTTCTGTTCAGTGCACCAGGGTTCGAATCAGGGGCTGCTTTAAGCATTCTTGGCTTCGTCATCCCTATTTGAATATACCAAGTAAGCGTCTTCTCCTCGCACCAAATAACGCCCTTTGGCGCAAGCTCTTCCCAGCGGACGTCCAACTCTTGAAACAGACTTGCCTTGTCCCAAAAACTCGTATGGCTCAAGCAAGCAAATTTCTGTCACATCTCATCAGCGTGAATCACTCCAGCGTTTGGGCAATTCCATATCCCTTGCTCGGTCGCCGCTCTCACGCGACAATATCTCTTATAACCCCTCTCAGTGCATCTGACGATCTTTTAGGCAGTGTCTCTGGCAACCCTCCTGACAGTGCCTCCCACAATCCTTCTGACGGTGTTCCTGGCAACTTTTCTGACAGTCTCTTGGTCAACGTTTCGGGAAATATCTCTGGCAAAGTTCCTACTCTTGCAACCATTTAATCCGCAAGATCTCCTTTCAGATTCGACCGCGAAGTTCTGGATTGCAATGCTCGAGTGTCCGCTCTTCGAGTTACCGCCGCGTGCGGTATCAGATCACTATCTCCATTTAATACTAAGGATGTTCTTGATGTTTCTCTGGACTTGCAAGAAGTCGTTCAGTCTGTTGCCAGAGCCGCAAACCACGACTACGCAGTGCTAATAGTGGCAGAATCACACTTTAGAAGGTATAGACTTGATCAGTAGCACAACAATGTATCCTCCCTATGTATGGATATAGTCACAATCTTATAACTTACTGTGTTTTCATACGCTACAAAAACGCACAATCTCTTTTCAAACGGAGGTGCCACCATGGAGGTGGTTGAATGAAAAGCTTCATGAATAATATCACCCTGCTGTGGAGAGTTTTGTGCATTTCTATAAATACATCGTGACTGTCTATCGCACATGGAGAGGGTGCATCGACTGCTAGAAGCGGACCTTCACAAACGGGCATGTCAGCTTTCAAAAGGCATCCGAGTCAGACCGATCCGTCTTTCTACAACGCGTCTGGTGTGAACACGCTGCGTCGCATTCCGAGGACATGACGACCTTGGGTATGGCCCTTCGTTCGCTCATGCAGTGTGCATCACGGACGCTATGTATGAACGACCGGTGTTGAAGCATCGGCCGTGAGTGATTTTGTTTAGAATCAAGCCAGAGCAGAGTAGGAGAGGAGGACCTGCAGTGAAGAACAATTATTGTTACTTATATAGGACCTGCAGTGAGGAAGAAGCTGAACGTCGCGTATAGTGCTCGGCTCGTCTTGCCTCTTTTGTGAGCCTGTGACGTATGCGATTCCATGTCCATGACCATGACCACGACCTTTCTAAACAATCATGCAAACCACAACACTTCGGCAAATCTACAAGCATTGACGTGCTACAATCACCAACTCATCATGTCGTGGATGGACTCATGTACGTCCTGTGCACTCTGTATCGTGGGAGGCACGTTGATCCTAACCAGCGTATAGGGTCTCGGCCAAAGAAGAATGCTGCTACTCCCNCTCCGCTGTACTTGACCTCGGATCAAGTACGCTATTGCCATACGTGTGGCAGAGTTATCGGTAAGTTGCTTTACCTGGAGTTGCTGTCTATAGTCACTGTCAATTGATGGACTGCGAGGAAACTTTGGTGATATCATGGTCGTCACAATGTCAGAGCAATGCACCACAGGATCAGACTAGATCACTCTTACCATTACACAGTGACCCAAACACAAATATACAGAGTCAAGACTGACCAACCCCTTCAGNGCTCCAGAAAATCAAATTCGGCGAAAACAGCAGCTACAGAAGTGAAATTTTGCTCAGACCGCTGCAAGAGGCACAAACTACGACCAGCCGACAAACGCATCGAGGCCGCCTTTGCCGCCCTTCTCGATGGCCAGGATGCTTCCCAATTCGCTGCCGTGCAAGGTGACTCCTCAGCACCTGGAGAAGAAATCTCCAAAACTATATCTAATCAAGACAATGGCGAAAAGCCACACGACAAGTACGACTACAGCAAAAGCAGGAAGAAGCAGCAAAAGGTCAAAGGCGATCCGAGGATCCTTGTGTCTTGCAGCGAGGTAGAGACTCTGATCTACGGATCCCGCGAAGACCCGGAAAAGACGTTTGGACGCAAAAAGAACAGGGCCAGGCGTGGTGTTGCTGATGATGATGTTTGGAAGAGCATCGATATGGTGGATTCAGATACCGATACTGGAACTGCAGAGACCGCTTCTGCAGACGAGGACGCCATGGACAGCGGCGGCGCCAAAATTGTGGATAATAGAGGTGTTCCTCTGGCTGAGGCTCTCGAGGGCGATGCGGATGCCGACGTGGTAAAAATCAAAGGCCGCGTGCGACCTCCCCAGTCAGAATCTGATGTCAACGGTTCGGTGGGCGGAGAAAAGGGATGGGCAGAACGAATCAACGAGACACCCGAGATGCTGCAGAAACGAAGAGAGGGACAGAGAAGAGCAGAGGAAAAGGAGATGGTCAAGTGTGCCGCCAGAAGAGCTGTGGTCTTTGGTCTTGAGAGCAGCAGAGCGCTTACCGGGGAGGCAAAGAAGGGAAAGAAAGCAAAGGACGATGAGGATGGAGAAGTCAAGCAGGAAGGAAGAAGGATGTGTGAGGCTGTCATGCACGGAGCTGTCGTTGAACCATCATACGCTAAAGGAGACTGGTCTATCAGATGGCGAGAAGAGTGAGCCACTGCCTGCTCAGCTAGAAGATCAGTCCGTCACATTACATGTTCAATACAATAAATGAACAATATTCAACAAGAAACAACCTCGATGAAAACACAATGGTGATGGTCTGTTTCTTGGAAAGGACAGGACTTTACCTGAACATGACATGTGGTTTGGAGAACTGGTTTGCATGAAAGATACTAGTGGGGTGCCTATGTTGGTGTCTCTGGTGAACGTCTCGGCGAGTGCTGTGCTCACGTACACGGCTTTTGCCATTTGATTCATGCACTTATACACACAGTAGACAGCAGCGAGTCGAGTAGATTAACAGATAGATGAATTGGATAGAACAAAGGGTAATAATTCGTCTTAACAGAGGCTCGTGGGAACTTATTGCGCCTTTTCCTCTTTCGTCCCCATTCATGGATATTAGATTCAGAACAACATGATGAACTCGCAAGAAAAGACAAAACAAGAACAAAGGCAGAGGTCACTTGTGACCTTTAGGGTATGCTTCCAACAGACGAAACAGATGCCAGAGAAAAACAAACAATGGCTCTAAGTGTACAACAGAGAGAAACGCACTGCAACAGAAAAATGCAAAAGATGTAGAAGGTGTGGGAAGGACGGGTCCCATGGAGAAGTATAGGTGTTGGGAAAGTAGCAAGAGAAAGATCATGAAATGACCCACTCAGTACTTCTCTTGACATACTTGTCCATGAGCAAAGTCACATCGCCAAGGATGAATCTGCAGATGTAGAAGCCGAAGAATTCTGCAGCATGGCGAGTACTTAGTTCGAGACCAATATGCGTAGGCGAAGAGTGCTTGAGGCCAGGATCCTCGACTTGACGAGCAACTTGATCGAGCACTTGCGCCGCTTCACACAATCGAGAGACACTGCTCATGTACTCCCTGTGCGGGCCTTCGAAAGAGATGGCTTCCTTGGAGGAGGTGTTCTTATATGCAGTACGCTTGTCGATCGGCACGAAGCTGGTCATGGGTACACTGGCCATGTTGGCGACTTCCTTGTCTGTACGAGTGCTGCTCAGAGGAATGGTGACGCCACCTGTCGAATTCTTGCCTCGAAGCTTGCGCCAAGAGCTGAGATAGCTCTTATTCTGCTTTGGCTCACGGACATCGGCGGTATTGCCAGTGCTGTCAATTTGGACTGCAGCGTCTTTGAAGAGCGCACTAACGCCCTGCACGCCGACCTCGCTGCCAAGTCGTTTGACGAACACAGTCTGTACGCGCTCCATGACCTCCTCGAATACCTGAAGCTCTTCCAGCACCGCATCCGCGTCGTAAGTGTCGACCTTGGATAACTTACCCAAAGCAGCTGTCAACAGATCGCAGTTGGCAATCTTGTCTTCAACGCTCTTGAGTTTGACAGTACGGTTCATCCAGACCTGGCGAGGAACAAAAAGCCGAGTGGTTAAGAAACCACCGCGAGGCTGATTGATGACGCTGGCAATGCAGCGGAGCATCCAGAAGGGTCGTAATAACGTAGGCTCTGGACAAGGTTCTAGGGATGAAGGTGAAAATGAATCGTCGGCTCCAGGTGAGGGTGGTTGGTTGGGAGGGTTGAGGAAATTCTCAAAGATATGGTGGCCTCCAGAAGCCGAATCTGTGCGGGTAATAGATATAGAGCCTCCAGGCGGGGTGATATACCTCCTGAAAGGCGGTGCTTCTCCGCCGCCCGGGAAGGCTGACATGGGAGAAGCTGGGGCAGTATCAGTTTCTTCCGAGATAAAGCCTGCTGTTTCCCGAAGACTGAGAGACGACTTGTTCCTGCCACGGAACATCCTTGGCCTTGGCGAACGGTAGCTGCTGTTGAGGACATCGCCGCTTTCTGGCAGGCTGTCTAGAGACATGGATGTTGCCGTATCCGAAGCGGCCGACCGCATGTGGTAAGGCGAAGCAAGCGCTGCCTCCACGCGACGTAAGCTAGGAACCTCTGAGATTCGGCGGTCTGCATCCGCTTCATCCTCTGCGGCCACGCCATCAGCTGCCTCCTTGGGCTCAGTATTTGTGTAGCCACGTGACCTGAGAGTAGGCTTGCGCGAGGTCTCAATTTTGAGTTGTTTGAAGTTGGGACCGGCTGTCTTTCGGCTTGGAGTGGTCGTCTGCTGAGCTCCGCTGGTCTGCTCAGAGGATGTTTTGGAGATGTCGGTTGCTAGCGACGAAGAAGGTGTATGGCGAGATACAACATTCTCTGCAACAGTTGACAGCGAAGTGCCTGCAGTTGTCCGATTGGACACTTGCGAACTTTGGTATGTGCGGCCAGAATATGTACTTGAGTCGGACTGCCGCGGCAGAGCAGACTTAGATTGGATATCAAAGTCGAAGCCGTGATCTATATAATCGTTGGTTATGTCTGCCAGAATGCGTTCCTCTTCTGCCTCGTCGTCGTCTAGCTGACCGTCAAACGTAGCATAATAACCCAGAGAAGATGCTGTAGGTAGATTTGAATCCGGCTCGTGCGTTGTTTGACTGTCTTGGACAGGAGGCGGAGGATCTACGAGGAAATCTTCATCAACTTCATAGCCATCTTCATAAGCAGCTTCGACTGCCGCATCGAAAGCAGCATCAAAGTCGAGGCTAGCATGACTGATAGTACCGCTTATGTTTCTACGGTGTAGTCCTCGCTTCGGCGAACGTTCATGTACTGAGAACGAAGGTGAGCGGCTGGATGTGGTAGTATTGGATGGCGAGCCAGATGATCCAGACTCGTCTATTGTGTCTAACCAAGATACTGGATCGACGTTTTGATGAACTTCCTGAGACTCTGCTGTCGTGGGTCTCGAATCGAGCTCAACAGATCCTTCGTGTTCGTCATATCCTCGGGGNGTTAAAGGTCGCGGCATCAATGCAGACTCAATATTGTAGGGACGAGCAGTTTCATGACTAATGGTAGAATCTCTGAAAGGAGATCTTGATCGTTCACGCTCCCACAATGGGCCCAAAAAGGCGCCAGGGGTAGATGTGCCTTCAACTTCCTGGATGGCACTGGTGAGAAATGAAGTACGTGGACCATGGCCAGGAGAGATGGCCAAGAAGGAGGTAGGTGGGCCATCCATGGGTGAGGGCACAACTGAGGCGTGCTCGGAAGGCGGCGCATCGATGATTCGAGTCAATGTGGCAGTCTCGATGATGGCCGAGCTGCGGTCCGGGCCAGACACAGCAGATATCATGGACTCGTTGCTCATGGGTCTCGGNGGAAGTTGCTTATCCCTCCTCGTGGCTTGGGTAGTCAATTGAATCTGCAGGAGTTCGTCAATGCGAACGGTGTAAGTGTCGCGGATAGCGTCAAGTTTCCGGCGATCGTCGTAGCCGGATGTACGGTCCAAAACATTCTCGAGCAGGCGACAGGCGTCCTGGTAAGCCTCGAGAGCGCCTTCGTAGTTCATAGCGTTGTCCAATAAGACAGCAGTATTTGCCTTTTCCAAAGCCTTTGACAGCATTATCTTCTTGTCGCCGTTGTCTCTTCCCCTGCCTGAGGCACTTTCGGCGGGACTGGTATCGTATCTTGACATGGAGCCGTTCTGGCGCGATGAGGTGCGCGGCGGTAGAGCATGGGGNGACTTGTCGTAGCTGCTTGAGGCAGAGGCGGTGCTCCCAAAGTAGTCGGAATTGGCGTAGCTGTTGGGAGTAAGCAGACCAGCGCTTGATGGCGTGAAGGTGGCGGCGGTCAACTGGGCTTCGTCGTTGGGAGAGTGATTCGAGATGGACATGCGTGGCGGCAGGGGCTTCTCGAAGCGAGGGGCGCGACGACGATGATAGTCAGGGCTCTGCATGGCCGAAGGGCGCTGGTATGCGATGGATCGTGGTGATACGTCTTCTGGAGACATTTGGGCATCAGAGACATTGCGACGAGCCCAGATGGAGGCTGTGTGGAAGCCGTGGTGTGATGGGTTGGTACGGGGTTGCGAGTGCTTAACTGCCGTCGGTAGAGTGTCGATGGATGCGATGCTGGACGTGGTCGAGTGAGACCATCGGTTCAGGTTGGCTAGGCCATGTGCGTGTCGGTCGGTATGCGACCAGTTTGAAGAGTCGCTGGGGCCGCGGTCACGGACGACACTGGCGCGGCGACTGGGGTCATGTTGGCCATGTTGGTCCTGGTGGGCAGCAATGCGGACGGTCAGGACTGAATCTCCGCCGGGTGAGGGCGCGCGTGCACCGAGGCCAGCCGTATCGTATCGCTCGTAGTAATGTCGCTCGCGGCGCTGCTCTTCGAGCTGGTTGTAGAGTCGGGCGTGGATGTTCGCATCGCCGGGTTGCGTTGCGCCGGTGCGGAGCATGCTGTGGTGTCCTGAGGCTGCTGTGTGTGGTTCGTGTTCAGCGCATGGCGACTGTCGACGATAACGGATATGTTTCGTGGCGTGATTGTGATCGTGTCGTGTCGAGTTGAGGGGCTCGATGGCAATGGACGATGGCAATGGATGATCAATGAATGCTCGAAGGCTCCTCGGAGCACCCTGCGCTGCTGATCGTGGGGTCGATGTCAGGGAATGCCTTCGACACGGCGATCAATGCTTCCCTCCTCAGCCCAATCGTGGCAGTCGTCGGCAGTCGATGTTTTCACACAGCGTGGTATATTCAAATCATGGTAACACCCATGATTATCACGACACTAGAGACCCGCTTTCTGCTGAAAGGGGCGTCGACTGCACCCCCGTTGGCGAGCGAGGGCTCCCTTTTGGTCGGAGCTCCGTCGCATCCATCACTTTCACATGCACCGCGACCTGAAGCCATCAAATACCCTGCATACCCAAACAGATACCGACATCTCCGCATAACACTTCTTTATTAAACTTTGATCTTGTCACCTTATACTGTCTTAGCTACGCTCTTCTTTACACTACACTCTCTCATACTATTCTCCCCAGCGACGCCTTTCTGTTTAAGCCAAGAGCTGAGCAGACAAAGGAATATGGCTGTCCTGTCCACCTACGTTTGTCTGCCGCCTCCCGCCGTACGGATATCTGCCTGCATCTTACATCGGAGCAAACCAGGTACACACTCGTGTACATCATGCATGCGTCGCTTCCAATAGACTCTATCGACACTTCATAATCTGTGTCCATGGTCATGACCGTCCGAACACTCTCAGATAGAAACCACAATCCGGCAACACATTTCCTATTGCGGAACACGCTAGAGAAGCCCGCCATACTCGATACTGCTGGCCAAGAACCCCGAAGATCAGTGTGCACAAGTACAAGTTCCGATCGAGTATACTGTCTTCCTGTTTCCGATGGTTTTGAAGCTCTCTGAAACTGACCCTTTCACGCCGGGCTAATTCCAATTCTACATGTCTTGGATTAGGCCTCGGTCGGAATCCAGTGCCAGGACATGTTTCAGTGAGACTTTGTGCGGAGCGCATGGGAATTTTTATCCAGCGAATCTGCCAAGAGAATGAATTACATATGCATGTCCCTCCAAACAATCAAATACTCGAGGCTTGACCGTGGGGATGTGCGTGTTACAGCAACTTGTCGATTGAGAGGTCTGCTAGCATTAGGCGGACTTGTTGTAGACATCTTCGAGGACCGCGAGCTTTGCTTAGAGCCTCGGATCAATCGGGTCATTAGGCGCTCCGGAACGATGCAAATCATACCGAATCCTTGGCTTGTTCCAATCGCTATGTGAACACCGAACACATGGGGTGGGACTTGAATGTACTTCATCTTGTGTTTGTGTGAGTTTCCTTTCTGCTTCATACTCTCCTCCGGGAGAGGAAAACCATTATAGCCTCGTCATACCTCGATATCTATCCCCAGACTCCGCAGAGATAAGATTGTTTCTGCTTCGTAATGAAGATTCTCGGCCAGCGATGCACAGACGCAGCCTCCCACCAAACCTTCTCCGACTGCGTCTATACCTGCGCTTAGGAGAAGAACGCAACAGCAGTTCCCCTAAGTACAGTTGCAACCGCGACTTTACGTTATGGTCTATTTCAAAAGGCCACGAAGATGATTTCAACGGGTCAGCTGGGGCTTATTGAAAAGCTCGCTCATTCCCTTTCTTCCCATCTCTTTGTTCCATCTCTACCCTCTTCTGTGAACTCCGCTGTCCTAACGCGTAAATTCTTCTCATAACCTATTTCTCCCTCCTACGAGCCATTTGAGCCTATTCCTACCAATCTCTCGCTCACAATGGATGCACCAACCCTCCAGCCTAAGTTCCTGCCCTCTCGCAATGAATTGGGCCTTGTTGCTGTAGGCTTCTGCGGAGGCCAGGTGAGTGAGACCAAAGTTTGCTGTATCCGTTTGCATCTCTGACACGATCGAANNCAGGGCAAGTCCGGTGTCGATGCTGCCCCCATGGCTTTGATTGAGTCCGGTCTCGTCGAACAGCTGAAAGAAGAGCTCGAGTTCAATGTGCACTACGACGGAGAGGTGCACCAATACTCCGAAATCATGCCCAAGGAAGACCCCGAATACCGCGGTATGAAGAACCCTCGCGCCGTCAGTGCCGTCACCCAGCGTCTCAGCGAGCAGGTCTACGAGCACGCTCGCCAGGGCCGCTTTGTCCTGACTCTCGGAGGTGACCACTCGATCGCCATTGGCACCATTTCCGGCACAGCAAAGGCCATCAGAGAAAGAACTGGCAGAGAGATGGCCGTCATCTGGGTCGATGCACACGCCGATATCAACACTCCCGAGACATCGGACAGTGGAAACATTCACGGCATGCCCGTGGCTTTCTTGACCGGCTTGGCCAAAGAAGACAAGGAGGACTGCTTCGGTTGGATCAAGGACGACCAGCGCGTCAGCGTCAAGAAACTCGTCTACATTGGTCTGAGAGACATTGACCGCGGCGAGAAGAAGATCCTGCGTGAGCACAACATCAAGGCCTTCTCCATGCACGACATCGACAGGTAAGTCATACTCTCTGTTCTTCAAAGCATACCATGATACTGATCGTCCATCACANGATACGGTATTGGCAAGGTCATGGACATGGCTCTTGGCTGGATTGGTAGCGACACTCCCATCCACTTGTCCTTCGACATTGACTCGCTCGACCCCATGTGGGCACCCAGCACTGGCACTCCCGTCCGTGGTGGTTTGACTTTGCGTGAGGGTGACTTCATCGCCGAGTGCGTACACGAGACTGGCAGTCTTGTTGCCTTGGACTTGGTCGAGGTTAACCCTAGCCTCGAGTCCCACGGTGCTAGCGAGACTGTTCGTGCCGGTATCTCCATTGTCCGTTGCGGTCTCGGTGACACTCTGCTATAGAGCATGCTAGGCAGTTGAGTGTGGTATTTGGGGTCACAAAAGCGTCAAGATGGCTGCGGTCGATTTAGCGTTGGCGCTGATGTTATGTGTTACGGTTTTGTCATGATAGGCGGTGCCCAGTCACGGGTTCCAATAATAGCCAATGTTCTTCCTTGCTTATGTGCACTTGTCCCTCCTTATCGTCGTCTAATGATTGGATAAAGGACACTCTCGCTCTTGATGGAGCAGCGCTTCCATGTTGACTAGAGACTAGAACAACCACCACTCAACATTTCCCATAAGCATTGAAGCGAAGGCACAACGACGTTCTATCAGGGTAAGGTATTGAGCTATGAGCTATGAAAAGATACGTCTATTCGGAAACCAACAGCGATGTTTGTCAAGAGTACCTAGAACAGACCAGAAAGTCACATTCTATCTCTTCATACAAAATGCCAACCATTCGCAACAATCATAAACCCTCCAACTCTGGTGTGATCTCTCAGATCCAGATATCAAAGCTCAGATTTATCATATCGGCTCTACTGATGTAGCTGCTTCATCTCATCCTCGCCCACGTCATCGCTATTGGATATATCGGCCGCCAGCACAGCAATGCCCGATCATGCATGCGGCCAGATTCTACCAATCTACTGGGAAGCCTTTGGTTACACAGGACCAGCGTTCGTCCATCCACAATTATTTGCTCTCTTTTCCATCGGTCACGTTCTTGCAATCATGACTTGCCAGCTATTTCGTCCATCTAAGCAGCCAGGTACTTTTGCACATACAGCTCAGATGCACACAAGCCTACAACAGTGGTATCTGTGAGCAACAACAAGTACGAAGCAGCTGAGGTTAAGGCATTCGATCAAGGGAAGATCCACGGCTGAAAGGGCCTTCGCTCGTGCGCCGGAATGGTGGGTTCTCATCTGCCCCTCTTTTCGACCACATCAAGAACCTCTACTCATGAATGACGATAGCCAAATTCTATCAAGACTCCATCACCAGTCTCACCGATCTTGACTCCATCCACATCAGCACAAGAGTCTTCTACAGAACTGCCTTTACACAGTCCATCCTGTAGAAAAGTTTCGCAATCAGGATCGGAGGTATGGTCAGATATCGATGAAGGCCTTTCAGCCCTACAGAAAGAGATCACCCCACGACAGACAAGCGCGAAAACCAGCAGCAGCCTCTGTCAAATGTGCAACAACACGTGCCTTTCAAGGTTGCAAAGACTGGTCGACGCTTGTCAAATACTACTGGCGACGAAGCTATGCTCATGAGGAGACATGGACCTCGTAAAGTGCCTGGCGATGTCACTCGTCCTAAAAAATCTGTGATGGATGAGGAATCGCGCACCCATACTCCATCGACGCTCACAACTTCCTCTGAATCTACATGTATCTCTGGTAGATCTAGCGGGAGCGATAGGACTTTGAGGCGGGACACCTTTCCTTCTACAGAGATGAAGCCTGAGATGCCTTCACAGGACCAAGAGCATCAGCAATCAACAAGTGGAGGACCTAGGACTGGCGAGCAGTGGACACCTTCCTCGCCGAAANTTTTTGAGAATCTTGAACATCAGGGCCAGCCATATCAACATGGTCCTACAGCACAATGGTTTGGTCCGTCGACACCAGAGAGTGTTGGCAGACCACCATTATTGAACACTGATGGCTCTGCTTCCTTGCCCTCGCCTCAGTCTATGCGCTCAGCATACGGTTCACCTAATGCTTCAGAACCTCCACTGCTCCGACCCACCATGCCACCGCCTCAAAACAGTGGTTGGGCTGGTCAGCAAGGCGATGATGTCTGGAGTCAAGGAGCAGGTCGGCCTACACCCACCCCAATCCATTCAGGTGTATCTCTCTTCCAACAGCCAAGACACCAGGTTGCATATCCTGGAATGAATACAAGAGCAGGTCCACTGCCTCAGAACCCTCGATCCAACGTCAGACTCGAGGATCAGGTAGAAGCTCTTCGCGAACACATTGCATCTCAACAGAGACCCATAGGCCCCAACTTTGGAGGTCCCGCTGCAACACCAGGTCCGTATTGGCAACACGCACAGATGTACCCTACCAGTCCGCAGATGCAGCGAGCAAGTTTCTCCCACGATAACGGTCAATCTTTGCGATCAGTACGGCCTCCTCAAGCCGGCATACCGTCGCCTGCCGCTACGGCTTCAAACTTTCCAGATCTCNAAAAGACCACACTAGAAGGCTACGAACTTCTAGCAGCCAAGCTGACAGATGGAACCACTGGAGCGAGACCGATGTATCGCAGTTTCGAGCACTTACATCATCGATTACTTCTGTATCTGCAAGACGAGATCTGTGAGTACGAAGAAGAACTTCGCAACCTAGACGAATGGATATCTCAAATCGGCCTCGTGGTTTCTGAAGGGAAATCGAAGCCTGCGTCAAGGCGCGCGGAAGCACGGATTACACCTGCCGACAGCGAGTTGATGTTTAGGAGGAAGTTTGTGTTGGGTGAGATTTTTGTCAAGCTGGAAAGATATCGTAAGTCGGTGTTGATGTGAGGGGCTGAGTATTTGGCTGATGAGAAGTAGATTCTGNCTGTTGAGGCCTATTGCAGCGCATCGAAGGAGCTACACAGGCCGCAAGGAGCAGAGGTAGCACGTTATCGCGAGTGGATGACAACCCACCGTCCTGTCGATATGACAGAAGCAACGTTTCTCAAGCACGATAAAGACCTATTTGTGCTTCCTCGCAGGAAAGTTGAAGTTTCGACAATGACAACTGCGACTGCTGGTCTGCCTTTGTTGCTACTCTTGCCATTTCTAGCTTTTGCGGTGATGCCCAACTTTCTCTGCCGAATCCTTGCAATCTTTGTCTGCAGCATGGGTCAATGGATACTGTGCTCCATCATGGATATCAGACATGTTTTGACTGCACGCGAGTGGATCTTCTCTGCAGGCATGTAAGTGCAACCATCTCATCGGTGTATTATCAGTTGCGAAAGGCTCATTCGATATTCTCGCAGATACGTGGCTTTCATGACACTGATCGCTGCTGTGGCTCGTTGATCTCACACCAAAGAAGAAAAGCAATAACCCCAGCTGCGAATGCTGGAGTCTGCTTGCGGACACATGCTCGCTTATTCGAGTAATGTGGAGTGGAAGCGGCAAATCACGACCGACAGTTTGGACGTTTCAGGTAGGCGCTAGCAAAGTGTTTCATGGGGACTTTCTGGAAATGCCGAGCGGAGGAGTCGTTTTTAGCATCCGGCTGCAGCGCAGAGTCCGGGTTTTGGATCCGTTGAGAGACACGGTCTCGTCCCCTACTCCCGCACACCTGAACGAGACATGAGAGCTGCAATTTCGGAATTTTTGTGAAGTGAAGAAGGTGGAAGAGTCAGAAAGCTGGGCAGTGGTTGCATGGTGGTCAGGGGCTTGGCCGTGCGACCCTGATCAACGCACGTTGCAGGTGCGATCTGCGAGCCGCATGCGGACTAGGGCACGGCTTGATGGAGAAGAAGCATCCGAGCAACAGAGTCAGATCAGGACATGGATAACAGAAAAGACATGGGGTCCAAGTCCGCTGGATATTGCGAGCTACCAAAGGCCGCTCCTGTAACCGCAGAATGCAAGTTTTACTATCCATGTCGTGCAACCTCTGTAGATTAAGGCGCAGGCTTGGGACATGTGCCTACAAGTTACAACAAAGAGAAGTGGCCATTGACTTTTGTCTGGAGCCTCGATTTCTCAATGCAAAGACGTTGATGTCAGAAAGTGGTCGGCCAGTAGCTAGGGCGTCACGATGTGCCGCGGCGCTGAGCAGGCTGGAAGCAATGGTGGAAGAGAGTGCTTCGAATAAGGTTGCTCCCAGCAAAGGGGGGCCATACAAAGGGGACGTGCAGCTGGTACAAAGAGTCAAGGGTGGTGCACGATGGTCGCGAGACTTGTCAGACAGAAAGAAAGCATCGGGCTGCTGCTCATTAGTTCTTACATTCCTTTGCTTCACTTTTCTCTTCACGACACTTCAGCCGAGACGTGGAATGCCAACAGCGCACGTGTGATTGTTTGACGGTTGATTGCAGCGAAAAGCACTTTAGTTTGGCTCACATCAAGCGTACGGGAGCCCGAGCAACCCGATCCGCCCAAAGCAATTGTCATCCACGCCGATTCCTGGCTGACCCTCTCTTCCCAAGAAGCAGCGCAGCACTTTGTCCGAAGCGGACAGCGCAAGTGTCGCTGTACTCGTACTCGGTCTCTGCTCTATCGCGCGTCTAAGCAGCGTCTTCTGCTACCGTGTTATACCCTCCGACGCATTCGCTCTCTACTCTACTCCACTTTCCTTTATTGCCAGGCTCGCATCGACCGCTCCGAGACATCAACACAAGGGGCAATATAGTGCTGCCGAACATCGAGGCGCCCGTCCCCTCCTACGACTTAAGCGATTGTCGACTTAAGCGACTGTCTTTCAATTCATGTCGGTCGCAACATTGCATGCGCCATCGCGGGCTTCTACATCGTCGTCTTCATCCTTCTTGCCCATGGTCGGCCGACAGAACACGCGCTCCTCTCACGATGGAGCCAGGTCAACGCGCACCTCGAAGCGCTACTCCATGACGGCCTTGTACCTGTCTATGAATGCCAACCCGCGCGAACTCGAGATTGAAGATGACCTTGCTCGCGGTATGTCCTTCGCTCGATACCTGCTGGGCGCTTACTGACGGTCTCACANNGCCCAGAAAGTCCTCCGTGACCTCAAGTCAAGAATCTCGTCCCAGTCCAAGAAGAACTTTGTGTTGGAGAAGGATGTGCGATACCTCGACTCGAGAATTGCCTTGCTCGTGCAGAACCGTATGGCCTTGGAGGAGGTTCGTCCTGAAGCCTGTCACATATCTTCGAAGCCGGCTGACCCAGACACAGNNCGCAACGAAGTAGCCGACCACCTAGACGAGTCCGACGAACTCACCGAGGGTGCCTTTCCCAACGACGACAAGACGCAGAAATATGGCAATCTGTTGTTCCTCCTTCAGTCCGAGCCGAAACATATTGCCCACCTGTGTCGCCTGGTGACGCTGTCCGAAATCGACCAGCTGCTGCAGACAGTCATGTTCACCATCTACGGAAACCAGTACGAGAGTCGTGAAGAGCACCTACTGCTCACCATGTTCCAGGTCAGTCCCGTGTCGAATTTGATCCGCTCTCGAAGCAGGGTCTAACCTGTTTGTTCCANNCAGTCTGTTCTGACGTACCAATTCGACAACACGCCCGACTACTCCTCCCTTCTTCGTGCCAATACCCCCGTTTCCCGCATGATGACAACCTACACACGCAGAGGTCCCGGTCAAGGTTACCTGAAGACAGTCCTATCCGAAAAAATCAACTATGTTACTAGCAAGCTGCGCGACGTCGACCTCGAAATCAACCCGCTCAAGGTGTACGAGACTATGATGGCCGAACGTGCTTCGGTCCGCGGTTCAACCTCGAGTCTGCCCNCCGGTGGCGTCACTGCCGAAGAGGCTGCTGCAAACCCTCAAGTCCAGGCTATCATCAGCCGCAGGGTTGGCCAATTGATTCAACTTGCCACCTACTTCCTTGACACGATTGTCAACGGAATGGACGAGACGCCATACGGTATTCGATGGATATGCAAACAGATTAGGAGTCTCTCGAGGAGAAAATATCCGGATGCCCAGGACCAGACAATCTGTACCTTGATCGGCGGTTTCTTCTTCCTGCGTTTCATCAACCCTGCCATAGTCACTCCCAGGTCGTATATGCTTATTGAGCAGAACCCTGCCGAGAACCCTAAGCGCACCCTTACCCTGGTACGTCCACAATTGATGAGGCCTCGATGCAGCATACTGACATGATACCTTCTAGNNGTCGCCAAGATGCTCCAGAATCTGGCAAACAAGCCCTCTTACGCCAAAGAACCGTACATGTCCGTACTTCAACCCTTCATCCAACAAAACAAAGAACGCATGAACAAGTTTCTGCTCGATTTGTGCGAGGTACAAGATTTCTACGAGACGCTGGAAATGGACAACTACGTCGCCCTCTCCAAAAAGGACCTCGAACTGCCCATTTCGCTTAACGAAGTTTACGCTATGCACGCACTTCTCGAGAAGCACACCGAGGAGCTGGTAGTAAGAGACGAGGGCTCGCATTTGAAGATCCTCCTGCAAGATCTGGGTCCAGCACCAGCACAGCTACCAAGAAAGGAAAACCGTGCCATCAACCTCCCTTTGTACAGCAAATGGGAGACAGCACTAGATGATCTGACGGCTGCACTCGACATTACTCAAGAGGAGGTATTCTTCATGGAAGCCAAGTCAACCTTCGTCATGATCCTTCGCTCGTTGCCCTCGAATGCAGTGGTTGCGCGACGACCACTTCGTCTTGACAGAGTCGCTGAAGCAGCCGCCACCACAAAGAACGACTCGGTCATGGTGCGCAAAGGTATCCGTAGCATGGAGCTGCTGAGCCAGTTGAACGATATGGGCATGATTGACAAAGCGGATAATTACGCTTCTCTACGCGATGAAGTAGAGCAGGAACTGAACCACCTCGGCTCGTTGAAAGAAAAGGTCCTGAACGAGAGTCAAAAGCTCGAGGAGGTGTACCAGACAATCAGAGATCACAACGCATACCTTGTCGGCCAGCTCGAGACTTACAAGTCATATCTTCACAACGTCAGAGGACAGTCCGAGGGAACGACCAAACGAGTTCAGAACCAGAAAGTGCTTGGACCCTACAAGTTCACGCACGCGCAGCTGGAGAAGGAAGGCGTCATCCAGAGGAGTAATGTGCCCCCGAACCGACAAGCGAACATCTACTTCAATATGACCAGCCCGAGTCCTGGAACATTTATCATCTCCTTGCATTACAAGGGTAAGTCGAAATAAGCCAAGCTCCACCACTCAGAGACTAACGACTTCACAGGCCGTAATCGCGGACTACTCGAACTGGATTTGAAGCTCGACGATTTACTCGAGATGCAAAAAGACAGCCAAGAAGATCTCGATCTGGAATACGTGCAGTTCAACGTGTCAAAGCTGCTCGTCCATCTCAACAAGAAGTTTGCACGGAAACGAGGCTGGTAGGTGCAGTCGTCAGTTCTTTTCGTCTTCTAAAGTAATCTGATCGCGATGAAAAGAAAACAACGATATAGGTGTCTGTGGCTTTTCTCGGAGCAAGGCATGGGACATACGGCATGTTACGGCGCAAATCTAGGGACGGACGCGATGATTCTATTTTTTCTTCTTTCTTTTTTGCTTTCAGTGCGGTTTTGGATTCTGAGATACCCTTTTTCTCTTTTCACAAAAGAAGTAATGGAGGAGCAGCGAGGCGGATAACGAGGAGAGGAGTGCGAGCATGTGTGTTTTGCAATCCACGGCATACTCTCATGGATGGCAAAGGAAGAGCAAGAGGCAGTGGGAAAGACTATCAGTGTCTTTTGGCTGGCCGAGGATTCTGATTCCAATTCTTAACATGGCAGTAGTACCGGGCGGGTTCCTGGTCTTTTTATATTCATCTTCATGGTATTCTGATTTGGCTCTTCTACTTGATTGCAAAGAGAGATGTGCGTATGTGCAGCGAGATCTGCACGTCAATGATGTTGGGTATGATGCATGATGTGAAACGTGCCTGAGTCACATGGGGATGTGGAGCGGGCGGAGGCTTGGGGTTCGGCGATAGTCGGTCCCGTATCTGTCCTACCCTGTCGACCTCGAGGCCTCCCTTCTGCCTATCAGTCCCTCGTCACTATTCCTGTAGTTCATCGCACCCTTCTCACACTCAAGAGTGTTGGTTCGTCTTTCTAGCTTCGTTGTCTTTCACGAGTTGGCTGCAGTCCATATATTACATCTCCAAAGCACATCAATTGCCAAACCCGCAACATCGACGATACCGCAATGTCGTCGTCGATAGCGATACCCAAGCGCAAGCAGCCCGCCTCTGGTAGCTCTGGCTTTGCTTCTGCGTCGTCGTCTTCGTCGTCTCCCTATCCCAGCTGGGCCAACAACGCTGCCTCTCCTTCCTTCTCACCCTCATCGCTGGCCTCGACGTCTGCTTCTCCGTCTTCGGCTTCGACTCCATCCGCCATGGCCCGCTATGCCGAGAGAAGACCATCACTGCTTGGTATGTCTAGAGCAATATCACTCAAGTCTCCGTCACTAACGAGTGTATAGNGCGACTCGCTGAACAAGTCCGAGTATACTGTCGTCAACATCGGCGGCCCCGAGAACCCTCGTCTGGTAAGTTCATCAAGGTGCTTCCAGCTTTGACCGAGACTAACACTCTTCACAGNNATCACATGCATCAAGACATCTCAAGGCTTCGACTGGAACCAGGGTACGTCAAGCTTATTCATCCATCATATCTCCTGCCATGCATCTAACGCTGATCACANNGACATCTTCCTTCCTTCCTACCTCGACTACGACTCGTCAGACCTCGAGCACAGACCCGACCCTGTCCAGGAAATCATCCTCACAGACGAGGAGGCCGCCGCCATTCTTCCCAAGTAGAGGAAGTCCGATTCCAACAACCACAAACGAAACCGACACGGACAAACATGATGATGATAATGGACACAACGGAGTTATCGGCAAGGCAGGGGTGCACATATTGGATACTAGGTTTTTGTTTCTTCTTTCTTACACACGCGGCGAACAAGGCGTTGAAGGCGGATCAGGTATATACATCGGGCAGCTCATTGAGGAGGGATATCAGTTCCAGGCAAGGCAAGGCACAGCGGACGCATGGAACGTGTGCATTTCCAGAGACAAGGGCTTTTGCATTACTGGCTGTGGTAGTCTATAGATTTCGAAATGCGTTTCCCTCATATTGTCCTTGCCCTTGTATAGATCGTCATAGCTTCTCAAGAGTCTTGTGTGTATGCCGAGGTAGGAGTCATAGGGTACCGTGATGGCCTATCTCGGCGATAAGGCTCGCAAACTCCCAACCCCGCATATGCTCTCTAGCGTCTTGGCACTTTTGCTCCATCGCCGTCACTGCTCCAGACGTTTTTCCAAAGTAAACAAGAGTCAGAAAACACACCCTTCAGCACCTCTTTGCTTGCGCACTTATCACAACTATACCATCCAACCTATACGCGCATCCACAACCTCCTCGCGACACCCTCTTACGCACACCCTTCTAACCCACCACACGCAAGCCCTTGCGACATAAACCCAGAAAAACAATGGAAACCACCCACCGCAAAATCGAACTCCAATCCNCCCTCGACCTCACCTACCTACACACAAACGCAACCCTGTGCTTGCGCGAAAAACTCGATCTACATTTCCCTCCTTCGGCCGCGCCAGAATCTGCGTCTGACGATACACTTAAATCCCGCGTCGAGGAATTGGTGTCTGTATATCTGGAAAAGGTGTTTTCAGATGCGAAAGCAAATCTGGCGATCAACGGGTTAGAGGGCAAGGAAATGGAGGAGGTGGTGAAGATGGCGGAGGGGAAGGGTGAAGGTGAGTTTTGCTTTTGCCGATACTCAAGACGACAAGGAAGAAAGAAGAGTGCTGATGGGGAGGAAAACACAGAACTCGAACCCTACGACTCCAAACTCTCGCAAAAACTGCAATCCCTATCCGGTCAAATCGAGCACTTGACCCTCCAACTCGCCAACTTGCGCAGAGAAGCTCCTGCAAAAGCTGCTGCTGCATATACCGCAAACCTTGCAAACGAAGACGCGATATTCGAGCAGAGGAAAAAAGCTGCAGAAGGGNAAAAGATGGCAAGACTACAAGAAGAGCAGGATTTGTGTGGTGTCAGTGGGGTTAGGGATTGGGATGAGTGTCGGAGGAATTGGGAGACGACGACGACGGGGCTGGTGCAGGTCAAGGAGAATATTGGCGCCACGGGGGCGAGGTTGGTGCAGGCGAGGGATGCGGCTGCTTATTTGGATCAAGCTGGCAAATGAGGAGTATCTCGTATTTGTGCTTTATTGCATTGGGTTGGGGAGTTTTGTGGTGTTCCGGAGGATGAGTTCTTTTCTGGCGGAAATACCCCTCTATGATAAGTTTGATTTTTCGTTCGAAGCATCACTGGCCTCCTACCTTCTTTACTTGTACCTTTGGAAATAAGGAAGGTTTTTTCGAAATAGATGGCGTGCTAATGTGAACATAACACAAACGACTTTCAATACGAGGACAGGATCAGAGGCTTCAAGATCATGCTAACGAGCTACTGAGTACGACTCCCCATGCTGCCACAGACAGATCCACCACTTCATCCCGACCAGCTCGAAGTCTCCCTCTTGCCAGGGTAGTTCTGATTGTTGGCCCATGCACTTTGTGCTCTGACGATAGCACTGCCGGTAGTCAAGGTACGGATGGTACTGTTTCTCTGGATCAAGTTTCGTGACATGAGGTTGTGACCATAAGTCNNTGTACAAGACGTTAGTATGGTTATGGCGCACAGAAGCCTGAAGTCCACGCTCACAGAGACGGCAGAAGACAGATTCTGAAGAGCTTGATACACTGGAAGGTTCAACTCCGAGTGGAAGAGGCGACCGCGGCGTTGAACGGTGTCGGCGAGATAGAGCATCGAGTTGACGTACNNTGGAATAGTCAGCTTGTCCTCATTACTTGCTACTCAAATCACACTGTGCCTCACGTTGAAGTAGGCATCGTTAAGTGTGACATTTGTGGTGGCCGGAGAGGANCTGCAAGAGGTCAACAAGGCTCCCAATGATGAATTGAGACCCAAGGCAAGACGAACGACGTTGGACATCATGCTCAAATCTGCTCTTTGAATAGCGGCGCTGACTCCAGAGACAAGATCCGACGTGTTNCTGAGCTCGTCAGTCTTCACCTCTCCCATCAACCTTGCATAACCCACGAGATAAGCAGTCCCATTCAATGAAGCAAAAACAGTGTCCGCCGTGTTGAAAGCGAGGCCCTGCAAGTGAATTGCATCTGTGACAGCATCGGCACGGACAAAGGCTGATAGGGTGTAGACGACCAAGATAAAGTTGATAAGGAAGAGCTGCATAGTGGGTAGCAGGGGTATTCGGGATGGAAATGTATGATCTTCAGCAGGTGGTCGTTGCGAATGCAGGGTCAAAGGATTGTTTGCAGGTACGAGGTCTCGTGCTGCCTTCGGTTACGGGAGCCGATAGGATGATAATTTCAGGTGTGTTCAGAAAGAGATAGGGTGATAGAAGATTGATATGGATGATAAACAGGTGGATGGTGCAGGACGGCGAGACGGACGAAAGAGAGGCAGAAGGAGATTTCATCTTCAGGTTGGCTGTCCTGCCCCCGAGAACCAGGAAGGTGCGATGCTAGAGGGATTCCGCGACATGGTCCCATGCGTCGCTTCCTCAACTGCAGCGCATGCTGATGAAGAAACGTAAAGAACGTACCCTACCTGTACCAAATTTCAAGCTGTCCAGTGCATCTCGATACTTCTGATACTTGAGGTCCTCTGTTGAAGAGGGGTTTTGATGTGCTTGCAAGAACACAAATCTGGCTTGGAAGTTGAGGGGCAATTTTGCGTTCCAAGACTTGTATCGATGAACGGTCCGCACGATAATGTGCGGATCTGATGCATCTCTGTGCAGCTGAAGTGCTGGATATCTGGTTGATGGCAGAGGGCGACCTTTGGGGCACAGAAGCTCTCGAACGTCGCTTGCAAATGATCTTCCTTGAACTGCATCCAAGCGAGATCTGATCAACACACGCCTATTTACGCGAAGTGGATTTTGAGTCGCGGCAAACCAATCACCAAGAACGTCTTGGCTGTAATACGAAAGGTCATTCGACGAGGGCGAGGGCACGCTATTTATTTGCTGCTTACCGAGGGTATCAAGCTTTTGCTGCATGACATGACACTGCGCCCGAGATGCAGATGGCAGAGGGTTTTCAAGGGTGCCGGCTTCCGAGATGCATGGCGGCTGGCTCTTTGATCAACTTTCTTTGCCAGACCGCATCAATGACCGATGCAAGCGTATTTGCCGCGTCTGCGGCTGTCGAATTGACAATGTATATATCCTCTCATGGTCCTCTGTGTTCTCGGGCAACTGACAGTGCTCACCGTCTCTTCGGGCCTCATCTTCAACGTTTCACCCCATTCCCCGGATCAGCTTCCACCCGTTGGTCGTTTGTCGTACATCGTTCAGTACATGTACGACATCACCACAAGAAAGTTAGAAGGAACGAAGAAGCATATTTTGTTGCCTCCAGCCGTTCAATTGACTTGGCGCAAGAAAGATAAAGGCAGCGTAGGCTCCTTGTCTTGAACATCAACATAACACCTAGGAACTCGCCTTCATCATGATGCCGTTTGTGTGGTTGGCGGTCGCCTCTTTGATCAGTGTCTACGCCTTCAACTATTACCGTTGCTACACGCGCAACCTCGCCGCAGCCAAACAATCGGGCCTGCCCTATATCGTAGCACCAGTTTATGCGTTCAATCGATTCTGGCTCGTAACACACAAGCTCTGGCTTCCGTTACTCGAAAAACTCCCCAAATCCTGGACAGATCCATGGTTACAGTACGTCCACATCTAGGTCGCACCACAGCAGTGCACACCCGCCATCCGATGCAGGATCGAGCTGACCGATATTCAGGNNTTCTTGGATCCTGAGTGGACTTGGTTGAAGAGGCACGAGCCCTTCAAGGCCATTGGAAGTGACATTTTCATCGTGTGTTCGCCCGGCAGGAACTCGGTGTACGTTGCCGACCCCGAGGCAACCACACAGATCACCACTCGTCGCAATGATTTTCCTAAGCCAATCGAAATCTACGGCTCTGTGGATCTGTTTGGCAAGAACGTGGTGAGCACAGAAGGCTCGATATGGCGTCACCATCGCAAGATCACATCTCCTCCATTCACCGAGAAGAACAATCATCTTGTGTGGCAGGAGAGTCTGCACCAAGCTCAGAGCATGATGGCTTCGTTCGTTGACGAGAAGGCCGAGAAGGGTACTGTGTCTGATATCGCCGCTGCCACTATGCGCTTGAGTTTGCATGTTATCAGTCGTGCTGGCTTTGGCAGACGTCTGTTGTGGCCGCACGAGGAAGTCAAGGAGAATGGACAAGCTGGAGTCGTACCTGAGGGTCACACTATGACTTACAAGGATGCACTGAGCACACTGCTGGAAAACATCATCGCTGTGATGCTACTCCCGAAATGGTTCCNNTTGGTAAGCTCTGGTTTCGGTGTAGTGATTTCACGAATATTGACAATGTACACAGCAAACTCACCAATCAAGCAGAACAAAATCGCCTACGAATCATTTACTGAGTGGGGCAAGTATATGCGGGAAATGTATCAAGACAAGAAGGCCGAAATCAAAGCAGGCGAGAAGCGCGAAGGCATGGATCTCATGGGAGCACTTGTAAGTGGTGCAGGTATCAAGGCAAACCAAGACCCAGAGAAGGCCGACACACAACTACTCACCGACAATGAGATCTTGGGTAATGCTTTTGTCTTCATCCTGGCTGGTCACGAGACTGCAGCAAATACCCTTCACTTCGCCATGTTGTACCTGGCAATGAACTGGTCCACTCAGGAAATGCTTCAGAAGGACCTGGACGAGATCTTTGGAGATCGAACCATTGACCAGTGGGATTACGACCAGGACGTGCCAAAACTGTTTGGTGGCATGTGCGGCGCTGTCATGAACGAAGAGCTCCGCTTGATCCCACCTGTGGTCGGCATCCCTAAATGCACACCCAAAGGTTCGCCACAACCACTAACCCTTGCCGGCCGCCGTGTGATCGTACCCGAAGGCAGCGCCATCACCCTCTGCACTGTTGGATCTCACCGCAACCCCAAATACTGGCCTACACTCTGTGGTTCGAACGCCTCAGAAGCCGAAGTCGAGAAAGATCTGGCATCTTGGAAACCCCAACGATGGATTCAGGACTCGTCAAAATCAAATTCATCGGCAGCAAAGCAACAACAAACCCAACAATCTGACTCAGAAGAAGACATCGGTGGCCCACAATCGTCAGACACATCTTCTCATCTCTTCAATCCCGAACGAGGAGCTTTCATCCCCTTCTCAGAAGGCTACCGCGCATGTCTCGGTCGCCGTTTCGCTCAAGTCGAGGTGCTCGCTGTACTGGCCGCCATTTTCCGCGAATATAGTGTAGAACTTGACTTGGACAAACATGCAAGTGAAGAGAAACTTGCTGCCATGGACGAAACTTCGAGAAGACAGACGTGGGATAAGGCCAGGAATACTGCGGAAGACTTGCTCAAGCATGGCATGATGACCATTATTACGATTCAGATGCGCGCTGGCAAGGTACCGGTCAAGTTCACCAAGAGAGGAAGCGAAAAGTACAAGTATAACTGATGGGGTGTGGAAAGAAGGCATAGCGCTTGCTACAATGTATCAAAACTTTCTCATCTATTTATCATTCATGGACCTTTCTTGATAGAGCGCTGAGCTTAATCAATGGTTTCTTTTGGAAGGTGTGATCCTTGCCGAGCAGATAGACCTGGTCTAGAAGTAATCGTACTTCCCATGCCTCTCAGCTCGCGTCCATCGAGATTTAGTCAAGTCGCTTGGCTGTGGGTATCACCCTGTCTATAAACTTCAACAACGACATATCTATGTCGACAAGGGGTATGCAACCATCTCACCTCTCTCTATATGCTTGTAACGTGCCTCCAGGTACAATGAATGGCCTTCGGGTACCCTTGTTACATTAAGTCCATCGATATCGTCTAATTCCATAGTCTTGTCAAATAACAATATTCTTTCACTGTGGCTGCACTGTTCTGAACCACGCTTCGATTCAATTGTAGATAATGCCGTTTATCACCATAAATTTATGAATGCTACCAGACTACACGGATACCAATAAGCATTGCTACAATAGAGATATGATATACTCGAGACCTGAATGGAAGAAGATGCAACAACTCATAGATGCAGGAAAATGAAGAACAATGAAAGAGAAACGGCAGCACCAGCCTCATCCAGAGAATGCAGATCGAGTCGGATAGCAACGAACAAAACGTCGAACCTAAACCTATCGACACAACGTGGAGAACTAAAGAACGAACAACATAATATTTGGTAGCGAGAAACAAGTGGACTTTGTATGTGTGTATATAGAGTAGGAGGTAAAGGAGAGACTTGAGCGCTCCAGAGGGGGAAGAAATGCCACAACTGCTTCGAGACACACGATACAAGGTAATGATTGAGAATTGGTAGTTGTGTGAGAGAGAAGAAGTTGTTCATTACAAGAGAGGGAGAGAGAGAGACCCAAGTTTCCGTTTTATTTCCTTTCCTTTGCCTTTCAACCTTCCTAGCTCCTCTTCTTTTGCACCCCTCCGTCTTTCACACCCCGAGACAGCCCATTTCTTTTGTGTGTAGGCATGCTTTCATCATCATCATCAACCCCCTAGGAAGAGCCAGAGGAGAAAAAACAGAACGAAAAAAAAAAGACACAAGCAATGCAAAGCGTGAAGATAACACAAAGAGGAAAAAGGTGAAAAAACAATGTTCTGCAAATCCAAACAACAAGGGGGACCGAGTATGCCGGTTGTGGTCCCCATTCCGCTCTATGAAATGAAACATCATTCATCATAAAGTTATTGTTCGTCATCATGGTTGTCGTTATAGTGAGTCAAGGAGAGAAATCGCAGAAAGGACCAACAGAGAAAAGCGAAAGACCTCGAAAGAAGTGGGGCGTTAGGAAAACACAGCAATGAGAAAGGGAAGAAAATGCAACGAGAATGAACAGATGAGCGGGCGGTTTTATCGATGCCCGGCGAGGACGGAGCGAGGGCGTCCAATGCCTGCGCTGCCTTCGCGTACTGTCTTTCTTCGCTTGAGACCGTCCGAGTCTTCGTTGTAGCGATCGTCGGCATCGTCATCACGCATACGCTTCTGCATGCCGTTCACACCTTGGTATCCTTGAGAGCCGTAGGCATGGTTGGCTTGTCCGTACATCTCAGAGCCATTAGGAGCGCGGCTGTCGCTCATGACACTGAACAGGTTGGACTGGAGCTGTTGAGGGCGTTGGGGCGTGGTGTATCCAGCGTGGTAACTGTTGGTAGTACGAGGAGTAGCACCGCCAGAAGCCTTGTGATGAGGCGAGCCAGTCATGTCCGAGGACATGTGTGTCTGATCGCTGTGCAAGGAAGTAGTTGTGGCAGGTGTGGCGTAAGCGTACGAAGCGCGGTTTCCACCGTAGGGCCCGGAAGCGTGTGTGTATTCGCCCTCATGTTCACCTTCGGCATCGTCGTGGGCACCAGAGTGATTGGTGTAACCATCCTGAGGCTTCTGGTCGACGGCATGGTCGGCGTCTGCGCCAGCACGAGCCGGAGGAGCCATTTCGTTCTTAATGTAANNGGGCTAGGCTGGAGCTGGCCATAACGAGGACCATACTGGGAAGGCTGTGAGGGAGCTGAGTAAAGCTGACGACCATTGTCGTATGCTTGACTGGTCTGGTAAGGGGGCATACTGTGCATAGCACTTCCAGGAGGANGTGGTAGCGGGGGTGGTTGGCACGGATCTGTTGCTCATGTTGGTGTCGATAGCCAGAGATTGTTGAGCGGGTTGTTGCTGCTGCATAGTCGAAGGAGGTTGAGCGCTCCACTGGTAAGAACCTTCCGAGCTGCCAATGCCCATCATGCTAGATGCGCTGGTAGGAGGAGTGGGGAAAGTGTGAGCTCTGTCCAGGTTGGGTCTTCCAGCATTCGGGTGAGGAGCTAGGGAATGCGGCGGTTGAGGCATGGCCATAGAGTGGGCATGAGGCATGGCAGGAGGCTGACTCACTGGCCCCCTCATGTACTCATCAGGACGTCTACGTTCACCAGGGACCAGCGAGGTAGCACCGCCGATTGTACGGCTGGCGCTGTTCGAAGGGTGGTAGAGCAGTGCGCCGATGTTGTGCACGAAAAGGGGNTAGAGCTTCTCGGTAATCTTCTCCTTATTGGCGAATTCCAGAGCACGGTCGAAGGGGATCCAAACCCCCTTCAGATGCATAGGGCCAATCTTGACCACGTGCCTGTTCTTCTCGCTCTTGAGGATACCATCGCGACGACCACGCGTCATACCAGCCACATTAAGCAGTTTTGTGCCGTTGATCATGTGGTTGTCTTCACGTCTGGCCACGCAGATGCCGTTTGCCTCGACTTGGAAGCAAAGGCTTCCCTCGTCTTCCCAGAGCGTGGCAGTCACTCTAGGCTTCATGCCAGGNGGTGCGACTTGTCCTGTTGTGTCGAATGATGCACCAGAATATTGGCCTTGTGCCGACTGGGGTGATACGCTGTTTGCGAGTGCTGGAAACAAGGTTAGCGACATGCTAGAAAACATCACGCTTGCGTACAACTTACTAGGAAGGGGCAGTTGCGATTGAGGAACCATCTGAGAGCCCAAGCCACCTGCCGAGGCATGGGCGTGGAGAGGGGCGAGGCCATTGGTGTAGTACTGGGAGTAAGATGAAGGCGATGAGCCGTACGGGTGAGGTTGGCTCGACATGGGCTGCGGTTGGTGGTAGTTGGCATAATGGCCGAGGCCTGGCGGGGGAGCCGAAGAAGGGATGCTGCTAGACATGTGGCTCTGGCTCACGTCCATGTAGGGCTGGGTTTGGTTCATGCTGATACAAGAAGTGCTGTTGTGATCGTAACTCGTGATAGGAATGGATTGGCCGTGCAGTCCGGATTGAACACTATCTCTGCGATAGGCGGGGGTGTGGTCGGGGGAGGGTGTCTTGAGTCCGGTGCTGTATGCGCCGTGGAAGGAGGATGAGTAGGATGTAGCAGTGTCGGTACCGCAAACAGGTTCTGCTGAAGTGATGGAGCTTCCTCTTGGAGAAGAACCCACAGACGGGAAGGTCTGAAGTTGGGACAGGGCAGGCAAACGCTCAGCAGTGGATGTGGCTTGGAGGATGTTGGCTGGTTGATACCACTGGTCTTCGAACCCGCGCGCTTGAACGTGAGAGATGGACGGTAGAGCCAGTTTGTCTGTGGTCAACGACGAAGATGCTGCTCAAGGGAAGCACCTCCGAACAATCCTTGGTGGATTAGGATGAAGCGAGTGTGGGGTGGTTACAAAGGAACCACGAGAGAGCCGACGAGATTGAATCCAACGTCAACACGTCAATTGAGTGGTGACTGGATCAATTAGACCTCGAAACTAGACAAAGCAGTCGTGATGAGACTTGAATCACAGCAAGACGCGTACGCGAGGTGATTCAAAGTGCCGGTCGTTGATATCGTGAGGTCGAAGCTTGAGTTCAGGCACGTCGGGTGAACAGACGACGAGCTTGTAGTACGGCGAGAGCAAAGTTGCAGACACGCACTAATCAAACGTCTATAGCTTGGAGTGCAGAGAGCAAAAGCAGCAGAATACTTTTGCAGGAGGATGCACAAAAAATGTGGGCAAAACGAATAAATTGTCCTTGAATGGTCGTAAAAAGGTCGTGTCGTAGCAGTTCGTAGGTCGTGGACAGAAAAACGCTGCAGGGCGACGGGACGGGTTAGCGACTATGTGTGGGATTATGTGAGTGTGGTAGTGTGTGGTGGAGGTGGTTGAGGTAAGGCAAGGTGAAAGCATGCAGGTGCATCGGCAACGGACAAGCAGCAGATAGAAGTAGCTGGAGACACACACACCTCGTAGTTGGCCTAGCTGCAGGAGTGCATGAAAGACGAACGCGAACGAGAAAAAGGGCGTGGAGCAGCCCTCAGATAGATAGTATTAGAGCAGGCCGGAGCTCTTCAGCAAAGAGGTTGGGGTCTATCCGAGGAGGAAGGCGCCCGTTAGCGCAAGGCCGGAGCAGCGTGCACGATTCGGTGAGACTACGAAGGTGCAGGGGTCTCCAGCGGCTAGGCCGTTTAAACTTGTCCCTCGCGAGCGGGGATCCTACTTGGCGTGGTCGCCGACGGCTGGGTAAAATGCTGTTTATCCCCTGGCCTAACTGGGCGGGAGACAAAGGAGGAGGCACAGCCGTCAGCAGAGCACGTGTTGGGAGGGCACAGAAGACGATGATCTAATTCTGGTCACCTCCTCTCCGAAGCCCTGCCCTGCTTTGCGTGACATGAGAATACGGAGGGAGGAGCGAGACGATGCAGACACACGCCAGCAAAGGTACACATACACTCAGCACGCTCGAGAAGCTTTGTGGATGAGGCTCGCCCAGCGCGTCCCGTGTCGGTATTGCAACAAGGTACCTACGTATATCACGGGGAAAGCAGGTCAGCAGAACGCGCCGGGATGAAGATGCAGCGGAGCTGTGCAGCAAACAGCGGCCCGACGCGATGTGCAGACGGACGCTGGTTGGCTAGTGGCGGCGTGGGTAGGTTGTTTCTTAACATCGTTGAGGTGGGTGGGGAAAAGGCGCAATGTGGCGTTCCGAAACTCGCATCGTCCGGAATGCACGCCACTGGCAGACAAGACCCACAGTCACGAAGCAAAGTCGCGCTGGGATCGTGGATGGTGGATCATGATGGACGATGATCATGGCCATAAGGAAACCCACGAGTAGACAGAGCGTTTCCCGCGGCACGCAAGCTTTCAGTTCGTTCATCCTCGACTTCACTCGCTGAACGTCGTCTCATCAGATACTGGGTAGATTTGCGCCTCCCCGAAAGGGTTAGGGCATTCTGACCCGGCGAGAAGGTCGATATCTTTCTAGACCTCGACATGGCTTTTGGTGGCAGAATGAAGAGAATCTTGACTTCTCCTGCTGCGGAACGGCTGCGGCGCGCTCGTGGTCGAGTGATTATTCTTGTCAACTCGGGTCATGCTTCATCTATTATTTCCAAATCCATATATTGAGCATTACTCGTGCGGTGGATCGTCGTCTCGATTCTACGATCTCGTCGCCTCTGGGTGCGATTGTTCCTCTACTCGACAGATTGCAGGTGGAGGAGGAGGTGGTCGGAGCAGTTGTTGTGGTTGTGTGAAACGCACCGAACCGGTCGAGATTGTTGAAACGGGCATGGCCAGCACCTAAACAAAGGTAGCGCCTCTACTTGCACCACAGACGCCAATCGCTCGAAGATAAGCGCCTCCACTGGCACAAGCATGACGGTCCCCAATGTCAGAAGATGGCATGGCGTGGGCCAACAGCACCCTGCCAACGATTGGCATTTTATCGCCGGCAAAAGCAAGTGCGTGAAGTCACTTGTCAAGCTACGTACGCGACAGCGCATGTGGGAGCTTGGTCGCTGTCAAGAAAATCAAGCTCGCAGCACCTTTCTCTGCAACTGCCAGCCTTTTCATCATGCGGAGCGAGTCATATGAAAATGATAGATGGAGAATGTGTGGAGTCCAGCATGTCTAGCCGGTACTGATCCAGGATCCCAGGCAGACGCTACACGTTGGTGACTCCTTTCCGCCTCCATGATGACGCTCCCGCAGGGAGCATGTCAATCTGCTCTGCAAAACGTTGGTCCGCCAGCTTGACCCGAGAACTTGGTCGTTCTCATTTCTGGTCCTCGACCCGGTCATTGTGTGATACCGCACGGAGCCCAGATGTAACAGCGGCACTAACAGCGGCACTAACAGCGGCACTAGGCATCGGGTGCGCCGCCTGAGTTGCGCCATCTTGGTAGCGTCTACTGGCTCGACTGTTCCCGCTCCGCCTGCATGACGCGAGTGTGCGAACGATCTCCGCTTCAGCGCAGTTTACTGCAAAGGCCACGAGAAACTTTGTCTGTCGAGAACTTCTGATCATCTGAAACTGCCTGATCGTAATGCGGCCATAGACGGACAAAAGCTTGTTCACATTTCTCGCCAACAGGCCAACAATAATTAGTTGATGAATCCACACAGCCATCGAGCACCGGACGATGGGCCTAGCAGCAAGAACTGTCGCGACCAAGGGGAATGGTAAGCTGATTGGTCCAGCATAGGGCTCCAATAAAAAGCTGCCACATCATCAATCAGGCTTATCCTCCACTCCCAAGCCCTTAGTCCAAGCCACCGTGCTAGAAAACAGAGCAGCTTGTCCCTTGCAGAGCCAACCGTTTTCTCAGGCCGCAGCTTCGTACGGACACTCTGCCCCAAAATGTCTCTATGTCTTCTACTCGACCGTGCCACCTTATCGTCGTCTGATGACTCTGTGCAGGTTTGATTGAGCAGGAGGACTTTGAAACCCCTGTCTCTGCGCATATTAATGTTCCAAAAGAGGAAGAATGATGAGCGTGCGATTCCGGATCAACGAGATGGATGCTCTCACCGCCCATTACTCGTGAACAAGCTCCCGGGAAGCCGACGACCAAGACGGCAGGGAGGACTGATTCCTAAACCCAAAAGTGTCAGGGCAAGTTATTGGTGAGCTGCTCGGCTACCGAAGGTCCTGGGAGAACAGGCACTCTCTGGGGGCTTTGCTGAGTTGTCACTCACTGCTAGTTTTACACCTTGCCGTGTCTCAGTTGTTTGCAAGCGACGGTGGATCTTATCTCGAGTTGACATCTGTAAGTGATCTTAGCGGACCATTGTTTCGACTCTTCTCTGCGTGAGCGTTCTATCCATGAAACAAACCACGAACGACCGGATTGACATGCAGCAGCGGAACCTACTGCGCCTAACCCCACAGACGCAGCATGACAGACATGCATACGATGAGTTTAAAATCCAGATGAGATGTCCGATCCTCGAGATCCTTTAGAAACGAGTGTGTGGTATATTTGATGCAGAAACTAGATTGCGCTTTCCATGATGGGACGAACTTTTCGGTGGGAACATGACAAGGCCAGCCGCTGCACGGACAAGGTCGGAGAGAATTTCGATAGTTAGTGTATTTGTGTAGGATGGCCTTCCGTAGAGGCTAGAGGGAGTGACTATTTACAGCCCCTGAGAGGGGCTCTGCCGTACCCTACACCCGTACTTTTTGAGCCCAAAGTACCAGAGAGATGTCAATGAAACGATAGCGGCAATGTGGCCAGGCCTTGTATGGCTTCGACGCAAGGCTTCCAGCCTGCAGGAGAACAACACATGGGCAGTGGCATGATTCGAAAAATTTGGCAGGCCTTGTGTATGCAGGATGTATATTGAGGAATGTCTATGAGGAAATGTAGTCTCTTAAAAATTGCGCACTGGTCAGATCGCAAGATCCCAGTGGCTTCTAAAGCACGAAAGACGTTGATCTTCGCATTCCGAGTGAGTCCGGGCCATTAAAGAGCAAATGTATGGCAGACGCAAAGAAGAAAGCGTGTTGTGTTCATCAAGCTCTGACGAACTTGGTATGGGTGCCTGTCACGACAGCGACGCCGCGCTGCCCGTCCTGGACTTTGAAGATGTTGACCTTTGTAAAGGCCAAAGAACCACCAACCTTGTCGGCGATACCCTCAATTTCGACTTCATCACCTTCCTTTGCAGAGCTCTGGTAGGTAACATGAATGTCGACACTCACACCAGTCTTTTCTCGCAGGTCGTACGAAGCAATGGCCATACCGCCCATCCAGTCTACAATGGTTGCCGAGACTGAGCCATGAATGCCTCCCTTGGAGTTCAGATGACTCTTTGTCAAGAGCAAGCGGCAAACTACATGTCCCTTGGATGCCGAGACGACACGTACAGGAGTCAGTAAGAAGGCGTAGATGGGGCTGGTAGGGAGGTTGTTGGCAATGAGCTTCTCGATATGAGCATGCTCAGCCGACTTTTCTGACGCCATGATGCAGAAAGGCTGCAGAGATCAGTGGTTGTCGTGGCGAAGATGGAGATGCAGGAGGACAGAGAGGAAAAAACCAGATGGACGAAATTAAGACACTGTCGGTTAATTGACTTGTTGATGCCGATAGGGCTGAAAGTACGTCAGAGTTGAGCTGGCGTAAACTTTAGCTGAGTGAGCTCCGCGACGAGGGGCAGGATGCAGGCACGTCGCTGTATGCAGGGCATGTCTGTCCGGAGAAGCTCGCATGCTACAGCTATCCCAGTTTCATAGAGAGACAGTCAGCTTTCGTTGTTCTTCCCTCCCTTGTCCGGTCGTTCTATAACCCATCGCAGCAGTGACTCGCCAAGACGTGACGACGATAGTTCCGATAGCTTCGAGCTGTAGACACGTTGGCGCGTATTGCTTCCCTGATCAATCGTGTGCGAGCCCAACTTGCCTATCCCCGTCCACTGCTTCAGCCTCACGCTCCTCTGCGCAAACCCCGTCTGGTCAAAAGATACTTCTCCTGCCCGTAGGGCTGAGGGCAACAACATGTCTACCCCTGACAACCAGTCGTACCTGGCTGCTGGCATCAACAGGCTATCGCCCTGGGGTCCTCGTAGCCCTGCTACCCCTCGCAGCCCTGTCGTCAAACCGCAAGATGCTCCTGAGCAATCCTCTAGCGACATTGGCCTTAGACAGCAACGAGGAGGAGATCACAAAGTCAGCCACAGACACCGCCTTAGCCTGAAGCGTTACCCTCGAGACTGCCCACCGCTGCGCGTTCAATGGTTCTTTGCCGTAGATGTACCCAAACGCAAACCCGTCTACTCCGAGAAGCCTCTGGGCAAAGTCGAAGGTGTCGAAGCACCCAAAGTCGTTCCCAAAAAGTACGCCCCTTTTTCCCGAAAAGACTCACGCGCCATCGAAAGGACTTTCCACAGGATCTCAAAAGAGGATGATGCTGCTGAGCGCAGGGAACTTGAAAATACCGAGGATATCACAGATACAAAGGACCTCGGACTTGACTCCCACCACAAATTTGCTAAAGTCCCTGTCAATGAAGATTACCTTTTTGATGTGGATGTCTTGAACAGAGAGCTTGCTCCTGCGTACTGGCTAGGACCGGTGTATGAAGTCCGTCGTGGAACCTGGTTCTACCAAGGTTAGTTTGTAAAGCTGCTATGCCATCGGGTTAAATACTGAGAAAGTGACANNGAGGGTGCTGTGCAGAAGCCTTGCGATGAGAACTTGGCTGCTCAGCTGGAGGAACAATACCTTAGGGCTACCCCGTGGCAATGGAAGAAACAGGAGCCTACTCCTGCAAGATCGGCTTCACAGTCTCGCTCTTCCACTTCGTCACCACTGGCATCAAAAGGATCGCTTCCCAACCTTCGCGACCAGAACGCCAAGGATGTCGAAGATGCAGAATCTGCTCATCGTGTGCAAACATACCGCCTGTTCGGACCGCATTCGAATTCTGTCGTGACGTATCAAGACGATAGAACCGCCTGGATACTTACAGACGACTTCATCAGCAGAATGAGTAGTGGTGTCTACAGGCGCTTTGCTGGAGGTGCTCATTACGCTGGTATCAAAGTCACTCGTGGTTACGTCGTCCAGGCCAAGAAGCCTGACGAGAAGGAGACAAAGGCAGACTCGGAACCGAAATCCACCACTGTAGATGTCTCTTCGCAAGAACCTGGGAAGGGAAAAGCGCTTGTGCCTGTGGACGGAGACAAATCAGACAGCCTCCATGCAGAAGTTGCAAGTCCTGAATCTGAAAAACACCGTCAGACCTTGGAGCAGCAGATGAGCTCCCTTGTCAACGCCGGTCAGGAAGACCCTCAAAAGCAGGAAGAAGAGGTTCGTAAACGTGATGAGNAAAGAGATTCAAGACGACTATCGCGACAGAGAGGGGAGCAACAAGATCGTGAAATCGAACATCTCCTTCTGGTCACCCACGGCATAGGCCAGCGTCTAGGCCTACGCATGGAGTCGGTGAATTTCGTGGGAGATGTGAATACCCTGCGAAAGACTCTCAAGGCCGTTTACGGAGAAAGCGCTGATTTGCAGGCGCTTAATTCAGAGGTCAACGCACTCNCCAAGAACTGCCGAATCCAAGTTTTGCCTATCAACTGGAGGCATAAGTTGGACTTCCCGAACCGTGCTCTCAAGCACAACCGAAAGGAACACGATCTTGCATTCGGTGGCTTTGGCGAAGAGGAAGACTACCCCAACCTTGATAACATCTCTGTCGAAGGCGTGCCAGCCGTGAGAAACCTCATCACCGATCTAGCCTTGGACATTCTCCTGTACCAAAGTCCTGCATACAAGGATGCCATTGCAACTATCGTGCTTGAGGAATGCAATCGGATATACAAGTTGTTTTGCGAGCGCAACCCTTCATTCAAAGGTAAAGTCAGCTTGGTTGGCCACTCACTGGGATCAGCTATCATGTTCGACATCTTGTGTCTTCAGGAGAGGAACGAGATCCAGCAAAGACACTCTGGCAAAGCCGCTCGCAACCCGATGAAGCTAGACTTTGAAGTTGAAGATTTCTACGCCCTCGGGTCGCCCATCGGTCTTTTCCAGATGCTCAAGGGCCGCACAATTTCAGCCAGAGATGCTGGACAAGGCAACCAGAAGTCTATGGATTCTCCTTCCGGCGCCTTCTTTGGTTCGACGTCGTCGAGCTCTGACAACTTGACTGGAATGGGAACTCAAAACTCCGACCTGCCCATATCTTCACCGAAGTGCCGACAGGTGTTTAACATTTTCCATCCTACCGACCCTATCAGCTATCGCATTGAACCTCTGATCTCGCCTGCAATGTCATCTCTCAAACCGCAGCCACTACCATACACCAAGCGAGGCATCTTCAGTACCGCGACTGGCCAAGGCCTTACAGGTATCGGCGCGCGTGTAGGCCAGAGCGTCTCTGGACTCTGGTCGAGTTTCAGCTCTGGTATAGCAAGCAGTCTGCTCAACCGTAGTCTTGGTTTCACAGCCGAGGATGCAGGCAAACTCGGAGGGCCAGCAGGCACCAGTCAGTCTCGCACCCCGCTTTCCNTCGGCGCCGGAACGAATGTAGTCGGAGGCATAGTCCCCACTGCACCGGCCACGAATACCAAGATCGACAAAGTGGACGGAGATACCACAGACAAGTTGGTCAGCGATGCGCAGAAAGCTGATGAGGCTGGTGAACGCCCTCCTACTCTCATCGATGCTGAATTGGAAACATTATATGCTGGCTTCCAGAACACACGAAAGAGTGCACAGAGTGATGTAGATCACGACATGGCCGAGAGCGAAAGAGCTGAAGCGGAAGAACGTGGACGTAAGCTGAAGAAGGAGGAGGCCAAGGTTCGAGCACTGAACTCGAACGGAAGAGTTGATTACAGCATCCAAGAGTGAGTGAGAAAGTCATTTCTCAGTACCAAGCAAGACTAATCCAAGATTTAGGNNGGTGCCTTCGATATCTCATTGATTGCAGCAGTGGCTTCGCATCTTTCTTACTGGGCAGATGAAGATGTGAACCATTTCATGATTTCGCAGCTTCTGTCCAGGCAAAGAACAGTACGAAAGTCAGGCAGCAATCAGAGCATGAAGGGTTAATGCCTTTAAACCGACAAGCGACCACTACCGGACCAGCCATGCCACACTCCACCGAGTTCGACAGCCAATTGTTCCGCACTTCTTCCCTGACCATCCCTGAGGCTTCTGATGTCGACCTTGCCTGTCTGGTCCTCTCTCATGATGCCCAATGAGGCCGCTTGTTGGTAAACCAGAGCGGGGAACTCCATCTCAGGCAGTTGAGAGGCAAGCAATAGCAACAACCAAGCAACCTCACGGCTGTTTCCAGCTACGGCTGCGTGAAGACCAGACTGCATGTCGCCAATAGGATCCTGGTAACGGAGTATTTCGTCCATGGACTTCTTGGGTATAGCAGATTCATCGTCCATGTCTTCGTCGTCTGAATCGGGCTCGTTACAGCTCTTCAACAAATCCACGACAGCAGAGACATCGCCTTCGCGGCAGAGCTCAAGGAAAGCGCGGCTGATTCTGTCCTCGGGGTATGCGTGTAGGTAGGCCTCTTCGGTCAGGATAGGCAGGATGTCGAGGCCCTCTTGTACACCGCCCTCGTTGGTCAATGTGCATAGCAGCTGTTGACCTCCGTTGGGGCCGGGTGTGAGCAAGGATTGGTGGCAGGAAGGGCATTCGGTGATTTGATATTCGTCGATCAAACATTGCCTGTACATTGACGGAACATGGTTAGATGACTTATAGAGCTGCACACAAAGGAGTCGTACATACCAGTGAAAGTGGCATCCGCAGTTAAGAGCTACGTCGTCGGGGACAGTATGCGTGTTCTGAGCTGCAGCTGCGCTGGACGAGCCGGCGCCCATGGACACATCCTCGTCGTCCGAGAAGTCGACCTCCAGAGTCAGGGGNTTTTGGCACTTTGCGCAAGACATGACGAAAGACAGTGAGTTGTTGTATTGGTTCAGAAGTCTCTACGCAGCTCGAACAAAATCTCAAAAGTCATGGTTGTTTCCCCACATTTGCATGAAAAAGGAAGGCACTACTACGTCAATTGGATAGGCAACAGGAGCTCGGACCCCTGATAAACACGGCCTTCTTCGTTCCTTCCCTGTTTCCTTTTGCACAACTGCGCAAACGAGTTGGTGCACGAGCGACTGTCCCCTTCTAGACGGCGAACCCCAATCATCCTTGCACACTCCGCAGCCATGGCCGACGACGAATACGCGTACCTGCAGCCGGACTTTGATCCTACCTCTCTCACAGTGCCCCGCCTGCGCTCCATCCTAGTCGCCCACAATGTCGCCTATCCTTCATCTGCGAAGAAGTCCGATTTGATTGCCATCTTCAACTCAAACGTCGCTCCTCAGGCTAGAAAGATACTCAACGTCCAGTCCCGCACTGTGCGCTCCGCGAGCATCGTCGACGTACCTTCCAGCCAGTCCAGCATCAACGACGACAACGACGACGACGAAGAGGACACCGCCGACGACAACATCGTTGTCTCCGCAACTCCAGCAAGGCGAACTACTAGGCGTACCGTCATGCGACCAGCCGCCGAGGAGAATGTTGCACCCACACCTCGTTCGACCAGGAGGTCTTTTGCTCCGACAAGCGCTCGACGTGCTTCCAGCAAGCATGCCACCGTTGAGCCTGAGCCTACTCCAAGACGTGCCGTCAGGTCTTCCTTCCCTAGCGAACCTCCACAACCCATCTACCGCGATCAGGGCGCAGATTCGCCCTTCTCCAAGGACAACCCCTTCCAGAGTGGAAGCTCCCCACCATCTGCATACCGTCATCGTAGCAAGAGCGGAGACCGAAGAAGAACCACGATTGGTCCATCAGCCGACAGAGAAAGAAGAAAGAGCAGAGATGCCAGACGCAGAACCGACGGTTTCTATCGCCAAGATGAGGATCTTACTGCCGTATCGAGAACGCCCGTTGCTCGTGTGAAGGTCGAGCCAGAGTATGAGGAGGAGTATGATCAAATGGTTGCTGGTGAAGAGTTTACGCCGGAGGAACAACACGAACTTATCAAGGCTCAAGAAGAAAACCCGCGCACTGCCCTCAGTCGTGTGCCTCGCAAGCAGAAACCGAGATCTGGAGCAGCCAAGGCCGGATTCTCAACCGTCGTGCTGACTATACTAGTTGCAGTCGCCGCTCTTTGGCGTCAGGAGAAACTCCAGGTCGGCTTCTGTGGCATTGGCGAGCCATCTCAAAAACTGGGCGGTGTCGATATTCCTGAGTGGGCTTCGTTCTTGCAACCAGAATGCGAGCCGTGTCCCATGCACGCGGAATGCCGGGAGAATCTCCAAATTGTCTGCGATGATGGCTTTGTGCCTGTCTCGCACCCTCTCGCGCTTGGTGGTCTCGTCCCCATACCACCTACCTGCGAGCCAGATAGTGAGAAGCTCCGAAAGATCACAGCTTTGACAAGCCATGCTGTCGAGACTGTTTTGCGTGAGGCCAACGCAAAGTATGAGTGTGGTGAGACCAAAACTCCATACCTTACTGAGCCAGAGATCAAGGCAACCATTGCCGCGAAGGGAAAAAACATGAAGGACATTTTCGATTTGATCGATCAGGCAATCGACGATGTCCCCAAACGTGATGAGGTGAAGACAAAAGTTGACCCGTAAGTCTCGTTTCTTTCTACACTCGATCTTTTTGAGTTATGCATCACCAGGCTTACGTGAAGAGTTCACTAACAGACCCGCTTTCGGTACAACAGACAAACCTCTGTCCGCTCCTTCCGCAGCACATCTCTCGCAGCCGTCGGCTTCAGATGCGCCCTCAAACGATCAGTTCGCCTCACGGTTAGACAGCATCTTCGCGAACTTGTAGGCATTCTGGCCTTGGCATTCACAGCTGTATACGGCCAGCGTACCATCTCGAAACGCCGTTCTACTTCAACCCAGGCCAAGCGTCTGGCAGGTCTGGCTCTTGACAAGCTTGCGACCCAGGCAAGTCTGCACGCTCAAGATCCGGTCGGTTACCCCGAACCATTGATAAGCATGGTCGCTCTACGTGATGATGTGCTCCGTGATGAGCACCGCGCACAAGAGCGAAACAGAATTTGGACAGCCGTGCAGAAGTTAGTTGAGGGTAATGCCAACGTTAGAACTATGGTGCGCGAAGGCCGCACAGGAGATGTCAGCAGAATGTGGGAGTGGATTGGCGCAGTCTACCGAATCGAAGGAAGTTCAGCACACCAGACTCCAGTGGGCAAGATCACGAGTCCTGGAAGACTGGATGATAGCATGCCATCTGGAAGTGGACTGGAGATCCAGAAGCGCAAATGGGAGGAGTCGAGACCTTACTATTGATATGGTACAGATAGTTAGATAGTTATGGTTGCCAACAATGGCAGATGCTAAAGAAAGCTTCGTTCCCATCCAGGCTTGAAGTTGACGTCGGAAGTGCCCTCTAAGACCATCTCACAGAAACATCATCCCACAAGCATCACTTCAGGAGCGACACGAGCATAAAGTGAAGCTCTCTCATGAGAATGTGACAAAGAGAGAACTCCTTCAGTCAAGATAGATTTCATCCATAGCGTCGATACGAACAGCAAGTGAGAGATGATTGCATAAACTATGCACAAATCCTGTCTTGGCAATATTCGGCTGATCCACGGCACGACAGGCTCTGTGAATTTTTGCTTGCCGGGGAAGGCACCACGACGCTTGATTTGGCCCGCGAAAACGAGACTCTCCTTCCACCACCCAGCGACTCACACAAATACCGCCAAAATGGTAAGCAGCCATGTCATTTCGTGCGCCGTGTCTTGTGGAAGCAATATCTGGACTATTTTCGACTCGACCGAGGCCGCATCTCGACTTCCCACCGTCTGTTACGATCGAATAGCGCATATCGCCGCCCACGAACCTTGAGAAGTCGACAAACTCCCACACTATGCCTACCGTATCCTTTCCGAACGACGCATCCGAATGCCTTGTATGGAGGAGTTGGTCTTTAGTCTTTTCGCATCTTACACCAAAATCTCGCCCCAGAGGTGCGAAGTGACCAGAGCCCAACTCCACCGTATCGCACCATGCTGGACGAAACCGACGACACGATGAGACCAACAACACGAGATTAGCCACGGTCGAGCGGATCGAATAGCTGCGACAGAAAGACATGGCGCACAACACAACAGGCACCCTTGAACAACTGCTGATCAAGGCACGCTCTTAGGTCAACGTTCCCAAGACTCGCCGCACCTACTGCAAGGGCAAGGACTGCAAGAAGCACACTCAGCACAAGGTAAAGCTGGCTATCCAGTATGGAAAAGATAGGTTGCTCAAAAATTCAGNNGTCACCCAATACAAGGCCGGCAAGGCTTCCCTTTTCGCCCAGGGTAAGCGTCGTTACGACCGCAAGCAGTCGGGTTACGGTGGTCAGACCAAGCCCGGTTAGTATTCACCTGTCCAGAACTTGCGACCTAGCTCCTAATATTTCCCAGTCTTCCACAAGAAGGCCAAGACCACCAAGAAGGTCGTCCTGAGACTGGAGTGCACAGCCTGCAAGACCAAGGCACAGCTCGCCCTCAAGCGTTGCAAGCACTTCGAGCTCGGTGGTGACAAGAAGACTAAGGGAGCTGCCCTCGTCTTCTAAGCGCGTCGCGTTTTTGAGTATTCTGGCAGCGTTGCTGGGCTGGTGCTCCTTCATTGGAACATCATCATCATGGTCAACACGGAGTAAGCGAATTGGGCTGGGACGAGTCACGCATTTCGACTTAGGGTTGCTTTTACTCCTTTGTCCGCCACGGCTTTGAAGCAAAGCACAGAAGAGGCTGGGCGGACGAGCGAAAAGAAAAAGATACAAAATCATGCCTCCAGCTACCAACAGCCTTCGTGCCAACTTCGATGTCTTCATGAACCACTTTCTCAATCCTATCCCCCTATCTTTGGTTCTCATGTGAAGTTTGAGACTATTATATCAGCTCTCTGGCATTGATTGTCATGTTGCAGCGAGTGGTCTGCTTGCCAGGGTGATGCCTGAGGCTCTGCAGGCCAAAGCCCAAACGTCCAAGTCTCGACGCAAAGATGATGATATGCTTTTCCCGCATGTCCGACCTGCCGTCCTCGCATGCAACCTCACCCCTCACCTCTTGCTGCGGCATCACGTTTAATAAAGTGCCTGGATGCCGAGCCTTCCACAGTCGTTCATGACGTGCTCTGGCAATCTAATGGATAGGTTATGTCATGGCAGGCCAGGCACGCATACAAGTAGCTAGCAGGCCATTGAGTAGGTCCATTGTTTTCTCTGTCTTCGTAGTAACTCCATCACAATCATGTTGTCTACGATCTTTGCTGCAGCTTCATTGCTACCTTTACTTGTCTCGAGTCAGCAGCTTATCCAAGATCCTGGAAAGGCTGGACCTGAGTTGGAACTTATGCACTTGTACTACGACGAATGGCCTACTGGTATTGCTGTATCCTCGACTGGACGCAAGTTCTCAAACTACCCTGGAGCTTTGGATAAGAATAATACAAACAATGGTTCCAATAATAAGTACACAGTCGCCGAGTTGACTGGAAACTCGACAGAGGCAGCCTATCCCAATGCTGAGTGGAATAACCCCCAGGAGGAGGTGAGTTGAATTGCCATGGAAGTTGCAATGCAATGGCTGACATGAAAAGCTATCAATTACACGACGACACCTCCCACAGGAGCCAACTACCAGAATCACTTTATCGGTGTTCAGAGTGTTGTCGTTGATCCGCTCGACCGCCTTTGGGTTCTCGACACTGGTAGAGTGCAAGACCCCAATGGTACTATCGTCAACGCCGCTGTTGGCGGACCTAAACTGGTTGGTATCGATCTCTCGAACAACACCGTTTTTCAAACAATCGTCTTCCCTGCAAATGTTGCTCCCGGAGATTCCTATCTGAACGACGTCCGCTTTGATCTGCGTCCAAACATCACAAGTTCGGGCAAGGGCGTGGCATATATCACCGACTCTTCTATCGAAGGTCGTACCGGACTCGTCATTGTCGACCTCGGCACCGGCGAATCCTGGCGCCACCTACAGGGCTCGACATACGTAGCACCTGCCCAGCAATTCCTCGCCTACATCTGGGGCGTATCCTTCTACAACTTTCAAGCCGGCCAACCCCTCGGTTATCAAGGCTTCGGAGCTGATGGCATTGCTCTTTCTGCCGATGGCGAAGATCTCTTCTTTGGTGGTGTGGGAAAGAGATATCTGTACTCTGTCCCTACCGCTAGATTGCGTGACGATGGACCGTTCTCAGAAGCTCTTGCTCAGGCTTCGGTGGTTAGCCGTGGTCAGAAGGGTGTTTCGGATGGCTACGAGACTGATACCAACGGATACATTTACCACGGAAATGCTGAGCAGAATGCTATCAGCTTCTACAACCCTGCGAATGGAACGGACTCGCTGTTTGTGCGCGATGCTCGCATCAACTGGGTTGATACGGTGAGTTGATTTGTCTGTTACTGGGATGAGTCGGTCGCTAATGACGTTCTTGCAGNNATGAGCACGGGTACTGATGGATACCTTTACTTCACCAACAACCAGCTTCCCTTTGGTCCTCTGAACTGGCCTGGCACTGATAGGAGACAGCGTCCTTTTGCTCTCTTCCGTGTCAAGCTTCCCAACAATGGCACCAAGACGTCGTTGCGCTGATATGATATAGCTCGCAGAACTGCTCGGTGGTGCGATCCCTCGATCGATGGCGGATACGAGCTGGACTCTATACTGGATAGTTATACAGTAATGAATAATATTGCTCAACCTCTGCTCTCCTCACAAGTTCAAGATGTGTGTTGTTGCGATGGCTTCTGCCGAGGACGACATCATCGTCCAGTGTTGTGCCACGACGCGGTGATACCGCAGCCTGTCGTCAGCCTTGTACGTCGAGCACTTGAGCATGTTTTGCGTATCTTGCCTCCAGTATGCTATACATGTTAAACATCCCCTCTTCTCCTGTCCTCTCGCCTGGATTCTTTTCTGCCACACTAGGTGTGTAGCTGTGCCTCTGAAGCAGTTGAATGGGTTGGCTTCGAAACAACTTGATGACGGTGACTCATGCCGAGACTCCACCACGACCTTTCGAGCACTTGACCGCATATGGCCGTCAGAGTCAAACGAGGCAAACGGGAGCAAAATCTTGAAAGCATGCGTCTCTTCTATCAACCGGCTTAAAGAAACGGTTTGGTCTTCGCGCTTCCTCGTCGTTGACATCCACCTCCACCACAGCATGTCTGCACACAACTACATCAACCCCTGGCATCTGCAAAGGTATGTCTTCTCACTCACAGTTGATGACTTGCTGCAACACGTGCAATCAGAAGCAGCGTGTAAAGACTGTCATAAGAAGGGTTTCTGCCACTTATCTCTCTTTCCCACTGACACTCCACTATTACAGTTACTTTCCAACGCACATCATGCTTGCCTCCTCGGGCTCGAGACGGCTTCGTAACTGCTTGTACGAAGTCACTAACACGTACAGTCATCAGTCATTGCTACGAGAAGGGAAGGTACGGCTCTCGAGCTTACCTATCTAGCTGCGCGCCACCCTTACCCTCTTCCTTCCATCACACGACTCACCTTCTCTCTTCCAACACACAAATCACCTCTCCATCACACCAATCTCACATGATCTTCCTCATCATCGTCCAAAGGAAGGATGTTCGTGGCCGAGACTCTCTAAGGCGGCCAGTGCATGGAGCGCCGAGGGAGGGTCTTCGCCTACGCACGACAGAACAATTTCTCCAACTCCTTCGAGGCACCAGAGACTCTCCTCTGATGTCCATCATCCATCATCCAATACGTTTTGTTGCTGTTGTCGTCGATATGCGATGGTTTGCAACACGTGAGGAAGACTTACCGACCGCTATCAGCGTTTGTTCTTTGCGATGATTTTCAGGACACGTGCGTCTCTGACATCGCACGTGTTGAGGTACGTGTGTCTCTTTTCCTCTTCTGTCTCTTCCTCCCCATTATTTCTTACCTCACCTGTCTCCACTACTCTCTCGCGAGATATACAGGCTGACGTATATCGCAGCATGATTTACTGAGTAACGCCTCACCATGAAGACCTCGAGTTTCTTCATACCCTATGGACTCGAGCACGGCGTGCTCAAGATTGGTCATGCCATTTCTGGAGCCGTGATTACCTCGATAGATTTTGGTCTTTGACTTCTGGCACGATATTTCGTTACGGGGTCTCCTTTTCCTGTTTTTGCTACTTCAGAAATCTTGATCAAGGTTCGACATCAGAGCCTATTTCGGTATCAACAAAGGACACCACATTCTGGCAGCCCTCATCGGAGATCAACAATGCACGTTCTAAGTCTCGTCAGTCGCGGCAATGAGATCCGACGTTTCTGAACCTCTCCTCGAAGACCATCAGTAAATCATTCTTGGCTCAAGACATCTTTCTGCGAAACCAGCGTCCAGAACGATATACGGGTATATTGTCGGCCAGGCGTAGAAATCGAGACCTTTCTAAACTACAGTGGCTTGAGTATACCTTTGGTCATATCCTCCGGTAAAGTATGAGCTTCCTAACCCGCTCATAGCAATGTGGCATTCCTTCTGTCTCGTTGACACCTTGTGGAATGGACGACCCTGACTGGCCTCTGGCTGATCCTCGGCTCGGTGATTGGTGGAGCGAAAGGCCGACCACGCCAGCCCCTTCAGGAAAGAGTATGGAGTCCCTGCCAAGTTGTCGCGTCGTCGCGTCTTCCGCACTTTCTTAGAGTCTGTAAAAGGTTGGCATGTGTACCAACAACTGCACACTTATCAATCCTTGGGAGGGCCCCGGGCATGGGTGCATACGTTCACCATGGCTCGACAAAGGTACACTTCGTATGTGCAAAGAGCACACAATGACGACTCCGATGCTGAAGAGCATATCTTGGTGAAATCTTCGATCAATGGAGCGGTTGAAAGAAGAGTAGGGGACATTCGGTTCTGGCTCGAGGATCGAGAGAACCGTCGTTTGAAAGCAGAGGAGCGCCCTGAAGTCAATGCTCGCAAAGCGGACGTCCACAACACACGCTCCCAAGATTCACCCCTGCGAAACCAACCGCGAAACTCGGTGCAAAGCAAAGGAACACAACAACTCCTCGACAAATCCTTTCGCATATCGAGAGTAAGCCTAGACGTGTCCTCTGTTTATCTTCTGCCTGTTGGCATTGTTGCTTCAGTCGTTGTCCCCTCACGCAAACACCCCGAACCCCTGAATCAGTTTGTCAAGCACCAATCTCCACCACCAACCGCAGAGGCGCACTCCCACACGTCTTCGCCCATCATGGCGCGCAAGAGAAAGAATTCAGACGGGGCCTATGCGTCGCGTCCGCGCAAGAAGACCATCCAGTCTACACAAGCCAGCGCTTCTCCGTCTCCTGAAGTGCCACTCGCCACCACTCGCAGATCCAGCCGCCGTGCCACCAAACCAGTCAGCTACGACGAAGCTGCTGCTTACGTAGATATTGAAGACTCTGACAAGGAATCCGAGCAAGAGACCAAGGAAGATCCCGAGCACGAACAAGATCAATACACAGAGTCAGAAGAGGAGCAGTCAGCATCTTACATCGTGTCCTTTGATCAATCGATGTCGTCTGCTCAATCTGAATCTGGCTCGCCTGAGTCTGATGAGGAATTGAGAGTCAAGCGAAGGAAGGTCAACGATGGGTGCGCTCGCCAACCTGCAAAGTCCACCCCTGATTCCGCCGCTCCAGCTGAGCTGGTGGAATGTGCCAACTCTTCAGAACAACAGGCCAAGTCCAGGCCCAAGAAGACCAAGGTCAACATGAAGAATCTCAACAAGGGCCTGAAGAAGGATGTGAACCAAACATTGCCTCCTCTTTCAGACATCACATCCATCTTCACCCACCTGGTTGGAAAGGGGTTCCAGAAGGCCACCAACCACATCCAAACATACAGCCTTGAGGATGTTTGTAAGCACGTTGGTTCACGTCCACTCCGAGTCGCCACAATGTGCTCTGGTACTGAGAGCCCTCTCCTCGCCTGGGACATGATCTCAGACTGTATTCAGAAGAGAGATGGCGGCCTTGAGCTGAACTATGAGCATGTCTTCAGTGCTGAGATTGTGCCTTTCAAACAGGCATACATCGAGCGGAATTTTCACNCCCCTATCATCTTCAGGGACATCACCGAGATCACCAGCAGCACAGATGGCAAGGCCGCCACTGCTTACGGCGCCCAGGTTGATATTCCCGGCAACGTGGATATGGTGATTGCTGGCACGGCTTGTGTTGATTTCTCAAATCTCAACAACCACCAAAAGTCCCTCGAGGAACGCGGTGAATCTGGTGACACATTTGCTGCAGTTCTCGCATACGCTAAGAAATATCGTCCAACCATGCTCGTCCTGGAGAATGTCTTCGGCGCACCATGGGACAGAATGTTGGCTGAATACGAGCGGAACGGATACGTCTCGGCCGGTGTTCTCGTGGACAGCAAGAATTACTACCTGCCACAGACCCGCCAACGAGGTTATATGGTCTGCGTCGACGAGGCTAAGTTGGACGCCTGCGGCATTGATTCTGCTATCTTCAAGGAAGACTTTCACGACAGGATGGCGGACTTCAGACGTCCAGTCAGCTCTCCCTTGTCATCGTTCATTCTGCCCAACGACGACCCTCTGGTCACCCGGGCCAGTCAGTCCATGGCTCGTCAGTCTTTGCTCGATAGTTCGCTCAGGGAGGTGGGCTGGGCCAAGTGCGAGATCCGTCATATCAACTACCGCAGAGNNAAGGAGCTCGGCATCGCTCGCCCTATGACAAACTGGCAGGAGAGTGGTACACTTGTCCTGCCTGAGAACTGCAGCCGTCTCTGGTTTGGCAAACAAGTCGAGCGCGTCTGGGACTTCGTGGACATGTCACTGCTTCGTAAAGCCAACGTGACCGTTTTCCCGGAGAACAAGAGAACCAATGTCACACCGGCTCCTCTTCCTGGATACGATGCTCAGTACAAGACTCGCATTTGGGATGTCTCGCAAAACATCGATCGCTTCACCGATGGCGCGCCCTTTGGCATCGCCCCTTGCCTCACTCCATCTGGTAACTTCTACCTTACGGAAAGAGGCGCCCCTCTTACCCACACGGAGAGCTTGATGCTCCAAGGTCTGCCCCTAGACAGAATATCTTTCACCACCGAGACGGAAAGAAACATTCAGGATCTTGCTGGAAATGCCATGAGCACCACAGTGGTCGGCTCGGCCATCGCTTCTGTCCTCATCGCTGGTTTCAAGACACTGCCCCAGGTATCTAGCCGTAAAACTGAGACCAAGAATCCTGCATACAAGAGTGTCATCACCACCATCGAAGAGCTCGTTGATCAGAAGACTTCTCAGACAACGGCAGAAGGTATTGATCTCCGCGAGCTCCAGGCTGATGCCAACAAGTCAGTCGCCATGTGTGTATGCGAAGGGCAGATTGGTCTGTCCGACAAGGCCATACAGACCTGCAATGAGTGCGGTCATACTTCTTGTCTCACTTGTGGTGTAAAACCTAGCCATGAGTATGGCAAACCTTATCCGCTTGAGCGTGGCCGTCCAGAGGAGTTTATCCAGAAGTGGAGATCTCGCCTCCCGATGGCTCTCAAATTCGATTCTACGGGCGCCCTGATGTCTCTCATCACTCCACTTCCCGAAGTCCTTGACATACGTAGCAAGGGCACAAAGGTCGCTCAGCAGAAGGTTACCAAGATCAAGCAAAGCGGTCCGAACAAGAAGTACATCTCCACAATCAGAGAAGCCCTTGAACATCCACTCACCTTCAAGGCTTTCAGAAGAACATCTTCCTGGATCATCATCTACGAGTCATCGTTCGCCCGTCTCGAGCTTGTACTAGGTGGACAAACTTGTCAATGGAAGCTGTATGCAAAGCCTGAAGATAAGCTCAGTGGTGATGACGAGATGCGCAAGTTCTTTGGAGAGCCAATTGCCACAGCTCAAGTGACAGAAGACGCTTTCCTTGGCAACGACTGGAGATGGCGACTCTTGCAAGATTCCAAGAGTTTCTCGAGTAAGCTTACAATCAGAGGCCAGGGCGAGAGAGTGCCGTCTTGGGCTGCTCGCCTCGGTCTACCCAGACATGCAGAAGATCGCGTCTGGTCCGAGTTGATCATCACGCCCAGCAGCGGCCATGTCCTCCCGTCAGACATCGAAGGGACTTACAAGCTCCTCCGCGACTGCGGCACCGCGTGCGAATCTCTATACAAGCGCGTCGAGGCGGCTGAAGGATCTAGCATGTTCTTGTTCCTGGACCCTACACGTATTGGCAAGCCTGAAAACGATTGTTTTGTCTTCGCTCGAGACCCCTCAAGACTGCAGTACGACCAAGTTAGGGAGATCACGGCCAGAGTCGATGCAGCTTGGAGGCCCGAGACACAAACCAGCACCCCTTCCTGCCTCGAGATATCATTGAACGGCCACTGGGATGAGGATGATTCCTGTTCGCTTCGTGCAGAGGACATTAACCCCAGCCTTTGTCTCAAGCATCCATCTCTTCGAGACACCGATTGCCGTGTCACCAAGGCATTGGTATCACTCAAATTCGATCTACCCTCTTCGACCTCTCATCAACGGTGTGAAGGGCACCACCGGATTGAACCTGACGACAAAGTCTTCTTTGCTGCTTTCGGATGGGCTATGGAACCTCTTCGTCAGAATCTGAAGTTCTCAGGTGCTCAAGATCTGTCTGCGAACCCTGATTGTGGGTCATGTGCCCCTACAGTCCCCGGAGTCAATTTCCGCATAGTTCCAAAGAAGAATGGAACCACAGAGTTCCAACCTTATGAAGATTCAAAGACCGCTAGGGATTATGAAGCTGCCATAAAATCTCGCCCTCAGCCTTTCGTCATCGAGTGCCAACTACAAGGCGACTCTGCCACCCTAACTATTGGGTTAAACGCCACTACTTTGTGTCACAGAGCTGCCGCAAAGCTCAAGATGCTGACCGGATCAGTTGATTCTGTGGCTTGGACGCTTGATACGACCTGGGTAGAAGAGGCGTCTGCCAAATCCCCACCTTTTACCCTTTGCAACAACAGCGACAACGTCCAATGCGTTGCTGCCAAGGAGGTTCTAACTGGTATTGAGCTTTTCGACATTCAGCAGAGGTCGCTCACGTGGATGAAGGAGCAAGAATCTACTGTTGGCCGTCCGTTCATTGTCAAGGAGACCGAAGAGGCTCTGCTTCCGCACCTCGGCTGGCGTCTCGAATCAACGGCTGCTACTGAAATCCACGTCAAGGGCGGCATTCTTGCTGATCATGCTGGGTTTGGCAAGACCGTTACTTCTCTTGCACTCATCCAATCAGAATTCAAGGAGAAGAGTCGAAAGCGTATCTTGAAGGAGATGTGTGTCAACGGAGGAGCTGCCCAGCCACAGCTTATTCCCGTTGCTGCAACCTTGATTGTTTGCCCGGACAACCTCGTTGGCCAATGGTCAGGTGAGGTCAAGAGACTCGTTACCATGGAGCACGACTCGGATCTTGTCGCTATCATGACCATTAAGGAACTGGGGCAGCTCAAGAGGGAGCATTTTGAGAAAGCCAAGATTATCATCCTGAGCAAGAAGGTCTTTGAACACAAGACTAGTTCGGAATACCTCGAGCAGCTCGCCATGTTTACCGCGATGCTTGAATACACTGGCAAGAATAGTCGAGCCTTGCAGTTCTATCTTCGTGATGCCACTTCTCGAATCCCAAAGCATCTTGAAATCCTCAGAAAACCTGAAGGCTCTTTTGAGCTGCAGGAGCACCTTACAAAGTTGTACAAGGAAACTTTGAAGGATCCCCGGTACCGTGCATATGCGGAAGAATCCAAGAGACTCAAGGGAAGAGCTTACGCCAAGAAGAAGAACGCGTCTAAAGTCTCGAGTCCCGTTGCGGAGGACCTTGACCAAGGCCGCAAGTACAAGAATAATGACACGTACATGCTTCTCGAGATGTTCCAGTTCAACCGCTTGGTTGTTGATGAGTTTTCATACACAGAATCGCATGAGCTCATCATGTACTGCAACATCAACGCATCCAAGCGTTGGGCTCTCTCGGCCACGCCTCGACTCAAGGATACATACGATGTCTCGAGAATGGCACGTTTCCTTGGTCTCGAGTTGCCGATTGGCGCCAGTGCTCCTGGACTTCTATCGACCGCAAACATGTCAGCTTTGCGCAAGGATATGACAAACATGGAACAATTCGAGACTTTTAGGGAGCTGCCCTCACGCAATACGCAANAGAGCATTCATGCTCTCGCCCAGGAATTCCTTAACACGTTCCTTCGCCAAAACCTGATGCGACACGATCAGTACCCGTACGAAGACGAGCTTTTCACTACCACCTTGTACGCCGACAATCGCCTGGTCTACACTGACCTCTCTCAANAATTCAACTCTCAAGACATGAGAATACGCAAAGGCCGAAACAGAGTGGCTGAACTCAGCGTCATGCCCNCCAATGTCACCACAGCAGAGGAAGCTTTGTTGTGCACAGCCGCTATTTATGACCCTTTGAAGAAACTATCAGAGGAAGCTCAGCGAAAGGGTACCAGTCCAGGACTTGAAGCCCTGGTCGAGCGTTATGAGGGCCTTCACAGCAAAGCCCGAAAGTCGCTCCTGGCGAGAATGAAGACTTGTGCTGAGAACTCCGGCAAGTCAAAGTTGTTCTCCAACTGGGTCGATAATGTTGTAGCCACCAACGTGTTTGGTGATCAAGCTGTGGCCGACGAGATAGCGGAGATAGCTGCAACTGGGATGGCAAAGGCTAAGCAGACAAGAAAGAGACAGCGAGCACAAGCCGTGGTTGAGGACAAGACCGAGATTGCCAACGATCAAGTGGGTAGTTCTGCAAACGATGACGACTCGGAAGACGACCAACAGCCTGTCACCGCAGAGCAAGAGAGCGCCCAGGAGATGGAGACACCGCTCGGACATCTCAAGGACAACATCAGCGACGCCGTTGGTGATGCTAAAGCCTACGTCGCCTCCACAAGAACTCTTCGATTCGTCAAGAATGCCCTGAAGCACGAGAGGCGCCACCAGAACCCTTCGAACAGACTCACCTGCGATGGGAAGGACTGTGACAACATCATCAACGACTCTGGTGATCTCCGTCTCTCGGCCAACTGCGGTCACGCTTTGTGTACAGACTGCATCGTGGCCAGCAAGAATCTGCTTGGCAACTGTCCTGTCAGTGGATGTAAACAGGAGGTCAGATCTTATCATCTTCTCGATCTCGGCAAGCTTGGAGACTCAACTGCTAGCAACTACGGCAGCAAAGCTGATGGTCTTACGAAGCTGCTCAAGACGATTGCAGCCCAAGGACAGCAAGCAATCTTGTTTGTGCAGTTTACCCATCAGATCGAAGATATGATCGAGATTCTCGATAGGGCCGGCATCAGCCACCACCGCCCCACAGCCGACAAGGAGGGTCCTTTCAAGTCTTTCACCAAGAACAAGAAGAAGACGGTTTTGATCCTGAACTCGAACGACGAGTCTGCCGCGGGCGCCAACCTTACGAATGCCAACCACGTCATCTTTTTCAGCCCCTTGCTGAAACGCACACAGTACGAGTACGAGGCTCAGATGGCTCAAGCAATCGGACGCGTTCGTCGTCCAGGCCAGAAGAAGCCTGTTCGTGTTTACCGCTTTGTTGCACTCGACACGATTGATGTCGATATCCTCGAGCACCGCGAGCACCGTACAAAGATCATGTCCGAGTACCAGGGCCCCGAGTGTGAGAAGCCCATTCCTGGCACAGACTTCGAGGCCAAGCTTAAGCAGAAATTGGACAAGCCTCAAAAGACGCAGTTGATTCGAGACCGCAACGGCGAGTTCAAACTCGTCNCCCGTCAAACCCTGCTCGCCGCTGGAGGCGAAGGCGTCTTCGAAGGAACTGAGCGCATTTTGGGATACGCAAAGTATAATTCTTTGATCAAGTTCTCATCCGGCTTCATTCAGGATGATTGAAGTTCTCTTGTTTCCACCATGAATTTTTGTTTCTTTTTGCATTTCCAGTTCTCACACGGCCTCAACATCTCTTACATTCATGGCCTCAGCATTTCGAACAGCAGAGTGCTTTTTGTTTTTGGGTCGTTTCAGCATACATCAGCGAAGGAGTCTTCAATCAGGGTTTCATGGAGGCGAAGACAAAAGCATTCGGAAGAAAGGAAGAAGGAGCAGGATTATGAAGAAAATGAACAATGACAAAAACACCTAGATAGACAAACAAATATGTCATGAGTTATGTAAAAAGAAAAAAAGGCCGCCTCAGAGTGATGTCCTTTCTGAACGTGACAAGAAGCTTGAAGAGAGAAAGAGAGAGGGCATGGTTGGTGGTCGGCAGTCGGGCCGAGGGTTGGCCGACCAGAGTCTGTGCTTGGTGGTCCCCCAGATTTGGAGCATTGCGATGTCAAAATGGCTTTGCTCATGACGAGAGAGGAAAGTTGCATCTTTGTCCCCAACACGCCAAACACGCAAATATCATGGCACACACCTCACCAATGGCGCTCGACCGGCGAGTGTCGCCATCACCGCCGCCGCAACCCTTGTCCAAGCGAGACAAACGCCGTAACAACATCACCGACAAGCTCTCGGACATGATCCAGACCTTCACCCAAGACCAGCACCAGCACTACCGCGCCCAGCTGCAGGCTATCCAGGTCGATATGACCATGATCTTGAGAGCAAACCCCTACGAGAACAGTCCGCTCGACGACTCGGCCGAAGACATCGAGCGAGAGATTGAAAACGTCACCGGCGGCAGCTTGCCAAACACGGACGCTGCTGTCAAAGACTACCTCGCTCTGGCCGGCAAANGGTACCACGAATACGTTCAGCAGATCAATCATGCTCTGGAACAGCGCGACGCCGATCTGACAGCTCTGCAAGTATGAGATTCTTCGTTGCGACCGAGACGCTCTCTCTTACTGACACAAGNNCAGAACCGTTACGACGCGGCTGTCGCCGAACTAGAAAAGAGCTCGGGTTACAAGGTGCAGGTTGCACAACGCGAACACCTCGAACTGGCATCGACAGTGCGCAGCCGTCTGATCAACAGCGTCACCAAGAAGCGCGACAAGCTGTTGCGTGAAAAAGAGCAACTCGACATTGCAGACAACTCTGCCCTGTTCTTCCACCCTAGCCAATTCACCGTCAACATTCCTCAAAGCCCAGGCGGCCTCCAGAGTAACCGCAAGACTCGTCACACCCGCCATCGTGTTGGAGAAGCCGACGTAGAAGGGCAGAGAAAACGCAAGGCCCCGGCCGATGAAGAAGCCACCGACTCACCTGCCCCGTCCTTCCGTCCTCTGCAAAACGACAGCAATGGAGCCGCCTCGCCCTTCCACGAAGCCCGCACAAAGACGCTCTACACACAATACGAAGCACCAGCCTTCTCCATCGACCGTCTATTTACTGAGAAAGAGCTGAACCACGCAACTGTTGTCGCTCAACTTGCAACGCATCACTTCTTCCACCAGCCTCAAGCCAGTCAGCAGAACCCTGACAATCCTCCCTCGCTCGCATCTGTCGACGGTGCCGCCGATGCCGTCGTTGGTCCTCCTGCCATTACCACTGAGATGGACGACATTGTCGCAAATCAAGCCAATGCTTCACCACCGCCTACCCAAGCCCCAGAGATGGAGCGTAATATTTCACATCATGCCACACGTGGTGCCACCAGAGCCAACCCTCTGGCTGCACTGTCAGAAGCCGCTGCTCTCACCTCTACCACCACAAATCCCTTCGTGCCAGTACTGATTCCCATCACAAAGACTGACAAGNGGGCGCCTACCCCACCGGGTGTGAGCGCTGGTGAAGTCGACAGCGATATTGCACTCATGCTTAGAGAGGATGAAGCCCCGCCGACATCGAACCCTGAACAAGATGAGAACCTGAGCAACCTTCAACAGATACGTGAACGCCTGCTCGAACAAGCCTGCCAGACCACACAAGGAGTTGCACCTTTCCGTCTGCCAGTTCTCGAAACTGGCCCTGCAGCAATCAGTGGTGGTGTAAACAGAATACCTCCATATGGTTTCGCAGACCCTGATTCTCTACGCTTTGCCCTTCGAAACGGTGCTGGTGTGGGCACGGCTGCTGCTGCTGTTGCACCATCAGCACCCGTAGTCAACGGTAACGCTCTTACTGCTGCTCCAGCCAGTGTAATCGGTGCCGCCATACCAATGAGCAGAACGACGAGTTATGCTGGCAGTGAAGCGGGTGCTGCTAGCGAAGCAGGCGGCGTGGGTATGCGAAGAGTTAGGAGCAGATTCGGTTGAGCCCCCACCATTGACTATACTCTTTTTTTTCCTGTTCTTTTACGACTTTTTCAATATTTCACGAAGCACACTGAGCTGGCTTCATTGGGGGCATTTTTCTTACAGCACTCTTTTCTACCTGCTTGTTGTCAACCCTACTAGCAGAACCGCTTTATGCTCTAGCATGGCACATGGCATCTCACACTTCACATCTCACATCTCCGCAGTTGCAGTGATCGATCTTCGAGGTCGAAGCAAGAGCTTCGGTTCAATGTATGCCGAGGTCGAGGGTTGAAGATCTCTCCCACCGGGCTTCCAAGCAAAATCTCGTATTGTCAACTTGTCCAAGAGCAGACCGCTCTGGCCACTATATGCCAGCACAGTGATGACAACGACCTTGTGTCAATATATGTGTTAGGGCTAACCAAGATTGTGGCCCATGTGCATCGCATCAGAAGGCGGGGCAACATGGAGTGACCGAATGCGGGGATCTTCACCTTTGCTCCTCACAATCCTCAGAGATAATTTTTCCGTCGACGAGCAAAAGTCTCTTCTTTTCTTGGTCGGAAGTGCGAACTTCCTCGTTCTTACATATTAGCCTGTATGAGAGATCAGCAATGCATGATGACCTTCGGACTTTGTGCCTGGCATGCATCTAAGCGATCATGTTTTAAGGATTCTGTGAGGTAGGGTGGTATCGTAGGTTGCGTATAAGCTTGTGGTCTGCCTCTTCTGCTTTCGAGATCTGTCTTTCATTCTAACAGAAAGTATCGTGGTTGCAATCATGGTTCGTCTCTATTCTGCTGGCCTAGCATTGGCTGGTCTGAGTCTTGCTCAAGCACATTCGAACGCTTCACTGGCCAACGCTATCTACAAAGATGCATCTCAGTCTGTTGATGCTAGAGTCGAGAACCTCGTGTCTCTGATGACATTGGAAGAGAAGATGGCACAGTTGATGCAAGGTATATCATTTCTGATGGCAGAATATGGGATCTTCCACTGACCCTCTCTTTAAGGCGACATTTCAAACTGGCTCAACACAACTTCTGGAGAATACAATCAAACAGGCCTAGAATTCAACTTTGCGAACCGTTCTGGCATGTTCTACGTTGGCTACCCTATCACCTGGGACTGGCTCGCCGAAGGCATCAAAGTAGGCCAAGACTACGCCGTCAACAGCACTCGTTTGGGCATCCCAGCAATCGTCCAAACTGAAGGTATCCACGGCTTCCTGATTGGCAACGCTACAATCTTCAACTCGCCAATTGCCCAAGCATGCTCGTTCAATCGCGAACTGCAACGTCAGATGGGCGAGCAGATTGCACTCGAAGCTGCTGCTTTGGGAGTCACCCAACTATTTGCTCCTCTAGCTGATTTGGCTCGCGAATTGCGTTATGGCCGTGTAGAAGAGACGTATGGCGAAGACGGCTACTTGGCTGGCGAAATGGCATACAACTACATTGTTGGATGTCAAGGACAAAATGTCTCTGCTATGGTTAAGCACTTTGCTGCTTACTCTGAGCCTGAAGGTGGTCTCAATACTGCGCCTGTGCATGGTGGTGAGAGGGAGCTGAGAACGACTTGGCTTCCGAGTTTCCACAGGGCGATTGTTGATGGTGGTGCCTATGCCATCATGTCTGCGTATCATGCTTATGATGGTATCCCGGCTGTGGCTGACTATCATATGTTGACTGAGATTTTGCGCAATGAATGGGGTATGTCATGGACGGGGCTTTGAGAGATTGACTTGCTGACGGTTTGTTTAGGGTACAAGTACTTTGTGTCGAGTGATGCTGGTGCTACAGATCGCTTGTTCAAGAACTTCTTGACTTGTGGAGTCAATGACTTTGGATGTGTTACTGAGCAGTGTTTGACTGCTGGAAACGATGTCGAGGTCAGTACTTTGCCCTTGACTATCAATGAACCTGGATTGACCTGTTGCGTAGNNATGGGAGGTGGCTCCTTCAACTTCCGCTCTATTCCTGACCTCGTCGGCAACAAGACCATCGACATCAGTGTCGTCGACGAAGCCGTCGCCAGAGTTCTGAGAGTCAAGTTCCAAATGGGTCTATTCGAGAACCCCAATCCTGCTGCTCCCAAGGACCAATGGAGTAACATCATCAACAACGCTGCTGCTAAGAAGCTTGCCCGTGACCTCGACGCCGAGTCAATTGTCCTTTTGCAAAATCCCAACAAGACACTTCCGCTCAGCAAGACTGACAAGATTGCCGTTATCGGTCCCATGGCTTCTGGCTTTATGAACTATGGCGACTATGTCGTTTATGAGTCTCAGTATAGGGGTGTTCAGTATCTTGAGGGCATCCAGAACGCTGTTGGTCCTTCTGCCAATGCGACTGTGACCTATGCTAAAGGTTGTGAGAGATGGTCGACTGATGAGTCTGGTATCCCTGAGGCTGTTGAGGTTGCCAAGAATGCTGATGTGGCTGTTGTCATTGTGGGCACTTGGTCTAGAGATCAGAAGGAGCTGTGGTCGGGTCTGAATGCCACCACTGGAGAACACATTGATGAGAGGTACGTTGCTGATAAAAGTCTGGTGCAAGAAGATTTTATTGACTTCGAACNNAGTGATCTCGGTCTCGTTGGTGCACAACGAGCTCTGGTCAAAGCCGTCATCGACGCTGGTAAACCCACCGTTGTTGTCTTTTCCTCAGGCAAACCTCTGACTGAAGACTGGATCTCCAATACCACAGCCAGTCTAGTCCAACAATTCTACCCTGGCGAGGAAGGCGGCAATGCCCTAGCAGACATTCTGTTCGGCGCGGTCAACCCATCTGGCAAGCTATCTGTAAGCTTCCCTCACGATGTGGGCACCCTTCCTGCCTACTACGACTTCCTGAACAGCGGAAGACCGAGCTATCCTGGCTTTATCGGTGGCGATGGAAACCTCTACTTTGGCTCCGACTACATCCTCAACACACCCATACCTTGGTTCCCCTTTGGTTATGGGCTCTCTTACACCACGTTCGACTACAGCAATGTCGCACTCTCTTCCTCACACGTCTCTGCCACCGACAACATCACCGCTACAGTCTCCATTACCAATAACGGTACTTACGACGGTGCCGAAGTCGTCCAACTCTACGTCAAAGACCAAGTTGCCAGTGTTGCCGTCCCCAACATCCAACTCAAAGGCTTTGAAAAGGTGTTTGTCAAAGCTGGCGAGACTGCCGAGGTGCAAATTCCATTGAACATTGCTGATATTGGGTTGTGGAACAAGAGCATGAAGTATGTGGTTGAGCCTGGCAACTTTACTGTCTTTGTGGGTAGTAGCTCGGCTGATTTCCGTGCTAATGCTACTTTGACGGTTGTCTAGGTGCTTTAGAGGGAGGAGTAGAGGAGATGAGTGGTTTGAATGCAGTCAAGTGCGATGTACGAGTACGAGTACTCGAACGTGATTGATCATCGATCTCAATTGCCAATACTGTTGCTGCCGGAGGTTAAATCCCGACCCCAGGAGATGAAGCTGCGAGGTGGGGCAGATGAATGGATGCACTTCGGTAGATAGACAACACGAGCCCTGCTTCTCTATCAATATCAAAGCTGCAAACGAATACTCTGAGACTGCCGCTCTCGCCTCGCTGATAGAGCTTGTCATCTCGCACACGGAGCACCCACCTCCTTGACCAGCGAGGAAAAGGTGGCAGGAAAGAGGGGTCGTCGTTGGATTTAGCCGGGAAGAAAGCCGAGAAAACGGCATGACTTCGGGTCCGGAGTGCAGGGCCGCAGTTCCTTCCTGGGACAACCGTGGTTTATCATCGCGTGCTGATTTTCGAGGCAAGAGTGTCTGGAAACAGGTCATTTGCCGCGGATGGCGTGGGGCCAAGAACGGCGGTTCCTTCTTGTTTTGCAGGCTGATTCGCGTTTCGATCTAAGAACACGTGCTAGGGTTTAGAGCTTGCCTGCTCGATTCGTTTCAGTGTAGGGTTTCTTATCGTATAAGAACATCGTTCCTGCCTCTGTGTCACGGTATCTCTTGATTGTATCTATTTGCTTTTGTCGTTTGTCATACCCATTTGTCTTAATAAGAAGATCATGGCTTCCATAGATGTAGAGGATGTGCTCTCGAAGCTGACGGAAAGGGAGAAGATATCGTTGCTTGCAGGTACCTCATTGCCATCAAAGGTTCTTCTGCTACTCGTGTGTTCTGACCATGGTCTCCAGNGTATCGATTTCTGGCACACACAACCGATTTCCAAACATGGCATTCCCTCTCTACGACTCTCAGATGGCCCCAATGGTGTTCGCGGCACTCGCTTCTTCAACGGCGCCCCAGCAGCCTGTTTTCCCTGCGGCACAGCTCTAGGCGCAACCTTTGACACCGAACTCCTCGAGGAAGCCGGTCGTCTGATGGGCAAAGAAGCCATTGCCAAAGGCGCCCATGTGATCCTCGGCCCCACCATCAACATGCAGCGTTCTCCCCTTGGCGGACGTGGCTTCGAGTCCATTGGCGAGGACCCCTTCTTAGCTGGTCTAGGCTCCGCAGCTCTGGTCAAGGGAATGCAGGAGAATGGCGTTGTGGCCACCATCAAGCATTTTGTGGGTAATGATCAGGAGCATGAACGCAATAGAGTGGACTCCATCGTTACGGAACGTGCGTTGAGGGAGATCTATCTTATGCCGTTCCAATTGGCTGTCAGAGATGCTTATCCCAAGTCTTTCATGACTGCTTACAACAAGATCAACGGCACGCATGTTAGTGAAAACCAGCGGATCTTAAAGGATATCTTGAGAGGGGAGTGGGGTTGGAACGGCCTAGTGATGAGTGATTGGTTTGGCGTGTATTCGACAACCGAGTCGATTGTTGCTGGTCTGGATTTGGAGATGCCTGGTCCCACTCGCTACAGAGGAGAAGCTTTGGTGCATGCGTCAACTGCCAACAAGATTCCCGCTGGTGTGCTTGACGAGAGAGCAAGACAGGTCCTGGAGCTAGTCAATGAGTGCGCTGCATCAGGCGTCAAGGAGAATGCCGAGGAGACGACCAACGACACACCGGAGACGTCCAAACTACTGCGAAGACTTGCTGCAGAGTCGATCGTGCTGATGAAGAATGAAGGTGACATCTTGCCACTCAAGAAGGACAAGAAGCTTCTGGTCATTGGTCCCAACGCAAAGGCCGCAACATACTGTGGAGGTGGTTCAGCCTCTCTCCGTCCATACTACGCCGTCACCCCTTACGAGGGTATTGTCGACAAGGTTGGAGAGGAGAACGTTGACTTCAGCATTGGTGCATACTCCCACAAAGAGATGCCCAGCTTAGGAGTCGATTGGAAAACCACCGCCGGCGAAGATGGCGAGCACGGCGTACTGTTCAGAGCCTACAACGAATCTCCTGAGGACAAGGACCGCAAGTGCGTCGACGTACTGGGCCCTTTTACAAACACATCGATGATGTTTATGGACTACAAGAACCCCAAGCTCAAGTCTGGGCTCTGGTATGCTGATATCGAGGCATACTTTACAGCCGATCGTGATGGTGAATATGAACTCGGTGTCTGCGTGTACGGATCGGCAAAGGTTTTTGTTAACGATGATCTCGTCCTTGACATCACGGAGAATCAACGCCAAGGTTCTGCATTCTTCGGCCTGGGCACCGATGAAGACATCTGCGCTGTCTCCATGAAGAAGGGCCAAACCTACAAAGTCCGCCTTGAGTTCGCCAGTGCACCGACCAGCAAGTTGACTGGTGGCAGCGTGGACTTCGGTGGTGGCGCTGTCCGTATCGGAGGAGCCTGGAAGATTGACGCCGACGAGGAAGTCCGCCGCGCTGCTGAACTCGCAAAGTCTGCTGATCAAGTTTTGGTCTGCGCAGGGCTGAACATGGACTGGGAGAGCGAGGGCTTTGATAGACCAGACATGAAGCTACCAGGCCACTTGGACCGCCTCATCTCAGCCGTCGCAGAAGCCAACCCACGTACAGCAGTCGTGCTTCAAAGCGGTACACCGGTAGAGATGCCCTGGTTGAGCAAGGTACCTGCAGTGCTTCAGGCCTGGTACGGCGGCAATGAAACCGGCAATGGAATCGCGGATGTTGTGTTTGGAGACGTCAACCCCTGCGGCAAAACATCCTTGTCTTTCCCCATCAAAAACGAAGACAACCCTGCATTCCTCAACTATCGCTCTGAGGCTGGCAGAGTGTTGTATGGAGAAGACGTTTACGTCGGCTACCGCTACTACGACACCCTCGGCCGCCCCGTGGCTTTCCCCTTCGGCCACGGATTATCCTACTCGACCTTTGGTTTCTCAGACTTGAAGCTCGAGAACTCTTCAGACAGTGAAGGCGATCTCATCGCCAAAGTCACGGTCAAAAACACCGGCAAAGTTGCAGGAGCACAAGTAGCGCAACTCTACATCTCACCACTGTCCCCGTCTATCCGTCGCCCAACAAAGGAACTCAAAGCTTTCACCAAAGTGTTCCTCGAGGCCGGTGAAGCAAAGACAGTCGAGCTTAAAGCAGCACTCAAGTATGCAACCAGTTTCTGGGATGAGAGCAGAAATGCTTGGGTTTCCGAGAAGGGCAGATATAAGGTTCTTGTCTCGGATAGCAGTGCTGTTAGTAACGATGCTGTTGAAGAGACCTTTGAAGTGCAGAAGACAAAGTGGTGGAATGGGCTTTGAGGCAGCTTTGTGGTTTGGCATGATGGTTTTGTGGTATTCTTTTGGTTTGGCTAGATTCTTTTAGCATTTTGCGGTATGCAAATTGACATTCTGTTGACGAGTAACCATTCTCCCTTATGCTAAAGGCCATTCACATTGCGGCTCCAGAAACACATCACGCCCTTCGGCAAAAGGTGACAACCAAATCTACCCACACAAAACAACAAACGAGCATCGAAAAACAGCAAAAACCAGAGCACTGAGCCCTTGTGGGAAAGCTCTCCCTTTCGACTCCTTGGTTTTAGTCACCAGATGTCGGTCATCTGGGGGCCACGAATTAAGACGTACAAGGCAGGGATTGTTTTATTACGAATCGGGAGTGTACAAGCCGTTACACCACTCGACCGATTACAGGAATAAAGTGAACTGAGATGTATATATATATGCTAGCAAGGGGATCCAGGGTTCGAGTTGGGGGTGAGCGATTTCTGTTTTTGCATTACTCTGACCAAAGGCGTTGATGACAGTATCTAGCATTTGAAAACGATGAGATTGAAAACATGATGATCATTCTGTATCAAAGGAAAGTGCCACTACTTGCGACCGATAGCAATAACAGCAGTACCAGCAAGCACATACGCGCCATCGTCGTTCTTCTCGCAATTCTCTTTGACCACCTGCACAAACTGTTTCTCCACCTCTTTGACCTCTTGCTCATCCAAGACATCTGTAATCCAAGTGACTGCAGGATTTCCGCTGGTCAAGAAGAAGTGCGCAAACTGCTCTACATCAGGCATAACGATGGGTGCCTCTACATACTCGGTGTGTGTCTCTGTGAAGCCGGCTGCTTTGAGTTGCTCGCTCACGCCCTCGCAACTAGTCCACGAAGCAGTGACTGTAGGCATCTCAGGGGTGGGCTTATTGAGAGATGGAAAGGTACGAGAGGCAGCAATGGCGAGTGATTCCATCCATTGCATGCGGCTCCAAGATGAACATGCGCCCACGCCATTGGGCCGCAACACACGATGAGTCTCCTTGAGTGCCTTTACTGGATCTTCGACCATGAAGAAGACGAAATTGGCAATGATGTGCGAGATTGAGTGGTCGAGTAGTGGTGCAAGGTTCATGGCATCCATTACGAGAGGAGTCACTCTTGCCCAAGTATCCTTCTCTGTGCCTTGTTGCAACTCGTTGAGTTTGGAGGCACGCACTTGGAATACAACACCCACCATCCCGCTGCTGAAGTCTGTGGCGAGAAGTTGAGTGGTGGTGGGCAGAGTTGCATGGTGCGAAGAGATGAGTTGAGAAGTCACACTGCCGGGGCCGCATCCAATATCTAGGATAGAGGTTGCAGATGACAGGGATGAATGGGAGTCGAGCATTTCGATGAGGCGGGTTATGGGGATGCTCATGGGTGTTTTGGAGACATTTGCTGCGTAGTTTGCGGAAGCCTTATTCCAGTCATTGGCTCCGACTTTAAAGTTGATATGCTTGGTGGCAGATGGGGACGACATGATTTTTGAGTATTGTTGGTGGTTAAACAGATTGGATATGAGCAAGAGGCGGAGTGGGAGGAGATGATACGACATGTGAAAGGAAAACAGCAGGAGCAAACCTTCGGGTACTTATAGGCATGATAAATGTAAGCCATCAGTGTAGGATCCTGCGGATTCGGGTGTGGTATGCAGCGTATTGCTGTCAACTTCCTGGGTAGTTCTCGGAGACATATTTCGGAGACTTTTGCTTGGTCAGAAGCGCAAGGATTTCAGCACACCGGTGAGACCAAGACACGTTGTTTTGTGCTTGCATCCAAGTGCATCCGGTATCTCGCCAGTCGGCTTGCTGCTGCCTGCATAATCCTTCTCTCGTTGCCCCCTCTTTCCTATGATCACCTACTGGTCAATTGATCTTTGATCGCGGTGAGAGACGGAGTTAGCCAGTAGCTCGTTGAGTTGTGCCGAAGTTTCGCCATCAATTGCCTATTGGCTAAGATATGTCGAACTCTGCCTCTCTGCTCGATCTCTGGCAACACACCGGATACGTCCCTCTGGTTTTCCCTCTTCTTTGTCATCGACTGAGCCTCGCTTGCAAGCTGTAGAATTGAGAATGCCCTGTCCTGCTCGGCTCTGCTGTTGCGTTTCAGATTTGCAGAGCCTCGGTCTTGGCAACCTTTCTCCAGCCACAAACCTCACCTCACGTTTGCTTTCTTCTGCTTCTTCTTGACCAGAAAACACCTTGAATTGGTCATTTCATCAAGGTCTCGAGGTTTGATCTCTGGTAATGCCATACTGAGATATACTGGACTGAGTACAAGTCTTCCTCCCGCGCCTCTCCGTTGTGTATATGCAATCAATCTGAGGCGGAACCACTGCGGGGGCAGATCATGAGTTTCTTTCAACATCGCTAAACGCCTGCTGTCAAACCCTTTCATCTCATACTGCAAGAACGTCTAGTGGTGTCCAATCCGAAGGCTTGTGAAGAGCCACAGTCTAGCCGGTGGATAGATTGAACTATAAGCATTGTAAGATGTTTTGCCGAGCGATATAAGCAGGCACTTTTCCTTTTACTGTCCCCTTCTTTCCCTCCCTTCTTTAAGCAAGTCTTGAACGTTGAGTTTCCATTCTACCCTTTTCTGTTGCTTTTTACTTTCCATTCCCACGAGTTGACCTCGTACTGCCATTCGTTTATCAACCTACAAGCAAAGACCAAGATGTACTTCAATTCTATCGCTCTCACCACCGCCCTGCTGGCAGGCTCCAGCATGGCCGAGATCATATGGGACGGCCGCTTCACCGACAAGTCCGCTGCAGAGATCGACAAGTGGTCTTGGAACAACCAGGTCGGCGCCTACCAATACTACATTCACGGAACTGGTGCAACCACCGACTACATCAACATCAGCCCTGACTATGCCAACCCTGCCGACACCTCATCCTCGGATGGTGCTCGTATCACTGTCGATGGCACATCCTCATGGAACGGCCAAAGCATGATGCGCACCGAGCTGATCCCTTCCACCAAGGCCGCCATCAACAAGGGCAAGAAGTACTACCACTTCAGTCTCAAGCGTAGTGCCACGAACGCACCCGACACCACCGCTGAGCACCAAATCGGCTTCTTCGAATCCCACTTCACCGAACTCAAGTATGGAATCGACGGCAGCAATGGAAAATTGCAATGGATGACCGACGGCAAGGCCCAATTTGACATGGACTTTGAAGCCAATGTGTGGAACAATGTTGCCTACGGTATTGACTTTGACGCCAGCACGGTTGAGTTCTACCACTCCACTGGTGGAGATAAGTTGGTTTCCAAGGCTGGTCCCATGAAGGCTTCTGTCAGCTCCAACGGCGCCGATTGGCATGTCGGTGTGCTCAAGTTTTCCAAGACCAAGGAGGATTGGTTCTTTAGCAGTGTTTACATCGAGGATGGCGAGTTGACAACTTCGATCTCTGGCTCTTCTGGTGGTTCAGCTCCTGTCAAGGCCTCTTCTACCTCCGCTGTTCCTTCCAAGGCACCTGTCACCACAACCTCGTCATCTGTCGCAGCTGTCAAGACCACGGCCAAGACTGCTCCCACGTCTGTCGCTGCTGTTTCGAGCTCCTCCAGCGCTGTCCCTACCACTCTGCAGACCATGACCAAGTCTACTAGCCCTATCGTCATCTCCTCGACCGCTGCTTCTTCTGAAACCAATGACGCTGGGTGCACTGTCGAGTACGTCTATGTTTAGTTGAACTAGAGCAAGAGACGTCAGTAGTTGAGCATACCTATCCATAAAGTTCATATCTTCTTCTGTCTCTATACTTGTCTATCAATTTCATTCTGTTGTCCGCAGCAATTTCATCGGATACCCATCCACAAAAATACTTTCTTCGTCTCGTAAAGGACTATATCTTAAGTCAACTGGCCATCTCTCAAAGTAAGTTTGCTTATTCTAACTTATTCTGGTTTGAATCTCTTCTTCTTTATTGTTATTCATCGGTATTGAATATGTATTCATTCTTATTGACATATATTCATTCTTATTGGTATATATTCTTACTTATTGGAGACCTGGAGGATTTAAGGTCCCCTCTTTTCCCGACTTACTCTTTCCTCTTTCTTTCTTTCTTCTTATTTCAATCTTTGTTTTCTGTACCTAATAAAAAATTTCGTCTTACACTTTCACTAGAACCATATGTCTTCTCAGCCCTCACCCTCTCAGGAGCCTTTTGTTCTTCATTCGGTGAAGAATGAACCCTTGTGTGAAAAGTAAGTACTTCTTCTTGACTATACTTACTCTCTTCTTACGTTATTCCTAGTCCAAAGAAATCTCGTGGAAGACCTAGAGGCTCATCATCCAAGCTCGAGACATCTCTCAAAGCCAAAGTTGAAAAGTTGACTTCTAAGCTCAAGAAGCGGGAAGAACGGATGGAAAATTTGGTCGTTGCTTTGGCTGTCAAAGAAGAACAGCTTCGAAGTACTGTCGCTTCAAGAGATGCATGGATTGCCTTCTTGCAGGAAATTTTAGCTGCGAGAGAAGCACAGCTTCGAAGTCTCATTAGACAAAAGAACGACTTGGAGGGCAGACGTAAGTGCAATAGTACTGGTTTCTACTTTGCTCTTGCTAATTTCATTTAGTGGGATCTTCTGTTACTGGTGATATTAGGGACATGGAGTAAACTGACTGGATCTTCCTTCCAGGTGCTATTGGTCCAAAGAGAATGGACCGCATGGACATGGTACTATAGCAAGAGTCGTTAGGAATGACTGATTAGGGCTAGGAATCGTGGAAGTCAGTTTTTAGCAATCTACACTCACATTTTCTGTTTAAACACGTTTGAAGCCATGTAGAGAACAGCATCTTGTTAAACAACTATGCATTTGCAGAGCCTATATTACTACTGTTTGTACCCATGGAAGACCGGTCGAACAAAAAGCCTCCAATTATCTTCTTAGCACACGAGCAGGATGCGAAATCGCCTCAGTATATCTTGGTAAATGCATCTCGCTTCTCAGCAATGCCCACAACCATATGAGGTCAACAATCGAAACATCGAAGAAGCTGAAAACAAGAGAGCCACCAAATACGATAGAATGATACGTCCAAGCATCGCTGGGTGTGATGTTTGCCTTGCTCACCACGATGGCCCATGGCAATACCCACAGAAGATTAGAGACCAGACTCTGGTACAGATACCATCAGAGTCGAGTGGCGAGTAGAATTGCTGCGAGCTGTGTAGATAGAGCGTAGAAGATGTAGCACCAGTCAATCGTTCTCCACATCTTTGCGGTGATCTGAGAGACCCCGGCTTGGCATGTTCTGCACTCAACTCTCCTTCTCCAAATGTCGCGAGCTCTACCTTGCCCTTCCGTCATCCAGTCTTTAAGACTGCAATTGTTCGAAAAACGTTCAGGACTACGCGAGAACACGTCCTGCTGCAATGTTCTCTGTGCTAGCGCCTGTAAGGCGTCTTTTCCATCATCAGGGGTCATACTTCTCTCTCCATTCACTATGCCGAACCTTACCTCAGCCACTTCAACTTGTACTTCTAGCAAGGATCCGGAAGGGGAAGGGAGAAGAGAGCGGAGAAGAGAGTACCAGGAACTGTATCAGAGACAGCATCAGAAACCGTACGATCCGAGATGGACTGCCATTTTGAAAGAAACACGCAGAGACTGTTGCGGACAGGTACCGACGCAATTTAGAAGAGACAAATCCCGAATCCCTGGCGAGAATCCAGTGCTGGCAACGCGAATATAATGCGACAAGGATGAAAGACCCTGTGACCCGACCCAAGGACCTTGCAACGAAGAGGCTCTGGAACAGATATGATGCTGAACGTCAATGTATGAGACACTGGTTAGTATATAAATGCAATGAACCAGAGGCATTCATGTGGAAAACGCATGTACCAGTCGCCTATCCCGTAGGACTTCGTAAGACATGTGCTTCCTGTGGATCGTCAAGACGTTCAGGCTCGAGGTTATGGTGGCAGCGTTTGAAATCAGCAGAAACTGAGCCTGGGTCTGGTTGTAAAGCCGAATCCAAAGCTGAGCCCGAGGTTTTTGACTGCCATTGGTGCTACGCGAAGGATATGAAGAAAGCCATGCCTTCGGGTTGTGAAGATTTCGTCTTTGGCACTGGCCAAGGCTATCCGAAACCACGATGAATTGAACAAACCAGAAAACGCAATGCAGTATTATTGCCAAGGTATGTGGTGTCTAAAGAGATCTACTACCACTCGCTGATGCCAACTCATTAGATATCATGTGACCAGGAAAACATCGGCAGCGGCATTCATCGCTATTGCGAATTCCGTAACCTTATGTGCTTCTAGTGCAACATCAAGACACTTTTGGATTGTAGAAAGGCACAGTGTTTTCCAACATCGAAGGTATGGCCACAGAAAGCTGATGAAATCTTGTCTCTCAGTGGGTGCTGCCCTGCTTCTCAAGGCTATTTTGCGTCTCTATGGCTATACGCGTTACATGCTTTAGTACACGAGAAGGTAGGACGGATCAGAGGGACCCAACTGCAGATCAGAAGGGAATCGAAGCCCGACGTTGGCCACACAATGAATCCGTGCCACCCCAAACAGAATATGCAGACGAGAAAGCAAACAGATATAGTCTTGGGGCCTTGAATAAGACGAGGCATTTTTATTTACTGTTTATGAGCCTGGATATGCACCGATGGTGAAGAAGGACGATTAGAGTCACAATTTCTATTAGTGGCGTCTCTTCGCGAGCTGTGCTCATCGTTGTTCCACAAAGCGGTCAGCTTCGTTGGATGAGTTGCAGTCTGTGGAAGCTCGGGCTTCCGGGGACATATCGGAGTATATTTAGCACCGCTTTGCAGTGCCGAGCCACGATGCCTCTGGGACGGACTTTTAAAGTCTCCGGAGTTCGTCGGCGAGGCCATATTTCTCGGTGACCGAGATTATGGTGGCGGTGGTCTCGGGAGAAAGTCCAGCCTATGTTTCTGGACGTCGAAAGATTGGGTGTGCTTGATTGATGGCTTTGCGGTTTCGTTGTGCAGCAGGCAAAACGTGTGTCTCAACCCATCTCGGCCATCTCTTCATCTTGTGCTTCGTCCATTGGTTCTTTTGGTTCCTGGGCCTCGTGGAATTGAATGGCATCATCGATGTAGGAGAGAACAGCACCGACACTGTCTTCGTCTTGGGCGTCAAGCTTGAGGAATGATACCATGGCAAAGTCGTCAATGAGCTGGCCGACAGCGCGGTTCAGTTTGTTGAATGAAGAGCCTGCCATGACGCTTTGGGAGTCGGTGACATCGTCGGGGTCGTTTGTTTCGTCGTAGTACAGGCCAGTAGTCGGATCTTCGTCAAGCAAGCTGACATCAGGGTCAATGAAACGTTTGAGGTCCTTCTTCGCGACGGTGCCCTTGACGAGATCCATCTTGCTCAGAATGTTGACATGAGGGACTTCGAGCATGAGCATGGCACTCATGGCACTGAGGGTGCCGGCAAAGAACTTTGCGCGGTCTACGACAAAGGTGGCTTCCAGCAAGTAGGCGGCGCAGAGGTTGACGTTGAGACTGCCTCTGGTCAAGGACTTGACAAGGGTGGGCAAGATGGGCACATGGGTATACAGCTCGATCTGGCCGGGCATATCGATGATTATGAGGTACTCTTCACCCACCTCTTCCAGCGGGTCGGTGATGAAGTCCATGTTCTCCAGCAGAAACTCGAAACAGTAGATCAGACCACCGTTGGGGCCGAGATGCATTTCCTCCATGACATCTTCGAGGGTGATGAGCTCTCTAATGTCGAGATCAGGCTCGTAGACAAACTCCTCGGCGGCGGGGTCGAGGTTGATGTAGAAACATGAGCGGCGCGAGTTCTTCAGATGGCCAATCAAGGCCGAGCAGAAGGTCGTCTTGCCAGCACCAGCTGGACCGATGGCCAACACGCCGTACTTGGACATGGCGGGTTATGCTGATGTTCCTTGGGGTTCGGATGTAGCTATGCAAATAATAGGTTGATATTGTTCGAGCAGCGGGAAATTTGCGCCAAGCATCTGTAAATCGCGTCATGTTGGGTTTTGTCTTCGGCATTTGGATTGTGCAAATCCTGCCGCAAAATGCAATCTGCTCTCTAGCCCCATCGTGCCCCAGCCCTCCACTGGCCGTGATCTTTTCTTTCAACGCATTCCACCTCCCCACTTGTCTTCTGCCATCCCCTTCCATAAGAGTCAACTGTTCCCCCGAGCCGATTGACCTTTCTACTCTTCGCTCTTTCCCTTCTTCCACCTGCATCTTTTTCGTGCCCCTCCCCACCTCCTCTCTCACAATGGTCCACACCAACGGAAACGTCAAGGGTAACACCTTCCTCTTCACCTCCGAGTCTGTCGGCGAGGTAAGCTGCTTCCAGTCCTCTTCTACTTGGTACCTCGTCCGTACTAACACCTCCCAAGNNGGTCACCCCGACAAGATTGCTGACCAGGTCTCGGATGCCGTCCTCGATGCCTGCTTGAAGGAGGACCCCCTCTCCAAGGTTGCTTGCGAGACTGCCACCAAGACCGGCATGATCATGGTCTTCGGTGAGATCACCACCAAGGCCCGCCTCGACTACCAGAAGATCATCCGTCAGGCTATCAAGGACATTGGTTACGACAGCTCCGACAAGGGCTTCGACTACAAGACCTGCAACGTCCTCGTTGCCATTGAGGAGCAGTCGCCCGACATTGCCCAGGGTCTCCACTACGAGGAGGCTCTTGAGAAGCTCGGTGCCGGTGACCAGGGTATCATGTTCGGTGAGTTTTCGTGAATTTCCACCCTGCACAACTGCGCTAATTCAACCCTCANNGGTTATGCCACTGACGAGACCCCTGAGCTCCTTCCCNTCACCATCCAGCTCGCCCACAAGCTCAACGCTGCCATGACCAACGCCAGAAACGACGGCTCTCTCCCCTGGTTGAGACCCGACACCAAGACCCAGGTCACCGTTGAGTACGAGCACGACGGCGGTGCCGTCATTCCCAAGCGCGTCGACACTGTCGTTGTTTCCGCCCAGCACAGCCCCGACATCACCACCGAGGAGCTCCGCAAGGAGATTCTTGAGAAGATCATCAAGAAGGTCATCCCCGCCAAGTACCTTGACGACAAGACCGTCTACCACATCCAGCCCTCAGGCCTCTTCATCATCGGTGGTCCCCAGGGTGACGCCGGTCTTACTGGTCGTAAGATCATTGTCGACACCTACGGTGGTTGGGGTGCCCACGGTGGTGGTGCCTTCTCCGGAAAGGACTACTCCAAGGTCGACCGTTCCGCTGCCTACCTTTCCCGCTGGATCGCCAAGTCCCTGGTCAAGGCTGGTCTCGCCCGCCGCTGTCTCGTCCAGCTCTCCTACGCCATTGGTGTTGCCGAGCCCCTCTCGCTCTTCGTCGAGTCCTACGGTACCTCCGACAAGTCCTCTGACGAGCTTGTCGAGATCATCCGCAAGAACTTCGACCTCCGTCCCGGTGTCATTGTTAAGGAGCTCAACCTCACCAACCCCATCTACAACCGTACTGCCAAGAACGGTCACTTCAGCGACCAGACCTTCACCTGGGAGCAGCCCAAGGAGCTCAAGTTCTAAACATGTCAAGACATATATTAACTTGATGCTGGGCTCTTTGTGTTTTTCGAAAAGCCTGCTGTAAGACTCTGTGCGAACGGAGCTCACAGCTGGCATGGCGTTCAGGGTATAACTGGGAAGGGTAAACCTGCATCAAACCCTGCGGCTCACTACTTATGGAGCGCAGGTCAGCCAGACTTGAGGCAATGTGTTAAGGGGTATTCAACATAGACTCGGGTTGGCTGTAACGTGCTATGCATGCATCTAGCGTCGGCGTTTGGCGATGATTCAACAATATCCCAGACTCACGGCATTTTGTTATCATGGGAAATGATTCTACTTCTTTTTCAAGATAGACCAACAATCTACTACAACCACCACACTCCTAGAGCAGGAGTGTGTACTTTCTTCATGACCTCTAAACTTTTGTCTCTCCCAAGTCTGTCTAACTTTTTCTACAGTACTGACTTCTGAAGCCGTTATCGGCGTATGTATTCATTTCCGTTCTCACGTGTATCAATTGTTGAATCGCGCTCAGACCCTTTGGAAATGTCGAACCACGTGTTGGAGTGGTTGAAAATGGTTCGCAAAGCAATTAATGAGGATAAATTAGTGCCAGCTGTACAAATGGACGGACACCTGTCCTCCAAATCTTGCTCGAAGACCTTCAAAGGTACCTGCATGCAAAGGATGAATGGACAGAGCATGTGAAAGTCATGAAGTCATCCGAAGAGCAAGCACAGAGCGGGCAGAGGACCAGCCGCAACCTCGGGTGGAGACGACTCCAACGACTCCATACCTCGAAGCTGTCAACGATTACATATCCATCGTGATTTTGATATCTTACCAGCTCGATTTGCAGCAGAAAAAGAACTCATCAGATCATGTCGTCTTCAGATTCAGCAACGCGCTCGCTGTCCGTACTCAGCCTGCGGGCGGCCGAAATAGCCTCGGCAGCCGCCCAGAAGAAGGCACAGGAAATAGGCATTGGTGTGTCTCTTTGTGACTATTGATATTCAACAACAAATCCCAGGACTAACCACTGCATTCTCCTTTTGGCAGACTTCAACATTGCAATTGTAGACGCCACACTCCAACTCTTGCACTTTGTACGCCAGCCCACAGCAAAACTGACATCCATCAACACTGCCATCGACAAGGCGTTTACGGCGGCTGGACACAAGCAACCTACTTCAGCATACAAGAGTCCGAATTTTTTGCCTGGAGGACCGGCATATGGAATCCACAACTCTAATGGCGGTAGGTTTATGTTGATTGGGGGTGGTGTGCCGATTGTGATTGAGGGCAGTGTTGTTGGTGCTGTGGGTGTTAGTACGGGGACGCCGAAGCAGGATGAGGAGGTTGCTATTGCGGGAGTGAAGGCAGTGGAGGAGTGGGTAAAGAAGAGGCAGGGGCCTAAGTTGTAAAGATGCATGTGTAGAACTTGCATTGCTATGGAAATGATGTATGATCAATGCAACTTTCGAGCGTATGACTACGACCAGCTATGATTTTTCCATGTGTCCCGGTCGAGTCTTCTAAGATCTTCTTCGGTGCTTAGTCTTCTTGAGCCTGGTTCTACACTTCAAAGTCACTCCATCTCTACGTTGTGGCCGTTCTTTGCTCTCACCAACCGGCGTCTGATTTGGGAAGGTGCTAGCGTCCTCCACATCACATCTGCCGAAACAGACAAGTCAACCGCAATCCTCCACAACGTCCTCTCGCAACGCAAACTGCTTATCGCCAGGCAACAGCGTTTCTTGAAGCCTGGTGTGGCTTGTCTACACCTTGCTATTATGTCCACAAATATAGATACACTGTAGGTCTGTCACATTTGACGAATTACACAAATCGCTCTGCCAAAACCTATCTCCAACACATCACCAAACATGTCCTTCTCCATCAAACCAGTAGATGTCACCCTCGCACCCCCATCGCAAAAGCAATGGTCTCGGCCCGCTGGGCAGACCCCCATTGGAAGGCCCTCTTCGAACCCAGCACCACACCCACCCAAATAACCTACGACCTCAGCCAACGACTTCCCTGGAATCTAATCAACAACCGCACCACTAAGCGCCATCAAGTCGCCATAGACGACGCGACCGGTCAAGTAGTTGCTTACATCAGATGGATATTACCCACGCATCTCGCTTCCGCAGATCCAGTGGTATGGCCAGAAGCACAAGTTGCCGAAGCCACGTCAGAGGAACGTGCAGTGTATGAAGAAATGTTCAAGACAGTTTCGGATGATGGCAGGGTTAAGGGGATGAGAATGGATTTGCTTGAGTATCTTAATACGCCGCTGGAGGAAATGGATGCGAAGGTTAATGAAGGTGGTCCTTTTCTGTGTAAGCTTATGCAATATCAACCAAATATTCTCGAAAAAGATGACGGGCTGACAGTGGGTGGAAATAGTTNNTTGGATTACCTGGCCACTACAACAGAGTACCAACGTCACGGCATAGGAGCAATGCTGCTTAAAGCTGGTCTCGAAGTGGCTGATGCGCATGGTTTAAGGTCGTATGTGACTTCTTCTGCAGCAGGTGCCAAGCTCTACCAAAAGCATGGTTACAAGACAGTTGAGACAGTGACAATGGACTACTCCCACTTTGGAGGCTCGGAGCCTGTGAGCGATCATTTTATGATTCGAGAGCCTCAACAATGAGAATAACTATGGAGCCATGAACGATGTTGAAACTTAATGTAATGTATGCACAGCATTGAAGGCTCCCAGCGGCGAAGTATACCCATATTCAGTGGTTTTGCAGAACTTCATACCATTCAAAGCAGTAAAGGAGAGTCGCCACCATCGTGTAAACCACTAAGCACCATTCTTCAGTCAAAAGGGGCGAGTGATGGCACAGGCACACCGCGAAAAGCATCGAATGGCCGCAAGAATGTTGACCATACGTCCTCATCTGATGCCACGGCGCTGAACCTCTTCCATAAGCTGTTCGTTGGTGAGTCCAGCTAAGAACTCCTTCACGCTCTTTTCTTTGTGCAGCTCCTTCTTTGTGCCCTCTGTCTAGGCAGCATCGAATTCTTTCTTAGCCAGTCTGGCGACCTCCTGACGGAGCATCTGTCCATATCGGTTAGCTTTGTTCTTATCTGAGGAGATGGAGTGAGCTGCTCTTGTATACCTTCTGGATTGGGTTGGCAGGGTGAGCAGGATTGTCTGCTGATCTCTGACGCAAGCGGCAGTATTTGGTGTTATGGGAATTATTGTAGCCATGCTTGCCGTAAGAGCCTTTTGCACTGCGTGTCAGTCGTGGACTTGAGGCTGAACACTAGAGGTGGGGAAGGAGCTTACAATAATACTTTTTGCTCTGTTTGGCGGTGTTGTTGGCAGGGTTCGAGTGTTTGTTGATCTCGTTTGCAGCAGCGGCAGACCGACACGCGAAAGCCTTCAATCAGTCAGCAAACTTGGTTGTTGTTGCCATGGAGGAAGGAGCGACGCTCACTTGGTTGCAGCCTTCACTCACCATGTTCTTGCCATTCTACTGAGTCAAATAGTCCTTCACCCCAGAGTCCATTCGCATGGCTCAACTCGATAGACCTCTCCAGTATCAAAGGCATAAATAGAATCCGGCGGTAGTGAGTTCCACTCTGACCTTGGTCGGTCGCAGAGATGATTTGGTCGAAAAGATGTTCCCCTACTGGAGTTGGTTTCGTTGGTCAATAAGGCGAGTCTTGATATTTGTGCTGTTCTCTGTCCTCGGGCTCGTTTCTTATCTTCGAACGCTTTCACACACCCTCATAGAAAACTTGCTGTGGACAGAAAGTTAGAAGGAAAGGGTCAAGCTGCGTTTGTAGAATCCAACGGGATAGCGGTGGTCATCATACCTACCCTCTCGCACCAATCCCCACTGTTATAGACGGCCTCTTCGAGAGCATGAGGAACAGATCCATCGCAAGAGTCCTAATACCCAAGCTTTTGGATTGAGAAGTTATGATGTAGGTATGGATGCATACTTGAACCATTATTAGATATATCTATCTTTTCAAAAAGGTATGCTGCTCGATTGATATCTTGAAGTTTGTGTAAGCCCAATGACTGCCATAATCAGTATCACATTGGTTACTGAGCCCATCTAAAGCTCCAACATGCCCTTCGCAGCCAGAACCTGCTGCTGTCCACCTCTCTTACCGCCCTTCTCACGGCCAACAAGGATCCAGTTCTTGACAATAGCAGTACCATCCTTGAGCCACTCCTGCTCTTCTTCGGTACAAGAGTCAGGGTTTAGAGTATAGCACTCATTTTTGGGCGCGGGCAGAACATCACTAGGGGTCCATGCGTCCTCGGTTCCGTTGGTCTTGTACTGGTCTGATACGGCAACTGTGCCAGTAGCAACGTCCTTGTTGAACAAGCTACGCATGAAGATCTCATATGCGGCTTGAGGCTGGTAGCTAGGTACCAAGTGACCAGCCTGGTACACTCTGGTGAAACTCAGGTTGCCGTATTGTCTGACCAGACCACCGGAGTGGACGGGTGACAGTACAAGAGGAGTGTATTCGGCTTTCGAGAATGCTTCTTGAGAATCCCATGGGATCTTCAATGATGATGCTTCTCCGCCAAGCCAGTTGCAAGCGTAATCGCGATCACCATACATCATGGCTACTTTGACGCCGTTGTCGAGGATGTAAGCAATATCTTCAACCAGTCCGCCTTTGGAGATATCGCCAGTGTGCGTGAAAGCTTCGTAAACAGTGGGTGAGACGGCAGTGAGANNATTTACGGGCACACCCAGTGCTTCTTGAACCCAGTGCTGATTCAAGTAGCCCATAAGGTATGTGCCAGGGAAAGGATCGTTCTGCTGGTGGGTGATGTCAAACCAACCGAAGTTCTTGGTCTGCATGTAGAGGGCGACAGTCTGGTTTGCGAGGTTCTCAGCGGCTTGCATACAGTAGTTGTTTGTCTTCTCGACATCGCCGTAGTCGTTAGGGTCGGATTCGAGCTGCAGCCTGCGACATTCGTGGATCTGGTCGCGCAGACCTCCTTTGCGGATGAAGTTGTGTTTGGCTTCAAAGTACTGCTCTTCAGTGAAACCTTGGATGCCGTAGGTGTTAGCCACCGGAAACTCGACGTATGCAGAAGCGGAATCCTCAGAATCGATGCAGCCATTGATTATGCCCAAAGTGTCGAGATGCAGATAGTGGGTACCAGGACCCGAGATCGATCCATTGGCGATCAACTCGTTTTGAGTCATGAACTTCTTGACAAAAGTAGGGCCGTATCTACCGCCGTAGGACTCGGTAAAGAGAGAGATCTTCTCATCGTGGGGCTTGTATTGTGGGAACTCCTCAAACCATGTTTGAGCGAAGTGCCAGAAAGCAACAGCCGCGTGCTGCGTGCTGTTGGCGGTGGCAGAAACGTTCTGACTACTGGCGGTGCCAACCAAGAAAGTGGAGTTTTGATCAGGAACACTGGAACTGAAGTCGGCAACCTGGATGGAATCAGGACCCTCATTGTCGGCAAGCAAGTTTACAGTGATGTTCGTTGGGACATCATAAGAATATCCGACCTGAACAGGTTGGTCGATGTACAAGATGTTGACNCTATCACATGGATCAGCAATGTCTTGTGCTATAGCACATCTTAGCCCTACCTCATTGTTCCACGACCACGGGTTCAGGTATGTAGAATTGCTGTCGTTGTTGACGAAGCAAGGACCATTTTCAGAAAGAGCTCCCATCATGGAGCTTCCTCCTGGTCCACCATTGAGCCAAATCGACAGAGGAGCCTTGTGAGGATCCTTGCGAGATTCGAAGAACCAGAAGAANGCTGAACTAGATCAGTATGCGACAATATGCTGGATACACGCATACAGCACTCACGTGTTGATAGGATAGTCTTGTCTCTCGTGTGTCTCATTGATGCTGTGGGGAGGCAGATGGACATATCCAGAGAAACTGCGAACACCTTCGGTAGTCTCGCAAATAGCAGGCTGAGGATCCAATTAATATCGTGAACATGACAAAGTGCATCAATTGCCGCGGTTGATTAGGAGCAAGCGGAATTGTATACAATAGATACATACATCAACCTCTTTGTACGAGATCTCGATACCATGATGGAACTTTGACTTTACAGTTTTGACATCTTCAGGCTTTGGCGGGAATTGAGCAACAGCAGACGAAGCCAACAACGCGCCTGATAACAGGACAGAGTTCTTGAGCAACATGGCTTTAGCAATAGCTAATCGCAAAAGAATGATTGGGATCCTCAAGTGAGGTTGAGGCTGGGTTTATGTAAGTCGCGACGGTCTCTTGCTCGTAATCCCGCTTGGACAATCCTACGACGCTATACCCACCTTGGCAGGTAGCTGGATTGGATAAAGCCTTCTCCAATAGTGTTGCCTAAACGTTATTCCTTCCGTATGAGGGCATGTCCGAGATGAAAGACGACACTCTTCGTGAAGCGATGTCTATAGTGGATGATGGGGTCGATTGGGTTGAGGTTTCCCCAAGTCAGGTCGTCTGCTGAGTGACCCTGTCTCTTTCCACTGGCGGCAGCATCCTCATGATATCTCAATTTCTGTGCAGCAATTGCTGGATGTGACGAAGTCCTTCATATCGCCACGTCTTGATCGGAGAGATGTGCGGAGCCCTGCGAAAGGGGGTGTCTATGTTTCAGCACCGATGGGCGCCTAATTGTAGGCGTTGATGAATGCCTTTTGATTCACTACCGATATAACTTCTATCCGACACAGACCGAGAACGCTTCCCACTGATCTGTATCAGAGACAGCAACATGAGATGACAGCATCCTCAAGGCTACTCAACGAGCTAATGCTCTTGCTCTTCAAGCACCAAACCACGGTCTCGGACCTCTTGACGCTGTCCTCCATCAGCGGCAACACACGATCACTCTTTCTATACAACATCTCCAGTATACTCTTCGAGGCTTCCAAGAACAAAAAACTTCTCTCTGCCGCCAAACCCGTAGTCGACACAGTCTCCGAGGTTGCCAGTCTGCCTACTCATCTTTGTGATTGTGCACTTTCGGAAGTGGACGAGTACTACCACTTCCACAAGAATGTGTCGACCCAGCACTATATCGCAGACTCGTTGGCTCCATTTCCACTGGAGCTACGTGGTGTGCGTAGTCTTTCACGGGTTGTCAAGCTCGCCATGATGGTCGCAGATAAAGCTGTTGGATTTTGGATCGCCAGAGCGGAAAAGTGTCGAGCTAAACACGAACCACTCGTTGTCGACAAGGACAAGCTAGCTCAGACATATCTCCTATCGTGGGTGTGTGCAGAATCGCACTTCTCAATCAAGCACGATGCTCGTGCCAGAAACATGGTGGCCGAGTTGCCCAGACCGGCGCTAACTATCTTGTGGGAAGTCCACGATTTCTCAGCATGCGATCNNTGGACCGACCGACAAAACTGCTCCTGGGAAGTACAGACCCAAATGAAGANNCTAAACGACCGTGGGGACAGGGAAGATCCATCAGAGGACATCAACATCAACTTACGGGAGTGGTGCATACGGGACTCTCACCTCTATCCTGCAAGAAAGGCTAGGCAGCAAGCTTGGCCGCATGAGAAGTATGACGAATGGCTGAGCGTGAGACCAGAAGCATGCATTTACCATGATGCAGTACTCATCAAGTGGAACCTGGTGCAGACGTACTGGTGGCACATTTGGGACCGCACGGCATAAAGGGCCTGCCAGGTTAGTGTTCTGCTCGAAGATCCTAGCATGTAGCCGTTATGATATCCATGTGACTACTAAAGAAGCTTCTTGTGCCGTGTCTGCTGCCATTCGAGCCACTCGCTCCTGTAAACGCCTGTTCAATAAATCATATACTTGATCCTCCTGGCGGGTATTCCCATATGAGCAAACGCCATCATAACTCCTTTTCCTACATTCGGTATTACAGCTCGAACGTCTCCTTAGGCGGTACCTCTGGGCTTAGCCTTGGCCTCCTTCTTCTCCTTGGCTGCTTGTTTCTGCTTCTTTTTCTTCTCTTCCTGCTTAGCTTCATTCTTGCGCTTCAAGCTCGCCTGCTCTTCAGGGGTCTTGGCGACTGGCTTGAAGAAGCCTTCGAGTCTGCTTTGCTGTGCACTCTTCAGACTTTTCGCCAGACGGGCTGCTCCGTTCTTGACTCTGTCTTCACTGAAGCCCTTTTCCTCGACAAGGAACTTGACGAGACCCTCAACGTCGGGTGCCTTCCACTCGAAGTCGCACTCAGGGTTATCGGCAGGACGGACATCGGGTTCCTTGAAGAGAATCTTGGCTTCGGCCCAGGGCCAGTCGTCTGGAATTGTGTACTTCTTGTTGTTTTCGAGCATACCGACAACAGCCTCGAGACTTTTGTGTTCCTTGATCATAGTGTAGGCGACTTTCGGGCCAATGCCCTTGACGGGATCGACATAATCGCAGCCGAGCAAGATGCACATGTCGATGAACTGTNNCAACATCGGTCAGCACAGGTCATTCAACGAACGTAGATGATCTCATACCTGATCCATGGTCATGTCCAAACCTTCCAGGACCTTGTCCAGATGGATTTCTTGGATAGGTTCCTTGCGTTGTTCACTGAAGGTGAGCTTACGGAGAAGGACAGGAGCGTTGAAGGTCAATGTATCCATATCTTCACTAGCAGCAGCATAGACTTTGCCGGCACGAGCGAGAGCAGCGCACTGAGCCTCGGCTTCGGTCGGGGCAATGATGTAGGGAATGCCCATCAGCTTGAGCAATCGCTGAGCTTCAGCATTGTGTTCCCTCGTGACACGAACGGTACGGCGACTGAATTTCTCCATATCCTCAGCGGTACCCGTCTCTTTAGCCTCTTCGTGTGCTTCTTCGGCTTCAGTCTTGCGCTGGAAGCGTTTGGCGAGTTCTCCAGACTTGAGTTTTGGCGGAGCACCATCGAAGACGTAGAGGGGCTTAATGCCGTTGTCGGCCATGCGCAGGGTGCGGTAGAACATTCCCATGAGATGTGATGTTGTCTCTCCAGATTCGTTCATCAATTGTTGACCTTCGGAGCGGACGGCGATGAGGAACGAGTACAGCGACATTGATGCATCGATGGCGACCTTGCGACCGAACTGGTTCTTGATTTCTCCAGTCTTGACAGCATCCGGACAGTGCTCGTCGATGACTTGGAAGAGGTCTGCGGAAAGTCAGCTTCAAAACGGACGAGAAGCGACTTGCTTTGCTTACGTTTGATACCCATCTCGGCAGACAAGGTACTTCGATACGAGAGTGTGGTGTTGAGACAAAATGTCAAGTTGCAGCGACAATCAGATGCTAGCAGTATGGCAGGCAGACTGTCAGAAGCAGAAAGTGCATGTTCGCGAAGCTGCCTGACGCGCACTCAGTCGCGTTTTGGAAAGCGCAACTCGGTGACGTAAATCAATTACTTCCCAATTGGGACGACCACAATTTATAAATCTCTCACATTGCACATGACTTTGCAAAATCGAGGTTTGGTTCTCGAAAGCCACATGATGGCCGTCGCAAGTCACCTACCGAGCATTTCGTATGTATATCTCAAGGACAAAAGTTAACAAAATGATAAACACTCGATGTCGGCCGTCGACTTCCAGCCTCGGCATCTCCAGCCTACATACAGCGGGGCGTAGCCGACTTTCCGATACAACACGCATCTCCTTTGCCGCCATTCTCTTGCCCTCCTAGGTACTTGATGTACTCCGAGTAGTTATATAGCCAATTCTCTGCACCTCTTGGTCGATCTACTCCACTCTTTCCGTCTCATTACACTCCCTATTTCATTAAACTTCCCCCGCCATGTTCAAATCAGTCGCCCGTCAGACAGCAAGGCAACTGGGCTCACGAGGCCCCGCTGCTTCAATCGCTCGTCGCCATGCACATACTCCTGTAGCCTTTGACTGGACGGACCCGCTAGGCGCTAGCAACATGTTCACCGAGGAAGAATTGGCCATTTCAGAGACAGCCGAGTCCTACTGTCAAGAGCGCATGCTTCCTCGCGTGCTAGNNGTGAGTCCTACGCTTGACGATCGCCTGCTTCAATCGCTGACCCAAGAAGATGCATACAGAAACGAGGACTACGACAGAAAGATTCTTGAAGAGATGGGAGAACTGGGACTGCTGGGTGCTACAATCGAAGGCTATGGCTGTGCTGGTGTCTCTTCGGTCGCATCGGGTCTCATCACTCGTGCCGTTGAGAGAGTCGACTCTGGTTACCGCTCAGGAATGTCTGTCCAGTCTTCATTGGTCATGGGTGGTATCGATGAGTTCGGTTCTCAGGAGCAGAAAGACAAGTTCCTGCCCCAGCTGGCCAAGGGTAAAATGCTTGGTTGCTTTGGCCTGACAGAGCCGAACCACGGTAGTGATCCTGGCAGCATGGAGACAGTCGCCAAACCTCACCCTACCAAGAAGGGTTACTTCAGCCTGAGCGGAGCAAAGACGTGGATCACCAACTCGCCGATTGCAGATGTCATGCTCGTGTGGGCAAAGCTGCAGGAGACTGGCAAGATTCGTGGTTTCCTGGTTGAGAGATCCGAGTGCCCTCCAGGAACATTGGAGACACCTCCATTGAAGAACAAGAACGGTCTGAGAGCCTCCCTTACTGGTATGATTCAGTTGGATGATTGCCCAGTACCGGAAGCAAACATGTTCCCACACATTGAGGGCTTGAGAGGACCTTTCAGCTGTCTCAACGGAGCCCGTTATGGTATTGCTTGGGGCACTATGGGCGCTCTCGAGGACTGCATCGCAAGAACGAGACAGTACGCCCTGGAGCGAAAGCAATTCAAGAACAACCCGATCGCCAAATACCAGTTGGTGCAGAAGAAGCTCTCTGATGCAACCACAGACGCGGCCTACGGTATTCTTGCTGCGTTGCAAGTTGGTCGTCTAAAGGATGAGGGCAAGGCCGCCCCTGAGATGATCTCAATGATCAAGAGACAAAACTGCGACAGAGCTTTGGTGAACGCACGAGTGTAAGTCAATCCGGATAAGCATATCCACTGAGAGTGGCTGCTGACCCGTACGCAGGNNTTGCAAGAAGTCTTTGGAGGAAATGCTGTCAGTGACGAGTACCACATCGGAAGACATGTGGCGAACTTGTTTGTCACTCAGACGTATGAGGGCCAGAGCGATATTCATGGTAAGTTTGGGCAAGACCTACTCAGCCAGGACGCACTAACACACAACCAGNCTCTTATTCTTGGCCGCGCAATCACTGGTATTCAAGCTTTCTGCTAAATGGACATACTTGGTACAGGGTCAGGCGCTGTATCTGGTCGATAGGTTGACGGATGCTCTCATGTTGTGTAAGATAGCCGAAACAGAGCACACAAGACAAACATTGTACAAGATACACGGCCCATTCGGGAAGGAAATCCGCATGGAGATGACTGCAACAATAGAACGCGTGATGCCGTGCAGTATGATCGACCTCGACTGGTCGTTTGCGGCGTCAAATGCATGCACGCACGAGGCTGTGTCTTGATGAATGAAGAATTGGGCCGCAAGCCGAAGCAAGCACAAGGCGCGTGATCGTTAGACGGCTTCTGTCAAGCACTCACACGACGCTGAGAGGCTTCATAAATAGAAGGCTGCAGATCAAGAGCATGCCTTGAATGTGTTTCCCTACAGACAAGTGAATCAACAGTGCAAGTGAAAGAAGAAACAGGGCCGCTCGTCTTTGTTGTGTTGCAGAGCGTCGGTGAGTCGGCAATGACGCATCGGCCGTGCTGAGGCCAATCAATCTAAACGCTTGCCAGACTCCGTCCTTTTCGCTCACACATCTGCGACGACTCCTCGCTCCGCATACCACACACCCGACCACCAACGCAACCACCTCGGAGGCTGCGTCCATCACTTGTTTCCACCTTCCACACACAACCACCGCACACCATGGCGCTTAAGAGAATTAACAAGGAGTTGACCGATCTCGGCCGGTACGTGGCAGCGCCCCTCTGTCCTTCCCCTCCCCACCTTGATGATGGTCCATCGACCGCTCCAGCAAGTCTTCATATCGCAAGAACAGACACTGACAGACATGTAGTGNACCCTCCCTCATCCTGCTCTGCTGGTCCCATCGGAGATGACCTGGTACGTCCCTGAAAACTCCGCCTCAAAATTGAGCGCCTGCCTCGTGGCCACTTGAACACTCCGAAACAGAACTCGCTCTGACTCTTTTTGCCTACAGNNTTCCACTGGCAAGCCACCATCATGGGTCCCGTAAGTCTTCGATTTCCTGCTTGAGCTGTCGACGGCCGAACAACCCCGCCGTCGCCACTTCCACAACAAGCCCAGCAACAGCATGGCTGACAAACTTCCAGGNGTGACTCCCCATACTCGGGCGGCGTCTTCTTCCTCGCCATCCACTTTCCCACAGACTACCCCTTCAAGCCTCCCAAGGTCAACTTCACCACCCGTATCTACCACCCCAACATCAACAGCAACGGCAGCATCTGTCTGGACATTCTCAGAGATCAATGGAGCCCTGCTCTGACCATCTCANAAAGGTATGTAGCTGTGCATTCGCCTGATCAATACTCGAATACAACACCTGGCACAAAATGTTCACGAATTTACGTCTGTTACTAACACAACCCCGCAGTCCTGCTCTCCATCTGCTCTATGTTGACCGACCCCAACCCTGACGACCCGCTCGTTCCCGAGATCGCACACGTCTACAAGACTGACCGCTCGCGCTACGAGGCTACGGCCAGAGAGTGGACAAGAAAGTACGCCATCTAAAAGTCTAGCAGCGAAGCCTGTTATAGGGCGCAATCAATGGCCGAACGAGTGCATCAAAGATTATTCTGTTTTCCTTAGCGTGCAGAGGCATTATTTCACGACGGATGGATTCTGAGCATGATTTGGGATTCTTTGGTTGACGAGTCGAGCGGCGGTAACTACAGGCCATATCTATTTCCTCGAGGGCGGCTGGCTGCTACCGCTCGCTCACGCGCAAACGCAAAGACCCACTGCTTCAACACGCATGCACAACTCTCGGCTCAGCCTTGCTTTTCTACTGCCAGACACATGCGATGGAGTGTTATGGCGCATCGGTTTTCTCTTTCAGAAAGTCAGATAGACTGGTAAAACACAACATACGGAAATCCCACATGATAACGAACACATTGCTGTCTCCTCCTGTCCCGCTCTTTTTTTTTGTAGCTGTCCATGCATTGTTGAAGTTTCGTTGTATAGTACATATGGTTCGGTTCTATGTCTGCGTGACAGAATTCTTCTCTTCAGACACATCCACGGAATTGCCCTCTTCAGACCCGTCTCTCGAACCTTCCGTTTCCCTCTGCCTGTTCTCCATCTCCTCTACCCACTGCTCACCCCACAGATCCACTGGGATCCTCATTTCGTCAAAGTACCTCTCACTATTACCGACCACATCTTTGAGCAGATTACTTGCATCTTCTTTGCGTTTTGGATCTTCCAACTCCCAGATTAGATCGGAGTGAAGTTTTCTGAAGGTGGCTTGGAGGTCTTTGATGGCGAGGGCGCTGCGGCCGAGGTCGTTGTAGGCGTTTGCCGGGTCTTGGAGGTGTAGCATGTAGGGTTTGTAGGCGACGGGGTAGGCGATGCGGTGGCGGGCCCAGAGGGACNNTGTTCGGTTGTTAGCTATCATGCTGAAGGGGATGAAGTGAGGTGAGAAAAAGCATACCGGATCCGTTTTCCTGGCTTCCCTCTCCTCCCAGGTCGGGATCGACTTTTTCTGGAACATGAGGAAAGGCTCGACACTCAATGCAAAGAACTTGGTGTCGAATCTGCTCCAAAAGTCGAGGATGTAGATGAAGCTGGCTCCTGATTTTATCAATCTGGGCCCTTTTTGCTTCTTGGCTTGGTGCTTTAGGGCTGCTACACACATCATGAACAGAGTGTAGGAGCCAAAGCCGCCAGTCCATGGATCTGAAAGACCGCGCAAGTTCAAAGCAGTCTTCAGGACCAAGAAGACGGGTTTTAGTTGTGGGAATTCGGTGAGGTATTTTTGGGTGGCTTCTTGGGAGGCGTGTGTGTTTCTTGTGGAAACGACTTGGACTTTGAGGCCTGTAGGTTTGTGAACGGCTTTGACGAGAGGGAAGTAGGCCGCCTCGTTTATTTCGGCGCCGGCAAAGTCTTCGTGTTGGTCTAACAAGAATTGGATGGTGCGGAGATGAGAAATCATCTTTTGTTTCCGCAATGCCACCTGTTCTCCTATGAATGCTGCTCTGGCGGCCTTGTCGATATCACCCGGCGCAGGAGTACGGTCGAGCGTCGGATCAACGATACGGATATCAATGTCTGAGGTTGGCATCGTAAGGCCTGTTGATTGAGAGCCGAACTTCTGGGCCAGGAGAGCTGGATCTGCTTGCTTGATCAGGTCGATCAGGATGTCGGAAAGCTTTGCTCTCGCGGCGTTTTCTGACCGAGTCATCTCCATCCATTCGGCGAATGCTAGGATTTCGGTATCGAGCCACTGTTTCAAAGAAAACCTTTTGGTCTTTGGTCGACGAGCCCAGGCCAACGGGCGATGATAGCCTTTTAGGCCAGCAAGCATGGGTCGAGAAAAGCTCTCGTATTGCAAGAAAGCCGTATCCGCGAGAGCAGGGATGGGTAAAGTAGTTGACTGCCTAGCCTGCTCTGCACGGATGATAGCAAATACTCTACGCAGGACTCCGAAGAAAGCAGCACGGTCTTCGAAGTTGTACTCCGGCACTGGCTCTGGGGGATCCTCGTGCCTGGCAAGAAAATCACGCCATTGTGAATATTGTACGGCGTTCTTCTCCCGGCGCAACTCGTCTGCTTCCTCCCTCTTCGCAGCTTCTGCAGCTCGATTTAAGGACCTCAGTTGGAATGTAGCGGCAGGGTCTACCTTGTCAGAGGCTTTTGTGACGATTTTGTTGAATGTTGCCAGAGCGGACTTGTCTGCTTCTTCTCGTGACGGCGTCTCAGGTGGCTTTCCCGCCCATATTTTTCTGATGGGTAATCTGTCTTCCAAGAATGAAGGGCGCAGGACTTCGGGGTCGCTCTGGGTATATAGTCTACGAATGACGGAGGCGCGGTTTGAGTCTCGATGTGCTTCGAGGGTAGCTGACAAGTCGTCCGGGTTGATATGTTGATCGAGGCGTGCCAGAGCCTTTAAGCGCGCAGCTTCCAGAGTCTCTAATCGCGCANNGCTTTTTGTCTCTGGCGTCGACTCTNNGGCAGCACTCCTAGAAACATGACTCTCATAACGAAGTCGCTGAGAAGGATATGTCACGGCATGGCGAAAGATGTGGTGTAGGCTCTGTCGGCTGTCACGCAGACGCAATAGATGTGGTTGGCATAGCATGAACGGGATAGTCGTCTCGAATGCGCACGTCAGCTGTGTACGTCCCGGTATGTGTAGCGACTCGTCCAGGTAATCTCGAATGCGATTGATGTTTGCCTACGAGATGGTTTGCTCGCCGTTGCAGTTCGCGTTTGTATGAAGCGGCTCGGCCCGCTCTCACGCCCCGAGTTGGCGGCGTCAAGTTGCGACCTCCGAAGATGCCGGGCACGACCGGTGACAGCTTCTTGTCTCGTGCTCTTGGTTCCACTGTCAGTATTTTGATGGAATGGGGTCGTGTCAGAGATGCTCGACCTGGCTTGCGAGTCGCCAATGGCTGGTCAAAGACAGTCTTTCTCTTAGATTGATGCGATGTGTAGTATCAAAGAATTGACTATTTAGATGATGAAGCTCATCTCCAGATGTTGCCGGATAATCCACATCCGCATGACGATTGAGCCGGTAGATCAATAGCGGAAAGGACTTGGTCGAAGCCATGTGTATTGATGACCAGTGACGTTGTACATAGTTTGTAAGCCGATATAAGCTCCTTTTACCGTTACTTGGATACTTCGTCTCCTGCTCCGTACCCCAGACTTCTTGCATACAAGTACCACAAGCAAGGGACCTGTCAGCTAGCTACCTTGCCTCGTTCGTCGACACCCTCAAGCTATCACATCTTAATCACCATGGCAGAACACATCTCTGATCCCACTGGTTTGCGGAGGAGTACGGGCTACATGCCAGTGAGCAGCTACCTGTGTTCAAGACTAGTGCATGATATGCTAACACCGCTCAGANTTGAGCAATATGGGTTGATAGGAAACATGCACACCAGTGCTCTAGTAGTATGTCTTTCTCACGCCTATACTCGAATGCAACTCACTGATTATCCAAGGNCAATCGATGGAGGAATTGATATGATGTGCTGGTAGGCATAACACAGACTACTTGCAGCTCGGACGATGATGAGTTAACAACCTTCACAGGNNCCCGACTTTGACTCGCCCTCTGTTTTTTGCCGCATGCTGGATAAGAACAAGGGCGGTCATTTCAACATCGGTCCTCCTCCTGGTCTCAAGATCACAACCAAGCAGCAATATCTACCCAGCAACAACATCCTCTCAACCAGATATCTGCACGACGATGGTGTTTTGACTCTGACGGACTTCTTTCCCCGTCCACTCAGAACGGACAAGCTTGGTCCCACTGTCGGACGAGGCAGTTCCATCGATCCTCGCAGCGGACTCAAAAAGTGGCTGGTCCGCAGGGTTGAGTGCATCAGAGGTGCCACTGATGTCAACGTCGAGGTGTTTCCTGCTTTCAACTATGCTCAAGATTCTCACACTACCGAGATCATCAAGTCGGATAATGAAGCACAGCGAGTAGTGCACTTTCGCTCCGAGAAGCTGTCATTGGAGCTTGTGGCTACCATTGGCTGTGGCGATGATGCACCTTGTCCAGAGCTTTCGTTCTCGAAGAAACAGATCGATGGCTGTTCTCTAGGCGAGGGCGTGACTGCAACCGTCAAACTTCAGGAAGGCCAATCTGTCTCCTTCGTGTTGAGAGATCTCGAGGAGAACAACAAGGAGTCCATCTCTACTGCCCTTCTTGACCAGATCCAACAGGACACTTCGACGTACTGGTTCAACTGGATCTCCAAATCAAAGTACAAGGGACGCTGGAGAGAGGTCGTCAGCAGAAGTCTAATGATCCTCAAGATGCTCACCTTCGAGCCCACCGGAGCCATCGTCGCAGCACCAACCTTCTCCNTTCCCGAAGACTTTGGCGGCGGCAGAAACTGGGACTACCGATTCTCCTGGGTCAGAGATTCGTCCTTTACAATCTACATTCTGCTGCGTATGGGCTTTACCGAAGAAGCAGAAGCCTACATGAATTTCCTCTCTGCTCGCCTCATCGACTCCCGCAAACCTGATGGTGGTTTACCAATCATGTTTTCCATCCGCGGCAGCACCGACTTGCCCGAGATTGAACTCTCGCACTTGTCTGGATATCTAGACAGTAAACCCGTGCGCATCGGCAATGGCGCAGCTTTCCACAAGCAACTAGACATTTATGGAGAAATGATGGATTCCATCTACCTCTACAACAAGTACGGCAAACCCGTAAGCTACGATCTCTGGGTCGCGGTCCGCAAACTCACAGACTACGTATGCGGGATTTGGAAAGAAACAGACATGTCAATCTGGGAAGTCAGATCCGCACCCATGAACTACACATACTCAAAGATTATGCTCTGGGTAGCCATCGACAGAGCATTGAGATTAGCAGATAAACGCTGTTTCCCCTGTCCAAACAGGACGAAGTGGCTAGAAACCCGCGACCAAATCTACGACGATGTCATGGAAAAGGGATACAACCACGACATGAAATGCTTCATCCAAAGCTATGAAAGCAATGAAGTTCTAGACTCTGCAGTCCTGATCGCACCTTTGGTCTTCTTTATCGCACCAAATGACCCTCGCTTCACCTCTACCCTCGAGCAAATCCTGCTCGCGCCAGAAAAAGGCGGGCTCACCTCCACTGGCCTGGTCTACCGCTACAACACGCTCAAATCCGACGACGGCGTTGGAGGCCGTGAAGGCGCGTTCTCAATGTGCACATTCTGGCTTGTGGAAGCACTTACCCGTGCTGGTGCTTACGACAAANAGTACTTGATCAAGGCCATCAATATCTTTGAAAACATGTTGAGTTTCTCGAACCATTTGAACATGTTTTCAGAGGAGACTGCAAGGAGTGGGGAGCAGCTTGGAAACACTCCTCAGGCGTTTTCGCATCTGGCGTTGGTTAGTGCTGCGTTCAATCTTGATCGCGTGACCCAGGGGAGTGGTGGTATGTAGAGATTAGGATAATTGACGAGAAGCTCTGAATGTTTTGCTCCTTCGTATTACGCAGAAACGTACGATCACCATAAGACACACTTTTGACAAGAGAGAGCAGAGTGCATTCCATGTATGACACACTGTGTGAGTAGAAAAGGGTAGTTCGAATTCTTATTTTGTACAAGTTGGGAAGCAGCCAGCCATAAAACGCCGTCAGAGTATCTTACGCTAACCATGCCGATGAAATCGTTGTTTTGGAACAAAGGGAGAGAAGAGAGAAAAGTAGGACCAGAACAACATTTACTTGTTCAAAGATCTGTCGTGGCCGAGGGCGTTGACGTTGAGACCCAGACCTTGAGTGTCGAGGTAGACCTTGTTGTTGCTCTTCTCCAGGATGGAGGCGACGTTTCTGGCGTTCTCAAACTCACGCAGCTCAATGTAACTGCGGCTCTTCTTGATGGCGTCACCAATCAGCTCGGCGGAACGGGCTTCACCCTGGGCGCGGACAATCATGGCTTGCTTCTCCTGGCGGGCCTTGTCGACGACGAAGGCGGCACGCTGAGCTTCTTGTTGGGCGACCTGCTTGGCTTCGACTGCGGCGGTGAACTCGGGCGAGAAGGCGAGGTGCNNTGAGAAGACGTGTTAGCTGAATGCAAAGTCGGGTCGGAGAGTGTAGGGTCGTACCGTTAATGAGACATCGTCGAGCATAATGTTGAATCTGGCAGCGCGCTTCACGAGGTGGTCGCGGACGAGTCTCGAAACATTCTCTCTCTGGGTGATCAACTGGGAGGCGTTGAACTGGGCAACAACGCTCTTGAGGACCTCGTTGACGATACTGGGGAGGACACGCTCATCATAGTCGGTTCCGAGGGTACGGTAGATCTGAGGCAGGGCATCGACGCGGGGTCTGGACAGGACACGGCAGGTAATGTTGACCATCTGCAAATCCTTGGTACCGGTGAGGGAGGCGACGTTGCGAGGCTTTGCGCGGACGTCGTAGACGATGGGAGTCTCAACCCATGGGATCTTCAGGTGGGTTCCTTCGGGGTAGATGTCGGCCTTGACACCACCAACACGGCTGTACTTGACGGCGCGGCAACCACCATCGACGTTGAAGAGGGCGTTGTTGAAGAGGTAGACACCGCCCAGACCGAGGGCGATGACAGCGATACCACCGAGAGCACCCCTGGGGTTGGGTGTAGGGCCGCCGGCTCCGAATCTGTACATTTGCCTCGTCTCAGCTCTCTCGTTCTCTAACTTGGATCACGTTGTAGCGGATAAAAAGAGGGTTGCGCACTTTCTTCCCGACTTCTGGGCTTGCTCCAAGCTCTTCTGCAGGTTCTTCCACATATCCCGAGGGTCCGACATGGTTGCGACGATTAAGGCGAGCTGGGTGGTGATAGAAGGCGTGACAGTGACTGCGAATAGCTTCAAGGTCGAAGGCGTCGATGATGATGCAGCACGGACCAGGCCAGACCACTCCACGTTTTGTGCATTGCACTTGTGCTACGAGTCCTCGTTTATGCAACTCACCATCAACACCGTTACATGTCAAATATAGCCATTTCGTCCCTCTTGCATCCTTTATCAGAGTGATACTCCCACATGAGATACACTCGCGTGACATGCACTGATCGTTGCGAGCCTCGTCAGCCTCTTACACTTCGTGTCGGCGTCGTCGTTGTCAAGACAGCCGAAAACATCTCGGCATTGTCGGCTGCAGCGCTTGCGAGTAAACAAGAGCCAGCCTGCATTTCGTGATTCCCTGCCACCTATTAAATTTTTGTTCGGGTCGTACTTTATGACACCCCTTAAGGGATGACTGGCCGGCCAGTTTGTCCTACTTGTCTTCTTACACGACTCGATCAACTCGCCGCCTGGCTCAGCCACATTCTGACGACAGCAAACGTTTGCTGCAAAGTGCCTGCCTGGATCGCTGCCAATCTGATATCTTATACCATCTCTGCCTGGCTGTAGTTTTTGGTAACTTGTAACTTGAAGCTACCTGTGTGCTATCCCTGCAGTCATGGCATCTGCAATCGAAGCCAGATCTCTGGCTCTTTTAACGACGATTGCATCCGATCCTCCGGCGTACCCAAGAAATCCAACTCAACTTCCACATGCTCCGCTGACTCTGTATATTGTGAGAGTTCCTGGCAGCAAAGGTATGCATTTCTTCAATCGGTTCGAGAGTTTGATCCTGACCAGGATTCAGNATGTCTTTCTAACCCCTCTGAAACCACGGGAAAAGGTCGTCAGTGCCGAAGATGTCCAGAGCTCCTTGTACTTCTTGCATATCGATATTCCAGAGGATGACCTTGTCGAGTTACCCGAGGAAATCACTGTACCGGATGTTCCTGCCGCGTCAACAATCAGTCGTAAACCACTACCGACCCCTCCCACTTCTCCTGCGGATGGTTCTCCGAGACAAAGGAGTCCTGTCTTTGACACTAAGCAACAGCTTGGAGTTCCCCAGCGCAAGCCCGTCCGTCAAAGCCTGGACCTCCCAAACATTCCACCGCGACCACCCATGAGAAGTCCTACGAGCCAACACGGCCAGTTCACCATGGATGAACATTCTGATAACAGACCATCCTTTTCCAGGCGACCGCTCAGCAATCAGTTCTTGGACCCAAACGTGGTTTCGGGTAGGCCTTCTATGAGCTCTCGAAGTTCTTACGCCACCGAGGGCACTAGTCGAACTTCCTACGAAGGTCCTTCAACTCCCGAAGGGGATGAACGCTGTGTCTCGCTGACCCTTATCCGCCGAGATCCGTCATCAGGCTTCCAGTGGAACGTAGCGAAGATTCGTGATCCGCCAGTCCATGAAGTATCTTCTGTGCTGGGAGGAGATGGCTCCATCAAGACCAAGAAGGCAGGAGCTCCCCTATTCATCGAGATCTACAATCCTGGATACTCGAAGTTTCTGCAGTCCGACCATAGCAGACCGGCTTCTCAGGGAAGTGCTGATATGGCTTCGCTCTCGCCAAATCTGTCTTCGAGCCATGACAATACATTTCGCCGAAGGCTCTACATGGATGGATCAAGATTTGCCGACCACTCATATGGACATCGCAAGACTCCTTCCTGGAATGGCGAACAGCAAAGTCAACGTTCTTCCGTGCAGTTGAATCGACAGAGCTTGCAAGCTGCACCGAAAGCTCTGGTTGATAGGAGGAGCAAAGGCTACACCTTCCGCAGCCCATGGGGTGGAAAATGCGAGTTCTCGACTGGCGCGGCTGGCAGATCATTGAAGGTACGCCTGTGTCGAGTCTGGTACAAGGTGGTGTGCTAATGTTTTGCAGNNTGCAAACATGTCCTCGAGAATCCTTCAAGCGCTGCATCAGAAGTTAGTGAGCTGCGCTTCAACCTTCCAACAGGAAGCACTACTAGGAGTATTGTGTCTACTGATCCTGGAGCAAAGAGATCCTCAGTAGTTTCAAGGCCAGCCCTGCACAGGCATTCAACTTCGGACGAGCTTACCAATGGTCCTCTTTCTCCTGGCATGGCAAAGTTCCTGGACGAACATGGTAACATTGATCTCTCTCTTGGACAGGAGCGTGCTGGAGGTGGTTTCCAGGGGAAGCAGGCCAAGCTCGGAAAACTCATCATCGAGGATGAAGGTGTCAAGATGTTGGATTTGATAGTGGCAGCCAACATGGCCCTCTGGTGGAGGGCGTACGAGAGAAAGCACTGAACGCGAGCACTGAGCGCGATGCGCCAGAGGCTATACACACGACCGCAATGCTTGGAAGGCAGTCTACACAGACCTGTAGGCGCTGCACGGAATTATAGAAAAAGCCCTCCTTGTTTACCTCACTCAACGCGAGAATCCGCAACCAACTACGCGTCCACTTCGCGTATATCTTGGCTCATCATGGTGGACGAAGCATGGGAGCTGGTCTACAACCAGATGAGAGAGAGACGCTACTCAAGCTCAACCATCAGCGCCGGCGCACGCTCAACACCCTCACCTCCTCGCTCANAGCAACCCCTCGAAGACATGAGACACATTCTCGCCCCTGAGCCTGACTATGGCGAAGACGTAGCACAGCTCGAGGTTACCATGGACCAACTTTGGGATTTCATGGACCAAATCAACACCGATGGCTCTGATGACTTCCTCAAGACCAACCACCTCAAGCTGGTCATCGACTCATCAGACTTTGGCGACTGGGAAGATGATAGCTGGTAAGTTGCAGTGTAATGTCCTGCGCACATCAGACCTACTAACTGTGTCTTCCTCTCAGGTNGTCTCTTTCTGGCAGCTTTTGCACCCCTTTGCAAGAATGTCATTCATCTCAGCATCTACATCAAGGGCACCAACCTCTTCACTCGCCACAACTATGTCAAGCCTGAGATCTCAATCCAGGAAGAAGTTCCCCTTCCCGTCAAGGGCAAAGGCAAGGGTGTTGATGCCGACTTGGGCCCTTACAATTCCGCTCCCGCCTTCAACGGTAACAGTGAAGGTGCCGCAAAGAAGCCCAAGTTCACTCGCTCGAGCATGAACTCGACTGCCAACGCCAACTTCATCCCACCTTCACTCAACACACCCGCTGCCGATACATCTAGCAAGGGCCCCTCGTACATCACCAAGAAAATCCCTTCTCCTAAGATCAATATCCATGTCTATGAGAAAGCCATCGTCCCCACTATCATCGACATGTTCGCCAACCGCGAGCCCCCTCTCGCCTTCATCACCATCCAAGGCCCCATGCAACTGTCCCTGCGCCGCCACATCATCAGCTCCATCAACCCCGGCTATATGTCTTCCATGACCTTACTCACTGAAGCCGGCCACCACTACCTCGACAACGCCCAAGTGCACCCAGTCGAGGTCTGGGAGGCTCNNAACGACCCCGAAGTCACGTTCTTGAAGAAAGGCATTCAGGACCCTGATGACTTTGGCCCGTGGGGCAAGGAAGGTATCAGCAATGTCAATATGCATGGTTTGGGCGAGTGGATTGTGCCTTCTGGCAAGGGTGCTAGAGGTATTTGGGGCTGGAGAGTTGGTGCTCCCGGTGTCAAGGTTTGGAGAGGTCCTAACACTAGTTGGGCTGGTAGAGAGGGTATCTGAGACCAACTGCTGTAATGACACACGAAGGAAAATGGCGTAAGAGGTGATCAACGTTGAGAGAGAGGGAAAGCGAGCAGAATCACAAATGTAAAATAGGAGTAACACGCAATCAGACACGGAAGACCTCAACCCCTTTGAACCTCTTTAAACTTCTCCATCCCCATGTGCAAATCTCTGTGCCTTTCCTCCTTCCATAGCGACACAGGTCGACTTTTGAACCATAGAAAAAGGCATAATATCATTCTGAGTTCGAGACGTGGCCAAAGAGAGCCTACAATACGTTGACTCTCTATGGAAACCATCGTGTTATCAAAGACTCTTGTGCATTTTTATAGCTGCATGTCGCACATCCTCTGGCACCTGGAGAGGTTGTGTATGCTCCTCCCATATACGTACCTATATGCCTTCTCTTTACCAAAGAGACCAGGAGCAGGACAATACTCAGAGAGGGCGAGGTCTTGGGATTGATGCAGGAGTCGAATTGACTAGAAAGAGGTGCAAGACAGAAGTACAAAAAGAATAACATTTCTTTGGAATTCGTACGTTCCTTTCTACGTTTCGAGGAGCCTAGCTCCACTCTTCAATGCTCTCGGATTCCTTTTCTTGTTTTACCACAGAAAACGCATGGAAGTTATGATGCTTTTTTCTATACTAGACGAAGAACAGGACTTCCTGGGTGGGCTTGTATGCTGTTGTTCTGAGTATTCTGAACTGCTCTCGTTCGGAGCTTGCCTATCTCTTTTTAGGGCATCGTCTAGTAAACCTTCTTCTTCTCGTCGACACTGAACTGGCCGGGACCCATGTTGACCAAGAGGAGAAGACCACCGACAATCGAGAGGATTTGGAAGAAATCGTACTTAGCGAAGTCCTTGTGGGGGTGGTTGTGGTGCAGNCTGTTGAGAAATGTTAGTCTTTCAACCCAAAGTGCAAAAAGAAGAGGGGTCCCAAAACTTACAGTCCAGAAGTTGTTGACGAGCAAGTTGAAGACACTGAGAATGACAACAAGCATGACGGCACTCCACTTTGCCTTGAAGCCAACAACAACCATGACACAAGCAACCGCACCCAGCAAGATCACAACGACTCTTCCAAAGCTCCACTCGCCAGCGAAGACGAAGCCAACAAAGAGGAAGATGAGCAGGACGCGTCCAGCAAGCTGGAAGTACATCTTGCGGTCCTTTTCGTCGAGAGTAGGTAGGCCGGCGGGGGCGAAGCGCTTGCGCACCCAGCTGTCGGACAGGACCATCAGCAGACCTCCCATGACCGACAGGTTACGCAGGAAGAAGTTGAGGTCGAAGATGAGGCCGTAGCCGAGGGCTTGGGTGATGACGACGCCGAAGAGGCCCATGACGGCGTATTCGCTGTGCTTGCGGACGATGATCATAAAGGACGAGACGCTCATGGCGATGACGTTGGCGATGAGGAACAGGTGGGTGAGGCCGGAGGGGACNTGGTTGTGGTGTGTTAGTCGGGGCTCTCGGACAGAGCGGCGGAGTAACGTACTGTGTCTGTAGTCGTGCAGGTAGGTGAGCTGGTCGCTCCATTGGGTGATGATGCGCAAGGCATCCTCGAGGAAGGTCACGACGATGAGGAAGCGGCCAATGGCAGGGATGTAGCTGGAGTCTTGTTAGTGGACTGAGGGCGTGAGAAGCCTACTCGCAAGCACTCACGGCTTGACGGGATGCGACAAGGTGTCGAGCCAGTCTTCAATCTTGCTGGTCTGTTCGCGGATGGCATCCAGCGGGCTGGGATCGTTGGTGGCATCTGGTCGTCCGGGACCGCCAAACGAAGGCTGCGAGCCCAAGTGGTATCCTGCCGTCCCTCTGATTTGGGCCATGGTTGTTGTGGAAAAATGGTGTAAGGGGGGAGACTCTTGTCGGAGTTGGACGACAGGTCTAATAGAGAGGCTAGAGACGTGGGGAAGAATAGACCACTTGTCAGCAAATCGAAGCTTGTCGCAGCTAACGTGCAGAAGTCCTTTTTGCCCGTCGTCTTTGTCTGATGAGCCCGCCGTTCAGGGCCTACAATAAACATACCCCTCCATTGTACTTATACGTCGCCCGATGACTGTTCTAGCCGCTACTGTAATGACTCCTTTCTGCAATTCTCTCTACTGTGTCGCATACAGCTGTGACGCATACTGTCCTCTTTCCTCGGCACCTTCAAGAGTCCATCAAGCTTTACGACCATACTCCACAATGCCATCATCGAAACTGCACATCTGATAAATATAGATATAGAGAGAAAAACATTTCATTTGGATACATCGAAAGTACAAGAACAAACCGGCAGGAACACGAAGAACTCTTTGAACGCCTGTTCTCAATCCAGTCGCATCTCTTTGTCTTTTGTGTCTTTTGCAGCCTTGTAAAAGAAGTCGATTGTAAGCAAAGATTGTAACAAACCCCTCGAGATGCCCTGTGGGAATACCCTTGCGTGAAAACAAAAACACAAAATAAGCTAGCATTCTGCTTCGACCGTCCGACTTCTCCACCTCTGTCGACCAGTGTCTGTATTAGAACAAGGAGGCCGAAAAACACTTGTTTTCCCGTGTGGGTCTACAAAGATGGCGCTGTGACCTAAGTTTCGTAACATTGAATTGATCAAGCGGCCCACTGAGAGTCGTCGGGGTGGCTGCCTGCATCGTAGCCGGAGTCGTAGAGGGACGAGAATCCGTTGGAAGCGGCCACGGGCTTAGGTGCAGGTGCGGTAACCTTGGGCAAAGGTGCGGCCTTCTCGATCGGCGCGTTGACCACAGAGCCGGCATCACTGGTGTTTGAGTCCTCAGCACCGACAACGGGNGCCTTCTTCTTCTGCTGCTTCTTGCCCTTGGGCACAGTGTTCCAGCCCGAGTCATCTTGGCTGATTTGCTTGGCCAGTCTCAGCTGGTCCTCCTCAGAAGCTCCATTGCCAGACTCGAAAGTGTCGAGCAGGGGNGCGCTCTCGTTAGAGACGGCCACGGTAGGAGCCTGGGTGACACGGTTGGCAACATCGGCAGCCCATGCGCTGCTGGTTGGAGGCTTGGAAACGGGAATGCCGTTCTTTGCGGGCTCTCCACGAGCTTCACGGGCAGTACGGCGTTGGGTTTCGAGCAGAGTCTGACGTTCCTTCTCTTCGGCCTCTCTCTGAAGTCTGCGTTCCTCGACCTTCTTACGGTTTTGTCTCTGCTTCTTCGTCTCCTGCTCCTGTGCTTGTGTTTGGCGAGGCTGGTTGGCCTTGGTAGCCTTGGTGGATCCGGTAAGACGGAGGACAGATGGGCCGTCAGCGGCAGGCTCAAGCATGTCTGAAACATCACCGGCGGCCAGAGAGGGAGACATGGAAGGGGTAAGGTCGTCATCAGCATCGGCGGCATTGGACGAGGCAGAAGAGAAGGTCTTGGAAGACTGCTTCACTGTTCTGTTGCGCGAGTCGGTGCGAGCAGGAGGGGCAAGGCTGGTACCCTTCTTGAGGCTGGCGAGCTGTTGAGCCCAGGCCTTGTTATCCTCCTCTTGGGCGACATCGTCATCGACTTCCTGGCGCTTGGCTGGGGGAGCAGGTGTGAGGGAGGGAGCTGGTGCGGCGACTTGCTTCTTGCCAGCCTTGCGCTTCTTGGAGCCATCCGAGACCTTGGTGGTGCTGTCGTCACCGCTCTGGACGCTCAGCTCAGGAAGAGTGACGCCGGTGGCCTTGGTGACTTCCGACTTGGGCTTCGGCTTAGTCGAGTCTCGTCGGCGAGCGGCCTTAGGTTGAGGAGCGACAAAGTCCGAGACTGAGGCGGAGCGAGTTCTGTTGGCGACGGGCTTGCCGTGCTGGAAGTAGTAGTAGTAGACGGCGGCAGCACCGATGAGGGCGACTGCCCACGATTGCCAGGGCTCCATGTTGAGAGATCGCTACCACACGACAGGTCAGTTGAGCGGCGGGACGGAGGAAGTCGACGAGAGAGCTCACTCAATTGAGAAGCGGCGATATTTGAGACCTTCGACGGGATTGACGAAGTTGACGGCTGGGTTATGAAAGGGAGGACACGGAATAAGATGCAAGGAAGGAGACTCAATGTGGTGCGGAGGCGCAAGGACGAGCGATTCCCAATATTGCTATACGTCAGCTCAACGCCGGCAGACGAGGACAGTTTACAACAAGCTGGAACAATCGAGTGTGTCACGCTTATCTGGAGTACATCCTCCAACTAAATGCTACATATGACATCTTTATGACTTGTATAACAACCGAAACACCTCAATATTGGCCAGACAGAGCGCATTACCGTCTGTCACATGAGGTATATACATGCTCAATGAACCGCCAACTTTTGCCAAGGGAGCCGCAGTATGGAGCACGGACTCCGTAAACAAAGGCTGCCGTGACAGCGAGGCAACTTTGACACAACCTCACTGGTAGCAAGAAATAGGGGTCTAGTCTCTTGACTCGCAGAAGCCGAAGTCGAGCAGATTGCCTCGTAAAGAGTTGCCTGCTGCATTAATGGTATTGGTTTCCGAGATTGAAGCTCATCTACTTTCGAAACAGCCACTATCCGGCTATCCAGATGCCCACACCACCCCTATCATCACTTTGCACACCATCTCCGGAATCCAGCACTCTGAGTGTCTTTTGGAAGTATGCATCCACTACTCGTAGCGCTGGCCAGATCCAATGTCCCTTCTGCCCTTGGCGTTCCGTCAGAGCATCTTCGTCGACATCATATACAAACAACCTGTAGTCAACCTGAACGCGACTCATCGGGGTTAAGCTCACAGCTCGGTGCTTCGATCCGCTGAAAGCAAACAATTCGTTCGCTTCCATGGTCAAATTGAATGTCAAGAAGTGCATCGACGGATTCTCTAGGGTATATGAGACAGTGATGGCTTCGTCTTCTGTATCCGAAGGAATGTTCGCCGTACACAGTACTCTAGGCTCGGCCGAGGGAATGGTCATGCTTGGGACTGCAAGCATGGTAGTTGTTGTATCCTGCTCGCTAGCATCGTTTCTGCGCCAAGTGACTGCCAAAGACAGTTCTAATGCAGAAGGACGTCGATCCTCCAGCGTCAACTTGCGCACTTCCAGGATGTGAGGAACATCCATCATGTCCTTCAAAGCCATGGCTCGCGANGACTTTTGCGGTTTGGAAGACTCCTCAACGCTACACACAGCGTTACTGGTGACCCTGTTGACAACTAGCCGTGTTGCCTCAACTAGTAGAGGTTCGGTAGAGAAAGATACGACGCGACTGGTCAAACACCATCTTTGTGACATGCCTCGTGCTGGTTTTGATTGTTCATCATCCTCAGAAAGATCCGGTAGGCTGAAATAATTTGGATATGCTCCTGTGTGAAGGCGAGGCCCAAAGTCATAGTTGGCCTCGAAGGGGCTGACAAAGGGTATGACTGACTCCAATGTCTTCATGACGGGTGTTTCTGGGTCAGAGGCCAGACGGTAGTTAACCTCCAACCTCAGAGTATACTCTGAAAGTTCCAGGGGAGCCATGAATTCGAGCACATGAGACTTTGACTCATTGGCTGATATCTTGCCAATTTGCAGGTTGGTCAAGTCCAGATCGTTGGCTTCATTTCTGTTGTCCTTCCAAGCGAGCTCCAGACTGACCTCTGCGTTATCTTGTCCTTCAGCGCGTATGTAGGCGTTGACTTCCTCTGCTTCTTCATTGAGGATTTGTATTTCGAGGGCCACTTTCTCGCCAGTAAAGTACTGTTCTCTTAGATTCGTGATGCGCAGCTGGACCTTTGGTGGTTTTGGCAGCACCTGGATGGTGTTTGGCTCTGCCCTAGGAATTTGCTTTCTCAAAAGCTTGTCTTCTGATTGGAGCCACCAGTTTGAAGAACTGATATCTGTCGGATGACTAAGAACGTGTTCGAGTGTGGCGCTAGATGACTTCAGCACCAGCGAGGCACCAGTAGCACCGAATGCATCCGGGTCGCGAAGTGGTATCGTCAGATTGAAAACACGAAGTTGACCAGGCTTGAAAGTTAGGTTCGCACTTGTAAGTAAACTCTTTGCCATAGGATGTGATGGGTCAGGTTCCTCTTGAACCTTCAAGTCTGTTGACAAAGATTGGCTGACGTCTTCGGAATTATTGATCACCAAGCTTTTGATGTTGGTGCTGAAATGAACACGAAGTTCTGTTAAGGTAAGATCGTCTTGCTGTGCTGTTCCGTTGAAGATGACTGCAGCTTGACAGACGGCAGTATCTCCAACGAAACCTTCACCTGACAGGAATGAAAATGTGATAGAGACTTATTCTTAAGATCAGCTCAATTCAGGGCAGCCTCGGCACGAAGACTTACATGGACAGAATCTTGACTGGGTATTCAACAAAATGTGCATAGGGTCGTCGTTGCTATCATCTCCTGATAAACATTGCAATAGGTCGATATTCTTCCGGGACTTAAGGGCTGCNTGCGGGTCAGAGAAGTCATAAACATCGGCCGGACAGCACTTACGGTGATATGTAAGCTCCCAGGCACTTTCAGCCTGGAGCACAATGTTACCTGTTTTNTCTGCAGAATCGTAGATCAACTCTAGAACCTCTACGGCTAGGTCGAACCACTTCTCACGCCTCCAGACCATGTTCTCCCACACTGGCTGCAGAGTCTGAAGTACTTCGTCATAACGCTCAGCCTTGTAGAATTCGCGCGCGAGATCGATCTTGACTTGCTGGACTGCTCTCATCTGGCCTCTGTTGGACATGATACTTTCCACCCGTTCAGTCTGACTTTGCAGGTCCAGCAGGTAATCGTAAGTGCTGTGGCCAGACAATGGTGCCTCTTCGTGAGGTTGAGGGACCATGTAGGTATCGTATGTTCTGGTCCGGCTCGCAAGCTGAGCCGCAGTAGTCTCGCTCGGAAGTGTTCTGTCCTCTTGAGGAATGGCTTCTGCGTTTCGTTTACGCGCCATCAGGTGTTTGCAGGCCAATCTCCACCAATATCCTGGATGATGTAGCAGGTGAAACGGCATCATACGTTCCATAGTCGAGTACAGCTTCTCCGCTGGGGCGTATATGGTAAGGGCGTTGGTCTGATCTTCAGGGTCAGACAGATTCACAGATTTGAAGACAGGCAAATCAGCCATCTCAATAAGTTGCGCCATCATCTTGGCCCAGCGCGCTTCCCATGCTTCCCAGCTATAACTGTTGTCGGTACCCTTTCCACGACGATCAATCAGATCTCGCATGCGCTCTTTGTAGTTGTACCAGGATTCGGCAGCACCAGATGTCATGCCCCTCCATATTTGACAGCGCAAGACGCGGAAAGCAATAATGTCGCAAAGTAGTCGGGCTTCTTGCCAGCGAGCCGACCAACTTGGTGTATGTTCAAGACTTCCTTCAGGGCCAAACAACTCTTCCAAGGCAGACTCATAATGCCTTTGGGCTACATCCATCTCTTGTCGGAATTCTGCAAAGACAGCTAATTTGAAGTCATAGCGTACATTCCAGCCATTGACAGTCAGGATCTGCGATGTGCCGCGGCTTGCTGCAGCGGCTATAGGTGGAGGAGCAGGGCGACCTCTTTTTCTTCGCGAATGCTTTGTCAAGTCCCTGTAGTAATCAATGCAGACGGGCTGCAAGGCTCTCAGGACACTCGATACGAAGGTGGGCAGATCGGTCTGAGAGTCCGACACATCAAAGTGGAAGCAGGAGATCTTTGGATCGAGAGAGGTTGCTCTTCTGATGTTGGCGAGGCGTTCTTCAAAGTCAAGGGGAGAGATAGCAGCATCGTCTGAAACGAGGACGACGGCGTATCGCGTCTTGAAACCAGATTTGGCGATTGCATTCTTCGTGTCGTTGATGTGATTCTTCAAAGCGGCATCGTTGTTCGGATCCGAATCCAGAGTCTGAAAGGAAAGATAGACGGCCGGAATGCGGGACTGATGTTTTGCCAGCCACATTGGAGTCATGAGGCCGTCAGGAAAGACAGGAGAAGAAGGAGAGAGCGGAGATAGAGGCGAGTGGAGGTCATGGCTGGTGGATGAGGAGGGATTGGGACTTCCGGGAGGAGATTGTGAGGGCACTATAGGCGGAGGAGCGGCCTTTCTGGGAGGGAAGACGAAAGACNNTGGGTTCAGTCAGTATGACAGGCACGATAGAGTGCAGGCAGTAAGCGGCATACCTACCCTCCCAATACTCGACAACTTGAAGCCGATCAAGCCAGACCTGTCGGCTAAGGCCTGATCGCTCCAAGACAGAGAAGCGCCATGGGCGCGCAGGAACTCGTCCAAGATGGAATCGGCATGAGGACCAGAGAGCGGAGGNGAGTTGTCGACGATCCTTAGGCCACTGCCTTGTTGCGGATTTGTAGGCGTCGCTGTCGAAGCATTGGTAGACGAGTCGGCCGTCGGGAGACCAGCTAAGGCGATGAAGGGCAGATTGTGGGCGACATAGTCTTCGGGGTAGGCCTCCATGTCTGCGCGATCATGACATGGCAGCTCTGTTCATGTAGAGAGTTGTTGCTATCGTCAGCTGCCCCGTGCAAATGACGCGCCCTGAAGCTGGGGAGAGGCCGAAAGTGGAGAGTTTGAGGTTGCGAGTCAATCTTCCTACACATTCTTCTCGCACACACCTTCTCGCACCCAACACGTTTACCCAGCTCTGTCAAGATGGCGGCACAACAGACCATCATCGCCGAGACGATACGCGGCATGAAGCTGGCCATGCGCCGCCGCGACAACGACTCCGACTCAGACTCGTCCATCACCCAGCCCACCAACCGCGGCAACAAGCTCAAGCGCAATGCCCGCCATGTGCGCGAAGGCCGTCTCGATACCACCCATGGCCGCAGCTACAAGAAGCGCATCGACTACGCCGGCTACGACCGCTACATCCTGAACGAGAACCCCCTCCGCTTCGACGACGACGGCGACCTCATAGACGACGACGAATACGACCCCGACGACCAAGACAGCTCCGATCAACACGGCAACCCATGGGCAGACACCAAGCTCGAAGAGCTGCTCGCGCCCTTGACTTCGCCCGCCGACCTCGCACATCACCCCTCTCTGTCCGTGCCCTTCCTCTCGAGGCCCATCAGTGAAATGGCAGAGAACGCTCGCCAGGCAATGCACCGCGAGAAACAGACACTATGGCACATCAAGCAGCTACTACTCAGATTGCGTGGCGACGACCATTGGATCCCCGTTGGCAAGCTCGAATCCGAACACGATCTCATGCTGCTAGACCCCTCGGCCGCTCCCATCGACGACAACTTGTCTACTACAATGCCTCCCGAAACTTCTGTCATAGACCACTACAGACCCGAGAACAACACACAATCACAACCAGACCCGCCACAGCAAAACGGCACTCAGACAGACGGTGTCGACCAGCAACAACAAAATCCGTCCCACGCTCTTCCCTCACCAGACGCCTCACNNCCGGAAGGAACCATTCAACATGCAATGACGACTAGGCGTCAAGCTCGCACATCACCAACGCCCGACCCCAACTTCCCTTCTTCGTCGCCCGCTCCTTCATCCATACCCTCGATCCACGGCTTCTTCCACGTTCCAGATTCCGCACTACCAGACCGAGACTACGGCCTTCCTGCCAACGAAGCAGATGATACACGCCGTCTACTACTACTCTACTGTCAAAAGCAGGAACAAGTCGTTCGCGAGTCGGAACAGATGCTCGAGGGTTTACTCAAAGCAGACCGCATGAGGAAAGACGTCTGGCGCTGGTGCAAGACAGAAGGTCACATGGGCGAAATGAGCGACGGCGAGGATTGGTACGACATGGACGAATGGAATCTAAGTGCACCCCTACAAAAAGGCAAAGAAGAGGAAGAGGTAGAAGACGAAGGTAGAGTCAAAGGAAGACGAAGACGCGGCGCCCAGCACTAGTGTCTATGAAATACAGCATGTGTCTAATACACTTTTCACAACTTTGGCTTTCCTGTCTTCTCCGGGTGTGCCTTGCTTGCGCCGCGGTCGTTCTCTGTGGGCTCGGTGTTGCTGGTCTCGGCTTTGAGCGATACGGGGTCGCCTAGCTGGGTTGGGTTCTCCTGTGCTAGGTCTTTGAGTGACTTGCGTCCATCGCCTGACTTGTTGGGACGATCTTTTTCGGTGGGCTCGGTGTTGGACGTCTCTGCTTTGAGNGAGACTGGGTCGCCGAGTTGACTGGGGTTGTCTTTGGCTGTGTCCTTTAGTGATTTCTGAAGCACGCGCGAATGTTAGTCTTGTGTCTTTGGCTGGTCGGTGATCGTTTGACTCACGTGGCCCATGGTTGATGCTGGTAGATGATCTGTGTTGTTTGTTTGGAGATATGAGTGTTGTCCAGATATGAATTGGCAAAGGATAGGACTATCAAGGGAACTGCTAGGGCTAAATATCAGATGCTCGAGAGAGAGTCGATGATGACGATGGATGCTCTTTCCCCGCGTCTCCCCGTGTTTTCACATGTCCTCGGCAACGGCTCGGCGTTTGAACCATCGGTTTGTGCAAGCATTTTGTGCAGAGATTATCAACATCTACCTATCCATTCATCCACCTTCAGATTTGAACGAGCTGATATCGACCTTCATCATCTCTTTCCAACCTTGCTTCCATCTTCTTGGAAGCCGCTTCCATTGCTTTCAACGACCGAACTTTGTCTTCTCGGACGGATGGTGTTGTCCATGCGTGTGTGGAGCAGAAGAGAAATGCCAACAGCGATGTCTTCCAGAGAACAGTATCGTGTCTTCTACTCTGGACAATCGTTAGAAACAAAAGTATGCCAGCTACCAAAACAAGTATTGCTGGAAGCATCAACCATGCCCAGCGAACTTTGATGAAGGTGATTGATTGCCATGCCGTACCTATCGATTGCAGTCCATCTTGTGTTCGCAGAGCATTAGTCATGAAAGCTGCTAGATTGCTAGACATGGCAGCTGTATCTGTATAGTCCAGCGATGAAGTCGCCAAAGTGAGTTGGGTGTAGAAGTCTGCACCCTGATATCCCGCTTTGAGGACCAACCTGACTGCGTACTTTAGAAAGTATTCTTTGCCTTGGCTGATGGTGAAGGTGTTGTTCAGTCCAGCAGGGTAATCGTCAATTGCTGTACACATGCTCTGTGTATCGTCCAGATTCAGGGTCTCGTTGATTTTCTCCTACCTTCCTGTAAATTGCAGTGGAAACTGTCGAGGTGTTCCAAGAGTGAGATTTGTTCCTTGGGAAGTGGCATTTGCATATGTCCATGCACACCAAGACAATTCGCACATCGTCAGCTTCGCCGTCCAATTTGTGTTCTCGGCAACCACCAAGGTCGAAAAATTGTAAAAGCTGGGCGTGGCATCGTATACACCATCCAAAGTCGTAGTGTTGAAAAGCGGCATAGATCCCCCTGGCTGAACACTTCCTCCCAATTGTCCAAACCCAGGGACCTCAAACAAACACTCCAAATTCTTTGAATCTCCCTCACAGCTTCCTTGACTGAGTTTTGTTATATCCTTGCAGTCAGAGCAGATGCCCAGAGTGACCGAGGCAGGCCAAGTACACTCTGCAGCACTACACTCAAATCCTGGCTCTTGCTGTCCTCTGAAAATTGCAGCCAGCAATAGTTTCTGCAATTCACTCATCATGGTATAATCCAAATACCACTGCTCTTCCGCCGCCAAATGTTGGGTCNNATCTGCAGTCACCGAGTTTTGGAAATGCAGCCATTTTAGCTGGCCAAGACAAGATGCCGTGCTGTAGATAAGGCAAGCTTTTGTTGCGACGAAGAGAGCAGATACTGCTGCGTTTGGCGAGATGGGGAGGTGCCATGCAACTAGTGGTTTGTCGTTTAGGAATAGTAGACTGATGGCTACGATGCAAAGAGTTGCTGTTGCGAGGGCGAGGCTGAGGAATTCCGTCCACCAGTCGTCAAGTACTTGTCTCCATTTGTGCTTTATGGGTGTAGGTGAGTTGAGGCCCTCGTGGTCTTCGGTCTCGGGGCTTGATTCTGAGGATCCTGATGGTGGGTTGTATCGCGAGGATCCTCTGCTTGACTGGGGAGGGTAGCTTGTGTCGATGAACGTCCAGTGTTTACAGTGTCGGTCGTGTTCAAGGCTGATGTTGGTTAGAGGAACAGATTCTTGTGTTGTAGATTGCAAGAGTGGTGATATCGGNGGTGAGATTGACATGGTGCAATATGCACTTATGACGCTCGATTTTTCGAGGACTTTTGTATGACCAGCTTTTGTAGTTCTCTGCAGTAAGGGATATATGGTGATTGATCATATATGAATGTATCTCCTTCTCTTCTCGACAGCATAACGTGGCAGTATGACAGCACATGTTTCAGTAGCCAATTTCAAGCAAGAGATACCACTGTGATACGACAGACAGCAGAGTCACATATGACTGCGTATCACGAAGGATGACTTGCAGGCAATGGTAACTTTGTGTAAGCGTTGAGGTTGGCTTGTGATGCTGGGCGCTTGGAAGCAAACTCATGCCAGCACCCGCTCGTGCCCCTCTCCTATTTCCACTCACAGAAATCAGCAGTAAGGATTTGGAATTAGAGTAGCTCTCCTCACTCGAGCGCAGAGCTCGAACTTTTCTTCTTAATGCCCTTTTTGTCCAACCTGACAGTTCCATGTGCCGATGCCATAGGACTAGCATCGAATGGTTTCCTCCTTCTCACAATCTGATAACCTCGATCCAGTTCTACCTCAACTGCGCACCTGACCTTCAATGCATCCACAGCTGGCCAGACCATTTTTTCTCCTTTCAAGATCCAGTACTCTACACTCTGCCTAGTGGGGTTCTCGAGCAGCTTCAAAAAGTCCGTAAAGTTTACTTCGGGGACCAAAGTCAAAGAAGCACCGGGTATGTTCTCGTCCAGCAAGAAACGGCGGATATGTACCGGTAAGTAGCCCAAAGAGTCTAGTTGATGCAATCGATGTTGAACTTCCATGACCATGACTTTCATCAGGCTAGTGGTGAGAGACGATCTACCCTTATAACCAGGTTTAGGGCTGTGGAGGTCGCTGCGAAGAAAAGGTGCGATGTAAGGGCGAGCCTGGGAGACGATGAAGTGATTTACGTTGAAGAGTTCGGCGATGCGGGTGAGAGGGGAGTCGCGCTCAGAAGCATATCCGAGAGGCGTTGAAGGGCGTAGGTTGGTTGGGTGAGTGGAGGCCCAGGGAACAATATTGCCTGATTCGTCTTTACATTTCATGGTTACCGGAGAGTAGAGAACATCAGATGCATTGGACGCTAGAGCCGCAGACCATATGAGCTGGTGATTGGGTTAGTGTGTTGTTTGCTTGTGTGGAGCTTCTTGAATACATACCACATTCGGAGCGGTCAGATAGTTGAGTAAATTGGGCATGCCATTACCCATTGGAGCTACAGTAATGTTCAGCACACGCTTAGTTCGTTGGTAGGCTTCCATAAAGGTCAAGTCGCCGACGTTGGCGCGAACACATTCTTCGAGCACTTGAGCGTCTAGAAGATAACCCTCGGTGACGAAACGCTTGACACGTCTGAACCATGTCGAGAACCAACCGTGCTGTATCAAAACACTGTTGCCATTCTTGGCCAACTGAGCCGAACGTGTAGCAAAAGCAGTGAGATCGATACCCTCACCACTCAAGAATTTGAGTAGTTCATCTTCATTGTGTACACCGACAAGAGCGGCCATAAGAGCACCGGTCGCGGTTCCAGATATGATGCGTGGCAGTAGACCCCGCAGATGCAAAGCCTTCACCACACCAATATGACAAAGTCCAAAGATCGATCCTCCTTGGAGAACAAGCACACTACGTCCAAACGCCTGTCGAGTATCATGGAGAAGATCGAGCTTGGCCTGGTTAGTCAGACTGGTGTCGTACATCGGCGACGTAGGATAGGCCGTGACATATTCGACAGCGAGTGCGACCTGAGTAATGTAGTCTTCTATCAGGAGCTTAGTACCAGCATAAGCTCGATTGAACAGACGGGGTGCTGTGATGTTTCCTAGATTGCGGACCAGTCCAGAACGCAGGAGATTCACTAGGCTGAGGATATCTTCATCCTCGCGAGCCTCTAGGATATACTGGAGTCTTGAATGGATGAGGCGATAATCATAGTGTTTAGAAGAGGGATTCTGTCGNCCTGGATTGTCAATCATAAGCTATTGTTCTCAACGGTCACGCGAGGAAAGCTCGAACCAGAGGTCATTGCCATAGAGCTCGTCCAATGCGAAAGCTGCGGCTTCCCACTCCTCATAGTAACGAGCAGTGTTCAGACATTCCAGCTGAATGTCCTTTTGACTNTTACGAGTCCACCACGCCCATAAACGCTGTGGGAAATCAGTTGGGAACACGACAACAAGCAGATTCAATCTACGAACCATGTGCCAAAAGAAGGCTACATCGAAGAAGAGTCCTATCAACGCCTTAAGGAAAGCTGCCGCGCTGCTGCTCCTGCTTCGAGTGGCCATCAGCAGTCGTTAAATGCGGCATCTCTTCCCAACGTTAAGTTGTGTCGAGGGGAGGAGGCGGTTTGGTGCCGCTGTCACATGAAAGCCATCGTCGGTGCACGGACGGCCACCTTCTCTGAGCAACTTCGGTCTCTTCAATTGCGAGTTTCCTGTTTACAACTACATCTTCCTAAATTTGCCAGATGTTCGCATAGATACAGAGTCATCATGTCTTGGTCAACGAGACACGGCTCGATGTTGTAAGTCATGAAATTACCACCGACGTCAGTGGACTTCGACCTGGCGTCTGTTCCATTCCTCTAGATTTGATTCAGAATCTCAAGGGCATCGAGGGTGTTGGTCGCGTTGAGAGAATCACCAGTACATTCCAAAGACACGTCCAGCTCCCAGCACGTAAGTATCAATACGTACGAATCTCCGCAATAATCCGCAAGCCCATTGGTCGATCTCGAAACACGTAACTCCTTCAAGACACGTCCCTTTCACATAACACATTCTCTTGATGCGTGTCAGACTCAATTGGAACCTCGACAATGAGGCTGGTGCATTCTACGCCATTCACCCTCCTCTACAATTGTTCCCCTATTGAGCAGATCCTATAAGGATGCTCTCTCTCGTCTTTTGTTCTGATCTCTGTTTTCCATCGCAAACACTCCTGCTTTAATGCTAGCAAAAATGTCCTTCTCATCAACATACAAGATCTTACTACTGGCACAACTCTCATTCCTGGTCGACTGTCACCTCAAGCTCAACAACCCAGTTCCATACTCCAAGAGCACACTCCAACTCGATCCTCTCAGAAACGTTGCGCCAGGATCAGAACAATCAGACTTTCCATGTCAATCCAAACGAATCGGTGGTGCTGACCCATGGATCGTTGACCATGAGAATGAGCTGGTCGCTGGAGAACCTCAAACCATGACCTGGGACGGATCTGCATCTCATGGCGGAGGTTCCTGTCAGATCGGTGTAACTCTGGACAGACAACCCACTGCCGACAGCACGTTCAAGACGATCGCCAGCTTCATTGGTGGTTGTCCTATCGACGATGCTAATGGAGGCACACACCCCTTCAACTACACGATTCCGTCAGAAGTTCCCAATGGCAAAGCTACTCTAGCATGGAGCTGGGTCTCTAAGCTGAGTGGTCAGCCAGAGTTCTACATGAACTGCGCACCAATCACCGTCTCTGGTGGCGCCGAAGACACCAAGGAGTTTGACCAACTCGAAGACATGTTCAGAGTCAATCTTCCAAGCTCAGAATGCGGCAGTCAGCTCAGTAGCAATCTCGAGATCCCCAATCCTGGCAGATATGTCACAACAATCGACACGCGAGCACTTGCTCCACCAACTGGAAGTGGTTGTGCAGCTTTGAGTCAAACAACAGCCACTGAAAGCAACACCGCTGCAGCATCAAGCACAGAGAGCGCGGCAGCCACTACTCCTCTCACAACTCTTACACCCGTGCCGTCAGCAGTCGATACTACCACCACTTCTGCCGCTACAGCAACATCTGCTTCAGCTACATACCTTCCATCGTCATCACTAAGCATGCTCAGCACAATCCCAGGCCCTTACAGTAACAGCACGTCCTGTACCACAAACGGCGCTCTCGTCTGCAACGGACCCACCCAGTTCGGCCTCTGCAACTTCGGCCAAGTGATTTGGCAACCAGTAGCTCCTGGCACAACCTGTCAAGATGGTCAAATCGTAGCCGACAACAACGACACCGACTCTCCAAGCTGCAGTCCTGATGGCTCACTGGTCTGCAATGGCTCTAATGCATTCGGTATCTGCAATTCTGGACATGTGATGTTCCAGCCTGTTGCGCCCGGCACGACATGCAGTGATGGACAGATCATGAGGAAGAGACATCTAGGTATACACAGACGTAGAAGTATGGGTCATGGTCATCATCAAAAATTGTGAAGATGACAAGCATGAGTAAAGGTGGATTTCAGCGATTCGGGCATAAATGGGCGTTTTGGGCATGTATATTTAGGTTCAGCGAATAGAGAAACCTTGAGTGCAGCAGATTCTCGAGTGCTAAAATGAGTCTTTCTTAGTCTTCGAGAAGTCTTTCCTCCCTAGGTCATGTTGATGCCGCTTGAACGCAATCAAAGACCTGTCTCACATCCTTGTGATGATTCACTGCCAACCAAATCACCCAGTGAACGATCCTCCCACCTCCAACTTGCCGACCAGAAGTGAAGTGGGCCACCTCATGGCATTATAATTCTGACAATTCTCCCTGCCTACATCGAACCGGTGGAATGGCGCAGTGGTAGTAGCTCGTGCCTCCTACACATGCGGCCAGTGTCCACTGGTTCGATTCTCCGGGTCGTCTACGTGAATCTCCCTTTATGCCAGAGGTCCCAGTAATCCTCACCCGACAACAATAACGATGAAATCAAGTTTCTCTTCCCCTCCTAGCTTTTGGTGGCTAGTGAGGGTTTCTGTTTGTCGATTATGGGTGTATTGTGTTTCTACTTTCTGTTTTGCTATGGTGTTTTAAATGACATGGTTTCCTAGTCTTGCTGCCCAGCGGTGATACATCGTATGCGCGTTAATGATCTCGAGACAACAGACATACTTGATATGCGTGAGGGTTTTATCTTTGTACGCCCATGTCTTTTGATTCTTCTTTGACGAGAAGTCAGAGACAGCAGGAGGTGTGACAAATTTCGATTCACAAATCAAGAGACAGAAATGCAGACCACTGTTTTGGAATTGATAAGACAGCATCATGTCTACAGGCAGCCAATTATCTTCGTGCCGGAACGTTGGACTCACATCGGAGAGGGTTACGATGAAGGCTACATGCCTTTTGGAGCCAGCCCTTTCAATTTTCCTGCCAAGAGATGGAAGAACGTGCTCATGCCATTCAATCTATCTATGATTGCGCTGCTTGTGGGTGCATTGATCGAGGCGACTGATCACGTCTGAGAGATCCAGGAGCCTTCCCAGAGAACGATTGCGCACTCGACACTGATCGTGAAACGTACAGTACAGCAGTATTGCGAAGAAGAAGATTGCGTGGATAATCAAAGGAGAGAAGCCGTGCTCAATGCCTTCGGCGACGCGTGGGTGAATGAAATGATTGATGGATTTGGAACCTTTGATGGTTGCGTCCAGCCTCAGCATATAGATTTATGAAGCTTCAAAATGGTTCTTTGACAATTGTGATCGCAGTCGATGTGCGAGCCTTCTAAAATTGCATGTGACATCTGAAGTTGTTTCCAAAATCCTATTGCTCCATATGAGCAGGAGACTCAGAGAACGTGTCGCTATGTGGTCAACAAAAGTCTGCTGTCGGCATTGTTTCTAGGGAGACCCTGTCCTTCTACGGAGAGAGTCTAGAAGTGCTTCCTGGAACGTCAGATACGTTTTGCAGACTGGCGATGTTCTGGAGGTGCAAGCCAAGGTGAAAGACAGAGAGCATAAGTCAATCTTCGAGCGATTCGATCAAGCAAGTCCTTTCCAAGGATCCTCAATAAAGGACGGCATAAAGAGAACCATATCGCCCCTCGCATTCTTGACACCACGTCGGAGTGCCGCAAGCTCTGGAGCGTCTGGGAAACCAGGAGTCCAGTTGTCTGTTTGCACCTTCCCTGCTCTTGCCTGTGTGTTCTCCACTCTCGTTGTTGATGCTTCCTTGCCTGCACGTTCTTGCTCTTGAGCCTTCTCTGTCGAACTGCCCATCGCCGGTCTGGTGCCCAAGGGGATGTCGTTCGCGCCTGTGCTGGCTGGAAGCTGGTTGCCGCTGTCGTCGATGAAAGCGTCGTCGGCGCGTGCAGCGTGCTTGCGACGCTTGCTGCCAAAACTTGTGAAGCCCATTGCTTCTGCGATGGCTGGGTCGATCTCTAGGTCATCCATATCCATTGTGTCGTTGCCTTGGGGCATGAAGGTAGTCAGAGAGAGCGTGAAGAGTGAAGAAATGGTCCGCCGGAGCTGTTTGGCTTGAAGCTGGAGAAGGCGCGATCGCGACGCTCTCTCTTTCTCGCAGCATCACTTCCTAGTTTCCTACTGTTCACAACGTGAAAAGCACACTCATCATGTTTTGAGTACTAAGAGCTGAACGACACGGAATAATCATTCCTTATCTCCTTGATCGTCAAGTCGAGATGCTTGGCCCGTGGATACAACTGACCTCGTGAGCCTCAATGACAACATCACACTAGAGGTATCCCGGTACCTGGGTAGTCCTATATCCGCATTGATTCTCGCTTGGTTTCTCCTAGTGAAAACATAATCTGATAGAGAACATATTTTTCCAACAGCATGATCTCCTCATCTTATCTTGCTGCTGCACTCCTGCTGGCCACGGCGTCTGCACAATCTTGTGGACCCTCACCATCGGGTAAAGTCAGACCCTCTATCGCTTCTGGATACAAATGGCAGGCAGTGGCAACTGGATTGGCTCGACCTCGTGGCATCGCCTTTGATGACCAGGGCAGATTGCTTGTCATCGAGTCTGGGTCAGGCAGTCTGTCAGCGCACACATTGTCCGAGGACGATGGTGGCTGCGTGACTGTTGAATCGTCGACTAATGTGACGGAGGATATGGGAGTCAGTTCTGCTTTTTTAGACATGACAAGATCCGATCTCANNGCTGACTTCAGGAAGCTCAATCATGGTATCGCTTTCGACAACGAGAATCGCATGCTTTACGCTTCTAATACCAATGAGACCTATGGGTGGCAATACGATTCATCGGCAATCTCTGTGTCAAACCAGCAGACATTGGTCAGCAACATGTCAGGAACTGATCATAGCACACGTACTCTTCTACTTCCACAAAATGCCCCGGGAATGATGGTTATCAGTTTCGGTAGCTTGAGCAACCTCGATCTCTCTGCTACAAATGTAGATTCTGGCACTGCATCAGTCAAGGCCTTCAACTTGACAAATCGTACCAGTACATACACCTACCAGGATGATGGTCTGCTACTTGGATGGGGCTTGCGCAACGAAGTTGGCCTCGCAGAGCACCCGGGAACTGGTGGCATCTGGGGTGTCGAGAACTCTGCAGACCAGATGACCAGAGATGGTGTCGATGTACACGCCACCAACCCTGGTGAGGAGCTCAACTTCCTAGGTTATGTCAATGGCACCGAGTCCGGACAAGAAGGCTCGAACTTTGGATACCCTTGGTGCTTTTCAGCTTGGAACCCTTCAATCCTGCCGAATAACGGACAGATCGAGGTCGGCACGCAATTTGCCATTGATGCAACGCCAGATCTGGACAACCAAAACAAGACCGACGCGTTTTGTGCTGACCAGACTCAAAGCCGACTGGTATTCACCTCACACATGGCGCCCTTGGACATCAAGTTCAACGATACAGGCAGACAAGCATGGATCACTTTCCATGGCAGCTGGAACAGTCCTAACCCTGTCGGCTACAAATTGTCGCTAGTCAATTTCACAGATGCTGGCGAGCCGGTCGATGAGCTTACGAGCAAGACAGCAGCCACGGACATCTTCGGAAACGCGAACAATTCGGTTTGTCCTAACGACTGTTTCCGTCCTGTTGCAATGGCGCTCGACAATCGAGGCAGAATCTTTATTTCATCTGACGCATCAGGTGAGATCTATCTTGTTACGCGGGACGAAACCTCCAAGGGGTCTGGAGGTAGTTCGACTGGTTCGGCTGGTTCCTCTTCATCATCCTCATCCATTGCGCCCAGCTCGACAACTTCCAACTCCTCAGCTGGTGCTGGTAATTTCTCGGGATATTCATCATCTGTCTTGATGTCGTGTGTTCTCTCTGTAATTACTTTAATCTGCATGTAGAATAAAAACAACTAAGTTGAATTGACTTGAAATCATCATCATTTCATACGATACTCATACGCTAATATTACAAGTACTCCTCGGCAACCTATCTACTGAATATCATTCAACTTCTCCTTGGCCTGCTGCTTGCCCTCCTCAGACACATAATGCTCATTGCCTTCAGGGTTGTTGATAGCNCCTATACATCAGATTAGCTCCGATCTGCACATTCCTCAAGAATAAACAAAAACTCACGCCTTCAAGCCACCAGCAACATTGCCAGGGTTCTGCTCAATGTCGCCTTCACCCTGCTTGCCGTAGAAGGCTTGTTCGCCACCGAGCNNTGCTCGAGTACTTGCTTGCTGTGCTGCTTTGAAGCTTCGGAAGTGTTCTGTGATGGTGATGTTAGATGGGTGAATAGAGGAGGGAAAGACGGAGCTGCGGACGGGGTTGCTCAGGTTGGCTTTGTGGCCGGTGGCCTGGTGGGAGATGTCTTCGGCGGTGTTTTGCATAATGGAGATGGTATTTGAGTGTGAGTATGAGAGATGCCCAGGTGGTTGGAAGGTGTAAGTTGAATTGGATTAGATGAGTAGAATATACAATATGCTAGAAAGGTGCTTATATACACATGGCCCGTCTGTGAGATGAAGCAATGATTGCAAAAACAACTGAATCAATGACAACTCGATGATAGCATTCTACAAGGACATCATCGATGTTGTGAGAGAATCAATCAACGATCGGAAAGTCAACAGAGGCAGACGCGACCCGCGATCGTGATTCAATACATGTGCCGTTTTAGGAAGTCGCAATTCTGGGGAGATCGACATCGATGACGACGAGCACCCATTGGATGCATCAAACTGGATGGAGAACAAGCTGAATAGTCAAGGATAGATGGACATTTCTATGACTGCTCCGGCTAATAAGTATGCTTGAATAAGCTTTGGTAGGAAAGACGAACCCTTCCGTGGTGGTAACGAGAATGCGAACGCTCAGAGAATAACTCCATTGAACCGAACCCCCTTATGCCGTGAAACATTTGCGATCAGAGAATCAGAGAAACAGAAAAAAATGCCAACCCACTTATTACTCCGGCAATGGCTGCAGAAAGCGCCAGCTCCCCATGTGCTGTCTTTGAATGCGGTTTCGTGAAAAAATATGGCCAGAGGACTACTCTTCGGAGAGCTCGTCGACGTTGAATTTCCAGTTGCCTGTGTTACACGTGAGTCAAGATGTTTTTGAAAAGCAACGCAAGTTATCGCTTACCCTTCTTGAGATTTTCGGCAGTGTCGCCAAGCAGAATGATGCGACGCTTGTTGCAGTAAGTGGTCTTGTCCATCATCTCGACCTTGAGAGCAGCGAGCTGATCGGTCGGCTTCTCGAACATGCCACTCAAAGCCTCGACGGCCATCTCCAAGTCCTTCTGGTTGTCCTCGAAGATCTCGGTCAAGTTATTGCGTTCCAGGTAATAGGCAAAGGCATATGTCCACTTAAGAGTCTGTCGGCATTGCTGGAGAGCTTGTGATGCATAGTCGAGGAACTGAACCTCGATCCAAGACATGCCTGATGTTGATTGAAGCTGCATCATCTTCTTCTCAGTCTTCAGGTAGATGTCCTTGTCGAGCTTGGCGGACTGCTCGTGGTTGGCGTAGCGGTTGTAGTAGTGGAGGTAGCGCTCAAGAGATGCACGGCTCTTTGCTTGAGCGTCGCGCGCAGTGTGACCACTCTTTTCCTCGTAACGGTTGCAGTTGTACCAACTTGTGCCATGCTCCGACCACAGCCCCATACACATCCAGCAGAATTCGTACTTACACTTTCGGCAAGTCATGTGGTTACAACCGCCGTTTTTCTCGATGGTCGAGTTGCACTTCGGGCACTCTTTGGTGTTTGCAGAGATCCAGTTGGCAGTTTCCGAATCGTCTTCACATTTCTTCATCCACAGCTTGACGAGCACGCAAGGAGTAGGTTGATGGTCGTTGAGCTGACATCCGAAACAGAAACTGTGACCACAATCGCAGTTGACAGTAGGGACGATCTTGTTAAGCTCCTTTTGCTTGACGGGACAATCGACAGCATAGACGCAATTGGGAGCAGGACACCACCTAAGATTGTCCTTGTCGTCGACGTACGTCCGTGTGAGAAGCTCGTGGTACCTGTCTTTGAGGTCCTCTGTGACGAGAAGTTCCAAGCTTTTTGAATCCACGATATTGTTGCACTGTTCGCCGGGACAGCGGATACGTGCGGCCTCTCCTTCGTCCTTGATCTTCTGAGCTAGGTATTGGCGGTAGCAATCAACACAGAAGCGGTGGTTGCACTTCATGGCAAACGTCTGCAATCCAGGTGTATCGTCACAGCAGATCTCGCACATGAACCCATCGATGACTTCCAAGCGGGACGGGCTAGCAATGTCTTGACCAAGGCCAGCTTTTTCCAAGACTTCCTCTTGCTTGTCCATGTATTGCTCAATCAGACGCTCCTTGTTCCATCGCATGTAGCGCATGAGGATGGCTGTCGCTTCGTGTGGTTGGCCTAGGATGTTGGACACCTCTTCTATTTGACGATCTTGCTGGTTCTGGATATCTTGTGGGCTGTAGACAGAGAAATCGACCTCGTGTGCCTTCTTGCGTGGCTTGAGGTCCTTGTCTTGTGAGCCAAAACCGATGTCACCATCATCGTCTAGCTCGATGTCGGAGTCTGTAAGATGGGACTGTCAGTCCATGAGTTCGACATCACGCTATAGGAAACACATACCGGCACCAAAGTCAGCAACGCTGCTGTTCTCATCATCCATGTCAAACTCGGCATCGCTGTTCACCGAGGCGGCACTGTTAAAGTCGTCATCGGAATCCATAGCTTTGACTGAGCCTTTCAGAGTCTGAGGGTAGCGGGCAGTTGGTCGGGCGAGGCGGGCTTATCTGCAGCGGCGTCGTAAACGGGCTGCTTGGCGGAGAGGGAGTCGGCTCTATCGGAGGCGACGGGAGAGTTGGCGGGATGGTGGATCTTCGGTTTCTGCTTCGCGGCCGTGTCCGGCGACAGCAGCTTGCGTTTGCGGGTGATGGGAGGCGTGGTTGCGATATGTGGCGACGAGACAGTCGCCAGGGCCGTTTATGACGGAAGAGAGCGAGTTGCAGTGTGGAGAGGGGCAGCCTTGAGCGATTGGCGTGTGGGTGAAAATGACCGTGACGGCTGACAAAAGCAGGTGACGGGACAAAGTGATTCCTAAGGCTCGGCGTGTTATTGTGCTTTCCAGAAGACACTGATGACTGATTCAAATCTGCGTCAAAGGCGTTCCAACTTCTGCGTCCTTCGACCGAGACCGAGTGGCTGCCAGAGATTCAACTTTCTGAACCCGGCTTTAAGACATTCCACGTAATTGACGCCAAGAAGGAACCACCTCGACGCTCTTTGTTTCGCTGTTGCCTGTTTTTCTCTTTCACAAGGCATACGCGACTTTGTTAAATACACTCTAGGTATTGTGATTTCATGGGTATCGTGCCACTCTGATCTACTCGTCGTCGCTCTCTTCTTCGCTCTCCGTCTCCTCCTCTTCACTGCTCTCTTCCTCACTCTCCTCTGCAGCCTTGATAGCATGCACAAACTGGCCCATAGCAAGCTTGATCTGCTTCAATTCATCGCTGGCCTCATTCTTCTCATCCGCCCACCATTGCATGACTCCCTCGAACTCTAGTGCATCGCCCATGTACAGCTCATTGCAGACGTGAAGCATAATCTTTTCGCCATCTGGGCGGTGGCAGACATCTGCCTGCACGAGCAGCAAGAAGTCCACTTGATCAACCTTGTCTTCGTGGGCCTCACCACGGTCGAACATGGTACGCTCAATCAGCATCTGCTGGGTCGGTATCGTCTTCTTGGCCGCTTGTGCTGGCGTAAGACCCTCTTCGATCAGACTAGCCATGCGCTTCATGAAGGCCGCCACAACTGCGCGGCGCACCATATGCGGCGATGCATTGGCAGACATACGAAGTGCAGTCAGTTCGAGCTGGATGTTGGCAGCTTCATCGCCTTTNTGCAACGAGTCATAAATACTGGCTGCTGCGTCGTGGTGGAAGTCGACGGCCTCGCGACCAGCTCTGCTGTCCTCGGAATCGACAGATCCAATAGAGCCGAAACTCTGCGACCTTGTGCTCCTATCCGCTCTGTCTTCGTACTCCTCGCTGTAGTCCTCCGAGTTGAGGGTTGAGATCGATTCGGCCGATTGGTTCTGCATGTTGTAGATGCTTGCTGAGTGCAGGCTGTGGTGCTCTTGGTCGTCTTCGTCCTCGTCTTCGGAGGTTTCGTACTCAAAACCCTCTCCTTTTTGCCCAACAACCTCCTTGTCTGTCTCTCCGCGTACGATTTCGTCTCCTTCGTAACCCGATTCGCGCTTCACCTTTGTGATTCTCGACTTGATCGTCGTGCCGTCAGAGATGTAGACTCCGTATGAAAGCAAGGCACCAGGCATAATGTTGCACTTCTTGCCGACCGAGGCCTCGTTTGCAACAATAGCGTCCTTGACTATCGTGCCATCGCCAATCGAAGCGTCATCCCAGATGTATGCGCCGCTGATCTTAACATTTCTGCCAATGATACACCTTCGGCCAATAACACTGTTGGAAATCTCACTTCCGTCTCCAATTGCTGTCGCCCGGCCAATAACAGTCCTTGGGCCAATATGACATGACCTGGCCAAGACGACTCCTTCTTCCCGGTAAACATTGCCTTTGGTAAGTCTGTAGGTCTGATCGCGCACCAGGTTGCTGTCGGGGCAGATCGGATATGCCCATCTGCTCAAAATGTCCTTGGTGACGGCATCGTAGGCTCTCAGGTTCTTAACTCTGGCCGCATAGTGCTCGTCGACGATGTGGGTATGGATAGTCTTGCCGTTCAACTCATAATCCTTTAGCACGCTGTGAAGGAATCCTTTTCTCGGTGCCTCGTAGTCGAAGTTATCACTCCAGAGCGCAAGGACATCAGGTGTGCAAATGTCAATACCACAATCAATCAGATCCTCCCTGATCTCAAGTTCGTCATGCTCTTTTAGAATGTCCGGATCCAGGGTAACCAAATGTGAGGGCTGGTTGGGTCGCATCTGCTCGTAGTGTAGACAGCGGTTCTTGGTAGGGTCGAGTACGAAGACAGGCGAAACACGCTGCATCTTAGTGCGATGGGCAGTGCCAGCTTCGCGAAGGACCATGGTCATGATTGCGTTCTTATCCTTGGTGCGACGTTGACGGTGAGCGGCAATAGCGGCTTCGATAGGCAGGTTGCTGACTACATCGCCGTAGACGATCAGGAAGTCGCCAGTAAGGACAGCGCGCGCGTCGAGATCGCGCATAGCGTCACCGATCGAGTTGGACGAGGAGCGAACTATTTCGACATTGTTGAAGGGAGAAACCTTGGAGGTCCATTTNGACTGCTGGATGTACTCCTCGACCTGGTCGGTATGGGCGCCACAGTAGACAAAGACTTCGTCAACTCCAGCATTTGCAAGAAACTCGAAGGTGTATTCGATCAAAGGGGTGTTGGCCAGCGGAAGCAGACACNNTGCGGCTCTTAGACTGTGCTCATATCATTCTCGAGGTCGTTTACGTACGCGAGGGCGTTCAAGTGTAAAAGGGCTGAAGCGAGTCTCGAATGAGTCTGCGAGAATCTGTGCTAGTTAATGGCTGTGTGACATGAATGGTGCAGGACCACATACCACAGCCTGGAGCGCTTCTTCAACCTCGTCCTCGACACGGCCTTTGTCGGCCTGTGTGGCCTTCTTCTTGGGTGCCATGGTGATATAATCGCGCAAAGGGTAAAGTTGAGAGTTGAGTCAAGAATTTGGTAGATTCGACCCAATCCATGCGGGATGACACACGATGCCAACGTGATACTCATTTGTTCGCAACAGATCCATCGACACGCGCTCGAAGAGGCACAACTGAGGCCGCATAAAATTCCTCGGCCTTCATTACCTTTATCCCTTTGATCCACTCGAGCTGCACCTTCGCACGTCGTATGCTTGCCCTCACTTCTTCTCCTTCCCTTCACTATGGGAGGCAGCTCGGTCGCAAGGGATCAGACCTTCAGTCTGCAGGAGCAAACGCGAGCTCCTTCCTTCTTTCCTTCCTTTCAATTGCTAATTGAATGATCATCTCACTCGTGATTCTTCCTGTCTCCTCCACCTTCACTGCATCGATTGTTTCCACATTGTTTCTCACATCGATCCGCCATTGCTTACATGTACGCGCCCTTGTATCTCAAACATGCCACCACTGGCATATCCTACACCAGAGCCGACAGACTCACCCAGTTCTCGCGACGAGTCCCGCAAGCGAACGTTTGAAGACGACGCTGTCACCACTGCCCCTCTCCAATCAAGACCCAAGAAGCAGAGGGTCTCTGTTCAGTGTGGAGACCTATGCTTCCCAGCTTCTTATTACACTGGAGACCAACCAGTTCATCTAGCTGGTTCAGAACGTGAGGCTATAAATGCTCTGGCCATTGTCTGGAACTCAAAGGACCGCTCCTCGCATGAGTATAATATATGGAGACTGGACAACTTCAGCATATACCGCAAGAGCACTGACTACCGACATGCCTACGAACTTTGTCCTTTACACCATCTCAAGACCGAGAGTGGCGTGAATGAACTCCTGTTTGACGGAATTCTCAGCGTCGATGGCGAAGAGCGACATGTCCGAGGTGTTCCGTTCGATTGTCTGGCCATAGAGGGCTACGGAGATGCAAATGACATCGTTTCCGCCTGCATACAGACAACCCTGGGTCGAAAGGCAAACGTCTGGTATCAACTAGGATCTCCCGCAAAGGAGTATACTCGTTACCATGATCCTTTCGTTTGGGTTTCAAGGTTCACCAGGTATGTGGTAGACTTTCTCGAGGAATCCGAGCAACCTGTCACCTTGAGTCTGTTTCGACGATCGTTCTATCCCTATTTGATGCATAAGCATGGAACATCCTCCGCTACCAAGCACTGGTTGGAGCAACACAAATCACGCGATTTTGGGCAGGCGTTTTGCGCCAATCTCGGTTTCATCATCAAGGAATGCTACAGTCTGAACGATCAACTTCTTGACCAGCCTGTATTCGGAGAAACAGACACGAAGCAGCTGAAAGCCATCCCTATGGAGAAAACTGCATACGAANAAACAGTTGTGACTCCATTCGTGTTCGATCTCTTCCATAAGATGCCTTTCCACACTCAGATGCAAGTCCTATCCGAGGTCAGTCTTGTTGCCTCGCGAAAGCAGAAAACGAGATGAACTGAGTTGGGCCTCACACCACTGGACTGTCGTCCAACCGCCACGCCAAAAGTTCAACTTTCCCAAAGAGCGGTTCGAGAAGGTGATGTCGTCAGTATTGCCGCGGACACGCAGACTCAATGGAGACACTCAACTGGCGTTGTGTGGTACGCATACGTACAAGATATTCGGTCTTTGAAGTCAGGCGCGCAGAAAATCGACGTCTTGTGGCTATACGAGTCGTCCGATACTACGCTAGGCCACGGGTATTATCCGTACAAGAACGAGTTGTTCATGAGTGACAACTGCGCTTGTGGAAAAGACTCTATTGACGCCGGGCTTGTTCAATCTATTGTTTCGGTTAAGTGGTTTGCCACTAACCCTGAGGAGTCCCAAGATTGCTTCTTCGTGAGGCAAAAGTTCAGAACGGAGCCAACACTTGGAGCATATGACTTTGTGCAACTCCAAGAATCAGACTTTAGTTGTGGATGCAACAACACCGAAACAGAGATGGACAAAATCAAGCGAGAGTTTAGTCTTGGAGACACTGTGCTAATTTATCGACTCATTGCTGGCAAGGAGTCGTTGGAGCCTGCCATCATCCGTGGCTTCAACCTCGATACAGTTGCTCTACAGACCTTCTTCCGCTGTCAGCGTGATCTAGGCGATAAGCAGGCAGCTCCTAACCAGCTAATGCTGACTAACGAGATGTTCAATCTTGATCCAGATTGTGTCACCCGTCGTTGCAGAGTTGCTACCTTTGCCGGTTTCGAGGATATCAAAACACCTTACGATCGCAACGGAGCAGGCGATCTGTGGTATGTTGTAAGCCCCTCGGCTCCCGTGTGGAATTTTGTTGACCACGAGATCCCTGCGGAGAGCAAACTCAAGGGCATGGGGATATTTTGCGGCAGCGGGTCGTTCGATAGAGGCCTTGAAGAAGGTGGAGGTCTCGAGTTCAGATGGGGCGTCGACTGGGCTGAAAGGGCGCTTCACTCCTACAGAGCTAATGCAGAAGAGCCAGAGAAGCTGAATCTCTTCCTCGGTAGCGTCAACGACTATCTCGGCAAAGCCATTCGAGGCACTAAAGACAGTCGAATCGCTACCGTTGGCGACGTCGATCTACTGGCAGCAGGGTCTCCGTGTCCAGGCTTCTCGGTTCTTCAGCGAGATCGAAACAGTGACCAATCGCTACGAAATTGTTCTCTTGTTGCCTCAGTGTGCTCTCATGTCGATTTCTACACCCCGACGTACCTCGTACTGGAGAACGTCATTGGCATGGCAAGGAACCCTGGAAATGCTAAAAGCCTGAATGTATTCTCGCAAGTCCTTTGCTGTCTTGTGAGCATGGGATACCAAGTACAGCAACTGCTCATGGATCCCAGCCATTATGGATCCTGTCAGTCTCGACAACGTATCTTCATTGTTGCAACAGCGCCAGGCCACAAGGCTCAAGNNGCACCCCCTCAGACTCACACCTGTGAGGAACTAGAGACCTATGCGAGAGCAATCGGCTATGCTTCCAATGGGCTTCCGTTTGGAAAGCGTAAGTACGATGTCTGTCCGTTCGTTTCTTTGAGTGCAAGGGAAGCGTTCGAGGATCTTCCAGACATCGGTGACAGCCATGTGCAGACATGTATCGCAGCGCCAGACCATCGCACTTGCAGACATGAAAAATCACAGAAGCGAGCACTTATTCAGATGGTGCCTCGATGGCCTTATGGGCAAGGCTTTGTCCAAGCTGTGGCCAAAGGCAAGATGTCGCAAAACGTGATAGCAAGTTACGCTTGGCAAAACAAGAACCGCGCTGGCCAGAACAGCAAATCTTGGGCACGCATCTATCCAGATCGTCTGGTTGGTTGTCTAACCACGGACATTAAGCCGCACGACTCGTTTCTTGGTCGTACTCTGCACTATGACCAGCATCGTACCATTACTGTAATGGAAGCTCGTCGGGTTCAGGGCCTCCNNCCTGATAACGAAGTTATTCTAGGCACTCCGAGTCAGCAGTGGATGCAGAGAGGTAACGGAGTAGACCGCAAAGTTGCCTTTGCTCTCGGAATACAAATTGCCAATGCATGCCGCAATACTGTGGTTACGGGAGGAGAGGACAGACCGATGTGCTCGTTGCCTGTTTTGTCAGAGACAAGCTCTCAACGGATCACATCTATCGTTCGTCAGGAAGTTGTCGTTCGTGGGCCACTTCAATCTATCACCTCGGGGTCGTCCAGTGCTGTTGCGCTCGGGCAAAAGCACAAGAATTCCGACGGCATCTTCCAACAAATAAATCAGAGCACCAGTGAAGTTTTCAACGACCACGCATCGGAAGTGGCTTCAAACAGCACTCTCGTATCTCACTCTGTGTTACAGGATATTTCAATGATCCCAAGCCAACAACGTGTGGAAAAGGGCGTAATAGAGTATATAACCATCGACTGAGGGATCTCAAATTATATCATGTGAGTAAGGGAGGAAGAACAGAAAAGTCGGACGTATTTATAGGGGGGAGGGGGGCTACAAGGATGATATCAAGTAGAGGTGGTTGCTACCAATGACGACATTGCTATAGAAGAACTATAAGCGCATTCCGAAGATCGACTACACTATTTTAAATGCAAAGAAAGGATATCGAAAAAGTCAAGCTGTGACTGCCATTATGATCATCAATCTACATAACCAAGGAGTGACTGTTCTGTGCGTCTACTTGGAAGCAAAAGCGCAAGTTCCCATGTCGAGCTTCTTGACAGAAGCCTCAGGTCTGATATCAAAGTCGAAGATATCAACTGGAAGTCCCAGAGTCGTGCAAGCATTGGGAATCTATGATCACTGTCAGTCCAAAGCCCTCAACCAAGCTAGAAGCAAGATGCTCACATCCACGATACCAGCGATATGCCCCTGTACAGGCGCACAACTCAACAACAAATAAATCTGATAATCACTATACCCATACCTCCTCAGATACTCAATACACCTCAACGTAGTCTGTCGATACGCCACCGTCGTATCCAAAAAGTGTTGCTTTCCNTCTTCATCAACACTAAACCCTTCAAAGTAGATATGTCTCCCAGGTCCAAAATTGGGCTCCACAGCACCAGGGATATAGATTGGAGATTTCATGTCCAAATGCTTGATGCCATCCTTCATGACGGAAAACTTTATGGTTATCACGCCTGCCATTTCGATGGCGCCGCAAAAGGAGATTTCGCCATCGCCTTGGGAGAAGTGCAGATCGCCGACTGAGAATTTAGCGCCGGGGACGTGGACGGGGAGGTAGACTTTTGAGCCGCGGGAGAGGTTTTTGATGTCGCAGTTGCCGCCGTGTTCGGGGCGGCCGGGGATGGTTCTTGCGCCTTCCTCACCAACTTTTTCCTTCAGAGCCTCATCGGCAGCCCCAGCGTGGACGTTTGTGGGTTCAGGTGGTTTTGCTACATCGCGGGTCATGTGTGCGCATTCAGAGATGAGTTGGTTTTCGCGACGGTTCCATTCTGCGAGGATGGCGGCTGAGGGGGCACAGCCGAGGATTCCTGGGTGGATGAGGCCAGGGAAGCGGACATGGGGGATATGGCGTGAAGAGCAGAAGATGCCTTCGAAATCCCAGATGGCTTTTGCTCTGTTTTGTCCATCAGTATCCCAAAAACACCAACTAGTCGGTAGACAAGGCAAAACTCACGCGTCAGGATACAGTTCATCCAAAAATCCACCTCCATTCTCCTTTGCAAAGATACCTGTAAATCCCCAAGGCTGGTCTTGCAAAGGCTGCACATCTTGAATCTCTACCACCAGCACATCTCCAGGCTCGGCATTCTCAATCTCAAAAGGTCCGCTAAGGTAGTGGATCTTGGTCAGGTCGACGTTTTTGATGTCGTCTGCGTCGTCGGTGTTTTTGATCTGGCCGCCCGTCCAGTCGACGCATTCAATTTTAACGACTTCACCATCTGCGATCTTGCCGGCTGCGGGGACTGAAGAGTGGAGTTAGTGGTGTGTTTGACATGAAGAGCCTAGGAAGACGATACTGTCGGGGTGCCAGCGGTTCNNTGTGAGAGATGTCAGTCACGCTTGGATGAAGGCATATGGATCGCGATGACTTACGTGGAGCTGAGGTTGAGAAGCCGCATCCTTCTCTAGATCGACTTTGGCAGCATATCTGATCTCTGATTTGCCCATCTTGATGTATCTTATTTGAAGCAAACAAAATGTTTGTCGAAAGCAATTGAAGCTTGGAAGTACAGGAAAGAGGGAGTTTTGAGAGGGGCAAGCCACGGCATATTATATCTAGGAGTCGGATCAGTCATTATGAGTAGTCAGCCCATGCCCGCTTCTTGGTGGATTGGCAAGAGATAAGCAATTGACTACACAAGAGCGGCAGGTTGTGACCATCTATCGTCACGATATGCCAATCAAGGTGTGGGGTAGCTTGCTCCATCGAGGGGTATCTGGTGCACGGACGGGCGGATCAATGCCGCTGGACATAACTCGGAATTGAATGATATCTGATTAGAACGAGTTGGTTTGTATTTTGGCTGTTCTGTGGTAGATGGTGTTGGAACTAGTCAAGTATTACTCTTGAGAATCACCTGTGCTCTGAGCAAACTCAGGTAAACTGGCGGCCCTTGATGGTCGTCGTGTCTGGTTTCTCACCCTCCTTCGTCGATGTGATGTTCAGAGCATCCAGCTTGTCCAGAGGAAGCTTCAGGAACTCATGCTTGTTGCGCCAGTGAGCTTGTGTTTCGGCAAAGTTAGTCCACTCTTCGGGTTGCGGTGGTGGGTCGGTGACCTTTGTGATCAGGAAGGCGGTCGATGCTTCAGCGATGCCATAGATGAGCACACCAAGAAGAGGAATCTTAAGGAAAACAAAGAAACCAACGCCGAAGCCGAAAAGGACACCCTCGCGGTCGTGGAACCAGATCTTCTTCTGCTGAGGTGTAAATCTGATACGTGAGAAGTAGGGCTCGAGCNNTGCGTTGTTTGTTAGCGTCCTTATTGCGTCGTGAAGTCATGTTGGACTTACCAATTCTCTCATCAGACTCCTAGAAGCAAAGTAGCTCTGGAGGAACTGAACCAGATATCGCTTAGGCAAGAAGATGGAGCTGCCAAAGATAAGGATGGCAGGTTGCAGACCAACCTGCTTGTTGAATGTGTAGAAAGAGGCAGCAGGAAGGACGAAGCGACCAACGTATGGCAGCAACGAGAGCAGGTACACGGCCAAGGAGATTCCAGCCTTGCGACCGTATCGCACTAAGAACTTGATAGCTGCTTGCTTGGGAGCGTTTTGCGAGGGCTCTTTTCCAGCAGCAGGGGCAGGGCCGTGGTGTTTGTATTGGCGCATGTTCGGATAGTACATGGCGCGGAGCGAGTTGGGGTCTTCGCCCTTGTGCTTTTGTACATATGTCTCATCGACCCATCTGAGGGATTCCATGAANCCTGGCACAATCAGTCTCTGCTGTCTTGGCAGCTAAGCAATATCAGGAACTCACATGTTGTCGAGCGAAGGACTGATGTATCTCATGAAACTCATGAGGAAGAAGGGCAGCTGCAGCACTGAGTGCTCCAGGAACTCGACACCATCCATGATTTCTTCGTCCCATCCCGAGCTCTTTAGGTCGGTGAACAGTCCAAGGAAAGAGATGAGCACGCGGACTCCGACGGCCNNTGTCATGATAGATTAGACGAATGATTTCTTTGGTACGAAGACGGCAGGGTGAGGATAGCGTACAGGGATGGCGACGAGGACACGAATGGCGATACCGGCTGCTACAGCCAGAGCAGCCTGTCTGTAGTGTTCAGAGGTAAAGAGTTTCGGGTTCTGCAATGCTCGATAGGCNTTGGTCGCGTCAGTCAAGTTGTACAGGCACGCGACAGCATGTTGAATATGCTTACCACCAACGACGGTGAGCTGCGCGCCACGAAGGATGGCATTGGGGTCAAAGTTCGACATTGCTGTCTGTTGTCCTCTGATTTGGTTGTAGCGACGATAGGATGGTCTCGCTCAATCCAACATTTTGCTTGAACTCAGAAGCTCATCATCGACACGACTGCGTACGTCATGGTGGAACGGCGTTTGCGAAAGGCCGATGTCCCGACCGAACCATCCAGGGGTTCGCTGCGTGGTGGGCGGGCGGCCCTGACCGTTATTATCCTAGACGTTTCTCTGGACATGATAAAGAATGCTACATGTGTTTGTGTCTTCGTACAGATGTTTGCATCATGTCTGAAGAGAGAGGAGATAGATCCGTCTTCAAGCATACGATTCAGCATGACTCGGACAAGTTGTGATAAGATATGCTCTGACTCCTGCCTGTCAAATGTCTCCATCTGAAACAGCTAGAGAGCAGCCGTGTATAGAAGTGATACAGCCCTTTACGTAGTAATTCCTTGCATAAAATGACTCCTTAAATTGGAGGGAACCTTTTTCTGGATGGCTCCATGCCCCGCACAAAAAAAGGCAAGGCAGTGTTGGAATGAAGGCGTTCGTCTCACTCGGAATCGCTGTCTAGATATCTCCTAACAATCACATCCATCATCCTACCAACAACTCGTCGGGCCCGAGACTTGGGGATGCTATGTCTTCGCGGCCGTCGTCCAGCACATCCAAGGATATGCCCTCGGCCTCGGCTCCAGGCACAGCTCTGCGACGATCTTTTACCCTCCCTTCGAGACTGGCCAACCCGAAGACGATTCAACAACAGGTCGAGATTGGTTCCGCCGATGGCATCGAGACGCTGTTTGTCCACCCCTCGGCCAAGATTGTATCCTTCAGTACAGCATCATCTCTGAGATCGCGACCCAGCTCAAGATCGAGCATTGCCAGCTACGATGGAGAAGGAGATGCCTCCACGTCCCTGCTGTGGACCTCACCCACCGAGCGGACCATGGCTGCAGGTACGAGACGGAGCATCCAAAACGAGCGACAACAGTGCAGCTGACAAAATCTCANNGGACCCCTAGAAATCTACCGCGTACCTGGATCCGTCGCCTTTCTACATTCTGGCAGCTTGCTACACGCCATCCTCCCGCGTTCGCAATGTTGGTGTGTCGACGGCGTCTCCAAGTTCGCCATGCGCGTCTTGCCCAACACCTACTACCGCATCGAATTACCCGGAACCACTCAAGAAGACCTGGAACATGTTGAGCAGCTCAAGAAGACACTAGCTAAAGTCTTGTACTACGAGAAAACAGCTTGTCCTTTTCAGAGAGGTTTCGGCGAGGACCTGCCAGAAATGCCCAGCAGAAACTCGCGGAGGCTGTCAAGAGAGTTCATCGAGCCTGCAAAACGCTGGAGACTTGACAAGGTCTGGAGGCCCGAGGGCGCCGACCTCGAGGAGCCGCAGCTCTTGCATCCCGACAGAAGCAAATCGAGATCTACATCGAGATCAGACACCGAACGTTCCGAACTCGAGGACAGCGTAAAATCAGAGGAAGAGGGTGGGAAAGAGCAGGACACCAGACCGGCCAGCAGAGGAGACAAGACATCACAACTATCTGGACCATTCCCATCCAAGAGGCTGGCGGCCATGCGGTCGGTTACTGCCCCTCCGCAGTTGAGCCTCGAATCGTCACCTCCGTCCAGAGTTAACAAGGTCCGTAAGATGGCTGGTATATTCGATCAGACTGCTCGCGACACTGCACCACCTCTTGCACGCCCACTCTCATCCGCTCTTGTTCCACGACTACCGTCCACACCTGAGTCTCCTCTCTACTCTCCTGACTACCATATTCATGAGGACGTTACGAGTGACGAACAACCAAATTCGACCCAAATTAGACCTGTCACCGTCATGGTAGAAGAAACCAAGGACCCTAGTCTCAGAGAACCTTTGATCCTTGTCGAGCAAATAGGTGATGAGACTGAGCTCAACACGACTGAAGACTCAACTTACTCCAATCTTCCCAAGCAAGCCGATGCCACAGTCACCCAGACACTCCTGCCCGAAGAATCTCAAGAACAGGCAGTCGCAGGAGCTCCCAAACCGCCGGAGGAGGAAAAGGCGAGCGCACACNCAACCATCAGCGAATTCAAGGCTCCAATCCTACCAAACCCTACCGAAGAAACACCANCCAACCCACAACCCGACAACATCACCATCCATATCCACAACCGAACCCACATGCACAACCTTCACAGCCTCCTCCCCAGCCCTCTCCACAACCTCCCTCTCAACAGCAACATCCTGGTCCACTCTCCCCGTACTCACCCCTCAGAAGCAACAGACCTCCTCCGCCAACGCCGCGCCCCTCATCNNCCGCTCACCCTCTCCCTCCTCCTCCACACCCCAATCACAAACCCAAACACCAGCAAAACCCACCTCTACAGCCCTAACAAAAACCTCCCCGCCCTCCTCGTCCGCAAAACTTGCGCACTGTTCTTGGGACCCCCAGCAAACCTTGTAGCTACTATGCTCAGGATTGCTGCTAGATTGGTCGCTAGTGGGGCGCTGAATCTGGCTGAACCGGCTTTTCACGATATGTTTGCTGCTGGCGGTGCTGCGGCTGCTGCGACTGCGGTGGGGAGAATGAGGGGGCACAGAAGAGTGCCAGGGAGTTGGGATTTGAGTGATGACGACGAGGATTGGGGCTTCTAGGTTGGCGTTGTTGGAAGAGATGCGAATGCAGATGAGGGATCAGGGGTCATGGTTTTTCTCCTATGTTTTGTCCTTTTCACGTTACGATACCCCATACACTCGACTGTTTTTATTGTTTCTTTGATTCTCATTCTTTGTCATCGTTCGAGCAGCTGGTGCTTGGATCGAGCAGTCTAGTCAGAGCAGGCATGTGTCAACCTCCAACATCACGCACGAACATCACACCTTTACAGAAACACTCGTCATTGTTAAAGAAATTCGTTTCATTTTGTGCAATGTGTAGCTACCAAGAGGAAGCGCCTTTCTCAAAGGGCTCAAGCAATTATCCACTTCCCTCTTCGTCTTCATAATGACATGCCAGCATCTGCAACCCCTCACGCCGGAAAGAAAACCATCTAACGATGCAATTTCATTTGCAACGCTTAGAAGTCGAGCATGGACTGGGCATCCTTGATACCGGCGAGCTGACCCTCCTTGACTCTCTTGAGGGTAAGGGCAGCAATCAAAGCGGCACCGACACCACTACCATCCTCGGCAGTCATGATCTCAACAGGGTCGGCATCACGCTTATTCTTCTTCTCGGGCCAGTCCAACATTTCGCGGAGAGCCTGGGCGCCGCGGGCCTTGAAGTGAGGGTACTTGTTAAACACCGATCCGTCGGCACCAACGTGAGCAGTCTTGTAGCCCTTCTTCTTGCAGATAGCAGCGACACCGCAGGCAGACAGACGTGCGGCACGAGTACCGATAAGCTCAGCCAGACGACGAATCAACTCGAGCTCAGGCTTGTTGCACTGGAGGCTGAACTGGGTGCGCATCAATTCGGCGGTCTCGGATAAGTTCTCGAAGGGATCCTCCTCAATGGCGGCAAGGACGGAAGCATCGATGCTGTAAGGCTTCTTGAGCTTGTCGACGCTCTGGCCCTCGAACATGTGCTTGCCCTCATGCATATCGAGCAAGACGAGACGGAAGATCTCGCCGAGGTACAGACCAGCAATCATCTTCTCGAAGGCCTGCTGACCAGGACGAGGTGACTCCTTGTCGATGGTCTCGTCGTACTTGGTGAGAGGAAGAACCTCGTGCTCGTTATCGAAAGCGCCGTACTCGCAGTTGATGGCAATGGGGAGCTCGGGGTCGAGGTTCATGTGAGCCAACTTGGGGATGGAACCGCAGTTCTCCATGTAAGCAGCGTTACATCCAGTACCGAAGATACATCCAATCTTCATTTCGCTGTCGGTGTAGGCAGAGGCAATCAGGGTACCAGTGGTGTCGTTGATCAGAGCAGTCAGCTTGATTGGGACACCACGCTCGGCCAAAGCCTTCTCGAAGGGAGGAACAACATCCTCGCCCTCGACGCCGTCAATGTCGAAGCCCTTGGTCCATCTTTGCAGGATACCGTGGTCGATGTAGTGTTGAGTGGCAGGGTATGAGAAGGTGAAACCGAGAGGAAGCTTGTCGAGCTTCTCGCCCTCGTGGTGGTACTCGATGAACTGCTGCAAACAATCGGCGATGTATCCCCACAGCTCGTCGGCGGTACCGGTCTTGAGCTCCTCAGGCATGCGGTACTTGGACTGGATGATGTCGAACTCTCCCTTCTCCTCAGGCAAGTGGATCTCACAGACACGGAGGTTGGTGCCGCCCATGTCGAGGGCGAGGAAAGTACCAGTCTCGTGACCAGTGGGGAAACCCATACACCAGGTAGGGTTCATGGGCTATCGATTGTCAGTGACATCGNNTCCTCGAAGCCTTGGTAGAGCGATACTGACGATTGTGGAGCCCTCCTTAGCAAGACCCTTCTCAAGCTCCTTGACGAACTTGGTGACGATCTTGTCAAGTCTCTCCTTGGGAACAGTGAAGATCTCTTCAAGGTGCTTGATCTGGGCAAGGAGATCCTTGGGCACATCGGCCATGGAACCTGGTCGGTTGTCAAAAATCCCGTGTGTTTCTAGCTCTTGACATAGGTTGACTGACCCTTTNCTGGAAGGGGGTCTGCGAGGACCGAGACCGACCATATCGACGGATGTGTGTTGGGTAGTTTAAGTGGTGGTATATAGAGTAGCAGGTGTCAATGCACGCTGATGGGAACGAGAAATGACAAGATGACTGAGCAAGATGTATGTCAGCGAAGGTCAATGAGATATCCGAGCAACCAAGTGACGAGAAAGTGCGAGAAGAGAAGGTGCCAAGGAGGACAAGTCTGTGCCATGGACTGCACTCTTGAACAAAGAAGAGAGGCAGAGAGTGTGCAGCGGTGAAGCGTGGTGTAACCGGTCCAAAGCGGATACAATGTTGAGGCTTCACTCATCGGCATCCTCAGCGCAGTATGCATGGGTACAGTGTGCGGCGGCTATGGGCAGCGATCGCTTATGGCTGCTGCTATCTTGATGCGCCCCTCACTGGGAGCCCCTCCATTCAACAATGCGTGAACGTGTGGGGAAGCTCGATGATAGAGCGGGCATTGGCCGGCCGGAGTAGAAGGTAGAGGATACCGGGCAGGATACGAAGCGAGAGACAACTTACAGGGACAATGCAATGGAATGTACAACGACAAGGCGCCTGAGGTTTGGTTGAGAAGCTTTTTGTGTAATGGTGGTGCTTGCTCACTCCGCTCTCAGCCCTGACGTTCTCTCAGCTCCGATGCCCGATGGTGGTGACGTAGCCCCGAGGTCGTTCCTTCCCAAAACAAGGTGCACTGCCATTGGCTCATCACCTGAGCTTCTACGCAGTAGCTCCTTCTTCTTCTTCTCTCTCTCCCCTCACACAAACTCATACACAAACAAACCACTCCATACCAGTCCATAACTTCGACCACCGACTCCCAACCACACAGTCAGTTCCACCTCTGCTACCACCACCACTACCAATTCATCATGCTGACCTCCCTCCAGAACACATCATGTCTTCCGCACTCAGAATCGCTCGCGTTGCCCGCCCCCTCGTCGCCAACCCCCAGGTGGCCCGCTTCTCCATTGCTCCCCGTATGATGGCTGCTGGTGATGCCGGTGCTCCCAGATCAGGCGGTTCTGCCTCGAGCGATGCCTTCACAAAGCGCGAGGAAGCCTCAGAGAACCTCTACGTCAAGCGTCACGAGCAGGAGAAGCTTGAGGCCCTGAGACAGAAGGTCAAGCAGGGCGAAGCCCAGCTCGCAAAGGACAAGGCCGACCTCGACAAGGTTGAGAAGAAGTAAATCATACAACATCAACGACCAGAAAATGGCTACGATTCATGCAAGTTCCATCATGCTTGACGGAGGATTCCACTTTACCCTTTCTTGTACCATAACCACTTAATTCAGCGAAGCCTGTTTTCGACCACCCAAACCTATCTTCTATCATTTCCGTAGCTCTCTTGTGCTCGAGCATGTTCTCTGAGTTCTGCCGACATGCCTGCAACTAACCCCAGACTAGCAGAAGAGTGTGTGAGAAAGAGAAGGAAGCTTTCGCAATAACCAGCAAGAAACAATCGAGACTTCTCGCGTGGTATGACAAGAGCTATACGGCCTTCGAGCATGCGAGAGCTGGTATACTAGGTGCACGGACCAGATGGCAGGCACTCAACGCTCNNGCCCCTCCAAGCTGCTGCATCAGCAACCAGCAAGCCAACGAACATACACTGGTCGATATGTCACTCCTCGAATCACCAATGCCGCCACTTGAGACCATCTTCAAGAGCTTCTCCGGCACATGGAAGCTCCGCCGATCGCTTACAAGTGCTCTCCCTGGCTTTCCTTCTGGCACCTTCACTGGCACCGCCACGTTCAAGCCCTACAACGACAGCGCATTCAACGGCAGCTCTGTACTCTACCATGAGACTGGAGAGCTTGTGACAGAGCTTGGCTACAAACTCACGGCCAACCGAAAATACATATACCGTTTCAGTCCCGACGACGAAAAGATCGCAATGTGGTTTGTCAAGGAGCCAGCACCTGATGGCAGCGAGGAGGTCGACTATCTGTTCCACGAATTAGAGTTTTCTTTTCTTGACCAACGCTGGATTGCCAAGGGGGACCACTTGTGCGAAAAAGACATGTACTGGGCCTTCCACGACTTCAGACTTGACGACAACATGAAGAGATGGGGCTTGCGGTACAAGGTCAAGGGTCCCCAGAAAGACTACCTCAGCGACTCTGCCTATGAGCGTGTCGCCTGATTATACCGTCGCTGTACTGGCAGCTTCATTGCATTTGTCTGTGACACCTTGACGTGAATCCATCGCGTAAAAGCTTGCGTTAAACCGACTAGCCGCATGGTGACACATCACATGGCGTGCTTGCCTGTCACAGAGAGGTCGAAAAAACACACTGCGTCGTATATATTGGCAGTCATGCCTTTCCCACAAACATTTCTGTCAGGTCCATCTAACACTTCATACCTCACGATGTCTTCACCACTGGAAAGAGCACTTCTCCGTCTCCAAGTCTTCTCCAAGGGACCTAGTCTTGGTCACTTCCTCAAGCTATATCTCGCTACTCAGGATACGTTAAACTTGAGGCTCACCTCTCATTCATTGTACGGCCTTGCTGAGCTTAAAGAGGTCGCATTTGAGACCCTCTTTATCCACACGCCTGTACCCTCTGGACGCAAGCAGTGCACGGAAGTACTCAAGGACATTGGGTTGTTATGTCGACATGTCGTGGTCAAGATCGCGTACNCCCCAAAGGCATGCTGCTCACCAGGAACACCATTTCTCAGCACAGTCGCATCAATTCCGCGCTCTGGCAGCGGGAGTGATGCAGTATCAGACATCCTCGACTCCTACTGTCCATATGCAGAGCCGCCCATCGCCTGGAAGTTCGTTGTCCAGAGGAAGCCCGGTGACATCGACCAAAACCTGCTTCAACAGTGGTGCGAAATCTTCAAGCTCTTGCCGAACTTGGAAAACCTTCACAGCGCTTGCAATGGTGACCCCGTCTGGCTTGGCTGTACTGATATTGAGTCGGCGCTCATCATGTTGCGCATCACTTTCGAACGTGTCAATCCTGAGCATATCCATACAGTCAGTTTCTCTCCCATCCACGCCATGGGCATCATGCATCTTCGTTGGGCCGGAGCTGGTGCATACGGTGAGGCGTGTGTTTCCAAAAGTCCTGTCTGGTGTAGGCATAGGGTACTGAAGTTAGGGNTCCTTAGTCCTGACAGCGAGTACCGATTGTCCACAGGTCAGAAGCGGCTTTTTGAGAAGATCTTTGCAGATTATCTGCAGAGCTTCAGTCGTTCACTCGTCAAGCTCGATCTCTCGTGGCTCGGTGTGGCAGGCCCGAATCCATCTGTCGTAGGCGAAGACCATCGGACTATGAAAATGACGAAGCATTGGAGCAGACTTGAGGAGCTCCGGCTCATCAACGTGACTTTGAACTGCAGCACCTCGACCATCAAGCAGCTAGCGCCGACCGTTCGGAAGCTCATTGTCAATGTCGGCTCCTCGAATGCTGGGAATCAAATGGTGTCTAATCGTTGGGAGGGTTGTCAAGGTCTTGAGTCCGAAGACCATGATAGTGAGAATGAAAATGGCTGGATGACTTTGCAGAACGTTCGCATCTCAGCAATACCTGAGCCTCTCTTCCAGTATCGTCTTGCATGATTTTGATAGGGTTAGTTGCTAGTTGTATATCAAATCTGATGGTCTACACTGTACTGCATTGTCATGTCTTCAACAAAACATTATGAAGTCCCTATACAATAATCTTTTCGAGTCGAGTCCTTAACAAGCTTCGAAATCTTCTTATCAACGAATGACCAATCTGCATCAATCCAAAGTGCGATCCATAAATCACAAGATCGAACGGGTAAGGCGCAAGTACCCTTCGGAGAATTATCAACTCTATCCCCACCCGAGTCCGGATGTAAGACTACAGAACACAAGCGTCTGCTCAAGTAACGTTCTCGAGGATATCTTGGAGGTGGGCTTGGCACTGAGACGTTTCATACTACAGATTCGCTGCTCTATACTCTGATATCCAAAGCTCTATTTATGTCGTCTACGCAACACGTTCGGACATTTCGAACGCTCAAGATACCGAGCTCAGGGCCACGAAACAGTAAGCATCGCGACGATGTAACACGATCATCGGCAGATGGGTGGGATCAGCTGTGGAGGAGCCGACTCTACCTTTCTCTACTATTAAAGTCAACACTGCTGCCCTTTTCCCGGATGCCTTCTGGTTCCTTTACCGCTTGCTTGACAACTTTCTTCTCAAAGACCCTCATACGAGATGGCTGCACCTAATGGAGGATACTTCATCCAGGATAAACTGTACAAGACAGCTCCCCACCATGAGAGCTACAAGCAGCTCTGGGAGACCAAGTGGAAGAAGCCTGTACGCGTTGAACTACAAGTATACTATACAATCACCAGGCTAACCCATGTAGNNTGCGAAATGGGTGTCTACCCTTTCATGTTTTCTGCAGTTAAGGACTTCGAGCCGATCGTCGAGAAGCTTGTTGCTGTAAGCTCAACCCACGAATAAACATACGACTCTCACTCATGAGAACATCAGGGCGACTACAAAGAGCCATACGATTGGGACGACTATGCTCAGGTTTACTTCCCTAAGGCCGAGGAGCTGGTCTCCGAGGCACAAAAGGCTGAGCAAGAGGGAAACAAGGAGAAGGCTTCTGAACTCTACNTTGTGAGTTTGGGACACAAACAAAAGATACCAATACTGACAAATTATAGGCGGGCAAGTGCTGTCTACCGCATCTCGAGGTTTCCTGCTCCACGCTCAGAGAAGCAAAGATACGCCTGGCAGGAAGGCAAGAAAGCTTGCATCAAGGGTCTAGGGTGTGTTTACTCGTGACGCATTTGGGAAAGAGTATGACTGATAATCAATCACAGGCTTCGCGAACACCCCGTCCAAGAGATCGAAGTACCACACACTCATGGCATTGAAGGAGAAGGCAAGAACATCCCCATCTACCACCTCCTCCCTTCAGACGCCAGCGAATCAAACCCTGCCCCCGTCGTCCTCATCATGACCGGTCTGGACGGCTACCGCACAGAGCTCTCCGTCTGGATGGAAGGATGGCGTCAAAACGGCGTCGGCACCATTGTCGTCGAAATCCCAGGCACCGGCGACTCTCCAGCTCTAGCCTCTGACCCAACATCTCCCGATCGCCAATGGAGCAGTTTGCTAGACTGGATTGACACCCAGCCCGCCATTGCAAAAGACAAAGTCTGTGTATGGGCCTTTTCGACAGGAGGCTATTATGCCATTCGCCTTGCCCACACGCATCCCACTCGTCTTGCTGGCGTAGTCGCACTAGGCGGCGGTGTCCACCACATGTTTGACGAAGAATGGCTCAACAACGTAAACAACCTCGAATACCCCTTCGACCTCGCGACAACCCTCTGCTACAAATACGGCTACGGCAACGACTTTGAGAAGTTCAAGAAAGAAGCANAAAAGTTTTCTTTACTCGAAGATGGCACCTTGGACAAGCCCGACTGCGCAAGACTATTCCTCGTCAATGGTACCGAGGATGAAATCTTCCCTATTGATGACTATTATCTTTGTTTGCTGCATGGGGCACCCAAGGAGGCGAGGTTTATTCCGGGGATCAAGCATATGGGTGAGCCGGAGAGCTTTNTTGTTATCCTTAGGTGGATCTACAAGCTCTTTGGCATCAAGGCCAATCCGGTGGATCAGATGAAGACTATTCCCTTCAAGCCAAAGTATTAGATCGAATATCAATGGAGACTCTCATTTTATGACAACGGATTAGATTTTGAAATGTTCATTTCTCAGTCCACAAGGTGAAGAACCAAGGATGAATGAGTTTCTGTCAAACAAGATGACGATATCAGAACTATAGAACAATATTGACCAGTAAATGCCAAGAATTTTTATCTTGTAACTACATATATTTTCCAGCTCCAAGTTTCCACATCCAGTTTCGAGCTGAAGTGGATAATCGCAGCTGAGTGGCGCAGCGGAAGGTTCGTAACAAATCCGTCACCCAAATTCACCAAACAACATCAACTAACTCATACCAGCGCGCCGGGCTCATAACCCGGAGGACCTTGGATCGAAACCAAGCTTAGCTATCTTTCTTTTGTTTTTGTTTCGGTCTCTGCTTTCCTCCTTCCCTTCTTGCTCAGAGGATGTTGGTTTGGTAGTGACAATTTTTTGTTTACAGTGGGGCAGACTATAGGGCTGAGTCACCGTGGATATAAAACGGTGTTTTTCTGGTTTGCAAAGTGGGTTGTTGGATCGAATCGGTGGGACGGCGGTTCTTTTGGTTCCTTTTTGCTCTTGTTGAGTGTGTGGTTTGTGATATGTGCTTGTAGATTCTCTTTTTGGTGAGAAATAGAAATCATTGATGGAAATTTGTTCCTTCACCCCTGTTTGTGGAGACAAAGTTTGACAAACATGAACAATTTCTGAGGAGTTCTTGTCAAACAGTCTGTTGTCACAAATTCTTGATTCTGTATAGTTATTTGGTAAATATGAACGGGCTACAGAACTTGAGCAATTGAGATGTGCTTGAATTATAGGCAGTGTCAGCGCAACCACACAAAACAGCAGTATTTTAGCCAGTCGATTAGTAGAAATGTTGATGCGGAGCACGGAAGGCTGTCTCTTTGTGATGTTTGGTTATTTCTTATTACTCTACACTCTTGTTTCTGGTCTTCCAGGCTGGACTTCTCATCTACCTTGCATTGTTGTTCTCGCTTGCTCTGCTCTTTCCTTCTTCCCATTTGCATTACTCCTTCTCGCATCACGCCACTCATCCATTTGCATTACTCCTTCTCGCATCACGCCACTCATCCCTTTGCTCTCTCAAAGAAGCAGCAGCAAAAGAACCTCAGTCCTCCAAATACAATCACACTGCACCTCTGATGTCCGGATGATCGAATGGATTCACCACAATCCCTTGAACCCAGCCTTATTGCTCAGATTAGGCTGTGCAGCAACAAACCACTCAACCCCCAGCGCAGCACCTTCAGGTCTAGCTTCCTCGGGCAAGGGAAGTGCCTCCAATCGCTGCGACTCCTCATTGTACTTCAAGCACACTCTCTGTGTGTTAAAGCATCTCTTGCAGCAGAACTCGCCTGATGCATCTACAGTCCACTCTGTCTTTTTCTTGGTCTTCTGGGCGATTTCTCTGACACAGACGTTGGTGTTGGTGGTGAGATGCCAGTGTGCGTCCTTTTCGTCGAAGAAAGTGCGAGTGTTGGCAAAGGTGGTGAGGAGATTCTGCCAGTCTTGTGTGATGAGGAGGTGCTGAGGGGCGTCGCTAGTCAAAGTGCCGTTTTCGTACCAGACACTGTATTCAGTACTCTGAGTATTGTTTACGGTAAGTGTAGGTGAGTTTTGCTGGTGGACTGGCGAAAAGAGGTGCTCAGCAGAGTCGATGGCAGGTACAGGTGAATCTCGCTGCTGAATAGGCGAAGGGATGTCATCTCTCGAGACATGCTTAGGAGAAAGATCTTCGGGGTTCTCTCCTGCAGGAAGATCTTCTGCTGTGCTTTCAGCCAGCCAAACCGAGCCTGTCGAGTCTAGCTCTGCAGCAAGAGGGTCCACAGCCCTGAAAGCCTTGTTTGATGCTTCCAAAGCGTGAATACGTTGTTCAAGCGCATGGTTCTGCTGTTCGAGTGCGTGGTTCTGCCGTGCAAGAGTCTGTGTCTGTTGTTCGAGAGTCTGGACTTGCTTTTTGAGTTGGTTGAGATGAAACTGAGTAGCTGCCCCAAGAGTGCTGACTCTCTGATGGAGGAACCCGCACTCTTGTCTCAATGAGCGTTCAGGTGGTGCCATGATTTCGGTAGCTGTTGTAGATGATTAGACAGAACGAGAAGAGATTATGGCAGTCTGGCATACTTGGTAGATCTGCTCTTGTACAAAAAAATTGGTAGAGATGAGTGTGGTGACAGCGTGGTTGCGGACACAGACAGTGATTGCGTAATGCGAGAGTGAAGGTGTCTGTGGTTTGTCGTCGTAGGCAGCAATTCCAGCGACGCCAGATCAAGATAGGTGGTCAGGGAGTATCTGGTCGGGATGGCGACCAACGCGATGTCGATACACAACGACCCGGGGTACGTGAGAAGACAAAGAATGAAAAGGACTGAATTATCTTTCATGCATACCTCTGACTGATGGCTTGCAATCGTATACCTCCAAACTAATCTAACAACAAGACGCCAGTCAAATGCTTTGTCGTACAAAAACATGGACATCAAACAACCATATGTGCTGCAAACAGTGATGCACAGACTGTTGCAACACATCTGGAGCTGCCTGCCCAAAGAAGAGAAAGAACTCCTGATTAAAACTTGTGTGCGGCGCAAACTCTCGCCCACCGAACGGACTGCCATTCTTCTAGACATTAAAAACACAATCAACCCGGTCTTCTATGCATCGGGTTGAGCGGATTTTGCACAGGCTGTCCCATTGGTACGCCTGGTCCCATATGTGGCGGCATATGCTGGGGCGGACCGAACATTTGCTGTCTCTTGACATCGCCTCCAACATCACCAGGCCCGCCCGAAATGTCAGATATTTGGCGTCTGTGTGGGCCACCTGGTTGTGGCCCAAGACCTGGCGGCATACCACGGGGCGAACCACCGTACCCGACTTGTGAAGGTATGCCTGGTGGAGGCATGCCAACTTGCACGTGGTATGGGGCTGACGGGTGACCGGAGACTCCCATATTATAATCGTTTCCAGCGGCGTCGCTGGCCGCTGGGGACATGCCTAGACCGGTTCCAGGTGATGTCCAGTTGCTGATAGTAGCTGGCGAGGTAGCAGGTGACTCTTCAGCTTTCAGTGCGTTTTTNGCGGCGACTTGAACAAGAGGTGGNGGTGGTCCTGATACTCCATCAATCGCGGAGGGCGACTTCTTGAGGTGACCAAGGTGTTTCTCCAGCATGCTCAATAATCCTTCCTTTGTGAAAGGTTTGGGAAGCACATCGTTCATGCCTGCAGCAGAATTAGCCCAAATCCATCGAAAAGCCTTTTAAGAGTACATACCGTGCTGGAAGTACATTGCGATATCGTCACTACGGATGTTTGAGGTCATGGCGATGATTGGTGTGTTGTCGAACTGTCTGATCAGATGGCAAGCGGAAACACCGTCAAGGTTGGGCATGATGATGTCCATCAGCACGAGATCGTACTTTGCGCCGGCGTTCATCTTGTTGACTGCTTCCAAGCCATCAAGNCTAGACAAGAGTCAGCAAAGGGATGCACAAGACAAATGCATTCTCAAACTTACAGCACTGTCGACAGCGCAGTGGAAAGCGTACAAAAACTTGCCGCCTATCCGCCTGCAAGTCTGGTCATCTTCAACCAGTAGCACTTGAGGCTGTCTAGCCCAACCAGGGTCATATTGCATGCTCTTCTTCCTGCCGTCGGCTGCGGGCGGTGCAGGTGCGGGTTCGGGGGCCTTTGTCGGCATTGCATAGGGAATGTTGTGAATGTGCTCGCTGAACATGGGATCGATGCCATTTGTTTGGCCGACAGGGTATACGAGGTTGTCGAGTTCACCATAAGACATGGATGTAGACGATGCAGCAGACTGGGGACCGTTGTGGCCGCCTCTGGCTATCCTAGCGCCGGTTCGCAGAGCCAGATCCGGAGGAGGTGTAGTAAGAGCCGGGTTCATCCTCAACGACATTTCATTCATGTGTTCGAGGTTACGCGTATTCAGGATATGGTCGGCATTGGTTTCTGAGAGTAGTTTTGCGGCGTGTTGCAGTGGTGATGCCGGCTCATCCTCTGGAATAGGCGCAGGGGGGAGTTGCTTGCCATTGGCAGCACCGGTAGCTGGTGGCGCAAAGGGATTGGCGACACGACTTTCTCTTCGTCGTTGGCCATCGACCGACTGCAGGAAATTCATGACATATTGCATAACGTGCTCATGGTTGACGACTGTCTTCTGGACACCAATCAGTTCCTGGAGGAGCATCGAGTGGTGCATGCTGAGTTCGTTGTAGCGCTCTTGCAACTGTTGCAATTGCTGCTGCGTCGCGACGAGTTGTGTGTTGAAAAGATCCATCTGCTGAGTGGGCATCATATCGTCCATCATGGCATTGGGCTTGCGCGGCGCAGGCGCCTTTCTTCGGATGTTGTCCAGGGCATCTTTGTTGTTGGCCTTGAAGTCAGGGTGCTTGAATTCCCACGCCTATCGATCTGTCAGTCCTTCGATCCTCTTTCGCTGTGATGGATTCAGGGAGGAGCGACGTACACCAGCGCCGTAGGGAGACACGCCGCCCTCTTCATTGTTATGCCGGACTTTGTGAAAGTCGTATTTGTTGAGTTGACGCACGAAACTGGCAAAGTTGCTGTGTTTGAAGTGCTTGGGCAGGATGTGCTTTGTGAATTTCTCGTTNCTGCAGGCCGTTTGATTAGCAAAGCCTCGGTGTGTTGATGAAGTCGGCATGCGCACCTCGAGGACGACAAAACTGTCGCCTTCGTTGCCCCATCGTACTACGCTCTCGTCCTGTGGGCTCTCCAACATCCTATCACGAGCCAATTAGATGATGCCATGCGAAATGAACGCGCTCGCGCGCAGCCGATGACCTACTTGTACAACTTGCGAACCTGCCAACACAGAAAAACAGACGTTAGCCATTGTAGCGAAGCGATTGCGGCTTTGTCCTTTAGACAAGAGCGTGCTCAACTTACAAAGTCGCTTGACGTGTTTCCACCTCCCTGATTGTTGTCCATGGTTGCGATGGGTGTGCTGCGAACGATGACGTATTCTGTCTAGTTTATGCGACGCGCAAAGAATTTGCAGGGGTCGAGATGGCCGTCTTTACAATGTAGGCGGCTCTGTCGAGATGGAAGCGGGGTTGGGGTGCGAGCGATTGGGTAAATGCCGAGATGGGTGATGTAACAGGCTGACGCCGAGTAGAATACAGGAGGGCGAGAGAGGGCTCGTGAGCGACGGCGCTGGCTGAGGCCTTCGGCGGTGGGCGTGCGAAAGAGGGCGCCGAGGGCAGTCGATGTTGCGAGCGCGAGGAGTCGGCAGGGCCAAAGTTCAGCAAGATCGAAGGAAGAAAGCTCGAAAAGCAGGGTGCAAGTGTCGAGGCCAGAAACCCGAGGCTCTGTGCAAAAGGACGCCGGGCTTAGCGTGTGCTAGAGTGGATCGGCCCTCCTTGTCTATCGCTCGAGTCGCAGGAGAAAAAGAAAACAATAATTGCGCCTTGGCCGTGCTTGAATACGTCGATAGCAGAGTCAAGATCGGCGCCCCCATTACTGGTACAAAGCTTCCGTTGCCGATGTGGAATGCACTCCCTTCGACCACCACGACCACATCCACATGTCCGCGGCCGTATACCACGCTGTTCCCGCCGAGTGCCGTCTTCGCACGAGCGCCCACATCCCGTCGAAAACATCGTGACGTGTGTTCCACTTCTGCAGGACAAAGGAGAGCTGACAACTCTTACGGTTAAGCTTGGATCTAATAGTCGAGATGGCGTCAACGGCTCCGCTAATGCTGCCTCTCTCAAGCCATCCGGGTCAAAAGGCTGAACGCATCGTGGGCCTCCAATAATTCCAAAACTGTTTGGAAATTGAAACTCGTAGTAAACGTCCTGCTACAGCTTGGGTGGCAGTGTTGAGAAGTGATCCTGAAGGAGTAGAGGGCGGCCTCTGCCATAGTTCCGTACAGCAGTCTGTGATGTTTCAAGGACATCAAGTACATGCGATGCACTTTAATCTGGTTAATCTTCACCGTCTGTATGCAGCCTGTCAGGTGGATGGAAGTGATCGTGTAACCAGTCGTTTGGTAGAGAAGCACCAATCAAATGTTGCGAACAAAAGCTTGGTTGTTATCTCCAGCTTAAGCTCAGGCTCGATATTCTGGCCTCTTCCAAATCACCCACCTACCCCTCATCTGCTATTCGTTGACGGTCAATTAAAGAAACACCTTTCCCCAGCTCGCAACCATGTTCACCGCTCGCGCAAGAACCGCTCTCTCCTCGACCCTCCGCTCGTCCCGCACCCCTCTCGTCAACCGTTCGTTCCACGCTTCTGCTCCCATCATGGTCAAGGTCGGCGACTCTATTCCGGACATTGAGTTGATGGAGGACTCTCCGGCAACAAGGTCTCCATCCCTAAGCTCCTCAAGGGCAAGGGTCTCATCATTGGTGTCCCTGCTGCCTTCAGTAAGACTGCTCTCTTCTTCTAGTCTATCGTCTGCTTCACCAGTACCCCCTGCGCCCCGGAGCCTCATGCATTCTCGATGCCCGCACCGAGTCTAGTGCTAGGTCAATCGCTGGCAACCTCACGGCGTTGTTCTCCGAACGACTTGCGAGCCCGCTAGCCCGCTGCCGCCAATGCATTTTCGTGTTTCAATCTCCACCAAACTCCGAGTTCCAATCCTTGAGCTGCTTCTTGTCGCTTGAAGAATGATAGTGTGTGAAAACCGAAGAAGGGAGATCCGGCTAACATTCCTGCTCCTTACAGGCCCCTCATGCTCCGAGTCCCACATTCCCGGTTACATCAACTACCAGAACCTCAAGGATGCTGGTGATGTCTTCGTCGTTTCCGTCAACGACCCCTTCGTGTAAGAGCTGGCAATGCTGCAAGACCGTTTTGAGACCAAAACACTAACTCACAATCTAGCATGAAGGCATGGGCTCACGATCTTGACGCTGACAAGAAGAGCGGCGTAAGTGGCTATATTCTGTGACTGCTGAATTGACCATGCTAAATCATCAATTGTCAGATTCGCTTCCTTGCCGACCCTGACTGCAAGTTCACCAAGGCTCTCGACCTCGACTTCGATGCCACTCCCGTCCTCGGCAACCACCGCAGCAAGCGCTACGCCCTGGTCATTGAGGACGGCAAGGTCAAGGAGGCCCACGTCGAGCCCGACAACACCGGCATGAGTGGTGAGTCTTTGCAAATCCTCAGCCGAAACACATCACTAATTTCGTTCTAGTTTCGGTCGTCGACAAGGTCCTCGGTTAGACGTCCATATTCTGCCCTCTATACCATGTATGCGAATACGCAAGGGCCATGTAGTAATGAAAAACATTTACACTATACTTATCACTATTCATCCTTATTTTGATCAGCTAACGAGAAGGCATCTCTCCATCTGTATCTGGAACATACGCCAGTCACTCCGTCTGACAACGATATGAAATCTCGCCGATCCCGACTTGTCAAAACTCCATGAATGGTTCCGAACTTGTGCGATCTCTTCTGTCTGACGGATGCTGCCTCCTCAAATAACTGTTAACTGATGCTGATTGTAAGGTGGTTTGCCGATGGAAGACTCAGGCTTCAAGACGACAACATCGGATATACAATCACGAAACGAGACAAACGACATGCCGATACCAACTGAGCCTTTATACGACGAGACCATATCTCGCCCTCAGACTCGTGTCACAAAGTATGGCGTTTTGCTATGGAAGGAGACGAAACCTGACTGCCTCAGGTGTTGAAGCCATCCGAGCGTCGAAACAGCCTCATTCAGCCTCTCTCCACCACAAGTCTAGCCACTATCTCCTGCTGCCGCCTACGCTTCACCCACAACCACTGTATTCCGAGAATTTTGATTTTCCAGCGAGTAACCATGGTAGTGCAGTTGGGAGCACACCTGTAATGTCCTTGGCAATTCAGGAGGTCACGGGTTCAAATCCCACTCATGGTCCTGGACCTTGACCTGGGCTGCGTAACGTAGCTTGGGTCAAGTACCCTTTTGCTCCATGCGTGAACGAAATATCATGGCCTGCTTGTCGACATCGTTGTACTCTGGCGATACAAATGGCCGTTCTCTGCCTTCCTATTTTGAGGCAGAGGGTTTCTCTTCCTGGAGTCTCCGTATAACTTGTCTTGATGGTGAACAACAAACCGACCGTTTCCCGGATTCAAGGTGATTCTTTTTACATCGATGGTTCTTGAACTCACGATGGCATGTGTCCTTGATAAAAACTATGTTCGTGTACACACTCATGGTCTTTAGATCACCCCATCTTGTCGATTCTGGCTTTGAGCCTTTCTGATTATTGTCCCTACGATTCTCTATCCTATTCTTTGCTCACCGATGGTTCTCTATATCCCCTAGTTTGCTGTATTCTATTATGCTAGGTGACGTCAGATTATCAACATGACGTCCATCTGTAAATATACCATGTAGCATGCTCTACTTTCAAGACAGCTTCTTTCTATATCTGTGCAGTCAAAGTCGACGTATCAAATCCTTGATATCAGCAAACACCATGCCTTCCCAAAGACAAGCCATCCATGCTGCCTCGGCACCAAAGCCTAATGGCAATTATTCGCATGTAGTGCGTGAGGGCAATACCCTACACGTTGGTAAGTGCACACTTGGAGCCCCCAATCCAATCATACCCCTTGTACTAACACCTCCAACCCAGNCTGGCTGGATGGGCGACGACCCCTCAACAGGAACCATCGTCTCGGGCGGTATATCCGCTCAAACCGTACCTTTCCTCTCGCCTCCCTCTCGACTCCTCTAACATCTCCCCCAGCATCAAGCAATCGCCAACATCAAATCATGTCTGGAAGCCGCAAACTCTTCCTTAGACAAGGTTGTGCGACGCAGAATCTACATCATGGACATGAAGGATTTTAGAGAGGTGGATAGGATATGGGCAGAATACTTTGAAGAGCCGTTTCCTGTGAGCACGTGTGTGCAGGTTAGTGGGTTGGCCAAGGAGGGTGCGTTGGTTGAGTTGGAGGTTGTTGCTGAGGTTTGATGAGGAGAGAGAAGGGAAAAAGGATTGGCGTGAAGTAGGCATGATTTTACGAGTTCTTTTAGTCTATGTGACATGACATTAGTTGGGCTGGACAGGGCATTCTCGTAGTCACGACACAATATTGGGAACGTAAAGATGCTACAGCGGACGTCGTCTCTGCTGGAAAGTTTTGATGTTTGGTTTATCTGTGCTGAACAACTTCTACAATGTCTTTGTAAGCAGCAAGGAAATGCAATGCAAGCCAAGAGGCAACATGACCATCTCTGCATGTTCCTCCTTTCGCCTCGAGCAAGTCAGGCTTTCTCTGTGTGGGCCCCAAGGAAAGACGTGTTCATGTCTGCGAAAGAGAAGTAGTATCGCAAAGAAGAGACTACTCCTGATGATCAAATCAAGCTTAGCAGAACAGGGTGTTGTTGGCAGCCATACCCAGGAGACCAAGGTCGCCGTGCTGGATACTCTCACACAGCCAAGCCCGCTTCTCATCATTGTTGATAGCATTGACAGCGAGCGAAAGTTGACGGGCGAAGATGCTAGTTGAAATGGTAGTCATGATAAACTGGGGATAGCCCTGGGTCATGAGGGGTGCATCGTGGTCAACACAGAGATGGTTGCGGACAACGGCCGAGTTGATGCCCATCTGGAGCTGGGCCTGAGACATGTATTGGTACTGCTCGCACATGACCCAACGCTCAGTAGGGGTAGAGGCACTGAAGCTGTACAGATCGGCGAAGAGGATGGAGGCCATGTCGTAGATGTAGTTGTCAGCGACGATGAGAACCTCGTGCGAAGGGTCGACCCAGGCGGTAGCGTAAGGACGGTTAGCGCAGAATGCCTGGCCGATGCGACCAGAGTTGAGGGCCAGGTCATCGTTGATGGCGGTGTAGTTGAAGTTCTGGCACAACCAGTTGTAGCTGGGCTCAGGGTCATCGCCAAAGGCATGAAGGAGCTGAGCAATGAACATGTCGGTAGCAGCAAGCTTGATCTGGNNATTGAGTGCAAGAGCAGAGGAGTTGGACACTCTGGCGGTAGCGACACAGAAAGCCTCTNNTTGAATGTCCATCAGTGCTGTTTGAGACAGATGCTTGTAGATGATTTACTTACGCTGAATGACGGCGAGTTTGAGACCGAGGGCAGCCCAATGACCGTGACCGAAGGAGGTGATGTTTTGACAGCCCTGATCAACAGGAGCCAGACTCTGTAGAGAGCCGGCGACCTGCCAGCCCAGCATAGAGGAGGCATTGCCCATGATCTGCGAGTGGGCGCTGGCTAAAGATTGTTAGCATCGTATGGTTGATGTGAGTCGAGCCGGCATACCAAGGGCCTTCTCGCTCAAGGCAGCACCATGGGCGAGGCCAGCAACAAGGCAAGCAGTAGCGACAGTGATAAACTTCATGTTGATTTCTGATTCTTTTGATGTAGAAGATGGGTAAAGGAGTGTGTGGTGGTGGAGAGAGAAAAGAGAGAAGAAAGAGTGTGTGCGTGGTGTGGTGGTTGTTCGCGCGTCTGTTTTGAATCAAAAGTGAAGCAGCTTGGATGTCAGTCGCGCCTTCCCAAGATGATTTGTGGTGAAGCTGGCAACTACTGAATGTGACTGAACGCTTCCCGGAAGCTTTGCTCACTGCAGATACGTTCGTGGGTGCATACATCAGTATCTCTTTAGATAGACGATGTGGAGAGAGCCAACCTGTGTACCGAGCCAACATTCTTTTGAAGCCGTATATCATGCCCAAGAATTCGATGTGCAAGACTTCATAGGTCATCCAAACCTTCCAGTATTTGCAACATGCCACAGAATATCCTTCGGTTAGCATAGTCTGAGTAGGCCGATTCTGTAGATACGAAGAGAAGAGAATCAAAATCTTCTGTCGTTATAGGAAACAATAGAGACGACCAACAGGAAGGACGGCCGCTCGTATGTTCTTCAGATTCAAGATCAACTTTTCCAAAGACGTGGTGCATTTGTTGAAAGAAAACACAGGCTTGACATTACAACGCCTTGGGAATCAAAATAACGGTAGAAACATACTGTACATTCTAAGAGCATCTAGTCGAGAGCACCATCGGTTCTGAGCTTCTCGTTGCCCCACATCTCGCTGTTCAAACTGGTCAAGCCCTGGGCAGGCTCACAAGACTCGCGGCCACTGAGAGGACCAGGGGTAGGGAGCTTGACACCCTGTGCAGCGTAGCCTCTTCCTTGCTCAGAGATTGTGGTGCCTGAACCTCCAGCTCCCTCGGCCTTTCCAGCCTCGCCAGCAAGACCGGAAGCCTGTCCACTTGCGCCGGCCTTCTGTGCAGCTTCCCTAAGAGCCTTGAGCAGCGATTTTGTCGTCTCAGGAGTCAGGTCCTCGTAGTAGTCGTCGTTGATCTGGACCATAGGGGCGTTGGCGCATGCACCCAGACATTCAACTTCGGTGAAGGTGAAAAGCTTGTCCTCTGTGGTCTCGCCGTGGTGAATCTTGAGCTCCTCCTCAATAGCCTTCATGACACCGTCGGATCCTCTGAGTTGGCAGGGGGTNCTATTGTATGTTAGTTTCGCGACTTGCCGGAGGTCTCAATCTGGTAGACATACGGTGGTGCAGCATTGAACGTGGTAACGACCAACGGGCTCTCTGTTGTACATGGTGTAGAAAGTGGCAACCTCGTAGACACGCATGGGNGGCATTTCCAGTCTGCGGGCGACCTCGTTCATGACGCTGATGCTGCAGAAACCGTGTTGGCGCTGGCCGAGATCGAGCAAGGGCATGACGGCAGCCTTCTTGTATTGCGTAGGGTATCGGCTGAGGACTTCCTCAATGAGCTTCTCGTTTTGGGCGTTGAACTTGAAGGGGACATCGAGGTTGTTCTCTGGTGAGTCGCGGTGCTGATGAGATGCGGTTAGAGGGTGCTAGACGATCCGAGAGGCGAGTGAACATACGACGAAGAGCGAGTCGCTACGGGAAACGGAAGAGACGGCGAAGGAGCGGCGGGGTTGTTGTCTGGCGAGGACGCGCAGAGCTCTGCTGCTGCTTCTGAAGGCCATGGGGGCGAGCTTGGAGGCCATTGTGTCGGGAGAGAGTTGTGGTATGTGAATTGGGTCGAGATGCGATCTCCAGGTCCAAGTCGTCAAGAGTCCAACTTCGACTTCGATCCGCCGCCCGCGTCGAGGTCAGCGTCGCTCGGCCAATCAGACGTCGCCGTTCCACGTGATGCTTACCAAAGAAGCTATTCCCATTGACATTCGACGATGCTCGATCTTTATATCTACAAGAATTGCAATTCCTGGTCCTCGGACCACAGAAGGCTCGTTCTATATGCTCAGCTTCGAGAAGTACTCAGCCGCTATGAACCAAGTTTTTGAAGCACAGCGATGGGCGATGCTGGCAGCCCAGAGTCGCAAGAAAATGTAGAACTTTTACATATAATTGTACAAAAGTTGATGATTCAGGCACCTCTATCGGCCTAGAGCACCTCTCGGTTGCAGAATCTCGGGATGCCTGTGCACACTAGGCATCAGACCGAGGCCGATTGCTCTTCTGACTGCCTTGGCCACCTTCCTTTGGTTGACCGGTCTCAATCCTGTGTCCTTGGAGTGCTTGATCTTGCCCATCTCGGTCATGAATTCAGACATCATGGAAAAGTTCTGCAACAGGTCAGCAAGAGATTGGGGTTATCCGGGGTGAATAAGCCATACCCAATAGTGGTTCAACGGGTTGATCTTCAACATATCGAAGACATCCTTCTTCGGCCTGCCCTTTGGTTGGCCCTTCTGCCACTTGGCCATCTCGACACCGCTCAGATCGTGAGGGGCATAGACATCTCCGTCCTTCCACTTGCGTGTCATCTGTCTCTCAAAGTCGACAGTCTCCTGTACGGCAGTCATTGTGGCCTCGTCCTGTCTGTTTCTTCTAGGATCCCTTGCGGTTTGCTCCAAAAGCTTGTGAGGGTCGTTCCTGGCAAGACCGGAATCCTGTGAGTTGTATGGCATGGTGCGTGTGGTTGTTCTTGGGGGAGCTCTTGGGCGGGCTCTGTCGCTTGTGGCTTTGAGTGACTCCAGCAGACCTGGAACAGGTCAGAGAAGGCAGACTACGTGAGTCGTATTGCGGTAGTTACCTCCGAAGACATCAGATCGCTTGGGCTCGTCGGCGCGTGGTGTCGACGAGGCGAATGTGCGCACACAGGAGGAGGATGAAGAGCCAGCACGAGTAGCGACTCGTGAAAAGGGGCGCATGACAGACATGATGCGATGATGTGGAAGGGTGAATACGTCGTCGTCGACTCGTTGCAATGCTTCGGGGGTCTATGGTTGGCCGCAATTGAAGGTCGTCCGGGAAAAACCGAAGACTTTCGCAGGCTGACAGTCCGACGTGGAGAGAGCAGCAACTCGACCCGCGCGACAGCTACGATTTATCCTATGTCATCGAATATCGCGCCCTAACACTCTATTGCACCTTGACCTGGACTTTCTTTCTTGTACACTCTTTTCCTGCTTCTCTCTTCACAACTGCGACGTCCAATTCGAGCGCCGGCATGCGCTCTCACCTCAGTCGCGTCGTCTTTCGCAAACTGCTGGCCAGCGAACCCATAGCACACCGCGGTTGTCTTCGTCCGTACCAACACATATCGTCATGTCCGCCTCACATCCAAGCTCTCCCGAGGGCCCAACGCCGCTCCTTCATGAACATCTTCAAGAAACCACAGCGTGTGACTTCAGAACCGAGGATGGCCCCCGGCCTGGAAAAGATGATGGAATACTCCAAAATGGAAAGACTCAGTGCCAGGCTGCCACCACCCAACGACGTCCTTAAAGCCGTCACCGACTATCTATTCTCGAAATGGGATAAGACTACCGGCAACAAAGACATCCCCGACGTCCAGGCCCAACATCTTCTTCGTTGTCTGAAATACCTGAATCAACACCCTGGTCTGTCAACCCTTGAACCCGACATGCTCCGCCGATGGATATTAGTGTTCGACCATCGCTTTCATAAAAATTCTGCCATCCATCGAGAGATCATCGATCTTCTATACTGTGCACTCTGTCAGAACAGATCGCAACAAGGCAAGCTCTTGCGGCCAATAGAGTTCACGAGTTATGTCAGAGCCATGTGTGCTACAGGAGGCACAGTGTCAGCTAGGGAAGAAGCCATAAAATACAGCGAGACGCACGCCGACAGGGTAGAAGGCTACAGGCCCTTATTCGTGTGGGAATTCATCATCAAGGGCTTCGCGAGAGAAGCAAATGAACAGGAGCTTCTTCGTACGTTTGAACACATGAAAAAGTATGTCGCCGAAGGGTCTAGACAGTCTGCCGTTGAAGTGGTAGCAAGGTTCTATCTCAACGAAGGAAACATTGAGAAAGCAACCGAATGGTACAACAGAACCAAGGAACATGTTGTCGATCAGGGAGGGTTCCAGCGTTTGCAAAGGAGACTGCTTGATCTGAGCATGCATACATCGAACGCGAAGCTTGGGCAGCTCATCATTCGAGACATAACAGCAGGAACACCAACAAAATATCAGTGGGATATGATATTGGAATGGGCTGCAGCGACAGGAAAGGGAGCTGACGAAATCGACCGCATGATTGGTGTTATGGAACGGGCTAACCAATCCCTTGCCGAAGAGGAAAGGCGACTCCCCGACACATCGACCTTGAACAGATTAGTCAAGGTAGCTGTTGATCGCAAGGATCCATATCTCGCTGAACGCCTCATTGCCGTAGGCCGGACAAGGAACATTCATCCGGATGCACTGACACTCATCTACCAAATGCAGTACCGTCTCGCTGTCAAGGACGTAGATGGTGCTTTGACTGTGTACAAGCACTTGCAATCCCATGACCTTTCGAAGAATGAAGACATTCCTGTTGTCAATGAGCTCATTCGGACTATGTGCGCATCTGGACGACAGGACTTCGACAGCATCATGAACGTGGCAGCTGATCTGTCAGATCGACAGGCATCTTTCGATCCTGAGACCGTGTCCGCATTGTCGGTGTTGCATCTTTCTCGTGACGAGGTACACGACGTAATTGATCTCATTAACACTCACGTCTACAGCTTTGACATGGCTGGACGTGCATCTGTACAGAGCACCCTGATCGATTACTGTCTCAGGCCTTCGACAACGACAGCTCAGGCATGGGATACCTACATCATCTTGAAGCAGGTCTTCGACGACACTACTCGGGAGCAACGTGTCAAAATCATGAACGATTTCTTCAGACGCCAGCGTCCAGATATGGCAGTGCACGTCTTTAACCACATGCGAGCACACACTCGTCAGGATACCATCCCTACGGTCGATACGTATGTGGCATGTCTGTCCGGAATTGGTAAATTGAAGGACGAAGAAAGCCTCGAAGTCGTCTACAATCAGCTCAAACTGGACTTCAACATCGAACCGAACACACTTCTCTATAATGCTTTGATGAAAGCATACACGAGTTGCGAGGCTCCCAGAACAGCATTGGGCTTCTGGGACGACATTGCAACAAGTCTTGAGGGCCCCAATATCAACAGCATTCACCTTGTAATGAGAGCATGCGAAGACGCGCCATGGGGCGACGAAAAGGCACGCAAGATATGGATAAAGCTAAGCCGCACTGGCATCGAGCTCGATCAAGATCTTTGGGCCAGCTATGCCGCAGCTTTGATAGGCAACGGACACGTAGACAACGCTATCAGTTCGTTAGAAGAAGCACATGTCAAACAAGGACTCGACATGGATACTCTTGTGTAAGTTTTGACATTGCAGAGACTCCAAGAGCAAGAACTAACACATGGATAGGNNATCGGATCGCTGTATAATGCTGCTCCAGGGCAAGTCAAGAAGGGTGTGGTAGAGGCTTGGGCAAAGGAGAGATATCCAGAGATCTGGGCCGCATTGGAAGATATAGGCACACGCGTCTCAGAGCAGACCCAGCTCCCAGAGTTCAAGATCAAGCCATAGACTCGACCCAGAGCATGGCTACTGTATATATATGTACATCTACGAAGAACGAATCACGGAATAGACTTGGCGCGTCACATGTTCTGAATGCAAGTCGACGAGATGGAAAGAGCGGGGCTGATTCAGGCTTCGGCTTTGACAGGAAGTCCTGACGATCTTTCTTTCGGTGGCTTGGATTTCCATGAGACGAGCTTGTTTCCGTCAAACCTTGTAGTGTTTGGGCAGCAACAAAGTGAAGACCAAAGAAGTGATTTGATCCTATTGTGTGCCTGCTTGATTTGTCGGTGCACGCGGAAACGCACGTCACCGCTCTCGAGTGAAGGAAGGAACAAGTGTGCAGCAGGAAGGAGGGCTGGGTGATCACCAGCCACCACGGTCGGCAGTCTCTTGGTTGCAGCAGATTGCATCCGTCTGCGCCTTGTTGCCTGGCTCTGCGCAATCTCACCATTTTACCTGCTTAGCCTCAGTCACATCCGCTGCTGTTTCAGTCATTTGCAACCGCCTGTCGACCTGTTTCCCCACGCACTCTCCACTCGGCCATCTGCTCCACCCGTTTTGTCGTCCGCGGATCCTAACGGCCAGTACCAAACTGCCGTCACTGGTCCCGCGCCGTCATCATGTCTGTCGTCTACAAAGATCGCGACGAACCGCGCACTTACACGACCGTCCGCCGCTATCGAGTACCCGACCGAGCATTCGAGGAGGAAGACAGCTACGAGAAACAGATAGTCATCAAGCGCGACCGCGAACAGNGCCCCCGATATGACCGCGATCTGGAATACCGCACCCGTGAGCGAGATGCTCCAAGGGAAGTCATCCGCTACGAAAGAAATGTCGAGCGTGCGCCTTCTNCCCCTGATCGACTCCGCGAGTTCCGCTTCGAACGAGAAATAGAGCGGGAACCACCTCGCCACGATCAATGGGATCTGGAGAGGTACACTCGCTCCACAGAGTACTATCAACCCCAGCCCATCATCATACGCCAACAACCACGACCAATCATTATCAAGGACGCCCCTCGACAGCCCGTCGTCCTTCAGCGAGAGGAACCCCACTACGAACTCGTCGAGCGTGACGATGCGCAGAGAAGGAGGGATGACGATGATTACTACTACGAGCGGACCACTCGCGAGGTTGATNCGAGTCCGCGTCGTGGAGGCGGTGGTGAGGACTTCTATGACGACCGTGATTATAGACGCGATGTTGACCCCCGGGATTCAGCGTCCAACTACGCCGACGATCGCTACAGCAGCGACGAGGATATTGTCATCACTCGCACAGAACGAAACGGCGGCTCGCGCGACCACTCACCACATCACCGCCGCCATCTAGCCGAAGGTGCCATAGCCGGTCTTGGAGCTGCAGAAATCCTTCGCCATCATCGTCGGAAACAGGGAGAGGAAGGCGGTCATCGTGGCCGCCAGCTTCTGGGCGGCGCTGCACTGGGTGCTGTTGGTGCTGAAGCCCTGAGCCGTGCTCGAAGCCATATGCGAAGCTCCCGCTCAAGGTCGGTTTCAAGTGATCGCTCAAAACGTTCCAGCCGACGTGAAAGACGCCGCCGTCACCGCAGCAAGAGCAGAAGTAGGAGTCGTTCTCGCGCACGTACTTTGGCCAAAGTCGGTACAGTTGCTGCTGTTGGTGCTCTCGCAGCATACGCTCTTCGCAACAGAGGCAACAAGGAAACGGTGATCGTTAACAATGAACTCCCACCACCACGACGCAGCAGGTCTAGAAGACGTCGTTCCTCTGTTGGCAGTATTCCTCCTGCACTCGACGCCCGAAACAGAAGCAGGAGCGAAAGCAAGCATCGCGATCCTGAACATCGCAATCGTCGCATTGCCCAGGCTGGCCTTGCAACCGCCGCAGCTGCTGGTATCTTGGATCGCGTGCGCAGTCGTTCGAGAGGTGGCAAGAAGTCTCGGTCGAAAAGCAGAGTTCGTACTGGTGCGCCGATTGCTGCAGCTGGACTGGGTGGTGCTGCTCTTGCAGGCTTGTATGAGCGAAGTAAGGCTCGCAAAGAAGCTGCCAGAGACGACGCATCCGAACCCGGACGTCCTCGGTCCAGGTCTCGTAGCAGATCTGTCCCTTACCATGATGATGAGCCTCGCTTGCGCAGAGCTTCGAGTGATCCCGCGCTTATAGAATACGGCGACGATCCGATCTACCCGAACCGACGTTACGAGGAACCACCAGCAGAGTATCGTCGTAGGCGCAGAGGTAGTTCCGCCTCGTTGAGCCCCGACAGACGCAGACATGACAGATCGAGTCGCTCAAGGTCGAGAAGTCGAAGCAGAACTAGAGGTTTGGCTGAGGGTGCTGCCGCCGCGGGCGTTGCTGCTGTAGCTGCACACGAGTTGGGCAAACGGGATGAGCGTAGGAGGTCAGACCGTGAGCGGGACCGGGACCGCAGACGTGAGTTTTCCGAATCTGAGACGTGTTTGGTGATTTTCTAACATCATACTGTAGGCCGTGAGGAAGAGGACGACATGTATGCACATGACAGACCATACTCTCCACCACCCATGGGTGCCAACGCCGCCTACCCTCCAACACCACAGAGCCATGAGTTTTACCCTGCCACCAACTCTNTTCCCGCCTCCACCAACCGATAACTACGGACATCAGCCAGACTACCCTCAGCACGAANNTATGCTCCCTATAATCCTGCCGATTTTCCCCCGCCTCCAGGAGCAGCCGGTGCTCCTCGTGGCCAGCACGACGAGCGTTATCCTAGTCCAGATCCCAACCTGGGCTATCCTCATGCTAATGAGACCTTTGCTGGTGACTCGCGCTACACTGGCGACAATCGCGGCAGGCTGGGTCCAGAACATGTGAGTTACACTCCTTCCGGCACAACATCTGATCCACACGATTCTTCTGGTGGGTGGTTCGGTTCGGTTACTAGTTCTCATGTTTGAACTGAAGCTGACATTGGATGCANNGATGGTGTAAACAAGAAGAGTGTGCAGTTCAATGTACCGCCTAGCGAAGGTATGAGTTCGCCAGATGCACAGAAGAAACCCAACCCTCGAGATGCAGATCAAGATGTGGACTATTCGGAGAACGACGGACACGACGACAGAATCAGGACGAGAAGCGAATTGAGCAGCGACGGCACTACAGAAACAGAGCACAAGCGCAGAAGACGTAGACGCCATCGCTACCACGACGAAGACATTGACGAACACGAACGTGACAATGATCACATTAATACCCAGCATCGCCGTCGCAGACGCCACAGATCCCGCGACCCTTCACAACAACGACGCACAGGCTCGCCAGACAGCATCAACTCCAGCGAGACAGTCGAACTACCACCACGTTTCGATCAAGAAGGCCGGAAAGTGCCAGAACGCGGCGAAGACNCCCTGGCCGACAAGATCGAAGACCTGCTCAGTGGAAAAGGACTCGCTGGAGGCATCTTCAAGCGACTCACTGGCGACCTTCTCGGTGACGGCGCTGCGAAGAAGAGACGTTGATACCCTTTGCTACACATTTCCCCCACTACCCCCTTGTTTTTCACGGTTTTGCTTTCGTTTCTTGAATCATCATCTTGCTTGTTTCTAATGAGAATCACGAATTGCTTTCTCTCGCACATAAAGGCACTCCTTTTGTTTGCCTTTGGCTGGAGAGGTTTGCTTTTGCCTTGATTTTTGCTTGTTGCTTAGCTAGTCTTCTTCTTTGCTTTGGGCAAATCACAAACATAATCTTTGTTACTCGAGTTCGCGTGTAAGCGTTGATAAAGCTTTTGTGGTGCATGTGTCTTTGGCCCGCCTTTATGTGTGATCTGGTCTTTTCTTGTCGGAATGGCAGGGGCCAATGCGATGGAAACTGGTGGTAGGGACTTGCTTTCTTTTCCTGTTTGATGTTGCCGCCGTGGGGGTTTGGCAAGCAGTAGTCAGCAATCAGCGATTATGCACTGTAAAGTTTCTTTGTGAAACAAGCTTTGGGAGTGTTTAGAATTCAGTATGAAAAAAGATCGTGAGTGGTTGGCACGAGGTGGGTTGGCTCTGTATCCGGACACTGAACGTGAGCAGTTGCGACGATGATAGGATACTTACACATCGTGAAAGCAAAACAATAGCCAAGTAGATGAGAACCGGGATGCATGCAAACTCCAAGATCCATCACTGTAGCTTGTTGACATGATTGAGGAGGATGGTAGAATATAGACAGGGTGACGCCCTCCCCAACGCTCCTTTGCCAACTCAAACATATCTATCGATACAGATATCCATTCGAGAATCGGTTGCCATAATAATCAGCCCATACCTCGTCGTCCTCGAATTTAGGATCCACATCCTTCGCTCTCCTCACCACCTTAATATTGCCATCCCAAAACCCTGGTACCTCGGGGTCTTCCTCTCCCTCCGCTTGTCGCTTTCGATATGCTGATTTAGTCGCCTTGCGGAATGCAGAGAGTTGGGCTATCACATCAACACTAGGTTTAGGGGCCTCATCGGTGGGTTTGTGGGCAGAGTGACTGGAAGGAGGCGCGACGGAAACCTCCATGCCAGACATGATGGTCAGTGGTCTGGAGGGCTCGAGACAAGTATCCAAACTATTCGTCTCGCCCTCACCGAAAAAGGAGAAATCGGTCTGGGAGGCTGCCCACAAGGCTTCGCTATCTTGATCTTGAGTCACGGATTTGGTGCCACGGTGTCTCCATGCACTGGCTGCTTCTGCTTTCTTCTGATCCACACTGCAGGGCGCGACTTCGAGGACGAGTTGCTCGAGAGCGAAAGATTTGCGTACGAGCTCTTTTTGATGCGAGTGGCTTTGTCTGCGGCCAGGTGGTAGTGTCCAATCGAGTCGAGCTTGAAGTTTTGCGAGAGATGTTTCTTCGGCGCAAGCGTGTATGAAGGAGATCAGTCTGTTTGGGGTATCTGATATTGGTGAGGTTGAAGGGAGCTCGGTTAGAATCAAGGTATTTAGGTGAGGCAGGATGCCTGGGTGGAAGCCTTTTGCTTGGGTCAAGTGTGTTTGTATCCGGGTTTTGCGCTCTTTGACGATTGATGAGTAGCTGCGACCAAGACCACGGGAGGGAAGGATGGGACTCGGAGTCAGAATCTCGTCGACCACTGCCATTGACATGTCGTTTCCCTGCTCGAGTGCGGTTACGTGTAGACCAGTTTCGTTCCTCTCTTCTGCCTGGACAGGCATTGGAAGATCTTGGCTCCTCCTTCGCGCTTCATGTACGCACGTGGTAGGCTTTTCGACACTTGTAGGCGTCACCACAATAGAGACAGGATCGCCAGAGATCTCGGTCGCGAAAGAGGTGTCGCCCATCATCTCATAGACCTCTGTATCATGATCCAGCTCAGCAATTCCAGAAGGGTAGTTGGAGGTGTCTGCAAGCTCGCAGTATTGAGAGATTGGCTGATTGGTATCTTCTTGCATCACTGGTGGCTCTTCAGTCACCAAACTGTGGTCGATCCTCAGATACGTCAGGCTATGACTTGCCGACTCGGCCAACACAGGAGCAAGCTTTGCTAGACTAGGAAAGTTCATACTGAACGAGCCATCTTGTGAGGCCATTGCAGGCAAAAGACTCCCAGCATCGAGTACGTGCAATCTTCCAGATCTGATTAGTCCAGAAAGTCCCTCGACAGTAAGTTGATTGTCTGATAGATGAAGATGGGTAGTACCACTTTCTGGGGCGTCTTCAATAGCCAAGCGTCCGACAAATTTATCTGTGAACTCGTTCCTCAGAAAGGCTTCAAAATTGACTCCACGGTAGATTGTGAGCATCTCCGCACCCAGGTATGGCAGTAGCGAGGGAGACATGGCTTGACCGTCATTGTCTCTTCGCGGCGGTGGCGTGAAGCAATGCTGGAGCAAAATACGCACACTTCGATCTGTCAGTTGATTATTCCGTAGATCCAAGCTTCGAACCCGAGTTTTGATTGCATTCGCTAGTATGAGCACATCGTCATCTCTCAGCGATATACCTCGAAGCTTCAAAACTTGTAGACCTCGAAATTGGCCAAGGCTTCGGAGTACTTCGGGACTTTTGGCAGGATATGTCCATGAGAGGTCAAGATATAGCAGTGAATCAAATCGTCTGAGGGCTTGCTGCAGACCTGTCGCAGTCACATTGCTACATCTTGACGCGTCCAGCAATCGCAAGCCGAAAGGAGTCTGAGCAGGGACTAGCTGGTTCCTATTGCCAGAGAGCCGAGTATATCTGAGCGCATTCAGAGCTGCGTGGTCAAAGAAAGGCAAGCCGCGAACAATTAATGACTGCAAATTTGGAAGACCTTCGAGTACCTCTCTCAACCAATCTGCATGTGGGCCGTTGTAGATTTCAGCATGTGCTGGAGGAAGATGGAGTGTATGTGTCAAAGATCGGACGCCACGTCTCGCCCATGGAAGGGTACGGATGAACCGAGTCAAAGCGACTACATGAACACGTATGAGTCTACTGATTAATGGTGGGATGACATCGCAGGTTGTTGTGACGTCTCGAATGTTTCTGTGATACTCACCATACACTCTATCATTCTCATCCCCAAAGTGAGAAGCAGGATTGCCCCATAGATGTGGCGCGAACGTTGTATGCCATTGCTGGCATACCAAGGCGGCAGAGCAGAGGTCTGAGGATGGGATGTAGTCGGCAACGAGGTCCCAAGCATTCGCAGTTGTGGCTTGTCTATACGATGGTGGATTAGCTTCCATGACTGGAGCATCGTGGATTTGAGCAAGCCCGAAGAGTCGGACCTTCCTATTATCTATTGAATGGATATGGCGGCAAGGTGGAAGTCATGCGCTTCCTCGCCAAGCATAGCCCACCCATGAAGTTTGTCACACCAAACACCACAACAAGGCTCATAAACGTGACAAACTTTAGCATGTGGAGAGCGAAGGATTCCGTTCGATCTAGAAACTAGGCAGTGCTCGAAGATCACCTTTGATCTAGCATTCTCGAGACATCTATTTTACAATATGTACATGGCTATGGACATGGCGTCGTATGTCCTAAGGAACAGATCTACGCCCTCTTTCTATCCTGCTTCTTCTTCTCCTCAGACTTCTCTTGTTCTTCATCGATGAACAACATCTCCTGTGCACTCCACAGCTCCGAGTACACACCTCCACTGTCGACAAGTCGTTCATGTGTGCCCATTTCTGCTACAACGCCATCCTTCAAGACGATAATGATGTCGGAGTCGTAAATAGTGCGGAGCCTGTGAGCAACGAAAATACTTGTTCGTGCCTTCTCCTTGAGAATACTGTTAATATTGCCAAGAAGTGCTTGTTCTGTATGTGTGTCGAGGGCCGAGGTTGCTTCGTCGAAGAACAGGAACGGTGGGTCTTTCAACAGCAGACGAGCGATGGCCAGACGTTGCTTCTCACCACCCGAGATCATCATGCCACGCTCACCGACCATAGTGGCGTACTTGTCAGGGAACTTCTGGATGATATCGTGGACCTTCGCACGCTTGGCAGCAGCTTCAACCTTCTCAGGAGAAGCCTCAAGGTCACCGTACTTCAGATTGTGCTCAATGGTATCGTTAAACAGAGGTGTGTCTTGCGGGACAACACCAATTGCCTTACGGAGACTCTCAATCTGAACGTCACGGATGTCTTGTCCGTCAATCAAGATCCTGCCACCCTGAACATCGTAGGAGCGGAAGAGCAGACGAAGAATGGTAGATTTACCACATCCACTAGGACCGACGATGGCAATCTTCTTGCCAGCAGGAATCTCAAGGTTGAGGTTGCGCAGGATTGGTCTGTCAAGGCGGTAGCCAAACGAGACATTCTCGAACTTGATACCTCCGCCGGTAAGCATAAGAGGCTTTGCATTCTCAGGTTCCTTGATAGCCACATTGACCTTCTGGAGGTTGAACAATGTCTCCATATCCAGCAAACTCTGTCTGAGTTCACGGTATACAGAGCCAAGGAAGTTAAGAGGGACTGAAAGCTGAAAGACGAGCTGGTTGATCATGACCAGATCACCAACAGTCAGTTGACCAGTGGCGACGCCATCAGCACCGTAGTACATCATGGCAGTCAGAGCGCTGGAAAAGATGAGGTTTTGTCCACTGTTCAGGAATGCCAACGACGTGGCAACTTTGATAGATGCATCCTGGTAGTTCTTTAGCGCGGCGTCATATCTGCCAACTTCGTAACGTTCATTGTTGAAGTACTAGAGGAAATCAGAGGTGCTCTCATGTATATCTCAAACGAAACTCACCTTGACAGTCTCGTAGTTGATCAGCGAGTCTACTGCAACCGTGGCGCCCTTGTTATCAGCGGCGTTGGCAGCCTTACGGAACTTGGTTCTCCATGATGTTGTCAAGATTGTGAAAGCTGAATAGCCGACCATGGTGGCCGCCGTGATGAGAGCAAATTTGAAGCCATATTGCCATGTCTAAAAGAACATTAGAGGCGCACAAGAATGAGATCTAATGACAAGCTTACAAGAATACCGCAGACCAAAGAGATCTCAAGAGCTGTAGGGATAATGTGGAAGACCATGGATTGCAAAAGGAAACTTATACCCTTTGTACCTCGATCAATGGCTCTGGTTAAGCCACCAGTCTGTCTAGATAGATGGAAATTGAGGTCCAGTTTCAGCAAATGCTCGAAAACAGTAGCTGCAACGCGGCGAATGGCCTTTGCGCAACACTGGCGAAGACAGCGTTACGGATCTCTTGGAATACAGCAGCACCTATCCTGGTAGCACCGTCTGGGGAAGATTAGAGGAAGCTAAGATAATGGAGATGACGCATGATCTTACAGGCAAAAATAGTAGCGCCAGCGACGGTAACAACAGTGCCACCGACTGCAGCAAAGTCTATGTTCATGGAATCTACAATGGACTTGAAATAGAAAGGAACTTGGACGTTCAAAACCTTAGAATGACATTAACATGACAGCAGGCGACATGTGTTGGATGGTCGATAGCTACCTTTGCGCCTACAAGGAGAGCGACAGACAAACCGACTCTGAAACGAGTACCGAAGTCATCTTTGGGCCATAGGTAATGGGCCATGTCCTTGATGATAGCCCAATCTGCCTTGCGCTGTTCCTTGTTGGAAACAGTCTGCTCTGCTAGGAGCGGGTCGACCCTCTCTTTCTTAACGGTGGGAGACTTGGTAGGCTCCGCAGGCGAGACCTTGGTCTCCTGCTGAGCAGTCTTGACGGCGGTGTCGTCTTTTTGGCGCCATGGTGAGGTGGTGAAGACGCGAACGGTGGGGCGGATACTCTTCTGGCAGGTCGAGATGCGGGAGAAGGCGAGGGAAGGATGGGCCAACTTATGGCAAGTATAGATGCCTCTCAGGGCACAGGCTGCGGGCATGGCGGGACGAATTGCGTGTGGTTGCTATGTTCGATAGCTCAAAACACCATGATGGCCAGCTTCTCGTAAGAAGAAAGGACGCTGTAGATGCGATACGGGTTAGCAAGAGGGACAGGCTCGGTCGCCGAGACGAGGCAAACCAAGCAAACAGAGCGACGGCGGGCTACTGGCAGGCAGGAGCGACAATGGATTGCTAAAGATAAAGGTCGGAGTGGGATGAAGCATCTTGTCCCACACTCAGCACAGACGAGCACGTCACTCTTGTCGGCTTCGGGAAGGCACGCGTCTCGGTCGCTGCATTGGCAAGAGATTCCTTTTGAGAACATCGTCAGTCGCGCAATGTCTACCGCAATGCGCTGTCGTGCGCAAGAGCTGCTTCGTCGCAGTCGCCCATGTGATGCCTTGCGCTCGCCGCCGCGACGATTCGTCCAGATTGCGGCCACCCCATCATCGACCAACCCTACCGTCGCCTCTGCTGCTGCAGATAGCACTGCTCNNCCGGTATCTTTTCCTTGCTAAGCGCATAGCTATCTTCTACTTCTCTGACACAATGACTCAGATGCTCAGTTCGAGGTCCTGGGTAGCCCTTTCTCTCTTCTTTCCGCGTCCATCTCGGCATCGCAGAACCTTTATACTCGCAAGGGCTCGCTGGTTGGCTTCCACGGCAATGCCGAGAGCGTGAGCATGCCCGTCTCTCCCCTTGTTCTCTGATACTCATTTCCCATCTCAGNNACCGTATCCTCGCTCTCCGTTCTCGAACCCTTCCGCCGTGCCGCTTTTGGCATTCCTNTCCTCTACCAANAAGTCACATCGACCGCTCCTTATACCGCCTTGATCTCGACCAAATCTCCTCTCACCACCTTCTCCGTTATTCACCTTGATGGTCGCCTTGACTGGATGATCGCTCAAAGAAACGCTCTCCTTGCCTGGACTGGTCACACTCTTTCCATCAAACCCCAGATCAACACCTCCATGAGCCTTGCGCACTGGGGAAGTTCTCGTGTTACTGGCCGTGGACTTCTCTGCTTGTCGGGCAAGGGTCAGGTCTATCAGCTCGCTCTTAAGTCTGGCGAGGAGTACATTGTTCACCCCAGCAATGTTATCGCTTATAGCATTATGCAACACGCTCCCCAGCCATACCGCTTCAAGTCGTCCAACCTGCGTCTGCAAATTCCCAATGCCTTTTCCTACCTTCCCGACACCAGGTTCTTTAAGGTCGTTCGTCAATCAAACGTTTGGCGCTTCTTGGCCAACACTTTGTTCACCATTCGCACCTGGGCCCGCCGCTCAATATGGGGAGACAGAATGTTCCTCCGTTTCCAAGGACCTGCCAACATCCTCGTACAGTCCAGAGCTGCCAAGCTGAGCGATGCCTTTACTGCTCGCGATGTCAACGAAGCCGGCGATGCCCCTGCAGGTGTGCTCCAGGCTGGAAAGCCTACCACACCCGCCATCACCGAACCTCCTTCAACCCCTGTCGCTCCCACCAAGCTCAGCTATGCAACAGTGGAAGGCGATGGTAAGGTCACCATCACCAAGTCTTAATGATCCGCTCCTTTTTCTCCAAGAGAACCTTTGTACATTTATTTCTTGCATGACCATATCTCTTCCCCTTTCAGCATTCGGATATCCCGACTTCAAAACTTCGACCAAATTCTATGTCGACCTGAGATCCCTGTANAAGAAGACCTCATCAACCAACCTGCCATCCTTGGGCGACACGCCGTATCTCGGGATAGCACCGAGCCGAGTGTAACCAAGTCGAGGGTAGATGCCTTCTGCAGGACTGCCAGCCTCGGTATCGAGAGTCNNTTGTGTGCAGTCAGTTTTAGCTAAACCATCAAAAAGCACCCATCAGTTTCTTACCAGTAAAGTAGTTCCTCTCGCCAGTGCCACCTCCTCCAACTTTGACATGAGATGCTTTGCAATGCCCCTTCGCCTATATCGTGGGCTGACCAAGAGCTTCTCGACGCTGCCTCTGAACGGTCCTGTTTCACAGGCCTGGCTTGCGAGAGCGACATAGCCTGCCAATTCCTCGTGACCACCTTCGGAAACCGCCATTTGCATAAAGATGACCTTTGTGCCTTCTGAGACTCTAGCAGCATTATTCTTCCAATAATGGAGAACTCTAGGATCAGGTGTCTCGGGATTTGGGTGTTGAAATGGTGGCTGGAAAGTTGCCAGAGTGTTGTCTGTTTCAACGCAGTCCTCATGGATGAATGCAAACGCAGGTATGAGGTGATCATGCTTGCCAGGCTCGAAGATGATCACGGAAGGAAGTGTCATGGTGCTGGAATGTTTGAGGTTTAAATCTCTGGCAAAGGAAGTACCTGGATTTGAGGGTATACACGTTTTACTTTCTTGTAGGCAGCAATTGCTGGAGGATTTTGGCTTGGCATTCTGAGCGCCGCTTTCTGAGACGCAATTCTCTTCCAAAAATTGTTCACCTTTTGAGAAGGCGTGAATTGTGCTTTCAAACATTCAAAAGTTCCGTTGTCCTCGAGGAAGATCGGTGTATCTTTTTATAGCCATGTGTTGTGCAGCCTAGACCTGCCTGCAAGGTCGCGTGTGTCTACAGACTTTTGCCGATGACAGTTCGCATGAGGATGACAACGTCTCGATATGTACAGTACTCTGTAGAAGTACCTATGAAGCCGACATCCGGATTCAAGTTTCACAGCCCACATTTCCAATCGTTAAACAGGATGTCCTCTCCGCGGGCATGAGATCCGCAAATCTTGGGTGTGATGCACGGTGCGAGTGTCTGGATGCGCGAAGCTGTCACTCGCTCGACGTCACAGGCTTCGGGGCAAATCCCTGATTATCTTACGGGGCGCGGCTCGGGGGCTTGTTTATAAAGGTATACAACGCCGACTCCCTGCCGGGTTTTTGAATCGTCGCTCCAGCTCCTGGCTCTTGTCGCGTGTCTGTTTGAACACACTTTGATTTTATACTCACAAACCTACTGTCGCTCCTCTTGCGCATAGTCTTTTCGTCGACGCGTCCGCCCTAAACACAAGCAAGGCCAAGCTTCATTAGCCTCCGCGGCAACCATGCGTTCTTCTTTGGCTTACGGAGCCTTGCTCCAAGCATCGCTATACTCTCTCGCCAAGGCTTCGCCAGCACCTACACCTCGTCGCGTCTACCAAGCCGAGCCTCTAGCACCCGAAGTGACTGGATCGCCAGTCGACCTCTCACCATCACGCACCGACGAGAGATTCCGCCGTGACCTCATCGGCGATATCAAGTCGGACATTGGTTCGGTCCTTGGTGGACTCGGCTCAGACCTTCCATCTTGGGTCGCTTCAGGCGTCCCCAACTTCTTCCAGGGCTTCCCTACTGGAGATGCTGTTGTTTCATCGCTCGGCCTCAATGATGCTCAGGTCTCTGCATTGCCAACTCAGGTCCTCAACCTCGACCCTTACGCCAACTGGACCGAGTCTGGCTGGAACGTGAGATTCCATGGAAACGTCTACAAGCAGCCCAACACCTCTACTGCAGACCTCAACCGCCTGGCCAACATCTTCCTCGTTGATACTTCTGTTGAAGATCTTCCCGAAGACCAAGCAGACCGCGCCCGCAATGTGACTGCCAGCATCTTTGTCATTCAGCAAGGAGACGTCGCCGTGGCACCTATCACTATCGAACCTGCCGCAAAGCAAGGTTCTTCAGGCGAGCCTGGTGGCGGTGGTGCAGTAACTCCCAGCGGCGGAAACCAGACCGTCACTCTTCCATACAACACCACCGTTGAGGGCGACTTCGATGTCTTTGTCCCCATCAATGGTAACGGTCTCGCGAATGGAAACGAGACCGATCAGGTTCAGCGCCTGAACACTCACGTTCAGGGTGCCTCTATTGGCAACGCAACCGCATACCTTGTGCCCACTACCGGCCTTACTGTCGTTAGTGATATCGATGATATCCTTCGTGTCACCAAGATTTACGAGCCCGCCCAAGGCCTGCTCAACTCCTTTGCGAAGGAGTACGTCCCATGGGAGAACATGCCTGATATCTATGCCAACTGGAGCAGAAGCCTGCCCAACATGCACTTCCACTACCTGACAACCACCCCTGAGCAAGTCACCAGAGCTTACATGAACTTCACCTACAACCACTACCCTGGTGGCTCCTTCGATACGCGCCCTCTCAACTTCTCGGACGTCTCTGCCACTCTTTCCATTCGCAAGTTCCTTCTGACCAAGATCTTCGAGACCTTCCCCGAGAGAAAGTTCATCCTCGTCGCCGACACTAGCAACAGCGATGTCATGAAGGACTACNCCCTTATGGCAACCACCTACCCGGACCAGGTGCAGTGCATCTTCCTCCGCAACACCAGTGCTACAGACTCTGGTGACAAGTTTCCTTACGACACCAGCGGTTTCAAGGACTTGAACCAACAAAAGTACATGTTCTTCTTGAACCCTGATGACCTTAGCGGTCTCGACATTGCCAACGGACAGTGCTACAATCAGTCGATTGCGCAGAACCTGACCTTTGGTTACCAGGGACTGCCTCTTGGTCTTGGAGACTCTCCCACTGCCGTCAACGCTTCCGCTACCGGCGCTGCCAACAAGACTGGCAAGAGCGGAGCATCTGCATTCAAGAGCAAGGATGTTGTTGGCGCACAGAGCTCTCTGGCTCTGGTCGCAGCACTTGGAGCTGCCATGTTCATGTTCCTTTAGATTTCTTCTCACGATGTTCAAGACACAAGCAACACTGTACGATTGTAGTAATAATGATAAAGCCCCATTTGATCTTTACGTCTAGTCTTTGTTTCCTGTTTGGTCATTGTTTTGGTTTGCATCATCTTGGTTGACTTTTGACGCATTTGTGGTTGTCAAGGCCAACGGTCTGCAGGGATTGCAAGAACGACATGCCAAACTTGAGTTCGACAGAACTTCTCTGCAGCCAGCTCAAAGCAGCAAAAGCAGCTTCAGGGGTTATTTTTCACGCGAGTGCGAGCGAGCGGCAGAATATTGGTCGGAGTAGCTCGTGGAAGCACGGTCTTCAGCCAAGGCACAGAGTGTCGATCTACAATGGCGGCATTGCTTCAAGCTGTCGCACGGGCTCAAGCTCCTGCATCCTGTGAAGATATGATGGTTTCATGGAAGATTGTTTGGACAAGAGTGGTAGAGATAAATTGTGGTGGTGGAAGTAAGATGACGAGCAGCTATATAGCATCAAACAGGAATGGTTCGAGATCGGGAGGCACATAAGGTTTGATGGGTCGACTGAAGCGGTGGGAAAGTTCCCAAACTGACGTCGTTTACAGGCGGTTCGAACAGCCTTGTGGAGACACATGGCGGGCTTGTCGCATCGTCAAACTTGCTTGTTTGTCGCGTTCTCGACAAGATCTGGTGCTACAGTACTTGCAGTCGAGTGTCGTTCATTCGATGAATTTTTGTTTACGGCAGGACCCTTAAACCCTTCCATGAGTGCATAGACGGCTGCGACGGCCACAATCAGGCCCCAAAAGCCCCCCCTTCGACACGATGATGGAGGCCAGAGTCAAGGCCGAACTGGACATGCAGTTCCTGGTCGCTCGCCTGTTTGAACGCCTACGAACCGAGGCCCCTGCCTATGATTGGGACGAGGCCATCGCTCCTTACCACTCTGTATGTCGTTGCTCTGTGTCTGATGATGACATATCCAGCTTGCTGACGCCGGAGTATAGTNCCTACGACAACTGGCACGTCCATGGATATCGTCGTGCTTCACAACCCGTTGATCACAAATCGAGCAAAACTTCGAGTAGAACCACCAGCAAGGACCGCCGAAAGGATCGCGAATCAGAAAAGAATAAAGACAAGGAGAGCGAACGAAATGTATCCGATGCACAACAGGGCTATGAGATCGTCGCTCGCATCTCTCGCCACACAACTCGTCTCGAGCGCGAGTTTGCCCTTGCAAAGAAGATCAAAGCAGAAGAAGATCCGGACTGTCGCCATTTCATAGACCCTATTGAGTTTCGCCGCCTGCCCGCACGCCAACCTGGAGAAGTCACTCTCGTTGCTTTCATCGCGCGGGCCCCTGATAGCGGCGGGGACTACATGAAAGAGCTGGTCGAGTTTGGCCCAAGCCTTCGCCGCGCGCAACTGCCTACCTCGCCTATCAGCCCGCACGGTGACCCCAAAACCGACCACTCACCCATGCCCGAACTTTTGCCTATTGGCCTCTTCCTCGATTTTGCTATTGGCGCAACTGAATGTTGCGAGATCCTTCACCACAGCAGAGTGTTGGTCCACGGAGAACTTCGTGGTGACGCCTTCCATTTTAGCAAGGAGAACCGGACTGTACGCTTGATCAACTTTGGTTCTGGTGCTCGGTCATTCGAGAATGGCCTTACATCTGCTGGTTGGAGCTCACTGACCTCGGAGGCCGGCGTCGAAAACCGTCTCCAGTTCATTGCTCCGGAACAGACTGGTCGCATGCCTGCCGAACCGGATACCAGGACTGATATATATTCGCTTGGCATCCTGTTCTGGACTATGCTGACTGGAGTGCCCGCCTATCATGGGAGCAACCCTCTCGAGATAATGCAGAGTTTGCTATCACGTCGAATTCCTGCAGTTGATAGCATACGCACTGATGTGCCTCAAATCATCTCGAATGTTATACAGAGGATGACACAGAAGAAAATGGGAGATCGCTACCAATCCTCATCTGGTTTGAAGCATGACCTGCTCGAGGTGAAGAGACTACTCTCTAATGGTGATGTTGACGCACTCCAATCTTTCAAGCTTGGTTCCAAGGATGTCTCTTGCTTCTTCAACTTGCCCAACTCGCAGATCGGACGCGAGGAGCAACGGAAACTGATCCTTGACGTTATAGAGAAGTCTGCTTGGCGTGCTTCTCAGGCCATTTCAACCTCCAAGAAAAGCTTGCATAGCTTGAGTTCGCACTCCTCGGCCTCGATATCAACGCCTACTCAAGCCGACCGACACGAAAGCAGCCTTTTAGACGACATCATTTCTCAGAGTACTGGCTCTGGTGTTGATCAAGAGCCCAAAATCGCCATCTCGTCGGATAGAACCGACCTCTTGAAGCTGCAGCATGAACACAGCTCGCAAGAGAGCAATTTGGCTTACAACGGTGCCGAGCTTGAGCACAAGCCGTCACTAGAGAGCAGACCCTCTGTGTACAACGTCGAGGGTAGTCAAAGATCTACCGTATCGAATTCATACACCGGTCAATCCGAAGGCTCTGCCCTTCGCGCCGCGCAACGCCTCAAGCAGATTGGCCGCACTGAAGTTTTGTGCCTCAGTGGTGCTGCAGGTCTTGGAAAGAGCTCTTTGTTGCACGATGTTCAAAACATGTCGAGAAAATACGGCTATTACGCATCGGCCAAGTTCGATCAAGTCAAACGAGCACCCTTTGAACCAGTGGTGCGTGTCGTGTCATCTCTCTTCCGTCAAATTTTCTCTGAAGGCGATGTCTCAACACCGTTTCACGACAACATTCGTACATACATAAAGCCTTATTGGGGCTTCCTCTCCGGCTTCCTCGATCTTCCGCCTTGGCTACTATCACAATTTCCCACTCATCAAGCTTCTTTGAGCTCAGACGCCGCCTCTTTACGGCTGCCTCGTGAGAAGTGTGGTAGCAACGGCGATACTGCATCAGATTGGTTACGTGCTGGAGGCAGTAACTCGAGCAAGTCAAATCGCTTTGTCCGCACTTTCCTTGACGTTCTTCGACTGCTAGCGTTGCAGAAGTTTATTTGCATAACACTTGACGATCTGCAATTTGCAGATGAAGAGAGTATTGAACTTCTAACCAACATTGTTCAAGTCAAAATACCCCTAGTGCTTGTTCTTACTTACCGGGATGAAGAAGCTCTCCCCGCCAAACTTCGACCACTGCTTGAGAAAGCCACGAAGATTGATCTCAAGCCTTTCAGTGAGGAAGAGACGGCAAAATATGTGTCCATAACCTTGCATCGCTCTCCCGAATACGTTCTACCTCTAGCTGCTGTCATTCAGCAAGCGACTTTGGGCAATCCATTCTTCGTCCGAGAGATGCTTGATTCTTGCTATCGAAAGCACTGCATATACTATTCATGGCGTTCTTCACAGTGGGAGTTTGACCTTGACAAAACTTTTGACGAATTTGCTTCGCCAGACGCCAATCAATTCTCGACAAACAACTACCTTGTGAAGCGATTGAAAGATCTCTCGGACGACTGCAAATCTGTGCTTTGCTGGGCTAGCTTCATTGGCAACACCTTTTCTTTCACTCTCGTGAAGCGAGTCATGAGTTGCGACTGTTCTAAGCAGTCGAAGGATGAATATCTGCCACAGAAGAAGAACCCTGTGACCGGCTTACAAGATGCTATCAGTTCTTACATCATTGTTGCCACTGAGGATGAGGACAGATTCAGATTTTCGCACGATCGATACATGCAGGCTGCAGAACTTCTTGCCAATGACTGTCGCAAGGAGGAGATGCACTACATCATTTCGGCATCTTTGATGTACCATGACCCTTATGACAGCGCTACCAAACCTACCCAGCTTCTATTCGACCAAGCCAGACATATCTGCAACGCAGTAGAGGCCATTCAAGCTCGACCAAGCATTGGTAAAGGCCCTTTCAGAGACCTGCTCTACCAAGCAGCGGAGACCTCTCGAGAGCAGGGAGCAAGATCAATATCGCTCTACTTCTTCCAGCACTGTTTGATGTTACTTCCTGATGACCCTTGGAAAGAAGATTCTTTAGAAGGTTCTTACCAAGAGACGTTGACTCTCATGACCAAGGCAGCTGCGTCTTACTGGTATCTTGGATTCTTTGAAGAGGCCGAAATCATACTCAAGGAGATCATGACCAATGCCAAAGCTGCTGCTGACAAGACACCGGCATTTATAATCCAAAGTCGAATGCATGCACAANAAGGAGATTCGCATATTGCCTTCCTGAACATGAAGCGAGCTCTGGCAGATCTAGGCATTGAGATCCTCGACACTACGTACGAAGAATGTGACAAGGAGTTCTACGAAATTGTGGATCTTGTTAATGTCTCTGACCGACAACTTTTTGAGGGGAGGGATGCGCCGATCGACCGAGATCTCTTCACAACCGCGGCTGTCATGATTGAGCTTCTCAGCGCTGGATTCTGGACTGACTCGTTGTTGTTCTACTACCTGACTTTGAAGATGATGCGGCTGTTCCTTGAGAGGGGACTCTTCCCACAGATCGCCGTGGGCTTTGTCCATCTAGCATCTATTGCTATTGGTCGTTTTGAGATGACGGAGAAGGGCGTCGAGCTCGGGAACACAGCTTTGAAGCTCTTCGACCTCTTTGACACAGATTCCTACACGATCGGCCGTGGTGTCACACTGCACAGTCTCTTCCTTGGACACTTCGTTTCAGACATCTCAGATCAAATACCTGTCTTGGAACGTGGTATGGAGGCGACCGTTCTCGCTGGTGACAAGTTGGTCCATCTCCTGAACGTTGGTGTCATGTGTGCATACAAGCTGTGGACCTCACATAACTTCGAGGAAGTCAGTGCTTACATCCAGTACCAATATGATAACTTCCCGGACTGGCCTACGGATCTGCGTGGGNGTGTGTTCCTTGTTTCAGTACGCCAGTTTATTCAAGCACTCCAGGGCAGGACCAACTGGCGTCAAGCCGCGCACATCTTCGATGACGATTCTCATCAAACGCAACAATACGTCGACTTCATCCAATCTCATCCCACTTCTGCTGTTCGACCTCTATTCTTCTACAACAGCTACAGAATCGCTATCTTGTACAGGTTTGGATACTGGCGAGAGGCTCTGGAACTTGGCAACTCGGTGCTGGAATCTATCGCGGACGTCTGGTGCATACGACACGCTTACTATTGCTACTTCTACATCTCAATGGCATTGGTTGCAAAGCTGCGTGAAGAGCCAAAGTGTACGGATCGCAAAAGCGTCCTCGAAACCATCTACAAGTACAAAGCCAAGATTGAGACAGCGAGTCGCATCAACGAGGCAAACTTCTCTGTCTGGTTGCACCTTCTTCGCGCAGAGATTGCTGACATTGAGATGCAATCGGACGTAGCTACCCTATCTTATGAGGCCGCGATCGATCACACAGTAGTCCATGGTCTTCTTTCTGACGAGGCTTTATGTTACGAGCTTTATGGCGATTTTCTGGTCCGAAAAGGAGCCACTCGTCCTGCACGTGCGATGGTCCGAGATTCCATTGCCGCATATCGTCGTATTGACGCCACAGCCAAGGCGGATCATATCAGCGAAAGACACGAATTCTTGCTTATTGGCTCGAGAACATTTGGGAATGCAGACGCAGCAACACAGACTGTCGACATTGACAACATGTCGTTCTCTATGGTACAGAACGAAGCCCCTCAAGCTTCTGGTGACAGGACAAATGAGTGGTTGACTCCAAGCGCAAGAACGATTCCTCATCAGCATGAAACACAGCACGACTTGCAAGGTGGGTTTTCTGCTGTCGGTCTTGATATGATTGACCTCGCCAGTATTCTGGAGTCATCGCAATTGCTATCCTCGGAGCTCAGAGTCGACAAGTTGCTTGCAAAGTTGACCAACATCATCGTCGACAGCACTGGAGCCGCTCTGTGTGGCCTTGTTGTCAATGATGACGAGATTGGCTGGAACGTCGCTGCTGTGGGAGGACCGGACATCTCTTATCAGGGTAATGTCGGCCAACCGATCAGCGACATCGATGATCCACTCTCAAAGCAAATCACGTTCTACGTTCTGCGGTTTAAGGAGGAGCTTTTCCTACGCAACGTACTCGACGACGAGCGATTTGCAAACATGCCTGCATCTTGGAGACAGAAGCATCCTGAAGGTAAGGCCGTGATTGCCTTGCCTATATTACATGGAGACGACACTCTACTTGGCTCAATATACATCGAGGGACCTCCGAACTCGCTGTCTCAGCGCAATATTACTGTTCTCCGCCTGCTTGTCAATCAGATTTCCATCTCGATCGCCAACGCACTACTTTTCAAGAAGGTTCAGAAGGTCTCAGCGAGCAACTCTTCCATGCTTGAAGTGCAGAAGCAGGCCCTCGAGCAGGCACGCGAGGCTGAGCGCAAGGCTAAGGTTGCGGAAGCCAAGGCTATGGAGATGGTCAAGCTCAAGGAAGAGGCAGCCAAGGCAAAGAGTATGTTCTTAGCTAACGTCTCCCACGAGCTGCGCACTCCTCTAAATGGAGTCATTGGTATGTCCGAGTTGCTCAAGGGAAGCAATCTCAACACCGAGCAAGAGGGCTACGCCGACAGTATTCGTGTTTGCGCGGACACTTTGCTTTCGGTCATCAATGACATTCTGGACTTCAGCAAACTCGAGGCTGATAAGATGGCTGTGTACTCTGTGCAGCTGTCCCTCACCCAGACCATTTCGGAAGTCGTCAGAGCTCTTTCTTACACCAATCTCGAAAGAGGACTGCAGACTGTCGAGAAGCTTGAGATGCCCTCGAGTTTGCTTGTCATGAGTGATCCAGTCCGTTTGCATCAAATTTTGATGAACTTGCTCAGCAACGCGTACAAGTTTACAGCAAAGGGAACGGTCACTATCAGGGCGTTCATCGAGCACGAGACTGAGGATACCGTCCAGGTAACCTGCAGTGTGACAGATACTGGTATCGGCATTACAGAAGAACAAAGGAAGAAGCTCTTCCAGCCGTTCAGTCAGGCAGACAGCAGCACAGCACGCAGCTATGGTGGTACCGGACTTGGTCTTTCCATCTGCAAAGCCATCATCGAAAAGGTCTTGCACGGAAAAATCTGGCTCGAAAGTGAAATCGGCGTTGGAACAACCGTTTCCTTCTCCCTTCCCTTCCAGAAAATCAGACCCGGTGCTGAAAATGGAGCCGCTGGACCACTCGCCGATCCCATGGCAGCCATGTACAAGCCCAGCGAAGACGAGATGAAGAAATCGTCATATATTAGCCTCGCCCATATCCCTCGCGACAGGCTCAGAATCTGTATCGCGGAGGACAATCCCATTAACCAAAAGATTGCCATCAATTTCGTCAAGAAGCTTGGGTTCAAATGCGAGGCATACGGTGATGGCCAACAAGCAGTCGATGCCCTTGCCGCAGCAAGCAAAGCAGGCACGCCATTTCACCTCGTCCTCATGGATGTTCAGATGCCCGTTCTCGATGGCTACAATGCCACACGAGCAATCAGAGCACATCCCGACCCTATCGTGCGCGAAGTGCTGGTTATCGCTATGACTGCGTCAGCTATTCGCGGCGACAAGGAAAAGTGTCTCGAGGCTGGTATGAACAATTATCTTGCCAAGCCTGTCAGAGCACACGTTCTGAAGCAAATGTTGGAGGGATACCTTAACCAAGTGCCCAAGACGATGACCAATTTGCAGCAGCAGGCTAACCAATTGAGTCAAGATGTGCTTGATCAAGCGTCCTTATATAATCCTTCTGCTGCGGGCGGCCAGGTTGCTCGGAACCATCAGGTCGATGGAGAACGAAATGATGGGCTGCAGGTCGAGGACCAACAGACTGATGGCCAAGTGACGCCAACTCCTGCCACCGTCAATGCCACGTCTGCTTCCTTGCCGACGCGAAATAAGTGATGCATGACATATTTCAGCAAGGTGGCACTCTCGGTTTCTAAGTTTTTGTTTGTTTGTTTTCTTTGGCATCGTTTGTTTGACGGAAAGGTGCTTTTTCAGCGTGCAGCGGCAAATGGTGTTTGCGTGGGAATGGGGGTGATGGGCTCATTGGGATTGATTTTTTTGCTGAATTATCTTCGTGTACTATTGTATAGAGTTTTTGGAATGATACCTTTCTGTGTTCTTTTTTGTCTCTCTCTGTACGAATGTTCCTCGTGGTTCTGTTTACCTGATTTGCTCTTTCGAGTCGTCCTTTGGAATATGAGTGTCAATATAAGGCTTTGTCTTTCTTTTCGTGTCCAGAGAGGAAAGCCTGCCTCCAACCTCATATGACCACGTTCCTTCTCTTTTCAAGGCACAACATTTTCTGCCGAGAGAGATACTCTTGCTGTTTCCCTTCTGGACGTCGTATTCCAGTGCACTGTCACAAAACTGTGTGGTACAAACTATCACCTCGTCCTGTAAAAGGGGATGACCCTGGCCATCTCAGCCCGGAAACCGTTATCATTTTCCACGCGGCGACACGTCTAGATGCCACAAAACGGCGGCGACCCAAAGTCAAAATTATCACGAGAATGCAATCGATAAGGGGGTGAGGGGTATGGTGAGTGTCGTGTGTCTGGTTGCACAGGACAAATGAAAGAATGATATTCGTAGAAGCTCAGAAGCCGAAGCTAGTGAGAGCTGAGATCTTGCTGTCTTTTGGAGCGAGAGAAAAGACAAACATACAAACAAACAAACAAACGGGAAAACCGATCCAGCAAATCGTAAAAGCCAAAAAGTATGTGAACAAGAAGAAGAAGGAAGGAAGGAAGGAAGGAGAAGAGAGACAAGAAATGAAAAGAGAAATGCTCGTGGTCCATAAACAGTCCAAGAAACGTAAAGCATGCGGAAACAAGAAAGAACTCCAATCCACTTTTGTGAACAAAACACCAGTTGCACCTGCACCACAAACCCGCATACCAACAGAATACCAAGCAAACACCATCATGGAAAGAGTAACAAAAGGCAATGGCAGAAGCCAATCACCTCACAGTCCTAGCGACCAACTCCTTGACCTTGACTGCAGGTGCAAACTTCGAAGACTTGGTACTCCGCTGCCAGGATCCAGTACTGCCGGTAGGACTGCCAGGCGACTCGTCAAAGACGTACTCGCCGTCGACGTAGCGGGCGCCGGTGGTAAAGGTTGAGCGTTTGTCTCTGCGGGCGTAGCGCTGTTCAAGACGATAGAGCTCGACTTTGGCGCGGATGGAGTCCATGAAGCCCATGTCTGCGGTTTTGTTTCTTGTGTTGGTTTGAGGGAGAAAGCGGGGAGGTAGGTGGTGGCTGGCACGGCTTGATGCAGTGGATTGGTTGTTGGCAAGTGTTTGTGTAGATGTTGTTCTCGTGAATTGAAATGTGGAGTTTGAGGTTGTGTTGTTTATGGCAAGATGTTGTCGTTAGAGAGAATAAGAGCACGTGTGCAAGTAACAAGGTCGTTATGGCAGGTCGTTGTTGTTCAGGCCAATGGTGAAACGAGTGGGAGGGTGGCCTGCTGAGACAGATTCAGGGATCGCAGGGTGGCTTGTCCAAAGGGTCGGAGGTAAAAGAGAGTGACGTTGGCGTATGCAAAACAGATTGAAGGGCGGAAAGAACAACAGAAGGTCGAGAGAAGGGGCACGAGGGGAAAGAGCGAAGGGCATGGTCCATGGATAAGGGTTCTCCGCCCGCACGGATGATATCCTGAGCCGGGTAATATGCACATCTCGCCAACTGACTCAGGTTAACGAGGGGTTCACACGTGGCGACACGTCTGTCCTGAAGACGCTATTTTTCTTTCTGGGCCCTTTACTTCAGACATTCCTTCGTGGTCGTACTGTATCTGATCCTATCAGGGCCTCTATCTCGCTTGCTTCTCCTTCAACATGACTTTCCGCCGCACTCGAGTAGTGGCCGTGATCTCGAACAAATCTCGCCCAGAGTCTCGGCAAGCCACCAAAAACACGTTGTCACTAACTTCCCAACGGCGCGTGAAACATTCGACGGTATCTTTGACTGATTCAGGCTTCTACTGCCAACATATCTACATCCCCACAGAACAAAGACTTTATTTGGAAGGAACCATCGATGTTTGAAATGTTATAATGATTGCCATGTCTTGCGATTACCTCGCTGATGAAAGCCCAACCCACACATGCCTATGAAGCTCTACCTCTACGCCTGATGCATCAAGGAAACTCCTCCTAATCTTTCTTCCACCTTCTATCCATTGCGAGTCTCGGGAATACTTCCCTCTACAACAGAAATTGGGCCAACGTTGGGTGCATCAACAGAGCCATTAAGCATAGCAACAGCTGAGATGACGTCCGACGGCTCAAGCAAGTGCCAGCTAGCCAGTGTCTGTTTTGAGCTTGCGCCAACAGTGACCGAGAAGACGTGCTCCTTAGGCAGTCTTGAGTTGCTGAGAGATCTGAACATGTCTNNGCAAAATCGGTGTTAGCATTCTAGTCATGATTCGTAAGTGCGAGTCATAATCATACCTTCGTCGGTAAAATCATCTCCCAGACACAAGACAAACTCAGGTGCCATGCCTTTCTCGTGACCGTACTCTTCAACTAGACGCTTCGCGATTTCACCCTTGTTGACAAATTTGGGACGAACCTCCAAGTTGGCCTTGCCAGGCATGACCTCGACATCATACTCCTTGGCAACAGTGTTCTCCAACTGCTTGCGGCACTCATTGGCTTGGTGCACACCCCAGTCAGGGTCTGCACGACGGTAATGCCAGGTCAAAGCGATCTTCTTGCGCTCAATGAAACTGCCTTGGGTGCGCTCGGTGTAGTGCTGGAAGGTATCAATGACCTTCTGTTGCCAAGACATGTCTTCCTTCTCTGTCAAGTTCTCCCAATGTTCGCTCTTGGGCTTGCGTAGGAAACTACCATGCTCAGCACTGAGTCCAAGCTCCGAGATGTGACCCATCCACTCATCCAGGAAAGCCTGGTCACGGCCACTGATGATCCAAACAGCATTGCGGGGATCAGAAGCCAGTGTCTTGAGAGTGCGAATGACTCGGTCGGAGGGAATGGCCGATTGAGGATCCTTGACGATGGGAGTCAACGTTCCGTCGTAGTCGAACATGAACAAACGCTTCTCCGATTGGCGATACTGAGTGAGGAGCTTGGTCTTATCCAAGGCAGGTGTGGCAATTGCTTGGTTGAACGAGGTAAGGTTGGTGAGCAAACGTTTGACGTAGTTGCTTGTCCATGTTTGCACGGTGTTGGTTGTGACGTTTCTGTACAACTTCTTGTGCATCTCGTACTTTTGTCTGGGATCCATAACCAAGGCTTGGTGAATTTCGTCTGCGGTGCCTCCAAGATCCCAGGGGTTGATGTGTGTAGCATTACCCAGACTGCCAGCGGTTCCAGAGAACTCGGAAATGATCAATGGTCCGTGGTTGTCCTTCTGACAAATGACATACTCGAGGGCGGTAGTGTTCATTCCATCACGGACACTTGTGATCAGTCCGACATCGGCAATGCGGAGAAGCGCAAAGTATTCCTCTCTTGACAAGTACTGAGGATAGTGTTGAACAGGAGTGAAGCTCAACGATCCGTAAGTGCCGTTAATTCTTGCAACTAAGTCGGAGATCTTGTTGGCGGTCCTATCCGTGCCTTCTTCCTTGTCTTCGACACTGGTGGGGCTGGTCACCTGGATCAAAACAACCTTGTCGTGCCACTCGGGGTGGCGCTCCAAGAAGATTTCGTAAGCTTGCAACTTTTGAGCAACGCCACGAACAGAATCCAGACGATCACGGCCAACAATGATCTTCTTGCCAGCATACAACTCTCTGATACCAGCGATTTTCTCGTCAACTGCAGCATCGTTAAATGCCATTTCATGAGTCTTGGCAGCGTTGATGCCAATAGGAAGCACTTCAACGGCGACGTGGGCTCCGTAGGCGTCGACTCCGTTTGCCGAAGAATCGAATCCGAGCACACGAGTGCAGCATGAAGAGAAGTGGCGAGAGTAACTGAAGGCTTGGAAGCCGATCATATTGGCTCCGAGAACACCCTCGAGAATGTCCTTTCTTCTGCTCAAGCAACGGTAAAACTCACTACTGGGGAACGGTACGTGAAGGTAGAAGCCGATGTAGATGTTAGGGATGCGCTGACGGAGAAGTCCTGGGAGCAGAAGCAAGTGGTAGTCGTGGATAAGAACAATGTCTCCGGGCTTGTAGGTCGAGAGGATGGTATCGGCGAAGGCTTTGTTCAAGCGGAAGTAGTCAGCCCAGGCCTTACGAATGGAGCGCCCATCGGTGGGCTCATTCTGCTTGTAGTGGAACAGAGTATATAGCTCGTGCTCGGCATAACGACGCCATCTAGCTTGGTCTCTCATGACAGCCACATCGCCGTCCATCTCATCGGCCAGCCAGACAGGGATGGTTCTGCCTTGAGGATCACGGTCAAGAATTCTCTCCAGCTTCTGACGATCGTCCTTGCTGATTCGCATTCCTTCGTTTGAGCCAGGCTCGGGTGCCGGAACATTTGAGTCTACAGGGATGGGCGCGGATGCTTTGTTGAGAGGTGCTACGCTCATGGATGACACGTTGTTCTCGTCCATGAAAACACCGTTACGAGTCTTTGGTTGAATCTCTCCAGTCCAGCCTACAAGAGTGTGGTTCCAGGGAGAATCGTTTGATGACAGATGAGCAAATGAATCGAACAGTGCAGATGTGCCTCTGCGACTCTGGAGATCCCACTCTGATCCTGCAGCATAGCCGATCTTGTGGGGAACAGTGAAGAAGGCGCTGATAACTTGACCACTTAGATTCAAGCTCGGGTGGGCGGCCTTGGGGTCAACATCAGCTTGGTCAGTGGTTTGCTGATGTCCCTTCAAGCTCAAACGACGAAGTACGTCTTCTCCAGCACCATCATTTTGACCTTCACTTGAGTCNAGTTGAGTCCTGATTTGATGTTGATTGCGTTTTCCGGTACCTTCAGGTGAGGCAACTTCAGGAGAAGAGATTTGTTGAGTTTGGAAGAAAGAGGTGCGGCCAGTGACATCTACGCCCGGGGTGACTGGAATTTCTGTGTTCTTTGGGTCAAAGACAGGGTTGATCGAGCCAAGTCGAGGGTTTGGAGGACGGTTGGCCATCGCTTCCTGATAGCAGGAGATTTATAAAAGCTGAACAGTTGGTCAGCATCCCGCGTTATGAGCGTAGAACATGCTTGGGGCTTTCGACGATGCGGTATGATGAGATCGTGGAGGTGCATGTCAGGGTTCTGCAGCCACACCGAATTCAAGCAACTGAAATCGTACCTTGTCCAAGCCTGGAGATGGAAGGTTGAACTAGAGAAGGGGGCCGTACATACCTCTGCTGCAGCAAGGTGTTGAGACCACAATTCAAGCTGTTCCCGCTGTTTGCGCCGGTGTCCTTGAAGGGAGTGTAAAGGTGTCGAATATCTCAAAGTCAAATTTGCTGCGATTGGCCCATACCGTTGCTTTTATTGTGTATGTGAACAGGTTTTGTCAACACCAGATTAGAAGATTCTACAACGAGGTGCTGTGACGTGTGAGCGCGTTGGGCGTGTGCACGTTTAGCCCGCTTCCGCCATTAGTGGGAGGCGCTAGCGAACGGCTGGCGAGTTATACAACAACACATGCTGCCAACAATCAGCAAGCAATAATCCAGGTTCTAAGGCAACCAACCAGAACTTTGGCAAACATACCCGGCAATTATGATACAGGAGGCCTACTGTCTTGCGATCATGATCTTATGAGTGTTCCAGCAGCTGTGGGAGCTTCGATTGATCGCGTGGTGACAATTACCGAATCAGGAGTTGAAAGGCGTCGGATAAGAAGCCCTTGACGCTCGATAATTCTCAGCTCGTTCACTCCCAAAAAAGATGGCTTGGCTCAACAAACAAGTGGGCAGTCATGCTGTCGTAATGAAACACTCCTCTCGCTTTCTGATCAGGATATTTGAAGTGAAGGGAGCAGTTGTTGAGTCTAGCTTCGGCAGTCCTGATACAGGGATCAAGTTTGCTCTGTCGTATTCGAGTAGGCTTGCTCTATCACAGAAAGCACCACGCAGCTCATCAAAACATGCCCTTGCATCTTCTACAAGAAACTAGTGCGACACCAACCGATTCTGGCTTTGATAGATGCAAGCTACTTTGATATACTTGTATAGCTTTATCTAGAGCTATGTAGGGCTACGTAGAACAGAATCTCGAATGCTCTTAGGACTTGACGGCCAATATGGACATCACTCCGGAACAGTCAAGCTTGTACCCCTGTCAATCTATTCCCCTTTAAAGTGACTGAAGTGTCGCCATGGGCTGAGGATAACCTGCAAGGCACAGCTGCCACGGCCTGGGTCATCGAGAGATGGACACAGCTGGCATCTGCTTCGTTCCAATCATTTGCTGTTTCGACACATCCTACATCTGATTGCGATCACAGTGGCCGCAACCGCATTCCAGATACCTATATAGCAATGGAACTGAAAAACAGCTATCTGTGAAGCAGGCTGGGACAGGTAGAATGTAGAGAGAGCTTCGGAAAGCCACGACTTCCGGAGGAGAACACAGTAGATATGGACACAGTCACTCTGATACTCCCTTTGGTTAGCTATAGAGAATCAACCTCGGCCTGCTCTGATACCAAGACTCTTTTGAATCGGCTCTAGGAAACAGAGACGAGGGGCTGCTCATAGCAACTGGAAGCCATCGTCATAGGTCAAGCAAAGCACGATGCCCCGCACAAATCGAGGCGCCGAAATTGGTGCGGGCAGCTGCACTACAAACCACCGAAGTTCCTTTCTGCGACCACGTCAAAACTCTTTACACACCGCTATACACTCCCCAGATCAGTTTGAATTCATTCTAGATCTTCAAAATGGCCTCTACCACAGCACCCGCCGAGATTGGTACGCACACTCTCAATGTGCTCAGAGAGCAGGAAAATTCAGGAGCTAATTGCCTTTGCGAGCAGACTACAGTCTGAACAACCCAGACACGTGCGGCCCAACCCTCGACTCTCCTCAAGACGACGCCCGCTGACCTCAAGATTAGCNNCTTACCAAGTACAAGACCGCCGCTCAGATCTCCCAGAAGGTTCTCGAGGCTGTCACAGGTACATGGCGTGACGCAAACCACAAAAGACCAAGGACTGACATGTGTTTAANNGGATGGTGCACTGAGGGTGCCAAGATTGTCGAGGTCTGCGAGAAGGGTGACCAGCTCCTCGAGGAGGAGATTGCCAAGGTCTACAAGGGCAAGAAGATCGCAAAGGGTATTGCTCACCCTACCACCGTCTCGCCCAGCGCTTTCGTCACTCCCTACACTCCCCTCAAGTCCGATGCTGAGGAGGCCGCCGTCGAGCTCAAGGCTGCCGAGTGCGTCAAGATCCAGCTCGGTGCTCAGATTGATGGTTTCGGTGCCATTGTTTGCGACTCGATCGTTGTTCCCTCTTCCGAGGCCAACGCCAATGGCGAACTCGAGGGCCGCCAGGCCGACCTTGTCCTTGCCACCTACTACGCCAACGAGCTCCTGTTGAGAACCATGCTGCCCTCTGGTCTCCTCGCCTCCGGCTCTGAGGAGGAGATTGCCAAGGCACGTGCCCAGAAGCCTTACAGCCAAGGCAAGATCACCCAGCTCCTTGAGAAGCTCGTCAAGAGCTATGACTGCAACCTGGTCGAGAACACCACCTGCTGGCAATTTGAGAGAAATGAGATTGAGGGCAAGAAGAAAATCATCTTGGCTCCCGGCGAGGGTGTCAGAGGTGACGGTCTTCCCGAGGTTGGCGAGGCCTGGGGTGTTGAGATGGGTGTCAGTTTGGGCACCGGTAAGGTCAAGTCCCTCGGCAACCGCGCTACTCTCCACCGCCGCACCACTACCACCTACGGCCTCAAGAGACCTAGCTCGAGAGCCACTCTGTCCGAGGTCGTCAAGAAGTTCGGTACTNTTCCCTTCTCTATCCGCCAGCTCGAGGACGAGCGCGCCGGCAAGGTCGGTGTTGTCGAGTGCGTCCGTGGTGGTGTTCTCCGCCAGTACGAGGTCATTGGTGACAAGGACAACGAGGCTGTGTGCCGTCTGTTCACCACCGTTGGTAAGTTTGTGTGACATTTCCTACAAAGCCAGCGTTTTCTAATCTTTAACCAGNCCGTCACCAAGAACGGTATCACCCGTCTGAGTGCTCCTCCTACTCCTGACCTTACCAAGTTCAAGACCGACAAGAAGATCACCGACGAGGAGATTCTGAAGATCCTCGAGCAGCCTCTTGCCAAGGAGTCGAAGAACAAGAACAAGAAGAAGAAGACCGCCACCAAGCAGGCCGAGACCACCGAGGCATAAATTCTTGTCAACACGCAAGATGACCGAGGACAGAGCTTTTGAGCGGAGCTGAGCAGCCATACTGAAACATCTCAGTTGTGGAGACGCAGTAGGATGGCATACGACGGCATGATCAGCAGAACAAGACACGAGTCTGAACTGCTTAGGGTGAAAAGTCAAGGGGGAGAGGCAAGAACGGCATGCCAGGCACTAGTCGCAAGCGAATGGAAGTCAGATACGAGTGCCCATACTCAGCTCGAAGCAATATTACGCATCACGTCAGACATATATTAGCAGGTCGTGTGAGAAGCCGCGTGATTAGCAGATGAAGGTGATGATGGTTGACTGTTGAAGGGGCTGGTGTTTGGTCACCCTTCACCCTTGGCGCACCGCGACGAGATTCCTTGAAGCCGCACACCTCGACACGTCAAACACAGCTCCCAGAGGCCTCGAAGTGGAGAGAGAGCGAGTCGACGCTTGGGCTGGTTCTGATCAGGATTGAGCGTGTTCTGCGTGTCTGGAGAGGGTGTTCTTTCGCGACCAAGAAAAGTCATAGGCGTCACGGCCGCACCTTCTACGCTTCAGATTCGACGCACCTGCCTCCCTACTCAACACCGCAACTTCCGCCAGGCGGACACCTACGCACCCACTTCTGAGACAAGAGGCATTTCTGGCCTAGAAAGAGCTATCAAAAACAAGATGGATTCGACGCCGTCGACCAGGAGTAGGAACCGCAGTCCTCGTGTACCGCCCGCAGCATCGACCCAAAATCGTAGCGTCGCCCAGCCTCCTGCTCAGAATGGCTCCACCCAGGACTGGATAGAACCGCCGCTCGCATCGCCCATCCCGAGTTTCGAAGAGCACGGGNGAGGTCCTTACGGAGTCCTCGAGGACATGCAAGCCCTGGGCAGTCGGCCGACAGCAAAGGTCAGAGGCAGGGTGAAGCCAGACGCTCCTAAGAAAAGCGCTCTGGGCAAATCTCTTGCCAACCCCATGGCCACCGCATCCAACCAGGGCACGCCAGAAGCAACTCCTGCACCTATGGATCCTCTGCCCGAACAGCCTCTGGTCATCGTCGACGATGAGCGTGATGATGACTACACGCCACGTCCGTCCAAGAAGCCTGCGAAAGCCCGTCTCTCGCGCTCAGCTGCCAACACGGTCAAGTCGACTGCTTCGCCGAAGCCCACTACACCTTCGGTCGCAGCCTCTGTGACTCCTGTACCTTCATCCGTTCCTACCCCTGCCGCCTCGGCCACACCAAGTGCTCCCCCTCCAGCTTCTGTCAAGCGCCCCCTCCAAGACCCGCCTCAGNAAGAAGAGGTTGCAAAGTACCTAGAATCATTCGATCGGACTATCCCGCTACCCAACGATGACCAACAGCTTAATTTGTATGGGATTGTAAAAGCTGCTGTCAAAAAGTCTCTCGAGGTCGGGAATAGGTATCTCGGTCTCGCTATTCAGGACGTTTATCTCGAAAGCTTTTCCAAGCCACATTTGGTAGATTTGCTGCAGGGTATTCTCGACCAGACCTCGACGCCCCAAGAAATTGCCATTTTCAGAGAGCATATCAACCGGGCCAAAAAGAGGATAAGGGCTGCTGAAGAGATGAAAGACAATGAGGAGGTTGCAAGTGAAGCCAAGCAGGTTTCTTCACTGGCACCCGAGATGATTCCGCACCCTTCTATTGAGACTCAAGCCGTTCCACGAAAACCAAAGATTTCACTCAAGATAGGCAAGAGAACAACGCAGAGCGTCACCAAGCCTGCCAAAACCCCAGCACCTCCTCCACCCACAACCAAGCCGCGCACATCAAGCGTGTCGAGCTCTTCATCTTTATCGTCACTCACTTCCATCGAAGAAGAAATGCCTCCTTCCGACCCATTACGATCATCAGCACCTGCAGCTGCTCCTACTATGCTTGCAGCTCCTCCGCAGACAAACGGCTCTATGAAGCGCTCTTCAATAGAAGCAGGAAATGACGAAACCGATCGCGAATTTCAAGCGAAGAAGCAGAAGTTTGACCAGACAGTCAACCGTGATGCTCCTACGGAAGAAAGCCACGTACGACCAGATCTACCGGCCATCTCCAGCGCGCACCAAAATCTGATCGTACCACCCGTGCAACTTACCGCCAACGGAGCCCACAGCAGAGACATCCAAGCTGGTGCAGTATCGCCTTTGACTGATGTATCATCGCCGCTCTCGTCTGCATCCCGTAACAATACACCCAAGAGAGCTACTATGCCTGCCAAGATGATGAAAAAGAAAGCCAAAACCAAGCACTCGTAAGTGATAACCCCTGAGAGAATGCGCGTAGCAAGCAAATCAGTGCCTACCATTCCGCAGACTGAAGGACACGAATGTTACAATGCTAACTGCTGTTGTTCACAAAGGCCAGTCAAAAAGCAAGCACCTGGGCAAAGTGCTGACGAGGACGGAACAAGCCGTAGAGCCAGCCCCAGCGGACCTGATGTGAACGAAGAGGTACGGACTCCTTGCTATCATTTCTTCCCCAGCACACTCCATGTCATCCATTTGCTCGTGCAAAAGATGCTATCGCCGATAGCATCTGATCCACATACATTATGAGATCACTCTGCAAAAGAATTTCACTGACGCCCACCACCCAGTNCTGACAATAACGACTTCTGCACAGCTTGCAATACCAGCGGATTTCTTCTTTGCTGTGACGGCTGCGACAGTTCGTTCCATCTGCACTGTCTTGATCCCCCTTTGAGCCAAAACGCGCCTGAATTGAACGAGGCTTGGTACTGTTTCGGCTGTACCGCAAAACGCGCACAACCCCAGAGACAGTCCCGTGGCCTCTTTGCTGCGTTGCTTCTCAACCTTGAAAAGCGCAATCCATCAAATTTCGTGCTCCCACAGGACATTCGCGAATACTTTGATGGTGTTGCAACCGCTAAGGACGGCAAATTCGTAGAGCAACTTGCTACAAAGACTCGGTAAGTCGATGCATAAACACGCCACCACAAGCGCTTGTCGTGCGAGATTCAACGATAAGCAGTGCAATGCAAGATTGGTGACTGACATGTGTAACNNAGAAGAGGAGCTGGATACGAAGAGCTGCCCGATCACTTCAAGACAAAAGATGCTAAAGGGCAAGCCATCCTATGCTACAATTGTTCTCTTTCGTCCCTTGGTCGGCGCGAGATCATCACCTGCGATCAGTGCAGCGCACACTGGCACCTTGACTGTCTCGACNCCCCTCTTGCAAATGCCNCCTATCGTGATCACACTGGCAGAAAGATTCGTGATTGGCTTTGTCCTCTTCATGCTGATCATGTGCTTCGCCAGATGGAAGTGCCTCGTTTGGCTGATCGCCAGTTCCAGAGAGAGCGAAGAGTACACATGCGCAGACCTCGTGCTGCAAAGGTAGTTGATACCGCCCTCAACCGCGACTTCATCAACGATGGCGTGGTCGAGATCGCTAACGACTCAAGTGATGATGAGTCCGAGTTTGAAGAAATCGATGTCTCGGGTGTTGTCTATCGTCTTCCTGAGAAGGGCATCAAGCTTGATTTCATTGACAGAGTCAGACGGTGAGTGTTTCTCCATTCGGTTTTCGTAAGCTTTCTCTAACAGTCTTGCAGAAGCCGAGCAGCCGAGCAGTACTACAACAATCGCCAGACATACTCTCGTCCGAGCAAGAGAAGAAAAGTCATGCACCACGACGAGAAGGACAGCTTCTTCCGCCGCTCCTTCGTCGAGCAGCGTACTGCGCTTGACTTGGTTGGTCTTGCTAATCAGCAAGCCGACCTTGACTTCAATGGAGACCAAGTCAGCAGCCTTCTTACTACCCTCATTGTAGGTTCCACTGTCTTCAAAAACTCGTCAACTCGTGTGACTGACTGTGTTCAATAGGCCGAAGCGCCAGCCGATGTGGTTGAGCAAATGATCGAAGCGGAGAAGGCAGCCAAGTCGTCTGACACAACAGGTCCGCCCTCACCTCCGGCATCAGATCAACACACGGAGCAAAGTGCTGCACAGCAACGCAAGACGTTGGAGCTGCTCCAGACACTCATTGCAAGAAAGCTTGCCGCCTTGCCCGATCAGTGATTGATCCGAGTTCATCTCGGCGGGTATGGCATACACACTAATCGATCCGCACCAAGAGTAGAACAATCGCCGCCCCTCTTGACAGTCTAGCTATGAGCATGTTATTGGGCAATTCTTCATCGCTTCATAGAGAGCAGAAACCGGCTGCGACTCCTGACAACAGGGTGGTTGTGAGCTGATATATGCTCAGACTGCTTGACATGCTTTCTTCCGCCCACAGTCTTGTTTATGAAGAGTGTTTTGCTTGCAAAGCTTGGTTATCGGTCTCGATGCAGTGTTCTCGACTCTTTCCTTATCTTCTCATTCTTGCGGCATGGACGGTTCAGGCAGGGGAGGGGGGAAACAAAACATTTGTACTATAGCTAGTAATATTTCATTGAGAGCCGCCCAGTTCAACTGGCTACTCGCCTGTTCCCTTTTTCTATCCTTACTATCTCGCCTGTTCCCTTTTTCTATCCTTACTATCATATGTGTTGTTGTCTCTCCGTCCTATTCGTTCCAGCGGCGTTTTCCCTACCAAGATGCATAGGGAATACAACTTTCCAATGACCCACCGAATTGCTTGTTTACTTTTTCTGGTAGTAACTTGTGTCTGTTGGAAGAACAAAGTGCTCGATGGCTAAGCTGGGTTCATCTCACATGCATAGCATCCCTCTGACGTGTTATGTCTCTTGCTTGCTGCTTTTCGTTTCGGAGTGCTCGTCTCGTGAAGCCTTGATGGCAGGAAGTGGTGTCAATCCGAGCAGATGTATCGTGATGGTTGAAATCCGGCAGGAGAGCGATACAAGCACGAGTAGATGCAGTCGTTGTCATGCCGGCTTCCTCGCTTGCAAAGATGCTTTTCCGAGTCTTGGAGACTTTTCAATCGCGCCTTCTGAACTGAAGCACTTTTCAGTTTAGCCTTTGGGTAAAAGAGTGATGGAAGATCGTCCTAGTCCAGTATTTGGTGAATCGATTAGCGGTTTATGTCCATGTAATGCTTGCGTTAGTCTGAGAAGAATGATGAGCCACGATGGAAAAAGTATTAATAGTTTGCTGTGTCTACAGTTTTTCTGCCTCGTGTGACAAAAACAAGCACTTAGAGATTTGAAGATACTCGATTCCACTTCGATGGCGTAAGATCTGTCTCTCGGTAAACGCCTCAAGTCTATTTGATAACAGTATTTCACATTTTGATATCCATGGAGTACCAGAATCTGAGTATCGCGAAACATGAGAAAACAGGTGGGTATTAACAGTTCACTTTTTACTAAGAATTATCTAAAAGAAGAAGAAAGATGAGGGGAATTTTGCGTCAAAACCCTCGAGTCGCATAGTACCGTTCTCTTGTCGAAAGCTCTTTGTCTCACGCCGACATGTAGAGCAAGTTGCCTGTGGGAATAAAGTGCCGTACTCGTACAAACAGGGCATTTCAGTTCCGACCGCAGTTCTGTGGGGTGCTCCTTCTTCACATGATCCAAGAGCCCTCGCTGGTGCCGCAGCTCATTACCGTCAGGGCAGAATGGGCAAGGCATTGGGGGCAGGTGTACTTTCCTTGTTTGATGCCTGTGCAGCCGATGTCGGTGATCGAAGGTCTCGTGGCATAAACCACTACCGTCGAGTCTCTCGAGATCGCATCTGTAGCCTTTCGAACATTGCCTAGACACAGGAGGTGTCTGCGTCCTCTCTCCAGCACCATCGAGAGTTGGGGCAGCAGAATCGAAGCGTGTTGTTCTGGCCGGCGATACATCTTGGTTGTATAGAGCAGCGCTTTCGAAATCCAATGGTTCGAGATCTGGTTCGTCTAATACGGTGTGCCGATGGGATCTAGGGCTGTCGAGTTACGTGTGTCTACGCCATTCTAGCGCGAGCCAGTGTCCTACGAGGGCCCTCCTGGAGCGAGGACAGAATCCAGTACGCCAAACAGAATGTCTCTGTCGGCAGTTGTTGCTCCTTCCCAGCCAAGGTCGTCATCATCAGTCATCATGGCATCACCGTCTGCCTCTTTGTTGTCTAGTGGACTATGGTCACCATTCGTGAGGGCCATTGGCGTGTCGACCATGTCCATTTCCACATTGTCCATTATTTCCTGGGCAAGGAAGGGGTCTAGGCGTTGCCGTGTCTCGTCTAAGCGCATAGACATGCGTATTTCGTCCATGCTGAGTGGTTCTCTCCGCGTAAGAGATTCTTGCTCACATGGCAAGAAGCCTGCAGCGCTTCTGCTGAGCTGTCCACGATCTACGGCATCTTCCTCGCTACGCATTTGAGCGCGGAACTTTGCTGTTATCGGGCCCAAGTCTCCAGGAGCGTTGCTGCGTGTTGCCGAGAACCAGTTCGTCAGCTTCTCCTTGACGTAGGTTTCGGTAGCAACCTCGACAAGCTCTGCTATGGTCTGCAAAGCGGCGGATGTCATAGGTACTGCTGATAAGCCCACGCCCTCTTCATAGCAGATGGGCTCGATACGGGCTTGTATGTCTGCCCGTGAAGGGAAGTCTAGCGTCTCAGAAGCCAGCGGCACGGCATATCGTCTTCGAATTTCTAGGTCCCAGTTGGTCTTACTGAGCGAGGTTGCGGTCGTTGGTATGGCATCGGGTATTTGAGAGGAGGTAACAGGTACTGTGAGGGCGGTTGCGTATGTGGCATTCTCGCGCAAAGGACCCGAGGGCGGCACGGCAGGGAGGTTGTCCTTAGCACTCTTGATCCTTCTCCTGTCGCGGGCAGATAGAGCCATGACTTCGCGTTTTAACCTCTCTTCTGCCTTGTCACCACCGCCTTGTGAGACTTTGTTGTTTGCGCTGGCCGAGGCCGGGGCGTCGGTGGCTAGCACCCATGATGCGACAGGTTCTGGTGGAGGGTCGCGGTAGATGTTCGAGTGTATAGCACTGAATATTTTGTTGTGTAGATGGATGGTCGAGACCAAGACACCATTGTATGAGACGGTTGGTGCGTATGAGAGGACGCGATCAGTGACTTGGGAAAGTTCGGCCTGGTTCAATTTTCCTGGAGTAAGACAGTCAGCGCATTTACGAAGTAACTAGAAGCAGCGAAAGAGGCGGTACCCAAGNAAGAAAGAGGACAAGGTGGTCTTGTACTCGGACCAAGACTCCCCAACAGCAGCTTTGAGGGCAGTGAAGAGTGGTTCCGTGTCGATACGTGGCACACCCATGCGCATCGGCGTCTGCATCTTGGTCGAGTCGATCGACTCGATGCGCCCAAGCTCCGGTCCGTCCATGGTTACTGGTGATGTGTGGACGGTCCTCTATACTATGTAGATGACGCGCCGGTCGCTGGTCGTGCGAGTCTCGTTGCCCGTGACTCACTTCAGGAATCCAGTCATAATCGATGTCGTTAAAGTCGGTCAGCTTCCGCGACAGTAATGATATTATTGATGAGATGTTTGTAGTGTGGTGTTGTTGGTCGATAACTGCCTCCTTTTGTCTCGTTCTCCGCGAACTGAAGTCCGGGAAAGAGCGATCACGGCCGAGGCCTGGGGTCGCTGCCTGAGGCTGCCATCCCTGGACTTCCCCATCTTTACACCATTGTCTCTGTGGGCCATCTCTGCCTCGAAAACAATCCTGCGTTTTCTATAGCATCTCATGCTCAACACTAATAGCTAAGCAACTACTCAAACACAACAAGTCCAACATTTGGCTTGAGCCAGTTCCACTTCTTGTCCCAAAAGAAAGCAAATCATACACCTCCCTAATCCATCCATCCCAGTTGTATGCGTTGTCCCAAACCTTCGCCCTCGAACCAGTAAAACAAAAACATCCTTCCTTGGACAGCCCACTCGCTCAAAATGCTAAAAGGTCTTGAATGTCATAAATTCTTGAGAAGAGAAGAAAGAAAAGAGGAACCTCGTATGACAGAGGCTCAGTGCAGTTCTGTCATGAATGCCTCGACGCTCTCTGCATCGTCCACTTCTACCCACTCCCACTCCTCGCTGTGATCCGCCTCTTCTAAGCGCATGCGCCCATGGCTGTCTATCGGGTCTTCGGGATGTACTATTACACTGGCACCGATGGCTGCTGATTGGCGTCGGTTGCTCATCGGAAGTTGGTACCTCAGCACTCCACGAAGGATGAGCTCGAAGGGATATTGGAGAACTCGCTCCCAGCGCTCTGATCCTCCGCTCTCCGTTTTGTTTCCAGGATATCCAAGACGAAGCTCGCCCAGTGAGTAGTGTGTGTGACGTTTGATGGGCGATCCTTCGAAGCACAGCGCTTGGTCGAAATGTAAAATCCTGCCGAGGAGCATTGTCTGCGAGTCGCCTTCGATGGGATCCGTGCCCTTGTCCACGCCCGAGCCTGCATGCCAGTGACCGTGTTCATCTTGCCACGGGGTACCTCCAGCCTCTCCACGAGGGACCAGACGTCTTCGCTGAGTTATTGCTGGCAAAGAACCATTGTCTCGTCCAATGGGGTTAACATACTTGCTCTTGGCAAATATATTTACGTCCATGTCCGTTACGGTCACGCTTAGGATATTCGGATTGACGGCTCCGACCAACAAGTCCAACATGATCTCTTGCTCGCTCGCAAGGACGTTCTGGATCTTGTCCACGTGGAAGTCCGTCAAGGGCTTGTTAAACATGACCAGCAACCCAACAGCACCCATAGTCACCATCATGACAACCAGAAGACCCAGGATGAACCCTCCAACTCTGCTGAATCGTGATCGTGGTTCTCTGACGCCGTAATAATCAATCGAGCGCATACTGTTGTCGCTGTTGAATCTCCTGCCGTAATTGCGCTGACTGTTTCTTGGTGTTCTGACGCTGCCTAGCATGGGTGTGCGCTCATCGTCTGCGCCTTCTCCCTCGAAGTCATATTGCGTGTTGTCGTTCTTCTTGCCAAACAATCCGGAAGGTCGATGTTGTCCGCTCTGGACGCTACGTGGTGTGCCTGGACGCGAGGGTGCTCGCTCTGAAACGGACAAGGTAGTGCTGCGTAGCTTGGAAGCCTGAGTGAAGGGCGAGTCTTGGTCATATAGAGAAGCGCGACTGCTGCCACCGGGACGGCCGAATCTACCGATGTGCCTGGCATGGTGGGCCCGAACCGTGCCATCACCCGTGGCTTCAGGGCTGTCCAATACGCTATAAGGGTTATTAGAGAACTTCATACTGCGCTTGCCTGCGATGCGATGATCGCCATAAGGTCGCATTCCATGGCGGAAGTCGCTCTGGCTATGTAGAGATGTCCCACTGGGTGTACGCGAATGATGTCGACTAGCTCTGTGCTGTTGCTCAGGCGGATTTGATTCGTACACAAACGTCTCATCCGAATCTGATGAGTTGGCTTCGTCGACGGCATTTGCAACCCTGGCCTCGAATATATCGGCCTTGGAAGAGGCTGAACGAATGGATGCGTTAGTATTATGCGACGGTATATAGGTTAGAGCAGCGCGACGAAAAGCAGAAACGCGACGAGGCGAATGAGCAACAAAAGACGAATCTGAACGCGTGTCTTCATGATCATCGGCGGAATCAAGCGAGGGTTGGGCTTCACCAGAAGAAGTGGGTATGTTTCTGCGACGGGAAGAAAACGAAGCAACAGACGAACGATGGCGCAAATGCAATGGGGGTTAAACACACCCGTTCCGTTGTTAATCGAGGGCGCCTTGCGCGTCGCTCGCTTTCTCTCCTTTCTTGGTCGTATTGTCTCAGTGCTGGGCTTCATGCGAAGAGAGCCTCCTAGGTCGGGTCTGCCCAAGGTGGAACGATCGATGGTGGAAATCTGTGATTGTGGAATGGAGCTGACGGTTTCTGTCTCGACTGTCATGTTTCGAGTCCCTTCAGTGGCGCGTGATTTGCTAGATCCAAGACCTGGATATACTGATTTGAGAGCGGCAACATTTTTGGGACGAATGTTGGAGCTCTGGCTGGTTCTACGACCTCGACCGTCACTCATGTTAGCGTCACTCTCGCTCTCTGCGAGTTTTGAAGAAGCTTCTCCATTGTTATCTTTTGGTTTACCACGAACAGTCGGAGGCCCGTCGTCGTCAGAGTGCGCCCCGGTCCTGCATACCACGTAAGCTTATGTGCTGCATGCTGTAAATAACAATGTGATAATACCCTTTCGAGTCGGTGCTACCACTGGGCGCTATGTTCTCGACGACTGTTTCGAGGACAGGTCTCGGGCCGCTAGGGCCTCTGGATTGGACTTTTGGAGGTGGTGGAGGTTGTAGTTGAATAGGTTCTTCTTTGATACCCTCGTTCAAGATTGAATGTTCTGAGGGGTTCGAAGAGGGTTCGACGACAATAGATGGAGGAGCAGGTTTTGGATTTTGTGACAAGACGGAATTCCTGCGAGAGCGAGCGGAAGAAGGAGGAGGGGACTTGAGGCGAGGTGAGGCTGGTACAATGGTCGGAGTGGTTTCGCCAGAGGCAGTGGCAAGAGGACGTTTCTGCGCAGTGAGTCGGGTCACAGCATCGGTGACAGAAGTGGGTGATTGGGCCTGTTGGAGTTGTGGGATGGTTGCGGCTGAGAGAGCACGTTGGATGGCAGCAGCTGAAGGCACCGAGGTAGGCGTAGACAAGGCCGGGGTACGGTGAGGGCTGGTGTCGTGGCTGCTCTGACGGGACCGTAGGACACCGGCTCTGCCCTGTACGGCCGAGGCTGGCGGAGTGCCGTGTTGGCGCATGGCGGAGCGCACCGGCGATGGGTTCCTGGACGAGCGAGGACTCTCGGAGGGAGCAAAGGTGGCCGAGGCCTGTTTCCGCAGCGTGGGGATTGAGGATATCGAGGTAGACGAGGCGTGTCGCACGGTAACGGGGCTGCTGTCTCTGCTGGATGCGCTCCTCGGGTGGGCTTCGCGGGCGTCGGCCATGGCGGCGTGCGAGGCGGAGTTGGTGGTCGAGTTTGATCAAGGCTTCTTGGACGGGAGTCACGACGGACGGGGCATCTGCATGTTGTGTTTGCGATAGTCGGTGTGTAGCGTGCTAGCGACAGGCGTGGACAGGTGCAGGTGCGAGAGCGACAGCAAAAGCAAAACGGCTAGCCAGATGCAAATGCGAGGGCGCTGCCTGTGCTAGGGGTGTGTGCGAAGCAAACCAAGGAGTCAAGGACCATGTCATCGAGCCAAGATGCAGCCAGAAAGCCATCGCTTCCTCTTCCTTGTATCCGCTCTTCGATCAATTTTCTGGAACAATTCAATCTTGCTTTAGCGCTGCTTGCACAAAACTATAATCCAGTTTCCTATACATGGCACACGAGTCTCTCTCCCTCTGCATACCGTGCCTCCTTTGTCCTCCCGAGTCCAAGCCAATTCTCTTTCTCTCCATCTGCCACTTTGTCGCGAAACAAAGCCAGCAGCCTCAAGTCGGTAAGCTTAGAACAACAATCGTCACCCAGTCGACAGACACAGTGCACAGTGCACAAGCCATGTTTCATCAGCACATCTAAAAAGTCCATGAATTGTCGCCATATCAGCTACGCGCCTAATAATCTTCCCCTTGCCTGTGGCTTCCATGAATGCTGCCGCCTCGGGGGCTAAAACCCTCCGACATGTGCGCCTGTGCCACTGGAAACGCCTGCGCAACGTGACCTCCAACCACACGCTCGTCATGAAACCAAGAAAAATAGCCATGTATCCCGCGATCAAACGCCATTTGGTATTTTGCCATCCCATGAGCCAAATCACATAGACCAATCGCCGAGCAATGTCTAGAATAACGGAATGAGAGCAACAAAACATGACAAGAGTGCCCAAACCGACCATCTTTTTGAAAACGACGTCCATCGTCAATCAAATAGAGATAGAGGGCAACAAAAGAAAAGGTGCTAAGAAGAGAAAAAAAAAGAAAGAACGTGGAAGATGGAATCCTTGGGTTCCTGGGAATCAATCGTGCTGTCGTTACTGATACAAGTTTGATGTTGCGTGATAGTTTGGTCATGCCCAAGAATCGGCTCGCCGCTTGGGCAGCTACAACGCTTGCAATTCGTTGGCCGTGAATTCGCTTCAGAAAGTGGCTTCTTTGTCGCCATGTTTGTCCTGTTGGCCTTGTTTGGTGTATAGGGCCTGTTACCCTTGGTTCAAAAACATGAGTATGCTTTAGATGTCGACCATGTCAATGTCGTGACCAGCGTTGAGAACATCGTCTGCTGGTCCCCAGTTGCCCTCGTAAACTGTGGCACCTGCGCGTCTTCTCTGTTCGACCCATTGAACTCCACCGCAGCTCAGGAGTTCGTCGATCACCGGTCTCTGTTCGGGAGATGGGTAAATCATCCACTCAACGACCTTGTCAAGTGCCTCGCTGTCGTTGGGGTCAATCATGAAGTTGGGTGGCTGAGCCAGCTCTCTTCTTCTGTGACCGGTCACCGTGGGCTGGTTACCCAAATCCATGTCGTCGTCGAATCGAAGGGTTTCCTCGTTGTCGTCGACCATAGGCTCGCCAGACTCATACCTAGGAAGGCTGTTGTCGGAACTCCATGTAAGGCTAGGCACATCGCTGAGGTCGCCGCTACGCAGTCTTTGCCAGTGAAGACCATTGTCGGGAAGAACAATGTTTCCGGCGATCTCGAGCATGATCATGCCAAGAGAGAAGATGTCGGCGGGCTTGTCGAACTTGCCAGAAAGCACCTCGGGACCGATGTATTCGCGGTCACCCTCTCCCTCAATGTGCTTGGGCGCGGGCCATGTTGTGGCCATACCAAAGTCGGCAATCTTCAGTACTCCTTCCCAGTCAATCAACACATTGGCTGGCTTGAGGTCGAGGTGGATAAACCCAGCATCATGGATGCACTTAACACCCTGTNNAGCAGTATGTTAGTACAACTCAAGAAGGGATTTAGTAGGGCCTCCACATACCTGAGACATTTCGAGCAAAATCTTCCAGATGCGGAAGTCGTCTAATCGACCCTTGAAGCCAGTTTGCGTAAGGAAGTCCTTGAGATTGCCGTTCTCGCAGAACTCGGTCTGAATATAAAGGTGATTCTTTGACTCCCATGAATCACAGAGATCGAGGATGTGTTCGTTACCACGAAGGGCTTGGAGAACATGGACTTCTCTCATCTTGTTCTCCCGGTCCTTGACACCAAGATACGGCTTCTTTGACTTCTTGACAGCCCAGACGTTTCCAAGTTTGCGTGTGAACTCGTGGCGAGCAGCCGGGCTGCCAACGACAGGTTTTGAGACGCGGTAAACCTGAGAAAACTCTCCAATACCCACTGCCTGAACACTCTCGAATCGGGATGTAAGTGCTGTGTCGACGTCGTTTGCAAAGAAGCCTGAGACAGAAGCTCCAAAAGCACCAGGTCTGATGCTTCCACCAAAGTTCATTCCAGAGTCTCTTGGTCCGGTGGGAGTAGCAGGTGGGAAACTGTTTGAGCTTTGAAGACCGCTCATGCCGAACAGAACCGGCCCACGGTGCTCACCAGAGATGGACAGACCACTAGGATCCGGTGGGGTGAAGCTCTCCTGAGGAGTCTTCGGGGGGAGGTTCGAGTCCGTAAAGCTCGAGTGGCTAGATGGCGTGACTGCTAATAGTTGCTTTGCTTCAGCATCTCCTGCAGATGAGGTAGAAGAAGAAGAAAAAGAAGGAAATTCCCGGCACCGAAGAGTAAGAGGAGATGGGCAAGATTTGCGATGAGACTGCCTAAGGCTCATGGCTTGTTCAAAAGAAGGAGAAGATGGCGAACCACATGGTGTGATAGTAAGAGATGGGGTCGAAGCCACACTTTTCTTTGACTCCGAAGAAGGAGTAGTTGAAGAAATATACTTACAGTCATTTGCTGGCTGTTGATCCTCAAATTTCGGACGATCGAAAGTGTCGGGTGCAATCGACGATCTGCGTCCAAACAAGGAACTTCGCAGGCTGTTTCCTTTGCCCTTGGATGTTGGTCGAATGGTTGTGGATCCAGAAGAAGCGGCTTTGGTGGGAGTCGGTGGCATCTCATCACCGCTAGCTTGTACGTCCATATGACCGAGAGGTGACTTGTTCAAATCTTCGTCGGTAATGCTGAGGAAACTGCTTCGTCGGTTTGACTTTCCAGAAGAGCAGCCAAGACCGAAGATGTTCACACCCTTGCCGAATGACTCAGGAGATGCTTGGACGGGGTGTGGACTCCAAGGGGTTGTTGGCGATCCAAATTCGTGCAGGGGGCGAGAAAACTTGCCAAAGTTGGCTGCTGGGGCTGGAGTGCCACCACCGAGATGAGGTAGAATGGTCTTCTTCGAAGGCGTATCGGGCATGTTCATGCTGCTACCAAACGAAGACTGAGGAAGGTCGACATTTCGATTACGCTTAGAGATCAAGCCGGTCGACATGAAAGCCTGTGGCAATGGCTTTGCCATCTTGAAGGCTTCCGGCGTCTCGAACGAATCGCTTGAGCCGCTCGAGTCGGTGTGCGGCTTAGGTCTGAGCGCACCGATGGGTAGACTCTTGGAAAAGCCGGGGTACGGTCTAGAAAATTGTGGCTTTTTGGGCGATAGGCGTGGCGTATCATCGCCGAGACTTGATGCCGAAGATGAAGGGCTCAATGCCTTGGAAAGAGGGTGAGGTTTTGGTGCTGAGCGAGAAATTGTTTTTTGCTCTGGAGGTGGAAGATGGATGGAGTGCTCCAGACCACGAAGAGGCAACGAGCCATCGAGCGACATTCTGGCGCGTGCCTTCGAGTGACCGCTAGGAGACTCGCTCAGATCTGAGTAGGGTCTGGCGCGAGGTGTACCCACTGCTCGTTGCTGGAGAGTAGACCTTCTGAGGCTGAAAGGCTTGGTGCGCTGGGGAGATCGTTGACGCACAGGGGACACAGGCGTAGGCTCATCGTCGCTGAAATCATTGTTGGCACTCTCAAAGGCCTGCTCAAAGACATCAAAGTCGATACCGAGAGAGGCGCTGTGCAAGCTGCGTCGCTTGGCTCTGGGACTACCAAGGTTGACCTGGTCGAGATTCATAACACCATCGCTTCGTTTGAGAGGACTGGACTTTGCCGGCGTTCCACTCATGGCCAGTGACAAGCTGTTGCGGCCTTTGAGGAAGTCGAATTTGATGGGTTCGTCATCGACTTCGAAGCGGGCATCGCGTGGCACATCCAGGTGCCTTGAAGTGGGCGACGTTAGATATGAGTTTTCCTGGTCGCCAGGAGTAGGTTGTTGAGTAAGTTCCATAGTTACGGTGTTTGCTTGGCTGCTGGCGTCACTCAAGGCGCGTCTCAAAGTGTGCGGCGTTTCCTTGCGCGCATTCGCGCGAACAGGCGCGTTTCGTCGTAACAACAACTTGTTCTTGAGGGAAGAATCGGCACCAGTGTTTGCACTCAAGGCACGGGACAGACCAGAGCGTGGAGGAGACTTCTTGGGGGACCTGGAGACCAGATGGTAACGCGACGGCTTCGAGGGGGAACGCGACAAGGAGCGGCGGATTTGCTTGATGGACGGGAACGCGTCGATGGAGTATTGAGGATGTGTCGGCGAGAGCAGATGAAGGGTTCCTCCAGCTGAACGGTGGGGAGAGTATTCAAAGTCCATGGCCAGGATGACGGCTGTTCGTCTAGAAGGACGGGGCGGCACGAAGGGCGTTTGAGGTGGATGCCGGAAGTATGTATGTCGAACAGAGAGCTTGTATCGCGAAGCGAGACGGTTGATAGAGCTAGGTGGCCATCAACACGCTCCACTCTTGCTGGCTGAGGGCGTGTGCAGGACGAATGCGACAGATGCGATCGGCGACGCGGCAGTCAGGTGTACCACGACAGGCAGAGGGTTGTTGGATAGACGATAGGCGTGGAAGCTGAGGGAACGGCGATCGCAGGACTCGAGTGTTGATGGAAATTACGACGTTGGACGTGCTGAGGTCTTGGTGATCGAAAATGTAAACAGAGGTATGCGACGGTGCGGCGCGTGTGAATGGGCGGGGATGAGGCTGATAGAGCGGCTTTGTTGTTGTTGAGCACAGCTCGGGCTGCGAGACGTCGAGTTTGGGAGACGGAGCTGGAGAGGCAAAACAAGTTGATCCAGGCAGTTCGGGCGGGAGAAGAATGCGAGAAAGTCGATAGATGGGCGCGAGTGCGAGTTACAGAGGGAAGGCGCCAGCAGCGGCGGAGGGCAACAGCGACCGATGTGCATGGGCATCGCGACAAGTGCACTGACCCTGCCTTGCATGCACGGCCTTTCGACCAAGCCTCAAGCCGTTCAAGTCCAACCTCAATCATAAACATCATGCCAAACCCACACTTGCTGACGCCTGCCCTTGTGCATAACGAATACGATGACGACCAAATCTCCTTTTGACACCAGACAAATCTGGTACGTCTGCTTCACACACGTCAAGTCGACCGCCGTCTGGTGTCGGAGCCTTCTTGGCTCAGCCGAGAGCTACATGGTCCTTGCACGGTATAAACAAACAAACGGAATAACAATCAATGTAAAAGCATTTTTCTGGCATGACCACACCATGCTGCATATCTTCTCCTTGCACAATCTAGTAAGCTAGTTAGACCATTGCACAGCACCGGTTCACTATTCACTAGCCACTTTGTTCGTCTACCGTCCGCCTCGAGCTGAGCGCTGCATTGCCGTTGGCCCCTCATCTCTACCTTCTTACCCTGCTCTCTGGGAGCTCAAGCTCCTCGACTACTGTCAATATCCGAGGGCCCAGTCAGATCGAGATGTGCAATAATTAGCGCCAGACTCACATGATAGGGTTGCTGGAAACTAGCTAAGCAGTATTCCAAGTCAACCTGTGTTTCACCGCCTTGGACAAGACTTGTCCCGCTGCCCGCTTGTGAAATTGGAGTTGCAAAACTCTCCATCCTTGAACAATGATGATTGTTCGATTGTCTATTAATACAACAGAAGCTCTCTGAAACCAGGAGGCTGCTCTTAAACAAACGGTCATCAAGGAGTGGAGGTTACTGCCGTACCGTTCGCGAGCTGTCCTGTACGTACCATCAACGTTGTACCCAACACCCTGGGATGGTTCGTTTCCCCTCGAGGTTGGTTAACTCGACTGAGTTTCCTGGTTTATACAACGGGCCTAGCTATGTAGCTGCATATTTGGCGTGCAATTGAACCCGGGCAACCACAATTGAAAAGGGGGCTCTGTGGACTCAATGTCTGTACATACTGGAATATCTCCTCGATGCTCTTGACCGCTGACTCGTAATCCACATCTCGTACTTGTCAACCTCCTCAACGTTTGTTCACAATCTCTACTCCTGACTCGAAAAGCCACTTTGGTCTTGACTCTTCCAGAGCACATGTTCATCCACCGCAAGCCTCGAATATCCACCACGGTAGCCTTTGCTTATTGCCGAGTCCCCGACGGTGCACCACGATCACCCTCGTGGCCGAAAGCAAAAGAGGGACGTAAAAGTTCATGGCGCGAACGCCCACTCCCGGCGCGCCTAAAGCAAGAATGGCAGAGTCCACGAATCCACTTCCCACCCCCAGACCGCACCGTGCGTCTCCTGTCACTTCTCTCCTTGTTGCCTTCACCGCCAGCCGGCTCCTCGCTGCACTGCTGCAGGTCCCAGAGAGACCTGCAGCCGATCTTTGGAGGTCAACCCCTCCCTCTACGCGGACCAACTTTATGGTTGGCCTTACTACACTGCCTAGCCTCGACCATCAAAGTTGAGGAGATGAACAAACAGCCACGTTTCTGCAAACGAATCTTGGAACACAGATACGCATAAATTACACAGTTGGCAGAACGTTGTTGATGTTGGAAAATATGTTTGTTTACCTACGGCGGCCTCTCCGCTGCTGTACCCCTCTGCTTTAATCATCCTTGAATAAAAGGTTAACCATGCAACTGTTTGAAATAGTGTTAAACATAAACTCTATCTTATGCTGATCAACCGAGCACCATTAGTGATACCCGAGAGCTTAGATGTTTGTGGGGGAGATGGCGTGGCAGTACCGCATTATCTCAAGAGAGGTGCGAGCTTTGCTGGACAATTAGGCATCAAGGCAAGCATGCGAGTAGGTAGTTACCCAAAAAATTGCCACAAGGGCAGTGCAAAGAAAAGGAGCATTGAGACGATTATCTCTTGTTGCCCCAGCATCCAGTAACCAAGGGTCTCCACATAAGGGGTCAGACTTTCAAGATCGAAAGTCCAGTGTTGGAGTATGCCTTGAAACAGCACTGTGGATGGGTGTAATATTTACCCACCGCCTTTGCTAGCTATACATGTTGCTAGGGGACTAATTCCAGCTTTCAGCTATAGCGGTGTTGGAGGTAGACTTGATCGGGAAAGATCTCACGAACGAGCAACACAAGACCAAGGCGTGGCGGACATTCGGTCAAGGAGAACCGAGTTCGTGCTTTTGGTACAGCTCGACATTGACACGTTGTCACAATTGACATCTTCGCACGTTAAAAGACAAGACCGTGAGCTCGGTACTAATTGCCATTGCATGGTTATCTGGTTTCCTGTCTCGTTGATGCAAGGTCAATGCCTCAAGCCCGATGCTTTGATGGAATTTCCTCCTCTCAGCTTTGAATCGCATAATCCTTCAAGCCACTCCAAATCCTCTTCATTTCGATCTCGAAGGATGCATCTTCCTTTCCATATACCTGGATGCATCTTCTTGCGTGATACTAATAAGACGGATTGCAGGTAAATTATTTCTTCACCATCGCCGTTGCCCGTGGAAAGTCATTCGGTTCGGACCGAGCAGGTTCCGCCATGGGAGTTGTTTTCTGACAATCAAACCCAGCCCTATACCTTCACCGGTCATGCATGCCATGAATACCGAATGTTGACTGCATGGCTGCATTGGTACATACGTTTGCATCTGAAAGGCGCCTTTCCAATCCCCGACATTTGACATCTAACGATGCCATGCGTCGTACGATGTACACGACTCGTCCTACGAGCCTACGCATGTATAATCCGGGGTCAGGTCCGATGGGTGTAGTCTTGATAGCAATCTCATCGTGCAATCGCAATCCTGAATGCAGAGCCTCAGCTGAGCATGTGTCGATACCGATCAAACGTCGCTCTTCTTCTTGCCTTGGTTCCGAAGTCTGGCTTTACGAATGCCTTCCTCAACCTTGTCTTTGCGCCAGCCGCACACTTCGGCAAACTCGCACATTCGACACTTGAAAGCCTCTTCAATCTCTACGCCTTTCGGCATCCGTTCGCCGTTCCACCAAGCCATTGTTTTCTTTAAGTAAGCGTCTAGGACATCGGGATCGTAGGCAAAGGTTTTCGATCCTATCACGGAGCCGCTACCAGACGCTCTGTATTCGGCCATGAGAACATCACCGATGGATGATGGCGTTGATGGCTTGTTGGAGAATGGTATCGCAAGCTGAAATTCCGAGATCATCAACGTCCAGAGTTTCTCGAGGCTGTTGTGAGCAAGTAACTCATCGATCGTGTCTTGTACTGGCATCTCTGCCTGCTCAGCCGCTGCGATTTGGGCATCTGACTCGATGCTGCCTAGCTGGGCAACAAACATGTCGCTGAAAGCAACACTACTGTCGAGGGCGTAGCGAGCAAAAACTTGCTCAGCTGGTACCGAATTCGAGGCGAGTAAAGAAAGCATACGGTGGTACATCATCAGTTGCATCGAGGTAGGTCGGAATGATGCCTCTCCCTTGGGCATACTTTTNGAACCACGAGTCTTTACGTCCTTGATGTAGATTCTGCGATTGGCATGAGGACTTCCCAGCCATGCAGTGTCACTGCTTTCGGTTGTTTGAGAGCCGCTGAAGAAAGCGTCCAGATTGGACTGGTTCTCGGAAGTGACCTTTTGCTTCTTCGATATTCCTCTTTTGGGCTTTGTTTCCTTTTGCTGAACTAGACCCGCTTCAAACTCCTCGTCAGGACATTCATAACTGAGCTCGTCAATGATACCATTAACAACTTGACCTTCGATGATGGCCCAGGTCTCAAATTCACGAGCCTGTCCGGTTGTTCTCAGGGTGCGCAGATTTTGTATTGTATTCCAGATTCGCAAGCCGAAAGCATCTTCCTTGGTCTCGACTTCGACAGTGATCGCCTTTTGGACCTGTGCACCTGTGACTTTGTGCACCGACTCGCTGACAGTGTTGACAGCGACAGGCTCGAGTTTGCCCTTCTCCAAAACTTGGTGTACCAGGCCTCCAACAACGTCCAGAGGCACTGCTGTCCGTTTCTCTTGTTCCAAAGCCTTTTGTACCACTTGATTCACCGTCTCGACCGGCACGACAGCCTTCAGCTCTTCCTGTAGAATTCTCTCAACCAGCAGTCGTATCGTGTCGACGGGTAAGACTGTAGCAGCTTGCTCTTCCAGAACCTTGTGTACTGAGGAGCCCTGCTTCATGGCGGCTGTTCGGCGGACCCGTCCATATTTGGTCAAGCTGTACCAGTACTGTAGTTCGCACCAGGCAGGAGATATGATGTCGGTGACAGATAGAGGCTTCTTCGGAGGCGTACGAAATCGTTCAATTGGTGATCGCGTGTCCAGAGGATTTGGTTGTTCAGGTTCGGCATCTACTTCGCGGGACGGAACGGACAGGCGAGCAGCGTCAGGACGAGCTGTGAAGCGCTGTGGTCAGCGGTCAGCCCAACAATCAGTTGGTGATAGAGTGTTGTATGCCAACAAGTACCGTATGCGAACAGCAACTTACGGNGAGAAAGCGAGGCGGTTGTGCTCGTCGTCTTCGATCTCAATTGAAGCCTCACCGACAGGGCCGTCGCGCGAGACCATCTCGAAGATAGTGCCCTCGTCGTCGACATATTTGCGCCGCGTGCCTCTGGCGAATGGCGACAAAGTGGGAGTACCCGGCAAGACTTCAGCATGGTTGCTTATCGATGTGGGAGGCTGCGACGCGGCTTGCGTAAGGAGGACTGAAATTGTTGCTTCGTCGTCTGTTCCAAACTCGGAGCCATAGTCGCTGTCTTTGCCATCGTCTAGCGTGACGTCCTGGGAAGTCATGATGTGCTCGTCATCGTTATTGGTGGCAATAGGGTGTGTAAAAGTTGAGGCTCGGCTGGTACTCTACAACACGAGGTGGACTGGACGACCTCAGTATCCAACACCTGCGTCCGCCCAAATCCGATGCAGTGCTTGTTCAAGCGATTGATGTTTTTGTTCAGTTGATCTTGAACAGCCGCTATTTAGAGTCGAAAGCTGGACATACTAAAGAAACACAGCTGCAGGCTTATACAACGCGCGTCGTTTTGCTGCAGCATAGATCTATCCGAATTACAAGATATAGAGGTGCAGAATCTCGATTGCTACACAAAAACACCACTAAAAACAGTTGTTGCCATCGTCGAATTGGATATTTGCTCATTTCGTGCTCCTCAGCAGTTGGCGACAGTGAAACAGCGCCCAATTGAGAACCCTCGTAAGTTTCGTAAGCAATGCTCTTGCGTTCTGAAACCAGTCTTGGCTCCCATGACGTCCACGCGTTTGAGCACGTCTTCTAGTTCACGTCTGTCAAACCAATCTTTCGTAGAAACATCGATTCTCAAAAGATGCCTCCCAAGACCAAAAAGCATGCCATCAAGGCTGACGACTATGACTCCGATGGCGGTTTCGTCGAAGACGCTCCCCAGTCCAAACGCGCCAAAACCGCAATCTCCAAGGACAAGCAAGTCGATGAAGATGGCAATCCGTACTGGGAGGTACGTTTCCCAAGACATTCAAGCATGACGCCAACTGACCATTGTTCAGNNCTCTCCGGAAAACGTCGCGTCGGTTTGTCTGAGTACAAGAACATGCATCTGGTGAGTTTCCTCCCCTGCTGTATGGCCTGAAGTACATAGAATTCTTATGCAAAACTACAGATCAACATCCGCGAGTACTACGAAAAGGATGGCAAGACGCTTCCAGGAAGANAAGGTACGTCTCCAATCGCGTGGCCGATATTCAAGAAGGTCTGCTAAGCTGCTCAGGGCATTTCGCTCTCTCTGGAACAATTCTCAGCTCTCCTTGGAATCCTTCCAGAGATCGAAGCTGCTTTGAAATCTCAGGGTCAAGAGCTTCCTCGTCCAAACTATGGCGAAGAGGACGGTCCCAGAGCCTCTTCATCAATCAAAACACCCAAAGTCGAGCAAGCCGCAGCTGAGCCTGAGTCAATTGATGACGAGCCAGAGACGAACACCGCTCCTTCTACAAACAAGCTCGACAGATTCAAGTATGAAAAGAAGAACCACGAAGCTACAAGCGATGAGGAAGATTGAAGTTGGTCTGTCTGCCAACCTTCTACAAGTAAGAACGAGGGGCGACGGAGATGACTTGCCTGTCCACACTGCCGAGAAGGCTGGCCTGGACCCATTAATGGTCTACGATATGATTACGACTTTGCTTCTTTACTCAAGATACCCCTTTGACAAGTACATATGCTAACAAACCACTTTTCTCACACTGACTCCTCCATCTCGTAGATCAACGGTTCAATGTTGAATTTCTGCGTCCTTAGAATCGCTCTCTGGTGACTTCCATCGAGCGGATAGATTCCTGGAGTCCATCGCAAGACTTGAGCGCGGGTAGTAAGCAGGTATGGCCTGATGAAATTGTTGACATTGAGATCGTTAGGGCACGATGATTCGACTTCACTAATAGTATTGTCACTGGGCACGAGCAGGGACAGGTCGAGGCTGACTAACTACAATCTACCTTACCCTAAAAGCATTTCCGTACCTATTCGTATAGAGCCGGATCTTCGAGTACCCGGCTATGTACCCCATGTTGGGGTACCCCGCGCGGAGTACGATAATCATTGAACATCGATCTGGGGCGGAACCAGTCCGTCCGTTTTCGATACAAGATGTCAAGTACACATGGCATGGTCATTTGAGCCGCATACCGAGGCATCCTACAACAAGTCGGTTTCGCAATCTCATGCCGGAGCTATCGGATCTCATAATTCCAGCGAATACCTACTGTTCCCCTCTTTCCACCTACGCAAGCCATGTCGCCGTTATAGCAAGCTTAGCCGGATGTAGACATGTCAACGCGTCTGACATTCAAGCCCGATGCTTGTCGTACCCTCTTGATGAGCTTCTTTCTGCCTTCGCCATACTCTACTGATCTTGTCCAAACTTACACTGGCAATGAGCTTCCGACACGCGACTCAAAACCATGCTCCACGCGGTGTGGTTCATTAACCATGCTTTTCTATCTATACCGTAAGTCTGGTACCATGTCATCCAGCTATAACGGCAAATACTCAGTGCCGATCTGGGGCCCCGAGAATGAACATCTCTAGCCGCGCTGCTCGTACATGCAGGAGTATTGATCCTCGTGAGGCAAATACGGCTGGTAAGCCGATGGATCCGTCCGGCATGTCTCAATCCCTTGAAGGTGAGGGCGTCTGACTAGCACTTCCTTCCGTAGTAGGCTGCTCGAAGAAGCAAGTGTCAATCACTGGTAACCTCGGTCGGAGTAGGTATATGAGGGTATGCATCCCCTCGTTGTAGGCGGATCGATTTCCTGTACTCCTCTAAAAGTCCACACAGCAACCATGTCAGAGCACATTCAGAGACTACACACCAACGACCTTGAGTTGGGTGCAACAGAAGTATGTCATGCTTGTTACTCTGATCTCCACCAGTTCTGACTTCTCTTAAAGGCCATTCAAAAACACTACGAGCGCCATGTCGTCTCGACAAAGCCTGTTTCGCAGCGCAAGCTCGACTTTGAGCGAGCAAGACCAAGATGGCTTCGCGAGATGATGGCTGAAGCGTGTGTAATTACAATAACTATCAGCCAAACAAGGCATACTGACTTTGACCTGATATAGTNNACTGGTGTCTTCTTCTATGTTTACCCTGGCATCGCCGCAACAGCTGCCTTCACGCTTGGTGAAGAGAATGCTGCGATTGGAAGTCTGCTTGGGGTTGGCCTTGCATTCGGTTTTGGCATTGCCTTTGCCATCATCACTTGTGGTTCGACATCTGGAGNNGGTATGTATTTTGTCAGGCTTTACCAAAGATCATTGTCTAATATTTACAGTCACTTTAACCCAGCCATGACAATATGTTTCGCTACCTGGCAAGGTTTCCCATGGAAGAAAGTCCCCTACTACATCTTTTCCCAGATATTCGGTGCCTTCATAGCCGGCCTATTTGTGTACGGCCAATACCACCAACAAATTGCTGCGTTTGCCGCGACGACCATCGCTGCCGGTAAAGGAACAGTTTTCAGCGGCGGCCCAGCCAGCATCTTCTGCTCCTTCCCAGGACCCACCCAAAGTCTCGGCTATCTGTTCTTCATCGAATTCTTCGTCGATTCTTATATCGGTCTCGTTCTATGGGCTTGCCTCGACCCCGCTAACCCTTTCATTTCTCCTCAAGTTGCTCCCTGGGCTATCGGCCTCGTGTATTCAACCATGGTGTGGGGATTCGCCGACATCACCATCAGCACAAACTTGGCTCGTGATCTCGGCACCCGTATCGTCGCCGCCATCTTCTTTGGCCGCGAAGCCTTTGCCTACCACAGTTACTCATGGATCTCAATTCTCGTCAATGTCCCTGCTACATTGTTTGCAACCGCATACTATGAGATGCTGATGCGAGACAGTCTGCAGAAGATTGGCAAGGGCGCTGCGTTCCACGAAGACGGCGAGGAAGGATTGAACTTGCATTTGGTCAAAAGCAATATTAGTAGGCAGAGCCCCATGAGTCCGAATATGCAGAAGGTGTTTAGTCTGGGGTCTAACGGGTCGACATTGCACTCGGGCCCTAAGATGGAGACTGGCTTCTCGCTCGCGGCGGAGACTGGCAACAACTGAAGGTGTCTGAGGATGTATGGAAGGTGACTTGAGATCTTTGTCGTCGTAGTAGGGTAAGCAGAGTAGAGTAACGCAATGCAAATTGTCCCGCGATCTTTGATTTCGGAAAAGGGTGTGCACCGATACTGAGTAGGTCAGGTTGAATATTCATCATAGATGACCAAAATCGTGAGTCCTTCGTCGCTCCGAAAGGTTGGTCGTTCCTGAGAAGAAAGTAGGGGACTTGATTGGCCAATCATGCTGTCTCAAAGAACATCCCTACATCGAGATTCGTCTCTTCCCATATATCCTCATCCTCGCCCTCTTCCTCGTCTTCCTCATCCTCGCCCTTATACGGGCGTCCACATTGTAGCTCGACTGACGCAAGCATCCTAGCCTCCCAAGAAGGATACTGAACACCCTCCCTATCCCACCACTCCTGATAAAATTCCAACCATTCAACTAAATCATTAAACACAATACACTTGTGACAGGAATGCTGCCACCGCTCCGGCTCTTTGTAGAAGATTCTCCACTTCCACTCTTTCTCATGCTCTTTGATCGTATCTGGGTAATTTGGATATGGCGGCAGTTCTTGTCGTATGTCCAATGTACGAGCGCAGTAGTAGTATGCCAACCAGTTTTGGTCACCGTGGTAGTTGTCACCACCCAGACTAAAACCAGTGCCGATGTCCCAGCCATATCTCCAGAGACTGCCACCCCAACCAACATTGTCGACGCTGTAAAGACCTCTCGCTTGGTTGTATTCTGTGTAGCCTGTCATTTTGGCAATATCTGCATTGCGGATGCCGTTTATACCGCAGACGCCGGAATTGCGTAGGTCGGTATCACAGAGTCCATCGGTGAGTTCGAGGAGGTGGCCATAGTCTTCTGGAAGATCAACGAGTTTGAAATCCGGTGCGTCGAAATCGTAGTCTTCATTAATGGCTTTATGAAGTTTCTCCAGATAAGCAGAAAGTTGATCTGCGGGAGCTGGAGGACAAGTGCCTTTATCATATTGACCAACATCCACAGATAGTATCTCGTCCACTTCTGCGAGATGATGATGACTGGCTAGAGCTGTCCAAGATTCGAATTTGAGGTTCTTTGCGAGTGTCTCTCTGCGTTTTTTCAGGATTGCGAGGTGACTAGCTCGCCATGACCAGAAGGTGTGCTTTGGACCTTTTGCGAGTTCGTCACTGCGTTTATCGAGACTCGTGATGTCGGGATCGAGTCCTTCGCATAAATGGACTTGTCGTTCCAACCATTGTATATTCGAGTTTTGCTGTATTGTCTCAAAGCCATGGACTGCCTGCTCCAAGCGCTCTTGAAGGCTGGGCTCGGACATGGTCACGAGAAGTCTCTCGAGCAAGATGAGTCGATGGATCCGTACCTATCATAATCGCGATGTTGCATTGTTCAAATACTGGAGGCCAACAGCTTCGCTGCTGAAACGAAGCTGATAGCATGAACGCCTGACGCGAATGCTCATGATAGCTTGTAGCAGGTGGCGCGATATGAAACCCGACCCTTGAATCGTCAGACCGTCAATCGCGTCTTTCAACATGTACATCACAACTGGTATAGTATTCTCTGCTTGGCGCAAAATTCATAGAAGAGTATTTCGTATGCTGCAACGTATTTGCTAAAGGAAGCGCTGATCAAAGGAATACACGAGCTTTTGGCTAAAGGATGCAGCAAAGCTTGTGCCACGTGCCTCGGGGTTTTGACAAACTCGCCCATTTTTAAACAAGCTGAAGCCAAACATTCATCATTCTTTCCAGTTCTTGGCGACTTGAGAAGCAAAACAACACTCTTATGAAAATGGAAGTAACGTTCGAGAAGATGTTGCCCATCTTCCGCAAAGCAGCGAATACACCGGAACAGATCTCACGGGAAGAAAAGAACGTCTTGCAATATAGACCCTCACCACAGCAGGAAGATGCCATCGTCAAAGCACGCACAAGTAGTGAATCGTTTGAGGACTTGGTCAGGAAATGCTTGGTTGACGGTGGAGTATCGACGTTGACGGACGACGAATTGAAGATCCTCTCAGAAGGTGTGCAGCCAACTCTGTTATCTACAGCGGATGCCATGATCGAGATACAAGAAAAGCAAACTGCCAAAGTGCAGGCCTTGATCGAACAAGCTTACAGGAACATCACCGATCTTGACGAGAATGAAGCATCATTTGCTGCTACAAAAGAAATAACCCGCCGTGCAAGGGTAGCTCGCGCCGAGAGATTCGCGCAACGAGCATCACAACCGCGACGTACACTCGAGCAGTCGATCAGGACANGGAGGGGTGCCAAAGATAATTCGTATCCAAACAGTGCTATCAGACGGGCTTCTGGAGCGATTCAAAGATATGCACTCGAATCTCAAACAACCGATGTCCAGAATCTCCCTCACGATGGCATCTGGGGCTTCGTATGCCTCAGGACAAGCTACGACGATGATGCGACTTGGCATATATTCAAACAGCGGCTTGACTCGAAAATCCAGCAAGAATTAAAGAGGCTTCTCATCCCAGAAGCCATACGGAGAAGCTTTAGATTTGTCTATCTCGAGAACAAAACAGTACTTTCCGGCGGACTGGAACAGACCAGGCTCACTACGTTCTTCAATCGTATCAAGAATGATGACGCGACTGTACCTCGCGGCATCGATCGCACGTTCTTCATATCAGTCGATGATGCCGTCTTGCGTGCTTCCGTCAATGCTGATGATCCACTCATTATCTTGCACGATGCTGATGCTGGGCCTGCGACTGCTACTCAGCATTTCCCAGGCTATTCTGGAGTCACGTTCGCACAATTTATCACGCTAACCATTCCTGGGATTGAGAGCAATCGCAACCATTTGAGATCTTTGCACTCACTGACGTATCGCTAGAAGGCATGATTTGTGCAGCTTCGGAATCGTTGGCACTAATGCCGGCATAAGTTTAAGAGTGGCAAGAACTTATGACTTTCAACTGAGACGGATATTGAACACTTCATGAAGCGCTCTAACACATTCTGAAATTCCTGCGCTCTTTGTCATCGGGCTCGAGGGCCTCCTGTTCTCTACTCTTTAGCTGTCGACACCTTCTGCATAAACCCTTGCCACATGTTTGATCACGAGAAGGATCTCAAAAGTCAACGAGTGCTCCATAAGTTCAATATCTCTCATCGCTGGTCTAATGACACAAGACTGGTGCATAGGAGAACTCAACAGAAATTACAATCGAGCGCGGCAGTAGTATGCCAATCAGTCTTGAGAACTGATATTCATCGGCGGACGCAGACTGACAGTATAGTAACGTTTAGAACTCTCAATCAAGCACATACGGCCACAGTCGGCTGAAAACTGGGCATCCCGTCCGCTCTGCCATACATAAGCAGTTGAACGGCAGATTAGTACTACGGTGGGTGACCACGTGGGAATCCCTGCTGCTGTATGTTTTGTTTTTGACTCGCATTTCAGCGCTCAAGACATTCAAGTCGTTTTGTTCTCCCCCGCTGGAGAGGTAGATTGAAACAGTTCTTATGATGTTCTTGCATTTCAATCAAGTATATGACTTTCCGCTGTGGCACAACGTATACCAAGACTTCGGATTTTATTCACCCAGCAGCCATACACTCCATTCGTTACTTTTCGTCAGTCCTTTGCTTTGATGCCAAGCGATTGTTATTCCCGTCAATGGCAAGACCACCATCAGGTAAGGAATGTGAAGGTTTCCGCAGGGTTTCCGCAGGGTTTCCGCCTTGCGCCTCACGAAGTCAAAGCTTTTCCGACAAGTACAGCAGGTCCGTTAGGGCTTCGGGACCCTTTACACCGAGGTCTAAGATACTTGGTGGGAGGTCTCCAACTCAAATGCCTAGCGATGTCTCGGTTTTTTACGTAGTTATGAGCCGTTGATACGGTCCAAGCATCTCCGGGTCACTCTTGGAATGTACGTAAAAAGAAAGTCATGGTGTGATCAAGATGGTTTGTGTTGGTCGATGGTTCACTGCGAACCGATGCTTGTCGATACACAAGGCCAATGTGTATACGAGTAGGTAGTCCCTATTGCTAAATATTGATATCATGGATTCTGGTCTACAAGAGCCCGAGTCCTCCTTCGAAGGATCGGGGACCGAATTGTATGTTCCTCAATTTGGGATGAATCCCAAGCACGAATGCTATTGCAGGACTCAGAGTGACGAGGTATTTGTCACACAAGCTCTCCAGGGTATCGTGGCATTATTAGCAACTCAGCACCGAGTGTGATGGATGGCAAGCACTCAATCGCATGAGCTCCAATTGAATCGAGCCAGAAGAGCGCTCGTAGACTTCGAGCCGGCAGGCTATGTCTTTTGGACGTGTTGAGGATATCGACTTCTTAGAGTTGTTGTCGTCCTCATTCGGCGCGTGTTCTATTCCTCCAGAATGTTCCATTTCCAGACTTAATTCCAGCGCGCTCGTGAAAGGTACGGAGACCCTGTGCGGTGCAGTTGGCGAAGTCCACTCTGATTCTGGTGTCGGGCTGATGATGCAGCTCGAGCACAGAGCCGATGGTTGAGACAGCTCAATCGAGTGCTTGTGAAGTGGTCGAGCATGCTTTCAACATGTATTGTGATCCTTCTCATACAAATCCAGTGTAGAAACTGGCGTTCAGGCTCTTGAGCTCTGGAATCTGGAAACCAAGGGGATTGTCATCCGGCTGTTCTGCTTCTTGGACTGCAAGGAATTGTTGGCCGAAGACAAGGGCAACGTCGCTGTCGGGATATTCGGTGTCAAGGGCACTTCTGGCAGATTCCGGCGTGAAGTCTCCTGCAATAAGGATGGGCGAAGTCTGGGCCCAGAGTGCCAGAAAAGGCTTGATGCCTTCGTGTTTGTCGCATTCGAGGTTGGTGATTGCATGGGACTTGATAATGTGGACGTAGGCTAACTGTAGCTCCTTGAGCTTTCGAGTGAGAGACGCAAACTCGGGCGCAAGACTGGACATGCGGAAAGCGCTAGAGGGGTTCATGCGGAAACCGACACGGTCAGCACCTATGGCGTCTACGATCGCGATCGTCACTTCGAGGGCAAATCTAACGCGGCTCTCGACATGGCCGCCATATCTGTCTAGGTGTCTGTGCAATGATTGGTAGATGAAGTATCCGTTGGCGCCTACCTCAACACCATCAAAGCCTGCTGCCACTGCGTTCCTTGCCGCTTTGACGAATGCTCTGGTTGTTGATTTGATCTCTTCTTCGTTCAAGGCGTGAGTATGAGACTCGGAAGGCGAATCAGATCTCTCGAAGGATGTTGTATCGCTTGATCCGCTGGCCTGACGGCCTCTTGTATACGTCGAAATGGCCGCGTCCGCCAGTGGCTCAAGCGAGTCTATCGAAAGAAAGATATGCGCCCCCTTGGCGTGCACGGCGTTGGTGACTTCTTTCCACCGGGAGATCTGGGCACACGTCCAGATGCCAGGAGTATGCTTGCCGCTACCAAGTTCCAGGGACACAACAGTAGCTTCGGCGATGACGAGACCACCTTCAGAGGCGCGTTGGGCATAATGTTCTACCGCCAACGGCGGTCGGACGTGATCCTCGTCTGTGAAGAGTCTCGTGACAGGGGCCATAACAATTCGATGCTTGAGCTCGATTCTGCCGAGCTTGAGAGGCCGGAAGAGATTTGGAGACGACATTTTTGCGTGTGTCAGGTCGGCAGGGTCATGTATGCTGATATTTGTTGCGTGTGGGAGCTAGTCGACCTCCAATGATTGCTGCCTGCGACTCTGACTTGGATAACCGGAGCGAAGAAACATAAGGTGATACAGAGATTGTATATTGAGGAAGCTTAGTTAGCAGTCGACAGATGGTTATACTACGTTGGCAGGGAAGATCCTCAAACGACGGCTTCGCACGCATTGGATTCATGCCAGGCATATTGTGATGCCATAAGCAACGCGCGCGCGGAATTTCCCAACTCAGAAATAGACAGGGCTGAGACCCATCGAATTGGCGATTCACGCTAGACTCTGGAGATTCGGGGTATCATTCAACCTTCGGAAGATGAATTTCTCCAAACGGCCAAGTTCCCGCCAGAACTTCCACCAACCAGAAGTGTTAGATGCAACTACAATCCAACGCGTAGTCCTGCTGCATGATATAGACAAGTCAATTGTACACCGAGACTCAATTAGCAGTGAGAGATTCTTGACTTGAACGAGCATGAGATGGCCTTGAACCGTTAGATCGAACCAAGATGCTATGGTTCACAAATATCTTCAGCCATATGTGACCATAACGAACCTTAATTATGGTGTGCTTCCGTATCAGATGATATTCTGGCGTATTATACCTCGCTACCTGTACCCCTGGAGAAGGGTATTGCCCGGGCGTTGCTTGCAGTAGAGAACCGTCCGTGATCGGTGAAATGTCTGTCGACGAGTCACTTACCGCCTGTGTACCTATGCTTTTGCCAGCCCAGGCCAATCAAGGAAGAGAACGCTCAACGGAGTCTGGAAGTCTGCCCCGAAAGGGCGACTTTGGTCGGAATGGCTCGTGCCTGGAGTAGAGGCACGCTCATCATGAACTTCCCTGCAATTGCACGACGTTTCCAAGGTGGGTCCTTGGATCTCGGTAGTTGCGGTTAGTCAAGCCCCGAAGCCCTAATCCCGTAAATTTAACGTCGACACGAACGTCTCGCCACGAGGTCGAGTCCGGAGCCGCGTGCGAAATTCGATCTCAGGTTGCACTGTAACATTATCTCGATTTTTGTTTGACGTTAAGGGGGCTCAGGCGGTCAAACAGAGCTTCATCGAAGCGTTTAGAGGCCATTCAGTGGAGCGATTTGGGCGCAAATCCCGATTATTTTAGAAAATCCTTGGGTTTGCGAGTTCCCGTCAGAAGCCGGGGATTTGTAGCAAATCGATTTTCGACTGAACAGGCCCTTAGATGAAGGATGTTGAGTCATCAACTTGAACACAGCGACAATGAATGCGATTCATCTCGAACCATGCTTAGAGCACATGTGCCAGATTCGACATACGCAGCGACAACATGAAGCTCAACGACCTTGCCCATGCTAGAAAGCGGTTGCAGTACTTGTAGTCACTGCCGACCAGTCATCCAAACGAATGTGCCGAAGAAGAACTTCGGAATGGCCCAGAATCCGAATCCGGGCGGGAAGATCCGGTGGAAGTCGATGCAGATAGATCCAAGTCGGTGCGAGATAACTGCATTCGCTACACGAATCGATATCGGACAAGGCGTGAGATCTCTGAGACCGACGGTTGACGAGATCAGTCAGATCGTTCGAGTCGTGTTCAGTCTGAAACGTGACCGCGAGTGCGGCGATGTCGCTGTCGTGCTGCGTAGGCGTGAGCTGAGGACAAGTACGCTTCCGAATTTTCGTAGCACTAGGACGGATTTGTCTTGCTAAGCGGATTTTTCTCCGAGGGCTGCAACGGCAGTGACGTTGCGAAATGTAGCTCATCCAGGTCGGCAGGAGCAGTGGAGCTCCTCAAAGTCTCGACCGAGGAGGACTTGCTGCTTGTTGAAGAAACAGAAACCAAAACTCGGTGAATAAATTGAAGGACGGTCGGGTGTATATGAGCCTCGCTCATTTAGCCGGTCACGGTCGTCCTCGGTCGTGGTTCCCCATGGAAGTCACATCCCATGGAATATTTAGGCGACCAAAAGTCTGTCTCAAGCTGACCTTCAAGTTCACACCCTCAGACAAGTGGTGCAGTGGACTAATAAGGGAGTTGCATAGTCCGAATACTTCTATCGCATTTTGGATGGTCACAAAGTTCTACACAAAGGCATTCATCGTTAAGAACAGTACAGGGTTGGCAACAGCTCTTGTGCCATATATTGATAACAATATGTGGTTCCAATATATCACACCCAAACCCAGTCCCACGAATTACTGCCAAGAACACGTTGATTCTTGCCCTCTAATACGAGTCACACGGCCAATCACCCAGCCGGTACAGCTGAAATCTCTAAAGGGGAGGTGATGCAGGCTGTGTCTGGTTTGGATCCAACAGATTCTGATACAAGTTAGAGGATTGGACCTGATGACTCCATCGACCCCAAGGTCGGTCAGACGTGCCAGCCATCGTTGTCCAGGACTGCACAGTCTGTTGGTTTGTCAGGAAAGCCAATTCTTGTTGATTGTTGTTGGGATATGCGTTCTGAATAGTCATGGCTGTTGTCTGAATGCCTGCATTGATCTGCGTGTATACAGCTTGCATGACAGCGAGTTCGATGCTGGACGCTACAGTGGTAAAGCCGTGGTTTTGCATCAACACTACTGCATAATCTGCTTCAGTTTGTGTTGCATTCGGCAACGTGCGATTCGAAGAGAACTCGGCTGCGAGTGCTGCTCCGAGACGCTGTGAGCGGACAAGGAGGTCCTGATTGTCACCTGGCTCGTAGTACTGCGTGATGTTGAAATTCGGAACAACCTCGCCTAGTCACGAAGAATGAGTAAAGCACACTAAGGATGACATTTGTGCATACCTAAGAAANCCGGCCATGTGGATGGATGGGCGCAAGGGAACACCACTGAAGGTGTATGGGACGACCTGCGGTGAGTGACTATGAACGACGCTGTTGATGCTGGGGAAGCGCTTGTACAGTTCACTGTGGATGTATCGTTCAATGAATCCGTTGGGAGCATTCGGGTCGACTGGAGCAGCATCGTCGACGTAGTATTCGACCAGGTCGCTAGCATTGGCAACCAGAGCAGGAGCAAGGTTACGAGACATGAAGAAGTTCGAGCCATTATTCGGATTGCGGACAGACATATGACCATATGCATCTAGGACGCCATTATAGTCGAGGATATGGAGTCCGGTGATCAAAGTATTGAAGAGAGTGGTAAGATTAGCTGCGACCATTTCTGTGGAAGACGAGGGTAGTGGTTTGTGAGAAGATGAACCAGCCATGGTGCGAGGCTGCGAGTTTTCTTCCTATCCAAAGCTACAAGGTTTGTATACATGCAGGAAATCGCAGGAGGTATGTCAGACATCGCTTTGTCGTTATGCGATGACGAGGTTGATCGACTGGATGATGATGCTTTGTGGGGAAGCGGCTCAAAAGGGCAACTGCAAGCTGCGACCCTGACCCTCGTCGCAGCATGGATGTGTGAATGCGCATCTTGGTACGATCCGCATAACCATGATTTTGCGAAGACAGGAATCGTGGTAGATGATGGGACATCTTGGGGTCCGGAGGGAGAAAGGAAGGAAATCCACAATCGAGGCAGAAATCTTAAGTCCAGACATTAACAATGCCCTGGTTTCGAGAACATCGTACTTATACAGTTAGAATGGCTTTACTTGTCGAAATATACTTCAAGTCGACTACATGGCCTTGTTCTTGAGATCTCCTGCAGGCTGCAGTGTTGCACTATAAAACAGAATACATACTCAAGATAAGGCTTGCTGTTGTGCAAGGCAAGGGCTCGTCGAGACGTTGGCCTCACAGAACGACATGGACTGGCTGAGCTGGGGACGCCAAGGTGTAGAATTGCACTTCCCACAGGACTCGACCACATCCGACAGAGACGGGAGAATGACTGCGATACCGAGGCATGGCTTGTGTCGAAATGAGGCTTCTCTGAAAGCTTCGCGAAAACTTCCCCTCGTTTTGCTCCATTCCTCCCGCATTTTTCGGCAGCTCAAATTCTTGCCGAACCTTGGCTCGTTCACGCCCAACTCAAGCCCATATCAAACCCAATCTTTCGCCGTCATTCAGCCTCTGTTCGCGAACAGTATGACAGCGAGCACCACTCTTCTTTTCGAACACCGACACCATCAATTCTATTCTGAAAGTGAACGTGAAAGATGTCGGCGACACCCCGCAACGATCTACGGCCATCATGCAAAGCTCGGCCTTCTATCTTCAACCTTCGCGGGCCAAGTGATCGATCTCTACTGTACGCCATAAGGATCAACAAGCGAACTCAGTTCATTCACCCGTATGATACTCCGAGCACAGAGGATTTTGCAAGGCAACGGATAATTAATGTGAGCTAAATGAGTGTCACACTGTTAGTGATATGCGTTCTAATATACGTTTATGGTCAGCGAGCGGGGACGATCTCTAGCGAAGCCCTCGTAATATGCTCCCGTGACGAGCAACGATGGAACTGAGATACCCCGAGAGCGCCGCCACTACGTACGCAACTCTGAAAATACCATGAAACTGCTATCCAGTTCATGTCCGCGATGGATTGAACACTCTCATTACCTACTAAGAATACATATATGCTCTTGACCTCATGATGGATGTTCAGCGAGTGGCGTCTAATATAACCCCAGAAGGATCACAAGGCTTGACTGCGGCCCGAGGGACATGGAAAAACGTGTGGTCGTGTGGGGAAGACGATTGCCTGTTCCTGAGTCCTGAAACTCTTCGACAATCACCCGTCTGCATGGAGACAGGGCGCTGCATATCGCCTAAGCAGACGGTCTCGACTGCCATGGACTAGCCCATACCCCCACCGGAATAACTGTATGGGGAACAGCGGAGAACCTGCAACTATTGACGATATTAGACGTGAGCACGGCTAACATACGCTCAGCAATACTACAAGTTTTGGCTTGATGTGATCATGGGATCAGCAGAAGCCTCCACAGTGATAGACAACGGTAAGCACAATCATCCTGTTGATCCGTCGGATCACGGTAGATATCAGAGTGAGTTCATATGCATTGGTCTTTGTATACATCTATGACCACGGTCTGAATATAAATAGAAAGGATGGGGCTGCCATCTTGTCGACCATCAACTCCTTCCTCCACTCCAAGCCACCGGCACATCCTCTCAGACATTTCGCTTATCATACAAACATGCGTTCAAAGACGAACATCGCTCTCGGCCTGGCCGCCACTGGATCACTGGTCGCCGCCGGTCCCTGCGATATCTACAAGAATGGCGGTACCCCTTGCGTAGCTGCTCACGGCACTACTCGCGCGTTGTACGATGCCTACACTGGCCCTCTTTACCAGCTGAAGAGAGGCTCCGACGGATCCACCACTGACATCACTCCCTTGTCTGCTGGTGGTGTCGCCAATGCTGCTGCTCAAGATTCTTTCTGCAAAGGCACTACTTGCCTCATCAGCATCATTTACGATCAATCCGGCCGTGCAAACCATCTTTACCAGGCTCCCAAAGGTGCCTTCAGCGGACCAGATGTCAATGGAAACGACAACCTGGCAGGTGCTATTGGAGCTCCAGTAACGCTGGGCGGCAAGAAGGCATACGGTGTGTTCGTCTCGCCCGGCACTGGTTACAGAAACGACGAAGTCAGTGGCACAGCTACTGGCAACAAACCCGAGGGCATGTACGCAGTTCTCGATGGAACTCACTACAATGACGCCTGTTGCTTTGATTACGGAAATGCCGAGACAAGCAACACGGACACGGGTAACGGCCACATGGAAGCAATCTACTATGGCAACAATACAGTTTGGGGCAGTGGCTCTGGCAGCGGCCCTTGGCTCATGGCCGACCTTGAGAACGGCCTCTTCTCTGGCCAGGGTACCAAGCAAAACACTGCCGACCCTTCGATCTCCAACAGATTCTTCACTGGAATGGTCAAGGGAGAGCCTAACCAGTGGTCGCTTCGCGGCGGCAATGCTGCATCTGGTTCTTTGTCGACTTACTACAGTGGTGCTCGCCCCACAGTTGGTGGCTACAACCCCATGAGCCTCGAGGGCGCCATCATTCTTGGTATTGGTGGTGATAACAGCAATGGTGCTCAGGGCACTTTCTACGAGGGAGTCATGACCTCGGGCTACCCGTCTGATGCCACCGAGGCCTCGGTACAGGCCAACATCGTGGCTGCCGGCTATGCCACCACGTCCTTGAACACAAAGCCTCTCACCGTGGGCAACAAGATCTCCATCAAGGTGACGACTCCCGGTTACGACACACGCTATCTCGCCCACAGCGGAGCCACTGTCAACACACAAGTCGTCTCATCATCCAGCGCCACTGCTCTCAAGCAGCAAGCCAGCTGGACCGTCCGCACCGGCCTCGGTAACAGCGGCTGCTACTCATTCGAGTCTGTCGACACACCCGGAAGCTTCATCAGACACTACAACTTCGCACTCCAGCTCAACGCCAATGACAACACCAAGGCCTTCAAGGAAGATGCGACTTTCTGCTCGCAGACCGGACTTGTTACCGGCAACACGTTCAACTCATGGAGCTACCCTGCCAAGTTCCTTCGCCACTACAACGATCTTGGGTACATTGCGAACAACGGAGGCGTTCACGATTTCGACTCTGCTACTGGCTTCAACAACGATGTCAGCTTTGTCGTTGGCACCAGCTTTGCTTAGATATCAAAAGTTGAAATGAGTATGATGGATTTTATGACGAACGTGGAGTTTGTAGTTTTGTGTTTAAGCCATAGCATCTGGAATATGAAATGTTTGTTATTCTTGTGCTGTTCTTTCCTAGAATGAGGCTCTTATCGGATGATAGGGCTGTTTCGGCAGTCGGCTCGGACCCTGTCTCCATCGTCATTGGCTTTTGCAAGAGGAGTCCGAGGCTCGAGACTTTGATCTTGTCTTGTCTTGTCTTGTCTCTTGCACAACCTGAGCACACGATCCACTATCAATCGTATTCCACGCATCTACCAACACCACTTGTCCATTTTCTCGGCGTCTGCCTTGCGTCAACACATCGCCCCATCGTGTACATTTGCGCCGCCAGAAACGCCACCGTCTCTTTTAGGAACACCCCTCTTCCATCTCGCAACGCACATCATGTCGACCTCCTCACCAGTACCGCGTTTCGGCTCGCCTGGAGGTACTTCTAGCTCAGCGCTCCTTCTTGGCCGCCAGTTCAAGCAAATGCAAAGCGACAAGGATATTCCCGGCATCAGCTGCGGCCTGGTCAACAACAACGTCTTTGAGTGGGAGGTCATGCTCATGCTGCCCGACGAAAGTGGCGGTCTGTACGGCGGTGGCTGTTTCAGAAGCCTGCTGCACTTTCCCTCAGAGTACCCACACATGCCGCCCAAGATGAAGTTTGTCACGCCCATCTGGCACCCGAACAGTGAGTCCCAATAACAAGTCCATCTACCTCTGGACCTCCTCGCTAACCGTCTTGTCACAGTCTACGAGAGTGGCGAGGTCTGCATCTCCATCCTGCATCCTCCAGAAGAAGACAAATACGGCTACGAATCCGCCGCCGAACGCTGGTCCNCCGTTCAAACCCCCGAGACCATCCTGCTCTCCGTAATCAGCATGCTCTCGTCACCCAACGACGAATCTCCTGCAAACATCGAGGCCGGCAAACAGTGGCGCGGAGATCCGGCTGCATTTAAGAAGAAGGTCAGAAAGTGCGTCAGAGACTCTCAGGAAAGTGCCTGGGATTAGACCATGCCACACCCTCTTTCGATCAACAAGGCGTCCATTGTGAGCCTGGCGCTCAATGCGACTTTTTCTGTTCTTGTCTTTTTTCTCTCGTCTGTTCATCTTTACGGTGCATTGGTGTGGCTCCGTTGCTTTTTCTTATCTATAACTTTTCGTTCTTCTTAGCTTCGCGTCGAATACTCATGCAGTGGCATAGATCATCTGCTCGCAACTACACCCTGTCAACATCTGGAATTCTCTGTCCCTACCAGTTCACTACTTTGTCTTTGTCCTTCATCTTCCATGCCTGCACCACACTGATTTCGACCATCGCCCAGAAGCCCACTTCGGCTTCCCAATGATTGTCTGCAACACAAGAAGCTGCAAAAGGTGCTGTCGGTCAGGATAGACAGAATCTCTCATATCACTGACCGTGGCTTTAATACAGACAAGCTCATACGTGCATTTCCACAGGTCAACTATCTCTTTGGCGAAGAACCAATCCACTAACTTCGGCACCTGGAGAAAGGTTCTCTTACTGAGTGGAGTATCATCACTGTCAAGTGGCGTACCTACGACTCTAGGTCCGAATTTGTTTGTTCTATGATAACCTCATGGCTGTGAGGTCAATTTGGCAGATACATGATGACAGGGTCACCCCGTTTGCTGGGAGTGTCACCCTGGCCTTGGAGTTCACCAGAGCACATCTCCAAGAACAATGTTGGTCTTATATGGACCTTTTACAGGGTGCAACTTCTCACTTGCTCTTCAATCACTGTCATGTCTTGTGTCATCAGTACCTTGGTATCAATGGATGTTCTGAAATGTGACCTGCGGGTTGTTTTTGGTGCCCAGCTCTTTAACTCAACCATCAATGTCTGGAGCAACTCACGTAATTCCAAGGTGTTCCAAAGTAGATATGAAGAGCACAGATACACCTTAAGCAACACAACTATATACCCTCTTCAACCAAGCATCTTGCTCAATATCTGACCTCTCAACACAGCTCGAGAACGAAACCATCAACGCAAACCATCAAGGTCCGGAGATTCGGAGACGGAAAGGCGGGGTAAGGCATCTAGATAGCGAAACAGCAGGCACCGTGATGGACACGAGGAGCCCAGATAGGCAGCTGCACTTTGCGTTCAATACAGCTTATCTTGCCGCTCGTTCCTTTCGAGGCACCAGTTTAGGACTCGCACCTTGCTCAGCTACATATCCTTGACCTTTTCTGTTCTCTTTCTTCTCTCATATTGTGCCATTGTGATAGCTCTCTCCAACTCAGTTGCCAGATACAGAAAGATGGGAAGCTCAGAATCTGTACCGAGAGAGAGGCGGCAACAGAGGTCGTCGAGGCTGGACCTTTTGGCCTTGCAGGAAAAGTACGATGCCTTTCGCATCACCGAGGACCGCGAGACCGACAGTATGATTGTCGAGAGAAACACTGGATACAATGACAGAGGTAAAGTTNCAGCTTCTCTAGAACTGTTATCCACTACCCATCAAGCAAGGAACACGCGACTAAGAATCAGCGGTCAAACAGATCAACTTCGCCCAACACGCCAAACCCACGTCTCGGGCGCCAAAACCGAAGCGTTGATCCACACCATCCTCCAAGATCCAAAGAACCGTCTCGCTCTGTCGGCGCTGTCAACAGCAAACCCGGCCCAGGTGCTCGAGAAGTCGTCAGCCATCCTCAAAGACACACAGACCTTCAACGTCGCTATCCCCTTCGAGGGCTCTCCCGTCACCAACCAGCGCAGCTCGGGCAGATGTTGGATCTTCGCTGCCACCAACGTGTTCCGCGTCGCCATCATGAAAAAGTACAACATTGAAAAGTTTGAGCTGAGCCAGGCGTACCTGTTTTTCTGGGACAAGGTCGAGAAGAGCAATTTCTTCCTCGAGAGCATCTTGGAGACGGCTGATTTGCCTGTCGATGATCGTCTGGTTGCGACGCTGATGGATTCGCCTGTCAGTGATGGTGGTCAATGGTCGATGATCCAGAACTTGGTTGAAAAGTATGGGTTGGTGCCACAGACGCTGTACCCAGACTCATTCAATGCTAAGCACTCGGCTGTAATGGATCGTCTTCTGACGACCAAGCTGAGAGAGGATGCACTGCGTCTGAGAGCGCTCAAGAACTCTAGCTCCAGCACTGCAGAGACTTCTGTCGCAGCAGCCAAAGAGCAGATGATGCAGGACATCGTCAGGATTCTGACACTTACACTGGGTCGCCCTCCGTCGTCGTACACCAAGTTCACCTGGGAGTTTTACGACAAGGCAGACAAGCTGAAGACAGTCAAGATGTCTCCAAAGGAGTTTGCTGGCAGCTTGAACGACACTCACGGACTGCGAGCCCTGGACGGGACTGATGTCCACAGCTTATTCAGTCTGGTCAATGACCCTCGTAATGAGTTCAACAGACTGCTGACCGTCGACTTCCTTACCAACGTCTCGGGTGGTAGATACGTTACCTACGTAAACGTCGACAAGCCAATTTGGAAGAAGGGTGCCATTGAGATGCTCAAGAAAGGCTGGCCAGTGTTCTTCGGATCAGACGTGGGCAAATTCAGCGACTCCACGTTGGGAATCATGGATCCGGATCTGGTCGACTATGAGCTCGGCTTCAATGTCAAGTTGGGCATGTCCAAGGCAGAGAGACTCTCATCTGGTGAGAGTGCAATGACCCATGCGATGGTGTTGACCGCGGTACACCTGTCACCTTCCGCGGAACCTATCCGCTGGCGTGTCGAGAACTCTTGGAGCAAGGACGCTGGGACTGATGGTTACTTCGTCATGTCTGACAAGGTAAGTTCACTCTCGCTCAGCTGTCAAATCATGCTTGCTGATCAAAAGGTATTGCCTTATAGTNGGATGGACGAATTCTGTTACCAAGTTGTCGTGGACCCCAGCTGTGTTAGCCAAGAGGTTAGGGATATACTCAAGCAGGATCCAAAGGTGTTGGACTTGTGGGATCCCATGGGTGTCCTGGCATAGAGCGGGTACCCTCTGGCCGATCAGACCGGGTGATACTATGAGAGATAACAAATTCATGCAAGTCATACTTAAAGCGGTACACACCAGCGGATGGAGATGTTGAGTGATCCCGTCTATATTCCTGTTGTTGAAGATCAGAGTTGAGGTTTTCCAGTTCAGGCAATCGGGCAAAAGCTGTTACAGCTGTTGTAACGCTACACGGCAGACGCTGTTTCGCAACCCTGCACAAGTGAAGCAAAGTACCTGCATGATGTTTGATCAACCAGGACTTACAGGCGATGCCTGCGAAGTTTGCTCGAGTTGTACACCGGATGTCTGCAGTGCCAGAATTGTTGCACGAAGCAGAGATCCTTCGGATGACAGCCGTTCGTATCACTTATCCGCAGCCGTATGAGGCGCTTTAAGCCCCAACACGTGGGAATACGAGGTCAAGTTGCCGTGTGGTCCGAACATTAAGCTTATACTATCTCGGGTCTGGATTGGATAGCGTATTGGGAAGCAAAGTTGAACGGCATCTCTTGTCAGGAGCTGGATTGGGATGGACTTCGATGTGAGAGGAGGTAAGTCACATGAGTACTAGCAGTCGCGTCTGTTGTGACGGCTGAGGAGTCGAATCGATTTTGCCCAGGCGCAGCTCTTTTGTCGTCGCGTTCGTGCAGATGGATTTGCGAGTGTCCAAGACTTTCCGCGACGCAAGTCTCAAATCGATACTGTACGTACGCCAGATAGAGAGAGGGAGAAGATGACCTGCATTGATCGTTATGGAACCACGTTTCAGGAGAGTCAGAGCGAGTCAAAGATTGGTAAGTCAGGAGGCTGCGCGAGTCAAATCGATCCAAGGGTCGAAGAGATGAACGCCGCGAGATTGCATCGTCAGCCAGTTACGGAAGAGGCAGGGCGCATGCTTTGATGGCTTTTTGTTGCGTCCCATGTCGAGGTCTCTCCTGCATGAGAGATGCACTCAAAAGCTGTTGTGGGGATTGTGGCGGCGTCCACGGCGTCCCGCACGCTGACTCGGACTTGGAGTTTATCTCTGCTAACCGGACCCGAGACTGCAAGCTGCCAACCTCTGCTCATCGCCAAAAGATGCAGCGGCAAGGCAAAGAGCAAACATGATTACGAATCTGCCACTTTGTGATTGTGAAGCGGGAGCTGTAATGCCGTCACGGAGCGGGCGACCATAGACTTTGGCAAGCAAATTTGGTCGAGCGAGTCGAGTAACTTTGGACAAGTCTCCCCCTGATCAAAGTGTTGAATGTGGAAAAATTGGCATGGATGCACACGCTTGCCTCGTCGCCAAGAAGCTATCTTCCTGTGCCGGCCGCGCAACAACTCCGCGTCACAGTTTCGAAACGGTTTCGCAGTGATTAGCCAGCACGGCCACGGATCATGGATGGTCAAACAACGACATGGCGTTCAACGTCGAAAGAGGGCATTGGCGGTCGGGATGGTGGGTTTCTCCTGACCGCCAAAGGGGCCTGCGGGAAGATCGAGCGGGTTTGTATGCAACCCTTGATCAAGACTGCACTGCCCACGCAATCAAGGCGGCTAAGTAGATAACTACGCCATTGCACCTTCGTTTCCACAGGCCATCATTTTCTTGCTTGCCAATCTTCTTGCTTCTGCCCCCGCTCCCGTTCATCAGACAACACGCTTAGCCGGGCACTGTCTTCCTCAAAACATTGAGCTTGCGCTGTTGCATCTCTCCTCATCCTTTTCCTCCACTCGCGCATACCGACATTTTACACCTGCCCATCCGGCTCCTCTTGCAGTCACCCATAACTTAGTACACACACAACCACCACAATGGCTTACGCAAACTTGCCCTACACACCCAAGCCCATCACGGACATCTTCACGGCCGACACCGACATCGACCGCAGAAAGTGCCAGCGTGTTGTGCCCATGCGTGTTCTCGCTCTCGGTCTCGGACGTACTGGAACTGCTTGTAAGTCAATTGACATTTGCTTGCATCTAGACAGCTTCTGACTGCCAATTCAGNCCCTCCGCACCGCCCTCAAGGAGCTCGGCTTCGATGACTGCTACCACATGATGTCTGCATCGGTTGAGAACNCCCCTGACTGCCTCATGTGGCAGGACGCCTTTGCCGCCAAATACGACGGTGTTGGCAAATTTGGTCGTGAGGAGTGGGACAAGCTTCTTGGACATTGCCAAGCTGTCTGCGATTGGCCTGCTGTCGCTTTCGCCAAGGAACTTATTGAGGCCTACCCCGAGGCCAAGGTTCTCGTCACCACTCGCAACGTCGATACATGGCACGCCTCCACCTTGAAGACTGTCGACTGGCGCGCAAACGACCCGGAGCTCAAGATGGTTTCGAGATTCGACTGGGGATCCGGCCTCTACCAGCCCATGTTGCGCAAGTTCTGGGACGTCTTCTTCGGTGGTGACTTTGAGAAGAACGGAAAGCAAAAATACATCGATTACTACGAGGAGATCAGAGCCATGGTGCCCAAGGAGAACCTCCTCGAGTACAGAATGGGCGAGGGCTGGGAGCCTCTGTGCGACTTCCTCGAGGTACCTGTTCCCGAGGGCAAGAAGTTCNCCCACACCAACGACACTGATGGATTCGTCGATCGCTGCCGTGCCCGCAACCGCGCTCAGATGATGAATGTTGCTTTCCGCGCTCTCGTTGTTGGCGGTAGTGTTGCTGCCACAGCGTTCAGCGCCGCCATGACTATTCGTCGCTTCGTTGGCTCAAGAGGTTCCCTCTTGGCTTGAGCACTCTTCCTACATTTTCATCTATATCTGGCGTTCAATCCTGAGGTTAGCGTTCTGGGAGCATCATCAAAAGAAGGCGTTAATGGTTGTCATGGCCCGAGAATCTGGCTACTTTCACTCGGAGTCAAGGGCTTTGAAAGGATGGCACTTTTTGGAAAGTGTTTCAAGCACATAGGGTTTGCTATAGAAGCGGTGTATTATTGTTTTGGGTTTGCTTTGGCTTCATCGGCCATAGCAGGGCATTAGTTGTACAAATTTCTTCCATCCGAATCACAAGTTGTTCAAACGATTTCAACATCTCCATGACTCGGACAACCTCTTTACACCACCACATGTAGAACCTTGCAACATCTTTCTGTGGCTTGTTTCAAGATCGATTCATTGCGCCGAACTGCTGATGAAACAATTCTCCGAGATACGCAATCTTTCCCAGCCCCCTCCGTCATTCGCGTTTGTACCACCATTTGTAGACATCAATCCGCAATCAAGTCAGGAAACATCCCTGTTCATTGCCGCTTATCTGCTGAATAATAGATGTACACGCAGCAACAACCAACCGCCTGGCCGCTTGACCACTCATCATAGATGACAGCTTGACAGAGACGGAGCAAGGAACCCGCATGCAAAGCCGGAGAGTGAGAGTCCGCTGGCCACCTCACCGGCCACACAATATCACTCTATGTATGTCACCATGGGAGAAAGACACATCAATGAGATTGTGACAGTCGTTAGTACATAGAGACAGCCGTGCTTCTCAAGCAGAGTCATTAACCGACAATATAATCGATCGCCATGCACTTGTGTGATTGAGAGCACGCGCACTTTTACAACCCATTTCTCTTCTCTGTCATCAGCGACGTTTCTCGCGCGTCCAACAAAGAACAAATCTCTCGCCATCTGGTTCACAGAGCAGACTTGACACAGCGGGTGGCTTCCTGTTCTCAGGACGAGACTGCGGCAGGCTTGGCGAAAAGTATGCATTAGATGAAAGTGGCGCCGAGGCCAGGGGAGAGTGAGTCCCGAGAGAAGGGGTTTGTTTGGTTCCACTCGGGTGGAAGCATGTTTGCCGACGATGGAGAAGGTTGCTTGCTTGACAGGAGGCTTCATGATTCAGGTTTGCTGATCTTGCTTTGCAGCAGTTTGATGCTCTTTCGCTAGTTTGCACAATGCTGTACAACGGTTGGAGGCAGTTGTATGCCCACTCCAACGAGTCCACGAGATCCACATCCTGTTCCCGCGTAACGCTTCATCAACGGCAGATGCATGTCGTTGATAAATGCTGAAACTCCGTGGTGTGAGAATCGATCTTGAGAAGCCCCAAATGAATATTGCCAAGACTGTTTGAGTGCTTGCCGCGTGTAGGGTTGGAGAACTGCGCTGGCTGTGGAGCCCTACGGCAACAACCACACCCTCACCATCAGATCATCATCTGCCTCTCTATTCGAAATCGTGCAATGCATGAGGAACTCAGACGAGCTATCGGTCTCGCATGAAGGCATACGAGTGGCGTCTGCCCCGCGTGGCAAACGAGCGCTTGACAGAACTTTGCAGAGGTTCAAATGTTCTTGACGTCGAATCATTGCTGGACCGACTGCCGCACCACTGCATGCTGGGACCCACGGTCTCTTCCTTCTGTCATGCATCCATGCTCTGCCCCTAGCTTGGGCCGTGTGTGTCTCTGTATTTCCTTGCGGGTCCCTTGGCAATTATTTGTATCCTTCCGTGTAGATAGACCATCACTGCCCCAGACCGGAACGCCGTTGCTGAAAGTCGTCTCCCTATCCCTTTTGCCTAACGGCTTTCTGCGCTTACCTTTCGATACAATAATTATCAGAGGACCCCTTCTGTTCTTGCAGCATTTCATCACTCCAACTGCTTTTCTCTCCCTGAACAGTTCACCAAACGGCCTGTGGCCGTTCGCAAAATCGTCTAATCATCTATACCCTCACAAACATGCTTTCTTTACGATTTCTATCTTCGATGCTCTTGCTGGCAGGGTCAGCATTAGCAGGTCCTGATAATGAGACGAGCCCTACACATATTTTCCGCTCGGTAAGCAAGATTTGCAAATCATGCATGAGGCAAACACTCTGTCGCGTGCTGCCTTGACAGCAGCATTTTGAACAACGACTAATCAGCCTCTACAAACAGAGACCGGATTTACATGCGCCTATGCTCGAAACGATAATATTAAGACCGGAGTTGGTCGCACCAGGATATATCATGCTCGCACCCTATCGAAATGTAGATCCTGGACCTTATATTTATGACAACTGGGGACAACTAGTCTGGTCCGGCGCTGGTTCGAGCGGACCCAAGACTGCCCATGCACCGCATACTTGTAACTACAAGGGAGAAGAGCATCTATGCTATTTCCAAGGAGAGCAACATCAGGGCTTTGCCCGAGGCCATGGAGTCATTATGGATAAGAACTACCGTATCGTCAAGACGGTCGAGAGCTCTGGAGCAGGCGCGTCAAGCGATATGCACGAATTCAGATTGACACCATACTCGAATGGCACTACCGCGCTCATGACCGTCTATCAGCCGCGCATGTACGACTTGACAACCAACCCCAAATTCCAGATCAAGAACGGCATGGGCTGGATTGTCGAGGGTGTTTTCCAGGAGATCGAAATCGAAACTGGCAGAGTGGTGTTCGAGTGGAGAAGTACAGATCATCTCGATCCTAGCTTGACCTACACGTTCCCAGGACGTACTGATACGTCAGGAAACGGACTGACCGAAAACACTCCTTGGGACTATTTCCACATCAACTCTATCGACAAGAACCGGGACGGCGATTACCTTATTTCGGCCAGACACATGGCTGCGATTTACAAGCTTTCTGGTGTAGATGGATCCATCATGTGGGAGATGGGTGGTGCAAACCCGACTTTCCACCAGACAAACTTCAACTTCTCCTCTCAGCATCACGCTCGCTGGGTTAGTGAGAATGAGACTCACACAATCTTGACTTTCTACGACAATGCCAGCAATGGTTTCAACAGAACAGACAAGTTCTCGCGTGGTTATGTCGTTGCTCTCGACCACATCGCAAACACCGCAACCATGATCAAGGAGTATGGCGCACCCGAGGCCTCCGGCGGTATCCTTTCTGGATCTCAGGGCAACATACAAATTCTCCCCAACGGCAACGTTCATCTTGGCTGGGGTGAGCACCCATACTTTACCGAGCACACAGCCGATGGATCAGCCGTCATGTACGCCAAAGTCGCATACCGCGCGAGCAACGTCATGATCTATCGCTCCTACAAATTTCCTTGGGTTGGTCAGCCATTGACCAAACCAGCTCTATGGACGTACTCAAAGACCAACGACGAGAAATCCGGCATGGTCTTCTACGTATCCTGGAACGGGGCGACCGAAGTCGCATCCTGGAACTTTNACGCCAGCGCAAACAGAACTGGACCATTCCACTTGGTTGGAAACACCAAGAAGACCGGTTTCGAAACTGTGATGCGCTACAACAACGTCACTACTTGGGGTTTCGCAGAGGCTTTAGACAAGAATGGCAATGCTCTTGAGCGCAGCGTCATCCAGAAGACCTTTGTGCCCAGCATCACACTTCGCGATTCCTGCGACGAGTGGGCTTGTGGAAGGGCAGAGGCGATCCGTGACGAGGACGCCAAGTACGATCCTTACAGCGAAGTCAAGGCCGAATTCCTCAGTAACAACCGCGGATACGACACGAGTGCATACTATGCCGAGCTAACACAGACTGCAGCCGAGCATGATGCCGAAGAGAAAGCGCAACACCAGCAAGCTGTAAAGGCACGCATGCTGGTGGGTGTTCTTTGCGCGACTGCCGGAGTTGGGGTCTTCATCTTTGCTTTGATACTCGCCCGCAAGCAATTGTCAGGTGCTATGCCTGTGTCCTTTGTCAGGAGGGTGTCTGATGTCAGAGACGCCATCAGTATCAGACTACTAGGCAAGAAGTACATCCAGGTCGATGGAGAAGAGAAATACTCTGATCGATCATGAACGAATTTGCCATCTATCGTTTTTCTTATGTCTTGTCATTTCTTGACTTTTATCACTATATCCAAAGCGCGCATTGGGTTGGAGTTTCTGGGAATGTTGGAAAGTTTACAACTGTTGCAACCACATGCTCTTGTGTTAGGCGGCATTTACTCTACTCAGCAGTGTTCTGAGATTTTGTATATACGATACCAGATTGGTCGAGTCACAATATCAAAAAGACAACGATCTACACATGAACCCTGTCTTTTGCTTCGCCAACGCCAAACACGTGAAATACTTGCAGCTCTGAGTTATCTTGAAACCATGAACACTATGTTTCTTACCCTGTGGGTCATGATCGTCCTGGGGGGGGGGGAAACCCCTGGAAAAGTCATGTCAACCACATGGGGTGGAATTTGCACGCGACCAGTGTCGAAGATGGAATGACAATTACGCCCTGAGTATTTGATGGGATGACATTGACATGGTGGCTGAGCGAAACGCACACACGGCATACACGACGTTGACGGCGTTGACGGTATACGTTTGTGGGTTTCGCGCAGAGACAATGGGCTTGACGGTGGCCGGCGGGCACATGTTTGCGCGTGGACAAACGTCGTCGGCCCAGTGCGTTGGAAACATGACAAGCAGTGGTACTCGTACTACCCAAGCCTCCGTCCAGCGGGTAGGAATCGATTGTGGAAGTGTGTACACGCATCGAGTCGGGCTTGGCGTCATCGAGGTTTCGGAAAAAGCCCTGGGTTGCGGCATGCCTCAGGAGACTCAACAAGCATCCAGGGTCGACCAGCAAAAAGGTAGGGGGCGGAGTTTGTGGAATAGCCCCACTTTCTGATATGCGAGCTTGACACGGCGGACAACAGTCGTCTGCTGATGCGCGGCCGGATTAGGCCTTGGCATGGTGGGAAAAGAAGATGAACAAGTTACAGATCAGAATGCGACCAGGTCGATCTTGGCCGTCGTAGGGTTAGGGTCTATCTTTTTGTACTTGTATCGCCGTTTCCAATCTCACTCTCTGTACACATCTGCGAGTGGTTGTGAATACGAGGTCTCTCGGTCGTGTTTTGCTGCACGTCATAAGCCGGCGTTTGTAGACGAATTCCTGGGACACGATACTCAGCAGTATAAATGCACCGACACCAGTACAAGTCCGGCCACCTTCGCCAACGATCACTGAACCACCAGAATGTCGACACGTCACGGCCGGAACGCGAGGGTACTGGCTCGCCGTTTGGATCGCCGTACATAAGGGAAGAGGAGGAGACAAGCTACTTTGAGCGCCAACTACCCGCATACCAAGATGGGCCAAGCGGACCTATAACGCCAGGTACTCTCGAGGCCGGCACTGGAACCACGCCTGTCCCTGACTCCCCGCCCGGTCCTGGCACCCCGTCGAAGCCAGCCATGCCGCCGCGATCGTCGTCATTGAAGCCATACCAGCTCAAGACTGATGTCGCCCGTACGCCGCAACTGCCCGCCGGAGCCACGACTCCTCTGGACAACCTTCCCACGCCAGGACTGGTGACATATCCCCCCGAACCCGCGACATGGACCAACATGCCCAACAAGGGCCAACTCGCCCTGCTTGCCGCCAGTCGCTTCGTCGACTTCTTCCAAATGGCCGCCCTGCAGACATACATGGTACATCAGCTCAAGAGCTTCGATCGCAGCCAGCCCGATTCCGTCATATCGCACCAGGCAGGAATGCTCCAGGGCAGTTTTACCGCCGCCCAGATTATCACGAGTATTCTCTGGGGTCGCGCCGCGGACCAGCCAGGAGTAGGCAGGAAACTGGTCCTCAACATTGGAATGATCGGTACCGCCATTGGCTGCATTGGCGTAGGCTTCAGCACCAGCTACCGACAGGCTGTTGCCTGGAGAGTCTTGAGCGGAGCCATCAACGGCACTGTAGGGGCAGCTAGAACCATGGTTGCCGAGTGTACTGATAAGCGCTGGCATCCGCGCGCCTTTTTACTCCTTCCTGCTGCTTTCAATGTTGCCAACGTCTTGGGCCCGATCCTCAGTGGTCTTCTCGCCGATCCCGTAGCTGCATATCCTCACCTGTTTGGCCCCAACTCGACGTTTGGTGGTGCAGAAGGCATCGCATGGATGAAGAATCATCCTTACGCCGCACCCAACCTCCTCTGCAGTCTGTTGCTCATAATTGAAGCACTGCTCTGCACCTTCTTCCTCGACGAAACCCTCAAAGGCTTCACAGAAGTCGATGTCGGCGCCTTCAACCCAGTAACCATTGGCAAAGGCATTTGGAACCGTCTGTACGAGGTCAAGAACAAAGGTTACAAATTGGTTGGCGAGACAGCCATGGCTCGGAGAGGTCTCTTGACTGGACGCGACGAAGGAAGCATCGAACTCGATCGCATCGCCGACGCCAACGAAACCCGTGAGAGACAGGACTCGCATGCTATCCGTCCTATGCAACGTCTTCCTTTCCGTCGCGTGTGGACACCCAACGTATGCTGGACTCTTCTCTCCATCGCCATCTTCGACTTCCACATGGGTGCCTTTTCAACTCTGTGGATCCTTTTCCTGTCCACATCTCGCGAGTTTGTGCCTGGANAGAGCACAGACGGCAAGCCGCAAAAGCAGGAAAGAGGTGTGTTTAAGTTCGGAGGCGGTCTCGCTTTCCCACCTCCCACAATAGGTCTTGCGATGGCCATTATCGGCTTCGTAGGCATCATCCTTCAATTCGTCCTCTATCCGCGCGCCAATGCCAAGTTCGGCCTCATGCGCTGTTTCCGGTCTTCCCTTTTCTTCTTCCCTCTAGCATATTTTCTGGCACCGTATATTGCTCTCATGCCCTCCGACTCTGCCTCACCAGCCCCAGCCTCAGGCTTCTGGATATGGCTCGGCATCGGCGGTGTCGTGTTCCTCCAAGTCGCGGCTCGCACATTCGCACTCCCTGCTTCCATCTTGCTGCTCAACAATAGTTCGCCTCATCCTTCTGTATTGGCTACTATTCATGGATTGGGTCAAGCAGACAGTGCGGCTTTCAGAACCATTGGACCTATTTTATCTGCTTCTTGGTATGGTACCTGGCTTGAAAGAGGGGTGGTGGGTATGGCGTGGTGGTATGTTGCTGCCATATCGGCTCTGGNNAGCGCTGCGGCGAGCTTTAAAGTCAGGAATGGAAATGGGCATGAGATTATGTTGCCGGGAGAAGAGGAGAGGGCTGATGAGCAAGGTTCTGCTGAGCCGACGAGGAAGTAGAAAGAGTGCTGTATAGTAATATTCTTTGTGTTCAAGCTTAAAGCGTCACTGTTTGTTTTGTACATTAGAGACCGCCTTCTGTCCAGAAGAGAAGTATCGGCGGCTTGACATTGATCATTGTACAGATGGCAAGAGCGATGGAGTATAAAAACCAACCATTACAACTTCCCAACACAACAAAGTCTGCTGCCAGTTGCAGTCACAAGAAGATTCGTCGCTTACTTGACTGCTATACCCATGTACTTCTCGTCCACAACCTGGTTACCATAGCTGGACTAGATGCCCACAAACGTGCGTCATGTCATTGAATCCATTGCAGGCGGATGGTTGTGTCTTTGAAAAAGACTTCAACATGGTCCACACCAACCACCTGGCTCTGAACAGCATTTTGGCAGATAGTGTTCTTCAGAGTGAGCAAGGGAGAATGCGCTGCACCAAGAGCATACATCTGGCAGTGAGGCTTACCAATCAACGCCACGGTGATGAGTCGTGGCGCAGAAATCGCGTAGCAGGCATTCATTTCACTCAATTGGCGAACCACTCCTGTGACTCGTCCTGGTTAAGACGTACTATAGAGAGACTGAAACAAGAGTAGAGGAAGTGCGAAACAAAGGTGGAATTCTGCTAATGCGTGTCTCTTGTTTGGCCTTGGTCTTGTTGCATTCGGGTTCTTTCAAGAATCGTGTTCGTCCTATCTTGACTTCTTGGACTGAAGTTTGAATGTGTTTCGATGCACCGTGATTGTTGCCGCCTCACGATCTTGTTCAGGTCAATTCTTGGGTGAATGCTCTTGACTCTTTTCGTGCCAGAGTCGTCATCTCCTTTTCCTATTGTTCGGTGTTCGATCATCGCAACAGCAAGCGCTTGGATGTGACTCGAGCCGGGATATGTCTTTTGTATAAGAGTGCCGGAAAACTCGTCTTCGCATCCGATCGCAACACGCGACGAGTGACAGCCGTTTAGTTGTCCTCCTTGAATCTTTATATCCATCAGCACCAGATAACCATATCTTGCGCGTGCACTTACCCATGACCACAAGCAGGGCACTTGTAGAAGATAGTGCTGCCCTCATCCGCTCCACGTGTCTGAACGTCGCGGAACTTCAACTTGTCATTTTCGCACTTTGGACAGATCTTCGACGTCAGGGCCCAGGTGTCTCGATCCTCGGCGGTCAGGATCTGCACGTTCGAACGCTTGTCGCAAAGACGAGAGGGGAACGCATCAGGTGCACTGGTCGTCTTCTGGGAGGCAGGCCATTTGTCTAATCAGGTTAGCTCAATGCATTGTTTATGGAGTCGAATTGTGCTCATGTACTGTTGNTTTAGAGTAGAGCAGGCGTCGCATTTGATCAAGTGCTGGTCTGGCGGGCAACGTTCTAGGATGCTACCACAGTCTGTGCAGAACAGGAGGGTTCCGACGAGTGCCATGGTAGATTGAGTGAGAGACTAATCGAGATGATGGTTGAACTGGGGGTCTGGACAAAACAGTCGTAAAGGTTGCCGAGAGGCATTATGCAGGGCATGGTGACACCACGGAGTGAGTCTGGCGCCTGCGTCCTTCACTTTCATTCGTCAGTGCTACAAGCCTCAGATTGCCTTCTACGCTCCAGACAGATGTCTCTGCGTGTTCACTGAAGCTGCTCTCTCATCCACGGTGGCCTAGATACATGCTGGGCAAATAGAATCATTGAGTGTTTGGTGACTTGGAGTGTTCTGTATTTTGTACGCCCTTGATACCGGACACCGTTGAGCACAGATTTTCAGATTGATGAACCGCGAAGGTTACACGCCATATGAGTCCTGTAGACGGAGATGCTGCTTAATTCGAGCACGATCCAAGATGATACCTAAGCAGCATAGGATCTGACAGTGATGATTAAGTTTGCAGAAGCTCCTAGGATAGCACTGTTATCAAGGACGTATGCTACGAAGACGAACGTTGCTTGTTCTGCAAACCATGGTGTTGTTGTCGTTCAATCTCGTTTTGATAGATGTCGTCCATGGTTCAAAAGGGCAAGAGCTGCTGAGCACAACCATCAACAAAGCATTTCAGGGTCTATTGACAAAATCTTGGCACCCGCACAAGAATTCGACCAAAATGATACCATAGAACTCTCGCCCCATGGTTTCTAATGAACCTGACCCGATTTGAACGGATGACCTTGTGGATGTCCCGAGAAGACTGGAATCACACGCGCTACCGCTGCGCCACAGGTCCATTGATGGTGGATTAGTCGTCTGAAACGTACACATTGACTCAATGGCACATCCCGAGGAGTGATCCGAGACCTCAAATCCAATTTAGGAATGCTGGTGGAATGCTAGCTGCAGACATCCACAAGGCCAACCCTTCAAACCGGGTCAGGTTCATTACAAGTCATGGAGCGAGAGCTCCGTTTTTCGTTGCTTGTCGGCAACACAAACACAGCAAGCGCTGTGTTTACCTGTCGTCTGCAACAAGCTTCTCCTCTTGCTGCCACTGACATTTTCGAGCTCGATGGTATATGTATTAGAGGTATGGAAACGCGTCAATGGATATTGGTAAGTAGAGGCCGACGTAAAACTTCTGTTTCCATTCTTGTTGCTCAGATCCTAGCACTTTCTTCTGCTTCCCTGTTCCATCACGCTCTACCTGCATGTCGTATGGTATTGTAGAGTTTATTCTCCTCCTCCAATTGCTTCTTTGCCCAGCCCTATTACGAGTGCACAGTCTAACCTCCAAACTACCTTTTTCTCAATTGGCCTCTTCCAAGCTAGCACGGTCGTACAACACACTTTCCGCCTGTGCACCGCCGTCGTCCTGACCTGATAGGCGTTCTTGTCAGCTCAACAACCCATACCAACAAAACATCACCACAGTCACTTACCTTAGTACTCCGAGTACCTCTGTCTCTGTCTCGGAACTCTCAAACAAGACATGTCGATCGGCTCAGAGATGCGAGACACGTAGATAACATGTCCTTCAGAGATGCCAGCCTAGACTCATCAGTCTCAACGTTACCAGACCTCTCCATGTTTGTTTTGAACTCACTTGGGCAGGTGTATCGCTCCAATGTAACCACTGCATTCCATTCTCATGCCAGTAAAGCTGACCCTTGTGCTGAATATCGCCAAACTTCTGGTCTGAGCGGATGCTCAAAGTACCAGCGATCTGACCAACAGTTGGATCGTACTTGCCGACATCGATCCTCAAGATAGTGATCAGACCTCCAAATGCGAGATTGGACTCTGGGTTGTAGGTGCTGGGTGTTGAGTATGTCAAGCACAAGTCGGAGGAGATGGGGAAGCTTCGGCTTCTGGGACAGTGGGCTCTTCGTCGACAACAGGTGGGATTTGGTCTTGCTTGTTGGAGTCTGATGACTCTTCGGATGAGTCTTCGGACATGCTCATGCTTGCGTCGGTTAATTCGTCTGGACGAGTGGGCTCGCTGTCGTCTGAGGTGTTTGGTTGAGTCTTTTGTGGCTCCTCGGGCGGTCCTCCAGATATGGTCTTGAGGTCTGATGTCGATCTGGTATCCATGTTGGGTCCAGATGTGCTACGAGAGAAGTTGAGTAAGGACAACTCTATATAGCTTGACTTGTTTGCCTTCATCGTTCGAAGCCAGTCAACAAAGAAAATTTCAGAAGATTCTTGATGTGACGGCTATCGTTGCCGTTCTCTCGTGATATTCTAATGACCCAAACTTTTGAGACATGGTTTGTCAACGAAAACAGGACAAGCGAACCGGCATCAAACGAAGCATATATTACTTTCAGAATAGTCAGGAAACAGACTCGTCGAGCATCTTCCATGATTGAAAGACATAAACCGAGCATTCGTTGTTGAGATAGATCTTTCATTCCAATCCAGTAATTCGTATCTTCATGTCTTCGTGACCAGCAGCGGAAGCTTTTCCATGCTCTCCATTAAACATCGGCCATTACCTCCCCACCTCCCTGATATCCACAGATGTCCCGTAATTTGTCTCCATGCAAACTTTATGCCATCCCAGCAACCCTTAGAGCCCTCTCCAATCTCTGGATATCGTGCACTCGGGGACCACCATTCTGAGCGTCAACGGTAGCAGGGTTTCTGGATGAGATACTGTTGACTTCATGGCCATCTTCACCACCGTCCGAGTCCTCTTGCATGTTGTTGTGTGTTTGCTGTTCAATCTGCACCCTCACTCTCGGTCGTTGCTGGTACCGAACAACTCTTCTTCTGCGTCTGTGGTGAAACATGTGCTATCACCAGTCAGTCATCAAACCAATCTCAAACAAAGCAAAGGACAAGCAGATGTAAAAAGAAAGAAAACAAGCAAAACTTACACAACACCCACGACGATGAATACACATCATAAACATGATCAAAAACACCAAGAACGAACCCAACACATAGGCCTCCAGCACAGCCGTCACAGGCGTAGTCCATTGTCCCATATACCTAATCTCCCCTGTCAGCCATCGCATACCCTCATCTTCTCACGTGCCATGCTCTCAAAAACACAGCAAACATGACATCCTCAAAAAAGAAGCTCACCAAGGCAAATGCGTGTTGTTGTTGTTGGAGATGAAAGTGGCATTCTTGTCATCAAGAGCAAAGTTGACATTGGCACCGGTAGAAGGGTTCGCGGTGATGATGTGCATGGCGTTTGATGCTTGAAGAAGGTGGTAAGCGGATTCTTAGGTAATTGATCTGCAAGGGGGATGCGTTGCGGCGTTGGTGATACCAATGAGGAAACAAGGCAACGAGCAAAAAGAGGCATTTATTTCGTACGCCCATGCTTCTCATCCCGGGGTTCACAATATCAGTGCCAGACACAATCGTTTTTCGTGGGATGTGAATGCAGAGAAAGTATTGTGAGCAGATGAGAAGAGTTGCTTGTTATGATTCTTCTTTTGATCATTCACAATGTGCAAATCCATTTATTCTTCTGCCATGCGTTATCATTGTTCCTGTTATTACAACCGCTCTCCACCACCCCATTAATTCACATGCGCGTTATGTTCATGATTTGTCCCAGGGCAGAGAGAAAGTGCCGACCCAGTCTTCAACCTCCTTTCTGAGCTGAACGACCTCTGTGATCTCCTCACCCTCGCCAACATACTCTCTGAAAGCGTTGACGCTACCAGGGTTCTTGCGACCAGCCTTCTCGGCGGCCTCCTTTGCGACGCCGTCCAATCTGCGAGTGATTTCAACAGCGCGGTGGACGACATCGGCGACACGCTTGAAGTCTTCGGGTTGGAAGCCACGAGTAGTCATGGCGGGGGTACCCATACGGAGACCACCCGGCTTCATAGCCGACTTGTCGCCGGGTACGGTGTTCTTGTTGGCAGCGACACCAACAAGCTCGAGAATACGCTCAACACGGGCACCATCGACATTCTTGTCCTTGAGATCAATGAGAACCAAGTGGTTGTCAGTACCGCCAGAAACGATTGAGTAGCCGAGACCACCCTTGTCCTTTGTGTTTCCAAGACGAGAAGCGAAAGCCTTTGCGTTGTCAAGGACGGTTTGCTGGTATTGCTTGAACTCGGAGGTCTGGGCTTGGGCTAAGGCGACAGCCAATGCGGTGATGGTGTGATTATGAGGACCGCCTTGGTGTCCGGGAAAGACGGATGAGTTGATGGGGCCTTCAAGATCGTAAAAGACCTCGTTGCCCTTCTTGTCGGCGCTTCTGACACCCTTGCGGAAGAAGATCATGGCACCACGGGGACCGCGCAGAGATTTGTGTGTGGTGGTGGTAACAACATCCGAGTAGTCGAAAGGCGATGGGATAACGCCGCCAGCGACGAGACCAGAGATGTGAGCCATGTCGGAAAGGAGGTACGAGCCAACGCTGTCGGCAACGTCGCGGAACTTTTTGTAGTCAATCAGTCTACTGTAGGCCGAGGTTCCAGCGATGATGATCTTGGGGCGGTAGAGCATGGCCAGCTCATGCAGCTTTGTGTAGTCGATCAGGCCGGTCTTCTCGTCGAGCCTGTAGGGCAGCGTCTCGAAGTATTTTGAGATGGCCGAAATCTTCTTGGTGGGAGTCTGGTAGCCATGGGACAAGTGGCCGCCATGGGGGAGATCGAGACCCATGATACGGTCGTGTGCATTAAGGAGGGCCGAGTAGGCGTAGAGGTTGGCGGGCGATCCGGACAGNGGCTGTGACGAGTGTGAGCTGGTGCATACCAAGATTGACGTTGACTGTAGCATACGCTGGACGTTCACACCCCACTTCTCGGGGTCGAGACGGAAGGCCTGGAGTGCTCTCTGCTGGCACAGTCGCTCGGCCTCGTCAATGTGCTCGTTGCCGCCATAGTATCTTGCTCCGGGGTATCCCTCCGAGTACTTGTCTNNATTACAGTCAGCCTATGACTCTGAGGGAAAGGTGAGAAGTTGCCCACTTTGCATAACACTGCCCAGGGCATCCAGGACAGCTTGCGATGTGAAGTTTTCTGAGGGAATCAAGTTGATAAAGTGCTTTTGCCTCCTCTTCTCCTATGCGGGGGTCAGTGTCTGGTATAGCGGCTTTTATCGGATGTCTTGGACCTTTTGGATGATGTCGTAGACGGTAGGGTCTGCTTCTTCGAGGTCGGCTGAAAGAAGCTGGTATAAGGGTCAGCCATGTGTTGCTGGTTGCCAAGTGGCGCATTGACGATGATATACCTTCTGCTGTCCCTCGATGGACAGGGCGCGGCGTGTTTGCAATTGCAAGGGGCGGCATGCCTCAGCAAACGGCCGCCTGCCTGCACGCGACGCCCGCAGCAGCGATGTCGTCCTCAGCGCTGACATTGTGTGGTGGTTGACAAGGAGCAACTGCCCGACCTTGAGCGTGGATATCCATCGTCACCTCCGCCTAGCAACATCATCCCACTCGGTTCCACTTCCGCTGTTCGACTTCCCCATCTGGCTAGCGTGTCCTGGCTCGTGCCCCCAACGCCTATTTCTTGCGCGCTCGCCTGGCGACCTCTTACTCTCCCTTACAACTAAAACCTCGGGGATGAGTTGACCTATCTGGCAGACAATCTCACTCGCTAGGCTTCTGTCTCGCGACGTGGGTGTTGCTGAGACGTCTGGGGTCCCAAACCACCGATTTTGCAGGCGGTTTGTGCTTTCTGAGGGCTGTTATGTTGTATTTGTGTCATCTGACGACACATTGGAGAGCGTCCATAAAGCACTATCTGCTAGGCTTTGGTCCATGTTAAAAGAGACAGATCCGATACCATATTCAATCATATCTATCTCGATCATCTTGAGTTCGGTGCGCCTGGTGGAGGTCGTGACTGTTTGGAATCAATGCCTGAATTGGGCCACTCAAACCGCACTCTGTTCAACGTCCAACTACATGTGAAAGACCACTCTGATATAGCAAGAGCATTTCCTCTGATTGTAACACTCACGCGACACGTTCCTCCCTCTTTCAAACAGGAGGATGCGAGGATGCTGTCCTAAACCTCCGCGACGACAAAAGCGGCAGGTGACAACAACATCCCCTCGACCTAGACGCCCATGTCTCGTGAATCCTTCGCAGCCACTCGATACACAACCGAGCGACAAACACTGTCACACGCCTGTCTCCTGCACCTTTGGTTCGCCAGCTATTTTCGAGTACTTTCGTGCGTTTCTCGAAGCTTGCTAGAATTGTACAAGGACCATCTCGCATCGCCATGGCATTGGCTGGCAAGCTTGTCCTTCTTAGCACGGCAGATAAGCACTCGATGTGTGTTTGGCCTAGCAATGCGGCATATTTTGCTGCGCTGGTCGCGAAGAATGGTTCAATGTCTTTGATGGCGCTTGTCTAGGTACTTAATGAGGTCTCCGTCGCTCGAGGTTTTGTGTTCTCCACCTTGAGTTGAACCTCTTTTGGTATATCACTTCACAAAATCACATTGTGAGAATAGCCGGTGGCTAACAGATACATAGGTGCCTCCGGAAGCTCTACAGTGACTATTGCAACCCAACCAACCACCATGGGATTTTATGGGAGACTACAAAAAAGAACGGATTATCGAAAGGTGCTCGAGGAGGTGTCATAGCTGCCGTAGTAATCGTCTGCGGCATTGTCTTGCTCCTCCTCGGATGGTTTCTATGGCGTAACCGCAAGCTCAAGCTCACCAAGGAACTAGCAGAAGCGCAAGAAGGAGTACCGCAATGGCCAACAAAGTGGCCCACGCGAGCAAAGCCTACTGCCACCTCTACGCAACCAAGGAACAGCCATGGTGAACCGGTCGAGCTGGCACCACCGGCCTACGATATTGCTCAACCATTACCGACGTACGAGGCACCGAGACAAAATCATGATGCACCAGAATCTTACGAATTATCGAACATGTCACATGGGCAGAGACCTGCACGTCAGGATGTATAGTCTTTTTACTTCGAAGAAAAAGCTTCTACTGAGGGCGATGCAACAACTTTATCACGACTCGGGGTGTCGCGTTTGTGAAGGTATCCAATTTCCTTTCTCTTTTTCATTCTCCGTTATAGGGTCTCCGATAGTTCCCGGCTTGCCAGGGGAACGAATGGAGGAGTGTACTCTAAGCTCGATAAACCGGACTGGTCATGGACCAGGATTATCAATAACCAAGTACCAAAGTGTTACGGATCTCTAATAAGTCCTTCGTATTCAGGTCAACACACATCCTTCATCTTCGCCTTCGTCCATCTTGTCTCGTTTCCTTCTGGACCGTTTACCCTCATTCTTTTTCTCATGAGAATTCTTCATTTCAGAAGTCGCAGTCCTCTGAGCGTCAAGGACACGATTAAGGAATATCATGACCTCCGCTCGCTCCTTCAAGGCTGAGATCCCGGCACGCATAGCCAAGGCATGCATGCAGCGTATGCATTGTAAAATTATCTGAACTCGGCCTGGGTTCTTGGTAGCACTGCCACGTCCCGCTCTGTATATTGTGCGTTTCTTCCCCTCCTCTCCTTCGGATCCCGCCAATATCAAGATAAGATTTGAGTTCGAGGCACATCTTCCTTACCTGCAAACCACTATGGCGCTTGCCGCATTTACTGATGTTACTAAGATTATCTTAATGGACCTTTCGCATCGGTCGGCGTGACTGCCCCTGCCGCCTCTTCTAATATTTCCACAGTTCATGTGACGGCTGGCCCAACCACCGCGCTTTCGACTGCACCAATCACCGTGGTTGTGACTTCAGTCTATACTCTTTCAATAACCACGAACAGCGCGGGACTCCCAACGTCTGGGACATCGACAACAGCATTTGTACAGATATCGACATTATCAAGCCTACCCTTGACGACAATATTCACGCCGCCGACGTCCTGCTCAACTAGACCATTCACCCTGTCAACATCGAACAACATACTCGTTGGGATTTGGAATTACTCGTCAAACTCCGTAGACCTTTGCTATCCCCCTGATTGGGCTACAGCAAAGACAAACTATTACACACCAGGAGTCTGCCCAAAAGGCCATACATACGCTGGCATCGACGTCGGTTCTGAATCTCTAGATGTTCGATACACTCCTGTCAACTGTTGTCCAAGGTAAGTCGTATACCGCCGCTGGGTGCTTGGTACGTATCTAACTGCAACATCCAGTGGTATGGATCTCGTGGGTACTCAGTACCGCACCTTAGTAACCACGACAACCTACGCACTTTTGCCAGACTTGAGAACAGGTACCATTACCAATTTTCCCTTGAGTGGTTTCGCCACTCCCTTGAGAGTGGTATGGAATTGGGACAATCTGTCAAAATTCACACCAAACGCCGCTCCAGTAGTGGCATATGCGAACAGAGACAAGCCCCTTTCTTCAGGACTTTCTGTCGGAGCAAAAGCTGGCATCGGAATTGGGGTGGCCCTTGGTGTCCTCCTATTGGTAGAGGTGGTCATCTTCGCAATGTTCCGAGTCCGCAAAAGAGAGGCTGGACAATTCACTCCTGCTTCACCAGACGAAGGGGACGTTAAGCCAGAGCCTGCTGCTGTTATGGCGCTGGAGAGGAAGACTATGGCTGAATTTGACGATCAGGGCGAGAGCAGAGAGATGGAGGGGGATGCAATGTTCCCGGAGCTGGCGCATCTCATCAAGAGCTCAGAGCTTGAGGTGCCTCATAAAGTCCACGAGCTACCAGGGTAGGTACGAACTATCGATGAGGCCTGGCTGCACGTTTTATGGACGAGTCCTTGGAGCGAGGTTGGAAGTGTCGACGAACAACGCGCCGACATGCGAGAGACCCGTGTGGCTAGCGCGTTTCTCTGTCTTTGAACAGGATTTCAGAGCGGATGTTACATGGGATCGGTGGAATTTCGGCTTCATGCCATGCCATGCCACTACTTCTAGCTAACATTCCATTCCATGTTAATTATCTAGTGGAATGATGCCAATTCCAACTCCGTCGTCGTCGTCGCAGTCACCCTGTCCTTCTTCTAGGTCACCCTGTCCCTCTACGTGATCTTCCAGTTCCTCTACGTAATCTTCTAGTCCTTTATTAGTAGTAATTAGTAGGTTAACCTTATTAAAACAGAGGTTCTTCTACTAGCTCTTAAGGCACTTAATATAGCTAAGGTTATTAGTAGAGAGACTTACTTAGTCCTACGACAGTATCCTCCTATAGCTACTAAATACCCTTTCTAACTTAGTAGACATTAGATTAATCGAGAGGATATTGATAGCCATCTAAGAGAGGTTTAGGTAGGTTTATTACTACGTTAGCTTAAGCCACTAGTGTATAGCGTCTTTAATAAGTACTAGAGGACTCTTAGTAAACTAGATAAACTCCTTAGGTATAGTAACTAAGCTTATATACCGTATTAAAGCCTACTACTTAGCTAGCTTATTCGACTTCTCTATTAATAATGGTGTTATTATAATAGGCTTAACCTTGTTTTTATACTTAGTAGTCTATAAAGCGCGCATAGTAGTAATAGCTAGTACTCGCTATAACGGAGGCTATTACTTATTAATATAGGCCTTATAATATGTTAGATAGAGGAGGAGCGCTACCGTATAGGTAGGGGTATAGTTGTTAATAGTTTGCTACTTATTAAGTGCAAATTAGCTAGTCTAAATGGCGGTAATAAGTGCTCGATCGGTAGAAGCGCCTTAGATCGTGTAGTTCTTATAGTACTTACGTAAGAAATCCATTAATATAAGCACTTAATTAAGAGTTACGTTATTGCCTTTATATAGCTTAGTTACCTTCTATAGTAGTTTTATAAAGTTAATAAGCGCTTTAAGGAACTACTAGTAGCGCCGCTAGAGAGTAGTTGTTACGATCCTGCCAATGACAGGGTCGCACAGCCTGCTCTGTTGTTCTCCGCATCTTGGCGGAACAGAGCACTCTGCATAAACACGCCATCTGCTCCGCTCTGCTCTGCTGCTCTGCTCTACAGGGCACAACAGAGCACATAGAGCAACATGCATACACTCATTATCTATTAAGATATATAGGTAGGCAGGAGCTCACTAGGAGGTCCTGCGTTCAACTCAATTAGTTATTCCAACAGTCCCTTTGGCATACACTACTACTTACATCTGCTTCACTACGCTTGACACTCCGCTTCACGAGTCCAACCCCGTGACTAGTTATTCTCCCCAGAATAGTTGGCCATAACAACTTTGAACGCCCTCAGAATGAGTCACTTAAGCAACGCCTAGAGAGGTACTCCCGCACCTAGCGAGGTCGGTGGAACCCGCACCACCAGCACCTCCCGCGACGACAGCAAGGTCGCCAAGCCCGATCTCTACTATGGAGACCGCCAGGGGCTTGACGATTGGCTCAACCAGATGGATCTCTATTACATCTTTACTCCTATGGAGGAAGCTAAGAAGACCATCTTTGCTAGTACCTATCTCCGTGGAAGAGCCCAGCACTAGATGAAACCGATGCTTTAGAAGTTCCTCGACAAGAGAGAAGACACCGACGGAATCATGATGAGCTTCGTAAAGTTCAAGGCCGAGATACGTCGTATCTTTGGCATCTCCAACGAAGACAAGGTTGCTGTACGCCTTATTCAGCACATCCGTCAACACACTTCAGCATCCGATTATGCCGCCAAATTCCAGGAGTATGCCCAGATCACCGACTGGGATGACTCCGCCCTGATGACCATATATCGACGTGGTCTGAAGGAGAACGTCAAGGACGAACTCATGAGATCCGGCATGAAAATCGAAGATCTTGATGATCTTATCCGTGCATCGATCGAAATCGACGACAACCTTTACGAACGCGCTATGGAAAGACGCCATGATATAGCCCCTCGCGGCAAGTCTGGCTACGTTCCATACCGTAGTAACAATAACACCAATAAAGGAAGAAACTTCAACAGACGCAACCAGTACCAGGATCCTTACGGACCTATGCCAATGGAACTAGATGTTACCGAAGGTCGCCGATCTCAGGGCAGGAAGCAGTTTAAAGGGAAGAGTCAGATGACTTGCTACGCATGTAACCAGAAAGGTCACATAGCAAGGGATTGTCGTTCGAAGAACAAGGTGCCTCGAAGACAATTCAACATGACGCAGCGCCGTTCCGAAGGAAAGGAGCCAGAGCGCAACGAGCCAATAGAAACCAAAGAACTGGACACCCATAAAACCCTTAGCTGGACGGCTTGCTATGATAACGCATGTCTAGTCCATTACGACGCTAAGATGGGGTCAGCATGGTTTCCCCATGCACCTAGAAAGGGCAGAGGAGGCTACAACGAGATCAATGTCATCACCAAGAAAGATGATCTCGAGGAAGGAAAAATCGAAGAAGAAGACGTCGAGAGCGATCCCGAGGAGGACGACGACGAGGAGGAAAGCAGTGACGAAGAATCTTCTAACGAGGACGAACCTACACACATGTGTGATGGACGAGAAGGCATCGAAACCTTACATGCCTACGTACCATCATGCTTCACCAAGATGTTCAACATTATGATGAAGCATAGGGAGGAAGCATTCCCATCAATCAATGGTCAAAGATTCCTGCACCCTCACAACTTCGATAACATGCTAGATCAGATCCGCAATGCATTTTGGGAACATAGACTTGTGGTAGTCGACTACGACTTCAAGGCTTTCATTGTCGAAAGGCCACCACTCGGTAGTACCTTTGCACCAGCTGGATACATCATTCCCACAGGAGAACGTGTTAACAAGAGTATGCGAGATGGCATTAACTTGCTCCGATCTCGATACGAACAAGCTCAACAGCAGCAACGCACGCTATACGAGAGACACCTCCGCGAAGAGCACGGACTAGATACTTCCTTAAAAGGAAAAGAAAGAGTCAGATTCGACTCAGTAGTCAGTGACGATTCGGGAAAAGAGTAGATTCTCGTGGCAAGGGCAGCCAACGAGAATGCAACACGATCTAAGCCCTAGCGTCAACATCATCAACAACGGTGTTCCGTACACCAGTTACCGTCAATGGAAGACGACTATACGCAATGATAGATTCCGGAGCGAGCGGAAACTTCATCTCTATGGCTATAGTTGCTCGATTTAGGATCGCCACCAAATCGAAAGAACACGGGTACGAATTAATGGCTGTAGACGGCTCAGCTTTACCCGGAGTTACAGAAGAGACTCTATCGACAGAGCTCGTTGTTTAATCGCACTATGAGGACATCACTTTTGACATTGTGGAAATGGCCAATCACCACATTGTCCTAGGTATGCCTTGGTTAAGACAACACAACCCAACCATCGACTAGAGGTCGAAAGTGTTGAGGTTTCAGGGATGCGACTGCGTAGTCGATCCGCGACCTACGCACCGGCAGCGTTCGGTGGTAGATGAGAGGAAGGGTCAAACCAAGACCAAGAAAGCATGTGTTGCTATCACCTCGACTAAGGCATCATCAAAACAACATAATACCGGCTCCGCAGGCACCGATCTTAGAGGTCAGACGGGCCACGAAGCGAGAGTTAGTGAAGGAAGTCACGTACCTTCTGATATCCCTGAACAATACAGCAAATGGAAACGCTTGTTTCAGGAAGAGGAGAATGCAAACGCATTACCTAGGCATCAGCCGTGGGATCACGAAATACGACTCGAACTAGGGAAGCAACCCACATTTAGACCCATTTACGCGTTATCCGAAAAAGAACTCAAGACGCTTCGAGAATACCTGGACGAGAATCTGGCACGAGGATTTATCCGCAAATCGGAATCCCCTGCAGGTTACCTAATTCTGTTTGCACCAAAGAAAGACGGCAGTCTGAGACTGTGCGTTAATTACCGAAAGATTAACGATATCACCGTCAAGAATCGTTACCCATTGCCGAACATTGAAGAACTACAGGATCGCTTATCCAAAGCGAAATGGTTCTCAAAGATTGATCTCAAAGGAGCCTACAACCTCATCCGAATAAAGGAGGGAGAAGAATGGAAGACCGCGTTTCGTACACGCTACGGACATTACGAATACTTAGTCATGCCATTTGGTCTTACCAACGCCCCGGCTACCTGTCAGATGATGATCAATGACACGCTACGAGAATATCTGGATATCACAGTTGTCGCATACTTAGACGACATCTTGATATACACAGACGGAAAACCTGGAACAACACGTAAAGGACGTACAACAAGTTCTGACAAAACTACAAGAACGGAGACTTAAGGCAAACCCAAAGAAATGTGAATTTCACGTAAAGGAGACCGAGTTCCTCGGCTTCATCATTAGAGTCGACGGCATCCGGATAGATCCTGCGAAAATCACATCAATCAAAGAATGGCCTACTCCGAAGAACCTCAAAGAAGTACAATCATTCCTTGGACTAGCAAACTACAACAGGAAGTTCATATTAGGTTACTCCCAGACAGCGTTACCACTCGTGGAACTCACGAAGCAAGATACTCCATTCATATAGAAGGAACGGCAACAGAAAGCTTTCGAAGCACTCAAACAGGCATGCATCGACGGACCTACTCTGAGAATGTTTGACTCAGGGAAGCCAGTCCACATCGAGACCGATGCATCCGACAGAGCGATTGGAGCATGCCTTACGCAAGATCACGAAGGGAAACGACACCCCGTGGCTTACTACTCACGTAAGATGACACCAGCAGAACAGAATTACGACATCCATGACAAAGAACTTCTCGCCATCGTCGCAGCCTTGCAACACTAGAGAGTTTATGCCGAAGGAGCACCGTCCCTTACCATTCTTACGGACCACAAGAACCTCTTAACCTTTACAACCACTAAAGTTCTTAACCGTAGACAAGTAAGATGGTCGGAACTCCTCGGACAATACAAATTCAAAATCCAGTACACGCCTGGCAAAGACAACGGCAGAGCGGACGCGCTTAGCAGAAGAATCGACTACATGGAAGGCAAAGAAGCTATCATACACAGCATCTTGTAAACAAACAAAGATGGAACACTTAGCGCGCGGACACACGAGTTTAATGCCGTGTTGCGAATCATCCGGGATGATCAAGAAGAGTTTCCAATCTCACACAGCAAATACCAAGTGCCTAAACGACACCAAGAACAGTGCATTCGAGATCACCACGACGATCCAATGCATGGTCACCCTAGCATTACAAAGACAATGGAAATCATACAACGCAACTTCACCTTTCCACAGATAAAAGCGAAGGTTACGGCATACGTTCAGAAATGTCGTAGCTGTCAGATGAACAAGTCATCTCGGCATGCGAAGTATGGAGAGATCCAGTTTGTGGATCCACCATTGCAGCCATGGGACGAAGTCACGATGGATTTCATCACTAGCTTACGTAGTTTGAACTCGCTGGACGACTCGAAACTACGTAATAACCAGGAACCATCGACCACATCACGTAGTTTCAAGGACTCGAGAAACCTGAAACCACGTAATGATGAGTACGACTCCATACTAGTGATGGTCGACAGACTGACGAAGTATACGCACTTCATCCCCTACATGAAATCGATTACTGCAGAGGAACTAGCACACTTAGTACTAGACAGACTAATCAGATATCACGGGATTCCGAAGTCATTCATTACGGATCGTGACAAACTGTTTACGTCAAATTACTAGAAGACACTCGTGTCTACGATGGGTATCAAGCATAAGCTATCGACAGCTTACCATCCACAGACCGACGGCCAGACAGAACGAGCAAACCAGACGCTCGAGGCTTACCTGCGACATTATGTTAATTACGCTCAAGATAACTAGATAAATTACCTACCAATGGCACAACTGGCACTCAATCAACAGATCTCTGCTACCACAGGGGTTACGCCATTCTATGCTAATTTTGGAAAACACCCTAATCTATTTATGGAGCCTAAATTACAACATCCAAACGCAGACAGAGCACTGATTACCAGCGAACAGCTGAAGGAATTACATAAGCAACTACGACAACGGATACTATCATCCTAGGACGGGTTACGCAAGAGTAGACAGAAACCAAAACCGGATCCTCAGCTAAAGAAGGGAGATAAGGTATACTTGCTTACAAAAACTTACGATCTCAACGGACGACAAGGAAACTAGACCATGTCAAAGTCGGACCATTTTTGATTTCAGAAGTTAGAGGACCAGTCAACTACAAACTTCAACTCCCTAACGATGCGAAAATACACCTTGTGTTCCATATATCGTTATTGGAACCAGCCGACCCAGAAACTCCGTTGCAGACGACATTCCACTTCCAGAGTGACACGGACGATGAATTCGAAGTCGAACAAATACTAGAGCATCGAGGTCAGCGATACCTTATGAAGTGGAAGGGTTACCCATATACAGAAAACACTTGGGAACCAAAACAGAATCTCAAGAACTGCCAGAAGCTTCTGCAGCAGTTCCAGCGGGATCGACATTCCAGAATTCGGAAGACAAGTCGAAACCACCGTCAATAGCATTCCAAGTCTCTAGACCTAGCGTCAAGCCAGGAGTATTGGCAGAGAACTCGAGTAAAGCGGCGTCGACCTCTTCTTGTTCGATGCCCGCGTATTCTGCAGCCACCGCCTCCTCCTCTTTCTTATCCAGCAGATCCAGCTGTTGACGAAGGCGCATCTCCCGAGCGAACGCTGTTTGCTGTCGCTCGCGTGCCAGATCCGCTTCTTTCCGAGCCTGCTCTTGCGCATGGTACGCGTCCTTGATAGCGTCGCGCAGACGCTTGCGCTCTTGTTTTAGGCGATCCCATTCGGATTGCGACACACGGATATCGCACCTCTAATTGCGACGAAGACACTTACTACATTTCCCGGACCTGACGTGGACCCGACAAACGCGACCGTGTTTCGAACATGTGGCGCAGGGCTTCACCATAATGGTTCCTTCGGATTCGATATATTCGGCGAGTCTTTTGCGACGCTCAGTGCTGGTGTCCTTAGGCATAGTGGAAAAGGTCCATGGCTCACCAAGGTGGAAATCAGCAGGCACCAGCTGATTATGTACGTCAGCGTCGGGACGACGCTAGTACGGAAGGGGATGGTGTTACGATCCTGCCAATGACAGGGTCGCACAGCCTGCTCTGTTGTTCTCCGCATCTTGGCGGAACAGAGCACTCTGCATAAACACGCCATCTGCTCCGCTCTGCTCTGCTGCTCTGCTCTACAGGGCACAACAGAGCACATAGAGCAACATGCATACACTCATTATCTATTAAGATATATAGGTAGGCAGGAGCTCACTAGGAGGTCCTGCGTTCAACTCAATTAGTTATTCCAACAGTCCCTTTGGCATACACTACTACTTACATCTGCTTCACTACGCTTGACACTCCGCTTCACGAGTCCAACCCCGTGACTAGTTATTCTCCCCAGAATAGTTGGCCATAACAGTAGTATACTCTATATGCTCGTTAATAGATTAAATAGCACGTATAGTTGCTTAAGATTAGATCCCTCGCTTAATTATAGCTAGCTAGCTATTCTACCTTATAGTATTATTAAGCATTAGAGATACACTAGTAGCTACCTTAAACTTACGACAACGGCGAGCTAACCTTATAATCTACTTAAAAACTAACGGAGGTAGTTAAGGGCTTTATAATTAGTAAGGCTAGTATCTTAAGCGAGCGTTAAGATAGCTTTTAAGGGATCTTAACTTTAATTAATTATAGTAGCTACGGTATCTATCGAGCTCGCTAATATAAGTGCTTAACTAGTAAGGTTAATCTAATGTCTAAAGTAGCGAGTTCAATGTTATATAGGGTCCTAATCGATAGATAGACGCTTACTAAGTAGACTAGTAAGGTAGCTTATTATAGTGTCGTTATAGGTAGCATTATTAGAGGTAATATATCCGATCTTCTACTTAATGCTATACGTAACGATAGTGTTAAAGAAGAGAGGAGCATACTAAGCACTAGCATAACTAGCTAGTAGCTTATAAAGAGCTAGTAATGCCTTACTTAACTTACCGTCTAAGGCGATAAATCGAGCTATAATACTAAGCAGCTTATAGTTACTATAATTAGCCGTCTAAGCATTATAGGTAAAGTGGACTAATAATCGAGAGGTTATAAGTAGAGCCTTAAGCGACTCTTAATAGAAGTTATGCTTCTTCTTAACGTGTTTAGTAATAGTATAATAGGTCTTAATTAAGAGCTTTAAGGCGCTAGAAAGCACCTTATTAAGTAGGGTATAGAGTAGAGGATTACTAGTAGTACGAAAGGGAATGTTACTTAAGGTAATGTAATCGATAAGGCGTCGGTTTAAGCGAGTTTTATCGATGTCGGCAATAGTATATAATGTCTAAAAGGGTATTGCTACTACTAGCATCTTTAAAAGTGTACTAGTCGCCTATCTCTAGCTATATCTCTTTTAAGGTGTAATCTAATGTTGTCGTAGTTAGTAGTGCTATAGTTACGAGGATAGTCTCTATTACTATAGAAGTAGTACTAGATCTTCTTCTTAAGCTTACGCTCGCGCTCTCTAGGACGACGAGCTCTAGCATAAGACTAGAGCTCTTTAGAATCGCTACGGGTAGGAACTAGCTTTCGAGAGCGCTTTATTAACGTAGATTTAGAGTTATCGATGTAGTTGCTAGGGGTCGTTAGCATTAGTCGTCGTCGCTTTAAAGAAGGAAATAACGGCTAGTCGACATTAGAGGCGCTATCGTTAGTCTTAGAGTTATTACCTTTAATAAAGATACTATCTAATTAACTCTAAGGAATAAAGAGTCTAGGCCTTAGAGTATTAGAGACGAATTTAAAGAGGGTGCTCTACTTAGAGGCGTATAGCGGCTAGCTCTAAGATAATCGAGAGTTTAGTTAGCTTTATAGCTCTTATAACTTATGCTCTTAATTAGCTATTAAATACATGATATAAGCGTTATAATTAAAGGTAGATTATTTACTTATTAAGATAAGAAGACAATTAAGAGCTAAGCTCTTATATTAAGTAAGAAGGTAAAAGATAGGATAGTTAATAAATAGAGAGGGATTAGTTAAGACGCGTCGAAAAGGACGCGCGAGGCTTTACGTAAGCTAACTATAGACTAGCTAGTCGGAGCTTACGATCTTATCTCCGAGATAAGATCTAGCTAATTAGAAAGCTTAAATAAGCTACTAATTAGAAAGGGCGTTATAGCAAGTTTTTATACGCGACTACTATACCTAAGCGTAGTACGCTCTAAGCTAAGGCTTACTACTATTAACTATAGCAACACTAGCTATACTAAGTGGTAGAATGGTAGAATATTCCATTTAAACTAACGATTCTATTCCATGCTAACTAGGTGGAATATTCTACTTATTCCATGCCATTTAACATCCGCACTGCAGGATTTGACAAGGCTGGTTGCTTCTGCGGTGACCCTGTCTGATTAGTATATCTACTCTCTTTCGAGCAGCAACGAACGGAGGGGAGCATGGAACGGTCCCCTGCAATCTGCGAGTATACCAAAACATAATTCTCATACTCTAGTACAGGCAATTTGAAGGTAGCTGTCGCTGTTGGACTAACACTGCAAACTCAGTAATTTAGGAATCTCATATCACGAAGCCCTATGATATCAACTGACATGTCAACCATTTCAAGTTCGAACCACATGGTACCTTTTACAAGGGCCATGTTCTCGCGCGGTCTGAGACACGTACTCGATGATCGGTTGAGCCAGAGCCTCGTTGAATGTAACAATTGATTTCGGGCTCTATCTATGCTTGCCGCCCTTTCTCTGCCTGAGTTCATGTTCCTTNTTGGGATCTTTCTTCTCAATAACCCAAGTCTCGACGACTTGTTTTGTTTCGACCTTCTTCCCCTCTGTTTGTTTGGCGTCCTTGATGCGGCGTATGTAACCCATGTAGATGGCGACTTCGGCAAAAGCAACAGTGCCACTGCCAAACATGCTCAGGGCCATTCTTTGGGGGACGCTCCAGTGACGGGCAGCGATCCAGATGGCGACGCTACAGGCGATGATGGAGACGAGGACGTTGATGATGAGTGCTAGCTGGCGATTGACGTCTGTATAGGTCACTTCGTCGTCTTCGTCCTCTTCTCGAATGCGAGCTGTCTCGGGTATGGATGAAGTGGGGTTGATCAACCGTTGGTATGCTATGTTTTCCTCTTCTCTACGAAGACGAGCCATCAGAGCGGTGTATTCGGCAGTCTGGTTCACTGATGTCAGTAAACTGCAACTTCGAAGAATAGAGATCAGGGGTGTGCATACTGGCTGAGGCTTTGGTTTCGGCGGGGGCACATAGATGTTTGCCCCCTTGAGCAGAGTATCAAGTCGGAAGTCATTCTTGTTGGGTAGATGACTTTCACGCAGGAAGCGCGCGACCTCAATCAACTGTGCATGAGATACAGGAGCGCCGATGGTGGGCTCGCTCAGGGAGGGGTCACTCGAGGAGTCATCCTGTTTTTGGTCTGACAGCTGGTTGTAGAGCTCGACAGCAGATTTGGCAGCAGGAGTCAATGTCAACAGGACCATCAGGGCGACTGGAGGATATTGACGATGGTGGCTCTTGTCTGTATGCGCAGTATGAGCTCGGACCACCAGATCTCCAGAGTCGACCGAAAATGCCATCATGTCTTGGATGGAGATGCAACAATTCACGATTGGCCACCACCGCTCTTTCCTTGGACCTTGCAATCATTCTTTCCTATTCCAATTGGAGTTCTAGCGGGTGTCGTTTTGTTCGCGCAATCCTTGTCCCAGAAATGAGCGCTCTCCGAGCTCGAGCATCGACGCTCGCCAACACGTCTCGCTCACCGTCATACCGAGCCTCGAGTTCCAGATATGCACACCTCCCGCCGCCGCGCCCACGATCAATACCCTCATGTCTCCCTTCGCAACGGCGGCATCAGTCGTCGGTCGCTGCTGCCATCCAGACGGCCAAGCACATGTTCAGCAATGCTGCTCCTTCACCAATCGGCATTGATCCTCTGCAGAGCGTCGCCAAAGAACTCAAGTTCTTGACTGGAAACATCCAACAGCTCCTCGGTTCTGGCCACCCCATGCTGGATACTGTCGCAAAATACTACACCCAATCCGAGGGCAAATATGTCCGCCCCATGCTGGTCTTGCTCATGTCGCAAGCCACCGCCTTGACCGTCAAGCACGACCGATCCACTCCTCAAGCCCTCGACGTCGACTCGCCCATGTCGCCCTCGACCGTCCTCTCCGACTCCAACCCCTCGTCTCCTCTTACTTCTCCTCCGGTCGTCGAGGATCTCTCAGACACGTCCGTCCTCCCCTCACAGCGTCGCCTCGCCGAAATCACCGAACTCATCCACACTGCTTCTCTCCTCCACGACGATGTCATTGACAACTCAATCTCTCGCCGTTCCGCTCCCTCGGCCAACATCCAGTTCGGCAACAAGATGGCTGTTCTTGCTGGTGACTTTATGCTCGGTCGCGCATCTGTCGCCCTTGCCCGCCTGAGGGATCCCGAGGTCACTGAGCTGCTCGCTACTGTCATCGCCAACTTGATTGAGGGCGAATTCATGCAACTGCGCAACACCGCCTCGGACGAGAAACACCCGGCCTACAGCCAAGAGACTATGGAATACTATCTGCAAAAGACATATTTGAAGTCCGCTTCGCTGATCAGCAAATCAACCAGAGCTGCTGCTATTTTGGGCAACTGCTCTCCGGATGTAGTAGAAGCCGCTTATAGCTACGGAAAGAACCTCGGTCTTGCCTTCCAGCTTGTCGACGACATGTTGGACTACACCGTCAGTGGAGCCGAGCTCGGCAAGCCTGCAGGTGCTGACCTGGAGCTGGGTCTGGCCACCGCTCCTCTGCTCTTCGCATGGAAAGACAACAAGGAACTTGGCACGCTTGTCGGCAGGCGATTTGCCGAGCAGGGGGATGTGAAGAGAGTGAGTTATATCAATTCTCATCATACAACGCAAAACATGCTAATAATTAAAAGGNCGCATGACCTTGTCATCCAGAGCAACGGCATTGAACAGACTCGCGCTATGGCTGAGGACTATATCAACAAGGCCCGCGAAGCGATTGCCTTCTTCCCAGAGAGCCAGGCCAAGGCCGGGCTCTTGGACATGTGTACAAAAGTTTTGCAGAGGAGAAAGTAGGCATATATATAGAACATCTCCTCTTTGTATGTTATGTGGGAGAAAGAAAAAATGTACTTTTACCCATCTGGTTTCCTCTCACCGTTCATCTGTCTAGGTCTCCCGCTCTGAAGTCGACAATGCTGAAAGGAACCGACACTTTGAATTTGCTTTGTCGACGAAGTGGCACAGCACAATCCGAAGATGATAACGAACGAACAGAGACGAAAGATGCCACCGAGGCCTATGAAGTGATGCAAGAGAGAAATCTAGTAAAGAACCCTTATATTGATTGAAGCGCGTATAGAGCGTTCGCAGCATCTAGAAAAAGAAAACACTTGACTTTGCAACATAGGAAAAACAAAGGAGAAATACGGAGCCAAATTACACCAACTGCCCATTTTCCAGGCCCTTCCTGCCGACCAAGTTTTGCACCGTCTGCCAATATAACGCCATGACAAAGGAAACTCGCCTTGCTTATTCGGAGTCCTCAATCAAGAAGGAAGACATCCTCAAGACTAGGGAATGTAAAATCAAAATCAACTTCCGGAACAAAAAGCTGCGAAAGCTTTCTCTTTGGGTACGAAAGCCCTNNACATTCGAACATCAGTAACGTTATCGATGGAAATTGAAACGGATATCACTAACCTGACATGAAAGTGCTGATCACTTTTTGCGATGTAGTTGATACTGAAGACGAGACCGAGGACGCGATTGAGATGGCATCAATGTCTTGGATGTCCTCGACGTCCATGAAGTATTCTTCTAGGATTGAGCGAGGNGAAGGTGGGTAGTTCGACTCGACGGGAGTGGAAGGGCGCGAGAAGGGTGAGATGGAGATTGTGAACATCTTTGCTGGGTGGGAGGATTAGGTAGTGATTGTAAAGTTGCTGATACAAAAGTTGTGATTGAGGAAGAAGATTGGTAGACTGAAGGTCTTGATGATGTTGGAAGATTGGGTTGTTTTTGGATGAGAAGAGATATTCTTTGTCTGCTGCTCACCTAGTTATATACTCAACTCACTCACCATCTTTGCTGCCATCGTCGTCGACATTATTGCACGAATACAGACATTGATCACTCGGTATGTCCGATCTCTCGTGGACATTGCCGATGTTGTTGGCAAGACAATCCCGGAGCTAGGAGAAACCCGAAATGTCCATATCCGAACAGCGTTTCAATGTATACTGAGATATGAACATTGAAGAGCTGAAGATGGATGAAGTGGCCGCACCGACACAAATGTGGAAAGAGGTAAGATTAGTCGATGTTCGATAGAAGTTCCATGCACGCCATGTGGTAGGAGCGTTTGGCAGATCTGCGATGTCAAGCTTTCTGGCTTCCGCGTGTGCTGAAGGCTATCTCAGCTTGGCTGTGGAAATACACAATTCTTTCTTTCTTTCTTTCTTGCTTACAATCGTGGAGAGACCTTGTTCTTGAGTAGATCATGTAGTCGCGCTCCTGCTTCCAAAAGTAATCATGTATATCCGTAGCTTTGTCACTCAATGTCAAGTCCGGAGTGGTGTTGATGTTGAGATTTGTGACAATCTTTAGCACACATGGGGAGAAGCTGTGGTGAACACCTGCTCGCCATCTCCGTGACATCTGCAGCAACAGCTGAGAATGATTGGCCAATCTTAATTTTTTATGAAGACACAATGGCCCAATTGGGAAAAAGAACATCGCTGTCACCACACACATGGTCGTTGAAACCCGGTTTCTGATTTGGATCAAGCTCTTCAGCTGCAGTCGCGCAAGCCTCAAAAAACCGTTGCGCGTCCGGCAGCCAAAACTTGCCCTCCGAGGAAAACACATCTGGCTGGCAACTCTGTTTTCGAGCTGCTGCTGTCTCATTTGCGATTCAGCTGAACACAACGTCAGCCTTGATAGCAAGCCGTAATCCTAGTCAACCAACGTGTGCAAAACGTTACTATGTCTTCCCGCACAACGAGGTTATTCGTCGACGCGCAATGCTTCACCATTGTCCAAGAACGTCTGCGGCGACTCCGAAGTTAACATGTGAAGATGATTTTGTGTTTGCGAAAAGAAATTCCTGTGGGTTTATCATAGTACCTAGATGGCAGACTTGTATAAGTTGAGGAAGGGTCATCACAGACAGTGATCCCAGTGCCATTCAATCGTCTCTCATCACAATGTCTTTCACATCGTCTTTGTCTAATATCAAGAAAGAAGCAACTCACTTCTCGACAGTCGAGTTGACTTCTGAATCTATTCAATCATGCAGCAGCTCTGATATTGAACAAGCAGACCAGACCGTGGATGATATCCCTAACGGTGGACTGGTTGCTTGGTTGCAAGTTTTGGGTGCATTCTTCCTCTGGTTCAACACTTGGTGAGTGTTGACAACCAATTCTGTTTACTTTTCTCTTGCTTACCGGCCTTAGGNNGGTCTTGTCAATGCCTTTGGGTCTTTTGGTACTTACTATGCACTTGGCCCTCTACACGAGTATCCATCATCGACCATTGCATGGATTGGCTCCATCCAGGCTTACCTCATGCTACTTGCCGGTGCTCTGACAGGGCCTCTGTTCGATGCAGGTTATTTCCGTATGCTCCTCATCACAGGCTCATCTCTTATTGTGCTTGGTATGGCAACGACCAGTGTGTCCACTAAGCTCTGGCAAATCATGCTTTCGCAGGCCCNNTTTGCCGTTGGCTTGGGTCAAGGATGTCTTNTTTCTCCTTCGCTTGCCATTCTCTCCACATACTTCTCGGAGAAGAAGTTCTTCGTTGCTATGGGGTTGGCTGCTGCAGGTAGCGGTCTTGGTGAGTCGATTGTCAGGGTGATAGAGAAGAAGCACTCACTAATGGTTTCAGGCGGTACCATCTACCCTATCGTTTTCCACATGCTCCAGCCAAAGATTGGATTCGCAGCTGCCACTCGTGTGATTGCATACATCGCGTTGGGCACCCTTATGGTATCGAATGTTGTACTCCGCGTTCGCTCCCTGCCTTCTCAACGTCGTAAGATCTTCGACATGGATGCATGGAAAGAGCCTGCTTTCACTGTCTATGTGATCGGATCCATGATTGCCTTCCTCGGAACTTGGACACCGTTTGTATACATCGAAGTCTATGCCCTGCATTACGGTATCACATCCAAGGAACTTGCCTTCTACCTTCTTCCCATCATTACTGCTGGCTCCATCTTTGGTAGAGTCGGACCCAACCTCGTCGCCGCCAGGATCGGTCTGTTCAATGTGGTCATTCCCTGTGTTCTCACCACAGGAGCTCTGGCCTTCTGCTTCATCCCTGCAAAGACACAATCATCATTGATTGCTGTGTCCTGTCTCTACGGTTTCTTCTCTGGCTCCATCGTCTCCATCATCCCTGCACTCGGTGTCTCGATATCACCGAGCAGAGCAGTCATTGGAACACGTATTGGTATGGCTTGTGCGACCATTGGTCTTGGTATGCTTGCCGGCACTCCAATCTCTGGCGCGATATTGAACAAACATGGTTTTGCTGCCACTTGGGCGTTCTCAGGTTCGGCTGCCATTGTGGGAGCTTGTTTCTTGGTGGTTTCGCGGTTGCTCCATGGTGGTATGGTGCTCAGGAGAAAGATCTGAGTGGCGTTGGATTGTATAGGCTTCAAAGAAGACAATTGACGAATAAAATGCTATGTTTTTGAAGCAAAAACTGCTACGAGGTGACGATGGTTATTGATGACACAGTGGCATATCGGATGCAAGGGGCTCTGGACAGCTCCAAGACTCCTTGAGAGTTTATATTCCGGACAGAAGACCGATCAGAAGTGTCGCTGCCGAAGGAGCCGACCAGAAGGATCGGCCGCGTATGCATGCTTTTCGAATCCAACACCTGGAGTAGACCGCACCACTTCGCGCCAGCTCGCGCCTGTGATGGAGTATCGAGCCAAAAGACTCGACCTTAAGAAGCAGACTTATCTTGTCGACAGCTCGTCGCGAGTGTTCAGGTCAAGCTTTTTCAAGCACTCACCCACAATGCCAAGCTTGGCTCGAGGCGTTGCTTGGCGATAATGACAGCATAGGGCAGAACTTTTGATGGCCGAATAGTGGCTCTATATTTCTACCTTTGAAGGGAAATGTCACAGAAAAGTCCGCTTGCTTGACACTGTAGACTCATGCAAGACCATTGCTGACCATACCGAGCACCGTCAAAAGCCGACTTCGCGGGTAGGAGTCAATATCGGCTGTGACGGCATGCGATACCCCACCAATGCTACCCCGTGGCAACTCCACACCTTTGCAGGTCGGATCCACCCATCAATCGATTCTGACCCACCTCCACCAGACTTGACGAGGAGCGGAGCCCGACCTTTTGGCTACATGCAGTAAACGGATCGGCAATGCGGCGTATGAAGGTCTTTTTTGACGTAGTAACGGTGAGCCAGCTAAGTCATAAGATAGGTCGTCCTGCCTCTGCGTTTCGTAAGTTTCTCTTTCCTTCTCTTTGTTTGCTGTGAAGGAGCGATCGGTCAACATCATATCCACTCAGCTACTTTGCCTTGTGACATTGCCCATTCTCCGCTTCTACCATTGCACGTCCACCATCGTTTCACTCCCCACAGCCGTCCCAGTCATGGGCCTCTTCACGAAAAATACCGAGGGCGTTGATCCTCAACAACCACACTCCGACATCACGCCCGAAAAAGATCTGGAGAAGAACTTTGAAGATGTGAAGCTAGAAGCACGACAAACTTCGGTCGACAATGGCGGCTCAGCACCATTCATCGACCCTGTCATTGAGAAACGCGTTGTCCGCAAGATAGACTGGCATCTGGTACCACTGCTTATGGCGCTTTACCTGCTCGCCTTCCTCGATCGCTCCAATATCGGCAACGCGAAAATTGCTGGTATGGCCAAGGCCCTCGACCTTACCGCCGATCGCTACTCGTGGCTTTTGACCATCTTCTATATCTCGTATATCTTGTTTCAGTTCCAGGTTCTTGGATGGAAGAGATTTCCTCCTCACATCTGGGCAAGTTGGGCTATTTTTGGCTGGTACGTAGTTTGTGGATTGCTCGAGTCTTGTGGTCAAAGAGCACAAGGTCGAACGCCAGCATTTTTGCAGCTCAGAGGTGGCTAATGTATTGCAGGGNGTGTCATCTCGAGTTGTCAAGCCGCGGTAACCTCATGGGAAGGAGAGATGGTGCNNTTAGGTACGTTAGACATGCATCGAGTCCAGGTAACATCTGCTAAAGTACATCTGGGCAGATTTCTCCTAGGAGTCTTCGAGGCAGCATACGGTCCTGGTGTTCCTTATCTGCTCTCTTTCTTCTACTTGCGACATGAAGTCGGTTTCCGTAGTGGAATCTTCCTTGCTGGTACGTCTGTTGAGCCCTAGATAGTTGGTTTACAACTGACAAGCAAACAGNCTGCACCCCTCGCAACATGTTTCGCCGGAGCTCTCGCCTACGGTATCACTTCTGGACACGCAGCGATCGCCAGCTGGAAGCTTCTCTTCCTTGTAGAGGGTCTCCCGACTCTGGCTATGGTACCGGTCGCATACTTCTTTCTCCCGGACAGCCCGCAGTCGGCCAGATTCTTGAACGAGGAAGAGAAGCGTGTGGCAGTTGCAAGAGGCGTACGCCAGACAGGCACAACTGAGCGTGTCGGTCGCATCAAGCTCAAGGATGTCGGTCTGACCTTTATCGATCCCAAGGCCATCACCACAGCATTGATGTACTTTTCGTGCAACGTATCTTTCTCCTCGCTGCCGGTTTTCCTCCCTACGATTCTGGAAGAGATGGGCTTCGAATCCATCACCGCCCAGGGTCTCTCTGCGCCTCCGTATTTCTTGAGTTTCCTCGTTACCATTGGCTCCGCATGGATTGCCGACAGGACCCAGCAGCGTGGACTGACTATCATCGTTCTCTCAATCATCGGAGGTGTCGGATACATCATGCTGGCGACAACGTCAAGCACAGGGCCTCGCTACGCTGGTGTCTTCCTTGCCGCGTCCGGTGTCTTCCCCTGTATCGCCAACATTCTTCCATGGGTTACGAACAACCAGGGCAACGACGATCGTCGTGGTGCAGCATTTGTTCTGCTCAACCTTATCGGTCAATGCGGTCCCCTACTCGGCACTCGCGTCTACAACACTCCTCCTTTCTACGTCAAGGGCCAGAGCATCTGTGCAGCCTTCATGTTCTTCAATGGCTTGTTAGCGTTATTTTTGCGTACGCTTCTCGCTTACGAGAACCGCAAGCTGGACAAGCAGTATGGCACTATTGAAGAGCAGAAGAACAGGATTGCGACGACCGAGGGAACGAAAGAGGCTGTTGTTGAAGCCAATACTGGTGTCGAGAACTTTGGTCCCATGTACCGTTATGTCTTGTAGTCTGGGTTTATTACGAACTCAGTCTTTTTTGTGGTTAAGCAATGATAAGTCGTTCACTTGTGAATTTGAGCCCATAACCTCTCAACCTGCTAAAGTGCCACAAATGTATAGCTATAGAATTGCAGTACACTATGTAGATGTGTCCAGAGAGAGCAGCTGATTTACATACTCTCTCTGGACATTGCTTGTCTCTCAAAGATGTCGTGCATTGTTATAGCTCTGTATTGGCATATCGATCATACAGAGACTGCTGACTTTTGCTTCAGCTTGCTGTCACCCCACATGTTGAATACGCGGTTCATGACCTAGGTCGCTGACTTCTCCCGGGATCCCTGGTAGCTGCTTCGAACGGCCCTCTGTAATGCTTGGTGGCACAGACGCGGAACAGCATCTGGTCGACGGCGCTGAAGGGTACTAGATGAGCCAGCAGGCTCCTCGATAGGATGACAGCCGAGATGGCGAGCTGGGTCAAGCCTAACCTGAGACAGATCTTGTCGTCGGCCGACCTCACATGAACTCAGGCAGCTGTCTTACAGCAACGACAGCTCGACGCTTGGGTTCGATCAAGTCACAGATGTCGATGAGCTGAGGCAGCGACATATCATAGTCGCTGCCTTGCCGTTACCTTGCCGGAGCACCTTCACACATGAATGTTGCCCTGCTGGATTACCCGTCGAATCCGTGATAAATATACGATGACCTGAGTACATGAGTAGGGTATACTTGATGAACGTACCAACTTTGTACGAGATCAATCCATAAGGTCCACGCAGGATGCATCGACACAAGGAGCTCGATAACACGATTGCTTCGTAGTTGGTACTGATGGTGTACACGAACAAGTGTCAGCAAACTGAACGCCTTGGGCTTACAACTCCTTGTCTCGGCATGTAGCCCAGTAACGCCTTTCAGGTGCCGACCTAGCATGACTCGAACGACTCCTTTCGCGCAACACTTCCAACGATTTCTCGACCCTCGTCAATCAACTCATAACAAAACACACCATCAAGTCGCAGACATGTGGTCGTCAAAGGTTTCTGCGTTTGTGCGACGCCTGGCCAACAAGCTCAGTTGCTTCGCACAACACGACGAAGAAGAGGTTACCGAGCTGGTCATCGTACGTGATTGTCCCGGTTTTCGACGTGTCGCATGAGGCTGATCGATGAATGTTCACAGGGACAACCTTTTGATTTCCAGAAGAAAGTCGTCGTCGTTGAGGACGGCGTTCTCAAGGTCACACCGGGCCCGATCTGATGCCGATCGTCGGTCCGTGCGCAACGCACCACATCAACGTATGTTTCGTTGGAGCGTCCACAATTGAACCTCACACGCTGACGCGACGCAAATTAGTACATTCAGCACACGCTTTTCCGGGATCAGTACAAGGGCTCAATCGCGGGTCCAGAGAAACGGATTTCACGGGCATATCAAGGGTTGAGGTTGACGATTGATCTCCCTCTAATCGCGACCCTGTCGATCAACCTTGACATCATCCAAGATCTCGGTGAATTGACAAAAGCAAGCGTCTCCCGGGGTTCAACACTCTTGCTACAACCACATACGGGCAACGCACACGACTCATAACACGCACTACTCCACATCGAACGCGCACAGTTGAGGTGCATGGCTCGTTACACGAATGATCCAAGCTGGGGATTTACAAACGGAGGAAAATCGATCTTTGCTGCATATGCAACTCAACCGCAAATCATAACCTTTTCCCCTCTACTCTGCTATCTGATCTTTTCAGCCTTTGTAACGCTCCCCCAACATGAAATCTGCAAATAGAGATTCTCATCGATCGTTTCAGGTCAATGCATGAAGATGCCTCAGCGGTTTGTATCTCTTTGCGTCATGTCTGTTTACCAAGGTAGTATATGTGCTGAACCATCCCCAAGCACTACAGCCCTCTAGCCATCCAAGTGATCTCCTGTATTTCTTGTCTCCAGACTCCACACATATCTATACAATGTCGTCCTCTTTCAAGATAGTCGAACACCACACACCCTGTCAAACCATCAGAGAATACCCGCAAGCCACTTCGACATACCAAGAAGAAAAACTATACCTCAGCTCAAAACAATACATTCCTCTCAATCGCACACCACAAAAGGGCGATGTAACGATATTGGCAGCACATGCATCGGCGTTCCCGAAAGAGCTATATGAGCCACTATGGGAGGACCTTCTCAAGCAGAGTGAAAGGGCTGGCTACGGTATCCGCAGCATCTGGATGGCAGATGTAGCAAACCAGGGAGCTTCATATGTGCTCAATGAGAACAAGATAGGAAACGACNCGTATGTAGTTCTTCTCCTTCAACCCAGCACAAAGAGCAGATGCTGATGATCTTCATGTATAGCAAACTACGCCGACCACGCCCGCGACCTACTCTCCCTCATCAACACCCACCGCGAAGACTTTACCCGCCCAATCATCGGCATAGGCCACAGCATGGGCACAATCTGCTTGGCTCTACTAGCCCAAATGCATCCCCGCCTGCTAACCTCCATCGTCATGCTCGACGCCATAATCATCCACAAAGAAATGCCCGCCTGGATACCAATGACCCGCCTCCCCTCTTTCCGCAAAGACCTCTGGCCCTCCCGCCAAGCAGCAGAAGCCACTTTCCGCAAAAACACTCTGCTGAAACCATTTGACGAACGAGTGCTGCAAAAGATTTTGGAATACAGTATCAGGGCTACGCCTACTTTGCTGTATCCTCAAAACTCTGCAGAAGAGGGAAATGGAGAGCAGAGTTATACACTTACGACGCCGAAACATCAGGAAGCTCTTTCTGTTGCGCGGCCGAATTATGAGGATAGAAATTGGTCTGGGACTCCTGACATGGTGGCTCGATCGACTGTTCCGGACTTGTGGCCTTGTGCGCCTTACGTATCTCCGTTCTACAAGTCAGAGGGAAGAACTTGTTGGATGTTCTTGCCGCATCTGCGACCTTCTGTTCTTTGGCTCTATGGCAACAAGTCATATACCATGGACCCTGACGAACGACGCGAGAAGATGAAGAGGACAGGCACAGGTTGGAATGGCTCCGGTGGTGCAGAGATGGGACGAGTAAAAGAGGAGTTCATTGAGGACACAGGACACTTCTTGTGTTTCGAAAAGATTGCAGAGACGGCCGAGAAAGTGTCAGAATGGTTGGACTCAGAGGTCAAGATTTGGAAAAATCTTGAAAGGGTCACAGTGAATGAGGAGTGGTTGAAACAAGATGTTGTGGGTAGACAAAGGATGGATGATAAGTGGTTGGAGGGTGTCAAGAAGTGGAAGGGAAAGAAGAAGGCTGCTCCATTGAGCAAGCTCTAGATGGTATCAGACGCATTGCAGATATATAATCAAAATTATAGACCGAACATTTAGATCCAAAACAACTTCCATATGCAAGACAAGCCACAGGAAACAATTCCAGTTGTATGATGGAAAGTGTTACACAAGATAGCAGATCTATGAGACAGTCATATGTACGACTACAGAAAGAGCGAATGGAAGCAGAAAGACTGATAATCGTGTGTAATTGTTTCGTTGAAGAAGAGTCTCATTCTCTAGGAATTATGAACTAGGTGGTGTACTGTTTCCCCTTGAACGAACCTTCCCCTTTGTTGCACATCTAAAACGAAATATACTTCTTCGTTGCTCTTGCGCTTGAGTATGCTTCTTCTCAACTTCCTCCCAGACATTCGCGCCTGTCCATCACTTGATCTTCGCGCTCTCTTCTTAAATCTGTATTTGAATCAAACACTTGCTTTTGGATTGATCAGCCCCGGAAAACAGCCACTTAATGGAGCTGTTTTCTGCAAACCAATAAAGCGTGACATCATGTCATGATATTTCTTCTGTATGCGAAGAGAAATAGGGCTCATTGGCCTCGATTTCAGGTAGGATCAGTGGCGAAGAAAGGGTTCTGAACCCAAGAAAGAGAAGGAGGAGGAGGAGGAGGAGGAGGAGGAGGAGGAGGAGGAGGAGGAGGAGGAGGGAGAATTTCAGCGCCCGAGGAGTTCTGATCGATGATTTGAACAACTAATCCAAGTCATATGGATGAGGCTCCGCATACGAGTGTAGATCGATGTCGCTCTCATTCTGAGCTGCCTCACTAGCCGCGCGTGAAGCGACATTCCTCTCGCTGTGACTGGTTTCTCCAGATATCATACCGAAGGAGTCAGACTTATAGACTTTGACGTCTGGCTCAGCTGGCACCCACTCGGCAACAGCAGGATCAATATCATGCATCGAGTATTTGAGCTTACAAGCACCATCACTTTTNGAGGTGCTGCATTTCTCGCGGAAACATATGTGGCCCATGTTGCAGTTTTTGCGGCGGCAATTTCCTCTGCGGGTGCATGGATAAGAATGAACCACTTGTTTCGTAACGAGCTTGATGTTATCCGGTACAGGGCTGTGGTCCCAGATACAGTTCGTGCCTCCCTTTGTGCAGTATCCTTTCAGTTTGTACTCATTGCAAAGTTTCCCTTGCTGGGCAATTCGAGTGTTGTAGGCTCTCCAGTCTTCGCTGGAGGGTGTGGGTAGCAGAAAGTCCAACCTCTGTCCAGCTTTATTGACAGGGATAAGATTAGCATTCTCTGGTGTTTGCGTTGGTAGAGCAGTGGACGGGTGCTCATGGTGAGTAGGAGGCAGGGGTGGAGGAAAGGGCTGTCCAGTACCGGAATTGTGTGGCAAGGCAGCGCCAGATCCAGGAGAACTAACGTCCGCACTGCTTGGTGTGGGTGTGCTAAACCGCGAAGAAGGTGAGAAAAAGGACGATTGTGTGGAATCCTTCTGCGCCGATCCCCGTCCAGATATATGCTCATTCGAGCGCCACGAGTCTCCACCATTGTTATGAGACTTCTTGCAACCACTTCCAAACTTGCAGATGCCTCGAAGATAGTGTGTACAGACAGGTGGGTTGTTAGAAACCGATCCAGATCGTCCATTCGGCATATTCGTGGTTTGCGAATATGCTGTAGGGGCCTTGGAAGTAGGTCGTCGAGCATCAAGACCATGAAGGGGGTTGTTGTGAAAGAGACCGTTGAGATTGTCAATACCAAGTCCAAGGCGGTTGAATCCAGAACTGAACGATGAACCGCGGACAAGGGTGATCTTATCATTTTTCGAAATGTAAGGAGTAAGCAGGTTCAGGTAACCAGTATCGTGGCATCCGGCAAAGAAGATATATTTACATTGGTTGTTTTCCACGAACAGGCGAAACATTTTGCGGATCTTGTTGTCCGCGTTCTCCTTTTCATCGCCTGCATCGACGAGGTCGAACAGGTCTTGTGCGCGTGTGAAGTTTGAATAGAAGGGGCTAAGACAGCTGGCCTCACGACCGACAAGGCCTGTACGCGCGAGTGTCTTGGACAGCCCGGCAAGGTTGGTGTAGGCGCAGACCATGACTTTGCAGTTCTCGTACTCATGGCCACGTCGTGAAAGCCTGTCTCGGATAGTGTCTTGAAGGATGTTTGCAGCTCTCACACCACCTTCCGCGCCACCTTTGATTAGGGAGTCTTCGAACTGCTCCTTGTCCGTACGCAGCAACTCACCAAGACATAACTTTTCTAAGCTGACAGGAATCACAAGAGAGATGGAAGTGGTCACACGTGACATGCACAACAGGATGAGCCGGAAGAACACGAAGTGTCAATGACTTACCACATAGCCGTCGGCATCGATCAGAACGAGGACAAAAGGGTTTCTGTCTTGACCACGAGCGAGCTTCTTGTACTTCTCGCGCGACTCCTTCTCCTCTTCGTAGTCGCTGCGCAGGATGCGGTAGTCTTCGAACAGTTTGCCATAGGTGAGGGTCAGTTCTTCCAGAGCATCCTGACGGGCCTTTGCTGCGAGGTTGAAGTCAGAGAGCTGCCTCTCGAGCTTGTTGAGATCTGTTTCGGCAAGCATGGTTGATGACTCCAGTCCGCGTAGAGGCGCACTGGATGTTGACGGATGACTAGAAGGGTGAGACAAAAATCCCGAAGCGCATTATATATTAGCGCCTAGGCCGTCTTCCGAGCTTCGGTCAAGCTGACAAGGATGGCTACCTTATATATGCGTTGGGTCGAATTATCCAGTTCGTTCTTCATACGCCACGGATGGTTTGTCATCTGATGCCAAACAGACGATTGAATTTTGAAACACACTCCAATCGAATATAGACTGGCAATGTGTCGAACTGCGAATCAAGAAGTCAGGAGTTGGAGATAGCCGTTGACAGATGCGAGCTACGCATGCGAGCATTATAGAGAGCTTACACTCTATGATATCCACTCCACAAGACAAGAACATCATGTACCTGGTTAGCAAAACTCAGTCACAAACATCAGTGTGAGCATGATCATGGTCAGACAAGAAGCAACACTGAAAGAGGACTTAATGTAGTACTAGATGTACAAGACGAACGACTTTGAATGCTCAAATTCAGAAGTCAACGATGCTCTAGATTCATACCTTGATGAGCAGTAGAGAACAGGAAACACTAGTGGTATTTTTGGCAAAGAAAAAAGAAGTTTTTGGATCACATTGCCCTCATTGCATAAAACCGATGTACATGCAAAACTGATGCCTGCACAGATCCATTCGGTCCCCGGTATGATTCGCACGCCAGAACGTAAGCCCACGAAGAGAGAACACCTTTCGAACCGAGAGTACCGCCGTAACGGACTTGTGCCTTTTTCAGATATCATCAAGCCACGCCGTGACATTAGCTCGTTTATGCCTTCTTCTCCTCGTCCTCGGCAGCGAAGGCGAGTCTCTTCTGCTCGACACGCTCCTGTCTGCGCTCGCGGGCGGCCTTGGTCTTGGCACGCTTGGCGTCCATCTCCTCCTTGAGCTTGGCCTCGCGGGCCTTCTCAGCCTTAGCCTTGTGGATCTGTGATGTGTGTTAGAAGAGGTTGAGTATGCGAAGGTAGATCGGGCGGAACGTACGTGCTCAACGAGAGCGCGCTTGTGCTTGAAGGTGTTACCCTTGCTCAGGTGGTAGAGCTCGTGGTAAAGGTGCTTGTCGATCTTGCCGGAGGCACGGTACTTGACCAACAGGCGACGGAGGACGCGCTGGCGGCGCATCCAGACGACTTGGCTGTGGGCAGACTATCAGTGTCTGCTCTCGAGGCTGTGGTCGAAGATGAGGCAGCCATACCTGGGCATACGGGCGTCCTTGGTACCCTTTCTCTTACCGAAACCACGGTGGCGACCGAGGCGGCGAGCGGCGTTCAGCTCACGGGCGCGGGAGCGCGAGTGCATGGTGACGGGCTTGCGGATGATGAGGCCATCGGAAACGAGCTTGCGGATGGTCTGGCGGGAGTTGGCGTTGGAGATCTCGCTGACCTCGTTGGGGTCAAGCCAGATCTTTCTCTTGCCGCAGCCAACAACGGAGGCGGCCAGGCGCTTCTGGGTGCGAAGGTTGACCCTGTAGCAGACGCATGTCAGTGCCTGTAATGCTGGGTCACGGTGTGTGATGGGTTTTGCCGCCCGGAGAAGCGCTGGACAGAGGAGAGGCGACTGTGTGTGTGGATGGCGCAGGACGACGAGGATTTTTCAGAATTGGGATGTCGACGGGCTCTCCGGACGGCGGTTTGCTGATACTGACATTTTGACGGGTATGGAGGGTTGCTGTCGTTAGTGATGGGTGGCCGTCGCTCTCGCTCAGAAAGAAAAAGCTCGCAAGACGTCGAAGAAGCGGCACGAGAGCGGAGTCGAGTCACATGACCCGCCCAAAACCAAACACAAAATTGAGCTCCATCAGTGTGAGTGCCGGCTTTTGTCCGGCTGGCTTTTCGCTTGGCGACTGCCTTGTCGAAGCTCTCCGCGTCGGCTCTGCGAGTCGCACCTTCCTTGCTTGTCGCTTTGAATGCTTCCACTGTTGTTCGTACATTCCAACTCGATCACTGATACTGTCAAGGCATTCCTTTCCATTCATTCGATGGTATTCCTGGACCTTGCTCTATCTCAAGATCGTCAGACTTCGATGAATCATCCAAAGCTACCTGCTCCGGACAAAGCAAACATCCTCCGTCATCTTAGGCAAGTCACTTGACCTCTTATCAGCATACGGACCCGGCCGACCGCAGTTGTCAACATCCGGCCAACAAACCGAATATTTGATGTTGAAGCTGCCCGCTTTCTCTCCAACATGGATATACTGGCTCAATCGCTGCAAACTGGCTCGGTGAAATCAATGAACTCAGTTGTTGCATCTTCCTTGTTGGCCTCGCACCACGAACTGTCAATATCTAGCAAAGCAGTCCTCACCAATGTCCATACACGGCCAGGTCCAGTATCATGCTGAAAAGATATCTTACCTGCCCGTAGTAGCACTACGGCCCACGACAAGTATGTGCATTCAAACCTTCTGTCGTCTCCTTCCTATGTCCAGAGGTGCAGACACTGTAAGTCGGAATGGTTCTCCTTTTTCAGTCTATACCATTTTTTTCTTTGTTTTAGAAAAACCAATTACGATACATGGCCAAAAACAAGCAACATCCCATATACACCGAAGCCTTCTAGGCGGTTTCTTTGAAGTGAAACGATATCAGTGAACTTGCAAGTGACGGTCGGCCGGCTTTCAATGAAACGCGGACCTACGATCTCAAGAGTCGCAGAGATGTATTTAACGCGTCGCCGACGCGGGAGCCGCCTCGACCCCGACATCAACAACGAGGTCGCTCGTCGCAAGATCGCCGAGACTTGTTGATACTATCAAGATGTCAACCATGTGGAGTGCTCTCCAGCAAGCTCAATACATTGCGCATCACCGAGCCGTTCTTCAAGCTGCGCACGTTACTTACCGACAAGCTGTCCTCCAGAACAACATCCAGGGTCAACAGCAAGCTGTCCAGACTGCACAAAATGCATACCAAGCCATCTACCAGAACAACAATCTCAGCTTCCAGCAGCCTGCCACCCATCCTGCGCTCCTCAATCATACCTTCCAAAACCCTGGCGCACAACATACCATTCAGAACCATGGCTCCCAGCCTCTTGGAAACCCTCACGCCCATAATGCGCCTCTGCAGAACCCTGCCATCCAGAACGTCACCACTGTCCGCCCCAAGGTAAAACCAGCACTGAGCCGCACGATCTTACTACTACTGACGTTCCCGGCACAGGCCCCAAGACGCAGGCGCACAACCAGAAAGCCCAAACCCAAGCAGCCGTTGAAGGACGTCCCGTTTCCCTTCATGGAGCTTCCGGTTGAGATTCGCATCATGATCTATAGGCTCCTTCTCGAAGAGACATCCACGAGTCTCACCCTCCTCACCAAGGGCCAAGCAAGTCAGGAGGTAGTTCGACGTGGTTACCTGGAAAAACAACAAAAGGGTCATAGAGGAAGACAAATCCTCTTGAAGACAGTCCACAAAGCCAAGGACAAAGACATTATCCACCTCCAGCCAGCCGTCCTCCGTGTATGCAACTCCATTCACGACGAGGCTATACCTATCCTCTACAGCCAGACCCTGGAGTTCGAGCATCCTGTTGCTCTCCAGAGATTCCTCTATACCATTGGTCATGACAATCGTCTCCTACTACAGCACATTGCACTGCGCGGCTGGCAGCGCGATGAGTTCGACACGTGGAAGCATGCATTCGCGTCTGCTCTTGAGAGACTCTTGTCTGCCCAGAAGATCAAGAGTATCCATCTAGACCGCCACATCTACTCTCCCAGCGACGGTGTCCCGCACTACCCCAATGGATACGAGAAGCTCCCAGTCGACCACTTTAATGGATGCGTCGAGTTTTGGGTTCAGAGCATCAATGCCGCCAAGGGCAAAGGCACTGCACGATCTATCCTCACCTTCGCCGACCGCAACTTTGGTTCGGAGGACGAGATCGCCCAGGGTGACCAACAGTTCCTGGACCGCAAGAAGACATTCATGGAAAATCTGAAGCTCGAATGAAGTGGATGCCCAACATGGAATGATTGCGTTGATAGCAAACAGCTTGTCAATATTTCCTTCTTTACGAACAATCATCCAAACGTAGATTGCTAACCAAGACAGGCTTTTCAACAGACACTCGCAACCACCCAAAGAACTTAGAACGCACAATCACTATGACATGATGAACTTCCAAGCACAATTACGAAATTCGGAGGACAAACACTTACATTTCCTTTTCTCTTTCTTTTCTTTTTCATTCTCGTTTCCATAATCATACAAGCAAAGGCATGCAGATGAAAGTTGCTACACACTGCACCCGGGAAGGGGAGGTTCTTTGCTTTCTTCTTGCTTTTCTTTTTTTCCTTTGTCGTTTCAAAAGCACAACAAAGAAGGTTGTGCAAGCAGCTTTTTCTGCACCGAGGCACACAGAGAAGGAAGTGCGGGCAAATCATTCAGTTTCTAGATACCCATGCGAGAGACGCGAGAAATTCACTTGCTTTTTTCTAGACTACTTGGTGTTCTTGCCTGTGAATGTGTCAATGTCGACGAGAGCATAGGAAACACGTTTACGACCTCGTTATTGATTGTGCTCTCACAGCAACATGAGGTGTCATGATGAGCTATAAAAATGCATAGTCGATAAGTGGAGAGAGGAGTGGCCAGAGAAACACCCAAAGACATCGTCCTTTCCGTGGACGTAAAAATTGGTATCGTGCATATCTATAGCTAGACGTGACTAGCTTGGCACATGGTGAGATTTTGCCATGGAGGCCCACTTCCATATGCAAAGGAGATCGTAATACTGAGATTAGGCACCGCATTGAGCGAAATAGTAGGTGGATCTGTACGAGAGTGGACTGTGCACAGACGCCAAATGCATGAACGAACGATGTATGAACTGTGACCTACTATCGCTGGCAAGAACGTCCGTTGTAGCATACGGTGGAGGAAGTTCTTCCTGGGCCGCGTGGATGGCTGCTTGATAGTCAGGGGCGAAGTGATGTTGCTAAAGTCGGTGTAAGAAGCTCAACGGCTTTACCCCTTGGAGTGGATTGCTGACTCATAATCGACGACAGCGAGGTTCTCCCATACATCTACTGTTCTCTACCAGTGACTTGAGATTATGAGACGTGCTCTGGCAGTACGTCGGCGGGGAGAGGGTCGACGTCAAAAGTTTTGAATGACGATGTTGAAGGACAGGGTGTCAGTGCTAACTATATTTTGGAGAGAGAGACCGAGTCGGCAATCGATCGCGACCGAGGAATCTGTAGCGGTTTGAAATGTTTTTGTCATCCGGATAAGAGATAGCCGAAGCATGGGAAGCGTGTGGTCTATCATCCCAAGGCAGATCACTCCAGTGTGAAGCGAGAGCCGAAAATAGACTTGGCTGTGTTTGACCATGGTGTTTCAAGTCCTTATAGAAGGCTGTGATAGAACGTGAAGAGAAAAGACTCGGGAAGAGCGATGTATTCAGTATATGAATGGTGGGACCAGGCCTGTCATGAGGCTCACATCAGTTGACGGCATGCAAGAATAGACAGACATCAGTGTAAGTTTATGGAAGCGGATATAGCTGCCGTGACAAGTCAAACACATGTCCGACGTGCGTGGCTGAGCGATGGATCCAGTGGAGCAGAACGTGCAAAATCGATCATGGAGCGCGAAGTGCTCTGCGTGAACGAGAGTTCCCCTTTCACAAGAGCGTATGAACTCCTGGCACATAGGGGATAATTGTAGTGTATCGTATATGCATGGTGGCGAGCTGATATGCCTGAGGAATAAACAGCGCTCACGAAATGAGACGTTGCGATTGCAACGTTTTGGTCGTTCGACTGGGCGTACGGGTTGTTATGACATTACGACCGGACGATCCAGCATCGACTGACGGTGGCTGGGAAACAGAAGTGTGGCAGCTTGGATCAGACATTGAACCGCATGGCGAAAGATCTGCTCTCGGCGCGGCTGATTGACAATGTTGAAGGAAATCAGGGTGGTGGGCAGGCTGTATGGGCAGATAGGGGACGTCGTCGTCTCATAAGTGTATGGGATATGGCGGGAGATTGCATGCGGTCTGTGCGGGCCAATCGGAGCCCGGCCGGGTGGTTTTGGCGTAAGGCTAGCGCGGTTTCTCCAGGTTCTGGTGGTCGTCGCAGCGTCGCATCATTTTGCACGGCGCTTCACGAGGGACATGGACATGCTCAAGTCACGGAGCGTGGACGGTTGGACGACGGTTGTGTAATTGCTGCTCTTCTTCTTCTCTTCTTGACCTTGATCCGAATTGCACTCGCAAGTCGTTGCAACGTTGTCCCTCTTTTAACGACGTCCGCTGGTCTGCCTGGTGCTAACCTGCTTTCGCTCATTTTAATTCTGTTTATCACGCGCCGAACGGTCTGGTCACTGGTACCCACGTCTCATATACCAAACATTCCTCGCCGCGCACGCCTCCGTTTCTTGCTTGTTGTCGATTTCTCGCAGGCGACCATTCACACCCACACATTCGTTTCAATTCTGCTGCCGACCACTCGACGTTTCACTCTTTTTCATCAACCATCCGTCGACTACTAACCACCAGCTCATAATCAACATTAATCAGTTCTTTTCGCCATGCATCTCAAACCTCACCGCCACATGCCTCCGAGCCTCTCCAAGCGTGACGATCCTCCGGCTGCAGAACTCGAGCCTCTCGACAAACGCGCCCAGGTCAAGGAAGTCGACGATGATGTTGCGACAGTCTTCTCGGTCGTCTACGTAACGGCCTCTGCCACCTTCTCTGGACCGACAGCTGGCTTTGTTACTCTCGGAGCCAACCCCACCACCAGTGCAAAGGCAGCCAAGTCCACGGCCGCAAAGAACACCAACACCGACGATGACGATGACCACACAACCGCAGCCCAGGCCAAGCATACATCACAAACAGCCAGAGCCAGCACTTCTTCCACATCCTCTGTCAAGGTGACGAGTACCTTGTCACCTACTGCAAAGTCGACCGCAACCGCCCTGTCTTCCTCGTCCTCATCATCGCTGGTCTCATCCTCATTGGCCGTCCTCACCTCATCTGCTGCTGCATCCTCCACAATCGCTTCTTCATCCATCTCGTCTGCCGCAAAGGCTCAAGCCACAGCTTCAAGTTCAGCCACAGCCACAGCCTCAGCGGTGGCAGATGCAGCTTCTGGTAGCCTAAGCGGAGGTGCAAAGGCCGGTATTGCTCTTGTGGTCATCTGTGCCATCGGTGCTCTGGCTGGTCTTGCCTACTTCCTCATTCGCAAGAAGAAGGCTCAACAGAAGCAGGCCATTGGTATGGAGAGACTCGATGACGAGAAGAAGGGCTTCATGCGCCAGAGTCCGGACCCTGCGACCATTCCTCAGCCCCCTTCCTCGACACGAAGCACCGGCCCGGCACCTCGTCTCAGTTACCGCCCAACATCTCAGTGGTCGCCCAACGTCATTGGAGACGCCGAGAAGGCCGCCGCTGGAGCAGCTGCCGGTGTCGTGGGCAGAAACAGTGACCCATCTAACCCCTTCGGTATCCACGCTCAAACTGTCGAGTCCCACTCGCGGGATGTCATCTCGCCCATCCCCGAAGAGCGCTCTCTTAGCCCACCTGTCGAACTTCAAGGAAGTCCTGTCCCTAGCCCCACTGCATCCAACTTCAACCTCAACTCTGGAACCGCAACCCCTAGCAAGGCTGAGGTTGGTATGGCTTCTGCTGTCCCCGTGGCCACTCTAGCAGGTGCCGCCGATCCTCCTGGTAGCACTGTTCACCGTGTCCAGCTTGAGTTCAAGCCCTCAATGGATGATGAGCTCGAGTTGAAGGTCGGTCAAGTTGTGCGAGTTCTGCATGAGTACGACGATGGCTGGGTGAGTTTTTATTTTCTCTGACGGATAGTATCAATATGCTAACATGATCCAGNNGCTCTCTGCATTCGTATGGACCGCTCTCAACAAGGTGTTGCTCCTAGAACCTGTCTGTCAAAACTGCCTCTGAAGCCAAGGCCTGGTCCTCCTCCTGGTGCTAAGAATGGCCCTCCTCGTTCTGGCCCAGGTTCAATGGGCCCTCCTCCTAGACCCATTCCTGGTGCCAAAATCCGTCAAGGCTCAAATTCATCTCAAGGCTCTGCTGCATCCCAAGCAGGGCGTCCTTCGATTGGTCCCTCCAAGCAGTCATCGCCCACTCTGGCTGAGCAAGCTCAATCACGTCAACGAAGCGTGTCCGCTGCTCCATCTCCGACCAAGGCTGCCGCAAATTCTCGCCAGCGTTCAATCATACCTTCCGATATCCACAGCCGTAGTGCGTCGATGGGCACTGTCTTGACCGATGGCAAGTCTGCACATGATTCTGTCCCAACCACACCTCTGGGCGTGCCTGCACGAAAGCCAGTCCCAGGCCAGGCCATGTAATATTAATGAACATTGCTCCATCTACTAGCCAGCGACACAGTTATGCGAGACCCAGCTTTCGGAAGACAGAAGCAACAAACATTGCAGCAAATCGGCACAAGGAGGACATGCGTGCCTTTTACAGTTTACCAATACCCTTTTTCGTTATTGTCGATTCTCCTTGTTCTTCTTTTCTCAATGTTGGAGACATTCTTGTTTAGAAGGATGCTTTTCCGCCTTTTGTTGTCTTTCTCAACTCTGTTTTATCACCGACCTTCGCTGAACTTTCCATTATTATCCTTTTTCTTCATGAGAGCATTACGAAGGCCCAGAGCCAGTAATGTATTGTACGTAGACAAATATCTGAACGTAGCAAAAACGTGCCCATTTCAAATCATTATAGATTACTGTCTTTACCTGTGAGAAAATGTCTTACTACAAGACATGCTAGTTGCCTCAAGTCTTTGACCCTCGACAAACCAATATAAACTGCTCATTGACATTGTTGATCGATATTTCCTTGTTGCTTGTCACAGAAAGCGAGGTGGTGCACAGACCACCATCTTCGAACCGCATTGTGACCCGCGACTTTTGAATCAACGACCAAGCCCAGCCAGCGCATCGCGCAACACGACCACGAACATTCGCTCATCTCCAAAAACCATGGCCACACCAACACTAGACCAATTCCTCTCCGAAATAAACCGCATCACACTGTCCAAAGACTCTGTTCAACTATCTCAATACCTGGTTATAGAGCCACCTTACGCACCTTCGTACAACACCATCATTGGCGAGTTGCGAAAGTCGTTTCCCAAGGGCTCTGAAGATGCGCTAGAGAAGAAAATCATCAAGGTTGTTAAGATCATTGATGGGGGTGACGATGTGGAAGTGGCTAGTTGGAGTGCGTTTAGCAGGTTTATGGTGTTGTATTTTGGGTTCTTGAGGGATGTTGATGTGGGTAATTTGTTGGAGACTTTTGGGTTGTTGAGTGAGGTTTTGCAGTAAGTTCAAATTTGCCCTTTTGATGATGGTGTTTTGATGGTATTCTGGTGTTTTCCTTGGGTTGTGAGTTGCAGTGGTGGTGGTGGTATTTTGATATACACCCTTCACTCATCACAAGAAGAAACACCCATCAGACAACTCATGTTGCTCACTTTTCATACTCACGCTAAAACTCTTATCACAGAANAAGCAAACTCGGCCCTCCAAAACCAAACCCACGGCACAACAATCCTCGACACGGTAATCGCCTACTCACGCATGTTCGCCCGCCTCGCCATGGGCCTCGACAAGAAACCAGAACTCATCGGCCACCTCACCACAACCTCTTCTTCCTCTGGCGGCGGCGACGACTCAGGCCCCCGCGAAACCCTGCCCGAGCGCGCCGCAAATATCATCCGCTACGCCTTTGTCGCCTGCCTAAACGACCGCAGCGGCTCCTCACCCACCGGCATCGACCGCAACGGCAACCCCGAAGGAAAACGCAAAGGCATCTACGTACTCGCAAACCTGTGCCTAAAAATCCTCTTCGCATGCCGCAAAACCCGCGGTGCTGCCCAAATCTTCGAAAACATTTTCGTGCTGTCACCGCCGTTGGGGGCGTATCCAAAGGCGCAAAGGGTTACTTATTTGTATTATTTGGGCAGGTTTTTGTGGGCGAATGGGCATGCGTGGCGTGCGCAAAAGGCGCTGTTGCAGGCGTGGAGGGAGTGTCATGCGCAGTGTTTGCAGCAAGGGCGCTTGATTCTCATTTTCCTGATTGCCGCGAATATGGTTTGTGGACGGTTTCCGTCTGAGCAGATGTTTGCGCGACCAGAGGCGTATGGCTTGAGAGAGAGGTTTCAGCCATTGTGCAGGTATATCGCAAAAGGCGACATCGTGGGCTTCAGACGGCATCTGGATATTGGATCTGAGCACTATGCATGGTTCTCGGGCTATCGCTTGGACTTGCAACTGAGGAACAGGTGTGAGGTTNTTGTTTGGAGGTCTATCTGTCGAAAGACTTTTATTCTACATGGAGATCCTGGTAACCCCGAGGCTCGAAAGGCCCCGACTTTCGATCTGAAGGATGTGCTGGCCATCTTCTGTTGGCAGGAGACCATTTACGCCATACCGCCTGGAGCCTCCCAACCTGACAACTACATCGACCCGGATTTTGTCGGTGTGGTCGACGAACCGACTGGTGAGTATGCTCTCGACCTTCCCGATATGAACAACATCCACTCCAAGATGACGGCACTCATTCACCAAGGCCTACTTGGTGGCTACATTTCCTTCTCGAGAGAGAAATTCGCAATTCAAGGTGCAAAGCTCAAGGGAGCACTGGCAGCTGGCTTCCCAAACGCCTGGAAGACCATCGAAGCCCGTGCTGACGACGAAGTACCCGGCTGGAAACTGGAAACCAGCGGGCCTGCATTTGGAGGCGGAGTTGTACGACTGAGCGGAGCGCGACCAGTGGGACTTTCTTAGGACGAGAGCACCCTAGATTGGATCGCATCCCCAGTCGATGAAAAGTTTACCATTCCGGAAAAAGCAAAATCGAGTTCTGCATAGCGTGCGCATTGGAGCATCGGAGGGTCGTCAGGGCTGGAGTTTGTGGTTGTATAGCATTCGATACCCTTTGTTAGTTGGTCTTGGTCACAGGTGCTGTAAGATATAATGTATCAGCGCCTCATGAACTCCCTCACGTCCCAGACCAAAACTCTTTCATCCCAAGCACAGGTGGCGCACCATCCCTCTGCGCCAAACAGACACCAATCGACGCCCATGGCGAATTCTGTGTGACGGTCCATACGGCCCATTTCGCGAGCACCTTGTCCAGTGGGCATACCCATCTTTGCATGATCCACACCCATGGCGCTACCATCCGTCCAGACGCGACATGACATGTCATAACTAGCGCTGAGCAATACATCGCTCAAGTGTGGGCTCCAGCTGATCTTTCTAACAGCGTACTCGTGACCTGGCAAGACGGCCATGGGACCGCTGGGTTGTCTGATGTCGAAAGTGCGTATCATGCCGTCAACACCAGCTGTTGCGATGATTGTATCCCTGTACTTGTTCCAGTCGTGCGTCAAGCATTCGGTCGGACCAACGCTCGTAGGTGTAAAGTTCATGGGCGTCATTTTCGGAGGGGCGTGTATAGGTATGGCGAGGGTCAGGTGGTTCGAGGCACTTGCAGGGGTTCTCAGGTCCCAGACGCGAAGGTGTGAGTCTCTGGCGACGGCGGTGACAATGTCGGGGCTATGAGGAGAGAACTGGGCCGAGTAGACGCAGGAGTGTACGGGTAGTGTAAGGAGCGATGTCTTGGATTCGGGGTTCCAGATCTTGACGGTGCCGTCCCAGCTGCTACTGAGGAAAGTTGTCTTGTGGCCGAGGTTCCAGTGGACGGCAAAGACCTCTCGCCCATGTTCAGCCCAGCTGGCAATGGGGAACTCGCTAAGGTTAATGTCAAAGAGCTTGACACTGCCATCTCCGCCAGCGGTCAAGAGCTGGTTCTCGTGTGCCTCTGACCACGCCGTGTCGAACAGACAGTCTTGTGTTTCAAAGAACTTCTCGCAGACAATGCCGCGGTCCGTCAGGTTGAGGATGAAGAGGCGGCCATTGCCTACCAAACCGAAGTTGGCACCGGCACTCACGCACAGCCTGCTGTCGAAGAAGGGCGAGTACTTGACGGCGTATGGGTTGAAGCCTGGGGTTCGGAACTCGAGCATGGCTGACGGACTGTTGGTGGGGTGGTATAGAGGTGTGGAGGGAGTACTCGGGGTACTTGTATTGGGCGTGCTATGGCGAGGGCATCCCTTGTTGACAGAGCGAGTGGCTGTCGAGAAGGAGAGTGGGATTGGGTGTCAAAGACAATTGTCTAGACACCCAAGACACCCCACCTTCCTGCTCCACATGGACGCTCGCTCTTGCGCTCTTGCGTGACGCACCTTCCGCTGCGCTGCAAGCAATCCATACGCCGACAGCCGAGGCATGCACGGGGACCGTGCCCTCTTCCAACCCACTCTGTCGGTTCAAGAGTCTTCTTCGACGCGTCCATCAAAATGCACCGTGTGCTGTTCGTGCATCCACAGGAACCAGATCGTGAACATGGTCCAGCGCAGACAGTACCTGACCCATGGATGCCTTCATATCGAGGAAGCGAAGACACTCGTCTGATGACCATGTTGCATCTATTCCTCCTGCCCGAATCAGTCAACAAGATGATCATGAGGACAGCACAGAATACAAGCTCGCTTTGCTTGCATCCCTGCATCCCGATATTGCTCAAGACACTCTGCTTGAGGCCTTACTCTCTTCCGATGGCCAGGTTGATACCGCCTCCGAGATTCTGGCTAGAGACAGCCCCACGTCCTTGGGTCAGCCGAAGAGAGCCAGAACCGTGGGTCATCAATCTACTCTGGCCAGTCTGATTCGCTCTGCTACCGGTGAAGCCCCTTTGGCCAGGCACCTCACGAAAAAGGGCAAGACGCTCTTTCTGTATAGCCCTCAGGATATTGAGACACATACGCCATGTTCCATCATCCACAATTTCCTCCNNCCTGCTGACGAGGCCAATGCTTTGCTTACAGAGCTATTGGAAGAGTCGAAAACCTTCGAGAAGGAAGTCTTCCAATTGTTTGATCGTACCGTCGAAAGTCCCCACACCATGTCATTCTATGTCGACAGCTTCAAAGAAGTCGAAGAGCAGAAAACAACATACGTCTACAATGGCAGCCGTATCAAAGACATTCGACAGACACCTCCAAGAATGTTGTCTGCATCTATCAAAGTGCGTCAAGCTGTCAACGATGAGATTCAACGTCGAATCGCTCAGTTCTACCCTAACGGTGAGAAACTCAAGTACCAAGACCCCAAAGAGTGGAGACCAAATACTGCTTTTGTAAATTGCTATGATGGACCTCAGCAGAGCGTTGGGTATCACTCTGACCAGCTGACCTATCTTGGCCCTCGTGCCGTTATTGGTAGCCTCTCACTGGGTGTGGCTCGTGAGTTCAGAGTTCGCAAAATCGTCCCTAAAGATACAGACAACGGCTCTGAAGATACGAGTGTAGCAGACTCGCAAGGTCAGATCTCTATTCATCTGCCTCACAACTCTTTGCTTGTCATGCACGCCGAGATGCAGGAGCAGTGGAAACACAGCATTGTCCCGACCACGGCCATCGATCCGCATCCCATTGCCGGTAACACGCGAATAAACATTACCTACAGGTATTACAAACCTAGCTTCCACCCAAAGTTCACGCCGAAATGCCACTGTAAAATCCCTACTGTGCTCAGATGCGTACAAAGAAAGTCTGAGAACTTGGGTCGCTACATGTGGATGTGTCATGCTGGTTATACGCCTGGTCAGAAAGGCTGCACCTTTTTCCAATGGGCAGAGTTTGATGAAGACGGCGACCCTCCTTGGAAAGGCAAGGTCATGCAATTTGAGACTGGTTGATAGGGAGACGCTCAACCCCTTAGACTTCCTGTTTTTGCCGGGTTCCTGCATACGGAGCGACAAACGAAGCAACAAACGATTGCACGGCCATCTAAATCCTGGCTGTTTCCATGACCAGCCGGTCGCATGAACGTATTTGAACCACTCCGAGAAAAAAAGACATATATCAGGTTCGTCGCTCGTCTCCTTCACAGATATCAAGTTCGCATCGGAGTGTACGCCGCAGGCTTTGGTCGATACATCCGTTTCACGATGGTTTCTTGTGAACTCGAGCCCTGCTTTTGGATGCCAACGGAGATGTCATCATCTCCATGCTCTGCATACACGCAACACTCCTACGTACGCCACGGCAAAGGTCAAACACAGCCATGCGCTACGGATCCGAAGGTTCAGACCTCTATATAATGTCAACTGTCAACTTGCTCGGCTTCTCTATGCTCTGTGATCTTCACGTACAGACCGACCATCTCCTTTTGGCTCGCCTCCAACACAAGCAGACTGTATCCATCAGCGATCTCATCCAGCGCCTACTTGTCTGGATCGCCTACTACGGCACCCTCAAAGGTACACAGGCAAGACTTGTTGAGTTTATCAGTTCAGAGGTTCCAGCAAGCGACATTCGGACATCTACACTCTTGTACCTGCGCATCGCTTGTGCCCTTCGCGACAAGTCTCTCTTCAGCTGGCTACTTGACAAAACCCCTTTCTTCTCGAACGACATTTGTCTCGTCGGCATGAGCTCGTCGGACAAGTGCCTAGGTCTCGATTTCTGAGCTGCTGCTTTTGAGCGTCGCCTGGACCCCTACGGTTCCGTCTCTAGAGAATTCCGAAATCTGCCCGAGCGGGTTCCACTTTCTATCCAAGGGATGTTCACAGATGATGAGTGTAAGCTCTTACTGTTTGCTTGGAATTCGTGGCTTCTCGACCTCGCAGCAGATCTCCAAGTCAAGTATGAGCACATCAACCCCTCCGTTTTGGCTCTGTACTCAATCGCCATCTAAGAGGAGTTCTCACTCTGCTACGTTCACAAGTCTGCTGCCAGGAACGCGAGATGCTATCTTGAGTATGCTCTGATCATGGCGAAAGACGAAGTTGCTCGGCACATCACAATTGACGAGAGCGAGCCCTTTGGCTTCCAGATCAATCACCATGGTTTCTTCCCGTGGGATCACAGTCTGGACGAAGACGAAGACGAACGGTTGTTCAACTTGGTCGCAACAAGGAACCTCTGCACAGTAGATGAAGATCTGGGACCGGGCTGATAGGTGGCTACGCTTTACTGTCCAAGGAATATTTAATTGCGCGGTGGTGAAAGTAGGTAGAGCGGTGCATGACGACACTCCGTAGAAAGCACCTCTGCCTCGCAACTGTTCTGCGCGACCGAGAGTTCTTTGAGTGGGCTTTGGACAAGAATCCAATCTCACCACCCCATGTCTGTCATTCCCACTCTTGTGGAGCTACATAGGGATGTTTGAGCTGTAAGACATACCATAATTTCGATCATCGGAATAATGTCCAGTCGCGGATATGCCGGGTTCTTCGGACAACTCTTCAATGAGAAGGCGACTACACATTCTTATAGCCACAAATGTAACATATCTTCTGACACGGCGACGATTTGGGCCTCAACCCATTGCTCTCATTTCCAAAACGATCTGGAAACCCGTCTGTGATTCGGTGGCATTCTGTACCTCACAATTCAGCCCTGCGTCCCCCTTTCTGGGTGACGACTGATATCCGTTGCGATTGCATCCTTCGTGGGGTTGAGCGTTGAGACATGCGAGCGAGGCGATAAGACATTCTTTGATCTGCTAGGCAGGCGTGTCCAAGTGAGATTTAGTCTTGTGGTATACGACTCCAGTGTGTCTATTTGTGTAGCAGACATCGTGGATTGAATGCAAGCACATGATTATTGCATCTCTTGTCAGCATCATTGCTGATGTCGAGTTGATAAGCAGTTGTCGACATGTAGAGAGGTGGAGGAGCTGAAAGCTGAGAGCCCGTTCAGGTAGCGACGCCCCCAATACCTACTGCATCTTACGCAGAAATAGAACAGTCAGGAGCACCACAACAACCTCACCATCGACTTAAAGTTACAAAAGCGTATGTAAATAATCAAAAATGGATATGAACACCTAATAGACCTCTTATCGTCGCCCTCGATCTGTTTCAGGCCTCTTTTGCATACACTCCTGTGGTGGGCGCCCGTACCAGATCTCAGCATAAATCCATCGTCGCTGCAAGGCGGGTGTCTTGCAGAATACATCGCAGCTGAATCCTCCCAGATCCTTCCCTCCAACAGCCATTAAAAAAAGCTTAATACTCCTGCATCTAGTTACTGATACCAATTCAGCTGTCACTTCTATCCGGCTCGCGACGGCGACATGTCCTATTGGCTACCCTTGCCAGTTGCACCCATCCATCAGACGGTTCTGGCACTGCTCACCCACCGGTCGTCTATCAATCACACCCTTAATTCCTTATTCAGGAATGTTGGACCTCAGCTGGATCTGATTGTGGCTGATGGCCTGAGACTGCGGGCTTAAGCCAGTAAGGAGAGTTTGAGTTCTTACTGTAAGTCCTCAGCCAGGCAAGCCTCTGGAACAACTGTCTTGCACAGGACGGGGATATGATTTCGTATTGACTCCCCTTTCTTCTCTCCTTTTCTTGCCAATGTCCTGATACAACTTGTAATGCTGTCGCCGTCTTGAGTGCACTCTTTCCCCTTGGCGTGTGACGACTACTCGCAAAGATAACCACCAATCTACCATACGATGGTTATCTCCTCTTCTCGCGCGCATTTGCGCATCATTCTGGTTGTAGCTTCCCTCATTATCTTCTCTTTGTTCTGGTTCAGCAGTTCCTTGCAAATCCGCGAGCATGTTGACTCTTGGACAATATCTGGAGACGGTACATATAAGNGTATGATTGAAATCATGCGGTATGGACCGACCTCTGCTTATCTGTTACTACAGCTTACCTCGAACCCTCTCGATACTATTCCCCAGCACCCTGTGCCTACGATTCTTCCATTGCCCGATGCATACACCTCACGGCCGAAGCAAGATAACTTTTGTTCCGCTCTTTTCTCGCCTGCTTACCTTCACAACCTGGGCCGCAATCGTACGTCCTTCTGCGACCCGAGTCAGAGCACCTCGACGATGGAATGCTTCTCCACGCGCATCGTGGGACGCAGACTTGATACCTTCTGTATTGCTTCCAACGTCGCGTTCAACCGTCGCGAGAGGAAGTTCTACATGGATTGTGGGCATGATGCAGAGAACCCTTTCTACCGTGTCTTTCCAGAGTATATGATGTGGACAGGTCTGCGATATATCTACAAGGAGCACATCGTCTTGAAGGACCCGGAGCGACTTCAAAAGAGCAAGCCAAAAGACGCTTCTCGCAAGAAATTCGGCATCATTGCCCGACGTGAGGGATCAGGTTCTCCTCACGGTAGTGCTGCGAACACATGGCATAATCTGGTGGAACTGATGAGTTACTACATGACCATGGACGTTCTGTCTATGGTTCCCTCGCCCCATAAGAAGGACAAGGGTGCAGCGTATTACAACCCCAAGAAGGACAAGGCAAATACACAAGTCATTGTGGTGGACGGCCACAAANAAGGACCATACTTTGATCTATGGGACTTCTTCTCGGACCCTGCCCGCAACCCGACACTCAAACTATCCGAAGACAAGAAGGAGGGTGCAGAAGCGCAAGAACAAGAAGAAGAGCTCGAATACTTCGACCGCGTCATCCTCCCTCTGCCCGGCGCATCAAACCCCTTCTGGGAAGGAACCTGGGAACCGCAACACTGTAGCCAGTCCGATCTAGGACGCATCTTCAGCGACCGCGTGCTAACTCACTACAATGCCACCACTGCACTATCGACCGTAGATGAGAAGACGATGGACCTCTCAATCCTTCCGCCAAAATGGCCGAAGAAGACCAATGTCCCCCTGCAAGTCCTAATCGTCAAACGCACCAAATCACGCCGCATCAACGATCTCGATGGCAAACTCGCCGCACTGAAGAAGCTATTCCCCAAAGTCGTGTTCAACGTACGAGATCTCGCCGACTATAGTTTCGGCGAGCAAGTGCGCATGGTGCACGAGCATCAAGTCCTCGTCGGCGTGCACGGCGCCGCCATGACACATGTCTTTTTCCTGCCTGGCCGCCCTGACTCCCCATCATCCACATTGGTGGAGTTCCTTCCGCATAAATTTGCACACAGAGGGTATAGGAATCTGGCACTGATGCTGGGACACACATATATTAGTGTGCACGCCGATAACGATATTGGTGACAAGGATTTCCACGGCCTGGATCTTGAGGTGGAGAATGGTAAGTATATCGATGCTGTGTCGACGGCGATCAAAGGACAACTCCACAGAGGGATGCAGGAGGGTGACATCGAGACCGTCAAGACTGAACTTTGAACTAGGTGGTTTGATTCGAGGTATACGAAGTGGTAGAGGTTTATATGACTGGAGTGTATGTAATTCCATTATTGGATTGACGCGGGCGTTCAGGGATATCTGATATCACATAGGATTCGGCAAGAACTACATATTTTTTCAAGTACATACTCGAGGACTAACATCTCCAACTCCCAATCCTCACTTGCAACCTTCGAGTGCTAGAAAGCGTCTACAGCTACTGTACCCGCGACCATCTAGATCGTTCCCGACCAGCCATGAGGAGATCCCATGACCTTGAATACCTTTGATGATCCCACGACGGCTATGATGTCGATCGTTCCCCCTACAACTTGTGGATATGACCCGTTGGGACAGCGCAGTGAACGTATAACGCTCGCACATCTCTAGCAAACATGTTTCAGCTCAGTATGAGCTGTAGCAAGTATCCCTGTATAACAGACTCGACGAGACCGGTGTATGTGTATCTCATCTCCCAGCTCCTTTGTTTTGAGCTTTCCCGCGACCAACTACTCTTTTCTTTTGTATCTCGTGTTGTTCAGCAAAAGACCACCGCTAATCTTACAACTCATCATGCCTTACATCTATAAACTTCGTCTGTTGATGACTCTGGCAGCAATAGCCACAAGTTTGCGTCTCCTTNTTGGCATTTGCTCTCCACATCCAATCTCCTCGACCACATCTTCACTGGCTCAAACCAACGTGGCCATCACATACTCCAGCATCGACACCAGAAAACTGGCTTATATGACATTACTCACCAACACCACTACCGACAACCACAAATTCACAGCCACAAGAATGCTAGGCTACCAATTACTGCATCAAGCAACCACAAAAACACAACGAAAAATTCCGTTTGTGGTGCTAGTGACTGCAGATGTGTTGCAAGAAATCCGTGATCTGTTGACTGCAGACGGCGCTGTGGTCATTCCGGTCGCGGATCTGTATAATACTTCCTCTATGGTCACTGGCGAGAAAACCGCACTTCTCAAAGCAGCAGCTTGGAACCTGACTTGCTATGATCTAGTTGCGTTTCTAGATGCAGGAGTGGTATTGAATACTTGCATGGACACAATATTCGACGATCCTGCTCTTACTTCCCAAACATCTCTGCTTAGCCACCACGACACAACACTACCAAAAACCTACATCTTTGCAGCATTGCCGGAGGTAAACGCTATACACGACTACCCTCCCAACGCAAAAGACTTTGCAAACCGCGATACTTTCAGCAGCGCTATTTACCTTTTTCGCCCAGATATATCGCTCTTCCAGTATCTGGTCAACATCTTGTCGACACCGCAACTTTTACTCGCAAGCCCTAGTGGGCAACGACTGCTCAATCATGCCTTCAGTCGCAAAACCAATATGCCTTGGAAACAGCTAGATCAGCGTTGGCATATCAAGTTTCCTCATCCCAGAGATGTGGAGCAAGGTGTGGCTAGTATGTACATAGACACCTGGTGGAATCAACACATGAACGAACAGTTGCGTGCATACCACGATTCGATAAAGTGGAGGATGCAGGGGTTTTATGAGTTGAGGGGGGTTGAGAAAGCAAATCGCGATGGGAAAGTCTTAGTTGTCTGACAGCCTCTCCTTTTTCACTTTCGTATAGTTACTTTGGGTCACCGAGCCTGTTTTGGAATATGGATTGATGTTGTTATTATAATACTTTTGTCATGTCGTGTAGACGTGAAATCTACTGTATCCGGAAGTTGTGCCTTGACGCGAAGGTCTATCTACTGATTCGTCGCTTTGGCGTGTTGCAAGTGCTGTCTAGGCCATTGGGCCTTCACCCATATCAACATCACCAGGTGCGGCTTCCTGGCCAGCCTCAGGCAAATCACCCTGACCGGCCTTGATCTTGCCTTGCTCATATGTAACTCTTCTCCATCCCTCCTTCTCGTTGGGGTCCTTCAAGAACTCGATAGTGGGGAAGTAGTGCTCGTTCTTCTTCATGGTAGCAACCCAAGGTTGGTTGTCAAAAGTCATGATCTTCAAACGGAAGTAGGTGTTGTCGGGAATCTTGTTAGTCTCCTCAACGAACTTGTCGAGATCAGGTGTGGGCACACCATTGACATGTGTGATGAAGTTTGTCGGTGCGAGACCATACATGTATGCTGGCGAACCTGCAATGCGCAACGAGATGTAAACATCGGAGTGCACCTTCTTAATTTGTTGGCGCACGGCATGGTGAGGACGATGCAGGACAGCACCACAGAAGACGACAGCTCTGTCAGTCTCGAATTCGTGTGTTGGTACGGTCGAAACCTTGAGCTTGATCTCTTCTCTCTTGCGGAGGATAACAGCATCTAGGAACTCGTTTCTGTACATGACATCGAAGTCTGTAACGCGAGTAACGAGGCGGTCGTTGAGCGTGAGAATAATGTCACCCTCCATCAAGCCACCAAGATGGTCAGAATCAACCTTGCGAACAATGAAAAGTTGATGTCTCTCGGGGTCCTCCTTCTCAACTCTGTCAATCCACTCTTGCGACAGACCGTGAATGCGAGCCTCACTCATTTGCATAATATGAGTTTCGAGGTTGAGGATGCGTAATTGAGGTCTGTCTCCGTTCTTGATGTCGTCGACAACGGCATGAAGCGCAGAGGTGGACATGCCAAGATGGTAAGATTGGTCGCGTCCATTAGGCGTACGCTCACCGAGGTAGGTCATCCACAAGGCCTGAACGGTGCCATCCTCGGCAACAAGCACGCCACTTCCGCAGCGCTCTGATAAACTGGTGTCGACCGTGATAGCGTCCAGGTTGACAGCACGGTATCTAGGAGTTGTTGTGCTTGCTGGAATAGCAACTGAGGTGATGTCGGTAACAGCTGTCTTAGCAACTACTGGTCTCAGGTTCTGGTTGAAACCGAAGAAAATGGTGCTCTCTCCCTGCTTGATAGGTGTGGTCGCAAGTTTGGCCGACTTAACAGGAGCTTGCACAAGGCTGGCGTCGTATTGCAAGATGGCGTAGTTTTGCAGGGGNTGCATGAAGACAACCTTTCCATCTACGATGATCGAGTCGGCCACGGTGATGGTAATGTCGCACATGTCGTAGGGCAAGATTGCTCGTGATACAATAACAAGACCTTTCTCGGCGTCGATGACCAGACCGAACCCAATCTTTCTTCCTTTAGGGAATCCATCCAGGCGAAGTGGTAGGCTGACCGAAACTCTGACGAAGCTTCGCACGATGTCGACAGCAGCAGGGTGTTGTGCGCCAGCCATTTGGATGAAGTTTGCCTTCTTGGGTTGAGGATCGGCGGGTGGAAGTTGCTCGGCAAGAGTGGTAGTGTCCCAGAGGCCAGTCTTGTCATTTCTGACGTGCATGGACATCTTTCTGTGCCAATGTCTGTCGACGGAAACGATGGAGGTGTTAAGAGTGTGCATATCCCTAAGATGCTTGTAGGTGACGACGACACGGGCGCGATCGGGAATGGCCTTCATGACTTCAACAAAGGCATTGAGGTTTGGTGTAGGCTTGTTGTCGATGGACTGAACCAGCCAACCAAACTCGCAACCCTCGAATCTGAAGGAGCCACCAGACTCGCAGCAGTACACACCGTTGTCCTTGAGAGTGACAGCATAGAAACGGGCTTGTTGGTAGGAGAGCTCGTGGAAAAGGGCGCCAGCAGCCGAGACGTAGCGATCCGGTGTGATTGCGTGCAAGTCACCAACATCGACGGTGGCTTCAAACTCTTCGCCTCCTCTTTGCACAAGCAGCTTGACTTGGCCTCCAACACTCGAATCCAGAATATCGTCCAGGCGAACAAACTGTGTGAGGAGCTCGTCGTTGACCTTGATCAGAACATCACCCTCCTCAATCTTGCTATCGGCAGGACCTTTGGGCAGAACAACCTCAGCGACCAGCATACCAGTCTCCTTGGGAAACTTGGCGCGGACCTCGGCTTCACGCTCAGAGGTCAGACCAAGTCTGCGGCACTCATCAAAGGGCTTGATAAGAAATTGTGTTTGGATGCTTCCTCTTGTGACGTGTTCTCCTTTCCTGACCAGTTCCAGCGCTCTTAGCGGTCGGTCCAATGGCAAGAAGTAGTCGGTTGCGGCACCATCCTGTCTGCCTCCTGCCTGCAAAGCGACAGCATAACCCTCGACGTTGACGACAGGACTGCCCGAACTTCCTCCACTTGCTGCAGCAGCGGCTTGGATGTAGTTTGTGTTGAAATCGCAGTATCCTTCGGAATACTCGGGTGCGTTTCTGTCCAATCTTGAAATGACACCAGACAGAATACTGAGCTTCTCTCCAGCATCGTTACCAACCACTCTGATTTCGGCACCAATGCGCGCAAGGTCGGGGCGGAGTTCGATGGGTGCGAGCTTCATGTACTTGATGGCCTTGGGGTCGAACTTGAGGAAACCAAAGTCGTGGACGGGATCGCGGTAGACGGGGTAGACGTCGCACTCCTCGTGATTGTCGAAGATGCAGTATCCCCAGAAGGGACCGGAGCCGACAACGTGCTATATTCTGTCAGCTTGAGGGTAGGTGGTGCAATTGGATCAACTCACTCTGTTGGTCAGGATGTAGCCATTCTCGGCATCGACGACGAAGCCAGTTGCTTCGCTTGACAAGGCAGGATCCGTATCGAATGCGCTGGTCTGGCAGAAATGGATCGAGACGACTTTGGAGACGACGGTTTCGATGGTACGCTGCCACTCGACCGAGTCGGTGGTTGCGGCATGCATTACGGGTTGCGCATCAACTTCGTCGTCTTGTGAGAAGCCATTGACGGGCTCTTCGGCCGTAGCATCTGATCTGAGCTGTTTCAGAGGTCTGTCCTGAGAAGAGCTTGGGTGTTCTTTACGCTTGACGCGAGCCTCGCCATTCTGCTGGCCGTCCATACTGGCGAGCGTTGACGTGTTACGCTGTGAGCGGATTGAAAGTGCGACTCGCGAGATGTGGTCGGTATGCGACTGGGACGGTAGTAATACAGAGCGCGATGGGTTTAAGGGGCGAAGGGTCGATGTCGTCGATGTATGGAAAAGTCGAGGAAGGTGCGAAGAGGAACGGATGTCTCTCAGAAAAGTACAAAAGCCTCTTTGCATTCAGCTACGCGCAAGCAGTCAAGCATGCGCTGTATATCCAAACAAAGAAAGAGCGACGGCCGATGGTTTTGTTGGCCTTTGGTTAAAAATTTTGGCTTCTTGTTCGTTCGATGACTTGCCATCACCTTGATCATCGTCACGCCTGAAACAGGCAACTCTGCCGAGAGTTTCCTGCGACTTCACCGTGTCTCGTCTTTTGCAACCTCTTTCTCTCACATTCCACACACGGACACACATGTCTTAAGCATTGCCTCCTCTGGCACATGCAGTTTTTTGTGTCTCGTTGTATCCCAGGCTTCTTTGTCCTTCCGACACGAGTGCAGTCACAAGCGTGAGTTATGCAGTTATGTATATTTTGTGCAAATCCTCCGCCGACACCTTGATGTGAAGACACTGGTAGGTCATATTGAAGGTATTGTGAGCATCACTAGGTCCCATAATCTTCACTTCCACTTCAATTACATTCAATCTTCGCTGGTGAACTCCTCTTCTTGCTAGGAGACTCACTCGACTCTTGATCAAGTCCCTGCCCTGGTCCTCACCATCTTTTTCCGAATCTTCTCTCAGTAACTCTCCTCTATTTATTCTTCTTATCGACCTCCTCGCATCCTCTCCGCAACCTCATTTTCTCCCAACGCAACATCAACATCTCACACCTCTTCTCTTGGCCTCAACCTCATCCTCAATCGTCGACGCGTCGACGATCTTTTGGTTCAGCTGAACACAGACCTTCTCTCCCACATTCCTCGATCAGTAAGAGCTTTCTTCTCATACCATCCGGCTCTCTCAATCTATGTTACACACCATTCGTCCATCAACCTAGACCTTCGCCTTGACCGCTCACTCCAACATCTTCTTCTCGCCACAACCCTTGTTTCACACCCTACTCGGCAGCTCCTTCATTTTTAGAGATTTGGTATCAACTTGCCAATTCAATTCTCTGACCGTTCTGCAGCATGAGCAATCAATCTCGCCGCGATCCGAGGGACCTAGGCAACATGGCACCCAGCCAATCCGCCGTTTACGGCTATCACGACGCAAGATCTCAACAACCTAGATCTGGTGGCCCAGGCACACAGCAAGTGCCTCCTACTTCGCAGGCGTTCATGACATCGCACTGGACCAACCCCGCGCTCGCCGCGCAGTATTACGAATACGTCCCACCCACTGCCCAGAGTCCCTTCTCCAACCACACCNCCTATCAAAACATGCAGTCATTGACTCCTGTTTCCTTCGGTAACCCCAGCTACCAGGCACCACTCGACCCTGCAGCGCAGATGCTCCAGAACTGGTCGATGGCACAGTCTGGCTATGCTTTTCCAGGACAACACCCTGTGCAGCAGACTNGTAATGCAGTATGCCCTTTCCAGCAGACTGCTTTCGAGCAGGCTCCTGTTCAGCAAGCTACAATAAAGTCGCAAACTGATGTCAAGCAAGACCTTGAAGCCGTCGACGTGTACTCTGGCAACTACGTCGACTTCAACATGGAAGACGACCCGAGTGCGCAGCTCATGGCGGAGCTGAACCAAGACATCCCCGAGACTGCGCACTCCGCCACTCCACCAGCTCACCGGTCTCCTGAAGTGGGCGACCACAAGTATCAGGATATGAACCAAGGCTGGGGCAATACTACGGTCGACGGTATTGAGTTTGACCTGAGTGACTCGATATTCCCCGTCCCTCAGACCTCTCACAGCGCCGAATACGAGACTTCCAGAAGCTTTGAGAATGAGCATCACACCAGCGAAGCTGAGAAGGTTCAGGAGAGCCAGCTTTCACAGCAGGTTGACCAAGTTGTTGCTAGCTTGAACGATGAGGAAATGCACACTGTCGACTTTGAGGAGCAGACTGTCATCAGACGCACGTAAGTTTTGGTCACATGTTTCCTGTGCGATGAGTAACTAAATATACTGCTGCAGANNCCCGACTACAGCGGCGCAAATGTCTCTGCTAATCAGGACAACAACGTCGATGTTTACTCTAAGGATCACGTCGAGGACTCCGCTAACGAAAGAGAAGGCTCGACCCCTCTCAAGGGCATGGAGCAGCGCGAAAACTCCACTCCTGGACCAGTCGAAAACTCCGGCCATGTCTCTGAGACTCATGTCGACGAAGAAAACGTCATGCAGGATGACCCTCCCCAAGAGCTTGATATTGAAGACAAAGACGCCCAAGACGATATTTCCGACCACGATTCAGAGGTAGAAACTTCTGGCACAGAAGACGCCATGGAGAACGATGTCGCCGAAGACGAGGACGCAAATGCCATTGTTTCCGACGCCGAATCATCCTCTGCTCAGGAGATTCACGACTCTGTTGTCGAGGATGCTGGTGCTAAGGACTCGCCTCAAGTCGAGTTCGAAGGCTACATGCTTACTAAAAGCCGCCTCAAGACCATCAAGAAACACATCGCAAAGAAGGAAGACAAGGAACTTCACCACAAGGCATTCAAGCTGCAGCCCCACATACTTCCTGCCCATCGCTATTGGGTCGCCATACTCATGCACAAGGTGCAGCCTCAGAAGGCCAAGGTCGAGAAGGACTTTGTTTGGCTCAAGGGATCCAAGGTAAGTGGAGTGCTCAAACCGCCGTGAGAGCAAAACGCTGACGCTCCAACAGATCNNAACACAGTCGAGACTATGTGGAACAAGTACCGTGAGGTGACCACCGAAGAACAGCACCAGATTCTCTTCTGCGGCAGAGTTCCAAGTTTCGCCAACACGCTTGAGGAGTTGGACAGATTCGGTGACAAGTTGATCGTCTTCCGCGCTGCTAAGCAGGAGGTCATTGTCATCGACTGAGCGACAGGCCTGGAGTGCTTGATATAAGATCTTGCACCTGACATGAAGTGTCATCTTTTTGCTGGGCGAAAGCTCAAAGCATCTTGCAAGACGCAATTACGATTTACGAACTACGATCTCGCATAGGCGAATTATGAAGGAGCGCTGAGGCTTGAGAATTGAGGCAGGGGAAGGAGTTTTTTGTTTACGAGGCGAGCACCTGCCTCAAGTTTCTCTTACACATAGCCTGGTTGCTCTATCAACTAGAGGCTTTTCATCTTGGAGGATGCAGGAAGCCATAACGTTGGAGATTTTAACCATCTCTACTGAGACAGTCCTCAATATATTCCACAATGACTTTTGCAAAACGCTTCTTTTATGCAGCAATAACTCCACAAACTCCTTTCTCCCATGGTATCAAAAATGCTTGTAAACCCGAACAGAGTGCATCATCACTCAAGCTTGTCCAAATGCTCCAATCTCGTCAACACGACCTGTTTACTCGTCTCTTCGATCTCTCCGGCCAAAAACACTTCGTCAAGGATAGCGTACACCTGTCCCTTGTCAGCACTTATCACTCCATGTCCCCATACACCCTCCTCTTGTCCTTGTCCTCTGTGTCTCTTGCTCTTCTCCCCACTCACCTTGTAAAAGTTAAACACCAAATCCAACTCACACACGTTTCCGAAAAACTGATCCAGCACTTCGACGAAGAAATGAATGGCTTCTAGATACGCCAGTTCATTGTCGTTTGCGTCTACGCAGGCGCAGAAGAAGAGACCGGCGTAGCGACGATAGACGATTTTCGAGCTGCCCCGGAATTCGACAAAGTTGGATTGGTGTTTTTGGTCGCGGGGNGCGACGAGGCGGTGGATCTGAGAGGGAGGTGTCAGAGGGGAGTTGCGAGAGCGGGTATGTGTGCGAGGGTTGGCTGGTGGGGGTTGTAGGAGGCGAAGGAAAGGTGGTGGCATACCTCGCCTTTTAGCTTTACTTTCTCCTCATCCTGGGATATGTGTCAGTGGACTGGTATGACATGAAGCAGGACAAGGGATGCTCACACTGTATGGCGCATACCATTTGGCCAAGCGCGTCTTTCCCCTGGAGCTTTCTTAGCTTGTGTGCTGTGGAGATGGATTCTGATATTCTTACTGCCGGTTCTGTATCAGGATGAAGGAGAGGACCATCGTGCCTGATTTGCTAGACTGTCAGACCGACGAGAAAGAGTACCTTGATTGCCTGGTCTCGTTATTGCCATTGAACACCGACCCCACGGTTGTCTTGGCGTTTGCGGATGCGGAGTTGCAGCCGGGAGTCTTTTGTCCTCTCAGACCAACGCGACTTCCTCACGAGCATCATCAGAAGGACCTTCTGCGTTTCCAGAACGTTGTACTGAATCCGAGGACAGACACGAGATTGTGTCTTCTTCCCTGATGTTCTAGCTTCACAACCAATTCTAGGTAGCTGCTCTCTTCTTTTGACGCGTCCTTGTTCAGATCCAACATCTGAGCTTTCACTCTTTGACATTACGCGAGCTGTTTTCCCATCAGCTTGTCACCATAGCATTCTCCAAGGAGCACGTCAATTCAAAGTTCTGAGGCGTTCATACCAAAAACAGGTGCCCTACAACAAGATCAAACTCATCATCATGGTCTGGGATAAATACAACCGCTCGAATGGCGGTGTCACAATCGACTTTTACCCAAACACACTCGACAACATCTTTTGGTCAAAGGAAGGAATCATTGCAGTCGGTGGCAGCGACCATGTCAGCCTTTTCGTGAGTCTCACATTCTCCGACTCCGATCATATTTAACATGTCCAGGTACCACGTCTCAAAGCATTTGCATCAGATGAGAGGAGATGGGACAAGATCAACCTCAAGACGAGTNTTTTCACCCTTGAAGATATCCAACTTCAGCTACCTCTGAGCTGGAAAAACTTTTCGATCGGTGAAGAAATGTCAGAGTCCTTTGTTCACGCCCTCGACTGGTCATCTCCAGGACTTGGCAAACACAAGCGAAGCGTACTGGCCGTTCTGACTTCAAATCATGTGCTATCAATCTGGGAGTGCGTTGGAAAACCAGAAATTGCTACGGATTGGGTGAGAGCTTGCGTCGTCAACCACGCCCTCCAAGCACACTACAAGGAAAAGGATGTCCAGGCTCCGGAAGAGAGTGAGCACGATCATTTCGAAAGATTGCGAGCAAAGCAACGCATCAGAGCATTTGCATGGAGTCCAGCGGTACCAGACTCTTCGCTGTCGGGGGCTTCTGGTGACTGCACGACAAGAAGCCCCTATCTGGCTGTTTCGAATGACCGCGGCGAAGTATTGATCATCGGTTTACAAACACCTCACAACATCTTGGAGCCAAACACGACACAGTGGAACCTGTCCATAGCGGCTTCATTCGGCGTTGAGGTTCCCGATACCAAGAAATCGGCTCTCAGTGCTTGTCTGCCAGTGACATTCAAATGGAGAAGTCTTTTTGTGGATCAGTTGGCCTGGAGTCCATGGGCTTTAAATTCCGCCAATTCGCCAACGTCAGTACTGACCTTCACGACTCAGTCGTCTTTGCAATGTACGAACGTAAAGATTGACGATGAAAGCTCACGTACTGATGTGACGACTGGCGCTATTGTATCGCTAATGGAAGAAATACCTGATACTCAAGCTGCTGGATGCATGAGATGGGCTTCAAAGCTGAACAGTTCGAAGGAAGCATTTTTGGTATACCCAACTCGCAACGCGTTCTACTGTCTTCAGGCTCAGCCGGGTCTCAATCTTGAATTCCAGGTCTCGGCACAAGAGATCAATACTCCCTGGGACGAGATTGCAGGTATGTCTGAAAGACGTCTTTATTCTTCAGTCATCTAACAGATCAACANNGGCATGACTTTTGTACAAGACGACAACGAGAACATTTCTGTGCAAATTGCATATCATCTTGGCTCAGGGACTGACCGCATCACGAGTCTGGCCTTACCATTCACACCGAGTTCAGGCCTCGGATCCACTAACTGGCAGCATGACCTGCTCAGAGGACAACGACGTTTTAGTGATGAGTGGAACCTTGCAGGCAACGTCATGTCCAGAGCCTATGGCTTGTGTACATCTCCCTTCGGCGACTTAGTTGCTGTTAATATCAGCTTCCACCCGAGCGATGGAGTTGAATACACAACAAACTCTGATGAGGTCTCGTATCTCATTACAAGTCAGTGCAATGACGACTTGCAATTCGCTCTCGCCGGGTCTCCTTCCAATGCTTGCGGTGAGCTCTGCTAGGTCCTTGGTTATTGACAGTACTGACATTTGCTAGAATTGACTGCCGAAGCTCTGCTTTCCAGCTTACAAAGCCTTGCCGTGCGTGAGCCTGAAGCGCTTGCCGACGACAGCTTTGTTGTCGAGCAGGTCATGCAAGCACTCGACCTCTCAGAGTTGCCCTCATCCAGCTTCAATCAAGGACAGATCACAGAAGATACGCCTGTTGAGCTAATCGTGCGTCAAGTGAGACAGAACATCTTGTTCGATCGTGACAGTGTTCACAGTCGGCTGTCGCAGCTGCTGAAATATGTCAAAGCCGACATTCCCAAGACTCCGCCGCTCGATGCCACGGTCGTGCTCAAGATTGTTTCAGAGATTTCGCGCCTACCACATTTCATTGCCGACGCAAGTCTCTTGAGTACCTCAATTATGCAAACCCATTGTTTGATTCTGGCGAAACTGCAAGCACGAGCTGGCAATGCTGACGCCGATGCTTCAACGTCAGAGGAAGAAGAGATTGAGAGATGTGAAATATGCCACAATAATATACCTTTTGAGAGTCTTCGGTGGGCAAAATGTGTCAACAATCATCAATACAGTAAGTCTACAATGACCATCTGATTACAGCGCCGAAACTGATCAATACTCANNGCGCGGTGCACACTCTCCTTCCTCGCTATTCAAACACCCGGCACTGCTAAGTCTTGTTCTATATGCAATGCTCAGTATATGAACGAATTTATGATTCCCGGCTTCAAGGCAAAAGACAGCGACGAGGCGGTTGCTGATGAAGTTGATGGAGATGAGGCGATGCAAGGGACTGTTGACCAAGAGCCTCCAGTATCTTTGGCACGCATTCTTTTCGCGGCATGCGATAGATGTGTCTGTTGTGGAGGCAAATTTACCGGCTAATTTTAGTATGCAACTACCCGCATTCCTTACCACAATGGTGTGTTTACCACTCGACTCTGCTCTAAGGCGATATGGAAACACGGACTCTCACTGTATCATCGCAGAACGTCGACAAGATGTATCCAGTCTCATAGCTATCGAGAACAACTGAATCAGAGTCGTCTTCTCCCGCACAATCGTCTCAAGATGAATCCAATGCATGAGATTCGCATGTCAGCCTCGCCTGGAAGAGCACCACAAGTCATACACCAGCACGAAGTAGGCAGTCCAGTACGAAGCGTACATCCAGAGTTCCTACTCGAGTCGATAAATAGCCAGGCAGATTTTGGACTACGGACATTTTTAAACAACCCGTCTCCAGATGAGGAAAATCACGTCCCAAACATACCGGAAACGCATACTTCTCCTCAAGGCGATGGTTCTCATGCTGAACGGCCATTTTCAAAACAAAGGCGATCAGGCCATTATCTGGGCGGCACCACGGAGCAATTCCAGTCGAATTGTGCTCCTGAGCGAAGGATACCTACGCCTCCCTCACCTCGTTCTCCTGTTGAACCTACAGACTTTGAGAAATATCAGCAGCTGACGCGCGAGGCTTGCAAAAGTGGAGTCGACAGCGATGAGGATTCTTACATCGGATCTGTCGAAGAGATGACGCCCGTCAGACCAGCAAGGAGGAGCAATATGCTGGTTGATGGTCTTTTTCATCACAGCTCTCCACATGTCCTGGAAGAAGAAAGCCCGATCCTGCCGAAGCACCAGGATTTGGCTGTAGCTAATCACATCAAGGAAGTGCATCTTTCCACCATGCAAGCTCTCACTGGCATCACTGGTTCTTTAAATCCACCACCCACACCTCCACCAATACCGATTCGTGATTCGCGACATCAAGATTGGCGAGACTCTCGACACCGATCGGTCTCTGCGCCTGCGAAGAAGGTTACTATGGCACCGCCACCTATCGATACGTCGCGGATCTCAAATCAACAGCCACATGTCAAGACGCCATATCCTTTCCGTGTCATACACCGCAAAGAGTTTGGCCGTCAGTTCTCGGCTTCTGCACCTGCGCTACGCAGCCCGCATGTGCATGACAGCGTAATGACTCTCAGCATTCGTCGCAGCAATCCCAATAGTCGATTCCGGCTTTCTACTCTCACGATCCCAGCCAATGGCGAGTTCAGCGCAGTCAAAAACCGGCGTCGCAGCTCCGACCGTGGTGGAAAGGAATACACACCACAGGACTTTGACGACGCAGAACTTTTCCGCCAATTACACCACCACTACCAGAAGCTCCTAGGTCCATGGCGCCACTTCTCTGCTCGAAGCCTGACTATGATTTGCGTAAGTGGCGATGCGAGCAAACAAGCAGACTCAGGCTATGGCTGGCTACTCACCCCACGCTCCNCTCGCACACTCGCCCACAAAGGCCTCAACGACACCTTCAGCGAAGAAAAACTCCTCCGCTTCTTTCACGACCCCAGTGCAGCGGGCAAAAGCAGATATGCATGGGTGAGCTGGGCACACAGATTAGCAGACGCACCTGCGATAACCACGCCTTTACCTCCTCCTTCTGCTTCACCAGTCATAATGCCGGATAGTGCACGCACACCTGCCACCACTTCGACGGTGAACAATCGCTTCTCGATGATCAGACGCGCGGAACAGCATGAAGGGCTTGAATTCGTGGTCTCGTGGTCTGTGCGAAGGATCCTTGTTGCTTTGAGTGTCGTTCTTGTGCTCAGTCTTGCGGCAACATTGCTTTGGGTTTTCTTAGGTAGAAATTCATACGATCCAGCAGGCCAAGCTGGGTATATGGGAGCTGGGAATAGGGTTATTGCGGGTGTTGTGATGGGGATTTGTGTTTTGTTGGTTGGGTGTTTTGGGGTGGGAGGGTGGATTGGGGTTAGTTGGTTGGTGTTGTAAAAGGATCAGTGATGGGTTGTTTGGTTTTGGTTGTTGTTCTTGTCATGCACCTTCAGCATGTTTCGTATTGTCTGTTACCTTCTTAATACTGTCGTCTGTTGTGTGAAGCATTGGTCATTAAATCGGAACGAGTTTCACCCTACAGCAAACTTTCTCATATCCTATGTGCACAACTTGCTCGGAGACACTCGCTAGGAAAGAATCATCATTTGTGATGTTTGAAGAAAGATGTTCCTACAGTCCTGCCCTCCTCGAATAGTGAGATAAATTGACAGCACGCGAACATGACGCGCCACAAACACGTCCCCCACATCCGAAGAAGGCACTTTGGAACCACACACCTTTGTGACTACCACAAACCACACAATTTTAGATCAATCTATCCACCCACCACTAGAACAACCAATCGACATATCAACCGCCAAACAATCTAGCCATTGGAAACTCACCCATCCAACAACCTCACTCCGCACCTCGACTCAATACAATAACACAAAATCATGGATATCGACGACATCCTCGCCTCTGTATCCTCAAGCGATCGCATACCACAGCGGACTTCAGATCTACAAGCACTCACCAGAGCTTGGGTGGCTGAGAGGTGTGCGCCAGAGTTATTGCCGTATCCAGAAGAGCTTATTGACAGGGTTATGGAGAGGATAAAAGTGCAGGTGAGCAGCAAGATTTGTTTTTTTTTGTTTCTTTTGTTTGTGTGTTTGCTTGAGTTTTTTTTTTTTGCAAAAGAAAAGGGGAGGATTAAAGGAGATTTGCAAAGCTTTATGAAGAGTTGGGTGAGCGGAAGGCGTAAACGGAGATCTGGAAAGAGCTGGGTAAGAAAAAGAGAAGGAAAAAGATGCAATAGGGGAGCGAAGAAGAGAAAGCAGAAGCTTGCCCGAGTCAAAGGGATACTATCGCCAAAAACCACAGCAAAGCCCACTCCGAAACCACAATCTTTGAAAGCAAAGTGACTAACCGGACTTCTTCTCAAAAAGTAGATCGAGACCGTAGAAGACATGACAGGAACAATGGATCCATCAGCAAACTTCAACCTCATCATCACACAAACAGAACTCGAAAGATTCAAATTCCTGATTCGCTCCTTCCTACGAGCGAGGATAGCAAAGGTATCTTCTTCCTGCTCCTCTCCCTCCAATTCGCATCCACTAACCCCAAAAACAGCTCGACAAATACCCTCATCATCACCTTCCCTCCTCCAATCTCTCAGCCACGGAATCACAGTACTTGACCCACCGCATATCTCTCCTATCCCATCATTTCAACACCTCGTTTCTCTCTTCGTTTCCCGCACAGTTGCAAAAGCTAGATGATACAGCAGGAGGTATCTCTATGGTGGATGCGCCGGATGCAGATGCAGCTGTTTTTGTGAGGGTGCTGAGAGATGCGGGACACGTGGAGGTACAAGGAGAGCAAGGCGTAGGTGTTGTAGAGTTGAGAAGAGGAGATGTTTGGTGTGTGAGGTGGAGTGCGGTCAAAGAGGCTGTACTGAGGGGAGATGTCGAGATGGTATGAGAGATGAGCACAAAGTTGTAAAAGCAGAGAAACACCAAGAAGCCAGGAGACAAGATACCAGAAGTATTCCTCGTCTTCGACACGCAAAGCAAAGCAAAAGTCCCAATCGATCACACAACCCAAGCAAAAAGTACAACGCGTTAGCCTAATATACCCAGCTTGCGTATAGCACCGGCTATTGCGCTCACCATACAAATCGAGTGTGTTGTTCAGTCTGAGAGGTTGGGGGCAAGAGGGTTTTGCGGAGTGTTGAGTCGACTTCAGAAGCTGAGAGGATCTCTTATTGTTGTTTGCGCTTTCCGCATTCACTATTTCCGGTTTTTGCAGCATCTTGACCTCTTTGGTTGAGAGTGAGTCGGTTCAGTATTGAAGGAAGGTGCTTCTCTCACTAATTTTCCATCTCCACGACCAAAGCCACTCCTTGGAGGCTTGCGCTTTTGCAAATCTTTTCATTAAAACACAGTCCGCGCAGTTGAAACGCTTGCCAGCAACACCACCAGAAGTCAACGCTACAAAGACTTCGAATCGACCTCTTTTTCCGCGCAGACCTGTCAGTCCTCCTGTACATTATCTCCTTCATCTAGTTAAGCACACTCACTGGTTGAACACGATTCTGAGAAAGAGGCAGTCACATATCGAACAATGCATCCTCAGCTTCAGCGACTGATAGATAGGATCAACGACCTCGAGAACAAGAACGACAAGCTCGAGGAGGAAAAGAGAGACCTCAGCGCCAAATTCGAGGAGTTGACCAACTCTCTTCACAACGCCGAACATCTTGTCAGCGACTTGAAGGCCGAGAAGGCGGCAAGTGGACTCAAGGTCTTGAAACTGGAAAAAGAATCGCTCAGATGAAAGGATCCAAGAAGATTCAGGAGGAGATTCTTGCGCTCAAGGCCAAACGTGCCAAAGCTGAAGAGGAACTTCTCCTGCTCAGAGCTGAGGCTGAGAAGGAACTGGAGAAGCGTGAGCGGGAACTCAAGATGAGCGAGGAGCCTGTTGAAGAGAATGACGAAGAGGTCGTCTGCATGGGATCGCGTGTTTGATCTTCCTGCTTACAAGCACCGATCACCTGGGAACGCAATGGAGACGAGAAAGATACGAAAGCAGAAGATCTCACCTGTCAAACGGAACAGCGCCGCATCGCAGAGGTTCACGTTTTGATCACTATGTACTACGCGTCTCTCTCAGGAAATGACAAACGAATCTTGTAACTGTCCATGAAGAGCTTCACTGCTGAAGCAGCAACACCAATAGATGTTGACAATGAAAACGTGATTCGGCTGTGCAAAAGAAGAACTGTGTCATTGGTATCATAGTTTGCTAAGTCTGCAGAAAGGGCAAAGGAAATGACCAAGGAAACGTCGGATGATTTCGAGGTAATGATGATGCTTAGTGGGCCTTCAGCCATTCGAGAACGACTTCGAAGGCTTGCTTCTGGGCTTGCTTGATGGCTTCGTCTTGGTACTCGCCCACGACGGCAAAGCCNTGCGATACACTGTCAGCTAACGACTTCTCCGATTGGGACATAATTGACTTGCCATGGGGTACACCAGGATAGGTCCATTCCTTAACCTCGACACTCTTCTCTTTCAAGCTCCTGACGCCGGCCTCGCGCACCTCATCGCTGAACAGAGGGTCCTCGTCTACGGTCAACAAACCAATAGGACTCTTGACACCAGTAAAGTCTTCGCGCTCGATGGTTGCGCCATGGAGGATAACAGCCGCCTTGACAGCCGGACTTTTTCTGATCATGCCTTCCTCAACCTTACCAGCTGCCTCTTCACTGACCTCCTTCTGACCCTCGAGCACATCAGCACCCAACTCGCTGGCTAGCAAGAGTGCAAATCTGCCACCCACACTGACGCCGACACAGTATACGCCACCGCCTGCCTGTACCGCATCTGCAAACTCATCTTTCACGGCGGCCAACACCTTGTTCAACCTTGGCAAGACTGAGCTTGGCGTATGTCTTGCCAACCACATATCCAATCTGAAGCTCTTTGCTACTTCTGCAGCTCTGAGTTTCAACTGCTCGAGAAAGCTGGTCTTGTCGTCGCCAGCAGAAAAGACAGAGTTGGGTGCTGGATCATTGTTGAACTGGTCGGGCATAATGACGAGATATCCTTGCTCTGCGTAGGCATCGGCTTGGAGTTTGTTGGCTGGCGCATGGATACCGGTGCCACCCGTCAAGAAGAGCAGAAGCTTGCAGGGGGCGTGTGGGTAGTCGGCAGGTTTGGTAATGTAGCATTCGACATCGTTGAATTTGGTGATTTCGCCCGTGGGGGTTTGGGAGGTGGATGTTGGTTCTGTGTGTGGCTACCGGTCAACATAGAGGTGCGATATAGATGAGGACGTATAACTCACGTCCTCCTTCGTGGACTTGAGCTTCTTGGTTCTTTGTCATGTTGTTAGCTCGGGTGCGCGATGACGGTGAGAGAGAGGCTCACTCCTAGACTTGGGNCCTTGGTCAACGGCCGAGTCGCCGGGGATGGCACTCTGCTCGGCCAAATCGCTCTCGGGAGTTCTGGTTGCTAGTTCGTCGTCTGCCATGTTTTTGGTTGATGTAATGTGTGTGAGATGTGTTTGGTCGGCAGCGACTGGGAGGGACATGTTTACCCCACAACCCGCTGACGTCGCAGGGTCTCTGCACAACTATGCACTTTTGTGCAACTTCGTATGCATCTTGGACCTTTTTGTCAACGCGCTTTCTTGTACTTCGACAGCACAAACAACTGTTCTAGGAGTTGTCTCTGTAAACTAGACAATGCTCCTTCTGTCTAAAAGACCATGCTAGACCAGCTTCCAACGCCTCTCGTGGCGGAAAGTCTGGCCAGCGTTGCTTGGAACTAAACCCCAATGATATTCTACTTACGGCCATAGTCTGCTGAAACCTGTTCATTGGCGCCGGATGCCGCATCGTTGACGACGGGAATCTTGGTCAATCCGTCAATGTTCCGATATCTAGGATCCTGGACTGTGGTCGCAAGAGGAGAGCGCGGCTGAGTTGCTATGCCGCTGGCTCAGCTCACCCCGCCTGTTTTCCGAAGTCATTCACCGGAGGCAGATATGGCGTTTCAACCCGCAGATACTTGACATACAGATACCAGCGACAGCCAATCGTGCCTCGCGCCACCAATTCCGCAGGCTCGAGAGATCCAGATATCTTCAATTGTTCTCAGCTCAGAGCTGAGCCGCGTGTAGCATTAAGGTTGTGGCGCTCACCATGTCACATGATGCCTACCATTGCTCTACTCTTTCCCTCATTCCTCCTCCTTTTTCTTCAATCAGATCAAGGTCTGTCCTGTTTCTTCATTACTTGCCGATTGACTGATCTGCTCGAAGCCGGGAATCTCAGAACGCTCTGGATTTGCGGCAAGTTCGCAACTAGTCGTGGCATTGTCTGCATCAATCGAACCCCTTGAGAGGAATGCCACGTGCCCATATATCAGAGCCTGCAGAGGCTAGAAAGGCGAAGCGTGGGAAGTACGCGAAGCTCCAAGATATCCAGTACCTCGCCGCCGTGATCAGAGACCAGGAGCTGGATCTTCAGAGTCCGTCGAGTCGACCGACATTCTGGTTCAACGGGAAGGTGTATCACTACAGCGAAGTGGCGCGACGCATCCGAAGAGCAAAGAAATCGGGCAGACTTCCAACTCAGGAGTCCAGGCACTCGCTCGCACAGCCGGAATGCCTTCAAGTGGTTCCCNCGTCGATGTACGAAGCGCAATGGACCATTCCTATCCGATCTGCTGACTATGCGGCGGATGATTGGCATGGATTCTCATATTCGGCCTCGTCAGAAGATTATACAGTCTGGGTTGATCCCATGGAAAACGTATCTCAGGCGTGCCACCAACAGTTGGTGTCCTTGGATAATGGCGTGAGAATCCAGTTCCCGCCGCCTTGTCCTGACGAGCTGCTCGTACCCACAAGATTCTGCGCCAGCATCATTCGGTACTTTCAGGGCGCCAACGAGAACGGTCTATTTGTCATCAATGATGCTGGGGAGCTGGTGAATCGCACTTCGGTAGGCAGTTACGCCAACATAAGTAACTTCCACAAATGCGCCGTCATGGCTATTGACCTGCTGGAACGGGGCTATGCCAACCGAGGTTTCGTGTTGGTCTCCCAGGCTTTGGTGCTCGTCGAACAGATTCTGAAGGATCAAGATCCGAAGCTCCTCGATGTTCTCTGCGACGTGTCTATACTCCTTCTGAGCAAAGGTATGGGATCGCTGTACGAAATATTGAAGGACAAGATCTGCGGGATGGTCAAGATCATCGCGGCCAAACGGTGCGGAGAACACCAACCATGGGCACAAATATTCGCGTATATAGACCAGATGCCCAGATCGCAGGTGGTGGACAATATGCAGAGAGGCTGGATCTGTGGATTCGACCAACTCGAGAGCGCACTCCAGGAGCAACCATGGGAAGGACTGAACATATCCTGTTCAGTTGATCACTCGTTGCGAATGGGCCAGAATGCGCAGCGTCTTTGGGATGTCTTGGTCGACAGGACAGCCCGACTCTCGGTCAGCGAGCCCGAGAAGATGCGGCAGCGACTCGCGTATGCTAAAGTTCTCTACTTGCAATGCGACTATAGCAAAGCTTTGGAGACACTGCAACTCATTCTCTCGCAGTGTCGAAGAGCAAGACAACATGACGACCTGAGATGGATTGCAATCGAGATTGACGCCCTCGAGGTTTCAGCGCGCTGCCATTTTGCTCGCAGCAAATCGACTTTGGGCCACGATGATGCCTCTACTGCCGAAGTGTTGCTCGAAACAGCCGTTGGAAGGAGTACTAGAACAGAAGGAATAAAGTCTCCCACAACGATAGCGCTGCAACACACTTTATGGCTCTGGCTGATGGAACAAGGTCGAGCTGATGAAGCCGCGTTGTTGAGAAAGTCCATGGACGATGTCGTGGGAGAGTCTTTGTCCCCAGATGTATGAGCAATATGAACCCTCTCCAATACGCTTGCGGGTACGTCTAGGTCGGAGCAGTATCCGAAGGGTGTTCTGGTTGCGTGAGGTGAGCCAATCTCAACGAATCCGAATCATCATCATCTCATGACGAGGCCTTCATTTTCCTAGCCAACAGTCAGCTTGAGGAGAGCAGCTATAGATTGGTGATATCTCGAGCTCCTCATTCAAGTGGTATTGATGGACTTTAATCATGAATGCGGAGCAGCCATCATTCTACCACCAAATGGAGCATTTGTATGGAGCTGGAAGTCATTGTCAAGCACTCGAAGAGAAATGAGATGGAGTGCGTCAATCTTATATTAACAGCTATCCGAGGGGTGTGCGTACATGGAAAAACTTCTCGGTCAGACAGAAACAGAAACAGAGACAGGTCCTCGCGACAATAGGATCAGACAAAGTGCAAGATTGAAAAGAAGATCTGCGTGTGGAGCCATGGTATCGTTACTGCATCACTCTAAATCGAAAGTATTAGTTGCTGTCCTAGCAGATTAGATTGGGCAGGATGCTGGACATACAGTATCGTAGTGGCCCTTCTATGCCTCCTTGGTCATTTTCTGTGCTCCGAGATCAACAGTTTCCACTATGGCTTCCTTGATGGCGAAAGATGCGGCGTTGACTCCAACTTGATATCCAGTGGAAAAGGCGTACACATCGGTGGTTGTGCAATTTGCAGCAGATTCAAAGACATGAGTGCCGAGCACCGAATCAGCTTGTTCGCGTGCACCCTCAGTAATACCGTGTACAGCAGCACTGGGCTCCGAAATGATATGATGCACAGCAGCAGAGCTGATCTCATGAGTCGGCAAATGACTAGACGCCGCAATGGCAATCGAAGAGCCACACCCAATGCCCGCCGTAACAACACCGATAGCCATAGGGATGAAAAAGTCTCGCTTCCTCTCCTTGTAGAGGTCCAGTTCACGGCTTTTGAGCTCTTCTTGCACGATGACGAGTTTTTGCTCTGCTATCGACATTTTTCGTAGTCCGTATGCCGAGCCCACGAGACTGAGGCCGGCGGTGAAAAAGGCAACGCCCACGCCGGCGCCGATGGACCAGGAGCTGGAATAGATCTGGCGGGTCTTGCAGATCTCGCGTTTGCGTAGTTCGGCGTGGTCCATCTTGCGGACTTTGGCTATGTATGCGGCCGCGTCGAAACTCACAATGTCGTCGAGACCCATGGTGGTTTTGTTCTGATTTGGATGCTGACAGACAGGTTCTTGATGGACAGCAGCAGAAGAAGAAGAAGGCTTGCGAGGATTGGAAAGGAAAGAAGGTTGTTGCAATGTTTGATACTGGATCCCAAGGAACAAGCTGATCCGTTGCCATTTCTTGTTGGGTCGGCGGGTCTTTATATAGTTGGTCAGACCCTCTGCATCAGTATACACGGGCCACCAGACAGAACGTAACGCGCCATGTTGAACGATTCCGGAGGCCTATTTCACAGCTCCAGGTCAAGAGCGATGAGAAACTTGAATGTATGCATACCACTAGCCAAATGTCGAAGCCACAGACCAAAGCCGCATGCTAGCCAAAGTCGCGGCGTTTGTGGCTGTATGTAACTCACACAGGTCGTCGTCTACAAGAGGACGTCGTCCCAGGAGCGACGAGTCGTGTTGTAGTGTCAAGATTGCGGCGCAAATGCAGCACCTCCGTTATCTGAGGACATAGCAGTCGACAAAAGTTAAATCATGCATGATCTGAAATGGACAAGTCGCGCAGCACGACGTGAAGTTTGGCGCTTGACGTGGTAGAATAAGGTTGGCGACACACTGCTCCCCTCAGAGCGCTAGCCAAATGTACTGCATTCGTCCCCAGAAGACGTCGAAGACCGTTTGAACGCTAGCCAACTTCGTGGCGCACATTGGAGTCTTGACAATACCAGCCACAATCGACGCTAGCCAATGCAATTCCGTCCGCTCGGCCAGACATAAGCAAAAATGGCAAGGGCTAGGAGTAACTCGAGTACATTCGACTTGCTCTACTTAGCAGCCGCCTTGATCTTCTTGAAATTGTCCACCCATTCCTGTGCTCTATTCTTTGGCACCACATTGATCCTAAGCAAAGAATCCACAATCTCCACTTTGCCGGTATTCAAGATTCTGAGCAGGGCCATCTTCTTTCCTGCTTTTACCAAACCTCCGGTCTTGGTCTCGATGTAGCATTCTACATTTTCGGGTAGGTATTGCTCGTCTTCGTCCCAAGGTAATGGGAAGATGTACTCGAGATGTTGGCCTACTGATTCGTCTTCGGCGAAGGACTTGATAAAGTCTGTTTGGTTGTGGAGGGGGTAGAGGAGTAGACAGGGGAAGCTCAGAGTTGAGGCTGCGTCTGTGGGGTCCTCGAGATGTACGGCGGCGTCTTCGAGTTGAGGTGGTGCTGTTGTTGTTGAGCGGGTTGCAATGTTACGGCCCTTCAATGCCAGAGCCAATGTTTCCTTTTCTCTGCGTGCCTTTTCTTCTCTTTCGCGTTGTTCGCGTTCCGTGCGTTCGATCTGGGCTCTGCGTTTTGCGATCTTGTCTTGGAGGATGAGGAGCGATTTGTTGGTAGGATCGATTTTGAGGCCTAGGTCGCAAGACCAGCTTGCTGCGGGCAGCTTGTCGAGGTGGAAGTTGGCCATACCGCTGCGGTAGTATGCTTTTACGTTCAAAGGGTTGAGTTTGAGGGCAGCGGCGCAGTCGCGGTTGCAAGAGCCGTAGTTCTTGAGTTCGAGATTGCAGAGGGCGCGGTTGACCAGAGATGCTTCCTCGTGTTCCTTTTCCTTGCGGGCTTCCTCCTCTTCATCGAGCTCTACCAAGTCGTGCTCGACGTCTTCGTCGCCTTCAACTGCGTCTGCGCGCTTTTGAGGCAGTTTGAGAGCACCCAAGGCGCGGTCGTAGAATTCACGGGCATCCTTCCAGCGCTTGAGACGAGCATTTTCGTTTCCTTGTTCGCGGAACGAGGCGGCATTTTCGGCGCGGGTGCCTTCGTAGGCGAGGGCTTTGATGGCTTCCAAAGCTACGTTTTCACCGCCATCTTCGCCCGTCTCGTCCAGTTCGGTCATGAAGAGCGGGGACTTGTTCAGCATCTGCCACATCTCGTCTGCGGTGTACTGTCTTGCTGTTGCCATGGCGGGAGGCATCTCTGCGCCGGGCTGGGATGGATCCCCCTCGGTTGGTGCATCTTTCTTGGCTGGGAAGTGTTTGGCAGCGGCTTCCATCATCATGTCGAAGGAGAGGCCGCTGTCGCCAGCTGCTGGCGGTGGTGTGGGTCCATGTGTCTCTGGGGGTGCCTTGTTCAGGTCGATCTTGTCGTCAAAGTCGTCGGGCAGCTCCTGAATCCGGGACGCCATGTTGGGCCTTGTGCTGAGCTATCCTTCTCTTTCTCTTCGAGTTTCTGCGCTCGTTCTCGTCGGTGGTACGTCGAAGCAGAAATTCCGAATTTCGGTATGCCGTTCGTTGGAGATCGGTAATTGAATAGGGCTCTTCCGTCGAGTTAGGGTTGTGCGATCGGAAATGTCAAGGCAATGTCAGGCCTGACGATTGACCAGTTCAAAAAAATTGACGTTTCGAGGTGGGGCTCGGGAGTCGGGACACCTCCTCCCGAGCAAGTCAGGGTTGTCCCCTCATCAGTAATTTGTATCAATAAAATCACCTTTAGTCTTTCCTACGACTTGACATGTATATGTTCTGGATACTGGGTGATCTATGAGATGAGGAGTTTGGTTCTGTATATTTCTGATCATACGAGGAGCCCTGCAATTTGAGTTTTGTTGTGTATCGAAATCTTCCGTGCTTGCCAAATTCTGTGGCCATGAACAGCACAAGACTTGTAGGGAACAAACCTATATCACAAGCACTTTGTGTCTTGACAAAATTCTGTAGCTACGTTTTTGTGATGTGATTGAATACCATGATAGCTTACAATCTTGTCGTGCGTGATTGCGAGAGAGGAAAAGAGAGGTCGTAGGTCTGGACGGCTGTTGTTGATGCTCGCTTTGCTCGGACCTGGCGCTTCACTGCCGTGCGGCGCTCATCTGGCCAACCCGTGTGGCTTTCATTAGAGCCTAGGGGATCCTTGTATAGAGGGAGCACACATGAATTTGCGATTGGACATGGTCGTGTCGAGAGGCACAGCAGTGTCAGTCGGTCACGTAGGACAAGCAATCGCGGTATCTATTGGTTCATAAGCATTAAAGTGATCGGCAGAAGCACAAGCCTGTTCACACCCTGTCACGGACGCTCGAGCGCTTGCCAAGGACAAATTTGTAGAACGAGTCAATATTTTTGCTTTGTCTGCCGGCTTCGGTGCTGAAATTGGCAGTGTCGTGTCAAAAGAAGAACCACTGATCCATCATAAGCAGACGTTGGAGATTCTGGTGTGGTGAAACAGAAGCTCGTTCGAGCAGAGCAAAACGGGGCGGTTACAGGGCCGATCTTGTCAGTCCCTTGCATGGAGAAACGGCGCGCTTGCGTCTGCAGACGACCCGTGCAGATACTCGGCACTTTGCCTGCTATCACTTTCCACAGCTTCGGGTTCGCACCTTCAACGCCCTCTATCACAGCAGATGCACGAGCTTGTCCAATCCGCGGCCACAAGTCGACAATGGCTGCTGAGCTTCACAGATGGCAGCAGAGCGGGGAGGTACGCCTCTCTGCTTGGATAGATTGAGGCAATCACATCCAGGTGATGGTCTGTTCGTTCCTTCCTAGGTCCATCTTTCAGCCTTTCCTCCTGATCGGCGTTCCCGGTCAATCTCTATTCATGTCCAATTCGCTATAGATTGAAACACCCGCCGTCTACTCGACCGGCGCCGTCATTGCTGTCTCTCTTCTCATTCTCTGCTCTCTCCTTTCTGATACCACTCCCCTCGAGGCTTTGCCCATCCTCGTGTGAAGCTTGCCCTCACACGACACATCTGACGGGCATCAAGTCATGACTTGGTAGATTGTATATCAGGTAGAAAGAGTGAACCTCTGCCTGCTATTCATCTCGTCGCGTCGCCATCATGTCAACAGACTACTTCCAGTACGGTGCCCTTGCATCACCCGCACGAACACCCGAACACACTCCGCCAGATCTTGCAGCATCGAAACCCTCCTCCTCACGTGGACGTGCGAGATATCGTGACTTCTCCACTAAATCGGCCCCGCTGCCTTCGTTCGATGCATCCGACAGTCGGGATGCCAATGCTCTTGCATTCGACGCAAACCGTTTCACGCCAACGCTGCACGCCTCTTTAGTCTCAGAGATCCTCTCGTTGCGACGAGAGCTCGACTCAAAACATCAATTCATCGACACGCTCGAAGAAAGTCTCAAGACTACAAACACCGAGAATGAGAATCTTTCCACCCAACTCCGCGAAAGTACAAAAAATGCCAGACAGGTGGAACAAAAGTTCAAGCTTCTCGAGAACGGAACCTTCGATGCAGTCGAGGGCTTACTCGCTGAGCGAGACAATGTCAAGCTTGCAAATCAAGAGCTACGGAACAAGTTGGATGCAGCGAACAAGAGGATGAAGGTCTTGGAAGAAGAGAATACTCGGTCGAGAGAGGCATGGGACAAGGAGAAACTTTCATGGAAGAACGAAAAGCGACAACTGGAGCAAAAGGTTCACATCTCCGAGACGCGCTTACGGTCGGTGGTAGAAGAAGTTCGGGCCCACCATCTTGCTTCTCAATCTCAGCAGAAGCCTGATAATGCATCGGGCGACAGCGATGTTGCCAGTGTGCACTCTTTCCGGCGCGCAGGGCACGCCAGAAATCAAAGTAGCATGAGCGTCCGGAGCCTCGCACCAACCATCGGCAGCATCCGCAGGCCAGCCATGACTTCTTTGGCCAACGAACTCAACTCAGATGACGAGGCATACGAAACTGAAGACCTGGAAGGAGACGATGAGGATCTTCCCTTATTTGCTCAGAACCGTTCTAGTATCAACTCTAGAACTTCGGCCATTTCGGATCGCAAAGCAAAGAAGATTCTTGGCTTGACACTCAAGAACGAATCGGATACCTTGACTGAAGGGGAAGCAGTGCGAGGACCCTCAATCGATTCTCTGAGGACCCCGTCTTTCGCGGAACGCTTCAATATGCAAATGGCAAAGATGACTTTCTCGCGCTCTGCTAGTCCTGCAAGACAGAAAGATGAAACGGCCGGCGAAGCATCAAAGACTCTGACAGTCAATCAGAATGGGGAAGTCGAATCTGCCATGGTACCCATCGAGCTGAAACCGACAGAACAAGGCCCCCAGCCTAGACGACTAGATTTGTTGACATCAGATCGCATGGGCGAGGCTCCTATAAGTCCTCCAGATACACCACACTATATTATCAAGGGAGGTACTCTGAAGGAGGTTTCCGCGAAGCAGGTCTATCAATCAGCTTCGACACAAACCGAATTCGCTGTTTCTGGCGATCTGGCATCCAGAAGAAACGTTGCTATGGCTGCAGTACAAGTTCTTCCTATTCCAGCCATCACAGTCCAACCTCCGATGTCACCTAGATTTGGTCAAAGCGTTCTTCCTCCTGGTATGCGCAGTAGCTTTGCGCAAACCGAGAAAAGCTCCTCCTNNACGCCAATGCTAGATGCCGGAGTGCAAACCGAAGAAATCAGGGTCGACCGGAGACCGGTCAAGCTACCACCTCATCTATTGCCAAGCGCCCTGGACACGACTGGTCCAACTGCGGGTCACGAAGTCCAGAAACCCATAAAACAACGTGTGGGCATGCATCGAAGCACCTTTAGCAAGGATGGTAATCGTTTGCCTCTGAAGCCCATCGAACTTCCGCCGCCAAGACTTCGCTCAATACCTAACGAGAAACATCAGCACCAGCAATCAGAGCCCAACTCGTTGCAAGGCACGCCACCACAGTGGTATACAGATACGGATGTCAGTGATCGATTGGCCGAGTCCAGTGATGATATGAGAGCTATCTTTGGAAACATGCCTGGTATTGTCCGTCCGAGTGTACGTACACTGTTCAACGGTCCTCCAAAGACTGTACCAGAGAATCGAGCGGTTTCGCCTGCCAACTTTGTTGCCAACCCAGAGAGACCATCTGCTTTCGCTCATGGCAAGAGAGTGGGGTCTGACGGCAGCTCAAATCAGAGTCGTCCACCTAGCTCGAGGGGAACAGCTCATTCTGGAAGGGCAGGTCCTTTCTTCAGCTCACATGAGCGCAACTCAAGCAGACCTAATACTGCCAGCAGTTATGGTGCAGTGCCGCCCCCACCTTTCCCAATTCCAGGCCGTATGAGCTCAAGGCCTCCTAGCAATGAAGGCCCTCGAAGCCCAATCGCACGTGAAGCACATTCAATGCGATCGCGTCGGTCAAGCAAGGATTCTCGAATTGGTTCCGACGGTGGCCTTGGAAAGGTGCAATCGTCTGGAACCATGAGAACAAACGCTCATATGTCTCCAAGACGGAGGAGAAGAGCACTGAACCTTGAACCTATCAAGTCAATGGCATTTGACCAATCGAGAGACAACTTGCTCCTTCCTGGCATAGTCACTCCAACACACGAAAACTTTGGCGTGCCGAACGGTCAATACATCGTGGACTCTCCAGACTTCGACCAGGATAGTGCAGTGGAAGAAGAGGAAGAGCAGAGTCAAGACAATGTCATTGTTGATGCCATAGCAGCCACCATGGTAGGCGAGTGGATGTGGAAGTACGTCCGAAGACGTCGCTCTTTCACCATCGGCGAGTCCCGGGCAGAGCAGACAGATGAAGGGGCCACCAGCGGCGTACGACACAAGCGCTGGGTATGGCTGTCGCCGTACGAGCAAACTGTCATGTGGAGTTCCAAGCAACCAAATTCAGGTCCGGCCCTACTTGGAAAAGCTGGACGTAAACGTAAGTGATATGCCATTGATATCTGTCCTCGTTACTAACACCCACTAGTGGTGATTAAGTCAGTGCTTGATGTCAAAGACATGACGCCGCTTCACAAGAGCGCTTTACACGAACCTATCTTCGACAGGTCAATACTCATCCTGACACCAGAGCGAGCCCTCAAGCTCACTGCGCCGAACAAAGAGAGACACTATCTCTGGCTGACAGCTTTGTCTTTCCTTGCACAATCGGGCCGTGGTCCTCCTCAGGTGCCCCGTCTATCACCCGAACCCGAGCCTGTACCTCGCAATGCACAACGTCGACGATCGTCACTATTGGCAGGACCACTTCTGCCAACGAAGACGGCCATCGTACCAGCGCCAGCACACAGTCACGTCAAAGGACATCAGCGTCTGGATACGGCTGATTCCACTGCTCCTCCCAATATCTCTAGGCTCGGTGGAGGGNGTCGCCACCAGCGCAAGCGAAGTAGCACAAACCCTCAGCTCCCAGCTGCGACACCGTCCAGCGAGGCTTCCATGACGGCATCCTCGGTTTTTGCTCGTAGAGCGTCAAATACCGCTACCTACCAAACTTCTGCCAGCGGCCCAACTCGTCCCAATCTCAGACCAGGCGATCGGGATGGCTCAGATCACTCAACAAGGACAGTACGCATGGATGCTTGTATCGGCCGACAGCATCCTGAAGACCACACGTCTTATGGCAGACGCATGGGCGAAAACACTACACTGGACATGTTTGGCGAAGGCCTGGAAGTCGACCCATTCGAGGAATTCTAGAGGAGTCCCAAGCCACAATGGTCGTGGTTGTAGTGGTTGAGTAGGAACAAAAGTAGTTAATGTATATTACTATACCCTTAATCGATAGTTTCTTATTGATCCAGAGATTGAAATGTAGAGGCTCTTTCCTTTGTGGTGAGGATCTTTCGGGATCGCGTTTTTGGTGGGGGATCTTGCATAGAGTGCAGAAACGCGACGCCGAAATATAAGAGAGAGAAAAAATTTCTTATCTTTGCAAAGTGCCGAGTACCTAGAAAAAGAGAATGCGATGCGGGAAGATTGTACGGTACCTCAGTACGTGCATGTATTCGATAGAGAATGCATGTGGTCAGCAAATAATTCGGCGCGCGCTGTCAGCATCTTATATTGTTAGATGCGTTTCTTCTGACAGCGAATTCTCTTATCTTTTCCGTAGTTCCCTATAGGAGAGAATTGGGTAAGTGCTGATGCTTTTTATTCGGATAGTGCTTATCCTGCTTTTTGTAGCAAAGACTTCCGAGAGACTGCACGTTGGTGAACGGTATCCCAGGGGTCGACTCCAATCCTTGAATTTTTCGAGTAGAGCAATGCTTGTCTGTATTTCGTGAGTGTAGTTGGAGGGCCAAGTGCGTTTAGAGGAGAGATGGGTGCTGGTCTGCTGTTTTGCTTCTTTGATGGAGACCCGAAGGCCAAGACCCCGAAGGTCGTTCTGGCTCTCAGGCGGTGTCGAGCTATTCCTCTTGGTATGATGCGTTCTTTGACCTTGATGAGGTGTTTCCCAGAGCCGCGGATGGTAGAAGGTTGTAGATGATACTTTTGGAGGTGCGTGCAGGATGCAGGCACGTTGGAAGTATTCGGCATCTAGCCGTGACCTTTCCTGCTGCCCGGGGCCACGTACCTTTTGCTGTGTGGACAGTGGACACGGTACCTGTCGAACCGAAGTCTTTGGTCCAGACACTTCGCTGGATGTTGTTGGTGGGTCTCGCTCGCCTACATAACATGAAGCTTTGAGGCTAGAAAGAAGAAGATCTTCTTGCGAGTATGTCGTGACGAGCTCTTTCCCTCTTTTCGCAGACGGATGAGAATGGATGAGAAAGACGTATATGAATGTTGAGAGGCAGAAGTTGCAGAGAAAGTAGAGATCTGAGTTCGCTTACATGTAGATAGTCATATCTCTCATACAGCTGTTTCGAAAACCGACGTTGAGGATGCGATTTTGCGCAAGAATTTGATGATCATACGCACCGAGCATCACTGGAAGCAAGCGACATCAAAGCAGCGAAACAACCAGAGTCAAGGATTGAAAGAAGAACATCTTGTTGAAAGATAGTCGACAGGGATAGGACACTTGCCTCCAATAAGACGTACCTTTAGGGTTGATTCGAGCTCGGCAAAAGATGATGAGGTTCTGGAGTCTTTTGCGACAAACGCTCACCATGCATGTTTGATCGGCCATCCTGTTCCTCCCGCCATCCACCACGGCTGTTTTGTGACCTTGTGGTGGCTTGCGCATGGGTTCATGTTGAGAGGTTGTTCTGAAACGCAAAGAGCCGCTTCGTCAAGAACGACAAGGTGGATGCTTTTCTGGCAGCAGGAACGACGTTGCAAGACATGCACGATGAGCATATGACTCTTGGAGATTCGCAATCGATGGCTAATTCGTAGTGATGTTCGAAGGGATGATGATGATGTGATGAGAAACATGATGTGTAGAAGAGCAAACAAGGTTGTTCAGAAGAGAGGCTGGCTCGGAAGTGGCTGAAGAGCAAAAATGGCCAGGGCATGAGGCTCCACTCGAGGCAGGTCCCCACACCTTGATCCCCAGGGGCAAGTTCCTCAACACAAACAACCTCGCAAAAGCACGACAGGCCGTCTTTTCTGTCACGGAACACCGAGATCGTAGCGAACATGTCGACTAGTCGGCAATTTTCGACATCATGTCGCCAGCCCCATCTGGCTTGCTGTCTGCCATCGCTCTGCTGTGATCGATTAGCAATCAAGCGCTGGCTGGTGAACGCGTAACACAACTCGGAGCATGGGGCCGCGGTCAACCCCTGCGTATCTTACTTCTGATGGGTGAGCAGTGTCTGTCATTGATAGCAAACGGTCAGTGGTGGTATCACGCATGACGACGGACATTCGGACATTCCGCAAAGCATTGGTGAGTCGATCAGGCAGATGCAAGGTTGAGTGGCTCAACGGGACCTGACCTGGCCTCTGCTTTTAGCAACTACCCTATCTGCTTCCGACTTTGCGCACTTCGCCTCACACACACACAAACTCTGGCTCGGAAAGAGGGCTGGAGGGTTCTCTTTGGCTCGAGATGCAGGCAAGCGATCCACGGACATGGTGCATGTGAGGTCGTTAGCTATGTTTCGGGAACCCAGCAGGTGGCTGCTGGTGAGAAGATCCCTGTCCTTTTGCTGTAAGAGGTAGAAAGTCTTTTTGTTTTCGCTTCGTGGAATGCGGTGGGGTGGTAAAGATACATAAAGAGGTTTGTATGCTGTGTTCCCTGTGGGTTCCTTCCTCTTTGCATCCATCAACTCTTCTGTCACTCTCTATATCTCCTTTGGAAGCACAAAACAACATTCGCTGAACTTCACAACCATTTCATTTGATCTGTCAACCACCTACATCGAAAAGATACACCACAGCAAAAATGTTCGCAAGACTATCTCTCATCGTCTCGGCTCTTGCCTTCTTCCTTAACCTTGCCGCCGCTCTTCCTCACTTCGGCTGGCACCCTCGCCCTACAGGAGGCTTCCCTCATCCTACCGGCGGTTCCCCTCATCCTACCGGCGGTTTCCCTCATCCTACCGGCGGTTTCCCTCACCCAACCGGTGGCTTCCCAGGCTTCCCAATCCCCTCGGGCGGCTTCAACCCCTTCCCTACAGGCTTCCCCACCGGCTTCCCTACAGGCTGGGTGCCCGGTCAAGGCCCCGCACCCACCGACGCCATCGCAAAGCCCTTTGAGAAGAGATTCGAAGGTGCCCGTCACGGTCAAGACCACCACGATGGCTTCTGGTCGGGAAACTGGGGTGGCAACTGGGGCAACTGGGGTCCTAAGCCCACTGGCAGCCCTGTTGTTCCTACCGCCAGCGCACCTTTCCCCACTGGCGCTTGGGGCTCTACTGCTCCTGTTCCCGTGCCTACTGGCTACTAAGCGCTGATGGTTGCACGGAAGCAATGACGATACAATGATAGAGGATAGGAGGGTGTGTGCTGGCCATTCACTTCTTTGTACCCTTTCCTCATTCTTTTCTTTTTGTCATCATGGATGGGAGTTCTTACAAGGTCATATATGATTAGATTGGCGAAATGATATGCAAGTCCACAATAGAGGGTCTGAAAAGAAAGAAATTCCAAGAGCATGTTCAATATGTGTCTCTACCAACCGTCTCATGCGTCTCGATACAAGTACTGCTGTGTGTTTCATGTGTGTCGGCGGCTATTGTCTGTTGGTGCTCGCTACGTTTGGCTTTGATAAGAAGATGCATCAGAGACAAGGATCGACCTCTATCATGTGACGCCGCGTATGCTCTTTTAGGCTTGCTGCCTGATGAAACAGCTGATTTACGATGCATGACCAAGTCAGTTCACTTCGATGGTAGACTTCAGTAAAGCACATGGTCCATGAATCAGAAAATGTAAAGGCGCATTCGATACTATCTCAGTCGAATGGAAGTTTGATATGACCGAGTTGGGTATTCTCAGGTCCTGGTAAAAAGTAGAGAGTAACAGAAAAGAAAAAGAAACCCGCCAGGGCACAATCAAGTGCACGCTGCACGGGAAAGCAGAAAGAACTCCCAATTCCCCAATGTGATGAAAAGTCGCCATCTGGCGAACAGCTAGCCGCGTATACGCCATGTCCCCTTGATTCTCCCTAAAAGCTCGTGTTGATTCGTGGTGAAGAAAAGGTGTGGTTGCCTAGATTATGGCAGGTCGAGCGCACGCCGCGCTTGGGAGCCACAACCGGCGACTCGTTGAGACCTTGGGGCCGTTTGGACGAGACCAGGGTGGTTGTAGTCGAAAGGGTCGGGTCAGAGATGTCGCCATTGTTGACGGCTGGGACTCCCGCGTGGCGCTAATCGATACCATGCTGGCGTTTGAGCTTTTCTAAGTCGTCCTGGCGCTGCTGGAGATCTTGTGCTTGGCGAGCCATCTTCTCTGGCTGATGGTAGAGGACGACGAGGTAGCGGTTCTGGAAATTGAAGCCGTTCAGTTTGTCGCAGGCTTGTTTGGCGTCTACGACATCCTCGTAAACAACGAATGCGGTGCCCTTTGTGTTGTTGGCGATGCCCTGACGGATTTGNACTGATAACTCGTTAGCGCAATGTCGTGCGGATTCCTGAGTAAAGATCAATGCTCACCGGACGGGACCAAATTTGCCAAAGAGCTCAAAGAGGTCGTCGGGACTGACGTTGTAGTTGAGGTTCTTGACGAAAAGCGCGNNCTGTGGCACAGTTAGCTAGGTTGGTCTCGTGGGCAATGGCGTGCGAGCAAATGCCTACCGGTTCACTTCGGGAGCAAGTTTACCGCCGCGACTCATAGCTTGGATACAGGTAGATGGTGGACGTGACGGAGGCTGAAAAGGCCGAGGGGATAGTCTTGCGATGATGGCAGTCGTTTCGCTGGATGTATCGGCGCAGCGCCAAGGAAGTCGCGATCGGCCAACGGCTAGTTCCGTCCTTCGCCGGCGGACAATGAGTGAGGAATGCTGCGGAATGCGAGCACTGGAGCACTTCTTTGTGTTTGGTGATTGCCGTGTTTGATCCAGTCGAAGCTCCAGAATAAACTATCTGGCTCAATTGTCCAAGGGGAAAGCGCAAGTTGTCGAGTCATTCGCCGTGCTTCGCTGAAGTGCTTCCGCTGGAGTAGGAAGTAGCAGACGACCCCGCGTCCACCGCCCATCGCAACTGCCTTCTTCCGCGCAACCCAGGGCCGCAACCATCATTCACGATCTCGAGCCGCGTATCGAAGCCCTGCCTGCTCTTTGCTTGCTTGATTGCGCGCCATCCAAATGAGATCCCAACCCGCCACTCTCTAGTTCATAAGTTGGTTCAGTCGCGAGTCATCACGTCCAACACTCGAACCTCGACTCGACCGACCGGCTCCGTTCGCACCCAAGACAAGACATGGACTCAATCATACCTATTGCGCCTCGATCGCGCTCCACTTTCAAACCACCTGCGCTCCCGACCGATCCCTATGCGCGTTCTTATACCCCGGAATCACCTGAATGGGAGCCGCTCACTCCTCCGCGTCCCATTGAGCCCACCTTCAACTATCCCGCCCTGACTCAGCCTTCATCCTCGACCCAAATACCTCCGCCGACCGTACCACAGCAACAAGAGAAGCCTCGTGGACACAAGCGCTCATCTTCATCCATCGAGGCTTTGGCCGATGTTGCCCTCTCGACGAGTCCGCAGCTTCCTCCGGCCGCGCCGTCCGTGCAACCCGCTGCCGACAACTTCGTTACTCCCGGGCCTGTTCGTGGTACAAAACGCGCTCGCTCCGATGCAGGCCCTGGTCCACAAGCCTACTCCTTCCCCGCTCGGCCTTCATCCAGTCACCACTTCTCCCACCCAGGCGTGCCGCCTTTGGCGTACCATACTGACCGCCAACGCCGTCAATCGACCAACACCACACTAGTCACCTCACTAGAGGACGCCGAGCTACTTTTGAACTTTGCTGGTCGTGTTGCTTCTCAACCCCCACCTCCCGCTACGCCACGGCGCCATGCTCCCCTTGGACCTCCAGCAAACCATACAAACTTCTATACCGGACCTCAGGCACCTCCGCCTCAGGCATATCCCTATGCTCCGCCACCGACATATGCTGCTCATGTCATCATACCAGAGCCCATCGCCGCGGTCGCTGTCCCGTCCGTAACCTCGGAGCATGCCTCGGCATCCCTGCCCTCACCCCAGGATACAAACGAAGATGAAAAGAGTATGGATACAGACAAAGAGATCAGTCAAAGTACGGAGAATCATCAGTTGCCCATCGCAATCGTGACAGAGCCACCGAGGGTACGTGCACCACAACAGACGCATACTCCACCAGAAGAGGAGCGCAGGACATCTGAACAGACTGCCGCACAACTGGCGCTACCCACACAAGATAGCATTGAGCTACCTACTGCTTCAGTGGAGCAACAGCAACTCATAGATGTACCGGCAGCGAGACCGCGTCGTGGATGGCCCAAGGGCAAACCTCGTGGCCCGCGGAACAAGAACTCGACGAGCACTAAGCCCCGTTCATCAGCTCGTAGATCACGAGCTTCCACTGTAAAATCAGTTGCCGACAGCAGCGACTCCAGCGCGGAAGAGAAGAGACCTAGGCGCAAATCTGACTCGGACCTGTCGTTGGTAGATCCAGAGCAACTACAAATCCGCTCGGAAGACGCTCGAGGTGCGACAGTTCCTCCAAGCCTACGCTACGAGATCTTGCAGTCAACCACAAGACCAGTGGCGTCAGCACCACGCAAGCCTCCCAAGGAAGTTCAGGAGACAGTATGCGCTAGTTGCGCTTTGACTCGAGAATCAAATCACGGCGAGTTGGACCAGTGGATAAGCTGTAACGGCTGCCAGTTGTGGTTCCACTTCGATTGTGCCGGTTTCAAGAATGAACGCGATGTGAGAGATGTTAGCAAGTTCTTCTGCAAAGCCTGTGAGCCCAAACATGGCCCAACGACATTTGTGCGAAAGTCAAGTCGTGCTCATGCAGCAGTCGACTATGCCGGCTTGAACCAAGGTATTCTCAAGACATCCGACGACAATCATGAACACCACTACATTCAGCCGATCAAGGATGGCTCTTTTACCTTTGACCAAGAGATGTTTCCTCGTATGCGTCCCGAGCTCGTCACTCGCGAGTTCTTCGAGACTTGCTCTTCGTTCTCCGAGCCTGTTGTTATACCTGCCGAGTACAACCCTAAGCTCCCACGCCAGTGTCCTGTTCAATCTGGCGACAATATAGAGACTGCGACGGAGTTTGCTTTCACCGGTACAGAGGAAGAAGATGCTCTTCTGCGGGACTTCGAATACGAAACCGTACCCGACGATGGACAAGACCGACTCGACATGGTTGTGCCTCGGGACCTGACTGTCAGACACGTTGCCGAGCTTGTGGGTCCTCACGAACCTCTCGAAGTAATCGACGTCAAGACCCAAGGTACCGAGGGCAAATGGAATCTGTCGAAGTGGGCAGACTATTACGAAGCCGATGGCGAGAAGGCTGTCCGAAATGTTATCAGTCTGGAGGTTTCCTCTACTAAACTCGGAAGACTTCTGAGAAGACCCAAGGTGGTGAGAGACATCGACCTCCAAGATTCGGTCTGGCCAGATGAGGAAACATTCAAAGGCAACTACCCGAAGGTGCAATTCTACTGTCTCATGTCTGTCGCCGACAGTTTCACAGACTTCCACATCGATTTTGGCGGCTCGTCGGTGTACTACCATATTCTGCGCGGCAAGAAGACTTTCTTCTTCATTCCACCAAAGCCTGGTCATCTTAAGAAATACGAAGACTGGAACAATTCGCACGAGCAAAACTTCACATGGTTGCCAGATGCGACGAAAGAATGTTACCGAGTGGATCTGTCTGCTGGAGACACCATGCTCATTCCTTCTGGCTGGATCCACGCTGTATGGACGCCGGAGAACAGTCTGGTCATTGGAGGCAACTTCTTGACTCGTATGCACTACTCAACTCAGTTCCGCATTGTTGACATCGAGAAGGCCATCAAGACTCCTCAGAAATTCAGATATCCACACTTTCAGAAGGTTATGTGGTATACTGTCAGCAAGTATCTCGAGACAGACCCTCTGCCTGCTGAAGTAGCTCAAGTTTTCTACAACGGCGCAAAATTCGTTCGCGAACGACCTGTCTGGGAAGAGTTCGGTCAGCATGGGCAACTTTCGAGATGCGCTCCCGGAAGTGCATATTACAACTGCCGATACTATTCTCAGGCTGAGTTGGATGGACTGCCAGACTTGATCAACTTCATCTTCCGAACTGTCATGATCGCACTGGGCCGAATCGAGGGTGTGACGGAGGATACTCGCAAGAAGGTCATGAGATCCATTCCAAAATCGCGTGGCGAACCTCTCGAGCTGGCCAGAACATTCGCTCTTTGGGTCGCATGGAAACGTGGTAATGAAGACCCACCAGCCTGGGCACATCCCGACGCCGATCTTCCAGACAAGGAGAGTGCTGCTCCGAAGAAGCTGGGCGCCCGAGCATTGAAAGCTATGCAAAGACAGGAAGCATTTGAGGCCTACAGGATTGCTCCTGAGAGGCAGTCCGCGCGTCAGCACGCATCCAGAGAGTCAGAGCCTGCCGCCGCCACATCGCCCAAGCCTTCCATGCCTTCTGTGCCAGCATCTCAAACACAGACTACACCCGGCCCTAACAGCCAGCACACAAGTACACCAAAGACATCAGTACTTGGCCCTAAGAGGGTTGCATGTGATGCATGTCGAAAGCGTCGGATCAAGTGTAAGCATAAGGACGTTGTCACCACGAGCACACCATACGGCCAGCCAGCCGTGATGTTCCAATCGACACCCTCTGTTGATGGGACCGCGGACGCTCTGCCATATGATTTCCAGAGAAGAGATTCTCGCGACTTTNTTGCCGCTAACACTGTGAGCCCTGTCAAGATGCCTGAGCAAGTCGTTCCGATCACATCCTTGGGTCAATCTCTACAGACCACCGAGCAAAATATGCAGACCGTCCAAAACACACAAAGCACTCAAAGTTTGCAGGGCCTGCAGAACGGACACATCAGCCAAATGACGGGCATAGCTCCTATAGCGCAGATGACCTCGACAGACAGTGTTGGTCCTGCTGTTATCCCTGGAAACGCATTGCTGGCAGATCCAAATAGCAAGCGTGGAAGAAGCAAGGCATGTCTTGACTGCCGCAAGAGCAAGGTTCGTGTTTTTTCTTTTTCCATCCCACTGCCAATCCTATTGCTGACACTCACACAGCGTCGTTGCATCCATGACGAAAACGGCAAGATTGATCCCATCAAGGCCGAGCAGACACCAGTTCCTCGTGGCTCAGTTGTCTCCAAGAGAAGGAGGACCAGCGGAGAGATGGAAAGTCCGCTCAAGAAGTCAAAGCAAGCCCGACCCTCACAAGCCGCTCCTGTGATGCCATTCTCAATGGAGTCCAGCTACCAAACCAACATGGTATCACCTCAACAGTACAAGCAGTATGCATATGCTCCCGAGGCCAACATTCCGCACTGGCAGCATGCTTCATACATGTATCCTGATCCGACCTCCTCGGGTGGCAGTGTCATACTTCATGGTGGTCCATATCATCAACAATCTGACTTGAACGGGCCTTACAATGCGCAATCGTTGGAGCAGTTGGCGGCCGAAGTCCTTGACTCTAGATACGTCAACGATGGAGATTACACTGTTCCTCAGGCCAATGGTGACAGTCTGCTTCATCCTGCACTACAGCAACAAGACTCTGTCTCCAGTCAGAACACAGGACATCGGGAAGATACATCTCCTTTGCTTGCCAAAGCCCATCCTAGCAGTCACATTCTGACTGACCTCGATCACGCTAACCAGCCTGTTAATGGTAACAACATTGCACATCGACCGAGCTTGTCAGGTGGACCTGTGCAGCCTCACAACGCTGACACCTCAAGGTTATACTCGCAGAACGGAACTGCTGTGATGTTGAAGACTTCTACAGGAGATCCGATTCACAATGCACCGTTGGACAACGGCCCAGCCCCTGTAGCCACTACTGAACAAGTCTCGAAGGCTGTCGCTCCACATGTGGAGTCTCCTTCAGCACATATCAAGGATGCCAACTCGTCACCCGAGAAGTCGACAGCCTCACTCGCTGTAGTACCCACAGGTCTGGCTAGCATACCACTCTATCAACCCCCGGCACCACCGTTGACGAAATCCCAGACTCCTCGAATTGAGCGTCACTCTTTCAGTGTCAGCACAGAAAAGCCGATCAGCCGTGTGCAAAGGTCTCTTAGTAAGACGCCGGCGCCGACACAGGCTGTTCAAAGCACAGAGCTCAAGACTCCTGGAAGCAGCAAGCGTAAGCGAGATAGCCTATCAGCGACACCAGGTACGACAAAGTCAAAGAAATCCGAGTATATCATCAGAGAGAAAAGCATACTTGGGGAAGAAGAAGAACAGAGCATGCAGCTCCCACGGGAGTTGCAAGATCAGGATTGGGGATTGCGTCGCCGAAGCAGGTGCTGATTGAGCTTGGTGAAGCTCGTACCATTCATTTTGACCTTTTGGGAGAGTACATTTCATATTCATATTTGCGGGTGGGTCATTGGCGTTTTTCATGCATGGAAGGAAGGCAATTTGGTCAACAACGAAGGGACGAAGGAGTGTGGTATCTTTGGGTCTGTTTTCACAGGCATGGGTAGGCTGATTGATTGCCTTAGGGGCGTTCATAAGGAGGCTGGCCAGCTTAAATTCTGCTGAGCAATCCACGTTTCTGCTATGTTACTTCACTCCAGTGCCCTCCCTCACTCGCAAGTCAATTCTAACTTTGATGGAGGTCAAACTTCTTGATGCAAGTGTGACGTCGGCTTGGACTACTGAACATCAAGGTGGAAGACAAGAATAGATTAAGGCTCTGGGGTGTAGGGCAGGGTCACACTTTGGCTCGACGTCACAGCTGCTTCCACTTCCCTCCATCAATCTTCAGCACTCGGACTTCCAACACTCCTTGCACCACCACCACTCATCTGTCGCGCTCTCTCACACTTCCAAACTCGGCCATCCACCATGTCAGAAAACATACCCGAATCCATCCCCGTCCACCGCGACCCGCGCAGCGGCTAAGCAACANAAAAACGCGCCCTCTCGCCCCGAAGCAAACAATCCGCACACCTCGAAGCACTCTTTGCCAACCCGGACAAACCCATCAATGTGTCTTCTTCTGCATCCTCCAAATCATCCACTCTACCCCCAGAGATTGTCGCCAATGTCCAAGGTTCCAGCGCGGGAGCCGGCAGCGGCGAATTCCACGTCTACAAAGCGAGTCGGCGACGCGAGTACGAGCGGCTACGAGCCATGGACGAAGAAAAAGAAACAGAGGAAAAAGATGCAGAGTTTGCGGAAAAGAGAAAAGAGCAAGAGAAGAGGGATGCAGAGAAGACGGAGAAGAATCGGTTGAAGAGGGAGAAGGCTAGGCAGAGGAAGGAAAAGAGTAAACTTGGTCCGCAACCAACGGGTGATGGTGTGGAAGAGGGAAAGAAGAAGGAGAAGAAATTCATGGCTAATGTTGCGGTTAAGAAGAATGGGGAGGAAGAGGGTGAGATGGGTCCTGTGGTTGAGGAACAGGGGATTGTGTTTTTGGACGAGGATTGAGGATAAGACTCTCTGCGAGCTTGAATGGAGTGTCATCGATACGACAATCGCAAATCGGTTGAGAAGCTCGGCGCATCCATCTCAAAACTTTTGTTGTCACCAACATGAACTATAGTCGTTCGACTCTGCTATGCTCTCCAACTATATATTTCGCATCACGACAACGACTACTCGCCACTCTCTTCCAAACTGAGCGACACTATGGGCATCGCTGCCGGAAAGGTGTTTCTTCTCTCACGAGAAATCAGCATAATTTTCGATGCTCTGCAGGCCAACTGACACCAAACACGGCCAAAGCTCGCCTCCACTTGCTCCCCAAACTTGCTCAAGCAGTCTCACACCACCAACCTTTATATTGAAGATATCCTAGGTCACCTCCAACCAAAATCAAGCCGTGGTGGTGTAGTGGTATCACGCCCGATCCTGTAACCTAAGTCCCTAAACTCGCTTACCTGAGTCCCAAACACACGCTCTCTCTCAAGGATCGGGAGGTCGCGGGTTCAAGTCCTGCTCACGGTGCATTCTTTTTGCGGGTGTGTACGCCTTTTTGCTGTTTGTTTATTCTGTCTGTGAGAGCTCGATATTCGTGTCTTTTGGTGGGATGTTGAGGTGTCGGTCGTCTCAGTTTTGACTATAGGATTTGTCCTTGAGATAGAGGTATGGTATCTGTGTAAGTGTTTGTCTTTTGGTCTATTTTCGTTGCAAGGGATAGATGGCACGAAATGCGAGATGGGGTTTTTGTTGTCTGAGAGTAAGTGCTATGCTATAGTCTCATGAACTTCCAGCCTTGTGTTTCGTGACGTCTTAGAAGTAAGAGCGAGCTGCGAAGATGCACAGTGGCAGCTCGATGTTTTTGCATGGGTCGGTTTGACATCAAGGAGGGTGTAGAGAGTATTTGTGAATCAGCACGTGTTGCATACATGGCATGCTCCCCAAACTCTGTAGTCTCGCGTAGGGGCTGAAGGATGGAGGACAAGCCAAGGTAACGAGACCGCATCTCTCACTTCCTGCATTCATCGCTTTCCTTGCCTCTTGAAAGACTACGTCACCCCCAACACACCCACAAATCTCCAACATTCCCTCTGGTCTTGTGATTCACACCGTCACCTTCCAGTGCTACTTCTACACTAACAACTCTGACGAGTTTGAAAATTCGACTTGCAGTCGTCTTCACTTCTGCATTGGCGTTTCTTTGCCGGTGCTCCTTCAAGCAAAACTCCCCATACCGGCACATCCTGTGCTTGGTACTTCTTTCACAACAAACTGAGCGAGCCATTCAATGGGGTTTGAACATCTGATTGATCATCATATGACTAGGTGACATGCCCAAGCTAATGACTGTGCTAGCACACGAGGCAAGGGCCAAGAAACGAAAAACAACAAAATAGAGGGTAAGTGAAACATCTTCCAACCATCCAGACCATTCTTTTTGGCTTCTTAAGTGTCAATGTAAATAAGCGACTTTGGTTCAGATAGTGAAAACTTGAGTGATTCAGGTATAATCCGTCGATCCGAGAGTTTTATAGTATGTTGTGATTATCGTGATATAGGTATTGCCAATAGCAAAATCTTATGATACTACTCGTCTGTGTTCATCATCAAGCAAGATTCCGTCTTTCTTTGCTCCGCTCCTCGTGTCACTCATCCTCAGACCAGAGTAGTCTTGAACGATTCGGTCAGCGGTACACCGAGCTTCTTGGTGATCAACTTTCTGTCCGTATCAAACACAACGCTCGAGTCCCTCTTACTGGCCACTGAGGTCACATTGCTGCCTTGTCCCAGCACGGTTAGACTCACGATGTTGGCGTCGGTCGAATAACCAAAGCTGCCGCCCATGGTGAAGGTGCCGTTTGCGTAGCTGAAGGTGATGAGACTGGTCTGAGGTTGTTCGATGGCATCGCCCTCGTCCAAGTACAACGTACCCTCCGCCTTGCCCTCAAGATCAGGTGCAATGACAAGGACAAAGTCTTGCTTGCGCAGTTCGGTGGTTGTGTTGGCAGAGTTCTGGCGTAGAGGCAGGATACTGCCGCCACGGATGTGGGCAGTGATCTCGGTGAAGTCGACATTGTCGCGAGTCACCCAGTCGCCAGCTCCGCGTACGGGCTCGTAGGTGAAGTAGTCATAGAAAATGTCATCAGGGAGGTAGAATGTGACGCTTGTACTGTTGTCATCTACAACAGGGCTGACTAAGATTCTGTCACCCCAGAAGAACTGATGCTCGATAGGGAAGGTGTTAGAGTCTTCTGGGTAGACGAAGAACAAAGGCTGAATCAATGGCTTGCCGCTCACGGTCTGCTCGTGGAAGGCTGTGTAGAGGTAATCGAGCAGTCTGTAGCGTGTGTTGATTGCCTTTTGAGCAGCAGCAGTTGTCAGGTTCCAGCGGTAGAACTCTTGATTGACAGTTCCGAGCTCTGCATGGTTGCGGTAGAAGGGATAGAAAGCACCGAGAGTGGCCCATCGAGCACACAACTCGGGGTATGAGTTTCCTCCAAAACCGCACACGTCACTACCAACCATAGGTATCTGTTTGAAAGTGGTCAGTCCATGCATTGATCAAAAACTGGCAGAAGGTCGGTATACCTGGAAAATGGCAGCGAACTCCAGCATCTGAGCAATCGATACCCTGTACCAGCGCCAGCCNACCTAGAGCGAAGGTATAATTAGCATAACATCATTCGATTGGAAGAACACCACGACTTTGCTACACGAGTGCTCTCAGATTTGTTAGACGCGGCCTCAGACGGTGTCTCGTCAGAACACACGCCACACAGGTCTTTCGCACAGACTGAGACAAGACGGCAGCACAAATCGTGGTATCTGTAGCTTCTTACTTGAATTATCGCCCAGCCAATGGCCAACGTGTGCTCCAGCTCCAGCGAAGGTGCTGCGTGTGATGATCATTGGTCGTCTTGTTGGCCTGCGTGCCAACATCGCGTCACGACTAGCGGTCGACATCATGGTACCGTAGAGATTGTGAGTGTCGTACATGGCCAAGCCGTTCTCATGATAGAGATCAGTATCGATGGTCTTGTTGGACAAGCTTCCAGCGTCGTTGTTGATGGTGTATGGAGGATCGATCAGATTTCTGCCGGGTAGACCAAGATGAGTGCCGGTGCTATTCGACTGACGCTTGGCTTTACGTTTTGCTGAGCCAGGCTGGAAGTCGGCAGGGAAGCCAGGAATTGAATATCCTGCATTTGCTCTGACTTCTGGGGGAGTTGGAGGGTACCCGTTAGCAGCAGCATATCCAAACGGATCGCTGCATGGCCAAGGACAGAAATTACTGGCCTCGTTCATGTCNTTGAACGTTGTCAGCATGCTTCTTGCTCCGCAATTGGTGCAAAGACACTTACCGATCCATAGAGCATCGATATCGACACCAGTGTCAGCATTGAAGAATGTGGTGAACTCGTTGTTCCAGTACTCTTGCGTTCCAACGCCAAACCAGTCAGGAAATGCAGTAACACCTGCGTTGTTGTTAGTCTTCTTGATGAGATCAAGCTGCCAAACATTTCACATACCAGGCCAGACGACACCTTCGTAGACTGATCCATTCAATCTTTTGAGGAAAGCGTTTGCATCGACACCATTGTTGAAGGCAGAGTAGTTGTAGTAGGCAACTGCAGGGTCAACCATGACAATGTAAGATTGTTGTCTGGCGTGCAGAGTGGAAATCAATTCTCGCATCTTGTTCAGCGGGAACCGATCTGGGTCAGTAGTGAAGACGTGTCTGCTGTCCATGTAGTCGATGTCGGTCCCTGAAACATGTCAATATATCACAACAAGCAAGCAGGCACAGTACGTACACATGACTTCCAGAGGAATATCAGCAGCACTGTAGTTCGCGACCACGGCAGCGACTTCATAGACATCTCTGTATCCATATCTGCACTGGTGGAAACCGAAGCCTGTGTTGAAACTTGGTTAGCAACGTCTTCTGGAAGCTCATCTGACACCGTCCAAGTGACGTNNACCCCAGTATGGCATCTCAACTGGCAAGCCAACGACCTCTGCATATTGTTTGGCAACTTCGGTGGGTGTTGGCCCAGCCAAGAAGTAGAGGTCAACAATGCCTCCAATTGCGTTGTACTCAAGGTACTGGCCGGCTTCTGCGGTGTTGTTGATCTTAATATCCATGCCATTGCTGTTCAAAAGGAAAACACCATGCGTGCCGTCCGCGCCACGGTGATCAAAGTAGACTGGGTGGTTTCCATACAAGTTGCTGCCTTCAGGAATGGAGTAGGCATCACGAGACCAGAGAGTACGGGTGTAGTTTGTGGTGTTGAGCTATCGACATGGTCAATCATAAAATCCATCTAAATTCATCGTCTAGCATACCTGGAATGGGTCAGAGTGCTCGCCAAGTCCGTAGAGGTGAGGATTCTCGGAAAGTTCAGTGCGAAGTCGCAAGTACTGAGATTGAAAGATGAGTTCTGCTCCGGTCGTGTTGAACAAAGCTGGTCCACCACTACGGCGGGACACTGCGAATGAGAATGGGTCATTGACAACTTCGAAAACAAGCTGACTCGATGTAACATTCCCATCTACACTTGGGCGTGGAAGAACAGAGTCAGGGACTTGATAAACGTTCTCATCGGTGTCGTAGATCTGGACATGGAGTCTGTTTCCAGTCTCGTGGGTGATCTCGAGCTTGAGGTTCTTGATGTCCTGACCATAGGTGTTGCATGCTGGGCCCGCAAGAGTGAGGTCGGCCNNTGGCAGTCGAGGTTAGCAAGAATGGATGATTGGGAACAATGTGGTACTCACAGTCAATCCTTGGTTGGTTTGTTGAACATTGGTAGCCTTGTATCCGGGACAACTTTCGATCGGCGAGGAGTTTTGGCGGCGGACAAGACCATGTGGACTAGCACAGATCTGTGTAACACTGGCAGCAGCCACGAGCCACTGCACAGTACGACGCAAAGCCATGATGATGGTGGTGAAGGTTCGAGGGCGAGTGGTGAACAACTCGGTGCAAAGCTGCCTGCCCTCGAAGCTTACTGGGCATCAACAATCATTTATGGGAAGTCACTCCCATCGTCATCACCAAGCCAAATGGAAGGAAGCTGCACAGATACGTGACTTCCTCTCCGAGACTCCGCATCCTGCATGCACTTTCCCTGACCATGCTTGCAACCCGAACATCGCTGGAGCACCGTGGGGCAATTGCATGCTCCTTGCTTCAACCACATGACGGCATCAACAATCCACTTACTTGGCTTCTCGGAGACTCGGGCTTGTTCTCGGTAGGGATGAGAGGGGTTAAGATGCACCTTGCAAATCACCCTCGAGCTTCATCATCTGACCTCGCACTTACATGTGGCAGGCGCAAGGGCATGAGTCTGCACTTGCCATGCGGGGATGTTTGTTTGCTGAAGAAAAGTGGTTTCAGATGAGGAAGGGATGCACGTTGTGCGGGGCATGCATGCGTGCTTTGTCGATCTCTCGACTTCTACTTTAGCCGATTCAGCATCACAAAAGGTTGAGACTGGAAACAAGATGATCGTTGCGATATGGAATGCGATATCCCAGATCTGGAGAGAGTGACCTTACTGCAATTAGACAGCATCATAACCAGATCAATGAGAAATGTTAGGTTGGATTAGAAATTTGGTTAGGCATTCTGCTGTCCCGCTGTCCATTCGTCTTCAAGAACCTTATTCGTCAGACATTATCATCGTCAGATCTTGGATCGTTGGTCCTTTAGTCAGGCATGCTTCTTCTGATCCTCCTCCTGACCCTTCATGACCCAAGCACTTGCCTTCTTGGCGTGCTCCTCAGACTTCTCCTTGGAGCTCATGATTTCCTTCAACTTGAACTCGTCGGGAATATTGACTCCCTTTTGCACAGCAGGGCGGGCGTTGATGGCGTCCAACCATCTCTCGATTTTGGGGAAAGGCTTGGTCTCAATACCAGCCCAAGCACCCCAGTTGACCCATGAGAAGCAGGCAATGTCTGCAATGGTGAACTTGTTTCCAACGAGCCAGAGACCTTGGCCTGCCTTTTCCTGTTCGGCGAGACGGTCGTTCAAGACTTGGTATAGGCGCTTAGTCTCGGTCTGGTAGCGGTTGATACCGTACTCAATCTTCTCTGGTGCGTATCTGTAGAAGTGATTTGCTTGTCCCTGANNGGATTGGTAAGCATATGGATAAGTTTCACGAGAGATTTGAAAGGCTCATACCTGCATGGGTCCAAGACCAGATTGCATCCAGACGATCCACTCAACGGTCTCCCAGTACTCATCACTGTCGTGGTCGAAGCTAATTTTGTTGTCCTTGTCGTACTTGTCGGTCAGGTAGAGCAACATGGCACCACCCTCGAAGACACGCTTCTCCTTGCCTGAGGTCTTGTCAACCATGGCAGGAATACGGCCGTTGGCTGAGATGTGTTAGTATCGAGTAAAGAGCCTAGCTCGGAAAGAGTGAGTTTACGGNCAGATCTTCAAGAACCATTCCTCCTTCTGAGTATTCTTGGAGATGTCAATCTTGTGGACATTGTAGTTGATGCCCAGCTCTTCAAAGGCAATGTGCACTTTGTGGCCGTTGGGTGTGCCTGGTATATCATTAGTAATTGTGTTTGCGGGGTCGAACTGCTTCGGATACCTGCGGTGTAGCTATCGACGATATGGTCAGCAGCTATAAATGCAAGGAAGTTCCAGTTCTACACTTACAGATCGATGTTTGTCTGAGAAGCCATGATTATATGTGAGCGTGATGCGGTTGTAGGGTCGAACAATGTCGAGAGACGAGGTGTATATATTGATTAAGGTTGCGATTAATAATGTAGAAGCAGACGTCATCGGGTGTCACTTAAACACCCATCACTCGATGCTGAGCATACAACCCTGACCGGCAGGATATCTCGTTGGCCACAGTGGAAATATGGTCGAATGAGACATTATGGTGTGATTTCGGCTGTACCAGATACATGCTCCGCTCATCCTGCCTTTGATTGTACCATATATATGGTTTTGGGGTGTCGGAGTTGTCTTTGCAGGTAACGACGTCAGTTGGCTATGCTTTGTCCAAAAGACCGATCACCAAATGTGAGAAAGTGATCATCTCGTGTGCAGTGATATGGTCAGATATACGTTCATAGAGAAGCGAGCCTTTAGGGTCGAAGAACTAAGTCCCTTCGAATGATGGTCTTAGTATGTACCTCACCTATGTATTGCTACGCTCGCAATGTCTCTTCGAACATGCTCAGAGTACCATGATTGGTAGATATATGAGGTATCTATCTTCAATTGCTAGAAGCTGCTTCAACAATATCCGATATGGTCTAGTGGCTAGGATTTCTCGCTCTCATACCGTTTCTACCACGAAACAACCAGGTCCGAGGAGGCCGGGGTTCAATTCCCCGTGTCGGAATCTTCTTTTGCCCTCATCCATCCTTTTTGTATCACATCTTTTGGCATTGAAATTGGTTGGAAAACTTTTTTTGGTTGCCAAGATTTTGCGTTTGCGTGGGCGCAAGTTCAAATCCCGGCATCGGCGGCGTTTTTGCTGTTCCCTCCACACCTGTCCTGTGTACCGAGCCTTCTTAGAGTTCTACAAACGATTAGTTATATAAGTGATAAAACAAGAATTCGGACATGGGCAATTGAACCCCGGCCTCCTCGGGCCTGGTTGTTTCATCGTAGAAACGGTGTGAGAGCGGGAAATCCTAGCCAGACGCTGGCTTTCAGGACAAATCTCAGCAGCACCTTGAGCACCGATAGCCTTGTCCGATTTTTTTGTAGAGACGGATGATGTTGATGCACAATATCACCTCGACACCATTAGCAGAGGGACATAAGAAGATAATCTTGTCTGATATGTCCTATACACAACGCCGTATATGCATCTACTTCACTCCATCTCCCAGCATTGTTCTCAAGCTCTAACTTCCCAACACCTAATCTTACCCTGCTCATTAGCAACAGCCAACCCATCACTACCAGGCGCAAATGCAACACCCGTAATCCTGCCCAACGGCGTATTGCTAGTAGGCCAATTCTTAAACACCGTGCATGTAGGGAGATGCACAATTCTCAAAGCATCCTTCTTCCATCTCGAAGCCATGACGAGCATCTGTCCATCAGGCGAGAAAGTAAGGTGAGAGATTGGTGTGGTGAGGTTGTCGAGAGCGCGAGTGGGTTTAGGTGCAGAAGGGATAGGAGAGGCGAGGGCGTCTGTAGAGGATGCAGATGCAATGAGCCAGGCGCGGCGATCGTAGATGTTTACAACACCACTCGAGCTGCCGACAGCAACCCAGCGGTCTTTGCCAATAGGTGAGCCGGCATTGCCATTATCACCGCCCAGAGTGATGGTGGTGGTGCCAACGGCGCCTTCGTCTTGCCAGCGGGCTATGGCACGCTGCTCGTCCATGTTCCATTCGGTAACTTCGCCGTTCTTGCCTGCGATGCTCATACCACGGCTGTCGCGCCACCAAGCGAAGTCTGCGATACCATTGTTGCTTTCCACACGCACCTGGCTGGCCCATTGCAATGTGTGTGCGTCGAGGATGTTGATCACACCGCCACCCTTGCGAGCGCTACCGATAAGAGCCATGCTGCGACCATCGGGAGAGAGCTTGAAGCGCTCCATACTGCGTTGTTCGTGCTGGTGGCCATAGACACGGGCAATCTTCTCCACTTTGCCGGTTTCGAGGTTCCAGACGTGGAAGTAGCGACGACGGGCAGAGAGGAAGATGCGAGGGTCGTTGGGGTGGAAGGTGGTTGTTGTGAGAGGAGTCTTGCGGATGTGCAGAGAGGTGAGGAGAGGATTGGCTTCGGGCGCGGGAGGAGAGGCGACAATGTGGTGGAGGTAGAGGGTCGATGAGGGGCCGGAGGAGAGAAGCAGAGGAAGCTCGGGGTGGTACTGCAGAGAGGTGATGGCCGAGGGCTGGGTGGTGCCAATGTCCTTTGTGCGTTGGATGTCGATAACCTCGGGTCGCAACTTGCGCTTCTTGTTTTCTGTTCGTCGTACAAGGCCTCCCCCTTGTAGCAGCTTGCTGAGCGGTTCGGCCGAGATTTCGTCATCTCCTTCTTCGTCGTCCATGTCCATATCCTCGTCCGATTCGGCATCAAGATCGTCATAGCTGAGTCTGCGCTTCTTTCTAGGTCCTTTCTGGGCGGCTTCGACGGCCCAATCGGGTACGGGGTTGAGCATTTCGTANGCTGTGACAATGTTAGCTAAGCTGTTTATGCGATTCCGAGAAGAATTGGCGTACTGTTTGCGCAGACGGCGGACGTAGTCTTTGCCAGAAATGACATCCTCAGCCTCTGTCCTCCTCAGTTTGCGCAGTCGTGGTACCGAAGCCAGCGACACAACCATCCTCTCGTCGTCGCTGTCTTGCCACGCTGCTCCCTCATCCTCTTCCTCCTCTTCAGTAGCTGGGGCAGGCTTCAGATCAGTCGATGCGCCAACATCAGTGAAGAACAAGTCGGCATCAGCAAGACCATCGTATGCTTGTTCGTCGCCAGAAGCAGCAGCACCCTCGTCGGCAGAGTCTTCATCGTCCAGACCAGTCTCGAATCCAGCAAGTCCAGCTCTGAATCCCATGCTGTCGCCGAACACGGCCCTCTCCAACTCTTCTTCGGCAGCGTCCTTGTCATCTTCGCTAATGTCCATATCGTCCTGTCCAGCTGGGGCGTCGTATTGCTCGAGGTCTGACATGTCGCTGGCCGAATCGTCCTGCACCGGTGCTGACTTCTTGGCTGGCGCAGAAGCCTTTGCTTTCACTCCATTCTGACGATTGTCCTTCTTGCTCTTCGTTCGCGCCATCGTGTAGTGTTTGTGCTGTGTTCAAGAAATGTTCAGGTCAAAAATCTCCATGCTCCAAACTCGGACATCGGAGAGCCCTTGCAAAATTCCCGTTCTTATCGATAAGCTTTGGGCTTTTTATTTTCTCCGCGACAAGGAAAATGGAGAAAAATGAACAAGCTTCAGACCTCATCGATCGCGTCTCATTTGATTTACGGATTCCAGAAGATTGACAATTCTTGATTTAATCAGACAGATGTGAAATTATTATCGTGGTGCTGTTCAAGCTATCATGCCGAAAAGTCTTCCTCGTGAGTTCTTCTGTAACTCTTTTCCGCCACTCGAGCTCTGCTCGCTGTGCAGCTAGTTGGCTTCCAAAAAATGAAATTGCCGCCCACCTGTGGACGTAACGTGACACATACAAGGAAAAAAGTTTTATGAACGACTGGAAGGTATCATCTACTCTAGATGAGAAGAGCTGCGGCTGCCATAGCAATGGCGTAGCCGGACAGGCTCATGATGCTGGCAGAGCCAGTGTAGGTTGTGGGGGACATTGGGTTAGCAGTGCTGTTGCCATGAGCAGTGCCATTGACATGAGGACTAGCTGCACTAGATGCGTTGGCTGCAGGGGCTGCAGGTGCCGGAGGAGGGCGCGTGTAACTGTTGTCGAAGGATGAGCCATCTTCAGGGCAGGTCCAGTACTGAGCACTGTAACCACCAGGCTTACCAGCAGTGACACTGTTGAGAGCCTTGAAGGAGCCCCACTGAGGGAAGTCATTCTCGGTGCGACCAGGCGTGATGGGAGCTGATACAACGTTGAGCGAAAGATCGGGCACATCTGCGACGGCGACTTCTCCTCCATTGTACTTGGCCACTCTCCACTGTAGGTTCTTGCGAAGGTATGGCTCGACGTGAACAGGAGCCATACTTCTTAACTCTCCGCTCTCGTACTTCCCAAGAAGAGAGGTGGTCAAAGGAACGGTGCCGGTGATCTTGAGATCCATGTCTGCCATGTGGTTTTCGGTGGATGGCATGTTGGAGAAAACCGAGTAGGTACCAACGAGGTTGCGCGAGAGTTGGAGATCCTCTGTGGAGTTGGACGAAACGTTACCCAAGAACACGTAGACGGCGTATGATCCGTTCATGGCGAACTTCTGGGAAGCAATGTTGCAAATGTACTCGTGGTGGAAATCGTCAGTGCCATTGATGCCAGTGGTGTGTGTGGTGTTGAGGTATGGTCCGCTGGTCATGTTGTCACGCTTCCACCAGGGGCTCCAGATGTGGACAGGGCTAGACTTCCAGATGCTGAGAGGCTTCCAGGAAGACTCCCAGGAAGGCTGTCTGGTAGATCCTCTGATGGGAGCAGAAGGCGCTTTGGAAGCCGAAGGAGCTGCAGGAGCTGAAGGAGCTGAAGAAGCTGAAGAAGCTGCAGGTCGTGCAGGGCCTGCGGGTGCCTTGGAGGTTGAAGGAGCCGAAGAAGCTGCAGGTGCTGCTGAGCTGACAGAGTTTCCTGAGTTACCGACATTGACGTTTGCATTGACATCAGCGGCAACAGCGTTCTTTCCATAGAGTCTGTTGATCGCTGAACGGACGCTAGAAGCAGAGGCACCGTTCTGGAGCTCAGGGTAGGTGTAACCAAAAGTAGTGGTGTCACGTACGCTGGCCGAAGTCCAGTTGGAACCGGCCGCGTCCTTGAAGAAGGGTGTAAGGCCCGAGTTGACATCGTTGACAGTTCCAGCAGGGTAGGTGAATGTGCTTCCAACTGCTGCGAGAGGCTCAACATAGCTGTCACTGTGGAGAGTCTGCCACATTGCGAAACTGCGGTCGACCATGNNCTAGAGGACATTAGCTGTTGTCGTGTCAGAAAAGTTTGATTGTACTTACACGTGGTGCAACCAGAATACAGGGTCGAATGCAGCGTAGTCGAGGTAGGTCATGTGTCCGTTGTTACCAATACTTGAGTGAATGGCATCGTGAAGCGATTCAAGACTATCGGCGTTTGTGGAGCTAGTAGTAATCCATGCCGAATCACCAAATTGGTGGAAGTTGTTGTAGTTGGTGAACAGGTTGTACAAGCGGTCGCGGAAGTTCACCTGACTGTTGGCGAAAATGCCATTGAGCAGGTTGTTCTGACTGCCTGCAGAGGTATCCCATGAAGTAGGGTATCTCTTGGTAACATCCCAAGATGCAAACNNTATAGAGAGTTAGAGGCTGACGCTGATATGACCAGGGACGATTCTTACAGGATTGTAGACCATGTCAGAGACAGAGACAGGGTGGAAGTCATAACGGAAAAGAGGGTTGGCAATAGTCTGCACACCAGTGGGAGTGGTGACGGTAGCCCATTGGTTGGCGATAAGATCAGGGAATGCCTTGCAGCTCGAGCAAGGTGTTGCAGCCCAGTCCCAGTAGGGGTAACGCCAGTTTTGAGCTGCGGCAACGTACTTGTTTCTGGTCGCACCAGCCGGGAAAGATTGCGCAGCCTGTTGAACATGCTTGTAAAGCTCTTGNCTGTAGACACAACGTGATCAGCAAGGACTTCATATGTCGGTAACACGATTACAAACCTCAATGAGGGCCAGGTAAGGTCTGTGCCATGGCAGGAACATGTTCGAAGTGTGAGTGCAGTAACCACCGCCAAATCCGGGAGCAGTGCCTATGCCATCCCAAGGAACATATGGTCTTCCGTGGATACCNTGAGAATATATGAGTCTGGAAACGAGACTGAAGGGTCAATACAAGATATACATACCGGCAATTTGATAGTAAGAAAGAGGGTCTGACTGGTCCATCTGCATGAAGCTGCGAAGACCAAGAAGGAAGACATTGAACATGTCGGGGTATTGTTGCTGCATGGTGCGAAGCTCCATTCTAGGCTGAACGCCATTTCCTGTGATTCCAGTGACGGGAATCTTTCCTGTTGATTGACGAGTCTCAAGACGCTCAGCGTTCATGAGGTCGCCATCGATGTTGACGAGGTCACCCTCAACATCAGGCTGCATTGATGCAGCGACATGCTGCAGGGCTGATGAACTCAAGAGGGCAGCACCAATGACTCCTTGAAAACGCATATCGAGTTGCTGTCAAACGATTGTGGTGTAGAGAAGAGAGAGGAATGTCGAGACAAAAGTAGGCATACACCTTCTTGACTCAGGTCGAGAGGCGTAGTCGGCTGAGGGATTGCCGTGAAACAATGTCAAAAAAGTTCTGCGACTGGAGTTGTTTGACTTTCGAGGCCAGTCGAGCTTGGATTAGAAATATTATAAAAATGATGGCTGGGGTTGAACGAGAGAATGCAAGGGAACGGAAATGGCAAACAAGGAAACTGCAGCGGAAAGGTCGCTCCTGCCAAACGAGAGAGAAAAGAGCAGGGGAGGGCTATAAGTATGTATAGTCGTAGTAGCTGATTTCACACTGAGATGGTGGTGGAGATCAATAGTGGCTGACTTCCCGGAATGGATGATCGGAGATCATGATAGCGACATGAAGACCACCGCCAGGCACGCAGAGAGCACGGTGCGTATACGAACGTTGGGCATGCGGAAGCCATGAATTGTAGTACATACGTACAAACTACACACGGGAAGCATGACTAGGTAGGTCTGATTGTGAGACGGTGGTCGCAGGGTTAGCCCTTAGGCTGGACCACTTGTTCATCGTGCATCACAGGCAAGGCCGATGCCGAGAACAGATCTACTAGTGTGACCGCAGCCACAGGGTGCCTGTACCTGAGACGCGATATGATACGAATGCAGCTAGTGCTTTGATGGATGGTCGTTTGGGCGAGGAGCAGTGGGAAGAAGAGATGTGGGTGTCCGCCGCTTGCTTGCATTGCACGAAAGCCAAGCTTGTGCCGCACCTGCCAATCAGCGAAGCCTCTTCTGGAAACTCATTTCGCTTCGTTGTTTCGGGCTTGCCATCTTTCTGGATGCTGTGTCGCACGACGAAAGCTTCTCGAAAGAGGACGTCTGAGACACTTAACATTGTGAATGATGCCGTTTTGAGGATTCGAGAGATCAATAGACCATCCGACCTGATTGGATGCGCCGCTTCTGCTGTACCAACCGTCGCACAGACGTGTCCAGATACAGCATCTCTCCTCTGCCCTGATCTGCGAGATGGCTTCTTGAATTGAGCCATCTCGGATCTCGCTTCATCTTGACTCTTGGATCTNGTCATGCCATAAATACACGCGGAANNATACGACGCGGCTGCTTGTGCTGTTGAGTCGTTGTTTCATGCGCCTGTCGTCCCTCACTGTTCTCTCTTACTTCCGACCGGCATACAAACAATNTGCATCCTTCCGTAGAAACCAAGCAAAACCTGCCTCGTGCGAAGCGTAAGNGCGTAGAGTGACAACTGCCGACACATCCACCCTGGCGTGGTATCAACACGANNAGATCGACAAGACCGCTTTGAGCAGGCCGCTTCTCCATCATCAGGCCTCCATGTGGTGATACAAGTGGTCAGGCCATGTGTGGGATTCGAGGTCACATCCTTACGTGGGCCTCTTTGGTCGTGAACAATGGACCTGCTTCTTCCAAAACTACGAATAAAGTAGAGCTTGATGAATATCCCAGTGTAGTGGGCTTCCGCAAACCGAGTTCGGGTCACCTGCCATAAGGACGAGCGCAAAATATGGTTATGCAAGGAGGTCATGCTACCACTACTCCTCTCGTGATAGAGAATGTATCGCGACATATATACACCTACACTTTTTGAAGAGCGTGCGCACCAGGTTACAGAGAACACTCGAGCCCATCACGAAGTCACTGTGAGAGGTCATGACTCTTGAGGACATATTGATTATGAACATCTGATTGTCTCGCAAAAAGAAACCTTCTACCAGCGCAACATTATGCGAATGACAGTTGCATGCAACGATCGTGGAATTCCGCTTCAAAGAACATGGAGCGATACTTGCTCACTCCGACGAACGACAGCTCTCGGTCCAGTTTCCAGACCGAAATGGATGGTTCAAGTTGCAGTAGACCTTCCCTGGTATTGCCGTGCCATGGCTCTCACAGTATGCCAGAGGTGAGGCGCTAGATAAGGGCGGCGACGACAATCGATACACTCTTGAAGTTTGTCAATCCGTGAGATTACTTTTTCAAGAAGGAGATCTAGAAAGGCCGAGGGATCTTGCAAGGAGTGCGTTCCTTCGCAATCCATCTGAACGAGCAATGTGAAAGCGGCGAGGAGTGTATAAGTCGCGACTCTATGTGCATCTGTCTCGTTAGAGAATCCTGCAACCAACCAGTCTGAATCTGGATCAAGTCTGGCTTTCTCAGGGTAGACACTGAAAACGAGTAAAGGACAGTCAGGCCTAATCCGACTCCAAGCTGGATGAGAAACCACGAACACCCACTCTGGGATATATTCGTATAGCCAATCGGGTACGGACTGCATAGTTTTGGAGAGCAAGACGAGTGGGGAGGAGCATATTGCGGAAGGTGCAATGAGCGTGAACGGTGCCTTTGGAGTCCGTCACTGCCAAATCTTGTCATGTCGATGCAGAGTGATGTGTGAGCTATGAAAACACAGCGGTTTTGTAGACAGAAGATGCGAATGAGAAGAGCCCATGGGATTGTGATCCTTGATCGATATCCTCCCATGTGCCCAAGCATGTAGCACATATAGCTATCAAAACGCACAATCGTATTTGATGACAAGGCAGTATCCGGTGAGAGGCATCCCCTGTGTGGACTCTCAATGGCTACATCTCCAAATCAGAAAACAACTGTGCCATTTCAAAGGGCGTTGACTCCGAGTCCTCGTGAAGGAAAGTCAGGTTGGGTTACATATCCTCATGTGCTGAGGTCTGTGGACTCACTCTCATCCTCCCCACAAGATGTGTAGGTGGAAGAGTACACTATAGAAATGCACGATATTTTCCAAGGCAAAGGAGTAGCCAAAGAGAGCCACTAAGATGTTTGGGTCTCAGTGGATGATGTCTTGTTTCTTGATAGTACTGTGCATTTCTATAGCTACTCGGGAAGGAGACTTTCAACATCAGAAAAGATGCACGGGGTTCTTTTTCTTCTTCAATGTTTCGCGTCAGCGAAAGCATCAATGAAAAAAGTGATAACAAGAAATGTTGTTTGTTTCCAAAAATTCCTTGACGACCGTGAGGCCATCAAGAGCAGTCAGTTGATAGTTTTCAACTAGCAAAAACACGATCTCGGACGAATCCTCACTGATACTAGAGAGATTGTCAGTAATGTGTCAATAGATTGAAGATTGGAAGAAAAAATACCGCGTTAAGCCCGTGCACTTGGATGTCGGTGGAAAGATGGAGCGTGAGGGAACGCAAAGTTTTATAGCTGCGCTGCGAGTGGGCTGATTATGTAACCGGAGCTCGGAGGCTTGGCACCGACTGACTGGGGAGCGTGTTGGCACTGTCGCGTTCCAGTGCAACCAAGAATTCATGTGAACGAGGCCTCGAAGGACTTCAGAAGGGCACATCATCAACTCGGGTCAAAGGCGTATACGGCGTTGCTTTCGAGTACAGAGTCTACCTCTTCTTTGCTCTACGCTATCAACACCCACCAACCGTCCAGATCGACCGGCGCATCGACGCGTTCTGCAATGAGTATGGCAGACCCCAGCTTTGGAGTGCCTGCGCAGCNNTTGTCAGTCCAAGTCGACATGCTTTATCTTGACATCTGTAGACTGACATGTGGTGGATAGCTGCCCCATGTGCATCTGATTTCGGGCCACAAATACCCCTTCTCTCCCCAACTCGCCATCGATGGCGCATACACGTACCTCTTTGATGCTCCCAAGGTCGTCAAGCAGGTTGCTCCCATGTCATGGCAGTACATCTCTGCTCCACAGGACGGCACTGTCTTCTTGACTTGGATCGGCGGTCGCATGCAGAACCAGTTCCCTACTGATGGCTACGTCTGGGTTGATCCTGAGCAGCGTTACACCCAGGACTTTGGAGGCTACGTGTGTCGCATACACTTCTTCACCCCTGTCGCAACTCGCTAACATACACCAGNNACACTGGAAATTGCCTTCCACAACAGTGGTTACCGCCCTGGAGCCGATAACGTTACCAGCCACTCTCGCAGACGATACCGCTTCATGTCCAAGAACCCCAGTGTTCACGCCCTCCCTCCGGATCCGAGTCTCTGGCTTGTCCACTACAGTCAGGCCGACCCTCAACACTGCTTCCCCACATCCCAGTTGCCTCTGTCGCACCAGTCGCGCCAACAATTGGCCGAACGCCAGTGGATCGAATCTCAAGGCCGTCTCGATCGCCAGGACTTCATGCTGCACGACCGCGAAAAGTGGCCTCAGCTCAACATGCCTGGCCGTGCTGCTGTACCTGGTGTACCTGCTTATAACCAGAACATGTATCAGCAAAGTCCCATGGCTCACATCGGCAACCCTCGCTTTTCCGGCAACTTCTATCAACAAGCTCAACAAGGACACGCGGGTCCGTCGCCTGCTAAACGCGCGCGACAGCACCCACCTGCCCATGTCCCGGCGTCGGCCGCTGCTCTGATGGCTCAGGACACCAGCATCGAAGATGAGGAGAACGTCCTCCTTGGAGACTTGCTTGACCACCTCACTCAGCGCGATATCAGTCTGACCCGCTACATGCAACACCACGACTGGATGGACGAGGTCTACTCGTCACCATTTGCTACTGGTCAAATCGTTCCTATGGACCTCGGTTTTGGCTTGATGGGCGAGCTCGCCGGCCTTACCGAAGGCTTGTTTGATACTCCGAACTCTGCACTTGAGAAGACTGAGCCCAAGTCAAAGGATACGCCAGCTGCATACAAGAAAGTCACATCAGAACAACTGCAAGAGTTCGAGAAGCGCGTCCAGGCGCATAAAGAGAAGGAACAGAATGAGATTGCGCGCATGAAGGAAGAACATGCCAGGAGAATGGACAGTCTGCGCAAGAGCAAGAGTCTAGTCAAGGCCGAGAAGAAGCTGAGAAATGCATCCTGGAAGCCCTCGGGCTCAGGCAATGAGTTCTGGAGACTGGAGAAGACAAACGACCAGGACGCCAACCAGATTGTCGAGCAGGTGGAGGAACTTCTTGGCGGATCCATTCAAGCACAAAAGGAGGCCACTTTGATCAGTGAAGGAGGATACCGCAAAGAAGAAAAGCGAACGCCACCTGCCGATGCAGATATGGCTGGAACGCAGATGGATGGTGCAGGTCTCGACGCTGCCCAATCTCTGCAATCTGCTTCTGGTGCTCCTGCCGAGTCCGCTCCACAGACTGAACAGCCGCAACTGCCGACTCAGCAGATGCCTGCCGTTCCTCAGGTACCTCAACAACCCCCACAATCCGCCGTCCCTAGTGTGCCAGACACCAACATGGAGAACATGGAGTCCATGGACACTGGCAACTTCTCACTACCAGACGACATGGAACTCGATACAGGCCACTTCAACTTCGACACACCCAAAACCGATGTTCAAACCCCAGGCACATCAAATTGGCCTGGTCAACAACCTCCGTCTCAATCACAACCACAACAAACCGTTAATCAGCAACCCAATGCAGCCAACCCAACAAGTGGTGGCGACCTCTACGGTGCCGGTGGGGATGCAAACTTTGGCGACTTCGACGCAGGAGATGGTTTGATCGACTTTGAAGGCGGCGCAGGCGAGGACATTGACTTTAGTATGGACAACTCGGCGTTCGGCGATGCTTTCCACGGCACCGAGACGCATGAGCAAGACGAAGGAGCAGGCGAGGGACAGTAGAGTAGTAACCCGCTGGATGCTGCAACCTTATTGGACGCTGCAGAAGTTGTGTCAGAGACTGTGGCGGAGATGGCTACTGCCGCGCAGCCTGAAGACGTGGTCAATGGTGAAGTCCCAGTCAGACAGACGATTTCCAGAAGATCCTCAATGTTGGCCGCAGGGCGAATGGAGGTTATCAAGGAACCCGAGTAAACAAAGAAAGCAGCCAATGAAGTATGGTATCTATATGTTCTCTCTCGTTCCTTCTTCTGTGGTTCTGCACCAAGTCAAATCAACTCTTAAGTATCAGTCTTCAGATCATGCAAACCGATCGCTGGGTAACGAATAAGCAATCACTCAAAAGTCCTTCGACGTACATCTTCAATAGACGAGCATGAACTTTTGAAATCCTGTCCAGCAGTGTGACGTTCCACCGAATACCAAAACTTTGACCAAATTAGAGAGCAGAGGGTCAGGCAAAACATGATGTGAAACTTGTACTTCAGACATGCGGACGACCACAGACAGATCAACAAGCATGGAGTTAGTGTATTAGTAATCTATATGTTTCTTAGCCATCGCTAATCGATCATCGTATCATACGGTTGTGTTTTTGTCTAAGGATCAGTCCTAGAATCATACAGGACTTCTTTACTTCATGTTGATAGCAAGAGGCCAGGCACTGAATCTGACTAACTGGCCGAGAAACAGTATCGGGAGATAAGGGATAGGACGACTAAGGAGATAGTATGGGAGCAGTGGCCATGATACAAGAACGGCAAGACGATTCGTCTTTGTGTAGTATAACCATGAAAGTGGGTGCATTACTTCTTGAGTTTGGCGTGGGCACCCCAGTGGTAGCAGCAACTCATGGCCATTTGCTGACCTGAACGATGGAGGCAGACTGGCCGAGTGGAATACCGCTGCCGTGCGTGTCCGTACGAGAGCTCAGTGGCCACAGCGATTGGTCCGTTCAAGCTCATAATCCAGTCGGGAGGTGGCTGGTCGGTAGAGGCCGCATCAAACTACAAGGCCTAACAGGAGCTTGACTGGATCAAGACTGATGTGCATGGAGTTGACCGTAGAGCCCAGCACCGCAACGTGATCTCTCGACAAATCACTCTTGTGATATATGAAGTAATCAAGCACGAGTCTGTTTAAGTAGACAATCCAGATCTGCCGGGTTTCCCTTGACATCATTCGGACCAGGCTGGGAACTTCGTGAAAATAGCGAAGCTGGCACGACTATGTTCTAGTCATTGGTCTGTGTCGAACTGTCGGTGACTGCTTGAATTTGTGCTTTGCCAGCATTAAGATTTTACTTGCCTTGTTGTGCCTTGGAAGAAGCTGCCAAGGGGTCAAGTGAAGGATGTATCGCGAACAAGCCTATTGGATATGTGAGGCAGGGAAAGGCCGTGTGCAAACAGATCTCCCACAAAGACGAGTGTTTGCTGAAGATCTGCAAGATAGGCTGAGCGATGGCTGGGCAATCGGTCTGAGGGGAGCTCGAGATAGCACCAGTTTGAAAAGGACGGGAGTGAAATCAGGAAAGAAGTAACACGTCAGTGGGTTTGATGAATCAATTCGGAAGGAACCACTCACTCTCAAACCAAGCAGCAAAGCCGTCTCTCACATCCAGTTCACTCACCTTCACTCACTCAAGCCAAACTGATCTTTCCTCAGCAAACGGTAAATTGGCCCAATGTGGAAACCACACGCTTTGCGATAAAACTCCTGGGATTTCTTGCAGATACTTGGAGGTCCTTTGTTCGACCCTCATAGTACGCAGAACTTTCCCTCTGACCTGCAAAGGTAGAATACTTTGCAGGCGGAAGGAATTTTCCCAAATCGCCACAGCAGCTTGGTTTTTGCCCTTTTCTCTTTCGTACAAGCAATTGGTTTGGTTCTATCAAGAATGTCAGTAGACTTTGTTGTTAACAGGCACGCGAACACAAAAGAAAGACAAAAAGCAATGTTGAATGTACAAAGTTTAGTATTTTGCTTATCAACTACTTTTGACCTTGACCGAGACCCAATTCTTGGGCTTGACGATCCACTCAAGCCCGGTCAGATTGCTGGCGTCAAGTTCTCGAGCCACCTCCCAGGCGCTTCTGATGCAGTCGTTGACACCAACACCTCTGACCCAATTGCCAGCGACTCGTAGACGGCCAGAGTAACGCAGTGAGAGCTCATCATGGAATCTTTTCACTCTGTCCTCAAAGCCTACAGTGTACTGAGGAATGCAATTGTAGTTGAGATTGACTGAGTGTGCTGCAGGTTTCTCTGTGACACCAAGGTGTCTTCCAATGACAGATTCTGCCATCGAGAGACCTTCCTCCTTGGTGGGATGAGATGACCATCCATCCCAGTAGTGACCTCCCAGCATGACTGTGACCTTTGTTCCACGATTCGATACAGTATCCTGCATAGGGCCGACAAAGTCCCTGTCTTCTGGTGTGGAAGCAGAGTAAGCGGTGTCGAAAGTGATACCGAGTGCACGCTCCGGATTCTGGTCGATAGGTATACCAAGAGGGATCAAGTATCCGAAGCCAGGTGGGTTGAGGTCCGGTGTGCGGTAATATAAATTTACGGTCATTACTGTCGGTGTTGGACAGACAGGCAAGTTCAGGAAATCGCGATTCATCGACGAAGCGACCTGTGACGTCGTGTCTGGTGACAATGTAGAGATAACATGGGTGTGTTTGTGTTTGGAGAGTGATTGCTTCGTCGAATGTTTTGCTTCAAGCTCCACATTGTGCTCGGTGTTTTTGATATCGGTAATCTCTTGGTTCAATGCGAAGATCACATTGGACTGTTGCTTGAGCGACTCCTCCAACTTGTCGACTAACTGCTGGAGACCATGACGGAAAGTGAAAACGTTTGATTTTCGGAAGTTCTTTCGAAAGTCGGAACTGAACGGATATGGTTGTTTCATGGCGTTGATGAATTCGACCTCTTTTGCCGGTACTTGGGCTCCTTCGGACATGTTGTGGACCAAACCGGCAAGAATACTGCCATGTTCTTCTTCCAATCTCCAGATGCTCGGGAACAAGCTCTTCATACTGAGTTGGTAGATATCACCAGCGTAGATGCCGTGAACAACAGCCGACATGACCTGATCGACCAGCCTTCGACCTATACGTCTCACGAAGAAGTCACCGACGGACTCGTCTGTCACACTCGGGTCTCTCGCGTGGACGGACGGCTCGAGCAAGACACGAGAAACGATGCCTTTGAATGCTGGTTCGGAGGTGAGGGCGTAAATTATGGCGCTCACATTCGCTACAAAGCCTTTCTGGGGGTCGGGTGCAGGCACACGAACAATGTGGTCGGGGTAGTAAATGTAACGATTTGTTGCAGCGGGAGCAGTCTTCATGGTGAAGATGGTGTCATCCTCCAGACCGAGTTGATGGACGAGGCGAGCGGTGAGAGCACCATTTCCAGCTGGACGAAGTGTTCTTGGGCCTTTTTCGAAGAGGATGTGTCCGTCGTCTATCTCAACCTTCTCTGTGTGTAACCAGCCTCCCAGTCGCGGCGAGCTTTCGTAGATGGTGACTTTGCGATTGGGATTCGATTGAGCGAGGTAATGTGCGGTAGCGAGGCCAGTGATGCCTCCACCCAGGACGGCGACATCGTTCGGTTCGGCGGGCAGACTATAACACCTANNCATGGCAGAGTCAGCATTCGCGCTCAGCATAGTCGCATTGACACGCGCTTACCTTGTTGCCGCGAATCGGGAAGGGGCTATCGAGCGACACGATGCCACTCTGGCGATTCTGTTCAGCCCATGGCGCCTGTTCAGCATTTCTCAATCGCTGTGTCGTCCTACCAGCAGGACCTGACCGTAACCAATTGGCACAGCGACTTCGATATGGAAGACTGATGTCGACACCAATGTGGTTTGAGGCTCAAGAAGCACGAACCAATCACCCCACTCCCACTCCGACAGACAGCACCACTTTACCCGCCCTTTCTCCTTCCTATATATTTCTCCCTCCTTATTGCCTTGGGGCTGGATAGCTTGTTCCCAGCAAGCGGTCTTCACATACCTGATTCTCCTCAATTGACTGTCCCAATGTGAGTGTCTCGGTCATGTCCGATGTATTCTTGGCCAAATCACAAAGGTCGGCATGGCTTCAACGTCTGAAGTCTTTGAGATTGGATTCTCGGCGTGCTACATATGTACACAGTTGTGTGTATCTCAAGACTGATTTGGGCATGTACAACCACCGCCTCATTGGGCGGTGGCGCTGATAGATAATATCGACAATGTCTTTGGTAAGCGTATCTGGCGGCTCATTCTGCTGCACCGTTTGAACCGAGACTCCGAATCGTCCAGCCAGGAGTAAACGTTGCATTCGTCCAGGCACACACGAGCTGAACAACTGGAGAGGTACAACGGTTTCGTTGCCATCCTCAAAGGGTAAAAGAGAAAACCGAGTACATGTCCGCTTTACCTCTCTTGACTGTTTCCCGTCTTCATGTCCTATGGGGCCATCATTTGACGAACTTGCCGTCGTCTTTGAGGAGAAATCATGAAGCTTACAAACTTCATGTGGTTGCTCTCATGGTCTTGTCTCGCCATCGCTTCTCCCTTGGAAGAGCGTGCAATCAGCTCTGCGACGTGTAACAATGCTCAAGTCAAGGCTCTACGATCGAGCAACGCCAATTGCTATTGCTCGTCATATCTCCAAATTCCAGTCTCGACTGTGACAAAACTTACGACCCTCACATCAACGATACAAACGACAGTTACGAAAAAGCAACTCATGACCAGGTCGGTATCGATATTGCGCATGTGGAAGTCCTTCTAACAGATTGACAGAATATCAACCAATAACGTCAAATCTACCATAACCACTCGAACCGTCACAGCCNAGCTCAAAGACGGGGTACACCACTTTGACAAAAACCATGACTGTAACGCCTCGGGCTCGGTCACTGCATCGACGGAAGCACCTTGATCATCCCTTAGAGTTGGTCGAGAGAGCCACTGTCTCAACATGCATCACGCCTGCTGTGGTCAAGAGCATGAACAAGGCGGCCATCTCAAGTGCTTGTAGGTGCTTGTCGATAGTACCTCGCGTGACCACCATCACCAAGGCTACAACAAAGCGCGTCACGCAGGTCTCGACCAAAATCGTGAGCTCTACTGCTCTTCGGACTACGACCATCAAATCTAGTCTTACTGCAGTAGCGACAATCACACCACCCCTAAAGTTGGTNTACTCGAACAGTGATTATCATGGTGACTGCGAAGACCCCTACTTCAACTAGGTCCAAGAGTGTTTCAATCAGCTCTCTGCGGAATGATGGTGTCTCCGGATCTACGTCAAAGACTTCGAGTCAGTCTCTGAGTAGTCTTCCAACCACCCAATCGTCAAGCCGTCCAGCTTCCAGCAGTAGAGCATCCAGCAGCAAGTCATCGGGTTCTGTCTCGAGCAGTAGGCTATCCACTGCATCACAGACAATCCGGTCTCTGAGCAGTTCCATGATCAGTATCCGACCTGTCAGCAAGTCGACCAGCTTATCTAGTAATACACCAGCAAGGCTTTCCAGCAGCAGCCGGGTCACAAGCAGCAAGTCTAGCAGTACGACATCAGAATTTCCTACTTCGACGGCTAGAGATGGTCAGTCGTCAAGCCAGGCAATAGCCGATCCTACCAACAAGTCATCCAGCAAGGCATCAAGCACTGCTATAAGCGGGTCCTCAAGCACACCATCGCGTCTCCCAACGACTGCGTCATCCAGCAAACTCTCCAGCATTTTAGCAAAGTCTTCAAGCATATCCCTGAGCAAGTCATCTAGCAAACCACTAAGTACTAGCTCAAGCAGAACTTCGAGCAAGATCTCCAGCACCTCGACGAGCAAATCCTCCACTACAACGAGCAGTAGTAANNGAAGACGACAACAACGGCATCGGAAACAGCGTCGACCAGACCATACCCACCGCAGGGGCCATTATATACACCTAACACGAATGGATGCGCATCAAGAACTGCAAAATCTTTGGCCAGCACGAGTACAAAACCCAGGATCTCTTCAATTTCCAGTCCGAGTAAATCTGTCATATCTTCGACCTCTTCATCGACCTCTCCGTCGGCATCAAGAAGAGCAACAACCTCAAGTTCAACCCAAAGCAGCTCAACGCCTCGATTCAGCTTCTCGTCGAACAGCACAATGTCGACGACGACAAACCCAGCATCAAGCTCAAGCTCCGTCACTGTGATCAACAGGTTCACCTACGAAGATGCCTCTACCAACGACACAGCCACCAACGCCACGTCCCCCAATTTCTCGCCGCTAACTCGACCTCCATGAATTTCAGCACTTTCACCCCGAACAAGCCATTTTATCTTCAATCTCTGTGTACCTCTGGTCTCCAAATCAGTGGTCTTTACGCAGCCCTCATCTCCACTAATTCAAATCCTGCTCTCCAATTCACGACTTCTGCTTCTCTGGCTAGTCGTTTCTATCTCTCAACCTCCGGATACTTATACGTCATGCCTTCCTCCTCTACACCATGGACCTCCTTCTCTGATGAGATGCTGATGGCGAACATCGATCAAGGAGCAACAGACATGGATTTCTTCTTCAACGAGGAAGCCGAGATTGCTGCAATGGGTGCAGAAAAGGCAAAGTGTGGTGTTGATGATGATGATGGCGTGTTGCAATGTAAAACCAGTGCAGCGTCAGAGGTTTTGTACTGTGAGGATGAAGCAACCATCAAACTGGCAGGATGCGTGTTGGAGGGTTGTGATACGGCAGAACTGNGGGTTGTATATGTGTAGATTGCCTTGTGTTGCTTGAAAGGCATGGAGTCTGGTGTTTTGCATAAACGAGGAGTCATCTCCATAACACCGGTACATGGAATACAGAACTATAGAAATGCACGAACCAATTGATAATAAACAAGACGTCTACAGAAATCCAATTAACGCTACAAGTCTCACTGGCAACTACTCGTTTTCGAGAAACGACTTTGCAATGCTATAGCATATCATTCAACCTCTAAACTCAAAGTTGGAGGAGAGATTCCTCAACCTCATCTCCCACTCTCATGCGAACTGATCGTGATGATATAGTGCTATAAAAATGCAAACTGGTATATAGATATCAAAGAGTGTCCAGAGAGAGCAACCATATAGCATGACTCTCTCTGAAAACTCTTGATTTCACAATACATCTATGCATTTCTATAGCTGTTTAACAGTCTATAATCCGTAGAAGAGAGTATATACCAAATCACATACAACCCTGTCGTAAGTCACTGTTAACAGCCCAACAAAGCCTATACCACACGAGAAAGGACGACTCATACGGCCAGGCGCGCCGCATGGAGTTGACAGGGTGCATCAACAAATGCGCCTCTCACCCATCACCATCACTACCACAAACAAAACGGTATTACCTCACAAAACCATGCCATCGACACTAAAGTCCCTGATGGGCAAGATCTTCTCTTTTCTCTCGTACTTGAGCCCCAGCGACGGCGAAGACGAGGCTGGTCCTCGTGTCCTGGTTATCGTGAGCATCTCTTTGCTTCTCTCGTGTTCTACGATAGGATTGCTGATTGAGTACAATGGCAGGGAGCACCCACTGACTTCTGCCACGAGGGCATCCATGAAGGAGGTACCCTTCGCGAACCCATCGCTGGTGCGCCTCCGCCCTTTGTGCGTTGAAGATGTAAGTGTTCAGAAAAGAGAGTTTGTTTCTATTTCAAGCATCTAATGTTTTCATAGCTGTCGCAGTGCAAGAAGGGATACTGGCAACGACTACGCTATTGTGAGATACGCTCAATCAATCTTGAGCGAGCCATAGATCCTATACACAAATGCCCAGGTGGCAACAAATCCAATCGTACCTGTCNNACACAAACCAGTTAGCCCACATGCAAAAGTTGGAGAGGAAAGAGGAATAAACTCACCAGTCAACACAAACCACAATGCACTAATCAGCGCACTGTACCCCAGATACAACACCCCCGAAGTCCATGAGGTAAAACTCAGCGTCCGTACCCAATACAGCATGGCATACAAGAAGACGTATATCGCAGAGGCGCCAGAGGTAAAGAACGCTCTCCACTGCCAATGGTAATTTTCCGCACACAGTGCAAAGTACACCATAAGAATGGTGACGGCGGCCGAAGTCACTATCATCAACCCATAACAGAGGAACAAGAAGCCAAACATGTAGTAGATACGGCTGAACCAGATGCTGCTGATGATGAAATACAGCTCGAGGAATATGGCGCCGAAGGGGAGAATGCCGACGAGGAACATGGAGGGCAAGGGGCGTAGATACCCAGTTGATGGCGGGATCTGGCGAGGAATCTGGTTGGTTCGGACGGGAGGGGTGGATTCAGGAGCGCGGAAACCGAGCCAAGAGCCACCGACGGAAAGAGGCACAGATATGAGGAACCAGATGCTGACAAGAGCGAGCATGGTTGTGAATGGCACAGCTCCGGAAGACTGACGTGCCCAGACGAACAAATTGAGAAGGAAGAAGACGCCAAATACAGTGCCCGGGACGAGCAGAGGTGTTAAGGCAATGTTCTGCTTCCAAGAGTCGCCGTGGAAGAACTTGTATACACGCGCCGAGACATAGCCCCCNACAGCACCAAAGAAGGTGTACAGCATGACCATGACAGTGGTCAAGGAGCCACGGTTTGAGGGAGACAAGAAACCGAGCAAAGCAAAGGCAATGGTGAACCCGGTCATCATGAAGAGCTGGGCGCCGTTACCGACCAGAATCGACAGGACCATAGGGTGTCTCGGCGGGCGGAAGACATCACCATGCACAAGCTTCCAGCCTGAATCCTCTTGTACGGTGTCATCCAAGTTCGTACCGCCAAAGTCATCGAGACCCAAACCATCAAGGCGGTTGTAGCGAGCAATATCTTTGCGCAGAGTTCGGAGAAGGATGGTGGACACCATGCCGACAAGAGCGACGACGATGAGGGCAGAGATGGTCAGCGAAACCCAGTGAATACGTGGATCGTAGACATGAAGGTATTTGTCCCAACGTGTGGCGAAAGAAGTGGGAGAGGGCACCCAGTAGACACTGTACGTCCAGACAACCTCGGTAGCGTCCTTCTCGGAGAGAATAACAGGGTGAGCGATATCACCACACTGGACCTTGCCATCATCCAGGAGCTTAGAGTCGATGGAAGATGCCGGTTCGACCAAGACGCCTACAACGCGGTAGTTGTCCTGAGAGGCCTGGTGATATTCGACAAAAATGTTGTAGTGGTTGTTGAGGACAGGAGTCACATTGTCGGGGATAGTACCATGGACCTGGCCAAGAGCGAAGCCAGGACTGTAAAAGATGTCTTGATTGGCATCGATCATCTTCTGGGCAGCGGGCAAGCCGTCGATGTTCCAGTTGACATTGTAGTTCTGCACGATGCGAGTATTGACGAATTTGGCATCGCGAGGCTGGAAGGTCTGCTTGCCGCATACAGCCTTGCAAGACTCGTTCTTGCCCATGTGTAGTTCCAGTGGTGAAGTCTGGATACGGTCTCCGAACAAGATGCTCCCCAAACTCTCGCTCTTTTGCTTCGGGCCTCCTTCAGGCTCGCAGTGGTGGAAGGCATGGTGGTAGTAGTCAAAGGCGAAGACGGATCGGACTTGGGTGTCTTGTTCGGATTGAGAGGGCGTAAGACGGTTGACTGTGAGCGGTACTCGATCGCCAAGTTGGTAATTTGTTGGCGCGACTCCTGGAAGATAGAAAGATGCTACGCTGGAAGGACCTGCTACCAGTAGCGCACAAAGCGACAGAGATAGCTCTGAGAAACGCATTCTGCCACCTATCCGCGCTTGATCATCGACTTGCGCCGGACCTTCGGACTATTGCCTTGGTGTGACTAGAAGATCGAAATCAAGTGCGACAACTATGGCGCAAGATGACTGAACAGTATAATCAATTCCAAGAGATGCTACAAAGACAAAAGAGCAACGGCTGAAGACGGGACAAAGGAGTCTCTCTCCTGAACACTCAACACGACCGCCATGGATTGGTCTGGGGAGAGCTGTCATTGTGCCGACGCTTGGGCCAAAGCCATGACGAGGCCGCGTACGTTGCTTGCCATAATCTCATGCAACTTCCTTCCTGTGTCAAGAGTAGCTATAGAAATGCACAGTTGTTTTTGAAAGGGGGATCGGCCCAAAGAGAGTCAATAAGAACACGACTCTCAGTGGATACTATTTTTCCATAGAGAACATTGTGCATTTTCATAGAGCGCTGCATGGTGAGATGGATCAAGTCTATGGCACATGGAGCAGATCTAGCACAGATGAAGAATGCAAATTGGAATATCATGTCCTCATTGTAACATAGAAGTGTGTACTGCTGCTTCTTCAGCACCGCGCGGGGAATCATAGGTAACCGCATGCTTGCCCCAAATAAGGTCTAAGGAAAAGGAAAGAGAGATGCCCACCAAGAGCTTCCTTACACCAGTCCGTCGTATAGCGACAACGCCGAAACAATCGTCTCGTCACGCTTGGATCCCTCCTTGAACTCGGCCATATCCAGACTGCCATTCTCGTCCTTGTCCATCATGCGGAAGATCTTGCGCACTCTCTTCTCTGGTGTGTCTTCGTCTTCGGGCAATTTGACCATCGATCCAACCTGTAGTCGCGTGTCAGCTATTGTCACTACTCTTTGCAATCCACTCCCTCTCACCATCTTGTAGATAGCCTCGACAATGGCCAGCATCTCGTTGTAACTGATTTGTCCGTCTCCATCAATGTCGTATAGTTGGAACGCCCAGTCCAGCTTATCCTCCATCTTGCCCCTGCTCGTTACACTCAGGGCGCAGATGAACTCTTTGAAGTCAATTGAGCCCGATTTGTCTGCATCAAAGACATTGAACACATAATCGGCGAATGATGACGGATCTCCGAACGGGAAGAACTGCTTATAGATCTTCTGGAACTCCTCCTTGGTGAGCATGCCCGAGGGACAGTCCTTGAGGAAACCTNNGCATGGCCGTCAGTGTCGCGTCTTGGCGGCTAATTGAGGTCGTGTCTCACCCTTGTACCATTGCTGTAATTCCTTCTTGTCGAAGTGAGTGGCCTTCTGGAGATCGCTGAGCTCCTGGGCCGACAACTTGCTCTGACTAGTGTGTGGATGCAGCGTCAGCGTGTCTGTCCTCAGTGAAAGGTGTGATATAGGGCTGTGTGTTCCAAGCTCTTGCTCCAGATGGTGGATGGCTGTACGAAGTGCTGTGTCGCGGTTGATTGCATAGTCCATGTAGCTATTGGACGTGTGACGCGGAATATGCTTCGGTCGTGGTCTCGCATGGTTGGCGGTCGCAAGGGCGGATGCAACATCACTGGTTGGTGAGGTGGAGTTTTTATCGTCGTCATGGTTGGTCGGGTTCATTGTGCTAGCGGTAGTGGTTTGGCTGACGGACGCAATTGAAGTCGACGAATGCTCGCCGAGGCATTGGTCAAGCAGGAGGGGAGCATGAGTCGAGGCGACAGTAGACGAGCCATCACCAGAGGAGAGAGCAAACAACACGAGACAAAGAAGGAGGGGCTGTTACTCACGACTTCCCCATGTTGCGCCTTTGGAATGCTGATCGTTTGTCTGTGGCAGTTTGTCCCAAAGAGTTTCCGGAAGCTGCGGCTCTTGGATCACGGAATCGGTGGAGTTGTGTTTAGGGTGATGATGTTGTCGCAGAGGGGGTTCAGGAAGAGCGCATATCAGGCCTGCCGTGGTTGTATAAGGGTGCTCTGACTAGCGCGGGGCTTAGGTGGTGGCTGTGAGAACGCCTCACTTTGTTTGGAGAGCCGCCATGACCTCTTCTTGACCACACGAACTTGCGACTTGCCCGCCCCCAGCCGTTTGACCACTACCGCATCCACGCCCTCGCACCGCATCGTCACTGGTTACAGCCGACCATGTGCCTTCGCCTGCAGAGAGCCTGCTTTTGACGTTTGCCCTCGTGGTCTGTACGCCATAACAAGCATACAACCAACCACTACGTCTTTTGCATCATGACATCTGTCAAGTGACTGTGCGGAAGCAGCCGCAAAACCATCGTCCTCACGTTGATCCCGGAGTCAGATATAAACGAATCAACACCTGGTGAGAATGTAGTGGACGAAACAAAAACTTATTTACGAGGTCGCTGAAAATGCCGTGATCGCACAGTGATCAACATGAACAGACGTCTTTGGAGTATAGACAGAAGAAATAAACAACTAATCGCTTGCAAAGGAAACGAACAACAGATGAAACACGTATGCTCAATTACAATCGTGCGGACAACTCGCTCAATGCTGATGGCGGAAGTCAAACTGTCCCAACTCAATGTCGGGCAATCTTGGCTCTCGCGCTGCAGGGCTATTACTTCGGTCTCTGCCACCCATGCTGGCTGCGTCTGAAACAAGATTTTGCTGGCTCTCGTCCCGCGAGATTCCTGGTCTTGCTGCGTACATGCCGGGCGATTTTTTCGATAGAGCGTCGTAGCCAATCTTGCTCGACCTCTTGCTTGTACTGTTGAGCGAAGGAGACACCAGAGGTGCCTTTTTGTATTCGGACACCACTGGTGAGCCCGCGCCCTTGTACTCGGTGAGTTGTGTAGGGTCCATGAGGAGAGAGTTGCGAGCGTCCAGGGGTGTGAGGTCGTCGAGGTCGCGGTTGAGTTTTTCNTGGTATCGAATATTAGTCTTGGTCTTGCACAAGGAATCGATTTCAAACTTACCGGCCTCCTTTCTCTTCTTGCGGTGAGGGTTGGCACGGACACAAGTGATGATGGCGTTGACGGCGATGAGGATAGCAAGAACACCAGTCAAAACAGATTGCACAACGATTAGAACAAGGCCTGTTACGGTCTTGGTTGTCTGACTGATGCCCAGCTCTTCAACAAAGACGAGCACGCAGATGACCGAGATAACACGGACAACCTGGATGGTGATGTTGATGACGTTGCCGCTCTTCAGTGTGTAGGGTCTTGACCAGACAAGCAGGATGAGTAGAAGGGACTCGATGACGATCTGGCCAATAGTCTGGGTTAGTCCGTGTCCGTTGGCTCCAGCGATCAAGGCGTTTTTGGCAAAGGCGTAGACGATGGTAGGGATGAATAGCCACCAGTATCCCTTCTTGAAGTTTTCATAGAGGAAGGCATATCTGACCCAAGTCTCCTTGTGCTCAAACAGCATGCTTGCATCGCCGTCCATTTTCTTGTATTTCTTGGCTTTGTGCCAGATTGTGAAAGCAAAGAATCCGAGAATGCAAGTGAAGATAGCCCAAGTAACTCCAGCGAGGACCTTGGCTGCCCACGAGTCGCCGTTAGTGAACTGGTACACGCAGTAGAGGGTCCAAACACCATAAGCAAGCATGACCAAGTTGGTAATGGTTTTNGCCAGGCGCCACCAGTAACGCTTGCGGAAGCTGTTCATGGACTTGGGAAGGTTGCCCATGAGAGCCAGGGCTTCGAGGATGACCTTGGTGAGCAAGATTCCGACGGTGATCACGGCAATGACGATGGCGAAGAAGAGCAAGATGGTCATGAAGGTGTTTCCTTGAGGAATGGAAAGCTGTTCCACATAAGCCTGAATACCGTGGACGTAGTGCATAGGTTTGCTCTCAGTAGTTGTACTATTGCCAGAGCTTGTCGAGTTGCCGATGGTTGATGTAGTGCCGTTGACACTAGTGGTGAAGTCTCTGGCGTAGAGGAACATGGTGTCAATGCCGCGCTTTGTGAGGTTGCTGCTCGTGCTGTCGTCAACCAAAGTCACGTTCTGCAAGTAGTTCCAGCTGTCGGTCGTCAAGTCTCCGCCGGTTTTACCGCGGAAGCTGTCGATGGTTTTCTGCATGCTAGCCCAAGGAATGAGACCAGTACTGAATCCAAAGTTCTTGGCGAAGCTGTGGTAGATGGTAGGATACGAAACACTGAGCATGCCGTTTGTGGCGATACCTTGGAACCAGCCAAAGGTCTCTCCAAACGTAGGACTTGGTGAAGCTCCGCCAACGTGGAATCCACCGACAACAGCACCGATAGCAGATATACCCAGAGCGGCGCCAGCCATGCCAGCGGCAACGTAGGTGACTGCTCGAACGTTCATAGTCTTTCCGTTGCTGACGGTTGATTGAACACAAGCAATATCCTTGGTTTTATCCTCGCCGGCAAACAACTCAAGCTTGGCTACACCGTCCAAGTCTGGCACGCTGAAGGCGATCGAAGGAATAATACTCGCGAATTCGGCAGGGACGCTCTGACTGCCTTGAGCGGCGAAACTTCCAGCCGGTACTNNGCGGGTTAAGATGTCAGCTCTGCACTATATGGGTTGTCGTAGCCGGGTACACATACCAGGACAAAGCTGCTCGACATAGTTGGTCGACTCGCAAGGGTTGAAAGGCTTCTGCCATACNCGTTTTCCATATGCAGTAACGACGATCTTGGCTGTGACGTTCTGTGACTCGGAGCTGCTTCCTGCGACGTTGAACACAACCATGTTCGTCGTGCGGTCGAATTGAACATCCAAGGCTTCGACCTTGATGGTGGGGTCGCTTGAACATAGAGTGAATCCTTGAGTGGACAAAATGTCACCACCTAACACTCTGGCCGGCAGAGTGCTGAGCAGCACAAGTGGCAAAGTCCACGAGACGCCCGAAGAANNCCACATGGTCGTTTTTGTGGTGTAGAAGCAAGGCCTCTTTATGCGATATCAAACTTCCAGACTTTTAAGCTTTCAGGGGTTCGAGGTCGGGGTATGAGTCGCGATCAAGCTGGACTTGTTGTATATGTCCAGTGAGGTGTCGGTAGGTATGTAGGTAACGAGTGTGAGTGAAGTCAGAGACGACACAGATGGATAATCAAGAAGTGTTTTGGGCCGGTCGCCGAGCAAAGACGTTCGCGTTGTGTGTCGGCGGCGTAATAAGGGGCTGCGGCCAGTTGAAACGTGCTAAAGGCGGGAGAAAGACGTTGTGCGTGTTTTGGAAAAAGACAGAACGAAGGTGAGAAGTTGGGCGTGAAATGTGCAAAAGAGAGAAAGAAGCAGCAAAGTGTTCGAGCGATGGACAAAATAAAACAAGAAGCGATAGGAAACTGGCAGTGTGCAGATGCAGGGAAGGCGAGCGAATGAGGTGAGATGAAGAGCGAGTGTCCAAGTCCAGGGTGCTTCAGCTAGTCGGCGCACACACCTTCTTGCATGCGTGCACGGGACTCTGTGCCATTCGAGGCCTGACCATGCGACCCGACTGTTTCTCAATTCTCTTTGACTATCTTGTGTTCATCGCCTGCCTTGAGTCCCTCGTCATCTCTATCATTGGCCTTGTTGGTTGTCAAGTTACCATCTCAAGTCCGGTAGAAGTGTCTGTCTTCTTCTATGTTTACATGCACAAAACGGCCTTGTTGCGCTCACAACGACGCTGCGCCTTAAGCCACAACTGCTATCCTGCACGGGGCTAAGCGCCCTGACACGAGCGAGGTCTGCTGCTTCCGATCCACCATCGACTAGGCGGCAGGTCATTGATAGAATGGAGTCTCCAAGAGCCCATTCGCCGCCGCGGTCTCAATCACTCGAAAGGACTCGTCACCTATCTGTCTAGGAATTGCTTCATCACCTCTAACCTCCCCTTGGTGACCAGTAACTAGACACCAGGCAATCTTGTTTGGCAGGGTACGCAATCATTATCCGCTTCGGATTGGCTGATCATTAGCTGTTTCTAAATATTGACACCTGCAAGCATCTTTATTTTGCTGTCGGAGGAATGCTTGTTTATTTGGTCAGAAACATCGCCTCTTATCGTCCAACGTAATCTGACGGACTATTGAAAGTATCATCAGTATCTTGGTCGAGGGAGTGGGAGGTGGTCGATCATACAGTGCACAGTACTTTCATCAGTGATGTTTTTGATTGCAAGATCATCATATCGATTGGCCGCACACAGAACATTCCAGGCGTGAAGATCAGGCTTCGGTCGCAATACGTTCGTGACATGTTGATCAGCTCATGCTATTCATATAACTGACATGGTCAGTGGCTGAGGTCGAAATGGAGCATGCGAACCGCCATGGCCAAAACTGTGGCCAAGATCTGGGAACCGATAAATCTCACCATATTTCGTCTTCTATCTCTCGACTTCCAATCAATTCACGCGTTGATGGTATCGTGGTTGAAGTTTGGACAGATGATATTTGTTCGTATGCAAGTCAGATTCTAGTCAAAATAGACAGCCTCCCTATAGTTGAGGTCTCTTTCCGTGAATGCGCCCGCTCCCAGTTATTTGACATATTATACGCTTATAGAATGCTCCAGAGAACAGCGGCACCAACGAGACCACCCCAACCAGCGAACTTGGCAACAGTGCTGGCAGAGCCGTGGGGAATGGCACCAGTAGCAGCCTTATTAAGGTAGAGAGCACCAATGTCGGTAAGCTTGCCCTTCTCGGTCAAGAAAGCAGCGTTGGGTCCAACCNNTGTGTATCAATGTCAGCAAAATATCGTCAACAATAGGGCTCGAAAACTTACGTTAGAGACGGACGAACGGAAAGCACCAAAGTAAGAGTACTTTTGCATGTAGGGAATGCGGTCAAGGTATTCGAGGCTCTGGTTGGCAAATGTCTGGCTGTCCTCCAGAGAGCAATCGGCGCATGCGAATTCGGTGACCCAGATGGCACTGATGTTCTGGTAGGTAATGTTGATCTGACCCAAGTGATCAGCCAGACCACCAAAGTTGCCGTACCAATGAGCAGGGATAAAGTCAACCTCGCAAGAAGTGGTGTTGGAAGAACCGCCAGAGCTAGCTTCAATGGCAGCACATTCGGAGAACCAGTTCGCAAGCCAGTTGAATCCATTAGGTGCACCAGTGACTGCAGGAGCACCAAGCTTGACGCCAAAATCGCGCTTCAGAGGCTCAAACTGCTTCTTCCAGACCTGAGCGGCCGTGGCAGCACTGACGCAAGAACCGCCACTGCTACAGCCGTCGGGTTCGTTGAATCCAAGCACATATGTGATGTTCTGTCCTTCTTGGATCAAGTTGCTGACAGTGTTGTAGAAGCTCATGTCATTCGCCGGGTCCTCGGGTGCTCCCCACAACATAGGGACGAAGTTGAGCTTGTTATTGTAGTCGGGTGTAGGAACAGCGGCATAGTTGTAATACCATGTCCTGTTCTGGTCAGTACGATATCTACCAAGCACACCATGTTGGGTTGTGTCTTACAGGTCGGTGTCGTTTGTCCAGATGGTGTCGTCTTGCGAGGTCTCGGTGGACACAACGCAGAGACCACGCTTGCTAGAAGCAGTGGCTGCAACAAGGGGTGCAGCCACAAGAAGTGCTGGGGCGATGTAACGCATTGTGGTATATGTTTTGAATTATAGATGGCGGTAGATGTATGTAGTCCGGGGGTATTATATTGTGTATTGGCGCAAGTGATCCGGATATCACAGATAAGTGCTCGAGGTTGGGAAATGCGTCAGAGGCGGTTTTTGATATGTTCGAGCGAACGAGTGGGTGGAAGACTCGAGTAAAGTTGGCAGAACCAGGCTTCGAGGGGTATAGCGAGTGATGGAAAGAATGAAAGAGCGAGACAAGGAGGAATGCAGGAAAGGACGGAGGAAAATATCCCACAGATCTCAGACAATACTTTTCCTCAGCTATCGAAGAGCGTTGGCGAGCCCATGCTAGAGCGCTTCTGGGCTGCGTGAGAGAGTCAAAAACGGATTGACTCTCAACGTTATCAAGCCCGTCCACTCCCGGATCTGCAGCCTCCCGCTAGAGCACCTATTTGTGGACTAGGAAGACTTGGCTTTCTCAAATCGTTCTTCGCTGTCCTAACGGAGAAGAAAACGATTTTGAGACATCGCGGCATTCGATGGTTTGCTGACTGCGATCTTCAGCTGCAAGGTACGACTAGGAGTTCGGCGCCAATGCTTGACCTTGTTGGGCAAGGAGTTTGAGTTCAGTCCGTATGCCCGAGGAGCCGCAGGTCCTTCTTTTCATCCGCATCATCGGTTGAACTTTGGTGCGGCAGTCGGCATTTCCGCTTAACTTCCGTCAATAGAACATGGGCTTATGCAGGTCCTTCTTCTCGAACCACTGCGCAAGCCATCTTTGGAAAGGAGATTTGGAGCTGAGGGACGGAGGCGAGAGGCAGACAGCTGGTTGTGTTTCAAGTTTGTGCGACGCCGAGGTTGGAAAAATCTGCTTTCGACACGGCGGTCATCAACAGGCCAGTGTGAGAGAAGAATTTCCGAAGTCGAACTCGTTTCTGGTAGCACCCTGTCTATCAATTCGTTCTCGTACCATCCGGCAATAACAAGCTGGATAGACTTCTGTGGCTTGCGTAATCGACACACCATACTCCTGAGCGCTTATAGGAGACTTTGTAGGGTTGTTGCCCGTGACGGACAGATCATGGTTGTGTTTGGCAGTTGTGCTGCGTTTCTGGTTCGTCTCGGATTGAAGCTGCACATTCTCACCTATCTTTTGACTTGATCACAGAACTCTCCACTGTGTGGAAGTACCATTAGATGTAATTACGCTCTCAGTCATGTGCAAGCACCTTGCCGTTAGATCCGTATAGACTACTCCGAAGCAGGTAAGACATACTCTCTATGGCCTTCAGTGCTGAACAGGACAACCACTGCATCGCGATCTTCCTGCAGTTTACCTCTTTTGTACAGTTTCCTCAAGGCTGCCAACGGAGCTGCTCCACAAGGTCCCGCATTAACACCATGGTCCTGCAGATATAGAACATCATTATGTGCTTCAAAGTCGTTGACGATCACTGAAGCATGAACACCTGACTTTAAGGATGGCCAGCAATTAGTGGAAACAGTACCGCAGTCCATGCCTGCATTCTTGAGTTAGCGTGGACGGCATAAGTTGACAAGATACTTACCATCCATGATCGTCGAGCTTGTCTCAACTGGAACAATCTCTCCATTAAGTAGACTCTCCATCAGACATGGCGCTGCTTCCGACTCGACGGTAACAACCTTCGTTCTTGGATCGCTCCCCGTATAGTGAGAAACGACAGACTGGGCCCACGAACCAACGCCAACGGAAGCGATGCAAAGCGATGGTCTTTTCCCACATGCCTCCTCAAGCTGGCGATCTACCTCCGCGTGCATTGTAGCATACCCGTCGACAACCCACCGCGGTATCTGGATATATCCCTCCCAGCTAGTGTCCATCACGAGCATAGCTCCAGACCTTTCAGACTCCTTCATGGTAGCAGCGATACTATCGTCATAACTGCCGTTGACAACATTAACACTAGCGCCCTCATTCCGTAATTTCGCGCGGGTTGCTTCGTCCATAGTCCGAGGAACGAAGATAGTGACTTTGATGCCCATGTATTTGGCAGTACGCGATACTGCTCTTCCCCAATTGCCGTCGGTGCAAGAGACTAGCTTGATACCTGCATTTCGAGCCGCCTGTCCAGCTTCTTCAAGCGATGCGGATGATGGAAGACCTGTTTTCTCACATACTGCTCTAAAGATTCCCCAAGATGCGCCTAAAATCTTGAACGATGGTAGGCCAAATCGAAGGCTCTCGTCTTTGACATATACGTGGCCAATACCCAATTCTTGAGCCACTTCAGGAAGCTCTATCAAAGGAGTAGTCTTCGATTCTGGAAAGAACCGATGGAAAGTGATGAGATCAGGATCAATAAAAGCGTCGGTATGGAGGGTATGCGATAGTCCAGGGTTGATCAAAATATCATGTCTCTCAAAGACGTCGTCGTGTCCAAGGTGCTTGACCTTGAAAGTGCCAGATTCCGACATGAGACCAGGTTCTACTGCTTGAAAAACGACTATGGTATGATGTTGTTAAAGGTGAAGTTAAGAGCGCATCCGTTGTGATGCGAGGCAGTGCTCTTGGCCTATATGCCAATTTCATGGATGCGTGCGGAGAAGAGACCGTCGTGAATTGTGATCAAGTTTCTCTCCACACCTTGAAAGTCTGTTTGATGAATCTCCCATGCACTCGTAGCGACACAGCAACAATTGGACCTACATATATGCATAAGTCGCCGACACTAGAAGTGTGTGCCATTGAGAGCTGTCAAGACAGCATTCTTTAGCAGTGCTTCGAGAAAATCGTGTAGTCTCACTGAGAACAGCTAGTCACGTCTGTGACAAACTTCTAGGAGATTACTCTCCACACGTCGAAAGTTTGTTTGGCACCGAATCGGTCAGGTGGATGTCATCATGATCCGAGAGGACAAGAACGAAAAGCTCTTCACATGTGATGGCTGGTCGGCGATTTTGTCAGTCGCAAGGGTGCTGTGAACGAGACGGGAAAGAGGCAGCCGTAAGATGCCCGTTTCAGTTGGGATCTCCTCTTTTCTCAAAGCCACAGCACATGCAACGGGTCATGTGTGGAGTCGGGAGCCGCAATTTGAGGTTGGATCCAGGTGTAGCTGGAAGTTGGCCTCGAGTTTTCAGTTGACTCTCGCTGTTGGCGGAGCGTGGTCGCAAGCATCAATGTTCGGTGAGAGGAGAGTCGAGAGTTGTTTCTCCTTGTAGAGCAGAGATCTTCGCAGGGATCGATATGATGAAGCATGGCTAGACTGCGGATCATCTACTCGAGTGGGACCCCTATCGATACGGGGAAAGCGAGTGGTGCATCAGCCAGGGCCCAGGGGAAAGACTGGAAAGCAACAGACATACATCATCAGCATCCACTTCTTTGTCCCTTGTCATTTTGGCCCTGTCATCATTGTCGTCCAATTCTTGAATACACAGACAATGCTGATCTAATACCAATCCCTTTGTACCTTGTCACTCGAAACTTTTCACGCAGCTCTCTGGACCAAGAAGGTTTATGGTTGCTCGTCCTTCACACGTGCTCACCCACCACCGTCACGCGGCGACATCAACACGCCCCCTCCCACACGCATAGACACATCCAACCATGGACTCAGAAAGCTCGCAGGCGGGCTCGACAAGGCGACGAGGCTCGTCGCTCGTGCAACAGATCATCAACGAAGAACGCATTGGCATCCGGAGGGCCAGTCCCAGAAGAATGCCTTCCGACATTCCCGAAGCCGCCCATGCCGAATCACCACATAGCTACGATGAAGAAGACACCAACCCTGTTTCGTCAGGCTCGGACTGGGAGATGGACGATATTCGATCTGACGAAGGTCTTGAAGATGACGAAGAGACGGGCTTGACTGCCCAGGATCGCCAGAAGAGAACGAGACGCAAGAGGCGGAACACACTGGCAGATGAACGAATCGTGCCCGACAGCGAAATCTCCAAAGAGGAAGAGCGCCTGGCTTCTGCGAGCTTCATGCGCGACGCAATCATAAACAGCATTTTGATAGGACTGTGGTACACCTTCTCAATATCCATCTCTGTCGTAAGTCGTTCGACCCGCTCAAGTGTAAATCTCGATGCTTACCGATACCTAGNNTACAACAAATGGATGTTCTCAAAAGGCAACCTTGACTTCCATTTCCCTCTTTTCACCACCTGCGTACACATGCTCGTACAATTTTTCCTCTCCTCGCTCGTCCTGTATTTCATTCCCAACCTACGACCGAAACACAAGCCTGCCGATTATGCGCCGATCGCCCAGTCTGCAGACGGAGACACAGTTGAAGCACCTCGCAAGCCGCTCATGACTGGTTGGTTCTACTTGACCCGCATTGGCCCTTGCGGTGCAGCCACTGGCCTCGACATTGGTCTCGGAAACATGTCACTCAAGTTCATTTCCTTGACTTTCTATACCATGTGCAAATCGTCCGTGCTGGGCTTTGTGCTTGTCTTCGCCCTTCTTTTCCGCTTGGAGAAGCCCTCGCTAAAGGTCGGAGCTATCATTCTCACCATGATGGCCGGAGTGGTCATGATGGTCGCCGGAGAGACAGCTTTCAGCATTCTAGGTTTCATACTGGTTATGAGCGCAGCATTCTTTTCTGGTTTCCGCTGGAGTCTGACACAAATCCTACTCCTTCGCAGTCCAGCCACCAGCAACCCTTTTTCATCCATTTTCTTTCTGGCACCCGTCATGTTTACGGCACTGCTTGTCATTGCATTGCCAGTCGAGGGCCCTATCGAGCTCGTCGGCGGTCTGCGTGCCCTGGCAGAGTCCAGAGGTGTCGCAGGATCCATCGGTATCATTCTTTTCCCTGGAGTACTCGCCTTCCTCATGACGGCATCAGAGTTCGCTCTTCTCAAACGCACTAGTGCAGTGACGTTGAGTGTCTGCGGCATCTTTAAAGAAGTTTTGACTATCTCAGCTGCTGGAGTAATCTTTGGCGATAAGCTTACACCCATCAACATCTCTGGACTGATAGTGACCATCGCCAGTATTGCAGCCTACAATTTCATGAAGATGCGAACGATGAGGGACGACTCAAAAAGAGAGGCCCACGAGCAAATGGCGGCTGTAGAGTCGAGACGTTCGCTTGAAGAGAGTGGCAAGATCAGCAAGGAGCACACCAGAAAGGCGAGCACAGCAGGAGGGTTGATCAGAAACAGTCTCAGTCTCAACATTGCTCCACTGCTGGAGCAGAACAACAAAGACAGAGCTAGCCCAGTCAAGAGGCCCGAGGACCTTGACTAACCCATCTAATCGGATATAGCAGCCATATAAGCTTATAGATTTGTCTCATTTGTACAAGTGACTGCGGTCTCGATGAGTTTGTTCTTGTGTGAATCGGTAGTGAAAGTGAACAGACATAAGAATAGAGTGACTTCGAACAAAGACATGACGGAGTTTGTCGACGCCAAGAATGCGCGTCGGCGGCCGGTTGCGTCTTTAAGCCATCACTTTCCCTTTCTTTTCTTTGCAGCCAACATCTGGAAGCTGTACAAGACAGAGTATTGTTACGCCCTTCGCTTGAAAGAGATCGCCCATCTATCTCGGTCAGATTCTTTGTCGACGTCCGAAACTCATCACCACCGAGCACACCCCGTCACACGACGCATCTGGTTGCCACGCACACCATCACCACCCCGACAGGAAGACACGAGACAGACAACATGTCGGTCGAGGTAGCGACAGGAACGCCACTGGCAGAAGCCCTCCACAATGCCGTGCAACCCAAGCTGGCTGAGGTTGGCTGGAGCACCGGCGCCGCAGACGACTCAGCGCTCGCCGAGTACATCATCCTCATGCTCGTCAACGGCAAGACCCAAAGCCAAATCGCATCAGAACTCTCCAACGATCTGCTTGGCCTCGGTCCTGACGATCCCAGCACCAACGAATTCGCGACATGGTTATTCGAACAAGTCCACACATTAAACGGACAGCTCAATGGCGCCCAAGATACGCAAATGGATTCGGCGCAACCTGCCGATGGCACAACTGTCACTCAAACCCAGCCGGGTCAAGACCAGACTATGGGCGATGGAGGCGATTCGCTACTTGAAGGCGCAATGTATGTTGGCCCGCGCCATGTTCGCAAGACTCATCTGCTAACTATACCCAGTCCCACCGGCCCCAAGTCGATGCGCAACGGTAACGGCAAGCAGCAAACACGAGACCGTCGCATGCTCGGACACATGAACAAAGCCCTCGATCGCACAAATGATGCCCCGCTACACAGAATAAGAGGTGGTGGGGGCGTCGGCAGAATCAACACTCACAACAACCGCGAGCCTCCCAAGGGCCCTCGCAACATGGCCAACCGTATGCAGAACATGAGCCAGATGAACTCGCCAATGACCCAGAACGCCATCATGGGAGCCAACCCGCAGCAACAGATGCAACTGTTTAAGATGCTGGAAGAGCAATCGCGCATGATGGCTCAGATTCTTGGTCCTGGTCAGCAATTCCCCAATGCTCCCGCCATCAACCCAGCATTCTTCAATGGTCAGCAGCAACAGCAGCAACAGCAGGGCCAGCAAGGCAAGTCGCTATTTGAGCGTGTTGAGAAGCCCAGGAAAAACAGCAACTTCAAGAACAACCAGCGACCCAACGCAGGTGCAGACGCCATGGACACCGAGGGCGCCGAGAACGCCGACTCGGAACAGAAGGAACCCTCGACCATCCCCTGCCGCTTCCAACTCTCTTGCACGAATCCCTCATGTCACTTTGGTCACCAGTCTCCCGCCGCACCACCCGGCATTGCTCTTGATCTCACCGACACATGTCCTTATGGCGCCGCCTGCACGAACAAGAAGTGCGTTGCTTCTCACCCTTCGCCCGCGCAAAAGCGTGCCCACCTCTCGACTCAAGTGGACNTGCAAATTCTACCCAAACTGCACCAACCCGAACTGCCCCTTCAAGCACCCCNNACCACACCGCCCTGCAGAAATGGCGCCGACTGTCCCGAACGCGACTCTGGCTGCCAGTTCTCCCACAGCGACATCATGTGCCGCTACACGCCTTGCTTGAACCCCAACTGCCCTTACCGCCACACCGATGGCCAAAAACGCAGCGCAAACTGGACGAACCCCAACGCCAAACACGTCAGCGATCGTACTTTTGTCACAGACGCAGACGGCGATGAAGAGTTGATCATACCCGGTCAGAGCAGCGGAGAGCAGCAGCAAGAAGGTCAATCAGCAGAGCAGCAGCAACAGCAAGGCCAGGCTCAACAGGCCAATGCAGATGTCATTGCTTAGGAGCTGATGTCCATTGGCCCACCCCTCGCCTTAGTTATGCGGACACTTCAACGTCAAGCTGAAGGACTTGGATCTTGAGACGGGAGGCACCTGCGAAAGAGAAGGATTGGAAGACATAATTTGCGACGCCTTGAAGCGCTGGCATACAGAAAACTGGGCCCAGTCGCTTCCTCAAGGAACGCTGGAAGAGAGGGTCATCTTCCCTGCTTTGGACCTGCTGCAAGAGCCACAGCTAGATTTTGGAAGGGAAGACTGCGAGATGGTAGATGCGTAAAGCAGAGGGTAGTGGTTATTATTTGAAATCAGGGCCTCGAGAAGGAAGGTCGTTCGTTTTTGGGTGGATGCGTCATCAGCATTCTCTTATTCTGCTACATCAATCCGCGTTCTTACTTGTCATTCAATGTGATGTGTCTTGTTGCAAGGCTTGAACTCGAGTACATGATTTGAGTAGAGTGCTAATAGATACTTGAGTTATATTTTATCAAAACCACACATGTTTCATCAATCTCTTCTTAGCTCAGTTGGTTTAGAGCGTCTGACTGTAATTGTTCGATTGTCATCAGAAGGTCCTTTGTTCGACTCAGAGAGAGGAGATTCTTTTTGGTTTTATTCCGCCCCATCATCCTTCTTCTACTTGCTCGCATCCTCACCATCAACTTTTGTATTCTCCTTTTCCATAGACATCTATGGCTGCTGGAAGTTGTAGCAAAGTTGTCAAAGGGATGCATCAGAGAAACGCAGAGTTCATCTAACGTCCAGGCCCAGACAGTCAACCAGTGTCTTTTGGTCGATATCGTCGTTCGAGCAGCAGCAGCCATTCTAGGCCAAGGTTCATCACGGAAATTCCTGTTTTCCATGAGTTTCCAATAACTTTCGTTGTGTTTTTCGGTCCCTTCTACTTGAAAAATGTCAGAAATCCAGCTGTGCAATTGCAGAGTCGTTCAAGAAACAGTGTATCATCCATGGAGAGCCAAGATAACGACAACTCTCTGGAAGCATATGTAATGGGAAAACAACCATGTCTCATGATGTTCTATCTCCTCTCCGTGGGCCAAAAGCTTTCATAATGTAGCTGTAAGAATACTCGGTTGTTTTCAGACAAGAGATGACTTCAAAGAGAATCGATAAGATCCCCGCTCTCGGTGGATGCTGCTTCTTTCTGTAAAGTATTGTGTATTGTCACAGCTGTAATGCGGCATCATCTAGCACGCAGAGAGACCACCAAAATGAAGAAAAGGGAGTCACACTATGTTTATTGGGTATGAAATATGTCTCGAATTTGTGGTTCCTCGCCTAGTTACCGATCGGTTTGCTGGATTCTTATTCCTCCGTGTTCGAATAAATGATGTGTTTCTCTCACTCCTCTCATCATTCTTAGTTTAGTTTCGGCTCTTCTGCATCTTGGTCTTCGCAGGGAAGAAAAGCTTCTCATAGTCCGCCCAAAGTCCGTCCTCGATCTCCATCGGACCAGTCTCCAATTCGTGCTCGTGATCTTGTAGTATGTCTTTCTCGACCATGTAGTCAATTTGCGGCATAGGATGTGCCCAGAAGTTGATCATGGGTTGGAGGTGGTATGAGCGTGGCAGATTGACCAGCTGCACACGTCTCAGATTTGGCAATTGACCTCTGACGCGTGTGGCAAAAGAAGTCCAGTCCACTGACCATTCTGGGTAGCGATAAGTGATATTCAAGCGTTGGAGAGTGTTTGAATGGCGTAGAAGGAATCGAACCAAGTCATTCTCCTGGCATCCCAGATGGGTCAGACTGAGAACTCGAAGGTTTCCGAGAACAGACTCGCCCATCAATGAGAACAGTCCATCGTAACGATTGTCGCCAAGTGAATCAACAAGACCAACACTCTCCAGCTTTGGTGCGCGAGCTACGATGGAGGCCAAGAAACTCGAAGCACGACCCTGGTGTCGGAGGTGCTTCAGGTTGTCAAAGACCGATGTAGTTGGAAAGTTCCAGTTNCGGGGAAGTGTGAGGTGTGTATCCATCAGTACCAGAGAACCCAAAGCACGATCGACATTATGAACCTGCTTCATGATATCCCAGAAATTGAAGTACATAGAGTCCCAAGACCAGTGATACCAGTATCTAGAGCGTTGAGCGGTTGCTAGCGGGATGTCGCGATAGAACCGTTCTCTCTTCTCGGCCATTGTGGAGCTCTCTTTTCTCTGACCATAGCACTCGATGACCAGGTTGCTGAGTTTTGGACACTTCTGGAACGCGAGAGCAATACCGTCCAGCATGGAAGTTCTACGAGATCGCGCTCGTTGAGCGCCAGCCCTTTTCTGATAAGACGCCCATTGTTCGNNCTAAGAAAATCAGCATTGACAATGTGTCGTATTGGAAAGCACCACTCACTTGTTTCTCTCACGACGTAGAGCTCTTTTTGCTCGAGTATCGTTCTTATTCGTGGCAGCCTCTGCAGTCAAGGGACCTGTCTGATCTGCCGTTGCCGATTCTTCTGTGAAGAGACGTGCCCAATCTTGATATTTCGGGAAAAGAGGCAGACATGATGTGTCGACAATCAAGGTAGTGACTGAATGCCTCAGATCCGGATTGTTGACGATATCTTGGAGATCCTGAAAACTGTCTGAATGATTGAACAAGAAGATGCGTGGTAAGAGGTAGCGGCCAGCGGCGACAGCATAGACCTTCGATGTCAATCTGAGCGACTTGAGATCTTTGGGTGTCAGATAGCTGCAGACACGCTGCTTGAGCTCAAGCGGCAGAGTGTCCATGTTGGTGCGAGTGGTCAGACCAGATGTCGCACCAGTCTCGAACAAGTGGTTGTATGTTGAAGGTTGGGAAGTGGATTAGGATGGAAGTGGGAAGGAAGGAAGGAAGGAGAAGGAGTTAAATTGATGGAGAGGGAGGAGGGTCAAGTCGCGTGTGATGGAGCAGCTCCGCGATCTCCAGTGTTTGAGACAGTGAAGGCCGAACGTGTGGACAGACTTTGCGTTATGGCGAGTTGTGTCGAGTGGAAGGCAGGAGACGCCAAGGCAGCAGCGATTTCACGCTTGACGAAGAGTCAGGTGAAGAGAGGCCGGCCTGCGGTCTGTCGCCCCTTCCCTGTAGAATTCCTCGAGATCCAGCCAAGTATCACTTGGAAGAGGTGTGCTGCACGTGGCGATCGCGTGTTGTGTGACGTAACGAAGTTGTGCTGTATATATATGTTGTGTGACCACTAGATTGCTTTTCGAATGAATGGGAATATAAGCCGAGGATGATTATCACTCTAGATGTCAGTTGAGATACAACCAAAGCGGTACCCTGATCAAAGCGAGTGTGAAGATCCTAAAAATTGTACATTTTTCTTCTCCATCGTTACATCCATAATGCCATCGGTCAGACTACATACCTAGCTTCCAGGGGCTTCAAAGCGGCAACTTCTTGTGCTTCCACTGTCTACTACCGCCTGCTCCATACATCGCAGCACCCTGTCCAGATCCCTTGATTCTGTACTCATGAATGCAAAGGCCTTCCAAACCAACAGGTCCTCTGGCGTGTACTTTGTTCGTGCTGATACCGACCTCAGTGCCAAAGCCGAAACGCATACCATCTGACATTCTTGTACTGCAGTTCCAGAACTTGCATGCACTGTCAACGCCGTTGCAGAAGCGATCGGCGGTCTGTTCTGAGGATGTGAGGATGGCATCTGTGTGGTGCGAGCCGTGCATGTTGATGTGCTCGACTGCGGCATCGACGGCCTCTAGCGGGTCCTCGGTTCTGGGGATAGTCTTGATGGCGAGGATCAAGTCGAGGAACTCTGTGTCAAAGTCTGATTCGCCAGCATCTTGCAGCATGGCTGCTTCATGCTTGTCCAATGTCTCTGAAAGTGCGGCCTTTGAGGTGGGATCGCAACGCAATGATACGCCCTTGGCAAGCAGAGCTGATGCCACGCCAGGTAAAATGGTTTTCAGTGCGTCTTCGTTAACCAGCAGAGATTCGAGAGAGTTGCAAGCTGCAGGGTAATCCGTCTTCGAGTCCACGATAACGCTTGCAGCCATCTCGGGCTCGGCATCCGGGTGGATATAGTAGTGACAGAGACCGTCAGCATGACCGAGGACAGGCATATGAGCCATACGTTGGCAGTGGCGCACAAGTTCGTTTGATCCACGAGGAATGACAAGATCGATGTACTGGCTGAGTTGAAGCAGAGGGTCCACAGCATCTCTGGTTGTGACGAGCTGGATTGAGTCGTTGGGGACCTTTGTGCTCTCAAGTGCTTTCGAGATCACTGTGGCAATGATCTTGAATGATTCTGTTGACTCCTTGCCGCCNTATTCATGCTGTTAGCTTTATGAGTCTTTCTTAAATCATGACCAGTACAAACCTTTCAGAATAGCAGCATTGGCAGACTTGATAGCCAATGAAGCAATGTTGGCAATAACTTCAGGACGAGCCTCGAAGATGATCAACAAGACACCAATGGGACATGATTGACGTTGCAGAATAAGCCCATCATCCAGCTCTGTACGCATATCAACCTTCCCGACTNNAGAATAGAAAATCAGTAAATCACACTCATGCCACACTTGCTTTTACCGCAAACACATACCAGGATCCTCCAGACCCTTCACATCCAAAATCCCCTTCAACATATCCTCAAACTTGCCAGGTCTAGAAAGATCCAGTCTCTTCAAGATACTCTGGCTCAGCTCGCCATCAGCAGCAGACTTTGTCGCAATCTCCAAGTCACGGGCATTGGCTTGCAAGATGTCTGATTTTGCTGCCGAGAGTGCATCGTGGATTGATTGCAGAGCAGAGTTTCTGTCTTCGGTTGAGAGGATGGCGAGTGTGCGGGAAGAGAGCTTTGCTGCTCTTGCGGCTTCTGAAGGAGAGCCGTTTGTTAGAGACATGATTCCTGTATTGATCAGTGGGAAAAAAACAGAGAGTAATTCAATTGATGTGTTTTAGTATGAAATGTCGATGGTCGACTTTCGAGTCACAGCGTGCCAAGCACGTCGACTTTCACTCCAGATTTTGATCATGATCTGGACAAAACGGCTGACAGCCAGCCATGATATCTGACCATAATTGTGACAATGCATGAGATGGAACCGGAAAGTGGATGTGGACGATGATTGAACTGTGGTATTGAAAAGGATCTCATGGCTTCGTTACGATAGTTTCTTGGAGGACCAACTCTTTTCTGTTGACCTTCTTATTCTCCGCTCCACGCTCGTGCTCTAGTCTCAAAGCCACCACTAACCCAAGGATTGCTCTTCGCAACAGTTGGCGTGAAAGATGTTGGTGTGAATGCGTTCCTCTGGTCGACAGGACTAGAAATAGAGTTACTGCTCTCAGATCTCGTCATGTCGTCACTGAGCCGCGAGGAAGGCTCGTTGTCTTCAGTGACAAGGCGCACGCCGGCATATTTGCGCTTTATAGCTTCTTCCCTCCTCTCTTGCTCGCCACGTATTCCCTCGACTTTCCTACGTTCGAGCTCGGCGACTAGGTTCTTGAAGTAGACCTCTGCGGCTACTGTTTGGCTGTATGCGAGGGGTGTCCAGTCATATGCATTCTTGGCTGTCGGGTCCGCGCCTGCAGAAAGGAGGATACGAAGGGCTTTGAGGGAGCCTGATGCGGATGCGTGGTGGAGAGGTGTATCGCCGTGGTTGTCGCGACCGTCGGCGGAAGCGGGGTATTCTGGGTGGGATAATAGCAAGGATACTAAGGGGGTAGACGCAGGATTGAGGCACGCCAGGGCGAGCNNTGAGAAGCATAGAGTCAGCATGTATATGTAGCAGAGAGGGTGCATATAACATACGGCGTCCAGGCCTGACTTGTTGGTGATGGGAATGCAACGCGGAAAGCGATTGGCGAGCAGAATGCCGACGTCAACATTGCCGTGTCGCGCAGCCAGCATCAANGGAGTGTCCCAGTCGGAATTGCGCGATATCTCGATGTCGTCATGTCCAGCGTCGACAAGAAGNTGCCTACAGTAAAGAGTGTTGGTCTCTGTGCTCTTTCGTGACGTTGGAGCGCCGTTGGATGCGCCGGGTATAGTCCTCACCACAATCTCCTCGAAACCAGCTTGCGCCGCAAGATGTAGACTCGTGCTGCTCTTGTCCTTGAAGTCGGGGTTCTGTAAGATGCCAGGGTTGGAGCGGATGATGCGTTTGACCAGCAAAGCATCGGATAAGAGTATCGCCCTGCGTAGTCGAGTCGAGGCGTCTATCATTCTTGCAACTGCCCGCTCAAACCATGGTGTCAAGGTATCCAACTGCCTGAGCCGGCATATAGTATTTGATGCTGTGATAACAAGCAGATAGCTATGTTGTTGGGTATGCGTTGTGTTTGACTTCTGGCGCTTGTGACTGCAGCCACAGCGACGAATACGAGACAACAAAGCGCGTCATCCATGACCCGCCGGCTGGCTGGACGCTCATCACGTGCAATGCTCCCTCGCTCCTTCCATTCACATCACTGTCACCGTCTATAGCCTACGCCAGTCATTGAGCACAAATGGAAAAGAGATGAGTAGAATAGATGGATTCTTCATTGAACTATATATACATAATCCGTTCTCCCATGCGACATTACAAAATTACTAATCATACACACACTCTTCCACTCTCTATGCAGAGATGGATCTTTCGCGAGCGGGAGCCTCTGCAGCCGCAGCCTTCTCCTCGTCGCCAGTGTCGACTGCCTTGGCTGGTGCAGTGTACTTCTCGAGCTCGTTCATCTCCTCTTCAGTGTCGTTGTACTTGCTGTAGATGACCCAGAAGAGGACACCAGCGAGGAAACAGGCAACACAGAGACCGGTGTACATCCAAAGGAGCTTGGGGTCAACAGCAGTGGGAGAGAGAGCAATACCAAGAGCAGAGCCAAAAGCGCTGGTCAGGAGGAAAAGCGACATGATGAAGGACTTCATGCTTGCGGGTGCCTTGGTGAACGCGTACTCAAGACCAGTGATACTGGCGAAGATCTCCGAGAGACCAATTAGGAGGTATGCAGGAGCCTGAATGGCGACGTGGACGTTGTTGGGAGCATAGGTTCCATCAGGCAGCAGAGCAGCCTCGCAAGCGCCGGGAGCGTCGTAACAAGGTCCAGTGCTGTAGATGAGCTTCTGAATGCCCGCAGCATAAGCCATGGCGGCTGCGCCGAACATGAAGCCCCAAGTAATACGGGTGATTGGCTTCATCTGGAAACCGAGCTTGCCGAGCGCAGGGTAGAACAGATAGTCCATGACGGGAATGAAGATGATAATGGTGATAGGGTCCCAGTTCTGCATCAAATCGTTAGGGATACCGTGAAGCTGCATCTGACCGGCTTGGGAGATGAAGTTGTTGAGCATTTGAGAGTAGACGACCCAGTAGACGGGGAAGAAGCAGAAGACCTTGCAAGCAACGAGAGCGCGCTTGACCTCCTCGACAAAGATGCCGTCCCACTTCAAGTCGTATTTCTTGCCACCAGTAAATTCTTCAGAGTACTCGGGCTTAGCGGCGTTCCAGTTGCCCTTGTTCATCATGACGATCCACATGACCTTGCAAGCCTTGGGGATGACAGAGCCAGCGGGTGCTCTGACCTTGTACTTGGACTTTCCAGCAACAAGGACTGCAAATCCGACAAGGAACATGAGGAAGGGAAGCAGATAAGCAGGCCAGAAACCAATGTTGGCCTCGAGCTCGGTAGTGGCGATGGATGACAAAGAGCCAATGTTGATCATCATGTAGAAGATGGAGTAGATTCTCTGGATGGTCTTTCCAGGGTCGACAATAACACGCTCTCCACTCTTAAGCGTCTTGACGAACTGGCTGGTGTTCTGGTACTGCTCGGCAATCAAAGGAGAGACATTGGACTTGATACCACCGGTACCGATGCCGATGATGATCATGGCAGCAATAAGACCGCCCAGAGAAGCACCGTTCTCAATGGCGACGGGAAGCGAAGTCAAGAACAGAATCAAGTTCCCAAGAATGTAGATAAGGGCGGAATAGAAGATGGTCCAGTACTTTCCAAGGTATTGATCGCTAACGATGGCGCCGAACACGGGACAAACATAGCACCAAAATTGAAAGAAGTCGGTCAGACCAGTAGCTCCAGTTTGTCCAAGACCAATAGCTCCAGGCACTCTGCCACCGTAGCTATTCTCAATGTAGTTCTGGAAGGGACCAGAGAGACCGTAGTAGGTGAAGCGTTCGCAGAGTTCGATGATGCAGATGATGAATGCGGCCCAGGGAAGCTTGTCGGAAACCTTTCGTAGTGTTCGTCTTTCTTCTTCGGTTGGCTCCTCGCCATCGTTGCTGAGACTTGCAATCTCTCCATGTTCTTCGTGGGGGTATTCGGGCTTTGCTGGCTCCATGCCACCAGCCATGTCCTTGTGTTCCTTCATGCGGGGCTCGACGGCAGTAGCGTGCAGCCTTGATACAACATCAGCAAGGTGTCCTCATATTGATAACTATTCATGCTTTGAGTCAAGAAGTTCGTAAGCTCCGCGTCACATGAGCAAATGTTCTCTTTGAGGAAGGAGGCTTCAGAAAATCGTCACCCCCGCACATGCATCACACTGCTTGTAGGAAATATCAGAAGAGAGACACACTCAGCTGCAGATGATTCGTGATCCATGGTCAGACGTTCGAACGTCAAGCAAATACAAGCAAAGAGGCGTCGGACTAAGAAACGATAAAGAACTGCGAGGCGCGACGGGGCTTTCACGTCTTTAATGAATACCTACCTCAGCGCTAAGACAAAAACTGTGACCCAGTGAGTAACTCTCTGATGACGGGCTTCTCTCGCACATAAGAAACCGTTATCGCGGTCCACCCTGCCTTCCTGACCGGCCCGGACGAAAAGACAGAATGGACCGAGGGGGTATCTGTTGGACGGAGCCATCCTGCAGTCTGTACTCGGTTGCACTGGGGTAGGCAGAGAGACACGACCAATGGAGTGTCAGAAGGTGCGCTTAGCGGTGCGAGGGTCGAGTTTTGCGACGTAAAAGTTTCCCTCCAAACACGAGCGACCTAGAATCGGGAAAGTAAAATCGGTCCACTGTCACGACGGCTGCCGATTCCCGTGAAGGTCCCGAAGGCAATTTTGCAGCGCATCGGTAGAGGTCGGCAAGCGTTTCGACACGCGAGAGGTCTGAGGCCTGGCGAGACGTTCGTGAAGATCCATTTATGATCGGCTTCGCTCGGTAAAGATGACTCTCAATTTTGCTTCTGCAACCCCGTTCAGGCTGATAGGGTAGCAGTATCACCAGCGAGGTTGCGACAGAAGAGTGCAACCTTTGAGGTCATCAGCAGCACAGCAAGACGTCGTCGAAAAGTCAGCCCTACGTTGTGCGCCAAGGCCGGTAATATACGAAAAGACTTGGCCCAAGGCGGCCATTACAAGAGAAAAATGTATCCTTAAGCAGAGCACACGTTTTTCGAAGCGAGAAGACGCCGTGCGCGATACCATAAATGCCTCTTCCTCGACTGCCGACAGCGGCGAGAGTCGCCACCACCGTCCACGAAGAGTGGGTGAGTGTCATACAGATCCACGTTTCGAGGGTCCAGAATGATAGATGTCAAAAGTCGCAAGGAACACACACGATGTTTCAAGAGTAAGTCGGTACAGTTCTAGAAGAGTTATCATACACGAATCACAACGCCTGAGTGATATGATTACTGTAGTCGGATTCCAACAGTCTGCTACTATCTAGAGCCAAGCATCCCAAATATCTTATCGCATCAATTCCCCAGCCGACGCGCGATTTGATCGATGTCAATCGAGTCCAAGATCAAGCAGCAATCTTAAGGACAGCTCGGCCGGGNAGCTTGCCTTGGTCCAAGAGCTGTAAAAAGCGGTCAACATCTTCTAGAGTTCCCTTGGTGAGTATGGGTCGGACCAGGCCTCGGGCCGTAAAATCAAGCGCTTCTTCCACTTCCTTCAGGGTGCCTGTCACAGAGCCAACAATGTTGAGCCTCTTGAGGACTAGTGTTAGAGGCGACGCTCCCGCGATGATTGTCTCGTCCTTTGGCAAGCCGACGGCTACCACAGTTCCTCCTGGACGAAGGAAGTTGGGAGCTGCTCCATATGCTTCTCTGGTAGCGGCGAAGACGATGACACCGTGAGCTCCGAAAGTCGTAAGTTCCATCACTTCAGCTGCTACGTCCTTGCTGGTGCGGAAATCGATATAGTGCTCTGCACCGAGCTGTTTGCAGAGCTTGCCTTTCTCATCTCCACCATCGACAGCGATGATTCTCATGCCNCTGCGGAGTTGTCATCCAAACAGCTACAACAATACGATTGCCAAATAACCCACCATTGCTTTTGCATATTGAACAGCCAAATGGCCTAGACCGCCACCAGCTCCTGGCAGAACGATCCATTGGCCAGGCTTCACTGCACTTCGCTTGCAAGCTGTGTAAGCCGTCCTAGGAAAAGTCAGCATGGTTGAAAACACGTACAGCTCTCAATATACGACTCACACTCCTCCACATAGGATCGGACCTGCTTCCTCATCGGAGACACCCTCCGGCAGCCTCGTAGCATAACGGGCATCTGTCAAACAGTACTCCGCAAAGGTACCTTGGATCGAGAAGCCAGAGTTGAGCTGTTTGGAACATTGCAGCTCGTCTGTGCCATTGGTGCAGAACTCGCACTTTCTGCATACACTAGCGACCCATTTGACTCCAGCTCGATCACCAACGCTCCACAAGTCTTTGACATCGTCATGGACTGCGACAACTTCTCCCGCTCCTTCATGACCAGCAATACCATGAGTGTCAGGAGTCATCTTCAGACCTTGCGTGGCCCATTCGTCGTAGATGAGCGATTTGTCGCTTCCACAGAGGCCAGTCCAGTTGATCTTGACGAGGATTTGACCAGGACCAGGTTCGTTCACAGGAACATCTTGAACTGGCGCGGTGGATGATTTGCCCTCTCCCTGCTTCACGGCTGCTTTCTGACTGGTAGGAAGTCCCATTGTGTTGCTGGTGCAATGCTTGGTGAGACTTGTACTCTGGTAACTCTGCATGGATCTCATGCCAGAGCTTTATAGACATCGTCGCCATCTACCCCTCACTAGCTCCCCGCACTTCTTTCTATAGATTGACATTGCTGACCTTGGAACTCAAGGGGACCGGTAATCGCACTTCCCAATATCGGGAGTCGACGTGTGTTGTTATAAGGGTCACGAGCGCGGGGCATACTCCCTCATCGACGCGTGGCCAATCGGGGTTGCGGAACTGTGAACTCTCCTATCTTGGCGTCTTTGAACTCAATCATTCTCGCCCAAGACCTTGCAATGAAAAGGTCATTATTTCTGTCATTATCTTTGAGGCTTTTGAAAGCAACGATCAAGCACAGATGCGGGATTTACCCAGAAGATTCCCTCTGCATCTTCAACAATCGCTATGGGGGTATATCGAGCAGGAGGAAGATGGAAGCAAGAGCGAAGATGATTTGATTTGTTCTGGTTACGTGTTTAAGCAAGCAGTGTCGACACCTGATCTGCCAGTGGTGGAAATGTAGCAGCGAATGAAACAAAAGAAAAGAGAAAGAAAAAGAAAAAGCAAGCAGAAGCTATCGATAACAAGAACAAAAGAGAAAGAGCGAATGAAAGCAACGAAAGCGACTCAGTGAGCAAACCGAGCAGAGAAAGCGACCTTGTCGTGGAAAGACCAGTTCAGCATCCTCAATGTGAGAGCTACGAAGCAGCAGCAGCGTCGACACTGCCCGTTACATCCAGCAAGGCGACTCACCACCCTTGACCGTGACCTCCAAACTCGCGACTCCCATGCCGAAGCCCTTGACCCACTTGTCTGCAAAACTCGCATCCCTTCCCACACCAAACATCAGGGGCAGTCTTCCTCTGCTGGTGAACCTCAACATCGTAGTAATAGCTTGCTGCTTCTTGTCTTCACCCACAGCTGTTGCAATAGGACTCTTCGACACGAAAGCGGTTTCGGCGATTGCGTGAGTGGGGATGGCGAGCATGAGGTATGGATATTTGTTTGCCTTGGTTGTAGAGCGCAGGACTCTGGTATTGGCAGGCGGAGCAGTGGAAGTGCTGTCGCTGAGGCAGATGATGAGCCAATCAGTGAATGGGACTTCTTTATCGCTGAGTTTGTTGCCGTGCAGCAGAGGAGGCAGAATAATTCTGATCAATCTGACTTCGGTGTTGGTCTCGGGGCCTTCAGTCTTGTAGTGAGGTTGTCTTGATGCTCTGTTGGGTTGCTTTCTGTTGCCCACGGAAGCGAGAGACAGTTTCGGGGTCGGCGCCGGGAGATCGAAGGTTAGACGTTGGATAGGTGTCTCCTGAATCAGAGCTGCTGGGTTGGCAAAGTGGTAAGATAGTAGCATGGGCAGCGAAGACTTCCAGTAGTATGTGTCTTCACTGTCGTCGTACTGGAAGGGGGTCATGTTGAGCAGGAATGCTGGTGTGGGAGACACAACTTTGTGGCATAGAGCAAGGTTTGTCCATGGCTCAAAGGCATGCGAGCGTGGAGTGCTGTCTTGAAGAAGGCGAACGAGGTTCAAGTTCTTGAAGCCATGAGCCAGAACTGCTTCGATAGGTGGCATGGAGCGACGACGAGGAGGCGATGGTGATTCAGACTTTTCTTCATGTTCCACCGTCTTGGGGTGACCAGGCTTTTTCTGTACGCCTACCGTATCTTGGACTGTGCTGGGAGATGGCTCGGAATTGCGAAATCTGTGTTGGAAAGCTGGTTGGTTGGACAGATTGGGCACCTCACCGCTCAGAGGCCCGTCTTCAGGGGCTACGGGAAGCTTGACTTTGGAGAGCTTGCGCTTGAGTACGTTGTCCAACACCTCGTTGGTCTTAATTGGAGCTTTTGTTCTGGCCAAGAGCAGAGGCAGATTTGCGTCTTTGGATCGAAGAGGAACTGGTAGTGCGATATTGGGTGCAGAGAGATGCTGAGCGAGGCTTTTCTTGTGGAGAGCGCGCTCGAGTTGGTTGGACGGGTCGGTTCTTCTCTTGTTACGTTGTGGGAGTGCTCCAATCCCAGCTCCTTTACATGGCATCAAGCTCATCTCATGTCCACTGTTGACAGTATCGATGGCTGTGCTGAGTTGGTGAGATTTGGGCTGAAGACGACGTTGAAGTTCTCTGGGTAACGGCATATGCCAGGGTAGGACGACGAGCTGTCCGTTGTCATCAAAAGCTTCCCGTTCTACGCCCATGGCTATGTGCAGTTGTTCTCCTGCAGCCAGAACATCGGGCATAGCACCTTGGTATAACTCTCTCAGCTGATAAGACTCTCTGTCGCAGGTCTTCATCTTAGCATTCTAAACCTACTGAGATCTTCTCTTCAATCTTCAGCCTCTCATCAGGGAGGAAGGAGGAAGAGGGGAAACACGATGATTTAGTTTAAGAATGGGCTTGAGATCGTATGTTCTGTTGAAGAACGATGAATGGCTTCGCTCAGTAGAGTTGCGATGCCACGATCTGAGTCCTTTTCGGGAGTACTCGTGTGGTTGTTCTCGATGGCTGCTCGGAACGTATCTGCTCTGCTGGAAGTATCCGGCTGTTCTGCGGAAGAAGGGTTTTGCGAGGTTATACCTATGCAGCGCCGGGAGTTTCTTGCGCCAGAGATAGTTACTGGAATAAGTTGGAGGGTAAGAAGGAGCGATGGAAAATGATTGTCAAGAATTATCGATAAAGGTTCTCCAGCGGGCAGAAGAGTGCGCAACGCTAACGAGAGTGAGTGGACTGGTCTGTCAATCCATGTCTGTGAATATCTGTTCAACCAACTTCAACGTCGTCGTCACTTACATTTCGAGTCATGTATACAGGTATGACTGGCAACCATCGACAACTTGACTCGTGGGCGTCATTCCTCATTACTAGCTTCACAGTAAAGGAACGTTTTACATCTTTCAACAAGTGTTGATTAGCTATTTCTTCAAGTTCATTATATCGACGTTGCCCAGCTCTTTGCCTTCTAGTAGCTGGATGTGCAGTTGGAAGTAGATGCCGACTCTTTGTTCACGGAGAACTTGTATGTGGCCTGGAGAACATATGGGTCGTCGCCAGGACCGAAGATATTTCTCTTCTCTCTNTGCCACTCGGGTTGGTTGATGGCATCAATCCAGTCCTCGACCTCCATGACCATGCAGCCATACTTTTGGACGACACGTGGTTGGTCAGTCTGGTTGAAGAAGCCTTGGGTTTCCTTGATAGTGGTGGTTCCTNNGTTGATCAAAATTAGAAATAACTCGGTATCGAACACAAAATAGAACGAACCATTCTGTCCAGGACATGAGTAAATCTGGAATGCTTGTTGGTCGGTGAAGATATCAATCTGAATACCAGAGAAAGGGCTAGACACAGTGGCAACAGGCCCTGATTGGCGCCAGTCATAGGGTCCGTTCTGATCTCTGTTGACGAGCCAGCAGGTGTCGTAACCAACACAGCCGCTGCCACAACCACCAACAAGATCGGGCGAAGTCAGGTTGGCGCCGATCTTCTTGGGTGATGACCAGAAGTCGAAGACGCCACCTTGCTCGTTGGGCAAGATGGTACCGTTGGGGATGAGAATGCCATCGACGGCAACACGCTGGCCAGAGTAAGGCAAGTGCACAGTGTAGTTGTTGATAGTGGCATCGTCGGGGTTTTGGAACCCGTCAAGGTTCCAGTAGACNCTGGACTCGGTCAGCATGCAATGTCTAGGGTTCTATGCCAGGCGTCTTACGTGGGAGCTCAGCATGATGGGTGTCTTCTTGGTAGTTGCAACCGCAACCATTTTCAAGTGCCATTGGNNCTGTATGTTGTCAGCGTAATCTCTGCAGGCACAACGCACATCGGCTTACTAAGGGGTCAATGTGTATGTAACATAGCTGATCACCTCGCCAGGGAAACCGTTCGCACCGTCTGGGTCGACAATGGAGAAGGTGATGGAGTCGGTGGTGTGAGCGGCCACGGTCCAGTTGCGCCAATCNCCTGCAGAATATGTCAATGACCAGCGGAAGTCGGTAGAGTATGGTATCACGAACCAGCCATCGAGTCCACCGTGGAGGGTATCGCGTCCGCCGTTCTCGTTCGGGGTAACATGATAAGTGTTGCCATCAATCTCGAAAGTCGAGTTCTTGATGCGGTTGGCGTAACGTCCAGGAACACCACTAGGACTATGTCAGCCATTGATCTGGGATCATGAGAACGATACCAACCCGAAGTGAGGGTGCAGCTTGTCCTCAGTGTAGTAGGTAGCGTTGTCCCAACCAAGAACGATATCACGTTCGACACCGTGTTGGTCTCGGATGAAGAGGTTGGAGATGGATGCGCCGTAAGGAACGAAGTTGGCGCGAATGCCCTCGGACGAGATCTCGTACTTGCCATTGGGCAGTACCGAGGATCCGTTGCCTGCAATGCTGGCATTGCTAGCAGCGAAAGCTGCTGCAGGGAGAAGAGCTGCCAGAGCAGCGAGCTTGCCTGAGAACATGGCTTGACGTCGACAAGTGATTGCAGCAGAGTGCGATGAACGAGATGAACAACAACACAGATCTGCAGGTGCTAGGCACAGATATTATAGCATTGAAGCTCTGCCGGACCCCGCTCTGGGAAAATTGATTGAGAGAAAGGATCGTCAGGTCCGGGAGCGAACATGGTATCGGATGACGTTGCGGGGATCCTAAGTGGCAGGTGCATTGGCCTACCTTCCTTCTCATGCAAGCAATGTAATTGCATGGCTTGCGTGGCGGGACCAGGGGTGTTGAGTAGCTGCATTCCTGGGACCTGCTTGTAGAAGATCAAGACGAGCTACATCACTGTCTGTACAGTTGTATCGTGATATTCATCTCCCGATGTCGAAGAGCAGGAGATTGAGATGAGCTCGTCGTCGAGGAGGAATGGGGTCCCCGCGTGGGGAAAGTGCTTGCCATCTTTGCCAAGTTTTCTGGAGGAGGGTGAGTGAGACACGTCTTCATCAGCCGACAGGCCGAGAGATCAACCTACCATTGCCTACAACATCGTTATTAGCCGATCACGTCTGGTCACCAGGCTGCTCGAGTACGGCACGACTGCTGGTGGCTGACACCCTCGTATATGAAGAGGCAGGACCAGGATTGTCCAACATCGTGGCCAGTCGGGCCTGGTACGAATGGCGTCGACGCCCCTCCCTTTCAGCCATTCTGAGGTTTCACAATTGTCTATTCAACCACGACAATAAACCGACCACCGTCGGAGACGACTGCTGTTCAACCTTACTCTGGAAGCGACGGCATCACAGAGTGAATCTGAGTGTATTGGAAGAGACGAGTGAGAGAACAACGGCCACGACGAACCAGCGACGTCGACCGGTCTTGTTTGCTTCAGCTACTTGATCACGCTACGGTGTATCATGTTTGCGAATCCCGAAAGATATCCCCCTTTGCTCTCGACGGCTTGCTCCAGGCAGCTATACGTGTCGATGATTGTTCCGCCCTGGACCGAGTTCCGGCAACGTGGGTTCTGTGTCGCAGACGAACGCTATCAATGTTTGCTGTCAGTACGAGGCTGTCGACGTGTACCGATATATGACAACGGACCTTCGATGAATGTTTGATTGGTCCTCAAGCCAGTTGGGAACGTCTCTTCTTTGGAGTGACCATCTATCCTGCGGACTGGACCTGTTTGGGATTAGACAAAATCAAAGACTCTAGGACGACACACATTGCATACGATCTTGTTGATTCAGGCCTTAGCAGGACCCCAAGCCTCACCAACAGCCCAGCGGAAGTCCTCGAGGGTCAACTGGGTAATGAAGCCATGGCCCTTGAGCTCTCCATACGTGCACTCGTCCCACTTCTGGCACCTGGGACTCTCGGGCTTGCGAACAAAGCCCAACTTCAGCAACTTTCTTAGGTCTCCAAGGGTTCTGACAGGGTTATAGGCGCAGGGCTGAGGGAGGTGCTCATTGGTGGTGAGCAGGCGGTCGATGCCAGCCTCATGTCTTTGAGCTTCGGTCATGGACTCGCCGGCCTTGATGAAACGACCGACATCCTCAGGCACAATCAACTCGACGATGTCATGGTCGGGGCGCTTAAGATCATCGCAGTAGCGGGTGGTGAGAGACAGGTAGAGGTGAGGGTCTAGGTGCTCAAGGATCTTGTAGAGAGCCTTAAGCTTCTTGGCCAGCATTTTCTTGTGGACTTCCATTTTTGATGATGTCGTCGAGACTCCAGATGATGTCGTCCGGGGCGTAGATGATGTCGTTCCGTGCGTGAATGATGTCGTCGCCGGGAAACAAAGGTTGGTGGACGCGTTGAAACGCTGAGACACGCTTCTGCCAGCTTGACGATTCCAAAAGGTAAGGCTCACTTCTCCTTCACTAGGCAAATTCACTCACTCAACAGGATCCACACCCCGTTGTCAGACGCTTCTTCTTGATCTGCCTCAATAACTTCTATGACTAGCCCATGAAAGGCTGCATTTGAGCAAAGTCTTCGATGCCTCTCAAACGTTGTCAATCTGAGCCCCCAGCACCACATTATACGAGCTGCTAAGCGCACTTGAGGCCGGTTGGCATCCGTCTTGGGAGTGCAGAACGACAGTGCACTTTGCTGTTACGCTCCCGCAAGAAACCTATAAATGGACCATTCATCGAATGACGCCTTGAACGCACATGCGATTTCATTCACTAAACCGGCTCCGCCTTGAAATTGCAAAATAAACACAGATACGGTTTGATGGAACCAACATGCGGTGTTGACCTCATCGCAGCTTCTCAAATACTGACGACCAAGTGACTATCTGGCGGAACGCAGAATGGTGGTACAGGTTCATGGCATCCACCGAACGTGCCACCTCGCAGTAATTGTCAAGCCTTTCCTCGGCCAGACGCTGAATAGTAAAGGCACTCCGCATTTGATAGCACGTTTGTTGATAGGCTGCCTTGAGGGCATGTCATGTGGTCAGCTCCATCACGTCAAGGCATATCGCTATTGTCAAACAATGCTCAAGTAGAACCGCAACCTGCACTGTAAGTTCATTGCCGACTCAACAAGGCCCTCAGATTTACTAATGATAGCCACATTCCCCCGCCACATCGTTCAAATGTCCAACGACTTCTTTGAGACAGTCTAGTATGAGACGAAGGATCAGCTCGTGTAAATCGGCAGAGGGTAGAAACATGACTCTCGACCGCCTGATCCCCCTTTAATGGGAGGATCTTCTGCCTGGGTCACTATTTAAAATGCCCGCCTGGTGATTGCACAGCGACCTTAAGTTCATCTTCCAAACGAGACGTACGACGTTCTCCTGGCAAACATCGTCGCCTGTGTGTATGAACGCCTGCTTGAGATATCTTCGTTACCACCTTGAAATTTGAAGAACTCAGTAAGCGCGATAGAGGCCCAAATGCATGCACACTCTGCGTTAGTTGAGGTTCGTGCAGAGATCCTCCAGATCTCGCGGCTGTAGCTGGATAATCACTCAGGTACAGTACGACCAACAACGTGGAAGGACGCGAGAGCTCAATTTCACCACCAATAAATTGATTAATCACTGTTTCTAGACTTTCGGACAACAATTCATGCGTAGGCGAGCCCTGCGAGTGAACGTGATCGATCATGCCGACTCCGAACTCCCACCACGCCACTGCCACGAACGCGGGGTTGTGCATCCGGGGCATAAAGGCTGATTGGTGGAATCGACTACTGCTCGATGATCTTCCACTATACATCGTATCCTTAGCAAATCATTTCTCTGAACGTACCGGATAATCTGCAGCAACACACTTGACTACACGCTAACACTCCTTCACCTTGTCATGCGTACCCCCGTTTCGACATGACAGTCAATTCTTGCCTAGGGTTACGCTCTGCTGTAACATGTACTGATCCTGTACACTCTAATGTACCATGGTGATAAATGTATGCCGGTGCCCTGTAATGCTTCTGCAAGACAACTCTCTAGTCTTGTCCTCTCTTCTTTCTTAGTCCCACCTCAGTAGGTGACTAAAGGAACTATCAAGATGGCATCTTACACCGCAGACGAATCGCTCAAGCATGGAGCCCACCAGATCGAGGAAGTGTTCGGCGCCCACGCCATCGTTGATGCCAAACACGCCTCCGATGCCGAGCACAATACACCGCTTATGGAGGTCATCAAGAAGAACCGGAAAGCAATTGCTTGGTCCATGATCATGTCGATGACTGTTGTCATGGAAGGCTACGATACCATCTTGATGTCGAGTTTCTTCGCCTACCCATCTTTCGCTAAGAAGTTTGGCGAATACAATGCGGCTACGAGCGACTATCAACTTACTGGTGCTTGGCAGACTGCTCTCAAGTAAGTTGATCGAAACATATCAAGGCAGCGTAGAGACTAATACCTGGTANGTAATGCTAGTAATGTCGGTATTGTCCCTGGTATTTTCTTGAACGGATGGCTCGCTGCCAAGTACGGTTACCGCAAGGTTATCATTGTTGCCCTCTTCTTCCTCAACGCCTTCATCTTCATTACCTTCTTCGCGCCGAACAAGCCAGTCCTTGTCGTTGGTCAGATCCTGTGTGGTTTCAGTTGGGGTGTCTTTGCAACAATTGGTCCAGCTTATGCTTCTGAGATTGTTCCCTTGCAACTCAGAGGTTACCTGACATCTTACGTCAATCTATGCTGTAAGAAGTCTATTGCCCTCTCTAGTAACATCACTGACATGCTTCAGNGGGCCATTGGACAGTTCATCGCCGCTGGTGTCCTTAAAGGTCTTGTCGCCAGAACTGACCAATGGTCATACCGCATCCCTTTCGCCGTCCAATGGGCATGGCCTGTCCCTCTCATGGTCGCCTGTTTCTTCGCTCCAGAGTCGCCGTGGTACATGGTTCGCAACAACCGACTCGCAGACGCCGAACATATCCTCAAGCGTGTCTCAACCAACACCAGCGAAGACGAAATCAAGGGGACACTAGCAATGATGGTTCACACCACCGAGATCGAAACTCAACTGGACAACGAAGCATCGCAGTCATCTTACTTGCAATGCTTCAAGGGTACCGACCGCCGCCGAACCGAAATTTGCTGCATGACATTTATGGGCCAACTTTTCTCAGGTAAGTTACCTCGGAGAAACGAACACCACGAAAGCTGACGAAAGCACAAAANNGGCTCTTGTTTCGCATATACCCCTACCTACTTCTTCCAGCAGGCTGGCATCGCCGACACCGTATCCTACAGCATCGGCCTCGGCGGCACAGCGGTAGCCTTTNGCGGCACCATCGCATCCTGGTTCATCCTCGCCCGCGTCGGCAGAAGAAAGATCTACACGACCGGCATGGGCGTCCTCTGTGCTCTCCTCTTCATCATCGGCATCGTTTCCGCAGCCAGCAAATCCGACGACGTGAAGTGGGTAGCTGGTGCTTTGACTGTGGTATGGCTATTCACTTACTCGCTCACTGTGGGGCCTGTGGCATACACTATCGTCAGTGAAACCTCTGCTATCCGTGTTCGTGCCAAAACTGTTTGTTTGGCGAGAAACGCGTATGCGTTGATGAATATTGTGTGTTCGACTGTGAGTGTTGCTTCTCTATTGGCTCCTTCGCCACCAACTGACCTTTCTCACAGCNTCGAGTCTTACTTCATGAACCCTACCGAGTGGAACCTCAAAGGCAAAACCGCATTCTTCTGGTTCGCAACCTCGTTCCTCACGTTTGTGTGGGCATACTTCCGATTGCCCGAGGCCAAGGACCGCACTTATGAAGAGATGGATCTGCTATTCACAAAGGGCGTTTCTGCAAGAGAGTTTGCCAAGTACAAGATTGATGCTTATGCGGGTGCTGCTGTGGAAAGCAAGGAACAAATCCTCCATGAGGAGAAGGTTGCCGGTAATGTGAAGTAGAGAGTATATGATGTTGGAACGATGCACAGGTAGTGGAGGAGGAATATTCCAGTCGTTTTACCTTGATGCTTTCTCCGAATATGCTCTCACTTGACAGTGATCATCGCTTGTAATGCTGTCAAAATACATAAAAAATTCAGCATAATTAGCAGGAGCTTGTTTCGAGAACGTATGCAGCTTTCTTCCCCAAACAAGTGGTATGGAAGTTGCTATCAAGAGGCAAAAGGCCATCGGTTGGATGATGCACGAGAAGTGAGAGCAATCATAGGTCATCAACAAGACAATTCATTCAATGAATATAGACATCCGAAACGCCATTTACAATTTGAGGGAAGAGGGGCTATGCTATGGCAATATATCGAGTGAGGTGGCTTTCAGACATTTACATGCCATCCATGCCGACAACAAGGCTGTCTTTGGAAATGCCCAAGGCGACAACCTGGGAGCCGATGGCAATGGTAGCGGTGACTGAGAAGAAGAGCTCGATGGCAGCTTCCTTGACAAAGAACTTGACCAGGCGGATTCTGCTGGCCATGTCGAATGAGCGCCAGGCCTCGATGAAGAGGCTCTTGCGGCCAGCACGGCTGTCCAGGGCAAGCATGTTGGTGGCACCGTTGAAGGTGCGGTCGAAGGGGACGATAGTGTTAGTGTCCTCAGGCAAGAAGCTGGCCTCAATACGGGTACGAGTCACGGTAGCAGGAAGCAGGATAAGAACGTTGAGCATGACGAAGGCGACCAGAGACATGGCACCTCTGGCGAGCAAGTGCTCGTTGTCCGTGTCATTGGTGATCTCAGGACCGACGAAGAGGAACATGGCAACGGGCAGGCCGTAGGTGGCAAGCTGGGCGATGGAGTGGACGAAGGAGGGCAGAACCAGAGCACGCCACATGTTTCTGTCGGTCTGGGAGAGACGCTGGGACCAGGTCAAGGATGAAGGCTCGGAGATGACGGCGTGGGTCCAGACCATGTGGATACGGGCGCACAGGACGTTGGCGGCAATGTTGGCCAAGATGCGACCAACAACAGGCAGGCCAGTAAAGGCGGCAACGAACATGGCAATGAAGTTGACGGTCAATGAGTGGACAAGGTTGTACATGAGAGCGGCACCGAGACCTCTCCAGCGAGCTCTGAAGCCTCCAATCGAGGTCAGGTGCTTGAGAGTGTTGCGGATGCTGGCAGTCAGGGGAGTCTGGTTGATGACCATGACCTCCTCGTCAATCAAGCGAGCCTTGTCCAGGGGAGCATCAGGGTCCTCCTTCTCATCAACGGCGAGTGTGCGCGTCTCGACGACAGTGGTTTGGCGGTCCTCGATCATGGCCAGGCTGGCAACAACACCTCCGAGTGTGTATCTGACCNNTGTTATCATGTTAGTAACAAGTCGACCATACTCGAATCTCATGCTACGTACCGAAGCCAGAATAAAGGCAAAGAGAGCGACAGTGAGGATGATAGGAAGCATCTCGATTCCGCTGACTTCAGCCGTGATCTTCTGGCGAGACTCGGTGGTGCTCATGGCTTCGTAGCCACGGCGGACCAGGTGATGGAGCACTTCTCCGTGCATGGTGGCGATGGTGAGAGCCTTCTCTACACGTTGTGTATACGGTGATGGGTGATTGATGCAAGTTGTTTCGCGTGATACTGAGGAAGATGCGATAGGTCGATGGAGACAATCAGGAGGGTACTGAAAGCAAGGGAAACAAGACGTTCGAACGCTGGCGTCAGTTGGTTCAGGCAACCACGATGCTGCCATCATGAGTGGCGCAGCCCTTGCCGCCTTTCCGGCAGCAACTCTATTCTTATCATAATCCTTGGCATTGTCATCCATCTCCACATCTTCTTTGTTGCCAACGATTCACCTTTACTTCTTGCCAACACATGATACAGTACTCCGACTTGTTTCGAGCTACTGCAAGCTCAAGAGACCGAACTTATGCTCCTGTGGGTTTAGATCTGCGGACATTATATCAATCATCTACGACAAATATCACTAATATCGATAAGACGTATGCTGTCCCTCCCGTGATCCACTTCGTCCAGGTCCCTTGCGTCGACCCTCCTGCATCTTGGGATAGGCAGGACTCGTGGGCCGAGTCTCTTCACTATTCTGAAGCCCTCCATTCAGAAACTTCACAATCCCCAAGGTAATCCTTTCGAGCAACCCAAACAAGTCCGCGAGGAGCCATATGGGCATTAGAATCGCCCAAACTATCCAGGAGAGCACTTGTATGATAACGATGAGTGCCGAGAAGAGTGCGCAACCAAACAATACGCCCGCGTAAACCGCAGTGTTAATGTTGTACCGCATCGCCACCGTCAGCACTGCTTGGGCGGGTACTTGGTAGACCGTCTGGACGAAATAGTCGAAACTTGGTGATAGAGTCCGTAACTCCTTGAATGACTTTTGGAGGAGTTCGGCTCCATGGTCGACAACTTCCCCTTTGTTATGGGGTGAGGTTGGGGATGTCGCTTGGTAGACGGAAGCAAAACCAGGAGACCGAAGTAGAGGGATAGCACACGAAACGCGAGGCCGAAAAGTGTGTACGCCATGGCTCAGATCAAATCTAGAGATATGTCGAGAAGAATTCTGCTTGATGCACATGGCAAATCGAGTGTGCGGATATGTGTACGTTATTACGACTCCATCAGCCGACATTCCTCATTTCGAACCGGATCCGGCGTTAACGATTGTCAACCTCTTTGTCCCACTAACAACCAAGTCGTGAAGTTGCTTAATATCGACATCGAGGCATCGCAGCATCGCTCCTTTGTCTTGAAGCCATCCACAAAAAGAAAGAGCTGGTGAACAGAGAGCCTGTAGCTTACACCTCACTACCAACCTTTCACATCATCCCTTTCCAACATCATGCAAGTCAACCCAGCTGTCTTAGTCCCACGCAACGATGAAGTCGTCGCCCGTATGCAGGACTGGGTAGCCTGGTTCGACGGGAGGGGACCTTTTCCACTGCCTGAGGATGAGCCCTCTACAAGGGATATGGCCACCAGAAATCCCCCCCAGGAAATGTGTCTGGCTTTTGGCCGTTGGCTGCAGTCGCAGGGTCCGTGGGATGTTTCTCGCCATGAGAGCCCTCCAACATGTCTCAATGACCATGATGATCTCGAACCCACTTGGTGGTAGAACGCCGACTTTTATGTCCCCATCTACGGCAGGGATCTACGGCAGGGATGGTGGTGAGATAAGCGACGAACAAAGTCAAGCCGGTACCGAAGACGAATATGTCGGCTATCTCCCTATTGATCACAGTCCCTTTATAGCAAAGTTCTTGGCTGCGTAGCCGGCAATGAACAATCTGTATATTGCAACAGCCATTCGGTAGTAGTTGACCCCGTTATGTGCAGCCCAACGTGAGCGAGGAACTGGTACAGCAATTTCGATAACGGCAGTAATGTGGCAGAATCGATAAATCTCTTCCGTGATCTGTGGATGCGTATGGAAGAGGTCAGGCAAATGGCGACCACCACGTCGGCGGGTGATGTTACATTCTTGCTCCGTAGTTGCGTAATCGTATATCATGATTTTTAGCTCCAGCGGTAGCTGGAAAAAGAAAAGACTTTTTGCTTCTTTTGCTTGGTTTTCTTTTTCGGCTCTTTGGCTGGATTTCGATGGAGCCATGACCATGAGGAATTTTTTTACTGGTATTGCATCCATGATAGGTGGTATGGAGATGGAAGGAAAGTTGAGAACTATAAAGTGCATCATAAGCGTGGAGCCCCATATATAAAAGGTCACAATAACTTGTGACAAGAACGACTTTGTGACTCTTACCCACGTTGTGTTCCAAGATGCTTCTAGAGATACTATTCAACTTGGACAAAGACGATGACTCGATTTGAGCAAGATTTCGCTACGAAGACTCATCCGCAACCTATACGTCGCCGCAGAAATTATACCTGTGTATATACACATCAACATAGATGTCGGACATCCTGGATCTGTGTGCAGTACAAGACTTGTTAGTTCAAGATCCATAAGAGGGACTTCACGACTGGTTGAAGATCTTTGATGATTGGATCAAGCCAATTTATAATGAGAGAACCGCTATGTACACTGGCAGCAAGGAAGAACGCCATAAACACCAAATGCCGCTCATTCTAACGCTTTATAACAGACAAGAAAAAAATATGCATGCTATGCCTTTCTATACACTCCGATTATGCCTTAATGCTCAGCTTGAACAGCAACAATCTTGTGAATCTGCCCATTCCTCACTTGCTCTCCAATAACGATACCCTTGCCATCAGGAGTCTTCTCAACTTTTGAAAGCTCAACACCATCAGGTACAGCATCAGCCCATCCTCTCAGTCCATCTTCAAAGATCTCTTTACCAAATGGCGCGCACAAGTCTGCAGCGTCTAGCCATTCATTGTCGACTGTCCAGACACCGCCACGTCCGCCACGGGCATCATACCAACGCTCTCCACCAACCGCTGCTTCAGAGGCAATCTCCTTGCTGGTCGACTTAGAGAGGTATTGTTTGAGTAGTGGTCGTGCGTACGGGAAGAACCACATGGACTCCCAGAGTTCACGCATATTGGTGTCTGGGGCTGTGAGCAGACCCGACGCTGCGTTTGCGTTGGCGTTGGCTTTTGGGGGTAGGATAGATATCAGCGAGGGCACTTGTTGCGAGATAGGGTTGGTGAAGAGGGGGATGTCTGTCCAACGGGAAGTGTAGGGCAGTTTTTCTTGATGCTGGATGAGAATTGCGCTGGTGGAGTTGAGGTGGGGTGTCGAGGTGTGAAGGGTGAATGGGTCTCGTAGCTTCTTGAAGGCTCCTGGAGTTGGGAAGCTAGGGTATTCGGACAGCAAAATGACACTGTCGGCGACATGTTGAGCTGTGGCTGGAATGGTTTGAAAGATGGTAGCCTTGTAGTCAAGCCCCATGCCGAGGTCTTGTTTGGCTGCTGCGTAGTCCTCGGCCAACTTCTTCTTGAGTTTCTTGTTGGATGGTAACACGTTGCGGGATAGCCATGTTTTGAGCTCGCGCTGCTCCTTGGCCTGAGATGCGCGAAGAAGGCCCTGTTGTGCAAACATGGTATTGAAGGTATCGCGATCTGTGCGCTCGATGCGGGTATTCTGCTCTAATGCTGTTTCGAAGAGATGACGGAGTCCCGATCCAGATCCAACTGCAAGATTGTCGTTCAAGTGTGTCGATAGCTTTTGCTCGGGAAGCTTGAATCTGCTTAGGAAGCCATTGTGTGGTTGTTGCTTGACTTCATACTCTGCTGCGAAGAAAACTGATTGGTTGAAGCGTTGCAGCTTCTGCTTGTTTGCTGTCTTGACTGGTATGTCACGATACTTGCTTTCCAGCTCAGCATTGGCATGTTTCGTCTGTGCACTGTATTCGGTCAAGAGAGCCTCCGAAGGAAGCTGGAAAATGGTGCTCTCTCCATCAACGATGGCAATAAAATCGTCATCCGAGATGCGATTCTGTTTTGTCAAGTATTGGGTAGTGTCTGGAAGGCCATAGTCCAGCCAGAAGTCTCCTTCTACGGTCTCGTTAGGTGGAACAGGCCTGTAACCTATCAAAGTCGGAGTCGGATAGTCGAGAAGAAACGACGACAGCAGACTCCGGCAAACGTTACTCGTGATCTTTGGCGCATGAATCAGAAGATGGAACTGAGGGTTCTCTTTCTTGAGCCCGCTGGGTGCAGTAGAACTCTTTCCTTCTTCCAGATCTATCGTAAACTCGGATGGCTCAAGCACAGATGGCGGCTTCCACATGAAAGCCTGATGATTTGGTCGGCCTGAGATTTTGTTGTAGAGCTTCGATCCAGGCGCATTCGGGTCCGAGTTGGCCTGCCATATCCACAAGACAAGCAAGAACGAAACAGTGCCGACGATGAGTCCCCTCCATCGAGGAGCCTGAGCTAGATTGCACAGCGCTTGTTTGTATGCAACAATACCGTTGCGTCCTGCAGCTGGCGTGGCTTGCCCCATGTTTTTGCGTTGTGTGGTGAAACTTCTCACCAGAAATTCGTCATGTGAAAAAAAACAATCCAGGAAACGAGCAAACAAATCACCAAAATCGATTCAGCGTATAGGAGGATATAATGGTTGGGTCTCAGAGAAAGAGTGACGATGCGAGAATTGATGCGGCAATGTTAGGAGAGGTAGGGAGAGAAGGCGGATTGCCGAAGATGTCACAGGTTGTGTTGCACGTCTTGCGCGTCCCCAGCGGGCTGGCGGCTCCGTCGTTCAACAAACCTGAAACGCCATTCGAAAATCGGTAGAACTTCTGAGAAAGCTTGAACGACGCACGATCACCTCTTGTGCAGATCACTTGCAGGGGGATATTTCATTTGGGTGTGACCTTATCAAACATATCCTCTCTGCCAAATCAGTTGCGCCGGCCTCTACTCCAGCACTATCACGGAAACTCTCGTTGCACAATCCTCAGCCCTCACATCTACATCCGATCTTCGCAACGTGCCAGGCGAATCGGCTGTTCGATTGGGACGTTATCATGCAAGATGACGCAGGGCAGCGCTCGTGCGGACACGATGATGCTGACAGCTCGAGAGACTGCCATACAAGATCGGCCACTCGCCAACCGTGCTTCAGGAGAATCCTTGGGCAAGCGAAATGGAAAACAATCAATTATCTGTGTTCGCACATCTCGCCATTTTTGTCTTTCCAAAACAAGCGACAGCCACCAAAATATAGACCAGAAGGTTACTCGTATTCGATCAAGCAACAAAATCGCTTTTTGGAATAGAAGCTGAGAGTTGCAACGTCTTGGTGAAGCTATATCTTTATGACAATAAAACGATTGTTCAATACAATGACCATGCTCCCATGCTTATCAACTCTACTAAGGAATACGACAGTACACTCTTTAACAGAATAGACTTAGCCAATACTTGAATCACTGGGATGCTTGTACACATACTCCCAAAGATGTTGCTGTGCCCCCAACCCTGTGTTTCACACCGAGTTGTCGAAGATGTTGCTCAAGAGGTCATGCTGGACAGAGGTTTGAACAACCAAGCCCCGAAGGAAACCTGACTGGTGCGTCGAGTCGAACCGCTTGCTATGGTGGACAAACGCAGCCGACTTGTCAGCCCCTCAAACATGCCAATTGGAACCCATAGATGGCCGATAGTGGACCACAAAATACATCAAACTCATTGTGAGATGAGTCGCTCGTACTTACCCTGTCTTGGAGGCGTGTCATCCATGGTGTTTGTGCCAGCTTCTTCTCTGCGTCTCAACAACGCCTCCCTCTCAGTCTCCATACCATTGGTACTCGGGTCAATCACATTTTCGTTGGAAAATGCCCGAGCTGTTCGTCGTCTTCCAACTGCAGTGATGGCCGCAGCAGTTCTCAGATCGAGATTGGGAGAGTAGGGACTAGATGGTTGCGAGTTGGTCAAATGCGGCTGTGAGTTTGCTTGCTGGAAAGAAGGGTATGTATTGCGGTGAGCGTTACGAGGTGGAATCAGCGGCAATTGTTCCACGGGTGGACTTGTTGCAAAGGAGCGTGCGGTTTGGCTGGTGGCAGGCATCTCAGAACTGTCATGCACTCGTGTTCTGGAACGATGATTGAGGTCCGCCGGTGTTTGCGGCTGCATGCTGGCTGGTTGGCAATCGTCATAGACCTTTACTCTTGGAGTCGCCTGTGATTTAAGACCGACACAAGGCGTGTAGGGAGTTCGCGCAGGCCGCACCAATTGTCGACCCGGTGTGGTTGGAGGAAGATCAGGCAAGTCCCCAGGCGGTGAGCTGTCTACTAGAGAAGCGTCAATCCTGGGAGTCGAGCTTACAGATTGGGAGGAGGGCGACATCGAGAGTGGTCTGATTGTTGCGCTTTGACAATCAACCTCCACATCTACAATTCGTGCTGTCATGCCGAGATCATGCTGAGGCTGATGGCTCGACGGTCTGCCCATGTTGTACCTGTCGACGTGCGTCGGATTGCGGCGTGTGGGATGGTCGTACTTCTTGAACTCTCTCTCTTGAACCTCATCCTCAGGGTCAGTGTAGAAAGCATCGCCGCTCAACAGATGTCCATCTGTAGATGTCACACGAGAGGAACACTCAAATGAAGACTGCGATCTTGTTGACAAACCTGTGGACAAAAGCTGCAACTCCTGGGTTAGACGGTCCAGTGGCGACTGCGTTGGAGGAAGGCCACTGCTTCGACGCTCATCATCTCCATGGAGTAGAGAAGTCCAAGTCCCTACACGAGAAGAACGTACACTGCCCAGGTGAGGGGTCCGTTGCTCGTCCCAAGTTCCAGAACTGTAGGAGCCATGTCTTGAGGTCTCCTCCAGAGCAGAAACCATGTTTGTGGCCGACAGACTGTTACTCGACGCTCGAGATTGTACCGAGGTATGGGACACCGTCGTTGAAGAGAATCGGGACCGAGGATACGGCATTCGCGTGGTACTGAGGTCCGCGGGTGGAATGAGAATGCCTCTTCTCTGAGGTATGCTCTCGGAACGCGGAAGGAACAGATGGTCCGGTCTTGGAGGGTCAGACTGGGATAACATTGAAGGGAAGATTGGGTAACGATCCATGACCGTGTCTATTGACGATGCAGCTGGTAGCCTGAGGTGTCCGCCAGTACGGCGAGCGCCACGGACTGATGGTCTTCTAGGCATCTGAGACCCTCTGGGACGCGGCATAGGCCTAGGTCTTGTTTGGTAGCTCATCTCACCACGACTGATGTGAGAGATACGAGACGAAGACGGCCTAGCCCTAAGTGTTCCTCCTCGTCGGTTGATCGAGGCAACGTTGGACCTGTGGTGGGGAGAAAGCTCTTGAAGAGCGGATTCGAAATGGACACGAGGAGAGAAAGAGACAGCGTTAGGATTATGGCCTCTTTGAGAGAGATTTGCTATCCTCGGATCGCTGTTTCTGTGATATGAGTGGTTGGTAGCCTGGCGAGAAGGCTGATATGGATAGCCAGAACGAGTTACAGGACCGGACCCCGAACGGCCGTTGTAGCGATATCTAAATGGCGCAAGAGAAGTGTTCAGATACTGATGATGACCATTGATGACTCCAGGATGATGACTATCATGTGTTCGTGGTCTCTCTGGAGGAAGATGCACAAGAGCAGGCGGATTGTAGCCAGAGACTTGAGTGATGGTGGGGCTGACCTCTGCTATATGTACAAGACGAGCAACGGATTCGAAGGTGGCAGAGGCAATCTCGTCAGAGTCACTCTCTTCGGCAGAGTCAGTTGATTCGTAGATGGCAAACTGCGGAACATGGCGGTTTGGATCAAGCTGAACGACGCTTGCATCTCTGGATCTCTGAGGGCCTTCACGGAGGTTGTAGTGGGGCTGTGGCGCAATGCGGATGTTCTGTTGTTGGTGATGGGCACAAGCCCGGTCAGTTTGTGCGACTAGAGGGTGCGAGGCCTGTTTGAGCTTTAGGCGTTGCTTCATCTGATTGACATCAGCCATACCAAGAGGAACTCTTGATGGACGGTTGCGGAGCATAATGTATTCTACAAAGGCATGAAAACAGGCATGGAATGGATGGATTTGCGACAAGCAGTGTTGAGACTGGCAAGTGTCAATGTCTCAAAGACGGTGTTGAACTGCCTGAGGTTTGCACAGTGAACGAAGACATGGGAAGCAGAGCGATTGAGGCAGGTACGATCAAGGTCGCGTCGTCGAGAGGAGGGGATGATCTGGCTTCTGTGCGACAAGGGCACAACTGCAGCCTCTGGTCTAAGAAAAGAGCAAGACACTCGGATGATGAGGCGGAGCGAGGCGCATGTCATTGAAAGCCAACATGTGCATCTTTGTTTTGTACGCACGTTCGTGAGGGGCGGGGAAGCAAGAGCAGACATGCAAGGAGAGCAAAAAGCAGCGAACATGTTGGTCGAAGAGCAACTCGAGGACTGGCCCTCCCAACATAGACTGATGTTGTATCGTCCAAGCGCAATGAGTTCATTTCCATGTTGGACCCAGGAGAGATGCAGGGAGGAGATGGACAATCCTACGAGACTTGATGCACCCTTGGCCCAAGCTGGTCTTGGGTCCGTGCGCGCATTCGGCGTGCTCGCCAGAGCGAGAGGATCTCAAGTCGTCGACTTGGGACCAAAGCTGGCTCTCCCTCCAGTCTCGTTGTTGTCGGTCCTGTTCCTGTCTGTATGCACCGACAAAGCCTCGTGTCAAGCCGATTGTGTCGTCCCTCGTGTCCTGCGTAGCACACGACCAGTCGACCACCTCCTCGGATACACCGCATATCTCGTAGCCGGACAGACTCGCGCCTGGTCGTGTCTGGCCTTGGCTTGGCCCAGTCACCCGTTCTTCGACAAAGCATCTTTATACGCGAGCTATGAACGGCGACCTGAGCCTGTCGCGCTCGCTCGGTGGTCTGCGCATAGCCAATCCCGACAGCGACGACGACCAAGAAACTCCCACAACCCACCAACCCCAGACGCTGCCATCCCAGATTCACNACGCAGACGCAGACGCAGTTGCATACACCGCCGCATACCGCCTCGTCCCTCGACTCTCCCAACAATACCGCCGCAAGTCCTAGCCAGCAACCTCGCTCAACCCCTTCGACTCCCGACGATCGACCCCCGTCTCCTCGCACTCGTCAGGTAGCACCATCACCAATCTAAATCACTCACGTGGCTTGTCACAACTCTCGTCAATACACCCACCCGACCACGACTCGCATTCTCAATATGCTTCCTCGTTCCGCTCCAACGCTCCCTCACATTCAGACTATGCTCCCACTCACCTAGCCTCCGCCGACCTCTATAATTCCACCAGGCCCTACCGAGCCGCTTCGAGTGATTCCGACCAGGTATATCGCCAACGTGCCGGCTCATACGAGGCCCAGATGCCTCAATATCCTCAACATCCAACCATGCCGTCCGCACGCATGTCCAACATGTACACACACCAGAACGTTTCGAGTACTTCTGCTCTTTCGCAGGCTTCATCGTACAGATATCGTGACGACATCTCTTCTCAGTCTGGATTGGCTAGGAGTGCTTCGCGAGCTGCCGCCGCTGCCATGGCTGGCCAACCCCCTGTTCGCTCCGCCAGCCGAAGTTACCGTGGTCCCGATGGCCAGAACGTTATGCCACCCAGAAGAAGCTCTAAGCGTGTTATCTCTGGATACGGCCCTGGTCCATCAGGATCTGTATATAGCATCGAAGGCGGCCCACTACCCAGCAGTGAGGAGTGGAAGGAGCGTGGGGCTGCAGTCGCTACCAGACAAGAAGTCGATCAGAACGGGAGACCTGTTTCCAAGATCGTCAAGAAGGGTGTGAACGACTTTCACTTCGGTCGCACTTTGGGAGAGGGTTCATACAGCACAGTCCTTGCTGCGACTGACCGTCAGATTCATCGTGAGTATGCTGTCAAGGTTCTTGACAAGCGCCACATAATCAAGGAGAAGAAGGTCAAATATGTCAATATTGAGAAGGATGCTCTCAACCGACTGACAGAACATCCTGGCATTGTCCGCCTGTACTATACATTCCAGGATGAGCGTTCGTTGTATTTTGTGCTTGACCTTGCCAACGGCGGCGAGCTGCTTGGTCATCTGAAAAAGATGGGCACTTTCGACGAAGACTGCACACGTTTTTACGGTGCTCAGATTCTCGACTCAATAGCGTACATGCACTCGAAGGGTATCATCCATCGAGACCTCAAACCGGAAAATGTCCTACTCGACGAGCAAATGCACACCAAGATTACCGACTTCGGAACCGCCAAAATCCTTGACATCAAGTCCGCTAGCGGCAGCGGGAACGACGGTCCAGGCTCTGGTGATCCCATGGACGGCGCTGAGCAAGAGAGAGCGGTATCGTTTGTTGGCACTGCAGAGTATGTCAGCCCTGAACTGTTGACCGATAAGAATGCCTGCAAAGCAAGTGATCTATGGGCTTTCGGCTGCATCATGTATCAGTTGCTTGCCGGACGTCCACCATTCAAGGCTGGCAACGAGTATCAGACGTTCCAGAAGATTGTTGCTTTGGACTACCATTTCCCAGATGGCTTTCCTGGTGTGGCGCGGGATCTTATAGAAAGACTGTTGGTCCTCGATCCGTCCAAGCGTCTACCTATCGAACACATCAAATCACATCCTTTCTTCGAGGGAATCCAGTGGGGCAAAGGACTGTGGAAGCAGAAGGCACCACGTCTTCGAAGTTACATGCCTGGTCCCTCTCAATCTCAGCCTATCAGACTTGATGGTGGAGATGCTATGGGCTCAGCGCCTGCTCCCACCATTCCAGGTATCCCAACCGTTGGGATTCCAAGCTCGCATGCAGCTTCACCACCAACAGCTCAATCCGTACAACAGATGCCCCGGCCACAATTAAGAGCTATAACCGAGCTAGCCCCTCCCAGCCAACTCGACATCGACTGGTCGCCTGTGTTAACTCGCAATAACGAGAGAATAATAAAGCTGGGTAATCTCAATGTCATCTCATCTCCTGCTCCTCATAGTCCTACATCGAGAGGCGCCGAGGAAGCATCGAGAAAATTCTCAAGATTCTTTGGTGGAGCCACGACCAAAAAGCGCCAACGACTTGTTATGATAACCTCTAGTGCGCGAGTCATAATTTGTGCTGCTGGAACCGATGAAAAGAAGGCGAAGCTTGATCTCAATCTGCTCGCAAATGGGACATCATGGAAAACGGTTCAAGACAACAAGGGCCTGACGGCCTTCTGCATCGACACGGTATGTTGTACTCTTTTGACAAAGGTGACACTGAAGCTGACAGCAACCAAGCGGGACAAGCATTTCTCTTTTGAAGATCCTCGGGCAACCACATCGGATCCTGAGGGCTCCAAGTACTCTACCCAGGAGTGGATGGAAGCCATTGACCGCGCCAAAGATGTGGCACTGTCGCAATCCATCGCAAACTCGTACTCGGGCGAGTCTCAGTATGGCGATCTGGCATCGACCATGTCCAGCCCCACTAGTGCGAGCGGTGGCGATGGTGGGGGTGAACAGCAGTCCATCCACTCTGTACGGAACACCTTACGCAAGGAGCCGGGAGACAATGAGAGTGTCAAGAGTAGGAAACCACGTTTCAGCAAACGACACTCCAAGAGCGGACTGGCGGCAGTCTTCTAAGCGGATCCACCACGTTCAGGGCTCTGTTTCCTGGATAAAACACGCCTTCTTACAACCCCTCAACATACAATTAGCAACTATTACAAAACAACCGCCTATACAGCTCAAAACCGACAAAGAGGCTGAGGCAATTGTACATGATTCTGCTTTCTATCCGCACGCGCTCTGGTTACAACCCCTTCATGACCTTATGACGAGAACACATGCCGCAGGTGTTTATCTCAAGCTCTCTACTTTGAGCTCCATCGATTCTGTTTTCCTGCATGACTGCAAAATTCATATCCCCCTTCTCTCGTCGAGACTCAAGCGAATATCAAAATTTTCATTATCCTCTATCTCTATTCTCATCTGCTTTTTTCACATGTTGATGAACGAGTCCTGTTCGGAGTAGGTGGTATGTCTTGTCTCAATCTCGGTGGCTAAACTCTTTGTTGCTTTGATAATTCACACCTTTTGAGCCTTTCTCTGGTGGTGTCATCATGTATGCATCGACGGAAGACGTTGCGACTTTTCCTCAGACATGTTCTCGTGCTCATCTTACACTGTCGTTCAGTCTAACTACATTTACGTTACTTGTTGTTGTATATGGTGGACACGCCTATGTGCTTCGAATTCTCCATCTCACTCCTGCGTGCATTCTTGTGGATTTTGATGGTGATGATACACATGTCTAAACCGGTGTCTCGTGGTGTGCTGTCTAGATATGTAGCAGTTGGTCCGAGGCGAACAATATTCCATTGTATTTGACCGAAATCCCGACTTTCCTTTTCGAACTGCTTAGGTAGTGACTGACTTAACACTTTCGAAAAAGAACTCTGAAAATCTATGTAGATTGTGAGGCAGTGCTGCAGCTTATGCATGGCGATCTTCCATATTGGAGTGATCGTTGGTTGGATTTATTTTGTTGGTTGCTTGGGCGGCGAGGGAGGAAGCTGCGACCCAAAAGGTTGTCAGCTGCAGGCCACAGGGCGAGCAATGACTTGAACATGATTCGTGATTGGGTGTGCCTAACTCTTGGGTCTTGCGACGTCAATCCTCTCGATCAAGTTATTGTGGTCATCATTCTTGTAGAAAAGAGAAAGAATATAGGTTCGACTGTCGTGGTTGTCGTGGTGCAGCCAAAACAGACCAACTCCAGCTTTCACATGTTTGGAGGGGCTACGAGCTTTTGCGCAACAATCAACCGCTCGGCCTTCGCAATCTGAAGACAACGCATGACACGCACTTCTGACCGTTGGCCGCTCTTCTTTTGTCGACTCGGATTCACTTTGGACTTGGACTACTGTTGATCTTGCTCTGTTCGCTCACAACCACGCGCATCGACATTTCAGCAGCACGACTCGACGACGCAGGGCCTTGATGGTATCGCATCGCACCACGCCTCGTTATTGTGAAGCCACCGCTTTGCCAGGATCATGGTGAAGGCCGACATCAAACGAAACTACTATGCGGATCTGGAACTGCNNCCAACGTACGCCTGCTTCAAAGACACAGACTTCGGCGACAATAGCTGACGGCGAGAACAGGATGCCTCCGTAGAAGACATCAAGAAGGCATACCGCAAGCTTGGTAACACACCCTCTGTCCGGTCAACCAACCCAGACTAACACATGGCACAGNCGCTGAAATACCATCCCGATCGTAACCCCGGTAAAGAATCAGAAATCGTGCCCAAGTTCCAGGCCATCCAGGCCGCCCACGAGATCCTTCACGACCCGGTATCCAAGACGCGATATGATGCAGACCGTCGAAAGGCGGGACTGGGAGGTGGTGCCTTCACCAAGCCCAACGTGCCGCCAAGGAGCACAGGAACAAATCCCATGTACCAGGCCACATCCAACTTCCCTCCACCGCCGAGACGAACACCCGCTCCTACTTCGACGTGGCGTAGCACCGCATCCGGCGCCTCAGGTGCCGACCGATTCACAAACTTCCCGAGACCCGCTCCCACGAGCAAGAAGAACCCGGCTGACCCTGCAAACGTCTTCAACGCATGGCAGAATATGAAGCCGCAAACGCCTGGTACCGCCCCGCAGCCTCCACCACGAGCTTCTCCCAAACGTCCAGTACCTCGACCACCGCCTAGGCAAGACACTCGCTATCCTACCGAGGAAGACATCCGGGCTGGCATGAACTACCGCGAGGCTCCCCCGAAGCCTGCAAATGCCTATGACGGGTTCCGCTCAGCTCGCTCAGCCTGGGCCGAGTACAACAATGCTGGCACGAACAAAGCAGGTGCTTCAACGTCTTCCAGCACCCCCAGAAAGGGTGGTGGCTTTGACCCCACGTCGACTGGCGACGAGAGACAGGCGGGAAGTACAGCCAACTACTCATCATCCAGGAGAAGGTCCGCGGACCCACCTTACTATCCACCTCCGCCGCCACGTTCTGCATCGCAGAGGGACTACTCTGACGTTCCTGCCGAAGACGCTCGCACAAGGACAGCCTACTCGGGCGAGGATGCTCGTCGCACAGCCAGCACACCCCATGTGCCCATGGCTTCAGAGGGAGCATCACAATTCCGTCGATCGACGCGCAAGGCGGGTACCGGTACTGCAAGGAAGCCCTTTGTCGTCTACAGCTCAAGCGATGACTCTGAGACTGAAGACGACTCTGCTTCCACCACTCCTGACACTGCACAGAAGAACCCCCAACCTACGACGACCGATCAACCCGCTGACCCCTTCTCACGCTCATTCACCCGTCCTAAGAAGACACCCAATCCGCCTAGTCGACAGTTCAAAAACGGTGTCCCTTACAAGGCTCCAGATGAGGCTAGCGCGAGCAGCAATGCTGGTCTAGATGCAGCAGCAGATGCTGGCGAAAAGGACAAACCAACAATGTATGCCAATCATTTCTCTACCCCTCCTTCCAACAAGCAAGAAAAAATGCCCTCTCCTGTCTATCCTTTTGGAAGAACCTACCTACAAAACAAAAGCCCTGACTCGATTCCTCGATGGGCTGTCCCGTCCTCTGTTCCTCCGGTCAAACGGAGCCATTCGGCTGCTCAACGCGCCTGGATAGACCTTACGAACACTGAATTGTCTGCAAATGTGGGAAAGAGTCAACCAACTTCCCGCAGGAGACCGCCACGAATGCCCTTGTCTGATGATCTTGTCGACCTGACCACCGATGACACCCCTGAACTCCAATCACCATATAAAAAGACTTGTTTCACCAAAGACGATGCTACTGGCCTGTATCGTTTTGACAATCGTTCATTACATCAATCCGACGCTGACTTCTTGTCCAACAGATTCACGATACCCATCAATGCTGACACCTTCAGGCCGAACATGGCTAAGAGCCGCAGTGAGGACAGTATCAACACATCCTTTGTGCCTGAGCAGTGGGCTGGCGACTTTACCAGTAACAACGTTTTTGCTGCTGCCCAAGCCACAGCTGGTCGCAAGTCTGCCACACCATCACGCAAATCGTCCAGAGCTTTCCGCCAACAATCTAGAACCAATACCTTTTCTGAGCCATCTACACAGCAAAACCAAGCCGATTTCGCCCAAGATCCCACTGTGCCATCANCCTCCCCGCCACCCGCCAAGTACTCGCCTGAAGAATGGGCCAAGCATTTCCAGGATGCAACTTGGGCCTTTGACCCGAACACTTTACGCACCTCATCACCTGGCAAGCCAGAGTCAAGAACAACCTCTAGAAGCAATTCGGCTGCAGTGAGAAAGGGTTCGAGAGTGGCCAATAAGATTCCGGTGAACACACCAAAGCCCGCGACAGTAGCAGATGAGGCGGAAGAGAATGTTCCTCGAACTCAATCGCCTGATGAGATGGATGTCGATGATGCCCCACCAGCCAGCACAACTACCGCACCTCAGCCTTCTACTGCTCAAGAGCCTCGCATCTATCCCGTCGACACGAAAAATCTGCGTCAGAACGATGCCGGGACAAGCAAGCGCGAAAGCAGCGGCTTCAACGTCAAACTCGACGACCTCGGCGCTGCAGTCGACGTCCCACCATTACAAGGCCTCGACGGTCTAGCAGACATCAGCAGCACTTTGCCATTTACCTCCAAAGCTTCCACCACCATCCCCACCTTTACACCACAAAACCTCGTGCTACCACCTCTACCTCGCGCACCACCCACGCCCACAAGACTCACCCGTGCAGCCTGGTTCACCTACTGCACCACCTTCTCCGTCTACCTCGACAAATTCAACAAGTACAATGCAGTAATCGTGACCCACTTTTCCAGCCGCCAAGAGCTTGCCGCTAGAGTGGTTAGAGCTGGCATTAGAGCGCTGGAAGCTGTAGGGGAGGCGAGTACAGGCGAAGGCTTCATGAGTTACGCGCAAGCGGTCAAGGAAGACGAGCGTGTGAGAGAGCATTGGAATGTTGGATGCGAGAAACATGCAGATGCTGTCAAGGAGTTTGAGGCTGTGAGGGAGAGGGTCAGGGTGTTGAGTCAAGGGGCTGGATTACCTGAGAACTGATCTGATCTGACCACAAAAGTCTTGTCACTCGGACGCTCTGTTCATACTGGCCTTTTTTTTCTTGTTCCGGCGCCGCTGTTCCGACGCCACATTCATCTGGGTGGGAGTTTGCTTCTGCCCCAACATCTCTCTCCTTTGGTCTGGGTTACGTTACAAACGGTATGGTTGGGAAAGACGAGAATATGGATGGCTTGCTATGGAGAGATTTGGCTCCAAGAGCAATATTCTTCTTCTCCTGCTCTCGGGGTGTTTAGGGCAGCATAAAGTACAGTACAGTACAGCGAGCGTGGTTTTCCGAGAAAAGGCCAATCTCCTCTATAGGACAAATGAACAGTTTGGAAGAATCGTTTTGTTTCTTTCTTTGTAAACATGTGTTGAGAGTCAGCAAGCAGATGTCTTCACTACCCTATTACTATGCTTAACCTTTGGGCAAGAACGAACACGAAGATAAAAAATTAATACTCGCAACTACCAAAAAGGGGGTATCTAATCTTGCAAAACAATACACCTCATCCGTTCCTTCTTTTGAAGAGAGGATTAAAACTCCTTTGCGGTAACAAAAGACTCCAATGGTGGTCTCACAGCTCCTTCCGCTCCATTATCAACCTCATTCATACCTTGATTCTTCAACCCCGTCTCGGTCTCATAGATACCAACGCCAGGTTCATCAGCAATTATTCCGCCTTCGGCTGCCCCATCCACAAAGCTCACTCCTCTTCCAGTAGCAGGCCGCGAACTCTCGGCCAAAGATTCATCGTCATTTCTACCCATCGGTCTGACGTGGGCAGCAGAGTCAAGTGTCACTGTGCTCGCAGTGGCGGCTTCGTTCTTGAGCTTGAATGGGTAGGCCACTTCGCCATTGTGAGGGCGTGCGCTGTTGTTGCTTAGAAATGTGTTCTCTGAGCCGGGAACTTTGGTGTGCATGCCGTAAGGAGCTAGGTGTGCCTCGTCATCTCTGATGACTTCTTTGCCTTTAGGAAGGTCTTTGGCTGGTGGTGGAGGTGGGATGGTCGATGAAGTGGCGGGTCTGGAGCGAGGTCCTGCTTGACCCAGATCTGTGACGGTGCGGTAGCTGGGACTCATGCTGCGGTCGAACGTGGGTGTGGCTCTCATCGTGGGATCGGCAATAATCGTGGCTGCTTGCTGTGGATCCGCTTTCGCGACTGCAGCGCCAGCTTCTGGTACCGCAACGGTTTGTGAGGGTGCGCGGTTGACCTTCTGTTCACGGCCAAGGGTGTCTTCGTCGTGTTTGGAACCCCATCCTGACCACATTGCAAGACCCCATGACTTGCCCTTACGTGCTTTCTGACCTGGCATATCCTTCTTACGGCGTCCAGCCAAAGCAGTGGGTGGTGGGACTTCTCCAGCTCCAAAGGTATCATAGCCTTCCGCCATGTCCTTGATGCGCTGCTTCTGTATCGCGCGCTTGTCTTTGCCGTACTTGACGTCCCAATCAGCCTTCTTTGCAATCCACTTTCTAACAGGACCAGGCTTAATCATGCCAATGGTGTCGGGATCAAGCTGCAGGCATTTGAGATCTTCTTCTGCAGCAAGCGGGTACGTAACACCATGTCTGTCGACTCTCTGGCGAACCATATGACCTTGAAAGGGAGGTAAGGGATCGCCAGCCTTGCCAACAGACCCAGACGCTGTCGAGACGGTGTGAGCTTGTATCGGAGTACCTAGAGCATCCGGGAATTTCTTGTCCACGGTTCTACCGCGATCAAAGTCGGATTCGCTGTCGTAGCTTGACTGGTTGCTGATGATACTGATGGCATCATCGTCAAGAATGGTGATTGCTTGATCTTGAGCGCGAGCTAGAGCCCAAGCACCAAACTGTGCGACACTGCGATACATGTATTTGGCAGGTCGAGTAAAACTGAGAGTATGTGGGACGTGGCAAAGGTCATCCCAAACCTGCAGAACGACGTGTGTTGGCGGGTACTTGTCTACTATCTGCCTTTTGGGGTCAAACTCGTCCATGACCTTTTTGTTGGGAAGATAGGCAGCCGGGTTGGCAGCCTTGTGGGCAATGTAGATCTGTTCATCGCGCAAGAGCTCGCCACCTCCTGTTTGGATAAGAAGTGGTGGCAGACCACCCAGAGACGGCTGCATCACAGGTGAGACCATAGGATGTGCGAGCATGTCGTTGGTAGTATACATCTGAATTTGGTCAGTGAGCTCGATCAGCTTGCCGTCCAACTCGATTGATAGATGCTCGCCGCCCGGAATACTCTTAGATCGTGGACGAGTTGCTCTGTCATGCTTCTCATCCTCGGGCAGGTCGTTGACAGAGAAGCCCATGGTGGCCTCTCGCTCGAGCTTCTTCTTCTCTTCCTTTGACCTCCTTGGTGGATTGGCATCTGGAGACTTGAGCTCTCTCAGGTCGTTGGCGTTTGGAGGTGGCCATGCCATCGAAGGCCTGTGATGGAATCCGTTCGCAGGGATGTAATCGAAGGTACCTTCTCCAGCTACACTGGGGAAGGAATGGGTAAGGTCGACCCATGGGGACAAGAGAAGAGCTCCGGCGGGAAGAGGAATGCCCTGGTCGCGGAGGGTGACGAGCATGTTGATGACCATGCCACCGCCAGCGGAATCACCGCCCAGCAGGACCGTCGAAGGATGACATGTCTCAATGACATGGAGGTAGGCAGCGATACAGTCGTGTAGACCACAGGGNAAGGGGAACTGGGGAGCAAGGCGATATCTAGGAGCAAACAGACGGGCCTTGAGCTTCCGCGCATGGCGCTGCATCTGGTAGCGGTGCTCGTCGACCGAGCCAAAGTAGTAGGCGCCGCCGTGGACGTAGAGAATGACGCGGTCGCTCTTGTTGTCGGCAGCGATTCGGTCGTTGTAGTCCTGGCGCATCTCAATCCATTCGCCCTTCAAGGCTATCTCTGGCCGCCTCCATTGCCACCACTCTTGACCGCCAACTCTTTGCAGGCCTGCAGGACCAAGCTGGGCTTTGACGAGCTCAGCCGAGCGTTGTAGATGGGCGTCCGAGATAGGGACTTCGTCGAGCTTGACCCATGTGGGNGTGGGGACCCATTGGCCAGTGAAGGCCTGGACGTCTTCGACAGTGTGCTGCGAGGCATAGGCGAGGAACTGGCGGATCAGGCGCAAACCCTCGTGGTATGAAACATGGGCAGTAGGCTTTCCCTTGAGCGGCTTGCGGTTGAGGTACTATTGTTGGTGTTAGTACAAGGCGGGCGATTGGCGTGAGATGTCGCCGAGACTTACGTGTGAGAAGAAGGTCTCAATGACCGAGGGGGTGACATCGGCAGCTACGCCGAGCGTGCTCAGGACCATGGCTGATCCTTTTGATTAAGTGGCTCCTTGGGGGTAAATGCAATTGCGTCTCCAGTATCCCTGGTCATGAGAGCGTAGCAACCTGATCAAAGACGAGCGGCGTTGGTGCAGGCAGTTGTTCGGGAAGCAATGCGTGAAACAGAGGCTCTGGACATGTGCACGAGAGGCAGGAGCCGTGTATTTGTTTCGGGTAGTCGCAACGGGTGCCGGCCAGCGGAGATGAAGCCTTCTGCAGCACGACGATCGTGACGCCGTGGCTGCCCCAGGCAGGGTCCACCATCTTCCGAAGTGTGGAGAAGGCCTGGTCCAAGCGCGAGAATTTCGAGGACGGCCATGGCATAATTTATTTGGCGGCAGTCACAACACCAAAACACAACCATGGCAGACCAAGGCATGAAGATCCGCTCCAACACAAGTCCAACTCAGTAACTAACTCCACGCAGAAACAATTCAGACCAACTTCGACCTCGGCATCTGGTACGCCCTGGGTCTCTGGCCCGCCCTCACCATCGCCGTCACCAGCAACTGGGGCGGCCCCGACAGCTCCGCAAAGCGCGACTGGTTCGCCGGCGCCGTGAGCGACCTCTTCGCCGACCGCCCGGATACCGATCAATTTGATGTCGAAGCCGTGCTGCTGCAGGTCATGCAGGACGAGTTCGACCTAAACGTCGAGGACGAGAGTGAAATCCCTGTCGCCGAAGAAATCATGAAGCTTAGGAAAGAGACTGCCGATGGAAATTTCTCTGGTCTCGAGGCTGTTAAGAGGAGGTTTGAGGAGCGTGGAGGAAGAGTCCCTCAGAACCTTCAAGTTGTCGAGCACAAGCACGACGACGATGAGAGCAGTGAAGAAGAGAGCGATGATGATGATGATGACNGACGTCGAGATGGGCGATGCTGCCCTGCTCTTGTCCCTGCGCCGCGCGAAAGACAAGAGCCCGAGGTCGACGACGATGGCTTTACTAAGGTTGTCGGCAAGAAGAAGAGATGAAGCAAGCCGTATGCCTACCCACATTCACGACGATAATGCCGATAGATTCATTTTTTCACATGCACATCACGCCACGAGGAGTGCTTTGGTGTGCAGACGAGTACAAAAGTAGGACGAAGTAATGCATTCTAGGTCTTTAGGTCGAGCAAGTCACTTCAAAGCACACGCAGCATCATCTTGATGCGTCCCTCCACTTGTGGGCAAATCCCTCTGGTCCAGCCAACTCCCAGTTCTTCACCTGCTTCGTAACCCATCGCGTGGCGAGTGTTCAGCCCAGCCAATCTCCACCACTTCCGCATAGCTTTCCTTGCCACCACTAGCTCGTGTTCTTCGGGTGATAGTTCCCTAGCCAGCACCGGAGCTGTCACCTCGGATTCGTCTTCAGACTCGCTGAGGTTCATCTCTGCCGGTTCGACAATTCTTACCGGCGGTCTGTCCCAGATGGCACTGCTCTTTCTTCTTCCCGAGAACAAATCGACACTGGCTCTTCTGGCTGACACATCGTTGCTGTCCCTTCTGACAGTATGGTTGGTGTCTGTACGCTCGACCACTGATCCGGTGCGTCGAAGGTGCTCATGCACTGTACCCCAGTGTTGGCCGAGTGCTGCACCCCAGTGCTTCTAGCGCCCGACAGTGATTGATGACAAAAAGTGTTGTCGCAGTAGCATCGACATGAGTATGCCGCTCTCTTCGTCAATGATAGAGATGTTTGGTCCTCCTTTTGATTGTGTGCGAAGGCATGTATAACCATCTAGATCGAGTCAGCGCCCTGTCTTACGTGTCAATATCGCTCAACACGCACCTCCACCTCTGACCATAAAGTCTCGAGTTGCCAGTGTGTATTCTTGTTCCAGGTCGAGCGGCTTTCCACCAACCTGTACCCCAACTACTCGATCGTGTCTGTTTCGCGATGGATCAAAAGTAAAGCTGATGTTGGACACCTGTGGAAAGCGACCATCCAGTGCAGGGTGCTTTGACACACCGTTCTGCAAGGCTTCGAGAAGCTGTTGGCCTTTGACCTTGATCACAACAACAGGGTCTTCGAACGGAAANGCTAGTACTCATCAGTATGCATCATTCGATGGACATCTCTCTACTCTTGGGTCGCTTCTTATGTTGCCAATGAATACCCTTCGCGAGCTTGTGCGCATTTGAAGAATATGCACTTACCAATCGACGATATCCTTGAGTCGTAAGATACCTGGAGGGTAGACCATATCGGCTCGGATCGTACCTCCAGCAATCATCGCACAGTCAGTGTCGTAGTAGTAGCGCATCAAATCGCAAACGAAATTGCCCATATTGGATTCCTGGCTCCGGACAGTGCTGAAACGGCAATCTAGTGGCACGGCGGTATAGCCGACTACTTTCTGCAGCTTGTTTTGGAGAGACGAGAACAGCTTGTCAAGCAATTCTACAGTAGCCGGGTCCTCGGTTAAGGTGCTGTCGACATTCCGACGTGTGATGGCAAAATTCTATCTGCTACCATTCCTTGACGCTTCGATATAGCTGAGCTGCTTGTAGTCGCTGCCAGAGCACACGATGTGAGTTTCGCGTACTTTAGAGTGGCGGTAGTGGTGGTCATGGCCAGAGAGTATGATATCTATATCCGGTACCTCCTGCGCCAGTCTAGTGTCATGGAGCTCTCTCTGATGACATAGAGCAATGATCATTTCAGCGCCTTCAGCTCGGAGGGTTGGTATCACGCTACGGGCTGTGATGACAGGATCGGTGTGTACCAGATTGGTTGGCAGAGAATTGACGGCTTCGAGCCACTCCTTCTCAGCTAGACCAATGAGTCCGATCTTGACTCCGGTGGACGATGTGAGCATGGCGGTCTTCTGTGCGTGTCCCAGAGGAACGTCGTCGCCTAGCGCTGGGTCTGTAACATTGGCTAGCAGCCAAGGGAAATTGCATTGAGAAGCGAGATGCTCGAATTGAGGAACGCCCATGTCAAGCTCGTGATTGCCGACGCAAGCGGCAGCGACTGGTACGTTGTTCAAGATTGGAACCATATGAGCGCCTGTCCCATTGGATGTCAGCTTGTGATCCCAGAGTCCATACTGGACGTAGCAAACAACCTTTNNGGTTACACTGCTCTCTAGACTCGGGCCGAACCCGTCCCCTGAGAAGAGCGTGATAAGCTCCGGTTGCCCTTGATACTTCGGATCTTGTCTATAGTGGTTGCACAGGCTCTGGAAGCGAGTAACACCCCCAACTGGATCGTGTTCCGAAGGCTCGAGACGATAAACATCGTTGAAGTGCAGCAGCCTGACAGTAGGTGTGTTTCCAGAGGGCATTGCTTGCGTAAATGGTTGTCAAATGATAGAGGGTGTTGATACTGTGATGAGGATGGCTGATGTAGAATTCAGGAAAAAGTTGATGCCCTGTTCTCCAGAGATGGTAGCTTCGCAACGCGCGGTGCTTCCTTCCTGAAGCATGAGCTGTATCGAAGAAGTTGCACTGCACGGACTTGACAGCTTCGATCAAATTCGGACTTACATGAGCGTCCACTTGTCTTACTTTGGAGAGCATTGACTCTCTTGCATAGATATATCTCCCAATCAGGCTTTGGCTCATGTTAAGAGATCTGAGTGCATCACTGAGGTGATATCTTCATACGTACTGCCGATGAACTGGGGTTCTATAATGACGAGCGACGACATCTGGAGCCGCACCATTCATCCTGAGCGTTTCCGCGCTCTGGTCTTGTGATATGCTCGCACGAACATGTCTGCTTCGATTGGCTTGGTACGACCACTTTTCGCAGGACATGTTGTTGAAGTAGTATTGCAGGATTCACACTAGGATGGATGTAGCATACTGTGAGGAGAACATGAGATAGCTGTCGCACCAAAATTAGCATAGAGATCGTCTTGGTAGATCCATTTTACGAACGGAGATCATCCTTCTCAGCACATGGATGACCACTTTGAGGTGGCTCGATGCACGAATACGAGGATCATATGTACTGTACTCTGCATAACATCTCAGAGAAGCTTGAATCAAGCTGAGGCAACCTTGAATCAAGCTCCGTCGCGTTCATTCTTGGAAGAAGGAGGATCCAAAGCTACCTCTGGTGCTACAGTAAGATGGGACGCTCCATTCTACGAGATCAGTCGCCCGACGATACAGTATTCTTTTGCGTGCCAGTCTTGACAGCAACATGCCTGAGTTTACCAATCGACGTCGCCACTTTTAGTGTACAGGTCTGTCTCAGGATGATGATCGTTTTCTTTGTTCCGATGTGTAAGACGGAGGAAGTTTCGATGCCGAGGTGCCGTCGCTGACAAGCTTTCAACCTTGAGCTTGACGAGTTTCCCCATTCTACCACCTTGATACTCGCTCTCCTTCTCAGGACATCAACACGATTGGACCGCCTTTGCTGGATACGTCTCCAAAGATTTGCTGCTTCACCGGATATGCGGTCGCGTTATACTCAAGCTAGATCCTTCGTTCCAGCGTCTTACAATCCACGACGATGGTGAGGTCGGGCAGTAGCCTGGGTCGATCCATCCCTACCTTTGTCCTTTCGAAGGATCTAAACGCTATAGTGGTACTAGGTACGTAAAAATAGTATACAGGTAAACGTTTGTTTCCTCCGGTGGTGGTGACTATGCCACACAATGACGTTCCGCCTCCAGTATACGAACATATAAAGAAGCAGTCTCTATCTCACATTGTTCTCCCACTACCATCTATCAAATCTTCTCCCTTCATCATTTCCTCAGCACGAACAACAATCAGCTATGCATCTCAACACCATCATCTTTGCCTTTGCTCTCGCTGGCACCGCTCTGGCGAGCATAAACACCACTCGCGAATATCAACTTCGCACTCAGTTGAGGTCTGGTCAAGGAAACAAGAATCAGTTCGACGGTCTCTGGCTCGTTGCTTCACACACCGGAGCAGGCATGAACGATGCCGTTCTCTACGCCAACAGATCATACGCCATCAAGGGTTTCGAGAATGCCACCAACATCACACAGCCCAACGGTCAACCCTACTTCAACCAGCTTTTCGATCTTGGAAGTGACTTTCCTTGGGATCTCTACATTGCAGACATTAGCTTTTACTCTGCTTGGGAACCTGTCCGTATCAACGCCGGTTCTGGTGCAGGAGATTTCTTCATGAACTCCAGCGGTCTCCAGTTCAACGAGAATCCGACCAATCCTGCCGAGACCAACACTTTCGGAGGATGGCTTGTGTGTGACTGGTGGCATGGTGTTCCTCAGCTGTTCATGAAGTGGAGGTAAGAATATCGGGCCCATCTTTAGAAGAGTATATGCTAATGGCCAACANGCTACTATCACTACGATAACCCCTCGAGCTGTGCTGATGTTAATTTGCTTCCTGTCTATATCTAGTTATGTAAGGCAAGGCCTGGATAGTCAAGACTATGTAGATTGCTTTGGTAAGCTGTCCAATAATATCAGATATGATATCTTGGGCGAGCTGTTGTGGTTTTGAGCGATTCGGAATTTGATGCCATTTTCGTCTTTCCACCTAGTATTTCTGTCATAACATTTCAATGTGGTCATTTCTATCCTGTGTCCTCGTAGTCCCACAACGTCAATGTTATCTGAGCTTACTCCACCAGCATTAGCATGTTGCTCCTCGATGAGCCCTGGTCCTGATGTTGCGTAGACGACCCTGTCCCTGTAAACCATCACTCGGTACCACTCCCAACAGTGCTTGTTCGGATCAAATATCCAACTAAGTCTTGTCTTGTAAGCACCTCAACTGATCTCAGATATTTATTGATATTCAATGCTAACATGGAACCTCATATGTGCGGCTCCACAACGAACACCTCATCATTCAGCAAAGCACCAATCGGCAACCACGAACGTGATCAACCTGCAGCAGAAGTCGGCCTGACAGCACGCTCTAATAGAGTAGCCCAATAGCTCAGACTAGATCCGCCTTGCATCGTTGCTGGAACAAGTTGTCCTTGTGTTCTCCGCCTCTTTACTTCCTGCAACCAAACCCAGTCTTAACGGCTATTCAACAACTCGCGTCTTGGTGACTTCTTAGGCGGGGACAAGATATATTGACATAACATCAGACTCGCCGAATGCAGGCCGAAGCAGCATGTGCGGTCTGCGGCGCTCCACCATCGAAAAAGTGCCAGCACGAAGATGAGAGGCTGAAGAGAGCTTTGGACGAAGCGAATCACCGCTGGATGGCGAGCGTCGAGATGCGACAGATCAGGCACGTCTCCCACAACAGCCAAACCTCTCCATACTGACTCTTGTCATCTCTANGACACTGGGTACTCAGCCACGCTCGCGAGTGGATAATCCTTACATTCAATCAAATGGTCGACATAAGAAAACAGCAATACGAAGCACACCTAGCCACCATACCATATTACGAGCTCTACAAGATCTACGCAGGTCGACCGCCCATCCCACCAGCTCAGCTGCATGAACTACGCGTGCAGATGTCTGCCGCACAAGGCGCGTACCAGCGAGGCATAGATGAAGATTGGAAGAACAGTCTACAGCGATACCCTGAGGTGTTGGACTACTACTTTAACCTCGTCGAGTTCAAGCTGCCGGGTGAGAAGAGCGTCGCTGTACAAGAGCCTGTCTTTGGTGGCCGCGTTGACCCTGAGATGAAGAGGAGAGAGTCGAAGGGCAGGANNAGGGGTGATGCAGCCGCCGCCGCCTATGCCTGGCGGAGTCTTCATGATGCACCCGGGGGACCGCCGCCTATGACAGGCCCAGGACCAGGTCGTATGCCGATGGGCATGCGACCGGGCGGCTTTGAAGGGAGATTATCATGGACGATGTGATGATGATTCAAAGATAGTCGGCCGTGACCTTCCAGACACAACGAGGGACAAAGGGCGCTGCCGGCTCCAAAAGGGCGCCCTCGAGACTCGCGGCGAAGACAACCGAGGCTTCACAGCATGACGGAGGTCTCGGACGGAACTGCCCCGCGCTCCTCCACGCTCCACCTCGGTGAACAGTTGCACCTTTCATGTGATGTTCCATTCCTCCATTCTTTTTTTTTGTGACTTGGTTGTTTCTTCTTCTCTATCACATATCCAACAGTCCACAAAATGTCCTCCATCACACTTCGTACTCCTCTACGTCGCCTACCGCTTTCTGCTCGTCAGACATGCTTTAGCAGCTGTAGACAATTCAGCTCCTCCACATCCCGGGCAAAGGAGATCCAAGACGCATATATTCTTAGTGCTGTTAGAACGCCTGTTGGAGTCGTATGTGTGTTGCAGAAATGTCAAGTCCTGCAACTGAACTGACAAGAACGACTAGNNTTCAATGGAGCTCTCTCTTCCGTATCAGCACCCAAGCTCGGCTCTTACGCCATCAAAGAAGCCATTGCCCGTTCGTCCGTCCCCGCCGAGCACATTCGCGATGTCTACATGGGCCAGGTCTTGCAGGGTGGTGTCGGCCAAGCACCAGCGAGACAAGCAGCCATCTTTGCCGGCCTTGATCCCTCGGTAGAAGCAACAACCATCAACAAAGTATGCGCCTCGGGCATGAAAGCCGTCTCAATAGCCGCCATGAAGATCCAGCTCGGACTGGCCGAAGCACAAGTTGCAGGAGGAATGGAGAACATGAGTCAAGTTCCATACTACTTGCCCCGATCGTCCCAACTCCCACCTTTTGGCAATATCAAGCTCGACGATGGCTTGATCAAGGATGGTCTATGGGATGTATACAACCAAATCCACATGGGCAACTGCGCCGAGAAGACGGCCAAGGACCACGGTGTCACTCGTGAAGAGCAGGATGAATACGCTATCCAGAGTTACAAGCGTGCACAAGAAGCCTACAAGCAGGGACTCTTCCAAGAAGAGATGGTGCCAGTGACAATCAAGGGCAAGAAGGGTGATACAGTCGTCTCGGAAGACGAGNGGGTCTACAGACTTAAGCTTGAGAAGGTGCCTACCCTGAAGCCTGCCTTCGACAAGTCTGGTTCGGGCACTGTGACGGCAGCCAACAGCTCGGGGTTGTCAGACGGAGCTTCAGCACTGGTTCTCGGAAACAAGGAGATGGCCAAGAAGTACGGCAAGGGCAACAAGTTGCTTGCACGTATCGTGGCAACGGCGGATGCAGCAGTCGACCCCATCGACTTCCCGATTGCACCATCCAAGGTTGTCCCCATCGTGCTCGAGAGAGCAGGCATCACCAAGGAGCAGGTCAAGGTATGGGAGTTCAACGAGGCCTTTGCCGCCGTGATCAAGGCAAACGCCAAGGTACGTCTGAAGATGGAAGTGCGGTGTCTGAAAATCTACTTACACAAAGTACCAGNNATTCTCGGCCTCGGTATGGACAACGTCAACCCCAGGGGCGGTGCAATTTCTCTTGGCCACGCACTAGGAAGCTCGGGCTCAAGGATCCTGGTGACATTGTTGCATCAACTGAAAAAGGGCGAATATGGATGTGCTGCCATCTGCAATGGAGGTGGTGCATCGACAGGTATCGTGGTGCAGATGGTTGACGCGGATGAGTTGTGAGGAGCGACAGGGGCCGTCCGAATAGGCAGCAACGTGGATACCCAAGAAGAATGTAGCAGTAACATTTCGTAAAGAATTCCGTCGGCTCAAAGCAGAAACAGATCCAGTTTGCAAAAAAAAAAGATGGTTGGGAGTTGTTCGAATTGGTTCGTTCCTGCCCAAAGTGGTCCACGTGACGTAGACGCGGAAGTGAGGCCCTTGCAAAATCGAGTCGCCGCCAGCCGGTGTGTGAGGAAGGCACGACCCCACCAAGAGTTGCAACTCGGCGTGGTCAACATTTTTCGCCCATAAACTACAGGTGCAGCTCGACTCGCCTTTATCCTCGAACGAACGTCGCACAACCCTCCACATCCGATCGCTTCAATACAGCAAAAATGTCGGACCTCAACTCGTGGGAAGACTCGCCCGACGCCCAGCAGGACCAGGACTTGTCTAGACAGGCCCAGCAGAGCCTGAACATGGGCCAGCAGCAGCAACAGCCCCAGCAGCAACAGCAAGGAGGCGGATTCCACCCTGGCATGGGCAGCTTCCAGCCCGGAGCTGCTGCCTTCAACCCTGGCCAGGCCTTCTTCAACCCTGGTCAGGCATACGGACAACAACAACAACAATACGGTGGCTACGGCCAGCAGTACGGTCAATATGGCCAGCAGCAATACAACCAGTACGGCAACCAAGGATATGGACAGCAAGGATATGGTCAGCAATACTCGCAGTACGGCCAGCAGGGCTACGGTCAACAACAATACAACCAATCCTACCAACAACCCGCCCAGCAACAGCAACAGCGCCAGGTGCCCGTCATCGCTAAGAGAGGTGACCAGACTGCCGCACCCAAGCCCGCCGCCGATGCTCCCAAGGCTGCCGTCAAGACCCTCTCGCTCAGCGCATCCGACACCGGTGCTTCGGCTCCCAAGGTCGAGAAGACTGGTGGAACTAAGGTCCTGAGCTTGGGCACACCCGCAGCCCCCAAGGTCGAGAAGACTGCTGGCACAAAGGTTCTCTCGCTCAACGCTGAGCCCGCCAAGCCTGCACCAGTTAAAGAGACTGTCAACAAGGCCGAGGCTGGTGCCGGAAAGGCCGTCACTGCTGCTAAGGCACTGGAGAAGACTGGCAACTCGCCCGCTGCCTCATCTGGCCGCACCTCCCCTACTCCTTCATCCGGTCGCAGCTCGCCCACCCCTGCCGAGAAGCGTGCCGAAGCCCGCCAGGCCGATTTGGTCGCCGCAGAGCAGGCCGCCGACGTCGACGAGGAGACTCTCAAGGACATGTACGGCAAGGAGCACGTCAACGTTATTTTCCTCGGTCACGTCGATGCTGGAAAGTCAACTCTCGGTGGTTCCATCCTGTACGCCAGTGGAATGGTCGACGAGCGTACCATGGAGAAATACAAGCGTGATGCTAAGGAGGCTGGTAGAGAAACATGGTACCTGTCATGGGCTCTGGATTTGACCAAGGAGGAGCGTTCCAAGGGTAAAACTGTCGAGGTCGGTAAAGGTTTCTTCGAGACCGAGAAGCGTCGCTACACTATCCTCGATGCTCCTGGCCACAAGACCTTTGTGCCCAACATGATCGGAGGTGCCTCGCAGGCTGATATTGGTGTTCTCGTCATCTCGGCCAGAAAGGGTGAGTATGAGACTGGCTTCGAGAAGGGCGGTCAGACCCGTGAGCACGCTGTTTTGGCCAAGACCCAGGGTGTCAACAAGCTCATCGTCGCCGTCAACAAGATGGACGACCCCACTGTTGAGTGGAGCGAGGAGCGTTACAAGGAGTGTACCGGCAAGCTCGCTCAGTTCCTCAAGGGTGTCGGCTACAACCCCAAGACCGACCTCCAGTTCATGCCCATCTCTGCCCAAACCACTCTTGGTATCAAGGACGCCGTCCCTAAGGATGTCTGCCCTTGGAACGACTCTCCTTCGCTTCTCAACTACCTCGACAGCATGCAAGCTCTGGAACGCAAGCTCAACGCTCCCTTCCTGATGCCTGTCGCTGCCAAGTACCGTGACTTGGGTACCATGATCGAGGGCAAGATCGAGTCTGGTGTCATCAAGAAGGATATCAAGTACCTGATGATGCCTAACCGTGTCGAGACCACCATCTCAGCTCTTTACGGTGAGACCGAAGACGAAATCCCCAACGCCACTTGCGGTGACCAGATCCGCCTGCGTATCAAGGGTATCGAAGAAGAAGACATCATGCCTGGTTTCGTACTCTGCTCACCTCGCCGTCCTGTAAACTGTGTTTCAGTCTTCGAAGCACAGATTGTCCTCCTCGACATCAAGTCCATTCTCTCCGCCGGTTTCAACTGTGTCATGCACGGTAGGTTTTCATCAACACCATACTATTCTTATATCCTTGCTGATTATCCGCACANNGTCCACGCCGCCACCGAAGAGATCACCTTCGATGCCCTCCTCCACAAGCTCGAAAAGGGCACAGGCAGAAAGTCAAAGAAGGCGCCCGGTTTCGCCACCAAGGGTATGAGCATCATCGCCCGCCTGAAGGTCACCAGCAACAACGGTGCCGGTGTCTGTATCGAGACCTTTGCCGAATACCCCACCCTTGGCAGATTCACCCTGCGTGACCAGGGTCAGACCATTGCCATTGGCAAGGTTACCAAGCTTATTCACGATGACAGTGCTTAAATGGCTACTGTCTGCTAAAATCGAGGTACATCAATCGTGTGCCCCGTTTCTCAGCCAAAATTTTGATACCAAGGGGGAACGAGAAGTAGGAGGGAAAGCATATAAGTAGGGAGAGGACCAAAAAGGCTCCTCGAAATCTTCTTATAAGCTAGGATATGAAGAAAAGCAAAACACGATTTCTTGTTCACCATTCTTGCACAATTTCAAACGGCTCTTTCCCATGGAACCAACAGAATGATGTGATGACCCTCCAAGAGTAGAAAGGATGTCGGTGGATAAAAAAGCAAAACATACAGCAGCAGGGATTCCCACGTGGTCACCCACCGTAGTACTAATCTGCCGTTCAACTGCTTATGTATGGCAGAGCGGACGGGATGCCCAGTTTTCAGCTGACTGTGGCCGTATGTGTTCCATACCCAATTTCTACGCAATATAATCCTAGACTTCTTGGGTTGTTGCTGGCTGACGAAAGTCGCTGTCGCGCCGTTGTTCACCGTCCTCTTTCTTCCTGGCTCGTGAACCATCTTTACATCACACACAAGTCACACAGGTCTATCGATTCATTCACAGTGATTTCAGCATCTCTCTTGACAGCGGTGGCTCCCCAATGGAACGGAAAGAAGAGAATCATAGACAATACCCCTGATGGCGATCTAGGCAGCAGTCACATCTGCCAAACCAATGACACTTCCGGAGCCCGGTCTTTCGGCGTTCCACCTTCATCTTTCGGCATTGTCTTCCGTCTTATTCTCTTCCAAATAGGGGTCGGAAATCGATACTGGACAAACCGATACAGAGTGGGATATCAGGTGTACTGTGCCATCTGAGGAGCACCAGTGCTCACTNGGCTCTCACAAAGTGCTCATTTGCTGACTTCTGCGCACGATACTGAGGATGGCACTGAGCTGGATACATATCTTCCACATCGCTTGTGCAAATCTTCCCTTTATCACTACCTTGACATAAAGTCAAATCCATTCAGTGGGATCGAGAGAGTTTTGCGACCGAATGCTCGGACGGAAGATGGTGGTGCTAGATTTACACTCTCGGGATCTGGAAAAGAGGTTATTGTCTATCGTGTTGAGTCTACCCTGTTCAAGCATCTCGGGCCGCCTAGAGGTGGTAGTCCCTTATACATTCCGGTCCATGATCAATGCATGCAGATTGTCGACCAATACATCGCTTGAAAATCTAGTTATACATCCGACGCAGAACGGCCGCCCGGTTGCATTGATTCGATAAACACACTATGGAAAGTGCTATATCTGCGTATCGATGCCGGCACTATGCAGACAAACCCACTCAGCAGCGAGCGGCATGAGTTTTACGGAGGTAGATGGTGCAGGGGCAAAGATTGGGATTCTGATGGGCCCACAAAGCACGGTTTTGTGAGTATCCTTACTTCCATCGCTAGGATTTTGAACAACGGTGCTAACGATATAAAGATGATGCAAGAAGACCCGATAGAGATTCCGAATCTCACAGAATCAATCTTGCAGAACCTCCAACCATGCACTCCCACGGACATGATCCACGATCCCGAAACACATCAAGACCTTCGCGATGCAGAGATCAAAAGCGACTCTTCACGCAGCTCAGAATGTTGGTACGACACCCTCATCAACAGCAAAACTTTCCCTTGGTTATGGGACTTAGACCTCGATATCGTCCGCGCAAGACGAGAGGAAAGACACTGGAACTGGGAGCTCTTGGTGCAACAGCTTTCCCAAACAATGATTCATGAACCAGATGACGAAACATTACAATTACCACTCTCATTGCGGAACCGTCGTCGAATCTGGCGAATTCTGGAAGAGGCTAGCGTTGGAGATGTCAATGTGGAAAATATGAAGCGAACGATTGAGCATGAAGGGAAGCGAGAGGTTGAAAGAAGTCTTTCGGACAAGTCTGTTAGGGATACACAATCGAGGTTGGCGGAATGGCCTGAAAGGCCACCTGGGTTTCGCTTCAAGCTTCTTGAGGATGACTGATCTTTAGGATGATGCTTAGAAGAATGTCAAAGATGTATGCGTACAGAGCTCGAAAACTCTTGAACACTCGATCAGTCAAGTATATTCGTACAAATTTCATCGGTAGCTCAGAAAGCCGACCTTGGATTACAGTCCGTCACACATACTGTACATCTATAATCTGTGTGTAGATTAGAGTCTTGTCACAATACTTTGTTATCTATAATAAGTCCGAGGGACAAACCCAGCATCAGTGAGACAAGACAGCAAAGCTTCCTTATCAACCTCAGTAGCGTCCATCAACTCCGTGACGTACTCATGCAGTGAATACTCTCTGCGTCCTTTGTCCCAATACCTATATCTGCTGGCTTTTTCTGGATCGTTTTGGGTGCCTAGCGCGTAGATCATGTCTGCCGTCACATTCAGACCTGTCTCTAAGGCAATGTGAAGGACTGTTTGGTGTTTTGAGGAGGACCGCCATCCAAGGTTTGTTTCTGTAGCGAGAAGTTGCATCGTTTTTCTCCGCCTGTCCCTGAAGTTCGACTCCGTGTTGGCGATTTTACACCAGGGCTGAAGTTGTGCTTCACAAGCCACGGCTAACGGGATACAAAAATCAAAGGTCTCTTCTTTGAGATTGGGGTCATGAGTTTTCATAAACAACTTAACGAACTTGGGCAATGCAAGGAATGCTGCGAGGTGTAGTGGAGCGTCATCTGATGGTAGTTCGGTGTCCAAAAGGCGAAAAGTATCGAAATTGCCCAGGTAGAACGAGGACAGGCAGAGACTCATCCGCTCAGGGAGAACAGTGACTTCGTCTAATTGCTTTGAAGGTGTAGTCAGATATGCGAAAGAGGTCCGAGGGATCTCGTACGACAACAGTTGTTCCTTATCCATTCTGATCAAGGCTTTTAGTATGGGAGTTCGTGCTGTGTCCAGTAGGCAGAGAAACGCCGCAGATACTGCCATCACCGGCGTAGAGTAGTTCGGGAGTACTNNGCGGGCCTCGTCAGTAAATTAATCCCTCGAGTTAGTCATACTGTTTTGTGACAGACCGTTGTGGCCACCCTTTTCTATCAATGTGAGTATGGTATCATTCCCAATCTTTGGCTTCCGAAAAATGGCCCATACGAGTACTGTACATTCTTCACGCTTCCCGTGAAAGCTGTAACTCAGTGTCGCAGAAGCAGAGATACCATTGTCAAGGAGTAGTTTTAAAAGCTTTGTGCCGTTGGGGAACTTGCGAAGGCAACCAAAAAGTAGCTTGTCTTGGTCAACGAGTACTCCTGCGTGCTTTCTCTTGAGGCATATGCGAAACCACCGCACGATTCGACTTTCCTCTTGTAGGCTGCCCAAAAGTGCTGGTAGAACCACGTCTAACTTCGCGTACTGACTCAGAATGCGGAACTGGGCTTCATTTCCCGCTTTAGCAGCCAAGACAAAACATCCAGCTTTGTTCTTGTTCGGATTTGCTCCTTTCTGGAGAAGAAGCTGCACAATGGTTTGGGTTGAAGAACCTTGGCTGATGGCTTCCAGAAGGGCAACATGCAGAGTCGCTTCGGGAGTGGGGTTGCCCAGCGCGGTATCTCTGTTTAACAGACACTGATAGATCAAAAAGGCTCTGTCAGGGGTATGAAGAGTCATCCGAGCTTGTTCGAACAATCGCATGAGTGTATTGCGATCTTTGATGAAGTCGATCATAGCCACGACGAGTTCTGGAGACGATCTCGCCATTGCCGTTTTAAGGGATTCGAACTTGACCTCTGCGCCTCGCGCCAACAGGATTTTCGGAAGCTGAACGCTTTCGTGGGTACAAGCGATACAGTCATCAAGTAGTGCCGACATATCCTCGACAGAAAATCCACCGTTCGCGTTTAGAAGCAAGTCCAGGATTTTAGACTTCTGAGCTGTGTTCGACTTGGCAGATCCCACTAAGAGGCATACTCGCTTCACAGTAGATGGGGCAGGCTGCGAGGACAGCAAAAGCTCGACGACATTGAGTGACTCTGAAGATGCTGCTGTTAGGAGAGCATTTCCGTCATCGTAGTCGGCTTTGGCCCCCNNATACCGTAGAAGGAGTTTGAGTCCTTCCGGATTGCCAAGTAGCGCAAGTCGTGTGTACTTTGTGAGTGCTTCTGACTGTCCTACTTCAGACGACTCTGCCTTTTCTAGAAGGAGTTTCAAGACCTCAATGTTGACATTATTCATCTGGGCACCGTTAGCTGTACGAAATGCCGATCTTAGACTCTTGATGTTCGGATTGGCATCGAGGGTTGTGCGAAGCAGGTCGATTTTCTTCTTTTGAATCGCTAGTCGGAGCAGAAAACCGTCTTGCACATCAACATCAAGCCCGTGCTTTAGTAAGCAAGGTATAATACTAGTGATGTTAGGATTGCCCCTCAGCTGGTCAGAATCCCAAGAGCTTAAAACAACAGTAGCAGAAGAGGTCGAGCTGAGGAGAATTTCCAAATCGGGCAAGTTGTAGTAGCGAGCATCAATCGCGAGAGACAAAACAGACTCCATGCTCTTCTGACTAGGTGGACAACTGCGACACAGTATTCTGAGTAAGTCAGACCTTCTCAGCTTGATTGCAAGAGCAAAACAAGCACCAGACTTGTAGTTTGCTTTCGCACCATTCTTGATCAGGAGGTGCACGATATGCAATCGGTCGTCGCTCTTAGCAGCGCAGAGAAGGGTTTTATGAAGGGGCGTGCCACAGGCCCCTTTGTTCAGTAAGATTTCGACCATACTTTGCACGACATTGTAAGGGTGGGTATTTATCGTGTTGAAAGCAACCAGAACGGCTTCGGAAAGACCTTTACAATGAGCACCAGCATCGCACAGCAACCGGAGTAGCAACACGTCCCCTTTNCGTGCGGTTATTGAGGTGCTACTCTCGCCAGGGCTGCCATCAGTGTCCACAGGTGCCTTGTGTCGAAGGAATAGCTGGATCAACTCGAGGTCCACCTCGCCCTCATCAGCGACTAGAGTGCGTAACGGAAGTGCAAGCCTCGTGGCTGGGACACCCTTCTTCAGAAGGGCTACCATCGCTTGAAATCTATCACGCCTGGATGCTAGGTCCATGGCAGTATTTATGGTACCTGAGATAGCTCCTGACGAGATTATCTTTCGAAGCAAGATGTCAAGGATGTCGAAGTGCGCTCCGGCAATGGCGGCGCGGACAGCGGAAGCATGATCGTATTCGACCGATGCGCCAATTTGTAGTAATTTCTCCACCAGTCGAACATGATGTTGTTCAACGGCGCGGACCAGATGCAAATGCAATGGCTCGCCTGTCAGACCCAACGGCGATAGAAGGTGCAAGAGATATATCATATCTTGTTCAGAGGTGGAAGGAGGTACAAGTTTCAATAACGGAGAAACAGGCGAGGTGATATCACCGTCTCTGATCAGCTCCAAAAGTTCCAAATCCATTTGGGAGATGGCCCAGGAGATCACATTATTCGGCTCGACGTCCAACTTGACACCGGCGCTCGTCAAGGCCTTGATCAGGGAAAACTGGCGAAGTTTTACATCTTTCAGAAGTTCCACACGCAGCTCAAGACTGTCTTTTACGCATCCAGACTCGATGAGTATCATGAAGAATCCATACCTTCTTTGTGGAGGCTCAATCTTTGTGGTCAATTCGCATGCACGCTGATGAATGTCGCAGAATCTTTCATCTGAGTCTGCGTATGCAATTATGATTGCAGTGGCTGAAAAGTTTTCTGCTTCCAGTGCTTGCAGCAGTAGGGTTCCGCAAACCACATCCGGACGATGTGCCAGACAAAGCAAAAGCGCATCAGGCGAGCTCTCAGCGTACGGTTCTATGCAGTACCGCCAGGCTTCAACGCTCATTGCATCTGGAGTGGACAACAGAAGTCTCACCAGAGCAGTATCTTCCTGCCTCGAACGCTCTCGAACAGCCTCTCTGCAATCTGAGGCAACAGCACCGTAGCTAAGAAGGATTTCAATGGCAGACAACGGATGCTTTGGTAAAGCGGCACCGAGGATCCGATTCAACCCTTCCTGTCTCAATCCTGCTTGGCACATCAAGCGGATATAGCCAGGATCTTCTACCTCAGTCATCCTGTCCAACCATGACCAAGGCTCACTTGGCATCTTGGGCATCTGCGACAGCCTGAGTCGACTTGACATCCTCTTTAGACGACTTTTCGTCTTCTCTTCCAGTTTGGGATCGTGGAGGTGAGACCAAAGCTCGTACAGAGATGTCCCTGGTGCAAATGATAAAACAGCTTGTGCAACATCAGATGGCTCGAGTGGCGTATAGAATAAGACCTTGTCGAAAGCCTGCGCAACATCATGCTTCTTGAAACTTCTGGCGTCATCATTGCCTCTTTCTCGACGACTTTGAGGCAACCATTTGTATCGTGGATGTGATTCCGACGGTTTACAGTCAGATAGCCGAGCAAGCAAGAGTCGTGCCTTATCAGCGTTGATAGGTAGTGGGTCAAAGGTTTGTGGCACAGACTGTCCGGCCAATTTTGGTATGTGAGATGGAGGAGAGAGGTTGGCTTTCTTGAGGAAGAACAAAGTTCTTTCGGATTGGTGCTGTGGTGATTTCGCTAGATGAGCAGTCTTTCCAGCTGTGTTTGAAGATTGCTCAACGTCAGATGCAGAGTCTTGGTCAGCATCATACGGATCCGCTGTAAGAGAGCCCATGGTGTTATTCCAGGAGCAGTCAAGATGTGCACAATGTGACGCCTTACAATAATGATCTTCTACATCTTCGTTCGTTGTTAGGTATCGTAAAAGGTTCCGGAGGCAGAGAAATGCACAGTCATAGAGACAGCCTGACTGATCGAGGCTGAGTATGCAAGATGCCGACGGTACGAGCAACGGATACCCCCGATGCACGAAGCCTTTATACATATGTACCTTTGGCTTCCGCTGCAGCTAGCTTCATCGTGCAGCATTTTGTTCCGTTCGAACATGCGGTCTGCATTTCATAGCGGGGCGCAGCTGAACGTATCAGTAGTTGCGTCGAGATAGCCCAGCCCTGCGAGCCTGATGGCTTTCAATAGTTGCACCGTCCACCATCGAGTGAGTACTGTAGAGGACTAAGAATCCGGCTGAACCATCAAGCTTGTTTCTCGATACCCACTTCCGATTTCGAGTGTTCGCCGGCACCAGATTTCACTCAGTCACCATATCGATTCTGCTTCCAGAATGCCTTCTTCTCCCCGTCCTACAAATCGTCGGAGTCTGTGTCTCGCTTGAGCGTGTCTCGAGATAAGATGAATTCGATCGCGGACGCGATGATGAGCTCTTCTCTATCACGTAGCATCTCTTCTTCGACATCTGTGTCGCGTTCACAGGCCTCGCGAGACGAATTGAAATCGGTGGCAGACGATCTGCTACGTCGTTCGCACTCAGAGTCTCACAAAGCCACTTCGGCCACGATACCGCCTGCGACTGCTGTCCGAAGGTCAACCGTCAGTAGCCGTACAATTAAAGCAGATCCTGGTCCACCGATGTCTGCTGCTTCCCTTCGTCTAAACTATCGGCGAGGTCGATGAAGCTTCAGCTCCAATTTGAAGTAGACCAGGCCAACGCCNAAACAGGCCCCCGTGATATGAGGGCCTTGTTCAAGAAAGCATGCTCGACTGATCTGTTGTTCCTGATCGATACCACATGTTCAATGGAGCCATATCTCGAATCTGCCAAGGAGCAGGTCAGAACCATTGTGCTCGACATCAAGCGGACCTTTCTTAATGAATCCGAAGTGCGTATTGCCGTGGTCAGCTACAAGGACCATCAATGCACAACCAACGTCGAGTTCCTTGACTTTACAACATCAACGGACCGGGTCTTTCTTTTCTTGGACGGATTATATGTTGATTGGGGACGCGACTTTCCCGAAGATGTTCTTGGTGGCATCGGCCAAGCGTTGCAAGCATCATGGAACCAACAAACGCGATGTATAATCCACATCGGGGATGCACCACCACACGGTCGTGGATTGCATGACATAGATAGTGACGACTATTACATGCCGGGAAGCGAGCCGCATGGCCTTACCTACAAGCCGCTCCTTAGCAAGCTAGTCGAGCTCAAGATTAATTATGCCCTGCTTCGCATCCAGCCATACACTGACCGTATGGCTTTGGCTTTCGCTCAGGTCTATGGGCAGCGAAATGCGAAGCTGCACCCTTCCAACACATACCACTCCCACCTCAAACCAGAAGGCAGCGATAGACCAAGCATGGGTAAAAATCGCGTAGAGCCACAATTTGAAGAATTTCAGCTTGGTATCGAGTACGGCAACCTTCAACACCTCGTGGTCACAAGTGTCACCAACTCAATTTCCAGAACAGCTGGTCGTCTCTCGATGACATGGAATGCAGCGAGTAAGATCGAGGAGAGCGGGTTTTCTCGAAATCTCGATAATATCGAAGAGGAGAAGAGTGTTAGAAGCTGCGGTAGCCACACTGACCTGGAAGAACCCACTGAGAAGGTCTCGCCACAATGGACGATGCCAAGCTGGTTCGACGCGACATCCGAGATGCATGGTTTCTGTCCTGCAGTCGTAATACACGACAGTGAGACGCTGAGTAGCATGATGGCTGCCGATGAGAATATCAAATTGGACGTCGTAGAGCTTACAGTTCAAGCTCGGTCGAAGCCATTTGCGCGTGGCGGTGTTCGGAATGCATTTTATGCCCGTACTGCTACATCGGACAGTCGCTTCGTGCTGAAGTCGTTTATCAGGGGCACCAATGACAATCGTGCCAAAGTGATCGAGGACATGCGGATTCAGACACTATGCAAAGCTTTTGCTCTCGAGTTCAACGGCCTTCTCGAGATCGAACCTCCTCTGGACTTTGTCGTGACATCCTGCCTGCAGACCAATTCGAAAACATCTCATGGGCCTAAAGGTGAATGCATGTCGCTTGAGCGCTTTGTAGAGGGCGAATACACCAAGCACAATAACAACATCGGCTGGGTAGATGAGAATCTGTCCGGCGATTCATTCAGTCAGATGGCCCAAGCGTTTTCGCATTTCACCTTCGAGCGCTCGTGGGGGCTCTTCTTGGTCAACGATCTTCAAGGGGTAAACCATCTACTGACCGACCCAGCTATCCAGACTCGCGACCAAGAGAGATTCAAGCTGCATGATACAAACTTGGGCGAGTCGAGCTTCAAACTTTTCTTTGTCCGGCACGAGTGCAATGCATTCTGTCACAAATTAGGTCTGAAGAGCAACCGAGAGATGTTCATAACAGGCAACTTTGACTCCAGAAAGGAGTGGCCGACTATGGCTCCCACCGTGTGTTGCTCTAACAAGCTCTGTCGCAGCATCATACTCGTGGCCAATTCCCACGAGTCCGTAGAGTTCTCCGGCCACCGTTGGTGTAGCATATGCTGGAAGCAACTGAACAGCCCCACTGTTCGATGGTCATGCACCGAGAGTGGTTCAAAGCATGAGTTTGAGGTGTCGAAGTTCTTTTACGAGTCGCAGGGCCAGTACCCGCCACACAAATGTCCTGCTCACCGTGAGAAAGATGTCGCAGACTCTAGCGCCGGAACAGCTGGTGGGAAAATGTGGAACAGGATGAAATCTGCAGGCTCGAAGGGTTCGCTGCTAGGGAACAAATGGTGAGGGGGTTTACTATCGTGGATGGATATTGCAGAGGAGAGTCACGTGTGTATGCCAAGCAACGACGTTGGTGTCTATATATTGTTTGGTATGCTTGTTTCGCTACCAAATACCGACTTACACCGAGACAAAACATATCGAAACCAGTCGTTGAGGTGAAACTCACCCTGAAGCTGTATCATCAAAGTGGCATAGTCAGAGTGGTATGTTCCCGCGTGTAGTTTTCGACATGCGGCAAGCTGCTGCTGTGCATAAGGCCAGGCCAGTCCCCGGATAACTTCCCTGCGGCCAAGCCGTTTGGAATCTGTTGTAAGTGAGGGGCGATACCATGTGCCAACGACAAGCATCAAGGCTCGAGAAAAAGTATACTCTACCTGAACACCTTTTCGGCCTTCGAATGGGCTATGTTCGTAGGAACTCCTAACGTCAACGGTTGCATCAAATGGCTTTGGCTGCAGGATACTAATTGCTGCAATCCTGGAGTGTGACTACCTCTTCCGGACTGGGTTATAACGACTTTCACATGCGCATAAGGCATACTGTCTCGGCCTCAGCCACACTCATTCTTTCAGCTTCTCATGCACTCTGTTCAGGGCTCTTTTTGGCGTTGCATCAAGCATAAGCAGATCAAACATACATGCAAGACTCGTGAAAGTACCGCAGGGCTGCCTGACATGTAACTCCTTCCAAGGCAGCCAGCCACTCTCAAGCCCACAAGTATGAGTCGGTCTCAAAATCTGTCTAGTCTGTTCCAGGCCCAGCTTCGTTCGCTGACGCCGGCCATCGACAGTCTTCTATTGGCAGAGAATGATCCTTACTCTTGTCCAAACCCGGATTTCTGTGCAGTTGTTATGTCGATCAATGCAATCGAGTTACTTGTGCTGCAATAATATTTGACTTTTTTGAAGCTGCGGAGCCATGTTTTCTCAAATCCTCACCGCTATTTGGTAGGCTGCGCCTTGTCAAGTCTGGATTGGCATGTTTGCGGTATGCCGTCGCCATTACCGCGTCTTGTCAGGTCTAAAGTAGCATGCCTGCCGGTACGCTGATCATGAGTCTCTCAGTGGATTCTGTCAAATGTACTCTATCCCTGACATTTTTAGACATTCTTCTTACTTGCAAGGACGCGTAAAGTCTCCCCCCTTAACGACGGACAACGATGGAGCCAGTCACTATTTTCATGCTCACGAATACTGTGACTTCGCTTTCAGCAAGTCTCATCACCCTAATACACAATGCGAGAAACAACGACAAGATGCTGGAGGGCTTGGAGGAGGATTTAACATCATTTAAGACCGTCATCAATCGCGTTGAAGAGACTCTGAATGCCAGGAACGTCCGCCGGATGTTAGACGAAGGAGAGAACGGTATTTTTGTTGCCGTCAGCGATACCTTCAAAGACTGTCTCGTTTTTGTGAACGAGCTTTCGAAGTCGGTGGAAAAATCCCGGAGCAAACGGACCAGTATAGTGCGTTTGGTAAACACTAGGTATAGGAGCAACGACAGGACTGGACTACAGCGAAGAATTGTTGACAGTACAAGAAGAGTGCAGATCGCACTCCAAGTCGTCACACTGTATGTGTCTTTTTCATGAGGCAACGTCCATCTGCTAACCAATGCAGCCAAGCAACCTTCAGAATTTCTGACCGTGTCGAGGAGTCCGCTTCTGAGGTTGCAAACAGTATAAGGTCGTTGGAGAAGGAACTCTCGAGCTTGAGAGCGGACAAGTCCTCCAACAACGACGTCTCTCCGTCATCATCCGCCGTACCTGTTTTGACTATCCCGAATTTTCCTGACTCTACAGTCGCATTAGAGGCTGCTGCCGAGAACACTATCAGCCAGGCTTTAACAGTTTGGCAAAAGCAGAGAAGGCCAGAGGCAGGCTCTGTTCACACTGTTGAAACTCAGCGCAGCAGAGACGATCCAATTCTCAGCCGGTCTGGCCTCGCGGTACTGAGCAACACCAGGTCTCGACATGATCCTCAGTCTTCAGCCACTGCCAGGACTTCTACGAAGAGTCCTGTCCTTGCACAAACTTCTGATCAACCTGTAGTCATCGCTGTCTGCGGAATGACAGGGTCGGGCAAGAGTAACTTCATTTCTAAATTGGCAGGCGAAGACATTGGTATCGGATATGNNGACTGAGGTCTCGTAAGTACGACAATAATACCTTCTGTTGTGCATCACTGACTGCCTTTCTCTGTCTCAGAGACTGATGCCGTGAACCAATTTGACATCCGCTTCGAAGGTCGTCAGATAACTTTGGTCGACACACCAGGATTCGCCGACACGAGCATAAGCGACACTGACGTATTGAAAATGATTGCCGACTTCATGGCAACATCGTATCAATGTGGTGCTCTGCTATCAGGAATCGTCTACCTCCATCAGATCTCTCACAACCGCGTCGAGGGCCCTTCTCTGAGAAACATCCACATGTTCCAAAAGCTTTGTGGAGAGAACGGACTCAAAAATGTCATCCTGGCAACAACAATGTGGGATAAAGCCAAAACCAAACAAGAGATAGACGAATTCGGCAAGCGAGAGAAAGAACTTACCGAGGACTTTTGGGCTAGAATGATCGAACGAGGTTCACAAGTCCATCGGTACTGGAACGATCGTCAGACAGCAGAAGATTTGATCCGCGAGCTTGTGCGACACGAACCTGTTGCTCTCGATATCCAATCAGAGTTGGTTGATGAGCATAAANATTTGGCAGACACTGCAGCAGGCTCATTCATCGATGAGGGACTTGAGAAGTTGCACAAGAAGTATCAAAAGGAGCTGGACGAAGTTTTCGGCCTGATGCAAACCAGTAAGTATACAAACTGGCCATGCTGTAGATTCAATCGCTGACTCGATACAGGTACCGAACAAGCGAGACGTGAAGCTGAGAAAGAGTACGAAGAAATCTTGATAAAGATGCGGATCAATGAGGAAGAAACCAGACTGCTCCACGAACAACACCTCAACGAAATGGGCCAGCAACGAGACGAGGAAGCCCGCGCCCGCGCCAATGATGCTCGTGCATATGACAAGAAGCTGAAAGATTTGCAAAAGTCCTTCGAGGTTCGGTTGACAGACTCTGCAAAGCAAGCAGATCGGCAGATGAAAGCATACGAAAAGGACATTCAACGCTTACGAGAAGACCAGAGCAGAGAACGTTTCGACCTCACAAAGCAGCATAAGCGTGATGTGCTTCGACTGCAGAATGCTTCTGAGGCTAGGAGCGCTCAAGAAAAGGCCGAGCTCGCCAAACAACTCGAAGACCAATACACAAAACATCTCCGCGATAATGATGCATCCGCCCGCTCACAGATGTCCAGACTGGAGGCCGAGTTGCAGAAGCTGAGCACTGCTAACGCTAGTCGAGAAACCGAGATCAATCGGTTGCGAGCCGCCACACAGGATAGTAACAACAACAACAACATCAACAGCGGTAACACCAACAGTCGTACCTACCACAATCACCTTGGTCGAGTCGACAGTGGAGGTCTGAGTGGCGTAGAAGGTACCAGGTCCATACCTCCGCCGCCCTCACCTCCACAGCTACTCCGGGTCCCGCCTCCAGCCAAACACTGGCTCGCTCGAGGTCAGGAGGAGAAGCGCGAGAACCAGCGGCGGCAACTCGTGTATGAACAAAAGTTGGCTGCCTATTACAGAAAGTATGGGTGATGATGACGATCATGTTCTCACTATTACCTGTTTTAGATGATCTTTCTATTGTGGTGCTGCTCTTGACATTTTTCGCGCTTGATTTTGCCATAGGGACGATATCCGTGAATTTGTTCCAGTGTTACTCATATCACTTCATCTATCTTTGTCATTACAATTGCTTTTGAACTTAAAAATATCTCCGTTGAGGTCAAATATGACGTTGGGAACTATCAAACCGACAAAAACCAGTAAATTAGGTTGGAGCCAGGCACCAAGTATCCAGTTGGACGATGTATTCCGGCTTCGGTGCAGGAGATCGAGGTTTGGCCCAGATCAAACGATGCTCAAGACATCTTCGCGCTCCATTTCTTCTCAAACATGTCAGTCTACGAATCAAAGCAGACCAAAGACGAGGAGACTTACATCCACTACACCAGAACGAACTAATCGGACCCCAATTGTCATAATGCCTGAAAGAGCTGCATCCATTGACCGGCCCATTGCTATCCGCATACCTGCCCTGACACCCAGGCTGGTCAAAAACAACACACCTGCCACCCCTCAAAATCACAGACTCGGGGATCAAAGAGCCAGAGACACAACCACCATTGTTGGCACCGCCATTGGTGTATTCGCGGCAACCGGTGCCGGGCATATCGCGGTCAAAGGTCATGCAGTTGCCGAGATTGGGGGCACCGGTGATGGAGCGGTAGCGGGTGTTGTCTTTGGCGTTGCAGTCGTAGACACCGTCGTAGGCGACGACTGTGATATGTCGAGTTAGAAAACACTGATGTTGGGGAAGGTGCATGTTGGGGTTGCTTCTTACCTTCCCATGCCTGGGATGTCGCGCACAAGGTTGTCAGGATAAAGGCACCAACGGTTGAGAAATGCATTGCGGAGGCTGAGAGGATTGAGACTTGGATGAGAGTTTGTAGTGTGGATTGAGGACACTAAGGGGAAAATACCTCATACTTATAGCTGTAGCATCAGGTCTTCCACGTGTTCGTGTTCTGCATGATATCGCTGGCGCCGTTTGCGAATTCGCCGAGTCGCAATCCAATATAGCCACACCGGTCGTGTTGTTGTATGCAGACAGAGACTAGAAATCCCACTTCGAAGCGAGGGGGCTGGTCGTCAGGCTATACCGATAGTGTCTCGGGAGTTGCAGATTTCGGATGGGTTGGTTCTGCGATCTTGCAGGTCGGTCCTCTCCATATCCCAGCTGTTCAAGTTTGAACCGATGATGATGCTATTGGCTGTGATTTTTGAAGCGAGGGGGACAATCTAGCCGACAGTCACAACTGACCGCCTCCTTTGCCCAATGGAGTCGCATATTCTAGATGAGGAAGATGTTGGTGGAAGCTGCTATAGCATTTAGTCTTGCAGATACTCAAATAATGTGCTTGTCCGCTCTACTATTATGCGAAGCTGATCCTTCAATTCTCCAGACAGGATTGATACGAGCGAGGTACTCTCCGTCGTCAGAACTACGCACTGCTACAAGCCTCTTGATTGCTAAAAGAGCAGGTGGTCTCGGCAGATGTCAGTCTGTGGTATACGTAGACGCACCACGATATAATGGGAGATTCTGGCTTGGACCGTCTTATATCTCTCGTAGGTCAGTGTCAAAGAGAATGCTATAAACAGTCGAGGCATATATTGAACATCGCTCCGCATGCTTTAGCGGTCGATCTCATCACGGTGCACGGATTCTGGACCTCTTCGTTACTATTGTTGCGGCATCTGCAATCGATTCGAGATAGGAAGGTGCTATCCACGCGAAGCTATGAGCTATATTGACTGGCCAAGTTTGTGAAGAATTTGGCGCGAGACAACATGCGACAGAGCGGTGCTGTCCAGATAAGCATTTTGCTCGTTGCCATCGTTAGAAACGACAGCAGATGTACGCAACACGTAAGGATCACTACCACTTTGTTGCCATCCCGCACGCTTCCGAAAACTTCAACTTCCGGTAACCTGCCACCTTCAATATAGAACCATACCTCTGCTGGGAACTTCTGCTTAAAGGCCCATGATCTATAAAAATCGAAGGTGTGATACAATGGTATGCAAGCGATGTAGTACAGAAAGCAAAATAATACGTGACATTGAGACATTAGACTAAACAACTATCTCAAAAAAAAACCATAGCGATAGTAAAGAAGCAAAAACAAAGTCGATTCATAAGAAATCGACTTTGCACAGCGAGCCCAATCAATTGCTCATAGTATGCTCATACAGGACCCATTTACTGGAATCCTATCTGAGCAGCAGCATCTCCCAACTGAGGAAGGTAGTTGTCATCACCAAGTCTCAGCGACCAGTAAACGTCGCCAGTAACAGTGACCTGAGGGTGAATGAAAACGTTATCGAGGACAGCGCCCCACGAGTTCTTGGCCGAGCACTTCAGCACCGAAGAGCCACTGCAGATAACCGGAATGTATCCGTTGGCCTTGACTTTGTTGACTGGGAAGAACATGACTGTGTATGCGAGGCCAGTAAGGTTTGGGAGAGGACTGTTGTAAACAGCCATGATGTATCCGTATTTCTTGTCCTTGAGATATCCAGTGGAGGGGTCAAGGACGAAGTCGGGNGTAATGGCCAAGCCGTGGAAGAAGCTTGAGGAGGTGTAGTAGTTGATGTAAGTATTAGAGTAGCCTGAAGAGGCGGTGGCTGAGTCGAACTCGAGCTCTTGGCCGTCGGCGCTGGTGCCTGAGGAGGAGATGCGGAGTTTCAAGTTTGCGGCAGCGGAAGCGGAAGCCTTTGCAGTGAAAGACGAAGCAGAAGAGCTGGTCGACGAGGGACTGGCGGTGATAATAGACACAATAGTGGTGATTGTGGTCGAAGTGGCAAGAGTGGTAGTCTCGTTGACGGTCACAGTCGAGGCAAGAGTGGCTTGGCTGACTTGTAGAGAACAAGCCGAAGAGATGACTGTAGCAGGGTACTTGGCCAAGACAGAAGGAGTCGAGACATCACGCTTGGCAGGAGCTGCGGTAGAGCTTGCGGCAGCCTCAGAAGCGATGGACTCGATGGGAAGGTACCAGGTAACATTCTTATTGGAGTCGTAGACGGCAGGAACGGCATTGGTCGAGTTGGTAGTCAGACCGGGGAAAGAATCAGCGTCACCATCACGCTTGCGCATGGCAGGTGCAGTCGAGGTGGCATATGCGGTCGAAATAGCCAAAGGCGAAACAGTGATGGTCGACGTGATGGTAATGATGGGGAGGGCAGAGTAAGTAAGGTAAGAAGAGCAGAAGGGCTGGAAGACCGAGCTGAGTTGAGCTGAGTCGGACTTCATCTCGCCAGAAGCCTGGTAGATAGCACCAGTCTTGTCGCCCTTTGTAGGATCAATGCCTGAGCCTGGAGTGCTGACATAGCCGTAACTGTACTCGACGATGAGCTTGCCACTAGAGNNTTTATTAGTCTTTGGTAGCATGTTGTCCATATTGAAGAATACATACCTGCTGGTCGATGATCCAGTTGAGGTGGCGTACTTTGAGGGCCAAGCCTCGGTGTAGAGAGTACAGTACTGGCCTTGAGGGTGCTTGTTGTCGTTCAAGTTGAGAATGTAAGTGTTGAAGAAGTGGCACTGCTTGGCGGGAGCGCCATCGGCAGAAGAGTTGTTAATGGCATACTGGGTCTGAGCATCGCAGGCTGCAGCACAGAGTCTGGCATCAAAGGGACCACTGAAAATCTTGCTAATGATAAAAGTGGAGTAACCCTGAGCATCAAGGGGTGCGTCGATAGCATGAGTGCCATAGTAGATGGCATCAGAGTAACCAGCCGGCGCAGCCAGAGTGTTGTTAGTGTAACCATTAGATCCAGCAATCAAGACCTGAAATTGGTTACGGTATTGTCTGTGTCTCAAGTCAGGAGATGCGAGCTTGCTTGATTTCGATATTGCCTACCCGTAGTTGTTGGCGTTGGATCTAGAAACCGGGCCTCCCCAGAAAACGNNCCTGGATTGAGTCAGAATTGCTAGAACAATCGCGAGCTCATGCAGGAGATACTCACACTTGATGTAGGTGACTGATGGNGGATTCTCGCAACCAGATGCATCTGAGCCAGGATCGACTGATGGATCTCTCTCGAAGTACAAGTTGAAAGAAAGACATCCGTAGATAGCATCNTAAGGGAAGATTGATCAGCAAAATCCTCGGACGATGATCCGCGATGCTAGCTTACCGCACTTAGCAGCGCACTTGGCAGTATCAAAAGTGCTGAGGGTGGTAAAACCAAGGTAGCCGTAAGCGCTNGTATGGTCAATACTATATAGAGACAGCAAGCTTGTTCACTCGACATACCTGTTGGAAGCATTGGCATTGGTGAAGGTGTTGGTGTATCCGGTAGGGACCGGAGCGTTAGAAGCGATCGAGGCAAAGTCCGAGTTGGAAGCAAAAGCAGCGGGAGTGTCAGGCGAATAAGTAGGAGCTCCAGAGGCTCCAGGAGCCAGAGAAGTGCAAGCAGCTCCTCTCTTCTCGATTGCGGTGGCTGTCGCAGCGACGTCACTCGCAACTGAGGTGGCAGGAGCAGTGGCCTGGGCAACCAGGGAGGTGAAGTCGTAGGATACAACCTGAGCTGTAGCTCCAATAGCAGGGTCGTAAGTTACTGGTTCGGGAGCGGCGAGGACCATGTTGACATCGATCTCCTGAGGACGAGCGGCAGGCATGGCCACCGCCAGGGCGGCGAAGCCTTGAATAGCGAGTGTGATACGCATCGTGTCGAAGACCTTCTAGATGCTAAAACGAATGATGCCGGAGGTTGTCGAATATCAGCTGTGTGGGTGTCGGGAGCTTTTATGGCGTTCTGCTCTACAATCTTCCATCACGACCATTGACATACTTCGATCCCTGACTACAGAGCCCATACCAAGATCGCGGGCTGAACTGTCAGCGATAAGGAGTCTAAGCATGGCATTAGCGAAGGTTGAGACATGGTTTCCTCACTTTCGGAGGACCAAGGGCCCAACAGCGTGCTCAACTCGCGTCATCGCATGCTAACTCTTGATCGCAATCTGGTGAGTGCGGTATCATGACTACCATCATCCAGTAGGATTTAATCGGTATAGATGGATCCAGCAATGCACGGCTCTTCTGCTTGCACGAACTATTGAACCTATACACGCTAGGCATGCATGAGGGAACCTACAGAGGGTGGTATAACATAGAGATGGTCTGCAATGCCGAGGCGAAAAAGCATGACTGACTCCAAGTGCAAGAAGATAGGGGGCCCGAGCAACGGATGGCGCTGGGTTCTCGCAGTCATGTCGTTGGTATATCCTCCAAGCTCTTTCAACCATCTCGGCCGTAAGAAAATGGGCTGTTGCACTGAAGTTTCTGCTGTTGTCCCTGGACAGGTGCGGGATGCAAGGCTTCCAGCGGTCATCACTTGGTATTCAGAAAGTCGACTATCGATATGATGTTGATCACTCGTTCCATGGGAGACACGAAAGCCCTAGGTGCTGCAGGACAGGCTGATGCCTACGCAGGAGGGTGTGAAAAGAAGCATTGTGGAACCCTCGAGTCGACATGCGGGACATCGGAGCGATCCACGGTGTTCGACGTCCGGCACTTGCAAAGAGTTCATTCCATGCCAGCAGACAAGAGACTCAGAGTCGGGATACCATGGCACAGACATGCCTTCCGAGCGTGAGCAGAGTGACAGCGTGAGGTTGGATCTCTCACGAGTTGTGGTTGAATATGCCAACCAAGAAGCTAGCCGCAACGGCCACGCAGGATCTTCGCTGCGGGAGATTTTCGACACTTGTGGCAGGTAGCGTGACGTGATAGGCGATATCTTCAGCATGACTTCTGGAAGACATGTCCATCGCAGCTTCATTTCTTGCTGTTTAGCAACTCTGAGTGCAAGTGCTATTCACCATTGCAGTCGTCGTTGAAATAAACGCATCTGTTGCACTTTGAAACGCAGCAAGGGCAAGAAGCGGACTCTCAGCAGTGAGACACTCGCAGTGTTTACCCTCACAGAAAAAAGCCTTTGTCAACAAGCAGTAAAGGTAAGCTTAAGTTGTGAATAAGGTTGCTGCTACCGAAAGCTACACGCAGCGACGACGACATGGTTCAGCGCGGCGCCCGCGTTCCTACATAAGCGTCCCATCATCCACGGGATGATGAAGGTGGAAATTGTTAGCCAATACGTGCGTATAAGGTAAGTGGATCACCAGCGCTAACCACACATTGACTGCGATGGCTATCCTCAAGTCCGATTGTGGTATACCGTAGAAAGGCTTGCATGCGGATTGGTCCATCTGGAGTCAGCATCATGGCTGACTTGGGCAAACAGCAGCTCCTGCTTTCGCCTATACCTTCGTTTATAGACTAGTCTTTCGGTTGCACGAGTCGTTGGACCGCCATGCCGTCAAGCACGAGTTGCAACGGTATACAGCATCTGACGTGGAAACGACAATCAGGTGGAAAGAATGAATACATATGCCTATTCTAAACAACGATCAAAAAACACCATGGCTAATAACATTCCCACATGCAAATCAAAGACCCCCAATAAAAAACACACCTGTATCAGATTCCGGCTTTTTGTGTAAACACGTCTACTCGTCGTCGCTTTCCTCCTCGCTCTCGCTGCTTTGGTCAACGGCCATGACATCGCCGTTATCCTCGGCATCTTCGTGAGCAGGGTTCGAAACTTGAAGGACAGGCATCATGACATCGAAACCACCGGTGCCGATTCTTCCAATCTTGCCGACGACGATACGTCCAGAAGGACCGCTCAGGTCGTCAAAGTCCTCCTCCATGACTGCGTCGCGAAGGAAGCCGACAGTGGTCTCGAAACTCATCTTCATGAAGGGCGAGGTGTTGCCCTTGATACCTTGACGAGAGAAAGCTTGGTAACCACCACCGCGGGTCATGTAGTCGGCGATGAGGTTCAAGTGACGCTGGTCGACACTGATACCGTGACCACCGAAGACAGCGGATACCTCGCGCACGATGGACGCACGACAAGCCTCAACACCGTACAGACGGAGCATGGCGGCAATGTCGTTGGTGAAGAAACGGTTGGGGTTCAAGACGCCCTGGTGGGTACGCATAGCCATAAGGTTCTCACCCTCGGTCATGATCACATCGACATCAATTTCCTTGCCAGTGTTTGGGTCCTTGAACTTGTCCGTCGTCAGCATACAGCCAGCAAGACCTGGAACCGACTGGATGAGAGCGTCGCGAGCGCAGTTTTCAACCAAGTTAAGCATGAGAAGCTTGGCAGTCTCTGCAGCATATTCGATGGTGAAGGAGCATGATGCTCCTGTCTTGTCGTCGAACTTGAAAGCAGACACGTCATTGGTGTACTTGTTACCCTTGATACGCTCTTCACGCTCTCTTGAGTTGTAAGCAACCTTTTTGATGCTAGCTTCTGCATCTTCCGATTCGGAGTCGGAGTCGTCAGAAGTGCTGGGGCTGCCGACAAAGCCTTCGTCTTCTTGATCTTCTGGTGTAGTCTCACGGCGACCACGAGCAACAATAGCTTCCTCGTCATCGTCAGGAGCATCGTAGCCACCTTGCGTCTTGTTCGACTTGGCCTTGTCGCGGGTGGCATCATCATCACCTTCGTCGTCAGAATCATCGTCCCCACCCTCGCGTTCACCCTCGGGACGACCAGACTCTTGTTCAATCGTGCCGGCGGATTCACCAATCTCAGGCATGGCATCAGACTTCTTGAGTGTCTTCTGGTCACCCTTCTTCTTGAGCTCTTTGCGCACAACGGCCTGGAGTCTGGGGAGGAACTTGGTCTCGATAGTGCGAGCAACGTCCTCGACAGTGATGGCGTACTCCTTGGTGTACTCATCAGAGGGGAACAACTGCAGGCGGACTGTGTAGGACTTGGCCTGCTCGTAAGCAACACCTCTTCCAATCTTCTCGGTGACGGTGACTTTGTCAAGGACCTCAGCAAGACTGAGTCTGCTGATACCCTTGGCGAACTGTTCGCTCTCCTCCTTAGGAATTTCAGGGTTGACGTGTAGAGTCATGGTAGGTGTGGCGATAGTGGCACTAGCAGTCATGACGATTTCACGTAGACGAGGAATACCAAGTGTGACGTTCTTTGCGGCGTGACCAGCCAAATGGAAGGTGTTGAGCGTCATCTGTGTCGAGGGCTCACCAACTGACTGACCAGCAACAACACCAACAGCCTCACCAGGTTCGACGATCGACTTGAGGTATCTAACGTCAATGATGGCCTGTAGACTCTTCTTGGTCAATCCATCGACGCCCTCGATGTTGCGCTTCTTGTCCTTGATGAGCTTGTCGGGGTTCTCGTCAATGTACTTCTTGGCGTCGCGCATAAGCTTCTCAGAAGTGCTACCGGCGAAGCGAGCAGGTGAGTAGATCGACAAGGCTGGGTCGCTGGCTCCAAGATCACCGGTCTTTCTGTACTTCTTCTCGGCATTCTTGTTGTACTCAGCGGCCTCGGTGCTCATGATACGACCGAATTCCGACTTGATGCCAAGGTTGTGGAACATGGACATATGGTTCTCGGCAATGAACTTGAAGTCTGACAGATACTTGGCCTTGCCAATATCGAGACCATCTTCACCGTAGATGAATTGGATGATGGAACCATCGGCATCGCGAACGGTGGTGTCGTACTCAGACTTGAGACCCTCCATACCCTTGATCAAACATCTCTGCAGATAACCGGATCTGGAAGTCTTAACAGCGGTATCAATCAGACCTTCTCTTCCAGCCATGGCGTGGAAGTAGTATTCTTGGGGTCTCACACCAGTCAAGAAACGATCAACAATGTAACCGCCTGCTCTGACACTTGTCTCGAAGGGCTTGAAGCAAGGCAAAGTCTTACCACTAACCATGACAGGAACTCTACGACCTTCCAGAACCTGTTGACCAAGGTTACATGAAATCTGATTGGCGTTGACACCGGAACCCTTGGCTCCAGAACCAGTCATGGCTTGCATTTGGTTCTTGGGGAAAGGCTTGACGAGACCAGCAGGTAAACAGGTGGAAGTAACGTCACCCGAAACCTTGGCAGTAGTCTGGTTCATCACGGTATCGAGACCAGCCTGCTTACCATCCTCACGGAGAACAGCTTCGAGACGTCTGCGCAGTTCCGGGTCGTTTGTGTCGGGACTCTCACTCTGCAGAGAGACGTACTTGGCAGCGACTCCGAGACCAGCCGCGTGAGACTTGCTGAGTGCTTCTCTTCTCATGCTCTCACCCTCGGGAGTGAAGATCAGATCTTCAACACCGCAAGAGAATGCGCGCATGTGAAGCATCTTGGTCAAGAGACGACCAAGCACACTCATCAACTTTCCGGCAATGGTGTGTCCATAAGTTTCGTAGATGGCATTGACCACACCGCCGCCGCTGGGACCAATTTGTGATTTGTCCAAGATACCACACAGCAGCTCACCGTCCTTGAAGATGACAACCTGCTCTTCTGAGTTGGTGCCCCAGTTCTTGGCAGCAGTGGAGGACTTGGAAGTCATGGTAAGACCTGGGAAGTCCTCGGGAGTCAAGTTCTTCAAGACAGATGAGACGACCTGCTTACCAGTCCACATCGGACGAGGCTTTCTGATGGCAGGAGGCACAGTCTCGACACGTCCTGATGTGGTGTGGTTGTTCTCGGGTCTGAGACCAGCATAGAGCAGCTGATGGTAATCTTCACGGCCGAAGAAAGTGTCGCGGTTTGTTAGCCAGACGCCCATGGAGATGTGATCCTGAATCAGACCACGAAGGGGTTTACCGGCAGTTCCAGACAGGTACTGGTGGTCGTTGTCAGCAATGCTGATGGCTTCTGATCTGGCAAGCTCGTTCTGAGGGAAATGCAAGTTCATCTCGTCACCATCGAAATCGGCGTTGTAAGTGTTACAGTTGGCGTAATGCATACGGAGAGTCTTTTCGCCGGGCAAGACGCGAGCTCTGTGACACATCATGGAAGGCTTGTGGAGGGTGGGCTGTCTGTTCATGATGACAATATCACCGTTGTTCAGATGGCGGTGAACCTTCTTCGTCTTGACACCACTGACGTTGGTGCTTGAAGGAGCTTGAAGCTGGTTCGCCAAAGCAGTACGCTCCTCAGCATTCTTGATCTGCAGGTTGATGACTTGACCGTTCTCGTTCTCGATGGCGACAGCGCCAGGCCAGACATAGGGACCATTGATGACAGCTTGTCTGAGATCGTTGTAGTTGTGGTCGTTGACAGGCTCGGGGTATGTTAGCTTGAGAGCAAAGACTGGCGGAACACCGATTTCGTTGGTTTCGATGTTTGGGTCAGGAGAGATGACGGTACGAGCAGCAAAGTTGACACGCTTTCCCATCATGTTTTTTCTGAACAGACCCTCCTTCTTTTCCAGACGCTGCTTGATACCATCTTCGTTTCTTTTTCCAGCGCCTCCTTGTACGGGGTTGCGATCGCGATCCAGAAGAGAATTGACACCATCTTGAAGGCGAACCCAGGCATCTTGAAAGTCGGCGTAATTCCTCGGGCGTCTCGCGTACTCGTTCTGGATGGTGCCGTTAAGCTCCTTGTGGATCTGAGTCATCTGGTCGCAAACGTTGATGATGTTCTTGTAAAGAGAGTTCTCCTGGGCTTCGGCGATTTCGTCGGCACCGGTTCTGGCTTCGGGTCTGAATCTGTTGGGAGGAACGATCAAATCTTTGATAAAGAACATCTCGGCGCTGAGGGGAGCGCCTCTACGACCCTTGGAACGAGGAGTGTAGATCATGCCCAAAACCTCTGCATCTTGCTCAAAAAGCTGAACAAGGTGAGCGTGTACTTGACCTGCGTTCAAGTAGGTCTGCTTCTCGTCTTTGTCGGATTTGGAGCTAGTGGTCGCAGTCTCGGACTCCAAGGCATTTCCTCCAGCAACTTCTTGCTCAATGTCGAGCATTGAAACATTGTCTCCTTCTCCTTCCGACTCTGCAGGCGAGTCCTCGAGGTCTGCAACAGCCTCGTCCTGAGCAAGACCTTGCTTCTTAGCTTGAGCCTCGCGCTTCTTCTTCATCAAAAGAAGGGGATCTTGAGCCTTGAAGCCTGCCTGGACCATAGCGATTCTGTCCTTCTCGGATAAGGGCTTTCTGAAAATCTTGACGAAACGGTCTTTTCTGTAGGTGGGCGAGATACCGTTGCAGTTGTTGCATTTCTTGCTCTTTGTGATGGAATAGAGGAACTCCTTGACGATGGCGCGTCTCTCGTTGGCAACGGCCTCGATCTTGGTGTCGGCCCAGTCGTTGCGTTTCTTGCTGAAGCCGGCTTGCTTGAGGGCGTTCTTGACAAAGGTGTTTCTGCGAGCAATGATGCCCTTGGTGTCCTCGTCCTGTTCATCATCGGACTCGTCTTTGCTGGCTGTTGCTTTGGAGTCGGAGGTGGAGAGGGTGATTTCATCGACGTCGTAGCACTCTTTCAGCAGGCCGTACTTGACAAGGGTAAGCTTGCACACGAAGCGGTTGACTTCGGAACGGGACATCTTGAGCTTGTGGCAGTAGATACATTTTGCGCGAAGGAGACGCAAGCATTGGTCCATGAAGGTAGGGTTGTAGACATGGACGGGAAGCTCGACGTGACCGCAATGGCCAGGGCAGCCGAACTTCAGGTTACAGGTGGTACATCTACAGAATCCGGGTTAGCCTAGCTGCTCAGCTCGAGGCATTCGCAGACAGCCAACTCACGAGTTGTCGCCAAAGTTTCCGAGCGCAGCATCGTACAAACCACCGGGTACGGGGTTCAAAAGGGTATCGAATGTGGTAGGGTTGGTGATGCGCTTGACGGACAAGGCGCGAATCTCGTCTGACGGCAGGAAGGCGAACTCGACGCCGCCAATCTGCGACGATACGGGTTGTGAAATATTCATGTTGGCGATGTAGAAGCTAGCAAGCAGCGGTTCACAGCTTGAAGCAACAACAGGTCGTCGTCGGCCGCAGAAGACGACGGTGGCTAGCAACAAAAAAGTTTCCCAAGCAGCAACTTTTCGATCCGGGGAAGGAACGTCGGCCCTGCAACGGCAAGTCCCGCCGTCTGAAGCTGCGTCGCTCTTTCCTCGTCCATCGTCACTTCCGGACTCTGGCTCGGCTTCGACTTTCTTGGCAATTTCCATCTTCTGCCTGGAGCTTGTCGTCGTCCCGCTCTATCTGGACACACTCCGTCAACATGTCCGAGAAACGTCCTTTCCCCGGCGACAGCCTAGACGATGGCCATGATTCAAAACGACCCCGATCAGCCCAGGCATCACCAGCGCCGGACAACGATGTCGAGCGCAAAAAGCGCGAGGTCGCCGAGCGCATCGCCGCCATGAAGGCTCGCATGTCAAATAAGGGAGGCCCTGCTGCGACTGCACCCGCTGCGATCCCCGCCGCCGCTCCCNCTTCAAGCTCGACGAACGATATGCAAGCTCGTATTGCTGCCATGAAAGCCCGTCTACAAGGAAATGCTGCCCCAGCCTCGTCCTCTGCCGCACCTGCGCCTGCTTCTTCGTCCCCTGCACTCTCCTCGGAAGACGCCAAAAAGGCACAGATCCAGGCTCAACTTGCTGCCATCAAGGCCAAAATCGCACAAAGGCAGCCGCAACAACCTCAAACCGATATCCCCACACGTCCTGCCGCTCAATTCCAATCCCCTGGCCTCGCGCCTTCTCCTCCGATTCGAGATGATACTGCGGCACGCGCAAGAGGTGGGTTGAACGTTGGCTTGCATCCAAGTCTGTTGGGTGGCCCATCAAGGTCTGGCAACAACAAANAACAAAAGGACGAACCTACAAAACACAACCCGTATCTGGCTGGGGACGATCAGAGAGCCGCTTTGCAGAACGAACCATTTTACGACCCTTCTTTGCAGAAACAGAAGGATCGCAAGTCCAAACAGCTGCTCTTCAATCAGAAGGGTAAGTTCATGGCACAGGCTGAAGCTTTAAGACAACAGGCGAGGATCGAACAGATGGCCAAGGAGATGCAAGAACAAGCACGGAAACAGGCCATCGAAGAGGCCACTGAGAAGTCCTTCCTTGTGCCACCCCCACCGGAAATTGAGTGGTGGGATGAAGGTCTTGTGACAGGAGGCAATTACGAGAATCTCGAAGCTCCAGACAAAATCAACATGGACGTAATCACAAGATACGTCCAACATCCCGTTCTACTTTCCGCTCCTCAGGATGCCAACGTACCGGCTCCGAAGGCCATGTACCTTACCAAACAGGAGCAAAAGAAGGTTCGACGACAACGCCGCATGGCAGACCACAAAGAAGAGCAGGCGAAAATCAGACTTGGGCTCAAAGCCCCGCCTCCGCCAAAGGTCAAGAAATCAAACCTTATGCGTGTATTGGGTAATGAAGCTGTCAAGGATCCTACTGCCGTCGAAGCTCGTGTCAATCGCGAGATTGCTCAGCGTGCAGAAGATCACGAGACCGCCAATGCCGAGAGACAATTAACAAAAGAGCAGCGCCTCGAGAAGTTGGCTGCTCAACAAGAAGCAGACGCCACCCTTGGCATGAGAGTACTCGTCTTCAAGATTGACAATCTGAGTTACGGAAAACACCGTTTCCAGATCAACAAGAATGCCGAGCAGCAAGCCTTGACAGGCATCACCATTTTCCATCCCAAGATGAATCTAGTGGTCGTCGAAGGTGGTACCCACAGTATCAACGCATACAGGAAACTCATGCTCAACCGCGTAAAGTGGACCGAAAACGCCATGCCGCAAAGTGTGCGCGAGGGTAATTCAGAAGCCAATGCTGCATGGCTGAATGCTTTCGACGAGGATGGCAAACTCAAGGACAACACATCCAACAGGTGTCAGCTTGTCTTCGAGGGTGAGGAGAAACAGCGGGCTTTCAAGCGCTGGATGCCGTACAAGGCTTGCGAGACGGACGGTGAAGCCAAGGACGTGCTGAGCAGGTACAAGATGGAGAATATGTGGACATTGGCACAATCTCCAGCATTCCAATAATTACGATACACGACGCAGAAATACTACTTCAGGCTGGATGAAGTTAAAGGGGATTTGACTCACTACATCAAGACATCTGCACTGCCAACTCTTCGATGAGACAAGTCTGAACAGTCGACTGTTTGGTCACCAGTGCTCTATCGGGAAAATCATCCAGTTGTAGCCTCGTCTTTCCTTCTCAATTGTCCATGTAAGTGCTATCCGTGCACGTAAGCCTCTCCAAGAAGTGACAAAACTGGAGGACCTTATGCACTCACTCACTTTATATACCAGCACCGCTGCCTCCATCGCATCGCCACCATCGCTTTACCGACAGGCGGTGGTTGGCCCAGCGGTCTTGCGCCAACAGTGAGTTGGCGACCCCCGCTAGCTATCTCAAGGTCCTGAGTTCGATTGCCGCCATCATCTTTAGAGCCATTGACGCTCCCACCCCTCGACAATCGAAATGGAACCAGTGAAGTGGTGGCTTTCTTCCCACGAACAGGCTCTCTACGACTGAGCCTTATTAGTGGGGATTTGTTTTGTTGATTTTGCTTTGTTCGTACGTTTTGTTTTCTACGACATCTTGTTTTTGACTTTTCGAAGACCTTTAAAGGCCTCCGGAAGCTTCTTGGAAAAATTCACAGAAGCACTCATACTATACAGTATTTTGAGAAGATCAAACTTCACACATGCGTATATACAGGCAGTCCACCCTCATCCTCAATGGCCTCTTCACTTGATCCTTCCCTCTCAGCCACCCGCCTCTCCATCTCCATCAGCTCCCACTGCCTCCTACTTCCTCCCGTAGTATTCAGACTAGTCTCTTTGCTCTGCTGCCTTTGACTCGGCAACTCCCTCTGCATGCCCTCGATAATCCTTACAGCGTCATCCACCTTCCCCACTCTCTCTTCTGCACTTTCCTCCGGATGCGCTTCCTCCAATTGCTGGGCATAGCTTTCTTTCCTAGCTTCCAGATTCTCCCACCGCACCATTTCCTCTTCCCACCAAAAGAGAAAGTTAACCAGAAGGGAGAGTTTGTGGCGTGTTATCAGGACGATTTTCCTGGCCATGGCGGCGCCATTGATGGATGCAGCATTGAGATGATCGGTCTCGCGACTGAGGATTTCTATATCAATGAGTTGGCGGTGGATTTCCGTTGCTGTGCGGTTTTCGTCGCAGATGCCGCAGATGACAAGGGTGTGTAGGGGTATTGCTTTGATGTCTTGAGCAGAGGTTTGGTATATGAATACTTTGTCTTTTGTGGCTTCTGAGAAACCGTCGTCGTGGAAAGCCCAGGCTTCTACGCTTCCACTGTGGGTGGCTCTGTGAAATGCTTTGGCAAACATTGTAGCATGAGTTGGAGAGATGGAATCAAGAGATTATGCTATGAACCTGTCAATAGGAAAGCTTGGTGAGCTTGTTCTTATATAGTATGGTCAAGGAGTCTCGTCCGGAATAGTTTGGTCCAGAGCGGTATAGCATGTGCACCATGGGACCCGCCCCATTGGTCAGATCGACTTCCTGCCGTTGTTGCTATTCCAATTCTTGCTTCAAGTCCCATGATGCATCTGGAGAAGAAATATGGGGTATGTTAGAAAAGCCTGCCTTATAAGAGCGACTCTTACATCGTCGTTCCTGGGTAGTCGCCTTTCTCGCTTTTCACTCTCCACGATCCCATTCTCGAAAAGTTACAGAGTTGGCGTCAGCAACGTACGTAGACATCCAACAAAGACAAATGATCAACATTTTTCGTCAACTGTGCACATATCATCTGATCGATTCTAAACTTGTGCTGTTGTTGCTCGATCTGACACTCGTCGTACCTGTATGTCGTCCATCTCTCGTCCACACACGGGTCAGTCAGAAGGTGGCAGTCGTGCTGCACAGCAAGAAAGAACCACATCATGGAGGAAACAACTCGAAGATAGCGAACCGCCAGATGTGTAAAAGACAAGCGAGCAGACAAAGCAGTAGCAAAAAGCCAGAGACTCAAGCACATAGGACACAAAGAAAGCACCGTGGGCAGGAATCGAACCTGCGACCTCCCGACCCTCGAGAGCGAGTATTAGGGACTTAGGTAAGCGAGTAGGAACTTAGGTTACCAGATCGGGTGTGCTGACCACTGCACCACCACGGCTTTGATCTGGTTGGAGGGCACCTGAAAGATCTTGAATATATAGGTTGCGTGTTGAAGGTGGTGGTAACAGTATTTAGCGACGGGAGAAACCGGGAAGGGAAGCTTGGATGAGGTAGTCTATGTAATCAGCGACAACAGAAAAGCGCTGAAGATAGCGAGGTATGGCCTTTCTTCGTGAAACGTGAGAGGGGAAGAAACAATGTAGAACAGTCGAATGAGAAGAGGGAAACACCAGTCGGAATTGTGTAGGGCGTGGTACATATGCTGAATGCCGATATAGAGAGTCGTCCTGAAGCGCAAACTTGGCAGCTGAAGCCTCTGTTTGCTCTGACCAAATTATATTGACGTAAAGCTACTTACAGGGTATCTTTAATGAAGTGCTCGTCTGCCAGTCGTGAGACAGTGTTATAGTGATATGCAGTTGGCGCCTAAGAAATGCCTTCGATTATCATTCGTGCTTCGCTCCGTGATGGGTTGATCCTCTCGATTTGTGGCTTGTACTAGCTTTTAGCTCTCATTGTCCGAGGGCACTGAGCTCAGGGAAGCATCACTCTGATCAGCGTCTTCATCCTTCTTACCCTTTTTACCCCTTTTCGCAGGAGCAGCAGCCTTGCCAAAGTTGAGTTTGGTCTGTTTGGCCTTCGCTTTGTCTTCTTTGACCTTGACCTTTGTTGTTTTCTTCTCGACTTGCTCGGCGATTCTGTCTCGTTCGACCTTACCCATCTTCTGCAGTTTATCCTCAAGCTGCTTAAACTCTTCGCTTTTCACGTCCATACCCACGAGACTCTCAAGTAGCTTGATCTCACGAGCCCAGATGTTCTTATCTTCCATTTCTTTGCCCTTAGCATCTTTCTGGAGATTGCCGTTCTCATCACGGACCTCGATTGGTGTCTCAAGGACCATAGGCAGGCCGATGACGCGCTCGTCGTTCATGATTGCGTGGAAGCCACGAAGACCTAGGAAGCCAGTGCCGATGTTTGCATGTAAATCTCTGTGGCTTGAGAAGGGTGCTTTGCTGTCGTTGAGATGCAGGGCACGCAAGTACTTCATGCCGACTGTCTCGTCGAAGTCTGATAGAGTCTTTTGAACGGTCTCCGGTGTTCGTAGGTCATAGCCGCCAGCAAAGGCATGGCATGTATCGAGACAGACACCAACGCGAGACTTGTCATCGATCAAGTCAATGACATCGCGCAAGTCTTCGAAAGTAGAGCCAATGACATTTCCGCCAGCAGCCATGTTCTCGAGTAACGTGATGACTCTCGAAGTCTCCTTGTGCGCGCGGTTGAGGTTGTTGGCCAAGTGAGCAATGGCAGCATCGCGATCACCACCGACACTGTTGCCAGGATGGAAGTTGTAGAGCGAGATGCCCAGTTTCTCGCAACGCTTCAGGTCATCGAGAAAGGAGTCGTAAGCTTGTCTGGTGCGGTCGGGATCGGTGTGTGCTAGATTGACAAGGTATGAGCCGTGTGGGACGACATGTTGATTCTGGTCGAAGTCATGCTTGTCGCAATGAGCATGGAAGTCGATGGAATGGGCTTCGGCCAGTGGAGGGTTGGCCCACTTGCGTTGGGATTTCAAGAACAGAGCGAAGGCGTTTGCGCCGATATGGACAGCGTTCTGGACGGCATTAGGAACACCGCCAGCGGCCGAGACATGGGCGCCGATGAAGAGCTTGTGGCCTAGTGTGCGTGCTGCCAGGGGCATTGCCTCTGCTTCCTTCTCTTCCTTAGTCTTGCGCTTCCTTACGACCTTGATCTTTGTTTCTTGGGCGTCGACTGTTGTGGTCTCTGCTTCGTTCGTCTCATCAATGATGGCGGTCGACTTGGTGGACTTGTTGGCTCGCTTGGGCGGTGGGGAGATGGCTTGGTCGACCTTGACTGTTGTACGCTGTCTGATTTTCTTGACAGCAACAGGCTTCTCTTCTAGCTCTTCCTCTTCCTCTACGTCTTCGGTGGTGTCTTGCTTGAGCTGGCGCTTGCGCTTGGTGCCTCTGGTTGCGTCGGAAGTGGTTTCGATGGCAGTGGGTTCCAGAGCGTCAGATGCGGCAGACGACAGGTCAGATGAGTCTTCGCGAATAGCTCTAGCCCTCGTTGGACGAGGCATTGTTGTTGTCGTTGACGGATTGAGTTATGAGGTAGAGGTGATGCCAAGGGTCGGTAGGTACGAATACGGAGAGCAGGTCGAGACCCTTGCGACTGCCTTATCGATAAGCTTTTGGTCGCTGCTTCCAAAAATTCCATCCTTCGAGCGCCTCTCCACACCTTGCCTATACCAGAACACAAGTCGACATGCCCAAATCAGCGAGAAAGAACAACGGCGGCGGAGTCTCGAAAAGCGACCCCTACGCAGGCGCTGCTTCACGCAAGAAGGGCCATGCCGCCAATAATGTCTTCAAGTTCAACACGGATCTCGGTCAGCACATTCTCAAGAACCCCGGTGTCGCCCAGGCCATTGTCGACAAGGCCGACCTGAAGCAGTCCGACGTGCGTCTTATCAATACCATCTGTCGTAGCATACCATCTCTAACAGTCCCCAGANTCGTCCTCGAAGTCGGACCTGGAACCGGTAACTTGACGACCAAGATCTTGGAGAAGGCCAAAAAAGTCATCGCCTGCGAAGCCGATCCCCGAATGGCTGCCGAAATCACAAAGCGTTTCCAAGGCACTCCCGCCCAGAAGAGACTCGAAATCATCCTCGGAGATGTGCTCAAGCACCCCCAGCTGCCCTACTTTGACGTCTGCATCTCAAACACACCCTACCAGATTTCATCGCCCTTGACTTTCAGACTCTTGGCCCTGAGTCCCGCCCCTCGCTCCTGCGTGCTCATGTTTCAGCGTGAATTCGCCATGCGTCTGTTTGCTCAACCTGGAACAAAACTCTACTCGAGATTGTCCGTCAACGCCCAGATGTGGGCCAAGATCAGCCATGTCATGAAGGTCGGCAAGAACAACTTCAACNCCCCTCCTCAAGTCGAGAGTGATGTCGTCAAGATTGTGCCCAAGGTCCCGCGCCCGCAGATCAGCTACGATGAGTGGGACGGTCTGTTGCGCATCTGCTTCGTCCGCAAGAACCGTACGCTACGCAGTGGTTTCCTCGGTACCACCAGTGTCATGGAGATGCTTGAGTCAAACTACCGCACCTACTGTGCTCAGAACAACATTGTCCTTGACGATGGCCCGCTCGACCCTGCGGATGCAGCCGTGGACACGGATATGGCTGCAGACGATCAGGACGACGACATGGAAGCCATCATGGATGTTGACGATGAAGACGACATTCCCGACTTCTTCAAGGAAGAGGCAGACAAGAAGGCAAAGAAGCTTCTAGGCAACCCCAACCGCAAGAAGAAGGGCAAGGTGTCTGAGCTGGTGCGCCAGAAGGTGACCAAGGTGCTGATTGAGACGACTGAGTTGTGCGAGAAGCGTGCCAGAATGTGTGACGAGGGCGACTTTTTAAAGTTGTTGTATGCCTTCAACCAGGAGGGTATTCACTTCAGTTGATTTTTGAACATTGACAAAAGCATATGGGCGGGACAAGCATGGCGCATCTGGAGTTTACTGGAGGGTCTGATATTTCGTTTATAGCAAAGATACCCGACAAGACGAGACAAGACAGTTCTACAGATATCTTGCATTTCAACCTTGAGAACCTGATCCCCTTTCCCTTTCAGTCTCTTCAAGAATAATGTGATCCCATGCAACTTTGACCCAGGAAACGCCACGCTGATAAATGCAGAGTAAAGACCCAAAACTGTCGATCCATGGCAGAAAAACACTGCTCAAAGCAAGTCGAAGTCGTCCAGCTTGTCGCGGTATCTGTGGATGGTCCTCTTGATCTTTGACGAGTCGACCCACGTCACAAAGTCCTCCATATTCCTCGTGACCAAAAATGCAGGATCGGTAACAACCTCTGTACCCACTCTGACCTGGCCACCCTCGATAAAAGTAGTGGCGGCCTTGAGATCAGGAGCCATTTGCAGTCTTGTGAGGATGACGTTTAGACGTCTGCGAGCAAATGCAGACACGGTGACTTTGTTTTCGACGGCAGAGAGTTTGGAGCGCTCGCTGAGAATGGCCATGTCGTAGAGTTTGTCAAGGAGTTTCTTTTCGGTCGCGAGGCGGTAGGCGTTGTCTGGGGGCAGGAGGGTGAGGCGGTGGGCGAGTTGGCGCAGTTGGCCGCAGAGGCGGTTGTAGGAGGTGTAGTCTTCGGGCCTTTGGATCATGTANCTGTTTGCGTGGTGGTTAGTGGTGGGTCTCTCGTATGAAGAAGAGATGGGAGATGGACGTACGCGGCGCACTACATCGTTCTGGCGGATGGTCCCTTGTTTCGTGTCGGGCTTGAAGAAGTCGACCTTGCGGAGGAGCTTGTGCTCGTGGTGCTTGAGTTGTCTGACCATGGTGGGCGATCGGGTGTGTTTGTTTGCGATGCGACAGGAAGGCTCAGAAAGAGGCTTGCTCGTCGATAGGGCTGAGATAATTTCTGCCGCCATGTCGACTGCGGGCCGAAGGCGGTCTTCGGACCGGGCCGAGAGCTCGTCAGAGTCACCAAACGAGTCATCGGCATGTGCTTCGTCTTTTTGTTTCCGACTCATCTTCTGATAAACACACAAGACATAACACACAATGCCGACAGTTCACCTCCTAGACTACGTTGCTGGCAACATCCGATCACTGGTCAATGCCATTGAGAAGGTTGGCTACCAAGTCGAGTGGATCAAGTCACCGGAAGATGTGTCAAAGGCAGAGGTGCAGCCCCTCGCACCCCACCAATTTACAATGGCTGATAGGAACTGACAGGCCACGTAGAAACTCATTCTGCCTGGTGTGGGTCACTTTGGCCACTGCTTGACCCAATTCAACAACTCTGGCTATGTCGAGCCCATCAGGAAGCACATTGCTGCTGGTAAGCCCTTCATGGGTGTCTGTGTCGGTCTGCAGGCCCTGTTTGAAGGCTCCGAAGAGAACGACGAGGTGCCTGGCCTTGGTGTAATTCCCGGCCGTCTCGAGCGATTCGACGACTGGGACAAGAGTGTCCCTCACATTGGCTGGAACTCGGCAAACACTGCCTCTGAACATGGCCTCGATGCCGACCAGAGCCTGTACGGCATGCGTCCCGATAGCAAATACTACTACGTTCACTCATACGCCAAGATGTATCAGCCCGGCGTCCTCGAGAAGGCCGGCTGGTCCGTAGCCACCGCCCGCTACGGCAACCAGGAATTCGTTGGTGCCGTCGCAAAGGACAATGTCCTGGTCACCCAGTTCCACCCTGAGAAGAGTGGTGCAGCAGGCTTGCGCGTCCTCAAGGCCTTCCTGAACGGCGACCGTCTCACCACCCTGCCACAAACACCCGACGCCTCAGCCACAAAGGAAGGTCTCACCCGCCGTATCATCGCCTGCCTCGACGTCCGCACAAACGACCAAGGCGACCTTGTAGTCACAAAAGGAGACCAATACGACGTTCGTGAAAAGGAAGAAGGCGCCGCCGTCCGCAACCTCGGCAAACCCGTCTCCATGGCCCAAAAGTACTACGAACAAGGCGCCGACGAGGTCACCTTCCTCAACATCACCTCCTTCCGCGAGACTCCTCTGAAAGACCAACCCATGCTCGAAATCCTTCGTCAAGCTTCATCGACCGTCTTCGTGCCCCTCACAATCGGCGGCGGCATCCGCGACACGAAAGACCCCGAGACAAACACCGTAGTCCCCGCCCTGGAGGTCGCTACCTTGTACTTCAAGTCGGGCGCCGACAAAGTAAGCATTGGCTCCGACGCCGTCACCGCTGCCGAGGAATATTACGCCAACAACAGCACCCTCTCCGGCAAGACCGCCATCGAAACAATCTCCAAAGCCTATGGTGTGCAAGCCGTCGTCGTCTCCGTCGACCCCCGCAGAATCTACGTCAAAGACCCCAAAGATACGCCCCACCACACGCTCAAGACGCCATACCCAGGTCCTAACGGCGAGGAGTATTGCTGGTACGCATGTACCATCCACGGCGGCCGCACCACCTCCGACCTCGACGTCATCCAACTCTGCAAAGCCGTCGAAGCAATGGGCTGCGGAGAAATTCTACTGAACTGCATTGACAAGGACGGCACGAATTCAGGCTTTGACTTGGAACTGATCCGCTCAGTCAAGGACGCCATCAAGATTCCTGTTATTGCGAGCAGTGGAGCGGGTAATCCTGGTCACTTCAAGCAGGTGTTTGACGAGACTACTGTGGATGCTGCGTTGGGGGCTGGCATGTTCCACCGTGGCGAGTATACGGTTAGACAGGTCAAGGAGGTGTTGGAGAAGGATGGGTTGCTGGTTAGAAGGTTTGAAGATGAGGTTTAGATGATGCATACATAAAGTAGAGTAGTCGAGAGAAATGACAAGATTTGCATACATGTTACTTTCTCCCATGGATCCTGTATCTCTACCCTGTACTTTTGTGTCATCACGATTCCATCTCAAGCAGAAAGGAGGTCTACCAATAACTCTAGTGATGGTCGATGTTCTCAGTCAGCCCTCTCCTTTCCAGCTCCATCTTACTGCCAACATATTTCCCTGACCTAGATACCAAACCGTGACTTTCGACATTAGGGAGCGAATGCCATAGCGTGAACAACAGTCACGAGAGAATCAGAAGGGGCGGATCGTAAAATTCATCATCTAATCAACTTCCATTTGCTCGCACTTATTACTACTCGTATATCTTACAACTCGAAACCCCACCGTGTAACCTCATGTCTTCGTCCTGCCAGATCACCAGAATTCTTTGCACCACGCCCAACCAGACAAGTACGTCCATCGTCTTGTATCGAGCTCGAGGTCGTCAGCGCTTACACACCTTCTTGTGGGTCTTCCACGCAGCCTGTTGACAAGCACGGTTACAGTACTTGACTTTCTCACAGCGAGCGCAGACCTTGAGACCAGACTGACTGCTTCCATAGTGGTCGCAATCCGCACCGCCAGTAGTTTCCGGCTCCTGGTCCAGGTTGAGAGCCTTCATAACAGCAGTCATTGTGGAACTGACGGTTCCATGCTTCTGACCCAACTTCACCTGTTGAATCAAAGCAGTGGCGAGCTCACCCATCACTTCTTGCCCACCCACGGCTTCGACATTCGGAACGGCGAAGATGATAGGNATAGCGATACGAGTGGCGAATCGAGCAATCTTCTTGTAAGGGCCAGGCATAAACGATACATCTTTGCCTGATCCACAATCGCAGAGAAGTCCCTTGCCAGGCTTTGTCCTGTAAACACAGTTTGAGGTATGCTCCCAGGAGCGGCAGCGCTCGGCGAGGGCCGGTACAAGTTGCTGCCACAGATACATGGTCTCCTTGCTCACAATGTTCACTGAGGTATTCTGGACAAGCTTATCGTTTTCAACTTTCTTGTAAGGGTTGAGTTTTCTCACTTCGGGNGTTGAGGGGACGAAGAACGCGTCCATGAAGACTGAACCCGTGTCTCGATCATGGCGGAGAGCACTGGCAACAACCATCCAATCGGTAGTGATCTTGTGGGAACCTAGATCAAGCACCATAGAAAACAACCGAATGTCTTTGCCTTTGGCACTGGCAAAGATACCAGTATAAGTGAAGAACCACTGTCCAATAATGCTTTTCAGCTGGATCAAAGGTGGCAAGAACTTGGTTTCCAAGGATGGGTCCATTCGGGCNACCACGACGCAGAGCGGTCGCAAGAACTCAGGAGCAGAAGTCGAAGTGTTTATCTGCGGCTGGAGGTCAGGGTTGATGCGACTCATACCCCAAGCCAGAAAGCTGTTATTCTGTTTGATGATAGGAAATGGGTCCAGCTTGAAGCCTCCAGGCTGGAGAGCATTAGATGTGGGAGCTTTGATCTCAATCCAAGAAGATTTGCGAGCAATCCTCATCTTGTGCGCAGCTCCATGGACAGGGAAGGGGAAGAAGAACTTGCTTGCATGATGCAGCCTGCCGATAGAAACAGCCAGAACGCATGGCGAGATCTGCGAAATTCCAACTATGCCGCCGTTCTTCAAAGCACGGCTCTCTTCCCAGCCATGTACAAGACTGTTGGTGACTCCAATAGACTGCACAGTACCATCAGAGTCAAGAGCCACGTCAGCGGTGCTGGGTCTAGTCAACTCCGGAGTAGCGGTAGAGTTGATGTCGAACTGTGCACTAGGCTTTGTACTGGGTGCTTCGGTCAGCACTCGAACATTCTCGCTGTCGAGCGACGCACCATAAAACTCGAAGCGGTCTTCAGGTTCCATGGTGTGGCCCAGGAATGGGCGTGAAGTGTTGACGTTAAGCTCAATGTGCACTTCCTGACGGGGCCCGACCAAGAGTGCCTAGGTAGGCGTTTTGCAAGTAACAATCAGGTCTGAAGTGCCTGTCCAACCATGAGCATCTTCTACGACTCTTGCCTCATTAGTGTCATCTGATCCGAAGTGGCCGAAGAAAATGTCAACAGCGAAGAAGGCGGTCTGGAAAGCTTGATTACGCATCAGAAGATATACGCCTGGGGCTCCAACACAATCGATAGGAAGGTCTGTGAGACACGTGAAGCTGTTCCTGGGGATGATCAGTGCGACATGAACAGTTCCAGGCAGGATGGGCCTGCCAAGCACTCCTGAGTCGCCAGAATCGCTGGAAGGGCGAGTCTCACCATCGTAGAAAGCTCTTGATGGACCTTCTTCTAGCGCAGGATAGTGCCATAAACCGGACAGATGGAGATGCATGTACAGTTCTTGCTCATTCATCAAGCCTTCAGAAAGGGACTTGTCGTCCTTGATCATACGGACGAGAGCGCTGACACAATTTTGCCAGTCGGTGGAGATGGTACGCTTAGCTGAGGCAATGAGCGTGACGAGCGAGAGCCGAGAATAGTAATCGACGTCGCCAGCCAAAGGTCGGGTCGATTTGCGCTCCAAGACTTCAGATCTGATGCTCAAATCCTCATTCTCGCGGAACATGGCAAGGTATGTTTGCATGAAGAAAGATGCGAGCTCGTGTGGATCCATATTGAGATGATACGAAGCGGACTTGACGTCAAGTACCATGCTATCACCCTGAGCAGCACGCTGCCATGGAATGCGCATGCGGTATTGCTTTTGGTTTCCATCTGATAGTTCCAGATCGACCATTTGCTCAACGAGAGTTAATTCTATCATGGTTCCTAAGAGGTGGCTGGTAGGGGCCACACCAAATAGTAGCGATGACATCGTGACATCAGAATGGAGCAGAGTTCCCAAGAGCTTCTCGGACTTTTCGGAACCTTGTACGAGACTTTCTGTGTACAAAACAGAACCAGATCTCTCAGACAAAAGAGGTACTACGGCAGGCAGAATAGTCAAGATGCCGCAATGATCCATGACGTTCGACGTGTCAATGACATCGTAGCTAATGGCCGCTGTTACAGGCGGTTCAATTGGGGCGGCGCTGTATGGCTTGTTGTAGAAGTAAGTAGAAGGCGGTAGGGTAGTGGAGCCTTGGACGGCCTGCAAAGCATAAGAGAAGTTGACGGCATCTCCACAGTGGTGCATGATATTGACCGAGCCGGATGCGATACAGGACGCGAAGCTTTGACACCATACAGAAAACTGAGATTTGGCCAGGCATGCGAGACTGATCGTGGCTGTGTCTCTTGATTGCAGACAATCGAAGACTTCGGCTAGATGGAAGCCAACCAGTGGATCGGAGCTGCGGTATACGTCAAACCGATCCGATTGCGAGACAGCTATGAGCGGGTTGATCCTACCACCGTCATCTGAACGAAGCTCAGATACGTCTTGATCGTTGCCGGCAACAACACCAGTTCTCCAGAAAGCGTGGTAGGCATCGCTAAGGATGAAAGTTGCAGAGATTCCGTGAGCCCCAGCAGATCGCACACCACTTATTACCATGGCCTTCTTGTTGCTATTATGAATGGACTCGATGGCTTTTCTGACTTCAGCGTCCTCCTGTTCAGTTCTTGTCTGAGCATAGAGAGCCCAGAAACGACGCACTTTAGATAAAGAAGTTTCGGTAGAGAACTTGAGAGATGATCCGAAAGTTGAGTTGTTCCATTGAGCAATATTGTCAGACACAGCAAGAAGTCTCTTACAGTGCTCTTGGATCCACAAGAGGTCGGTACCGGTAACATATAAGTGGTAGTACGTTCGCCACAAACGTTCGATGAATTCACAGCGGGGATCGCGAGTGATGGCTGTCAANAGGAATACGTTGCGGGCTATGAACACAGTCAGCGATCAGATCCACAAAGACGATACATTTCTGTCCAGAGCTAGATATATAGCTGCGCCAATAGACACGACTGCCATTCGGAAACATCACCTCTTTTGACAGCGAGGCCTGGAATGCTAAGAAAAGAAAGTGTGCTTACCTAGGACAGCGGCATCATAGTCGCATGCAGTGAAGTTGAGTTTGCATGCGCGACGCTGTTCAGACCAGATAGTGAAAAGGATGTTTCGAACATCGCCACATCCAATTGCCAGTATCTCAACAGGGTCCACGCCTGGAAGATGATCGCGAAGCAGGTTAGCAGCTGGAGTGTTACCTATGGGGTAGAAGTAGGGTTTGATGTTGAGTCGCGTAGCGTGAGCATCTTGCCGAGTGCATGCAAGATTGGAAGGATCGATGGGTAGGCGATGATTCTATGTGACTTTCGTGGTGTTGCAAGTCAAAGCCAAGATGTCCGAGGAAAGATCCGGACTGGAAAGACACGGACGCACAACAGCAAACTTCACTCACAAGGTCAACAATGGTATAAGTGAAAGGAGTTAGCGCCAAGGTTGTTCGAGATACTTCTTGCAAAGTGAACCTGGTCCGTTCAGAATAATCTTGCAAATATTCTCAGCAAAGCACTTTGCCAAATCGCAGTCACTAGCGAGCAACAATCTCCCTTGATCAAAGTCGAAGTCCTCTCGCAAACGGTGCATATTGACGAAGCAAACACTTACTTACAAGCCCATTCTACTGCATTCGTCAAGGTATAGACTGTGCAGATATCGAGCTTGCAGCTCGCAGATACAGTGGCAGCCGCATAACGACAGATGGCTTATTGATATAACAATCAACACATTTCAGAAGTCGAAGGCTCTTTCTTTTCGATTCATAGATGCTTGAAGGTGAAAGTGAAAGGTTGCATTGAACATTGAACAGCACAGTGAAGTTTGCCCGCAATTTTGCCAGATCTTCGGCAGTTTTCGCATCAATCTTCCAGCCAAACTCTCACAACGACCAATACGATTGACCTCTGATCTAAAACAAACAATACAATCAGGTATTCTATCGATGGTTTTTCATGGACTCACGACGTCAGCATTCCTACACTTCAAGTCAAGCTCTTTACGAGATACTGCTGTCGGACATGTTGCCAAGCATCTTCTGCAGGATTGGACGCGGAACAGTCGCGTCCGCGAAGACTTCAGTTCCGTAGACCTGGTAGAGATGCTGTGTTAGCGTCTCCAAGAGCCGTATCCGAAGGATCAGTCCACCTGACCATTTTCTGCACCAGCTGCATCAAGCAGACCCGGCTGTTCTCTCCGCACGACTGCCATGTGAAAGTCTGTACCTTCAGGTGAGGCCATTTGCGCTATGTTGACTTTCGAAAGCATGCCAGAGATGACAGTCTTTCTGATCTGTCGCAACTTCGTTCTCATATGTATAGGCAGGTACGCGAATCAGTCTCGACAGGTTGGAAACCCGGTAGGATTGAACCAAAGTGGCCCTATACCGTGACACAAACGGTGTTCTCGGCGATGGTAATTATGTGGAGTGAAAGTCACTTTAACCTGCGCAATACAAGGTCAATGCCTTTTAGGCAGAATGACTTCCCTTTGAAAGGTATGCGGACTTCATAGCACTTATCGGCGGTCCCGGGTCATCCTCGAGAAATGGCCGGGATTGCAGAGCTAGATATAAGAAGTGTTCCGTCCGGCCGTGAGGGTAGCAGCATACCTTTGATTCATACATCTGGTGCAGCCAACTTTTGATCTCATCTCTGGCTCGTATTCTATGGCGCTTGCTCCAAAGCAGAGATACTTCGGCTTCAGAGGAGGATGGCTGGTGTTTTGGATTACTGTCGCCTGTGCGACAGACATGACTCTCTTTGGTTACGACCAGGTGAGTAAAAGGTTACATACTCTATCAAAAGCCAGCTTAGCTAATGGCTTCGTCGTGTTAGNNGGTGTCTTTTCGGGAGTCGTTGTCAGTGAGAACTTCCTCCAGCTACACGATCTTGTGGGACCTTCCAGGACCAAGGTTTTATCGACGCTCGCTGCCATTTACGATGTGGGTTGCTTTATCGGCGCGATCATAGCCTTTACTATTGGCGAAAGGCTGGGACGGAAGAAGACCATCATGCTGGGCACTGCGATCATGTCCGTCGGAGTAATCTTGAAGACCAGCTCTTTCAGTCTCGCACAGATGTTCGTTGGACGCGTGATCCTTGGTATCGGCAACGGCATCAACACCGCAACCGCACCAATCTGGCAAACCGAAACTGCTCCTGCGAAGCTCAGAGGAAAACTCGTCATTCTGGAGATGATGACCAATGTCGGCGGCTTCATGGTGGTGAACTGGATTAATTACGGTTTGAGCTTTGTACCAGGCTCGGTTCAGTGGAGGCTACCTCTAGCTCTGCAGTTCATCTTCATCTTCGTCCTCTTTGCTACCATCNCCTGGCTACCTGAATCACCACGTTGGCTTATCGCTCACGACCAAGAAAAAGAGGCCATCCAGATTCTAGCCGATCTCGATGATAAGCCCGTCGACCATGCTTACGTTATAGCACAGCACCAAGAGATTGCCTACGGTGTTCAATACGAACGCGAGCATGCCATCAAGTGGAGTGATCTCCTTCGAGGTCGTACTCAAGATGGAACGAAAAGTGTCCGTCGCCTGCTTCTTGGAGCAGGTACTCAATTCATGCAACAGTTTGGAGGCATCAATATCATGAGTACGTGCACGACGGTTTTAGCACAAGCTTCGCGCGAGGAACATGCTAATTGGCTTGACTTACAGGTTNACTATACTCCTACAATCATGATCACATACGTTGGACTGAGCAACTCTATGGCCCGTCTGCTATCTGCCTGTAATGCGGTCTCCTACTTCATATTTGCAGGCGTTGCAGTGCTCTTTGTCGAACGCCTTGGTCGCCGTTCGCTGATGATGATCTCCACATTCCTACAACTCATCGCCTTCCTCGGCATCTCGATCCTTCTCAAATATGCCATGGCCAACGGTGTTACTGGATGTGCCAAAGCGGCCATCTTCTTTTTCTTCTTTTACAATATCGCGTTCGCCGTGGGTATGCTAGGCGTACCCTGGCTATATCCCGCCGGTGAGTTTTGGAGGTCAAGACCATTTTTGATAGCATATTCTGATGGATTACTGNCAGAAATCAACAGTCTCCCAATGCGTACGAAAGGTGCCGCAGTAGCCACCGCTACAAACTGGATCACCAACTTCGTCATTGTCGAGATTACTCCCATCGGCTTCCAAAATCTAGGCTGGAAGTTCTGGCCCATCTGGGTAGCAACCAATGCTCTCTTCCTACCGACTATATACATGCTCTATCCAGAGACCGCTTCGCGCACTCTCGAAGACCTGGATGCATACTTTAGATCTGATCCAAGTTTGTTTGTTTTCAGAGACAAAGACGCCATATCTAGCAAGAGACCTCAAAAGTATATCGCAAGAGAGAACGAAGAGGTCCATAAAGTGGAAGAGCAAGGAGTTGGTGTCGGGAAGAGGATCAGCAAAGCTGACCCTGTGGATGATGTCGAGACTCAGCGTCACGAGGTGGGAAAACTGCAGTGAGCAATAGGCTTGGAGAGTATCAATGAGGAAGTTATGGAACGTCACCTGAGTTGATTACCCTAGAGTGCGATATTCTCCTTCCCCTCAGAATAACAAAGAGCGTATTCGAGCTATCGAAACTCATAATTGTTTCTAGGACAGATTCCTTGCAGCGGGAGCGCGTCTCAATGCTGGCTATCTAAATAGGGTGTCTGAGAGGTACGATGCATGAATGAAACGGACAGCATGCCCCAAAATTGTGCCTTTGAAATGGGTATCATTATTTACTTCTACAATGCATCATCTCTACAGACTATGCGATATATGCCAAACGCTTGATGATATGCATCAGGTTCCAAACTCTTCTTCAATGTCGTCAGGGTCTACCGTGTCCACAAATGCTCGCCTGACGAACGTGTACCATGGTTTGTTATCCTTGGGTGACTTCTTCTTTTTCTTTTCGTCACCCTTATTCTTGTGCTTCTTTTTGGTGATGTCGATATCATTTTGGTCTTCATCATCATCGAGAGTTTCATCTGCTTCGATCTCTTCGACATCTGTATCTGACATCTGCACGTCGCTCTTTCTAGGTCTGACTCCAGCGATACGCTGTGCTAGGCGGAGGTAGCTTCTCGTTGTGAGATCATCTAACTGATAGACCTTGTCGCTACGAGTGTCGTACAATACTTCGTAGGTGAAGTTTGTTGGGTGAAGGGTACGATCGTTATCGGAGGGCTTCTTGTCGGCATGTTTGCCATCTTTCGATCTCTGTTGCTCTGCATCGTCCTCGAAGTGATCGTTGTTGATGCGAGTCAAGTTGGCGTAGTATTGAACAAAGCCCAGAAGAGTCAGCGACTGCGGCGAGTATGCGGGTCCAGGAGGTGCAGACTTTGAAGGTGGCTTAGGCACTGTAAACCTGTGCTTCTTGGGCTTCTTCGTCTTCTTCTTGGGCTTCTTCTTCTTCTTACGCTCAGCTTCCAACTCTTCATCTTCGACTGTTGCATCTTGCTCGAGGTTCTGTTCGTCGAACCGCTCATCTGTTGCCTCCGTTGCGAAGAGATCAAAAATGTTCTCGTTGGCAAGGGGCAACTTTCTATCCAGTCCAGTGATGTTATACTCATAGACACGGATGGTAGGGAAGTAGTTGGGCACAACACTTGGTGAAACATGGGAGATGCTGAATCTCTCAGCGTAACGGCCTCCAATTTCGGCGTCATAATCGTCCGGGTTGTGTGGCTTCTTTCCCTTGTGTTTCTTGCCCTTCTTGGAGGCTTCTGCGTCCTCATTCACTTGAGGTTTTGGCAGTTTGGTCCAGCTCCTTCTCAAATCCTTGAGGTAGCTAGTGGCAGATTGGATGCCAAACTTTTGTTCAGCGGCTGCGACCATGCCCCTCTTGTTGTAGTTGTTGATAACTTCATAGCCATCAACAATGCTGTCGTCTAGTTCCTCAAAGTCCTGCACAATAAAGTGGTCGGTATTCATGTGGCCGTAGAGTGTAGCAGCTATGACATCTCTGTACTGGTGCATCCACAAGGTATATTTCTGCCAGCAGGTCTCGTCCCAGTTGCTCTTGTTGGCGGTGCGAGCAGGAGGAACGTGGCCAGTGATGATTGCCTTCATGTTGCGGTCGCGCAAGTATTGTAGCTGAATACGGAGCCAGTCAAGTTGACGATATCCAGGCTCTGATTTGGCGGCGCATCCATCGACGGCCGAGTTGGAGTTGAAAAAGTAGCTTCAGTACTACGTCAGAGCAAAGCAGAGCAGAAATGAGCAGGCACGAAAATGGACGTACAGGGAATTGAGCGAGACAATTGCAAGATGTTTAGGAATGGCCTCGACGTAGAACCAGCCACCCTGGTCGAAAGAGTGTTTCTGCACCTCGGGGATGAAATTGCGCCATAGGTCAAGGTAACGGCGTGTCCAGATATTCGGACCTCTTTCGAAGATGTTGTGCGGTAGAATGTCGTTATTACCAAAGGTAGGAATGACAGGTATGACGAGGTCGTTGGTCGGATCCTCGTCGGGCTCGTCTTCGTTCTTTCCAAAGACTTCGTAGAACTTGTTTACAAGCAGTTGATTGAGCTGAGTGACTTGTTGTACGTTTCTCGGTATCTTCTCGTCATTGTCATGGCGCGCCGAATCGCCGGTCCAGATAACAAAGTCGATCGAGTCCTTGAGCTCGTCGCGAATCCAGTCGAAGGTGGCATTGATGAGCGAGATGGGCGAGTCGCAGTCGGACGTCTCGGCACCATAGTAGCCCGCTGGGCCGTGGCCTCTATGACATGCGCCAGTTGCGTCGATGGATGAGTAGACCTTGTAGAAGGGGTCCGGATGGAAGTCNTGCAGCATGGCAAGAGATCAGTCGGTGACATGCCGAGTGGAGCATGTATATTGACACTCACCCGTCACCTGCAAGAAGCGGCCGTGCAATTGCCGTCTTTTCGCGATTGACGCGCCATTGTCGACAAGAGGCTCTTGTGATGCGCTGACAGGCTCGAGAGCTGCCAGAACCAGCGCCGACACGACCGAAGCACGCCAGCAGAACATGGTGTATGCCAATTGTCTTGCGAGCCTCACATGCAGAAGATCAACCGACCAAGTCCTCGATCTCCAAATGTGACAAAATTGCTGGCTGCAACGGGCGCCGTCGACGTCACGTCAACCGTGCAAAAAGCTGGGGTAGAGATGGGCAGGGTCGCTGAAAATACACAGCCTCGTGCTCGCCTGCCTTTTTTGTTGCAAGTCAAAGACTTGGTTCTGTTTCTAAAAGATGGAGAGAACGTGGGCTTGAATGCTAGAAACGGAGGCAGTCATTTTCGTGATACGTGATCTATTCTCTAGTCCATCAAGGTACTGTCGACGACTTCCACCCAATCAGACGACGAAGCCTGCCCACGAGACTCCGCAAGTCACAAAATCCATCCAGCATGCGTCTGACTGGTCGTCCTCATGACATGAACAATGACACAACCTCAAAGGTCTGCTGTTCTGTCCTCGCTCTCCTTGATCCACTTGTCGAGCTGCTGCCTGTTTCGTACACGAAGTCCGACCTTGAACGGCTTCGGTTCCATCTGCGAGGCTGTCAGTTTCCAATATCAGAGGCGACGAAGGAACACACTTACGGTCAGACTAGTGGGAAGGGCATTTGCGCCCATCGCATCGAGAATAGGCTTGTCTCTAGCATCTCTCGGTGCCACGAATTGGAACGCTGTGATGAGCCTCAAGAATGCAGTATACAGCTCACGGTTGCCCAAATGGCTGCCAGCACACATTCGGCTGCCGGCTCCATAGCCAAAGTGTTCAATCCCTGACATTTCCTTGTCCAGGTATCGTTCAGGCTCGAACTTGAGCGGATCCTTGAAATGCGACTCGTCGTAGTTGGCTGCGTACGCGTTCATGTAGAATGTGGTACCAGCAGGAATCACGGCTCCTTGCCATTCGATATCCTTGATGCTTACTCGTGGCAAGCAGATCGGGATGACTGACCAGAAACGTAGAGTCTCCTTGACGAGAGCTGTGATGTACGGGACCTTTTCTTCGCTCAGGCATTTCTCCCAAGCATCGCCATCCGGATAAATCTTGTTGATCTCATCAAGAGCTGTTTGCTGGATTTTCTGGCCATGCTCGGACGACAAATATGCCAAACACATGACCAGATTGCCTGGAACAGTGTCCAATCCGGCGCTCACCATGGTCAAGCAGATGGACATGATCTCGGCATCGTTCAGCTTCGCCTCCGGATCCTTGAGGATGTTGCCAGTGATGCATGGTCTGTCGGTACCAGCCTGGATCTTCTCCTTCAGCATGTTCAACAATTTGGTCATGTATGCTGTTCTACGTTTCTTGTACTCGAGTGGCTTCAGGTTGTTCGATGGCCACAATCGCATGAGTGGAATATAATCCTGCCAGTTGTTTGATGTGGATCTGAAGTTGCTGATTTCACGCTCCACGTGAGTGATTTCTTTGAGCATCTCGTTGTCAATGCTGCCTTCGATCTTGATGCCATAGTTGAGAGTAAGACTCGTGCTCAAGGCGTATCGCTGGAAGTAAGGATTCGGGTCAACGTCGAAAGTGCCGTCCTTGGAGTCTGCAAGCATTTCCTTGATGGATCTTGTGGCTTCGAAGTCGATGAAGGGCATGTAGCTTTGCACTGCTGGACGGTTGAGAGCAGTCGCTGCCGCCTTTCTTCGCTCCTTGCAACTGGGGTCCCATGGAGAGGTGCCGATGGTGAATCCACTAGATGATGAGACCACAGTATGGAAAGTGTGTAGGGTGGGTCGAGAGATCAATGCTGACTGGTTTGTGACCCAAAGGTGCTTGACCGAGTCGAATGTGTTGGCGAACACAATACGCTATTACGAGTCTTAGTATGCTTTCATATAAGTATTTCACATCTAATGTGCTTACTTTNNGTTACCAAGACGGGTTTGAAACACCGGCCCATACTGTTTCGCCCACTTCTGAGCAACGAGAGCATGATCAGTACCCAGTTGGAGCAGATTGCCAAAGAGAGGAACGCCAGGTATCTCGGGAAGATTCTTGATCTTTGGGATATCAGACGAGTTAAGGTATCGAACAACGAAAAAGATGACAAGAGCAGCTACACCAAGTACTATCGATGAAGCCATGTTGAAGAATGAGAAAGGGTATCAGTGCTAGGAAATTGCTTGGAATGAACGAGACCAACTTTTGGCTGCTTCTTACCAAGTCTTATACTCTAACTGGCTCAGCAGAGACCAAGCTCACCACGCCCCGCTCCTTCCCTGTGGAACATCAAAAGCCAGTTGTCGTGTGGTCACTAGCCTCTCGTCGCAGCCAAAAGCATCCGCGGCGGTCGTGTTCCGCGCCTTTATCCTGGTATGGGATTAAGGTGCTTTGGATGTCGAGCCGTTGTGCGGAACACGTCCGCACTCCTTCTTCCGCACGACATCCTAGATTTGTTACGTACTAGATATGCGAGAACACACGGAGCTTTGCTTCCATACTGCGATTGGGAAAAATTCTCGATCTTGTATCCTGTTTCGGTCAGGGAATCAACTTTTCTGAGGGATCGGTGCGAATGCTGAACAAGGCCATGCATATCAAAAGCAGAAGCCTTGTGATCGGACACTCTCGATTAGTGGCATAAGCACATGACATCAAGTCTGTTTGGGAATAGTTGTTCGCTGGGCAGTAGACGAATGTCTACATTTACGAAGAGTTTCATGTGTGCTTCGACAAGAGGTCGATAAAACTTCCAGCAGTAGTGTAACATGATCAGAAACTTGATGAGATGCACGCACAAGACTGCTGTCGTTCATTCCTGAGTTGGCTACTACGCTATAGCACTCGAACAGCTAGATCTTGACTGCGGGAACAATCTTGCCCCTGCAATCTCCAAAGCCAACTCTCGAACCATCTTCTCCCACGCAGACTCCGCTGATAGTAACCTCGTCACCATCCTCCAGAAAGACACGCTGCTCGCCACCTTCTAGCTTGATGACTGTTTTGCTGTTTCTGTTTTGCTCCAGAAGACTGCCGCGCTCAGATGCTTCTTTTCCTGAAATAGTGCCAGACCCGAGCATATCTCCAACACGCATAGGACAGCCAGTGATGGAGTGGTGAGTTAGCATCTGGTTAAAAGAAAACAAGAGATTCTTTCCCGATGTGCGAGAAATTGTAGTGGTGGCACCCGAAGAAGCTGGGATCATATATGGTTAGCATACTGGTCGAGTTCAAAGTATTGATGTTCTCTTACTCTTGAGGATAACTTCCAGCTTGATGTCGTACACGTTCTTCTTGTTTCTCTCTTTGAGATAGTCTAGAACCTCCACGTCACTGTCCAGGCCGGTAGTACGATATGGTTCGAGCGCATCACTCAAGACGACCCAAGGGCTGATGGAGGATGCAAAGTTCTTTGCAGTGAATGGTCCAAGAGGCACATACTCCCAGGCTTGGATATCACGAGCAGACCAATCGTTGAGTAGAACGACACCAAAGATGTAATCTTCAGCCTCGTTTATAGGGATCGGCTCACCCATGTTGTTGTTCTTGCATACAAAGGCGCCGAGCTCGAGCTCCATATCAAGTTTTCTGCAAGCAGAAAGTATGGGCTTCTTGACCTCCGCCGTAGGATCCTCTAGTATCTGCCCAAGGGGCCGACGGACGGGAGTTCCGGATACGACAATACTCGAGGCTCTCCCATGATATCCTACTGGGAGGTGTTTGTAGTTGGGCTGCAGAGCATTTGCTGCTCCACGGAAAAGCTCGCCTACAGTAAAAGCATGATTCAAGCCAGCGTAAAAGTCGGTGTAGTCTCCTATTTGCATAGGCACATGATTCTGAACGTCTTTCAGAGGGACAAGACAAGCTTCCTGGACTGATTTGTTGTTCTTTAGGACATCTGGGAAGGGNGTCGATTCCAAGAAAACTGATTGAAGGTATTTTCTAACAGCTGTATGCATTGGTCTCCCGAGGCTGGCGAATGCATTCAAGGTGGTATCGGAAAAGACATGTTGATGTGGCTGAATCAAAGACAGGGCAGAGAAGCCATTGTGAGACGCGAAGAGATCAAGGTCCAGGGCATACTCTCCGATAGCAATTGCAGGTCGGGGTGTAGGTCTGCCTTGGGTACTGATGATGCCGAATGGGATGTTTACCAATGAGAAGTGGCAGTCGGCGGCAATGGAGAGCCAGCTCTTGAGAGACATGATAACAGAAGAATCAAGATGATGATGCAAAGGTGGTAGCTTGGAACGGATGGTCCACTAATATGAAGCTTCAAGGATGTCTGCGACAGTGTCCTTCTGGCTGAATCATGTGCGTAGAACAGTTGACACAAGTCTGTGGTGGTGATAGTGCGGAAATCATCCGTTGTTCACCAGCTTCAGAGATTATTCTCGTATTCACAAGTGGTGATAAACAGCTACCCCTCACAACAGCGCGCCGGTTCCGTGTGGGACCAAACCATCATGTCGTAGCTCCCGATGCGCCGCGATTTACAATATATGATCACTGGACAGTGTTCAACTGCCATACTAGATAGTACTTGACTCAACTCCCCACACAGCACCTGAGCCGACCACGGTGCATCAGTCTTCAAGATGCCAACCACGCAATTCAACGTCAAAGAAAAGTATCGTTACCAGAATGGTTTTGGTAGCTATCATGAGTAAGACATTCACGTCGACGTACATGGAATGTGAGGCTGACTTTCTCAGGNNACCGAAGCAGTAGAGGGTGCGTTGCCCGTAGGAACAAACTCACCCCAGAAGCCACCATATGGGCTCTACGCCGAGAAGCTGTCAGGCACAGCGTTCACTGCTCCAAGGCATGAGAACCAGCAGACTTGGCTGTACAGGATCCTACCAGCATCGGCTCACTCGAACTTCGAACCACGAGAACACGCTACGTTCAACACAAACCCAGAGAACCAACCAGGACAGAAGATTCACCAGATCCCTAACCAGCTCAGATGGGACCCCTTCGACCTTGATGAGACGGTAGATTGGATCCACGGCCTCCACTTGGTCGCTGGGGCTGGTGATCCAAGCATGAAAACAGGCGTTGGAATCTACATATTTGCAGCTGGAAAGAACATGGATGCTCATGAAGCTTTCTACAGCGCAGACGGCGACTTCTTGATCGTCCCTCAACATGGCGTGCTAGACATCAGAACCGAGCTCGGAAGGTTACTCGTACGACCGAACGAGATTTGTGTCATCCCAAGAGGTATCAGGTATCGTGTCGAACTCCCAGAAGGTCCGGTTCGAGGTTACATTCTTGAGCTCTACCAAGGACACTTCCAACTGCCAGAACTTGGACCAATTGGATCCAACTGTCTGGCTAATGCGCGAGACTTCCAAGCACCTGTGGCCGACTTTGACGAAGACACGGATTCGCAATGGACATTGATGGCCAAATTTGCTGGACACCTGTTTGCTGCCAAGCAGAGCCACACACCTTTCGATGTAGTTGCCTGGCATGGCCTGTATTATCCCTACAAGTATGACTTGGGTCGTTTCTCTACTATTGGTTCAATCAGCTTCGATCACCCCGATCCGTCCATTTTCACAGTGCTCACGGCACAGAGTGATCATCCTGGTACAGCGGTGGCGGACTTCGTTATTTTCCCTCCTCGATGGTTGGTGCAAGAGGTAAACAGCACGAGCAGAATCGACGCGGGTTCCATGGCTAACATGATACAGGACACATTCAGACCACCGTGGTACCACCGCAATACGATGAGCGAGTTCATGGGCTTGATCCACGGACAGTACGACGCAAAAACAGGAGGTGGTTTCCAGCCAGCAGGAGCATCACTTCACAACGTCATGTCAGCTCATGGACCAGACGCCAGCACTCACGAGAAGGCATCGAACGCCGATCTGAAGCCCATGAAGGTGGGAGAAGGGTCAATGGCATTCATGTTCGAAAGTTGCTTCATGGTCGGTGTGACCGAGTGGGGACTTAAGAAGTGTGCCAAAGTGCAGGAAGACTACAACGAGGAGAGCTGGACACCGCTCAAACCACACTTTAAGCGACCGCAGAAGGAAGTAGGAGAGATCAAGAATGGAGGCGACAGTGAGGAAGGAGCAATTGGGAGCACAAAGCAGGTTCCACATTGGGCGTGATGGGGCAGAATAGGTCAGATAGTGCGTCGCAATGCAACGGTCAAAGCAGTCAGTCTTGGATGTTGTCGGGAGTGGGTGAGGAATGTTCGATGGCGGGCACGCGAGGAAACAGCAGCAAGCAGTGACGGTGCCAAGCGTCCAAGCTTTCGAGGCTCCCGCCCGGGTGTGGAGAGGCTGTGATGCTTCTCCAACATTTGATGATAAAAGAAAGCACCTGTCCCTCGCGCAATCCGCCCATTCCGACCTCTCACCACTCGACAGCCTCCCGAACGCGCCCGACACCTCGTCACCATCACCTCCGACATCCTTCAGAACCGACCTCCCCCTGTCACTGCCTCCAGCCAGGACAGACCGGCAATCAGCCCGCATCACCAAACGAGAAGCAACCAAGACGACGCGCCATGCTCGTGGCCTAAACCTCTCCTACACCAATGCGCATCATCACTCCCGAGAACCTGCATTATCCTATCACCGTCACGAGGCTGCTCCGCAAGCCCCAAGACCAGATCGACTACAATGCGCCCCTGTTCACCTATCAGTACAAGACCAAAGTCCTCGAGGGCGATGAGGAGACGCGCGAGGACAAGCTGGTCGAGCGCATGTGGCCCTCGACCTTCGAGAGCACTGCAGAAGGCACCTTGACCGAATGGCACATCTCACAAGGACGCGTCATAAGCAGGCCTGGGTGAGCGAGCCAATCCCTATTTGACTCAACTATCATCTAACCCACCCCCAGCGTGCCCATCGCCGACGTCGAAGAAGCTTGCAAACACGAGGTGCAGTTCGGAAACCTCTGCGCCGACTGTGGCAAGGACATGACAACCGTTACCTACAACACAGTCACACGCGACACGGCCCGAGCCACTGTCAATGCCGTCCATGGCCACACCTCGCTACTCGTTTCGCGTGCAGAGGCCTCCAAATCGGACGAAGAAGCAAAGCGCCGCCTCCTGTCATCGCGCAAACTCTCGCTTGTTGTCGATCTCGATCAGACCATCATACAAGCCACCGTCGACCCCACTGTCGCAGAATGGCAGAAGGATCCCCAAAATCCAAACTACCCCGCCGTCAAGGACGTCCGCGCTTTCCAGCTTGTAGATGACGGTCCTGGTGCAAGAGGTTGTTGGTACTACATCAAATTGCGCCCCGGCCTTGAGGAATTCCTGTCCACCATCTCAAAGTATTACGAGCTGCACATCTACACAATGGGTACTCGTACCTACGCTCAAAACATCGCCAAAATCGTGGATCCTGATCGCAAGATCTTCGCCGATCGCATCCTCAGCAGAGACGAAAGTGGAAGTCTGACTGTCAAANACCTCAAGCGCCTCTTCCCAGTCGATACAAAGATGGTCGTCATCATTGATGACAGAGGCGACGTCTGGCACTGGTGCCACAACCTCGTCAAGGTTACTCCGTATGACTTCTTTGTTGGCATTGGTGATATTAACTCCAGTTTCCTTCCTAAACGACCTGGCTTGGAGCCTAGACCTTCAAAATCTGCTGCTCCAGATGCGCCGGCCCCTGCGCCTGACTCACAATCCGTCGCAAGCCCACCTGCCGACTCGACGGGGAACAAGGTCTCTGCCATTGATCAGCTGGTATCCATGAGCGGTGGTAACGACCCTACCAAGCTCAAGGAACAGACATCAGAGATGGGAGAAGCCATCACCGCTCAACTCATCGACCGTCCTTTGCTACAGAAGCAGAAAATTCTGGATGCTGCAGATGAAGACAACAACGGTACAAACGAGGCTCCCCTGGAGAACGATGCAACAACTGTACCCGACGCATCCATAGACACACCCAACAAGTACCGCCATAACCTTCTACAAGACAACGATACCGAGCTCGGCTATCTCCAGCGTAGTCTACAATCAGTCCACTCTGCCTTCTTCCAAGAGTATGACCGAAAGACTTCCGGGCCCAAAGATGGCCGCGTTGCCGAACTGCGTGCTGGTCCTGATGTCAAGGCCACATCGGACAAACTCGACAGTCTTCCTGACGTGACAAGTATAATGGCAGCTATGAAGTTGAAGGTCCTGAAGGGTGTACACCTCGTTTTTTCCGGAGTCATGCCGTTAGGAGTTCAAGTTCAGAAGTAAGTGCGACGAACGATTGTTTAACATATGAAAGCTAACGTGCGTTATAGTCACGATTTTGCAATCTGGGCAAAGAGCTTCGGTGCGATAGTGACTGAGAACATCACCAAGCGTACCTCTCATGTAATCTCTTCGCCATTACGGAAGACGGCCAAAGTCCGACAAGCCGCGAAAAAAGCCGACAAGATCAAGATTGTGTCTCAAGATTGGCTGTTTGCCTGTCTGGTGCAATGGGAAAAGGTTGACGAAGCTCCTTTCCGCTTGCATCAGGACCTGGAGAACGAGCCAAACGAGCCAGTCGTCAATGGCCAGGGTTCGCCTTTCGATGGTCCTGACCAGAACGCCCAGTTGTCGTCTTCCGATGAAGAGGCCGCCGTCACTGAAGAAGAGGATGCTGGCGAGACCGATGCTACCGGAAACGATACCGACGCACAAGAGCAGGCCGAACTCGAACGTTACATGCCCAGTCTGCCACGTGAAGCAAGCTCCATGGAAACCTCTGCCGACCTGGCCGACTGGGATGCTGAGCTTGAGGAGTTCTTGGGTGACGAGCTCGACAGTGAAAGCGAAGCAGGTAACAACCAGTCAGATACGGATGACACAGAATCACAGCCCTCCAGTGCTAAGAAGAGAAAGAGAGGCGAGGAGGGGCAGTCTACAGATGACGAGAGCGACTCCAGCCAGATGGGCACCAGTAGACTCGAACGAAGGAAGAGAAAGGCGCTCGCCAGAACAACGAGTCTTGCTAGCGTCTCTGCAGTTGATGACGCATCGAGGGTCAAGGCCGAAGCCCAGACCAGTGCGCCTCAGCAAGACACTCCCGCAGGCACCAAAGTCGATATCGTCGACGAGGAAGAAGACGATCTTGAGGCTCAGATGGAAGCGGAAATGCTGAGACAAGCCGAAGAGGAAGGATACGCATGATTTGGGGTTCTCTCTTCTAGGATTGCTTGAACACTATAGGCATAGCAAGGCGTTTTTGGCGAAGATCCTGGAGATGCATAAGGGAAGTAAAGGATTTGGCGCATGTAGGACTATCTCCTCAGCAGAATATCAGTCCACGCACACACTGTTATATGCCTATTTGATGATATGATCAGTAGATGGGTTACAAATCACAAGGTCTCACCTCATATTTGTCCGCTGTCGAAGTTCCCTCACAATAAAGAAACTCTTGGTGAAGCACTCCAAATTGTCAAAGCAGTTGTTTGCACTTTGCTCGATGGCCTTGGCTGTCATGTACAATCAATTGAAGCTGGCTTGTTGCTAGTACCAGGGAATAAATATAAGCTATCGTAAAGCATTTCTGTGTTTGAGCCATGTCTCCCTCGATTGCTAGTTCTCGACCCGAGTAAGCCGCAGTCTCAGCATCTGTCGGTCAAATCAATTCGGCCAGATCGGGATCGTCTCCAGCAAGGTTGTCAGCAACAACTTGATCGTCTCCTCCATGGGTCTCATACCATGTCGTCATCCTCTTCCTCATCCATGTAGCTTGCGTAATCTCTGATCGGCATCTTTGGTCGTCTGCTCAGCTCATAGTCCAGAACATCACTTCTGGGCTCGATATACTGTCTTGGGGTCCAGCTAACTGGCACTGCTGTTGCTTCTTCTCTGCCATCGGCATTGAGCAGAGTTGAGCGGAGGAAGATGAGCTGATTATTGCTGTCTTGACGGCTAGGGATCTTGTCCGAGACACCAAATGCGACGAGATTGAGGCAGGAAGTCGTGAAGGGGGCGTAGGAGAATAGTTGGCTAGACTGCCATCGAAGCATCTCGGAATACAAGGATTTCTCCAAATTGGCTTTAAGAGGTGAGCTCGTAGGGAATGTGCTTATGTGCAAAGTGACAAGACGAGGTAGCGAACGGATGCTAAACTGGTACGTATCCCAAGAGGGGCTGTTAGTCCTCAGGATACTTGAAGCAGGCCAAGCGCAGCTGATTTGACGTAATTTGGTCACACTCGAACAGAGACGCTGGAAATCGTCGCTCGCCCAGACGAGCTCATCGATCATGTTTTCTGAGGCGTGTACGAGAAGTACGTCTAGCGTTTTGCCATGTTTGATGATTCCGTCTACATTTGGCATAGATTTCACGCTTGTCAGATCGATGTATAGGTCCTCAATTCCCTCAACAAGACACAAGAAGTCGTCAACGGCTGTTAGAGCGTCGTTGTCCGAATTGTCGTTGTGTTGAATCTCCAGGCAGCGTAGCTTGCGAGGGAGATAGGCACTCTTACAGAGCAGCGACAGCAATGCATCTGCTCCGGAGCATTTGGCGATCCGCAATGCTTCGATTTGCGTGAAGTTGATGAAGCGGCCATATGTTTCTGCGCAGTGTCGGAGACCAACGTCTACCAGACGTAGAGAGCGGAGATGGGCAAANGGTGGATTAGCAATCTTGTCGAACGGAAGGAGATGACGAAACATGGTCCTGTTTACCAGTCCCGGTCCTGTAGGGCTGTCGTTGAGCTCTCTTGTGGTATAATGAATGGGACCGTGGGCGAAGTTGGTGTGCACGATTAATTCTGTCAAAGTCGACATCTTGGAGAGTATAAACTGGCCGAGTTCTAGAGTTGGCAGAGAATCGGGATAGATGGCAAGCTTTTTACAGTTGTTGTAGAGATCCGCGTGCTCACTTGACTTGGCCTCAAGCTTCTCAACAGCGTCTACTCCATCGAGTCTGAAGGCAGTAAGCCACTGCAGTCGCTTCTGGCGATCAAGGAGGATGAGGAAAGTTTCTTGATCAAAGGCAAGCCACGGAGACCACTCAAAGTCTTCAAGAACGTTCTCGGGCAAGAAGTCGATGAGCATGCGGACGACGGTTTGGAGACGTGAGTTATCGGCTTCGGAAAGGTCGGCGTGCTGGGGAGTGAAATGGATATTGAGGATTCTGATTTGCTTTAATCCGGCATTTCCAGGATGCAGCATAGCGCTTAACCTCAAATCTGATCGTTTACCAATCTCGAGGCTCACAGTATGGTAGAGCTCCTTGACAGCGACATCGTAAAGTCGCTTCGATGTGCGGCAGAGTGCTTTGAGGTCTGATGGTCGAGAGATCTCAGGCCGGTCAGTACTNTGTGTCATGTGAGGACTCACGAGCAATGAACTCACATGTTTGACAATGCTGGCTTGTAGTTCTGGGACAAGCTCATTGAGATTCAGAATTCGGGGTCGATCGTTGTTTCTGTGGTCAGAGTGCCCAATTTCGGTCGGCTTGGTGACTTCCGCTTTTGGTGGCAGTGGGGCCTCATCCTGACCAGCCATGTTGCCTGGAGAGGANGAAAGGTCGATACGAGTTGTAAAGGTAGTTAGAGGGGAGTTCGTCGTTGAATTATTCCGAGGACCAGGTCGAGAACCAAATAGGTTGTGTTTCTCGAGGACCGAGGCGCGCGCTTTGGTTGGGTTGGTGATCAGTTATTGCAGCCTTGTGTATGCAAGAGGCGCAAGCTGCATCGAGTCGATCGGCTCAGCGGTACTTTGCGTATGGAGACCGAGCGACGAACGACAACCACTCGATCTGAGTGAAGCAGCAAACAGTGAACCAATGTCTTTTAGCCGTGTCTTAAGTCAGTCGAAAACTATCCTCGTATCAACCCTTTACCTAGCTGGCTTTCACTTCTGAGCTCTCTATCTCACGGCTAAGGATTGGCATTCTTCAGAATTCGATGATTTGTTTGTACTGAAACCACGGTGGGCGCAATCGAAAATTCAGTAGATCAAGGAATCGTTTTGACCTTTCGCCCGCTTGGGACGCTTGACCAGCGTCGATGGCTTCCCTTTCCACTGCCACAGCTCTCAGATGCCAGAAACAAGAGACGCTACTGGTCAATTGCAAGCTGACCTCTCTCGTCTAGATCTCTTTGTGCTAGAAAGGCTAAGTCGCTTTGGTGGATTTGCTGCAAGAGACTTGTCAATACTCGAGATGAAACTGAAACAAACAAAAGGACAGATTATAGCAGTAAGTTCTCCAAGTGTATGCAGTGATTGTGAGAATTCTCTGCAATACAAGAGCTCGTTATGACCGCACATTACTGCGTACTCCCTGAACAGGCTTCCGAGCTCTGAAACTGACAATTCTCTATCAGAGGGAATATCAGGGTGGACATACTCTCGTTCAGGGCAGTGGCAAGAAACCCCTTCGAACATGTCGATCAGCTTCCAGACATACTGGAACTGGGGGCGAAGACACACTCAGCCACGACTGATATGAACCATACATGATTCAAAATCTGAAGCCTTGGTCTTAGATGGAGATCTCTCTGATGATCGTATAGGCCAAAGACACAAATCGAACAGATCCAGTGTTTGTCGGGTGAGCGTAGTATTCGACAGTCGGGTCCAGCCCGTTGGTAAGACGGAAAGGAGAAGGCAAACATCCCATCGCTCGAGCGGACCTCACCTGCACGAACAATGCCTGTGCTTCTGTGACAATCTGATGTCTTAGATTGACATCGAGGGTGTTGTACTAAGAACGGATCTCCGTGTTCAGAAAGTGCTGAGCAATGTACTTCCAGAGACATCAGTCTTTCAGGCAGGCAGACTGTGATCAGAGAGCGTGTAGATCAGCCACTCCCCAATGGATAGGCGCCATTGCTGACAGTGGCTGTTTATAGGATCGTCCCCATGGGGACTCCCCTGGATGTGACAGCTGGAAATATACTAGAGAATGCGATGACAGCGTTTCTGATTGGCTGCGCTTCCGAGTGTTCCGAAGCTAGCTGGCTAGTGTGGCCTTTGCTTGCTTCCTTATGTGCTGCTTTCTGTTCATCTTTTCTTTCCTATTGTACTCCAATCGACATTCCGGTAAGTGGTGAACTTGACTTACTTGACGTGGCGTCGTCAATACTGATAATGTAGGGAGGCTTCAGAGGCAAAGCCAAGATCACCCCTACGCCTTGAGTGTTTCATCGTCCGGAGCACTCCTGTGGCTGGCAGGACTGTGCTGAGTCAAGGTGAGATTGGCCTATGAGGCCAGGCAGTTGGCGCTGTAGTTTCAGCCGTCATCTTCGGAGGGGGGAGATTAAATGTGGTGCAATCTAACAAACCTCCTGTACTGGTCGTGTCCAACGGTACCAGAAACGGCCAACTACATGCCGCCAAACCATACCATGCTCATCAAAGCCAAGTCATACTGCGCGTAAGTCGAACGACTGAGGTACAGGTTCTATTTTCATCTCTTGGTTCGTTTCATTCGTCGTTGGCGTTCAAAATACCCCGGACAGCTGTGTTTGTCTTCCGGCACCTTCTTTTACGTCCCTGTCCCTTGCATCCACGGCTTCTTGAATTGTCTCAAATCCTCGCAAACTCTCTCACGCGCATCTGATACCCACGCTCTCTACCTTCCATTCTCCTGCTACCATTTTCATCATGCCTTCCTTCATCAAGACTGTTGCCGCCATTGCTGTGCTGGCCACTGCCGTGACCGCTCAGTCCGACACCACGCCTGTTACAGGCAAGCTGGGCAACGCCACTGTCCAGAAGAACAACCCTGCCGGTGTTGCCTACATCGCGAGCCTCAGCCCCACCAGCAAGAGCAACATCTCGGGCAATGTGCTCGCTCTCACCAGCTCCGACATGGTCGGTGTTAACTTCCAGATCGCACTGACCGGTCTGCCCTCCGAGGGTGGTCCTTTCTGTATGTTGCAGATTCCGCGCCAACGTATATGCCTATTGCTAATCGAGGATCCCAGTGTACCACATCCACGACTACCCCGTCCCTTCCGATGGCAACTGCACTAGCACCGGAGCACATGTGGATCCTTTCTTGCGCGGAGAGGCTCCTACCTGTGATGCTTCTTCCCCGCTACCTGCCAGGTCGGCGATCTGTCCGGCAAGCACGGAAAGCCCACCAATATGACCTTCTCTGCCACGTAAGATGCTCACGTCAACACTAGCAATTCACGTACCACTGACACGAACGACAGCTACGTTGACCAGTACGTCTCGACCGTTCCCGGCGATGGCGCCTTCATGGGCAACCGCAGCATCGTGATCCACTTGCCAACAAGACCCGCATTGCTTGCGCCAACTTCATGGACTACACCAACGGCACCGCCGGCGCCAACGTGTCGACCTCGACCAACGGATCCTCGGTTGCCTCTGGCTCGTCCACTCGCTCCAGCTCTTCCCAGACCGGCTCTGCTACAGGCAGCAGCGGTTCCAAGACCAACGGTGCTGCCAGCTCGACCTCAAGCGCTGCTGTTAGCACTGGCGCCGCTTCTCAGATCATGGCCAATGGCGCTCTTGCTGCTGTCCTCGGTGGTATTGCTGCCTTTGCCCTCTAAGGGAGGATCGACCTCTTCGGACCAAATGGCGTTTTGAATTGCGTGCGTCTTTTCTGTAATTCTAATTTATCCTGAGCGACAGGCTCTTTAGCTACTTCATGGCTTTTGAATCCGACAGTGTTTCTGGCTGATCGTTGGTCGAGAATGAAAATTGCTCCTTTCCATCACTCCACCCCACATACTCTTCTTCAAGGTTGTTGTTCACATCTCGTTCCCCGGCGTGCTTAGTCTGGTTACATACTGTAGAATCTGGTTTCAACCGGCATGCCGATAAAGCATTTTCTTCAATCTAAGAAAACTGATCCCGGCCGGTGTATGCAAGGGTCGGTATCGAGAGAACCTTCGATCCGGCCCCCGTCTGTACGGCCCTCCACAACAAATTGTAGTCTACCGACCAAAACATGGAGTTATATGTGTACATTTGTAATCAGAACTCTGATAACCAGCATATAAAGGCATATGCTAGGCAAATATGTTAGTTTTGGCTTAGAAACACTTCGAATTTTATGGCTATAAACATATGTATCTATAAATCTAATTTACACGTGATAATATCACCTTGTTGTTGCCGCCGCTACTTATATGTGCTAGACCAGGGTCGTACCTACAGCCGTGGTTATTATCGAGTTATACATATTGTGCACCTTACGCATGCCAAGCTCATCTATGTCGCAGAACCTGCCGTTATACGAGGTAGAGGTACTGTTGTCTGATAGCTGACTGACCCTGGCCGATATAGACGGGGGCCGGTGTTCTGGAGAGGGCCGGTGTTCTGGAGAGGGCCGGTGTCCTGGAGAGGGCCGGTTGAAACGAGATTCGTCTATGTATGACTTCCTCGACTTCCTTGCGCAGCGCACGTCGCACATCGCACATCGCAATGTATTGAGCTAGAGTAAGAGCAAAGCTCGCTTTGTCAGTGATCACTGTCTGTTCTCTAACATTATTTGAAAGTAACTGTGCATCCACATGGAGTAGTTCTTTCTTGGTCAGTTCACTTCCCCTACGAAATCCGCGCCAAATCTGACCGATCGTTTCAAACACGATTGCACAACAACCACACACTCAATCCTTACGTTTCAGACAGCTTTTTGATCAGAATTCAACGCTGACTCGTCTATCAGAACCTATATCACGATTCACATTTGGAGTATTGCGACAAAACTCCAGAATTGGATCCATTTATTTCTTGATCTTTTTGGCATCTGAACTCCTGCCATTGCGCGTACCACTACGCCCGCAGTTCTCCTCTGCATTCTTATAACAAATTCCTCCAGCATATGGGGGTTTTGACCGGAGTAATCAAGATTTTCACGGTACTGGTATGTATCTACATATCTTTCTAGCCCAGTTCTCTCTACCAGCATTTTTTTAAGCCTCTTCTTGCACTTTATCCATTTCTTGCTAGAGCATATAACAGAACCATCTAGGTCTATAGTCAAGCCTAGCTATAAACCACACTGCAAGTGCTTCTTATCTGTTGTAAGTGCCAGTATAAGCTATGATCTTCAGATCAGTCCAAGAATCAAAAAGTCCTCTTTCGTGAGTGTTTAACCATGGAACACACATACAATCATCTTGTGAATTCACACAGTGGCCCACCCTCGCGCGCAAGTCCCTGTTATGTTAAGTGAGTCCGTTTTTACTAACAAAATTGCATAAGTGACCGCTTCGCGAAGCTTCCAGTAATCATTGACTTGAGCTGGCCTGGATCTTGTTCTAACGTTGCCCTTGGATTGCTATGGTCGGGGGGGCGGCCCAGATCAAGTGGCTTGCTCCCGGGTCGTCTATCGGTTTCGTATACTTGCAACACGATTTTCAACATGTCACGGTTTGTGAGACGGCGACCTTTGCCCGTGAAATTACTGAACACCTTTCGTATGACTCGTCGCCGTGTGCGAGTTTATCGAACACGATCGTGGGCTCTGGATTAGATTGCTCAAAAGTGACTCCTCCGTACGCGCACTTGCGCATGCGAGAGAGTTTGTCGGAATGAGAACCAAGAACGGCTAGCGGGGGTTTGTACACGTGACCGGGTGAATTTATGCAAAATTTGTGTTCATCTGGATCGACATCATAAAATCGCTGCTCTATTGCACGTTCTCTACCTTCCAGACCTTCACAGCAGCATCAGCTCCAGAGCTGATGACCTTCGATAAGNNCTCAGTCCAAGCGATACCGCCCACGCCATCCTTGTGGGCGTTCATAGCCTTCACGCGCTTGCCTGGGTCTGCGAGACTCCAGACGAAGATGTTTGTGTCGAGACCACCACTTGCGGCCTTTTCATCGTCAGGAGACCAGGTGATGCAAGTGACGCGGGCGGTGTGGGCAGACCAGCGGTTAGTGGTCAAGGTCCATTCTGACGGCGAGGACGAGGTGTATGCATAGATCTTGCCGTTGCTGAGACCGACGGCGAGACGACACGTCGAAGCAGAGGAGAAGGCAAGAGTCGAGATGGCAGCTGTAGCATCCTTGATCTCGGCAGCAGCAGATAGCGAGTTGCCCGAAAGAGTGTAGATGCGGACAATCTTGTCCTCTGCGCCGACGGCGACGATATCGCCCTTAGCAGCAATGCTGGTGGGTGTGAATGAGACTGCCAGAGATCCGACTTGTTCAGCGTCATTGTAGAGGGTGATGGCAGAGTTGGTGGCCACCAATGTTACAGGCTTCGAGCCCGAGGAAGCGACGGCGACGCTCTTAGGCTGGCCATCGGTCTTGCTAGAGGAGCCGGTGAAGGAACGTGTAGAGGCGTCAATGGTTCTCAGAGTGTCATCCCATGAGACTGAGTAGATGCGGCCATCGCTTTGTGATGGTGCGAAAGCGCTGACATAGTTCTTCGGCGCCTCGCCATCGACGTTCTTAGCCTCTGCGGTAGACAAGTCCCAAGCACGTACACGGCCATCGTAACTTCCGGTCCATAGGGTCTTCTTTCCGGGTGTGTATCCAGCAGCAGTGATTGCCTTTTGGTGGCCGTGGACGACACGGACAGGTTTGTCGTTGCCTTCTTGCAAATAGTTGAGGTTGCCATCCAGATCAACACTGATGACAAGCCCATCACTACGTCCACTGGGCCAGGTGACACCAACTTGTTGGTTGGCAATGCTCACCGAGCCCTCCTCGCCCATTCGCCAAGTCTGGACACATTTGGCAGCCTCGACATCCCAGATCTTGACAGTCTGATCGGCACTAGCAGTAACGAGCTTCTTCGAGTCCTTAGCCCATGAAACGCCAAAGATGCTGCCCTTGTGCTCGCCTTCGCCAATCTGGTTCTTGGCCTCGCCAGTCTTGCCGTCGTATAACCAGATGCGCCTGTCGCTACCGACACTGACCAGAGAAGCACCGTCCGGGCTGAATGCAGTTCCGTAGATGAACTTGTCGTGCTTTCCGCGAAGACTGGTGTTGAACTTGAAGGGAGCGCCGTGGTAAAAGACCAGGCTGGTGTCGTCGGAGCCAGTGGCAGCACGCAGAGGACGTTGCTGACGGATGGATACAGAGTTGATCTGAGAGCTGTGTCCTGAGATCTCTCCCACACTGTTTCCGCTATCGGCCGTGATGCAGTGGCCGAAGCGCTCTTTGCCGTCTCCCACAGCGATGATGCGCTGCGAATCGCCGTCCCAGGCAATGTCGTTGATACGGCCAGCAATGATGTGATATTCGCCCTTGGTGGCTCCCTCACCCTTACAGTCCCACACACGTACAGTGCCGGAGACATCACCACTGGCTACGTAGAAGCCACTAGGGGAGAAANNACGAGCGACGGTGGTTTGAGTAACATGGTCGGTGTACTGTCTTGCGATACTGGGGTCGTCGATGTTGCGGACAAAGATGGATTTGTTTGCGGCATATGCTATCGACTGGCCATCGGAGCTTGAACTAAGGGGAGTCGATTGACCTCGAGTTGTCGACGGCGAGGCCGCCCAGATGCCGTCTGTTGGCTTCTTTGTTAGCTACTTGTCTCCAGAGAAGCGACTGCAGCACCACACTCACCTGCTGTAATCGACATGCTGTCTATGTGACGAGAGTGTTCGTGAGAGGTTCTGTTTACACCAGAGCTTCCACTTGCTGGCCATTGTCCCGCCGAAACACACCGTCATCGCTTGGCGTTTACCCGTGGGGTACTTTAGCCTCAGGGTGCTCAGGGGGGGACTCATGAACTCGATCGAGACCGACTATTGAATCTCGAAACATACCTACGAGTAGCTACTCGCCTGCCAAAGCGCATAGTAACTATCGAGTCCTCGACGTCTACGGATATGCCTGCATATAACTTATATATCTGACCGAGCCAGTAATTACATGGATATATATTTGAGCATAGCCTGTACATATCGATGTGCATGGACGAATTTCTGCCAGAGTTGGAACAAGCATAGTGACCCCCAACCACGACATACAACCCTTTCAGAGACGAGGCTTTCTACAAGGAGTGTTCAATGTATCCTGACGTCTCTGAAACCTCAACTGCGGCACCTTGGGTAGCTTCATTGGACGGTTGTCAGATGTTGAGCAGGGTCATACCAAAAGCATCTAAGCCTTGGACGTGGAGAGAGCACCTGCCGCTAAGGATCGGCTCCGACACCCATCGCACAACTACACTGTCAGCCTTCGGCATGGTTGTTTTCGTGATACCAACGACTTTGTATGGTAGCTCCTAGACCTTGTTGCAATCACACGAGCGGTGATTGCGAGTCGCCAACGTACTCGAGTGCGTGAAGTGTTGCGCGGAGTTTCTCCGAGTTTGGCAGGCAGCTCCGCTTTGTGCTCACATTGAGGTTCAACACTCTCAGCGAGCAGCCCAGCACCTGACAGGCCAAGGCGCATAGAGTGAGTGGCAAAAGCAGGTACTGTACCTGCACGTCGTTGACCCGAAGCTCGCGAGTTCAACCACCACCGCCCGCCGCCGTCGCCGCCATCGACGTCAAACTCTAAAAAGCAGCGCCGCCCAACGCGCGTCCCCCTTGCCCAGACCAGTCTCGATATTCAGCGCTGTTGTTCCTGGATCCCACCAGTGCCATGCTGTCATTAGCGCGATCCTGTTGCATGGGGGAGGTGGTGGTGCCTTTTTCGCTGCCAAAACAGGCATGGCCACCGATGGCTGTGCTGATCAAAACACGAGAGCAACGGGATCTTTTTTTTCGTTGTGTGGTTGTGGATGCATGTTTGATCGGTGGGAAAGTAGTTGCAGGATCGTTCCTTCTTGTCGTGTAGCATTTATTAATCCAGTGCCGTACATCTCGTCTCATCGCATTCGCTCCATCCTGCTATCTGTACATCTTTCCTACAGTACAAAGATTCGTCTCCCATCAAACCACAATCACAGCCAAAATGCAGTTCAAGTCCCTCGCCGTCTTCACCCTCTCTGCTGGAGCCCTCGCTGCTCCCGAGAAGAGACAGGCCACTGATGCCAACCTGTAAGAGTCGCAAATCCAGCATGCCACCACTTCATATACTGACATGCGCAGTGCCTCCATCTACCAGGTCCTTCAGACTGCTGTTCCTACCTCGATCGCCCTTGAGTTCCTGACCAACTCTGCTGGTGTCTTCTCGTCCGTCTCGTCTGAACTGGCCGCCAGCTCGACTCCTTCCTGGATCGCTGCTCTTCCCACCGATGTTCAGTCATACCTTGTCGGTGTTGCCCAGACTCCCTCTGTAGCCAGCTCGGCCGTCGCAAACGCCACTTCGGCTGCTGCTTCCGCCGTCACAACCGCCCCAGTTGTCATCGCAAGCAACGGCACAGCCGTCGCCAACCAGACTGCTCCCGCTGTCATCGCAAACAACGGCACAGCCTTCATCAACGGCACTGTCCCTGCCACCATTGCACAGAATGGTACTGCCATCATCAACGGTACCACTCTTGGTAATGGAACCGTCATCGTCAATGGCACTGCTATCGCCAACGGCTCGGCCATTGTGACCGGATCTACTTCTCGCTCTGCTGGCTCGTCTTCCTCCACCGGCAGTTCTGGCTCTGGTTCTTCGGGATCCAGCTCTCGTGGCTCTTCTGGCTCGGCTTCTGGCGCTTCTGGCGCCTCTTCCACTCCACTGGAGGCGCATCTCTCCCTACTGCTCTTGGTATGGGTCTTGCTGGTGCTGTCGGCCTCGTCGGTGTCTTCGTCCTCTAAGTCAACCCGGCTTCTTGTATCTGAGCATATGATTCGAATGGTCCCCGTTAATGGCGTAAGGCGTAGATCAGGGCCTTCGCACGGGAGATTGTATCAAAAGTTTAGACTAAGCTTCTTGTAATGTCACATATCACCCGTTATCATACCTATTCTAAGACGCATAATCACCTCCAAGCTTCGTTGACACCTGTGACGATATGCGTATGTAGTCTGATCCAGCATTGTTCGAGTTGTTCAAGACGTTCTCAGTATCGGTTGATAGGAATGCGCTAAATTGTTGTCGTATCCATGATCGTCGTGACAGCGGTACTGTCAATCTAAAAGACGGGATGTGTAGTCGTATGCAGTTGAGCAACTCCAAGTGGTGTTAGCCGAGGTAATTGACGTCACCAACTTTCTCGAATATGACAACCTTGATGAACACCTCGACTCTTTGACTCCATACACAACTATCTTCTGAAGCCAACATGATGTCGAAATTGCCAAAGAGTGTCTCTACTGCCACATCGCGCTTGGCGCAGGTGTCTCAACAGTTCTCGTCCCAAGCTCCGCTCAGACAACAGCAAGCAAGAATGGCTCATAAAGGTACTATGCACAAGTTGAACACTGGGTAAGTGTTTGCTCCAGGTCGAGAGATCATACCTTGACTGTGTCGATGCCCAAACATCATGCATTGGACTGTAAGCCGTGCATTGAGAAGACTTGGTCGCTGACAGCTATCGTAGAGCAAGCATTCCGGCACTCGGATTCGGAACTTGGCAAGATAAAGAAGCACAAGAGCCAGCAGTAGTTGCTGCTCTTCAGGCTGGTGTGAGACACATCGATACAGCAGCTGTATATGGTACTGAGCCTGCTGTTGGCTCTGCGATCAAGAAGTCTGGTGTTCCCCGTTCTGAGATCTTCCTTGTCACCAAAATATGGAACAATTCGCATGCTCCTGAAGATGTCGAGGCTGCTCTTGATACGTCTCTTTCAAACCTTGGAACCGACTATGTTGATCTCTGGTACGTATACAAGGGTACAGCTAGCACAAGTCAACAGCTACCAGATGATGTTTCAACTTCTGTCTCAGAAGATCAAGATCCAGACATCACGCTGCCGAATTCCTTCTCGAGCAACATCGGATGGTATCTTGCAATATGACACGGCAGATACTGGTGTTTGCTGCGACTTGTGATAGCATACCGTTACTCGGACAGAAAACATGCTGATTTTAACCTTACATTTAGGTTGATGCATTGGCCGTCCGCCTTTGCCAGTGGTTCGTCGCTCTTCCCGAAAGACTCGAATGGAAAGGTCAAGGCTGGAAGCTCGGATTACGTCGAGACCTACAAGGCAATGGAAAAGCTCTACAAGTCTGGCAAAGCAAGAGCTATTGGCGTCTCGAATTTCAGCAAGGCTGAGATGGAAAGACTGATTAAGGAGACCAGCGTCGTTCCAGCAGTTCATCAACTTGAGCTCCATCCTTACTTGCAACAGCACGAGTTTGCTGAATGGCACAGGTCTCAGGGTATCCACGTCACCCAATACTCGCCTTTTGGCAACAGCAATGAAGTTGTGAGTACATTGATTGCTCGAGTACCATAATCTGATATTCTTCGGATGTTTGTGGTGCTTCTTACAACGCAATTGAGCTAATCAGGTCTCCTTATTAGTACTCCAAAGGCCAGAACTTGAGCAAGCTGATTGAAGATCCAACTCTGGTCGAAGTGGGAAAGAAATACGGCAAGTCTGGAGCGCAAGTAGCGTTGGCTTGGGGTATTGCTCATGGCCGCAGTGTCATTCCCAAGAGTAAGACTCCTGCGAGAATCCAACAGAATGTCGAAGGAGACTTCGAACTGTCTGCAGAAGATGTCAAAAGGTGGACGCAATCGACAGAAAGTTGCGCTTCAACGATCCAAGTGCAAACTTTGGATGGAACTTCTACCAGGATCTGGATGGAAAGGAGGCTTAAGTCGTCGATGTTGGAGAGGGTAGGCTCGAAGAAACTGTTTTTGTGGACGGGCCATGCAGTATATCGCGAGTTACAATCGCTACCAAACACAGACAGATTCTTACATCCTCGAGTCGTGCTGGCGTACTGGCCTTGAATTGGTTAACTTATTGCCGGTTGATATTCCAGCATGTAATGAACTTCATATGAATTGTCCAACGTGGCTGCTGCGAACCAGATATAACGAGTAATGGATCGCTTATTGCTGTTTATACTCAAATTTGGAGCAAGAATGTATGACTGTGCCGCAAAGGGCTTGCCCTGCAGAGCTCGATGCAAGGACAAATGTGTACCTAGAACGTCTGGCTCGCAGCATAGTTCGCGAGAGAGACGGTCAAGAAGCTCGTTGTCTACAATGACATCGGATCGAGAACGCCTACACGTTCTTTCGGACGCGTTGTCTCGAGGTCCCCGGTCTCGAAGGCTTGCTAGTCAGGGGTAGAAAGAAACAGGGTGGAACAAGGGTCGGCCAATGACGAGTGGCGTCCCTGGCGCGGCCCGGAAATCATGGCGGCTCCATTGGAGATCATGGGTGGACGCGCTCATGATGATCACTGCACTGCAGCTCTTGATGTCGAAATTGCTTGTGCCATTTGGCGCTGGAGAAGCAATGGGGCAGACAGAGAAAAAATTGTCTTTCGCTTGCATTGTAGAAAACCGACGATAGAGGCAGTTGTTGGAAGCTCCTTCTTCCAACCTCGCTCAGCCCTTGCCGAAACCTAAATCACCATCTTACCCCTGGAACCGTTGACGACACGCTTGACGACCAGAGTCTGGCATTTTCTCAATCAGCCGGCTCCCTTGCAATGCGATTTGGAGGAGGTTAACCTGAGCACACAATGGCAGACGATGGTTGGCATTTCCCGGACGGCGCAAATGAGACTGTGCAATCTCACGGTCGGTCAAAGCTGGCTTTGATTGAGCCTGTCAGCGTGCCCTCCTTTTCATCATTCAGGAAGCGAACCTCGCAGATCCCACTGGCGATAGCCTCGTCGCCTGTAAGGAGGAAGCCCGTGCCAGATAAACCTTCACCTAGAGCCGTTTCCTTCTCCTACATAGCCTCTCCGTCCCAGCCCCACGATGCTGCTCTGCGAACGAGGCATTCTTCTCTAGACCAGTCGTCGCTGCTGCAGGAAACGGCTTTAACGGACGTTAACGTGCCCCTTCGCGCGTCAGAACAACAGAGTCACCAAGACCAAGCTCCGTCTCCGGTCCTGCCANAAGTATGTTGACGCCCCGTTGGATAGGGGATAGCATTTACCTTAATGTCGCGTGCATGGCTGACTCTGTGTTAAAGGGATACCTCGAGTCCTGTACATCTCCCACCCGTTTCGTCTCTCGCTCTCTCCCCTCCCGGTGCACAACGTCGCAGCATAATCGACAGTCGTTTGCCGCTGCCGTTGAGATATGATAAGACAACCGCTCCCGGCCACCACACAAATTCTAGCCTGTCGAGTCAGACGTCAGTCCCAGCCTCTCCTCGCAGAGGTCGCTCTTCTACCATGAGTGTCCCCATCCACGCCCCTGCCATGACCGTGCAGCTCGACGGCATACCCAGGTCATTCACCGACGAGTCCACCGAGTCCTTCGCCTCGTCGTCACCCCAAAGGAGATCCAAATCACCAGGCCGCAAGCTAGGCTCCTTCTTCGGCTGGAAGTCGTCTTCTCCCAACCTAGAAGCACACTCACCAGCGACATCCTTCTCCGACGTGTCTGCCTCACCAGCCCACTCTCGCAACACTAGTCACATCGATGCTACACCTACAAACATGGGCCTCACACCACCCGCACTCGATTTCCACAGCCACCACCGCGGCGGCTCCCAATCGCAATACTTCGATCTCGCCAATGGCCATCCCATGTCCGGTTCGTCAACCATGAACGCTCATGTAGAGGAGCTGGAACGCGAGCTCCAGCAAGTGAGTTCGGAACTTGCTGGTTCCATTCGCCGGGAAATGGAGCTTGAGGACGAGATTGATCGCTTCCGCAACGAGATGCCTGCTGGCACCAGCGAGCTTGGCCGAAGAACAAGCGACTACTTCTCCGATTCTGGTACCAGCTCTCTCAGATATCCCCTCGTCGACAGCGAAGCCAAAATAGACGAACTAGAGCGTCTCAAGAGAAAGGCAGAACAAGAGAAAGCACAGATGCAGGTCGACTACGCTCAGAAGCTTTCCGACGAGCTGAAGTTGAGGAAAAGCTTGGAGACACAAATTCAACAGCTTGAAGAGCAATTACATCACAACCAGGATGGCGCACCTCTGGAAGGAGGGCACAAAGACGAACGGGTTCGCGAACTCGAGGTCTTCCTCGACGAGACTCGTCGTCGCCTAAGTCAAGAGCGCCAGTCGAAGGACAATTTCGAGGACCTTTTCGCCGCTCTCAAGGACGAGAGCGAGAAGCATCGCAACGAGCGCGACAACCTTCGTGACGAAGTCGTTCCTGAGCTCAAGGCCAGAGTCGAGGGTCTTGAAGCTGAAGCCGCGGAGATGCAGTCACTTCGTTATGAGAATGCTGGCATGCAACAACAGCTTCAGGCTCTTCGTGCCGAAGTTCAAATGCTTCAGGAAGCACAAGACAGAGACTCTGGGTTCAACGACGATGTTTTCGCCCCGCCGCGATTCCCCAAAGCAGGCTTGTCACGATCCAACTCCTTGGCTAGACCCTCTTCGAACGGCAATCTTCGCCGAAGCAACTCCCTCGCAAGATCTGGCTCGGTCAGAGAGCGCAGTGAGACTCGTCCACGATCCGACTCGACTTCTGGCGACCGCCATAAAGACATCGAGGACCAACGTGATGCGCTGCACCAGGCTCTCAAGAACCTTTTACGCAGATACGAAAGCGAGAAGCGCGAGCACGCAAAGGTCATGCGCAAGCTGACCACTGATCGCGATCGTGCTAGAAATGAGATCACTGGCAGGACTCCCTTCACACGTGAAGTGAATCTTGTCCGTTACGAGATTGGTGAGCTTAGAAAGCGTGCTGACGATGCTCTCGAACAAAAGTGGCAATGCGAAAGCAACATTGGCGGTGTTAAGATGGCTCTTGACAGAGCGCAGCAAGAGACGCAGTCTATGCGTGAATATCTCAACGGCCGAACCGTGAGCGGATCTTCTCGCAAGTCTACTTTTGAGGGACTTGGCATTGAAATTGCCGACGAGAACATCGAGCTTGGAGAGGAAGATCGCAAGACCATGATCAAGGTTCTTAGACAGAGTATCGCTCTGGCTGAAACAGAACGCGATGCTGCCCTCCGTGAGGCAGAGGAGTACCGCCAGAAGGCTTACATGCTTCAACAATCCGAGGATGAGCACATCGATACACAAAACGATCTCGCACATCAATTGCTGGAAGCCGCAACACGCATGGAACAACTAGCATCGCAGGTCCAGGAACATTTGCAAGCTAATATGCAGCTTAGAGAACGTCTTAGCATGGCAGTCGGCGCAGGACAAAAAACGCAGGAAGAGAGTACAGCATTGATTGTGGGCATGCAATCCCGCCTCAAGCTGATGGAGGACAATGTTGTTGCAGCACAGCAAATGTCAGAGTTGGCACTGGTCAACCATGAAGAGGAAGCAAAACAGATCGACGATGCAAACTCTCCGAAACTCCAACGTCTCAACGTGGCAGGAAAGACAACAGCGTCTTCGCTGCAAGCGTCACCTCTGTTCGGAGCCAAGAGTCCCAGAATCGGTACGACCAGCGGGAGTATGGCCGAGAACCTCTTCGAAGCCAGCAAAACTGCCACCCTTGAACGTAGGGTTAAGGAACTCGAAGCAGCTCTGGTCGATGCAGACTCAGAAATGCAGTCGGTGGTGCAGAGAATCAACAGTTCCCAGTTCGAGATCGCCGAACTTCAGGGCGAAAGGTATGTACCAGCATAGCGATGTGTACAAATTACAAGCTAACTCTACAAACNNAGGGACGAAGCAAACAGACAGATGCGCCGCCTGCAAGCCTCGATTTCAGCCGAGAAGCAAAAGGCACAGGCACTATTGATGGCATAGAAGGCCACCAGGGTGATGATGCACTTTGAGAGGTGTTTTGACGCCGAGCTTTCTTGTTCACGTTCTTCGTACGAGTCCAGGGTTTTGGCATAATTTTTTTGTTGGTTTATTCTTGGATATTTATACCCTTTTGGCGTGGAGAAGTGTTTGCCGGAATGTGGCCGTGAGGGTGTTGGATTTCAGTATGCATAGCGTTGGACTTAGACAAGCAGAGTAGAAGCAATGGCATAGTGGTGCAAGCGTGCGGAATGCTGGTGTTGTGTATCGTGGGTGTAACGTGGTGGTGCTGTTTATAAACTTTGGCACGGGAAAAGTACCCTGTGGATGCATGGTGTTTCACGATCCCCGGACTCTGTTTAGCGCAGGGGCGGCGGCCTCAAGCTGTGAATATCGTGAGGATCGGCCAGCTTTTCTCAACTTCATTCAGCTGGCATTCAAGTTCGGGCAGTCTGTAGCTACGGGGCTGTGTTTGTAGTTGAGTCGATTGACCGCCCTCGCCCCAGTTGCTGTGCGTGCTTTCATCTAGACAGCACACCGACTCGGACTTTCTTCTGCAGCTTCCCCTCTATTCTCTGTTGTCCCCTACCACCCTTCGACGTCCCCTCTACAAGTCGTATCTTCTCGACATCCTCCTCGACGTCGACCACACCCCTGCCGCTCGCTGCACACATTCGAGGGTCATCTGCCGCTGCGCAGTCGACAGTGCGTCTCTCCCCAGCTCGACAGCAGAGCCGCACCTCTCGGCCTCTTGATCACGACTAACAGCTCGCGTCAATAGCAGCAAGCATGAACCCCAACAACCAGCAGCAGTCCAACCGACTGCAACTCAACTTTGGATTCCAAGGAGCTCAGAACTTTGGCGGCGCTGAGCAGGGTCGCGCCTATCCTACCACCCCTTCGACCTTCCCACAGCCCTTTCCCAATCCTCAGGGACAACAAGAGGTCTGGGGCACTGCCCAGCCTGGTATGAACACCGGCTTCACCAACCAAGGCTATTTTGCAAACAACCCCTATACCTCGGCCGTCCAGCAACAACAGGCCAACCTGCACGCCCAGCAAGGCTACCGACCTCAGCCCAATCAAGCACAGCAACAACCACAACAGCAGCAGCAGCAGCAGTACCACGATGCCGCTACCAACGGCCTGGTGCACCAATTCTCCAACCAGAATCTCGGTGGTCCACCTCGCTCCCAGAGCCCCTATGGCCGTCAAGTTTCACCCAACCCAAACCCCAATCGTCCGCGTACCGCCAACTCGACCCACCAACAACAGCAACACTATTCGGGCCCATCTCTGTCGGACGAAGAGCCCCCACCAAAGAACCCCGAGCGCTTCTCGACCAGCATTGGCAACCGTGCGAAGCTGCAGACGGAGCTGGTCAGCACTTTCTTCCGTGACAGTGTAGAGCGAGCTCGCGACCGAAATGCTCGGTAGGCTTCTAGACCATGAATCCTCTGTTTGGTTCCAACGCTGACCCGTTCCTTAGTGNCCCAAGAGCTCGAGACCATCATGAAGGATGCCACAGTATCAGACTCCCGCAAACAGCAAAAGACGACTAGTATGCGTCGCTCCGAAGCAAACTTCCTCCGTTTCCTTCGAACCAGCGAGAGACCTCAGAACTACACAACACTCAAGATTATCGGAAAGGGAGCCTTTGGTGAAGTCAAGCTCGTGCAGCGCAAGCATGATGGCAAGATTTATGCCCTCAAGTCTCTCGTCAAGGCTGAAATGGTATGCTGAAACATAAGTTGTTTTCCTACATGTAACTGACACGGTTGGCGCAGTNTCAAAAAGGACCAACTCGCTCACGTGCGTGCCGAGCGCGACATTCTTGCAAACGCCGACAGTCCTTGGCTCGTCAAGCTGCATACTTCATTCCAAGACTCGACCTTCCTCTACATGCTTATGGAGTTCTTGCCAGGTGGTGATCTCATGACCATGCTGATCAAGTACGAAATCTTCTCCGAGGACATTACTCGTTTCTATATGGCCGAGATAACACTGGCTCTGGAAGCTGTGCACAAACTCGGCTTTATCCATCGGTATGCGTGCCTGCTCAGCTCTCGATACGGTACACAACTGACAATACCTTAGTNNGACATCAAGCCCGACAACATCTTGCTCGACCGAGGCGGCCACATCAAGCTTACTGACTTCGGTCTCTCGACCGGTTTCCACAAGGAACACAACGCCTCATACTACCAACAACTCATGTCAAACGCACGCTCACGTGCTACCGCCGCAAACCGCCAGTCAGTCTCACTCGACCAGATTCAGTTGACTGTCAGCAATCGTCATCAAGTAAACACTTGGCGCAAGTCTCGTCGCCAACTCGCATATTCGACCGTTGGTACTCCTGATTACATCGCTCCCGAGATCTTCAGCGGCAAGGGATACGATTACCGCTGTGATTGGTGGAGTGTTGGTACCATCATGTTCGAGTGTCTGATCGGATGGCCTCCATTCTGCGCAGAGGAACCTCACGATACCTACCGCAAGATTGTCGACTGGCCAAGAAACCTGCACTTCCCTCCTGACCAACAGATTGGCCCCGAGGCAGAGCACTTCATTCGCAGGTAAGTCTGACTGCTCTTAAACCATTGGACAAGTTTGCTGACATCAACANGTCTGATTTGTGATGCCGACAACCGTCTTGGTCGCCTTGGAGGTGGCACCGAAATCAAGCAGCATCCCTTCTTCCGTGGCGTTGTATGGGATCAACTTCGTCGCATCCGCGCTCCCTTCGAGCCCAAGCTCTCGTCGGCAATCGACACACAGAACTTCCCCATCGACGAGATTCCGCAGACCGACAACAGCGCCGCCCTGCGGGCTCAGAACGAGGCGATGGGCGGAGAGGAAGCCAGTATGAGCTTGCCCTTCATTGGCTACACTTACAAGCGTTTCGATGCTTTCCGTGGTAGCTGAGCAGTCCTTAGAACGCTTTCGGGAATCGAAGAGTTTTCTGCTCTTGCTCATCTGTCATTATATCTGTCTTGGTTGTTGGCAGTCTGGTGGGATTGCGTGGAGTGCAAAGAGTAACACAGCATAGTGCATCAAAGCCGTCATGAGCGCGGCGATCAGAATTTTGTCACCTTTTTTCCATCATATCGGTATTTTTGGTCATGAGGTGTGGGCAGATGGTGTCTTTCTTCCTTTTCCAAGAACAAGAACAGTTGGCGGCTGGAACCGCGAGATGGGCTTTAGCAAGAAAATGCTCACTTGAAATTACTACCATATTCCTGCCCTAGTGCGCCGTGAATCAATGCCAGATAACGCCTGTCATCATGCCCCCTAAAAGACCTTCCAATGAACTTCGTGATTTAGACTGTGCTTGAGAGAACTCATTTCTTGCCAGTGTTATGTGGCGAGTTTGCGTTCAGCACTGTTTGAAGAAAGTGTCAGTGGTATGGCGAAGGGGATATGGAGTTTCGGCTTGATATCATGTACTTACAGCTTACGATTCTGACCTTTTCGACCTCGATCGTCTGCGAGTTGTCGAGTTTGAACTTGATGTCCTTGAGGATGAAGGTCCAGACGTCATCACAGAAGCGATAAGTGTCGAGATGGCCCTTGAAGCTCATCCTCGCCTTGACCTTGTCGCCGAGTACTTGAGCAATGACTTGGTCGAAGTTTGTCATGATCTTGATGGCGAGTTGGGGCTCGATGCGGCGACTGCTAATCAGATCGTCGAGTGTGTCTGCGAGGGTTCCGCCAATGCTGTAGATGTTTAGTCGCGATATAAGAGTGAGGGTGTTTGGTTGTTGGACTAACGAGGCATTGCGGTACATCTCATAGTACTTGACCTGCTCAGCCATGTTGGAGGTTGGCTAATGTGTGTGTTCGAGAGACAGTTGTATGGTTGCAACTAGATCAAGACTATCTATGGTTAGATATAGGAAAGTGAACGCGATGATGGCTCTTTCTCGATGAATGTTGATGTCTAGTGATGCAAGGAGCGGTGGTCAGGGTCTCGGAAGTGATGGAATGAAAGTCAATTGTGATTGGCGGCTTCCTCAAAGCGTCTCCGCGTCAGGGCAAGGGTCCGAACTCCGAGGCCTCTTGCTCTCTACTATGCAAAGCCCATGCAAAGATATACGATCGATTGTGCGATTGATAGATCGACCTCCTGAGGTCCACTGGAGCTGCTACGATGCCGCCGATACTGCTGATGAAACGGACTCTGGATGACTTGGAAGACCTGGACGACTTTGACGAGAGTGACGATGAGGAAGAGCTACTGGAACCGCAACCAAAGCGCCTACGAGAAAAGAGCCCCATTGCAAAAGAGGAGGATTCAGAAGACGAAGACAACCAGACAGAGGAGAAAGATGTGGCAGAGAGGGTTGTCGAACTAATCATGCCCCGGATGGAAGCTCAGATGCAGCAACTGGTGAACAGCGCGGCCATGCGCATGCTGGATGTCCTTGGTCAGAAACTCGCTAGACTGGAGTCGCGTATGGATGAGATGCACAATGAGTGGAAGAAAGGCACTGGCATAACCGATCTGAAGCGACAACCAGCAGTCCAGCAGTACTTTGGACGACCTATCACCGCCCTCAAGCAAGACACGAACGTCAATGGCTCCTCCAGCCCTGAAGATCCCTTGCAATCCTTCTTCCAAGAGGCCGCCCAAGCAGCAGACAGTCCCACAATCGTAGGCCCAACCGACAACCGCCGTGTGCCATTCATGGCTCGCCGTTCCCGACAACTGTCAACTCCCGGTTTTGCGCGCAACACCCAATTGATGTCTCACGGCACCGCCGAAATCAATCCAGAGGACGCACCGCAATACCGCTTGCAACGAGGCTCAGAAAGTGTGATGCAACTATGGCACGAATTCTTCGTCGGTTCTGCCGACAAGCCCGCCATCAACGAACTGGACCACAAGTACGGCAGTGCCTGGCGCTGGAAGGACAACAAGGAAGGCGTCTACCACAGCATGCGCCGCGTCGTAATCGACGAGATACAAGCGCGCGTCGAAGCCCGCTGTCCTAATGCTATAGGCGCGACCGACGACGTCTGGATCGCCGTATGCGAGGAAATGGACGCTGAAAGATCAAACCTGCAATTCACCCTCAACCGATACATTTTTGAACTCAAGCGTCGAGATAAACCGGTGCCTGTCNCTGTCGAAAAGAAATGGGATCCCGAAGACCCACATCCGTCCCCTGCTCCAGTATTGTCGCGAACAACACCTTCAGTGCAAAAACTATGGACCGAGTGGTTCTCTGGAAAGATGAATCACAATGCTTATGCCACTTTTCCATCCATCATCCAGTCGAACCACAAATTCGGAAACACATGGCGTCATTCACACACGCCAGAGCACAACGTTTACCTCAAGCGTCGCTGCATCGTCGACATTGCACTGCGCCGCATCGTCGAGATTGGCGGAGACAAGACCGAGACCACCAGAAAAGTTCTGAAAATGATGGATGCAGAAAGAGTGGCGCACAATCTTAGTCTGGTGCAATACCATGCTTGGGCAAGAGAGAAATACGGTTATCATGCTTCGACACGGACGCATCTTCCCAAGTTTGTTGCCGACTTGGGAGAGGGACCGGAAGAGGCCATCGAGCTCGAGGCAAGGACTAGATCACAACAGGACGAGGAAGATTGCATCGTTAGAGATCATAGTGCGGACATCGATACAGCCATCTTAGGAAATGAGCGGCAAAGCGAAAGAAGAAGTGGTCAAGGACAGGAGAGCTCTGTACCACCCTCACCAGCATCACTTGGTTAGCCAAAGTGATATTATTGAGGTACTGTATAGTTACGTATGAGCCTAGCGGTCGCTTATGACGGGTTCAACTTTTATCCTGTCCGATTGCAAAGAAGCTTTCAGGCAGCTCCACCCCCNATGATATTCTTGCCCTTGATACTCTTCCATTCAACGAACAAGCTAATGACAAAGGCCAGACCGCTAGTTGCAATGGGCAAGACAAATGCAGATGTCACAGCATGACTGTATGCCTGCAACACTCCTGGTAGCTGTGCCGCCGACACCACATCTCTGACATGCGTGGCACCAGCAGATATGACAGCAGCCGGGTTCACTCCAGGCGCATTCTTGATAATATCCTTGACCAACGTGTTGGCAAAGATATTCTGTGCAATCGAGATGGAAATAGCACCTCCCAAGCTGTTGAAGAAAATCGCGATGGCGTTTCCTGAGGGCATGTCTTTCTCGTCCAAGACGACCTGTACGGCGATGAAGGGAATCTGGACTGCAGAACCAGCACCAATACCAGCAAGCAGTTGGTAACCTATCCATTTGGCGGCAGGAGAAGCAACTTCGAGGGTGTAGAGCATGCCAGCCCCGACGGTGAAGATGGCGGCTCCGAACCACATGAAAGGTGCGTAGTAGCCGATAATGGTAATGGTGCCTCCAACGACAACTGAAGCGATAGTGTTCGAAACGAGGTACGCGATACATCTGATGCCAGAACCTTCTGCAGAAGTATTCTTCACTGCTTGGAAGTAGAAGGGCAGATAGAATATGTGNCCTACAGTACACCGATTAGAACAGCTCATCTAGGTCGAGGCTCGGCGATAGACTTACGTGTACAATCCCATGGCAAAGAAGGTCGAGTATAGTGCAGAAACCAATACCGTACGGTTCTTGACCAGAATGCGAGGTGGGAGAGTAGCTCGATCTCCTAGCTTGATCTGAAGAGCGATAAAGACCGAGATCAACAAGCCAAACCCTAGTAAGCATCCCCAAACCTTGCTGTTGCTCCAAGGATATGTAGTGCCACCCCATTGCAGGGCGAGCAGAAGGCAGACGATGGCACAGATCAAGAGGAACGCGCCCAAGAGATCAATCTGTTTGATCTTTTCCTTGGTGGTCATGTTGGTGTGTCTTCTCTCGGGGTTCTCAAAGAAGAAGAATACTGCTACAAGTCCTATTCCACCGAATGGAAGATTGATCCAGAAGCACTGCAGAGAAGTTAGCATGTTATGAGAGAGCTCGCTTGAATATATCGTACCCATCTCCATGTTGCTGAGAACTGTTAGCATGATACATTGAACGGCTTGCAGGATTAACATACCATGATCAGTGAAAACTCCACCCAGCAGAGGTCCAACCACACTGGCAATACCAAACATACTAGACAACGACGCAATATAGATCGCACGCTTCCGCAAAGGAGCAATGAATCCAATAATGGTCATGCCTCCAGAAAAGAGAGCGGCAGCTCCAACACCAGCAACCGCTCTGCCTACAATAAGCATTGTGGAGCTAGTGGCTGCCGCACAGATGACCGAACCGACTTCGAAAATGACCAGGGCCGATAAATAGGTCCATTTAACGTCGAAGTAGGTGTAAACCTTGCCGAAGGAGGGCTGTAGCGATGTGGTCGTAAGCAAGTAAGCAGATCCGATCCAACCAACATCGTTCAGCGCGTCGGGCCATTGGGTTGTAATCTTTGGGACTGCTNNTAAGTTAGTTGGTGGTCATAAGCCAATACTGACTGCCTTACTAGCTGTTGCGATGACTGAAGGAAGAAGCAGAGTCAGCATAAATTTCCATTAATCACGGCCATTTTGAGTCGGCAACTCGTTACCAATAAGTTATTGGCAAAATACCGAAAGAAAGAACGTACTCGAGTTGTCCAAAGCGACTACCCAGATCGCAAGGCAGAGACCGAGTACAAGTAGCCACAGTTTTGGGCCAGTGGGATACTTTGATTCATCTTCGGCTTGTTGAGCTGCAGCACTGGTGTCTCCTTCTGATTTTGAAAGTGCATCCTTGTCCACTGAAGCTTCCCTGACAGCAGTCGTTGCCTCGGCCTTGCTCATCGGCTCGTCTCCATGTTTGTCAACCTCGAGTGGTACCGTGCGAGGCTCTCCCAGAGTCTTGTTCTTCTTCCACGAGGGAACAGACCCATGATGAACCTCAATAATTTTGTCGCAACGAGTGCGCAGGTGGGACGGTGAGGATGAGTAGCGACTGCCTCCCACCGTCCATTATGTATGTTCCCGGCTCCTCAATTTCGTTGCGTAGGAGCCGATCAACGCTCGTTTGTGGAAAGATCTCGACTCAGGCCAATCGATATACACGCAACGGCACTATACGATGTACGGAAGTATATCTGATTTCTACCATAAGCGAGCCAATTCCATGATACTTACGAGCTGAACCTCCGCACTTCGTAAAAACATCTGATAGACAGTATAATATACTGCAGATCTCGTGTCGTCTATGTAGAAGTGCATGGTCACACCGGTCGCGATATCTCATGCGCCAAGCCAAGAGCATGTGCAGCTGACAGGAGATGTCGCAAAACGTCGTGATTGGGTAACCGAAGATGGAGGCATCTCTCATAAAAGACTAGAGATAAGGATCTAGATGATCGTATGTGACTGAAAGTCGATTAAAATGTAAGATCATAGGTATGACGCAAAATATCAATAACCTGCTCCTGACGCTATGCTTCAAAATCCAGCTCCAAGAAAACAAAAGAATAAGAAACAAAACTTATAACAGGACGAGAATGTTAGGCCTGTTTTTCGAGGTCTTTGGCAGCATCGGAACCACTGCTAGGTGACACAGGCTCGTCATCTGGGTTGGCTGATGCCTTGTTGGCGATGGGGAACGTAGGCGCGAATTGACTCTTGCTTCTGATCTGAGCACCCTTCAGGTAGAAGAGAATGGGTAGCGGAACAAGCAAGAAAGCAAAGCAGCCCAGCAGAGTGCCTGCCCACTGAATGCCCATACCCTCAATCATGTAGGTTGCGAAAAGAGGGAACCCAGCACCGCAGAGCGAACGCAGGAAGGTGTTGGCGGCGATGGCGGAAGCAGCAAACATCAGGTAACTGTCGATGAGGTAGTTGAGACACTGGAGGAAGATAGACATGATGCCGAATCCAGTAAAAAGTCCACTCAAAGTTGGAGCGATCCAATGAATGTCTGCACGATAACCAGTCCAGCCGAACCAGAGGAGGCCAACGCCGAAGAGAACACCACCGATAATGACTGGNGGAAGACGCCACTCCGGAATAGGAATGTTGTTGTTCGCCTTGAGCTTGCGGTTGTACGATGGGACGTCGATAACGATGTAGAGACCAGCGAAAACTTCACCCATGATCATACCGAAGTATGGCAATCCACCGACACCAGGAGACATTCCGTGGACTTGTTGGAAAACGATGGGATAGAAGGTCAGGAAGAGATATAGCAGTCCGTATACAAATGCNCTAAGTTGGTTAGCACTGCTGATATTAAGCAGACAGAAGACGAAGCTTACCATGTAGATGGACAACAGCAGCACGATAGGTTCTGTGAAAAGCATACGCATAGGTCGAGCCAAGTTTTTCTCGACCAACTCGCGAAGGTTGATCTCGATTTCTTCTTGCTTTGCGTGGATACCCCAGTTCTTGGTTCTGCGTCTAAGCTCGGCAGCTTTGTTGACCAGGATGACAGGCGGATATGTCTCCTCGAGGAGGAAGATCAAGAGGGCAAGGCCAGTAAATCCCATGATAGCGGTAATGTATTCGCACCATCGCCATCCGAGGTATGAAGTCGTGATGAAGCCTCCGATAAAGGGAGCGAGCAGGGGTCCAGAGAAGACGGCAATACTGAAGACGGTGACGGCGACACCTCTTTGGGCATTGTTGAACATGTCGGCAAACACGGCTCCAACGACGGTAAGCGGACAAGCACCCATGAAACCGCCGAAGAATCTGCAGATGAGAATGGTCTGGAGATCCTTTCCCACGGCCACAGCGATAGAGAAGATAGAGAAACCGAATGAGGAGATAAGAAGAGGAAGGCGGCGTCCATACAGCTCAGACATTGGAGCCCAAAGNACTGGTATACGTTAGCGCAATGTGTTGGATTTTAGACAAACGAAGACTTACATAGGGCCAGTAGCAAAACCGAGAACGTAAAGCGAGATACCGAGAATACCAACCTCTCTTGAAACATCGTATTCATTGGCAACAGCACCAGTAGCGGACGAGAAAATCGATGAGCCAAAAGCAGCCGTCAACGTAACGAAGCCTAGAGAAGCAGCAACAGGAAGCNNCTGGAGGACAGGTCAACACACTGGTTTCACATGTGATTCATCTAGTACTCACTTCTTCTTGAAAGGCCAGTTCTGGGCATGCATTGGGTCATTCGGACCATCGAATTCTACTACGTATTCTTCTCTCTCGGGCAATGGTGGAGGGTAAGGCTTACCACCACCAAAGGCAGGCAGAGGCCTGCTGGCCTTCGAAGACCTCGTGCGGAACACTCCAAGACCTCTGCTCTCTGCACCACCTGCGCCAACGGTGGCGCTGTGTTGACTCCTGCCAGTCTGGATTCTGCTCAATGCAGTAGGATGTCTCTCAAGGTCCGCTTCGTTCTCATATTGTGTTTCGACTCTGGAAATGCTTCTGCCCATCTCTTGAAACCTGACTGCTGAGTGGGATGACGCAGAAGAGCGGCGTCTCTTGGCTATGGGCGATTCGTGGGACTCGAGACGTTCAATGGGACCAAATCTCTCGGGTGAGGCATCGCGCTCGTTGTCGGCCATGAACCTGTCTTGCGCATTCATAATGGCGGCGGGACCAGTCTCGTGGACCAGTAGACGCGTGATTTAGGTGTACAGAGGAGGATAGGAAGAAAGTCGCGAGCAGCAATAAGCAGCGGCGTCAAATCAATAAATGAGATGAATGCTTGAGCACAGGGCAGAAGACCAACAAGAGTGGAGCCACAAACGGTCCAAAGAAGCGGCTGTCACGGCAATCCTTGACTGTCTGGCCTCGTACAATTCGTGATTACGAAGACCTCGTCAAAATTTGCTGCTTTCTGATCAATCGAAAGGGATCGAATCCTCTGCTTCCTGCCCATTCGTGTCTTCTTTGCTTCTTGTCTCAGTGAAGCTTGCCTTGTCAGACGAGGGGTGACAGCAGCTTGTCCGCTGTGTTTGTCTAGGATACCTAACCAGCCGAGCAACCACCTACGTCAAATTTGCTTAAGAGCTCCCTTTTCTGAACCCTGACGCCCTGCAAAGCCTTGGTGGACCGTGGCAAGCTAAAGGTTCGGATTACGGCGCCTTTCTCAACGGCCTGGATTCTTCCTGTTCGGCAGTTGTTTGCCTCGTCCGAGTTGATCCTGATAACCAAGGCAATCACCCAGACTACCAAGGCATTCGGCATCGACAGCTAGAAATTACTGCGAAGCTTTCATACTGAAACACACCATGACAGAAGCAACGCGGAGCCCTGCGCCGCCGCGATCGACAAGCTTTTTGCTCTGTTCAGACGAGAACCTGGGGTAACACTCTCCCGAGTCAGGCCTCAGCCTTACTGAAGAACTTTCTGGATGAAGCTGTATAAGAGTGTCTATCTGGGCTTAAGCGTATTCTCTATAGCCTGTGCAGGTATCAGCGAGCAGACACAGAAGTCCTCTGGCCACAGAATCCTATGCCAGTCACGAAAAGGGCTCTAGAGTGAGGAGATGGGATGTGAATCGAACAAGGCAAGAGAAGGCAATGAAGCAACAAGCAGCCAACATGTCAATCAAATCGGCAGCAGTCTGTCTGGAATATCTGATCAATAGACAGCCACAGTCGCCAATAGATGGCGCAAGAACTCAGAGAGAAGACAATGGAAGGAGACACCACCGCACGTGACAGCCAAAGCCTTGCACCGCCACCGCCACACAACTCGTCATGCTCCATCTGATAAAACCAAGGCATCACACCTCTAACCACAACCCACGAATACAACAAACACTCCGAGCTCTCACAAACTACACTAGACCAAACAACACAACAATGGGTCTTCCTCAACAAACAAACACTCCCGTCGAGAAGCCATCGACCTCCGAGACGGCAGAGACCACCACCGACTCCATCCCTGCCGCCGACGTCAGCACACAGAACAGCTCTCTGGGCGCCACGAATAGCTCAGAACTGGCTGGAGGTGCCATGGGCGGTACCCAGGGTGATGCTGAGAGAGCGGCTGAGAAGCTCTACGAGGAGAGAATGGAAGTGAGTAACCACCGCGATGAGCCTCTGTCGGACACAATATGCTAACCTATGTTAAAGGAGGAATACGCTAAGCGTGAGGGAGGCGCTTAAACGACATGATGTTACGAAGTGACAGGCGGTCTGATGGTCACAAAGACTGCGAAAGTCACAAACCTGGGGGCTCTGCATATAATTCTATCTAATGTATCACCACTTTCTGACCATTCGTCTTGCTCGTAAAGTGACGGACACGATTCAAATCTTTTTCATCTAAAAGCCTATCTCTATCTAATAGCTACTAGGACTCGCTCAAGCAGAGCCAATATCTTTCTGTTACCGTAACGTTTGTCGCCAGCCACACCAACTGCCTTGACAACCAGCGGAAAGAGCAACTCTAAGTGCGCTCTATGATCCTTCCTGCGAGCGCCATCTACCTGGTTCACAGCATTAGACAAGCCACTGAGCTTTTCGACTTCAGTCAAGCAGAAGAGCAACTCTTCGACCTGCGACAGTGGCTGAGGCAGCGAACCCCGAAGAGGCTGATCAACAATATAGGCCTTGAGAGGAAGTGCAAACCGCAATATCAAGGGGGATGCCGCGGCTTCTGAAAGTTTGACTTGACTTTCGCGAGGGTCACCAACCAAGGAGACCAGCTCCTTGAAGCACAAGTACGCCATATCCTCCCTTAGGCTTGGTTCTGGATCACGGACTCGACCAATCCGCAATGCATAGAAATTGCCAAGTCGATCGTCGTTCTGAGGAATATCTCCCCGCTCCACGGCATGGACGAGCGACGCATCGAAGAGCGAGGACATGTACGTTTGCCGGATTGCATCAGGGATACCTGAGGAACCTAGGGCTGGCGTCATCATTACTTTGAGCTGTCGCATGATCTCACAATCAAAGACCTCGTCTTTCTCAACGGTCTCAGGCGTAGGCTGTGGTGATGCTTCGTCGATGTCGGCATGCATAACGGCATGAGCAATGTTGATGATTGCTGTCCAGATGCGAGTCTCCATCTCACTCTCAACACTGAGCGCTTCCATCTGGGCCAGCGTCTTCCCGATAATAGCCAAAGATGCAGAGCTTGCCTTCCGCCACAGAGCTGGCGCTCTACCGTGTTGCATCCATCGATATTTGAGCCCCATTGGTGTCACCAAGTTCTCCAAGGCTTTCGCGACTGCGCCCGAGTGGAACATTTCTGGTTTTGACAAATCTGTAGCGACCAATTCGACCATCCAATCCATGCTTGCTTTTGCCAAAGCAACGAATGTAAGGTTCGTTTTGGGCTTGTCATGTGACGCGAATGGCAATGACGCCAGCTGTGAGGCGGCATTGACCAGTGTCGAGGAAATAAGCACAACATTGCTATGCAGCGCTTGCAGGTGCTCAAGGACCTTCTGCTGGAGCACAGTGAGGTTGTTGACATCAGAGCTGTAGGCCGCTCCGCTTGAACACTTGACACAATCAATCATGTTCTGCACCAACTTGTCAAGTCGGTCTTTTGTGGTGTTCTTTTCAGTCAAGCTGTAGATGTTTCTTCCACAATTGACGTATGCAATATGTTGCTCCTGTTCTGCAGTCTGACCTTTGACATCCTCAGAACAGTCGGGCACGGCGGACGACCACAAAAGTTCTGTGCGTGAGACTGCTTGGCCTAGCTTCTGGTCGTCGGGTCGGAATGCACCTAGCAAAGTACTGAGACCGTTGTATACAGCTGCGTTGACGACCGAGGAGTGAAAGGCCAGAAGAGCTTCGAAGATATCCATCAGATCTGACCACAATCGGTCGAAGGAACCGAATGAGGCCATCTGATCAAATTGTCCGACAAGAAGGCCGGTAATGTCGCCAATGATTTCACTCGAAGTGCTATCGAGTCCAATGATAGCATCAGAAGATGCTTTGCCCGAACGAAGGGTCCTCTGCTTATCGGCATTCTCCCGGATGACTTTGAACAAGAGTGTCTCGATAGTCAATTGCCAAGCTGGATTGGAAAAGTCGATACTATGGTTCTTGAAAATTCTCAACAGGGTTTGGAAAGCGCTGTTCCTGACCTCTGAGCGTTCGTCGGCAATGACATCTGTAAGTCGATACATGAGTAGTACCCATTGAGCAGGCCGAGATTCTTTGCTTCTAGTCACGATACGCTCGTGTCCTAGAACCAAACGCTCTTCAGCGATACCACTGGTGAGTTCATTGAGTCCGGAGACCACCTCCTGCTTCACGAGGAAGTCGGACACGTCCCAGAATAGTGTGATAGCCNNTGGAAACTGTCAGTATGGGTATTTGCTAACGTGCAATCAACTACTTACAGTGAGGGAAATGTTAAGGTCAGAATTCTGAGAAGCGAAACGGAACAGAATTTCTACCAGTGGACTAAGACAGGTCTGTGGAAGTGGTGCGAGGAAATCCGAGCAGACTAACTGCATCACACCGAACGCTGATCGGCCTAGATACGGGGCGACGAAGTGGCTTGACAACCTCAACCAACCTTCTTTGTGGGTTTGCTCGTCACGTTCCTTTTCCTCGGCGTCGTCGGTATCGAAAACGCTACCTATTAGGGCCAGAATGGTTTCCCAGCCAGCGGTGAGTGCCTCTCCAGACTTCTCAAGCACAGCTCTAACAGAGTCGAGGACTCTGTTGTGGATATCGATATCGACATTGGTAAGGTCGTCACCTTCTTCGTAGAGTCGACGTATAAGCAGATTCAAAGATGATAGAACCATGTTCTGAGCCAGTGCTGCGTCTTCTGGCTCCTCGGATGTACTTGCCTCGGCAACAGCGATGGAGCATAGAGCCAAAATATCAGCAGCAAGACGGCGAGCATCATCTGGTATGCTTGTAGCAATGCCCAAATCCACAAGACGATCGACCAGGACAGCCCATCCACTTTCTGAAGACGCATAACTTGCGAATCTCGAAACATTATGCTCTGCAAGATCGTTGATTCTTGTTAACACAAACATGTAATCCTGAGTAGAGAGTGCAATGTCTGTTGTGATGCCAGGCAGACTGGATATTCTACGCGCAGCACTCGAGGACTTTGTATGGGTCGGAGACGATGGTACGCCCTCAGTCCTTCCGTTGAGCAGTTTGCAGAGAGTTGTGAGTACGTGAAGAAAAGCATCGTTCGGATAATCCGCCGTGCTCTCCAGAAGGCGTAACACTGCGCCCTCTACAGCTGCGATCTCTGGACCAATTGCTGTAGACTTTGCCTGAGAAGCATTGAGAACAACTCCAGCTTGGAGAAGCGTTTCGAAGACAATGTTGAACGAAGACTCCAAAGTCGGTCCGATCGCGATAGCGACATTGAGAAGTGCTCTCAGACACAACAGATTGCGTGTGGACAACGTAGGCCTCGATGCCGGATCGTATGATGTTCGTCTTGATCTTTCATTCCCCGATGTCTGAGTTGAAAAGCTCTCCACACTCAGTAAACCCTTGCCGTTAGAGTATATTCCGGGAGTCTCAATTATTGGTGACGAAACGCTTGATATACTGGACGTCACTATGCTTGGAGGAACCGCAGCTTTACCTAGAGTAGTCAAGAATGCATCTCGAGAGGTGGACAATCTCAGAAGACCAGAGACCTGTACGAATCTTTGATATGACCTGATCAGCGCCCGGTAGTAATCGTTGTCAAGAGACGCGTTGAGGAAAGTCGAATATGTTGCAAGCAATGCGGGCCAACACTGTTCTACGAGCTTTGCGATAGCTCTGATACGGATCGCTTGGACACTCTCATCTGTAGAGAGCGGGTTGAGCGGTACAGTGCGCGATCTGTAAGATTGTGACCTCTTCTTTCGGGTTCTCGTATTTTGTGGACTGGTGATTTGTTCTTCGGCTTCGACTTCTCCCTCTGAATCTTGATCTTGATCTTTCGTATGTTGCTGGACGGTCAAGGGAAGTACAACCTTGGCCAAGTTCTCAGAAAGACCATTGAGACACTCTAGTACAAGACTGTAGATGTAGGTTTCTGGTAGAGCGGGAGGATCTGTTTTGTCAAGCTGGTCCATGCATTGAGTTTTGGGCACGCTCCATCGTGTACTGATTCCCGGGACATTGATCTCNCCTAAGTTCGATGTCGGAGCAACTACACCAGCAACACCGCCAGCAGCTTCCATTGCAACCTGCTCAGCGATGGTCTCTCTTGCCTGATCGGTAGGAACGCTTGAGTGTTGGCCCAATCCAATGACAGACGGCTTTTCTGTGGAGATCTTGACGAAGGAAGCGATGTTGTCTCGAACAATCGATCTTTTGCCGTCTTTGGCGTCATACTGCAGGTAAATCTGCACAGCCAGACCAGGTTCAGTATAGACAAGACGGAAGACCTCCATACACATGGCGCGTTTCCAGGCTGTTGCTTCTGAGTCTATCATGTGCGTCAACAAGCCCAGAACAACCTCACACTCGTCGGGCATGGCCTGGAGGTGACGACGGATGATAAAGGATGCAACTCGAAGAGCCCGGAGAGTAACGCTGAAGGCTTGACGCTCTGAGATGACTCGGATCAGATGTGGCATGACGACTGTTCGAAGGATGTTCGTTTGCTCGGGATGCGAGGAGAATATTCTGGGATGGCTGCCGAGGCATGCTCCCATGAGTTCGAGACCAGAAGCTGCTGAAAGTCCGGAGAAGCGCACAAATCGTGTATCTTGACCTTCTGTAGCGAAACAGATATCCAGGAATACGCGATATGCATCATAAGCTGCTTCTCTTAGCGGAATGGGGCCATCTCCGCCAGATATTCGAGTGACAATGGGGATTCTGTCACCGGCTTCATCCTCAGCGGCTACCCTGTCGAACACCGAAACGACAAGTTGCTGGAGAGTGGCAGCAGCTACACCACTGACGGTTGCAGCCTTGACATTCTGAAGAGCTGCACAAACTTGCAAGGCAGCAGCAAGATGATCTCCCTTCAGGTCATCCGCATAGTTTTGGGCAAGGGCTGGAAGAGCTTGCAGGATTTTGAGTTGGATATCGAGGCCGAGCGAGGTGCATGCATTGAAAGCATTCAGGACATCTTTTAGTCGAGACTTTGGTAGGCCTCTAATGATGACGAGACGCTGCAGACACACGGTAGCGCTGCCGGCATACTTGGCATTCTGAGTATTGCAAGCAAGCAGAAAAGGATCGATGAAAGTTGGTCGTCTACTCAGATCTCTTGTACGTTAGCGAACGTGATGAGGATGAGGAAGGTGCATCTCACCAGCAGCTAGTTGTTGTTCAGATGTAGAAGGTAGGGATTTGAGATCTTGTAATGATTTTTCTGCAGCCNNTATATCACATCAGATCAGATAAACGGTAGTACACATACAAAACCAACATACAGTACGAATTTCTGGATTCTTTCGTTTAGCCTCTTGGGCGAGGCTCGTTAATTCGGCCTGGAGAGCTTGACTACTCATAACTCTCTATGCTGGATTGACGACAACGAGCATTCTAGTCTTACACAAATCCGTAGCCCAAGGTGGCGACAGATATAGTCAGGCAATTGATTTAAATAGAGAAGTTTGATTGAAGTGGTAAATGGACCATCCAAAGGGATGCCGAGGGTCGGAGGACAACTGGAGCTTGCCAAGACGAGAAACATGTGGCATGCGACGTTGGTCGAGCTCAGGCCTGTGACGCTGATGACTGGCGTGTTTATGTCCATCTTGTGAATACATTCACGTCTATTGGACCTTTGCTCCGACTCTTCGACCCGTTCAAACCTGTCCCTCCCACGCCTCCTGATCACCCATCACAATATCCAAGTCACGAAGCGGCATGGCCAAGGTTCCCCGTAACTTCCGCCTGTTGGAGGAGCTCGAGAAGGGCGAGAAGGGCCTCGGTGCTGGTACGGAGAAGGCAGTCCGATTGAGTGGAAAAGACAGGTGACTGACAGAGTTGNCAGAGGCATGCTCATACGGTCTCGACGACGGCGATGATCTCCTCATGACCAACTGGAATGGCACCATCCTCGGACCTCCTCACGTACATCTCCCACCTCCAATCTCCGTCAACACAACAGGCATTAACTCAGTACTCGACAGANGTGTGCATGAGAATCGCATCTACAGTCTGAGCATCCGCTGCGGCGAGAACTACCCCGACGTTCCACCAGAGGTCACCTTCATCTCAAAGGTCAACCTGCCCTGTGTAGACCAGAGAAACGGCANNAGGTATGTCTTGCTAAGAGATTGAAACCTGTGATACGCTTGCTGAAACATAACGAACCAGGTCGATCTTTCCAAGCTCCCCAGCTTGAGCCAATGGAAGCGCGACTTCACCATGGAGACCATTCTGATCGAAATAAGAAGGCAAGCTAGCCACTACAACCGGATGCAACGCTCTCACTTCTAATCCTGTTACAGATTCATGGCCGCACCCGCACACAAGAAGCTGCCGCAGCCTCCGGAGGGTACCAACTTCTAGATGGCTTTGTTCCACAGCTCTTGACGAAAAATGAATATACCTTCAACCACCAACGACATGACGCTCAACATGATCCACTCTTCTGTCCCATACTTCTACCCGCATAGCATGGCGCTTGGCGCAACAAGAGAACGAAATCAGTATACATATCCAACTCTACATCTATGTCTGCGTCTTCGACAAGTGAAATCGCCCTCTAGAAACCATCGTCTGCTGATCGACCACACGAAAAGAATGCCTCCCAATGCTCTTAAATGCATCCCATAACTCCAAGCTCCAAATTCTGTATTATTCAGTCGTAGAAGCATGCATTACTCGTCGCTCGAGTAGAGCCTGGCCATGTTCTTTGCACCCCTGGGCTCGATAAACAAGGCTTCGGCCTCGACCAAATGCTCGCCCTCTTCAACACCGTCGCCCAAGACCTCGATCCAACCCTTGACCCATGCCTTTCTGCCGTCAACCTTTGTGGTCTCTGCTCTGAGCACAATGAAGCTGTTCGCCGGGCAGGGCTTCTTGTATGTGATGTTCAAGCTCGCCGTGACGCCCACCTTGTTTGGCAGAGCAGGGAAACAGGCGCGAGCAAGCCCNTCGTCCAGAAGAGTTGCGAGCAAGCCTCCGTGAATGATTGTAGGGTGACCACACAGCTTTTCGCCGAGATGGGCGATCTGCACAATCGAAGGCAGTTCGGCCTTTGTGTTTGCAAAAGTCAGGGGTGGAGAAGCAATCTTGTCGTCTCCTTGTAGTGTACCAGCCGTCAGGTTGTGCGACCTCATGTTCTGGGGAATCTTCATGTGCGGTCTGGACTCGATCCATTGTGGGTTTGCGCGCAGAGACTCGGCAAGAGGGTTCGACACGATGCGTTTGTTGATTTCTTCAGCCTCGGGGCTGGCTGGCACCCACAGAGAAAGTGTCTCGGCGTTGGTAGGAGGTTGGAGGAAGCCATTGGCTGTCTCGATGGCGGGAGCGACAGACATTGCTAGACCAGCGGCTGTTGCGACTATGAAGAGAGCGGTTGCGCCGAGGACACGGGAGGTACGGGATCGAGGAGGAGGGGTTATTGGGTCTGAAGGGTTGTTCAGAGGAGGTGTGGTAGTAGGTNNGCTTCGAAGACAATATCAGTAAAACGGAGATGCAAGATCCGGAGTCACTCAGCACTTACCAGATTGAATGGTCTGGAAACGCTTCTGGATTGCGGGCTGGCGGGCTCTATATATACAACGATTGCCGGCACCCCAGAGAGCCCTCCGAACTAGAGCCGGTCCTGAAACCGTGGCCATTGTTACTCGGACTTGTGACGAATGTCAACGGACTCGTTTGCCAACCAGTGCCGAGTCGAGATGTCCTTTGCGCAATCGCCTATTGCTTTGAAATTGTTCGAGGCCAAGCCAACTTGTCCGAGGTTCAACACCGTCCCGCTGCCGCAAGTTGGAGACGCCGATTCCCGACCCCTCTCGATGCGGTAATCTTTGCGAAAGCGAAGGGAACGAGAAAAGCCTCTCGAAACATCACGTCTTGAAGTGGATAACAGGAGGCGACAGTGTGGAAAAACGATACCAAACGATGGCTAACATCAAAATTGCAGTGGCTCGGAACGACTTCCCTCTTCGTTGGAGGCAATTCTCAAGCCAGCCTTTGACATCTGTCTCGAACTGCTCGAGCAGCCTACACTGACGAGATCGAGTAGAGCACCTGATCACCTCGCCAGCCATCCAGTCACAGTTCATCACTTCCCATCGGAGCTAATGCTCTAGTTTCCAAACATGTGCAGCCTTTGTTGTAGGGCGGGCACGCTGACAACGATAGCAGCACTGCTGTACTTTGTCGCCATGGATGCCTCGTTTCCATACTTTCTGTGTGTTAGCCAATGCATTCCAATCAGCAGCTTTAGACTTACCGCCAAATACGCTATCTCCAACTGGGAAATTTGAGGACGCCAGACCCATTTCATAGGTCCAAGACGTTCCCATCCGGGCATGCCATCCTCCAATTCGTACTTCTCGAGCATCTTACTGGAAACCTCCATCGGCTCAAACCCAAGTCGATAGAAAGTGTCTTCATCGCTAGGCCTAAACACGCTCTCAGCATCACTGTCATATCTGTCGCAGAAATTTACACGAATCTCAGCACACTCCTCGGACAAGTCCATCACCCGGATGAACTCAGCCCTGAGATTCAACGCCAGCAAAGCATCGTAAAGCATCATGTCTGCTCCCTTGATAACTCCAGGCATGTTTCGATGTAGGAGAGCATGTGTATGTGGATAAGCATGAGCAAGACCGATTGCCATGAATCCGCCCTCAGCCATGAAAGTGCGAGATCTCATCAGGTTAACAAGAGGCTGGTACAACGGAAGGCGTGTAGCATCCAAGTTGTGCTTCTCTCCAGCGAGCAAGCCACTACCGCGTGAGGCATACAGGTTGTACGTCAGGGTGATACGGTGGCCAGCAGTGACCTCTTGTACCTCGTGGGAGCAATCCGAATAGAACGCTGCCTACTGAATGGCAGGTGTCTGACCGATCGAGGAAGAAGCCGACCAGTCAAATCCGACAGTATTTCCCTGGTGAGACACAGAGAGAACTCCACCCTCGAACTCAGAAGGCAAGCACACAACAAGGCTACCGATTTGCGTCTCGCTTCTGGGAGTATCTACGTGCGCTCTGAACTTACCAGAAGGCCCGCTGTAGATGTTGAGCTTGTAGAGTTCGGCCCTGATACCCATGCTCATTCCGGCAGATTGAGTATTCGCGTTGCGCTCATTCTTTGCTGGCTCGGCCCAATCGTCTGACGAAGAAGCTTTTGCGAGTATATCCAAGAGAACCAGATCAGCACTCTGAAGTTTCTGTCCCAAGACCTCGTCGAGTCTTTGCTGGTATCTCGACTTGTATATGTTCATGACCGAAGCAGAATTAACAGGCGAGCGCGAAGTTATGATTTCTGTAACGGTCATTGCATCAAGCTCTGTGGAGCCCTCAATCACAGCGTGCAGAAGTTCGACATCGGCCTTGATGATGGGTAGGTCTCCCTGTAACTTTTCAGGCGCGCAGATCGTCACCTCCCACTTGACAGAAGGCATGAGAAGTTGTGAAACAATGTCAATGACTCCAGTCTCGTAGGGACAGAAATTCGTACAGAAGTCTGTAGTGTCCAATTTGGTCGCCTTGCGATATTGCTCGTCATACAAATCTCTGCCATCACGACCGAACGTAGCGGGCTCGCATGTGCTGATCAGGTTGAGGAATGCTGGATCCTTGGTTGTGTCGGTCGGANNAAGCCTCAAAGTCTGGCCCTGACCTGGAGCTCCATAACGTATCGTGACTGGTCTGGTCGTAATGACTTGATCGAACACTTGCGAGGCGATGTCGACCTTCTTGTCCTCAGGAAGGTTTGTTGAATCGAGAATGACTGGAATATGCCCACCACAAGCAAAAGTACTTTGGTTGTCAGCCTCTCCCAAAGCCGAAGAAAACGCTTCAAGCAATTGCTGTTCAGACATTGTGATGGCTGTTTGATGATGGATTTCCTTGAGAGTTTAGCATCGATACTTATACCATCTGTTACATCTTGCAGAACTCTGGGATTTACAACCACTGCTGCCTTAGCATCATCCCTGGGTTTTGCTTCCAGGCAGCATGTCGCGCTGAGTTTGTGTAGCCAACAACAGAGAAGGGTCGCCATCTGCGTGCTTCGCTGGCAGTATGGACCCAGCTCAAAGGCCGAAATGCACATGTCGAAAAGCAAGACGAGAAGTCCGACGAGGAAAAGAGCAAAGACTGCCAAACGTTTCATTTCTCCCCGCACCAACACCTCCGGATCCACACCACGTCAACAGCTGTCACAGCAAAGGATTGTATCACGATGCATTGCAAGGCTCGCAAACAAAACAAAAGCTTGTCCTATCTGAATTCCTTTTATCCAGCGATATTCAGGAGTCATTTCGTTGCTTGCCTATCAATTCCTACACGAATGCAGGTCAGCTTGCGAAAAATGTGAGATCATACCTACGTATAATCACACGTGCTGCTGTTTGACAGCACAATTTTACTCCCAAAGGATAGGCGCCGAGTCACAATGCGGTTAACCTGACGAAGGTAACTCCACATGTTTGCTCAGACCGGAAACTGCTTTTAGGGGTCACAAAGTAAATAGAATCCCATATAGAGTCGATCCCCAGAGCCTCATTTTTCTGTGCCTACTTATCACCTACCTTTGAATTTGAAGCATCGCGTATCCCAGAGCATACCTCACATCAATCATCCCTTTGTTGCATGAAAGCCTGCACCAGACAAGATGGATGTACTCAAGACTCTCAACAGCAACCCCAAGCCAACAATGGGCAACCTGACCTTCTCGTACACACATCTCGCAGCCATCTCCATCCTTGTACCGACGATACGACACCTCTATGTCGATTACCAAAACTTCATTGCGTTAGGTCCAGGAGGAACACCAAAGACGATCATAGGCTACTGCAAGGTCAAGGCACTGGGCATGTTCGCTCTCCGGAACCCATATACACCACCAAAGATTCCATGGTCCATGACACAGAAGGAGGGCTGTTTATCAGACCTGCCACCGCGCGAAGGCTCCCGTCCTTCGACTCTTGGGATCGCACCTCACCGTCAGACCGACCAGAAACCATCGCGAGAAATGTACGAGAAGCTAGCCAGTGCAATCCACACTATTGCAGATGACAACATGCATCTTCATGAAGGAACATCGTGTTTCGAAAAGCACGGCACTGGCTTATTCAGCGACAACCCACAACGACGCACCTGCGGAGNNGGGGAAATCTACCATGCCCACCCCTCGGACGGATCTTTGCATCTGACGCTACACCCCGCGGATGCCAAACTCATGCTCGAGGGTTGTTGGGGTGAGAGACATCCTCTGGCAAGAGGCGGATGGCTGGAAAGGTTCGTCCCTGGAGGATTCGTCATGATTTATGCGCCGCGCAACGACAGCGAGCTCGAAGTGGTGCTGGAGATAGTGCGTGCTGCAGCATGGTATGTCGGAGGTGAAGACATCAAGAGCGAGCACGACAAACGCAGAGACAGTGCTCAGGCAGGGGATGTCGCATAGAAATTGAGGATTGTTGTTTGTCAAGAGAGGAACTTGTGAGTAGGAAGGCCGGAGGGCACCGAAGGGCCGATCGTATCGATTGGAGTGGGGGGGTCGCGGGCACAACTGCATTGACCAGAGAGGGCATTGACATGAACACGAACATGGACACGGCTTGGATTGAATACACGGCGGTAGCGAGGTGAACGGAGTTTTCTTCCTGATGTCTTTGTATTTGCGGGCTTGGTATGGACGTACACGATGATGAATCTCACACGGCTTGTTAGAGCTTTGAATATGACATCAAACCGCAGCCACGTCAAAGCACTCAGCCCTTGGACGAACCGTCTCTCGAGAAGACAACAAATGAGCCAAAGGTTCCAGCCGGCAGGCGACTTCACGGCGAGATCGACCTGCGGGCGGCTGCAGGGCAAAAGCAGTAGAAGCGTTTCCAGCCAATTGCCAGACACTCTGGAGATTACGTGCTTGCTGGGTTCCACTCTTTGTTTTTGCGGCCGCGCAAGGATTCGACAGTTCGATAAGGATTTGAGCGGACATTCCAAAGCTTGCACGGTGAGAAGGTGGAATCGACATGGGCCAATCTGATTCGCAGAGCGGTTTCCACGACCTAATAATACACCCGTTCTTAAGATAAACCAACTCTTTTCCGGTTGATGAAGTCCAGAGTTGGAAATCGTTGAAAGATGACCGCGTGGAGAGCGTTGCCGCACGAACAAGCTCAGAGGCTGGAGATGGCGGACGCCAACGGGCACGCCTGACGCCACATCTCGGCGTACGACATCTGGAAATGCTTTCAACCTTTCCTCTGACCACACCCTTCGCCTTAGCCGCGGCCGCCACGATTGCTTACTTGATTTGTCTTTGCAACTAAGCTCTGATCCTCCCAGACTCGTCCCGTCATTTATAAACTGCTGGTCTGCCGCCACGCGCATCCCTCCTTCTACTCAGTCTCAGTACACCAATTCGACTCGACTGTCTATCAACCTTCCGAAAACCTGGTGGTTAATGCTGCCTGAATTCAACCGACGCGACCTTTTCACCTATTTCACGCTCGTCCGGAGCATTCGTTCGATAAAATGGCGTTAGGAAATCTCTTCAAGCAGAAGCCTACTATCGTTGCTGATGCACCACCTCTCCCAAACGCGCCCGAACTTGAGAAGCCAATGATTGGCAATGAGGGATATGGCGGTCAAGCTCCCGGATACGATCCCGAGAAGACTGGTCCCAAGGGCATGAAGATGAACAGAATCGACGGCCCTATAACCAAATCCATCGGCCAATCAGGCGATCTCAGCGATGACAGCTCCGGCATGACTGTGGGAAAGCAGATGGAGATGGAGGCCGGAAATGCCATCAAGTACAGGACTTGCAGTTGGCCAAAGGTGTGACCCTATCGCGCGTGTTTTGTTTCCTTACACTCCCGATCGCGACATGGAGCGAGCCGACTCTCTGCCCAATGCGACAAACCCTTTTCCTTTTTCCAATCTCCTCATGCAACAAGCCCTTGCACCATTTCCTTCTTTTTATCTCCTTGATCCGTTCGAAACATTGAAGAACAGCTCCTTCACCGAGCGTATAAGAACCGACCTAATCCTTCTAATAGACCGCCGCGTTGTTGTTTTCTGAGTACATCTGCCTGGCTATCATGTCGTTCCCATACTCGTACGCCACCCTGGGCCTGGTTCCTGGTCTCATCTTGACCGTGGTCATTGCCGGACTGGTCCTGTACACTTCTCTGGTTCTCTGGTACGTGGAACGCAAAGTTATCTCAAAAGGCGCTTCTAATAAACATGTAGGGNAATTCTGCCTGCGCCACCCTGAAGTCAAGGACGTCTGTGATATTGGCCAAATGCTCTTCTGGGGTCAAAGATGGGCATGGTGGGCTACTGCTTTCATGTTCATCTTGAACAACACCTTCATCCAGGGTCTGCATTGCTTGACTGGAGCCAAGTACCTCAACACCATGACTGGCCACGGACTCTGCACAATCGGCTTCAGCGCCATCGTTGCCTCTGTTTCCTTCTTTGCATCGCTCNCCCGTACTTTCAACACTCTTGCTTTATTGGGTACAGCTTCTGCATTCTTCACCTTCATCTCGGTGATCCTGGCTACTATCTTCTCCGGCATCGAGGACCACCCTGCTGGATATCCCAAGTTTGGAGAGCCTCGCGTGCTCGCGATTCCCGAGTCAGGAACCACTTTCGTTGCCGGAATGTCTGCATTCATGAACATCAGCTACACATTCATTGGACAGATCACTCTGCCCTCGTTCATTGCCGAGATGAAGAACCCTCGGGATTTCCCCAAGGCTCTCTGGGCTGTCACCATCGCGGAAGTCATTCTTTTCTCGCTTGTTGGTGCCATCATTTACGCATACACCGGCACCCAATACTACACTGCACCCGCTTTTGGATCTCTGAGCAACGAGGTGTACAAANAAGTCAGCTTCTCGTTCATGATCCCCACCATCATTTTCCTGGGCGTGCTCTACGCCTCGGTGTCGGCTCGCTTCGTCTTCTTCAGGATCTTCGCTGGCACTAGACATATGGGCGAACACACTGTCATCGGCTGGGCGAGTTGGGCTGGTATCCTGCTTTGCACCTGGATCTTGGCCTTTATCATTGCTGAGGTCATTCCCTTCTTCAGTGATCTGCTCTCGCTCATGAGCTCGCTCTTTGACAGTTTCTTTGGATTCATATTTTGGGGCATGGCATACCTTCGCATGCGTGAAGCAGACTACGGACCGGGCTACTGGAAGAACAGAGGATTTAGAGGAACTTTTGGGTTCGTCTTCAACCTGGTTCTTATTGCCATTGGATTGCTGTTCCTGAGTGGAGGCACATATGCATCTGTTCAGAGTATTGTGGACGGATACAAGTCCTCAACATACGGTACAGCCTTCTCATGCGCCGACAATGGTCTTTAAGAGACCAAGAGACATTGACAGCTTGAGAATGAGAGTTACTCGGACGCTAGAATGACCATCATGACGGCCTGGACGTGTACTAGTAATGGGCGCATGTTATTCTTTCTTTGTTCTTTTGCTTTTAACTAAATTGATAGCCACCTAGTACTTATAATTGATCTTTCTTGTTCTACTGGTACACATCTCTATCACGCTTCATGTCAGTCCATCAAAGCGATTTCCGATTTACATGTGATAGATGCCAAGAGAAGTGACGAGGTGGTGCCGTTGAGCCGCACGAGCTTGTGCCATGTGTTCTTCTCGGAAGAGCACCTCTCCAACTCCCTCCAACTTCTGTTTTCGTTTGACAACAAACCACTATCGGTCACTTTTGTACACGACTCTTTGAATTCATCCATTGCTGCCATGTCTGCAACCTCCGACTACGTTGATCTTGGACAACCTTTGTTCTGGTGTGAGTGTTGGAAACTACGAAGACTTCACCGAGTTGGGATTCTTGAACACGGCAAGCTGATTCGAGACGCAATACAGNTGACTGCAGCCAGCATTTGTTTCAACCCTACCTTTTGGAAGTAAGCAAGTTCCATCTGGAGTTTTGTCTCAAAACAACCATACTGATAACCTTCTAGCACAGCTGCAAGATCAGGTAAGGTTCACTGTTCGAAAGTCTATGAGCACGACGAAAGAAGATGCAGAAATTACTGTGATATCAACCAAGAAGAAGAGAGAAAGAGATCAAAGAACAAAGAAATTGACGTTTTTGCACGTCTTCCAGAGTACCACAACAAGACCATCACCAAGCTGTTTGGCGGCAACTCGCTGTACGGCTGCTATGCGCTCGCCGTGACAATCTTCACCCTTGGAATCGTTCGAGACAGCATGTACGCATCCTTTCTCTACCGTCTTGATCAAGAAGCAACCACCCATTACGCGCCAAACACACAAACTGCCTTGTCCCACAAAGCACCAACCTTCCCAAAGCGACACAAGATATCAAAAGGATCCCAACTGTGTTGATTTGCTAACAGGACCAAAGCTNACGAACGCGCTCTCCGAACTCAACCCACCCACCCGCTCCTGCTGGGCCCGGTCTCTGAGGCCCTAGCCATCGCTTTGTTCGTATCCGGCAACGTTCTCGTTCTCACCTCCATGTACGCTCTCGGCATCACCGGTACCTACCTCGGCGACTACTTTGGCATTCTCATGGACGACATGGTGACAGGCTTCCCGTTCAACGTTTGCTCGGCTCCCATGTATTACGGCTCCACTCTGAGCTTCCTGGGATCGGCATTATGGTTTGGCAAGCCTGCAGGAGTGGTCTTGACAGGACTGGTGTTCTTGGTCTACAAGGTCGCTTTGACGTTCGAGGATCCTTTTACTGCTGGTATCTATGCCGAGAGGGAGAGAAAGCAGAAGGCCGAGGGCAAGAAGGTGCGCTGAACACCTCGAGATCATGGCCCAGAAGAAAAGAAAGACGTGAGGAGAGGAGGATAGCTGAGGCAAGAATGGGGTAGGAGGGAATAAAACACACTTGCTCGTCGCGAGACTATGTTTGGCAGAAGGAGATTCAACATGGAGTGGTTTGGTATGAGACGACGGCGGGGAGAGGCTGGACACGAGACACGATTTCAACATGGTTCCGTATATAATATGTACATGTCATTACAAAAGTTGTCGTTGCAGTTCCTGTCCCTGTGCATCATCCAAGTCGTATGCCCAAAGTGTGTTCCAGCATCTTCACTTGATCATCAAACCTCTCATAGGCAGCATCTCTCAATCTCATATCCTTCCTGTCACGTTTNCCTATGCTCTTCCATCAACCTCCGCACCTTTAGCTCTTACCTTTGCATCCTAGTACTTACAGGGCAGTGGGCACATCCCTATGTCTACAGCCCCAGACGTGCATCAAATTCTTCACTACCTTGTCCTCGAGCCCTTTGTATTTTGCAGCGTTGTTCAAAAACTCCAAAGTCTGCGATATTTGTTGCGAGTCGAAGGGAGATGTGGGGTTGCGGAACGAGGAGCGGAGGTGGGATTGTAGAGTGAAGCGGGCGGGTTTTGCGTAGCGGATTGCTTGGAGAGATGTTCGGAGGAGATGGCGGTATGCGTGGATTATCTCTTGCGACATTTGAATCGTCCTGGACCGTGTCGTGATGTTTGTCAATAGAAAGTTGAGGATGACGCTGGTGGAGAGACAGGGCCGTGTTTGGTTTGTTTGTTTTGGGAAGATGCATGAATGCGATGGATAGCTACAATCTTCGTATCCTGGAAGCTGTTCACAGTCGTGTCGCTTCTGAGAATGACGACAACAGAGCTACTGGCTCATCCCATAGTAATTAGTCTTGCTGTCGTTCTTGTCGCAAGTGCTGCAATGGGCTTGTTCTCGTCCAACAAGCATTTCCCCATTGAGGGAAGGGTGAGATGGTCGCAAACACTCGGGTTGGTGCACAAGTGCTGATACGATGTGACACAGACGGTACTGATTACAGGAGGCTCGAGTGGTGTGGGAAAGGCTCTCGCGACGAAACTGGCCCAACAGGGTGCAAACGTGTGCATTGTCGCGAGAAACCAGGCCAAACTCGACCAAGCGATCGAGCACATCAAGGTACTTCTTTCTACATAACTCGTCTGCCTGATCTATGCGTATACCAACTAAACCACCTACGCAGNNGCACACGCCAAAACTCCGACCCAACGATTCCTAGCCATCAGCGCCGACTGCACCTCTCCCGAAGACAACACCCGCATCCTCGCCGAAACCACTTCATGGAACAACTCCCAAGCACCCGACATCGTCTGGGCAAACGCCGGCTCATCGTCCCCGGGCCTCTTCATCGACACTTCCCTTGAAACACATCGCTCCCAGATGGACACAAACTACTGGGCCTCTTTCTACCTCGCCCACGCAACCCTGAAACTCTGGCTCGCACCACAGCAAAAGAAGGAACATAACAAGACAAGACACTTCATCATCACATCCAGCAGCGTCGCTTTCGTAGGCGTTGCAGGATACTCACCATATGCTCCCGCCAAAGCCGCTCTCAAGTCTTTAGCCGACTCGCTGCGCATGGAGTTGAATCTCTACAACGGCAGCATGAAGTCTTCTTTGCCTTCTCCTGCTGCCGCTACGCAAATCCATTTGGTCTGCCCTGGCACCATCCTGACTCCTGGCTACGACGCAGAAAACGCTACCAAACATCCTGTCACCAAGATTCTGGAATCTGGAGACCCGAAACAGACAGGAGACGAGGTGGCAGATGCTGCATTGAAGGGATTGCAGAGAGGTGACTATGTCATCACGACCCAATGGCTGGGTCATGCTATGAGAGTGTCTGCTCTGGGTGGCTCTCCCAGAAATGGCTGGGGTGTTGTAGATGTCCTCTTCGGCTGGGTGACTGCCATTGCTTGGCTATTCATTGCACCCGATATGGAGGGCAAGGTGTGGAAATGGGGCAAAGAGCACGGCTGCTCGTGATGTTCCGATGAGAAAAGTTTGATCGTTTCCTGTATGATACCCCTCCATCTCGAATATACTGCTTTATCTTGTAGTATATCGACTTACTCACACTGTCCAAGTGTTACGACGCTACTCCTTCACGGCATCAACCGTTACCATAAGCTATGAAAATGCACAATCTAAGTTCGGAATAGAGATGTGTCCAGTGAGAGCCTATGAGATGGGAGCTCTCACTGGAAGTGTACTAATTTTCATAACATCATGCGTTTCTACACGTATTCCTTAGAAAGCCCAGCACACGGAGAGGCCGGCGTGAGAATATATCAACAACGAGTCTTCACCAAATACAAAGTAAGTGTGAGTAAGACAACTAGTCAGGTGAAAACAAGGTTCACTACTAGAACTGAGCTGTGTATAAAACTCCGGCCATGACCCAAGCAACTCTCAGCAACAAAAGAAAAGAGCATTGCGAACGGCAACTCGTCTAACAACAAAGACACCGCCAAGGACAATCGAGTTGATGGGGAACACGGAAGTGGGTGCTCGTTTCTCTCGACACCTGTATGTGTCCGACTCCAAAGAAACAACTCGGGTTCCGGACGTTTTGGACATGATAGAAGGCCGCATATTGGGTGCAGTGTGCTTTTTGGTTATTGAAGCTACGCACGAGAGGTGGCAGGCAACATGAGAAAGGACGAAGCGGATGAAGTCGCTGTGTAACCCGATAACTGAGTGATGGGGTGAAGATTCTTTGTCGCCTTTCCGGAGCTGATTCGTTGGATAAAAGAGGCCTATAATAACGCACGATACTTTTTTTTTTAATATGCAAAACTATGAGGCAAGAGCGTAGGTGAAGTGTGCCCGGTTCACCACTTGAGCATCCAAAAGCCGGTCATCGCGACTGCCATGCCTGGTAATCAAGAGATGTAAAAATGCAAAATCTCATTCGAGTCTGCTACAGGAAAGAGCGAGATGACCATCATCAATTTCCTTGAAATCCCTCAATCGTTTTCCTCATCACTTGCTCCACAATCTTGATACTCTCGACATCCACCCATTCATTCTTTCCATGCAGACCTTCACCCACGGGTCCGAATACCAAAGACGGAATACCAGCCTCACTCAGCAACGCAGCGTCGGTCCAGAATTTGGCTGCTGTAGGCTGCTTTTCCTTCTCTCCTTGCACATCAGCAATCGCCTTTCTTGTTGTAACGAGTAAAGGATCTGTTTCCGACATTGGCAGCAAAGGCTTGCGCTCGAAAAGCACCTTTGGCAATTCATACTTGAACTTCTTGTCTGCGGCAGCAAGTTTGTCGAGGATACTTGTGATATCCTTGACGATTGCATCAGAAGACTGGGAGCTGCCGCTGTCGTTCACAGTGCGAAACTCGAGGGTCAGTGTGCAAGAACCGGCGTAACTGCTGTTCTCCTCTCCGCCTCGGATGGTACCGCAATGCATCGTTGCTTGTCCCAAGACATCATCATTAGGCAATGTCACGGCGCATGTTACTGCTCTGAGGAAATTCGCAGCAGACATGATGGCATCTACGCCTGTTTGAGCATCGGAACCGTGCGCAGCAACTCCAAGGATGGTGACTCCAACCCACACGAAACCCTTGTGTGCATGGTGGAGTTGCAGAGAAGTGGGTTCGGGGATCAATGCAGCATCTGCTTTCCATCCTGCTGCAAGAACAGCAGTAGTACCGATGCTTTTGTCTTCTTCGTCTGCTACAGCGGTGAAGATGACATCGCCTTTGCTGCCATGCGTGGAGAAATATAGAAGTGTGGTCATGGCAGCTGCAACCCCAGCTTTCATGTCTAGCACTCCTCTACCATAGATTCTTCCATCGACTAGGCTGCCGCTGAGGGGATCGGAGCCGTAGGTTGATAGNGAAACTGTGTCAATGTGCCCGTTCAGCATGAGAGATTTGGCTTTGGGGTCGCTACCACGAACAACTCCCACGACAGAAGGGCGACCTGGTACTGACTCGATGACATGAGTCTCAATACCACGATGGTGTAGCCATTGCGTGATGAATGCTGCAATGTTCACTTCTCCTAGTGCAGAACCCGTCGTATCCAGCGAAGGACTCGAACTATCAATCTGGACAAGTTGTTGGGTAACGGTCACAACATCGTCGGCACTGACATCAAGAGGTATATCATAAGCTCTCTTGGCTTCGGTGTTGATCAGTATCACCGAAGATCCTTTTGCGACGTGTCCTTCAGCGACAAGTCTCTTCAACGCTGCCAGACCAGAAGCACCACAAGGACCGGCATTGACACCATGACGATGCATATCTTGCACTGCGACATGAGTTTCAAAGTCAGATACTGTGGTGCTCAGATCGATGTAGTCACGAAGGTACGGCCAAGAAATGGAACTCAACGTGCCGCAATTGCAGCCAGCGTTGACAGTATTGGAAGTGACGATGGACGTGGCTTCCCCAGCAACGAGAGAAGCGTGCAGACAAGCGGCTGTATCTGGCTCCACGGCTACAGTCTGGAAGTTTCGTCGTCCTCTGGCGTATCTAATTACTGCTTGTGCCAAAGAGCCTACGCCAACGGGTGTGATGATGGTTGTTGGTTGTACATTCAGTCCTTGCAGCTGTTCTTCCATCTCGGCAAAGATAGTCGCATAGCCGTCGATAATCCAGGTTGGAATATCCTCGTAGCCTTCAAAGGCTGTATCTTGCACAAGGATATTGTTCTTCGATGCTGCAGCGGCAGAAGCAGCAGTGGAGACAGCAAAGTCATAGTCTCCTTGGACCACAACCACTTCCGCTCCCTCGGCAGCAATCAGACGCAGGAAGTTTGGATGCAGATCGTGAGGTACGTAGATGGAAGACTCAATGCCAAAAGACCGAGCCATCCAAGCGATCGCTCTTCCATGATTGCCATCTGTAGCCGCCAACAGCCTGCATTTCCGATCTCTAGCAATGGAAGCCACCTGTTCCAGAGTAGCTGACTCGAATTCCAAGTCCAAGTGCGAGATGAGAGCACGGAAGCAACCCCAAGATGCTCCGGAGGCTTTGAAGGAAGGTAGACCGAAACGTGATGATTCGTCCTTGACGTAGATGCCGCCAAGACCTAACTCTGCAGCGAGGTCGTCCAAGGAAAGGAGAGACGTAGGCTCATATCCGATGAGTGCCTTGTGGAAAATGTGTTGGATGGTAGAGTCGGCTACGGCAATGGACGGACTCGGTGACGTTTGGCGAACCCATGTGGTTCTTCGGGACGAAGGTTTTTCTGGGGACTTGAATCGAAGAGGCATTTTTTGACGGGTAAGAATGATAACGTACAGGAGAAATGCCGACCCCAAGAGCACTGCAACTATAAAGCTGACGAGATCGATTCAATTCCTAATTTATATGTTCAACACCGTCGGACTTCCGTCTGGGGATAGAGTTGTGGTGTGTCAAATCTGAGCCTTTGATTCGGAGTTCCAATGGAAAGCCGACGGAACAGATGTTCGGAAAAGTTGGGTTGAAATCGGAAAACTCGTCGGTAAACTGATAGTCATTGTTTACTAGACCTACTGTGCTCGCGATAGCCACATCAGGACGTCTCTCAGCGTGATTAGACCACCTTTACGCCAATCGGGCTGACTGCATATCATTCTGTCCATGTGTTCAAATCACTTGTCGCTATACACTATATCTCTCAGTCAGCATCGGTTTCAGAAGCTAGTTTCTTTTCTGTTGAACGAGAGTCAAGATTTATGGCTCCGATTTGCCTTTTGTTGCAATCATATCCCTCCTCCTACCTTACCCATAGACCCTAGAAGAGTAGAGGGTATGGACAGGAGAATGTAGTTGGGAATCATAAGTATCTGTTTTTGTCTTTTGTGTCTTCATGGCCATGTGTTGTGTGTGTGTGTGTGTGTGTGTGTGAGGAGGTGAAGAGAATGAGACTTACAGACTGTGTCTGTCATCACAGCAGACTTTCAACCGTGAAGTATTCGCCAAAGATATCGAAGCCAGCCAAGGCATCGAAGTCCCCCATCCCCATGACTTGAGAGGGCAACGGCGTCTCAGCAGTGTGAGATGGTGCCTCTACAACACCACTTGTGGCGTCTTCTCCGCTTGGGTCTGCGTGCCTTGACCTTTCTAATGCGCGTTGTACAATGAGCCCATGCTTGAATGCAATGTGCGACTCACCGCACGCGACTTTGAAAAGATATGCTCGTAGGTTCTCTACCAAGTGATGATCGATTGCGCTTTCGCAAAGCACTAGTGCAGCGTAGGATGCGATGAAGAACGCGAAGTCCGGTAGGTCAGGCGCTTGGTCTGCAGAGTGACGCACAAACTGCGAGACAATATTCGCACTTTCGCGCCAAGCCGGTATATTCTTTTCCTGCATAGCTTGCGATGACAAGTCCTGCTGAGAAGAGGCATTGCGACGGTGAAGCAGCAAATGCCCAAACCAGTGAGACAACTCGAGTGTCCTCGGCGGGCCAGAGCTAGTAATAAAGCGGCTCCATGCAACGTTCCAAGAGGTGAACGCGGAGTCTGCAGTCGCCGTAGGATTTTGTAGAGCTGTGTGGAGGCAGATGTAGAATTGTAGCTCGGCTATCAATGGTGTGTCGAAAGACATGATCGTAGGCTGCTCCAGTAGACGACGACAGCCATCCATGAGTCGAACTGAGATACTGAGGGGTCGGCCACTGCCTATGGAGTATCTGGGTTGTCAGTAGAGGTCAGGACATGTTAGTGTCTCCCAGTGGACATTGCTTGATATCTCAAAGTATTGTGTATTTCTGCAGCTATGCTAAGCAAGCACACAGGGAGTGGGGATGAACTTACTGTAGATGAGTCAGGCACAGTCCACTCCAGACACGCAACTGCTCAATGGTCCGCTCTTCGGTTGTACCTGGTTGTTTGACGTTGCTTGGCCCGAAAGCGACGACTGCATGGTTCGCAGTGCTAGCACTCAGGTGCCAACTGTCCAGAGGCTTATCGGTCTGTACAGCAGGACTGAACAGACAGAGTAGGGTCAGTGCCTGGATGACACTACTTGCAACAGGGGGTGTCGCTATGACTGCATCTGCAACGAGACGCTTCACGTGCTTGTACATATCTTGCACTGCCTGCGAAGGGATCCCGGGGTGATAACGTGTTGCCAGTAAGCAGAGCACACTCATCAGGAGAGGTGAGCTGTAGGAGAGACTCCGAGTCACATTACTGACGAACTTCACAATATCAGCTACAGGGATCCATTTGCTGTACCTGTCGATGGACCTGTCTGATGGTTAGCCCCTGATTAGCCCTCTGCGAGGCCCCCTCCCCATGTGCTTAGGTGCGCCACACTTACCCCTGACTGACATCTCACAACCGCGAGACAGCGTTCGATGGAGCTGTAAAAACACACAGTTACTTCCAAACGAGAGCTGATGCCACAGAAAGTCAGGAGGACCACAACTCTCAGCGGATAACACTCCTTTCTGGATAGTACTGCGTATTTCAACAGCAACATTGTGACGTGTTCAGCACACGGGGAGCCAAAAGATGCAATACTAACGTTCGAAGAAGCTGAACCGCAATTTCGAGAGGCAGGATACCCACGGAGACCACGTCAAGGCAGTCCGTCTCTTCCAAAGAAGATTGACCTGACTGAGTATATAACTCTGACTGCAGATCTTGAAGGATCTCGACTGGTTTGGGGTAACTGTGTGCTATGGTTGCATCTGTCGTGTGTTCCTCCGTGGGGCCATCAGGACTGTTCGAATCATTGACATCAACCCCGTTCAGGGCTGTATGAGGAAACACTGCCTCGGATAGCTTGGCAATCATCTGTTCAACGCTTTTCAGACGGTTCTCGACATTACTATCACTGGCCGAGTCCGAAGGAGCCGGTATCGAGACACGATTCAAACCACGCTTTGGCAGTTCGCACTCGAGACTTAAGTACTGTCAGGAAATGTGCCATGGTAGTTCAGTGGAAACGAACTCGAGTACTTGACAGCGATGGCACGCGTCAGCGCCCTGCTGAACTTCGCAGCGTGCTTTGGATGTGCGGCATGAAGTGCATGCTTTCCCAATACGTTGACGCTTGGCCGGTCGGTTTTGCTCGTCCATGTCGACGCGATGATTTCTGGTGCAGTGTACGTTGAAACGTCAAGATATGGAGAAAAATGGTTGCCCGAAGTCAGGCTTCCGCAGTAGAACGCATGGGATTCGCAACGGGCTGTTATCATGATGTCAACGACGTTGGCAAACCACGTACTTTGGTCGTGGACAGCTTTGTTCGCTGCTTCCGTCGGAGTCTTGCGGAAGAAGCGACCAAAGGCCAACTTCCAAGTCGCTCTCAATCAACACATGATCACACCTCAATAACATCAATGTCTTCACAACTCCATTACATCTCACAGTAATAGCACCATCAAGTTCCTCGGCCTTGTGAAAAAGCATACTCAACTAAAACATATCGACGAGATCGACGAGCCTTCAACAAAGCGACAGGCAATCATGGACAAACACAATGAGACTGTGAAACATATATCGAATCGCTTGAAGGACTTGTACTCACGAAAGGAGCAATTCCGAATCTTCCATGGCTCAACCAATTCAACAAGGAATTATTCGGTGGATCAAAACAGGATGATTGATACCAGCTCTTTAAATCATGTTCTCTCTGTGGACAAGTCAACCAAAACTGCATTGGTAGAGCCAAACGTGCCAATGGACAAGCTGGTTGAGGCAACGTTGCCGTTTGGCCTAATACCACCAGTGGTCATGGAATTCAAGGGCATAACTGCTGGCGGCGGTTTTAGTGGAACTGGAGGTGAGAGTTCAAGCTTCAAGCATGGCTCATTCGATTGCACTGTCGATTGGATTGAGATTGTGCTAGCTGATGGAGAAATTGCGAAGGCTTCTCCTGAATCGAAAGCGGACCTGTTCTATGGTGCAACCAGCTCGTTGGGTACGTTGGGGGTAACAACCTTGATGGGAATCCATCTCGTCGATGCGGAGCGATATATTGAAACCACATACACTCCGTGCAAGTCACTAGAAGAGACCCTGGAGAAGACAAAGACTGCTAGTAGTGATCTTGAGAACGACTACGTGGACGGTTTTCTGGTCTCCCTGCACAGAGGTATCGTAGTCACTGGTCGTCTAACTTCTTCTATATCCCGTGAAACGCGCATACAGAGATTTCAAGGTCCTCGGGATCCTTGGTTTTATATGCATGCGGATCGGACGACACAANAAGCTGGTGGACCAGTTAAAGAAGCTGTACCTTTGGCCGACTATCTCTTCCGTTATGATCGTGGTGCTTTCTGGATGGGCAAATACGCCTTCAGTTATTTCATGGTTCCCTTCAACCGCATAACTCGATGGGCTCTGGACGACTTCATGCAGACAAGCACAATGTATCATGCTCTACATGCCAGTGGACACATGCAGCAGTATATCATCCAGGATCTGGCCATCCCTGCTGCGAGCGTCAAGGACTTCATCGTTGCAGTCGACAAGACATTTGGGTTCTACCCTCTATGGCTGTGTCCAATGAAGCCATGGACGCAACAATCTTCTTTCCATCCGCAAGCCATTGAGACTGATCTTCTGATTAACGTCGGTGTTTGGGGTCCAAACGGAGCGAACAGTCCGGCAGAAGTGGTCCAGCGAAACCGCCAGTTGGAGAGTCTTGTTCGACAACACGAAGGCAGAAAATGGTTATATGCTCAAGCATTTTATTCTGAATCAGAATTCTGGAGCATCTACGACGAGAAATCATATCGTGAGCTGAGGAGCAAGTACAAGGCCGAGCATCTGCCTAGTGCTTTCGACAAGGCTTGCGTGAACAGTAATGGCGGAAATTCTAATGGCTGGGCCGCTTGGGCCAAGCAGAAGGTATGGTCTATTTGGCCTATATCTGGCGTGTACGGAGGTTTGCAGACATTGGTCAGCAAAGAGTATCTACTCAAAAAGTGATGATAATACTAGTTGTGCATTGGTAGTGGAGAAGGTCTGAGGGTGAAGATGACATACCTACCTATAATCTAGTCCTAGCTCTACTCGAGTACATCAGAGGTGGACAGTAACCCACCTTCAGACAGAATCTCTAAGCACCCAAGCTCATACGTAAAAGGTCATTTGATCAACTTTTGTTCGGCCTATCTTCAGCCTTTTGTGTTGTCAGGACCGACGTCATAGGGCCGTTTTGGTGGCAGGGATCCAAGGCAACACCTTTGTGGCTTCCTGCCCCTCATCTCTCACAAACTCCATAAAGCTCTCACAACTCTTTTCACCTACGTTCAAGACACCTACACCAAACCACAACCTACCAATCACACATTCAAACATGCCTCTCGTGATTCCCGGAATGCAGTCCAGCGGCGGCGACGACAAGACCTCCAAGTGGATGGAACAGCTCATGGGCAAGAAGCTTGGCGACAGTAACGATAACATGGTATGTGTCGGCCTTGTATTCATGATGATCTGGAGGGTAGTTGTTGACATGAGTGGTACAGNNACTTTCGCAAAGAAGGACCTTCCCCAGCAACACCGCGTCGTCAAGGGCGACTCGATGATGACCATGGACCACAACCCCGATCGGTAAGCACGAAGAAGAGATGCAAGACGACCAGAAGGAGACTGACCAAAGCCATAGTNNCTCAACATCCATGTCGGCGATGACGGTACCGTTCACAAGGTCACCCACGGTTAAGCTATTCTCAAGCTTGCTCGACGATCAAGAACCCAATCATGAAGACCACGAGAACAACAACGGCATATGACGGATAGGCATGGGGATACATAAACCAGGAAACAGACAATGATGACGATGAATGAAACATATCACATATTATCAACATTGTATCGGAGCCGTGCAATGTTGACGTGTTTTCGACATTAGTGTTACTGTAGCAAGCCGAGTATACGAATGAGGGTATGCTCCTCTGCTGTTAGGAGACGATATACGAAGCTATGCGTGATAGCGACGGAGACGGTAATGCACATGTTGCTCTTTCTGCGAGTTTTCACACCGCCATGTGTAACCATCTAGGCTTCTGAAAATGCCGGTATACATTTGTGTATGCAGGGTCTCGCTCATGCGCGTACCTTCGCATCGCCCTGCAGTTTTCGTCAGCCCTCTCGCCGTTTGACTTTTGAGGCTCGGAAAGATCTTGCGTCAAACTGTCTTGCAAGAACAAAAGCATATGAAGAAAGAATCTGTCAGATATGAAAGCAGCTGTCAAGACGGCCGCTATACAAGTGACACCCGCTCTGGGGGTGTCTCCGGCGAGAATGGAGCAGCCCCACACCCTCTGCCATCGCCGAATTGGCGGTCAGTCGGCTCTGGCGACTCACGACAAGTTAATTGCATTTTTGCCCCTCTTCATGCAGCGGGGCGAGCGGCAGCTATGGCGCATAGCATACGAACGAACATTCCCGGCTAGATGTGACTGATCGCAGTAAGTACAAGTGTGGCATACGAGACGCCTTGGTGAGGCGTCTCTCTCCTTTTTCTGATTTCTTGAGCAAGTCGACGGCAAGGGGATTTGGAACAGAACCCTTGCTGCCTCTTTACATTGGTGTACTGCATATCAAGAGGGAGACACAAAGGCATTTGAAGGAACGTGCATCACATCTCGATATAGTCTTGTGACTGCTGCTTGGTTCGCAGCGAATCATCAGCTTCCCTGCTNNTTGGTTTGGTGTCTTTTGATTGCACCTTCCCAGCCGCCGCAATTATTTCCCTGCTCGAAGGTACGAGGTAACTCAACACGCTCCGTCTACATTCAGAACGTCCTCGAGAAGCCTAGATCTGGAACACGACCGTGGCATTCGCTACTCTNNTTCTCGGATCTTCTGGCAAAAGAAGAAGCATCTGATGCAGTAGATTGACATCAAANNATGGCGGTTCCTATCGCGCGCGCGTTGTCGGCGCGTCTTCCGCAGTCCCTCGATCTGAAGCTTCCACCAACCAGCGACTCGACTCAACGACTGCTGCAGAAATGCGCTGGCCATGCATACAACGACCCTCACGATGAAACATTTACGAAGACCCTCAAACTACCGACGTTACCGTCCCTCGACCTCGCGGAAGCACCCCCAAACTACAACGACTGCATAAACGACTGCCCACCAGATTATACGAACACCGATGCCCTTGCGACGTTAAGTCTCGACCCGCCTGCTTATGCGCCATCTATATGTATATCAGAAGAATGCAGAGAAGAGACATCCCATCCGACTGAACCGAAGGTCGACTTCGGATACCGCGACAATTTGCGCGAGCACAAGAAGAAGAAAAAGGGCGCTGCTGCAGCAAAGAACAAATGGGACAGCGATAACGAAGAGGAAAATAAGCCCGAAGGTGACAACAATGCTGATCAGCCAGGCGATGCTGGTGGCAGTGGAGGCGCAGATGGTGCTGGAGGAGAGGGCGGAGAAGGAGGAGGTAATGATGACGACGATTGGGATGACGGCAAGAAGAAGGGCAAAAAGGACAAGAAGAAGAGCGCTTTCAGCTGGGACGCCCTAGATGACGAAGAGAACAAGGACGAGGAAGAGAAGAAAGATGATCTACCTGTCGAGGAAGCTCCTGCAGAGGATGACGAGTGGGCAGGCTTCACGACCGCTGCCAGCAAGAAGAAGAAAAAGAAGGGCAAGGACGCCGAACTCGATCCTCCACCCGATGATGGACCACCGAAGGTTGATGTCGACTTTGGCAACAGCAATAGTTTCAGCTTCGGCAGCAACGGAGCTTGGGGAGCTAAACCGGCAGAGGATGACGGATGGGCTACTTTCGGCACCAGCAAGAAGGACAAGAAGAAAAAGACAAACGCTTTCGACTTTGATTTCGGAGATGCTGATGGAGGCGGAATGCCTGAAGAATCTGCGCCTCCACCAGCAGAAGAAGAGGCAAAGACAGACGACAATCCTTGGGCTGCGTTCGGTTCGGGAAAGAAGAAAAAGAAGGGCGGTGCTGTTGAAGAACCTCCACCTCCAGAACCTGAGCCCGAGATTGTCGTTGTTCAAAGCCCAGATGAGCCTGTTGACGACTTCTCTTGGGGCATGAGTGCCAAAGACAAGAAGAAGGCCAAGAAAGCCGCCAAAGCCGCCGCACTTGCTGAGCCTGAACCTGAACCTGAACCTGAACCTGAACCTGAACCTGTCGTCATTGTCGAGGAACCACTGCCTGAGCCTGAAGCTCCCGCCGAACCCGAATCAGCTCCAGTAGAAGACTTCTCCTGGGGTATGAGTGCCAAGGACAAGAAGAAGGCAAAGAAGGCTGCGAAAAAGGGAGGCAATGCTTTCGAATTCATTGCTGAGCCAGAACCTGAGCCTACTCCTGTTCCAGAGCCTGAATCCGAGCCGCCAGCTATCGAGGTCGTCGAAGACCTTGTTCCACCCGCTGCTGAGCCGGAACCCGTGGATGACTTCTCCTGGGGAATGAGCGCAAAGGACAAGAAAAAGGCAAAGAAGGCAGCCAAGAAGAGCGCTTTTGACTGGTCAGAACCCGATCCTCCTGCAGCGCCAGACCCGCCTCCCGCTGAAGAAGCACCACCTGCTAACGATGCTACCGCTCTTGCTATCCCAGAGCCCCCACAAAATGACTGGCTTGGCTGGGGCACTGCGGGCAAGAAGAAGGATAAGAAGATCGCCGAAGAGGTTCCACCAGAAGTGCCTCCACCTCCACCCGCTGCTCCCAAGCCTGCTGTTGAAGAGAGCAGTAGCTCATGGTCATTTGGCTGGGGTTCATCTTCGAAGAAAGACAAGAAGAAGAGCAAGTCTCCTGAACCCGAACCTGTTCCTGTGCCCGAGCCTGTGCTTGAAAAAGACCCAATCGTCATGGTTCCCGAGTCTATCGACGAGCCAAAAGTAGAAGAAGACGACTGGGCGGGCTGGGCTACAGGCAAAAAGTCAAAGAAGAAGGGGAGTAAGAATGCCCCTGTCGAGATTGTGGAGCCTGTGTACGATGTTCCTGTCCAGCAACCTGATCCTGTGCCTGCTGAAGAAGACGCCTGGGCTGGATGGAGCGTGGGCAAAAAGGAGAAGAAGAAGAGTAAGAAGGGTGATGACATTCCTCCGCCCCCATTGCCTGCGATCGAACCACCACCCATGGAAGTTATTGAGTCTATTCCTCCGCCCCCACCCGGACCCGAACCTACTGCCGAACAAGCACCGGCCGATGATCCTTGGGCTTCATTCTCGACTAAGAAGAGCAAGAAGGATAAGAAAAAGAAGGGCTCAAGCGTCGAAGAGCCGAAGCCGGTCGTTGAAGTTCCGCCCCGCCTCCTGAACCCGAACAACTCCTTGACTTACAAGAGCCTGAAATCGAGCCTGAATCTATCGTCGTGATCGAGACTCCACATACCGAAGAGCCTGTCAAAGAGGTCAAGAAGAAAGAAGTCAAGANCATCTTCTGGCTGGGGTAGCAGTCTATGGGGTAGCTCGAGCAAGTCCAAATCGTCGTCCAAAGATAAGGAGAAAGATAAGGAGAAAGAGAGAGAGAAGAAGGAGAAGGAGGAGAAAGAAAGACAAGATCGTGAAGCAGAAGAACAGCGCAAAGCAGATGAAGAAGCAGCATTTGCAGCAGCTCTGGCTGACGAGCCCATTGACTTACTTCTCGAGTCTGAACCTGTGGTTCAAGAACCCGCCACTACAGGCTATTGGGGTACGTTCTTGAAGCCAACCACAATCAGCAAGGCCGTGGAGGAACCCATCGATGCCAAAGGTAAGGTTGATACTGGTGCCAAGGAGTCCGTCAAGGACAGGATCAAGCGCTTGCAAGGCGAGGCTACAAAGGATAAAGTGGTTGTTGTACCACATGCCCCTCCGGAACCAGAGCTGCTCCCTGAGCCTGAGATTGTCGTGGTGCCCGAAGCTGAAGTCATCATCGTGCCTGAACCGCTCGTGGTTGAAGAAGCACCTGCCAAGAAATCATCGAAGGACAAGAAGAAGAAGAAAGGCAAGGAGAAAGAACAATCACCTCCACCTCCGCCCGCTGCTATCGAGATCNCCCCGCATGTCGTTGGGGTGCCTCCTTCTTTGAGCCCTATCCCAGGTGGCTTCCCTGAGGATGACGTTGAACTTGAAGTGTTGGCTGATGTACCTGCTGTACCACCAGCCATTGTCCTTGATACCTCGGCCGGCGCACACGTCAAGCCACCCCGAGTCCATGCAGTGATACCACCTTCGACCGCGGCCGTCATACCATCTGAGGAAGTGATGCCCAAATCTTGCTCTGACAAGAAAGCTGTCAAAGACAAAAAGTCCTCTGTCAAGAAGGAAGTCAAGAAGCCTACGAGATCTTCGCGTCCGACAACCGTTGATCTTGCCGCGCCAGGTATACCTGCCGAAAGCAACTCTGAGAAGAAGGAACGACCGAGAGTTGTTCGTGACCCGAGTGGAAGCTCACACTGGGGTCTGTGGGGAACAACACCCAAGGTAGAGCCAAGGAAGGAAGACAGACCCAGAAAAGACACGATAGCTCCGACCGCCAAACGATCAGCCGCTCCCGGACTCACGCGATCAAAATCAGCACGCAAGTCTAACGAACGGGATTTCATGGATAAAACCGACAAAACTTCTAGCGACGACAAACAATCAAGAAAAGCCAGCAGAGGCCCTTCCACCCCAGCTAAAGGCATGGGATTCGGTCTGTTCGGCCCTACACCCACAAGATCGCGATCGATGCGACAATCGACTTCTGCGCAACGGCCTGCTCAGGTCAGAGAGTCACGCCGTTCTCTCGATGTGTCATCCCCGCCTGGCGACATTGCGAGCAAAGCAGCAAAGTTGATGGGACTTGGACCTCGACCATCACTCAGTCGCAGTCAATCTACACGTGAAAAGCGCAAGTCACGCACTGTCCCAGATTCTTACGCTATTGATCCCGACAACACACCCGATGACGCCACTCATTCTGCGTCTGTAGACAGGTCCAGCAGTCATCGCACAAAGAGATCCAGCCGAAGCGATCACAAGCACAATGAACGCGATTCAGCCATGATGTCCGGCGGCTTAGGACCTTCAGATGGCGATGGAGCAGATCTTATGACGGCACCTGAGGACACACCATTTGTAACACCTTCCTGGCCAATGCTCAAACGCTCAGCGACGACCAGCAACAGGAAGCCAGCAGGCGGCCTCTTCAGTAACATATTTGACTCACTCAAACCAAAACCTGTGGAGGAACTATCCCGCCGGCATCGTAGCAATCGTGCATATGACAGCGAGGATGGTTCCGCGCATCACCACAGACATCGCACACCACACTCTTCGTACCGCGACGAGGATGAGGACACTAAGCGCCATCTCCGCCGCGAACACAGACGTGTTCATCGGCCCGAAGACACGCCTTCCACTCCACTAGAAGGATACCCGCCAACACCAGCGGCAGACAATACTGAATCTGAAGACCGCGAACGCCGGCGTGCAGAGCGTCGGGCCAAGCGTGCGGCATTGGAAGCGGCGGAAGAGGACCTGCGTGCACGAGAAAAAGCCACCAGACGCCGAGAGCGCGAAGATGCTGAACGCACCAGACAGGACGAGGAAGATCAACTTAGACGTCAACGACGAGCAGAACGTCATGCCTCACGCCGCTCCAGCGCCGTTGACGCCGACCGGAAACCCCACCTGCATCGCTCTTCTACAGCACCCGTACAGTCTTATTTCGATTCGCGTGCACCTAATCGCGATGCCAATGGTCGTGACCTTCGCAGTCCTCCCAAAGACAAGACATCTTCTTGGGTCCACAGCGTTACTTCATCACCTCCACTACCTCCGCCTCTCCAACCCACAATACTGGATATTCCTCCTACTGATCCAGCTGCTGATGATGCCGAACTACGCGACGACGAAAGCACGGCTCGCGAACTCCGCCGTCGTCATCGACATGAACGTGAATCACGTGGTGTTGAAACAGAGGAGGATCGTAAGAGACGCAAGCGCAAGGAATTGCGTCGACGAGAGGAGGAGCTCGCCTTCCGCAATCGCGACGGTGGGACTAGAAGGGACGGAGAAAGTAACAAAGCCTACAATAGCCTTGGATATGAAGGGTTCGAAACACAAAGAACTTGGGATGGAAGAGTCGTCGGGGGTGACGCGAGAGGAGGAGTCAAGGAAGAGATCGCTAGACGCACTCAGGGATGGTTCAAGAAAGTTGCCGGATTGTGAAGCTAATGACGAGGTATCGGGAAGGGACCATAAGAGGAAGCACAAACACAGATTTCGGAATACATGATGAATGATTGTTATGAGTTGGATGATTCAAGAGATCGATGCAGGAACGAATAGCATAGAAAGAAGCAGCAAGCCAGGGTATTGCATATTTACAATACATAATAATTGTGCAAATCTGTAAATGTGCAAATGTCCACACCTCCCCAATTAGGCAGGTTGAAGAGATGCCCAAAGAAGCAAGTCCAACCTGCAGTCGTGGTGATATCGAGTATAAGTACCTTCAGCGACCTCTATCATGCCTTTCCCTACTCTGCCTGTCTACTCTGCATCCTTCACATCATGCGTACCATAGCAGCAGCCTCCCTGCTCCTTGCAGCAACATCTCCGTTGATCTCAGCACATGGCGACCACCATCACCACGCTCAACGAGATTTCACTCCTGCCGAACTAAAGGAGCTCCAGGACAAATGGGGCACCGATTTTGGCTTTGGTGGCATCAGCACGTTTGCGCATCTGCCTCATCACAAATGCTTGACGAACCCGCAAACGCCATTCGACATCGGCATCATCGGAGCACCATTCGACACTGCTGTTTCCTATCGCCCGGGTGCGAGGTTTGGTCCTCGTGCCATTCGTGCAGCCTCGGCGAGACAGACTGCTCTGCGTGGATACAACCCGCGAGCAAGTCTGAATCCTTACACTTCCTGGGCTAACGTGGTCGATTGTGGCGATATCCCCATCACGCCTTTTGACAATGGGTTGGCTTTGCGACAGATGAGCGAAGGATATAATGAGCTTGCTACCAGAGTCGCCGTTCCTGCGAATGTGGACTCAGCGGCGACATATCTGCAGACCGCAAAGATTGTCACTCTGGGCGGTGATCACAGTATCGCTCTTCCGGCCTTGAGAGCTCTGAACAAGAAGTACGGCAAACCTGTTGCAGTCGTGCACTTTGATGCCCATTTGGATACCTGGCACCCTTCCAAATACCCTTCCTACTGGCTTGACCTCGATGACCCATCCACCCAGTCCTTCTTCACCCATGGAAACATGTTCTGGATGGCCGCAACAGAGGGCTTGATCGCAAACGGCTCCTCCATCCATGCCGGTCTGCGCACCAGATTGTCGGATGAAGACGACTACACAAATGACACCGAGCAAGGCTTCGTCCGCATCTCTGCAGACGACATTGACGATATTGGCACCAAAGGAGTCATCTCGAAAATTTTGTCTACGGTTCCTGCAGACTACCCTGTCTATCTCTCTATCGATATTGATGTCATTGATCCTGGTCTTGCGCCTGGTACCGGCACTCCCGAGCCAGGCGGTTGGACTACTAGAGAATTGATCCGTATCCTCAGAGGTATTGAGGGCCTCAACGTTGTCGGCGCTGATGTTGTGGAAGTGTCTCCGGCATATGACTCTCAGGCCGAGACTACGGCACTTGCTGCTGCTCAGGTTGTGTATGAGATTGTTACTTCTATGGTCAGAAGGGGCTTGATGGAGTTGGCAAGGACAAAACAAGACGTTGTCAAAGATGAGCTGTAGTTGACTTATTCGTATGCTTGGAACTCAGCACTGGACCATTTGGAAGTATCACCTTAGGCCAGACGATAATGCATTTTTCGATATTGTAAGATAGTATGTATGAAAGTTACAGAAATGCAAAGTCATAAATCTTCAAAGTACGTGTACATCCACCGAGAGTAGAGAGATGGTGAGTTTAACGAGATCTACTCTATTCTCTGTACTCTACAATGCTGCGACCAGAACTGCAAAGAATTGTGGCACTTCTGAAGGATAAGATATGGGCCGGGTACGAGCAGGGTGACCCTATCAACTCGGATCACGACGTCATTGTCAACCATGTGCATCACCATTTCAAACACTTCGACAACTCTATCCAATCTTGTCCTCACTCACATTTCTTATCGAGATTCCAGTATCAGTTCCCTGATCCATCGCCCATCATGCCTGAAGTACATACCTCTTTTCACAACATCATCCCATTCAAAACCTAACGCGTCTCGCAGATCGGAGAAGTAGCGCGCATCGTCCACTTCTTACGCAAACACTGCGCCAACAAAGTCATCTCGGCCGTCCAAGTCCAAGAAGACAATATCGTCTACGGCAAAGTCGGCACCTCGGCAACAGCCTTCCAAAAAGCAATGACCGGCAAGAAAATCTTGGATGCAAAACAACAGGGCAAGTATTTCTGGCTGGAAATGGAGGGAAAACGCATCCTGTGATGCATCTGGGCATGACCGGCTGGATCAAGTTCAAGAACGATGATACGAGTCATTATTATCGTAAACCGGACGATGAGAACAAACCTCAGGAATGGCCGCCGAGATTCTGGAAGTTCATCTTGCAGCTGGAGGATGATAGTAATGAGATTGCGTTTGTGGATCCAAGAAGACTGGCTCGTATCAGAGTTGTGGAAGCAGAGGCCAAGGAACTGCGCAATACCACACCGCTAAAGGAAAATGGACCCGACCCGGTCATCGACAAGGATATCCTGACGGAAGCTTGGCTGGAGGAGAAATTGAAGAGCAAGAAAGTGCCTGTCAAAGCACTGATGCTTGATCAAGCCAACATCTCTGGTATAGGCAACTGGGTCGCTGACGAGATCTTGTATCAGGCGAGGATCCACCCTGAGCAGTACAGCTATACCTTCTCATCTGCTCAAACTGCAGCATTGCACAAAGCGATGATGGATGTTTGCGGTACTGCGGTTGGTGTACTGGCGGACAGCAGTCAGTTTCCAGAGACTTGGCTGATGAGATATCGCTGGGACAAAGGCAAGAAAGACAAGAACGTGTTGCCCAACGGCGACAAGATTGTGCATCTGAAGGTTGGAGGCAGGACTTCCGCCATCGTGCCGAGGGTGCAGAAGAAGACTGGGAAAGTGGCTGGAGATGTGGGATCTGCGGATGAAGTGTCGGAGGGTGCAGCAGAATCGCAAGAAGAATCGACATCAGACGTGCCAAGGATAAAATCTCATCCCAAGATGTCAAAGGCAAAGGCAAAGGCAAAGAAGCTACAAATTGCCGACGACATTGCGGTCGCTGAAGAAGCTAAATCCAAGCGCACTCGAACAACAAAGCGAAAGGCCGAGCCTGAAAACGAGGATGCAGACGCAGGTGTCAAGGAAGAGGAACAAGAAGATGTCAAGCCGAGCAAGAAGAGACAGACCAAGACAAGTCAAGCAAACGGTAGCAAGACAACAAAACCCAAAACCGCAAAGAAGGAAGTCAAGACCGAAGATGCTATTGCTGAAGAAGGAACAAGAAGATCAGGCCGCCTATCAGGAAAAGGCGTCTGAGGCCGTTCCTATCCAAGTATACTTCGTTGCCATAACATACAGTCAAACAAAGGGAAACAGCAATCAAGATCATCATCGTCATCGGGTTATATGCCTCTCCTGAGATCCCGGTCTACATTACTCTTCCAAGACCTTGACCAGCCACTCTAATCCTTCCTTGCCCTCTTTGATCCCATAGGTCCATGCCAATACAAAACAATGCATCAAGCCCTCCCAATGCAGCCATCTACCTGCAACGCCCTGCTCCTTACAAAGCTCTGCAAAATGTCTCGCCGGTGGTGCCAGCACATCCGCGCCTGCAGTAACGCCGTAAATCGCGACTCCNCTCTCCCTGAACACACCCACATCCGCCAGTACAGGCGAGATCCAAAGTGCCTCAGCATCAGCCCCACGACTCCAATTCTCCGCTGTACCATTCGTAAACTTAATACCCAAAAGCGGATCCTTTTTGTCCGCTGCGACCAACTGGTTCTCAAATGGTGATGAAGGCACTGGCTGTTTCCTCAGATCAACCGCTGGAGATATCAAGACCAGTTTTTGGGGTACCGGTACCGAGGGCGTTGATGACAGAACCTTGACTACCAACCCCAAAGCTACGTTTCCTCCTGCAGAGTCACCAGCAAAGATGGTTTCTGTCGTTTCTTTTTCCGCCTCGGTGACCGGTAAGAGGTATGGGTATAGTCTTTCCAACATGGGCAATGACTCTTTGGCAGGCGAGTTTGGCGCCAGGGGGTAAGATACAATCGTCACAACTGTGTTCGGCACCCGATGGCATAGCTCAGCGCAGAGTTTCCAGTGCTCGGGACTCGGTGGCATTTGCCAACCTCCGCCTGCAAAGTATATTATATTCCTCCTCTTCGTCACGGTGGCCTCTTTTGTCGCCGAGGGNGCTTTGGGTTTCATGTCGTAGAGCCATATCCCTTCTACTTGTCGTTCGGTCACATTGCAGCGCTTTTTNGCGGTCTTGTGGACGTCGAGGTAGGGTGATCCGGCTGGCAACTCCTTCTTTGGTTTGATTAGATAAGGGCGGAATGGTTTGATGATTGTCTGGAGAAAAGAGATTGGTGTTGACTTGTCGGATCGTGTTAATATCTCCATTGTGCTGGTGTGTTGTGGTATCATTGCCATGTCTCAATTTGTGATGAATGTGACTGAAGACAAACTCAGATTCTTTTCAGTGGAGTTGCTTGTCGTCCAGAAGTAGAATGGATACGAGTCTATCGTTTTAGTATAATAGCCAGATGAACAGGAAAGAATCGAGAAGTGAGAAACATGAGTATGTATGTTTATGCTGTCCGTCCTTCACCCTGGATGACGTATTGATTTTACTTTTATGGTTTCAGTCCTCCAACTGCGCAATCGAGTTAACCAGATAGGTTGTTCATTTTAGATCCGAGTCAGAGCCTGGAATCAGCATTTAGTCACATGAAGTGTTGATATACTGCCACTGTCTTGAGCAATGTGACCCAAACATGGCATAAAACCTTTGAACCGAGATTGACGTCATCTTGGGATAGCGACTGGGACAACCCTGGTCTTGCCTTAACAGGCACCATTCTCTCCAAGATGTTTGTCTTGATGGAAAACGATACCCATAATATATGCAGGCGCGATAGGTGGTTCGACATGATTATTATCAAGGGTTGCGGGTCAGATGCGAGACTGAGGTCGAAGTGTTGATGGTAGGCTTATAGTACTGTTAGCCGCAATGATTCATGAAAGATTTCAGTGGTTCGATGTCGAGCAAATGTTGAGTTTGTATTCGTATTGATTGGCAAAAGGCCTTCAACCGTTGAGTGCAAGACAAGCGTCGACAGCAGACCCAACCCGCCCTTCCTTCATTCTCACGACATCACTGATAACCTCGCGATCCAAGTCTGGGAACATGCCTTGTAATGTNCCTGTCATCGTGTTAGCGATGTTCTTGTCACTTTTGCAAGTACGTTCAACTTACTCAACAACGACCTGATGTTCCTGCGCCTGTATCCTCTGGGCTTCTGCCATATCAGTGCTCGCCTGTCTTGCTGCTGAGTCCTGAGAGCTACGACCGCGACTAGACTCGAAACTCCTCGCTCGATCAACATCCGGTCGTTCGGGACTGCGCAATCGACGAGTGTCTTCGGCGCTCTTGCGGTGTTGCGGTAGTGCTGGCAAGCCAGGGGACAACCTGGGTGTAGAGATGGGTTGAGGTGTAGGAAGCTGTCGGGGNGATGAAGATGAGGGTTGACTGTCGTCGCTGAACATGCGGCCGATGGTGGACAAGGGCTTCTGAATCGTGCGAAGGAGTCCTGTCACAGCCGCGTTTTCATCTTCGGGTTCGCCAGCAGAGTTCTTGGAACGTACGCTGCCTCCTCTATGTAATGGTGTTCGCTCACCCTCGGTGCTGTTCCTTGTGTTTACTTCGGGCCTGCTCAGACTGCTCTTCTCGTTCAACTGAGGGTGTGTGGAGTGTGACGAACTTGCGGTGGCCTTATCGTGCATCGAGGCTTCGTACTCGTCTGCTTTATGGCCTTCTGCGATTTGGCTTACAGCAGCCTCGACGTTCTTCTCGAACTCCTCATCCGTGATAGTCAAATTGGTACGGTCGAGGTTCTCGATGAACGTCACAACACCCATCAAGGAGGAAATATAGTATCCGGCCTCTCCCCCNAGCTTATCCTGATTCCGGAAGCGTAAGATGTATTGCACGTTGCTGACAAGATGGTCGGGGTTGGCGCGGAGGACGGTGTAGATGAGAAGCGGCACGAAGGCGTCGGCCGACTGATCGCTCTTGTTGTTCTTGAGGTAGCCAAAGATGACTTTGCACGTGTTGAGAATGCAGATGACCTTGTCGCGAGGGGCGCGATACGAGCCGATCTTGAGCAACTCTTGCTGTGCCAGGACGAGGAAGCGACGGCCTTTGTCGGTGATGGGGGCAATGTCAAGATGTTCCTCTCGGATCCAGCCGTAGATTCTAATCTTTTGTGCAATCACCTCGTCTCTTTCTACATCTTCCTGATGCTGACCCCTCCTGCCTGGACCGTGAGGCGAATGTGTTTGATGGCGGAAGCGTTTCTTTGTGGGAGAGCTGACTTCTTGAGCAGGAATGGCAGGCGAAAAGGTCTGCGAGTAGAGTCTGTTCATGACCAGCTTCTCCATACCCTCTCTAGCATTGTCGAACTCGGCATCGCTAACAGTCCTCCATACCTCGCATTGTGCCATCTTTTTGGAAATGAACTCGAGAAAGTCGGAAATGATCTTGACCTGCTCGTGGACGGCCCACTGTTTCTTGCCAAACTCATTAAGGAAGGATCTAAGGAAGCGGGCGACGGGGTCGGCTGTACGATGGCGGAGTTGTTCGAGGAAGCGGTGGAAATCGAAAGGAAGAGCGGGCTCGTGATCGGGAGAGGGCGGCGGTGGCTGGAAGATTGAGGATGCGGGACGAGGAGAGTCGGTACGGTCAGGCTGTTGAATGCTGACACCAGAGATAGAGCCAGGACGAGCAGCGGCGGGGCTGAAGATGTAGCTGTCGCGAGATTGTGTACGCTGCAGTTTCGGGCTTGTCATTGCGCTCGGTGAGGGCGACGGATCTAGACTCGAGGTGCGCATGGGTAGGTTCGACATGTCAAGGCGAGGTGACATGATCTTCTGCAAGGCTGGGTCTGCGACGTCGTCGTCCATTTCGTCCATGATGTTGGCAAGCTCGTCGTCCGGAGCATTCGGATACTGTTGGCGCAGGAACTTGTCATCCTTCGGTGGCGGTGGTGGAGGTGTTGGCGAGCGCACTCTTTCCTTCTCTTTCTCCTTCTCCTTCTCTGGTTGCTTCTCGTTCAGGTCCAGCTCTTGCGTCTTCTCTGCCAAGTCATGGCTTGCTGTTGACGGTTGTGTAGTGGGTTGAGCATTCTCTGAAGGGATGCCAAGGTCAATCAAAACATTTTGCTCCTTCTCTGAGTCCATGTTGTAGTATTATCTCCAGCTGCCCTGTTGCAATCCAGTGCTGACAGCGGGTCAACAACTTAAGTCCGCAGCTTACGGATGCAACAATCTCGAATACTTGTCCAAATGTCAAGCTCGGTAGATGCGATATGCGTGCAGTGGACGCGTAAGTGGGCGGAATAAGAGACGATTATTAGATATTAGATGTGTTCCTTGCAGATTAAAAAGTCCGAGTCCTTGAGCTCCTTGAGGCCGATGAGCGAGGCCTGTGACATGCACCAGCCGCATGACGCCTGGCTTGGCGCCTTCCTTCTGTCAACCTTCAACCCTTCACATCTTCGACCCATTTCAAGACCATGTGCGGTATCTTCTGCTCTGTCAGCACTGCCGGCCACGTAGCTCCCGAGAAGAGACATCGCTTGCTCCTGGAAAAGCGAGGTCCCGACTCTTCTCAAGAGCTAAGACAGCAGACAGAAAATGTTTACCTGACCTGTTTCAGTACCGTTCTCGCTCTGAGAGGTGACCATACTGTTGTTCAGCCTGTACAGCATCCAGACTATCCAAATGCCTTCCTTTGTTGGAATGGTGAAGCTTGGAAGCATGCTGCTGAATCCATTAACGGCAATGATTCTGAAGTTGTTTTTGCAGACATCTCGAGCCTCCTGAAAGCTGAAATTTCTGACACGTCCGCTTCCTCAGCCAAAGTCATGCAGCATGCAATGAGCCTCATCACTGGCCCTTATGCTTTCGTCTACTATGATCCTCGATCAGACACTCTATTCTTTGGTAGGGATCCTCTTGGACGCCGTTCCTTGATGTACCGCGTTGATGAAAGTGGTAACTTCATTCTCTCTACCATTTCTGGTCAACAAGAACAAGGCTGGGAGGAAGTAGAAGCTGATGGTATCTACTCGCTCAATCTCAAAACCTTCTACGAGTCTGTTCAGAAGCAAGAACGGTGCATACCAACATGTCTTCCCTACACCTCCTCCCCGAATACCATTACCTCCACAGCTTCCCCACCTGAATCATCCGCTTCTCCGCTTAGTATCTCATCTCCTGCTGTTGCAAAAATCGAGACCTTGCTGCGTGACTCTCTGCACCTACGCATCTCCGATATCCCTGCCTTCTCGAATCCTGAGCCATCTTTTCCTGCAGCGAGCCTGGCTATTCTCTTTTCTGGTGGTTTAGATTGCACCCTTCTGGCGCGACTTTCACACGATATATTCGACCCTGCACAACCAATCGATCTCCTCAACGTCGCATTCGAGAATCCTCGAGTACATCGTCGACCTGCGGACGCAGATCCTGATACACTCTGGTCACCATTTGAACTTTGCCCAGATAGAATCACTGGACGTGCTTCTTTCGCCGAACTTCAAGCCATCTGTCCTGGCCGAATTTGGAGATTCATCGCCATCGACATTCCATACAAGGAGTTCCTTGTTCACAAACCCGAGGTCATCAGCTTGATTTACCCTCATAACACCGAGATGGACTTGAGCATTGCTTCTGCTCTCTATTTTGCTTCGCGAGGACGAGGGTCAACATCTGCAAAATCTGGAGAATCAACTCGGTACACCTCGGGAGCAAAAGTGTTGCTTTCTGGATTGGGCGCCGATGAATTGTTCGGTGGCTATACTCGACACGATACTGCTTTCCGTCGTCATGGTTTCGCCGGACTCAAGGATGAGCTCGACCTTGATGTTGACAGGCTGGGAAAGCGTAATCTTGGTCGTGACGATCGCGTACTTTCTAATTGGGCAAGGGAGACACGATTCCCATTCCTCGACGAAGATCTTGTGAAGTGGGCGGTCATTGCTCCTGTTTGGGAGAGGTGCGGATTCGGCGAGAACAAGGAAATCCTGGACAGTGGGACCGGCTCTCTGGAGCCTGCGAAGAAGGTGCTGAGGTGTCTTGCTTGGAAACTCGGCATGAAAAAGGTGGCTGCGGAGAAGAAGCGAGCAGTAAGTATAACTCTGGTGTTTTCCTCTTGCAAGCGCTAACCACAGAAATAGATTCAATTCGGCGCACGCACAGCCAAGATGGAGGTCGGGCGCTCGAAAGGAACCCAGACCATTACTTAAGGGCATTCCACCTTATTTACTCTTCTTGGTCTCGTTGAGCTCAGGGTTGTAGTACTCGGGATAAGATTCTTTGTACCCCAACAGACCTCCGCCAATCCAGCGACCAACCACAACACCCAAACCATAACTCAAATACTGCATCAACCACGTTGGACCGACATCCCAGGCCAAACTCACTTCGGCCGAATCCAGGAATAACAATAGTTGCGGAAGACTAGGAGAGGTGTTTTGACGACTGCAGTCTTCGAGATAAGAGTATAGATTTCGGAAGAAACGCTCGCTGACACCGAGATCAGTGGCTGTGGTTTCTGACGATAGAGGAGAGGTCTCGGCTGAGATCTCAATGACACAAGGACCTTTGTATGCTGGGTCCGGAGCGAAGGTGTGAGGAGCTCCGGGTGTGATAGAGACTCGAGGGTTGGGGTCCGTGGCAGAAACCTTGGTCTCTTTACCGTTGAGTGTAAAGATGAATGTTCTATTCCATGAGTCAGTGTCTCAATATAAGGGTCAAACAGAGGCTCCTCATGTAAATCAAAGTCCACAGGCAGAATAGACTTCAGCACGGGAGCGTATGGCATGTGACACACCCNNTTGAGTGACGGTGAAGTACTCCTCTTGATGCCAATGCCAATGATATGGCGGGCAAAGAATTTGGCGTTGGGACTTTGTGATCTTCGAGGAGTCTGGATATGTCTGGATCTCCAAGACGCTGTTGCCAGAGCGAGGNGTATGCCATTTTGTAGTTCTGGCACCATCACAGCTGACTAGCGAGTCCGACTCGGCGGTTTCCGTACGTACAAAAGGCATTCTTCCAGACTTGATTTCGATCTGACTCAGGTGTAAGATGTTGAGAGAGTATTGGATTATGTCTATGATGGCGGCGGGCCCTCTTGAAGCTATGACCATGTTGCACATGTTCGAGCGGATCCGTTTTGAGCATGACGTGCGGCCAAGGCGTTTGTTTGTAGACGGACTGAAGACAAAGACAGAAATGCAAGAACACGCACTGCACATTCTTCCGTATCATCAAAACCCATCATGGACCCGAGCCACGAAGACCTCATCGCTCAGTTCAGTGGCATCACAGGAGCATCGCCTGCAACCGTAAGTCTGGAACGAACCCTGCCTACCCCACATCCGTCACCTTTCCATACCTTCGACACCTTTCTGTCTTGCACCAACTCTCTCAGTCATCGCCATCTAACGAGACATCATCTCAGGNCACAAACCGCCCTCACTTCATCCGACTGGGACATTGAACAAGCCGTCACTCTCTACTTCGCCTCCCAAGACGCTCCTGCCGAAGACAGCGACGACTCAATAGAAGACGCCGCCGCTCCATCCCTGCCTTCGACGACCCCTGCCCACAACCCTCCCTCGTCCTCAACCAACCGTCCTCCACCCAACAACCGCAACAACATGGTGCGCACCTTCCGTGACCTCCAGAACGACGAAGACCGCGGCGACGATGACCACAGCGATCACGATCCCCAGCAGGACTTTTTCGCTGGAGGCGAGAAGTCCGGTCTAGCTGTCCAGGACCCTAACAGACGCCCTCAAGACCATTTCAGCAACATCTTGAACCAAGCCAAAGAGTGTGTTGTACCCAACACTCATTCCACTACTCGGCTAACCCATGACCAGAAACCGCGATCGCCCCACTGACGACGACGATGACGACCAAGCACCTGCCNNCAGTCCAGCGCCTTCCAAGGCCGCGCCCAAACTCTTGGAGGCGACGACGCTCCTTCGCGTGTGATCGAAGACCCCAACGCTGTTGCCGCACCTACAAACGCCAGACCCTCGCTACCTCGTGTGAGCCGCACACTTCACCTCTGGCAGGACGGCTTCAGTATCGACGACGGCGAGTTGCACCGCTTTGACGACCCGAGAAATGCTCCCGTCCTCGCCCTCATCAACCAAGGCCGTGCCCCACTTGCCTTGCTCGATGTCCAGCCAGGCCAGGAAGTCGACCTTCAGCTAGATCCTCACAAGGACGAGAAGTACGTCCAGCCAAAGAAGAAGTACAAGCCTTTCGGCGGTTCCGGTCAGCGTTTAGGTTCTCCTACTCCTGGCCCATCTGGCTCTACACCCGCACCTGCAGCTGCAGCTTCATCCTCCACATCTTCAGCACCCGCATCGTCAGCGCCAAAGGTTGACATTGACGAGGCACAGCCCACCGTGCAGCTTCAGATCCGTCTCGGTGACGGCACACGCCTGGTCTCACGTTTCAACACCTCGCATACGGTTGGGGACATCTACAACTTCGTCACAGCCAGCAGTACCGCCAGCCAGAGCAGAGCCTTCACTCTCATGACCACCTTCCCCAACAAGGACCTGGAAGACAAGAGCGCCAAGTTGGAGGACCTGCCTGAACTCAAGCGCGGTGGCGTTGTCGTCCAAAAGTGGAACTAGACGTATTCCTCGGAGTGGGGCTGTTCATTCGGCTGGGACAATGACAAAGTTACAAGACCAAGAAGCCTGAAAGAGCTTGCTATTTTCGGTCGAGACACAGCAGAGATCTGGGCTATCCAGGACCGTCTGATGTTTGGGGAACTGAGTCTCAGCTCTTTACGCTCGATCCACTGATCAAGACATAGACTTTCAAACTCTAAATAGGTCAAATGACAGAAACAATCATTCCCAGTATCATTCGTTATTCCCTGTCTCAGTTTATAGTGTAACCACCATCAGCGACCAAGGCAGCACCTTGGACGAAGGAGGCCTTGGGCGAGCAGAGAAACAGGATGCAGTCGGCTATTTCTTCGGGTGTGCCGGCTCTGTTCATGGGAGCGATGGAGATTGCTTTCCTGACCTCGTCGTTGATAAGGGGTGTTTCGATGACACCGGGGCATACACAGTTGACCCTGATGTTGTGAGCGGAGTAGTCCAAAGCGTCTGCTTTGGTAAGACCGATAATAGCAGCTTTGGCCGAACAGTATGCCGCTGCNAATTATGATCAGTATTTCTTGCTCAATAATCAAGAAGCAAAGTATGAGGGACTGGTAAACTTACGCGCCTGAGGTCTAGCCACAATACCCAGTTGAGATGCCACATTGACGATAACACCTCTATTTCCTTGCCGTCCATCATGTGTCGGTAAAGGCTCTTGGTTCACCATTATTTTCAGTTCTTCTCTTGAACATAACCAACTGCCTCTATAGTCTACATTCACCACATGATCGAATTCCTCCAAAGTCATTTCGTGGGATTTCTTTGCGGCGCCGAGGACACCGGCACAGTTTACCGCGTAGTCTAATCTTTTGAAAGTTTCCAGTGTTTTGCGGAAGAGATCGCGGACGGAGGAGGGAGAGGAGATGTCGGTGACGATGGCGTGGAATTGGACGGATGGGAAGGAAGACGAGAGGGAGGATGAGGTTGTGAATAGAGAGGTTGAGGATATGTCGGCTAGGATTATGCGGGTACAGCCTTCTTGGGCGAATGCTGTGGCTGTTGCTTTGCCGATGCCTNNGTTTGGAAGGTTTGTGTTGGTATAGGTTTAAGGAGATGGATGATGAATGTGAAGCTTACCAGAGGATGCACCGGTGATTATAGCAACACCGGGGAAGAGGGTAGTAGACATGGTTGAATGCTGTGGATGATGATTCACGGAAGACGAACTTTTTCAGGATGATAAAAGGGAATGTTGCAGTTCTAGTTCAAGTGTAATAGTTGGGTATATCTGTTGGTTACCTATGTCATGTGCTTATCGATAGCTGCATGATATTTGGGGTCAAACAGGTGGGGAAAAGTGTCATGACCCCAAAAAGATGGAGGCACCGAGGCATGGATGAACTGTTGGAGTTGAGCGTTCCACCTGATGTGGTTTCGTAGAACTTAGAAGCGGTCTGTTGAAGAGAGTCTGATGGAAACGATAAACCAATGATGGATGGTAAGAGTCGCACAGCTTCAAGAGGGGCAAAGATGATGAGCATGATAAGCGTATTCTGAAACAGCAGCGGCGGGCTACCTGGTCGTCTATCACACGTGAAAGAGCAATGAGCGACGAGAGCCACGTACACAGCAAGTGAAGGGGAGAGCGAGTGTTCTCAGAGACGGGCCATCGCAGAGAAGAAAAGGACGGAATCGAGGACGATAGCGTCGTGGGTTAGGTGTATACAAGCTCTCCAGGGAGGGATGGGTGGAGACTTGGCAAGCGCTGAGAAACGTCGCGGGCATGGATTCAGGAGAAGGGTTGAAAAAGAATGGCAAACGGCAGACGTGATCAGGGGCGGCGACTTGTTCATGTAGCTTGCTCTGTCGTGTTTCAACAGTCGGGCACCTCTCTTTATGACTTTACGAAAACCATCCTGTCGCGTGTAATCTTGATAATACCAAGCTCGTCAGCGACTGAGCACTTTCTGTCCCAACTACAGCCAGGCAGAGCAGGCCCCTCTGCTCATATTCCTCTGCAAACATGCTGCTTTCACCCTTTGGCTCGCCACGGCGGCTGGTGGTGCTGACAGTATTCGTCTTCCTGGCCATCGTCGTCCTCGTGCGCAATTCGACATACTCCGAATACCTCCCCAAGTACGACCTGCCATCATTCGGCAGCGCCAAAGTCCCGCAAGACACATCGACCGGCAGTAATAGCTTCAAGGAAGACTCGTCACAGAGCGAGCTATGGCAAGAGTACAAGTCGGACGAGGGCAAGGTCCTTGGAGCGNCCACCCCACCACCAAAGGAGGAAGAATACGAAGAGAAGATTGAGGTTACAAGCATCCCGACCTCGACCTCGCATTCGACCAGCGCGTCTTCGTCGAAATCCGCCAGTACGTCCGTTTCAAACACAGCCAGCACATCTGGTTCAAAGACGGCGTCTTCTGCCAAGATTACACCCTTCGTACATGCATCGTACAAGGAGCTGCAAGCAAAGATCAAGGAGTTCATACAATGGGACCGTCCGGACAAGGGCGACCATTGGCCTGGCTACGGCACTTATGTCGACAAAGACTATGACCCCAACCGTTGGGAGGGTCTTCCCATGTATGCACAACAAGCCATTCACAAATCACGGCGGCACTAATTATGTATCAGGAACATCGAGTACTACGCATCCAACGGCATTAAGCAGTTCAAGAACATGGACCTGGAAGCTACCGTATACCACCCCTACCCCGACTACAACTCGTCCGCATACAAGAAGCAGTGGGCAGGCGACTATGTTTCCTGCAAGGGCCCTCGCGGCCAGACACTAGACAAGAGCCCGGAAGACTTGATCAAGGCCTGGCCCCAACTGCCTCAAAAATTCCCCAACATCAGCGTTGGTTCTGATCTGGGCATCGACATTCACTCTTGCTTCGACCGCGAGTCGCGCTACTCTCCCTACGACAGCACTGCCCAGAATGCTCCAGACTGGGAGACCGTCAACTGGGGCCAGCTTCAGAACGAGTGCCTGAGCAAGAACAAGGAAAGATACGGCGAGCACCAACGTAAATCTATGCAGCTCAGGCCCAGCAGGACTATGCCCAAGGAGGACAATTCCGAGAAGAAGGCCGAGTCTACAACCGGCCCTAAACCACACCATCGTACTGCTATCCTGATTCGTACTTGGGAAGGCTACAGCTACACTGAGAACGACCTCCAAGCCATTCGCTCCCTGGTCACCGAGACCTCACTTCTGAGTGGTGGAGAGTACCAGGTCTATCTCNTTGTCAATGTCAAGCAACGTGATGCCGACATCTATGACAACGAAGAGACCTACAAGAGCGTCCTTCACCAAGTTGTTCCTGCCGAACTCCGCGACATCTCGGTCCTCTGGACCGAAAAGGTATGCGAAGAGTGGTATCCCAAGGTTGGTGACTGGCAAGTCTACTGGATGCAGTTCATGCCTCTGCAATGGTTCTCAAAGACCCATCCCGAGTTCGACTACGTCTGGAACTGGGAGACGGATGCTAGATACACCGGAAATCCCTACCACTTCCTCGAACAGGTCAGCTACTTTGCTAAGAAGATGCCGAGAAAGCATCTCTGGGAGAGAAATGCTCGTTTCTTCCTGCCGGAATCTCATGGAGATTTCCAGTCTTACCTTGCCGACACTGATGCAGCCATCGCCAACGCAACACAGCAGGGCATTATGACTCCTGTCTGGGGTGCTCAGCCTTATGCCGCCACCCAGATTCCTCTTGGTCCTACACCGCCCCGCAAACAAGAAGATGACGACTTCTCCTGGGGTGTAGACGAGCAGGCCGACCTCATCACGCTTCAGCCGATCTGGGACCCGAACGAGACACAATGGTCATACCGCCACAAGATCTGGAACTTCGTCCCTGGTGTTCGTCCCATCTTTACTGCCGAAAATGGAGCTGCCGAAGGTTTCTACCACGAGGGCTTCGAGACAATTCCCAGACGCACTTTCATCAACACTCTGGCCCGTTTCAGCAAGAAAATGCTGCACGCCATGCACGCAGAGAACCTCGAGGGCCGCTCCATGCAAGCCGAAATGTGGCCCGCGACCGTCGCCCTCCAACACGGTCTCAAGGCCGTCTACGCACCTCACCCGATTTGGTCTTCTCACCACTGGCCCGCGTGGTATGCCGACGCCGTCTTTAATGCCGATGCTGGGATCCCTGCTCGCTGGTCTCAACAGTTTGATTCGGCATACGCCCACGACCGCGAAGTCAATTTCAAGACATGGTCGTGGTACTACGCTACCGATTTCCCAAAGACGCTGTTCTGGCGCTGGTTGGGCTGGGAAGCTGAAGATGCGGGTCTGGGCGGTTGGGGAGGCAAGCAGGATGAAGAGGAAGGTAAGGATATCAGAGGTATTGGCATGGTGGGCGGACATGGCAAGATGTGTTTGCCCGGTATGCTGCTGCATCCTGTCAAGAAGGTGTCGAAGCCTCAGGGACAGAATTAGACTACAAAGTCAAGACATGAAGGATCTGGCGTTTTTTGTTTTTCTCTCTGTGGTTATCCCGGTACATGACTTGCTTCGTATATACCACCACAATATTCTTTGCATTTCTCTTCTCCCAATGAAACCTTCAAGTCTTTTGCAACACGGCATAGGCACTCTCCATGGCATTGTTCTGCTCCAACCTCGAACTCGCCAGCACCCTTTGCCTATACCTCTGCCAGACCCACCAAAGCGCAAACAACCCCAACGTCAAGACAATGGAAATGACAAAGTAAATCCACAAGTCGTGAGAATACGTCATGTGTCCGCCATGCTCGTCTGGGTTGAAATTGAAGAAATTCATGCCTAGCAATGCGGACACGAAGGTGGCGGGGAGGAAGATCATTGTTACTATGGCGATTGTTTTCATGGCTGCCCCGTCGTCTTTTGTGGCCATTGCAATGTCGACGTTTGTTTTTGCGTCGAGTTGGGTCATGAGGTTTGAGGTCTGGCATGGGCTGTTAGTTTCTCATCATACTTGTTCTTCGATGGGAGGGTGTGGGTGTCTTACCAGGTTTTGCTCATTGCCCATGCGTCTGTCGTTTGATACTGCCCTAGCGAGAAAGCCTTGCATCATCGTGTGGTGAAATCTCAACATGTCAACTCGTGATGAGAGAAGTTCTTGGTGTGCAGATTGTCTTGTAGCTAAGATCTGACACTGCTGAGCGATGCACTCGACCACTTTGGTTGCTTCTTGTGTTGCTTCGATCGAGTGGACGGTGTGTCTGGAGTCTTCGTAGAGCTTGATAAAGTAGTGTAAATCTGTGTTTCCCATGGGCTGTGTTATGACAGACTGGTCAGCTAATGCTCATAGAATACTTGTCTAGATGTGTTACATACCCNNCTTGCTCTTCTCATTGTTTCGCATGATTCTTGCAATGTCCCAGACGCTTTCGTCATACATGACCATCAGTTGTTCGAGCAGCAGTTGATGTAGGCCGTATGGTCCAGTAGCGATATCCTTGTTCTCATCTTCCGAGAGCACGTTGAGCATGTTCCAGGTCAAAGATCCAGGCGTATCAAAACACAACATGATGTTTCGATCATTGCTCAAGGTAGAGATGAAGGACATCTCATACCATTGATATTGCGTAAAGTCGACATTCTTCGGTGTCGCTTTTATCGACTTGACAATCATGCGGAACCAGGTCTCCAGTTGAACTGGGTAAATGTGCGAAGTGTCTGCATTCGAAGTGTATGCCGATGCCTTTGATCCAAAGAAGCCGTTGTGTTGGACACAAGTTTTTGACCAGAACATGCGTGGAATGTTTGGAAAGTGCTTGCATAGCTCTTTCCGTAGCGAAACATCATCGAGGAAATGCTGTATGCTCGAGAATCTTCATTATGTCAGTTGTGGATATATGGCTCGGGATTCTACGATTCTCACATCATGCATGTTGATATTTCCTTGTTCTGTTTTGGATGTCAGCTGGGGAATCACAATTGTCAAGTCTGCAGTCACCTCTAGCAGATCAAGTATGGGCAAGCTAAGAGTTTGCCATGTGTTCCTTACAGAGTCTACGGTTCAACGACAAATACACGTCAGTGCATATTCAATGCTAGATGACAATGAGTTTGGCAATACCGTATATTAGAGCCTCGACATTCGGATTGTGCGGTTTCCGATCAACCGCGACTTGAGCAGAAAGACTCGACATAAATCTAAGGTAAGAAAAATTCTTGTCGCGGATGAAGATGGCCTCGAATGCTTGTTTGTGTCCTTCCAGCGATTAATATATGCAGGTCAGCCATGGTGGCTGGGGTCCGATATGGCGCTCCATAGTCCGGTTTCCTGCATGCACATTGCACACTGTAAAAGCAGAGGGGCCAAATCACCATTTTATCAATAAGACATCAGTCTCGTCTCCTTTCAGCAAACTCGTTATATATGTTCGTGGTTGGGACGGATAGAGACAACAAGAAGTCGTCGCACAACAAGACTGCCCGTATCTTTGCAAGAAGACTTCCGTTATGAGAACGTAATCTGGCTGAATGATTTGATGTTGGTAATCTGGGAATATGGAATCAGAACATCTACGACCGTCATCTTGAACACCCAGGTCATGCTCATAGTGGTAGGTCAAAAGAAGCAGAAGAGAGTACTGATGAGGGCCATGAGATGAACGGCTGGTCTGTGCAAACTCGACGAAAACACGCCTTCTTCGTCAACTCCCATCCTTCTTTTAGCAACAACAACCTCTTGAAAGTAACGGAAAGATGCAAGACGATTGCTGATGTTGAGCTTTGATCAGATCTTGCCGATGGATTCGCGGTGTCTCTTCGAATGTTCCGCTCGTCATACATCCCTTCTCTCCTCTTCCTTCTTGATCCTCTTTCTAGCTCTCATCAAACACTTGCCTAACAGATCTGTACCCCATTCATCCCTCCTTGATAACGCTGAATTAGCATTGAATCCAACGCCCCAGACACGGTCACTGGCACTCGCTTCTACGAGCTCCCTCTCTCCAGTCATCAATAATTTATCCCTCAACTCCTTGTTCTGCGAAAACTTCAAGTAACTTCCTTCCTCGACGACATTTTCCTTCACTGCATCCCACGTAGCATTGTCCCAATTGGCAACACAACGACAAAGTGCTTTCTGATCTTTGGGGTATGGCGTCGCGAGGATAGATGCAGCAGATGTCTCATCGTTGCACAAGACTGCTTTCTGATGCATCATGTATCGCTCTGCGCAGTTGTATGTTTGATCGGTCGAAGGGTCTGTGAAAGAGCTGATGTACCACTGACTAAAAATGCCCTGAGGCTCTTCGTATTCGCGATGAAAAAGCACGGGTGGACGGATGCTCTTCTTATTGTGTTTCTCTCGGCCCAAAGGAGGCGATGGATTGATCGTTACTTCGTGAGACGAGCTTTCGGATGGTCGCGAAGAGCTCTCTAGTGGATCGTTGTTTTTGGAGTGTTGTATCTCTGAAGAGGCTTTCGCTGTCCTTTCAGATTGCTTGTTTCCCTTGACCATGATGACGCGAAATGGTAGGATATTGTTTTTCGGTCGCTTAGAGTAGAGAAATGATGCTTAATGCTAATGCGATATAACTGGGTTGTGATGATGTGGTAAGTAAATAATTGGCTAGGTATGGTAGTAGCATGGTGTTGGAGTTTCCTTTTGAGCCACCGCAAGCTCGCTTGAGGCACCGCAAGCACGTGGCAAGGTCGGTCAGTCATACCATCGCACCTTCCAACACGGATGTTACCTCTCCTCCCGACCATCACAACATCGTCATACCCACCGGGCACCCAAGTGTTTCATCATGAAGGTCCAAAACTGGGGATTTGAGCTGAGTATGTTCGCACAATCATCAGATGATCTCTGAGCTCTCAGGAAACTGCATTCTTGCTCCAGTAGATTTCGACTGCCTGTTCCTTCCTACTTACATACTCAAATATCCAGAGCAGCTTTCTCCTTCCACTGCCCAGCATCACCATCCCAGTCTTCCCTCTTCCTTCGGTCCCTGATCCCCTTCTTGAACCTCTCGTATCTCTCAACGCCGTCTAAAGCCTCTAGATCCTTCTCCGGCTCACTTCTTTTATCTTCTTCCTCCAACTTCTCGATCTCCTCAAACTTCGGCTTGATCTCTTCGATAGCTGCAGGGCCGCAGATGGCGACCAAAGTATCCTTCGGCCCGGTCATAGTTTCTCCAGAGAAAAGGCCGAACCCAGAATCCAGAGGTCCGAGTATCGATAGTGTGAGGATTGTGATGGGTTCGAACGAAGTGCTTTACATCCTCATAGTTTTGGCAGAGGTGGTACTTGGTTGAGTCGACGGAAGGATGAACCTCTCGTAGAGGAGACTTATTCATGGTTTTCGAGCTGCACAGAAGATGCGAGATCAAAACGAACGAGAGGTCATATGTTGCTGGAAGCTATGAAGTCATGTCAAGAGATGGTCTCAAACTCGAGATGTGGATATCGAAGGATTTGTGTGGCAAAGCTTGGGCTGATATACATGAATACGGTCGTAAAGAGATCTACAAATCACAACTGTACTAGACAGCTCCAAAGGAGGGTCGTCCAATCTATACCCTCTGATCGGATAAGGGAGAAAACGATGTTGGCAAGAGCAATGAATGTCTATAGCCAACGGCGAACAAGATACGAACTATGCAACGGAGAGCAATAGAGTGAGAACATTCATGTCAGCATTGAGCTTTGGAGGAGGCTGACATCCGTTATTGGCGAACGATATACTCAAAGGATGCTGATGACCATGTCATATGGGTTTAGTGAGAGAGTGGTTGCAGGAAGAAAGGGAAAATGAAGAAGAATTGCCCCGGACTTTGTGACAGGGGGTCTGTGCGTGTGCATCCCTGAAGCGTGTCCTGCAAGCTCACAGGAGCAACATTTGGACAACAACATCTTTCCTGTCGCAAACCACACGGATTTGTCGCAGTCTTGTTCGACATGGCTCCTCTGTTCGCCCTGCTCGGCCTGCTGGGCTTCTTGTCTTCTTTCGTGTCAGCAACAGCTCTGACATACAAGCTCCCGCCCAATGGAAAGGAGTGCTTCTACTCGCACATTGAGCAAAAGGGCGCAAAGGTTGCCTTTTACTTTGCTGTACGTTTCCCTTTCCTGCTGGGAATCTACCGATACTAATGCGATACACAGGTCCAATCAGGCGGCTCCTTCGATGGTACATGAACACCCCGCTTCTTCCAACATTACCCAAGTTTAACACGCCATCGCANNGTCGACTACGCAGTCCACGGACCCAGCTCAGAGCCCGGCAGAGAAAGAACCATCCTCGATGGTACCAAAGAGCGCCAGGGCGACTTTGTCTTCACGGCCAACGAGGCCGGCGAGTACCGCTTCTGCTTCGACAACAGCATCAGCACCTTTGCCGACAAGATGATCGACTTTGAGATCTCCATCGAGAACGAGCCCCGTGCCGCCAGCATCCCCTCCAAGCAGGGTGCCAACATCGAGCAGACTTCGGCCCTCGAGAACTCGGTCCTCAAGCTCAGCGGCCAGCTCAGCACAATCACGCGCCAGCAAAAGTACTTTAGAACTCGCGAGAACAGGAACTTCTCCACCGTCAGGAGCACCGAGCAGAGAATCTTCAACTTTTCCATCATCGAGAGCTTGATGATGGTTGGTATGGCCGGTCTGCAGGTTTTCATCGTCAGAATGTTCTTCCAGACTGGTCGCAAGGGTGAGCCGCCATTCCAACACTCTCTTAGCACTGCTATCAAGCTAACATGGACGCTCCAGGCTACCTCTAGAGATATCGCAGCCAGATGCCGAGTTTGCGAAGCCATACATAAGAAAAAGAAGAAACGCTTATATGCTTGTCATGCCCCATCATGCTGTATCCCACTTTCAGTCAACCTCACGAGACCATTTTTCCGTCCTCGATGACCATGTACTCGTCCCCGACCATCATCTTCATCTCCTCCTCGACCATAAAGTTATCATGATCGCCCGTCAAAGCCTTGCTAGCCGGATCATACATGAAGCGTGCAAAGGCCATGTAATCAGCAAACACAAACGTGCAGATGGCATCATAAGGTAGAAGATTGGCTTTCCCTTTCAACATATCTTGCATGATGTTTCTATCGCGTTGGAGATGATATGTCTGTTGTCTCCTACATCAGTCTCAATGATTCAGTGTGTACTAGGCATACGTGCTTACCAGACTGTATGTTATACACCCGTGCTTGATCAAAACTCCTTTGGCCATCTCTGCATGCTTGGTGTTGTAGTGTGATATAAAGTCGGCATCGCTCAAGCCTGGCTTCTTCTTTACTAGGATTGTTGCTTTGACGACTTTGCGAAAGCCTGTTGTGTTTGGATAGCCTGCTTCTAGGACCATGGTGGTGTGTAGCAGATGAGATGAGATGTGACCTTCCAGAAAGATTTGCGAGAGTGGTCAGAGTATCGTAGTAATGATCTAGAAGTGTTCTCGGAAAATTCAACATCCTCAATATGGAGCTCAAGTCTGGTTGCTGTTGTCCTCGGATAGAGGGTGCTCCGATGGTGAGAGCGGCGTTAAACGGCGTTTGCATTCGAGGTTGGTTGTAGATGCGACAACAACGAAACACCACAACCACTCAAAGCCAAAATCCTCGACGATATCGCCCACTATGGACCTCAGATCCTCGTCATCTTCCAAGCCTTCCTCATCCTTACCTGCCACGACCGACGAATATTACCGTATCCCCCTCTTCACCTATGTGACACGCACGTCTTCTATCTCCTACACGACAGACATCCGCCTCTTCTTTGCAATAACCGTCTTGAGCTCACTTGTCGTGTATGCAAGAGGTTTTGGGTGGGAGTTTGTGGTGTTTCTCCTCGCAGGCGGAATGGTTGTCTGGAAGACTGCGAGACCGAGGGAGGGCATGGAGTTCAAGAGGGTGAGGAGGGCGTTAAGGGGATGAAATAAGAGATGGATAAACAAGCGATATTTTAAGAACATCTCTCAAAATCCGAGCAATCGTCTCGATATTCCAGGTAAGAGGCGAGCTGCTTCAAGATATGAGGAAGAGGTATCGATCTCCTGCACGAGCTCAGTAGACACTACACGCCCTGTAGTTTGTCATCTACTGCTGCGAGAGTAAGAGGTGGCACAAGGGGTATTCAAATACATGGCCATCTATTACGCAAGGCAGGAAGCTCAACATGACGAACAAAGCCACACTCAAGCTAGGTTCATTTAGCTGTAATTGTCACCTGGAGTCTCCATCCCTGGAACCGGCCATCTATATACCTACCTCCAACCACTCTCCTATCACAGATAGCTCGCTCCAGATGCTCATCACCTCGGGATCCGCCAGGCTGGAGCAGTGGACGCAAGTCCTCCCAATTCGAATATTGCATCGTGCAGTCGATGACTGGTGGTATATAGAAGCAAATCTCCTTGTTCTTCTCAATCTGCTCTTTCGCCCTTGTGCAACCAAGTACGCTCATCCTGTTGGAATGCTCGCTTTTGGTATGGCATCTCTTGTGATGCTTTTGCGCTTGAGTGGGAGAAACACCGTAGTCCTCATAACAAGCATTCAGAAACTCGAGTTCCAATCTTCCGGATTCGAACTCTACAGCGTGCTGTGAACAAGCATACATCAACTCAGGCTCGCAAACTCCCGCCTCAGGATGCAGCCTCGCTATACGCGTCGAGCATGGGGATTCACCTAGCAAAACTGCTAGCTCGGGCATGGTTGTAATGATGTATTCGTCAAAGAGCATGGGTAGGAAGTATGGTGAGTCCCATGGCAAAACAAAGCCCAGGTTGGCGTCCAGAGTTTCCTTCAACGTGTTGACGGCCACGCCGATAGTCGTTCCAATGGCAACATTGACTGGTGTCGATAAGGGNAGTTTGTCGAGCTTCAAACATAACCAGGCGAAGAACGATTGAAGGAGGAGTATTCGTACGCTGGTGCGGAAGAAATAGTTGGGAATGAATAGCATCGTAGCGAATTGAGAAGAAGTGTCAAAGTCAAGAGAGTCTTCCACTCCATGAACTGACCTTTGCCTTACTTGTCAATTGACCCAAGATTCCAAGAATTGCCTTGTGATCGGCAACTCCTCATCTGGGCAATGCTCACAATCCTTCTCGGGAATAAGGCAGTTGATTGACTTATGACTCTTGGCTCATACTCAAGTGTAGATACATGTCACCAGAAGACTGTCGAGTAGGCCAAGGCCTGACCCAAAAGACAGGCACGTTGCTCAGAGATGTTCTAGCAGCATAGTAGACCTTGGAGCCAGGACAAAATGATATGCTCTCCATCAGGGAATCGAACCCTGGTCTCCCGCGCTTGACGAGATGTAACTCTTGACAAGCGGAAATCATGACCACTAGACCAATGAAGATGAACCAGCTGTGCTGGTATTGGTTGATGAAGTACAATTGGGTGTGCGCAAATATATCCCAACGACCATCTTCTGGTCGAGATTGATGTTGCCATAACCTTTGGGAGGCAAGATAGACCTGCTTGCGCATAATTTCAGGGTTAACACCCGAAACACGAGACCCGCCAGCGAAGAACAAAATCTTGTCTCACTCGCGAACCACAAACAAAGTCGTGACTGAAAGTGCTGATAAACACAAATATTCGGGAGGGTTTCGTCATCCTCTCTGCCGTTCGTATCAACGTGCGATTTGACTTTGAAGAAGGCGGCTGGTTTCAACGACAGAAAGGAGATCTTAAACTGAACGCCGTTCCCATGATCCCTTGAGACCGTCTCGGCCCTAACTTTTCTTCTCTCAACACCTGCCGCCACGACTCACGACACGAGGTCGTCGCATTTCAACCACTCGGTACTTTTCTTGACTTCACCCCACCAGATCAGCGTTGCCGCTGTTCTTTTAACGCTCCTTTCACCATCTACTCGGCCGAGTTCTTCAGTCGCGGCGCCATAACGCGCCCAAATACCGACACTTTCTCGTAATCATAAGCCACTCTGGACTGGAGCGATCAACCAAAGTCGAATCCCACTTTCGCGGGGAAGGACAACCTCGCCTCCACTCAACGCGCGCGAGCGCCTTGACCGCTCTGTCCTCAGCCATCAATGCGCCGGTCGCTGTCGCTGTCGCCCTTGCTGGTGTTGCCGAGTCTGCTGGGCTTCACTGGCGCCACCAGCCCTACGTTTCCTAACGGCACCGAGAGGGGCGATAATGGTACAGACGTCGACGCCGATGCAGCCAAGAGCAAATCATCAGTATCCCTAGAAAGCTACTGCTCGGCGGAACTATCAAGTTTCATTGCGACATATCAGAGTACTGAAATCGCTACCAGCAGGTGGACTTGGTACGAAGGGTTTGGACCAACTGATTCTCTGGGCGACCTGACTGGATCTGTCACATCACAAACATATTGGACCAGTACTTTCTTGTGTAAGTGTTGTAACATCAGAATGCCTCTTCTGCTTCTTTTCAAACCCTCCTCATTCAGTATTCTACACTGCCGCATTCAAACCTCAATTTCGTTCTTGCTCTCTGCTTTCAAACACGCTGCCCGGCCTTGTTCAAAGATAAGATGATCCCTCTTCAATCCATACGAATACCTTTTCTCGTGTATTACGTAGTCAAAACACGCAATATCTCGAACCAACGTATATCGCATGGTACTGACTCTCGTTAGATACACAATATGCCATCCGCGCATACACACCAAAACCTCCGTGTTGTAGTTCATGTTACATGACGGCAGGAACGATCGATTTTTACTTCTGGCCAGACCAAGCAACGCCAACTACACCGGCTCCAGGTCAACCTAGTACGAGCGTTAACGCAGAAGGATTCACCTTTACATCGCCCAGTGTATATATGGCCTTTAGCTCCTTGGTTGCGAGTAACGGGTGCGGTCAAGTAGGAGATGCCTGGACCAATACGACAATAGCATTCGACGCCTCAGAGATCACAACTGCACGGCCCATCACCACGCTTACGCAATATGAATCAGACTATGTATCTGAGGGCTCGACATACAGAGATGGGATCAGCCGTGACAACTCAACCTCCACCAAAGTCCGTGAACTTTAACGACGTAGGGCAAAACTGTTCCACGATCTCTGGATACGTCTACTGGCCTGACAATCCCATCAACGCGGCGAATGCAATGTACCATGACGACCCTTGTCACCCTGTTATATTGTTGCCGCCAAGATTGATCAGTATGCAACAGCCCTGGGTCGATGCAAACTGTGGGGCAGACCCAAACATGAGCGGAGCCTACGATCCGCCGAGAGTTCTGACGCCAATGGTTACTGGTACCGAGCTTGCTACACCAACACCACAATGGGGTGGTCGCGTCAATGGAGACGGAGATGCAAGTCCAGCGCCCACTGCTGAGGCTGGTGCACCTAGCACGACAACTACAAGACCGGTGTCCACTGGTGTGACTGCGGTTTATGAATCGGCTGAACCTTCAGCGACAGCAGAGGATGTTTCGACTGTCACGCTGACTGCAAATGCTGTGACGTCAGCGATTGTGGTTTCTGGTCAGCATGTTGGCCCTGATTCGGTCACTGGTATGGCTGGTGCCATTCTTAGCGGCCTGGGAGGTGCGGGATCTGGATCTGAATCTGGATCTGGATCTAAATCTGAATCTGATGCTGGATCTGATGCTGGAGAAAGCGCATCGAGATGGGATCCTACCCAAGCTGTTGCTGTATCTGATTTCACTGCGTCTCGTGCTATCAAGCCGTCCAGCAGTTCAAGTGGCAAGAAAGCTACAGGCAGTAGCAGCGACACCAGCGGCAAATCCTCTGCTTCTGGCAGTGATGCTACGAGTGTCGCTTCGGTGGCTGCTACTCAAAGTGGTGCTGCATCGCCCAACACCCTCGGCAACTCAGCAATCTGGTCGTTCCTTGCGCCGATCTTACTTCTTTGGATATGACATCTGACGACTGAAGTTTGGATGGCTTTTCCCCCTTGTTGATACCTCATATAGTTAATAGTTTTCATTTGTTGTCGGGTCTGGGCTTTGTCTGGTTTATAGATATCCACAGTTTGGTTACTTGGCGCTTCTATGGTAAAAAGCTGATATGTACATATACACTTGTACTATGTTTTAGTTTTCTCTTTGCCAATCTTCTCCTGGTGACCCAGTGCACTTGTCACTTACCTGAGACTGTGAGTAAAATCTCGGTGATGCACTAAAGCAACTGGACTAAAGACACATGACCATTCATACCATACATAACGTGTCTCTCAACAGCTGTTTCTGGAGTGTCTCCTTGTCACACGATCGAGTCACAGTGTATTGATTGATTCGCGAATGGGGCCGTCGATGACAAAACTCATCGATAACCAGGGTCGCGGTGCCTACCAAGTTTGCTGAGTAAGCAAGCATGTCGTCATGGAGTCGACTCCGCGACGCGAGCGTCGCGAGACTATGATCATTCGCGTCTGTCTCGCACCCATCCCTCTAACGATCCTTTGCTGTTCAATTGACACAGACACGATGGCGCAATCGACGCAAATCTCCGTCTCGGAACCGGCCATCGAGAATGCCATGCCACACTCACCTGTGCTCGCAGCAAAGCGGACACACGATCAAATCGAGCCCGTCGCCGAAGCCGCGCCTTCGCTGAAGAAAGTCAAGACCAACGATGACACGCTTGAGACCAATGGACTCCAGGATACCCAGATGAAGGATGTCCAAGAGGTGGAAGACAGAAAGCAAACGCAAGAGATGGAGCATAGTGCTGCATTGGCTGTGCTGGATGATGGAGTCAAAGAGTCTGACGCGGCTAGTGGCAGGAGCGCATGGTGTATGGCACTGGGAGAGCTTTGAGGTCGTCGAGTGTCATTGCTGGACATTGATCGAAGCCCGCGAATGGAGAAGAAGACCTTGCACTACACGCCGCTCTTGCAGAAACACGGCGCTCCACGCCAGTCGTGAGCCTATAATGGCTTGACTTCGGCAAGGACACACAGCACATTCGCTGCACGATTTACTGATCGCCCAGAGGAGGAACTTTAGTGAGGGACTTCAGTAACAACACAGTGGTTGGAGACAATGAGCTGGCTGGTATATCTGCTGGTGTCACCAGAGCCGTGTCAGACAAGGGTATGAAGACCTAGACTATCAAGGATGGAAGCCGCGATTAGCAGAAGAGGAAAATATCATGGACCTCGGACTGCTGTTCCTGATAAGAAGAGGAATGATTGAGCTTTGAGGAAAGAAACCGAAGCAGCAAGTACATGGCTTCAACACAAAGTTTCCCTCAGTTCTCACAATGACGGTAGCTGCAGTGAAGCTGTTCGTGATATGTACCTATATCAGAACCAGAACTTGACCAGTTGATGAGGTATGAATGACAGTGGGGTGAACATGATGACCAAACTTGAATCCCACCATTTGAGGAAGGATCGTCACCACAACGTCACATGCGACTTTCATAAATAGATCATCATCTTAAATACTTTCTCGCCTGTCTGTTTCCACGAGACACAACACTCACCACATATCCAATCAACATGTCCAACAGCAACTACCAACTCAGTGAGGTCTTCGATGTCAAGGGCAAGGTCGCCCTCGTCACCGGCGGTGGCTCCGGCATCGGTTTGATGGTAATTCTTGCATCTGACGTATCCATCAAAAGGCATTGGACTGACTCCTGAAGGNCCACTCAAGCTCTCGCTATCAACGGAGCCAAGGTCTACATCGTTGGCCGTACAGAGGAGAAGCTCAAGACTGTTCAGCAGACCTACGGAAAGGACATCTCTGGTGAAATCATTCCGATTGTCGGCGATGTCACCAAAAAGAGCGAGATCGAGAAGCTCGTCAAGGAGATCGAGACCAAGGAGGGCTTCCTTGATATTCTGGTCAACAGTAGGCCAGCACTTGCCTCCCTGTATCAATCACAGCTAACCATGCAATAGNACGCCGGCATCGACGCTGGTAAACTCACCCCCGATGGCAAGAATGCCGAGGAGATGAAGAAGAACCTCTTCGACGAGGATACGTGAGTTCTAGCAATATTGATTTATCGACTCTGCGACTAACTCTTGTATCAGCNNTTCGAGGACTGGAGCAACCTCTACACTACAAACGTGATTGCACCTTTCTTCCTCAGCACTGCCTTCCTGCCCNTCATCCAGAAGGCCACTGAGCGCACACACGGTTGGTCTGGTACCATCATCAACATTTCTTCCATCTCTGGTCTCGTACGCATCTCTCAGGGTCACTTCAACTACAACGCCTCTAAGGGTGCTGTCGTTCATCTCAACAAGATGCTCTCGGCCGAGATTCAGAGCAGCGGCCTCAAGATCCGTGTCAACGCCATCGCTCCCGGTGTCTTCCCCTCGGAAATGACCGCTGGTGAGAGCAAGGACGACCAGAAGAGTGAACTCNCCAAGGAGCACAAGGGAGATTTGCCTTCGCAAAGACCAGGCAAGGACAAGGACATGGCCGCTGCTATTCTGTTTGCTGCTTCTTGCCAGTAAGTTGAACCGTCTATTCCTCCGACTGTGTGAGATCATGCTAACTGTGCCTTCCCCTTCAGGTACCTCAACGGTCAGAACATCCCTGTTGATGGTGGCTACCTCATCCAGACTGGCACCTAAGCTATTCAAGCATGACATCGCTACGAAATATGATGAAGATCCATGACATACAACAGCATGCAAAAACTTAGCAAGAATATGAAAGATTTGCTTTGTTACGTTCCTAGAAGTCTCGAACTCGTGAAAACATTACTGATCAATGTACAATGAAGATGATGCAAAGATATTGTGATTGTTGAAGTCTAAGCGCTACCTGATCCTTCGGCTCGCCCGCACCTGCCCAAATGCCCCTCGCCTTGGCACTGTTGATCATCGCAAATAACACCTCTTTACTTTTCTATCACAACATCTTGTAGCCTTCGGGAACGATAACAATACCTGGATTGACCCCAAGTAAGGAAGATCACCATGTCGAATATACAGATCGCGGACCCCAATCCAGATGCAAGTGCTCTCTTCTATGGTGAGATCGAACATTCGACCGTACCGTTGTCAGATTAGTGACTTGTAAAGACAGTACGACACACCGATGGTCTTCGGTAGAGACACGACCCATCAGAGAGTTATTGGAGGTAACGTGTCTCGCAACGTCAAACCTGAATCCTGACTGAATCTCTACAGCGATCAACAAGCCGAAAAGCATGCATCATGTAAGTCTGCAAGGCTCCCACAGGTGATCGTGTCTGATAACGAACCCTACCAGTTTCACCGAGATTGAGTACTTTCAAACATATCAGCGCAACAAGCTGCGAGATGCAATGATGATGCGATTTCCATCCACACCACAGATGTTTTGGTCAAGGACATGTTCGCTTCACAACGGCTTCTTCGGCTGTGAATACTCTGCTCCACCGGCGACAGTACCATACTCGACATACTTCCGCATGGCCGTCAACTCACCAAAGAATCAGGGGTTGCCAGATTACGACTCTCCGCATGGTGCTCTATCCTACGAGTGGTCGGATATGGGCTTTCTATCTTCATCATCGACCAGCTGGAATATCTTGATCTGCTTCAATGTGCCCGAAAGTGTCATTCTTGGTTTGCAGAATTCCTTGCCTACGGCGGTGCAGGACTTGCAAGGACCGTACGCATTGCACATACCACTGTTGGAGCAGCTGACTGTGCTATACGATATGAGTAACTCGCACGTTCAAGGCACGGTCGCAAGTCTAGAAAAGGTGATCATCGATCGTAGCTGTTGATCTCCACGAAGAAAATATGCTGATACCAATCAGGAACTTCTGGCACCTGCAGCTGGAAACAGCAGGATCGTGGATTTGGACGATTCACCAGCCGAGAGATGGAAAGGTCAACTCGCAGCCATCTTCGAGATATCGCGTCACGCCGTTCAACTCGTCGAGACAACACAGACGGCCGCCGAGACAATTGATCGTATGAAATTTGAATGCGAGAACTTTGCCGCATTTCAAAAGACTCCTGATAGATCGCTCGCTCAGAGGACTCGTAAGCTTGCTTTTGTATGCAGCATGCTTCGAGGTTTGTATGCGCGTGCTGTGGCTAATGAGAAGAGATTGGCTAATGAGCAGAGCNTTGGTATGTCTAATCGTTTTTGTCATGCTTCTTATAGGATCAAAGAGCTAATGTTTTTGTTATGATAGTTGTCGAACATGATTGCCCAAGACAATAATGAGGTTCTACGGCGATTAGCTGCCTCGAATAGCGATATGTCGTAGAGCGATGAAAGCTGCGAAGGCGAACATGAGCAGACAGAATGTCTCATCATGCAGGCATGTCTCTGATTAGTTGGAAAATACAGTATACACTTCTTCGCTGAGGCATATCATTCGTTCGCCATTCCAATTTGCTCAGGCTAAACCCCGAGATATCTAGATCATGATTTTTGTATCATCTATGGGATTGCTGTTGGATGATGAAACGAGGCGGCAATCCGGACGGCAGAAAGCCAGACATGGCTGCGCGTGCCGCTGAGTTGCATATACTAAACCACGCCTCCATGCGGATCGATATGCAGCCTCGGGGCTGAGGTCAAATAAGAGAACGATCCTCAACTTTTCCCTTCTAAGGTCACATTCTGCCATCTCTCCATTGTCAAATAACACAGTAACAAGTTCACTGACAATATCGTGGAAAGAGGACCATGTCTGTGCTATCTCAGGCTTCACCTCCAAGCCCCGCCCTCTCCGACCTCACCGACTCCGTTACCTGGACCTAATGTGCAAGCGCTCGTGTGTAGTAAGTGCCTCGATATAGGTGTTTTCCAAGAATGTTACGCTGATCATTTCTCAGGCGTCAGTGAAAAGACCACTGTATGGAATCTAGAAACGCAGTCGCTCTTCAATTTGTTACGAGTATGATGTCGATCTGTCCAGGAATCCAGGCCGGGCTAACAAGTCGACCAGAACTCTGGAAACAAAGCTTGTGTAATGTAAGGAACTTTCTTGAGGTAACATCAAGTCGAAGCACAAGTGCTAATTAGAGCGTTAGCTTCGCACGCACAGAAGAATTCAGATTGAAAGACGAGCGAAAAAGAGCACTGGAGCAGTGGTTCCCACATACGCCAGCAGTGTTCTGGTCCGACACATGCGTGGAACACAATGGCTTCTTCGGCAGCCATACCTCTAATCTCCGTGAACCCAGTCCCGGAAGCTCATCGACCGACCAGATAGCACGTTCAGTAGTTGCAGACGATCAAGAAGTCGTATCGACATATTTCCGTCTCATTGTCAAGATCCTGGAATCTCCTGACCGTGGGAGTCAAAGCTCTGCATCGAGTACATCCAGCAGAGCTGACTATAGATGGCATGAGATGGGATTCATGTCCTTGTCATCTGAGACTAAAAGCGTAATTATCTGTTTCGATGTTCCAGACAGTGTGATTAAAGATCTGCACAAATCACTACCGACAAATACCGGACAGATAAAAGGTCCATATGGACTACACATACTGTTGTTAGAAGAATTGATCAAGTTGTATGATCGAAGTATCTGGGCCATGGCAAAGAAAGTCCGAGAAATTGAANAAGGTTAGTCGAGTCGAACCTTCCGGGATTTGCGAGACAACAATCGTTATCCGCAGTCTAGCAACTGACACGAAAATCTCCAGCAACGTCTCGCAGAATCAGGAAGGCGAAGCTCCACAACTCCTTCTCTCCCATCAAGTCTACCTCCTCTCCCCAACGACCCCGCCAAACCGAAAGGCCTGGCAAGAACGACCGAGAACTTTGAGTACCTCTTCGAAATCTCGCGACACCTGGCCCACAGTGTTGAAACAACACAGATAGCCACCGAAGTTGTGGAGCGTATGAGAGATGCCTGCAATTCGCTCCTTCTCACTCAGAGGACTCCGATACTTGTATCAAGGGTGCAGAGATTGAGTTTCTTGCATAGTTTGCTCAGGGGACTTTCTGCGAGGTCGGTGTCTAACGAGAAGAGATTGACCAGCGAGCAAGTATTGGTGAGTGCTTGAAGGCAAAACAATGAACAAGCGTTTACTGATACAACAAGCNTCTCCAACATGATATCCCAACGCGACAGCAAGGTCAACAAAGACATGTCCTTCTTCAGCTCTGAGATAGCGCTCGCCACCAGAGCAGATGGTGCAGCCATGAAGACGATCGCTCTTGTTACTTTGACGTTCTTGCCTGCCACGTTTGTCACAGTAAATTTATCCTTTTGGTTCCTATCTCTTCGGCAAGGTGACATGCTGACGTTTATTTTAGNNGCACTCCTCGGCATGAACTTCTTCACAGTCGACTCGAAGATCCCAGGCGGACGGCTGACTTCGACGAAAGACTTGTGGATCTATTTTGTCATCGCAGTGCCGTTGACAAGTATTGTGCTGTGTTTCTGGTGGTGGTGGCAGAGCAACGAGGAAAAGAAAGCGGAAGTCCGCAATAACCGAATGAGGAGGGAGGGTGATGTTGAGAAGATTGGGTCCTAAGGATAAGTTCATGTAGGACCGCAATATGACGAGCATGTTCGCGTATGTAGCCAGATTTACATCTTGAGGAAGCCGCAAGGCACAATATGTTGGCGGTTGCTCGTTCTTCCTCCCCGTGTGTCGAATGTTGCAACATTACGATTTCCCTCCCCCATTAACGTATAGCGATATCACAAGCTAGGAAACGCACAGTGGCTTATTGTACAGAAGTGAGGCCATAGAGCTATCAAAAGACAACGTTTCTTCCGCGGACACCACTCCTTCAAGAAGGTACTATACATTCCTGTCGCTAAATTGCGACACTTTTTTTGCTCACGAGAGAGATTCGTGTCTCGCTCTCGCCATCCAGCAAGGAGTCTGGAAAAGATGCACTAGAATGACATAGGGGCCCGTCCGTCAAAGAGATCCTGGAGAAACGTATCGGTGTTCATGTCTCCTGTCCAAAGACCTGTGTTGGGATCTGACATCTGGTCAAAAGATGACGGAAGGAAATCTAGTCCCGGTGTCCAGTTCCTACTGTACTGTTGCATCAGAGCTTCAAGCTCATGAGCTTGCATCTGTCCTGCCGTAATGCCAGCTTCGGACTGGTTGTTGACGAAAGCTCCATTGGAGTCTCCCGAACCGGAATCAAGTGCCGTACTTATGTTCATGCGCCCATGATTATTACGGCTCTTGGAGTCCATCATCCAGCTGATGGTGCGGTGTGACAACTCATCCAGAATGTCGCGACTGCGTTTGGCTCCTGGCCAGTGCTCACCCGTAGCGCTAAGGATGTTTGATGCTGCGCGTAGGTCGGAGACGAGCTCATCAACCACGGCTCCTTGTGCAACGGACTGACAAGTCCAGATACAGAAGAACGCCGTGACCGAGCTCATCATTATTGAATGATAAGATGCCCAGCTAAACACCAGCGAGTTCTCGACGTATAACTCATGGTAGAGCTTGATAGCTGCTATGGCACTTGCGTAACACGCTTGCAAATCATTCGAGGTCGGTTGTGGTATGCCAGGACTAGGTCGGAGAAGAAGTGTCTTCAAAACATGACAGCGGATGTGACAGAGCTTTACCACATAGTCTTTAGGACCCGTGCTTTGTGGTATATCAGCAGCCCACTGGTCGAGACGATCTACCATATCTCTTTGCCAGGTCTTCATGCAGCGAACTGCTGGGTAAGCATAAGCTGGAGTATCTCGCGAAATACTGTGAAGGATATACTTCATCTCCGAATTGAGCCTGGCAAGCTTGAACAGGTGTATAGCATGACTCATGTGACTCGGAGGTTCTCCTTGTGTTCTTGATCTGACATTTGTCTGTTGCAGATTCTTGTCGTCAATATCTGCAGGAAGCTGGACATTCAGATGGTCAGTTTACTGTGATTATTGACTTACGCTCAAACTGCTTACCCTTAGATCACATGCCTCGTCTCTCAGACCTATCGGTCGGCCCATCATTGTACAAAGAGATCTGTCCAAACTGTATACAACCCAGAAAAGCCTGGTTCGCATCTCCTGATCGAACGGTGAGATTGACAAGGCCGAAGTAACATCTCTTTGTAGACCAAGGTCTACAACCATCGCGATACATTGGTAGTTGAGATACCAAATGTTCAATTTTGTTGTTGGACTGTGCATACCCCAGACATGCAGCAGCAACAGGCACTGCAGCCCTCGAGTCGAGCTCTCGAGCGGCTTTTTCTCGAAGAACAACATAGCCATGGCGGCCCAACCTTCGCTGGGCAGCAAAACTTTGTCTCGGCGCGACAGCATGATGGAAGAGATTGCAAGCACCATATAGACTTGAAAAGCGACGACAGGATCAGGTTCATCGGAAGCGTACATCTCTTCTATCAGACTCATATGCGCTGGCTCATGCAAGAACGGAAGATGTTGGTGAATAGTCCTGAAGTAAGTCAGAGTCAGCTCCTGCGTCAAGTCTTTGCTTGAGGGAAGCGGAGTCTGGATATCGCGGAGCAGCTTCTCTGTAAGAGCAGTATCTCGCTGCAAGGTAGCGTTGCCCAGATTGACGCGAGTCGGGTTTGTAGCTTTAGTCAATGCACTAGCTGTGCAAACAAGCTGGGTAAANAAGTGGCCACTCGATGGCCCGATGTAGCGTGGATCATCGCCATTCGGAAGTGATACAAGGCCAATCTGATGGGCCAGGCTCGAGTCTGCATGTTGTGGATCGTTCGTAGGAGTTTCGGTATCACTTGCACCTGTCTCGGTGTTGATCATTGCTGCATCGTGAACAACATCTGGGACTTCTGTATCCATTGAGGGTTCTTGCTGGTTGCCCGGTGTAAGAGCCGATGCAGTGCTAAACATCGAGCTTGAGGCATCATTGACATTATCGGCGTTCTCTATATCGATCTCATTCGCTAGATCAACATCAGGACATCTGGATCTAATGATATCCTCGAGCCAACGGACGCGATGCTCAAGATGTTGTATGTACCGCCTAGAATACCGCTCAGTTGGGTGAAGACATTTTTAAGGTCTGACCTACGCTCGTGCTTGATTTCCAACGCCATTGCCGTCCTGATACTCGCATTCTTTGTTTGACCTGCTACATGATGTACAAGTCGGCAATAGTCCGTCACACTCAAGACTAGTCAGCACAAGGACGGGGAAGTGCAAGCGGTGTGGTCTTTACGCGTATTTTGCGCTGTTGGCAGCGGAGGCAGGCGGTACGGATGCGCTGCGACCTCCGTGACTGCCGTCTCGCAGCTCTCTCACCAGTAGCCTCCATTCCCGAGCGCGGATTTTCCACACGGAGGAAGGCGCATGACCGACGGGAAGAACGTTTTGTTTGACGCCAAGGCCGCGAGCTCGTTCGGAAATTCCGTCCCTTAGTCCCAGTCGACCCATCGAGCTTTCCCAACCTCAACCACCGCTACCACTTAACAATCACACAACCACGACATGTTTTTACGCCGATTCTTTGAGAGTTAAAAATGATATTTAGTCTCTGATGTTCTATATGACACTGTGCCTCCAACATGTCCGTCATACTGTCTTCGCCGCGACCAGAGGCAAGAATCCTAGAAGATATTCATCTGCTTCATCAACCTCAAAGTCATATCTCATCAAATCCTCCTTGTAAGGAAACATATATGTGCTCGTGACACTGGCCGATAGTTGTCAGCTGCGTCCTATGGCGTACATCTCCGTGAATTACCGATGATGTTCGTCGGACCTCTGATATTCCGCAAGCGCGGCTCTGTCTTCGTGGAAGCTCAGAAGAGCAAACTCGAATCCCTTGCTACGCTCGATAGGGTCGGTTATTGATGCTCCCCCGACCACTAGTCGCTGCTCCTTGACACATGGTAACGACTTCAGCTTCTTGAGTTCTGTCACAAACTTCTGCTTGTGCTCATCCGTCACTTCGGGACGGAATTTGAAGAGACTGTCAAAGAGTCAGAGGGGCATCAATGGGAAGATCTTAAGACATACCAATGTGTACGATGGTCATATTTTTAGTTTTCTCTCTATTGATACAACTTCAGGTTATTTGCAAACAAAGGCATACCCAGCATACCTATATACTGAGCGCTTACGCGGAGATGATTCCGCCTGACGGAAATTCCATTGGATTGATGGAAAAGCCGCTATCGAGAAGACGCAACTTCTCCGAGACAGCTAGTATTAAAACCATATATCCGGGACACCAACTTTGGAACGTTCATCACAGTCATCCAGGTTCCGAACAATCAAATAATTTAATTGCTATATCGATCTCGTTGTCGACAAGAAAACGAAGACATCACCATGGCCGATTCGGAAACCACCTCCAAACTCTTGGTCTCCGCTCGGGATGCCAACGACTACGTTAGAGCCGTGCTGCAAGCCAACGGTGTATACGGCCAAGATGCAGCAACGGTAGCCCACTGCCTCGTTGCTGCCGATCTCCGTGGCGTAGACACCCATGGCGTCAACCGTATACCATCCTACCTCGCCCGTGTCCGCCAAGGAGTCCTGGATCCCACCGCTCAACCCACCATCATGGAAAAGACTCCTGTTGTCGCTCAAGTGGATGGCAAAAATGCTTTTGGCTTCGTTGCAGCGAAATTGGGCATGGAGAAAGCGATCGATATGGCTAAGACCTTCGGTATCGGTATGGTCAGCGTGAAGCACAGCAACCATTTCGGCATGAGTGCTTGGCTGGTGCAACAAGCTCTGGATGCCGGGACGATGAGTCTGGTGTTTACAAACTCCTCACCCGCCTTGCCGGTCTGGGGTGGCAAGGAGAAGTTGATGNGGGTCTCGCCGATTGCTTGTGGAGCTCCTGGTGCCGAGCATGATTTCATCCTAGATATGGCGCCTTCGGTCGCTGCGAGGGGAAAGATCTACAAGGCTAAAAGAAGAGGTGAGAAGATACCGGTGGACTGGGCTTTGGACAAGGACGGAAACAGGACTGATGATCCGAGTGCTGCGCTCGGGGGTGTCATGTTGCCAATGGGCGGACCAAAGGGTTCGGCATTGTCCATCATGATGGATGTGTTCTCTGGCGTCTTGTCCGGATCAGCATTTGCTGGACATGTTACTAATCCTTACGATCCGTCTAAGCCGGCGGATGTGGGTCACTTTCTCATTGCGCTGAAGCCCGACCTTTTCCTCAGCTCGGACGAGTTCAAGCAGAGAATGGAGTATCTCTATAACAGAGTAAGTTTGCATCGGTATATGACAGATACCATTGGCACTAACAGAATTCAGGTCGTCAATTGTGAGAAGATGGCAGGGGTAAACAGAATCTACTTCCCAGGAGAGATTGAGCAGTTGACAGAAGCGGAAAGAAGAAAATCAGGCATACCGTATGTGGCAGCCGAGATTGAAGCCTTGAACGCTGAGGCAAGGCGAGTCGGTGTACCAGATATAGTCGTGTCACAGTAGAAATATTGCTCACAGTGTTGAGAAAAGTTCAAGCACAAAGACAAACAATCATTAACTACCTCACAAGTGATATTAACATGCGCCGACCAGAAAGACTTCGCTCTTACGACAAAATTACTCACTCGAATGACACCAGTTTACTCTTCTTCAAAATCAACTTCGCCAGCTCGATCAAACTGGGACTGGTGAGCAACTCCAAAACTTGAACGTTGGCATCCGCCTCTCTTGCGATCCAGTTACGGACCTCAATGGCAGCGAGCGAGTCAAGACTGTACGAAGCGACTGCTGCCGACGGCTCCATTTCNCCAACGGACAACATCAGGACCGCTGCCAGCTTGGTCACGAGAGCACCATACAAGATCTCCAATGCCTTCTCACCATCGATAGCGCTTTTCAATGCTTGAGGCAGAGGCACGTTTGCATTGCCNCCNTCCGTAGATGTCTGCGAGACAGCTGCAGCAAGCAGATTGCTGAACTTCGCATCGTGGCACCAGAAGGGCTCGGAGCCAGGATTGATCTTCAGACCAGTGATGACGTGGTTTTGNCTAGCGGTAATCTTGCCCGTGATAGCAGCGGTGAGGAGACCCAGAATCTCACTCTCCTCAATGGTTTCGCCACCAAGGTTGCGGAGTACATCAGCTGCTCTTTCGCTGTTGTCGGCCAGGTAGCCAACATCTGAGACGGCGGTTAGGTCGAGAGATGTACCCGGAAGTCCTTGAGCATTGCGATGAGCCATGAAGGTGTCCAAGAAGACATTAGCAGCCGCATATGCTGCTTGGCCGCGGTTACCAACAACACCAGCGACCGAGGAAAGAGCGATGAAAAAGTCAAGCTCGGATGTGCCAAGACTGTTGTGCAGGTTGAGAGTACCGGCAACCTTAGGATTGACGACTGCGTTGAAGTCATCAAGGGTCATCTGCTCGTAAAGAACATCTTTGAGAACCATAGCACCCTGGATGACACCGCGGATTGGTCCTTCCTTCTGGAGTTCTTCAACCAATCTCTCGACTGACTTGGCGTCGGCCACATCGCAGGCGCGGACCGACAATTTTGTGCCCAATTTGGCAAGATCGCTGATGAGTTCTTCCAGCCGTGTAGTAATGCTGGCTCGTCTGGATGACAAACAGATATTCTTTGCTCCACGAGATGCCATCCATCTGGCAATGCTGCATCCAAGGCCGCCAGTACCACCAACAATCAGGTACGAGGCACTTTCTTTGAACAGGTTTGCAGTCTTTCTAGGCGCGATGGCTTGAACAAGGTCTCCAGGTTGAGGTGTGATGACCAATTTACCCATGCTCTTGCCACTCTGAAGGCTACGGAATGCAGCTTCGACGTCATTGATACCATAGCTGGTAATTGGACCGACTGGTCTGATACTGCCACTGCTCATAAGCTTCTCTACATCGTTTAGGAGTCTCTTCATGAGCTTAGGGCGGTAAGCAGCCACCTTGGTCAGATCGACAGAGGCGAAAGACACATTGTACTCGAACTGAGCCATTTCGAGTCTATTGTTCTTCGTGATGTCTGCCTTGCCGATTTCGATGAAACGTCCAAATGGAGCCAAGCAGTTCCAACTCTCGCGCAAGAAGTCGCCTCCGAGAGAGTTGAGCACAATATCGATACCCCTTCCATCAGTGACTTGGCGGATGGCAGGTCCGAAGGTGGTGTCACGACTGTAGAAGATGTGATCTTCAGGAATGCCATACTCCTTCATGATGTGCTGCTTCTTGTCAACACTTCCAACAGTGGCAAAGATCTCAGCACCACAAGTCTGCGCCAACATGATGGCAGCTTGACCGACACCACCAGCAGCGGCATGAATGAGCACACTCTCGCCTTCGGCGAGGCGACCGAGGTCAAAGAGACCGTAGTAGGCGGTGCAGAATACGACTGGTATGGTCGAAGCGGCAGCGAAGTCCATCTTCTCGGGAAAAGGAGCAACGCTAGTCGACAGGCAACGAGCGTATGTGCTATATGCACCTTCCGTCATGGCCATGACAGATTGTCCGACCTTGACATCTGCCACGTTCTTGCCAACGGCTGCGATGATACCTGCGCACTCAACACCAATATATGGCTGATTGAGCTGACCCATTGACACTACAACATCCTTGAAGTTCATACCAGTAGCCTTGACCTCAATTTCAACTTCATTGTCACCAAGTGACTTGGGCTCATCATCAACAAAGTACAACGAGTCCAGAGAGCCCAGGGTGGCAATAACCATCTTAAGGCGACGATCAGGCTGCGCGAACGACTGCTGATATACGACTGAGTCTTGTGACTCTTGGTGGAGTCGTACGTTCAACTCTTCATCGTCGACTACCCTAGGCACCAACAAATTGTCCCCCTTGAGGATAAATTCTTTATCGTTTTTGAACGTGGAGGTCGAGTCAGCACTAGTCTTGTAAAGAATAGTGAAGACGTTTTCGATAGCAATCTTTTCAGTAGCTTTCTGCAGACCAAGGGTAATGATGTTTGCAGAGGTTTCCGAGCGGATAGCACGAGTAAACCCAACGATCATGCTTCCTTCGACGTCAATAATATCAGGGCCTTCCTTGTATATCCAAAGAACATTTCGGGCCGAGAGCAACATTTGGCGCAAAGAATCGAACACCGTGGAATCAATGTTGCTCAGGATGTTCTTGTCAGTTGTGACGAAGATGATTCGCTTGTCAGCGGGTGCGACCTTTGAGAGCGTGAGGAGCTCAGCTTGAGCACCAGATGACTTCCAGATATCGCCAGCTATTTCAGCTGCCAAAGCTTTCTCGTTCGCTTCATTGTATACGACGCAGACAGTTTCATCTCTTGCGAATGGCGTGCTGACAAGAGAATCGGTTTTGATCGGCGTGTCTGAGACATCAGAAGTAGACTTTTCCAACTCGGTTTCTTCTTCAAATACTGTTTGCCAGTCGAGCTTATAACAAAGTTCGCGAGCTTGTTGTCCGGAGCTACCACTAGACTCACGAAGCGGAGTCATCGTCAGACCGTCAAATTGCACAAGCGGCTCACTGGCGTTTGAAGAATCCACGACAAAGAAATTGAACTTCGTGGGCTCTGGAGACTCCTTGTTTGGAGTACCAGAGCCAAATACCTCGAGACGACTGTCGAGCACTGAAGAAAAGTTACGAGAAATGCTGAAGTTCTTGACGAAAGTGGGCATGTAGAGCGTATCGAGTCCCTGGCGGCCAGCACCAAATATGGGCCAAACAATCTGGATGGTCTGGTCAAGAAGAGCCGGATGCACGATGAGCTCAGTCTCATAGCTTTTAGGCATCAAAGACTTGGTATCCGGCACGATCAGCTGAGCATGAGCGGTGGAATTACTTGCTTGACAAGGCTCCAAACCAGTGAACACAGGTCCGTATTCAGCGCCGTTGGCCGTGAGAGTCTCATACATAGCCCTGACATCGACTGTATCAGTGGATGCCTTGACAATACTTGACTTGCGAGTCTCGAATGCCTTGGAAGCACTCTGAGCCTTGTGTGCATCGACAGCGTTGGTAGGTGGAGAGCTCCGAACACCGACAAGACCGTGACAGTGCTGTAGCCAACCACGTTTTGCGTCCCAAGAGCAGATCTTGAATTCGTCCCATAGGTCGGATGCTGCTCCGCGAAGGCCTTCGCTGTAAGACTTGAGAGTGATAGTAGTCTCAACATCAGTATCCTCGTTAAGGACCAACGCGCTACTGACGACGAACTCGCGAATGTCGAAGCGATCAAACTGAACGCCACGAGCGTTTGCACGCCTGGCAGCTGCTTCGAGGGCCATAACCATGTAGCCCGCCATTGGAAACACAGGCATGGATTGCATCTTGTGACCACGGAGGAATGGCAAGTCATCCAGTCGAACGATGTTTCTCCAAGTTGGCTCGAGGTCATTAGACCAATCAGCGAGCGATCCTAGAATGTCGTTGCGCCCACCTTCCTTGAAACAATGCTTCTGAGAAAGACGAGACTCGTGCCAGTATCTGGTCTCGTGGTTGAATGGATACCTCGGAAGGTCCGTGATAAGTTTCTGATTGACGCTCTTGGTACGAGGGAAATTGATTTCACCAAACGTCAGAGGCAGACCCTTCATATAAAGGGCGCCTGCCATACGAAGAGCACATTCGCTGGCATTCTGGTTTCTGGCAAGCACAGAGACATACTGCAACTTGCCCTTGGCAGCATCGATGGTAGCTAGAGTATCCCTGATGGGACCTTGCAAAGCTGAGTGAGGTCCAAGCTCGACCAGATGGTCGATGACCTTCGATCCAGTCTCCTTCGCCATTGCACTGAGAGCATCAGAGAATCTGACGGGTGAAGTCAGGTTTTGGACCCAGTATTCAGGTGTAAGCTCAGAAGCTTCAGCGACACGACCAAGTAGGGATGAGTAAAAATTTGCTGTGGCCGTGGTAGCAGGCTGAATGTCCTTGATCAAGTCGAGGTACTCGTCCGCAACAGGTTCGAGATGTGCTGAGTGATACGCAACGCCGACCTTTAATTGTCTGTTGAAGATACTCTTTTCTGTCAAAATTGGCTGAAGTTCCTCGACAGCTTCGACGTCACCAGACAAAGTCACCGAAGAAGGGCTGTTGATACAAGCCACGGTGACATAGCCTTTGGTAACAGCATCGAGCAGAGGACGAACGTTTTCAAGACTGGTCCCGACAGCCATCATGGTACCTTGTGGTTTGCCTGCAGCTTTCTTCTTGAGACTAAGCATGCATTGACCTCTATAGTAAGCGATTCTCATCGCATCTTCAAGACTAATGATGCCAGCAGCGAAGGCACAGCCAATCTCGCCTGACGAGTGGCCGACAACAGCAGCGGGGTGTATGCCCCATGAACTCAGGAGCATAGTGAGAGCAATCTGGAGTGCGGTACAAGCAGGTTGACTGATGTGAGCAGCATCTATGAGAGATGTGTCTGCGGGTTTCAGCATCTCCTTTTCCAAAGAGAAGTCGGCTCCAAGGGCTTTCAGTGTGTCGTCTGCAGCATTCAGTGCAGTAGCAAAGATTGGGTAATCGCGAGCAAGCTCGGCGCCCATGGTAGCCCACTGGGCTCCTTGACCAGTGAAAACGAAGCCCAGAGTAGGTTCGTTGCGAGCTCTGAAGGTAGGGACCTTCGCAGTTGCAAGACTGTGGCCCAGCTCATCAGATGAGACAGCCGCGATGGCAAGTCTGCAGGGTAAGTGAGACCGTCTCTCGCCAAGAGTGTAAGCTACGTTGCCTGCTAGTAGCTTCTCGAACACTTCTGGTCGTTGCTCAAGGAAAACACCAAGATCGGTGATCTTCTTCTGCAAGGCTTGAGATTCATGGGCAGATAGTACAAACAGCTTGCATTGAGGGTCGTTGGGTGCTTCGTCGAGAGAGCCAATTGTGGTCATGGTAGTTTTGAGNTTTTTGGGAGCAGCGCCCAAGACGACATGAGCGTTTGCACCACCGAAGCCGTAATTGGAGACCGAAACATACTTCTTGCCTCGTGGCCAAGGCCTGGTCGATGTCGGAACNCTGACAGTCGTTAGAATCATAGTAATCAAATCAATCGTGATGCATCCAGAATACACCTTCATATTATACTGGTCGAGCGGAATGTTCGGGTTCGCCGTCTCATAATTTGCGTTAGGCAGGATCATTCCCTTCTCCAGCATCATTGCAGCTTTGATTACTGAGACTAAGCCACTTGCGCCTTCGAGATGGCCAACGTTGCTCTTCACTGAGCCGATGAAGAGTGGATTCTTGGGACCACGACCAGCACCCAGTGCTTCATGGATGCCAGCAACCTCGATGGGGTCACCGACCTTTGTACCAGTCCCATGGCATTCACTGAAACCACATTCAGCTGGGTCAAGGTTTGCCTTGGCATAAACCTGCTTGATCAGGTCTGATTGAGCACGACCATTTGGCACGGTGATACCATTGGTCTTGCCATCTTGGTTGACGCCAGAGTTGTGGATGACAGCTCGGATGACATCGCCATCACGAATGGCAGCATCGAGTGGCTTCAGGATCATTGAGCCCGCACCTTCGCCACGTGCAAATCCGGATATTGCTCGGTAGTCGAAAGCGAAAGTCTTGCCGGCATCATTGAGCAGCNNCTGTGAAGTGTTAGGCTAGTGCAGAAATTTGAAGCCAAGAACTTACTGTGTATTCGACATAGTCACGAAGAAGTCTGGTGTCAAGTTGAGATGAGCCGCAGCTACTACTGCAGATGAAGACTCTCCACTGCGGAGACTCTGCATGGCGCTGTGTAATGCCACGAGAGAAGAGGAGCATGCTGTATCGACAGTCATACTCGGCCCTCGAAGATCAAAGTAGTATGAAAGACGATTGGACTGCATTGCTGGTGCACAACCAGTAGCTTGGTACGTGGGTGCGGTGTCGATGTCTCTGGTATTATTGACCTCATAGTCTGCGAAGGAGCCACCGACAAAGACACCGATGTCCTTGCCTGCGATGCCTTCCTTGCTCATACCCGAGCTTTCGAAGGCTTCAAAGGTGCATTCAAGCAAAAGTCGTTGCTGCGGATCGAGTGCAGTGGCCTCTTGAACAGTCATGTTGAAGAAAGGGGCATCAAAGCACGCAGGGTCTTCTTGGAGGAAGTAACCACCCTCTGTGTTGATGCAACCATGCTTGCCGGGTGCAGGATGATAGTACGCGTCCTTTGCGTAACGTGTAGANGGAGTAGGTCCCCAGCCAGTGCGGCCTCGAGAGCACAACTCCCAAAGATCCTCAGGCGATGAGACGTCGCCGGGGAGTCGGCAAGCATAGCCTACGATAGCAATAGGTGTGGGTATAGATGATGCCATGTTTGTGTTGGCGGGATTGACGAGATCCCGAGAAATGATCAAGTATTAGTCGATATTAGCCGACAAGATGGAGTAAAGAGAAAAGCTGAAATCTGATGAGGAACTCTACCAGCATGGTGGGAACGTCGACGCTTTATCGCAATCATGAGAAGTTCTATGTCCTTGATGGCTTTACAGAAGGAGGACTGATCTTCGTTGAGCGATTTTCTTACCTCGAAGCGTTGAGCAGAGACCAGAGAGTCGAGAGAGTATCTCGTGCCACAATAGGGTCGTTCATGTTGAGACTCGTCGCTGTGATTGATCCGCAAGGGCCATTTATGCTATCGACCAACTGCCATTAGAGACTGACTCGAGGGGGCTTGTCTTTCACATTGTCTGATATTGCACAATCCTTCTGCCGGAAGCGGGCAAGAGGCCGGACTAATCTTCGACGAATAGGGTCTATTCTGGCGTTCCATGCTGGATCCCCAACGTTGATACGGAGCTATCTCGTAAGTGTGAGCTCAAAGCTTGTGGCTACCGGTATACCATGTCTGCACTGCCATGCCCGGTTGTCTCGGCCGAGTAGTCATTTCCCTGAGGACTGCTCAAGACATGTCAACATCAAGGTCCAATCCGAAAAGCCATGGCAACATGTGTCGCAACAGCGGCATTAGGCTTGAAGGGTCTATAAGCTTTCACTTTATAGTGCCCTACACCAGCATGCATTGCCGTTCTGCTGATCACCTGTAAAGGGTCGCCGATCATGTTCAACAAGGGAAGAGAAAGCTTTGACATGTGGCATGAAGTTCAGGGACAAAAACGTTCAGAGGACGAAGGAGGAAGGTTTAACCCGGAGAAACAGCGGGTCTTGGTGCAACAGACCGCTTCGGGGACAGTGCGCCTTGACGTGTCGGATCTATTCACACCTCCCACCAATCGGCAATATATGCCGTCTTATTGACTCACTTTATACGGTTATCGCCTACAAGGACGAGGGTATACGTGCGTAAACGAATAGATTCAATAGACACATGCATGCTCCGAGCAAGACAACAATATTAGATAGACACGAACAAAGTTGATCTTATCAACTTCTCTCAACAATCATTAGCTAGTCGTTCTCGACTAGGGTTCTTGCTAACCAACCATGTGTCTCATCCTTTTGCTGCGGGTATGACAAACAGCCGGAAGGAATGCATTCGACCATTTCTGGAAGGAAAGACACGCACGCCTTTGATATTGCGAGTCGGTCAATGTATTTTATGCTCCCTCGACTACGTTCCTTTGAGACTCAGCATTTTCTTTGATCACAATACAAAGACCAGCAAAGATGAAATTTCTATGTTTGCATGGAGCCTATGGCAACATTCCCGTGAGCGCAGTACCAATAGAAGTACCTTGATATGGCCTTTAACATTTTCTCAGGNCAGCTCGTGTCCAACTGGGACCCTTGGTAGAACTACTTGAGTCTGCTGGCTCAGCCTCGTTCGAATTCATTCAAGGCCGAGTGCCAGTGACACCACCTCCTGGCAAGGCCACCAAACCCTGACAACATCATCTGAGCTGACAAAGCTGTANNGGCTTCGAGTCGTACTTCGGTCCAGGACCACACTATCGTTTCTTCAAAGACAAAGGAGAGGCTGAGGCATCAGCAGTCGAAGGAATCAGAGTGTTTCCCGAAGCCGACACTCCTGAAGATGCTCTCCGTGCACTCATGCCCAGGAGCGAGACGAAGATCGGCTTCGCTAATGCGAGACAAGCTGCCTTGGAACAGCTTTATGAAGCACTCGATGCTGATCCCGAGATTAGCGGCGTCATTGGATATAGCGAAGGCGCATCTGCTGCAGCCACACTCATCTACGATGAGCAGGAGAGGATGAGGTCCGAGGGTTACGCTCCAAGGATCAAAGCAGCTGTCTTCTTTATGGGATGGCCTGCGCTCACTAGCGAGAACGTCCCTGCCTTGTCGGACGAGGTCGAACACCTTCTTGAGGTCCAGTCTCTTCACATCATTGGTGCCAACGGTATGTTGACACGACACCCTACTCCCATAAGACCACTTTCTAACACTTACANNGACCCCTACAAGGATGGTGCGCTTGCCTTGTACAACCTCTTTGACGACAATATGGCTGTGTTCTTCGATAGTGCGGGTGGCCACACTATTCCTCGTCATGGTAAACTTTTACAAGAGTTGGCTCAATCAGTGAAGGGCTTGATCGCCGAGATACCAGAAGACGATTCTGCTGAGTTGTCAGGCCCGCTCATTGTGGCCAAACGTCTAGACTCCGCTGTCGACATCTCTACCCTGAGTTCGTTGAAGCTGGCCGACGTGTAGTCTTCGATAGCGACAAAGCCCTCATCAATTCATGTTCAAGTCTTTGTGTGTTCCCCCAAAATTGATCTTCACTATCGTCAGTCCCGACCAGAATCTTCCCAGTCTTCAACAGAGTTCACTTCCCACCGACCTGCCCCTCTGGCCTCGGCTGCCTCGAGCTCAGTGGAGCCGTAGGAGCTATCGAGATCCCATCCATTACTTGCCTCTCTAGAAAATTCAGACAGAATCTCTTCCAACTCTGCTTTGATACTGCTTGAACCTTCAACCAAGCGTGAGCTGAGATGCGTTCTGTTTTCCTCGACTTGAAAGTAATCCCAGAAACATATGTCTCTGAAGTCGAGGCGTTGCAAACCCAGCTTGTCTTTCATAAACTCAAACAACTCAATCTTAGACACTCTGGAGACACCTAGCTTCACATCATACAACTCAAGATATTTGAGTGATTTGACTTGTTGTCGCAAGAACTTCATGAAATACGGAAGTTCGATGTGCAATTTTTCCAACCGAGCCCCACGAAACATGTTATTGCTGCAAACGCAGGTCAGTGGAATCATCTCGAACCAGCTCTTTGGCAGCGGCGTTAGGGTGAAGCCGGACGTCGACATCTGCATCAAAAGCCGCAGGGACTTTCAAAAGAGCTTCGGATCAAGTCCAGCAAACGGCGATTAGAGTTCCAAGGCACCACAAACAAAGGTCCCCCAGGCCTGGAGGAAACATGTTTCACAGGCATCGAATCCGAATATGGTGGCTTGGAGTACAGGCTGAAGGAGAACGTGTTCCGCGAGTTGAGTATTGATAATTGCAAGGTCAGCCTTCGACTATTGTGCCTGTTTCTGTGGAGGCATAGGGAAAAGCTTCGTCGCGTTGAACTGTCGAACATCAGGGTTGACTGCGACGAAGGAGGCGCGTTGCACAGAGAAAGCCGCTGGGATGTCAATCTCGACAGCAACTTGTCTTCTGTTCATCCTGGTAACAAGTTCACTTTGTTCAAGTGCTTGAGAAATGAACTGAGTCTGGATCACCCGGAATGGAGCTGTGTGCGATTCACTACTGGATAGGCTCGAGACACCGAGACGTTCGACGATGCAACAAGGCAAAGATTTCAAAAGCTTTGACAAAACTGCTGAAAGCAGAGACTGGAGACGTGGTAGAAGACTGGAAGGAGGATCTGTATGGTTGGAATGAAGAGCTCGAGAATGAAGACTTGCTAAATGAGGACTCGCTGGACGAAGATCCCTGGACGATGGCTCGCTCGACGATGACGCGCTCGACGATGACGCGCTCGACGATGACTCGCTGGATGATGAATAGTAAGATACCAGCACAGAAGTACGAAGTTCCATGTTGGGCTTGACAGCCACCGAGTATGTAGAGCTGTCCACAAGATAGGGCGCTATATCCGTAAACTATATATTGGTTTCAGAAAGGGCAAATATAAGAGGAATCATAAGATTTTTTGGGTGCGGGGGAGCATGATACACAAATCAGAATGCGGAGATGAAGCGAGTCAGTTCTTGAGATGGTATGTGGTCAACTTCGATAAGTAGTCCCTCTTCCCTTTCGGCAGATGGTGCTATAGTACTATAGAGATGCACAGTTGCTGACAGAATCCGACGTGTGACCATAGAAGCAGCTTCAAATAACAGCTCTCCTTGGACAACACTTTATTTCGAAAAGTGTTGTGCATTCCTATAGCTACAACATAACAGCATGGCGTTCTCAATAGTCCATGCCACCGCCACTCTTCCTCTTGTCTCCCCTTCTTTGCTTCTTGTCCGGGCAATCTTTCTGCAAGTGTCCCTTCTGGCCACAAACATGACAAGCCATGTTGGCCACATTTCCTTGTTTGCTCCTGATAGCAGCATTTGAGATTCCACCGACCTTGTTTAGATTGATGTCCCTGCTTCTTCGTCGCTCGGCCATTTGTTTTGTCTTTGCCTCTTCCACTTTCCGTCGGGCTTTGCGTTCGGCGCGCAGTTTTGCGGCTGCTTCTTTGCGTTCTGCTTTCAAGAGTAGTTCGGCTTGGTCTAGATCTTCATCGTCCTCAGAGTCCGAGTCCGAGGAAGCGTCCGAGTCGTGTTCAGACTCTGATGATGAGAGGTCAGGGTTGTGTTGACGCNNTGGAGCAGTCAGTATTTGTTCCGCTTCTCGAATGACATAAGACCTTACCTCAACGGCCTTGTTGAACTTTCCAAAACTCCTTCGTCCCGCCATACCAGCACTCTGCTCTTCCTCCTCTTCATCGTCGCTCTCAGGAATCGGTGCACCCGAGTCAATGGCACCATATCCGGCCTCCACGATGCGCAATCCCGATCCAGCAGTCTTGGGCTTGTCGTCACTGACACTGAGCACCCATTTTGTTTCTCCGGCTTCGGCGGCGGCGCGTTCGATAAAGGCGTTCTTCTTTGCTTCGGCGGCGGCGGCGGCTTCCTGGAAGGCGAGGGCGTCGGGAGTGACTGCTGCTTCGGTCCTTTGGCGTTTGGAGGGGCGTGTGCCGTCGGGAGTGGTGGGGGTAGTGGGTGTCGAGGCAGATGCGCGTTGCATGAACNNTGGTGTCTGTGTTAGTCTTTTAGATGTATACCAGGGCGCTGAGAGGCGGACCTTCATGTTCAGCAGTCGCGACGACATGTTTTTGCCTGCCATGTTGTGTTTTGGCGCTGATTGGGTTTGGTGAGTGATGTTGGTTTGTGATGTCGCAAAGAAGGTGTTTGCCCAAAGATTTCTTGAATCTGGACAAGGAAGCTGTGACGCGGTCGGACACTCGGTGATAGCGGGAGGCTCGGCCCGCGATGCTTCGGAATTCTTTCCGCGAGCTCTCCTTTGGTTCATGCTTGATCGATGTGAGCCCAGTACAAGGTAGTCCATATGATCAGATTCTCCGAACATTGCAAGATATCCTGACAAGGATCCTAGAGCGTATGATCAGAGCATGTACCATACCAAGTGGTCGGACGTGGATGTGGTATGGGTTATTTGACATGTTGACATGATTCTTTGCAGGTAGCTTGAGAGGTGAACAGTCGATGTGATAGAAGGTAAAACGAAAAGAAAGGCTGAGAAGAACGAGCAGATGACCAAACAACGCCGACTCCTCTCCATGCTGTGATGCAAAACCCAGGCATATATGATGTGTGTATCTCTTGACTCTCGTTCCTATTCCAAGCTCGTGTAGGCATCCAGCTCTTGGCCGTTGCGTCTTCTCTTCTCGACAGGATCTGTTCGCATCTCGACGCCGGGTCCGACTCGTCTGTGGCTGGGAAAGACCNNTGCTCTGGCGTTGGTGTCTATCTCAGTCTCGACTCCAACAGAATGACGCACCTTTGTGTTGGACCAGCCAAAGCGGAAGGCCAGTTCGTTTGCAAATAGCTCACCAAAGCCCAGCATCAGGCCGTTGACAAAGGGCAGAAGCAGGTTGATGGCGGCACCCCGCACCAAGCCCCAGAAGGTAGGTGGGGAGTAGAGGATCAAGGGCGATGCTGAGTCTGAGGATGGTGACGAGGGCGACGAGATGTCGGGCTGGTCATATGTCTCGCTGTCTGACTGCATTGTCATCGAGTCGTAAATGTCGCGCTGGTCGGCTGCTGCCATGGTTGTGACTGGTGTTGGTCTTGTAGATGTGGTTCAAGGAAAGTCGACTGGTCGCGTAGGCTTGATGACGAAATGGCAGTTGACTCTCGTATATGGAGAAGATGCGTATATGTGGAATAGTCCGGGCTAGATGGTCGGGATGATCGAACAGGCCTCGTCGTCGGGTCTGTCGCAAGCATAACTCTCATCCGGCCCTTATGATGGCTGTTGCCCGCATCCGAAGATGTCCCGCAGCTTCTTGGCAGTGTCATGACGCGTTGCTCTCTAATGATTGTAGAATGGAGAAGCTGCGACCTGCGTTGCTAGGCACTGCAAACACCTCCAGGACTTTGCGGCTACTGAACTTCTCGGACACGTTGGAGGACCGAATGGGTTGCCGTATCCTTTTGGAATCCTCGATGAGCGTACCGCTCTCGACAACACCATTTCCTTCTGGGCCCACGACGTGAACCCTATTCAAGAAGCCCAAATTCGCACCATGTGGGGTCGAGGATCACCTCTCGACCAAGCCCTTGCCAGTTATATCGATCCACTCGAGTATCTGACATATAAGCACACCGACATGACCAACGTCACAAAGGAAGAATCTCGCGCCCATCTCCTCACATGGGAAGACAAAGAGCGGGACAGGTTGGCTTTACGATTCCATGAATTGGCTGATACTAGCAACGGCTCTGAAGAGGCAAGCAAGGCTAGAGAACGTCTTGACGATTGAATTGAAGGCCAAGAGTTGAACCAGACTACGAAATGGTTCGAGTTTCGTTTGGACGCTTCCTGTACCATGGGACACATCTGGCTTGTCGATGACTATGGTGCTGTCGAAGTTATGACCAACTCCGTGTTCAAGAGCGACATGTTTGACGTGAATGAGGTTGGAAGGCTTATCGTTCATTGATAAAATGCCAGCCACATTTCATACACGAAAGTGAAAAGAATTGTTCAGGCCACCGCCTACGCAAGATATCTGCTCAGTCGTCTCGTCTGCGCCAATTTGGCCAAAACAAAGACCCTGGGTCAGATTATGGGGTGTTCGTCAGAGAAACCCTTCTCGGACATGTGGGAAGCAGGATTGACGCAATCGACGGCAGAGGACTTTTGAAATGGTCATCGTTGTTATCAATACTCGAAAGCATATGCTACGTCTTGTTCCATGTTTCTCATTATCTAAAGTGCTTCGATACCGCTATGTTGGCTGTTCTGCTCAGTAATGCTATGCAAAACGTGCTTGAAGCATGATTCTGACACTCACCAATCCTTGATACAGTATATGGTTATACAACAACATAAGCAGCGGAATATTTTATTGTTTGATGTTTCAGCAAGTTCTGGCTAGCATGTACTCGTTCGATTGTGATGCATTAGCAATTCTATATAACTATATGCATGGCTATACAACACATGATACAAACAAGACCAGTTTGTTCACTGTTTTTCCGATTTTGTCGTTTCGTTCTTCATATATCTCGTAGGCTAATTTCCTTCCTGTGTGGAAGAGGCTGTTGTATACATGTTTTCACTTTGAAAGAAGAGGCCTCTCAGAGCTTGCCCTATAGGTTCAAAACAGAAAATCATTCAGGGTGTCCTGCTTCTGCTCACAGGTCGAGACAAAGAATCTTAGGCAAGACACCGCCTTGGATTTGCACAACCGTGTTGGCCTTTGTCGAGTTTGCCAATGCCCTGTTGATAACAAAAGTACCAGAGGTGCCGGCCGGTGCATTGACTACTGTATTGATCTTGCCATTCGCCACACTCCACTGTACCTTCAGCACACCATATGGTGTTGTCACTTGCGCACTTGCAGACTTGAGATCAAAGCCCGTGTAGCCCGGTGCGATAATCCAAGTCTTGTATCCGAAGGTTACAGGTCTGATACCAGCAACGTATTCGGTCATAATGTAGGTAGGTGCTCCTCCCCAAGGGTGCGAAAGACTGGTGTAACGAGAAAGCGCCGGTTGCAGATTTGTGTTCACGTATTCCCAGGACGCACCGCTGTGTGTAGTGTCGTTTTTGATCATGGCAGCCCAGAGGTTGTCGAAGAGGTATTTTGTTTCAGCTGTGCGGTTTGACTGCAAAAGTGCGGGAAGAAGGAAGCCATTTGTGTTGGGCGAGATGTCGACGACACCGTTCGATGAGACGTCGGTTGTGTCCTTGTAGCCGGGAGACAGCTTCAAGGCAGTCAAAGCATTCATGCATGAAGTCGCTTGGGAAGCCGATGCAACACCTGAAGTAACGACGAAAGAAAGCCCCTGGACGGAGAGCTTGGTCTTGTTCTGAGGATTGTCGCTGAAGTGGCCGAGACTGGGCTGCCAGAACTTGGCTTGGATGGTCGAAGTCAAGTTTCTGGCGACTGCAGACCAAGCCTGGGCTGAAGTACTATCTCCAACAGCCGTGGCAACATCGGCTAGTTCCTTGAAGGCTTGTACGGAAGCAGAGTTGACTGCCAGACCAGCGCCATCGCCAAAGAAGGCGAAGCCCACAGTCACGATACCCGTGGACTTATCAATCTTGCCAATGAGATACTGTACTGCGAGTTTCCATTGCGCCCAGTTCTTCTTGGCAAATTCGATATCGTTGTTATAGCGCATGTGAGAGCCAAACGCAAGCAGACCGAGAATATGGTAATCCTCGAGGAAATAGAAGTAGCCTCCTCGNGCTTCATCGAAACCGGCAAAGGTCAAGGTTGCATTTCCTGGATAACCAATAGGTGTGTTGAGAGGAAGCTGACCAGAAGGTAACTGCCAATCCAAGAATGTCTGGAGAGTGCCTGCAGAATAGTCCTTGCGGTTAGTAGAGGTACTGATTATTGCAGCTGTGTGGTAGAAATCGCCAAGCCAGACGAGTCTATCACGTTTGGCGCCATCCATACAAATGTCAGCTGTGTTCGACTGTACTCCGAATTCGGGCAGGATAGAATCGTCGGTCATGGCGTTGGTGTAAATGGTAGTGCCGTTGCTCGCCATAACTTTGACATTCTTGACATAGCCAGCTTGATCTTGCCAACCGCCAAAACCAAAAGAACCTGTTGTAGTGGCTGGNGGAGTTCCAGTATAGTAGTTGTCTAGGGTGGCATTGAAAACCTTGGCCCCGTTGACTGAGACAGCAAGGTAATTCCCGTCATACATTCTTGCAGATACAGAGTACCACTGTCCTTCTTTAACCTGGAAGGGAACCTTGAAGTTGGCGAGGTAGTATGAAGTAAGCGTAGTCTGGTTGACCAGGTTGAAGCCATAGCCCAGAGCGATTGAGTTTGGTGGTAACAGAGTCTTGTTAACGTTGGCGTAAGTGGTGGATTCGGGGTAGTTGCCGACTAGATTGAGCTGAATACCACCAAATCTGGTGCTAACAGGGTAAGCCATCGTCCATCCGAGTCCACCACGCTGGATTTTGGCGGAAAAGGTGAGGTTGTAATTTGTGAAATCTTCCGCCTTTGTGGTAAGACCAGCGCGAGTTCCTCTGATGAGTACGCCATTGTCAGGGGAGGTTTCCCATATGGTCTTGTATGCACCTGCTGCAAAACAAGAAGCACCAGCAGCTCTTGCTCCAAGTTTCCAGATCTCATTATACAGAGGATTCGATGAGGTAAACTGTCCAGGTAGTCTGTTGTAGTCAAGCTTGTCGACGGTTGCTTTGAAACCGACCTTGGAGATGGTTACAGAGCCTGACGTGAGCAAGCGGATCGTTTGCCAGCGCTGGCCGCCTTGAGCCAGGTAGGATTCCAGTTGACATGCCGAGGTGACCTCAAACGTTTCTACTCTGTAGCTGTTGGTAAGACCTTGACCAAAGGAAAACGGCCCATCAGAGAAAGGCAGGTCTATGTCTCCCAGATCTTCAGTGTATCTGNNCAGAAGGTCAGCCGAGAACTAAACAAGGACGTGTTACAGCACTAACCTAGATTCGAGCTGAACCTTTCCCTTGAAGCTGGTGACTTGGAAGAAGGGGTATCCAGCAACCTCATATCCATAATCCAAAGTCACCACGGGAGTATTTTTGTCGAGAGTGAAAGTTGTGAAAGGACGTGTGTTCTCGTTGGTGGCATTGCCTAAAGCGATAGCAGAAGGGTAGAACTCATTGAGACTGCTCTGCATCAGTGCATGTCTGGAAAACGATGTATGACGATGCAGGTGATAAATACTTGGACAGTGGAATAGCCAGGGCCTGCCATGACAGGCCTAAGAGTAGACAGATCGTCCTTTGCATTCTCGACGAGTATCTAGAGGTGGTTGTTGCTCCTATCAGGCATTGTTCTTCGTCTTTATACACTTGCCATCGGTTGTTGTTATCCCGATGACAGTGCATCGGCTCCACAAGTACATAGCAAGGAGAGAGATTTGACCTTGGACATGAATCCGTGCCTCAAGGCCCAGAAATTCCAAGGTCGTTGTGGCCTATTTTACTTGATGATCCCCGCACTTTTCGGTTCGGTGCGGTCGAGTAAGCACGGAGCTAGGTTGGATATCGAGTTACCATGCGGTACGTACGATCTTTGACGATGGACGAACTGTCGGTCCCGGCCTTAGATCGCATTCCTCTGGCCAAACGAATTTTGGATTGGAGGTTCCCGTCAAGAAGGTTATTCTTGCCAGAAGAAGCAGCTGCGCAGACAGGAAGCTCACTGGTAATGACGCTCGGTATTTGATACCCCGACTTGCCCGAATATGGCGTGGCGTCGCTCCCCCATACAGTGTGGGGGAGCCGCTCTGGGGAAGATCGGTAGTTGGGGCTCTACGATCACGAGCATGGCCTTTAGAGTCCAGGAGATTATCGATGCCATGGCACGTTGCCAGTCCTCAAGTGTGGGTACTTCGGTCGTTGTTGCTGTATCGTATCTTCGTTGTGCAGCTTGTTTTGTGCAAAAGTGGTTTATCTGTCCAGCTCGCGACAGTCTCGTAAAGATGTCATGAGTAACAGTCGTAGTTTGCGTTGTAGAGTCGCGGTTCCAGCCATGCTTTTTGAAGACGTCCGGTTGGATTCCAAAACACCTATGGGTCCTTGTGATGGAGTCTCGGCCGCGTTGGTATGGTTTAAGGATTCCTGGCAACATGTTGAGCATGATCAATCCATCTCAACAACGTTCAAGTGAGGGGCTGGATCAAGAAGACTATGGTTGACTCTTTGTTGTTGACTGGGATCCTGATGCCTCAGGATGAGAAGCGTTAAGGCTGAAAAGATCGTTCTGAAGGAAGGATCGTGGAGAGCTCACCCCACATGACGCACTCGATATAGAACATTTTTCCAACCACATCCAACATCTTGTGAAAGAGAGCAGTAGTGAGCGATCGAAGACAACAACACCTTGTCGATGAAGGCGAGAAATGTTGTCAAGACCACAGAAGCACCGAAAACATCGTACAATGCATCGATGATCGCATGTCTTGGCCGTCAGGAACAGACAGCTGTTGAGTGACCTCATGATGCAAAGACATCGTCATCTGCAGAAAGGTACAGAGCTCCACCTGAAGCTCTTCGTTTTATATTTTCCTCATTGCAAACGCCTGAAGCTCTCTTCTTCTCCTTCATCAAATTCTGTTCATTGACTTTTCAAAAACACATCTCTACCCCCAAACCACCACCAACACTCATACATCAAAATGCCTCGCTCCATGGCCCCTCCCCCGTCCGGTGAATTTTTGGTCCGCCTCCAATCACCTTTCAACGGCACTGCCACCAAAACTATCGATATCACTGGCGAGCCCAACCGTTCTGCCAACATCAAGCAGACTCACCACCATGGAAACACCATTGAGGAGAAGGTCGGCACTATGGCTTCGTGAGTTCCTTCAATGATTTCAGCAGCATGAGCACGCGACTAACAGTTCAATTCANGTGACGACGTCCAAGAATTGATGCGCCTCATCTCTCAGCTCCGCGGTTTCCCTTCGCACGAGACCAAGGACGTCTACGGCCTTGACCAGGTCCTTGAGCTCCACACCCTCGAGATCAACTGGTGTAACCAGGAGAGCGACCCTGCCGCCAACGAGATCGCAGACATTCCCTCCGAGACCAAGCAGACCTTCAAGGACGTCGTCGACAGCATCTCTGCTGCTGCTCGTCAGTTCGCCAAGGCTGACAACCCTCTTTAAACTTATAATGATTGATGGTCAACAAATCTCATGAAGAAAAGGATGTTATGTCTATAATTCTATACTCAGATGATACGAAATGAAATGTATCGGGTCCATTTTAACACAAAGAACCACTCGCTCTTTTCAGATTCAGCCAACAGTCATGTGCTTACATTACGCTGCTTGACATATAGCCGCTAATCCAGTTGACAAGATCGCTGATGCTTGTAGAAGATGTCGGCTGTCCGATTGATAATTATGAGAGTGTATGCCCTGCACTTGTATTACGTGGTAGATGTCCTTACCATTGCTAAAGACTGTAACACTACCCTTTTCCCACAAGCGCGTAGAGCGAAGGGTTACACTCTTTAAAAGGCACAATTGTTTTCCGAATCAGAGGATTAGCCAAGGAGAGCCAACATTCTGGTGGCTCTCAGTGGAGACTGCCCATTTCCTGATATCACTGTGCATTTATATAGCTATACGCGTTTCCTACTTTAGCACCGGGGAGGGTGTAGCTTCATGGAGGTTTGTAGCGTATTTGTTCTCTTGCAGGCCGATAAGAAGCCAACACCACAATAGCTCGAAGAAACAACATACACCACATCCAATTCACATTTAGGATAAAAATTCTTGAAAAAATACATATCACACTTCATCTGTTGTCGTTTTGGCATTAAAGACCTTGCTGTTGTGTAGATAATACGACAGAGCCATTCAAGTCAGGGTCGTATAAGCAACATCTATCGGTATGCGGAGGAATTTACCCCGCTTGCCCCTCCTTGTGTCGGATATCTAAGAACGCCTCATGTTTTTCCGCCTACTGGCGTCGGAAAAGCATGGTTGACATCGTCCGTCATGAGCTACATATATCTACCTTGAACCTCTTCTTACATCATGAGACGAAAACTTTTAAAGCCTGAACAAACAGCCATTACGTCTACAACAACTCGAACCAAGATGACGTTCGATCCAGCATCCTTCGGCAAACTGCGGCTAAAGAGCCATGACTCCCTATACACGATAGACGACTTGATCAGATCGCATGCTGCGGAACCTGAAGATTTCACATTGATCGGAGCTCCTTTGAAAGGTCTTACAGACTTTGAAGAATATTCTGCTCGCGACGTCGATAGGTTCGCCGATGCAGCAGCAGCTCGACTGCAGGAAATGGGCCTGAAGCCTGCAGTAAGACTTGTGCAACAACAAACCACATTGAATTGAGATTGACTTGGAACAGNNGATCCTAGTTTGGAAGAATCCCCCATTATTGGCATGTTATGTATATCAGGACTCGATATGGTCGTTACTCTTCTCGGTCTTTTGCGATTAGGCTACGGCGCATTGCTGCTTTCAACCAGACTAGCAGCGCCAGCATACGTTCGGTTGATGAGTATGGTCAACTGCTCCACTCTGATCTCCACGGATACCTTCAAGTCGGTCCTCGATGATGTCCAGGCTGAGAAACCTCTTACCTGCTTGCCTCTACTGCAGCGTTCGGACTATATCGGTGTAAAAGCACCCACTTTCAGACGCCAATACATTCCTTCCCAAGAGACAAAGAAGATTGCAGTTATCATTCACTCCTCTGGATCGACCGGTTTCCCGAAACCAATCTACCTCCGACACGCACAGTGTCTTGCAACGTTCACACAAAACTTCGGCATGCGTGCTTTCCTGGCATCTCCTCTCTTCCACAGTCAAGGCTTTTACGAGATGTTCAGAACGATCTACTCCAAGAAGCCTCTTTACCTTTGTAACTATACAATTCCTCACACAAGGCAAGGCTTGATGGCTCAATTGCAGTATCTGAAGCCTGAAATCTTCAACTGCGTGCCTTACCTGCTCAAATTGTTGTGTGAAACCGAGGAAGGCATCAACGAACTAGCTAAAGTCAGTCTAGTGATGTTCGCTGGTAGCGGTTGTCCAGAAGATTTAGGGGACCTGTTGGTGAGCAAGGGAGTCAATCTGGTCCAGAATTACGGATGCACTGAAATCGGTCGCATTATGACTTCGTTCAGATCGGCAGAAGATCCCGAGTGGAACTACTGTCGATTGAACCCGCCAGTCTCTGAGCACGTTCTGATGGACGAGATAGCCCCTGGTGTCTTTGAGTGTGTCGCGCTGGAGAGCTTGAAGACGAGAGTTGCGGTCAACTCAGACAACCCTCCAAACTCTTTCCGTTCACGAGATTTGTTCGCACCTCATCCGACGCGGCCAAATCTCTGGAAGTATCTGAGTAGGCTCGATGATCGCCTGACGCTGGTCAACGGCGAGAAGGTTCTGCCACTGCCAATCGAAGGTCGCATTCGTCAAGACCGCCTGGTTCAGGAAGCTGCGGTATTTGGCATCGGCAGAAGCGTACCTGGAGTTATTATCTTCCGATCCCAGGACGCCAAGGACATGTCCAACGACGAGTTTTTCGAAGCTGTATGGCCTGCCGTCGAGGACGCCAACGCCAGAGCAGAAAGTTTCTCCAGAGTTCCAAAAGAGCTTGTCATTCTTGTTGCTGCAGACACAGAATACCCAAAGACCGACAAGGGTACCTTTATCCGAGCCAAGATCTATGATCAGTTCAAGCAGGATATTGAAGACAAGTACAGCGACTTTGAGAATGGCTCTTTAGGAAATTTGACCCTTGACATACCTGACCTCGAGAGATGGCTCCTTAGCGAATTCAAGAAAGAACTTGGAGTTTCACTAAAACTCGACACAGACTTTTATCAAGCTGGAATTGACAGTCTCCAGTCAACTAGAATGTGGTCAAACATCAAGAAACAAATCAATCTCGGAGGCAACCATGCATCGCTGAGCCGGAACGTTCTCTACGAAGCAGCAAACACTCGCGGACTTGCCCAGCATCTTCACTCAATGAGGACAGGTGAAGACAAGGCACAAGAGGATGAGATCGCTATTATGGAACAGCTTGTCTCAACATATTCCACCTTCGAGCAACATGAGCCATGCGAAGCAAGCGCTAACACCAAGGACGTTGTGCTTTTGACAGGAGCTACTGGAACTGTGGGCATACACATACTCGCCAAGCTGGTAAAACAGCACAACGTAACAGCAGTGTGGGCGATGGTGCGAGCTTCTTCAGTCGCTCAAGCAAACGAGCGGATATCAGAAGCTCTAAACTCACGCGAGTTGTGCCTCACCGAGACGGAGAAAGCAAAGATCGTACCTTTCCTCGGCGATCTGAGCAAGTCAGACCTTGGACTCCNNAATGAGGGGAGTCTCCAGAGGTTGAAGTCACAGCTCACCCATGTGATACACAGCGCTTGGGCCGTCAATTTTAATCTCGGTGTGAAGAGTTTCGAAGATCAGCATATCAGGGGAGCGTACAACCTGATCCAGCTGTGCCTCGCTACTCGCACACCCAACCCTGCAAAGTTTTTCTTCTGCTCATCAGTGTCATCGGCTGCAGGTACGCCTCTAGATCAGAAGATCAGAGAAGGTCCTGTACCACAACTCGAATTTGCTCAAGGAACAGGCTATGGCAGATCGAAGTTAGTGACTGAGCGTATCGTCCACAACGCCATGAAAAGTACTGGTATATACGCCAGAGTATTGCGTCTAGGCCAGATTGCCGGTGATAGCCAACATGGACAATGGAACACCACTGAGGCCATTGCTTTGATGATCCAGACGGCCACAACCATCAAAGCTCTCCCAACTCATAACGAAGAGCTTTCATGGCTGCCGGTGGATCTTGCGGCATCGATTGTTGCAGAACTTTCGGGCATCGCCCAGGCAATACCTGATACTCGCTTCCGAGATGACGATCTCGTCTACAACATTCAAAACCCGACAGTATACCACTGGACCCGCGACATCCTGCCTGCTCTACACAAAGCAGGATTGGAATTTGATCAAGTGTCGCCCAAGGAGTGGGTGCAGAGATTGCGTGCTGGTGATCAGAATCCAGAGACTAATCCACCAGTCAAACTGACCGAATTCTTCGCTGAGAGATATGGTAATGTTGTTGAAGATGCGCCGATGAAGAGTGCAGGTCGTTATGAAACTGTCCAGACATGTAAAGATAGTGCTACGATGACAGCGATTCCGGATCTGATAGAGTCGGGCATGGTGGCTAAATTCGTGAAGGCTTGGGCGAATGAGTGGGGCGTAGAATTAGCATGATAAGGCGGATGCGGTCCCGAATCAATACAAAATTATCTGGCCTGACTTTTCAAGCTATCGGTATGTGAAATTTGTCGATGTTGTTCTCCAGGAAGAAAAGGTTTGTCGGCAGTTCTTCCGTCAGACGAAAGAACATGTGGGGCCGCACCTGCCGGAAGATTTCAGGGTCCAGCGCGATCCAAGATGAGCGAGGGGAGTGCGTCTTGCCTTCTTCTGCGAACAACAATGTAGAGGATATGCCTTCGTGAAGACCTCCACGATTGAATTGAACTTCTGCTTCGTAAGCATATGGTGCCGGAGATCAAGGCCCAACTGTTAGGGAGGAAACAAATTACAGCAATTGTGGGACCTTGCGTTGCACTGGCCGCTTTCTCGCAAACACGTGCTCGACTTCCGGCACAGTCAACAGAGCAGTGAGATGACATGCCAAATCCTTCACTGCACTCCGAGCGCTGCAAATTCACACGCACTCCCCAGTCTGAGATTCCGCCCATCGCAATGACCGAAACCAAAAAGACCAAAGTGCTGCTATATGGACTCGGCGCGTAAGTTGTCTTTATTCCCTTCTTAGTCGCGGGGTTCTGTCCGGACATGGAAAAGCTGACGGGTGCTTCTTTGACAAACAACAGTATAGGAGGCTTCTATGCATTCCTTCTCAGCCGTGATCCGAGCGTAGAGCTCAGTGTGGTTGCCAGATCCAATCTAGAGGCCGTCAAGAAGAATGTAGGGTTGATGATCGTCCATGCAGCTGGGTCAGGGTGACTGTTCTCTGACGGCCATAGGNGCATGACGATACACACATTGAATCATGGATCACATATCGTACACTTCGATAGAGGTATGTATATTTGTTGATCTCCAAGGCTGGTAATCAAGAAGACTGATACTGGTGTGCAGNTATTGAGTTGCCCACATAAGATCGCAATCAAATACGACTACATCGTTTGCGCTCACAAAGCGATAGCCCCTGGCTTGGATCCAAACGATTTTCGATCTGTAGCTAACATGGACACGACATTCGTAATTTTGCAAAATGGAGTTGGCAATGAAGAGCCTTTCCGACAGTCGTTCCCTTATTCAACAATCATTAGCTGTGTGGTGAGTACTTCCTGCTGTCTATTATGAAAACTGCCTAGGATCAGTTGTTGATAGAAGAAACAGATATGGGTTGGCGCTACCCAAGATTCACCCGGTGTGATACGACACACGGCTTCTGAACACACCGATATCGGTCTGTATCCTAACCTAGAGGTCGACGCTACCTTGGAGAAAGACAGGTTGGAAGGGTTCGCAGCTATGTTGAGAGCGGGCGAGACATCATACACAATATCAGACGATATTCAGGTCAAGCGGTGGGAAAAGGTGGTTTGGAATGTGAGTAACACCGCGTACTCGAACGTAAAGTATGCCGCTGACTTTCTAGNNATTGCATGGAATCCTCTCACCACTTTGACACAACAAAACACACAACAATGGCTTTCGTCCTCAAGGGAGAGCGTGTCAGTCACAAAACGCTTGATGCGAGAAGTGATCAGTGTGGCGAGAAGAGCCGGAGTCGCTTTGGACTACGGACTTGTAGACATCTTGATGGAGAGGATACAAGGCATGCCAGGAATAGAGAGTAGCATGCAGGTTGACGCGAGAGAGGGCAGGAGGTTAGAAGTGGATGTAATCCTCGGAACACCGATGAGGATGGCGAGAGAGTTTGGTATGGATGTGCCAACGCTGGCGACGGTCTATGCATTGACTGTCGCAGTGGATTTGAGGATCAAGCAGGGACTGGGTGGTTTGGGTTGATTGGCAGGACCGGAGAGAAACGCTAAAACTGTTGTGCATAGCCAACATCCCTCGGCCATCCGTATCTCATAGACTGGACCTCCGCTTAAACGCCCGATGGGTTCAGAGACACCTCACCAGTGTCCTTCAGGCTTCAGGGCCTACACTACTAACTTAGTACAATTAGAGCTCAACAACCACCTGCTTGGCACCAACGTCTTTCTCTTGTACTGCCAGAGCTTCCTTGGCCGCTTCGATACTGCTACTACAGGTGTACTGGAGATGACAGTCTCCATTTGGTCTCCTGCCAATCCCTTGGCTATGTATAGTTGCACAGATAGTCTTGTTGATAAGCTTGTACTGCATATGGAGCCACTTTGCCGACCGCTTGCATGACGAATCAACAAGAGCAGTATCGTTAATGCTCTATTTCGGAGAGGCCAGCACGACTTAGCCTCTCATAAACTTCTGACACCGCTGCACGGGGTCGATTCGATTAGTGTACGATGGGTTTCCGAGATTTCAGAGTGTTTTCATAGCCTTATCAACGTCGATTATCGGCTTTGTGTATGTGTGTGTGTGTGTGTGTGTGACTATGTTCGGAGTCGCGTGGTAGAAAGGCCACCGAGAAGGATCGTGTAGTGCATGCTCGTATGTTGTTAGCCTGTCTCAGTCGACGTGAGCCTGATGCTCTCGCTGGAACAAGGATCATGACCTGGAGCGGTACATCGATGCACCATTGAATTTGATCGAGCCACCTCGACTTGCAGGCGTATAGGAAGACGATATTTAATGCAAGCAAATCTCTTGCGGCTCTTCTGGAATCTGGAAGAGGGGATGTTTGAGAAGGAGCCAACGGCGTGCGTCGGAGGACTTGTTCGGCTTCCCCGAACCTCATCTCTTGGCGACTTTTCATTCTTCCTTTCTCCATCCACTTCCCAGACCTTTATATAAACACTCCAATTCAACTTCGCAGGGTCGATGGGCTACATAGGCATTCTTGCGATGTAGTAGATTGACGAGATCTGTAGCAGAGCTTCAAGCTTCTGTCAAGCCGATCGCTACGATGTCCGGTCAACGATCGCTCCAAGCCGACTGTTGAAGTGTCAACTGCCACTACCGCCTGTCTGATCCTTCGCTCTCAGCTCCCCCATACCTAAACGGTAACTATCGACTGCACCCTAACAGCTGACAGGAGATGCTCGGAGAGATGGACTGGCAAAGATATGGCCATTCCGGCACTGGAAGCAAGCTCAAATATAAGCATACTTGTCTGCACCTCAGCTTTCCATCGCAGATCTGTCTTACGCGGGAGAAGCAATCATGTATTCTAGAAAGATCACATATATTTGGACTCTTCTCGCCATTGGAGTCACCATGGCCTCGGGACTGCCAACTCCTCAAATCGACAACGATGACCTCGACTGTGGGTCATGGGATGTTGAGGCCGATCTGGACCAAAGCGCTTCCATCATATCAACCACAGCGACACATACACCAACGCCTTTGATCGCTCAAGCATCTTTTACATCAAATCCATNNCTCCTGCGACATTCGTCACTTCAGTGCGCGTAGCACAGGCATCGTCAACCGGCAACCCTTCTTCGACGAACCCTTTCTNTCGCTCCTCCTACCAACTCTTTTGTTCCCGTCACTCCACCAAGCTATGCCTTCTACCTTCAAAGCAGTAGCAGTGACAGCTCAAACGGGTTCTACGCTGCAGTCAGCGCTGGCACTGGCGGCTTGGCCACCTTCACGGCAAACAAGAATCTAGCGACAAAGTTTACCATCGACTCTTCCGGAGACCTTGTCGAACAAAGCCCTTCTCAAGGCTTTGTTGGCACATTGAATCCAGAGATGAATGCCCAGAAGCTGGGATTCAAGGTGTACGATGGAAGCAACAGCTACGGGCGTCTCAACTGCCAGAGACAGAGTGAAGGTCTCAGCTGCAATGTGGGCGGAGTGGCGTATACTGCTGCTACGTGTGGAAATGATGGAGCACTCTACTTTACAAAGACGATCACGGCTGGGTGTACGGCGATCAATCTTGTACCAGTCCTTCCTTGATGAAGACCTTGATGAGACACGAACATATTACGATAATAATTAATCAGCGAATCAATACCAAGTATAACATGTTGCTTCTGATGGCCTGTCTAAGATGTGGCTGAGTGTGGCGGTGCAAGTCATCAAGGTGTGACACCCCCACAAAAGCTGAAACAGGGAGGAGCGTCTGAATGAACGCGTCAACGTTTGAACAAAAACAACGTCTGCTCTCTTTCTCTTCTCTGCCACCTGTCGTCGACGTAGTGATTCCACCATGATCTCGCCAATCGTCAGTGCCACTGTCCAGGCGACCGTCATCGCTGCAGTCTCCAATGCCATTGCGCAGCTGCTTGAACAGCGCAACAAACAGGTATGTCTATGATGTTCACATACATTAAAGATACAACCGCTGACATGCCGTTCTGCAGCAGACACCCTCGGAATTCTCGGTACCAGACTTCCTGCGTTTCATCATCTTCACCCTACTCACCGCACCACCCAACTATCTCTGGCAACATGCTCTCGAACGCGCCTTTCCAGGCCGCAGACCGCTGGACCGCAAGAAAGCAATACTGCCACACTACGAGGTCCGTGAGCATGACGGTCTGCTGGGTGAAGACGGGATGCAGCAAGAAGAAGAACCAGAGACGAGATTGGACTGGAAAAACACAATGATCAAATGGTTCGTAGACTGCATGACGCTGGGAGCATTGCTCAACGTAGGTGCCTTCATCATTCTCATGGGCATCATGAAAGGAAGATCAATGCATAAGATTGCATCTGCATTGCGAACGNGTATGTTTACTTGTCCCTTTTGCCTGCTGTGCATCAACTGCATGGCCATGTCCACTGTTCTGCTGGGACCTGACTACAATCACTTTTCTCCGCAGGAACTATTCCCCATCATCTATGCTAGCTATAAGATTTGGCCACTGGCATCGGTCGTCAACTTTGCTCTGGTTCCAGTTGAGAGACGCATCGTCTTCCTAAGTTTGGTTGGGCTTGTCTGGGGTATCTTTCTCAGCTTGACGGCTGCGAAACAGTGATAGAATGGCAGTGGACTTGGATAGAATCAACAAACTGATTGCGCCAGAAGTTATCATCGCACTCACCCCATCATTCTCCTCCGAGGACATAGCAGCGGGATTAAAGCCATACATGGATAGTCATTTCCAGGTAAGAGGTGAATTCAGAGGGAGCCGCCAAATCACGGCCCTCAAACGAATGCTATTCTACTGCGTGTTCATCACAATGATTGTGTGATCTCGTAGTTACACAAGCTACAGACTCACGGGTAGGGCCAATCGAGGCGCGTATCATGCCTGGCATGCACGCAGACGTAGAAGGAACAACCACGTTACACAGCGACGGCGCTTGCCAATTCCACTTGCTTAGTCTGGTACAAAAGACCTAACAAGTTGTCTCGACATCTCGACAACAACCAAACCTCATCTACCCATCATGGCAAATGATGCTGCTCATATTGTCGTTCTCCCAGCTGATGTCCTCGACATGATTGTCGCTAATTGTCAAGACGGCGACCTTTCGAACCTGCGCTTGTCCTGCAGAATCCTCGGCAGCTCGTCTACGCGACCCTTTGGCCGCCGTTGTCTGGCACATCTCCGCCTCATATTCACCGAGCTCAGTCTTCAGGGCCTTGTCGGCATTACTGCTCATCCCGTGTTCGGTTCATCCGTCCGTAGCATCAGCTCCGGCACTTATCGTCTGACGGGTTTGAAGCATTTCAAGCTTTCTTCGGTCTCTGGCGATCATGCCTCGGACCTGATTGTGAAAAAGCGACTCGCAAAGAAGCAGCAGACTTTCAATCGTTCGGGAGACCAGCTTGTCATGCTTACAACAGCTCTTCAAAACCTCAAGCTTCACGGTGGTCCTGGTATCGGATTGAGGACTCATGATGATTCAATGAAAGGCAAAGATTGAAGACTAATCATAAGAGGTCATGGCTATCACAGGGCATATGACAAGTTCCTGCCCGAGAAGCATGAGGTCGAAAAGACTTTGCTCACATTGATCAATGCTTCATTCTTGAGTGGGTTCATGCCGGCTGCTTTGGACATCGACATGACAAGCGACTTTCAATTGTTGAGAAATGTATTGTCCAATACAGGTTTCAAAAACATCATCACCACAAAAAGAGCATNNTCATTGGATCTCCAGATGGATATTTATATCAAATTCGACGACCCAAAAACTCGCTTCACATGCAAGTTTACGAGGGGGACGTGCCTTGAGTTGAAACCCCTTGGTACCTACTACGGGAATTTCTATCGTGCCTTGCAGCGCACAGCCATTGTGGATTTGAAGATACGAGACGCGACCTACTCGAGCAGTGTACCTCATCTTGTCGAGTGTCTTGCCATTTGGAAGAAGACACTTCGATATCTAGACCTCTCTCGTACCGTTGTGTTTGAGCGTCAGATGACCGATTTTGCTGCGAAACTCGTCGGATACATGAGAGACGATCTCGAGCTCGAAGTGCTCAAGCTGCATAATATAAGGATATACTCTTATAACCGTAGTCATCGGTAATTATTCAATGAGCCGGTGAAGTGGCATGGCAAGGAAGAGATACGCGAGGGGCACAATAGAGTCATTGGCGAATCGAACACCAATCCCGTGGGTTAAAGGAAATCGAGTCACTACATAGAACTGTCGGCTGTACAGGTCATTTATTTGCTGCCTCGTCAACTTCATCATGTAACCCGGTCACAATTTTCCACAGCCATTTTCACGAAACTGCCACAATGGATTCAAAGCAAAGTTTGCTTGTTGCACCTGCCTCGCCTTGAGTTCTTTGGGGAAGGTTTCACTTCCAAGTTTGAGAAGCAACCGCACAAACTTGTCAACAGTGAGTCCCTCGATACAGTATTATCGCCTCGACTCTCTGAGTTCACAACTATCAGAGGCGTCGTTTCTACAACAGCCCGTCCTGATCACCTCTTTGTTGCACATTCAAAGGATGACAACGGCTGGATCATGGAAGGCGAGGTGCGTTGGAATGGTCGAGATGAAACCCATGCTGGCTTGGAAGATCTCATCAAGAAGATGTCCACATGGAATTGGTGCGACTAGTTGGAAAGCCGCGATTCATTGTTGATCTTGACAGCGCAAGATGAGGTAGGGAGCCGTTACGTTAGCAAGTTGCCAGCGATTGCTTTTACAATCGTCTCTAGCACGCGAAACATTAACAGGTGTTCGATCTGGGGGTGGCAGCACATAAAGGTCGTAGTATTCAGTGATGGTATGAGACATTGTTACTTTTTCCACTCATGAATACAACGAGCGGCAATCTAGTAACCCGTACCATTACCACGGACAGCATCAACAGTATAAGCATCGACGTAATCAACATGCGACAATCCACTGAACTCGCCCTGCAAATCAGGCAATGGAGTCTTCAACCAAATTTTCTGGATACGCTTTGCAGACTCGAGGAATTTGTTCTGCACCTCTGTTCTGTTCTGCTTGGTAACAAGCTTGCCATCTCTCTTGCGCCATTCCCCGCCAATCATAACATGACGGATGTCTCCGACGTGCGAGTGAAGGATGATAGCAGCTACTGGGTCAGACCAGCCGAGCATGTTGGGTGAGTCGCCGTCGAAGACGACTACATCAGCCTTGTTGCCCGTGGCTAGCACACCAAGATCAGGTCGGCGCATGGCAAGAGCTCCGGAGCGTGTAGCCAGTGTGAAAGCCTGGTTGACAGACATGGGGCTGTTGCGAGGCACATTCCAATTCTCGAGTGACTGGTAGAAGAAGCGGAGACGTGTGCTCTGCAGCCACATGCGAGCTTGTCCGATAATGTCAGTCGAGAAGGTGAAGTGAGTGTCGACGCCGAGAGCGCTCTGGTCCTGAATCAGGGAGTTGTGGTGGTGACCGTGACCGTAGTGCATCTCAGACTCGGGAGTGGTTGAGATATATTGGTCGTACTTGCGAAGAAGCTCAGCATCGTCTGTGGTGACATAACTGGCATGAGAGAAAACAATGGGTGTGGTGCCATTCATGAGACCGAGCTGATCGAGCTTGGATGGGCTGTTAGTGTTGCCCCAAGGACCACCCAAGAAGTGCATGGTAAGTGCAGAAACATTGTTGTTGTTGACCAGGTCGACGATTGCCTGCGTGTTGTTGTTGTCCTGGATGAATGCATCATAGGCAATTCCAATCTGCACCAGATCTTGGGAGTTGAGTCTCTCGTTCTTCATCAAATAGGCAAAGTTGGCAAGCTGTTCCTCGAACGAAAAGCCATTGCTGAGCTCATGAAAAGCATAGCAGAAGGCCATCCTCACACCACTGTCCATAACAGCATCGAGATATGCCTTGGATGTCTCTTTGGAGAAGGTTCCATGGGCATGCTCGAGAATTGTAGTGACTCCAGCATCTAATGGTTCATATAGACCAGCCAGTGTGCCATAATAAATGTCATCAGGACCGAAGACGGTTCCGGCCTGGGTGAACTCGCCGTAGCGGCTGAAGTATTCTGCTAGAGTAGTATTGGATCCGAGAGTCTTGTATGCGGTCTGCCAACTGTGGCGATGTGTGTCAATGAAGCCTGGTGAGACGATCTTGCCTTGAACGTTCACAATCTCAGTACCAGTAGGAATGGTCACATTGTCGGAGCTGTCGAAAATCTTGGCAACAGAGTCTCCCGTGACTAGTAGCGAAGAGCCATGAAGTGCTACAGGAAGCTGAGACGCCTCGTCGAAGGTGATGATAGTTCCACCTTGGAACAGGGTCGAATTTGCGCACAAGGCTGTTGCAGAAAGCGTAGCAAGGCCAGCCAAAAGATGACTGGGACGAAAAGTCTTCGACATGGCTATCGTATAGAGCTGAAGTCGAACAAAGACACTGCAAAGGATACTCTTCCTACCTTGTAGCATTTATCCTATCTGTTGACATGACACTTGCTCGCCTGCCAAGTCACATCCGGATCTGGTTTTACGTCAGGTAGTGGAGACTGCACCACCTCGCACCATTTCATCCTGCGTTGAGCACCGGTATCATGGTTCGTGATATGGGTATATTGGCTGCCTGATTTAAAGTTCGATGGAGCGTGGACGAGCATGAAGCGGTGTCATGAAAGTTGGAAGCAGCAGACAAGAACCGGCTCGAGGGTTGTGTTTACGCCCGTACAAAGCCCGGTGGAGCTCATCCGAGTGGGGCCTTTTGTCCTGTTGCCAACGTGCCTTCTGCCATTGGCTCTCGCTGTACGACGTACAAAAGTCGCCAAAGGATTTTGTTTAGCCGGACATCGTGTTTCATGGATGTCATTTCCTTAGCTTGTCTAAAGTATACCCGGAGAGATGTGATAAGCACCTCATGCAAAGTGTAGCTCTAAGAACACGCTTTCTCTTCTGGGATATGTCAATGTCCAGGGGAGTCACCATGTCGGGGCTATCTCTGTGGTACACGTCTTCCTTCGTAAGCATTTGTGTATCATGATAGTATACTATGGCTCTGTTTGCTGGCGTGGGAGAAAGATCAATCGTGAGTCAATTACATGTTTTCCCGTAAGATGCCACATGTTCTTTGAAGGGTCTGCTGAATCTCGCTTTACTGTTTTGATTATCCTTTGCTCCAGGCAATACTCTGCTGTAGGCAGGTGTTTTCAGGCAAAGCTTCTACTCGCAAGTCCAAGTGTCCGCTGCATTGACGTCTCCCTTTCCACTCCACTTTTGCTTCTTTGGCCACATGCATAGCGGTCTCTGTCTCATGACCTTATCCTGAATGGTATCGTTCACCCATTTGGTAGCAATGATCTCTGTTGGTGCGATACCCTTCTCAACCCACTCCATCATGGCAAGCAACACGTCATGCTTAGCGTCCCTGAACCCAGGAACTCCTGATACAGCAGACGAGAGTGCCGCTGCTTGGTTGGCACCAGCAAAGTACCAAGGTGCATTCACAGTGTTTGCTGTACCGGCGCAGTGTTGCATTCCCGGAACGAGGAAGAATCGGTAGAACGAGTCGAGATCCACGCCCTGAGGAGCCATTGTCCGCAAAATCTGGGAGTGGAGATAGACGGAGCTGCCGGTGGGAATCAGACCGTCACTCATACCGTGATAATGGAGAAGTTTGCCGCCGCGAGAAAGGAAAGGAGACAAGTCGAAAACATCGGCGGTTGCATTGCCAGGGTCTTCGGCATCGGCTTGTTGGATGACGCCGTAATCAAAGTCCTGCCATTGCCATTGAGGTCCGCGGCCCAAGAAGTACTTGACATAGTCGGGACCGAGAGCGTTTGGCTGATTGGTGAGGCCGCCAAGAAGAGGAACCCATTGAGCTTCACTGCCCACCCAGAGATGAGGGAACACGAATGTCTGGTTAGTATCGACGTAGTCGCTGTAGATCTGGTGGAGGGTATTGAGTTGAGGAGGAGTGAGGCAGGATGTTGTCTTGTTGGGTGTGCAGAGAAGGAAGTCGGGGTTAAAGTCGCAAGCATTAGGATCAGAGATAATCGTGTCGGTTACACCATCCGCGGCATCGCATTGACGCATCACTTCGGCGCCAATGGCCGGGAAGAGTGTAGGGGGNATGTGGTGAGCGCTTGTATTGGGAAGATTGTAGGAGCCAACTTTCGATGTCCAGGGCTGGAGGTGGTTAGTCCACCATGCAGGGGCTCCAGCCACTACGCCATCGAAATCTTCCGGGAAGAGCTGGAGGTTACGAAGACCTTGTCCTGAAACATTAAATGTCAGTTCCGCAATGATTCGGTGAGCACAAGGAGACTTACTGCCACCAGTAGAGCAGCCACTGTAGTAGCTGTAGAGGATGTCGTTGGAGTAGTATGCGGTTGTCAATTGCTTGCTCAAGACGACGCTGCCGTGCATGGCCCTGTAGCCCCAATCCAGTTGAGCACCTTCGTTGTGATATGCCCAGGTTCCGTTTGCAGAAATCGAGTTATGGCCAGTGTCTGTGGACATGACAGCAAAACCGTATTCCAGGCCCGCTCCCATGTCCAGCCAGTTGATACCGCCAGCAAATCCACCATTCCCGACAGCANNCTATATGCCTTTGTCAGTATCTGGTAAGTCCAACATCAGGCAGAAGACTACTTACAGGAAACGGCCGTTCCAATCATCGGGCAAGAAGACTCCAAAGCCGTAGTTAGAAGTGCCATTCTTGACGGACACCTGGACAGCACATGCGGCGCGCAGCTGAGTCGGCGAGACTGGATAGGCAATGTCGGCCTTGGGCACGGTGAAAGTCGAGTTGGCAGGCATCCATGTTGCGAAATCAACAGTAGCAACCGAGGGNAAGGCAGATTGGATTGAGTCCTTGTCGCAGGTGATTGCAAATGCGCCTGTTGTCAAAGCTGCAACAGCTGCAAAGCGGCTTTGTATCGTCTTCATTTTGTATTATTATTATGATGTTACAGGACAGTCACCACAAAGCTCGTCTTGGGTAGCGGTGGACGGGCTTTTGTACGCTCAGCCAGGTCGGCAGCTCTCGATGAGAAATTGCCGTCCCAGGCTCCCAGCCATGCCGCTGATGCTGATCTGCAGGATGCTTGTCCAAGAGGCTTGAGAAGTGGTACTTGGTGGAGACTGCATGTGCGGGGATTGTGGGGAGGAGCGGCGTGCTGAGTGACCGACACTCGCGCACTGGACTTGTATAAAGAGAACAATGGTTCAAGACGAGAGTAAAGTCGAGTAGCATTCTGTTGGCAATGGATGCGCGCTCCGAGGCGGGGAGCGGGGACCTCGGGACTTCCTTCTGAAGCGGGCTTGGCAGTGTCAAAAACGCATGAAGCCATAAGCTCGCGCGTCTTAATCAGTCTACCTTGCCGAGTGCATGTCTGGGGACAACGCTTCACCACGAGACGAGTCGCAACCTGCGCCGGCGCCCGCAAGACGTCGTAAACCTCGTCCAAGTCGAGGCAAAGGTCTCCGAACAACGACTGGATGGTTCGCTACATGTCGCATCTTGACCACTGACGCGCTGCTGACTCGGCATTTCGCANGTGTTGTATGCCGAACTCGTCATATGAAATGCGACGAGAAGAGACCAACCTGTTCGGCTTGCCTCAAGAGCAAGCGCCAATGTATATATGCCACAGCCAATCGTGTAAGTCTAGCGTCTTATATGTTCATCTAGTAACAGTTGTCTCCCTCGCATCCTGATTCACGTTCGCAACGTCCAACCNATGTGCGAGCGCGTATCTGATGGAACAAGCAGGAACCTCAGGACAGACAAGGCTCTATCGCGACAGCTCCAAGCTCTGCCAGCTCACCTGCTGTTGCTCAAGAACCAGGTCTTGATGATACTCNNCAAAGATNNGCAGAGCCTGGTGCTACTAGGCACCAGCTGCCCGCTCCGCATGGATCACCTTACCGAGAGAACATTGATACACCTCTTCACCCCGTGCCTCCCAATATTCATGCCCCTGACTTTGTCAGGCAGCTTGAAANNGACAATCAAATCTCAAGTCCTCGATCAACTTTAAGTGGGAGCACTTACGCTGCCGATATCGCACCCCTCAGATGGTTCGGTTTACTCGCTGGAGACGCAACAAATGCAGACTGGAACTTCAATCCCATCTCGCCGAACCTCATTACATCCCAAAGCAACGCCTCTAACAATGTAGCTCAGTATACCAGTGTAAGTTCATTTGCTCGGCCTTCCGGCCTCATTCAAGGATCATATACGCCTTCAATCATCCCACACGAAGTAGTCGCTCTGTCAGATCTGGAAGTTTCTCTGTTCAAATATTTCGTTACACGCTTTAGCCGCTGGATCGATCTGACAGACCCTCATCGTCACTTCTCGGTTATGGTACCCCATCTTGCCTTGCGAAACCAAGGTCTGATGAAAGCGATACTGGCTCTCTGCGCAAGGCACCTGTCAATCAAGCCGCTACCGGACTTAGCTCCTGACCGTACACTTGCAGTGCAATATTACTATGAAACACTTCAATACCTTCAGCAGGCCATGAAGAGCGAAGCATATCTCCGTAGCGAAGAGCTCCTGGTCACATGCTTGATCATCAGTACCTACGAGATGATTGATGGGGAGGGTCAAAGTTGGGAACGACATCTAAGAGGCATCTTTTGGGTGCAAAGATCTCGTGAGATCAACGGCGAGTCTGGAGGTCTAAATCAGGCTATATGGTGGGCTTGGCTGCGTCAAGATGTCTGGGCCGCCTTTCGGGAAGGCCGCAAAGTCTTAAGCTTCTTCAAGCCTACCAAGCCATACTACGCTATGGATCACTGGGATATTGCCGCAAGATGTGTCTACTTGGTGGCACAATGCGTCAACTACAGCTCAGAGCAGGAGGTCGAAGCTGGCAAGAATGACCTGATCATGCGGTTGGCCAAAGCCGACGAACTGTCAACAAAGTTGGAAGACTGGTATCAGCATCTGACAAGCCATTTCAACCCTTTACCTTGTCTGAACACCTCTCCCGGACCATTCAAACCTATATGGATACATCCTCCTGTATTCGCAGCTGGCCTGCAGCTCTATCATTTCGCAAAGATTCTCCTACAGATATGTACTCCTGCAGCTGGAGGACTCAAAGAATACGTGTCAAGAGAGCGTGCCCTCAACGAATCGGTCGACGTGATTTGTGGTATTGCTCTTGCTACCGAGGACGATGCGGCCATGGTCATATCCACGCAGTGTATCTTTGCTGCCGGTCTACATACGCAAGACCCGGTCAAGAGAGCTGCCATTCTAGAAATGATTGCCCAATCTCAAAATCGCACTGGCTGGCCAGTTCACGATCTTCGCGTCGACTTAGAATCAGAATGGACCAAAACGGACCATCCGGCATGAACCCGTTCAAACAAACGTCGGCATATTCGTTAATCAGTTCCAGTGAGATGCGCAATCTCCACAAGACGAAGTCCCATGGCTCTGGAAGGATGTGGAGTATGTCGAGAAACGAAGTTTGGCTTTCGCAGTGTGTCACCTTCTTGGTGACCTGCGCGATATGGACTTGAGAGACAGCATCTCATGGTCAGGAAACCTAGCTAATTATCTCGCATGCTTTACTGTTTCTCAGTGCATGAAACGCAAGCTGGGCGGAGAACGTAAGACTGAGCAAGCTGGTGCCAGGCATCATCTATGTTGCACCATGCCTCTGAGCAGCTGTTGCGGTGAAGAACCATGTGGTGACGCACACCAGCATCCGATTGTACGACTCAACCTACAGTGATCCAGATTCTATCTGGTTAGCAATCATTCGCACAGGAAGTAGGATATCCGGGCCAAAAACAAAATGTAGTTTCCGCAATACGTCTTTACTGAGTACGTACTGACGAACTGCCTTGTGTCGCAACTGAGTTCATGCTTGAGGAGATGATGGATAATGCTTGCAACGATGATTCAAAGGGATCAAACGGCCCGAATATCGAACGGGACAGTATACAGTAGTTCTTCCATCGCGAATTATCCAAGTGATTGAGCTCATGGGCAGTCTAGCAAGATCATTGTCTATTCTTACAGTGTTCGCTTCTGCTTCGTTCCCAGAACGGCTATGGAGAGTTCTACACAGTGCACTGTGTAATGGGGTCCGGGTCTGTCATTGATCTTGTTCCCCCTACGCAATACCTGTGTCCTACAGATACGAGACCGAGATTGAGATCTGCCGTCAGGGGACATAGTTTCGATCTTGCTTGAACTGGACGCCCGGCAGGTTTACCTTCTCCGATCCAAAGTCGATATATCATTCGATCTGGTTTAGATAGTGCTTGTCGTCGAATGAATGTCACCCAACACCAGTCCTCTAAAGGAAGGTGACCAAGATTCTTATCTCCGCCATGTGACTCGAGCGGTTTTGTGCTTCTGAATGACTACTTCTCTACGCCAGACCTCCAAAGGAAGGTGAAAACATCTCGTCTTCCATTACGCGTCCTTCACCCGCCTCTGGAAATCGCTGGAGCGGTTCAGCTTTCCGTGCGATTGGAAGAACAAAGGCCACGAGGTATGATTTCGAGAGCACGAATCTCTCGCATGGCCAACATGAGGTCATGAATCTACGCTGTCAAGTGATGTCTCAGCAGTGACATGCCGGGGTAGCAGAAAGTTTATTGTTGCGCTACAGATTGCCATGCACGATGCACAACCTGTTTTTTTCCCTTGAGCCTCTTGTTTCCGGAACAACGTTCATGCTCATTAACCTTCGCAGAACAAGAAAATAGTAGACTACCTAGGCTTCAGTGCTATTGCCAAACGAAGCAAGTAGAATCGTAAACTCGAGTTTGAACAAACCGCAAGATCGATGATATATAGATTGAATTATACAATTAGAGCTTCTAGAAAGAAGAGAACAATGTATCGTGAACGTTCGTCAACCGCACTCGTGGTGCGCATCCAAGATCATCACCATGACCTTCAACCCTCTCACATGACAGCTTCTTCACTGCTAGAGCCCCTTCTCAAAACACCCTTCTCACTTCCCTCCCTCTTTGCCGACTTTCTGTCCCTCCACAGCGCCCAGAACCGGAGGGCCAAGAATAGAGCACCGAGGATACAAACAACAATAATATAGTATTTGTTGTAGTTGCTGTCGCCCGCGAGGTTGAGACCCAAAGGTACGTTGACGATGCCCAAGATAATTAAGCCGATACCGAGGAACATGTGCACCTTTCCGATGATGGTTTTGTGGCCGCGGCGGAAGAGAAGGTGGTGGATGAGGCCACCGAGAGCTTGGATTGCGAGAAGGGAGAAGAGAACGAGTCCGATGATTTGGTGAGCTGAGTTGTATCCACTCATCTGTTTGTGTCTTGTTAGCGAATCAATAATAACCAGAATGTACCCCACCCAGAAGTGAAGGATATATGGGACTGAGCTTACGGATTTATCTTGTTGGGACAAGTAGATACCAGTTCCCAGACCCACAATCACGAAACAGTATGCCGTGGCTTGGACGATACCATGGCCAATGACGCTGTGGCCAAGACGGAGCACCAAAACACCCAAGGGGAAGAGGATGACAAATGCAATGGCCATGAATATGCCGTGAACACGGTTGTATGTGTTGTCACCTCCTCCAGTAGATGCACCAGTAGATGCGCCAGAGGAAGAGTCACTTGCACCATTTGATGAAGCAGCGGTACTGCCAGAATCCAATGCGGGCGTGTTGGAGCCGGAGAAGGCAGCTTGCGTCATATCCATCGAGAAAGAGTTGTACAAGGTGTGTTGATCGATATTCTGAGACGTCGAGTCACTAGAGATGGTTTCACCCGTGGGTCCGAGGGCAAAGATGAAGGGCTGTTGAGTTGACGTTGTGTCCATTGTTCCAAGAGACCAGGTCGTGCAGTTGTAACATACGCCCATGAGTTGATATGCTCCGTTAGTGATGGAGCTAGATCTAACCTGGACGTTCTTGGAGGACGTGTACTGTGGTTGTTGGTGTCCGGTGGAGAGTCGTGGGCTCAGAGTCACACCTNNAAGACAGAACCACTCAGCCTTGGATGCAATCGGTTACTTGATGGAAATCTTCTTACCTGTGCCGTTCGAGCTGGGGTACCCAACAAACATGAGTGAATTCTTCATCTGGCCTCCAATGCCAAACGCAAACCATGAATAAGTTGATGGAGCAGACATGTTAAAATATAGGTCATTGCCGGTCGTGTTTAGTCCAAGAGCCAAAGAGAACGCATTGGACCCTTGGTGCTGATACGTATAGGTGGAGGATCCATTAGCTGCAAATGCGACGGCGAAGAACGCGAACAGCAGTGCTATACATATGATGATCAGCGACTGTACCTGCATAGTATACGCCAAGTGTCGGGCAGGAACGGGGTTGCATACTGTACAAGAATCCGAAAGCCATCATATCTATCTTAGACCAATCTCAATATAGACAAATGTTCTCGTAGCAATCGTAGTCGTCGCAACACTAGACGTGATTGGGATTGCAGAAAGATGATTGAGCAGATTCCCCTTGTTATAGGTTGTTCGAATCCGGACAAGGCTTTGCCAATGTAAGATACACGCGTCGCCGTGGTACGAAGTTACCGAGTCAAACGCCTCACTCAGCTGAAAGAACAAATATGCAGATGGAGGACAGAAGGGAAAATGAAAGCATCAGCGAGGGTGGTTCTTCTTATCGCTTCTTACTTGTTTCGAAAGCTTCGCCCTGCCCACGCGTCTTCGAGCCGCACGTTAGTAAGACATGACACTCGTACTGTCACCCAAAAGGTGGTGATGTGCAAGAGATGAACAATAACGGGCTTATTTAATCGAGGGTCAGCGTTGGTGCTTGATTGGTCGGGTATGAATCATCAGGTGAGTTCATGCTTTTTGGTCGGCAGTCAAACGTCTAGTAGTGAAGTTTATACACAAAGTCGTGGATCGTTCATCGGAGATGAGAGCAGCCAATTGAGGTGGCACCTCGTTTAAGCTTCTTTTTAGTACCGCTGACTGAATCCGGGGAAGGGGCGTGCGCGGCCAATCCAGACCGTCTGCCAGCTTTCGAATTGATATCAATGGCGCAAAAAGTCCATGATGGCATGGCGTGCTGTCGATGCATCTACACACTGCTCGTATAACTTGACATCGTAGTTGAAGAGAGCTGAGTGTCGTAGGAGTCCATTCGGTCGTGCTGTTGAAACAATCAATCAACCTTTCGTGTTGCAGCTCCCAAGAAAACATGGCGGTGGCTGAGACGTGGGGTGAGAGAAATAATAACAACGACGCTTTCCACTTTCATGAGAGTTGTCCGCGAATCCCAAGGCCTCGCTTAGAGCAGTTGTACGAGAGTAGAAATGCGATACGACTGCGCCATTGAGAGATGGTGCTGCAGATTATGTCGAACGCGTAAAAAGTTCTACAAGCGTAATGTGAGCATGTGATACAGAACAGAACGATGTTTCCATCTCGACTTGGAGAAGCTGAGATGTCTGGGACGATCTGCTATGCCAGTAGTGTCATTGGATGCCTTGCAGAGTGTTGAAGATTCTTGGGCAAATAGCAACAGAGACATGCGACTTATAACAAAGCAATGCATGGAGCATTCTAGTGATGTCTTCAACCTCAGATGAAGATCCTTGCCTTTCCATGTGATTAGGCAGTGTTTGAACCTGCTCGGCTAGTCAGTTGAGAGACGAGAATCGAAAGTTTTTCAAGCTGCCTGCCTTCCCATGTGCGATAGACAGTCACAGTGTAGTTGTGAAATGCACAATTTCTTGCATAGCAGAGCGATGTCCACGGAGAGAAGGGTGTGTTCAGGCATCTCCATGGTGGCACCTCTGTTTTGAAATTCAATCGTGCATTTCTATAACTTATGATGGCATAATGGGTTAGTGAGGGAGAGGGGCCGATTATTGTAGGCTGTGACTGTCTTTTGCACACGGGGAGTAAGTGACATGGACCATCGTCTTGTCAGTATATATTTCAGAACAGAACGATATTTCCATCTCGACTTGGAGAAGTTGAGTTGTCAGGAACTCCGCTACACCAGTAGTGACTACCTTGCAGATGGTAGAAGATCCTTTGGCAAATAGGCAACATAGGTAACAGAGAAATCCAACTTGTGACGGTGCGTGGAGCATCCTAGTGGTGCCTTAGCCTGGAATGAGGATTTTTGCTCCTTGATGCGATTTGGCATAGTCAGTCGACGGGTTGAATCGCTATGTCCTCGAGCATTCTCGAAGCTGTTTAGCAAATAGCGTGTTCTGTCAGCAGCGCATCAGATGTGTATACTTTGTGACTTGAAAAGTTCATTGAAGGGCGCAGCAGTGTGTGAATGAACAAAGCGATGAAAAGGTCTTGTATTCTTTTTGGGTATCATGAAAAAAGAGTTTAGGGGCAGTGTTTGTTCTGCAGTCCCAATCCAAAAAGGAAGTGTTCGTCTCGGCCCAAGTGACAGCGGCAGGGCATTGTAGATACGTGTCTGCTAATGCGCGTGTGTGGAAGGATGCTGCGACTGTTTGTCTCGTCTGCTCATGCTCGAGGCTGGTGGGCTGGTCGATGGGTCATTCGAGATGAGGGTTCGTTCGGGCGAGTGATGTGGTCGTGTGATGGCATGTTGGAGTCAAGGGCTCACTTGAACTCGTTGGGCCAGCACTTCTCCTTGGTCCAAGCATCGGGATGGGTGCCNTGTTTCGAGCGTCAGAGATGGGTCATGTTTGACCATGGCGTGTCGGGAATGAGCTTGGGCTTACCGGCGTGCTGCTCGAGGACAGCGAGGTTGGAGCTAGTCNNTATAACACGATATCAGTTGACTGTCTTCTGCGAACAGAGTGTGGACAAGTGTAGACTTACCAATTCCTTCTTGCAGAAGACGCAGATAGAGGTTGCCTTTGGTTTTTTGACCGGGGTGCCATTGGGGTTGACGGGGACACGAGTGCCAGCGGCCTCGGCCTTCTTGTGCTCGCGGTGGATACGGTCCTTCTTGGAGATAGGCATTGTGATTGTGATGTGTAGCGCGGTAGAAGACGAGGCTCTGAAAGCGAGGGAAGGAGCGTGACAAAAGATTGTTGACTTTTGCTTGGCATGACCCTCTTTTCACTCTTATCTTATCGCCCTTTTTCTTCTCCGCCAACGCGTCCAAGCGCGCGTCCGTCACTTTCACCTTCACGCGCATCAATTCACTTGCCTTCTTGTAAGGAATCAGTGAAGGTTACCCCGGCCATCTTCTTCATATCGCTACTACTGGTCTGTTTGCGTCTGCATCTGCGCCAAGCTATACAACTACGCGGCCAATCACACCATCCTTCGATATACGGATCCTTTCACTATCCCTGACTTCCTATGCCAAGTGTTTCAAGCATTAGCGTAGTCGTCACCAGCATGCACCGCAGCGTGTACTATACCACTTGCTGGTCCATGGCATTTGTCGATCTTCTCACAGCCCCAGTCTCGTTGTGAATGCAACCTCTATCATTGGCTCAACTTTGGTCATCACCGAACCCCATCGTCCTTGGCTGTGAATACATGTCAGGAAGACAGACACTCCTCTCGCGTGCCCTATCCCAACACTGTCTGAGCTTTTGATGCATACCGCTTGACAAGTCAAACACCTTGATCTGAACTTCACCTGTCGTAAGTCGTCCTATCCGGAATCGATTTCAGTCATGGCCATTCAATTCTTGTAAGTCTATATAAGGTCGGTTGTGCTACAGCCGATACGTTTTCTATTAAAACCCTTTTCTCTGTGTATCCTTACGCTTCGTCACTTCGCACCATCATGGTTCATCTCTCCAACTTCATCGGCACGATTGTTGCAGCTTCTTTTGTTGCCCCTTCTCTCGCCCACCCTGGAGAACATCACGATCACCATGCCATAAAGGCTCAAGTTCAAGCCCGCGAGCGGCTTGCTGCCAGAGTCAGACGCTCCATCGATGCCTGCAGTGAAAGCAGCGAGCATCTTCAAGTATCTGCTCGTTCTGCTGCTCGTCGCTCAAAGGTTGTCAAAGACCTTCGTGAAAAGCGTGCCATCACTGCTTCTCCTCAAAAGTTCAAGCGTGACCTGGCCACCCTTGAGAAGTTTGACGCTCTTGACCACAACCGTACTGATGACTTCCACTACGGCATGCATACACCCGAGCACATTGTCTTCGGCGCCAACACTAGCTGTGTTTTGAGCCCAGAAGTTACCGATGGTCCTTACTATGTCACTGGCGAACAGATTCGTAGCAACGTCAAGGAGGAGCTCTACTGTGATGGTGTCGATCTCTTCCTCGAAGTCCAGTACATCAACATCCATACTTGCCAGCCTGTACCTGACGTCTGGGTTGATATCTGGAACGCAAACTCGACAGGTGTTTATAGCGGGATATCGACATCGGGCAACTATGCATCCGGTGGCTATAACTCGACTTACCTTCGGTACTTGGATTTCTCTTATCAGCCTCATGATCAACGTTCTGACTGTGTTCTAGTGNGTATTCAGCCAACTGATCGTGACGGTGTCGTCCATTTCGAAACCATCTTCCCTGGGCATTATGATGGTAGGANNTTATTGAAGTCCTTGTCTGTACGCATACATTTAGCTGACTCTATGTACTCAGGTCGGGCCACTCACACTCACCTGCTCTCACATATGAATGTCACCCGCTTCCGCAACAACACCATCTCTGCCAACAACAACATTACTCACATCGGCCAACTCTTTTGGAACACCGAGCTACGCGAGGCAGTCGAACAAGTTTATCCGTACAACACCAACACTCAAGCTATTACTAGCAACGCAGACGATATGTGGGACATCGTCGCTGCCGGCACGACTTTCGATCCATTCCCGGAATACATCTATCTTGGCGATGATTTGTCCGACGGTCTCTTCGCTTGGATCCAGATCGGCATCGATCCCACCGCTAACTACATTGACGACGAATATTATTCCGTCGCTGCTTATCTGGATGCTGAGGGTGGGCATGCTTCTTCGAGTTCCTTTGTTGGCGGTGGTAGTGGTGGTGAGGGTATGGGTAATGGCACTTTCCCTGGCAACGGTACTGGCGCTGCAAACACGACATCGGCTTGAGACAGTGAGACTTAGGCGGGTTTTAGAGAAGGTTTCTAACCCACGATCGGCGAGTCTTGGTCGTGGCGGTCAGACTTGATGTTCGATCCGATGAAGGTGTTTGAGGTAGTGACTCGGAAATTAATGTGTTTGTTTGCTTAGGTAACACCCCCCGAGTATCAATCAAACTCATGTCAGGGTCATATATGATTGACACCCTGCTGACTATTCATTCTCAACGCAATCTTGTCTCACCATCCAGTACGCTCTCACTTGACTCGCGTAAAGAAGAATTAGTGAAAGTGTCTGTCGCCCAGGCGTCTGAATTTCGATGTTCCGAACTTGATGAGTGAACTTTTGAACCACAACCACAACAATTTTTTTGCAGTGTGATAGTTGTGTGGCTATAGTTTTCAAGCTTGCGTACCTAAGCCTCGACTCACAGCTGTAAGCAGCTCGACAAAAGAGCAAAGTTTCACTCCAGAGAAAAGTTAACAGTGACACCCTCATGCGCCCAGCATTAAGTCGTTCTTTCATTTTCTTCACAGCGGTGTGCAATCTTTGAAAAGTACATTCTTCATTACAACTTCATGCGCACCCTTGGTGGTATATATAGAATCAAGGATGGATCGTCTTGAACTGTAAGATTTGGAGGTCTGGAAGCTGGAAGTAAAACATCCATTAGTAATTTGTATAGCCAAAATATGGTCAAAAAAGGCGATGTGGAAGTTCTGCTCAATGGGACTGCATCCCAACGCAGGCTCAATCTGCCGAGCTAATGAGCCTCTAAACATTATTCACTTCACAAAAACACTCGTGCACCGTAGGGTTCGACTCTGCTGTCGATCATGATGTGACTAACCTTCCAATCGTTCTTTGTAACGATTGCTCGAGACTGCCCGGGTCTGCGCCCATCTCTAGAGGCATACAGCAAGCAACCTCCATATTGCTCTATAAGAGCTCGTGTTTGCCGATGGTTACTGCTCGAGCTTTAACCACCCGCAAGTGACAAGACCAAATTTTGTTATGTCATACAGGACTACGTCTACTCCTTTGCAATGACAGGACAATGAAAACCAGAGCATCTCTAGATCCAGCTATGCAGCTTCACTAGCAGGTCGGCGCTTGCCTTCGACGGTCATTGCTTGAGCTCTATACTCACTACGAAATGACAGTACCTCCTCCTGCCATGGCAGCGCTGCTTCCGAGGCTCCTATCCCGAATTCAAAGGTACCACTCATTGTGCGGGCTGTTCTTGTCTCAAGTAATTGCAGGAGGACTACAGAACCATGTCTAGCATCAAGAGATCATGGTCATATTCAGCTCATTACTGTAGGATGATATGTTGTTGGAGTTTGAACAAAATATGATGATGTATAGACACGCGCCTAAACAGTTGCGAGAGGACGAGAGGCCAACGAGAAGTATGTAGGCTGCTCTAACTTATTCAGGCTAGGTTAGGCTATGGCCGTGACTTCCCCGTCGCGAGTTCGGAATTTATCCTTACACCGATTGGGAAACGCGTGGCTCAAAATCTAGCTAAGTGTTGCAACCTTGATGGCACTCGCGATCCGCCACAGTGTAGATATAGGTGTGCACGCAAGTGTTCTTCAATAGCAAGGGCATCTGTATGACTTGTGCGATTTGAGACCCGCACCAGAAGGCTGACCGGCCCTAACCCATGAGCTCCCCAACTTAATAACGTAGGCATTTAGTGAGCATCAAATAGGCTAGACAGACGAGTGAAGGGGGTTATGTGATGGCCTTCAACTTCTTGCTTTTCACTGCGGATGATTGAGTGCGCTTGCCGACTATCTACAATCGTTTACGTTGGAGCACATTATGGGAAGGTGACGGTAGCTCGAACATCTAGAAGGCGGATAGCAAGCAGTCTACCGAAACACGGGACAGAGTTAGCCATGTTTGCTTAAATATGAGCGTCAAACTGAACGGGCAGCGTGTCTGAGGTAGCAGGCTGATGCGATGTTAAAGAGTGCCGAGTGACTCCAAGAAGATACCCTTGCAAATGTGTTGTTGGTTCTAAAACGTTTTATTATGTGGGTGATACGATTCCTTCGAAATCTTGTAAATATCCGAGTTGCCACGGACGTGGTTGTTAGGTATGTGACGCAAAGCTGGGGCGGAGACTCGCTGGGATTCACTGCGATTAGCGTTTCGTGGTAGAGCTCGCATGTGCTGACCGGATCTGCGTATAAACATGGCGATGGTCTATCACAACGGTACCGTCAAACTCAGGAGTGTCGAATCTCTTAGAAAACATCAGAGACGTGGAAGCTGTCATCAACACAGCTCTTCATCCTTCGAGCCAAGTGCGAGTCGACCAATCAGCAGGCGATGCGAGGTGCCCGTGCTCCTTCTTCGGACCGCAGCCCTGTCATCCTGCCATCCTACTGTGCTGGACAGCTCTCATCTTGGTAACCATCGCGAGTGAGCCAATCACTTTCAAGCCCGACGCTGCGCGTTGTACCTTGCAGGATGTCTCAACACGCTGTATACCGAATGGGAAGTCTTTGCGATCTGTTTGTGTCTCTGCTGGTAGAAATCTGACAGGACTGAGGAGGCTGAGTTGTGGCAGCTGTGTGCTCAAAACCCTCTCATTATTCCTCAAGTATGGTAGGTGCAATACATAAACAGGAGCTTGACCTTCTGTGATCCGTTTCCTATTTCCACATACACCACTGTATTTCGTCGTCTCCATACACATCTACATCCACATCAACGAACTTTCCAGGCTCTCCACACACTTTACAATGGCCATGATTGTCAACGGCACTGTCCTCATTCCAGCCCTGAACGGCACTCTCATCAACCCGGACGACTGCGCGATCGGCGTGTGTTCGATGGACTATGCACAGATTGAATATGTCCCAACATACGGCGGCAATCTGGCATACTGCCTCATATTCAGCTTCCTCCTCCTAGCTCAGATGGGGCTTGTCTGGAAATATCGTACCTGGGGGTTCTTTGTGGGCATGTTTTGCGGCCTTCTCCTTGAGGTACTCGGCTATGCTGGTCGGATCTCTCTCTCGGGAAATCCGTTCAACTTCGATCAATTTGTACTGTAAGCGGTACTCCCTCTTGACAGTTTGAGCTCTTGTCTGACAAACGCAGATNACCTTGTATGCCTCACCATCGGTCCAGCCTTCATCACAGCCTCTATCTACCTCTGTCTCGGCCGCATTGTCATCGTCTACGGTCAAAACATCTCACGCTTCTCCCCAAAGTTCTATACCCTCACCTTCATGATCTGCGACTTTATCAGTCTCTTGCTCCAAGCTGTCGGAGGAGCTCTAGCCGCCACACAAGACGCTTCGAACCCGTCCCATACTGGTGTCAATATCATGATCGCTGGTCTCGCTTTCCAAGTTGTCAGTCTGACAATATTCATCGCGCTCAGCATGGAGTTTGTTTACAGAGCGTACAAAGCAAGAGAGAGCGATCTAAATTTCGGCTTCTTCGATCTCAGAAAGCGCACCATGTTCCGCATCCTTCCGTACGCTATCGCGGTTGCGACAATCACAATCTACATCCGTTGCGCCTTCCGTGTTGCGGAGCTCAAGGATGGGTTTGGAGGAAAGTTAGCCAATGATCAAACCGCATTCATGATTCTGGAAGGTCCGATGATCATCATCGCGACGATTGCGCTCACTGTGTGTCACCCTGGCATTGCCTTTGGCAGTGCGTCGTCTTGGGCAGCTGCAAACTGGACCTTCAAGAAGAGCACCAAGGGCGATAACAGTCATACAAGAATGGTCAGCCAGGAGGCTGCAACACCTTCGCTCGTAGAGAGCGAGGTACACGACATGAAGGCCCGTGTTTGAAGTTCAGATAGAGGGAGGAGAGGGACGGAGATGCAGGCGAGAACATGTTTCCAGGAGAACGGATGATGAGGGCATTTGCGAGATGGATGATGTTAGATTTGCCCAGAACAATTGAAGAAAGTCTACAGAGGTATTCAGATCCTGTGAGAATTCTTCTATATCAGGCACAAGTACGAGAGTATAGTATGCTCGATATGAGCAAGCCAAACCGGGGAATCCCTGCGTAGTAATCGGCTGTACTTGCCTAGTGTGGACACAAATAGAAACACGCCCAGGCAGCTGTTTATCCTCACCGGTTTCGCAACCAACGACATGCAGACTCTCAATAATCTCCATCTCCTCGTGTTACTTGGTCTGCCATGCTAACCACGTATCATCGATCAGTCAGCGTGTGTGCCATTATACAATCCGTCGCGTGAACCGTTGTCAATGTCTGCGACTCCACCTGACGGCAGTCGACCAAGTCGGAAACTCAAAGTCCGCACTGGCTGCATCACCTGTAAAGTATTACGACTGAAGTATTCGACACGCCGAAAGTCGCGGCTGATGCAATTCAATAGANTACGTAAGGTGAAATGTGACGAGGAGAAACCATTCTGCAAACGCTGTACAGATACCGGGCGCAATTGCGACGGCTATGCCGCACAGCCAGAAAGGAAATGTATCAAGTCTGCCAAAGTTGCACAACCACCTTCCACTACCTCGATACAGAGAAGGCCATCAACCCCGACTTCTATATCAGGCCGAGCTGTCCGACGACTAGCACCAGCTACATTGATTGTCGATGCTGCCTTTCTATCGCCGGCGATTTCCAGCGAGGCCAGCCATTTCATTGAGTACTTCAGCATGCGAACTGGCCCTGCACTTTCCAATGTCTTGAGTCATTCGTTTTGGTCCTATACTCTGCCCCAGTTGGGTGTCTCGGAGCCAGCCATTCGACATGCCTTGATAGCATTGGGGTCCGCTCATGCACGCTTTGAAGCCGATGCTACCAACAATCAATCTGTACAAGACGCGATACCCCAAAATTTTGTACTGCGCCATTACAACGAAGCCATTAAGCAGTTGAAGTTATATCTCAGCAAAGGGTCTCAGTCGCTTGACATCGCTTTGTTGTGTTGTCTTTTATTCATCTCACTGGAATGCATCTACGGAAATCGATTGCTGGTCATCGATCACCTACAAAACGGACTGAATATGCTCAGATCGTCGCTGATAGAGGATGGGCAGAAAGAAGCATCCTCGAACGTCATTGCCAAATCCATCAAGCACGAAGTTCGACCACTGTTCCATCGATTGGACTCCCAAACAACCTTGATGGGCTTCTCGGGATCTAGTCTGTTCAATCATATGGATAACTTGTTTTCTCTGTCCACACCAAGGTCGTTCGACAGCTTTGACCATGCCAAACGCTCGCTCGACACGCTTGTTGCTTCAAGTCTTGGTTTCATTCGCACAATCCACGATGGAAAGCATGCCGAAAACGGTTCTATATCTCTTTCGGGACGGACGCTGCAAATTCATCTGCTGAGCGAGTTGTCCATCTGGAAAAACAGCATGGCCAACTTTGTGAAGTCGTGTAGTGTATTCACGGACGAAGACAACAAAACAGAGAAAGCTCTCCGGGTACAGCATACAGCTACCTTTATATGGCTAGCGCGATGCACCGAGGTGGAGGAGTCTGGCTTCGATCTTTACCTCCCCGAGTTCGCGTCCATTGTCAAATGGTCTCGATTCCTGACCACACCAAAACAAGAGCCAAAGGAACATTGCTTGCACTCAAGACTGGCCTCGCTCTCCGTTTCCAGTGTGCCGAGGTTCTCACTCAACATGAATTACATACCACCTTTATATCTCGTCGCCATTAAATGCCGCGATCCAATCACAAGACGCGAAGCCATATCCATTCTCGAAGAGACCAACGGTCGCGAAGGCCTTTGGGACGCGCGTCTGCACGCAAAAGCCGCCAGAAGATTGGTAGAAGTAGAAGAATCCGGTGTGTTGATATTCGAGGGCGCAAAATCTGCATACATGGAACCAGGGCCGCTGATGCGCATGATCGCGGATGGAGAGGTGAGAATGCCACGGCAGAATTCCATACAAGAGTGTTTCCGTGTCCACGATATGGACCTTAGGAATGTGACCGAAGGTGTGACTGGCACGGTCGATATCACCTGGCGTATCTATCCGAACGGTCGTCACGAGGAGAAGACGCAGTGGACAGAGGTGCTTGAATTTTGATTGATCTCTTTGAGGCGAAGTTGGCTTTCACAATTTTCGAAAACAAGGAAAAGAAGTACAGAACAATATTATCGATTTAAACATCTGATCAGATGACATACGAAATAGGTACAAGCAGAAACGCAGTACTAATGTTACAACAACATCTTCAGACCATCATCGTGAATGGACGAATCTAAGCAAGCTGGCCACGAACGGCACCGGGAACAGCCAAGCTTGAGTGAGTGTCGGCAAAGAAGCCAGCAGGGTTCTTCTCGATCTGGCTGATGTGGAAGCCATCAGCGGTATCCTTTCCGTTGGCCATGACACCAGTCTTGAAAGGACCCTGCAGACAGCCCAGAGAGCGGCGAACACCGTTACCCATATCGACAGGGTTAGGGAAAGCAATTCTGGGNGGACCGGAAGCGCCCTTTGCAGCTTCGTGGATGTGAGTGGCTGTTAGGGCGGGAGATTGGTATTCGCCGCGGAAGTTGTAGATTTCGATGTTGTAGCAGATCAGGTTCGATTCGCTGTTGATACCGATCTTGAAGAGGCCAGAGGCACCGGCAAGACCACCAGTTGGGGTTGTACCGTTAACGACTTCTCCAGGGACGGCCTTGACTTCATAGTAGGAGGTAAAGGTGAAGGGNGAGCCTGCCATCTTGGGGGCTTCGGGACATTTGGCTAGTGCTGCAGCGCCGCCCTTGGTGTAGTCGACAGACTCCCAACCGCCGGTAGGAGGAGGGTACTCGTGAAGGTTCTCGCCAGTGCCCTTGGGATACTCGTGGAGGTTTGCACCAGTACCCTTGGGATAATCGATGGATTCCCAACCACCTGTTAAGAAGAGAAGATCAGTAAGAGTTTGTTGTGAGTTTGTGCAAGGACCTCGTAACTTACCCTTAGGAGCCTCGTAATGGACATCCGTGGGCAGCGCAGAGACGGCAACTGCAAGAACAGCAATGGTAGCGGCGGTGAACTTCATGTTGGAGGATGTGATTCTTTGTTGATGTATGGTGTTGCTTGTTCTGTTGTTTAGTCGCTGGTCGTGTTGGATTGTTGTCAGGTTGATGTGATGATGAGTTCCTTTTCCAACAGGCAGACAGCTGTACTTATAGCATTCCACTCTCTCTTCTCAAAGAGTTACATCTTTGCACTGCCAGCATAGCTACCGTTCTTGTTTACTCTGGCCGAGCATTCCAAGCATCCAAGAACCAAGCACCGGTGAGATGGCTTCACCAAGATGGATGTTTACCCAAGACATGCCCAAGGCACACGTCAGAATTTGGTTATGCCATATGAGAATATGTTTGCCAAGCGTGATGGGTCTACGAAAAGAGTTTTGGCCCTCAAGCTATGGCTTGGAGGCGTACCTTTGCTGGGCAAGCTGTTTTTGGCACCTGGATCAGAGTTGCCAAGGTCGTTAACTCTGCTCGTCAGTTGCGGAGTGATATGCTCAGCGCTCGAATGAGATCTTCTAATCGTATTGTATTCCAGTCGCAGATCCGTTGGTATTTGCTGTCGCTAGCCCCAGGGTCAATTTATTGATCGCCTTATCTTTCGACATCTGCCTCACGTTGCCTTTCATCATCACCAAGTGAGTCGGGTTGAAATTCAATCTCCAAATATGCAATGACTTGAGTTTACCTTGGAAATTCTCTGAAGGTGTCCTGGGCAATGCTATTTTTACTCATAACCAGTCTACCGAACAATCTTCCTCGGATGTCGTGGGTGGAAAGTCAAGATCAATGGCAAAGCCTCGAGGGACCGAAACATCCAAGCACCAAGTAGGAGAGGTCCACGTCTAGCAGAAGCCAAGGCTGTATCGATATACCAAGGAGATCATCATCGCAGGCGCAGTATAGATTTCTCCAGAAAAACGGCCTAGATCAATGGGAAGGAAGAGGTAGAGCAAAGGAAGCAGGGCAAGCACCAAGGTGTTCGTCTTGGCGACGGTTGAAACCATCGAAAAGGTCCTGTGGGGTGTGATCTTGAGGATTTCAAATCTTTTGCTCTTCTTCGCTCCCCAGTCTTGGTCCTGGTCTTGTTGATGTCGTGGGCGGCTGACCTTCCTTCGGAAGAACAAGACAAGATAAGAATACCAAGGAAGATCAACCCTTGACGTGTGACCCTTGCTGCGCCCGGGCCCCTGGCCTTTTTTGGGATGTTGGTCCGGCTTGGCGACCTTCTTTCTCTCGCATGCGAGTTGTTCTCCAACTTCTGGATGGAGCTTTTGCTCAGACAAGAGGTGCTCAAGAGTATCGGCGGCGTCATTGATTGCGAAGCGCATAACTGGTTGTTGTCTTGGCGATGTAGCATGGAAGTTCACGGATACCTGAGGTGCACGAGGTGTGAGATGCCGAGGCTGCCGGCAGCTGAAGGCTTGGTATGCCTCATGTTCTTTCTCATGAGGACAGAAAGTCATAAGCTTGCTTGCTTGGTAGACTATACTGATCCTCTCAGATTTGCTGGGTACTGGGAGTAAAAGACATCGGCAACCAAGGAGCAAATAATTACTGGAATTCAGATCTCAATCCTCTCTTTCCATCACGCCTTCCTCGCCAACTCTACCAAAGAACGTCACTGTCCTGTTCTGAATCTTCCATACACCACTCGCTCCTGCTTCTGTCTCTATGTTTCTCGTTTGCCCCTCTGACACACAGATCAATTCGTCGACATATTTTCCGTATGCGGTGACTTGCTGACCTGCCCATTTCCCTCTACCCAGATGAACTCCAGTGAAATATGTGGTTGCCTTTGCGGTAGCTGTGTCGAGAAGTAGATGTTGAGTTGTCAATGCGTGCTGGGTGGTTACGGGCTTCAATCTNGCGTTCGGATCAAATATCAGTCCCAGGTCTCCCACTACGCCCAAGATGCAAGCCTACCGTTGCTGAATCCTTCTGCTCAAAGCGTCAACTCCTAGGATAGGTTCATCGTTGAATGGATACTTTGCAATGACGTCTCTTGCAAAGACTCGTTCCAGCAGAGACCAGTCTTTGTTGTCTAGAGCGATGCAGTAGAGTGATATGACATTCCTGATGGCATTGTAGTCATGAGGGTTCATTTGGGCTGGCATTGCCGAGAAAGCGAAGTACGACTGCTTTTCAATAGGACTGATAAAGCGGTCGGAAAAATTGTTTGCGTGTATGCAGTTTGACAGTGCTGGTCAGATTGCGTCTTCCAGGTACTGGCGTTAGGAAGTTGAAGTACTTGGATGGAGTATAGACGCTTGGTCGGAGAAGCAGTAGGACGTAGCGATCAGCTTTAAGATAGGATAATGTGTTGCAAGTAGTACAAGGGTATGAGGTTCTCTTAAGTAAAACTAGTGATTTCGGCATCCCCGCTCGGCTCCGCAGCTTTCGGGATTGAAGATAATGATATCCAAGGGGAAAGTGTATACCTCGTGAGATTGGAGTATGGACTCTTCCGTAAGTGCGAATTGGTGCGTGGGAAGAGGAGCTGTGAGCAGTGATTTTGTTCATATACAATAAATATACAAAAGCCTGGGCTTTCTCTCTCTCGTTTGAATTCGAAATTCAATACGATCTACTCCTCGTTAGCAGAGGCACTGCCCTGATAAGCCCAACTGGGCTGTTGAGTGTTGTTTTGCTCCAGATTCGATACAGGCAGTTGGCCATCGGCGGGCAACTCGAAGACACGCATTCTCGAGGTGATTCTGTCATCGACAACAACGCCATCCAACCACAATTTTTCCTTCTTTTCCTGTTGAACAGCGCCTTCTTCTGACTCGGGGTCGGCCTTGGGCTTTCTGACGCTCTTGTGCCATTCTTTTTCCTCGTGTGATAGATAGTCGATGTCGGAGGTTTGAAACTCGCGGTGAGATGCGAGAACAGCGGCTGCAGTGCGAGAGAAGATTTCATCGGCGACATAGCGACGGGTGAGGAAGCGGTAGATGCGGATGGGGAAGTTCCAGAAGCCCAGCAGATGAGGGAAGGGGATGGCGATAGCTGGACCGAGGGACGCAGGTGTTGATGATGGCAAGAGAGCGTTGGTGTAGGCAGAGGTGTAGATATAGGGATCGGGCTTTGTGAGTTTCGGTTTGACGGGTTCTTCTTCCTTTGGCGGTTCCGGAAGGGATTCGGGGTTGTGTTTGCANGAGTCGTCGGCGTTTGAGTCGAAGACAATCGAGTTTGAATCGGTGGTTGTGGATGAGCCCGAAGAAGCGGTAGGGGGCGTGTCCTTCATGGTCAAATCGGTGGCTGCTTTGACAGCGGCATCGCCTAACGAAGGCGCGCCGTCGATGTGCTGCTTGACCTCGTTGACCTCTTCGACTTGGACGGGCTCTTTCAACGGACCCAGCCAACCCTCGTGTGTACCACGTAGATATTCCTTCCACGCGTGTCTGCCAATCACGACATCTCCCTTGACGCCCTCTTCATCCACACAGCCAACTCTTTCTCTCTGCTCTGCAACAACCTGTTCCTTGGTGGGCTCAGCAGCGTCGTCCTGGACGCCTTCAGCTTTCCGCCTGTATCTTCTGATCTTCTCGGCAGCTCCAAAGCGCAAATCTCCCTCTCTTCTGCCTTCGACAACATCCCAATCCATGGCTCCTGCCACCAAGACGGGCTTCACATATTCGTAAAAATGTTCTCTTGCGCTTCTCAGACCGTCTGCTGGAGGTGCTTGTAGGTAGATGGTCATTTTTCTGGGCATCGTCGTCGTAGGGAGTATCTTCTCGGAGAAAGGAGCGACCATGTCGCAGTATTTGTGTTGGAGACGGGCAGTTTCGCGTTTGTCGTAGTAGACTGCTGCTGCAAAAGATCCAGTAACAGAAAGGAAGATCATCCAGTTTCGCGACGGGAGTTTAGCCTTGATGTTGGGGAGACCTNNGTGTTTCTCCTACATCAGCGACCACTCTTTTGACTCTGTCTCTGCATCTCCTCCTCACATGTACAGGTGTCATATCCCAAGGAAAGGTCGTCTTCTTCACATACCCATCATGCGAAAGGCGGGATTGCCCTCTGCTGCTTTGGGCGCAGCCTTTGCGCCATTGTTGACAGTCTGCTCTGCCGTCTTGGCCAAGGGCACTCCAGCTACTTTGTCCGCCATGCTCGAGTTGTTATGTCAAGACAAATCTTGTACAATCATCACATGCTGCTGTCGCTCGAGAATTTCCCCAGCGTCTTCGGCCTTTGTCGGTCCTTGGCGCTTATGCTCCGTCGGTTACTCGGAGCAGGGTCATCCTACAGACATACATCTGGACGACATGTTGACCTGGCATTACCCTAATGTGGATTTTGATCATCTCCTGGCAGGGATGTCTTAATGTCTGTACAAATTCTGCTCGATATCTTGGTTGTGCTGACGTCCCCTCGTGATTGGGCCGATGTTCTGCTGTCAACACTACATCCAAAATCAATAACAAGGCAAATCTGTGCCGAATGCAAGCCGGACCTGAGTGCAATGTTGTGGAAGCAGTGGTATGTGATTATCAACTACCATAACCAACCATAGTTGGTACCAATAGAGACCTATCTTTGGTTGGTCACAGCTCGAACCGCTTTAGCCAACTCGGTTCCCTTCTCCCACACCTCATCATGCAGGCAATTGATGACAATCTTCGACACTTGTTTGCTCTCGTTCCCTGCCACAGTTGTTGTCGTTTTAGTAAATCCTTGCATGATCAACTTGTCAACCATCGAGTCTGTTTGCTGCATATCCACCAATTCATCGTTGACAGATTGTATGAGCACCACGTTGCCTTGCCAGTTTTGCAATCTGCAGCACAGTTGGCTTGCCGTGACCCATATCTTCTCATCTTCGCCGAAAGCAGCCGTGACAAACTCTCGATAGGCTGGATGCGTGTGTGTGGCGACCAGAGCAGCCAAGTCGTAAATGCCCTCCATGCCCAACAATGCTACTGGAGGCCGAATAGCGCCAGGTCCGTTGCTTAGGAGAGCGGTAGCTTGCATTGCAAGTGTTGCGCCGCAGCTGTGGCCACACAAGACATAACGACCTGCCATGATAGACCAAGTGTCTGGCAAGCGAACAGTCCCGCCACTTTTGAGACGAGTTTCCTCACCAGTGTTGGTACCAAGGAAGAACAAAGCGGCGAGGATATCGTTTAGATGTTCTGGGTGTTGTACATTGCGACTGTCATCGTCTGGAGACGATGGAGAAGTTGGATGCGAGGGATATGGCGACAGGCGATAGTCAAGTGACACGAACCCGGCAACATTGTGTGGTTGATCGTCCTCGAGAATCATGTCCAGAGCAGCATTGAGACTCTTGCGATCAATCATGGGGTCTCTCCAAGCTCCTCCATGGATATAGCTGGTCGTGAATCAGCCATTCCAAGCCACGATAGATTTACTACTATGATGTTCGCCATGAGATAAGGGGAATTGGTGCTTCCAACGAACGGGATGTTACGTGACAAAGCTTTGTAGAGTACGAAAGAGTTCCAGAGAGAAGGGTTGGATTGAACAAAAGAAAGAAGAGGGTGTCACCTACACAAGCCATACTGCCTGTTGTGGATCTTCAGGCTGTCTCTTGGGCACGCATATGTCGAGCAGATTCAGGGGAGTACGTTCATAAGGCACATCAGTCCAGTATGTAGCATGCGCGGACTCATAATATTCGGCGCTTTGTGTCGTCATGCTGTTGACTTGGTGCTTGCGAAGAGTGACGAGTTTAAAGGACAGCAGGGTTGCAGCCTGGTGGGGTCACGGTAAATTAATAAGGTTGACCCTGACAGGAACGGGTGTTTGGCAACGGCTCTTTCCACAAAAATGAAACAAGGGCGGGTTCAACGAGTATACCAACTTATCCTCACTGCTTACCAGGAACCTGATGGTTCCAGGCACATATTTCGAGTGATTGACTGTCTGAATGTACAGGCAAAAGGCAGGCGTGGATTGGGCTGCGAGAGGCAGGCTCGACGTCATGGTGCATCTGGTGTGGCTGCTGCTTTGGCGGTCGCGCCTGCCACGTCTTTTACAAACCTGAAGTTGCGACTTGCACTGAGAATTGGTTGGTCGAAGCCGCCGCGCTTTCCCTTTCGTTTCCATCTTCACTTGCCTCCCTCCTTCACTCCTTCCTCCCCTGTTGCGCATCGAAATAAGACCTGTGAAACTAAACCTTTCAAAACACAACGCAATCCCTATCTTATTCTTCTCTTCGAGTTTGCAACACATTCTGAGAACGAACGCCCGGTCAAGGCGCTTGACACCCCAAACCCCACCACACGATCCACAAGCCAAGGCCCACTGCTAGCCACCCTTGTCGAGCTTGTGACGCCTGCCACGCCTGTCATCTTGACTGAGCGCTGCCTGACAAGCCTCCCTCTTTCTTCCTCGACCGACCCTCGACCACCCACGACATCATGTCCGACTACGGTGCATACGACGACCGCCGCCGCTACCGCGAGACTCGTACCCGACCCCGCGAGCGCGGCGATCCCGAGTTCGTCCAGGAAACAACGTACATCGAGCGCGGCAAGGGCCCTCCCCCTCGCGACCTGGTCTACCGCCCTCGCGAAGAAAGCGTCGAAGACATTACAAGAGACTTTCCTCCTCCGTCCAGCGATCGTTACGCTCCCCGTGGAGGAAGAAGAGAATACGACAACTACCCTCCACCCCGCCGTGCTCGCAGCCAGGTTGGCCGCAGAGACTACGATGATTACGACGATGACTACGATGTCCCCGTCGCTGCTGCAGCCGCTGCAGGTGCTGGATATGCCGCTGGCCGCGCAAAGGATCGTCGCCGTCATCGTGATCGCCATGACCGCGACTACGACTCTGAAGAATACTCACCTCCCCGCCGTCGTCATGCTGAACGCCGCAAGTCTGGTGTCGGTGAAATCCTGGAAGGCCTTGGACTCGGCGGAGTCGCTGCTGCTATAACAGGACGCTCCCGCAGTCGCAGCAGATCCAGAGATCGTGACTCCCGTCGTGATAGAGATGGCAGAGCCAGATCACGCCATGGTGGCCGCTATGACTCTGACGAAGACAGCCGCAGTCGCAGCAGATCTAAGGGACGCACCGAACGCAAGTGGGCTCAGGCTGCTCAAGCCGCTCTGGTTGCTGGTGCTGTCGAGGCCTTCCGCTCCCGCAAGGATCCTGGACCATGGACTGGAGAAAAGGGCCGTCGCATTGCCACCGCCGCCATCGGAGCTGGTGGTATCGATGGCCTCGTTGACCGCAACCCTGACAAGAAGACGAAGCGTCATCTGGCCGAAGCCGTCATTGGAGGTCTAGCAGCCAATCGTCTTGCCAACGGCCCTCGCAGTAGAAGTAGAGGTCCTGCTGGCGCCAGGGACGACCCATATGGCCGCTCTCGCAGTCGCTCTCAATCCATCTTTGGCGGTCGCGGCAGAAGCCAGTCGCGTGGTCGTGATGGGCAGGGCGGTGGCGGTGGTGGGCTTGAGAAGCTCGCAGCTGGAGGAGCTCTGGCAGCAGCTGGCAAGGCCATCTATGACCGTGTGCGATCAAAGTCACGTCGTAGGCGCTCTCCTTCGTCCAGCTCTGCAGACTCGTATGTCCCTTCCCGCAATCGCCGTCGCAACAAGGAGCGTAACTCACCTGCTCAATCAGATACCGGCAGCCGCGCCGTCGCCCAGCGCGGTCGTGATCGAAACCTCGGCCCTGCCGCTGGTGCAGGTGCCGGTGCCGGCGCCCTTGCTGCTTCGAAAAACAACCGCGGCGCACGCAGCGAGAGTTCGTCTAGCAGCAGCACCGATGTCGATGTTCGTCGTAAGCGTATGCGAGGCAAGGAGCTACTCACCGCCGGCCTTGCCACAGTCGCCACTATTCACGCTGCCCATGGTGTTTACTCCAGTATGGAAGCCCACGAGAAGCGGCACAGACTAGTCCAAGAAGGTGAAATGTCTCCCAACGAAGCCCGTAAGAAGCAGACCAAGGCTTGGGTTCAAGATGCAGCCGCTGTCGGCATTGCTGCCTTGGGTATCAAGGGTGCTTTCAGCGAGTGGAAGGAAATGAATGAGCATAGGTTTGTTGATCTGATTGCATTGCCATCAAACTTGACTAACGTTTTTCAACAGACGCGAGATTCACGAGTTGGAGAAGAGAAAAGCCTTGAAGCAAAAGCGTCGCGAGAAACAGGACAGAGAGGCACGTCGTGCACAAGAGGAGAGCCTCTACCGTATGCTTCCCCTGTTGCAGCAACAACAACAGCAACAGCAGGCTGGTGCAATGCCCATGCAACCTGGAAATCAGATGATGTACTCTAGCAACCTTCCACCTCCACCGCCTGGACCCCCTCCTGCTGCGAGGTATTAGGAGCGACCTCCCGCCATACGAGGGATCCTGAAACCCACATCCGAGGACTGACAGACAACAAAACTCCGTTAAGTGGAGGAAGCACGCATCTTGCACAGTCCGATCCTCTTTATTGTCACCTTTTCATTCTTGGCCTTTCTACGTACTTGCTTCGGAAGTCTGCTCTCTTCGCTTTTTACGACTTTTGACGAACTCGACAACGACAAAGCCTTTGCATTTGATCACAGTTTCTGGCGAGCACAAACACGAATGGGATGGCAATGGGTTGAAAGACAGCAGGCAGATTCCCACATTTTCTTTTTTTCTTTTCCTTTGCACACTACGATGTCTACGATTCGCACGAGGAAGCAAAAAGCTCCGACACATGATTCCCCCTTTCCTTCTGAGCAGCGAGAGCATAATTATGAATCAATGAAACCAAATGCCATAGAAAGCTCGTCCCTGTCTATATCGATGTTACGCGCGTGATGTATGTGGACGAGAGGTGGTGGTCATGTTCAATGATGATGAGAAGGCTCAACAAGGCAAGAAAAGGCTGAATCATGGTGTGAAGCTCTGTCCTTGGCTAGCGGAAAACGGTGCAGCTTGTTGAACAATGGATGAAGACATGTCGCAGAAGACAAGAGCCTAGTAGGATGAGGACACGGTGGCAGAGGTACGAGGACGAATGAAAGACGTCAAGACCACGCAGAGGAATGGCTGGTCGAGAGAGCATCGGAGCTTGCCCCCACTCAGGCAGCTCGTTGTGGTTGAGAGTTCTGAAGATCCCAAACCCCACTACTCACCACTTTTGGAAAACGAAGGACGAACAATACGAACACTGACCACCAGACGAGACGTGCTTGAGCTGGAGACCTTTTCGAAGCTGGGGAACAGAAAGATTGGAGGCGGTGAAAATCTGACCATCTTGACGGCAATTGAGAGATTGAGAGAGGGGTGGGGCCACTTTTTGTTGGCTGCTTGGACTTTACATACTCCGTACACTCTGCTCTCCTTCCTTCATTCCTCCCTCACCTCTCTCTCCCAACCCATCTCCCATCCCCTCTTTTTCATACCATCAACATGAGTGCTCCCGCCCAGAAGTTCAAGGTCGCCGACCTCAGCTTGGCCGCTTTCGGTCGTCGCGAGATTGAGCTCGCCGAGCACGAGATGCCCGGTCTCATGGCCACCCGCGCAAAGTACGCCGAGGAGCAGCCCCTCAAGGGCGCCCGCATCGCTGGTTGCTTGCACATGAGTATGTGGTTCGCTTGGAGAAGATGCTGAATTGAAGCTAACCCGTCATTCTACAGCCNNATCCAGACTGCCGTCCTCATTGAAACCCTCAAGGCCCTCGGTGCCGAGCTCACCTGGTCGTCCTGCAACATTTTCTCCACCCAGGACCATGCCGCTGCCGCTATTGCCGCCGGCGGTACCCCCGTCTTCGCCTGGAAGGGTGAGACCGAGGAGGAGTACGAGTGGTGCCTCGAGCAGCAGCTCACCTCTTTCCCCTCGGGCAAGTCTCTCAACTTGATCCTCGACGACGGTGGTGACCTTACTGCCCTTGTCCACAAGAAGTACCCCGAGATGCTCAAGGACTGTTACGGTGTCTCGGAGGAGACCACCACCGGTGTCCACCACCTCTACAAGATGCTCAAGAACAAGGGTCTCCTTGTTCCCGCCATCAACGTCAACGACTCCGTCACCAAGTCCAAGTTCGACAACCTTTACGGCTGTCGCGAGTCGCTTGTCGACGGTATCAAGCGTGCCACCGATGTCATGATCGCTGGTAAGGTCGCCGTCGTCGCCGGTTTCGGTGATGTCGGTAAGGGTTGTGCCCAGGCTCTCCACGCTATGGGTGCCCGCGTTCTCGTCACTGAGATCGATCCCATCAACGCCCTCCAGGCCGCCGTCTCCGGCTACCAGGTCACCACCATGGAGAAGGCCGCTTCCGTCGGTCAGATCTTCGTCACCACCACCGGCTGCCGTGACATTCTCGTTGGCAAGCACTTCGAGGCCATGCCCGAGAACGCCATTGTCTGCAACATTGGTCACTTCGACATTGAGATCGACGTTGCCTGGTTGAAGAAGAACGCCACCTCGGTCCAGAACATCAAGCCCCAGGTCGACCGTTTCCTCATGCCTTCCGGCCGTCACATCATCCTCCTCGCCGAGGGTCGTCTCGTCAACCTTGGCTGTGCCACCGGCCACTCTTCCTTCGTCATGTCCTGCTCTTTCGCCAACCAGGTCCTTGCCCAGATCATGCTGTACAAGGCTGGTGACGAGGCTTTCGGCAAGAAGTACGTCGAGTTCGCCCGCGCTGGCGAGGGTGAGGGTGTTGGTGAGCTCAAGAACGGCGTCATGCCCGTCGGTGTTTACGTCCTGCCCAAGATCCTCGACGAGCAGGTCGCTCTTCTCCACCTCGAGCACGTCAACGCCGAGCTCTCCACCCTCACCGACGTTCAGGCCGAGTACCTCGGTCTCCCCGTTGAGGGTCCCTTCAAGAGCGACATGTACAGATACTAGATGTCTTTCTAGTGCTGTCTGCCGCTGCCGCCTCTTCTTTTTTCTCTCCACAGCATTTTCTGTTTCACAACTTTTCTGCATAGCATGGAGGGTACTGCTTGCCACAGCAGTCGCCCCTCTCTGATATTCTTCTTTGGTCTTTTCTCTCAACACGACAAGGGGTGCTTATGATGATTCAACATGTGCAATGATACCAGGCGGGACAAAGTAACAAGACAAAAAGGGGGACTTTTGATGTGATGGATATCTCTTCTTTACAAGTTCGCACTACCATCTTCAACTTCTCTCCCCCCCTTTTTAGAAGGATGGAACCCGCATTTCAACTGCGTGGTCAAAAGTAAAATTCGATACAGATTACAATAGAATGAAAACTTCTTGCATCTGACAACGCTGTTCTTGCTCTGCTTCTTATCCTCCTGTGCTGTTCTTGTCTTCTTAGTGTGCTGTCGAAGATGATACAGATGTGCTGTTGCTCTACCGTTGCTCTGGCACATGCTCGTCGAGAAGAAAGGAACAAAGTGTGAGGTTTAGAGGACATCTTCGCAGTGTGACAACCCCCCTCACAATAAGTAAAGACACAGGACAGGTAAGTTTAATGAACGCTTCGATTGATCAGTTATTTCAAGTACGTATCGAGGGTCTCGTTCGTGTCCAGTAAAAAGGGCAATGCAAGAAAAGAAGATACAAATCATGAGAAAGGTCCGCAACGGCCGCAATCCTCTGCCTTTGTGGCCTGTCCATCGATGCCGATATAAACAAAAAGAGTGTGATCCAATAAAGAGATAAATGATGATCGTCGGCCATTCTGCGTGCATTCATGTCGACGCTCGTTTGATTGGTTAAGAACATGTCGTGATAGGTCGTATAATTCGTGAGGGGTCTTGCTCCGATTTTTGCTGGCCGATGATGGCAACAGCCGAGCATGAATGATGATCGGTAACGTTAGTCACTGGAAGACATGCTGGCGTCGACATTCCAGAATATGAAAGGGCCAGAGTATTCGTCTTGATCACCTGAAGGGTGCCACCAGCGTCCAAGCATGACCATGCCTCCAGGCAATACGACGCCTTCGTAGGCCCACAAGGAGTTGAAGTCCATGTCACCATGCTTATCCTTCCAATACTTCATCATAGTCATGCGATGCCAGCCTGGGATGCCATGTTGAGGCGGCAGAGGGTTGAGATAGCCAGATGCGAGAAAGCCTTCGCTAGCGTCTTCACCTTTACCCTTGAAGCAGAAAGATACCGGTTCGCCCTCGGGCAAAACGTGAGGGCCGGTGACTCGTCTCTGAGCTCGTGTGGTGGCTGTACGATACCGGATCTTGGTGCGAGACTTGAGGATCTGTTCAAAGACGGCTGGCCAGGAGTCAAGGTCCTCTTTGGGGAAGTCGAGGCATAGGTCCTACAACTATGTTAGTAGTGTTGACTGACAGATCGTCGTCACTCCCTAGATAGGACTCACCTGAAAAGGTTGACCAGTACCATCGCCACTCATGTGGTCTGGAATTGGATAGTCCTCGTTCTGCCCGTCGCGTATGGAAACAATCTCATCATGGTCGACGTAGGCATAGCTGCCCTTCCAGTGCTTGCCGAGTTTCAGGGGTGTGGTTGATAAGGGGTTTGTCCAGCACTGTGGGCGCTCTACCACAGCCAGATCGTCGTAGCGAAGATGAGTCAGTTCGTGCTGGTTCAGCAGGTGGTTCTTGAAGAAGTTTGCAACATGCAAAGTCCACTCGATATCGATCTCTTGACAGTTGGGACCTTTGAAGATGGGACGTATCGAGTTCTGTGCGTACACCAAGGACTGCGAGTCGGAGAAGCCCCATGCTTTGGCAATCCTTGAGGTGGGCGAAGCAGTCAAGGAGAGATGAGTCAGGATGAGCTGTATTGTGAGCAAGACAGGATTGGGTATCGACTTCTTGCCCCTGACGTATGGACGGCGGAAGACGCATTCAAGCAGGCCAGTGGCTTTGGTGACGGCATCGAGACGATCCATATTGTGGGAGTGGGTTGGGGCTTGTTTGGACGTGTGAGAATTGATGTTGAATGACTCTGGAAACTATGTCAGCGAGATGGTCGACATGTGGGAGTGCATCTACGTACCATTGATCAGATCTCTCATCAAGGATAGACATTCCATCTCGTTCTGGCTGTTCCCAGCTTGGAAGTCAAATCTTTGACGTTCGATGCACTTGCGACACTGGTACTGTTTCTTGAACCACTCGTTGACGACAGAGCGCTCGCCAGTAGGGAATTTTCGAGGAGGGTCGTAGCTGTCAAGATACCGAGTGCGCCAGAAGGATCCTTCGTCTTCATCAAGAGCATGCTTGGTCGATCTGCAGATGAGTCGGTAGGATGCTATCGACTTGTCGTCGATATAGCTAGCGATAGACTGTCGGATCTGAAATGTACAGTTAGTATATGAAAGCTTGATACTGGAACAACGATCTCTCAAGTTAGAATTCACAAAAGGAAAGGCATACCTCGACTGGCAGAATTTCAAAAGCACCTGAAAATTTTGAAGGGACTTTCTGCTTTCTGACATGAATGTGTGATCGAGACTTGCGTGTTGGAGGAGACATTGTCGATATGCTATGGTGTGGTAAGGTATGAGTAGCGAAGGTGTTGAAAGTCCTTGAAGGTCGGACCGTGTTGAAGTATTGTACTCTGATATGAACGGAAAGGAGAAAGGAAGCTGGTGTTGAAGAAGGAAAGAAGAGATAGGAGGCTGATTTTGAACGAGGAAACAGTTGCTGTGACTGTCGCCAGAGAGTGAAGGTGAATATGATGGTCGACGAGAGTGAAGCGTGCCTTCCAAATTCTCGACCTGTCTTCGGGGTGAAGTGACCACTACTCTCAGGATTCGAAGAGGTTGCGACAATCACGATGATGATGCCGAGATGACAGTAGCGACGTCCGATTTTGGAAGTGACGAAGGATGGATGTTCGGTCTTTGGCTCGTAGCAGTCCTGCGGTCCTATCTTGGGCAAAAGAGACAAGTCGGCTTCATATCAAGTGATAGGGCAAAGGTTTGGCAGTCACTTCGTCAAGACGACTGTTTCGAGACAAGTCTTCGTCAGCGTAAAAAGTTGTGAGCATAGAGTCCAGTATCAAAAGAGAGGAGCCTAGAATAAGGTTGAGAGATGACGGCTGACGTATAAGGAGAAAAAAGAGAACACTGCTGGGTATTTTTGGGAGATACATAGCGAACACCAACATGAAAAAATATGCCTACACTCATTTGCTCAGCTTCTCGAGCAGAATTTTTGCACCTGCGTTGCCCTTCGGCCCATCATTCGTCTTCTTCTTCTTTTTGCTTTGTTGATCGTCTGACTCGACGGGTGCCTTCTTCGAAGGAGCGTTCTCGCCCTTGGCTGCCTTCTCCAAAATTTTCTTGCCCTTCAAAAGCTCGTCGCGAACAACCTTCTTGTTGGCATCGCTGACGTCTTCACTCTCGAGCAATTGTACAACGACGAAACTTGAAGGGCTCGTTGCCCATTCGACGAACTTGCCCTTGAGTGACTTGAACAGCATATCGCCGAATCCAAGACGAGGCTCAACCAACTTCACTGTCTTTGTCTCGGGATCGAACTTGCCACCACTGACCAATGCTCGCAGCATCTTGCCGCCAGCTGCGTTTTGTGCAATATGTCCTTCTGAAGCCACGTCGCCCTCGGTCAAAGCAATAACAGCCTCGCAAGCTGCCTTCTTGTCGCCTTGAGCCTCTAGGAGAACCTCACTAATGTATTGACAACCGAATCCAACACTTGCGAGATCGGCGGCGCGGCTCTGAATAATAGGAAGCAAGTAGGGCGACATGTATGCAATAAGTTCCGAACGACGGATCTCGGGGTTCTTCTTGGAGGTGACCTCACGGACGGAGTGTACCTCGGAAATGATGTTCTTCTGAACGTCAGAGACCAACCACTTGGCTTGTCCAGCAAGAGGGTAAAGTAGCGGGATACGGGCTGTCAGGTGAGAGATGAGATCAACAAGACGATTCTCACGTTCGGCTTCATCCTTGATGTTCTCTCCCAGCAACTCTGGGAACAGAGCCTTGGCGGTCATCTTTGTGTCGTCAACGGTATCCATGGCGGCAAGTAGAACAGTGTGTGCGTTGGGGTCCAGAGCCATCATCTCGACGGCATCCTTGTAAACACGCAGAATGAGCTTGCGGTCCTTTGCGGTTCCGTAACCAAGAGCCAGACACACGACACGGCTACCGTTCTTTGTGAAAGCCAAGTTCTTGAGAAGATCACCACCATTCTCCTCGTCCAGATCTGATTTGAGCAGTTCAAGGAACTCGGCGGCCTCAGGAGTGCCAGGGGTTGTGTTGAGGAAGTATTGGAGCATGGCGTCATGCAGCATAGTGAAACCGGTCATCTTCTTTTGGACAAGCTGATTGATGAGTTGTTGGAGGTATTGCATCATGGGCTTCTTCTTTTCGGGGCTCTCCTCCAGAATGGCCTTGAGATCGGCCGTGGCCTTCTCGTCAGTCTGACCTTGCGCAGCCTTGGTCTTGCCGAAGATGGCGTACTCGGCACCGTACCATTCGCGGAGCATGAGGGCCTTTTGTGAAGAGGTGGCGACTTGACGATAGATATCGTCGACAATCCAGGCGGCTTCAGGGTGGTTGATCAAGCGACGGACGTGACCGTAGAATTGAGGAACGACCATGTTGCGGATTTCGGCATCTCTGCAAGGTCATGTTAGTCCAGAAAGAAGTAAAGAAAGAGGAGACCACACAAACCCTTCGACGACCATCTTGGCGACCAAGAACTTTCCGTACTTGCTCTCGGCCAGCTCGCGCATGTCGGTACGAAGCTCAGTGACAATTTGCTTCCTTTGTTGCATGTTGGCGTACTTGAGGGCGCATTGGATGACACGCACGCTGTCGTGCTTGAAGACAAAGTCGCGGACTCTGCCAGTGATGATTTCGAACAGCTCGCCGACCAGAGCCTTACGCTCCTCAGTAGGCACATGCGACTTTCTGCGCAGTCTCTCCCAGATCTTCTTGCTGCGGCCGATGATGTCTGCGTTGGGTTTGGCGGCTTTGCGCTCTTTTGCTAGAGCACGCTGAGCAGCGTGTGCTTCTGCTGATGATTGTCCNAGCTGCAGGTTGTGTCAGCCCAGTCTTTGTCTACTCGCTCCTGTCCTTGACGTACTTCTGATCTTCTTGTCGTCCGACTCGCTGTTTCCGCCCTCGAGTTCAACGCCAGACATGGCATCATCCTCTCCATCCAGCTCATCCTCGTCTTCGTCCTCGCTTGACTCGTCGGATTCGGGAGTGGGTTCTTTGATCGGGGCAGCCTTTTTCTTGATCGAGCCTGTCGAGGCCAGCTTCTGCTTCTTTTCTGAAGACCTCACAGCAGCGACAGCCTTGGGTGCTTCCTTGCGCTTGATTCCAGCCATTGTGTTGGAAGAAATGTGTATTGTGAACGTCTTTAGTGGCCGTTCTCTCGACCCTCGCAAAAAATCATGCAAGTGATGGCGCATTGGCGGCAGAATTCAAACCTCCCGTCACCGCCCTTGAGTTCTGCGGCGGGGACAGACTCCGCATCTCCGCCTCCCCAATCCCTCTCCAGCTGCACTCGACCATCTTCAATACCCTCCTCATGTGCTAAAGTATGTAACGCGTGTGGCTAAAGAGATGCAAAATACTATCAAGCAACAAGGTAGTAATCACCGAGGCCCCACTTTAGCTACTTCCCTGCTTCGGAAATCAATTGTGCCTCTTTAATGCGTACACTTTGCTCTTCGCTCTTTTGGGAGAACGGAGTAGAGTCACTATACAGACTTCAGCACACGTGGGGACTCGAAACATTATGAAGATCAAGCGTAGCGAGTAAACATTTGATTCTCTTTTAACACGTATTGGTGCCTTGATTGCCCAATTGTCATATTCTACCTCGTCAAATTCCTGCTGTTAACCCTCTGGGCTACTCATATGACTAGGAGTACATCTGCTGAGACTCCTTGAGGCGTTCAAACTCGAGTTGGACGTTGTCTTCGATCGAGAGACGCTCGAGGACACGCTGTCTGAGGATGAACATACGGTCCCGGTCCAGACCGTGGCCATACTCGCCATACTCGACGTCTTCAGGCTGGCATTTCTCATCAAGCTCCTTGGTCAGTTGATAAAACATCGTCTCCAGTCTCATTCTGTGTGCCATTGGGATCTCTTCCATAAGGCCATGTATCTTGGCTTGACCCTCCTGTACGATATGAATTAGTTCGGGACGTGTCACTATCACGCCTTGCTGGCTTACCAGATTCTTCTCGATAGCGCTAATCTTGTCGCGGACTTCGCCCAGCTGCTTAACCAATTTCTCGACATCAACGGCGCTGCTGGATCCGTTGCTCGTAGGACTCTCCGCATTACTGGTTCCGTAGTGAACCTCCTCAATCGGGCGATCGATCTTGCTTTGGAGCTTGAAGATGGCGTCGGTAGTTGCATCCATCTTGAAAAGACTGGTCTTCGCTCCCGCATTCTCGTTATTACGAAGTCCAGCGTTGATAGTGCTCAGACTTTCCAGCTTGCGACGAAGATCTTTCATAGTATTGGTGACGGTGTCCATGTTAGTCTGATGGGCGACCAGAGTTTCTCCAATCTTCTGTAGGTACGACTTGTGTAAGTCCTGAGTCTTCTCAAGCTTCTCAATGCTGAGTTTGAGTTGCGGAACTGGGAGCGTCNNAGCAAGGGTTCAATGAAACCAAATGCGTGGTGACCTACCTCGTGGGTCAACGCCGTTCTGCAGCAAGTCATTGTAGCCGTTCGTGGCAGTGCTGCCGCCAGATGCCTCCCCGAGCTGGCTGATGCGGCTCTCACTGTCGCCCAGCTGCGCGGTGTGCTGCTTGATCTGACTTGCGGCAACACGTACGAGGCCCTCGACCTTGTCAATACGGGTCATGTGGTGCTGAAAACGCGGCTCCGATTTTCCAATCATCTCCTTGCAGCGCTGCTCCAGTTTTTGAGCCTCTTTTGCGTTGTCGTCGACGCCACGCTTGCATACTTCAAGCTTGTTGTGATGCTGCCCGACCAGAGTCTTGAGTTGGGCGACATCGCGACGAAGCTCATCAATTGTCTGATCGCTCTCGACCTTTTCCTTCTCAAGGGCTGCACGCTGAGACATCAACTCACTGACCTGGTCAGTCAAGCGGAGGAGCTTGGTGTGCATTGCCAGCTGGTTCTGTTCCAGCTGTTCGTTACGTGCGCGCTCAAGCAGCTGCTCNATCCTGCACAAGTCAGCGAAGCTCAAGGGGTTACATACATGGCTAGCACTCACATCAGAGCTCTTCTTTAGTTCGTACTTAACAAGCGAATGGCTGTGAGTGGAGAGTTCGGGTGTGTTGCTCATGTTAGGAGCAAGAGTTGCGTATGTGCTGTCAATGGTGGGAGTAGAAGCAGGCACGAAAGTGTTGCGCAAACTTCCATAGATGCTTTCCAGATCCTTGCCATTACTGTTGGGGGATGAAGAGGATTGAAACTTGTAGTGAGGTGCGCGAGGATTCATGTTCGCGAGTGTCCACTACGCAGACGATGACGATTGGTGGTTAAGTTGACGAGTTCAGGACTGAAGTGTTGGTGGAGGTGGAAAATTGAGGAAAGAGCGTGGGTGTTGACTCTGCTTGTGGCAGTGACGCGCTTGGAAACGAAACCACCACAACAAACGAATCCGAGTCACTTCACCAACAACGGTAATCCAGCGGCATTAGCCAAGGAAACACGGGAGAACCGATTATAAACATCGCATCATCTTCAGGTCCGGACTGTGTTCGCAAGGAGTTTCAAGACAACACCTCTCAGTAGATCTTGCTCGAATGCTGGAAGGTGTTGTGCATTTCCATAGCTACGTGTGTGATCTGCGTTAGGTCTCGAAGGCAGGACTGCGCCCAATACTGTATCAAGTCAAATCCGGGCAAAAATCACAGGTCTGATGGATTGGGGTTTTGCTACTCACATTCGTGATTATCCTTGTCTTCACTTCCCTCCATCCATCTTCTCCTCCAGCCTCTGATAGTGACCAGACTACCTTTCCACAGGAGCGCGTCTATCAAGAGATCATCTGACAAGCTGATTGGTTGGCTGATCGAAGTGACTAGCGAAAGTATCAGTTGATGCAGGGATTCGAACTCGAGTTCTTGTGGTGTTGGCTGTGAGTGGTATTGTCGCAATGACTGCCAAGACGATGGTTAGCTTACTTGATGCGATGCCAACCGTCAGACCAGATGTGATTGTTGAAAGAAATGGCAGAAACTGCTATACGACCATCAGTGTTGCTTGATATAACGACCAACGAATTCTCTGCGAGCACCTCGTTGCAATTAAAGAATGCCAGCAAACCATGATTAGCAAACCATGACCAGCAGTGCACACTTCATATGGTTCTCCTATGACCACTGATTTGAAGAAAGACTCAATAGCTTGTAGAGTGGTATAATTATGTATCTTGTATCATCGTGTAACTGCTTCAGGGAACACAGTTCCTATCAGTTCATCTAACAGTGTGAACACCAGATGTGTACTGNNTATCAACATTAGTAACTCGTCTTTTTATGAAAAAAAGATATCAGGGGAGAAAGGAAAGCGAACTTACTTCAACCGCTGGTTATTCAGCATTGCAAACACCTTCCTGCTCGCCGCCTGAGCATTCTGTCTTCCGACCACACTTCCTGCCAGATCCGGCACCAACGTCGCGAGCAAGAGCCCTGCTTCTTTCTGACTAGCCGCTTTCTGCGCCACCGTTCGTGGAACACCGCCTTGTTTCATCTGACCGTCTGGCCACATGATATTCTTGACGAGATCTAGATAGCGAAGTATTGAATCTTCCTGTCCGAACCCTTTCGCTGCATCACGAACTTTGCGCTCAATGGTCCCTCCGAGGAGCTGATGCAACACAACAACTACCGCACGCCCTCGCAGCCAGCTGGTGCCTTTCTGTAGTTCGAATATCTCTAGGAAGATGTCGCAGATAGGCTTGACGAATGGTTCTGCTTCTCGATCCTCGAAAGCATTGATTTCGGCTTCAGCTTCTGCAGCGTGGGCTGGATCCGATGAGAACTCGGGAGCGTTGGGGTTCAGCGGTACTCCACTCATTTGGGCAGTCGCTGCTGAGATCAGGTTCTGACCGGCGACGGAGAGTTGATCAAGAACCGGGATGTTCCCCAAAAACTCTTCCATGCCGTCTGTGACTGAGTTGTAAATTCTTGTCACAAAGTCTTTCTCGTCGATTTGACTGCCATTAGCATTTGTTGTGATTCGTGATTGAGACAGGAAAGCGCGGAGTTCTCTACTACGGCAGATGGCCGGAATCAGAAGCAGAGCCTACAACCCGTTAGTAGCTATCGGATTTATCATGTTTCGATAACCACTTGCCTTAAGGTATTTCTCAAGGATGACTCTTCGTTTTTGCAAAAAGTCTTTCTGTAATGTGAACAGTGTTTGTCGCCGTGGGAACTCAAGGTTTCTGACAGCAGGGAACCTCTCTCGAAGACGCTTATTCAACTCATGGAACTCGCTGTATCGTCTAGTCACCATCCACACTGCAGCGGGCATCTGGTCACCTGCTTGACGTCGAACTTCGATGACATCTCGAGCCAGTCAGCAATGCTTCCATGGAGAAGGAACAAAAACACTTACANNGAGCGCAAACTCGTGACCGTCCTCTTCTCTACCTACCATGATCGACTTGATGTTGACAGCAGCTCTTCCGTACAAGCTATTGTCGCTTTCCTGGATGGTATATTGTTGTTTTTGCATCTCTTTGCGGTGTATCTCTCTTGCTAAACTCTGCTTCGACTTGCGCAGGATCCGCAGTTCAGCTGCATTGTTGGTCAACTCCGCCTTCTTTGTCAACGAATCCAGAATGGCACCTTGAGCTGTCAGTCGATCAATGTCTGCGTTGAGAGTGCTAATAGCCTCTGTGAGTCCCAGATCACCAGGGGCAGCCTCGTGAATGTCATCCTCGATCGATTTGTCTGCTAAGTCAGAATCCTCTTTTTCATCTTCAGCAAACTTTTCCTCTTCTCCGAACAAATCGTCCTCAAAGACTCCTTTACTTGATACTGCTCCGACTAAGCCCAGAGAAGCAATACTAGGTTTCGATCTCGTTTGGGCTAGAGTAGGTCTTGCACCATCTAGGGAGGCCCTTGGCGAGTCATTGCTCATGCCTAAATTCTCCGAGGAAAGGATCGAACCATTGTCTGGTTCGTCCATGATTTCGTTCAGAGCAGCTTGCATAGCATCAACAACTTGGGCGGAGTCATCCTGATGTTGGTCGCCCTCGATATCTAGATCCATGCTACTGAGTGCAGAGACAGATCGAGTCATACGTTCATCCTCGACATCATCATCAAACAATGGTCGAGGTCTCCCACCATCTATTGACTGCCGTACAGGGCTGGCGACAACACTGGGTTTGATGAAGCTCTTCAGATCACTAGACGACATAGCTGGTCTCCGGAGCTCAGGCGCCCGAGGCGACTTGGGAGAAAGTACAGCCGCTGGTCGGGCTTCTCGGTGCAGCGGTCTATCTCTTTCGCCACCAACCGATAATGATCTTGACAGCTCCGGATAACCTTCAGAGTTGGCTGACATGATCGAACTCTCTTCCGTGGCAAGCCATTTGTAGAACAAGTCTGACTTCCTGAAGTTGTCGAAGTGCTGTTCTTTCATCTCCTCGAAGACAGATGTTTGCGCTCGAAGGACGGCACGTCGAGCAGAAACATAAAGGCGAGCATCTGCTGATTTGCCGGCTCTCAGAAAGTCTCGTACCGCCTGCCTGTCGTGATCCGGTACGTTGAGCTCGGGTTTTGTGAGATAGGCTTCGTACATCTGCTCCAGATCCATTCTATCTGAGGGGGTCCAAGGAGTGTCTTGAAGCTCCGGCTCTGGCTCGTCGTTATCTGCCTCGAGAGGATTACGGAAACCGTCCACCACGATCCAAAATTGTACAAGACGCATACGACCCTTCCTGTCCATGAACTCCATAAAGTACGAAAGTCCAGATGCATTGTGCAGCACTTCATCTAAGGAGGCTTGACTCAACCTCGACCTTTGCTCAACACTAGACGTAGAAGCTTTTACGGTCAGTTTGGGCCTAGAAGTACCTCCAGCGGTGAAGTGGGCAATCTTCTGATCCAGAATGCGACGCCCAGATTCCAGGCGACGAAGATAGACAGGATCTTGCTCCGGGCCAGAAGTGGCCTTTCGAACTTGACTGGAGATTTCACTGCGAAAGCGCCTAGCGTCGGAAAGAGTGGCACAATTGCGGGTCGCACGAATAAACCTTTCGAACTGTCTTTCGTTATCGTTTGGCCTGAGGCGAGGGAACTGACCAGCTTTGGGATTCTGAGGGGCAGGCACAGCATGCTCGTCTAGTGCAGCTCGTAGTTTGCGAACAGACTTGCGATCCTGCAGCATGGTACGTCCAGAGTTTTCAATGAGTTGGTTAAAGAAGTCAGGGTCGGAAAGCATTAATACGATAGGAGTGAGGACAGCACAGGCGACAATCTCCTTGATCAGAGTAGACACAGCTGCACTGGTCTTCATATACTCTGGCATGACCAGGGGCAGTATTTTAGAAACCAGGCGACGCAGATGAGTCTGCTGTAGAAGTTTGGTATCGGAGAAGGCAAGAGCTGCGGCTGGATGAAGCTTGCCGTCTCTGAACTTGGCGGCGATAGCAAGATCCAACTCTTCAGACTCGGTCATGTCGCGAGACAGGTTCTTGCCTCTGACGATTCGCTCGGCATTGTAGAAGTCGCGCATGTGGTTCGTCAAGATTGGGACGATCCTGGCGACACCGAGTTCGACCATGTCGAGTTGTTGGGTTCTCCTGCGCACATTGTCCAGGACTTGCCTGATGGCACGATCCACCTCGTTCTGGAAGAGCGGTCGAAGACTGATGTTCTTGTACCACACGATGATGAAGTCGCGGAGGACATAGTCCAGCAGGCCGTCGATGCTCAGCGAGACGTTTGCCGACGAAGGGTAGATTGGCGTTTTGTCGTATCGTGAGCGCGTCTTTAGGGCAGCCTTCTCTTGCTTCCAGAGCGCAGGGGTGACGAAGGCCGGGGGTTTGATGGTAGTTGCATGGTTGTAGCGGTAGTTGGGACCTTTGGAAGAGGTTACGAGGAGGAATGCGAAGCCTACGAGGGTTGCGAGACAACCAGTAACAAAGGCGTAGGGAATCCAGCGGAACGACGGCACCCAGTGCGTGAGCAGCAACCACGAGACGAGAGCAGCCAATCCTGCCGTGATCACATCCTTCTTCTCCAGGCCCATGGCGCTACCAATTCATGCTGCAGTGCATGTCAATTGTCGTCTGTTTACAATTCCCACGCCCACACCAACCGAATCATCCACCACCCCAAGCCCCGGATCTGCAACGTGCCGCACACCGTCATGGCGCAGTGCGGGTCAAAGCCTATTTATCGACTGTATAACAACATGCTCTCCTGCAGGCACACAAATATACAAGATGATTAATCGAGACGAACAGGCCCTGCACAAAGGGCAACAGAATGGTATAACTAATGCTGAATCTACATGTCCTCGTCGTCTGCTCCCAGCAGCTTGGCGTAATCGTCCATCGACGCGAATGTCGGCAGGTGCTTGAGCTTTCTCTTCTTTTTCTTCTTCTCGTCCGACTTCTCCTTCTTTTCGTCCTTCTCTTCCGTCTCGTCACCCAGACCTTCAAAGTCGGATGGCAGGTCTTCGTCGTCGCCAAGCATGGCGTCTTCGTCACCGCTCTCCAGTCCTTCGAAGCCATCATCTTCCAGATCCTCGTCCATATCATCTCCCAAGTCTGCCTCATCCATGTCGTCTTCGGCAAACTCGCCAATCTCGACACCAGCATCGCCCTCCTCGCTGTCTGAGTAGCCTTCCTCGAGGTCTTCCATGTCGAGGTCGTCATCATCGTCGTCCTCGTCTCCCTCAATCTCGGGCCTTGACTCGACAAGAGCCTTCCAGATCTCATCCTCGTCAGCATCACTCTCGGCGTCGCTGTCAGCAGCATCCTTTTGCTTCTTCTTGTCCTTCTTGGTAGGCTTGGCGTTGTTGACCTTGGTGAAGTAATCGTGGAAGAAGACCTCGTCGGCTGCGACGTCTTCGACCTTCTTCTTCCAGAAGGCGTCCGAATTGAGAGGAATGCGGTGAGTAGGGTCGGCACGGTCCTTGATGAGCACGTCTGCTGCATTTGATCCTGACATAGGTTGCATGATGGATGCTCCGCGTGTCGTTGTGGCTCCCTTGGTCTTTGCGTTGCGGTAAACGAAGCGGTCCAGGAAGTGCATCATTGTGTGCTTAGTAGGGTCGGGCTTGGGTGGTAGTGTTGTTTGATTCACCAATGCTTCGGCAAAGATTGCAACTGATGGATGGAAGTGAGAAAGTAGAGGCAAGATCTCCCACAGTGCACTGCGGTCGGCGTTGCTGTGTTCCGGGTTTCTCTTTCGTGCATCATAGCGTACTGCAGGGGCCGTCTGTTCCCGTGTCGACTCCTCGGGTTTGGCCTCTCCATCCTCAGGTGCATCGACAAAGTGTTCTTCCTCGTCCTCGGGATCGGCTTCAGGCTCGCGGATCATGTTCCTAATGGTGGGGAAAGTAACCTCGAGCTCGCTAATCAAGTACAAAACACCGCAGACGAACGGTGCTTCGTGAAGGGTGATTGTCTGTAACAAACGCTTGACGAAAGCCTGTACGCGCTTGACGTTGACATCGGATTTGAGCGACTTGAATAGAAGGTTGAGATACATGATTTGTTTGGAGGAAGTGATGAGGCGAGGGTCGAGAAGGGATTCGTAGAGGGTACGGTAAAATCTGTCGGCGGAGAAGTGTTTGGTAGCAGAGATTTGTTGGATCAGCATCAAGGCCTGAATACTGGTGTTGAAGTTGGACGAGTGGGTGACGCGGAAAATGGTGTCGAGGTGCTGTTCGAAGGTAGGGTCGTCTGTTTTGGCGAAGGGGAAAGCACGGTTGACACCAGTCAAGACCGCAGTAACCATCTTCTCGTTGAGCTCGCTGTCGGCAGCATCGGCCTGTTCCAGGGCTTTTGCCTTCTTCGCAGCCATCTTTCCACCCTTTCCACCACCACCTTGCACCTTCTGGGCCTTGGCCTTGGCGTGTGATCTAGGCTTCAAGAATTGAATGAAAAGTCCAAAGTAGATGTCGAGTAGCTTGTTGGCGACTTCGGGCTCCTTGACGCTGAGAATAGTTTGGTTGAGGGTGATGATGGAGTAGTACTTTGCGTGTGCAGCTTGTCCAGGACGGAAAAGCGACTCGGTCTCGATGGCATTGACAATGATACTCTTCATGGCCGGGTGGGTGTTTTCCAGCTGGAGCAAAAGATAAGATGTGCGAGAGGCGATCTTCTTGTCCTTGTCACCGAGCTTGTTCACCAACAATCTTAGAAGGTTCTCTTCCTGTTCGGGCTTGTCTCTCAACAACTCCCAGACGTATGTGATTGCTCTGCTCCTCGCGTATTCGACCTCGTCGCTGCACCAACTTTCCAGGATCTTCAGAAGTTCAAAGTATTGCTTCTTCAACCAGTCCTCGAATGCCCAGTAGATGAGATGAATCTTCTCGAGGCCCTTTGGCAAGGGACTGCCGACTCTCCAAACGGTGTGGTGCTCCTCGACTATCTTGGCCAAAGCGGGCTGTTTCGTAAAAGTGCGCAGCTTGCGATCGCCGGGAAGGACATCACCCTGGCCCAGCAAATCCTTGATGGCAGCGACAGCCATGAGGGCTTGGTTCCTGCTCTTCTTCTTTGCCAAGCCGAGCAACGTCTCGAAGGCTTTTGTGTTGTGTAGCGGCGACTCCTGTACCAGCAGGGTCAGGGCTGAAATCTTATCCTCGAGGGTACCGGAAGCCATGATGGTGGACAAGAATTTGTGCGACGACGAGGCAGAGTTGTTGTTGGCGGCATAGCTTGTGTTCTCGGACTCGAGCAGGGTGTAGGCATAATCGTGAATCTCCTCGACCAGTCTCTGCGACGGTGGTTGGGCGGATGTGGATACAGGCAATTCGGACAATGCAGCGGCATACCAGTCGGGTCTAGGTTCGAAGCTCTGAGTTCTTGTTAGAAGGTAATTTCAGTGCAGCGAGATGGCAGGTCGCATACCAGAGGAGTCTTCTTCGCCTTTTGGTCACCACCTTCCTTCTTGGAGTATTCTTTCTTCGGGTATTCTTTCTTGGGAACGTCCTTTCCGGGCGCGAACCTCCAGCGCGAGCCTCGTCGGCAGAGCGCTTCCTAGTGACACCCATATTTGTGGTGTTTTGTATGTGAAAATGTGTTCTTGGAAAAAAACACGATCGTCTGTCTTTGGCGTCCGAGGCCTTGGGGAAAAAAAGTCACTGCACACCAAACTCCGCATCTTAAATCCGGCATGACCAGGCACCTCCAACCTGCGCTGTCCTTCCTGCTCTGATAACCACCTGTCCACTCCCCCGAAAGTCAACTAGGCAGCAGTCAGGTTACGGATGTACTCTCAAGTTGGGCTTGCGAGACGCGCGCCTTTGTCTCGAGTCACTGCCCAGGCTGTGCACCAATGGCCTCGTAACGTGTCAAGCACATATTCAAGGTCAATATCATCGAGCAGCAGCATCCAACGTCTTTCTCGCTTCTGGATCCCTACTGTCGGCGCTGAAAGATCTAGAGATGCCAAAGATGAATCTCATGAGTTGCTCGTCAGAGCAGGCTATGTGCGACAAGCCCATGCTGGTATTTTCCACATGCTGCCACTTGGCAATCGCGTGCAACAAAAGCTCGAAGCCCTGATTGACAAGCACATGGACAGTATAGGTATGCAGCAACTGTAATCAAGAGGTAGGTGCCATTGGCTGAGATATATGTAGNGTGCTGCCAAAGTATCTTTGTCTACCATCTCCTCAGAAGAGCTTTGGAAAAAGACTGGCAGATTTGTAGGCCATGGCGGCGAAGTAAGTACATTTTTCTCGCTGTCAAATTTCTCCCATCTATTTTTTGTTTCTCGAGTCTTCTACAAATTTTTAGACACTTTACTTACTGTCCAAGNNTTGTTCGGGTTCCATGACAGAAAAGATGCAAAATTCTTGCTATCTCCAACCCATGAGGAAGAAATCACTTCTCTGGTCGCAAGCACTGTTCAATCTTACAAGGATCTTCCGCTCCGTCTATACCAGATCGGACGCAAGTTCAGAGACGAAGCACGTCCGCGACAAGGTCTTCTACGTGGTCGAGAATTTACCATGAAAGATCTCTACACCTTCGACATCACAGAACAACAAGCACGACAGACCTACGAGGAAGTGCGACAAGCATATAGAGCTTTCCTCGATGAGCTCAAACTGCCCTATCTGGTTGCTGAGGCGGACTCTGGCAACATCGGTGGCACTTTGAGTCACGAGTACCATTTTGTATCTGCCAAAGGCGAGGACAATGTCATCAGCTGTGGCTCATGTGGCCACACCATCAACGATGAACTCGCTATTACTTCGATCGACCAACCAGATCAAGTACCTATCGAACACAAGAAGGATCTTTCCCGCTGGGTTGGCATCACCAAAGACCGAAACAGCCTGGTCGTGGCCTGGTTCCCAACCACGACACAACAACCCTCTGCCAACGACAACGTCAAGAACGAGATCAATCCTAACGTCATCAAAGCCCTCGTCCCAGACATCGATCTCTCGGTAGAGAATCCGCTGGAGATCTGGGACAAAACAAATCCACGTCAAGAAACAGGCTCCCGTCCCTCTTCAGCCCAGGTTATCGAAATAAACGACGAACGCCTTCCTCTCGCCAACCTGACTTGTACAGAAATCCAAGACAGACTTCAACCACGCGAGCTCCTTCTCCGTTCTGGTAAACTCAACAGCGTGCAATTCCAACTACGTCCAAGAAAGAACGGAAAATCTATGCAACTGACCCGTACCCTGACCGGAGACCCCTGTCAAAAGTGTGGCACAGGAAAAGTCACAGTCAACCGCGCGATAGAAGTGGGCCATACATTCCACCTCGGCACGCGATACTCATTGCCCCTCTCGGCAACATTCGTCGACAGCAACGACGTGCGCAAGACCATCGAGATGGGCTGCCACGGTATCGGTGTCTCGCGACTGGTGGGCGCTATCGCGAGTATGCTGTCTGATGCCAAAGGATTGAATTGGCCTGCTGTTATCGCGCCTTTCTCTGCTGTTGTTATACCCGCAAATGGTAACGAAGATGCTGCTGAGGATGTGACGAAGAAGCTTCAGTCCCGTGGGTTTGATGCTGTGCTGGATGATCGGAAGAAGCCAATGGGCTGGAAGTTGAACGATGCAGATTTGGTGGGTTATCCGCTTATCGTTGTGTTGGGCAGGGCGTGGAAGGCGGAGGGCAAGGTCGAGGTACAGTGTAGACGGTTGGGTATCAAGGAGGAGGTACAGTGTGGTGGCGGTGTCTCGAGTGCTCTGGAACAAAGACTTTCAAATCTGCTGATACAGCTGTAGATTTGTATCGCAACTACAAAAGATGGGGGTATATAGTGGTCTCCTTTTCTGTACAATGACGACAAGCGCACAGCTTGCATCAGATTTTCCTTACTCCATGCCATCCATCAGCTCGACGCGATCGAGCATCATTCCCCTCAGACCGCAGAACTCCTTGAGGAAGTCCCACTCCTCACCTTCTTCCTCTCCCCATTTTTCTGTGCTTGCGAAACCCCAAGCTTGGGATAGTTTGTCGAGAGCTGCTCGTTCCTCCTCGCGTACCCAGCGTTCCCATAAGGGCACACCGGGGGCCCAAGTAACTCTGACCATTTGGTCATTGGCAGTGGTCAGGGCAACGTAGCCGATACTACCGACACACACACTATATGTCATCATGGCGGCCATGGCGATGTTGGTGGCCATTGCGGGGTCCATTGTGTTCTGGTAGTCACTGAAGCGTGTTGCGAGGGTATAGGCAGCAGGTGGAGTCAACAAGAAGCCAGTCAAGGGGAAGAGAGCACTTCGCAGAAACTTGGAGCGTTTGTAAGCTGTTGTGCAGTAAGTGGCCTCGATAGTAGCCAGAGCGAGAGCTAAATCGCGACTGGCAATTGCAGCGTCGATGGCCATGTCGGCCACAGCAGGTTGTACGGCAGCGGCGGGCTTGTCAGGGTTGGGGTTATCGTAGGCGATGAGACCTGCTTCGCTGGACGGCCGCGGTACAGGCTTCTCGCGGTACAGAGTGAATACGGCTGGGAAGGACGCTGGACGCTTCAAGAGACACTGCAGGTCGATGTAAAGTCGAAGGATGCGGGGAGTAATGAAGACAGGTCCATAGAGCAGCATATCGAAAGCCTTTGCGGTCAGAGATTCCAAGAGACGTAACTTCGTGATGGAGGGCTTTGAAGGAGCGTCAAGGTTACTGAGTAGAGCAGAAGTGGCAGTCTTTTCGGGTTGAGTTGTTGTTCGCTTCTGCTGACTGTCTTTTATGTTGACGAGTCTCTGAGCCATGTGATTATAGTCGGTCAAGACATTAACAAGATCATCCTCTGTAGGAACTCTTGGATGGTCGAGAATGGTCTTGGCCAATTTTTGGACGCGTGCATTGTAATCAGCCAGGTCTTGTTGCGAGATGTCAGATGGCGGAAGCTCGGTGGCCGTGGTGGATGTATCTTCAATGGGGACAGCAGATGATGCGAGCCATCTGCGCGATTGCCGATTCGAAACAGCAGTCGACGGAATNGTTCTTAGAGGGGCTCCTGTGCGTGTAGATGTGGATGAAACGGGACGAGATTGTTGGAACAGGCGATTTGAAGAAGTCCATGGTGCAGCTGCTTGTCGCGTGCTACTCTGGCGGCAGAACTGGCATAGCGATGCCGTGCGAGGAGGAGAGAATGCTTTCATGTTTGGCATGTGTCGTGGACGGGTCAATGCCTGCCCGTCGCAATTGATGCAGCCCTCCTCAGTACTTTCGAGCCAAGCTTGTTTGCGTCCCCAGTGACGACTGCCGCTGAGCCACATCATCGACACATTCATCGTTCGTCTTCTGCCTAACAACTCAACCACGACTACTACTACCACCACCTCCCTCGACCATTGACCTATACTCGGTACGCTTCTCCGACTTGGTCCCATCTATTCATCTCGCCGGCGCACACCTACCCGCTGCCTCTGTCACGCGCCCGCTCCAACGCGAAAGTGGAGTTCGCTCTATCGAAAACACCTGTCCGACTTGGTCCGCTCTATACATCGCAGACCCACGACAATGCCACCGCCGCCGCCTCCGCCGCCTCCGCCTCCGCCTCCAATGCCTGGAATGTCAGGGGGTAAGCAAGAGTTCACTATGATACTCGCCATCACTCGTGCTGATAGTCTTGATTAGGCCCACCTCCACCACCCCCACCGCCGCCTGGAAACTTGCCCAGTAGACCACCCCAAGGAAGAGTACGTACAACGAACCAGATCCATCTCGGCACTAGCTAATGCATACAAGGGTGCTCTGTTAGGAGATATTACAAAAGGCGCTAAACTCAAGAAGGTCACTCAGATCAACGATCGTTCTGCTCCCATCGTTGGAAATGAGAAGAAGTCGTCAGGGCCTATCGCTATGGGTGCTCCCCCAGTACCGGGAATGCTGAAATCAGCAGGAGCTTCTGCTCCTCCGCCTCCTTCGGGCGGTAACAGAGATCGCGCCTCGAGCGACGTGGGAGCCGCACCACCTCAACTAGGAGGCCTTTTCGCTGGCGGTATGCCCAAGCTGCGCAAGTCTGGTGGCGTCAAGACGGGCGCAGATGAGGATTCGTCATATCTGGGAGCTTCAGGTGCTCCGTCTCGTCCTGTGTCGTCTGCTCCTCCTAGACCTCCAGGCGCGCCTCCTCGCCCCATGAGTTCTGCTCCTCCAGTCCCGCCACTCGCTCCTCCTATGGCACCACCTCCAAATCCTGCCGTATCTGCCCTGAGAAACAGCGTGCGACCTACACCACACACCAGCAGCTCCTCGCCTGCTGCTCCTTCCAAACCCAAACCTCCTCCGATTGGCAAGAAGCCGCCCATGCCACCTCCGTCTTCACGCAAACCTTCGGGCAATCTTCCACCACCTCCACCCTCTGCTTCACCAGCTCCTCCGGCCGCTCCCCCATTGCCCCCTTCTTCTGCTCCAAGACCACCACCGCCTCCTCCTTCGATCAGCGCGCCACCACCACCTATGAGCAGTGCCCCGTCGTTAGCTGAGACAGCTGCGCGCAACGCCTTTGGTCGAGCTTCGCCTGCCGCCCCACCACCGCCTCCACCTCCAGGCGGATTCAATGCTACTCCTCCGAGATCTCCTGCGCCCGCACCGCCACCTCCGCCGCCTGCAGCCGCGCCTTCACCACCACGACAATCATTTGCAACACCCAGTCCCCCACTAGCAGCGCCATCTCCGCCTCCTTCGGCAGCTCCAACACGGCCTCACGCAGGATCTATCTCACGCTCGACTATGGATGCGTCATCTTATACATTAAACGGAGGGTCTCTCAAGTCACCTAGTCTGTCACAAGGAGCAAGCGGGGGCAGGATGGGTGGTGGGCGCATCACAATCGAAGATACGCGATTCAAGTTCCAGTCGGATGATACACTACCAAAACCGCGAGAGTTTTCGGGAGTCACCAAGATGTACCGAGCGGGTAGAGGCAGTACGGTGCCGCTAGATCTTTCGGCTTTCGAATAATTCTGAAGGTATGCATGGAGGAGGATGCGTGTGTCTGTGCAATCAAACTAAAGGCCGTTGTAGAGGGTATCGTACAAAAGGAGAAATGCGACTCTAGACGTTTGCTTCAGAGATGGAGGCCTTCATCTTCTTGGTCGTCTTGTGTGTCCTGGGCCAATGTTGCGTCGAGTTGTGCTCTCAATTGTTCGTCGGTCAAGCGTCCGCTCTGAGGTTGTGATGATTGTGTTATAGTCGTAGGTGCAGAGTCACCGTTGACCATTTCGCTGACCTGACGATCTTCGACTTCGGCCTCTGACCATCTCATGCCTCTCTTCTCCACCTCGGCTCGCAGCAAGTCGATCCGTTCATTCATACGGCTGATAACAACGAGGTTTTCGTACATGGCGTCTTTGCAATCTTAAAATTTGGTTAGATGTAGTCTTGTAGAGCAAGCATTATCAACACANCCTTGATCGCCCTCGTCAGCGAACGGGACCATTTGTTCGTTTGAATATCTCAGATGATTCATGTTGTTGCGCAGTTCGGCAACCTTGGAGTGCAGCGTATCGAGAGGCAGCGATTCGAGAGCTTCAGCAAACCTCGCTCGGTCGATGGGTAATGCTTCGTGCGACATGATGGCAGGCCGAGGGTGGTATGTAGTATGTAGTGTGTATTGAGAATAGAATACAAAAGGTTGTCGACATGCATAACCAGGCAAACACACCATGACGCCGCTTCGACATGGTCCGAGCACTGCCGAGCTCCGCAACTCATCATGGTCCATTCGTCGTCGACGACATTATCTTTTCGTTTTGCACATCTCAGTTTCCGTCACTTGCTACGTGTCCCGCTTCTCTGCGTGGCTGCTGTGGATGACTGAGACGCCATGAACCATGCCCGTCCGGTAGTGATGAGGGCTTCATGCTCGACATTCCCATCACCTTTTGCGCCATCCTCTCTAGCATCTTTTCTCGCCCATATCGAACCTCGGAGCCTCTCGCAATCGCTTCTACGTACTAGGATACCTCTAGTGACTGGTCTGCGCAATTTCTCGGCTTGTGAAGCTGTCTCGGCCAGGAACCGCTTCCTCCCAAAGCCATCTCCTGATGTCCAGAGAACTGGCCGGAACTCCAACCAAGATGGACAAAGACTGGCTCGTAGACGTAGGGAGCTCCCCACCTGGAGAGACTACGATCCAGAAATCGGCATACCTCTTCCCTCAGGAGAACTCGATCAAGCCACCATAACCGAAATCTTTGGCCCGGATATGCACTGTGACGATGGGAACCACGTCCTGAGGTTGATGCATTATCGAAGACTCTCAGGCAGTCTCATTGACATCGGCGTTGACTTTCCGAAAGAATCGGGAATCTCCTCTGAAATGGCTACCAAGGCTTTGGGATACATCAGAACACTGGACCCAGCCTTTGATGAGAACGAGGCTGGTGCTGTTTGGGCAGAATCAGAGATCATGAAAGTGGAGCAACAGTATATGGCTCGTGCCGAGAGACTGGGTATCTACAAGCGTACCGACGATAGCCTGCCAGATGAGCCACAGCAATCCGCCGGCACTTCCGACATATACGGAGAAAGTGCTTTGGATAAATTGAGAAAAGCAAACAAAGCAAGATGGATGGAAGAGGATCGAAAGAAGGAGGAAGCAAAGAAACAACAGGAAGCAGAACGAGTTGCTGCTCTGAAAGCTGAGGCCAAGGACAACTCGCCCGAAGTCGAAGCGAAAGAGGAGTCAGGAAAGATCTTCAGTCCGTTCGACGAGATTGCCCTAGCACAGCCTACTCAGAAGGCATGGTTAGAACCTGTTGAACGCAAGCCTTGGGTCAAGTACTACGAAGAACAGGCAACCATCATCAAGGACAACAAGATTCCTGACCTCTCCACTCTTCGCCGATTGGGTCCCTCTGCTTTGGTTCTCTTGGCCGTCCTCGCTGGTTGCTGGATGCTTGACGAGACGTACAACCCGCCTCCCCGATCGGCGAGGATGTTCCCTGATGTACCGCCTGCTATCGCTACACTTGGGGCCATCACCGCCATCAACCTTGCTGTATTCGTTGCTTGGAGAATCCCGCCTCTGTGGAGAACCATGAACAAGACCTTCCAGGTCACAGCTGCATATCCTTTCGCTATCGGAACCCTTGGTGCACAGTTCAGTCACCAGAGCTTCCGTCACCTGTTTGTCAACATGGTTATGCTGTGGCCTTTCGGTTGGATCCGTAAGTATCGAGTCATGCACCCCAACGTCTGATTGACACTAACTTAATGATATGCAGTACATGACGATGTAGGAAGAGGCACCTTCTTAGCTGTGTACCTTGCCTGTGGTACAGTGGGCACTTATGGCTCCTTAGCCTTCAACGTACTCGCCAAACGTTGGATGAATTACAGCTTCGGCTCATCTACTGCCGTCATCGGCACCATGGCTGCAGCCTGTCTGGTCAGAGCAAAGTAAGCTATCTTCCATCCTGTGTCATTTCGCTCATCCGTTGATAACCCGTACCACAGCAACAATGTGACAGTGCTCGGCTACGAGATCCCAGACATAACTGGTCTGACTGTCCTGGGCATCATCGCTGGGTTCGAGATCCTGAGAGCCTGGCGCGGCAAGAACACCAGGACTGACTATCCTGGACATCTTTCCGGACTTGCAGCAGGCGTGTTCGCGGGCTTCTACGTCCGTTACAAGACTGCCGCCACCTCAATGACTCGCAAAGAGTTCACGCCCGCGCAATTTGAGGAGTCCACCAACTAGCAAGACCGCTTGTATATTGTGTTACAGAAACGCAGGTGCCGGAATGTTGTCGCTTCCGACCCCTCCTCTCTTGCAGCGATGCAGGGTGGGGCACAAGCTACGATATCAGAATGCGCAGCCATCTCCAAATCAGGTAGTTATGAGCCCGAAAGAGTGTTTCTCAGTTGTACTGCGTAACCAAGACGCTCAAACATCGAGGTAAGAAATATGTATGAATACTTGATCAAGAAGACATATACCAACCATTTTCTGTTGCCCAGACAGTGCATGTAGTCAGACTTTCTCTGCCTGGGCAGCAAACTCGGAAGTTGAGCCTCATCTATCGGCTATGGGCATCTGTGGATCCTTTCATCTCCGAGACATAAGGACCTCCGACTGTCATCTCTAACCGACGGCCACCTTGGTTCGGCACCGACGAATGCGAGAGAAACCATGACGGGGTCCGCTGTTTGAAACTGATATGCTTTGGGTTTAATGTCTTGGCGTTGAATAGATCGCGGTCAGAACAGAGTTTGCTCAAATATCGAGCCTTCAAACCAATCGAGATCCGGAAGCATAGGTTATGATGTTGATATGACTTCTCGGTATATCGCATCCAGCCTGTAGAATGGCTTCTCCAAAAGTGCTTTCGAAGAAACCGAACCCAAATTCTGCACGACTGTACCTCATGCTTGGCGTTCGAAGAAGTCTGATAGCGCGCCGAGGCGTCAAGAATGGGAAGAAGGCTGCCGAATCTTTTACCGCCCCACCAGCAAACGGGCGGGCCTGTGCGCCCCATTTCATCACCTCGCGAGGCGCAAAAGGATAATCATCAGAGGATAAATACGCCCTTGCATGGCTTCACTCACTCAAACCATGCTTTGGCCGTCATATACTTCATTTTTATTTGATTACGTCTTTTGTTCCGACCCAAGTCGGGCATATTGTCCTTTCTTAATACTCCTGCCTCTCTGGACTGTACTTTTAATCTAAGAGAAAACAAACGGTTGACCCTGGACCTCTTTTGGGAGTCACAACACAAACAACCTCGGTAAAGATATCCCATCAACACTCGAAAGCCTTGTAAGAAGGCAAGTCGGTAGTCTTCTCGCTCATAGTCCTTTCACTCCTCGAGAGACGACCAAATTGGGGACTCAACACAGCCTCCTGCCATGGACGCTAAACAGGATCCCTACACCTGGGAAGGTGCAACTGGATGGCGACAATATCGAATGTTAAGACCGGGCCGTGGCATGTACTACGATGTCAAAAGACGACTACCATATTACTGGAGCGATATCAGAGATGCTGTTACCTACAGAACTTTCGCCGCCACAGTTCGCATGTACTTTGTCAAGTAAGTCTCGGGCAAGAATTAAGAACTTAAAGAGGAGAAATATACTAACCAGCAATCTGTANGTCTGTTACCAGCGCTAGCATTCTTACTAGACATGGAACGTCACACTGATGGCTTTTTTGGTGTGAACGAGGCGTTGTTCTCATCCGCTCTTGCCGCAATTGTGTTCAGTACCTTGGCTGCTCAACCATTGACTATTGTCGGTATCACTGGTTTAATCTCTCTTTTCAACTACACCATCTACGACATCGCGGTGAAGCAGGGTATTCGCGATCTTTATCCGGAGTTCCTGGCATGGGTCTCTATCTGGGCTGCCATCACACATTGGATTGCATCGTTTGGAAACCTTTGCGATTACATGCGATTCATCACCGATTTCTCAAGCAATGCTTTCGGCATGTATGTTGGTATCATTTATATGAGTAAGTCAAATCTTCCGCATGTTCCACAGGATTACCCAGTACTAACACTTTTGTAGNTCAAGGGTGTTCAAGAACTCATTGCCCAGTTCACTGAGAGCACGCATGAGGCCGGCTTCTTGAGCGTTGTTGTTGCATTATGCTATTGGGCTACAGTATATGCCCTGGAAATGCTTCCTCATACCGTGGTCTTCAGCCCAGTCACCCGCAAGCTGCTATCCGATTATGCGTATCCGGTAAGTGTCTAACCTTCATATTGGTTGCATACAAGACTAACAGGTATCCTCTCAGNNATTGCCACCTTGTTCTGGACTGGCTTCGTTCATATTCCCGGCACAATCAAGCAAGCAGATGTGCTCACATTACCTCGAACCAGAGCCTTCTATCCCACAGTGGATCGCAGCTGGTTGATTCATTTCTGGAACCTGCCTGTCAAATGGGTCTTCGTCGCTTTGCCCATTGGTATACTCGTAACCTTGTTGTTCTACTATGACCACAACGTCAGCAGTATCGGCGCTCAAGCAAGACAATACCCCCTTAAGAAGCCCGCTGGTTTTCACTGGGACTTTGCGCTTCTCGGAGCCACGTGTTTCATCGCTGGTATCATTGGCATTCCTCTTCCCAATGGTCTGGTTCCCCAAGCACCTGTACACACAGACTCCTTGACCGAGTACAAGGATAAACTCGTCGTCAGCCACGAAACCGAGGACGACCATGGCCGACCTATAGAGCGCAGAAAGAAGGTCTTCGAAGCCGAGATGGTGGTCGAGCAACGCGTCAACCATTTCCTCATGGGTCTCGCCATCGTAGGCACAATGACTGGCCCCCTTCTTATCGTTCTCTCAACAATGCCTCGTTGTCTTTTCTGTGGTGTCTTCTTCGTCGTCGGCTGGGGCTCTATCGAAGGCAACGGCATGACGCAGAAAGTTGTTTTCCTCATCAAGGAACACCGCTTCATCGACCCGTCAGACCCGCTCCTGCAGGTTCCGAGAAAGAAAATCATGCTCTTCCTCCTCTTCCAGATCTTGGGCGTGGGCTTCAGTGTCGCCATCTCGCAGACTATCGGCGCTATTGGGTTCCCTGTCATCATTTTGTCGCTCATCCCTCTGCGTTGGTCGGTCATGCCACACTTGTTCGCTCGCAGAGAACTCGAGATCATGGACGCACTCACTGCAGACTCTGATGTTGTGCTGTGCAGTCTAGGCGGCAAACCCGTCATGCCTGAAGTCGCACTGGAGCGGAAGAGGCGCGGTTTCACAGCAGAGGAAGAGGGAGATAGCGCACACATGAGTGATAAGGAAAAGGAAAACTCCACCCCAGGAGAGGAGAGCCCCGAGATGAGGAGGATGCTGGACTTGGAACAATCGGGTCGCGGCAACGGGCCGTACACTGCTGGTAAGCACGATTAAATGGTTCGCATTTTGGGCTCTTATTGTGCGGAACAGTAATTTAATATGAGGCGGAAGTGGTATATATACATATAGTCGTTGGCATCAAGCACAACATTGAATTCATCATTTCCAAATACACAAGCTTAACCATCTTCACGAAGTTGTCCGTAGAAACTCGAGCTCTTCACTGTACCTCCTAACTATGGAAAATGAGTTAGGGTTGAGCGTGGCTTGAAGAGACCAAAGAACAAACCTTAGTATATTTGTTTCTTCGCCTAGCCTTTTTGGCCCGGACGACCTACGACTCCAATGCCGACTTGCTGTAGTGAAGGAGTAGTCTCTCCTATGGATCCGTTTGGTCCCTTCCCCAACATGCGATTCTTAGCAATCGTTTCCTGGTCAAAAAAGGGGGTAACTGCCTGTCGACACAAGAAGGGACACTGGGAAGCAACGATATAGAACCGTGTCGATAGACACATCTACACCAGGTCCAGAATCCCGGGCTCCTAGAGCGTTCGAGATCATATCAGGATCCCATTGATCCCACACGATATGAGGCACCTGAGAAACGAGAAGCTTCAGCGGCTTGAGCAGAGGTGTATATGTATGCCGACGATTCAGAGTTGCGGCCACAATGACGGCAAGTTCTTAATCATCGAAGAGGGGAAGGGATCCTTCAAGATCTTCCAGTGGAAAATCAAAACCGTCGAGGTTGATCCATAGGCAAGTCAAGGTTTTGGGAAGTTTCACTCCTAGGTCGACTGTTGCGATATTTTTCATCCTCGTCACCATCATCTTGTAACAAATCGACGTGTCACCCACCTGCCAGGTTTGGACTTCTGTCAACACTCGGATTGGGACATGCAACATGCTCAGCCTAGGATAGTCGTGGAAGGTCAAATAGCCATCTACATGCTCCCAATCATCGTTCCATGACCCAGAAGTCCAGTGGTATTCGCCGATATGTAATTGTAGGGTCTCGAGGGTTGGTTTGACTGATAACAGTGCCCGTTGGAGCGTTGGAAGGTCGACACGTACAGCTGGTAAAGTTACGTCCTCTGTAGTGGTCCAAAGATCGTACTTCAGTATACGCAGTTTTGGGCATGGTGGGTGACGTTGAGTTGGTGTTTTGTCATGAGAGAGAATATGTTTGGGGAAAGGGTGCTTCAAAAAGCTCTGGCTATCACGCCCAAAACTTGACACGGCTCATCCAAACTCGCTGCTTCCGCAGCACGAATCTTTCGGAGAGATTTCTGTATGAAGCTGAGGCATAGTTCTTACATCCAGGAGTTTCCCACAGATATCCAAGCGACCTTGGACGCCTTGCCAGAGATAAAACCGAGCAGGGTTGCCTGAGCAGTAAGACTGGTGTCGACATATTTCGAGGTTTACATTGATACCATGCGAGCATTTGGTGAGAACTCGTTGCCATCACAAGTATGTCATCGACGATAGCAAAAGCGAGGAAGGAGTGATCAAGTGTTGCGCCGAACAAAGAAACAAACCTCGGTCAGCGCCAAGCCGCCACTTCCCCAACTCCACTCCATATCTTCGAGTATCGGCCTAACACCAGTCCGATCGATCTTGAGATCAACATCCAAAAAAAAACATCGTATCAAGAAGCCATTTCTAAGATGTCTGGAAGATTTGAGCCGAAGCAGAAGGTCGAGCTCGACCCACCGAAAGATGACCCCATCAGCTTGGACTACCTGTCTAAATGCGACGGTATGTAATTGTTAAGGCTATGGCTGTCGAGCATTCCACTGATGAATCGTGTCAAGNGAACACACGAGGGCTACCCGACATATGTGGCCATCAAAGTAAGTTTTGCAACTCTCCGAGTCTGTCGTCGAGACACGAAGTTGACAAGTGATAGGNGGACTGTTTTCGACGTGACTGGCAACAAGGCATATGAACCAGGAGCTTCGTACTCAGGTAATTTCACTATAATGACAATCAAACAAAACACCTACTGATTTATTCTCGCAGTCTTTGCCGGCAAAGACGCATCCAGAGCTCTCGCACAGTCTTCACTGAAAAAGGAGGAATGCCGACCAGAATGGGAAGATCTCAAACCTGAACACAAGAAGGTTCTCGATGACTGGTTTACTTTCTTCAGCAAGCGCTACAACATCAAGGGCAAGGTAGCCACTGGCAACGCGAACTTGTGATCTGCGCAAAATGACTGATCATATCCCAACACACAAAAAGCTGCTTCATATGACATCCCCCTTCCAGAACATCTTCTCGTTGACCAAGACGTGCTTCGAAAAATGAAAAACAGAGAACGCTTAACTTCAAAAATGGCTGCCCACGATCCAAATTAGGACCAGTACTTCCAAATAACAATCGAGGCACTGACTCGCTCCAGATCGCACTCGAGTCTCAAATCTCCTTTCAAACATTAATCCTAGTTCATTCACACAGTCAGCATGAGTTCGCCACAGAAAGCCAGAGTAGTTCAACTCACCATCAACACTGACGACACCAAGCTGCCACTCTGCCGGAGCAGTTCGGACAACTCCTCCTCATCCTGAGATGCTTGCCAATGCGCCTGACCAACTTGCACTCTGCGTATGCAGCCCATCTGCACGCATGTTCCAGTTTCTTCGCATCGTGTCCGCAGCTGTAGTGGACTGCGTTCCAGGTACACATCTTCCAAGGATGTGCTTGCTTATATAAAGCTTTTTGGATGTATGTTCGGTTCAAGATATCGAAACTGATTCGACTTGACTTTGAATGTGGTGTTCTCTGTCGCAGATAAAGGAAGCGAGATTGTTGCTTTTCTTTCTGATTGTGGATAGACGAAGAAAAAGAAAGAGACTGGGACCCATGAGGAGATATTATATACCGGAGGAAAGGAAAGGCCGGAAGCGAAATTGGATTACAGGCTATGGGTTCCCATCGGACAGCAGTATAACTTGCAGACCTTTTTCGACGATTACAGATTCAGGTTCTACAACCTCTCCTACTTGCAGGACTGACGTTTACAGAAAAGCATTTGCTGCTGCAAGCTGTGCGATGCTGGAAACAACGAATCCGCACCCTCTCACAAGGAAAGGAATTGGCTTCGCTCGCGACACACAACGCACACGGGTGTAACATTATGACTGGAGGATACATTTGCATTTACACAAGCATCCAATGAAAGGAGACAACGCATTCGAATTTCGAGTGCAGCGAAGGATCATTCCTTGGAGCAGAAAAATCAGGTTGGTGGAGGAGAAGACTTCTTGCGACAAGAATACTAATTATATACCATCAGACAGCAATTCCATGAATGATAAGACTTTTTGGTCCAATCCAACCAATCAAACTCCTTCCTTGAACCTTTGTGCGCCTTTTCCTTTTCACCCTGATGCCGAACACAACCCCAAATTTTGTCCGTGAGAACCAATTTTCTTTCACAACCCCGAGAGCCGCCCAGCTACAGATCAGAAACTCTCAACGAGCATGACCAAAAGTTCTTTGTCTGGCATAGTACGCACAATTGCGGCAGTACTCTGTAGGATTCGACCACTCNCTCTTGACGGACCAGGCACCGAAGCATTGGTGATTAGGGTCGTTGCGGGCAAAGTGGCAGTGCTTGATTAGACGGCGGACAGCATGACCGCAACCATAGTGGATGTTTTCGTATTGGCACATCTTGAGTGTTGCTGTTCCTGAGTTAGTGACTGCTTGGAAGGATGACCAAGGGGTGGACAGCGTACTTGGAGAGTTTGACTGACGAAGGATTGGTGGTACGTGGTAGATGGAGACGGAAATGCTGTGGTCCTACGGGATTGTCGTTGACAGCGGGAGGTTGATTGTGTGAGTTGATGAGCTCTGGTAGCTGTGATGTCAAGGAATTCAAGAAGATGGATGCTGGTTTTCGATGCTCAATGGAAGAGGCAATGACTTTGTTGGTATGGTTATTGTGTCGAGGTCCTACGCCATTTATGTATCTTGAGCAGTTGCTCTTTCTGCATTTTGCTCAAGACTCTGGATCCTCTGTTTACTCAACCATCACGCTTCTTCTTGCTTGATTTACTGCTGCTATCTCATGACGCAGAAGCATGTGAGAGACCTGTCATCACAAAAAGTGACGGGTTGGACAACCTGAACACAAGAGGCGAAAGACTCATGCACGTCAATTGATCAATGACTTGTAGCTAACAAAGAAAAAAGATGGTATACCAATGAATTTTATGACAGGCGGGAGCAGCAAAGGCTATCGACATGATATATGCAGGGTCATCGGTTTGCAACAGGAAAGATGTATTCTCCGAAAAAGAATGACAAGTTCCGAAGATGGATGACAAGAGAGAGTCATTGGTGCACAAGATTCCAAATGCGGATGTTTGCTGAGATGTGGAGCTTGTGGATGTCCATGGTTCCTGCCTTCCTATATGCTGTACACACTTCCTAATTGGGAAGAGGTCACATCTATATTCTCGATCTGTCGAACTGATGACATCGAAGCAAGGGGACGAGCCTTACACGATATTCACACGCGTACGCTGCACAGAAATGAGTGGAAGAGAAACATTCTAGGCTTCGAGATGCACAAAGACCCGTGACGATGGGTGACTACCGACGGCTGCGATGACCCGAGGGTAACACAAGTGAAGAGCTGGGTCCACAAACAAACCCGGATTTTCTCTTGCAAATCATCCGTCGCCTGTGAACCTGGTTGAGAGCGACATCCAAGCTGTCTAGACCTACGCTCAACAGTCTGGTTGCTTGCGGCTTTTGTTGAAGTCGTGTTGTGATACTTACTAAGGATCGATACTCATATCGTCAATTGGCTATGCAAATGCAATTACAATTCCATTTACAATACGGGGGAGATCAAGAAGAGAATAAGATGAAGGACGGATCGAAGAATGCTCGCTTTTGATTGCAATGATGACGAAAGAAAATTGTTCGAAAAATGTTAGCCGGTCGACACTTTGTCGGCAGTACTCAATCAACGCCTATGCAGTACTTTGTCCCACTGCAACTTCCTCCTATCAACAGAAAGCACTCCAACATCCCGTAAGACGGACGATTCCTTTAATCGAGCGTTCGCTATGAATCCGCAAGATCGACTACGACAGAGAAAAGGACTCAGTAGTCGCACAGACTTCATGCCGTGTCGACGGGTATGAACGTTGACACTTCCTTAGGCACCTCCCTGCTTGCGGGCACGGCGAGCCATACGCTTCTTCTGAATGATTTGCTGACGCTTCGCCAATTTCTCATCTGCAGGGGCCTTCTTGTTCTTCTCCTCCTCAACAGGAGCCTCGTCCTTTCCATCTCGCTTGCGCTTGCGGTCGAACTTGCCTCCTTTGCCGCGGTCGCCAGCGCCAAACTTGGTGTCACGACCCGAANNGGCTGTCCTCTTGCCGTCGGCAGTGGGTGCGGTTGCAGCGTATGAGCGCTCGCGAGACTTTTCTTCAATCTCCTTTCTTCGCTTGACAACCTGTGCGTTCTCGATGGCGAACTCGACGATCAATCGCTTCTTGCGCTCGGCGATCATTTCTTGCGACATCTTGCCCTTGCCCTTCTGTTCTTGTGCTTGGTAACCGATGGCGTGACCGTTCAACCAACGGAGACCCATCAGCGCCGAACGATGTGTGTAGTACTCGATGAAACCGTATCCGCGACTGCGGCCCGCGCCACTCTTCTCGTCTACTTTGGCGCCCTCGCGACCTTCAAAGACGATCTTTGCTTGCTTGACGATACCCTTGGCACGCTTCTTGCGATCGGCCTCGGCCTTTGTGTCCTCTTCACCACCTCTGCTGAGCTCTTCTCTGTTGAGACGCTGGCGCTTGCCCTCCTTGACGTCGGTAGCAAAACCAACAACACCTTCTCTGGCAAGCTGCTTCAAGTCCTTGGATGTGATGGATCTGGGAATGTTACGGACGGAAAGACGGGTCAGACTCAAGTGTAGGGAAGGGTTGCTCTCGATGAGGGTCTTTCTCTGCTTGGCACTGGCTTCTCTCATGGTTCTCTCTGAAGGAGGGAGCTGCTCGTACAATGGTGAGTTGGAAGGAATGGTTCCCTCAGACAGCAGGTATAGGCGTCTTCTGTCTGTGTCACGCTTGAAGCGGTTGGCGGCACCCTCCTCTGTCAGGCGGTTGGCCTCGTTCTTGTTGACGGCACGGGACACTTGCAGGACGCGTCCGTCCAGAGTGAACTTGCCAGTGGGGTCGGCGTCTTCGTTTTGCAAAACCGAGTGGGTCATCTGAATGGACCCATCCTTGGCCTTGGGGTCGTTCAAGCGGGGAGGTTGATGTCTGGGTGCGTTCTTGAGAACATTGTCGGCGTCGTCGAGCTCGTAGAAGCAGACGAAACCAGTACCTCTGGGGCGCTCTGTTTCTTGGTCGACGACAATTCTTGCGTAGCGGACTGAGCCGAATTGAGTAAAGTGGTCCTCGAGATCCTCGTCGGTGCATGAGAAAGGCAGGTTGCGAATGAAAAGGGTGGACGAGTTGTCCTCTGTTCTCGGCTTGACATCCTCGTCGTCCTCATCATCCATGTCGTCCATGTCCTCATCCTCGTCATCGTCGTCAGAACCAGACTCGTCGTCATCCTCGTCCATAATGTGTTCGTTGGCACCATCGGCGGCATCGTCCTCAGTGGCGTCTTCCATGGTGGCGTCCTTCTCTTTGGTATCCTCTTGAGGGGTGTTGTCCCAAGTCTCCTTGTCGACAGCCCAATCAACAGCCAGTTGTCTTCCGTCAATCTCCTTTCCGTTGACACCTTCGATGGCCTTCTCGGCGTTGGGTCTGCCGCGCATGATGACGAAACCGAAACCGCGCAGAAGTCCAGTCTTGCCCTTGGGGAGGACAGTGTGCTTGACCTTTCCGTAGCTCTGGAAGAGCTTGGCCAGTTGATCCGGGTACTTGATGCTCCAAGGAAGGTTACGAACGATAAGTCTCGGGACTTGGGCGGCAGCGCGCTCTTTGGCCTGGCCCTCTCTGAACTTCTCGCCGGCCGAAGGAACGGCAGCGGTACCCTTCTCACGGTGTCTGGGTTCGGCGACCTCGCAGCGCAACTTCTTTCCATCGACAGCAAATCCGTTGAACTCCTCCTTTGCCTTCTGACAGTCCTCGGCGTCGGCGAAAGTGACGAAACCATAACCCTTGCACTTCTTGGACTCCTTGTCGGTAACGGCGACGGCGTGCTTGATGGGGAAAGAGGCGGAGAAGATCTCGGTCAGGGACTCGGAGGTGGCAGACTCGGGCAGCGAACGAACGAAGAGCGAGCGGCGCTGAGCAGCGGCTTCGATTTCGCTTTCCTTGTTGGAGACGACCTTGGTGACGGCATTGCTCTCGACGGCGGCCTCGGTGGCGCTCTCAACTGCAGCCTTGACCTCTGCAGCGTCCAGAGACAGTCTTTGCTTCTTGCGTGGGGGCGTCATGATTGTATATGTTGTGTTGTATGGGTTTGAGAAAAAGTGTAGCGGCAGCAAACAGGGCTCAACTTTTTGGCAACTGAGACTTTCTTCCGAGGCAGATCGGCAGGCCTGTGCTTGCGGCCTCCCGCCTCCACACACCGCCTTCTACATGATCAAACCGTCTACCAAAATACACCAAATCTACCAAGCCATATCTACTCTGCCTTGACACGTTGGTCCACCATCAACTGCAACAGAGACATGACTACCTCTGCTGCTGCCAATGTAGTTGGCTCTCCAGCGTTGTCGTAAATTGGCGCCACTTCCACAACATCCCCGCCAACAATATCCAACCCAGACAATCCATCGAGAATCGTAAGAAGTTCTCGAGTGGTCCATCCTCCGACCTCTGCTGTACCTGTAGCAGGCGCGAAAGCAGGATCAAGAACATCAATATCAACACTGATGTAAACCTTTGTTCCCGCAACGCGACGCTTGATCTTTTCAATCACTCCTTGAGGCGTGACTCTGTCAATGTCTCTGGCCGTGATCATCTCGAACCCGCACTTGCGATCGTTCTTAAGGTCGTGCTTCTTGTTGGCAACCGGAGCTCTGATTCCCGCATGGATCGATGTATTTCTGACCAGGCCTTCTTCATGGGCAATGTGTAANAAGGTGCCGTGGTTCACTCCCGCGTAATGCGACACGCCTCCTCCAAGTACTTCAGGATCCCAGGTGTCGATATGACTGCACTTGTGTTAGTCTTGACCACATTACTTGTCATGAGACTATCCTGACCTATCAAAGTGTATGACACTGACAGGACCCCAATGATTGAACGTGGATCTCAGGGCAGAGAGTGTCGTGGTGTGGTCACCGCCCAGCGTGACAATTCTTGGTACAGTGTAATCAGTCAAATTGGTGGCTCGGCTTGAAGTAATCTTGTGCGCTGTATCGAGCTGCTTCAAGGCAATTGTATTGTCCAACACGGTCAGAGGGGCATCCCCACAGTCAACGATTGTGGCCCATTCCTTGNNTCCTGAAGTCAGCCTATAGTCGAAAGTCATTGCCTCATCTATCTCCGTTACCTTGAACAAATTTCTTCCATTGTATATACTCCACGAAAAGTCCGGGTGGATGCGACGAGATCCTGCTCTAATCCCATTGGGTCCAAATCTAGCACCTGGTCTTGCAGTCACACCAGTATCGAACGGAGCCCCCAGGATGGCAATGTCGTACTTCTCAGAGCCCGCCTTGTCAAGACAGTGAACATAAGGAAGGTTGGCAAAGGTAGTCAATCCTGCAAATTTTGCTCCGGTGATGTCGATGTCTTCAAGGCCTGAACCTTGTATCATAGGTGATTGATATCCTGCTACAGGAGGGAACGTAATGTCCCGGCCTGCAGCGGTGGAAGCGAGCAGTAAAACCGAAAGTGTAGAAATCATTGTCGAGATATCGGATACTAGAACTATCTGTACACGATGTCAGGGCGGTACATGTATTTATCAAAGCACTATCGCTGCTTGGATAGTTGTCGAGTTGTGACAAGGTCGATTGATGTTCGGTTAGACATGCTCAAAGAGGAAGGTCCTACCGGCGCCAGGTTGATCCTATTACCTCGACGGCACAACATTCACAAAACCTCGTGCGTGGCCTACAGAACATTCCTGGAAACGAAATTGCTAAAGACCATGCTGACGATTGAAACATCCACGCCCACGTCTTCAACTTGCTCCTCGACCTTACCACCGACACAGCGACCATCTCGTCCATGTCTGTTCAGAAGCGCAGGCTTCACCGCGCTGAAGCTCACCTGTCCAATGATCACTGATGGAAGGAGAGCCCGCCACGGAGTCAATGCAACATAGACAGAGGGAGAGAGTTGTGTCTTGTCATGCCTATGTGGTGGACTCTTACTTTCGTGTAGATAGTACCTGAAGAAGAAGAATAAGAAGAAGAGCAAGATGAGATAATCAGAGTATGTATCAAAGCAAAAGGTCCATGTTCCTCCCGATCCCTTCCATACGACCCTTCCCAAGATCGAATCTCCATGTATCCACCTTCATGTAGATGATACTTGAAGCAGAAGAAAAAGAACAACAAGATAAACAAGAAGAGACCACGCTGTATCAAAGCAAAAGCTCCTCAATCTCCTTCTAAGGCGGTACTTGATTCATCCAGCCCTGCATCCTCTCTAACTCCGTTCTCGAACTTCACCATGTCATCTGTGGTATAGCGGCCAAGGAAGCGGTAGCCGATTCTTGTTGGACAGACCAGCGCCGGACCATCCACGTCTCGGAATGTCAGCTGCCGGCACAGAGAGCCAGAAGTCGAGTCCGCCATATCGGAGGTTGCACTCTTGTGCGAATCGATGCAACCTCGGCCAGTTGTGACAGATTGCGTTGATGCCCATGCTGACCAGGATAGGTCGCCTGCCGAGCAGATGTGCATAGGCTATCTGCTGCTTCAGCCAAGTACTCACTCTGAAGACCATCCGCGCTACACGGTCCACCTTCACCGTGCGGTTGACTGCACCACTACCGATGAACTCCATCTCTGTTTCCAAATCCTCGCCCTCGGCAACACACGGTAACACACTGCCGTTTGACCAGCAGCTGCTTACTATTCCCACTGACTTGACATTTGCAAGCCCGGCAGGATGTATATTTGTAACCGTCAACAATGTATCTGCCCTTCTGACTTGCATGTAGTCTCGTGGAGGTGGTTTGCCACTCGACCGATAGATGAAGATGAGATGATCGCAACCCCTGTCTCCCGACGATGATGAGGACGACGGCTCAGGGCTCCAGAGCAAGCAGTCAGATAGTGGCTTTCCTAGCCGGGTGGAGAGACTGGGTTTGTCGAAGGATACAAAGGCCTCAGAGATTCGTTTGCCATCCAAACCTTCCCTGTTGGTAGAGGTGTAAACTACTCATTCACGAGCGCACACGCAGCCGTTCTGTTTTTTCTCAATTACCTCTTCATACTTCCCTCGCTGAACATCACCATCAGTGCAGATGCCCATACCTCATCTCGATCTTTGCTAAGATTGGGCTTGAATCTTGGATAGTCTTTGTAGTGCTCGGTTGAGCGAGCTACCGCGTCCACAAAGCCCAGTCGATAGCCGAACTCACACACGCTCCAAGCCATAGCGAAGAACTCGGCTCCATGTGCTGCCGTGTGTTTGGTGAAGTCTCGGCGTGTCGTGGAGGGTTCGAAGATCTCGCCACAAGATGGCGCCGGACACTGGTATTGGAGTCGATCAGGATCCACGCCTCTCGGAAACAGCAGTTCTCGCCTGAACAGCATTTTCTCAACACTTGGCAATGGTGCATCGATTTCCAATCCGGGATCTGGGCTTGGCCCCTTGGGTAGTCTCAGATTCTTGCATAGTCGACGTGTTCTCCTCGTCTTCCGAATCCTCGCTCTCATTTGGGGACGAGAGCTGGATGTCTTGAGTGAGTGCACCCATGTATGTCGATAAGTCCTCGGACACATTCCCTTGGGCATTGGAGGGTGTTTGTTGGAAAACGTCGAAGAGTAAAACGTTGTAGCCAGAAGAGCCGGTGATCTGACCATGTCCGAGAGCAGAGGGTGCTTGCTGGACATTATTGAAAGGAGGAGCGTCGTAGCCAGAAGGGTCAGCGAGATGCTCTTGAATGCCAGCGGTCTGCGCTTGCTGAACATCTTGAGCCGGCGTAGGCATGTAGCCGGAAGAATCGTTCAGCACCGGAACAAGACAGCTTCCAGAGGGGTCGAGTGTATAGCCACCCACTCCGATCGCCGCCTACCTGCCATCGTGACCCGAACCGCCGAGATGATGAGGAGGGTTCCAGCCTGCCCGTGTCGTGGATGGTTGTTGACTGCCCATAGACTTCGTCCACGCGCTGCTCGCACCTTGGCTTGTGTTGTGACTCACTCGTTGACGTTTCTGGTCACCGCCGTAGGAGTTACTGGCGAACGGGAACTGACGCTGGTGAGTGACCACAGTTCCAGGTAGCTCCTGAGGCAGGCGCTAACTGGATGTTCCGGTATTGCCTGGGAAGGTGTGTTGAGCGTGGAAGTGGTTGCCTTGGTGACTCTGCTATGACTGCGTGTGACTGAAGCCAGCAGGTGGTTTCAGGAAGGTAGGTGCTGGTTGGGTGCTCTCAACCGCCATGGATGGTGTGTTGTGGTTGGAAGCGGCTGCCTTGGTGGTTCTGCTGCGACTGCATGTGACTGCATGTGACTACATGTGACTAAAGCCAGTAGGTGGTTGCCGCGAAGGTCGAGACTGGAAGTGACCGACCGGCGCAGTGGTCGTCTCTGTATCACTGACTCTCACGGCGGTATAGAACGAAGTGTACACTATACAAAGGCATAATTGTTTTTGGTAGCAGAGATGGAGCCAAAGAGAGCCGACAACATGATGCCTCTCAGCGGACAGTGCCCTATTCCTGATCAGCACTATGCTTTTCGATAGCGACACGCGTAAACGTGCTTCAACACTGGGAGGTGCGAACGCAGCCATGTTTCATCCGAGAAACTTTCACTTAATTCTGTCAACTCTACTGGGGTATACGACGAGACAACCATGACCACACTCCTCCTCTTTAGAAACCGCTGGCAAACTTCTTCTTCAACTTCTCGTACTTCTCAATGCTTCCAACACTCTTGTGTACAACACTGATGGCGTATTCAAAGTCCTCCTGTGCCACCTTGTTGTCTTTACGCTTCAGGCAGTGCTGACCAGCTTGTCGCAACAGTGACTCGAGATCGGCACCCGAGTAACCATTGCACTTTTCGTCGCGAGCGATCTGCTCGATGCCGGCAGGCCATACACCAGCTCTGCCATCCTTGGCTCTGGACTGGATCAGGGCCTTGAGGATTTCAACACGCTCTTCCGTGCCTGGAAGACCAACGTAAATCTTGGTTTCGAGACGACCGGGACGCATCATGGCCTCGTCGATGATGTCAGGTCTGTTGGTCGCTGCGATGACGTAGATACCAGCGCGATGAGACAGACCATCCAGCTCAGTGAGCAGAGTATTGACGACACGTGCAGAAGCTTCGGAAAGCGAGTCGTCACGACGAGGCACAAGTGCATCGAGCTCATCGAAGAAGATAACACAAGGTGCAGAGGAGCGAGCGCGGTTGAAAAGCGTGCGTACTGCACGTTCTGACTCTCCGACGTACTTGTTGAGTAGCTCCGGACCCTTGACACTGATGAAGTTGGCCTTGGACTCGGCCGCGACCGCTTTGGCAAGCAACGTCTTACCACAACCAGGAGGACCCCAGAGCAACACACCAGTAGGTGCAGAGATACCGACCGCAGCATACAAGTCGGGTGATTTGATAGGTTCCACGATGGCAGTCTGAAGCTCTTCTCTGACGCTTGTGAGTGCGCCAATGTCTTCCCAAGTAGTGTCCGGTATCGTTGCGAAGCCTTCGCGCTTGGAAGAGGGTGTGATGGTGGGCAGAACAGTCAAGAAAGCTTCCATAGGAATGATGGTCTGCTCGAAGCCCTCGGGCTCTTCCATTTCTGTGTTTCTTGCACGTATGACAAGACGATCCCAGAGTTCGTCAACATTCGGCTCTTGATTGTCGTCGAGCTCCATTCCATCTGTCGTTGCCTCTACCTGCCTGATCAAGGCATCTTGGTAGCGGTCCATGGCCCATGTCGCGGCCTTGCCCACAAGATCCCTCAAATCAGCACCCACAAAACCAGGGGTCATCTTTGCGAGCTTAGGGAAATCGACGTCTTCAGAGATGGGCGTGTTTCTCGTCTGTGTGCGCAAAATCTTCTCTCTCATAGGCTCGTTGGGCACACCCATGTTGATTTCGGTGTCGAAGCGGCCGCCTCGTCGCAGAGCGGAATCGATGGTATCTGGTCTGTTGGTGGCAGCGAGCACAATGACAGGCTTGCCATTGTTCTCCTTGTTGTCGAGAGCCAAGCTGTCCATACTGATCAAGAGCTGCGCAACGATGCGCTTCTCCATCTGACTCTGCGAGCTCTCACGCTTCGGAGCAATGACATCGATCTCGTCGATGAAGATCAGACAGGGAGCGTGCTTGCGGGCTTCGTCGAAACGGTCGCGAATCTGCTTTTCGGACTCTCCCGACATGCCTGACACGACAGACGGACCAGCAATCTCGATGAAGGGGACACCGAGTTTTGCAGCACTTGCTCTTGCCAGCATAGATTTACCACATCCAGGAGGACCGTGGAGAAGAATACCGCGAGGCAGGGGNACGTTGAGGTCGGCATAGCGTTGAGGGCGGAGTAAAGGAAGGGTCAANAGGTTCATGAGCTGGCGCTTGACGTCGTTGACACCACCCAAGTCCTCGAGAGCGATGCCAGTAGGTGGAGAGCGGTCGATTTCCTCGTTCTTGTCACGCTTTAGGCGTTTCTTGACGGGTTCTCCGTTTGCTTCCCTTCTCTTTGTCTCGGTTGCAGAGCCGTTTACTGCAGGAGTACCAGGTGCGGTGGTGGGAGTGGCAATCTTCCACGAGCCAGTAATGCTCTTGTTCATAATGTTTGGCTCCTCTTCTTTGGTTGCGAACTTGTCGGCTTCGGCCTCCTCGTCCTCCTGAGCGTCGTCTTCGAGAGTGTCGAGTATGCGCTCGAGGCTGTCTTCGAGGGATCGCTTCGATTTGCGTTTCAAGCTGGAATTTGAGCGTTGGATGGCTTGATATAGACTGCGCACGTCGGGCCTGTTCAGAGGGTCCTGAAGCAAATGAGTCACAGCCTGGTAGACTTCGTTGTCCAGACCCTGGCGCAGGCGGGAGGAAGGCCTTCCAGGCATGGTGGTGTGTAGGTGTTTGGTTTGCTGAGTTGATTGGCTCGACTTGTTGATGGANCTTTTTTCAGGGAGAGCCGACAATGTGGGGCTGCGACAGACGGCCGAAGCACCCAAGTGTTTTCGGGGTCTCAGTGGGATTGTTGACATGCAATTCACCTTTGTGCATTTCTACGCATACTCTACTCAAGCCCAGTCAATCTGGGATAGCCTTTGGGTAATTGACCTCTTGCCTTCTCAACCCTCTCGCGCGAAACAGGCAGCAGCGCGAAAGATGATTTTCCTAGGAAAGAGCGTCCGAGGCCGAAGCTTTTCCGAATGACATCAACATTCACATGCCAATCCATGTGCACCTTCGAGGGCAGGCACGCGCTACAGACAATCTACGCCCGAACTTGCCATATCCGCCTCAACATGGGCAACTCATCGAGCACGCCCAAGATATCCGCCCAGGATAGGTCAGCCACCATGTCCCTGTCCGCCGTCGCGACCACTCTTCTGACCCTCGCTANNAGGGCTATCCTTGACATGAAGAACCAGCGCGATAAGCTACACCAATACCAGAAGCGCATCACCATCATTACCAACCGAGAGAAAGAGATTGCCAAAGAGTGTTTGCGGAATGGCGACAAGAGACGCGCTCTACTTGCCCTGAGGAAGAAGAAGTACCAAGAGTCATTACTCGCCAAAACCGATCAGCAATTGGCTCAACTCGAGACCCTCACGAGCGACGTCGAATTCGCCCTCGTCCAAAAAGATGTTGTCTTCGGTCTGCAGCAAGGCACAAAAGTCCTGAAAGAGATACACAAGGAGATGGGTGGCCTAGAACGCGTCGAGCTCATCTTGGGCGAGAACGAGGAGGCCCAGGCATATCAGAATGCACGTTACTCTATTCGCTTGAACAGCTATACACGCATACTGACAGTCTTGCAGGAGATCAATGAAATGCTCGGCACGAGGATGACCAACCAAGAGGAGGACGAAGTCGAGGATGAGCTCGAAGCTCTAGCGGCAGAGGCAAACAAGCAGAAAAGGCCGAGCACAGTGGAAGAGGGAGTCATCGCGCCTATGCCCAATGCACCTACAGATGCACCCAAAGAGACGGCAAAAGAACGAGCGGCAAGACGAGCAAGAGAACGAGGGACGGACAACGGTCCCGAGCCTATACTTGCATGAGACATGAAGCATGATTGGATGGTGGTGTTCTTTGGTTTTATATGTTCAATACCCATGAGTCTGGTTTTTATCGACACACACCTGAGCTTTGCATCTGTCCTCTTTGGTTTGCTGTGTTGTTGGGTTTTGTACTGGTTATGACGCACGGGCGACAATACCAATGACATGAATGGGCAGCTCCGATCTCCAAAACCTGTCAGTCAACTCGCAAACATGTGAAGAATTTACCAACTGTCCCTCAAGACACCACAAGCATCATGTCGCACTGCCACGACGAACATGAAGGCCATGGCCACGGTCACGGTCATTCGCACGGCGCCCACGACCATTCAGACGACATCACTCCCGCCCTGCAAAACAGCCTCTACAGACAGATTGACTTTGACGCCATCAACACGCTGAATGAGAGCGCATCAGGCTCCGGAAGCAAAGTCTGCAAANAGACATGGGACGAGCGGTTGAACCCCGAGCCCGAACTGTGCAGTGATGCCGATGAACAATTACTGATGCACATCNCCGTACGCCGTCTACCGTTCCCTCTCAACGATCATTGCATTGACAAACACCAAAGTTTCACGGCCCAAATTCGCCTTCACTCCATCATGATCCGCACATCTACCACCGACTCAGCACCTCTGACCCTCAAACTATTCATCAACCGCGACGACCTCGACTTCAGCACCGCCTCAGAGGTCCAGCCAACCCAAACCCTGTCGCTGTCGCAAAGCAACGACATTCAAGAAGTCCCCGTCAAGCGCGCTCTGTTCAACACGGTGCGCTCGCTGGATCTGTTCGTCGAGGACAACTGGGGAAGAGGCGAGGAAGACGAGACACGCATCTCTTACCTTGGCTTCAAGGGCGAGTGGATGGCTCTGAACCGTGAGCCCATCAACTTCATCTACGAAGCTGCTGCCAACCCAAGTGATCACAAGATGGTCTCTGGCGTCAGGGGTGAGGTGGGCAGTCGTCTGGGAGGAGCAGGCGGAGGAGGTAATGGCATGTAATCACCACGTCAACCAGGAAAGTAAAGAGAAACATCAAAAGAACCATAGGCTATGGCATAGTACACACTGCATAGAGCCTGCTACTTGCGTATCTGGTAATAAGCAGGTGCATACTCGGACAGCCAGCTCTTTTCTATCTTTGTTATGTCTCTGATGAACGTCTTGTCCCCCGTCTGCATGACTTCGTGGAAGATTACCCAGTCCGCCTTTCGGTTCNNTATTTGTCCCGTTAGTGCTGTTACATTCAGCCATGGCCAAAGAGAAGCAGTACTCACAAACATCAGAGAGCTGGGATGGGCGTGCAATGTCATGCTGCCATCCACTGTCTGGAAAGTTCCATCCGCTTGCATCCTAGCCGCATGCACGAAATAGCCTGCTGTCAGACATCGACGGATCTGCTCAGCCTTGTCAGGGCCTCCCACAGTCAATACGCCCTTTGAGCTCAAAGACTCATCCACGTTGATGCCAAAACGCTCCATGTACCGCTTGAGCTGATTTCGCACACTGACAGCTTTTGTCATGCTCTTGAAGTTGAGGTGATGATTGCGACACCACGAACCATCCTTCTTGCCCTTGGTAACAAATGCTTGATACACATTGAGCAATGTCAGATGATCGCCCTCTGCAACTGCAAACTTCCACCTCGAAGACTCCATGGCCTTCTTTTCTCCTTCGTGCTGAAACCAAACTGCCCCTTGTAGAGTCGTCATGGCAGCAATCGTTAGGATCTCGCTGAGACACCCGAAATCTGGTGCAGAAAGTAGGACCTTTGCCATCATGGGCTCTACAGCCAGTTCTGCCATACGAACACCCATTGGTTTAGTCAATCTTGCGTAGTCGTCTAATGCTCCCAGAGAGTATAGCATTTCCAATGCTCGGATAACGAGCTCTGATGGCGGTGGTGTCAGGTAGTCGAAGCGAACAATGTTATCGATACCCAGACATTTGAGTTGTAAAACCACTGGTGCGAGATTACTCCTTTGGATTTCAGGCACAGAAGCATCATCCAGAGAATCGTATGCAGCTTCTGTATAGAGCCGGTAGCATTTTCCAGACTTTGTTCGACCGGCTCGACCGGCTCTCTGAGTTGCTGCAGCTTTGGATACCGCAGTAGCTGTGAGAGTTTCTATACCAGTGCCAGGATTAAATGCTCGTAATTTGACGAAGCCAGAGTCGATGACGAAAACAATGCCAGGAATGGTTACCGACGCTTCAGCAATGTTCGTGGCCACAATGACCTTTCGAGTCTCTTCCGCTGCTGGTTCGAAGACGTACATTTGCTGTTCGGTTGAGAGACCGGCATATAGTGGTAGTGGTTGGAGTGCTTGTGATCCACGAGGTAGAGAAGGCAAGCGGTCGGCAATCATGGACATGCACGTATCGATTTCCTCGCGACCAGTAAGGAAGATCAGTATGTCGCCTTCGCCTTCTTGCGTATGTATGTCGAAGACTGTCTGAACAGCACGCTCAACGTAGTCCTCGGCAGGAGCTGTCAGATAGTGAATATCAACTGGAAACATTCTGCCTTCGAGATTTACAATGCGGCCAACATCACCACCAGGTTCGTCAGTCTTTGTCGAATTCTCTATACTGCCTTCGTCGCGGGTGAAGAAATCCAAGAAGTCCTCTGCTTGAAGAGTTGCACTGCTGACGACTATCCTCAAGTCTGGTCGGCGCTTCCTGATCTTCTTCAGAACTCCTAGTAAAATGTCGGAGCTAAGGGAGCGTTCATGGGCTTCATCCACCATAATGACTGAATATCGAGATAGCAAGGGATCGACGAGTGCCTCTCTCAGTAGCAGACCGTCTGTCAGAAACTTGATCTTCGTAGCTGCTGAAGTCACGTCCTCGAATCTGATCGAGTATCCGACCNNTGTATTGATTAGTCTTTTCAAATACTCAGCAGAACATGATATTGATACCTCTTGACCAAGGTTACATCTCATCTCTTCGGCGACTCTCGCAGCGACTGTAGTTGCAGCAACCCTACGGGGCTAATGTTCCTGTGAGTATATGTCATGTTGGATGTTTGCAAAGCCTTCGTACTCACCCACCTGAGTGACTGCAATCATCTTGCCCTCTCCGCACCATCCTGCTTGATGTAGAAACTGAGGAATCTGGGTTGTTTTACCGCTTCCAGTCTGGCCTACAACAATGACAACAGGATATGTCTCTATCAGGTAGAGAAGACTTTTGCGATGACGGGCGATTGGCAGTAGAGAAGAAGGCTTGTGGAGGGCAGGGATAAAGTCCCGAGCTAGGTCGAAATCGGCCATAGTGGTGTATTGTTATTCAAAAAATCATGACTTTGTGATGGCGTTGGAGAGTGGTCGATGACATGATGCTGCAGATTGGCGGCGTGGTGGTGGCTTGAAACAGGGTCTACAAGCTGTCTCTACCCCTCGGCTCCGCTGCCTAAACATCATCCTGACTTTGTAACACACAACACCGCCGACATGTCTGAAGGTTCACACTCAGAGAAGCCCNGTACGTGTTCATCTCACGCATCTTCTACAAAGGCTGACTCGACTGGTAAGCAGAAAGCGCGCGCCGAATCTCCAACAACAGCACGCGAGCTCGACTTCGACGACGACCACCAAGACAGCAGCCCTCTCAAGAGCCCGACCCTCAAACAGGTCAGCTTCGTCGAGGTCGAAGATGAAGACGCCCCATCCAAGCCTGTGCGCCCCTTGAGCCCCAAGGCCCAGAACGAGAAGACGCTCAAGGAGGCCTTTCCCACAATCGACGATAAGGTCATCAGCGCCGTCCTGATAGCCAGTGGTGGCAATGTCGAGCCTGCATTCAATGCTCTGCTGGGTACGTTACTTATGCTTGTCTTGTAGACCATGACTGAGTGCTCGCTAGCCATGTCTGACCCAGACTTCAAGCCTGAAGAGGCTCCACCACCGCGTCCTCCTAGACCTACCCAAGCTCAGCGCCAGCTTGACGCCGACGAGCAATACGCCCGCCAACTTGCTCAGCACTTCCAGTCCGAGCCTCGTCCTCAGCGCACCAGACGAGACGACGATGATCGAGGCCCACCTCTTCCTAACCGCCCTAGACAGCAGCGTCCAGGTCTTGCCGAGGACGACAGGGAATACAGCTTCTTCGACGGTATCATCAACCCAGCTTTCAATCAGCTGAGACTAGTGGCTGACTCGGCTGCAGACGATCTTCCCCAAATCAAGGAGAACGTGCGCAAGGGTTTCTTGGAGACACAGACAAAGGTGAACAGATGGATCACCGACTTCAGAAAGAAGCTGGACGGAGATGACAATGACGACCCATACGACGGTCCTACCAGACAGGACAGCCCTCCTCGTAGACAGAACTACGGCCCTTCACAATCCGAACAGCTCTACGGCATCCGCAGGTCGGCCGATGTGAGCAGAAAGAGCACAGACAAGGACCGCTACGACCTGGACAACCGCGTCTTGGATGACGACTTCACAGCTCTGGAGCTCCGTGATGATGAAGGTGTGCTAACAAGCTGAATCAGATAAGCGTACATCCACTGACTATTGAATANNGCTCAACCTCGTGCTTCGTCCTCGCGCAATCGTCCTCTCGCCAATTCCGACCTCTACAAACCCAACGTTGCCCCTCCTCAGTCCGGCCCAGTCGATGAGGTCGACGCCATAGACCGTAGGAATCAGCGCCAACCATCCCCTGGTGCTGCCTCCAAGTCGGCCAAGTGGCAGCCTTTGACCTCGATTGCCCCCAACCCGGAGTCGGATGAGAACGACCCTTTCAGTCTTGGCGACAGTGATGACGAGAAGGAGACCAAAACCAAGGACACCAGAGAATCTGATACTGCGCGTCTGAAGGAGGCCGCTCGCAAGAGCGTGACCGCTGAGTCAGCAGATGCTCCTCAGAAGCTCCAGGCTAGCGAGAGATCTGGAAGTACCAACGTGAGAGACAAGGAGGCCGAGGCTCTGTTGACTGGCAAGAAGCCTGCTTGAGAAGTCGAATCATATATCTCCGATCAATTTCTCAACCTCTGGTACATAGCAACAGCTGAGAGTAATTCAATCGTTCAAAGAACTTTCTATCCGTTCACAAACCAGGCTCGCAATTAACCCATCTCTCACGGCTGGTGCACAGTAATATCGTCAGCTATAGGAATGCATGATACCCTTTCGTAGGGAAGTAGTATCTGCTGAGAGTCGTAGTTTCACCAGCTCTATTGCAGGCAAGACGTGGTACAAGATTGAGTCTAATGATCTAGATATAGGAAACAGAGAAGCATAGGCTGACAACGGTGGTCAATACTCATAGACCACTTTATATAAGGCCTATAGAAAAGTGATATCTTTTCAAAAGACGCCTAGGAAGAGGATGTCCGCTTGTTATTGTTGTCCGGCGTATAGGCCTTTGAATCTGCTACTTAAAGTTTGTAAGAATAATACATCTTTCTAGTGCACCAAGTAGCACATATGCATTGGCGAGGATGGAGCTTACAGACGTCGAGCTTTCTCCTTGACACTTGCCTACATGGTACTTGGTTTGACCTCGTTAAACCACGTCCTAGAAGTCTTATTGAGTAGGTAGCGATATCAAATGTAGCATGCTCCCTCAAGTCTGCTGCCTCTATAATTAGTCAAGAGTAAGTTCGTGGTGAGCTTCGACGCTAGATCCTTCGCTCTATGATTTTCATCGCTCCTTCCCTAAACCATCGAATACACACCCCGCTCCCAAAGATCAGAACAAGATCTTCAAGCCGCAAAGACAGCGTGATGGATGCCGCAGTAATCTATTTTGGCAACCGGGCACTCTCTGTCGTCCTTTTTTCCCACACATTTGGGGAGTTGGTCGCTAGGAAGGACGGAATACGAAGCACGTTGTGCACGACCTCGGATTCTCATTACAGCATGACTACGCCCTTACGAGATGGCAAGGGAACAGCCAGATGGCGATACATCACGGACGGTTACAACAAATATTGGTATCTGAGGTCTGCTCTTCGATGGCTGTCTGTCGTCGCCGCCGTGACAGATCTGATCGTCTTCGCCATTGTATACCATGATTGGGCGAGTTATGAAAACATCCATACTTTGTATTTCGGCCCCGTATTCTTCATCGTAGCTGTAAGTGACCTATCTGCTTCTCATTTTCTGCCCGAGATGACGGCTCAACACAATGGGACATGTCAAGCTTACTGTGGTTAATAACAGCCTCTCATATCCTTCTTGACCAGTGTTATCGCACTCACGCTTCTGTTCCTCTCACGACGAAAGGTGATCATCAATCCTGGATGGCTGCTTTCTATGGACCTCATCACTGGCTTGCTACTGGCCACGGATCTGGGCTTCAATGGCCAATACTTTCCGGCAGGGAGTCACAGAAGATGGTACCCCGACGGGCTATGGCTTCTTCAAGTCCCTTATGGCTTTAGCTTGGTCTTGGGGATCTTCCACGTCATCCTTTTTCTGTTCGGGATCTGGGAAGTGCATGTTCATCGGCGAATGTCGCGAGAGCAGCGTGTTCTCAGCAGCTCTGACGATGCTGAAGCTGGAAATGCTGGTTCCAAGACAAATTCCATCGAGCGAGATGGTGCATCAGAAGATATCGAGCTACGGAACACCACTTCAACAACGCCAAATGCGGCAGAAGTTACAGGTATACCCTCACACGTCGAAGCGCCAGACACTCCTTCTTCGCGCACCGAACTACCAGAAGACACTCTGGTCGAAATGCCAGCGGTGCTACCAGGCACGATACTAGTGGAACTCCCTGATGGACGCATCTTGGAGTTGCCCGAGGGAAGCCGTTTCGGAAACCGTGTGGAACTGCCAGCTGAGCCTCTAGCCGAGCTGCCAGATGATACGAGTAGAAAGTTGCGTATCAATACGCAGCTGGGTGAGGGTGGGCCTGATTCGGCGTCCACGACATCTACTCAGTGGTATGGCAGTAGCCCGGTGGCTCCGTCGTATAAGACGCAGGAGTGGTAATAGTAATATCATAAAATATCAAACTAACACTTTGTCGTTCTCCTGTGCGTTGCTCGCACAATGTGCAAGATTCCGTTGCCTACTGTGTCTCTTTTCTGCGTCTAATAACCAAGTCACGGGGACTGTATGCTCATCTCAGATGACAAATTAGGTCTAGATAGACAGATTTGAAAGAAATCAATATGTAAATTTCGAAATTACAAGAACAGATATACACACAACAAGCCAAACACATCTAGTGGTTAGACGGAAGGTACCACGGACCTCTGCTGTCTCTGAAGACTTCGGTCTCGGTGCCTCCACACACATCTTCATATCTATGCCAGAACTTGGTCTCGTTTCTTGCACCACCCTTCCAGTCTTCAATGCTCCACCATTGACGGCGAGATGCAGCATCGTAGCCAGAAACGGCAATGGCACCGATGGGGGACTGGATGTGGACATCGAACATCTTGCGAGCATACTTTTGGTACCAGATGTTGGCCCACCATGTCTCACGTTGGGAACCGGTGCGTTGGTTGCTCGGGTCATGCTGGATGATGGCTGGTGTGACGCCAGTCCAGGCGTTCGTAAGGAGAGAAACATTGGTCCAGGACGTGTTACGAGGAGGAAGAATTTCCCGGCTGTAGGTCCAGAATGGGGGCAAAGATGCACCGACATCAGGCGCAATTTGACTGATCCGGCTATCGGCGATACCGTGTTTTGCGTTTGCTGCGTGCACTGATGCCGCATCTCCAAACCTGACGAATTCCATATCGCCGTCAGCGTGCGCGGCCTCAAAGGCAAGCCCACTGGCGTAATCCAGACCGATTCCGTACTCTCGCGAGAGGTCAGTTTCTCTCAGCTGCTGGGCCTGTCTGTCTTCGACCGCGCTGGCACTCTCCCAGAATGATGAAAGCCAGGAACCAAGACGTGCAAAGGGCGAGGCCGAGGGGATCCTGTAAGACTCACGGGCCATTTCTTGCTCGGCAAAGAGTTGGCCGAGAACCTTACCTTCATCTTGAAGATGCTGGTCGCCTATGATGCGCTTCGCAGCCTCAGCATAGAGCTTACGCATTTCCTTCACGGGTCCCATGGCAAATCCTGAGTTGATGTATCGTGGACGATGCTTTGCGAAAGAATCTTTGCCCTCCTCAGCTTCAGCATCAGTCTGAGGTCCATAGATGTTATTAGGCAGTGACGATTCGGGTACTGCAGAGCAAGCTGGATCCTCTGCGTTCCAGGGTGAGCAGTCCCTTTGAGCACCGAAGATGATTTTTTGACGGATACTCAGAACGTCGGCATTCGCTCCAAGTTCTTTCCTAATACGCTCATCTGCATTTCTGTTCGATTCAAAGTACCGGTCAAGAAGTGTTTGAGGGCGCAACTGGAACCACGTATTCAGACCATCTGCTATGACCACAAGATCCTCATCACGAGTTGTTGAGATGTTTCTAAGGTGCTTGTCGATGCCAAGGATACTGGTCTTGCGAGAAATTCGTTGGGCCAAGTCCAGAGTGGAGTCAGCATTTTCCTCTTTCTGCTTCTTGCCCGAAAATCCTATCAACATTGGCTCCGGATAATTCAGGACGGCGCTGCTAAGAATAGTCTTGCAGTAGTTGGCATCAGCATATCTCACAGGATAAACCATCCGGAGGTAGGCTGGAGGCAACAACGTCTCCTTCGAGGAAACGATTGGTTTAGCGGAGTCATGACCACCCTGTATTATTAGATTGGTTGGGGGCAAAGGCGAGAGGGATGCGAAGTCACATACCGAAGACAAGAATAGGAAGATGGCGAGAAGGGACCCAAGGATTATCGCCGGTCTCAGAAGTCGTGATCGCTTGTTGGTGGTGTGCTCCTTCTCAAGGCCATCCTCGAGGTGGCCAACCGGTTCATAATTTGGCCCACTGCTTTGCCATTGCTTCAGCTTATCCATGACACTTTGCACCGGCATCGTAATGGCGATTGGATGGTGCTTGTCGCGAAGGGGCCGAAGATATGTGAAGGCCGACCAGGACGGAGCAAAAGAATGAATATCGCAAGCAAAAACGGAAAGAACCACAGAACCCCTGGACGGCGGCCTTGTTGGTTGAAAAGAAGGGCAAGAACACTTGCGTTTCGCGCAAGTACGGGGTAGGATCAATGTACATTAGCAAAACGGCCCACGAGCGCCGAGTGCTAACTTAGTATGAGCCGCTGCGTCTGTGCCTAGAAAAACGAATTGTAAGGATACCTATCCATAAGCCTACCGGTTACCCCTTGAAAAATAAAAAGAATAGCCATACTCGCTAGCAAAATTGCCAGCGGCCGTTCTCTCCGATGTGCATAAGCAGATTACTAGTCCACCCATGTCTGCCTCTCCAACTGAACAACGCCACTTTTTGGTAAGAACGCCGCATCGGAAGCTAGCTTATGGTATCTACGTATATCAGAATGAAGGAAAACATGTTATTTCTTTATGTAAAGCACAGATCGAAGTAGAATTACTTAGTGCATTATAAAGATGTATTGTTTTTATAGACTTTGAGCAGCAGCTTCGAAAGCCCCTATACCGGGTGCTTATGATGAACGGGCACCTTCTTCTTAAGCGTCTTCCGAGGATATATTTGATCCTCATAATTTTTGCAAAGCGAAGTCCAAGAATGCCAACCACCGTTGTCAGCCCAAGCTCCTCCTCGTCCTGCCTCTGGATCGCTAGACTCGATCTTATACCACGTCTTGCCTGCAATGGGCTCTTCACTGATGGGCCGCTCAGGCAATCTCAAACTGGCTTTGCGAAGCTCTTCACCATCCTGGTAGAACCATAACTTATCCCACCATAACTCGCGGAGAGCCTTCTCACCGGTGAAGTGCAGGGTGACAGGAGCCAGATCAGTGACGGTGTTGACACAGAGATCGACATCCTCCCACGACTTGGGATATTCCACAGAGCTGTTGGACGTAGGTGGCGAGGCCTCGAATGCAGCATAAGGTGGGAGTGAAGAAGAAATGTCTTTGGCCACCTTGAAACTGTATCTTTCTTGAGAAACATCACCAGCCTCGTTCGTTTTGGTTGCCCAGGAGTCACTTGGGCGGATCCAGGCTAGGAACTGCTTGTAGAAAGCCAAAGTCTGAAACATGGCCGAGAAGTAGTCAATACCAATGTGGTATTCGGTTCTCTGCCCCTCGTGAAATTCGGGAATCTGGCGAGGGGGTTCCTCTTCTGTGCGGAACTCCTCTCGGTATCTCTCCTTGGCCTGGCTCTCCAGGAGCTCTTGATCCAGAGACAGACGAGCGAATTCCTGGTCACCAAAGACATTGGCAAAGTAGAATTGATCGGAGTCTGTGGTGTGGTTATTGTGGACAAGGTCGAGAGTAGCTTGAAAGACGTCAATCATGTCCTGAATAGGTCCCATGATTGTTCCCGAATTCAACCATCTCGGCTCGTTGTGTGTCTCCCTGAAATCATTCTCTTCGGGGCCAAATGCAGTTGGGGAGAGACCGGTGTGTGGAACGGCCCAGCATGCGGGGCGACTGAAGTCGATGGGCCAACAGATCTTGTCGGGGCCGAAAATGACGGTAGTACGGTGGTCGCCTCTGTCGAAAGCGTCTTGGCCGAAGGCCTGAATGGTTCGCTGATCGTGGTTCGCGTTCATCTCGAAATATCTCTTGAGCAGAACGTCTGGTCGCAATTGGAACCAGACGTCGTAACCATCCAGGATGAGGACTAGATCATCCTCCTTGCTGATGGGCTTCAGCCTCTTCATGTAAGCAAGAAGGGTCTCGATCTTGGCGAGATGTTGTTTGTACGGATTGGCTTCTTCATGTGCGCCCCAGTTGATCAGGACAGGAGTAGGATAGTCGAGAATGGTAGAGGAGAGGAGAAGCTTGCAGAAGTCTCGGTTGCTACTTGTCGCTGGGATGAGGTAGTGGAGACCGGCCTTGCCATTGCTGCTTGATGGTGTAGAGAGTGTGGAGGTTGAGGGTTTCTGTTGCCGTGGTAAGAAACTACGGTCGTAATGGGCTTGGAGGGCACTTACTGTGGTGCTGATAGAATTGACTAGACCGCTAACTGAATGAGACGCCGTGTGTGTAAACAGAGTGATTAGAGTTACGAGCACAACAGCAAACCCGAAGATCCACCTCGGTTTCAGGATAGAGCGACCCATATCACTGTATGACATGTCGGACCTCGACAGCGAAGGGAAAGACATGGCGACAGCAAGAACAAAAAAGAAGGATTCGCACTCTCAGAGGCGCATGGAAGGTGTGCGTAGGATGCAAGGGATCAAGTTCTGAAAATCCCAAGAGCACCCGGCGGATTATGGATAAACCCCTGGGCGGAAGTGGTACTCGGAGACTTGTCAATAGACGATTGAATAGAAGCTGCTAGGGGCTCGCTATCGCAGCAGCATTAGTAGCGGTCGAGCTGAGGTGTGGATACTCCCACTGACAGCATTACACGGCGGCTTCTTGGACTTCATCTAACACCACAGGCAGGAGATAAAAAGGAGCCCGGTGCATCACGCGCGTGGCGCTCGCCAGAACACGCCAAGTCTTCAATGTCGAACGAGGGCAAGCAGGGGCGGCTTGATGCCGAGTCAGTCAGCACGCCAAGCCGAGAACTTTGAGTCTTTCCACATGAGTAGTTCTGAGTTCACCTTGTTGGTTCTTGTTCCCGACCTTGGCAGTCGTGTGCTTCAGCCCTGTCGCCAAGGGTGCAATACAAATTATATCATGCCATTTGACAGCCTTTGTTGCATCTGCTCCTCGGACGAGTCGGCTCTGACGTGCCGTTGGATCGCTGATCAAAGAGTCGCCTGGTGCGTTCCAAGAATGCAGCTCCCTGAAGTGTTTGTGTCTGCCGACAGCTGCAGTACTGGTACTGGTGCCCGCAAGCCCTTCCCCTTTCCATGCGGGTCAGAACCGGGCTCGTTATCGTACAAGGGATTTTGCCTGGCCGCGTAGCTTCGAGCCTCTTGTAACCGTACTGACGATCACAAAACGGGGCCCCTGGTTCCGACATGCAGGTTGGTCAGGGCCAAGCACGGCGTGCCCGACTGAAGCGAGGAGGATCTCCTTTATCGGTTCCCTATTGTTAGTGCTGCCCATGTTATTTACTTAGTGTTCGTCTTGCTCCCCCAAAGTCTTCTTCATTGCACTCACTCGCTCTCTCTTACATTCTTTTAAGCCCAGACTTACACTACATGATGAGCCCCGTGAAGAGTGTTTGCTTTATTGGCGCCGGCTTTGTCGTGAGTTAATCTTATCTGAATGCGAGCTGCCACGAGGTGATCTACCGAGCATGGCTGACAAGACTTCCTATATCACAGGGCGGTCCTAGTGGTGCGGTCCTTGCACTCAAGAACCCCGACGTCGAGGTCAGCGTTGTCGACTTGAGCGAAACCCGTATCGCAGCATGGAACTCAGACGCCCTCCCCATCTACGAGCCCGGTCTCCTTCCTGTCGTCAAGGAGGCACGCGATGCTGAGGTCCGCNCCCAGAACCTCTTCTTCACCACCGATGTTAGAGGCACCATCAAGCGTGCCGACATCGTCTTCATCTGTGTCAACACACCCACAAAGACGGCCGGTATTGGCGCTGGCAAGGCACCCAACATGGCCTACTTCGAATCTGCCACCCGTATGATCGCAGCCGAGGCCGAGAAAGACACCATCATTGTCGAGAAGAGCACTGTTCCCTGCAGAACTGCAGCCAACATGAGAGAGATTCTTAAGGCGATTGGTAGACCTGGCGTCAACTTTGAGATTCTCTCGAACCCCGAGTTCTTGGCCGAGGGTACTGCTGTGGCCGATCTTATGCGACCAGACCGTATTCTGATCGGTTCCATGCAAACACCTAGCGGTCTCGAGGCAGCAGAGGTCCTGGCAAACCTTTACGGCAGCTGGGTACCTAAGGAGAACATCTTGAAGACAAACATCTGGTCCTCGGAGCTTGCCAAGCTCGCTGCCAACGCGCTGCTGGCTCAGCGTATTAGCAGTATCAACGCCCTGAGCGCAATCTGCGAGGCCACTGGTGCCGATGTTGGCGAGATCGCATATGCCGCAGGTCTGGACAGCAGAATTGGCTCGCGCATGCTTCAGGCCTCGGTCGGATTTGGAGGTTCCTGCTTCCGCAAGGACGTACTCAACCTTTCCTATATGGCCGAAACTTTGCATCTTCCTGAAGTCGCTGCTTACTGGCAATCTGTTGTCGCTATCAACGAATGGCAGAAGTCTCGCTTCACCAAGCGCATCATCTCAACCCTGTACGGAACTCTGACTGGCAAGAAGATTGCTGTCTACGGTTTCTCGTACAAGAAGAACACTGCCGACACTCGTGAGAGTGCTGCTATCTCTGTTGTCAAGGACCTTATCGCTGAGCAAGCCAAGGTCTGCATCTACGATCCTCAAGTCACCAAGGCACAGATCTGGGAGGAGCTCGACATCAATGGATGCCATCTACAAGACGTCGAAAAATACGTCTCTATCGCGCAAAACCCCTACGACTGTGCTTCCGAGTCTCACGCCGTTGTTGTTCTTACCGAGTGGGATGAATTCTCCAACAAGGATGTCGTCCCCGCTAAGAAGACTGCTGGCGAGAACCCTCAGCAATTATTGCCCAGCCCTGTCGCATCCGAGCACTCGTCTGACAACGAAATGGAAATGACACCTGCGGACAAGTCTGCACGCGAGCGCTACAGCCCCAGAGTCGCCATCAAGCACGCCGAGGCACAAAACGTTAAGGTCGACTGGGAGCAGATCTTCGATATCATGGAACGTCCAGCATTCGTTTTTGACGGCCGTAGAGTGATTGACGCCGGCAAGCTGCAACGGTTGGGCTTCCACGTCGAGTGCATCGGCAGAGGCAACCCTTTCTAAATTCCCAAAGGATTCTGGCATTCCTTTTTCTTATTTCCTCCTTGGGGCATGATCTGGCATGATTCAAAAACTAGAGAGCACTTCTGGGAGTTTGGTTGGGTGGGTTTCATCATGTCTATACTTACGTTCTTGTAATTTTTCCGATCAATCTAATTCAGCGCCATGCGCTTGAAAGCACAGCAACAACTGTCTTGTTCTTCAATGTTGGTGACGCGTGTTCATGTACTTGCAAGGATATAATAGTTGTGAGCGAACGAGCATCACCAGTTGAGTCGTCGATCCCTCGACACCCGTTGGATGTGTGTCTGGTTTGAATCAAGATGTACATTCTCGTAGCTTGCATTGCTCTGCATCAAGGAACAGCACAAACGTGGACGTGGTGTGCTATACGATATTCGATACGGCGCTGCAACTCAGGAACTCGAGATCCATGCTCCATCCCGGCAACCGAGAAACGCGGATTGTGAAATGCCGCTCGTGGTTGGGCGGACATTCATATCCGTATCCGATTGATACCCAGCAATCTGAGGTGGCTCTCGTTAGCCCTCGGGGTGGATGCCAGCCATGGACGCCAACAAACCGTGGCGCCTGCCGACAGTGGAGGTAGGACTGCCTATTCTCCGAACGCGGCATTGACAAGACCGGACATCCGGGCGCATACGTGGACTTGCATATCTCGATTCCATCCTGTGGTTTCAGACTTCATAGCGAGTGCTTGTTTGCTTCATGTCCGGGTGGTTGGGCAGCTGGGCTTGTAGGATCTCCGATAGGAACGTTTTGATATATTGATAGGACTTTGACTTTTGGACACACGTGAGAATGCCGATCTTGAGCTTGACTTGTGTCTCCGCTTCCCGAAAGTCGACATTCTCAAACAAACCCCCTGGAGCCCTGGTGCTTTGGCGCAATCTCCACAGACCCCACCGTGATAGGCGATGTCAAGAGATTTTCCGTGCGCAGATCCTTCACCTCTTGGCCCCTAGGGTATCAATGATCTTGTGGGTGTGATCTATCTCCTTTCCAACGGACAATAACATATAGCTGAGTTGGGACACAACGGTTAGGAAGTTGCGAAACGGCGTAAGCTGGAGGAGGCAGCACGTTGGACTAGACGGCCTCTCGAGAAATGAATGCTAATTAGCCCCTTGTTAACCGTCGGCTTCAGGCCTGGTGAGAGGCCTAGTTTGAAGGATGTTCTGTTGCGATTGCTCCATTACATGCTTGGCAGTGAACGCTTTGGAGAGGGGCGGCTGCATGCGGCCCCTTCGCATGACACGGCTACGTAGTTTGTAGACGGGCTCGGAGCAGGTTATCTGATGATATATTAGCCAGGGTAGGCTGTCTGAGGCGTGCGAGATACTTCTGCATTACATCGTCTCTCATAGCGACCGCGTATTCTCCTTCGTCACAGCTTCATTTGTTTCATTCCTTTTGACTTTGCCGCATACCTCGCTACAACTATCCTCGTCGACGGTTTCCCTTTTATCAACTACAGTCATGGCTTCCCTCCAGGAGAAGCAACCACAATTGTCCATGGACGAGTCCGAGTTTGGCGACATCAATGAAGAGCAGCGCCAGAAGCTGCTGAGTTACGACGACGATGTCGAGAAGCAGTCAATGGTCGAGGAACAGACACAAGCAAAGAGCGCACAGGATGGCGCCGAATACTCTGTCTCGACTCGGGTCAAGATGATCTGTCTGGGGCTATACTTCGCCATGAACCTGGGCCTCACGCTATACAACAAGGCCGTCCTCTCCAAGTTTGCTTTCCCCTGGCTCATGACTACATTACACGCTACATGCGCGGCAATCGGATGCTACACGCTCCTGCTCGCAGGCCACATCAAGCTTTCATACCTCACACGACAAGACAACTATGTCCTGGTGGCATTCTCTGTCCTCTTCACCATCAACATCGCCATCTCAAACGTCTCTTTGGAGATGGTCTCTGTTCCTTTCCACCAAATCGCCCGCTCGACCTGCCCTGTCGCAACCATTTTGATCTACCGCTGGTTCTACGGCCGCTCCTACGCGAAGGCCACGTACATGGCTCTGATTCCCATCGTGCTCGGTGTTGGACTTAGCACATACGGCGACTACTACTTTTCTCTCGTCGGCGCATCTCTCACCTTCCTCGGTGTCTTCCTCGCGGCCATCAAGGTACGCTTCTCAATCTAGTCCTTCACGTGCCCGTGTCCTTACTGACAATCCTACTAGACTGTCGCAACCAACCGTCTCCTGACCGGTAGCCTCAAGCTCCCCGCCCTCGAACTGCTCCTGCGCATGTCTCCCCTCGCCGCCGCACAATCGCTCGTCTACGCATACTGCACCGGCGAAGTCACTCGTTTTGGCAACTTCGCCGCTGAAGGTGGCCTCACCTCTTCCGTCATTCTCGCCCTGCTCGGAAACGGCATCCTCGCCTTCATGCTCAATGTCACCTCTTTCCAAACAAACAAGCTTGCTGGAGCCCTGACACTGAGCGTCTGTGGCAACCTCAAGCAATGCCTCACCATCCTCCTCGGCATCGTTCTCTTCAATGTTCGCGTTGGACCCGAGAACGGAGCCGGTATATTAGTCACTCTCCTCGGCGCTGCATGGTACAGCAAAGTCGAGTTGAGCGTCAAGAAACCCGCCCCAAGATCATGAGCTTTTCCTTTCTTCTTTTTCCTTTGTCGACTAAACCATATTATCGCATACATGACTGGCGTTTCATCTCCTCTTGGATCCTTCGAAAATATCACCATTTTAACCATATACTTGAGCATCCATCAAGTTAATGTATATATATAACCTTCTTTCTTTTCTTCTTTCGTCGCTCTTCCAACAACGGTATAGAGTGATAGGTGTAGTAATTATTTAAATCACGCGATACTTCCAAGAACCAGAACAATGTTATAATACCTACTGTGTTTTCTCTCTCGTTACCACAATCATAACAGCTATGCTGTCATGAAAGACATTCAATAGCGCCAAAGTCATCCGTATAACAATATCTTCGACCATCCCCTTCAGTCGTAAGGACGCATCGTCTCGTTGGCCTCTACCATTTCAGCAAAGCCCTCGATCTTCGTCGTGTGGGACCAAGGCTTGCGTTCCGTCTCCTTCCTGACGGTAGCAGCGAAGCAACCAGTCCAACCCTCTCTAGGCCAAGCCTTGACAACACCCTCGATCGTGTCCTTGTGCACCAGCTCTGGGTTTGCACCGGCATTGTCGAGTAACGTTGCAAAGTGTATCACAGCAGTCAGCGTGGTGATGTTGCCAGTCTCACCCACATCCTGATGTCTGATGATGGTCTCACACACGGATTCAGCAGTAGACTGAGGTGCTCCGTGTTGGATCAGAAGATTCAGTGCTTGGATGCCGCCTTGGAATTCAAAGCTGAGTTGCGTGGAAGACATGTTGGCGTCTGTGGTGCCAATGTCGTGGAGGAGGCTGGCGAGCAAGTAGGTCTCTGGGCTGTAGCGCCATTCGGGAAAGTGCTGCATGGCGATTGCTCGGCCTNNGTTATGTGTCATTGTGTCAGTGGTGTAACCGCATCGAACAGCATCGAGTGATGTTGATGGATCCTTTGACGCACCGTAGTAATAGACGCGCATGCTGTGGCTGAAGGTCTGCTTGGGCAGGTGATCTCTCGCGTGTTTCATGACAATGTCCACGACAGGGCTGCTGGGTAGTGGCATGTCCTCGACTCGAAGCGGTGTTGCCTTTGACCTCGGGTTCTTGCGATTGGCGAGCAGCTTCTCGAGGCTCCTTGGAACTGCAGTCCACCCGTTGTCTTCGATTGTTTTCGACATGATCAATGCCTGGTTGTGTGTTGGTGATGGTCAATGGAACGAGGTTGAAGCTGGTGATGGAAGCTGTGGTTGATACTCAGTGTCTGTGATAGTGTGCTCCGTCTTATATGCTCGAGGCTTATGTGAGAACAGTGACTGATGCGCAGACAATTCGTAATCTGTGTAGTAGTAGTCGTCTTTCCAAGGGCATGGACCTCGTCAGATGCCATCATTCTGGTAGCTAAATTACCCCACGCTTGATGTCAGCCCCACCTTCCATCATGTTTCAGATGTCAAACACCTTCAAAGCCCCCTATTACACATGGAAAGCATCATCTTCTAATAATGGCAGTCATGTACTCAATCCTTGTTTGGTATACAACTCCTACTCAGTGACGCTTCCTCATGCCTTGATCTCCCAAATGTCGAGGTTCTTGCCTGCCTTGTTCTTCCTCTCGCGCTTGCCCTGGTTCATCTCGTTCAGCTTCAACATAGTCTCACTGGACTGAGCGAACGCAATAACCAGCTCGCGCATACGTCCAGCCTCCATGAAGCACTCGGCCAGACCCGTCTTATCATTGGCGACATCGTTTGCCAGCTCCATACTCCGCAGGAGATGATCACGGCTGATCATGTGAGCGCCCGCGCAAAGGACCGCGTTGTATGCGAGTACGACCTCGGGGAGGTACCAGTTGCGGATCTTGACCAAGTCGGCGGCTTCATCGTCTGCTTTCAGGTCAGTTGGGCTCCAAGCTTCGAAAAGGGTGTTCATCGTACCATCCTTAGCATGCATGAGTATACCACTCAACACAGGCTCGATCGCAGCGCAGGTGTTCTCAAAGGTTGCCTTGACCTTAGCCGGCAGCGAACTCGGTCGTGGAACCTTACTAGATTCGCAGTCAGTACGGCCAGACATTGGCAAACTCGCTGATACATACGTGGCATAGTCGTGCTCCACTGTCCTCCAAGCATCAAGAGCATCAACAGCCTTCACCAGCAAACTGAGCTCATAGTATCCTCTGCATTGTTTTTGAAGGACGCGTAGCTTTGTTGCGTGTTCGGCATCTGGAGGAAGTAATGAAGTTTCCTCACGATCCATCACATTGACCGATGTCCCAAGAATAGGTCTCGATTTTGCTGTACACAGTAACTCGAAAGACAATTGGTCAACCAAGCGTGAGGCTTCCTGGAAGCAGCCATTGACNTGTAAACATCGTTAGCACGAGAAACCATTAATTTAAGACGTTTGTAACTCACGAAGCAGCTTTCTGCAAGCATACGCAAGAGTCTGGAAGGAGACGTCCCAATGACCCTCCATAAGATGAAAGACAGCGAGATGGTCGGCAATACCTTCACCACCGTTTCCTTCTTCCACAAAGTTCAGCTTGATTCTTTGACCAGGATAAAGATCATCTTTGGTGTTCTCAATAATCTTCAGGTTGCCCTGCTCAGCGGGCTTCTTGGGCAGCAATTCATCCATGAGATACTTGGCCTGTTCGATTAAGACGGCGACGGGATCGATGCCATATGTGGACATGAGCTTGGTAAAGTGCATCTTCTCTTGAAGGTCTTGTACGTCTGTCATGGTCTGTGCAAGGGACTTGGTACCACGGATAGGCGACATTCTCGATGCGTACACTGATGTGAGCTCCCATCTGCCAGCGGCGCGCAGGAGTTGAATGTAGGCAGCGATGATGTTGTCGAGAGCTTCGGGGTCGGACTTTGTGTCTGAAAGGGGCTCGTGGAACTCACGTAGCATCAGAACCATGTGGGTGACAATACGTAAAGCGTCATAGTCGTTGAAGATGACGCTCTCTCGTTGAGAGTCTGGAGAGACAGCGGTACGCAGAGGAACTATAGTGGTCGAGGTGGTTTGGTACCAAGCAGCGTCTGAGATGGCCGTTGCAAGGTTTTTGCACAAGTCGGCAAAGTTGTCTGCAATGAGACTGCCTTGTAGCAACTTGAGAGGCTTCCTGGCCTCGTGCGAGGTGGAAGATTGCTCATTGAGGCGCCTGATCAAGTTTCGAGCGACGTCCTGTTGGTCGCCATGATGTCTGAGAGAATCGAAGAGCGGGAACTTGGTGGCAGTTCCTGATGCAAACTTCTCTGGGAAGCTCTTTTGTAGATAGTCTTCCAGCTGTCCGATCAGAAGGGAGTTGTAGTGAGCGAAGATGTAGTCGTCCCAGCTTTGACACACGCGCTTAACTGAGTCCAGATCGCCACTGAGCACACCATATACGGCGGCTTCATACTCGTCCAGACCTGTTTGCTGTGTCAAGGCGTAGCACATACGACGCCAAAGCGAACCAGCCGAAAGACCCGGAAGAGCCATGTCCTTATCTGAGTCGGCAGAGACAGCCATGCTAACAGCGCGCCAGCTTTGGTTACGCTCAGAGCACCATTGGCAGATGTCGTACCATGAGTGCCCGCGCCTTAACATTTCCCAGCAAGTCATCCAAAGTGCTCTTTCTGAATATTCGTCGGCCTTTTCCAGCACACGGTACTGACGCGTCGGTGCATCTGGGTCCAAGGAAGATACCAGAGGTTCGTTGCTGTGAGTGCGCTTCACGTCGAGCATATCGGAGGAGGCGGTCGAGAAGACGCGCATTCTTTTTGTTCCCTTGATCCTCTCACGCGTCTCCATCCAGCCATTGGACCAGATACCTGTTCCTCTGCCTGACTTCTTCTCCAACTCTTCAGCAATTGCCTCGATATCACTCTCGCCGTGGTTGGCAGCTCCTTGTAACCATTTGAGGACCAGATGTCGCTCTCTGGCTGGATCATTGTCCAGCGTAAAGCGTTCCCAGATGTCCGAGTCGGATGTGTATGTGTTCGGTGCTCCCATGTCTGCTAGTCTTGCTTCCTTCTCTTGCTGGCGAGTCTGCTTCTCAGGAGAGTATCGTAGCTCGAGCATGATGCGGAACAGCTCCCAGGTATCGAGTTCGGCTTGCCATTGTCTCAGTGTGTCGAGTGAGGTTTGCGCGGGAATGTCTTCGTCGCCATCGTTGTGGGTGACGGGCCCTACTGCGCCAGAGAGGCTGGAGCTTCTTATGGGAGATTGGGTGATTCTCTTGCCGAATTCGTTCTTCATCTCGTTGACGCGCTGAGCATCGTGACGTTTCTTCAGCTTCTTGACCATACTGCTCGCAAAGTCCTTGTACTCCAGAGTCAGGTCGATGGCGGTACGGTATGCATCTTGGCCATGCAGACGGGAGTTGAACTTGTCGAGAGTCTCTGCAAAATGGTCGACCTCGCGACCGACGCGGTCTGCCATGTCGCGCAATGGATTGATTTGATCGATGAGCTGACTGGTGGGTACGAGGGCGCTTGCGTTGCTGTCGAGGTTCTGGAAAGGTCGAGTTAGTGTTCGGGTCGAGGCTAGGAAAGCGACAGGGAAAGGCACCTGTGAAGTCGAGTGGCCATTTGTGCGAGTAACGTCGGCAAAGGAGCTCGTGTTGGTTTGGGAGCCCTGTACAGTTCAGACGAGAGTTAGAGCTGGCGCATAGAGAATAGCTTGTGGTTGTACCTTGCGATGGACGGGCTTGAATGCGCCAGAGCTGGCCGTTTTCCTGGTCATGGGCGCCATGGTGCCTGCGCGCTCTAGCAATTCGCTTGAGCCTGAATGTCTTTGCAATTGATGGATAAGTGCGCTAGGACTGTTGTTTCCTTGTGTTGCTTGACAGATAATTCACATGCGACTGATCAGTAGAATCGGCAAGAGCTTCCAAACATTCAATCCGCGTTTCCATCGCGCCAAGCCTTGACCAACATGGAAGCTCCTCGAGACAAGACTCATCCAAGCCCACACTCTCACTCTCCCTGCCATGTCCTCAAGACTGTCGTGCGTCCTTACAGCTACACATCTTACATACTTGTGCGCACGAGGAGGGGAGCAGACGAACACCAATACGACGAATCACGAGCTGCTGATTGACAGGGTGTGTATTTCATCATGACTAGGTAAGAGTATGCAACATGTACAGAATGTGGTATCAACAAAGGAGAAAATCAAAGCAGCAATCGTGTTCAGGAGCTCTACTGCAAGAACTTCTTCTTCCATCCACTGAGCTTGCCACGAAGTCCACTGCTCTTTCGCTGCGGCACTGGAGGGCGGCTCTCCTGCATTGGCTGCTGCTGTCCGTTTTCTTGAGGAGCAGGAGCGGACTCGGGGGCTGGAGCAGGCTCCTTCTGTTCCTCCACCACTTTACTGGCTGTGGCTGGAGGTGAATCTCCAACGTAGGCATTGTTGCCTCCTACAGCAATTGTGAAGAGGGCAGGTGCGCCGTCATTGACTTTACCAGACTGATCTGCTCCTCCTTCTGGTTGCACATCGTCGTACGCAAATCCGTAACCTTTGTTGTCGAGGTTGCGCTCGTGCACAATGCGACAGTAGTGGTTGGTCGGATCGGTCTTGTAGTAGGTCGAGGGATCTGATGGCTGCTGAGTTTGAGACACTAAGGTGGTACGAATGAAGCCAGCAGCAAGACGAGGGATGATGGCATTGCGAGTACCATTCGGTCCAGTAGTGAAAGGGCCACTATTGCATCCGAAGATGTCTGCTGTGTTTGGCTTCTGGAAAGATTCCTCGCCAATGAGCAGTTGGCCATTTGAGACCTTGCCATCAAGAACACCTGGACCTGCCTGGGTGTCAAGCTTGAACGCTCTGGAATCCATGCTGTAATAGTTCCAAACTTCGTCGACATAAGGCTCGTAATATCCTGCGAAGTTCGCTCCAACGGCATCTCCATGAGATGGGTTGAGAACACGGAAGTTCTGTCCATTTTCCTGGACGATCAGTTTGTCCCATGGCTTTCCGTCCTTCTGTGCTTGAGCCTTCAGATCGGCGCATACCTGTTCAAGTCCATCTGCAGCCATGCCCGATACATGCTGTATTGCACCAGCTGAATTCTTCAAGGTGATGGCAATGGGAACGTTGGACACAAAGTCGACATAACTGATGTTGGCGTACAGCTGAGCGTCGTTCAGTGTAAATTCGCAGAAACCGAAGTTGACCTTTGCGTTTGGATCGCTAGGGTTGAGTACGGAGGGCTCGACGAGAGCTGGTCCGGGATTCAGAAGGAAGTTCAGCTTGCTGTCAATTGAAAACCAGACACGACCACCGGCAATCTGAGGCACAGTAGCGGTAACAGTGTTTCCTGGCTTGCCAAGTGGTATGGCACAGTCTTCTGCAAGCTGTGATCCTATTGCAGACGGGTTTTCTGGAAAGTAGGGAGTCTTGCCATCTGCTTGCAATAGTACACGTCGTCCGTCAGCGATGTTGATGCCTGTAACATAGGCCCAGACATTGCTTGAATTGCTGTTGTTGACAAGCTCAAAGGGTAGAGTTGCAACCATGATAAGATGATGTAGAAGTTAGATGAGAGAACGATTTATGAGTGAGGAAGCATATGAATTGACCAGAATTACCTCTCCTTATATACAGCTTCTTTGTCTGGTGTGTCGTCGTGAATACAAATACAGACTTACCAGAAGCCGAGACGAAACAACAACAGCGCTGTGGAGTGACGTCTTCATGCCAACTTTCTGCAGCCAATCTTGGCCTAGAGAAGGAGTTTTTAATTTACTCTTCACCCATCTTTGTTCGCCATGTCTTTAGCGGATAACGCGTCGGCATGTGCTAGCAGTATTCGACACAAGGTACATGGCCGTTGGAGGAAGGAGAGTCGCTGTGTTGCAGGCTGAGGCGCAACGCCCGAATGAAGTACACAGGGCTGCAGGTCATGTGGAAGCGTCAGACCACACACGTTCTCTGCCCTCCTTTTGGCAACGATCTGGAAGTCTGGTTCTCTGTTGCGAAGGAATATTACCCAATTTTTCGTCAATCGTAGCTAGAGTTCATGAGAGGGAATCATAGCCAGTCTCACAGCACTCTTCGTTTCACCAGTAACCATCAACACTCGATATACTGCTATCCTTGATCTTCCAAGATCGCAATTATCCGTGGTACTCGGACATGAACAAACATCCAGACGCTCACATGCGCTACGAGCCTACTGATCTCTTCGAACATCACAAGACCTAGGCGTGAGTAAGGCGAGAAACGAGATTGTGCAGCAACTGACATCTGCACATGATTAAGCTTACCCCCGAGGTGTTGAACCACTAGAGAAGTAGCAATAACGGTCGAGGAAGCATTGATATGTGAGAATGACACCTGCGGCTGTGGTACTGACAAAGCACATAAGACAGGGTCGCCCGCGCCTCATGATTGAATCCATTCCGAATTTTCGATGAGCAGACCAAGCACTGGTACTGCCTGTCAAGTAAAAGGATAGTTCTTGGAGGCTCATAAGATGAACTACTACCTGATTAGGGAGGTCAACAATATGTTGAGAATGCTGTTGTTGGCTGCTAGGCTTCAATTAGGGGAACTCTTCGAAAATTCCCATCAGGATCAGGAAGAACAAACATATTTGATATCCTTTCCACATCTCCTCATTGGCACAAGGGCATAACCACATCATTGATCAAGGTCCAAGCAACACACACAAGCAAATACAGTGTAGAGACATTGACCATGCTGCATTTCATACAGTCTATCAGCAAAACCGTGGCTGGAGTCAAGCAGTTGGCAGTCTGGCTTCGCTCGATGTTCCGGTAAGCAAAACATCAGCACTCCCAACAATTACCACAGCGAACAAACGTGAACGAAAGTCACACCAGGGCGTCTGCTGCTAGAAGGAAGCTACCCTATGGCTGAGACAAAATGTTGTGCTCTCCATCAGGGAATCGAACCCTGGTCTCCCGCGCTTGACGAGATGTGACTCTTGACAAGCGGAAATCATGACCACTAGACCAATGAAGATAAGCTAGCTGCGCTGCTATTGGTTGATGATGCAGATTCTGCTTGCTATCAATATATCTTAACACATCAGCAGGAGCCTACTTGACTGAGAGTTGTCATAGAGAGATCTCACAGTGCAGTCGACTCCTCTGCATATAGCTTTATTGTGGTAACGATTGTGTAGTTTCACAGCTTCATCATAGTTCTTCGTAGTCGTGGAAAGGAGAATGAACCCGCAAGTAGCAGGGTATGTTGTAATCAGTATAAACAGCATCATCGCGTGGCTGGGAAAAAATCACGACGATGACACGTTCGCGAGATCCGATCTTGCCAAGCTTCAAACCTAATCTCACTAATACGATACCCGATCGGGACATGATATCGATTTTCCTCTTGCAGATCCAGGAACCATGACGCCTTTGACATGTCGTTTCCAGATATGATATCAATGACGAGCGCGAGATGCTCACGGTAGGTCGAGCGCGTAAAGTGGTTTTCGTTCTTAAAAGGTCGCGTCCTTCGTACTGCCATTGACTTAGTAGAAAGACCTTTCTATACTGTTTACTCTCTGTTGCATTATTCGTTCACCTAATCTCTCCTCCTTTCGTTGATTCTTATCATATACCATACACCATGTCATCTTCAGCAGGACGTAGGACGAAGCCAGCTCATGTCCTTGACTTCTTTCACGACAAAAACGATGACTCTGCATTGACAGTTCTCGCCAATGGAGTACGATTCCATGCCTTTGTCGACTTCAAGAGGATGAGGAATGCTGCAGAGGCAAACGACAGAGCTGTAGAGGAATACTCGAAACTCGTCAAGATGGTAAAAAATGGCGTACACCAAGAGCAGCCGAAAGAACCCCGTCACGCATCACAGAAACCCGAGGCAGGCCATGGAGATGAAGCATTATACTGTGTATGTCGTGGACCTGACCGAGGTTTCATGATTGGCTGCGACAGCTGTGACGAATGGTTCCATGGCGACTGCGTGGGTGTTTCCCATGAAGAAGGAGCTTCACTTGATGAGTACACATGCCCAGAGTGTCAAAAGGGTGTCAGGAGTCCTACTGGAGACAGTGGCGTTGTGCTCGAAGACAACGATAAAGCTGAGAACGATTCAGAAGAGAAACTTCAGGCCTGGATACTCTCGCACTTGGAAGCCGAGATCGACAAGTATGCCCCATCAAGGGGTGAGATGCAAACGATCAACGTACACGATTGGTACCATCCTTCAACACACTTCTACGCCCTTCAATACAAAGATGGAAAGATCATACCAAAAGAGTTGGAAGAAACACCTGCCCTTCGATTCAAGATGAACAACCTCCTGCCAACCGTCACATTACCAAAATACATCTTGAACCTCGACATTCCTCGATTCCAAGCGTCAGACTTGGAAATCGTTGAAAACGTCGGTCCCTTACCTACCCTAGTCCGCCACAACGATAATCTTTACTTCCTCAAGGTCGTCGACCCTACCCAACCCGCACCAACGAAACGCGAGCTTAAGATCATGAAAGATATCGAGAAGGCCGACTTACACAAGGAGATACGTGTACCCCAAGTCCAGGGGCTGGTGTTCTTCCCAAACTCCAATACCGACATCATGGGATTCCTTCAAACACACATCGAAGACGCCGAGCCACTGACTCACCTCCTCGACTCAGACGTTCCTCAGGCGAAACGCGATCGTTGGGCGTCAGAGTCTGAAAGAATGATCAAGCTTCTGCACAATCACAATATCGTATGGGGTGACGCCAAAGCCGACAACTTCATGGTCGACAAGGACGATAAGCTGTGGATCATCGACTTTGGAGGCAGTTACACAGAAGGATGGATAGATCCCGAGCTGAACGAGACGGTGGAGGGTGATGACATGGGAACGAGGAAGATTGTGAACGCATTGCACGATCCAGACGCAAACACTTTTGACCTTGACGACACTATAGCCGCTGAGGAGAACAATGTTAAACGCAAGCACTGTGAGACAGAAGAGGAAGAGGGGCATGCTGATAAGAAAGCAAGAGTTGAATGAGCATCTCGTTCGCGCGGAGTTCGTGAATTGCATTGTTTGGTGTTGGGTGTACTAGCATTAGATGGATTACAGTTAACGATTAGCGGTAGTTTCATATCATGACATATTCTAAGAGAGGTTTTCTGACGAACATTCAAAGTGATATGTTGAGTTGTAGACCAGCCTTGAGTAGATCAAGAGTTAAATCGACTTGTTATAGCTGTGCATTCGAGACTATATAATAAGAGATGCGGAAAGGAGAGTTGTAGCAGTAATTGTTCGTTCGTTTGTATGTATCTATACAGTACAGTCTATTGGGTATCGATGAACTCCGTCTATGCCGTCTATGGTTCCGTCTATGATGCGTCTAATGCTATGATGAAGTACAAGAATAGTCTAGTGTTTCGTGAGTGAGTTGAGTGCGTGAGGTGAATGTGAATATGGAGATGGAAGAATGAAGAGAGGTGTCGGACTCATGACTTGTTCAGTTGTCCAGCAACGTCCAAGTCATGGCGCCAGAGTCAGTAACAGCGGTGACAGTGAGAGGAGAGTTGGCACCGCTGCCAACAGACTCGAAAGTGAAGTCGAGAACTTTGCCAGATATTGAGCCAAGGCTGGTGGGAAGACGCTTGATCTGGTATTTGAATTCCTGCTCAGCCTCGAGCTTTTTNAGAAGAGGATGTTGTGGCTTGAGGACCTCCATCAGCTTCTCGGCAGATGGCAATCGGTAGAGGAAAACGCGGTTTGTCGAAGGAGATGTGAGAGTCGAGGACGAGTCGTTCTCGGACATGGCCAACAGGGAGTTGTTGGGCGACAAGGCGAAATGGGGGTGGTTGATGTGGGCAGAAGGCAAATCATGCCACAAGTGCTGGATGTCCTCGGAAAGGTGGACAGGAAGATCCTCAAGAACAGTGACAGCACGCTCAGCGGTAAGGACGTGGCCGTGGACTTCACTGAAAGGAACATAGGCCAGACAGTACGAGCCAGACTGGACATTTGTGGCATGCTTCTGAGCAGCTGCAAGCCAGCCATTAGCAAACGGACGCAAGAGCTGAAGGCCAGCGAAGCGTTGTGACACAGCGGGAGCGCCGTCGACAGGCTCTGTCGGCGGCAAAGAGAGCTTGCTAGCATCAAGGAAGGCGTGCTTCAAACCACCCTTGTCTTGCCAGTGCTCTAAGCCAGGCTTGCCCTCTTTCGGCGAGCCGAGATAGACGACAACGCCCTTGTTGCTTAGCTGTACTCGTAGCAGACTGTCGTTGTGTTCGAAGTCGAGAGCAGCGATGTAGTGGCCAGTGGCCGAGGTGATGTATGAGGCCACAGGCCACGAGTCGGCGGGTGTAGCCAGATCATAGATTTGGACGGTGCGTTCCAGGGCGATGGCCAGCATGCGCCCGTCGGAAGAGAGAGCCAGCTCGTACATGGACGTCGGTGAGCACTTGAACCATGGACCTCCACCGATTGCTGTGCGGAGGTCGTTGATAGGGCGTGTGGAGATGATGGTAGGTTCGGAGGTGGTTGTGTCGTAGTGTGTGATGGTGCGGTCGTGTAGCGAGACTGCTCGCTTGCCGTCCTTGGAGAGAGCAAGCTTGCTCTTGTCGAGTCTTGCTGACAGGCTGGCGTCAGATGAAGTCGAAGCCTTGACGCGCATGCCCAGCATCAACGCTCTTGCCGCCTCATCGTAGACAGATTCTCTTCGTTTCGAGTCTGCCTTCTTGGCCCATGTCGTCGGCTCGATGGGCAGTTGTCCTAGTTGATTGGCGAGAGTGACGGCATCTCTGGAGGCATGCTTCCAGTACCGACACACATTGCGTGATGCATAGAATGACCAAGGATCCAGGTACGAGAAGATCTGCTGCTGCAGCTCCAATGGTAGTGTTAGGGCCATGGTTGTGTGTCTTCTCTTTCTCAATCTTTACTCTAGCTGAGGAAATGGGAATGGGGGAAGAGGTAGGGGCTTTATTCGTATCAAACCTGCGACGAAACCCTGGCTGGCAATTGGCGAATCACCTCATCTTGATCCGAATCTTCTCCCCTTGGGGCAATATTTTTGTTGACTCGTCGTCATGAAAATCCCATCCCTTGCAGCGCGCCTCAGCGTCATCCAGGGTCTCCCGCGCTTGGCCCTGGTCATGTTTCGGCTTTGCTTCTTCTGCGCCGAAAGAACATTGATGGCTTGACTCTCTTTCTCCAGCTTCTCACCCACTCTGTTTTGACCACTCGCAGTTCATTGCTCTGAACATCATCTTTCGCCTTGACAGCTCCCTCTCCACCTCCGCAGACAAATCCATCAATGTCTGCCCAAAAGTGTTGAGAACATTCTGTGACGACCGGGCCTGTTAGCGCGGAATCTATCCGATTACCAGAAGCTTAATCCCGAAACGCTATCATAAATCTGATGCCGATGCCTCCCGCCCATACTGACGAGTCATGACCTATTATTATTCTTGTAAAGACTTTGTTTGCTTTGCAGCTTTTTCAAGTTGAGTAATTTGAGCCGATCTTCAAAAAGGCACATCTGCTGTCGTCGGAACGACACACATGGTCTACATGGCAAAACGTGATATCGGTGTCCGATTCAACACCTTTCAATCATGCAGTGCCAGCAACGATAAGATGTGGAAAAGGTATTAAGTATTTCTATATTCTAATGTGGTATCATCGTAAACTTTGTCCCAAACCATATGATGTCTGGAAAGAGACATTCAACTTTTGGTATCCCAAACGCCGCGCTAATATAATAAAGTCCATGTGTCCAGTCTTCTGAGAAAAGAAGCGTCAATCAGCTCGGACAGATGCCCACTAAGCGCCGCGACGGATACTCGAAGCTCGAGACCTGGAGTTGGAGAATGACTCTCGTGTGTTGACGCGATCGATGTCGTAAGGCGAGTGCTCATAGGTAGAGGTGCGAGATAGTCTGGCACCACCAAGTCCTTGGCTGTCGTTTCCGGTCTTGATCTCTTCGAACTTGGGAGTCTCGGCATCACCATGCGACTCATCTTCGTATGAGTAGTCGAAGGCCTCTTGTTCTTCGTTCTGCTCTTCCTCCTTGCTCTCGCCTCCTGCCATCTGCTTCTGCAGGTTTCGCATGAACTCCATAGATTGTTTGGCATACTTGCAATTCTCGCGAATTCTGGGTCCGAACTTGTAGAAAAGGAACGGCATGGGCACACATACGAGAGCGAGGAAGGCAGGAATAGTCGATGCCCAGTGAATGCCGAGGTTGCCGTACATCTGGGTGGTGAAAAGGGGNAAGGCGGCACCGAAGAGCGAACGCAGGACGGAGTTGGCTGCCAGTACAGATGCAGCGAAGATGGTGTAAGAGTCGATCAAAAAGTTCATAATACTCNNTTTAAAGGCAGTTAGTGCTGTTTCCACAAGCATAACTGACAAATGTGCACTTACCAGGAAGACCAACACCATGCCGAACCCGAATGGTACGCCAGCAGCGATCGAAACCATGAAGTGAATTGAAGGCGAATTGGTCCATGCAAACCAGAAAAGTCCGATGGGCAAGCAGATACCACCCAGGATGCAGGGCGGGAGACGAGCCTCAGGAGGGGCAAAGCCGTCGTTCTCCTTGGAGACTTTGACATAACGCTTGTTATCCCAGACAGAGTAGATGACGGCCATAATCATACCCACAGCAACACCAAGGAACGCCAGACCGCCGATACCTTGACTCCAGCCACGGTTCTGTTGGTACACGATAGGGAAGGCTGAGAACAACATGTAGAGTGTTCCGTAGATAATGGCCATGTAGATAGACAGGAGGAGCACAATGGGTTCGCGGAAGAGCAGAATCCAGGGGCGCGAGAGAGCAGTCTTGAAAACTTTGCCGAAGGTTGTGGGGCCTTGGTCGACATCACCCTTGCTGCGGTAGACCTTGCCGGTCATCTTGGACATCTTCGCGGCACGCTTGCGAAGGAGTACAGGGGGNTAAGTCTCAGGGATGAGAAGCGAGCCAACAATCCAGAGCACGCCAGTGCTAGAAGATGAAAATTAACAAACTGAGAACTTATAGTGAGAGGACAAACTCACAAGNATTGCCATAACACCCTCGACCCATCTCCATCCAATGGTCTCACCAACAAAGCCTCCAACGATAGGTCCGAGAACGGGTCCCATGAAAGGTGCTGCGGCGAACAGAGTCATGGCAAGACCTCTCTCGTCGGCCGCGAACATGTCCGCTATACATCCACCGGCATTGGTTAGGGGAGAGGAACCAATGGCACCAGCGAAAAATCGAAGAACAATCAGGGTGGCCATAGAATTGGACCCGGCAGCTCCAGCGTTGAAAGCAGTCAGACCACCATATGTAGTGATGAACAACACTTGACGACCGAACAGTTCAGAAAGAGGCGCCCAGAGGAGTGGACCGATGGCGAAACCCAAGACGAAGAGGGAAACACCCAAGATACCAACTTCTTGGGAAGCACCAAACTCGGTAAGGATCTGTCTGACACCGCCCGAGTATGCGGAAGAGACGAAGGCGACTGCGAGTGTGGCAATGGCTACCAGCGCGGTGAGGCCCCATTTCTTGACCTTCGAAAACAACATTGGGTTGCGAGGGTCGTTGGTGATCCAGTTAACCACATAAGGATCTTCATCAGTTCCAGAACCTGGGTAGTTCCAGTTTATAACTTCATCAGTGATAAGACCTTGGTCTATTACCAAGCGCCAATGAGGAATCGATGATGGGCCCTTGCCGGCCTCGACATCCTTCGACTTCTCCATGCTGATCGTGTGTGTTATAGGAAGTGACGTGAAGCTTTGTTTATCCGGGGTAAACCAGGAATCCAGCTAAGGGTTCAGATGCCAGTGTACGAGTCGTGATGGATATCGAAATATTATAGCGCTTCAAAAGGTAGTACAGAAGAGGGAAGGTCTTTAATATGAAGAAAAAGGGCTCTCTATTGTTGCGATGACAACATGGCAGAACGCTGCCTGGTACAGACTTCGTTATTCCATCGGAGGCGTCAAAACGGAGTACCGAGGTTCCGAGTTCTTGGTATGATGAATTTGTGCAGTCGCTCAGGGAGCTTCGGTCGATCTGATTGGCTCTCGTCCTGAGATATGCATTTATGCAAAGCTTTTCGCTTGTTCGACCTCCGGGAGGGGACGCCCAGAACGCCTCATCTGATAGAAGCTCCGAGGCATCCGAGCGCATCTGCTTTTTGACAAGCACTTCTCAAACGTCGTTGGCGGAACGAGCATACAACAACCTTCGATCTTCGCTGTGAGGGGTCAGATGCTTCTCGCAGTACTTCGTACCTAGATTATAAATCAGTAAGGACTACACCATTTTGACAGCTCTCTTTAGCAACTCTTCTGCTTCTATAAAGAACTGTGCCTTTTTATACTCAGTAGTCTACATTTCGCTCTACGCTCTTGTGGGAGGAGAGAGGAAGCAAGGCCGAATAGGAGGATCCTTGTTTGTACACCCCTTTTAATCTTAAACAAAAAGAGGTTCCTCGTAGCGACTCACGATTCGTGTAACTTGCGCTCCCTCAATAACGACTGGCAAATTGGCTCTGCATTTGACTCGCGGTCCTCGCCTATCTGATCGGGCCTTTGATCGCCGGTGAATACGAGCCGGTGCTTCACGGCTGCCGACCGCCGCCCCCAGCGCCCCGGCGCCCCGGCGCGATGGGTCGCCGAGGAATTCGCCCTGGAGTGGTGCAACTCGTGGTTGGTTTCATGCTCTCCCGTAGGCATTCAGTTGTGCTTCCTGTCCCTCTCCGTCTCCAATGTCTTTTAGTTAGCTATAAGGGTACACAATTGTTTATGGGCTAGGAGTGTGGCCATCGAGACATCCTAAAATAACATCTCCCGGTGGATGTCGCTTCCTTCTGGATAGTATTCTGCATTTCTACAGCTGCGCGTCGTTGAGAGAGAGGGAAGAGGGGAGGCACCACCACTGCATTATCTTGATCAGAGCTTGCATCTCGATAACAGATTGCAAATGCAACCGGTGTGCTTGTATCTTTTTCTACTCTCGGCGACGCCGAATCACGAAGTTGTAACAGTATATGATTTAGGTGGAGTAACACGACTGCCACGCACGTCCAGTCTCATGCGATTTGTACAGAGACCGCTGTGTACCATCCTAGAACGGCAACATTCCGAGACGTTGTTATACAACCCACGTGGCGCCTTCGCTTGTATCCAACCCGCGAGTATGGTAGAATAAATACAGTTCTACATCTTGCACTACACTCGACTGTTTCTACAGAGTCAAGGTGGCCCTGTACGAGTAGGCCACGCGCACTCAGTTGTGCAACTTGGATTCGACATTAAGACCATTCAGCACTCAGTGCGACCCTTCAGTGCTTCGTGTCCGAGACTCTCGGATTTGAAATCAGGCTGCTCGCGATGTGCGGCCATGTAAGTAGTATAGGGCAGTCGCGAGCAAAGCGAGTCCGCAGATGCGCCACGACGATAATGCAAACTGCGAGAATTAACCACCATTCGATCGACTCGTGTTGTCCGAGTCGACTTACAGTAAACGATTGGGTATACCGAGCCCAACGACTAGTGCTGCTTGTTGCACATGCTGCGTCACCCCGTTCAAGTCTGCCGGGCTCGACCGGTGAGCTTGCAACTGCAGAGATGGAACGCAAGGTTAGAGAGAAGGGTCCCTCTTGATCGCCAAAGAAGCTGNNCAGCGCAATATGATTAATCAAGAATCACACACAGCAGCTGCACGGGACTTACCTCCTCATCATGATACTCATCCTTTTGATTGTTTTGAGGTTGATAGGAGCCGCATGCTCCTTCTCCTTACCACGATAGGTTGGCTTCAAACCAGACCATGGAACGAATACAAGGCCACCTTTCTCGAGACTGCTTTCCCCGAAACAAGGCTTGAAGTCGTACTCCCACGAGATAGTGGCTTGTTCACGTCCATTGTCTGGATTGCGGGGTAGCAGTTCGTCCTTGAGAATGAAGGTGTATCTTTTGTCTGCGAGTTTTCAGGTATGAGCTCGGCGTCCTGCACCAACAATCTAGGTGGCATGATTCGGGGAAAAAGGAGACTTGCCGTCCGCTTCTGCAATGTCGAGCACGATTCCTGCATAATCAGACAAATCCCAGCTTCTGTCCTCGCCCGTGGTCCGCTGGCTTGCAAATCCTGCGCCACCTAAGGTTTTGATGTCGAGATTGCCATGGAATCGCCCTGTGCTGCTGTGACATTCGAGGAAGGACTGCGCATCACGATTTTAGCATGTCTGGAAGCTCAAAAGCGCACATGCAGCTAGTCATCCTACTTGTGATTTGCCGCCGCGTACACGATCGTCGCTTGCAGTCCAGTCTTGAGCTTTCCAGGAGNNCTGTAGGGCGTAAACTATTCAGCGTCTCGCAGTCTCAAAGGCATGCAACAGTACCAACCGACTGCCTCCGAACAAGGTCTGGTCCTTTTCTTTGTTCATTGCCATATTTATAGCTGAAGGTTGCGTAGCATGTATATGTTCTGGCGTTGGTTGCCCGAGCTGTGGTTGGTAGCCTCGATCTTGCTTGGCGGTTCAGACTCTCCTCGTGGCTTGCACACCCCACTTTACCTTTGGTCTATTGCCTGCTGAGCCTGTTGTAGCTCTGGATGTACCTACCAGCTCCTTCAAGCTCGGTGTCCTTTCTTGGTGACACCGAACCGGTCACGCATCCCACGCATGCTCCCGCTAGCCAGGGTGAAGGTTAAGGACGGACTCAAGGTGGGGAAAGTTGCAGCCTTACCAGCGTACCGAACGCTCGATTTGGTATGCCCGTTGCGATCAAGTCCTAATACCGTTCTCTCCAGGTACACAATTCTCTTCTAGATAACACTGTGTAATTCGTAGAAGCTCGTAAAATGGATTGTATATTCGAAAGCGGTGACCAATGTCCCGAGCTCTTATAGAGAGCTAACTAGAATAAGTTGAGGTTGGCTCGAAGGAATGCGCCGTAAGACCATCTGTCCAACTCCTTAAACGCCAGCCCAGGCAAACGAGAGTGTGGTATCCCCTTGTAATCTTCAATGTTTGTGCGCCGTCGCAAGATATCTGTGAAATCCCAACGCTCATGCCCTCCTACATCATTCTTGTATCGTTATCTCATTAGCGGCATATAAGCCTTCACCTGGGGCCTTCTCGGACCCTGACGGGTGGCGTCAAAGGTAGTGAGAGGGGTGTGCGGGGAAAAGTCATGTAATCGTAAGAAGGGGAGCTGGTTGTCGAAGGTTCGAAGCTATCTGACAAGGCTGGAGTNCTGGCTGGAGTCGTCAGTCGGAGTGTCCGAGAGATAGTAGGAGGGAAACTTACGTGAACAGCAGGTGCCTGATAGCTGAATTGGCTGGTCACATCCACGCCAGCCATAGAAGCGTAACTCAGGCTGAAGGGGTTCATGTCGTCCTCTTCGTACACCTCTGGCTTGATGATGGCCGACATGCTCGTTTGGTAGGTCATTGTCGAGGGAGGTACCATACATGAAGAAGAGACGGGAAGAGGATACGTCATGTAACTCGAGATTGAAGGAGCGAATTGGCCATGCTCGATGGACGGGTAGGCCTGGTAGCTGAACAATGGTGGTGGAGATGTGGAGAGCTGACGAGTATGTTGGTACGAGAACATTCTCTTGTCGTCGAGCGGCTGTGAGTAAGGGTAGAAATCGTTGGATGTGTGGCCACGACCGTCGACATTGTTGTTCTCTTGGGCGTGCGGCATGTGCGAAGAAGCCTTGAAGCCAGATAGGTTGGTGAGATCTAGATCGACGTATTTGACTTCGGGTGATGGAGAAGACGAGCTAGAGGCCGCACGGCGTTCCAGGTCTTCGAGACGCTTCTTCAGCTTCTTCCCTTGAATGTTTGTTAGCGACATGTGTGATAGCAAGCAGTCTAATTCACGCATACTGTAGTTTCTTTGGGCGATGCGGTTCTGAATTCTTCTTCGCTCAGCAAGATCGGTGATCTTGGTCCAATCCTCATCTGGGTTCGCGCTGGCACTGAATGCACTGCTGGTGGGATGCGTCGAGGCATGGTGCTTGTGTGAAAAAGGTGGAGAGCATGAGCATGAGTATGCCGAGCGTCTGTTCATGTTGTGTGTGTAGAGAGTATGAAGTGGGCGGAGTGTAATGAAAAGAGAAGATGAAATATTGAGAGTCGGAAGGATGGACTTTGTATACTCGGGCTGGGTTTGAGGATCTGCATACTTCAGCCTTGGGGGATGTGGCTCTGATATAGTAGGCGTGTGGTTACAGCTCTCTGCCTGGATACAGACAAGCTCAAGAGGATGAGCACCCTGGACCGTTTAGCGTAAGTGCCATGTGAAAGCTGCAGCGGCATTCCAAGGCGCTCCGCAATTGGAACAGAACGAGCCATGCAGACGGGCTACAGTGACACCGAGCCAAGTCGCCAACTCCGCCCATTATTAGCAGCAACCAGCGGTTCCTCCACACAAATCGGTAGGGCTGAAGGGACGAGAGTGCGGTGAGGTTACCACAAAAGGCCGGCATGTCAGGATTCCCTCTAGACCCATTGTAACCAAAAGCATGCGTCAACAGTAGGCAGCGGCGGAGGGTGCCACGTAGGGTCATGCAGCAAAGCCAGATTTTGGACAGAATAGCCCAAAATCCGTTATGGCCGTCTCGATCAGGTCAGTAGCCCACTCGAGGCGATGCGACGCTCCCTGCGCATCTTGCGCCTTCGGGCGATGCTGCTGCAATGCAAGGATTGGCTAGAAAGTATACCGCTGGCATACTGGAGGCCGGATTAGAAATAAAGTGATAGGATGGAGGGGAAGGATGGGAAGGAGCCGGAGCGAGGAAGGAGGCTGGCTGGCTTGCGCGCGGGGCGTGGTCGGCCGCTTGCTCAGAGCTCAAGCTCTCTGTGAGACCAAGTGATGCGTCGCAGCGTCCCTCACGAACGCCAAAGACCAATATCCCAATCCGGTGTAGATCGTTTACGAACCGATCCTTGTCCCTCTCCCGTCGTGTTCGAGCATACCTACTGGTGACCAATCTCTCGACGCAATGCTGCGGACCGGAGTCGCGGGAGCGAAGCAACGTCTGGCAGGAACGACCGGACCAATGCCCGTCCGAGTACTCGCGTGCAGACTCGCGCGTCCTGCATCCATGCCAACATCCTCCCCTGTCCATAGGGCTGACGCTACTCTATTCCACTCGGACCAAATGACGATTACGGCCAACGATGAGCTTTTGACCTACATGTCAGAGCATGTACTCGTGAATCACAGTGGTAGGGCTGCTAGCAGTAGATCCTTGCAGCATCGCATNNTGCATGCCATCGTTTCTACAGCCCAGCTTCGCTACTGCCNGCCTTCTGCCAGGACTAATTCATGATGCAAGTCGGTCAACGATTGACGGATGGTTGGTAATACGAACCCTGACTGACACCNTGAACCGAGTTGGTAATTGCTCTGGAGTCCTGAACCTTCTGGGAACGACCAATGCCCACCGATATAGAACAAGCAAGGGCGGCAACTTCCATATGAGTACAGCCATAATTAGCAAAACAAAGAATGCTATCGCAGCATCGCGGATAANNCGGCGAGGTCNNTTCGACACACAAAGACAGCACGAGTTCACAAGCGAGACCCACGCGTCTGGCGGACAGCAGAGAAAGTCGCTAATGTCGAGGAGTTCCGTCTCAACTCTGTACGACTCGGTTCCAAATCTCAACCGGTCACTCTTTGTTACCGGGACTTGCCAGCTCGACTCCGCAGGTCTTGCTCTCCCCATACCCCATACCCCATCCCCATGTGCTAGACAACCGCCGTGTAGTTGTAGAGATACACAAACGGTTTCAGATGAGAGACGAGACCAACGAGAGCCAACGAACTCACGGNCTCTCAGTGGGGACTACCCCTTTGCTCAAAGTATTGTGCAATCCTATAGCTCACTGCGACTGTCTTCGGCACATGGGGAGGCCTGGGTTCATCGAATACGAGTGTGCCTGGCTCGACCTTTCCTAGAATCGAGACCGCCTGATTTGATAGTATGTCCGCCCGTAGTCGGACATTTCGACGGTGTATGGCCCTGTCATCCTTGCATAGCAANNGAAGGAGCTGCGATCATGCTAGCCTTCTCGGGAATCTGCCACGAGATACGAGACACANAACTTACAGTTAAGTTGGTTGTTGGAGTTGACACCTCGTTGGTAAGTACCCTCTATTTTCGAGACTTGCGGATGGAGGTTACCGACAGGTACAGAAGACGTANNCGGGTGAGACCTATCGGATCAGATTCTGACAAGCACAACAGCGTCGTGCTTCCATTCCAGAAGCCGAGGGGCCTCACATAATCGAGCAATGCGGTGCTGAACCGGTCAAGTACCGGTGAGAGAACCATGCTACGACAGCCAGCTATGCTTGACAGGCACAGATTCCGCTTCTGAGCAGAAGATGAAAGAGCTCATGAGTTTGGGTCCACAGAACTCTATGATCAGCCTACTGAAACAGTCAATTGAGGTTACAACACAGCATGCATGCAGATTGAACTATCGATACGCGTGCAGGCATGATATTTCGGTTCAATATTTATGTTCATTGGACATCGTACAATTTGCAGCTGTGCAGTTGGCGCAGGGCCGGTCAACATATATATATGCTGGACACCTTCGCGCACTTGACACCCTCATCCGCCCCGAACCCTCAACCCCGCCCTTATCATTACTCGATAAGTTAGTGGTTACCTGCATCCTCTGCATCGAGACTCCAATCGCTACCGTCCGGCGAGTTCGGGATGCAAATCAGGTGATATCAGGATACTGAAAGCACCATCTCATGAGCGAGAGACCGCCGCAATCTCACAACCGACTTTCTCAAGTCAATCTGTAATGATATTGTAAGCTAGGATGCACAATTTCTTTTGAAAACATATTCTGAGATGACCTCTGTTTGGTGGTTATCACTCCCCTTCGGACAATACTGTGCATTTCTATAGCTCTATTATGATAGCCTTCAGCACACTAGCAGACAAGACTTTGTCATGAGCCTCAGACAAGGGGGTGAGCAGCTGTCAATGGGCAATGACAAGGCCTGATTGCCAGTGGCTGCCTGTCAACCTCCCAGCAGCGGTGAGTTGCAGATCCGGACGTGACATAAACCACGTGTGTACCACAGTATCTTATGAGACAATCCGGGGAAAGCGAGATCAGAGTGTTGATGGTCCTTGTTTCTGCATTGTGGTTGGCCGAATCAAATGATAGGTCTCACCGCAACAGGGTTCGAATGGGGTGATGACAGGTGATGACGGACGTCATCTAGAGGCTAGAGCGGGCGCAGGGGCTCGTATGCGTGTCTACTGGGTAGTCGAGGGAAAAGGAACAGGGCAGGGAAATGATTGATGGTCTGGTGGTTGATCCTGCTCCATCGAGGCATATATGGATGCTTGTGCCCATTCAAAGTAGATTCGACTTTTGCTCTAACCAAGCAGAGAGTCCTCGACTCCGTCTTTGCTCATGCGCCCCCGATTTTATCTACACATAAAGAGCAAGAATTCGTCGGCTCTGCCTCGACTCCTTCGTTATACGTTATGTTCCTCATCATTGCGAAGAACGTTTCCTGAGTCGACTCAGACTCACAAGCGCCGAATGACCAACACTGACACGCAGCCACCTCGTGGTGAGATGTACCAACCAACGCAATGCTCTGGTAAAGTGTTGGCTTCAGGTACTGTCAACCGACTTTTGTGTCCAACACCGAACTGATACCATCAAAGCTCGGACGTGTCTGACCTCGAAGTAGCATGAAAGATGATTACACTATCTCCTTCACATATGAGGTCCTGCGCAGAGCACCACATGGACAAGAACAGCAGAGGCCCAACTCACGATACTCGATATAGCTCAAGGTGGCTGAGTCGGGCTTTCCAGACTGAGGTCGACAGTCAGCTTCATAAGCGGACAATCTCCGCACTTGACCAGACTCTCGAGTTCTCGAATCTGGGCCTGGAGAGAGCGATGTTCGTCCAGCAGACGCTCATTCTCGGTCCTTGCGCGCCTTATTTGTTTCGTGGCTGCTGCGATGACAGCGGCTTTGGTGAGTCTTTTGAGCTCGTCGGCTCCCAACCGAGACGCCGATCCACCTTGCTGTTCCTCTTTCGAGTGAACCGTGGCGACAATGCTTTCACGCAGTACATCGACTTGTGCGTTGATATTTTCGCGATATCGTCGCTCTACGATATTGTGTCGTACTTTGGCAGAATCTGTTGTGCGGACGCGAGCAGCAGCAGCGTCAGAAGTCTGAGAGGCGTCCTCGGGACTACCAGCGCTAGAGCTCTGTCGCGATTTGATAGCCACAGCCGGGGATGATGTCGAAGGGGTAGTCAAGCTCTGTTGTTGATCACCATTACGTTCGGCAGGAACTTGAGGGGTTTCGAAGTCCAGGAATGAAGCGTTGCGTTTTTGACCGTGAGATAGGTCACTGGGATCAAGTAGCTGCGTCGAGGGCTTCTGCTGGTCTAGGTAAGACTGGCGAACGGAAAAAGCGGCGAGAGAACTTCCATCGGAATGAACAGACGGATTTGTAGATGGCGCATACTGAAGATCCTGATCCTGGGTCGGAGATGTGAAGTTGTTGATCTCTAGAGGAGACAACGAATCTGACTGAGCTGATGTAGCGAACTGCTGCGAAGTTGGTGTCCCTGGGAGACTGTATGAGTATCGTGGGGTACTTGGGGATGATAGAAGAAGATCCATGGCAGACGAATGATGATATTGGGAAAGCGTTAGAGCGAGGGGTGTATACTAACATGCGGAATCAGGCGACATATGAGGGAATGCATATGGGCTCATGAAGTTGTCCGAGCCCACATCGAAGGTAAAATCGAAGCCACTCGGGTCAGAAAAGGCGGAATATGGCTGCGAGCCGTATGCGTCCGACTTTCGCCAGGGCATGGTTGTGTCAAGGTCTGGTGATTGATCTGGTGATGGGAGGAGGGGCAGAACGGGTGGACGAAACAAAGAGGTCCAGGCACGTTCCTAACGCACGACACACCGACGTTCAAAATGAGTTGCAGCACGGGAGCAAAAGGGATACAAACAACCAAGTCGGGAGTCTGCAGCAGCACAGATGTAGTTGTATCTAGATATTCAGGTCAAGACGGGTGGGGAGCGAGTTTTGAGAGCATTGAGCAACGGCAGTCGACGCCGTAACAGGGCAGGATTTGCGCAATTCGATGCACCGTGTCACGACTCGAGTAAAGACAAGGACAGGTGCAAGCCGTCGGTCCTTTCTCGTAAGGCTGAATGGCTGTTTGGCCCGAGCCCTAGTGAATTGGTTTTTCTGTTGCGATTTTCCATGTCGTCGCCTATTGAGGCAGAGCGATAGTACCCCGTGATTGGCCGATGGGGTATACTCGGAACCGGAAGCTCTCGAGTCGCAACAGAACGCCTTAGCGCGGGTACAAGGGTACAAAGGCGGGAGCAGTGGCGTGATGTTTGACTGCTTGGTCCAGGCCATCACCTGATATTGGACCTTGCACGCTGCCCGTTCCTACAACAAGCTGTCGTAGCCTCCCATCACCATGGGTCTGCCCAGAGTTCATCCCGGGACTGTTGACAGCAGCAATGCTTCAACCACACGTATATACCGCTCGGAGGCCCCTGGCTAAGGTAGGTGGATTTCTCTTTCACCACATCAACCGTACAGAGCTTTTTCTTTCGTACGCAAGCACCACCAATCCTGTTGGGACCTGATCGTTTCTTTGGCATTCCCAGCTGTCGTGTTTGTGGTTCCCTCCAGTCCCAGACAGTCGGTGCACGGATTCGAGTCAACCCTCTCCTCTTCCCTGTCGCCTTTACCGAAGGATCATGTGTGCACAATATATCGAGCAGCAAGACGCTCAAGTCCTGAGCCGCAAACGTTTCGACAGTGTCGCCATGGCTGCACGATCCGAGCAACAGCACAATGAGTCCGATTTCACAACAACCAGAGCATCATGGCAGCAACAACCGTCCGAGGTTGGTCTCAGCATCTGTGAGACGGGAAAACAACGAGCAGCACAGCGTCCTGCTGGACTGCCTTTCGACTGCTGGAACTCACCACTCTGCCCTCGCAACATGCCGCAAAACGGTTCGGCGCGGTCCGCTGGTCAAACTGTGTGCAATCCCGGCACAAGCTTAAGCACGACGACAGACGCAACAACAACCTCTTCACGCAATGATACTCCCACGACTGATATTGTCATACCTGCCGACTCGCCGCCTTTCGATGCCCGTCCCAGTCTGAAGCGTGCCCGTACCGACACCACCTACGACAGGATCGACGAGGCACCCGCTGTCAAACCTGCGCCCAAGGAAAAGAGACTGCCACATCACGTCATTGAGCGACGTTATCGCGAAAATCTGAACACACAGATTGAACAGTTGCGTGCAGCGGTGCCATCAACAACCTCGCCATGTCTGAGTCTCGACATGGAGGATATTGGACCCACGTATGCATCTGCTAGTGTATCACAGAATGCTGCTGCTGCCACCAACAACGGCATCAGGCCTCTCAGCAAAGCCGGCGTTATTGCTCATGCAGCCGAGTACATGCGTCAGCTTTCTACTCAGAACGACGAGGTGGAGAAGCGAAATGCAGAGTTACGCATGACAGTCGAGGCGCTGCGACGACTTGTTAATTGCGAGGGGTGCGGGGTCGTCCAACAACTCATCGATGCTGGAAATTGATCCAGCCCAAACTTTCCTTGAATTCTGATTCTTTTGGGTCTTGAGGGTTCCGGGGTTACTGGCTGTATGTACACACAAGGAGTTTAGGACACTGATACCACTGAGTTTGCTGAGCAAGCGTATGCTAACACCAACTATTGAGTATATTTTCTCTTATCTTTTCATGTTTGAACACTTCACAAACCTCCGATTCCCATTGCTGTGATCAGCACGAGTCTTCCCTATTCATCAGGCTTCTCGTGTGTCATTCCTACTGAGGCCTGATCCTCAGCTCTACGGCCGTGACCCAACAGACCGGGGACCTTACGTTTGGGATAGACGGACCGCTGAACCGATGCTTCCTGTCGTCCCAACACCAGTGATCTCTTGCTCGCACCCCCGATTGTCCTTCCTCCCCGTGTGTAAGAGACAATCACGCCCACCGATCGACCCATCGGCCTCACTGACTCACTGTGCTGCATAAGCTATAATATACACGCTTTCTGTCTGAACAGAGGTGTCATCATGGAGATGCCTGAACATAACGTTCTCTCCGTCGATGACGCTCTCTTATAGAAGGGATTGTGCATTTTCGAAACTACACTGTGACTGTCTACCGCACACGGGAATATTCGATTCGTCGTTCTGTTTACCAATGGAACGGAACTCTAGAGAAAAAAGCATTTCGTTTCGGTCATCCTTTCGGCAAGCATACCTTTTGAGGACTCGTAGCCTCCCTCCTTGCGGCGCGTTCTCATATTTGGTCGATCTTAATGATTCTGTCCTGTCGGTCACGCTCCAGTCAGAAATTAGGAGTCGTGAGCTGTCTACTTTTTCGCCGACAACTCGTAACGTGCCTCGCGAACCCTGAACCGCAGATGGTTGTAAGCGTTCAATCTGGTCCATACGCACAGCCCTAGACCCAGATCCTTGTACTCTCAAACGAAGTGCGTTTGTACGACATACGCCTCCACACAGCCTTTTATTCATATCCTTCTCATTGATATTGATGTCTCAGCTATCCTTGGTCCCTGCATTGTACCTGCCGCTTCGATGGGCTCGGGGTTTGGGGTCTCGGGATTTGCAATCTGCTTGGCTCGATCCCCTTCGCTTGACCTGCCGCATTCGATTTATTTATCCATGGACAAGTCCAGTATTAGAGTTGTGTCTAATACCTCCAGCAACATGCTATGGCTGCTACCATGTCACGGATGGCTGCTCCTACAGCGAGATCTAGTGATAACACAAGCTACAGAAATACATAACCACTTTCTGAACGTCCATGAAGGCCTATGATAACGTTTACTACGTGGACACCACTATGCTCTATAAAGTATCATGCGATTCCATAGCTATAGTATAACCACCCGGGAAGGAAACCAGAGATCTCCATACCCAATGTCCATGGCTGCATAAACTTCATGCACTTCCTCTGTTACATGTTGTTTTGTCGTCTCAGTGAGTGACGGCTGCTCAGTATGAGCCCCAACTACATAGCTGCTTCAGTCATGAGCAATAAATATAGGTTGATGTTGAAAAATGACAATCATCTTTCCCTCGGGCGATGACATGCTCTTTTCCACAGGCAGAAGTGCCTCTACACCTCTCGAGCTCTCGTAGATGCGCCGTAGCTCAAAGCGGTAAGCGGACTCGTTCCAATCATGTGATTGAGACACTTTCTTTCTTTTTTTGTTCTATTCTCACCGAGATGTAGAGGCTCCATTCGATCACGGCTCTTTTGGGCCACGTCTACAAATCATATTCAACTGTGGGTCTCTACGGCTTGCCTACCATGGCAAGAAGATATAGAGAAGTAGAGTCGTAGAGGAGCAGGTCAGTAGAGACAAGGGATCAGAGAAGCGCTGAATCTCACATGCGGCGTTGGTTGTGGTGGGAGACATTGCATTGCCGCAGCATAGATTCGAGCGCGACTATGAGAGAAAGAGAGAGATTTTCATTTGCTACCTGGAATCCACCAAAGTCTTATCCTAGGATCAATACTAATCCAATTTACCTGCTCAGAAATTGGAGCGCAAAGAATTGTTTGCTCATTCCGATTCTTACAAGCTAGCGTTTGCGAGGGGCGTCCGGAGAGCTTGCGGTGTTCTGCCGGTTTGACAACAACATCGCTGAGGAAAACTCTGAAACCCAACCACAATTTTTGAGACCAGATAATTGTCCATCAACGCGATCATGGACGCATCAGCACTACAGAACTCGCGCCGTCGTGCCAATCCTTCAAAGAAGCCCAGAGGAAACCCCAACAAGCGTCCGAAGACCAATGAACCGAGAGAGCAGAACCGCAGTCAAGGAAATGCTGTTGCTGTTCCTCTTGCGCCTGTGGCACCGCTCTCCATCCCAATTCCTTCTGATTCGATGAGATTTACCGACCTCAAGAACTTGCTGGACCCGCTCCTCCTGAAGACAATCACTGATGATCTGAAATTTGACCACATGATGCCCGTGCAGGAGGCCACTCTTCACGAATTGTTGGAGAAGCGCATCGACTGTCTGGCACAAGCCAAAACCGGAACTGGAAAGACAGTTGCCTTCCTTCTTCCTGCTATTCAGACTCTGATCAACAAGAACAAGCCTCGTGGATCCGGAATCTCTCTGCTGGTCATCTCGCCCACTCGTGAACTGGCCATGCAAATCGCAAAAGAAGCGTCCAACTTGCTTCAGCGTCTCCCTCAATTCAAGGTTTGTTGTGCAATTGGTGGAACCAACAAGGACAAGGAGGAGCGCGACATCCTTAGAGGAGATGGCTGCGACATTCTCATTGCCACTCCTGGCCGTCTCTACGATCATCTTGGAAACCAGCAAATCACACAATCTTTCCGCAACCTTGATACACTGGTTCTGGACGAGGCTGATAGATTGCTGGACATGGGTTTCATGGAGGACCTCAAGAAGATCATCAGATGTCTGCCCGACAAGGAGCAGTCGAAGCGCCAAGGAATGCTCTTCTCGGCCACCATCGCACCTCACGTTCAACAATTCGCGCATCTTGTCCTTGCATCGGGATACAAATTCATCTCTACCATTCCTGCAGGTGAAGCTCAGACCCATGAACGCGTGCCGCAACTCCTTGTCACAGTGGAGTCGTGGGCTCAAGTTGTTCCCGCCATGGTAGCATCCATCCAGTCTGAGTGCAAGCTCATCGGCCCTGCCGAGTTCAAGGCAATCGTCTTCGCACCTACAGCAGCCCTTGCCGATTTCTACCACGACGTCCTCTCCAAGGTTCCCGGTCTGCCTCAAGCAAACGTCCTTCATGCCAGAGTCAGCCAGTCACGCCGCACCAAGGTGACAAACGACTTCCGCGAAGCCAGTAGCGCCATCCTGGTCGCCACCGACGTCGTTGCCCGTGGTCTCGACTTCCCCGGTGTCTCCAACGTCTTCCAGATCGGTCTCCCTGCAGACAAGGAGTCCTACATCCACCGTCTGGGCCGTACAGCCCGTGCAGGCAAGGAAGGCAGATCCGTCTTCATCGTCACCGAGCCCGAGTCCTTCTTCCCCCGCCACATCCTCAAAGCCATCACCTTCGAGACCGCAAACCCCGACTTTGCACCCGTGGCACCCCAGGTCGAGGCCATTGTCAACAAGTACGAGGCCAAGGGCAAGACCTACCAAGCATGGCTGGGCTTCTACAAGGCTCATGCTAGAGCCATGAGATGGAGTGACGACCAGCTCGTCGCCGAGGCCAACAAGTTCGCCATCGAAGCCCTGGGTTGCGGTGAGATTCCCGGTCTGGAGAGAAAGACTGTGGGCAAGATGGGCTTGAAGGGCGCAAGAGGCCTGAACATTGTCGCCAACCTGCCGCAAAAATCCAATGGAGGTCGTGGTGGTGGCGGTAGACCCAAGCCAGCTGCCAGGTAAAGAGAGTGCACGGATGAATATTCCTGAGTCCTGCTTCGAACGAAGAAAGATGCATGAGACGCGAATACAGAATGGTTTCGTTGGGTGAGCACGGAGATTGTTTTCTATTAGATGATACCCCAAAAGCATTAGAAGGAGGCCTAGACAACGCGTAGATTGACGAAAATGCACTATTGTTCAGCAAAGGCGTTTAGTCCCAGATTTATCATAGTTTCTCCCTGTCTGCTGAACAACTAATGCGTGTAGCTACGATCTAGAGGGAGCCGGCACGATGACAACTTCCGAGAAGATGCAGCTTAATCATGTTATGTTGTGAATCCGAACAACTACACTTGTGATATGAATAGTCATTGTTCAATAATTCGGACTATATAGATGGGAGTTGCAAGAATAATAGTAACATAAACCAAACCAATGTCCCCAAAACTCCACCGCCGTATCCCTGCTGTTACACTGGTTCTTTGTCCTGCCAAACGATGAAACCCCATCTAACACCTAGTCTTGTCATAATCTCATTGCTAGAATCATCTAGCAGTAGCCTACTCTCGCAGCGCACTCGCAGAAGCGGCCGTGTCAAGCCTGCTGCCACTTCTTCCTTGTTTGGTCCTCGAGAATCCAAACAGATTTCCGTTGGTCTTTCTTTCGGTGCCGGTGTTGCTCATAGCACTCGCAGCTCTGATCTGTCTTCTGAGCGCCGGCCTCTCCGAGTCCACGTAGTCCTCGTCCTCGTCGTGATCATCCAGCGTGGGTGTCAAATAACTGGTCTTTCGAAGGGACGAGGGAGCTCTAGGTGGGTGCACGCCTGGTAGTAATGAAGACGATATCGATCGCGGTTTCGCGCTGCTGGACGAATATGATTGGTATGCCAGTGAACTCTGTGCTCGTGGAGTCAACGGCGAACTTGCAGGTGTCGATACATGTCGTTTAGAAGGCGTCGCTGGAGAGTAAGGCGCGGGCGAGTTTGTACTGCGGCTGAAGGAACTCGGGGTAGGAATCTTGGAGCCTGCCGAGTGTGGAGTCGTTGGTCGATGGGGCAGGGTAACCCTACGATTTGTGGCAGGTTCTGAGGATGGAGGGTGGAGTGACTGAAGAGAGGTGCTTCTTGTGTTGGTTGCGATGTTCCACCGAGGCTTGTTTTCTGGAGCTTTGAACTGGCGAATGAGCGGGTCTACTGGGGGTGGAGGCGTGTAAGGCGTGTATGTAGCTCCACCCGAAGCCAGGTTGCCGCGCGAGGTTTTATGGTTCAAAGACGACTTCAGTTCCTTGGGCTTCGACTGCGGAGTCCTACGCGGGATAGCACTAACAAAGCGGGTGAAGCGGGATGATCGTCCGGGTGTCATGTCGGGTCGACTCACGGACGAGGCTGACGAGCTCCTAGGCGTGTCCATGAAACTGCTGGTCATCGAGTGCTCGGACGAGACAATGGTACTGACAGAATCTCGTAGTTGCTGGTTTCTCATGTCGAGGTTCACTCCTAGCAAGCGTGAGTCCAGCTCTCGCATGTTTGCTCGAATGCTCGCCCATTTTCTTTTCATATCAGATTGGAGTCCTAGAATCTCGCCATTGACCGTCAGTCGATCAAGCACGCCACGGTCAATGATGGCAAGTACTCTCTCGATTGCAGTGCCGTAATGGTTCTTCTTGGCTTCATAGCTCTCGACCTTCTTGGCTAGCGTAGCCGTGTCCGTATGCTGTTCATCACGATCAAGAGCTGTTGCAAGCTTTTCTGCGCTTCGCGAAACCGACTGACACATCTTCAGGGCTTGTTTCCCAGCATTCCGGAAGACCAGAAGCCAACGGTCTTCGCCCAATTCACGACGTAGAGACTCAGCATCAGCCTCGAGCTTCTTCCATTGGGCCTCGAGAGAATCTCTTCTGGCTTCTAGATTGAGACAGGCAGTGGGGAAGACGGTGTTGCCTCTGCAATGGAAGACAGATAGGCGCATAGGTAAGAAGTCCAAGGATGCTCTCAGAGGCTGCATGCGAGCGAACAGGGCGAGCAGATTGTCTTCCATGTTTCCAATGGTAGAAGTCGTCTGTAGAGCAGATGTGGGAGAAAAGGGAGGAGGTAGACTCAGGCGCGGATTGGGAGCGGCCTTGCTAGTGCCAGCTTTCTCGTCGACGATGTGTTTCAACTGATCAATATCGACGTGCTGGTCAGCATCGGCTGTGCTTGATGTGACGGAGAAATGTCTTTGCTCTTCCATTTCGAACACCAGGCCAGCCAGGTCATCGAGCTCAGTCGCGATTCCGCTACCGACAGAGTTGGACAGTTCCTCCCACTCCATGGCAATCTCGACCTGCTCTTTTACGCCAGCTAATGAATCCTTGATCTTTTGCCATTCTTGAATGACGACATCCATGTCGTCGGAGTTGGCCTGGACCTGGTCTTTGGGTAGCGTTGCGATGTCGTGTCGTAGATGCAGCTCTTCGACAGAGAGTATGTATAGTTTGACGACCTTGTCGAAGCGACCAATGGCACGGTCGACATGTTCCAAGCCTTCTCTTCCTCCGGCGGCAGCCCATTCAACATCGTCTTCGGCGTCTAGACCGTCAAGAACGGTATGGGCATTTCGGATCCAGCGGCGTATCTGGTCCGACGAGTCTTTCAGAGCGTTCGCAGCGCTGGCCGAGGTAGGCATGCATGATATACGTGCGGAGAGGGAGGTCGCATCGGGAAGTTGAATGGAGCTGAGCTGGGCGAGTTGGCTGGCGAAACTCACGCGCGACAGCGAGTAGATGGAGTATCTGCTCGACACGGAGCCGGCACGTGAGAGGTGTGAAGTGTAGTCGGTGTCGCTGTTGTAGGCTTCGGGATCGTTGGCGCCGCCGAGGGTGTCGTAGTCGTGCTGTCTGTCGGACGAGTCGGGAGGGGTGAGGGTGGCCTGGGAGCTGCGATTGGGACTATACGTGTATCGGTCGGGCATCATGTACTTGTGCGAGTCGAAGTGGTCGCTCACGAAGCTCTCGCCGTCTGTGTCGGTGTCGACCAAGGCCAGCCTGTCATTGACACTGAAGACGGACGAGTACTCGCTCATCCTGACTGGTTGCTGTCAACGAGTACCTAGGTAGCTGGACGGGTGTAAGGGGCGCTCCTGTCGCTACTGCTGCCTCATCATCCAAACTGCTACCGGCCAGCAAACACCAAAACAACTCAATGTCTCTGCTGTGCGTTTCTTCGAAGTGAGCAAAAGGAGATCTCAAATCTGCGTCATGATAATTCCAAAACAAAGCAGTAGCCTATCTATGTGCAACACATCATCAATACCGTATGCGCCAATCTGTGGAGCACCGTCAATCCGCTTCAAAGTGCTCCCGTCCCGATCGCTCAAAAACGCCCCACATCTGCCTGTCTCAACCCCGAACGCCTGTCACCAAACGACATCCTTCTCCAACCAACAGAGCGGAGATGTTTTCTTCTTCTTCTTCTTCCTCTCGAAACGGGTCCCTCCTCTCTAGATGACTTCGGCCCTCTCCCACCCTGTCGGCTTGGGATGCTGGAGCCCCTTTCCTGGATGGGGAAGTGACTTGTCCTTGTACTCGGACACGAATGGATTTGGGTCTTCCTTCTGGTCGAGATTTCCCAGCGTATGGTTGACCTCGCGGTGCTTCGACTCGTCTGCGCGANNCTGTTGAGGTGTTGTCAGCTTCTGTCTTCCATCGCTCAAAGTCTGCCAGACTTACATGTACATCAACAAGTCGCGCATTGTGCGGTGACCTTCAGGCATGTGCCAGTACTTGATGGCAATATCTGGCGCCACCAGGTTCTCCCATTCCGGAAGTCTTCCAGCATCCAGATCCGCGATCTCGCGTGTGTATGTGAGCACAGCTTCCTCCTCGAGATACCCGACGAAGCGATGTGCCGTGCGAGGAGAAACCAGGTAAGCCACAAACATGGCGTTGAAGAAGACTCCCTGAGCTGCAAGAACCATGAATTTCATGAACGGTCCTGGCTCTGCCATCTTGAGGAATGTGAGGAGATGCATCCTCTCATTGTATGATTCCTCGAGCAGAGTCTCGATCCAGCCGTTGTCTCTCTTCATTCGTCGCATCGAATGCAGGTGTCGTAGCATACCAGCGACCATGCCAGGCACACCGGCCACAGACTCGAGGAAAACGTTTCGGATCATGTACTTCCTCGCTGTCATGACGTGTTTCTGGTTGGCATTNTTGGCACTCTTCTCACCACTGGCTACTGCCTTGTCATGCTTGTAGCCAGTAGCCAAATCCAGTCCCCATCGCATCGTACGGATCGCCGCTAGTGCTGTCCAGTCTGACCATGTTTTGGCTTCTCGGTGTGCGATTACGACTGCTTCCATTTGCTCCTTGGTGTANGCTGGCCATGTTGTCAGTCCTCGGTCTTTTGGATGTGTTGATAGTAGTTGTTTGTTTGCTCACATAGGGTGTGGCCATGCTGCTTCTGTGGTCCTAATGCTAGGGGCATCTGGCGCTGGGAAGAACTGCTTCAAAGCTCGAGAGGGCGTTGTGCTGAACTTTCTTGGTTGTGTATAGCTCATGACCAGAAATGTGGTCTTCGTCTCCCCGATGTCGGCTACCGCTCTGGCGCAGGTGCAGACGCCTCTAGGTGATGGTATGGTCCTTGTTCTGTACATTGTTATAGAGTGATTGAGTGAAGTTAGGGTATGAAAAGTAGATTGTGGGCAGTTGTGTAGAGTTGGTTAGTTGTATAGAGCATAAATGTCTATGGTGGCGAGTTAAGCTACTGCTCTATATATATATTCCTGCCGTGGTGGTAAACACCTTTCTGGATCCGGTCAGAGGAATCCCCGTCGGCGGAATATTCATTCAGCTACCAAAAATCCCTCCGCGACCGTTGACCCCGAGTCTGACCGGGGCTTCGTGCTATGGAGCGCCATACCTATGTGCTTAAATGTTACAATGTTGCTCTATAAAGATACAAGATATTTGCCAAAAGAGAGCGGCATCCATGGAGAGAACAGTACTCTGAGGTATCTCCTTGGCCACTTTTCTGGCTCAGAAGCCTCTGTGTATCTCTGTAACCCACAATCCCGATGTGTTGTTTTGGGAGAGCTGTCGCGATGCGTTTGGCGTCCCTCTGAGAGAGCTCCTTAGCCTTCTGGCATTGCCATATCGAGATTAGCCGACGACAACAAGTCGGTGTCTGCAACACGACAAAGCATCCAGCCTCGTGGAATGCCGGTCCGGGGTTTGACTGCACGAGAAGCACTCGGAATCCCAAGCACTCTTACTTGGGCAGCTGACCACTTTCCAGACAAACAACGGTCATACACTACGGCTTACACTCGGTGGTATCCAAGATGAATTTTTCTCAATGACGGCGACATTGTCTGGACGGTCTACAGATGGAGATGGCTCGGCGAAGTGAGGCGTAGAGAGGGAAAGGGCCATGTTGGCAACAAGTTTGCTGATACCAACAGTGGTCCTCCCCGTCTGCTAAATACAGTCACAGTATGACTGTCAAAATACACAATACTGTGTAGGAAATTGTGATGTCAATTGAGAGGTACCATTCCTGTGGCCACACTCCCAACCTGGATATGATTGTGACCTTCAATAGCACACTGACAGTTTTTGACACGCGGAGAGAAAACAGGTAATGTTACGAACATCATATCATGGTCGTGGCAGGGAGCGATGACAGAGATGCTTTTAGATCCTCTACTTTAGTTTCCTACTTCCATGACTCTTCTGGTTCCGTTCTGTGTTCTTCGTTGCATTCATGTCGGGTAGGTACGAGTATCTTGCCAAGCAATTATTGGGTGAAATCGCTCTCGCCTTCCTTGGTCTTGATATCATTGACATCGAGCTTTGTCACACTAGCAGCCGAAGGACCTTTGTTGAGGTGCTGCTGGAACTCTTTTAGGGCGCTGCTGTCACCTTGTGCTTCACCTGTGACCTAAGGATGGAGTTAGCATGACTGAGATGCTCGAATGCTATCGATTTGACGTACGCTGCCGTCAGAAGCATTCTGAACGTGACCGGTGATTCCCAGAGACTTGGCTTGCTTGACTGTGAAGCTCCTGAAGTTGACACCCTGGACTAGAGTACCTAAAGTTAGTATCATAAAGTCATCCATCTTGTCAGGTCAAAATACCTTCGCCCTCGACCTTGAAGCTGATCTGTGACGTATTTGGTCAGATCGGGTTCTGTAACATTCATCCTCAGGAAGATTGTACATACACGTTGAGACATTGTGCGTGTGATTGAACTGAACTTTCGCATTTGCAGATGGTAACGGATAAGAGGAGGTGTGGTTTGATGGACGAGAAGAAAAGCAATGCTCGAACAGGACCAATGGCATCATATTCGAGATCGGCGTTGTGAAGCTCCATGAAAAGACAGGGTCGCTGCGAGAGTTGGCAGCATGTGCCAAGCTCCAGATGGACGTTGATGGAGCATGTGAATTATTGCATGTTGTCTTTCCACAACACATACAGAAAACACACTGTCTATCCATTTTGCGCTGCATTTCGAACAGTTTGCGTCGCATGAATACGCTCGTCTAAGATCTTTCTTTGCAGCCCTCGCGAGCCCGAGCATGCACCTTCGATAAACAGTCGCGATGCGCTTCACCAAACCTATCTGGTTGACCCACGGAGGTTGGTCGCATTTGCTCGTCCGTTGGATTCCACAGAGCTGTAGCTGACAAGTCACTTGACAGNGCGACAAAAAGGACTTCGAAGTATACAGCTGTCACGTCTCGCCTGATGGAAGCCGCCTGGTAACGGCAGGAGGAGGTGCGCTTTGTTCCACAGACACGCAAACAGGAGCAGACATGCTAAGACGGATACTCTACANNGATGGACATGTGCGAATCTGGTCGACGGACGCGATCCGCAATGGCGCCAACGCAGACTACACCAAGCCCAAACAGCTGGCGGCTATGAGCTACCACTCGGGCACCATCCACTCTGTGCGCTTCTCTGGCAATGGCAAATATCTGGCCTCGGGCGCCGATGACAAGATTGTGTGCATCTACAACCTCGACCCAAACCCTCCCGCCCATACCACTTTCGGTAGCAACGAAACTCCTCCCGTCGAGAACTGGCGCATCTTCCGCCGTCTGATCGGTCACGACAATGATGTTCAGGACCTGGGCTGGTCGGCCGACTCCTCCATCCTCGTCTCGGTAGGTCTAGATTCCAAGGTTGTCGTGTGGTCTGGTCACACTTTCGAGAAGCTCAAGACGCTGTCGCAACACCAGAGTCACGTCAAGGGCATTACTTTCGATCCCGCGAACAAATATTTCGCTACCGCCAGCGACGACCGCACCATACGCATCTTCCGCTTCACTTCGCCGCCTCCCAATGCCACTACCTACGATCAAGTCAACAACTTCGTCCTCGAAGCCACCGTCTCGGTCCCATTTACCACATCCCCCNTGACCACGTACTTCCGCAGATGTTCTTGGTCTCCGGACGGGGCTCACATAGCTGCTGCTAATGCCGTCAATGGTCCCGTAAGCTCTGTCGCAATAGTCACCCGTGGTAGCTGGGAGAGCGAAGTCAATCTGATAGGCCACGAGGGTCCTGTCGAAGTGTGCGCTTTCTCCCCACGCCTCTTCTGTCCTGAGCCACCTCCACCAGCTAGCGACATCAGTGCCCAGGAAAACTTTGCTGCTGGTGCTGTGACCGTCGTTGCATGTGCCGGCCAGGACAAGACACTCAGCGTCTGGAACACAAACTCTCCTCGGCCCTTCGTCGTTACACAGGAGCTTGCCGCCAAGCCCATCTCGGATCTTGCCTGGTCACCTGATGGTGAGACTGTCTATTTCACCAGTCTGGATGGAACCATTGCTTGCTGTGTATTTTCTGCAGGAGAATTGGGCTATCCAGCACCAGTCGTGAACAACGACAAGGCCTTGGCACGCTTTGGTGCTGGTAGAAGGGTCGGCGTTGTTGAAGGCCCGGACGCCTTAAGACTCGAAGAGAATAGCAAAGCCGGCGAGCTCAAGGGTGTTCAAGGCCGCATGGGTGAGCTGATGGGCGACGGCACTGTTGCTGTCCCCTCTTTGAACGGCTCCTCGGATAAACTCGCTCCTCCCTCAACCAATGGCGCAACCAAGGACGCTACAACAAACGGCAGCACCGAGACTGCTGAGCCCAAGGAAGCAATGCCTCCGCCGAATCCACAGGTCGCAAAGATTGATAAGCTCAAGCAGCGCGTAACCATCACAAAAGACGGCAAGAAGCGCATAGCCCCATTGCTAGTTTCTTCGTCCTCCGGAATTGGAGAATCCTCGCTACCAAAGCCACAACTCATGTCGAGTGTCTCCCAAGCCAGTCGTAATGATGCACCTCAGACAACACTGGACTTGTCGAAGCCCTTTGACGGTCTACCAAGAGGCGGTCTTGCTTCACTATTACTTGGTAACAAGAGGAAGTTCGCCGAAATCGAAGGAGATGACGATCATCGTGCCGAGAAGCGCATTGCGTCTATCCAACAGACTGGAGCTACACCCGTGGTCATTAACACTGCCGCTGGTCTTGTTCCGCCAAGTGCAGCTGGTAAAAGCACAACTGAGACTGCTGAACCTCTTAGGCCTGCAATCGTCAATCCCAGCTTGACTACCAGCCAGGTTAGACTAGCAGTGCCTCTGGTCAGAGCGACCATAGTCAGGCCTCTCGATACAAACAACAACCAGGAAAATGAAGGACAGCAACTGGATACAGGAGACGAGCCATCAATTGTGTTCGAAGCACGCAATGCTTCTGGCCCTGCACGTACAGGTAGAGTCCAGGATCGCGACCCTACCCGCCTCACAGTCTCTCGACGAGGTCAATCAATATGGCAAGATTATCTACCACGAGCCGTCTTGCTTGTCACAGGAAACCATAACTTCTGGGCTGCTGCTTGCGAGGATGCGTCAGTCCATATATGGACTCCAGCAGGTCGAAGGCTGCTCAACGCTCTCATTCTCGATGCACAACCTGTCATCATGGATTGTCGGGGCTGGTGGCTTTTGTGCGTGAACGCGGTAGGCATGTGCTACGTTTGGAATATCAAGACTATGTCATCGCCACACCCACCAGTGTCTCTCGCACCTGTGCTTGATATCGCTGCCACAGCTCAACAAGGTCACACTACCAACGGACCGGCCGTCATGTTTGCACGACTCAACTCGCAAGGACGTATCATAGTAGGTTTGTCCAACGGAGATGGTTACAGCTATTCACAAGCCATGTACATCTGGCAACGTCTGTCGGAGCCTTGGTGGGCAGTCGGCAGTCAATATTGGAACACGGCCGACACATCCATCTCGACTGTGCAATCTACTACCAAAGGCACCAACGGCACTTCTACTACTGATGATGACCTCAAACCAGAGAACTTGTCTGCTGGCATCATCCCTCTACTGGAACGTAATACCACGACTCAATCTCTGCTACGTGGTCGGGCTTATTTCCTGCAAAGACTGGTCAAGACGCTGCTCGTTGCGGAAGGATACGAAGGATTCGAGAGCGCCGTGAGTGTTGCACATCTCGAGAACCGTGTCGCAGCGGCCATGACTTTGGGTGCACGCGAAGAATTCCACCTGTATCTTCTCATGTACGCGAAGCGTATCGGCGCAGAGGGTTCGAAGGCCAAGGTCGAAGAATTGCTGCGGTCACTGATGGGTAGCGTGTTTGAGGATGAAGAGGAAAAGCCAGCTGAGGAAAAGGGTCAAGGCTGGATGGCTGAGGAGGGAGACCTTGTTGGGTGGCCTCGAGAAGAGCTGCTCAAGGAAGTCGTTCTCATCCTGGGTAAGTTAATCCCTCTTGTTCTCGCCTATGTCTATTGTTACTGACACAAGCTGTAGNGCAAGCACCGTGATCTCCAACGTATCACTGTCCCATACGCTCGCCTTTTGGGTGTCCTCGATGGCGCAAGCGATGGCTTGGCCTCTTCAGCTATGGAAATATGAGGGCAGAGCATTGCATCTCCAACTATTTGTTTCGTCATCTGCATCTTCACTGCCCTAGCGTTGGCCTTGCAGAAGCGTACGCAAGTCTACAAGACGATACAAGCGATAAACACTCCATCATGCATAGGCGTATTGGCGTTAACGGGCAAAGACCCGGGGTCATGGGTTTGTTGACTGGGTGTTTTCATGGCCACACTTCAGGTCTGCATTTTTGTAGCTGAGACGATGACTGCATGTCACCATGAGAGAGGGCTGGCTGAATTTTGTATCAACGCTTCGTCTCGTCGGTCATCGCCGAGCATACTACTCAATAGTGTGCCGTGTACATGGTCAAGAAAGGTTGCATCGTGCCGAGAGGTGGATTCAAAGATCTACACGATAGATAGAGTTTAAGCTACAGAACCAATCAGCGTCGAGCCCCCGCATCCCAATGGCCCGAGCCCACGATTTGATCAATAATGTCGACGTCACAAAACATCTGCCTTTCAGCTTCCATTCCTTGAGCTTGCCACAGCAACAGCAGACTTCTTCGTGTTTTGAGTGTGTATAAACGGGAGCAGAAAGATGGCGACAAGGGAGCGCCGCGCTTGCAGCTCTGTGAGGAGCTCGAAGGATTGCCAGACCGATGGAATGGAGACGGATCGTGTTGAGGATCGCTAATGCGTATAGCGGCATGAGTAGAACCAGTAAACGCTCTCAGGTATCCGCAAGCGGTAAGTGTAATTGACGTGGTTGGCAGCAAGAATTTTTGGAGTGGCGCATAATCCTACGAGGCGAGTGACAAGACAAAAACAGGCGGTGGTCGCTCCTTCCTCTTACTCTGCATTCGTTTCCAATTCCACTCACGCGACCGGACATACTTGGTAATCGCGACAAACCCGGCCGATTCTCTTCGACGCAAGCAACCTCAGCTCGCTAGTGTCAAGCGACACGACACGACACGACCACCACCATGGACTTCCTAAGGCACTCCAAGAAGAGCGACGATATGCATACCCAAGATGAGAAGAGCCTGCGGCACATGTCATCTAACCAGGCTGAGGCCGAGGTAGGCCAGGCCACAGTCGCCGTGGCGCCTGAAGCAGGACTTTCATTTGGCAACATCCTTAAGGGCCAATCTGCGCACTCTCTCACACCTTTTGAGAAGAAAGCGGCTCTGATCAATGCCGAACTCGACAAGTTTGGCATGGGCAGGTACCAATGGTGCATCTGGTTCCTGTGCGGCTTCGGCTACTTCTTGGATCTGGCCTGGTCGCAAGGTGTTGGCCTTATTGCTTCAGCCATCTACCAGGAGATGAATGTGCCTGATCCCAGGCAGGGAGACATTTTCGCTTGTGCAAACGCTGGTCTAGCCATTGGTGCTTTTACCTTTGGTATTCTGGTCGATGTCATCGGCCGTCGCTTGGCCTTTAATCTCACATGTCTGATCACTTCGGTCTTTGGTCTGATTTTGGTACGTCTGCCCTCAAAGAAATGGTGTTTCATACGCTAACGCTCGGCCAGGNCTGCCCCCAAGTACAACTATGGAGCCATTTGCGGCATCTACTTCCTCTCCTCGCTAGGTCTCGGCGGCAACATCCCCATCGATGCCACTATCGCTCTCGAGTTTCTCCCGCAGAACCGCCGCTTCCTCGTCGCTCTTCTTTCTCTATGGCAGCCCATCGGCGTTGTCGTCGCATCCGCCATCACATATGGCACCGCCGCAAGACCCAAGTGGCGTTGCGATATAAATCTGCCCGCTTGTGGTACTGGCCAAAGGCCTTGTTGCACGCCCGATAGCAACATGGGTTGGAGATATACGCTCATCATTCTCGGGGGCATGACCTTGGTTGTCTTCTGCTTGCGATACTTTGTCTTTACTTTCCAGGAGTCGCCCAAGTTCCTGCTCAGCAGAGGAAGAGACGTCGAGGCCATCGAGGTCCTTCACAAGATTGCCAAGTTCAACAGAGCCCCTCCACCAGTCTTGACTGTTGCTCACCTCGCTGCCGTTGATGAAACTTCTTCGTTGGCTACTGACGAGCTCGAAGTTGCTGGCCGCCCTCTTACCACCATGGAGACCCTCAAGGGTGTCCTGAAGAATACGGCCAACAGCTTCAAGCACCTTAAAGCTCTTTTCACCAACAAGCTGCAGGTCTTCATCTTCGTTCTCTTGGCCATCGCCTATATGGTGAGTGCTCCTGTCTATGCTTCAAACTATCTCAGCTAACATTCTCTTCTTCAGGGTGATTACTGGTCCTTCAACCTTGCCGGTCAATTCTTGCCTTTGATCCTTCTCCGAAACGAAGTCAGCGCATCTGGTTCCGTCACCGAGACCTACCTGCATTACATCTACATTTATACCCCTGGTATCCTCGGTGCTGTCATTGCTATGACATCTGTCCAATTGCCTCTTGTTGGCAGAAAATGGTCGCTTGTCTTCTCTGCCCTTTGTCAGGGTATTGCTATGGCCATGTATACTCAAGTCACCAACACGGCTGGCTACGTCGGTCTCAACGCCTTCGAATACATCATGCAGACTGTGAGTCCTTGAACCCAGCCATTTCGATTTCGCATCATGAGCTAATCTCTTCTCAACAGTNACTTCAATGCCGTCCTCTACGCTTCCGCCCCTGAGTTGTTCGACACCGCCTACCGTGGCAGTGCCAGTGGAATGCTGTCTTGCTTGGGCCGCATCGCTGGTATCGTTGCTCCGTTCGCCGGAGCAAGTTTGCTGNCCGACCAAAGTTCGGGTATCCTCTGGCTTGGTGCTGGTGGCATCTGGCTTTCCGCAATCACCATGGTCTTCCTCCCTGTCGAGATGAGGGATCGCCAGATGTTCTAGGCGTCATCAACTCGTCTGAGACAATCATGTACATTTTTTCTTTCTTACAAAGCATGTCCAAAGCTGGGATCGACGGCTGGACTTATACGCATCGCTTGCTTTAATGCTTACATAATACCCTATATTCAATCTCATTGCTCTGCTTCCACTCTATGCCTTACTCTATCAACATTCACAACATATCACGTTTTTGTGTTTGGAGGTACAAATGCTTAAAATCTGTCAACGGTCATAATCAAATCTCCTCACCGACCTAGCACAAAGGTTCCCATGAGTCGTGTCTCACAAACGGAGAGTGGTTACAGATTTTTCTGTGTCTGTCTCATCGCCATGTCTTGCTGTGGACCTTACGCTCGAATGGTCGAGGCAGGGATGAACTTGTTATTTTGCAATCTTCCGACCTCTCAACCACCCAAGCAAGTATTCGAGTTCTACATACCACTATTGATACTTTTATGTTATCATAGCGACTAAGAGTGAACATACATCCGGATGAATGGCGGAAAATAACGATGTCTGCTCATTACATCAGAAGGAAATAATGGTGACAGGGTCGTACCCCCAACTTAGCATCGACGTTTTCTCCTACAAACCATCTTTACACTTTTTCTGAGAACGACCGTTTGAGAACCTTGTAGCTTAGTGAGAAAGTTTCTTCTATTCTGGCGGAATGCTCAGGCTCTAAACTGTAAGCAGTCTCCAAACACGGGATCGTCATCTCGCAGTTCCTGATGGAGGAAATGGTGGTGGATTAGAAGGATTGGATATAATATGAATAAGTATGGTATGAAAGAAGCTTAACGAGCCCGAGCTACTGAATGAGACCGAAGAGGAGAGAGCGGAGCGAGATGATTGCTAGAGTAGTCACAAATTACTTCAGATGGTCTCCGTGCACTTTTGTCGTCGTCTCCTACAAGTCACCGACAACCATGCGATGAACCATCTCGTTCCGTAGCCATGATGGTTACCAGATGGGCAAGATCTCAGAAACGATACACGTCACTGAACCTCAATTCAGAAATACAAGGACTGATCCTCGAGAGTGTAAGAACAAGCGTCGTACCTGCCGTGATCATATGCAGTTACCGAAACAGGATACAACAGAGCGACTGCATCGCGGAAACTCATTCAGATCGCTCTTTCCTCATATTGTGTTTGCAGGCATCGAGAGATCTGCAGGCAGGATGGGCCATCGTCTTACTGAAAGGAGGAGGCCAAATGTCGAACACAAGACCTACATCTGTCTCTCAGGGTGATAAATAGCCCAAACATCGGAGGTGCCGAAGATTCAAAGTTCGACGGCTGTCAAAACCAGTCGATGTTCAAGAAACCCAAACCTCGACTGCTGATGAAACAATCCTCGTGTCCAAACTTTTAGCAACATCAAGTCATCGACTCACAATCGTTAGTCAAGTCATGGCGATATTGCTGAGGAGAAGAAGGTCAACCTGTAAATCAAGGAGACGCCGACACGGTGCCTTGCACAAACGTAAACCTTGCGCTCGTGCTCCCACTCGGGTAGCTGCAGCCAACCCCAGATCAGGGAACCGGGAGGTGTGGTTACACAAACGACGCTCGCGAAGCTGGCCTAGCGTACATTCCTCTGAGACAATGCTTTCGCACCGTCCAGTTCGACGCAAAGATCAGACTGCATCGACTTACTGTTTGCAGTAGTGTGAAATTGCCTGGTTGTCTAGTAGTTTGGACAGCGGTGGTGAGATCCTCACAGTGCATTACGGCCGAGGAACGAGGGGTCGTGTGCCAGTCGCTGTTTTCAGTAGACCAACCATTGAGAGCCCGAGGACCGCAGTGGTGGATTGGTTGCCTGCGTGTGTTGGGACGTGCATGCATGCATGCCTACCTCAAATCTCCACAGTCACGAGAATCAGGACCAAACAATGTGTCTCCCCAAGCCCTATGCATGTGCGGACCGCCCTACCGCTGGGCGGGTGACCACATCTGCCAGGACCACATGTGGTGTCTATCTTGGCTATGCGGCGTCATGACGCCTAATTGATTCGAAAAGAGGTTGAAGAGGAGATGTTGTCCTCCCTTCAACTTCAGCCTGAGCTTCACGTAGTGCTTGAGTTCTGCTCTCATGCTCGTCAAAGTCTCTTTTCGGTTAGAGTTGCATAGCCGACATCGAAGAATGCTGATGGTGTTGTTCGGGTCCGGAAGGGCCCGTCAAGCGTGACAGCGATTGGACAGTGATTCAACAGGTACTAAATGTAAACCGCACATGCAGTTCCTTGGGGATTCGCTCGTAGGGCAGGTGGACATAGCACGCTATGCTTCCTCTTATTTCATGACGCATGTCATCTTGTCTTTCTGCAAACCAGTGGGTCCTGCAGATCTGAGGCTTGCCGACTGGACCGATGAGACGGGTCAATTGTCGGAAAGGCAGCCAATCCCACCGTCAAGGTAGTGGCGTCTCCAGCTGCAGCCAGAGTTGAGAGTGTCTGAAACGAGGATCTGCCCGGGCAATCCATCCTTGCTGGTAGAAGACATGGTTCATAGGTTTCTTCCATACTGTCGCAACCTCGAAGAACTCTGAAAGAAGACAGCAGCCGAGTAAAACTTTCGAAAGCAGCAACGCAGGTCCAATGAGAAGTAGCTTGTCCCAAAGCGGGCAGACAGGAGAGCGTCAGAGGGTCCAGGCTTCAAGTCCCTATACGGATGCGGTGATACTTGTCCGGCTTCAGTAGTCTGCCATTTGCAGAACGACAAGTTTGCAATCGGCACTTTGCTCAATCCTCACGGGCAGAGTTTGTACAAATACCTTTGACGAGACCGACAAAGAATCCTGAGATCTCTTGACCATCTTTTTGCTGTTTCGTTTTTCCTTTGGCAAATATTCCGACTTGTTGAAGCCATCCCGGGTTGTAAGGACTTTGTCTAACACAACAAACACCAAAGATCACCTGCGTCGAGACACAAGCAAATCGATAGTTCAGAGCGTTAGCTTGTCATTCAGCAACAGCCATAATCCCAGTGTTTGACCAAAACATTGCAATCCAGGAAGCAAGATTGCGGAAAAAGACAAGGTTCGTTGCATCTGCCTTTGATCCAAGCACGTGGTTTACGTGGACGAATACATCCCTGTTCTTCCTTCTGACAGCACAAGAGCTTTGCTTACCATGTCATAGCTTGCAAGTGTTTGGCCAGCGAAAACGCATACTATCTTGCTTTTTGTGCCCCAGAGTTACACTGACTCGGAGCCCTTTCGAGCTTTATCCGAGACCGCTTGGTACGAGGCTGGTGACTTAGCCTGTAGCCGATCAAGATCAAATCCAGCATCACCCAGACGCGACACAATCCCTCTGCTGCCCTTTTGCTTTATTCGTCGCCACAGAATAGTCGTTCCAATACGCTGAACAAAGCCGACATTCAGTGTGTGCAAGAGATCAAGCAAACGTCTGAAACAGCAAAAGCAACACCAAGTCCTGCTTGAACCCAAGAGCAAGTGAAGGTCGCAATGTCATCCAACCGGATTACCCAGTCAGGTCAATACGGCCCGTCCTTGGACAACCAACATGAGCTGTCCCACATTGAAAGCTACAATGAGGGACAGACCTATGACAACTTCGCATTCGTAAGTGGCTCCTCGGGTGATCAGAAGAACACGCTGACCATGACAAGGNACAACTCAGGATGGCCAGACGGCAGCAGCCTTGGTACATACGACAACGCCAACTACGGTTATCAAGATGTCGGTTTCAGTACTCCAGCCTCCCGTCCCGACACTGGAAGCAATGGCAGCAGAAAGACGCGAAGTGGGCGAGCGACCAAACTCATGGACTCGCCAATGAGTTCATCGCGCTCCACACCCGCAGCCAGCAGTCCTCATATCGTCGGAGTGAGAAAGAACAGAGCCAAGAAAGTGCAGGAAGCAGATGTCATCCTTCAAGCACCCTTGAGTGTCTTGACCAAGGACTCGGAGACACCTTTGAGAAATATGGAGGCATGGGCCAACAGATCGGTGGAAGAGAGGCGTGCGGAGGTGACCAAAGCCAACAAGATCGCAAGACCTATGAACAGGTTCATGCTATACCGTTCCGCATACGCTGAGCGTACCAAGAAATGGTGCGATCAGAACAACCACCAGATCGTGTCGAAGGTTACTGGCCAAAGCTGGAAGAAGCTGGAGCCGAAAGAGATCAAGGACTACTATGACCGCCTGGCGACAATAGAAAGAGAGAACCACCAGAGAGCCTTCCCAGAGTACAAGTTCTCACCTGCAAAGGCCATACCCAAGAAGAAGAACCCGAAGCGTATCCTGGACTACCCCGAAAGCGCATACAGCCACTTTAGCGATCCGGAAGGAGACCCTGATGGCGAGTACCGACCAGGACGACAAGCCAGACAGCCAAAGCAGCCTCCCAGAATGACGAATCCTTATGCCGACAACTACTCGTACGCAGATGCGAAGTACCAGGTTGCGGATGCTGGAAGAAGCTCTGCATCATACCAGCAAATGTTGCCATATGCAGCCAGTCAGGCACAGACGTACCACAACCACAACCAGCCGTATGCTTATGCGGTTGCCAACGGTCACGGTCAGTACGCACTTTACCAGCAACAAAGCGGAGGGCAGCAGGTGCACGACAACCGGATGGCAATGAACGGAACACCAGCATCGATCGGATCCAGTGGAGCATTGGTGTCGTTACCTGGCGGGCAGCACCACGAGCTGTTGCAGTCCAGGGGCCCAACACCAGTTTCGTCTTACCAACAGCGGCAGCATGGGGGCAACTTCATGGACCACAACGGACTACTGCTGCACTCCGACCACACAAACTACAGCTTGGCACACGAGGTTCCAGGCTTCGACGCCAACTTCCAGGATGCCATGCACGGCGGGTTCGACATGAGTGGTGGACAGGTGGCTACCGAGGGGACTGTAAGTGATGAATTTCTCGTGGACCCACAGCTGGGAGGGATGCTCGACGATTCGCCGTACCAGCAGTTCCTTGAGCGATAGAAGTAGTGTGAAGCAGATGACAGGATGACCTCACGGTCTTGGATGGATGGATCCATTAGGTTGACACTGAGGGCGAGTTGGATATGTTATGTGGTTGGACATAATGGAGTCTGTATTTGCGAGGACATAGCGTCAATGAGAGTCAATGTTGACAAGTCGTACCTTCCTCATGCCTTTTATTGTGAATTGAGAACGATATCAGTCAGAAAGAATCGCATGGACTCGAGCTGGAGAAGGAGCGAGTTGGAAATTGGACGACGCGCCGACAAGTCGCTGCGGTCATCAACGCGTGCGTCGCGTCTCTCTTGGACCCTCACGGCTCCCGACCAGACAAATTTCTAGCCTCATCACAACAATGTATGGAGATGTCGGCAACAAACTGGTACACTACAGTCATGTCATCTGCCGCTCCAATTGACTGACATATAGCTCTAGGNTGCAACATGCAAAGCGCACCCAGGCACTCCCTCAGCTCCCGGCCTACCAGACCGAGCTCGTCCGCACCGTAGTACGTGAAGTCCGCGAACTCAACCGAGAAGTCAACACCCTGCTCGAGCCCTTTGGTTCTTCTTTCAATCCATCTCAAGACCCTGCAACTGCATGCGCTCTCCTCGTCAACCACCTGAGCATGCGCCGCAACAAACGTTGTCTCTTGGCCTACCACCGTGTACGTACCGACAAGCTCGAAGACATGTGCTGGAGGGGCGTCGACATCATTGGAGCCGATCAGACAACCCCCGAGCCACAAACCATGAACGCCGAAGACACCAAGAGCAGTCTCAGCCCCGAGGAAGAGGAATACGTTCGTCTGTACAGCGATCTTCTGGCCGCGTACAAGGGCCAATGGACCGACATTGACCTGACTGGGAGCCTGGACCCGCCGACCGATCTCTTCATTGATGTCCGCGTATTGAAAGACGCCGGTGAGATCCAAACAGAATACGGGTAAGTTGGTTTGAACATACTCACGCACCATCTACTTATACCATCCACCAGAGCCATCAACCTCACCAAGAACAGTCAATTCTACGTCCGCCAAGGAGACGTGGAGCGTTTGATTCAGCAGGGCTATTTGCAGAAGCTCAGTTGAGCTCTTCATCTGTCTAACAGTTTTCTGCATGCCAGCATCCGAGACCGTGTCACTAGCACATGGCTTGTTGCATCCTACAGGCATGCTCTAATTCCGCTACCGAGTCCAGAGTACAAGCTGTATGCCTCTTGCGAGGTTGCGGTCGTGGCTTGTTCTTGCAATTGCAAGATTCCAGATCGGCCTCGAGAAGATTGCACGTATCAGGTACATCTAATTGCAGACTCTCGGACTGTCCACTCAGTCCAAGAGAGTAAGCACCATGGTCACCGGTCATGTTGCACAAGAGGACGGCAGCAAGCAGGTCAGACGAAGGCATGTTACTGACATTGTCAGCACGAGCTGTCGAAGAGCGAGCAAGCGGATCGGATGGCCGGCTGCCACGAATCAGGACGCGTGTGGGGTGGTTCGCGACCACTTTCACGGTCGGTTGATCGCCGTCACTACAAGGACCAAAATGGTGAAAATGACGTCGATTGAGCACCGCCGAGCGGAAATTCTTCTGCGCTGGACACGTCTTGTCGAGAGTCAATTGCCAGGTCGGCGTGACAGGGGACGAGTTACAAGAGGCCATGACTTATCGTACTCTGTCAGGGAGCGGTCTAATACAAGGTTTATACAAGGAGCGTTTTTAGTTTGGGCAAAAGTGGAGCAGGAATTTTGACGGGGGCCAGAATCTGCTGGAGAAGTGGATGCCGGTGGATGCGGCCTCCAGCTGCTGTTATCTCGCAAACTAATTGTTAACTGTCACTGTTTATACTAGAATAATCTCTGCTTTTTCGCTCCCTCCACTGGCGCCGACCTCATGCAGACTTGAAATACCGGCAGTTGGCTCTCTGGGTCTGCATCTCCTGTCGTCTCGTCAGCCCACGTCCCTTCTGGTTGACCAAGGCCAATCCCTCGAATACCGGCCAGATCCGCCAACAAGAAATTGCGAAACTTGACGTCTTTTGGTCGCACCATGTCGCGACTGTTCAAGCGTGGCCGCACGCCATCGGATGCCTCGTCTCATCAGCAGCGTCTGCCATTCTCCAACGACGAGCTCCAGCAGGAAGAGACGGACGCCCAGGACACGGCTCCGCGCTCCACTGGCCACAGAGCAAGAGCTCGCTCAATTACTTCGGCCTCGGCTCTGTCGTCCTCGTACAAGACTCCCAGCAGATCCTACATTCATCATGCTGCCCACGGCTTCCAAGGTAACATCCAATCCACACGGACTCTCTGCCCAGAGCCCAGCTAATGCCCCAATCACCAGNAACCCCTCCAGTATTCTTCCTCAGGTGTGCGCGAACAGACGGCCGAACTCTCTTCCTCCTTCTTAGGTGACTCGGATGCTCAGCGACCTTCTCAGCCCCCAAACCGCCAATCGCAGGACTCATCCGCCCATCGCAGAAGCTTCGATTCGACTTCGTCTCCCAGACAGTCGCTCGAGATCGCCCACCACAGAAAGAGTGTCGATTCAGAAAGATCCTTGGGCGACGATGAACGGCCACACAAAGGACTCACACGCCCAGAGGTCATCCAGGAGCAATCCGAGCCTGTCTCGCCAGAAGTTTCGTCCTCCAACCTGCCCGAAATGCTGTGGCAGCACGATGACAGCCAACTACACCCACGGCCTCGCCCTTACAGTGATGTACCGAGCTTGATTATCAGCGAAGCTGGCGAAGACGACGCCGACGAGGAGACACCTCTATTTGGTAGGCGCTCATCGAGACGGGCGTCGGCTTACAAGACTTTGGACGGCGCGCAAGATGGTGACGAGGACGAGGACGACATTGAGAGTCAACGGCTGCCGCGAGTCAAGTCATGGCAGAAGCTGCAACATGCCTATCCCTCTCTACGGAAGGTGGCCGCTGATGGTTACCGCGTTGCAACGCACCCTAAAGAGTGGGACATGCAGCAAGTCTTCAAGACGGTTGTCGTCCAACCCGCGCTGGTCATACCCTCGGTCTTCCTCGGTGTTCTTCTCAACCTTCTGGATGCCCTGTCTTACGGAATCATCCTCTTCCCTCTCGGTGAGGAGGTCTTTTCTAGCATGGGTGCGGATGGAGTCTCCATGTTCTACGTTAGTTGCATCACTGCTCAGTTGACTTACTCCAGCGGGAGCATCTTCAGTGGAGGCGTTGGCTCCGAGATGATCGAGGTCGTGCCTNTTTTCCACAAGATGACCTACATGATCATGGGGCGCATGGGAACTGGTAACCCGGATGCTCTGAGAGCCACCGTCATCACCTCTTATGCAATGAGCTCTATTCTTACTGGTATGGTCTTTCTTGGCCTTGGAGCTGCCAAGTTGGGCACGCTCGTCAACTTCTTCCCTCATAGTATCCTTACTGGTTGTATCGGAGGTGTTGGTATTTTCCTGTTTGTCACTGGTATCGAGGTTTCGGCAAGACTTGATGGCAACCTGGAGTTCACTTCTGCCGTCCTTCACAAGCTCTTCCAGGCAGACACCATCATACTCTGGCTGCCTCCTCTTTTCCTGGCTATTCTTCTGTTGACCGTCAAGCATTACTACGACCGACCCTGGCTTGTTCCTGCATACTACATTGCCATCACTGCTATTTTCTACATTGTTGTCGCTGCAGTCCCCAACCTTGGTATGGAAACTCTGCGCCGTAAAGGCTGGGTCTTTGACGCTCCGCAAGCTGGCCTGCCATTCTATAACTTCTACAGCCACTACAAGTTCCATCTCGTGGACTGGAACGCAATTTGGATGACAGTGCCTACTCAGTTCGCCCTCACCTTCTTCGGCATCTTGCACGTTCCCATCAATGTGCCCAATCTGGCCATTGTTGTGCAGGAAGACAACGTGAGCGTTAACAGAGAACTTATCATGCATGGTATCTCAAACACTCTGTCTGGATGCGTTGGTAGTATCCAGAACTACCTGGCTTTTGTCAACAGTGTACTTTTCATCGAAACTGGAGGCAATAGCCGTCTTGCTGGTTACATGTTGACTCTGGCTACTTTCGGTCTCCTTGTTGCTGGCCCCGTCGTCATCGGTTATGTGCCGGTCATGGTCGTCGGTACCTTGATCTATATGCTTGGAATCGACCTTGCGCAAGAAGCCATATGGGCTACTTACGGAAGACTACACCGTCTGGAGTACGCCACCATTGTCATCATCTCGTTGGTAATGGGTGCCTATGACTTCGTTGTCGGTATTGCTGTGGGTATTGGTCTCGCTTGTTTGGTATATGTCGTGCAGACATCACGCAAGACTGTCATTCGCGCCGAGTTTTCTGGTGCTGTGGCCGAGTCGACTGTACGCCGGCATCCCCGCCAACGCGAATACCTCCACAAGGTCGGTCCCCAGATCCGAGTGGTCAAGCTGGGTGGTTATCTCTTCTTCGGCAGTATTGTCAAGGTCGAGAAGAAGGTCAGAGCCCTGATAGAAGCAGAGGCTTTCGCCGCAGAACCAATCCGCTACCTCATCCTGGACTTTTCTCACGTTGCCGGTATCGACTTTTCAGCAGCCGAGGCCTTCAACCGAATGAACCGTATTTTACACCGTCGCGATGTAACGCTAGCGCTAGCGNGTGTAAGCATCGAAGGTGAAATTGGCAGGAGTCTCCAGATGGTTGGCCTTTTCGAAGACCCCGTAGAAGACTCGACCATCCCACCACCAAAGGTCTTTGAAAACCTCAACGGTGCACTCGAAGCCTGTGAGAATGAGATGCTGGTCATTCTATCCGATAAGCAACGCATTGAAGCCCAGAACCAGCAAAAGGAAGCCTCAGCCGAGAACATCGACATCCCTTCGTCTCTAACCATCCAAACACCTGCGTCGCTAGACATGAATGTGGGTTCCCCTCGACGTGACTTCCTACATCAGGCTGCCACGACGACTCTGGCATCTAATCGTGGACCAAACGGCGACAGCAACCGCTGGAAACACTTTAAGCAACCGCTGCCACTAATCCTGCAATCCTTACAGGGCCTGACAACACGCAACGAAGACTTCTGGTTCCGCGCCGTGTCCTACTTCGAGCCCCGCAGTTACCCAGCAGGCAAAATCCTCTACTCACGCGGCGACAAGCCCGATGGTTTCTATCTGCTCCAATCCGGCATCTTGCGCGCAGAGTACGACCTCGATCAAGGAAGTTACCACGAAAGCATTGTTTCTGGTACCACTTGCGGCGAGCTGCCTTTCTTCTCCGAAACCGCACGGACGAGCACCGTGATGGCGGAGATGGATTGCGTGGCTTGGTTGCTGACGCTGGAGGCTTGGGAGAGGATGCAGGAGAAAGAGCCCGAGGTGGCCAAGGAGATGTTGAAGGTTGGCATGAAGTTGAGTGCCGAGAGGATGAATGCCATTACCTCGTAAGTTTACCGATCCTACAACCTTGAGAGAGGACCCGATTGCTGACTTCTCTTTCTTTGCAGATATGTTCTTATCACGGCCAGTTGATCGAACTTATTCGTCTCCGAGCTGATGATCTTGTACTTTTGGATTATACCTTCTTTTGTATGTGTTAGCATGGCATGGCGGGCTATACGTGTCGTCTGGGTGTATCAATCAAGAAGACGTCGAAAGATACCCCTACCAAATCATTGGGAGTTGAGGATAGATAAATCTGGTGGCCGTCTTTGCATTGTGGTACTACTTTTCGCTGGATCCTGGCAGGTGTGCGCGAGCGTGGCGTTTTCTCAATCTCTCTTTTGTCTGAATTTTGTACATAGGTTATTGTAGTACGAATGATTAATACAGGGACGATAATAGTTTGTTCTCGTTGCTATATCGCTTGAACCTTACTATACCTAGGTATAACATGCGCGGGGGTTGCGGCAATTGCGGCGGGGAGATGGATGCTTACAGAGCTTATTCTGCTTCCATCCCGAGTATAAACATGCACCCTCATAAATACACACTTAGCTAGCATATAACCATCCTTTCGACCTCTCCACAGACACATACCATAGTCTATCTCAATCTCCTCATCAAAACAATGTCACACCTCACAGGCGACCCAAAACGCCACGACCTCTCCACCTTCAAGGACTCGCTAAGCGGCAGCTGCCTCTGCGGCAGCATCACCGTGACCATCCACGACAACGAACTCTTCACAAAGCCTCGCGGCCACCTCTGCCACTGCGCAAACTGCCGAAAAGTGTCTGGATCGGTGGTATCCGCAAATCTAATCATGGAAGAGGAAAAAGTGGACATCAACGACAGAGATGGCACGATGAAGGTGTATGAGGATAAAGCCACCAACAGTGGTAACCCCGTATACCGATATTTTTGCAGTGTGGATGGAAAGTGAGTTTTGTTTCGCAGAGGAAGAGGATGTATGTTTGAATGTGTAGCTGACTTTTTGTCTTGCGCANGTCCTGTCATGTCAAAGGTTGATGCGTTGGCTGGCAAGGTGATTGTCAAGATGGGAATGATGCCTGTGATTCCTACGCCCGAGATGGAGAGTTTTGCTGCGCATAAGCATACTTGGTTTAAGAAGCCTGAAGGCGTGAAGTCATATAAGATTCTTCGCACTGGGGAGTTGATGGATGATGAGTAGTATTTCGTTATCGCTGTGTTGGTAAGCAGAACATTGGTTTGCTATTATGGGATAGTAGTTCGTTCGTTGCTCGGAATCGCAATTTTTTTTTTTGTAATCAGATCCTTGGTCTCTGGTGCTTGCGTCGTTCGTTCCAGAAGCGCTGTGTTGGACAGCCGCTTGAAGGGTAGGATTCACCTCTCTATGTACAAAAGAGAGCCAAAGCTCCACGATCGACTCCTCTTCTACCTTGACATATCGTGTCTGAATAGAGATGCACAGTCCCTTTTTGAACAGCAGAGAGGCCATAGAGATACTCTAGGATAACGCTCTTTCCACAGAACTCGCTTTGCCATTAGAAGCAGTGTGCATTTCTACAGCCAAATTGCGACTGTCTTTGACGTCCAGGCAGGCAAGAGTTGGTGATGGAAGTCTTTGAGGTTAATATTCGAGCCAGGGTTAGACGTTCATCAGTATTATGAGCTGCACCCTCGATGTATAGCAGATTCAGATTGCACAAAAGAACACTCTTCGAGGACTCTCGGTAGTGGTGATTCTGAAAAGTCGTTGCACAACGAAGAGGGGCAGTGAGAATGTGATGAAGGAGGTACAAAGGTGCCGTCGTCGGCTGTGTGCGACTTACTTAATATTCATCGGCTCAGCTAACCTCTTTTCCAAGAGGTTCACGAACGGTCGAGTGCGATGCGGTGTCATGTTTCAGGTGTCACATTGGACATGGCAGACACGCATGCAGATCGATGGCTCTCTTGTGTCGCGGAGCGCCATGGTAGTAATTGGATAAGTCATTCGTGACCGATCATGACTGGACGTGGAAGTAAGTAGAACATCCAGCCCTGATCTGTCGTGGGAAGTTCTGATAGTCATTGGGATTAGGTTAGGTAAATTAGCTCTTTCGCTGGGGTTGATAGTCTGCAGCCAGGCTTTTGTTTCCCGTAATTTTGTCTCAAGCCACCAAGTTCGTGAACATCTTTAAGATTTGGGAAAGGAGTCCCTTTTCTTCCCATTCGCGATCGTCGTCGAGGTTGTAGACAAGGCGGGAAAAGTAGGAACCACATCAGAGAGTCGGTGAGAAAGGGTGTATTGGTGTGTTGTGATGTTGCCCAAAGTCCGGTAAAGTCTGGTAGGCTAGAAGGACGAGCAGGGACGTTTCTTCACCTTCTAACCATGCAGTCACCGCTGTTTTCCTTCCATGGTGATTCTCTAACACAGGACACCGAAGGCCTCATGGATTGACAAGGCAGCCGAGTAGAGCCATGGTCGCGCCGCTGGTGAAGTTGGTGGTAAATTAAGCATCTCAAGCCAGGAGGCTTGGCTTCTGGAGGTTGGGATGTTCTTCGTGGCCGAACCCTGCGTGCGGGTAGCACCACCTTGCGGACACCAAGTGGGGCATCTCGAGCTTTGGTGTGCGGAAGGGAAAACGAAGCTGAAGATCTGCCATCAAGGGAAATGACGTGTTTCTGTTTGGGCCAAACAACAATCAAGAAGGCCGTCGTGGCAGCATTGGAGTCTGCTCTCTGGTTGAGGACCAGAACAAAAGAGAGATGCGGTCACAAGGAGTACATGTTAAGCGCCTCTGGCCGTTTACCAAAGCTGGCGTTTCACAAAGCTGGTGTCGCTGCTGCAGGGAAAAAAAGATTCCAATGGAAAAAATAGTGATGTGTTTATTGTTTGAGATTCTGCGGCATGGCGTTAACGCCCTGTCAAACGGAGAGTGGAAGTACAGTGCTGATCGGCCGAGCCAGTCAAGAGGTGAATGGCGGTATGCGAATCTGACTCGACCATGTCATGAGACGAGGTGACACGAGACCAGGCCGGATGAATGTGCACATGTCGCGATTGGGATCGGGTCGCGCATCTCATGCTCGAGGGCTGGGAGTCGCATCATGCGCACTTGGTCTGCAGGGGAAGGGCTGGGCACAATGTTGCGACAGTCGGCAGCTGTAGACGGAGCGTACAGACAATCTATTTGCAGCATGCTCTGTCGAGGCCGTTGGTTCTGCTTCTTGGTCGAGGTTGCGGCCGAGCGGTTAGGAAGATGAAACGGCGCCACACGAGTCAATCTATCCGGGATAGACCAAATTCAAAGCAAATCACAGGCAGGAGTTGTCGCATTCGCAGCTGTTTGCTGGCCTCGTCTTGCTCATGGCCTCGCAAATTTCGCCTGTCGCATTGCGGTCTAGGGAGCTTTGACCCGGCATGCAACCCCTTGGAAGGAGGTAATCTCGTTGCAAGCACATGCGGCCATCCTTTTTCTTCCCCTGCACCTGCTGTTCAGACCATCTTTTCTCTTCTCTCTCTACTCTTGTGCCACTTCTCAGCCTCCATCCTCCTCTCCTCCAAACAGAGCTTCATTGCTTATCGCTGCAGAACGGCGTTAGCTCGAGCCGGAGACCCTTGATTTGTTTCTTGTCAACTCTACATCTAATTAATACAAGGTGTGTATCTTTCTTCTGATGCCAACCTTTGCCGCGTCCGCGTGACCACTACGACACCGGCGTAACACTATCAGAAGATCTTCAAGCTGACCCTTTTTCTGTTGCGCTCCTTCCAGCTTTACGACCTTATACCCTTTCCTTCACCATCCATAATGTCTGACGTCCACAACACCCCTGCCGCTCCGGCAGACGCTCCTGTCATTGCCGAGCCCGTTGTCGTCAAGCCTGAAGAGACCATTGTTGAGCCCGTCGAGGAGACCAAGACCGAGATCCCCGTCGTCGAGGAGACACCTGCAGTCGCCGCAACTGAGCCCATTGCCGATGAGACCGTCGCAACCGAGGCACCTGCCGCCGTCGAGGAGGTCCCAGTCGCCGATTCTGCCCCTGCAGTCGAGGCCGCTGCTCTCGCCGCAGAGGAGCAGTCTGCCATCGCCACTACCGAGGAGACCAAGGCCATCGAGTCTGGCGTCCTTGGCTACAAGGCTCCTGGTTTGATCAAGTAAGCATTAGCATCAAACAACACCAAACATCAGAAACTAACAGCGGGCAGGAGCTTCAAGTTCTCCAAGAGAACTTTCTGGCTGGGTGAGGAGCCCGTCTCAGTCGACAACCTCAGCACCTACCTTCGTGGTGAGAAGCCCGAGACCGGCAACGCTACCGCTGCCTGGTCAAGCCACACTGGCAAGGGCCTTCTCTACTTTGTCAAGCACGCCGACGAGAAGAAGCACCCCCAGGGTGTCTTGAACCTGTCCGAGGCCACCGACCTCGAGAAGGCAACCGGCCACGAGTTCACCTTCAAGATCCACCACCACAAGCACGCCTTCAAGGCTGCCAACGATGCCGAGCGCGATGCCTGGTTTGTCGCCATCGAGAAGGCCATGATCGAGGCCAAGGCCAACAAGGACACTGTCACTTCCAGCGAGTCCTACAAGGAGACTCTCGCCGGCCTTGTCAAGACTCACGCTCCTCACACCGGTGCCGGCCGCAAGAGCATGGACGCCTCCAGACCTCGTGCCACTTCTACCTCTAGCTCATCTTCATCCGACGCCGAGGCCGCTGCAAAGAAGGCCAAGAAGAGCCGCTCTGCTTCTCGCAACGGTAAGCGTCACAGCCTCTTCGGTGGTATCATGGGCAAGAAGGCCGAGCACGATGCCGAGAAGGAAGAGAAGAAGGAGGAGAAGGCCGAGGAGAAGGCCATCGAGGCTGACAAGCCCGCCACTGAGGCCGTCGAGGAACCCGTCGCTGCTGAGACTGTTGCTCCTCTTGAGGCTGAAGCCATTGGTAAGTCGATCCTCGCCTATGTTTTCTGTTAACGATGCTAACTGTTGCAGNCTGCCCGTGTCATCGAGGCTCCCGTCGAGGAAGTCAAGATTGGCGAGGAGAAGCCCATCGAGTCTGTCGTTGAGCCCACCACTGAGGTTCCCGCCAATGTCGAGGAGGTTCCCGTTGCTGAGGGTGCTGCCCTTCTCGAGGCTGCCGCCGTTGCCGAGGAGAAGCCCGTCGAGGTTGTCGCCGCTGAGGAGAAGCCTGTTGTCAACAGCGTCTCTTCCAAGCCCGTTGAGGAGAAGAAGAAGACCGAGGAGAGACCCAAGACCAACAAGCGTAGCAGTCTGTTCGGCGCTTTCTTCGACAAGGTCCGCAGCCCTACCAGCGAGAAGAAGGAGAGTGAGGTCGCTCCCGTCGTCCCTCCCAAGGAGACCGTCGTCTCGGCCCAGCCTCCCGTCCTCCCTGAGCCTACCACCGAGACCTCCAACCTCGACCCTTCCGCAGTTGAGGCCGCTCCCGTCGTTGCTGAGCCCGTCACTGAGGCTCCCAAGGAGGCCGAGCTCGAGGCCGCTAAGGTCGAGTCTCCTCTCGTCACCCCCAACTTCGAGCGCAAGTCAAGCTTCTTCGATAGCTTGGTGAAGAAGGCTAGATCCAAGAGCCCTGCTCCCATCACCTCCACTGAAGCTCCTGTCGTCCCTCCTAAGGACGACGAGGTCGTCGCCGCCCCTGNNTTGTTGAGGCTCCTGTCGCTGCCACTGAGGTCGTTGCCGAGAAGCCCGTCGAGGAGCCCATTGTTCCCTCTACCGAAACCAAGATCGAGACTCCCAAGACTGGTACCCCCANAGGAGAGCCGCCGCAAGTCATACTTCGGTGGCTTCGGTGGTGCCAAGAAGGAGAAGACTGACGCCGAGAGCCCTTCAGAGGACAAGTCGATGCTCGGTAAGGTCACTGGTCTTTTCCGCACAAAGTCTCAGGCTGCTCGTCCCGTCAAGAAGGAGAACGTCGCCCCCACTGAGCCCATCCCTGCCATTCCCGCCACCGAGACTGCCACCGAGCCCACCGTCGTCGACACCCCCGCCGTCGCTGAGCCCAAAGTTGAAGAGTCCGCTGTCGAGACTGTCGCTCCCGTCAGCGAGATCCAGCACACTCCCTCCAACCCCACCGTGTCCGCCGCTGCGTAGCATGCCTCGAAGGACTATATGGTGGGCCAGTGATACGCTGGAGACCCATCTTCGCCGTTGCGAGTGCGTCGATCGCTGCAATTGGCTTGATGTGTTATTTCTTTTTGACATACAGATACCCCCTCTTACTCTGCTTGTTTTGTTTCAGACATGAGATGGCGCTTATCGTTGGATTTTCCTGGCCACGAAGCGTCCTCATTGCTTAATACCCAACTCATGACCTTCACTCGACTCGGTTTTCAGGATGATCTCCACCAGAAAAAGCTGCGTTTGTTGTCGGACATGTTTACTGCATTGGTTTTTGTTTTGTCTTTCTGCTTTGTCAATCTTTTGGGTTTCCTGCAAGTTTTGTTTGTCGACTGGTACTTGTCTTTTTGATCGCGAATACCCGTGATACCCTGTCCACTTTACTTGATAACGAAAAGGGGAGGAGAGGGAAGTAGGCATATGCTCGCTCTGCAACTAATAATCAATTCATAGAAAGTTTGTCCTTTTTTCTCAAATTTTGTGGTGTCTTTGTCATGATCAGGTGCCGAGGGTGTCTCAAATTCAGCTGGTTGGAGGTTCGTGAGTAAAGGCTCAAAGGTGGCGTAGCAAGTGCTTTCGCAAGGCCCCGAGACCACGGTCGCGGTAGAGGTGACATGAACAGACAGCATGGTCATATGGCCGTATTGCGGACCTCTGTGAGCGTGTGTAACGGACTCGTCTCGAGTTTTTGGAAGAGGAACAAACTGCAGAACTGAATGGACTTCGCAGCTGAAACGGAGTCGACGTTCCTCGGACAAGGCTGAACAGAACAAAGTTCGGGAAACGGGCGGCTCACGGCTCAGGTCTGAAGTCATTGGCCGGCCATGATTCATGACGGCTTGTATTCGCATGTCGATTGCCAAATTTAGGAGGGGGGAGCACGATGAGGTCCCCGCCGTGATTTCTCACTGTTGTGCCTCTCATCCTGTTGTGTTGCACGTCGTCTGCAAGAAGGCCATCTTCGATCCCTTTGCCGGCAGTCGTCACTTCAGCTGGATAGCCTAACTCTCGTCCGGCGGCGCCCCTTGAAAGATTAAATCTCTACCAAACTAATTAATCCCGGCCTAAGACATTCTTGTACTTGGCCTTGCCTTCGGACTTTTGCCTTTTGGGTTTGGAATCCTTCTGATTCTTGTCTGCCGTCACTTTCTTTCCACATATTCAACGCATTCTCGACTGCCGACTGTGAACGCCCTTTTCTCCTGACCCCTCCAGTTCTCATCCGGCGTAATCTCACAAGCACAACGGCGCGACAACATTTTTCGAACCACAATTATAACAACGCCTACCGACATTCGTTCAACCTTGTCTCTACTCAGAAGAGGCGAAGAAACATACCACAAAGTCTATCCGGGCAAATTATGAGATCGTGAGAAACACAATGGTATGCGCTTCTCCGACCTGCAAGCGACAAGGTATACTGACTGTTGTCAAGGGCTGTGGCTTGTCTCGCGAATCCCGGGCTGCGGCCACGGAAGACCATGATGGCGCTGCCCGTCATGCGACATTGGATCCCTCGTCCACGACTGCTCGCGCTGCACCCTCACGCACGAGTTCGGCAAACACTCCCACCGAACTGCTCGACCGACCCAACCAGCCCTTGCGCGCCGCACCTACCGTCAAGCACTCTCCTCCTCAGCTTGCACTGACGCCATGGACGCCGTCAGAACTTGCCAGACAGCGCGAAGCCTTCTTCGAGACTAGAGTCAGCGGACGACCCGAGATGTGGGCGGCGATGAAGCAGGTATCGGAACTTCTTCGATCCGGCGATCTGAGTGCGGCGCAAACCATCCTCGATGCCAGCGGTGCTACGTGCCCGACGGGCAAATTCTGTGTCGAGAGAAGAAGAGGTGGACAGAAGAAAGGAGGTGTCTATGACGACAAGGGCCTGCTGTACGAGATTCCTGGCTGGGTAGTTTCCGACCCCGAAGATCTCGTCGCAGAGCCCCAGATCGAAGGCAAGGATATCAACGAAGAGTCAGAGGACGAGATCGACGCCGAAAAGGGGGTTGTGTGTGAAGAGAAGATTGGTGAGATGGTGTCGGTCAGAGCACGACTGAGCGATCGTGGTACCGATGTGGTTGTCGAGATGGGCACGAATCAAAAGGTGTCGGTCTTGGTCAAGAAGGTGCAAGAGAAGGCTGGCGTTGAGCAAAAGATCAAGCTGGCGTACATGGGCAAGATTCTCGAGGAACACAAGCCCCTGGGCCAGACGAGCTGGAAGGAAGGACATATTCTCAATGCCCTGGTCTTTGGGTGAGTGAGAGTTGGACTTGTCGTGGAGTTTTCGTATGTTATGGGGTGAGCGGGCTTATGGAAAGGATTTGGTGCATTTTCAGCGGGCGCAAGACTCTGGTGGATGGTGGATACACACACGGACATACTTGGGGGTCTCTTTTTGATGTTGGTTCTATTTGATATTCCATTTGTACAATGCGCATTCTTTTCTTGCAGGCTGGGCTGGCCTGTCCTCTACCTCGAAGCCAGGTCTATACTCAACAAACCATTCTCCCTATATTGTGAAGAAGGCACATATGTTCTCGAGTCTTGACTGCTAACAGAACCCGTGCAACATTGATGGAACAAACGTAGAAGTCCTTGAGTCGATGCAAATCTTCCCCACGCACGCGTCATGCTAGACTTCTCTCCATCTTCTTTGACAGGACAAGACGATAGAATGGTATGCCAGCATTCCTCGCGCCTCACAAGTCCGGCGTGCATCGTGTGACAGGTATGATCCACAAGAACGAGAAAACGGCGTTGATGCTTACCGTGCNNACAGCAATCGCTCTCTTCCGCGCCCTCCTCACAAAATGTCGAGCTGCACCACCACCCCTTGAAGCCTCTACCTTGAGAACTGTCGTCAAGAACAGCTTTGCAAAAAACAGACATGTGACGAGTCATAATGCCTTACGGGTTAGCTTTGCCGGCGGCTATGAGGTACGTCTTGCTCTTCACTATCTCAGACTTGTCAGTTCTGACACTCATGACCATAATAGGNCACTGCACCATCTAGACGCATCCATCGCCGGTCACAAACCCAGCACCTGGTACCTCAAAGCCTTGCTATCACGCCTCCCCAAACCCCTCAAGACCACTGGCTCTTCAGAGCCAGCTCCTCCCCACCTCNCAGCAGCCAAACCCGCCGCACCGCAAGGAACAGCACTATCCCTGCATCCACGACCAGCCTTTTCCCTGCCCTCCCGCCGCCGCATCCCCACCCTCGTCTCAGCCAACAAAATCCCCATCCTGCGCCTCACGAAACCACAACCCGCTGCACTATCCCACTACCTCAAATCCCGCATCCTCGCCCGTCAAAAACGGCTAGACCGCAAATCAGCGCTAGAAGCACAGATGGAGATTGCAATTGGCGAGGACGAGTGGGATCGTATCTTGCTGGCACAAGGAATAAAAGACGAGGGAGGCAGTGTGAAGANNAAAGGCAAGGTGTTGTGGACAAAGGAGGTTTATGGGGCTTTGGGGTATACGCTTAATGCTATTGAGGCTGAGGGGGTGAAGAACAAGGAGATGGCTGAGAAGATGGTTGCTATTATTGACAAAGAGAAGGAACTGGCCGAGGTTGAGAGGAAGGAGAGGAAGAGGTTGAAGAATGAGGAGAGGAGGAAGAGGAAGACTGCAGCTCACGATACGCCTGGGCAGAGCAAGACATAATGATGTACGGGTGACTAATCTGTAAGTTTGATTGTCATTGTTGTGCTCTTACGGAGCCCATCGGACTCCTCTCCTTGTATCTACAGACGCCGTCTCTCCATTCATTACAGTCCGTTTGCTTTTGTCTCGTTCCTTCTCGTACCTCGTTCATTGTATAATCATCATTGTCATCATACTTCATCCATCTATACTCTCTGCTCTCCACCAAGCGCCTCCCAATCCTTTTGAACGTTCCACACCTTTTCTAACTCTGTAAGACACCTTTGCGGCTTCAGTTGTAGCTGAGACGAATGCCCAGCCTGTCCTTTGTCTCGCGGATTACGCGCAACTTCCAGCGGTTCAGATCGTTGATTTGACGGATAGAACCCCAATCAATACTCAAAGAGACGTAAGGTTGCCAGAAGTAGACCGTCTGAGCACTATCCAGTGGAAGTGCGATACCCAGAGGACGAGGCTCGTTAACTTTAAACGCCTCGAACTGGGCAAGAGCGCCTAGGAGGAATGGCGTTAGTTGACGAGTTGCGCGAGAGCGGAGTAGGTTCAGACCTAGCACTGCGTCTGAGAGGCGTCTCGGGGGTTCCATAAAGACTGTGGACAGTATGCATAACATCCTCTTCGGCAGCCAAATGACAAGCACCCTGCCCATGCTCATGATAAACACAAGCATCAACCCAAGGCATCTCGCCACCAGCAGTGAAGACTTCCTGTCCCACATCCGCCATCCTCTGCACCACATCCTGCAAAAACTCATACCCGGGCTCTACAGCATCAGGACAGGCACCTTTCTTCAACAACCTGCCCTGGTGGGCAAACACATGGAAGTCAACAATCAAGCGACGCAGTGCATTGCCCGAAACAGTGTTTTGATACACATACGAGGCCCAAGTATCGGGCATCACCTTGGTCTCTGCGACTTTCTCGATGATGGCAGAAATGACTGCATCTTTGAAGTTGGGAGCGTCGAGGCGTTCACCGAGGGTATAAAGACGAGGCAAACATTCCCACTCTTGATGATCGTCGTCGTCAGTGTCTGAGGCAGAGGCAGACTCAATGGAAGTGGGTCTCTTGATAAATAGACGATCCTTGTAAACCCACTGTTCAAACACGGAAAAAGTGGCAGAGTCTTCTTCTTCCAATTCAAAGAGCTTGGCTTCGGCTTCTCTGAATCCAGGGGTTAGGCCTCTGGCGAAGAAGCCGGAGATGGACATGAGAAGGTTTCTGTGGAAAACCTTGGTCTGACGGAGTTCCTTTGGGCCGTCTCCGAGGAGTACAAAGACCATTTCACTGTCCAAGCTTGTGGATCTTGTCAGTGGATGGAGAGTAGAAAAGGTAGTGAAGGAGAATGCTCACTCAGGAGCATCTCTCTGCGATTTGCGCACGCGAGCGATCGGACTGGCAGGTGAGGAAAGGGTAGTACTGAGTCTTGACTGCGTCAGTCAAGAGCAACAATGGACGGAACGAGCAACGAGCAACATACACCCTCTTAGCAGGGGTGACCTTCTTGGGCGTCTTTGGGGTAGTAGGAGCCATCTCAAGCCTATAGTGTGTCGTAGATCTGTGAGTGCAGAGCCGACCGAAGGGGAATGAGGTGATGGGCCACAGCCTCCGAGTCGACTAAGGCTGCGAAGGGAGGTGACAAGTGAACAGGGAACAGAGGCGCGGGTCTGGCAAATGGACGTGGCGGCGCGATTTCTCGAGCGAGAGATGCAAAGAACAGATGAATGAGACGTGGCACTGCGTAGAGACTTGTCGACGGCGACTGGTGACACTCGCAGTATAGCAACAAGAAACAAGCGCGTGGAGTCGATAGGTCTTCGACTGAGCCAGGTTCATCTCGAGGTCAAGCAGGGAGTGAATGGTGTTGAACAACGTGGATAAACAAAGGCCATCTGGGTTCGTGGACCAAAGCTTCACCGCGCCGACAAGGTCCAGAGTTGTCGTGGACGATGATGCAAGGCACGCAGAAGCACAACAACAAAGTCACGTAAGAACGAGAGAGAGTTGGATAAAATTGTTTCATTGCGGGATATTGCTAACTTGGTTGAAAAGAGATCTGTTACTGGTCAGCAACATGATCCACAAGATATTTGAGTAGATAGAAGGTGTGTAGAGGGGCAAAGGTCAGTTCTCCAAGGTGATGGTATCTTCAAAGACGTGTCTCAGTAAGAACACAGCGAAATATCATTTTATTCATCATTGTGCAAAGGGTGAAGGTGTGTAGGCATAAAGTGACAACTTACAGCTTGAGGACGCAGAAAAATTGGTGAGTTGGAAAGTACTTGACCTATGCCAGAGCAATCAGTAATGGCCTTCCATGTTTCACTCGAACAAAGTAGGATGCGTGATTGCAGTCAGGCTCTGTTGACAGTCAGCACTGGCGCAGGGTCGAGATTAAAGTGAGAAGGCGTACCATTAAATCATTATAAATGTCCACAACGGATAAGCCTTCGTTACGGGCAAACCGTTCACAGTGTGAATATTGATCATCATGCAATGATGATGAAGTGTTGTTGTTTGGAAAACAAACTGCATACCTGACGAAGGACATTGTCAGCAAGAGACTCGAGAGTCATGATGGTAACGGTCAACAAGCATCAAGTGCTATGGGCTATGACATCAATAAGCAAATGGTCAGGATCGATGTAGACAAAATGAACATTACCATTCAACATTCTCAGAATTTTCAGTGTTTTGTGTTCATGTCCGACCAGCACAATATAGGCTTAGGAAGGATCAAACAGTGTGAATAAAATGTTCATCATTGTGAAGAATGCCCATGCACATGTGCTTGAAGTCGACCGAGAGCTGTGATTGAAGCTGCATACCTAAACAAAACCAGTCTTAGTACATGTAACGTTCAAGACAGGGAGTACAAGAATTGTGTATGGGCGCAAAAATCAGCTGACGATAATCTCAACAAGCAACTCCCGGCCGACCATCCCAAGAGTTTGTACGCTCTTGTTTCAGCGGATGGCAACCGAGAGCGCAGTCTGTCCGCCCGTTCGTTCAAATCTTCTTCATATTGAAAGGGGAACTCGGATCGATGGGAGAGGTGGTGGGTAGATACCTGATGCACATTTTATTAGCTTGGCTGTTCAGCAGAGCAAAGTTATGAAGTGCAAAAGAAGTGTTGTGGCAAGATAGTCAGACAAGGCTGAAACTTGATTTTAGACAGATTCGACATTGTATATTCAGGTCGAGGAATGCCTTTCCGTGAGTCGGTATATCATCACCCAAGCCGGGGAAAAAGTGCAGTGTGCAGGAGTTGTGGTGTGACCAACCTTTTCAGAATTGAGAGGGTGTGCCGATCAACAGCATACCCCCAATGCGACCAGCGCAAGATGATAGTAGTAAGAAGGACTGTTCAGACGATTGTTAGCATGATGGTGCTAGAGACAAAAGCAGAAGAGGTGGTGATTGTGTGATAGTCTCAGTGTAATTCTAGAGTTATTGTAATCCTTCACGACGCTATAGGAGTTGGATTGTTCGTGTATTTTGTTTCATCTCTGTGACGGGTGTGATGGATGTGCGTAAAGAGTCAAGCTTACCTGTTGATGGACATCTGCCCGCCTTGTCTGCGCAACTTCGTATAAGCGACAGAACCAAGGCAGGCAGCAATGTCGAGTCGAGCTCGTGCGAGTGCGCGTGTAGCGATGCGCGACGATTTGTTTGTTGTGATGCGAGAGAAGAAGTTTGGGAGTCGAGAAAAATTGCAGACTTTGAGGAAGCCGCGACCGGTTGAAGTCCGGCTTGCGGACGAAGCTTGGGCCCGGACGCGCTGAGCATGCGGAGCTTTGGCATGTGAAAGGCGACATCATCGACATCGTCCATCTCCAACTCTCGAATCGTCGCCATGTCCTCGACTGATAGCTCGTCGCAATACTACAACTCCTCATTCCAGCACTATGATTCTTCAACGCCGCCACCTCCGCCCCCAAAGCCTGGTACTCCATCCAGAGGTCCCCCACTACCTCCTCCGCCCAACACCCAGCCACCGTTGAATCCGACCAATGCCTATGCCAACCCGCCGAGCCAAATTCCGCTTCCTGGACCCGGTTGGCTTCCTTCGATTGTCCAAGACCTGTCTACCAACGACCTCAAACGACTGCTTGAGGATCCCGACTTGCAAGCCTCCCTGTTGAACGACCACGAGAACACTCATCCATCCATTCCTGCCTCTCAAGATGCTCTGCGTCATATTCTCGACTCCAATCTGCGAGTAGCCTCCTCGCTACAACAAGTCGAGTCTCGTCTGGCTCATCAACGTCAAGCTACCCAATCTCGTCTCATCGCTCTTCGCGCCCTTGAACAGCAGCACAAGTCCAAGATCGTCGAAACCGAAGACACTTTGAAAGGCTTCAGTCCCATGGCTCTATATCAGCGTCTGAGTGCTAGTGCACAAGAACAAGATGCTTTGGTAAAAGGCATTGAGGACAGCTTTCTCGACGACGGAGCTCTTGCGCCGGATAGAGAGGTCCAGGACTTCGTCCGTCGCTTGAGAGATGCCAAACGTGTCGCCTTTCTACGCAACCAACGCAAAGAGCGTTGGGACGAAGGAGAGTCGGCGGTTGGAGATGATCATGCATACATCTACATTCGCCATCATCCCTCCCACTACCTAGCACCACTACCCCAAGTGCTTCCACCGACTCTGCATCCCAACTTGCCCAGACTCACGCTTGAAGAGTTGTTGTCACTTCTGACGGGCATCAATTGGTCATGGCTATGCAAAGGTGGTACTGGTTGGCTATCTGTTTGCGCAGCTCCGGACGTACGCAGTGGAGTCCTCTGCTGTGTCAGGCTTTCAATCCACTTAGAACCAAGAAGTCTGTCGACATTCTCCATGCTCTGCGTATTTATGCTCATGCGATGTTCATGGAGCACGACAGAAAGCCAGTGTAGGTTTCCAGACAGAAAGACTGTCGTCAATGCTTGTTATTCTTCACTTCGGGGCTTGAGCGGCACTTCTATGTAGCCGAACTGTGCTCTCGTCATACGACTGACATCAAGGTTGTTGCCTTCTTTAGAATCACACGAGCGCTGGATTTGATCGCTCCATCCTATCCGGGAGGATTGTCTGAGAAGCAAAGTCGGGGTTGTACGTCGAGAACAAACGGGAGAATCAAAGGACGAGAAATATCGACCATATCTTTCAGGTAGTGTCAGGTAGCTGTATGCTAGCTCTGACTAATACGAAGACAAGAACGTCTCCTGATGCAACCCTTACGTAGACTAGACCGAGTGTGTTTATAGGTCTTAGTAACAGATTGGAGGATGCTTCAGAACGCATAGCACTATATAGAGATCGTAGGACTCGTCCTCACTGAACTTGCACCGAGTCCTCAGTGCAAGTTCATCTGAACAGTTCCAGCATCTAAACAGCTACAACCGACTTGTTCGCTCCTATGGCTAACGAGCTTCAATTAAATCATTCTTTTATTCCGAATGTCTGGCACTCGCTCAAGATGCTCCTAAAAGATTACATGTAGCACGAGTGCGCCAAGCGTTCTCTACAAACTCGTAACGTTCTCGATCAAATCCTCATGAACCAACCACTAGCGCCTACCCGACATCTCCCAATTCATGCATCTTGACTCGACCTGGCTTCCCTTTATGCACAACAAAAGTTTCGCACCATTTTCCTAACCATCATCAGATAGAAATCTGCTCAAGATGAAGGCTGATGACCTCGTCGATCCAACATCGCCACAGCCGGAAAAGCGATTGGAATCTGTTGCCCGTGTACAGGATCCCGTCAACACTGCGCCATTACCCCAGCTTGTTGAGCAAGACCATCTCGACGACGCTGACGACCTCGACGACAGTAGTGACGGCTCTGATGATGAGGACGATAGTGAACTCGCGGTATCTGCTCTGACTGACGAATTGGAACGCGCAGAGTTCGAGCCATACACCGATGATGGTCAGTGATGGCGAATTTACCACTATCCAACCCCTTGTTTCGCCAAGACTAACATTAATCCAANNGAACCTGGACCCATCTCTTACACAACCGCAGAGGGAAAGGAGATCCGCGAAAGACTACGTCGACTTGGACCCAACAAGTTCGTGGAGCAGACCATCACTCTCGGTGCCGTTAGCATAAGGAAGCTTGTCACAGCGTTCGGCGTGAGGCCTGATCTACCCTATTCCACCAACTGGTACTACCAAATCCTCGGTCGATGCATCCAGCGTGAGCTCACCAGACGCCAAAAGCTCACCGAGTACAACACAATCGATGATGCTGTATCGCTGCTCCAAAAGTCCAAGAATATTTTGGTCATCACTGGAGCCGGCATCTCGACGAGTCTTGGAATTCCGGATTTCAGATCGAGAAATACTGGCTTCTACTCACAGCTTCTCGCTCGCGGTTTCGAGAGCCCTGAAGATGTTTTCGACATTATCAACTTTGACAGCGATCCAACGTAAGCACATACATCTCAGAATGAGACAATGCAGGACATGGCTGACGTCGTTGCACAGANNCATTTTTACCAGCTGGCCAAGGAGATCTTGCCCGTCACTGATAGATGTTCGCCTACTCACGCCTTCATCAGGCTGCTCCAAGACAAGCAGAAGCTGCTTACAAACTACACCCAGAACATTGACAACATTGAAGCCTATGCGGGCATCGATCCAGAGAGACTGATCCAATGCCACGGCTCATGGGCAACTGCAAGCTGCCGCAAATGCCACACGGAGGTCCAGGGCGATGTCATCTTCGAGGACGTAAGACAACAACGAGTATCGCTCTGCCAAACCTGCCTAGACATCATTCAGAAGCAACCTCGAAAGCGCAAGCGCACATCCAACGGAAAGTCAAAATCGAGATCGAGCCATTCTGATTCTGAAGATGATGGACGCTACGACGTCCCTCAGCCTGGTGTGATGAAGGTGAGTTTAGTCTTCTTCTTATGGACGCTTCATAACTAACTGTTTAGCNCCAATATCACTTTCTTTGGTGAAAAGCTTCCCAGTCGCTTCTTCGACAGACTCACTGAGCACGACGCCGCCATAGTCGATCTGATCATCGTCATCGGCACATCCATGAAGGTTGCCCCTGTCTCCGAGATGTATGTTTCCTTCTCCTTCCTCTACTTCAATCTGCTGACTTACACACCAACAGCCNCTAATTACGTCGACGAGAAGGTGCCACAAATCTACATCTCACGCGAACCAGCCGACCACATCAACTTTGACATCACACTTCTCGGCTACTGCGATGATGTGGTGGCCGAGTTGGCCAGACGTGCAGGCTGGACCATTGATCATGCAAAAGTCACCGAAGCACCTCTGACAGCAGCGCCTGGATCCAAGACTGGACAATGGATGATTGCACCATCGAGTAATGACGCCTGATCTACCTAACCCCTAGGTATTGGGCTATTTCAGCATTTCATCTGCAAGGCATTTTGGGTTTGGAAGTCGTGAGAAGCACATCTTTCTCTGGTTTAGGCAGAAGTATCTTTGAGGCCACCAAAAGACCCACAAAGCGACTCCTCAGACATCTCACTGTCGGTATCAGGTGTTGCATTGAGTAGGTGTGGAAGCACATGAGGTGCACAGTCGTCTGTGAAGCATCTCTTTTACACTAATCTTGAACGTGAGGAGCACCGAGAACAACCTGGCTTTGCTTCCACTACGGCGTTTAGGGTATGCATGCAAGCATGATAGTAAACCGGTAATTCTTTCTCTTTTGTCAGCATGGTATGGGTTTCGGAAAAACAGGAATGGAAGCATCTGTGGAAGAAATGGCACAAAAAGACAAGGACATACACATAATTAATCAAAGCAATCCATGTTATGGCGGCAGGTTTAAACGTGAAAAATTGCATTATTTTACCTTGATCGTAAAGCAGAAACCCTGGTTACGTATGCCTGCTCAGCTCTTTTATCTACTCTACAGGAGCGACAGCTTGACCTTTCTCTTTCCCGTGCTCTCCTCAGCCTCGTCAGAGATCCTGACCTTGACCTTCTCGAACAGCTCAACACTTCTATCAATGCCCTCGCCCTTAATCTTGAGCACATAGTTTTCAGTGTCAAACTCGCTCTCGGGTTCGGGGGTGGCAAGGTCGCGCAGACGGATCAAGCCCTCGATGCCGAATCTGGGGACAAAGACCACGATACCGTTGGAGAAGACGCGCATGACGAAGCCGTCCTCATCGACCACGCGACCCTTGAGTGCTTGGCCGACGTAGTACTCGACACTGGCACGGCCGGCTTGCTGAGCATTGCGATGGCGCACGTTGATGTTCTTGCAGACGCCTTCGAGTTTGGCTTTGGAGAGCAGACTGGCATCCAGAGGCTCATAGTCGATGGCGGCGGCGAGTTGGCGATGCGCTTCCAGATCGGCATAGCGACGGATGGGGGATGTGAAGTGAGTGTAGATCTCGCTTGCAAGACCGTAATGGCGGAACTCGGGGTATGCTTGGGTGCCTGAGCAGAAGTATTCGGCTGACATCATGCAACGAGTAGCCATGATGCGAACGAGTGTGTTGAAGAAGGGCTCTGATAGGTCCACACATGTGTCTAGCGAGTCGGCAAGAGCCTTGGAGCTGTCTGTTCGTAGCTCCATGCCACGCTTGACACGCAGCTGGTTGGACAGCTCTTCAAAGTTTGTCTTTGGTGGAGCAGCGTGACGACGTAGCAAGGCCGTTTGGGGGTAGGCTTCGTAGATGCGAGCGGCGACGCTGGTATTGGCGAGAAGCATGAATTCTTCGACCAACGACATGGTGTCCAGGTGTTGCTTGGTCTGCACGTCTGCAGGATCGGCGGTCTCCGACTCGGTCTGCACACGCACTTCAGGACTGGCCAGGTTCAAGGCACCAGCGTCCATACGCTTCTTCTTTAGCTTCTTTGACAACATCATGAGCATTCGGATGCCGTTGGTGAGATCGTCTTGCTGAGACTGGTCGTCGACACGAATCTGAGCTTGCTCGTAGGCAAAAGCTTCCCTTGACTTGATGACCGACTTGGTGTAATCGGCGCGCACAATATCAGCTTCGGGTGTGAGCTCCCAGATGACGGAGAAGGCAAAGCGCTCGACGTAGGGCTTAAGAGAGCAGAGATCGGTACCGAGCAGCATGGGCAACATGTCAATACGCTTGTCGACCAGGTAAACAGTGGTACCTCGCAAACTTGCTTCTTGGTCCATAGCATTGTTGGGCTTCACAAAGTTGGAGACATCAGCAATGTGTACACCAACTTCGATATTGCCGTTTGGTAGCGTTCTGGCGTGTAGAGCATCATCGATATCAACACAACCAGGGGGATCGATACTGCAGATTAACAGATCACGCAAATCTCTTCTCTTGTTCCAACCAGGATCAGACATGTTCTCGGGAACCTTCCAGTCGTGACCCTCGGCAGGTAAACAATCCAGGACGGTCTTGGGGAATGGTCGGTACTGTACATCCCACTCCAACAGTAGAGCTTCAGTCTCGGCGCCTTTGGTCTCAAGCTCTCCAAGAGAACGAACGAAGTGACCAACAGGATATCTCGACTCTCTGTCCCAAGCATCGATGGTAACAAGCAGACGCTTGCCTAGTAAATCTCCAGCTTGGCGAGTTCGAATACGAACCTTTGGAATGCGCTTGTCCATAGGAATCAAAAAGACGGTCTGCTGGGCACGGCTCTGCTTTGTTGAAGATTTCACAGAGTCTTTGTCGACATGACCAACGTACTGTCGCCAGTTGCGCTTGATGATGCCAACAACGCGGGCAGTAGGTTGCGGCCTTCCTTCGGCGCTCTTTCCATGCGTCTTCTTGACTTCTTCTTGCAATGCGCGCTTCTCCTGCTGAGTGATGACAGCCTCACCCTCGTCTGCATCGGCATTGTCGTTTTTGTTTACAACTTCTTCTTCCAGAATTTTTGATGAAGGAGCCTTCCACTGATCCTTGGGTAGAACCTCGACAACCACAATGTCTCCAGAAATTGCTCTGTTGCTGTTTTCTCTTCCGATGATAAGTAATGGCTTGTCGAATGCGGGAACGAAGACTGATCCTTCCAGATAGTTGTAAGGTGATACGTTGAAGGTTCCTTGGTGCATAGTTCCAGCCTTGACACCAGTGATCATCTTTGAGACAGAAAGATAATCCGGGTAAAGCAGCTCACCCTTTGTCTGTTTACCGACTCTCTGTTCCTGTCCAGCACTGACCATATCCAATAGGCGTTCTGAATCATCGAGTCCAGAAACATAATCGCGCAATGAGAGACCAGTGATGCCGTCATTCTTGGCCTTACGGAGGTTGTCGCGGTCGTCACTGATCATGATGACCGAGGGGCATCTGACGGATTTACGCTTGCTAACAGCTTCCTCGAGATGGTCGGCATACCATTTGACAGCGCGACGAACAGCGCGATCGTTTCTGTCGTTGATCGTCTCCTTGTCCTCGCGAACGACATAAGTCTGCAGTCTGAAGTCGTTGAAAAAGACGTAAAAGCGCTTGCCGTCGTTCTTGGTCAAGCTGATGAGGCGGTGGTAAAGCGGAAGAGAGCGGTTCTTGACTTCCTCCAGAACTGTTTGCAAAACAATAACATCGTGAAAAGCGGTTTCCAGTTCGAAAAGATCCATTCCCGAAAGGAAAGCGTTTGTATCAGGGATTATGTAGTGGCCATTGTGGAAGGATTTTGTTCCAGCAGGAGTCTCGGAAAGCACAAACGGAGCAACTGGCAGAGTCAGAAGGATTCAAAAGCCAGAGATGATAGAGTTACCCTTGTTATGGTAGTCAGTAGGAGCAATCTCGAGACAGTGAGCACATAGTCTTGACGAGCAAGGAATGTCTTCGCGCAAGTATAGCTCGCGAACAATTTTCTGAACCTTGCCACTCTTAGTGGAGCGGATATAGACCTTGCTCGACAGGTTCGGCGCAGCACTGTCTGCAGCGTAGGAACGCTTCAAACTTGTCATGATGAAATGGCGACGAGAAGGGATTCCGTCGGCTCTCTTGATGATATCAAAAAATGTCCAACTATGACGGCAACAGGCAAAGATTGGGAAGTCGCGCCGGTTGAACCCCGGATTGAAAGCAGCAGGTGCGCCTCGCCCAACAACGTCACTCAAGCCTGCTCCTGCTGTTTAGAGCACCGAGATTCCGAGCGCAATTGACGAGCTCGAGAGGGAGAGATACACCATAGAAAACACCCAGCAATCCACACATCGTCATGTCTCTCGACCCGCCGGCATACATCCTGTCGCTCCAGAACAACATCCGGGCGCGACCAATCTCGTGGGAAGGAGCTGTACGAGCAAAGACAATCACCGACCAAGACCTCAAGAAGATCAAGTCGATAGATAAGGTCCGCAAGGAACAGCGCAGACAGACGGTCGAGTCGGATCCTGCCAGCTATGCTGCTCTGGTCCTGGGCTCCGACGACAGCCCCAGCATTTTCCAGTCTGCCGCCAAGCGCTCCGACATTGTCCAGTACATGCTTGTCTTGACCGGTGATCTTATCGAGGGTACGAACAAGTGTCAGCTGCCTTGTATTGTATGCGCACATGACTGACAGTTCGACCAGNACATCCCATCCTTCGTAGCCAAGCTTCTCGAGCATGCCGACCCCTACGCTCCCTTTGTGCCGCTCCTCAAGCAGACAGCCAACCCTGAAGACTCCATCCCTCTACTGGCATCATGCGTCCTGTCAAGCCTCATCTCCCACGGCCTCATGACTGGTGGTCCCCAGGCCGAACAGATCGACAAGGCCCTGCCCAAGCTATACTCGTACATCTCAACTCTCGCAAGAAGGTCCGACAGCAACCTTCAAGACATTGCTGTTCAGGAGTACTCGGCCTTGTTGCGCACAGCAAAGTCACGCCAGCTGTTCTGGGAGCAAAGAAACGACACAGTCACTCCTCTGTTCAACATCTTGACAAACGCTACCGGAGGCGGTGTAAGAGACACTGAGTCGACCCTGATCAGTGGTGGAAGCATTCGCAGCATCGCCGACTCTCAGATCATCAACAACGTCGGTCTGCAACTGCTATACCACGTCTTGCTCGTCATCTGGCAGTTGAGCTTCGAGGGCAAGCTGGTCGGTCGTGGTCTCGATGAGTACGCATCCCGAAGACCCTCTCGCAAGCATGAACTAACCTTCTCCAGGGAGCACGACATCATTGTCCTCTACGCCGCCCTCCTCCGCATCTCGCCCAAGGAAAAGACCACCAGACTTCTCCTCGCTACCCTCACAAACCTTCTTTCGACCAACCGCGATACCCTAATGCCTGCCGTCATCCCTGCTCGCCTTCCCGCCATACTCCAAAACCTGCAAGGTCGTCACCTCAACGATGCCGACCTTCTCGAGGACCTGAAAGCCCTTCAATCAATGGTCGAGGAATTCCAAAAGACACAGACAACTTTCTCGGAATACGCCGCAGAGGTCAACTCCGGCCACCTTCGCTGGTCGCCACCCCATCGTAACCAGGCCTTCTGGAGCGAGAACGCCCGCAAGATCCTCGAGGACAATAAGGGCGAGTTGGCCAAGAAGCTTGCTGAGATTCTCTCAAAGTCCTGGGACAACGACAAGCAGGTGCTGGCTATTGGCTGCAACGACGTCGCATGTCTTGTCAAGGAAGTACCCGAGAAGAGACAGCAGATGGAGAAGCTTGGTCTGAAGGCTCGAGTCATGGAGCTCATGCAGCACAACGACGAATCCGTGCGCTGGGAGAGTTTGAGAGCAGTCGGTGAATGGCTCAGATATTCCTTTGAGAAATAGAGCCGCGCCCATATCTTGAATCTCTCGTCTTGCGGTCTGTTTCGTGTATTCGGAACCGCCCTCTTCTGCACATCTTAATCATCTGTCTCTTGTTTGGGCATATCCTGGCGATGTCAATCTTCCCTTTTCTTCTTACTGTACAGCGAACTGGAGTATACCGATACAATGCACGTTTTCATGTTTATAGACCGCCTTCTTCCCTCGAGTCGTTGAATGTCTTTATTCCGAAACCATCGTGACAAGTCATGTTTCCTGATTCATGTTTGTGATTCGCGACTGTAATTTGCAAGCCCTCAATCTATCGGCAATCGGCTTCCATCCCCATGTTATGCAATAGCGTGTAGCCGGAAACGAGACTCATTAAGTCGTCACGTCATGGTGGTGTACAGTAATCGGCACAAGTCCTGTGGATCTCGCTCGCTCGAGAGAGAAAAGACAGTACATGTCCCGCATGAATGACCGTGCTGTGCATTGCGTCTTGGTGTGGCTGGATGGTTGTTATGGCCGTTGCTGTAGAAGCGGGAGGGAGCCTTCCGATTTCGTGATTGTGGAGAGATTGGAACGTGATGTGGAGACCTCACCCTGCGCCACAGTTGCCAACTCTTTTACAGTTTCCTCGTCAACGGAGAAGGTTGAGAACTACCGAGCAATACTCTAAACACTTCATGACTATGATGGGGTTTTTTCCAATCAATCGACTTGAACTTGATACATTGCGAAGTCTTGTATCCTTGCTAGTTTCTTGAGAAAATCGGGAATATGGAAGAGAGTGGGAAAGAGTTGTAGCAGATCATCAGATACCTACACCCATCGCAACGAGCAGCGGGACAAANNCGTGACTGTTGAGAACGCTCTGGTATCTGCCCGCAGGTTANNCTCTATTCTGAGCAACAGAAACGGTGCAGCCGCATAAGAGCGAGAGACCCAGACACCAAANGCACAGGGACAAGCAAAGGAAAGAAAANNAGGACGCGTAGACTGCACACCATGGNNTGATCTGTTACGAGACATCTCTCCATCAGCCGAATGACTCAGGNNGAGGTCGCTTTTGGCGCGGGGTTGCCAAAGTAGGCGTGCGGAGAGAGAGGCTGAGAGAGCACGTAAGCAAAAANNAGTAGGCTGGTAACTTTTGAACATGGCAATCTGGACCACTCGNTCTTCTACTTGTTCGCCGCCGCCGCTTTTGTCTAGATTGGTGCCGGGAGAATTGTCACCGAATGTCTCTCTTCGGGTGGTTGACGAGGAGATGTTCTTNCCTGATCTCGAGCAAGCAAAGCCAGAACCGAGGCGCAGTTGCCGGGGAGAGCAGTCAAAAATAGAGAGANNGGCGACACCACAGCATGGCCGGTTTTTCGTAGTCCAGTAGGAGGTTCAAGACCACGGCAACGATCTTCATAGAGCTACTGCANNAGCCAAGGGCAATGGCCCGGTGGCGCTCGCAGGAAAGCGTCCGAGTTGCTGCAGACTAGAACGTCGGTGGCCAATGGGACGGCAAGCTGGAGGAGCACCGCAGGAACCATGGTCCTTGTCGACCCTCGAGACAGCCATGTTTACCAGCCTCCGCTCGAGCACCTTCCAAAAAGCTTACCGCATATAAATGTCAGGGTAGGGCCGCGTAACTTGCTCTTTCCCTCTCAGTTCAATCACCACACCCCAAAAGCCATCTGTTTCTTTGCAAACACCTCTCTCGCTTTCTCTGCTCAGTCAATCATCAATCACATCCAAACATCACATATTCGAACATTGATCGTTATCCATCACGGTACTTTTAATCACAACATCACTCAACAACATAATCAAGATGCGCACTTCCGTCTTCTTCGCTGCTCCCCTCGTGGCCATGGCTGCCGCTCAGAGCTCGTCGGCATCCGCCAATGAGACCGTATGTTTCCTCTCATCTCGTCTTCCAGCACCAAAAAGATCTAATGTGTCTTCCAGTCTGTCCTCAGCACCATCCCCATCTCTTCTTCCAGCGTCCCTTACACCAACGGATTCACCTCTTTCCTCACCCAGACCAACTCTCTCGGTGTCGTGACTGGCCAGCCTCTCCCTGCAACCTCTGTCGGTGTTGCCGCCACTAACGCTGCTATCTCATCCGTCGCTGTGCAGCTTGTTCCTGCAGGCCTTGCTCCTGGCACTGTCACCACCCTCATCTACGGCAATGTCACCGCTGGTAACGCCACTTCCATCGTCGTCACTGTTGGCGCTTCAACCACTCAGGTCTTGAGTGCTGCCGTCGTCGCGGCAACCGGTTCGGGCTCTTCTTCTACCGGCTCTTCTGGCGCTGGTGCTGCATCATCGGCCTCAGGCTCAAGCGGTTCCTCCAGCGGATCTTCCTCGCGTGGTAGCTCCAGCACTGCCTCTCGTGCATCTTCCGCTGCAGCATCCGGCAGCTCAGCAGCATCCTCTGCTGCCGCCGCTTCCTCTACTGGCTCGGCCGCCAACGTCAAGGTCGGTGCTGGTGCTCTGATCGGTGCTGGTGTCTTCTTTGCTGCTTTCATGTAAAATCAAAAGCTGTGAGCACTTTGCACATTCTTGTTTACTCTTTTCTTCTTCACGCCAAGTTACGCCTCCTCTGGAAACGATGGAATAATGGAAATAATGCTGGGATTATGGGATGGATAACGTGGAGTCTTTTCTTCTTCAGGGTGCATCAACAGAGCACGATTGCATTGCAAGTGGAGAATATCGGCTTGGTTTTTTTCAATCCCTGCCATCGGGATTGGGTGTCTATAGTGGCCGTATCATAATAGACAAAAAGAAACACAACCCCTTACACTGTAACAATTCTTCCGATCTCATCTATCTTCATGGTGTGCTTTTGATCCAATTTCTCCGATAGCCCTCACGTGTTGGCAAGTCGGCAGGGTGTAGAAGTCGGTCACTTCGCTTGCAAGTGGAACCAAAGTCTATAAGCAACTGGCCATGCGCAAAAAGACTCGCCGTGGCCGCCGCCGCCATGTCGCGGTTGTCACACTCTTGTAATTGATTGCTCTCTCAAGGCGGCGTTCCGTTGCTATGATATGCTATAAAAATGCAAAGATACTTTGCAAAAAGAGGCATGACCATGGAGACACTCTAGGATCACATCCTCTCCATGGACACCAATCCTTTCTGCAAAGCATTGTACATTTCTATGGCCACCTACAACACTGTTCAGCACACGGGAAGAACAAGAAGGGCCAATTCACAGAGATAACCCCAGCGGTGATCGAGAGAAAACGAGGATGAAAGTGGAATTATAACGACAGTGCTATAGGAACAAACGAATGCAGTACTCCAACGCCCTAGCCCTGTACAAAAGGTAACTGCTGGGATTCAGAGTCTTATCTCACATCGAGGTCTTTCCACACAATACTCATCCCTTCTTGAGAGCTCGATTTGGCTTTCTCTTGGGTGGAGGCTGGTCTGTGGAAAGATCTTGTGTCTTGTATCTCGAGAAGTCAGAAGGAGAAGGCGGTCTCTTGGAGGGCTTGTGCGAGGGCTGGCTTGAGGAAGGTAATGGCTGCTCTGAAGGGGGCGACGAGGGAAACAGCTCCTTTGCCAACGACGAGGCAGACTGTGCGGACAGATGTGCTGGCTTTGGTGGTATTTTTGGTGGCTGTTCTGGTTGTGTAGGTGGTTGTGTTGGATACATTGTCGCCACAGGTGCTATGTTTGCCTTGGAAGAGACGGGTCCAGAAACACTTGCATCGCGAGATGGTCCGCTGCACACAGAAGCCGTTGATCCAGAGCGAGACTTCGGCTTCTTCACCACAATGGTCCCCGTCTTTGTGAGAGGTTGCTTGTATCCTTTTCTAAACATTGATATCAAAGGCTGCCCAGTGACGGATTGTGATGTGGGGATGCTTTGAGCTCCTATCGCTTTGGGCGGCGCGCTCTGTCCACTGTGAAAATTCGAGGAAGGACGGATGTTCGGCAACATGACGACGTTTTGAGAGCTGCGGCGTGATTGCGGCCGAGGACGTATAGGGTGTTGTATCGTTTGCTGGGTTGGTGCTTCCTGATGCTCTGCTGCAGCCAGTTCTGCTGCTGATGGCTTGCGAGAGGTCCTTGGCGAGATGTCTGAGGAGTCACTTTGATCATTGGCACCGTCAAAGATGCTTCTGCCCAAGCCTGAGGTCAAAGACGTGAGTGAACGCACTTTCTTTGGTGCGGGACCAGTTTCCTCGCTCGTAGAGCCACGCTTCTTGGAGCCCGAACCACTTCCTTGACTTGCTGAGCTATGCTTCCTGACGCTCGTATCGTCCTCAGGAACGATCTTTGGCGAAGGGCCGGTCTCTTTGCTTGTGGAAGCACGCTCTCCGGGATTTGAGCTGCTTCCAGGAACGCTTTGTGACTTGAGACCTGCCTCTTTGCTCGGAGCACGCTCTCTGGAGCTCGGATTGTGGTCAGGAATAAACAAACTGTCTCCATCCCTGATTTGGAGAACCTTAAGCCGGCGGATGAGTGCTTCCTCTCCGACCTCAGTCACACATATCTCTTCCAAATGGCGTATGTATTGTTCAACTGCTTTGAGGGCTTGAGTGCGGGCGTCAAAGCTGGAGCGAAGGAGCTTGATGGCATCGGCAGCCTCGATCTTTTGTTGAGTTTGTGCATCCATTTTCGCTGTATATAGGTGGGATGAATCAGGCGTCAAATAATGGGTCGGTTAAGGAGGTTGTCCAGATACTGCAGCGAGGGTGCCTTGTGTGTTCTCCTGCCGAAATTATGCTCGAAGTTATGTCGAGTTGAGTATCGATGTTTGATATGATTGTGTGGATCAATGGTCGCGATCGAAAGATGTTGACGAAGTGATGTTGTGGTGGCTTGATGTCCATGGTGCCTTGTTTTGGTCGACTTACGCGCGTGCGCTGCGAATTTCGAACGATGACTTTCAAGGAAGGAACAATTCCGTCACTGGCAGAATCCGATAGGAGCATGGTGCAAACATCGAGAAAAGACATGGATTCGAGCAATTATGTTTCTAGCTACCAGATCCGGGTCTGCGCATTGCCCTCGTCACTTGTTACACTGAATGTCTCATGTTCATCGATGCTGTTGCCTCCCTCTCATAACCCTTTGGCTGCCTGGAAAGAGTGAAGACAACTCAATTACCGTGACCCTTGACACCAATCTTCAACACGATGCGGACATCGGACTCGTTGGTCTCAGTCATGTCGGCGAACTCCTTGATGATCTCGCTGACTGTGGCATCCTGAGGCACGGCAGCAGGAAGGCACTGTCCACCAGGAAATTCCATCAGTAGTTCGTGATCAGTGTCGGACTCCGAGCCTGTCATCTTGCTGGCATCCACACTGGCACGGATGTGGTCAGCGAAGGCGCGGATGAGTTGACGACCCTTGTCGGTGTCCTTCATGTCGAGCAGCATAGGCAACCACTCGTTGCGACCAAAGCGAGGAGACTATCCAACCATGTCAGTATGTGTTTGTCTATCGTAAAGAGGCGCAAGNTGTACCTTGTTAGATTCAGGGACAATGGTCGAGTCTGACACGTGTTGCTCTTCGACTGAAGAAGAGGCGAAGTTGAGACCGGGAAGATCCTCGATGATGGGCTCGGCCTCAGCCTCGATCTTGACCTGGGGCTCTTGGTGGACATGCACAGACTGAAGCTGTTGGATATCATCCCAGACACTCTGAGTGGTGTTCATGGGACGAGAGACAGGAACAGATTCGTTCTGAACGCCATGTGTGCTTATCTGTGGCTTCTGAACATCGACCCAAGTGTTAGTGGCGGCCTGAATCTTTCTAAGGTCATCCCAAGAACTGGCTGGAGACACGGGCTGCTCCATCGGGGTCCGGGTCTGAGGGTGTTGGGTGCGAGGGGCTTGCTTGGCGTGAGGATCCATCTTCGAGTGAGGACCCATCTTCGCGTGGGGACCAGCAGGACGTTTGGTTGACGGAGCAGTACTGTGTTCCGCGAAGGTGGGCGAGGCAGGGGCTCTGACTNNTGATGGGGACCGACGTAGCGGAAGCAGAGACGACGGGAGCCGAGGTGATAAGAGCAGTAATGGCAGGGACAGGTGTGGCAGCATGGCGCAGATGAGGGGGAGTCTCTTGGCCGGAGTGGTGACTGGAGGAGCCATGGTGACGGTGGCGGGGCTGGGGGTGATGGGGCCAGGAAAGACGAAAGGTTTGGCGGCAGCGGAGAAGGGCTAAGGGCGCAAGTGAGAGTGTNNTAGCGACAGAAAAGGCAAGTCGATGTTTTGGAAAAGTGAAAAAAGACGTACATAGTTAGGCACGTCTGGCATGTCGATGTCGCCGCCGAATGCGATCAAGGGTTGCTTGTCCACTTCAGTACGGAGACTGGTTGGGGCGGTAGACGAAATGCTTTGACAGACAACTGTCGGAAATGGCTGGGCGATCTTTGCGGTTTCGCCCTGCAGAGCCACCATTCTCTTCTGCACATGAGTGAGTGGACCTCCGTGCGCCATGACTTGTATGTGATTGGATGAGAAGATAATCGAATGAAGATGATTGAGCTGGGATGGCTGGGAAGTGATAAGAAGCGATATATGTGCGCGTTGGAAGAGAAAGAGAGCAACGGGACGTGAATGAGAAAGGCTGCGAGACTTCTGGTCAACAAAAGAAGAAGTGACTGCGCCAAATGCTTGATCGATTGCAACGCACCAAGGACGGAAGGCACAGCGTTCGACCTCTCTCTTGGAGACACAGAGAATAGCAGGAACGCGATTGCCTACCTTCTCTTGTTCCCATTTTCTGGGAACCTTCTACCTCTGTCTTCTGCCTTTCTCCAAGAAATATCTACAAGCTCACGGACCTACCTGGCAAGTCTTTTCTTGATATTCATGTCACTTGAATGAAGCCTGCCGCTTCAAGACATCTTCGTCATTGTCTACAGCGAGCGTGCAGCTTGACCTCAATGCTGTCTTGTCTACTTTCGCGGTTCCTCTCAGCTTGGCGACACACGAAGTGAAAGACTACAGATCTGACAATGAGAGAGGTAATGGATCGAAAGAGATTGAAGGAGCTGAGGTTGAATTCAGGGCTGTCCTTCTCCACAAACCCACCAAACCGATGACGCCATGATGCATTCGAAAATACTCCAATCTTTGAGCATTCACGCATCTTTATATCTATTTCTGTAATAACTCACTCCAAGGCATATGGCTGGAAACACGTCGACCGACATCTTGGTCGTAAGTCTTCTAGAATCTTGGTTTGGACTCAAGCATGGCTAAAACCAATAACCATGCAGGNCTGGCGCATTTGCTGCTTTCACAGTCGATTTGCTTGTCTACCCTCTCGACACACTCAAGACTAGGTTCCAATCACCCGACTACAATCGCCTTTACCTCGACAAAGCCACCAATGCCGTCAACAAGCAAGTCCTCTTCCGAGGCCTCTACCAAGGCGTCGGCAGCGTCATCATAGCCACCCTCCCCTCTTGTATCCCACCCTCGAACACCCATATCTCAATGAGTCCATCTCTGACCTTGTTCAGCANNGGAGCCTTTTTCACTACCTACGAAGGCGTCAAGTCTACCTTTACCAAGTACAACCCTACCTTCTCTGGCTCTTCACCTCTCCTCCCTCAACCCATCATTCACTCCGCCGCATCCTCGATCGCAGAACTGGTCTCTTGTGCCATCCTCACCCCTGCCGAGGTAATCAAGCAAAATGCTCAGATGGTCGATACAGCAAAAGGCGACAACAAGGCCAATGCAACTCTCCAAACCCTCGCCAAATTCAGATCCAACCCGCTGGCTTTGTGGAGAGGCTACACAGCACTGGCAGGCCGCAACCTACCTTTTACAGCTCTGCAATTTCCCATCTTCGAGCGTCTGAAAGAAGGAATAAAGAAACACAGAGAAGACAGAGGAACACGGACAAATACACTGCTGGAAAACGGCTTGATCACTGCCGCCAGTGCAGGCTCAGCTGGTGCCTTTGCCGCAGTGGTGACCACCCCAGTCGACGTCGTCAAAACACGCATCATGCTCGCCGCAGCATCAAGTGCAGCCGAAGACCAAAACAGCAACACCCCAAAGTCAAAACCCAATTCAAACAGCCCCGTCGACGCCCTAGGTCGCTCCACCCAAAGCAAAGGAGAAAACCTCAAAGACGCACTTCAGAACAGCAAACAAGGCCTCAAAGACGCAATCCAGAATGTCGCAAAGCCCGTGTCGAGAAAGGGCAGCATACAGATTGCCAAAGAGATCATCGCTGATCAGGGTGTCATCAAGGGCCTTTTCCGTGGCGGTGCTTTGAGGGCTGTGTGGACGTTGATTGGATCTGGACTCTATCTTGGTGTCTATGAGAGTGGGCGTGTATATCTGGCCCAGCGACGGGGCGAAGACATTGATAATGAGGATATATGAAAGCATAAATGTAGAAAGTCACAGTAATGTATACACTGACAATAGTTCAGAGTATCTTTACATCGATTCAGCTGAATTAGACTCACTCTGCCTTGAAAAACTTGTATACTTGTTTTGGAGAAGATAAGATCCGTATTGACCACAGCATAGACTGGAACTTTGGGAATATGCATCAAGGGCATTTGAAGAAGATGCAGTCAATCGTCTATATGTTCTGGGCTGCCATCTACACTGAAGCAACATCTCAAATCAAGCTCTGATATTTATCCAACCCACTACTCTGTGGTGCCGTCGCCTTTGCTGCTGCTGCTGCTGCTGCTGCTGCTGTGTCTGTTGCTGCAACGCCTGTCTCTGCTGCATCTGCTGCGGTTGCATCGCCGGCATCGAAAACGCAGAATACGCATTCGCCGTCCCCGGTGTTGGCGTCTTGAAGCTCGGCGGCGGGGCAATGGTAAACGAAGATTGCCGTTGGGTGGGCGGAGCAAGTATCCCGCCATTTGTGGGTCTTTGCTGTGAAGACCATGTCGATGTAGCGCTGGGGGTTGTGATTGCCGCTGACCAGTTTATTGACGAGGCAGTGTTGCTGGCTGCGCGGTTGAGAGGTGGGGATGTGAAGCTGGGGTTAGAAGGCTGTAGTGGTGCGTTAAAAGGCGATGCAGGTGTGAGTGCGGCAAAGGAAGTATTGAGATCTGGCGTTACTGTGCGCTGGTTGGCTGAAGGTTGTAGAGAGGTCAATCGAGAAGCTTGAGCTGGTGCTGCACTTGTCCAGGTTGAGAAGGATGAGGCTTGCGATGTAGTTGGTGGCTGGGTCGAAGCGGGTTTGGCAGCAGGCGGACCCCAATCGTTCATGATGTCTGGAGTCGCAGTTCCCTTTCTTCCACTGACCAAGCTTGCAAAGTCTACTTCACCACCGTTGGTCGTCGTGCTTGACTGGAAAGCAGTGGGTTGTTTTGCTCCCGATCTCGTTGACCCAGCACCATTGCTCGAGCCCAGCTCTTGCAGTTTACGAGTATGTTCTCTTTCAATACGTGATGAGAGATTCTTGATCAGAGTCATGAAAGCCTGGAACTGCTCAAGGTCAAGAAGAGGTCCAAGACTGAAGCTCCAAAGGATGGGTAGAGCTTCCATGGCGAGGAAGTCGGAGTCTACGACCTGACCTATTTGTCTGAATACCTTAAGGGCGGCCATNCTGCTCGAGTCAGCTACTAAATTGCTGCGTTCATAATGATCGAGAAGACTCACCATAACACCGGGCTCTTTTGTCTTGATGCCTTTCATTAGAGGTACGACTTTCTCCTGGATAGTGAACTTGTCAAGCACTTGGCTACTACTGAGTTTGGAAGAGTCGTGAGAGATGGAAACACCATCAAGGCCATCGCTAACAGACTCGTTCTCAGCCGTACCGCCACATAGAGTATAGAACGCTTCAAGACCACGAATCTTGATGCCAAGCGAGTTTGTATGGGCAAAGACACCAGCGATTACAGGGAACAGCTCATTCTTGATTGTGCTGTAGTCGAGGGCAGGCAGAACGGCAGGCAATGTGGAGAGAGCAGCATCAACAACAGCATGAGTTGGCGAGCTGAGACCTAGAGCGATGATGGGAAGAATATCTACGAATGTTAGCATGTGTTCACACATATGACAGAGACATCTCAAGTACATACCATCTCTAAACTCCTTGCCAGAGCAGTTATCAGCCACAACTTTCATGTTCTCGAGCACGATCATTAGACCAGCCTCTTTGGTAGTGTCACGCTCAGCGGGAGTTTTCGCGTTCGATTGCACAAGGAATATATCGCGCAACCTCGGAATGACCTTATCTGTAAAAGCACGTTTCCCTGATGGTGAGGCCTTGATGATGGCAAAGACATTCAATAGAATCGGGGCTAGTAGTTCGCGGTCTTTCATTTCTTCTAGCAGAGCAGGTAAGAGCTTTCTCTCCAGGACTGATTTTGGAAATTGTGGCATGATTTTTGCAAGGCCTCGCATGAACTGAGCCTTCTCGTTGGGTGTCTTGGCCGGCAAGTCATCCAGAAAGCGAATAGTTGATACGAGAATGTTGTCAAAATATTGAGCCTGTTGGAACTCCATGGCGTTGAGACGTTGTGCAGGACGTCGAGTTATTAGGCGTGGTAGAAGCTCGGATGAAAGGTTCTTTGGTAGCGGCACAGAGGAGAGAAAGTTGTTGGTCTGGTTGGGTACGGAGGAGGACGAGGAAAAGGCACGTTTGTAGGCCGAGAGACTTTCATGTGTCTCGATGGGACTGCGATGTGGAGAGTTGTAGAGGGCGATGATAAGAAGACCCAGCGAGAACATATCGGCCGAGGGATTGATGTTGTTATCCAGCACAAAATCGGGAGAGGTGTAGTCGAGGCTTAACTGGACTGAAGGGGGAAGTCGAGGATCATGGTTCAAGACTTCAGACAGCGACAGAGATGGTGACGAGACAGAGTCGGAGAAAGGTGTAGAGAAGGCCAAGCCCGAGATCTTCCAGTCCGACTTTGCATTGACAAAGATGGCGTCTGGTGTCAAGTTGGCGTGAACCAGCTTCGCACTGGTATGTAGAAAGTCCAGGCCTTTTGCGATCTGCAGGAGACCCTTTTGTATTTCCAGCTCGTCCAGTTCGAGCTCGCGGATCTCGTCTTGACCATCGTTCCCTCGGACAACATAACGGCTGCCTCTTCCAGCATTTCGCCCTGATCTTTCTTGGTCGTCTTTCTCGGCCAGCAAAGCAGCAAGAGAGACGGTGACTTGTTCTGTCGCAAACATGAGACCACCACTACGCGTCTCCTCGACAGGTTCGGCCAGCTCCAAGACACTGGGATGTCGCAGGCGGGCCAGAGAGCTTGCCTCCTTCTTCAGACGGTCGATAACCTCCTCTTGAGCTCGTTTGATGGACGACGAGTTCCCACGACCTCCTCCTAGAGAACTGGCAGTTAATTCCAGAGACTTCTTGTCGAATACAAAGACCGAGGCAGCTTTGCCAGTCGACTTCTTCTTGGCGTCGAAGATCTTCCATGGTCCAGAGGTCGAGCTAGGTTGCGGAGCGATGGTATAGTTGGATCCAATGTTGGAGGTAAACGACTTGAGTGCTGACGAAAACATTGCGACGGGTGATTTGAGGTTTCAGGGTTCCATGAGAAACAGACGAACGACGAGCAAAGTCACTGACGACGGGAATGGGCAACAAGGAAGGAGCGGACAATTTGACAGCAAAGACAAGAAGGAGCGTAATTGGAAATGCGATGATAATAGGCAAGGACACGGGAGCCATCTATTTCAGGGTTCAATGAGGCCCAAGCGCTGTATAAGGACAGGACAAGGACGACTCCGATGACGGCGGCCTTCAAGATTCCCGGCTGCTCTCCCGCGCCCTATCCCGCATGCCGTCAGTACCGGCAAGATAATCTTGACTCATTGCAATTGGGTCTATATCGCTCTTTCCTCTTGTCATTCGCTCCTTCCCTGTGTCAACATGCTGTCTTCTTGTGGATTCCGGTCAACACGGGCGGCGTCCCGCTCCTTCCGCCTCGTCAATGGCTCCCACTCGCGCTGCTACGCCATTGCTGCACACGACGTCTCAAATCCCAAGCTGACCACCATCGACAACTCCAAGTTGACCATCACCAAGACGACGACGCCAAAGGAATTGATCCCCAACGATGAGCTGGTCTTCGGAAAGCACTTCACTGACCACATGTTGTCTCTCGAGTGGACAGCCACCGACGGCTGGCAGGCTCCCCGTATCACTCCATACCAGAACCTCTCACTCGACCCGGCCACTTGCGTCTTCCACTACGCCTTCGAGTGCTTCGAGGGTATGAAGGCCTACAAGGATGAGAAGGGCAACGTTCGTCTCTTCCGTCCCGACAAGAACATGGCCCGCTTGAACAGATCCTCTGCCCGCATTGCTCTGCCCAACTTCGACCCCAAGGCCATGATTGACCTGGTCTCCAAGTTTGTCAAGACTGATGAGCGTTTCATTCCCGCGTGAGTAGTCTCCCTCAACTTGTCCAGCATCATCTGACTCATCGACCCCAGTGCTCGTGGCTACTCGCTCTACCTCCGTCCTACCATGATCGGCACTCAACGTACTCTCGGTGTCGGCCCACCCGGCTCTGCCCTCCTCTACACCATCGCCTCTCCCGTCGGTCCATACTACCCTACTGGCTTCAAGGCTGTCTCGTTGGAAGCAACCACATATGCTGTTCGTGCATGGCCTGGCGGTGTCGGCAACAGCAAGCTCGGCGCAAACTACGCTCCTTGCATTGTTCCTCAGATGCAGGCCGCCTCTCGTGGCTTCCACCAGAACTTGTGGCTGTTTGAGGAGGGTGGTGAGGAATGGGTCACCGAGGTCGGAACCATGAACCTGTTTGCTGCCATCATCAACAAGGATGGAAAGAAGGAGCTGATGACGGCTCCCCTGGATGGAACTATTCTGGAAGGTGTTACCCGTGACTCTATCCTCGAACTTGCCCGCGAGCGTCTTGTTCCCGAAGGTTGGGAAGTCAACGAGCGTAGGTTCTCGGTCAGAGAGCTCGCCGAGGCCGACAAGGAAGGTCGCATGCTCGAGGTCTTTGGTGCTGGTACCGCTGCCGTCGTCAGCCCTGTTCGCAACATCGGCTGGAAGGACTCTATGATCAACTGCGGTCTCGAGGCTGACAAGGAGGCTGGTCCCATCGCCCAGCGTATGAAGGACTGGATTGAGGGTATTCAGTACGGTGACGAGGCTCACNCCTGGAGCGTCAAGATCTAGGCCATGGATATCAACATCGATTGGCCATCAGGGTCGATTTTTGTGACTGCAAGGATACGAGAAGAAGAAGCAAGAGCCGGCAGAGTCTGACAACGTCCAGCGCCGAGTCCGGGGAACTACGAGCATGCGCTCGACAACTTCGGTGCCTCAGAAGATTTCTATCTCTCAGCGCAGACTGACCCGGAGCTACTCCATCAGGCCTCGAGACAGAAGGCCCAGGCATCTGCTCGCTGATACCGAAAAGCGTGTCGCTATCGTACGAGGTTTGTTCATTTTTCTTGTTCATATAGGTCATCTGCTTCCCATTCCAACGAAGCGTATCTGCATCTTTTACTCTTCCCGCTGTGTCCTTCCTTGCCCTAATTCATGAATGACTGTTTTTCCAATCACGAGAAAGAAAAAAAGAAAAAGAAAAAAAGAAAAAAAGAAAAAAAGTCTTGAATAGCTTGTGAACACTGAAATCAACCGCGTGCTGGTGTTGCCAGGCCGGAGTGGTTATAGAATCTGTTGGTCCGGTTGAGTGAGAGCGACGCTTGTCTAGTTCGTTGTGAAAGGGGATCACTTTTTCCATTGTTTTGCTTGGAGCGCGACAACGATCCAACACCAAGCGACTTTCACCATCACTCTCTCTTCTCCCTACCCCGTACCCCGGTTCATACCAATCCTCATCCTATCTCGCTGTCTCGGCGCAGATCCTCTCGGCGCATCGTCTCGGCATCATGTCTCGCCATCACCAAGTCTACCCTGCTATGCGCAACTCGTTCTCCTCCTCGGAAGCCAGCTTCCAAGACGAACTGTTTCAGGACACCCAGTCGGAGTGTTCCTTCCTTGACGGCATGGCATCTCTCGAAGCTGACATGGCATCTCCTGACGAAGACTGGGACCAGCACACTCTCTCGCAGGACTTTGGCGTAAGTCGACATCATTCTCATGGCCACTCACGATGCGCACAAGACTGACCAAGGCGCGATAGAACCTGCCTAGACTCTACAACGTCACTGGTGTTATGACTTCGGACATTGTCGTCCGCTTCAATGGCGGCCGCTCGGAATTTCTTTCTCAGAAGGCTGTCCTCAGCGCAAAGTCTGGCTACTTCGAGCGCGCATTCTCGGGCAACTTCCCTGTACGTGCTTAGATCCCCATCACCGCTTCCTCTTCTCTATGTTTGATGTTTTTCTACTCGCATCGATCATCGGCTCCATCAACGCATGACTGACACAAGACATACAGGTTGCCACCTCTGATGTGATCGACCTTGGTGATGATGACAACCCCAAGCACATCTACGCCATGCTCTGCTTCCTTCACGGAACCGAGTACCACAAGATCCATCAGCGCAACACTCTTGGTCGCAACCTGGACTTCCACGTCGACCTCTACCTCATTGGTGAACAGTTCGACATTCGCAGCCTTCGTCTCAAGGCTGCCGAGACCTTTCTTCTTCGAGGCAAACGCCCTTGTCGATACCCGCTGGTTCCCCATGGCTGTCCAGAGAGTTCTTGGACCCGAGGGTCCCGTCTTCGCCGACCCCTTCCTCATCGAGCTTACCATCAAGATCATCATGGAGAAGATGGAGTACCTTGTCAAGAACGACCGCTTCATGGAGATGGCCAAGTCCGGCGAACTCGCCGACGAAGACATGATGATCAAGCTGTTCCTCGCTCTGGGCCAGCGCATCAGGGACATGTCTCGCCTGGACGTGTGGGTTTCGAAGGAACAGCGTCTTTTCGACGCTCAGAGAGAGATGTTGGAGGCCGAAGCTGGCATGGGTGAGGGTCCCTGGGACGCGTCGACCCTTGCTGGACAGATCATGGCTGCCAGAGCTCAGAACGCTGCCTACGCTGCTCTGTCCAACCTGGCTCTGCTCGTCCCTCAGCCTACCTTTGCTCCACCCCTGCCATCTTGACTTCACATCACCCTGCACGTGTTGTCAACGCTCCTGCTCATGTGAGTCGCCCAGCTGTCTCCAAGACCAGCTTCACCAAGATGTATGTACACCATCGTCTTTCCTTCCGAACACACGCTAATCCTTTCATAGCATTCGCCGTACCTTCCTCCAGCTCAAGAAGACTGTCAGAAAGACCTTCAGAAGAAACTGATCTGCCTAACCTGTGTGGCCGAACTCATATGGAACGGCTTCGAGGCAGCTGCAATGTGCAATCCTGACCTCGAGGCTTTCAAGCTGTGGAGCCATCGCTGGGTGCTCTTGCTAAACGTTACAGAAGAACACACAAAACCATCGTGCGAACATCCAGCCATCAGTCTCAGACACCTGTATTCTCGTGAACAAGGAGCACTTATCCGCAAGAAGCTGGAGGCTGGTGGACCCTGGGCAGCGGAACTGATGGAAAAATGGTGATGAGAAGCGATTGTTGCTGAAACAGTCTACAGACTCTCGAGAAGTTATCGGACGGAGAATGGAGTAGTCGATTCGTTGCAGGTAGCAGTAATCGAACCATTGTCGTCTTCTCTCGCCTTCAAGCTATTATTGGACAGTGTTTTCGGTAGGCTCTTATCATTGTATGATGCTTGTACATGCTTATTGTCCACTCCTTGACATAGCCGCCCGATCAGCCCTTCGCCCTATGCTTGACAGCTGCAACACCGTCCACGGTCAAGTCCCGATATCGTGGTCTATCAACCATCACGAAATATTTTCTCCCAGACCTTCTTCTCTTTCGGCAATTTGAACGTTCCAGTTGACTGTTTCGCAGTAGTTGCAGGCTGTTCGGCTATGGCTCTGGAGTATTGCTGCTTTCTACTCAAGGCATCTTGGATTGAGTGGCTTGTTTGATGTCGAGTAGATACAGGGCATTATACTGGACATCTTCCAGACATAAGGGATACTCGGATGTGAAGGGCTGTCGGATTCTTACTTCTACAGTATCTTCTATACTGTCCTTGCCGCAGAATCTATGTGTACCTATATGAACAGCAGGATAACGCTGATGGCTAGAGACGAAGTCAAGATCAAAGGCACCGCCAACACGTTCGAACCACTCTTGTCGTCTCCTTCGCCGTCGCTGCTTCCTTCAGTCGTACCGTTGCCAGAGCTGGTGCTACCGTTTCCAGAGCCATTGCCTCCTCCATCTTCCAAACTGCCGTTTGTCCAGACAGTCTCCAAGTTCCTTCCTAGCGCGATACTTGCATTGCCTCCAAAGAAATTCTTTGCTGTGTCCGGTGGTCCAGCAGTAATATTTGCACCGCCGGTTACTGAGGAAGGATGAGAAGTAGATCCCTCGACACACTGCATACTTCCCCAAGTGGCATCGTACGCCTTGTCCCACACGGCAGCTTGATCAGCATACATCTGCGCCGTGTAGAAGAACCTACAATCCGCAGCTTGATAAACATATTGCAGCGGCATCTGCTCAGCATCTCCTCCACGCACATTATTGCGGAAATTGACAGAAGCCTTGACCAAGAGTGTTCCACCAAACGAAGCACGGGAAAGCGCTTGATTGGTCGCTGTCAAGATATCGGTGCCGAACTGGGAGAGAAAAGAAAAGTTGCTCGATGGGGGTGCGGCGGCGAGGACGGCGGAAACGATGGTGGAGAGGATGAACATGCCTTGCACTTGGGAGCCTTTGGTGCCGCCGACGGCTTGCATGGGTGCCTTTTGGGGCCGTCCGCCGGCTGCGATGCTGGATATGGACATTTGGGAGGACATGAGTTCGCTGAAGATGGCGCAGGTGGATGCGCAGGTTCCGTCGTGGAGGAGGACGATGTCTTTGGGTGCAAAGGTGCGGGGTTGTGTTGTGTTGTCGTCTGCATAGCCCAGTATAGGTATTGTTGTGGCAGAGATGTCGGTAAGGTTGAAGCGGTTCAGCGAGGTAAAATCTCCTCTATCCGTTTTATGCGGGCCAAAGAACTCTTCCCAAGAAGTAAATTGCTCGTTGTCCACAGTCAGCGGCTCGCGGTAGTTGAAACTATTAAGCACAACTCCATCGACACCAGACTTGACCAACTCGGGATACGCAGCGCTAAGTGCATCGATATTCTCGCTCGCGACACGTCCCGTAAAGTTATGGAGCTCGCTTGCGCGATAGTTGCCTGCACCATAAGGAACTTCGGTGGGAAACAGCTGGCGGAAAAGATCATAAGCCAGGAAAATGGTGCCTCCGCCATTGCCACGAAGATCGATGACGAGTTTGGTGCGTTCATTGTCACTCGCAGTCGCCAACAATTGACGCACAACGTTCTCAAACTCCACAGGGGAGGTCGTGGAGAAGCTGGGTACAGAAAGAATCGCAAGGTCTGAAATGGTGTCGGAGAAGTATCCAGCAACACTCTTATCCGAAGAGATGACAATTGGGCTTGGGTAAGCTGGGTGTGGTGGCGCAACACCCTCCGTTGAGACAGGTTCATAGGGTACTCGAGTAATGTTGGATGTAGTCTGCAAAGGCGCTGTTCCAGTAGCATTCGCCTGTGCCAGAATCGTTTCTGTTAGATTGTTGTTACAGAACCTGTCGAAGAAGCTCGCGCCATCAGTAAGACCCTCTAGTGTCTTGGTAGACAGCAACTGTGCTCTTGTCATCACATCACGGGTAGATTCGTTGGCAAAGGTGAGCATGGTAGTGTTGCCTTGATAGAATCTGGAAACGGCAAAGTGGTCTGTCTCGGCGGCTTCGTATGCCAACTTGGGTATGTTTACGAAAACCTGGTTGTAGTTCGCATCGGGATCTTGCGACCGGCCGTTCTGAGCTGCATAGCTGTTGAGCCAAGCCACGACATCCTGACCATTAATCTTGGTGACAGGAGAAGGACTGTAATCGGAGTTTCCAGGATCGGCCAGAGAATTTTCGTCGATGTATGCATAGATATCCGGAGTATCGTTCTCGACGGTCAGAACCTACATAGTCAACATGTTAGTTTAAGTCTACAACTTGCAACCATGCATCTAAGCCAAACTCACCGAGATCAGTGAGAAGTAATTAGCGATTCCTTCATCATTCACATCCTCACTCTGCAATCTGCCAAAAGCAAACACATCGACGATATCAGGAATATACGAAAGATGGCCATCGTAAGCCGCCGAGAAGAGTTTGAAGACATCCATTTGGAAGTCATGTTCGTTCTGGTAGATATCGTCCTCTAGCATGGAGGTGAGCTTGTCCAAGCCAGCCAACAGATCAATTCCAGGATAGATGCGGCCAACAGTCGGATCTGCAAGATAGTCCAGATCGCTTTGAAACTCCAGAAAGGTACGCAGACCGCTGAGTTGGAGAAGGTCGTCTTCTTTTGCCAGCGGTACTGAGCGCAGACACGAGAGTGCAAGGTCAGCTGGAAAGAACTTGGTATCGTTTGCCGAGAGAGCGCTAAGCTGCGAGCATGGTGCTCGACTGGTTTCATCTTGAGCATGAACTGAATTCGCAATTGCAGCCAGCGCCACGAGTGCCACCCTTAACGACATGATGATTATGGTCTCTAGCCAGTCTATGCACGATATAGAACAGCTGAACGTGAGAAAGAAGTCAAGAAAGGAGCGAGTAGCGTAGGGAATACAGGAAAGCGATTCCTAAGATAGATGGATGTTGTTCATGCCCAGACTTGGTTGTTTACCCGGTCTTGGTACCAAGAGTTTAATCATGGCATTCAACGATGCAACTAATCCTTCGCCTTGTGGTGCAAGCTCTTTTCTCGTTGTTGTTATACCATAGTGAGTGCCTTGGGTCAAAGTACTGAGCTAGACCGTAACCCAGGAACATGCAAGCGCTGGTGAGCGAGCGGATTGCTGCCACTGTTTACGACGTGCTGCCTGCGAGCATTCATGGGTATGTCCAGTGTCTCGAGTCAGCACATGGTTGATCGTACGGCCGCAGATCCATGACCTAGTGGGTCTTCACGTGAGTGTCTGTGATTTTGAAAGACAATGTGCAAGCAGCAAGAGTGACTGTTGGAGTCAAGGCTTGTGGGGCCTGAATCCTTCGGCCATCGACGATCCGTAGATGATTATCTGCAACTGCGCCCATGGAGAGGAAAGCAAAATCAGTTCTGATGGCTGGGTCGCAAGCCTGGGGTTACATGTTACTTGCGCATCTGATACGACGTGCAGGGTGGTTGGTTTTGGGTTTCGAGGTGGCTGGTCGGGAAGTTCGGCAAGGGTCTGTAATTTGAGAGCAGGGTTGTACCCCATACAAGCAGTTTTAAGGTCGACGACGACATTGCTGCAGCACCATTGCCTATTTTCTTCTTCTGAGTGCTTGATTACGAACATACGATATCTAGTGAACTGTAAGACGGTTTTTCTGGTCGAGTACGCGCTTTGTTAACCTGATATACACGAATACGTGTTTCGTGACATGCTTCATCAACAACATGTACTTAGGTGATATCAAGTTCGACAACAAAGCTAGCTTCAACGGATACTTGATTATCAACATCGATATCGCAAGCAGCAGTACTCTCACTCTACAGGATATCACAAAGCATTATATTCTTCCACGAGAGATAAAAAAGAAATACGGAATTGGTCGCCGTTTATGTAATGGGTTGAGATAGAGACAGGGTGGCAGTCTACAACTTGCTACCAATCAACGTGCAAGGACTCACTCATAGAAGACAAAACATCATTCTAAACCAATAAGAGAGCTCCAACACTCATCGTAGAGAACACGTACATCCCATCACAACAGTCATTAACCGAAAATTTTGTCCAAGACCTTCTCGAAGTGAGTGCTGCGAAGCCAGTGTTAGTTGATGGTCTGTTCAAGAAAGGTAGGGTGCGCTTACTCATTTGATGCATCAGGCACAAAAGTAGCCTGGTACTCCTCAATCTCATCCACCTCACCTCTGAGGTCGACATCAACCGCACGGGTCCACTTCGTCCTCTTGATCAACTTCCACCCGATAAACAAGATGGGGAACAGTCCAATCATGAAGTAGCTGAAGATAAAAGTTGGAACATCCCACTTGCCGGGCAGGAACACAGAGTATCCTCCTACAAAGGCCATGACGATGCAGCCGACGAAACCATACCAGGCAAGGTAAGGCTGGCCCCATCCTTTGAAGGGTAGGCTGTTGCGATCAAATCCTTGCACATCGCAAGCGCGTTTCCAGAAGATGAAGGTCATGCACATGACCGCGTAGTTGATGAGCTGAGATGCAGTCACCAGGTTGATGAACCATTTGAGCACGGTGGCGGCGTTAGCACTGACTTGCAGGAAGGCGAGGAGAGCGATACACAGGACGACGAGGGTGCAGTAGATGGGCACACCTCGGCGGGTGGTGCGGGTGAGTATCTTGGGTGCCTTGCCTTCAAGGGCGAGACCGTAAAGAGATCGAGATGCGCAATAGACGTAGCTGTTGCCAGCCGAGAAAGCGCTTGCCAAGACCATAGCATTGACGATATCAGGAAGTACTCTGATGCGTAGACGATTCATGGCCACGACATAGGGCGAGGCTGCTGCGCCAGGAAGGCCGGCGGTAGTGGCGGCTATAAGTTCCTTGTCGTTGTATGGAACCAGGATGCCGACGCAGAGAGAGCCGAGCATGAAGAAAGCGGTCAGACGGTAGAAGACGGCCTTGAATGCTTTTGGCATGACAACACGTGGGTTCTCGGCCTCACCAGCCGCCATACTGACATAGTCTGGACCAGCAATGGTGAACGAAGCCTGGATGAAGCATTGAAGGAAGCCGAGGAAGTAACCGAGCTGTCCCCCATAGTATAGTTGAGCAAAAGATCCCTTAGCAAAAGATCGGGTTAGCACAGGTTTGATAATTGGGAGGTTCATGCTTACAGGATTGTTCCAATATCTAAAGCCAAATCTTTCGCCGAGCGGGTTACCGCCCAACATGACGATGAAAGTGAAAATGATGAGTCCTNNAGAAAGTATCAAAACCAGGTCGAGAAACACGCAAGATTGCATAAGCTTACCGACGATCAGCAAGACCTTTCCGAGAGCTGCCCAGAACTCAGTCTCGCCATACCATTCGACAGTGAGGAGATTGATCAAANNCTGCCACGATGTTAGCAGTCTACTATGTATCTTGAGATAGAACACCTACGCATAAAGCACAATAACAATAGCAATGATGCCACCGGCTGGAACAACATCACTCCAATAATGAATGACAACGTTACAAGCTGTGACTTCGAAAGGGACCTGATTGATGTCAGACTGATCACCAAAATAGATGGTCTGCAAATGCCTTACCAGGATTGCCTCGAACACAAAGAAGTTCCAGCCCGCTGCAAAGCCCATAGCTTCGTCCATGTATCGACTGGCGAATCTGATGAAGGGTGACGAGATAGGNAGATAAGTGACCATTTCGGCAGTACCTGGAGCGTCGAGTCAGTACATTGACAGAGATTCGTCTGGCCGATCGCGATGGGCTGATGAGTGTCGCTTGGGCTTCGTCGAGAATGTGACACCATTGCGCAATAGGAGGACAAGAAGGGGAAGGCTCGTACTTATAGTGACAGCAAGAATGAATGAGCACCTGCAATCCGTGTTAAATTTATTCTTGACTGTATATCCTCTCCACTCCCCCAGTGATTAGGTCGCTGATGAGTAACAGAGCTCGAAGTGCCGTTATACACCTGCTGCGAGTTGCTTACCATGACTTACCATATACTGAATGCCAGGAAAAGACTAGCAGGGCCACCATTGAGAAGACCATTTCCGATAGAGACGAAGAGCGCAGTGCCAATGGTACCTCCGATACCAATGAGTTGGATGTGACGAGACTTCAGACGCCGATGAGTCCCGTCTTTGGCCAGAGATATTGAGTCCACGGATCCTCCAGACTCTCCTCCATATCCAGGTAAGCTGATGGTCTCGTTGTAGGTCTCGACACCGGATTTGGATGGATGGCGGACTTTGACAGCGTCACCGCTGCCCGAAGCTTCGACGCTGGACGAATGGATCGCGTCGTGTGACGAGGAAGACCTCATATCTTCAGCTAGAACCGGAGTTTTATCCGGTGTGTCTCTTTGTAGGACGTCTGTGTGCAACCTGTGGTGGCGCGTGGCTTGTTGTAAGGCTTCGAACGCTGGGGGCGTTTAATGGATTTGTTTGAGAAGCAGGCAGAAAAACTCGGGCACAAACTCCATGAGACGGAGACAACAATACAGCTGAGGGGAGTGTTGGATTTATCAAAGAAACAGGCCTGGAGCGATTCGCCAAGTTTACCAAGGCTTGGATGAGATTTCGAAGCGATAGGAACTGAGAAAAAGGTTGACCTGCAAATGCGCAGTCCGATGATGAGATAAAGAGGATTGAGAGTCGAAGGACAGCGCGTCAAGGCTTTTCCGCCCAAACCAACTGCCGCAGCAAGGTTTCAATCCGCCGTGACCGCATTCACAGACCGAGGTACAGAGGTAAACATGAGGTTTTCTTTGGACGGGCAAGACGGGGGTGTTCCTTTTCCTCAAGTTCTCAACGCGTCGAGACCGCACTAGGCCGAGCGACAGTGAATCTTATCTTTGCGAGACATGCGAACTGCTCCGCGCTCTCCAGGTTTTGGAGGACTGTTTACGAGCGCCAAGCCCGTACAAAGCATAAACGTTTTCTGAAGCGCTTGATGAAATGACGATGGGAACGGCGTTCGTGGTGTTGTTCTCTCGACTACATAGTGAATGTTGTCGGTGTTTTCTTGGTTGTGATCTAATTGCCTTGCCAATTGTTCGCGAGCTTGAGTCTCATGTTTGCTTGCCCGTGTCGCCGATCAAGACGTGGAGACAATTTAAGCTGCGACGAACGGACCCTCAACTTCCCCAGTTGCAGGCTCGCAGCCGAGGACTCGGGAGCAATGCGGACAGGTTTGCTCGCCCGTCTCTTGGAAGAATTGGGACGGGAGGTCGTCGTCGTTCTAATCAATTCTCAACCCTGCGAAAACAATTGCCCTGGAACCCACTTCCCGCCAAAGAACAAACGTGGACTAAACGAGACCGAGTGACGCTGGCTCGATCACCCTGTCTGGCCTGCCAATCTTCTGTTACCTTTAGCCCTCTGTCTTTCCCGCGATCTGACCTCCTCCCGATTGTTGAGAATCCATTCGCGCAGATTGGGTGCTACCTCGTCTGCCGCAGTGATGTAGCGCGCGAACCGAGCTTGGTCTTCAGCATCCATCTCTGGTTCGTTGCAGATGTACGGCTTGCCACCCTTGAAGGCAACGAACCTTTTCAGAGCTCTGACGACCTCATTCAGTCTTGTCGATTTGAGCTTAGCGAGTGGTATGAGGACTGTGGTTTTGATTATGTCCCATGCGTGGTCCTCTTTGTTCTCGTTGATTACCTTGAGACGACGAGTGTTGAATTCATCTTGTTTGTTGAAGAACACCAGAGCGGCATTGGTATGAGCAGCTCGGGTCTCAGTAGAGACAGCACCAACATCTGAAAGAGAAGGCAGATATTGAGACACGAAGTTGCGGAACATGGGACGTTTTTCCATTCGACTTCGCATGTCAGAGTTGTCCCTTCTGTTCTTGACTAGCTTGCGATTGAAGAGCCTAGAGTTCACGGCCCAGTCGAAAAGTTGGCGTTCGGATTCGAATCCTTGATGGAATCTGTGCTTGTTAAGACCCAGGAAATCCATGACCAAATCTGGATCCTTACTCAAGAAGACCTGGCTTGCGCACCAGTTTTGCACCTCTTGTTCTTCGATGCGGACAAAGAAGCCGTCATTCTTAGATGTAAAGCCATAACCATGATTGAAGGTGGCGAGTATAGAGCCAAGATCGCCGTAGCCATTCACGAATGTCGTCCATACGAGGTCGCCAGGGGGNCAGACTTGGACGTCGACTTGAGCAAAAGCCTGGACTGTGTCTTTGGTGTTCTCGAGAGGGACAGCGAAGGAATATACGGGGTGGTTGTTTTTGACGTGCTTTGCTCCGAGATCGAGAGCTACTTGCTGAGACGGTAACGGCATAGACGGTGACAACTCGATGACGACGTCGACATCGCCATAATCCAGTTTTCCAGGCGCCTCGGGAATGGCGGTCACGCTGGCAAAGCGTTTCGATAAGGTCTTCAGTGCAGCTTGTTTGACCTGATCGTAGATCTGGTGATTCATACGAGGGACACAAAGGTCAGGGAAGGCTCGACCACCCATGATCGTTGAGCGAAGTACAAAGAGAGATGAGAGCTGGAGATAGGCGGTCAATGTCAAAGCATGAAAAATTGAGACTGATGTCAAATAGAGGAAGAATGGAGGCTTGCTTTCAAAATGATGAAAGAAAAGAGGATTGTCAGGATCGAGTGTCAGTCGGTCGTGTTGAAACGAGGGAGGGACCAATTGTATGCAACGACTCAGTTGATGAGTCGTCAGAGCTAGAATGCGCCGGAACAGAAGAGATAGCGAACAGCGACGGACATTCACTTGCAGCGTGGTCGAAAGGCCTACCTGAAGTCAAGGGGCAACACCAAGACACGATCAATATTGCCAGGATGAAGCGGCACAGATGGAAACAGGTGAAAGTGGAGGGCTTGTGAATTCAGCTCGCAGCACACAGCGAGGCTTTGCCCCGCGAGCAAACTGCTCCTGCACCTGCGCTGAGGGAGTGATTGAGTACGTCAGGCTTGGCGCGTGCTTTGATCTTGCTACTCGTTCTTTCCGGCCTGCCGAACAATAACTCCATCACCAACCGAAGGCGAGAGAGATTGTGCTGGCATATTCCTAGGCGCAGACAGAGCCGCATCTTAGAACCACAGAGCATCGACTACCCGGCAGCTCTCCGTATCCATATCCCGCTGGTTGCCATCGATCAGCAGGCGTGAGAAGTCCAGCAGCAGCGGCAGTATCTGGACATCGCTGAGCACGCACATTCCTACTCGGCCTGCATCGCACCTTCCCTTGTCTAGCAGTTCTGCACAAGATGGATGTAAGTTCCCAATCCAGAATCTCTACCACTACCCCCACCATTGTCGTTCGTTTCAATCCATTCCATCCCCGGCGCAGCTTGCAACTGTTGTATAACAGAAGCTCGCCTTGCTGATCCGCTCTCACCATGTCGTCACCACCTCCACGTAAAGACCTGGTCTTCAATCACAAACCACTGACACTCCGCCCGCAGCTCGGCCATGACATGCTGGTCGACTCAGACTACGACGAGAAGCAACAGGATGTGGCTATAATCTCACCCGAAGACGACTCGATGGAGGAAGTCGCCGTCCAGGAGCCTCGCGCCGACGACTATGCTGCCATGCGCAACCGCTTCATGCCCGAAGACCCCGACCTCGAAATCGAGTCCGAGACAACCTTCACATGGGACATCAAAGACTGGCGTACGCTGCCTAGAAGACACCACAGTCCGACCTTCCACACCGGAGATCACCCCTGGAAAGTTCTTTTCTTCCCCGCCGGCAACAACGCGACCGAGTCAGTCAGCTTCTACCTCGAACAGGGCTATGGAGAAGAGGACAAGCCCCGGCAGACTGGTATGCATGCGCTCGCTTCATGCTTGTCCTGTGGAATCCGAACGATCCGTCCATCTATCTACACCACGAGGCTCAACACCGTTTCAATCAAGAGGAGGGTGACTGGGGTTTTACTCGGTTCGCAGAAAAGAGCAGAGTGTTTGCTACCCGCTTTGACGACAAGGACCGTCCTCTGATTGAGAACGATTCTGCCAAACTAACCGCCTATGTCCGCGTCTTGAGAGACCCAACTGGTGTTCTCTGGCACAACTTTGTCAAGTGAGTCGAGCCTTGCCTTTTCCTTTTTCCCTCGCTATTGCCCATCATTTCATCTCGTTCGTCACCATCTCTCGATATCCTCAAGTGTTCTTGTGCCGTTTGCCGCAGCATGCAACTTTGTCAGAGATCGTCAAATGAATCCACGCACCCAAGACTCTCCAGCAACTTGCTTGCCATCACACCATTTCAACGATCTCTACCATTGGCTAGGAAGCCACTTTCCTTTCTCCCTGTTCCAACGGCACGATCTTTCACATCCTTGTTTTGTACCCCCTATCTGCTTGATCAACCCGCTAACTTTGTTGTTCAGTTATGATTCGAAGAAAGAGACCGGCATGGTGGGTCTGCGCAACCAGGGCGCAACTTGCTATCTCAACTCTTTGCTCCAATCTCTCTTCTTCACCAATGCTTTCCGCAAGGTATGTGGACTTCGAAAAGGTTGAGGCTCGTTCGCTGACAGAGATCGTCCAGNNGCTGTGTATCAAATACCCACCGAGAACGAGACAGACGCACGCAATAGCAGTGCATGGGCCTTGCAACGCCTCTTCTACAAGCTCCAGACAGATCCCGCCGCCGTCTCTACTATGGAACTCACACAATCATTCGGATGGGAGTCACGCCAGGTCTTCGAGCAACAGGACGTCCAAGAACTTTCTCGCATCTTGATGGACAAGTTGGAAGAGAAGATGAAGGGCACAGAAGCTGCAAACGTACTAGCCGAGATGTTTGTTGGCAAGATGAAGACATATCTCCGCTGTATCAACGTCGACTACGAGAGCTCTCGCGTTGAAGACTTCTGGGACCTGCAACTCAACGTCAGCGGCTGCAAGACTCTGGATGACAGTTTCCGCGACTATGTCCAGGTCGAGACTCTTGAGGGCGATAACAAGTATGCCGCCGAAGGATACGGTTTGCAAGACGCAAAGAAGGGTGTCATCTTCGAGAGCTTCCCTCAAGTTTTGCATCTCCAACTCAAGCGATTCGAGTACGACTTTGTGAGGGACGCCATGGTCAAGGTCAACGACCGATACGAGTTCCCCGAGATCTGGGATGCCTCGCCATACCTTTCCGAGACAGCCGACCGCTCTGAGCCCTACATCTACCGCCTTCACGGTGTACTTGTCCACAGCGGTGACATGAACGCCGGCCACTACTATGCTTTCCTCAAGCCCACCAAAGACAGCTCATTCTTCAAATTCGACGACGACCGCGTAACTCGCGCCACTCCCAGAGAAGCCATGGACGAGAACTTTGGAGGTGACTACGCCCCAACTGGCCCTAACGGCGCCACAAAGATGCAGAACCCTTTCACTCGCCAATGGTCAACTAAGCGATCCATGAGTGCTTACATGCTTGTCTACATCCGTGAGAGCCGCATCGATCAAATCCTCGGAGATAGCGACAGTATTCAACCCCCAACCCATCTCCCCAGTCGTCTTGCCGAAGAGCGTGCTGCCGTTGAACGCAAGAGAAAGGAACGCGAAGAAGCTCACTTGTACATGAACGTCCAGATCGCCACAGAGGCCAACTTCCGCTCCTACCAAGGCTTTGACCTGGTTGACTGGAAGTCAACGGACCAGGAAGACGATGTTGCTCCCAAAGTCTTGCGATTCAAGAAGGCAATGACTTTGTCAGAACTCAACGAGCATGTCGCCCAGGACATCGGTACTGATGCTGATCTAATTCGTCCCTGGGTCATGGTTAACCGCCAAAATGGCACTGTCAGACCCGATCACCCTCTCAACTACTCGACGATGACGCTCGAAGAAGCGAATGCCAAATTCTCTACCAGAGCAGCATCCTTCCGTCTCTTCATTGAACAGACTACACGTGGTGAGGATGGCAAACCGATTTGGGATACCGACGTCACGCCAGCCCCTGGTCCAGCCCAGGAGCAAAAGCCTATCATTGTTCTCCTCAAGCATTTCGACCTCGAAACACAGACACTCAAAGGTGTCGGCCACGCATACATGCTCCAAAGCCAAAAGGTGCAGGATCTTGCGGAACCGGTCTTGAAGCTCATGGGTTGGGAAGCCGGCACGTCGCTCAAGCTTTACGAGGAGATCAAGCAAAACTTCATCGATGTCATGAAGCCCAAGCAGACTCTAGGACAATCGGAGATCCAAGACGGCGACATTGTCTGCTTCCAGAAGGTCATGCCTACGGAAGAAGTCCAAGCATTCCAACAGAAGTACCCCTCTGCTTACATTGACGCAAACTCCTTCTATGACTATCTCTTGAACCGCATCCGCGTATTCTTCCTACCCCGCCCTGCAGCACCACAGAGCGTCCCTCTCGAACAAGGCGCAGACGAGTTTGAGATGTACCTCTCAAGGAAGGACAGCTATGACATACTGGCGACCAAGACAGCACAACATTTGTCAGCAATCTCAAAGACAGACGTGGACCCTACCCACCTGCGCTTCACTACCGTCAACTCTCAGAGTGGCAAGCCCCGAGGACCGGTGAAGCGCACGCCTACAACGACAGTGCACACGATCCTTGCCGGCGTCGGTACAGGTGGATATGGTGGCGGTTATGGTTACACCAACCAAGCGCCCGACACACTATACTACGAAGTCCTGGAAATGAGCTTGACCGACTTGGAACAGCGCAAGACTGTCAAGGTGACTTGGTTGCCTGAAGGAGTAACCAAGGAAGAAACATTTGACTGCCTCGTACCTAAGGTCGGCACCTTTGAAGACGTTCTTCCAGTATTCCAGAGGAAGGCCAAGCTACCAGATGAGCTCATTGAGCAAATCCGCTTCTACGAGGCACATTCGGGCAAAGTGTATAAGAATCTCAACCTGGACACACCTGTTTCGACCTTGAACGAGTTTATGCAGGTCTATGCAGAACGCCTTCCAGAGGAGGAACGTGAAGCTGAGAAGGAGGGAACACCACCTCTTATTGGATGCTTCCACTACGACAAAGAGCCTGCCAAACCGCATGGTGTGCCTTTCATCTTCCTCGTCAAGCAAGTAAGTGATAGTACCGACACGTTCGCGAGAGGACCAGAATACTGACAGTTTGGGANNCAGGGTGAAATCTTCAAGGAGACCAAGGAGAGATTGTCAAAGCGTACGGGCATCAAGGGCAAGCAATTCGAAAAGATCAAGTTTGCAGTTATCCCTCACGGCAGCTATTCTCGACCAAAGCCTCTTGAAGATGGTGAGTGTGGTACTTGATGCTCGACATGAATTTGGCTAACCAAGATTGCAGATGACATTCTGTCAGAAAACTACAGCGAGGGCGACCAGCTCGGGCTGGACCATGTCAACAAGGCGCGCAACGCATGGCTCAAGTACGAGAGCTTGAACATTCGATAGATGAAACATGAGTGGCGTGCTGGCGAAACGATGCGGACAGGATTGCATGAGACTTATGGGGTCCTAGAGGAACATCACTGCACGAATAAGATGTACAAGATTATCAGGCAAACGAGGCCAAGTTGGAGAAGGCATTGTGCTTTATTCGGTAATAGGCCGAGCAGGCATTCGACTTCTTTGGCAGAGAGTAGCACACAGAGAAGGATACAGGAGCAGAGATTGACGTTGTGTTGATGAAGGCCACGAACAAAGTAGACATGAGAAAGGAACATGAAGACCCAAGATTGCATAAAATCAAGCTTTGGACTGTGCATTGGAATTGGGGCCCGATGGGCGAGGATAATATGCGGAGGGTGGATCCCGGGCGCGCGACTCAATGACGAATGGGGGAACGGTTGATATGGAGGTCGATAGAGTGGTAGATAGCAGAGGGTTCTTGCAAGAGACTTGTTGTCTAAGAGACATTAAAAATTAGACAGAGCGACTGTCTTTGTTGTATCTGTCCACCAACCCCTTGCCTGTGTGCAGAGTGGGTCTCTAGCGGATGCTATTGTGCGTCGAGCTGGCGAAGAATGCTGGAGCACTTCGCCTTCAACGTTTCGCTTGCGCTGAGCATGTGCAGTCTTGGACAAGAGTAAGACCATCCGCCATTCTACCAAACACAAAGACGAGACGCTTCCACCAGACGCCCTCTCTGTCTCAGTCTCATCATCGCCAACACTCGCGCAGCCCGTCGCCCCTCTTCTACAACCAAGGCGCCATGGTCGAAAGCAGCGCAGCCAACATGTCGCTGCCTCAGCGATCCGCGTCTACCAGAGCCAGTGTCCTGACCGACGGAATGGAGAAGCCGCTACTGGATAACCGCACATACCGCGTCGTGCGGCTACCGAACGACCTCGAGGCGCTGCTGATCCACGACCCGGACACGGACAAGGCGAGCGCAGCCATGGACGTCAACATTGGCAGCTTCAGCGACGCCGACGACATGCCCGGCATGGCCCACGCCGTCGAGCACCTGCTGTTTATGGGAACTGAAAAGGTAAGTCGTGGTGCGGTGGCGACATTGCGAGACGTGGGCTGAGACGTTTGTACTGCAGNNTTTCCCGTCGAGAACGAATACAACCAGTACCTGCAACGATACGGCGGCTACTCGAATGCTTTTACCGCCTCATGCGACACAAACTACTACTTTGAGCTCTCGGCTTCGTCGACGGCCACCAGCAGCCAACCTTCGTCGCTCAGCAGTACCGAGACACTCCCCATCGAGAAGTCGCAAGCCCCGCTCTACGGCGCCCTCGATCGCTTTGCCCAGTTCTTCATCCACCCGTTGTTCCTCGAAGACACGTTGGACCGCGAGCTACAGGCCGTCGACTCGGAAAACAAGAAGAACCTACAGGCCGACAACTGGCGTCTGCACCAATTGAACAAGAGTCTGTCCAACAAGAAGCACCCCTTCAACAAGTTCTCAACCGGCAACTACAAGGTCCTGCACGATGATCCCATCGCTCGTGGCGTCAAGATCCGTGACGAGTTCATCAACTTCTACCGCGCAAACTACTCGGCAAATCGCATGAAGCTTGCTGTTCTTGGCCGTGAGAAGCTGGACGAGCTGGAATCGTGGGTAACTGAACTCTTCTCGGATGTGCCCAACCAGAACCTCCCCAAGTTGCGCTGGGATGATGTACCCGCCTTGACAGAGGCCGAGCTGGGCACGCAGATCTCTGTCAAGCCCGTCATGGACATGCGCCTGCTCGACATGCACTTTGTCTATGCTGACGAGGAGAATCTATGGGAATCTCAACCCGCCAAGTATCTCAGCCACCTCATCGGCCACGAAGGGCCCGGCTCCATCCTCGCATACATCAAGGCAAAGGGTTGGGCCAACGGTCTTGGTGCTGGTCCCATGAACATCTGTCCCGGTACCTCGCATTTCTCCATCTCCATCCGCCTCACCGAAGACGGCCTCAAAAACTACCAAGAGGTCGTCAAGGCTGTCTTCCAATATCTTGCCATGGTCAAGGAGCAGCCTCCACAGGAATGGATTGTTGATGAGATGGCCAAGCTTGCAGAGGTCGACTTCCGCTTCCGTCAGAAGATTCCTGCCAGTCGTACCGTCAGTGCTCTGAGTGGTGTCATGCAAAAGTCCTTCCCTCGTGATAAGCTGCTCAGCGCCCAGTCTTTGATCTGGAAGTTCGATTCAGACGCCATCAAGCGCGGCCTTGACTACCTCCGACCTGACAACTTCCGCATCACTCTCGTCTCTCAAGAATACCCTGGCGACTGGGATCAGAAGGAGCACTGGTATGGTACCGAGTACAAGTACGAGAAGATGCCCAAGAAGTTTATGAAGGAGTTGGAGGCTGCCAGCAAAGCTTCGTCATCGCAGCGTCCATCTGAGTTGCACATGCCTGCGAAGAACGAGTTTGTGCCGTCTCGTCTTGATGTAGAGGTCAAGGAGGTCGAGAAACCTGCTGTTTCACCCAAGCTGATTCGCAATGATGTGAACGTCCGCACATGGTGGAAGAAAGATGATCAGTTCTGGGCACCAAAGGCGAACATCAAGGTCTTCTTCAGGTCACCTCTGGTCAGCATGTCTGCTCTTACTGCTGTCACTACTCAACTGTACAAGGATTTGGTTGAAGACTCTTTGACTGAGTACTCTTACGATGCCGAGCTTGCTGGCCTCGAGTATGATCTTCAAAATCACGCCCAGGGCTTCGATGTTACCATCAGTGGTTACAACGATAAGATGGCTGTTCTTCTAGAGAAGGTCTTGATCTGCATGCGTGATCTAGAGGTCAAGGACGACCGCTTCGACATTGTCAAGGATCGCACTCTCCGGGGATGGCGCAACTTTGGCTACCAACAGCCTTATCACCAGATCAGCACCTACAGCAGATGGCTGGTAGCCGAAAAGGGCTTTATTGTTGATCAACTGCTAGAGGAGCTCGACCAAGTCACCGCTGACGACATTCGCAAGTTCTTCCCACAAGTCCTTAACCAGATGCACATCGAGGTTCTTGCTCACGGCAACCTCTACCGCGAAGACGCGCTCAAGATGACTGACCTGGTAGAGTCGATCATGAAGCCCAAGACCCTTCCTGCTGGTCAGTGGCCTCTCCGTCGCTCTATCGTCCCTCCTCAAGGCAGCAACTTTGTCTTTGAGCGTACTCTCAAGGATCCTCAGAACGTCAACCACTGTATCGACTACCAGTTGTTCACTGGCCTCTTGACTGATCGTTCAAACCGCGCCAAACTTCTGCTATTCGCACAAATGTCAGACGAAGGTTGCTTTGACACTCTCCGCTCAAAGGAGCAGCTCGGCTATGTTGTTCAGTCCATGCCGCTGATGCTCACAGCCATCTCTGGTTGGCGTGTGTTGATCCAGTCAGAGAGGTCACCCGAATACCTCGAGAAGCGCATCGACGTCTTCTTGAATACTTTCGGTGACAACCTCAAGAACAAGATGAAGGATGAGGAGTTTGAGTCGCACAAAACAGCTCTGATCAACAAGCGCTTGGAGAAGATGAAGAACCTGAACCAAGAGAGCGGTCGTTTCTGGCACCACGTTACTAGCGAAGCCTTTGACTTTGAGCTCGGTAAGTCCTGTTTCTTGCGTACCACTGACTATATTTACTGACCATCTTGATAGNTGTACCGTGACGTCGAGCACATTGAGCCCATCACAAAGCAAGACATGATTGACTTCTTCAACGCGCACATCGACCCTGCCTCAAAGACCCGCTCAAAGATTTCCACCCACCTGCTAGCTCAAGCAAAGTCAGCCGATGCCGAAACCATCAAGTCGTCATCGGGGCAGACAGGAGAGGTCAAAGACGAGACTGCCAGTGTCACAAGCTCGGAGCGTAGAGTCGAGAAACAGATGGAAGAAGTCGGCACTGCCATCAGAATCGAAGACGTCAGAAGCTTCAAGGCCAGCATGCCTCTTTCTGAGGCCATGAGACCTATCAAGGATCTGGCCGAGTTTGAGGACTTGGGCGCCAAGCTCTAGATGGACTCTTCTCTTTACTTGAGAGTTGGTTTTGCATTAGTGGATCTTTTTCGGTTTATGGACTGCGAGTTTTTTATGACATGGTTGCATGAAGGGTGGGATAGCTGGGTCATGTCTTGTTTTTATGACTTTTCGTAGTTCACGGTCTCATCTCGTAGACAAATAGACGATTCTCTTCTAGCTCCCCTTTCTTGAGGACACGCATTGTGAGTGATTGTTTCGATCTCTCCGTTTTTTCCGACTCGGCTGGCTGTCACTGACTTGAATGGAAGAAGTCACGACCAACCATTGCCCTCCCCTGATAGCTACACTCAATCAATCATTGCAGCACCCTCAACTGAGACTGCAGTCTCACTAGACACCAACACGAACCAAGAACCCACTTCGTGTTCAGCGCTTCCTCCCCGCCGTTTCATTGAAAGCACCTTTCCGGCATTCGCTTTCTCTGTGTTAATCCTTTATTCCAACATCAATCAAGGTCCCGGAAGAACTGGCTTTCTGTCAGCAAATCGCAACAAACCCGCAACACTCGCACTCTCTAGTGCCCGATTGCATTACGCGCGACTGCACTTTCCAGGCCTTTTCTGCCGCACGCCTCTGGCAAGTTCACTGCAGTTGTCGAGAGCGCGGCTCCCGCCTTCTGCACGAGATCTACCAGCGCGTGAGCGGTCTTTCCTTTCGACGTTTCATTTTCACCACGCATCAGAACAATACACTCGCCGGCTACCGCCCCTTTAGCCCCTTAGAAGAATCAACCGTCATCACCACCAGTCTTTGCGTCGAAAGTCACCGTCACCATTACTGTCAACCGCTGTCGCGCATCGATTTTGCAACAAGCCTATTCCTACACAACCATCTTGCTTGGGTTTCAGCAACCACTCCCGACTTTTGCGCCCCCTTGTCACAACATACCTGCAGGTCCCATATTCCTGACCTTCGATCTTGTTGTCGTCGACTCGTCAGCCCTACGTTTCGCTGGAACGATGGATTCGATTCGAGGTATGCCTTCCGGTGATACTGCCAACACCCTTGCAGCCATCGAGACCGGTCGCGGTCTCAACCTGCCCAATGAGGTGCTCAGCATGATTGCCTATGAGTGCGAGCCAGCAGACCTGAAGAACATGCGTTTGGCCTCCAAACTTGGACTACAAATTTCCACTAAGCCCCTTGCACGCAAGAACTTCTCTCGTCATCGCTTCCTATTCACCTATCAAAGCATGAAAGCCTTGGTTGATATCACGGCACATCTAGTCTTCGGACCTTATCTGACGTGCATCACGTTCGGTACCTATCGCATGCAGAGGCTCGAACACCAAGGCAGCAAGTTCTTCGATCGTGATGTCCAATACGACATGATCGAAGCTATGCACAGAGCGTTCATCATCGGTGGCCACCATATCAAGATGCTCACCTTGGCCTTGGAGAACCTCAAGAAATGCCGCAATTTCGGGGTCATTCTAGGAGTTCATGATGATTTCCATGGCGATCACCCGAGACGCCGAGGATACGCTTTCGAAGCTTCCCACCAAGGCTTTCTTGCACATCAACCACACACGCTCGAAACATCGGATGCGCTGATCAAAGCCGTGGACCGCGCTGCCTATCCTCTCACAGCACTGAAGTTCTGTCTTTCTGATCAGTCCGAAAGTCTGGAAAGTTTGGCGCATAACGCGAATCCTGCATTCTTTTCGCAGCTCTTTCGGATGGGCGATAGGATAATCCCAAGTATGGACATCTACGTCAACGTCTGGGACAGAAGGGGATTCTACTCGAAGATGAAACTCTTGTCCAACGCCACTCGTCTCGAGTTGTCGAGACATGATTGGGACGAAGAGCTTGTGGGTCCATGCTCCNTCCTGACCTTCGACGACTATACTTACGGGAGAATTTTTGATGCCATAAACTCAAGACCTCTGCGAGCCATTCTCGTCGAAACCTCGGAAGCTATCTGCGAAGACTTTACCAAATTTCTTCAGTGCCACAGCAAATCTCTGAGGGCTCTTGAGCTCCGTCAGTTTAGCATGATCGTACTTGAGAATCCCACACCAGCCTCGGAGCTTCTCCGTTTTCTGCGGTCCAACATGAACTTGACCTATCTGTCAATAGAGGATCTCGAGGTGGAGGATGAGTTTGGTCGGGGACCAAGACTAATACCCGTTTCTGGAAGTATGGTATGCAAGGGATGCAAAGAGGTTGGCGAAGGACTAGACAGGCTGATTCAAGGGGCCGACAAGATGTGGGAAGACGAGGCAGACGACTCAGGGGCCAAACCTGACGAGAGAAGCGATGGGAACATTCGACAGATGGAAAGAAGAAAAGAAAGCGAAGCGACTTCCTAAGATACAGCTTGCTCAACATTGGCTGAAGGATGGATTGGGCAGGCGTAGCCACGAGAAGACAGAAAACAACCAGCGAATGCAAAAGATACGGAATCACTCAATCAAACAGAATTAGCACCATGCCTTGTCTCCTGAACCCACACCTCTTGATCTGAACAGTATAACAACATCGAAGTCATAGATGCAACTTGATGAGGCTCAACTCTCGTACCAAACCCGCTAGGGCAGGTCCAATCTGCAGGCTACCTCTCAGCACATATTGGCAGCGAGGTTGTTTATCTATTATACAGGCCACAATGAACTTTTCCCAGCACTGCCGCCTCGCCCAAACTCTCTTACCGCGAAACCCTGGTCTCGAAGGGCGTTGCCAATGTACTTCTGTTCAGACGTCAGAGAATCGACCTTGTTCTTTTCTCGATCTGCCTTTGCGTTCCCAAAGGTGATGCTTTGACCCTTTGCTGTCACACAAGTCAACGAGATCTCAGGCATGATCAGAAAACAGGGTATGTAAATCGGCACTACGATGTCTGTGCCATGACAAGGGATACCCGCTTGTTGAATACAGTCGATTGTTCAATGATCTGAAGTTCCACCGAGGCGAGGTCGGTTGTAGATTTTTGTCAAAGTGTGAATTACCAGGGGCAGAAAAATATATATTTTTGGTGATGTAGAGTAAAGGAGACGAACGTAGGTGATTGTGCTATAAATACCTTGTACTTTACTATTACACACGATGGCTCAGGTCATAGGGTCGTAAGATTAATCCCTTTCCATCTTCGAGGCGAGTCTGGATGAGCAGAAAGTCCTCTGGTCAATCCAAAGTCCCCCAATCACAAACCCCTCCGTTCCATCTCACAGGCATTCAAAAATCCTGGAACGGTCTCGCCTCCCTGAAACTACCTGCGCCAATCGATCCATCCGTAGGCACCTCGTTGGATGCGTAGATACTCTTGCCCTCACGCCGGAGGTACTCAGCGTACAGCTTTCCAGTCTCGGGCTTGAACTTTGGACTTCTCGCTCCCTCTCCGCCTCTAACAGGAGTGTCCAGCGAAGATCTGCCAATAACGTTTGGAGGCGGCGACGGAAAGCACTCAAGGGTNTCGGAAGGTCGTGTAAGATTGCCAGTGATGCTTTCTTGTTCCACCATGACGATCATCCAGACACCGACCTTCTCGTCGCTACCGAGCAGTGGCGTGCAATGGATCCAGCGTGGTTTGCCTTCGATGCTGATCCGATGGGGGCTGTCGGGCAGAGTCGGCGTGGAGAGCCAGGAGATCTTTGCAGTCACGGGAGTACCGCGGGCNAGGCTGTCCAGAACGCCATCACGGACATCCTGAGGACCTCCAAGGCGTTCCATAAACTTTGTTTGAAGTAGACCTGGAATGCGAAGAGCGGGAGAAGTGAATGTGATACGCAGGGACGGATAGGGGCGGACTAGTAGGTACTGCAGGGGCTGTCAGTATCTGCTGGTAATTGCAAGAACAAGGCAACTCACGTTCTGATATACACCAGGCAGACGTCCAGACGGACCAAGAGAAGGATGTGGCCATAATCCACGTTCGAGAGAGTCGTCCATGCCAAAGACCTTGCGAGGATGTCTGGAAGCAGCAGCAGGATTGCGCGAGGAAGCAACTGGAGTCGAACTTCGTGACTGGCTGCGCTGGCGGGTATTAATTGCATCCAACTCATCGTCGTTCATCATCTGGCCCAATTCTCCCAGCACCTGCGTTGGCTTGCGACTGCTCCGGCCACGGTATCGTTCTTCAGCGCGATCGTTGGCCAGAAGTTTCTCGAAAGACTCTATGCCTTTGCCGCCTTCAATCAGATTTGTGACGTCGACTTGACATCCGAGATAGTACCGCACGTTGCCCTTGTTATCGTACAGCGGTGCGATCATGAGCAGATTCATGAAGGGTATGCCATCTCGTCGACTTCGAACGAGTCAGCAAGAGCACAGGGAACTCATCTGTGGGATCAAACTCACTAANTTGAGAATTGTCTCGGTAATCTCTTGGCCAGCTCTCAAAGCTTCTATCAATCGACGTATGCTGGCGGGCGATGACTTGGGACCTTGCAGGAAGCGGCAGTTTCGGCCAATCACAAAATCTTTCTGATAACCACCTATGTCGTAGAAGGCTNNGTGGGTAGTCAGTACATGATGCTCGAAGATGGAAGACTGGACAAAATCACCTTCAGAGGCATAGACAATGGGGTTGTCGGCTAGCGAGGGGTCGCTGATGCAGTATACTTCAGCCAGAGAGGGAATCAGATCGCGCAGGACCGGTGCAATGTTGCCAGTGATCTCCTTGACGAGACTATCCGTCACAAGTTGTACAAGGCGGTGTGTGAGGTAAGCTGGCAACGCATCGTCGACCAGCTCTTGAACCACCATGCGTGATCGGTCTTGGAAGCTCTTTTCCATGATGGCCGCAGGTCGCGGAACGTCGCCGGTCAGCGAGGGTAGGCTCTCTGCAAGTGAGTTGGCATATTCTATGGCAGCAACGGCTTTCTGCGTATCGACATAACTCTCGAGGGAGGATAGGATATACGGTCTGTACTGTGTGAGGAAACGATGAAAGCGGGAGGATGTTTGATAGTCGCGAAGAATGACATTCAGGTGGTCGACGGAGAAAAAGCGCATGCCGAGTTGTTCCATATTGGAATGGATGACGGTGGGCGGAGGAGGTTTGAGATCGTAATATTCGTGCTCGTCGCCGGATCCAGACTGAGGTGCTGTCGTAGGTTCTGTGTGATAATCTTCTCGTACGTCTTCTTGGACAGGATCGAATATTGATGGTTGAATTGGCGAGACCGACCCCGCCCGTGTTGACGGCATATCTGGAATGTCGGGTGGAGGTTCGAATGCAGCAGCGACGTTCGACTCTTGCTGCACTTTCCTAGGCAGGATGTTGGTCGCACTAAACGTGGATTCAACACCTGGAGACTTCCTTCCGCTCCTGAAAATTGAGGGCAGATGTCGTTTTGACGATAGTCGTCGTGCTGGATGGCCAGCGTCTTGCATCTTTTATGGAAACGAGGTACCACTCTTCGTCGAAGCCGATAAGGTAGCGCTTCTCAGAGAGATCCTGGTAGAAGTGGTCGTGGCGATCGAGCCACACAATATACACCACAGCTTAATTTGACAAGATAGAGAGAACGGGAGAGTCGGTAAACCTACAACAGGCAGCCATCCGGAAAATGGGCCAGCAGAGAAGCATCACGGCGGTCTCGCTCTTTTGTGCTCAGCAGCTCGCAAAGCGGAACGTGTTCTGCCACGAGATGAAAACTGCAGCGGGTACGACATGATGCAAGATACAAGCATGCCCTGGTCAGCATGGCTGCATATCGTCGAGAAACCCATGGGGAACCCGAGTGGACACACGTCATGATTCTGCAGGTCGATTTTGACAGTACGACACTCGTTCCAGCCTTTTTCGACCAATCCAAGGAAGTATCTGGAGAGCCAAGTCATGTAACTACCATCGCTCTACCCTCAAATGTAGCAGAGTCGGAGTGTGTAGTCACGTCGAAAAGAGCTTCAAGTGTGTGCGAAATGCAAGAAGTTCGTGGAGAAGCCGGTTGGCCAAAGCTTGACCTGCCACCAAAGCGAACGTGCGGGTTCGATTCTGCACCTCGACCAAGAGAGTGTTGATGTAGACAACCGTGTCTCCGAAGGCAGTACAAGCCATGAGAAGCAAAATTGCAGCTCTATCAAGGTGTCTTTGTGTCATCGGTCTTTTACTCTTGAAAGTGGCCTCGAGTCAACAATGTTTGCCAACGCGGCTAGTGCCTATCAGCTGAGAGATAATGAAAGATGGCGCCAGATACGATCCTCCTACTAGCTGTATTCGCACACCGCACTATAGAGGGTAAGAAGTCACATGTGATACAACTCGAATATATATAACAAGGTCGAAGACGAAAACTAGGCTCTCATCTCTCATCACCGAAACACGATGCCTCTGGAAGTCCGACAAGTGGAAAAGAACGACATCGCCGACATCGCCAAGATGGACCGCATTGTCATGAAAGATGTCGGTATCTCTAATGCCATCTGGAGAATACAGGAGGCAGAAAATATCGACATCACATACGCGTTCGAACGATTCATCTCAAATGGCATGGAGCATCATGCAGAAACATTCTGGAAGGTCGTCGACACGGAAAGTAACGAGATGATTTCGGTCGCCAAATTTTCATTTCAATATCATGAAGGCGAGGCGTACCAAGATACACCTGTGGAAGGCGAGGAACCTCCGCCTAAAAAGCTGCTGGAGTTTTTCACAGCACTCAATGAAAAATCGAACGAATTTGCTAAGGAGAACTTTACGGGCAGACCGCATGCGCGTACGTGACAATTCAAGTCAAGAGTCAAGAGTCAGGAGACTAATATACAGGATGAACAGACCNTTTCCTACCTCGCAACACACCCATCACAGCGTAGACGTGGAGCTGCACACATGCTGCTCGACAAGGGCACAAAGAAAGCCGACGAAGCAGGACTGGACATGTATCTTCAAGCGTCTTTGATGGGAGCCGAATTATACAAGAAGTTTGAATTCGAGGTGGTGTCGGTCGAGGAGATCGACCTGAGTCAGTGGGGAGTAGACAAGGTCGACACGCGCACGTACATGAAGAGAGTGACTCGAGGAGTTCGTCAATAAAGTGTATGCGAACTGGCCGTTTATGGGTTACCGTGTATATGCAACGGTGGTGTATAGGAACAGATACCCGGACTCATGACAAAACGTGTGCTACAAAGCTTAATTATATCTGCTGATGAAAGGAGGGCGGTATAGAGTAGGCAGTAGGTATTCAGAAGATTGTCGAGGATTGACAGGGGTCGAGATATGATTTCGACAAGGGCGACTTTGATTGGACACGGCAGCACATGTCTCGAAGCTTTCTCCAGAAACTTTCTTGGGCGGGTCTGGGCGGGCGGTCTTTTTTGGCAACGGGAATGGTTCAGCGGTTCTTCGGCGGCCGGCCCCCATGATGCGACGACGGAGCGGCTTGTCCTCTCGATGGTGCAGGTCAAACGTTCAGGATCAGACAAAAGCCGCGGTGGGTGCTGAACTGGATCGGCCTTCGTGCATGGTCGACATCCGACACCAGCGACAAGCTGCATATGCACCAAAACCATGTATCTCCACACAAACAAAACAACAATGAGTGTGCAGGCCGCACACGACAAGCCTCTACCGGCACCGCCGTCGCCGACTCTCACAAACCCGGACATGGTGCTGCCGAACATGTTTGTGCTGGACGTGGCAGACGGAGTGCACCACGAAACGGAAGGACCGCCGTCGCCCTCGTACCTGCAGGCTCAAACGACGCGCACGCTGGGAAACAAGAGGAAGTCGCGACCCAACCTCCGAGCACCTTCCCAATCGCCTCTACAGAGCTTTGGCTCGTCGCCGACGCTCAATGTCGACAATTCGTCATGGGAAGAGCGACGACTGAGTTATGCGGCCAGCAGCATCCTGACCGACGACCTCGAGCACATGCAAATCCCCCGCTTCGAGTCGAGCCTGGACTCGGACACGGAGACACTGGACGAAGACGACTTTGACATTGACACGCCCAGCGAATTGTCCTACGGCGACGTCCTCAAGACGGAGCAGTCCAACGTCACGCTCATGCGCGCCGAGCTGATTCTCGCCAACGCAAAGAAGCGCCTCAATGTGCGTCCATGATCAACCACCTCATATTGGTGCAAGAAAAGCTGACAAGACACAGNNGTCATGGACCAGAACCTACGAGGAGCCCGCGAAATCGTCACACCCTTGACAGCCGCCAACCTCAAGCGAGCCACGTCGCTGACCACGGGTCCCGTACGCAACACGTCCTTTTCCCGTCCTCGCTACCTGCCACACAATCCTCACTCGTCCAACACCCAGCACATGCGTGTGCTCAGCGACTCGGATGTCCAACAACCCGACGAACGCCGCTACATGTCCCTGAACATCAACTCGACGCCCTCATGGACCACCAATCCCGTTCGGAACACTCGCAGCTCCGAACTGCTACGCTACCCTCGCAGCCCGCTGAGCCCCGATCCTCAACTCGATACTGTCTCCGAGGAGCAGAGCGTGCGAAGCCAGACGTCGGCACACAACTTGCGCGAACAGATGATGCAGTTGAGAGGCAGGATTTCTACACTGAAAGAGAGGGCCCAAGAAGAGAACCTGAGGAGAAGGAGCACAAACAACCTGCGAGACACTTGTCTTCTGAACAATGCCGACACGTCTCCTGGCGCCACAGGCTCACCCAGGCCGAGACTTGCCCGCATCACAAAGACGAGCAATGTACCGGGCGCCTGGGTGTCTGCTCAGACCATTGACGACCACGACAACGACGACTCTGTTGCAGAAGAAGAAATAGACGATGAAGAAGAAGACGACGACGACAATTACACCCTCCCGCACTCGGGCTCAGGCAGCACAGATCGTACCTCTACCCCTACCACGACAACGACCGACAACTCCAACCCCATGAGTCTTTACGAGGACGCCCCTGAATCTTCGGTCGTGTCGGGTCCACGCCACGAAGACCGCGATGACGCCTTTGACTACTCCAAGTTCTTCCTGCACTCTGCGACGGGTAGCTTCGAGCCCAACACTCCCACTCGCCACACCCGGAGCACATCTTTGAGCTCCTCCGACTCGTGTTTGACCGCCCGCGCATACCCCGGCAACCAAGAGCTTCCTACCACTGGTGCCGAAGAGGAGGATGATCTACAACCGCCGCCAACTCCCGAAACGCCAGAAGCACTCCGCCACATCGAGGAGGTCAAGCTTCCTTCCCGTGCCCAACACCGACGAGGTCTGTCCGCCGAATCTCTGGCGACGATCGCCACCTTCGAGACTGCCGACGAAGGCCACCAAGCCTCAATCGCTCAATGGCTGTCCCGCTCCACTTCTGCCTCGTCCATCCACAACCTCAACGACCTGCCGAAACAACCCAGTCGAAACCATCCATCCGCCCAAGCAGCTCTTCCAAGCCCTGTTTTGCCCTCCACATACACTCCTGCATCTGCTCAGCAGGCTCAACAATACATCTCCATCTCTCCCTCCGCCATCACCATGGCTGTATCCGCTCTACTGGATCCTACCAAAGGACAAGGGCTAGGAAGCAAAGACGAAGCTTTAGTCTACACTCTTGTCGAAAGCTTACGCGAAGTGGTTGGAGAACTACAACTCGGTGCTGGTGGCGAAGAGAGAAGGAGATGGTTGAGGAGGCGTCTTGATGAGGCGAGAAGAGTCTTGGAGGGCGAAGACCTTGAGAGGTGATGCTGGAATTTTCTCTTCGATTTCCTTGGTTGTTGTTTTCTGGTCCATCTTGATGGCATTGCGTTTTGCTTCTGCTCTTTATTCTTGTTGTTATATCTTACTTGATACCCTTTCTACTTAGTGTTTTTATATAATTGTACCCTTTTCGTCCTTCTCTACGCCGTGTAACTTGCCACGAACCTCTATGCCTTGTCAGTGACTGTCACACTCACCGTCTGACAAACTTCAAAGGTTGAGATTCTGGGTTGTTGATTACTTGCTCAACGTCTGGAGAGAGACTGTTTCCCTGTCATGTCGCTTCTGTCGGGCCTTTACTTGCAAGAAACAATTCTGTTTCAATAAACTTCGGCGAATGATAAAAGAAGGGAGAGCATTGCATTCCAGCATTAAACATACACGACATCACAGCACGGAGATGGATTGCAGTAAGAGAAACTTGATGACTAACGAAGAGTTTGAGGATTCTGAAGCAAATCTCAGCAAGACACATCTGTTGTGGTACCCTTTGCGTTCCAGCAACTCTTTGATTTCTGTAAAAGTTTCTCCAACGAGCGGTTGGTCTTTCTCTCGTTTCTTGTTGTGTTTGCGCAGCAATCTCTAGCTCTTTTGGATTGCGGATTTCTCCTCCTCCCACGATCGTCCCTTCCTGTACAGTCGCCCTTGCGTAATCTAGCTCATCTCAGCTTGTCAGGCACGTGAACGCTGGTGTGTGCTCTCGAGTCGAAGATGACCGCCAGGTTCGTGATCTCTGGCTGAACATCAAATCTGCGAGATGAGTCTGTCAAGACCGGCGTGGATCTCTTCTTGACTCTCCCAATGGTATTTTCCAGGCACTTCCAATCTACCATCATTGCTGTGCAGGCGGTTAATCACCAATCTCTCGAGCCTCGACATGTTCTTGAGCGGATTGGAGAATCTGATCGCCTCGCTTCTATCAGATCTGTATTCGGTCCAGATTGTGGTATCGTGTAACTCAAGATTCCTGACTTTGTCATTGAGAGTCCCGAAAAGAGTGACGTAGGTGAGATCAACGAGCTTCATGAAGACCTCGTGGTATTTGCGGCTCCTCAGATAGCGCTGCAAGTCTTTGGGAGCTGCTAGGTGGCTATACTCGAGACATTTTTGGTAGAAGTGGTCCTTCACATAGACACGGACAAGTCTGAGATGGTGTCTGGTTGACGAGATTTCTGGCGTTGTGATACCCATGTTGTTCACAAAGCGAGTAATGGTAAAATTGGGGACTGTGTTAAGACGCGTCCAGATGGATTTGGAGAAATCGGCGTAGTGATCCCAGAGCTCGATTCTGATATTCTTGATGGGAAACTCGGTCCGACTGAGGGCGAAGAACAAAGTAGCAAGAGTGAACTTGTCATCATTTTTCAGCCTGTGAATGAAAGCCTCATCAAATGCATATATCGGTGGCCACGACCCGTCATGGATACCAAACATGATATCTGTCTTTCTATGTGCTTTGAGGTTGTCCAAAGCCTTGAAGATTGGCTCGATGTGGTGACCCTACTCCAGAGTTAAGCTCTCGAAAAAAACGAGCATTGTGCTCACATTCCAGTCTATCTCCAGGGTAAAGCTCGAGCGTAAGTTGAGTGGACATCAAGGTGATAGACTGACACTGTGCCACGAAGTCTCTGTCGGCGGTGAAACTGGCCAGACCTCTGAGACTTTGTTCAGTGAGAACCAACTGCCGGTCGGAGGGAATCAATTGAGCAAATAAAAATTTCACAGCAGCACAGAGCGACCGGTTGGTTCGTCTGAGACTCAGTTTGTCTCTATGAGGCAGAAGATCAAACACTTTCCAGAGAAGCTCTGTGAGTAGCTTGAGGATTGGTCCAGGTCCAAGGACATCTCGTATTTGCTATACTTGTTGTAGATGATATGTCTCCATGGTTGCCGTCGATCGGTTGAAGCGTAGAGAGGGAAGTCTGGGGGTGCGGCAAGGGTGTCATGGTGGACAAGAGGTGGTCGAGAGTTCTGGCATGCATCGACATCTTGGACGAAGCGAAGCTGTGATGCTCAGACTCCTTCTGCTTGTTGGTAATTGAAAACGAAAGGTGTATGCCGAGTGATGTCGTTGCTGAGGTTGGAAGAGATGACGCTGCGATAGTGGATGGAACGAGACTCTGGGCTGATGCGCTGACAGTGAGCAGTGTCTTGAGAAGCACCTGCGGTCGCGATGGTGATGGCGATGAAATGAATTGTTTTTTGTCTGGCGCCAAAAGCGAGAATGGAGAATGAAGGCGGCAGAGGAAGAGTCGAGTAAGAAGCGCAGATAGATACCAGCTGCGATGTGCGCCGTAAATGCAAGTGGTCGTGAAGTCGTATCAATTCTGAGCCAAGCGCTCGGTAATACAGCAGTCACATCGATCGAGTTTCAACACCAGTGAATTTATGGAGAGTGGTCTGTATCGATGAAAACAGACAGCAAGCGCAATCCAATGATGGTGGCTCGCGGAAAAGGAAGTTGACGAGTGAAAGTCACTTTCGCGTTCGGCAACTTTCAAGTCAACATACCATCCATTCTAGGTTCTGAAAAGGCGCCATACACAACCTGGGATCGAGTGTTCGAACAAAATTGCAGCCGTGGGCCGCTATAGCTCCTGCCGTGCATGCCATCGCATTTTTTACTTTGTTCAAACACTTACCCACGATCGGAACAAAGTCTATCGTGAACATACGAAACATGTCTGTTGCATCCCCTCACTGTCTCTTTCTTCTTCTTCCTGAGCTACTATCCCCCATCCATTTCTACCGATGTTGCCTTTCCTTCCCTGCTCGAATACTTGCTTGCACTGCTTTTGCTCCTGCCTTCATTGTCTCAAAGCTGGTTCTCCTATCCCAGTCTGTCACTCTTATGTCTCGTGTTGCTGCTGTTTGTGCCACCGTCTCGAACCACGGTCTCTGCTATGCTCTGTTCGCTTTCGGCAAGCCACGACGTTCCTCTGTACAAGAGAAGATATCGCACGACTCTCGTGAGCCTGATCTGCTTCCAACGTTGATTCTTGGTTCTCAAGATATAGAAGATAACTTTACCCAAGCTCGGGGCGTGATTGCCTTAAGCGTACCATGTCTTTGTCTTCTCAATCAGTTCCTCCAGACCTGCCTGGATCTCCGACTGGCTACTCCACTTGACCCGCTCAATCTGAATGTATCGCCAACCTCGATCGACGGGCAATCAGTAAGCGCAAGAGGATGGTGGCAGTTGTTCTCCTTACAGTTTCAAACTTACGTTGACTTTGCAGGAGATAGAGAAGAGATGCGCAGAGAGCAACAAGTGACCAGATCTCTTGTCGTGTAGCGCATTAGGAATAAAGAGCGAGTGATACCAGGAGAGCATAGAGGGTTCGGGAGTGGACTGGAGCGTTGAGTCAAAATGTTTAATAGTGACCAGATGTAGAAGGATAAGTTTGACAAGAGTGGGCGCGCCGACGACAGACAGGATAGCGTCCTTGTGTCTCAAGTTTCACAGAAGTGAAAGTCTGTTGTTATCGTCAGAAAATCTTGGGCATCGACAATCATGGGGCCTCAGAATATGACCACCTGCACTATCTTAGTGCTGTTTAGTGAAACTCGGAAGGAGAAAGTACGATGAATGTCTTGTTACTACCAACCATGGAAGACTTGCATTAGTGATGATAGTGATCGGGCTTGTATGCAATGAATGACCGCATCTCGCAAGTGCTAACCTGCAGAACATCATTAGCATATCAGTATTCAAAGCCTGACAGCCACGATCAGACAGAAGAGTCCTGTTGGCGGATATGTCGAGCTTGAGACGCTTGCAATGCGACGTGAAGAAGGATCTTGTGAGTGCGACGAACCATGGCCAAGGGGCCCCTGACACACTACTATTGAGGGCTGTTTCCAACAAAGAGACCCGTATCGTAGCCGGTTGGGTCTGTGAGCGAATCGTTTCGATCTTGAGTTCTGGCAAGGTGTTTTTAAGGTGGATTTGCAATGGCCTCTGAACGAAATTACGACAGCTCTCACGTTGTATTCTCGTATGCAGAATTCGTGGCAATTTGCCACCCCCAGTTTCGATCTTGTTCCTCTAATCCTCTGATTTCTCGCTATTTACACGTTGTACATCAATTTTATCGCTATATACACCTCGTGCTGCTCTAGTTGTTGTTGATATAGCTCAAGGTGACCGTCCTTCTGATGTTGCTAGTCTTTCAGCGATATCAAAGTTCTATCTGACGCGCGAGATAGCTCTCAATTTAAGTAATAAAATGCCGCTCAACGAGCATGACAAGGACCTCATCGAGGCCATGTTTCGCGACAACTGCGACGTCAATACCGTCTGCAAAGTCATTCCCCATGCAGCTCGTAGGACGGTGTATCGTATGTATGAGAACATACAGCACTTTGGCCAGGTTAGGAAGCCTTCCTCAGCACTAAAGAAGCGTGGCGCCCCGAAGAAGATAACACCAGTTATGCGCGAATACCTCATAGAACTGCTCTCCGCGAGGAACGATCTCTGGCAGGAGGAATTGGTGTTCGAATTGTGGTGCGAATTCGACATAGCTGTTAACCAGTCGACCATTAGTCGCCTGCTAGCTGAAGAGGAGCTATCAAACAAGGTCAATACACGTATCGCAAGTCGCCAGTCTGTTGCGCAACAGGGAGTTTATCTTAAAGAATTGGCTGATCTAATGTCTCGAGGCCTCACGGCTGGTCTTAACCCTATAGATATGCTAGTTTATCTTGATGAATCTGCATGCAGCGAGAAGGTGATGTTTCGCCGCCGCTCTTAGAGTCAGATAGGTCTGCCGGCCTATACAAGGTCAGACCTAGTCAACAAAGTTCGTTGCTCGGTATTACCAGCTCTAGATGTCCATAGGTATCTATATGGCTCTACCCTCGTTGTCGAAGGCGCGGTTACCTAAGCCATATATAAACACTGGCTAGAGACAGTGGTGCTACCACAATGCGAGCCATTTCCAGGTAGAAGGTCGATTGTAATCATGGACAATTGCTCGACCCACCACTCTAATCGAGTATGTGCAAAATTTGCGTATAAATGGCAGGGCCTAACATTGTCTAGATCACCGAGCNTAGGTCGGCAGTTTGGCGTATATTTGCTGTACCTGCCGCCATACTCGCCACATCTAAATCCCATAGAACAGACCTTCCACCTCTTAAAACAATGGCTTCGTCGTTGGAGGGATCTAGCGCCAACTCTAGAGGGCATGGAACTCGCGGATTACAAAGCGGCGTAGATCAAGCACCTCGAGGGCGCAGTAACTTAGGCACTAAACGACGTCAATATTAGGAACCTGTTCGGTCGTAGTCAGGTACCTTTAATTGACATGATTAGAGCTAGAGTCTGATTGCGTCGGTAAGCTCGAGCTATCTAAGGAGATAGTATAGGCATCGATGTTAGTAGCATAAGAAGGACCTTAATCTACGCGTGGAGAGGAGTGTTGCTATCGCTGCTGGCGCTTGTATATATCCACGAACTTGGACAATTCTTCATAAATAGTCACGCGGAGACCAGTCTGCTTAACTACCCTTGAGAGTTTCTTGTCGGAAGAGGTCAATAGCATCTTCAAATTCCAGTAGTCCTCCTCGAGCGCAGCCTTTGCTCTATCAAAGCCTAAAGACTAGTCCGGGTAGGCCAATTTCACAGCCTCCTAGAACGCTTCCTATAAGGCAGCATTGTTAAGCTCAGTCGGCAAGGGTAAGACCTGTCGAGGAGTAGGAACAGTCGACAAGAAGGAGGGAGCAGTGGGAACTGTCTGCTCTTAAGGTTGCTGAGGTCCTTAGTTAACATAGATGTGGTTAACAGTACTAGGTGATGCCGCTCCATTCGAGGCCTGATTCTGAGGCCTCCGGCGCTTCTTAAGCTCTGCCTCATGTGCCTAGTGCTGACGCTGGATTAGCTTGCGTATCTCGCGCGAGGGTATCTCGAGGGTGCCCTAGCCAGCTCTAACAGCGTCTCGCCACCTGGCTGATATGGACAAGAACACCTCATAATGGCGTCCGCGGTAGACAAAACAGGCAAGACCTCTACGTGCCTTGATCTCACATCGCGCTAGTGTAGGACATTAATAGAAGTTCACAATACTGTCCCAAAACACTGCTCGTTCGCCCATGTAATTAGCGGTCTGTTCAACTAAGCGCTGAGTTCGAGCGGCAAGGCGAGGAGCTTAAGCAGAGCTTGCTGTTGTAGATGCCTCGTACGCAGGAGGAGGCTCTAGCGCTAGCTCCTTGCCATCGGTTGTCCAGATAGACTCGATTATAATAGACAAATCTCTTAGGCCGGTGGAAGCGTTAAAGCGAACGAGGTCCATGGCCTTCTTCCACTGCTCGTCACCATGCTCAAGTCTATAAAGAGTAACTGCTTTAGTTGAGCGTACACCTCGGGAGCCTGTCGAAGTTATTAGAGCTCTAATCCTCTAAGGGTAATACTCAGCGATTTCCTGATCTCTAAGATGAGGTACAATTGACCGATCTAGCTCCTGACGGGCTGTTACCCATGTCTTCTCAGTGTTAGCAAGGTCGGTATCGCCACTAGAAATCTTTTGGTAGCCCTAACGACTGTCATATTGCAACTTAAATGGTATTAGGGCAGGTGGTGTCGCAGCGGCAGTACTATTGGTGATCGCGGTCGAATTTGATGATACTTTCTTCGCGTGGAGGGTTCCCTTACCCTTCTAAGTGACCTTAGAAGGTTTGGTGACCTTATTCGTAGAGTTGGTTAAGCGACGGACAGATGTGGCTAGGTTGTTGCATGGCTTCGTAGGTCGCGTTTAGGGCGCTAGAGCCTATATCTTGGTCTTTTTAAAGTTTTTGATCCCCGCTTTTTCCTAACGTGTTCACAGCATTGGAAAGTGGCTTCCTTGAAGGGGGTACCTGTTTTGGAAGTGGTTGTGGTTATTAGGTAGAGGTATCGCGTTTTGTTGTTGCCCGGCGAGGTGTGGATTCGGGAGGTGTTTGTTAGTCAACAAGCCGAACAGGAGCCTTGCCGCGCGTAGATCTTAGCGTGCTTATGATGGTCCCTTCTCCAATGTCTTCCTCTTCTTCCTCGAAGTGTACACGTCGTCTTAAGCCTATAGGTAGGTGGTTGAGCTAGCGAGGGTGGTGGCTCTAAGAGGCTAGATTCGCGATTTCGGCTCTGCGAGCGTGTGCGCACGCCGGTTTAAGAGGCTACCACCTCGAGCAGAGCATTAGCAGCACTGGATTGATCCATATCGACGCGTATAACAGGTAATAGTACTGTGGTTGTATAGGAATCTAGCTAATAGTCATCAAACTAGCAGTTGAGAGCAACAAGTTCGAGACCGGGGATGGCAAATTGCCACGAATTCTGCATACGAGAATAGCTTGTCGCGTTGCCAACTAGTCTAAACCCACAAAATCCTGTTGTCTTCCTATAATTCCATTGTTCTTGCAGGGCGTAGAGGTGTAAGCGGTACTAGAGCAAAGACTCGGACTATGCGGCGCCACTGCACTGGGGGTCCCGCTACCACTAGGGGTACCGCTATATTTTAGCATTTATATGGCATGCGTTGTGAGCACCTACCACCTGTTTCCTAAAGAGAACATATGCAAGCCCATGCGTTTTATATAGCGACAGTCTACCACGCACTGGTGGTCTGATGAGCACATATGTAAGCTTATCAGCCATCTGTTTCAGCACTCACCATCTACTGTCTTGACGGGTACATGAGTAAGCTCGTACTGTCTATCTCGCCATCGCCACCAAAAACTGGTACGATGGACACATAGGAAAGCCATCCAATGTGTGTTGTGATCATCCACTATCTTATGGTCTGACAGGCACATGTTATGGCTGAATGCTGACAACAACTACCACTTCAATAGCTCTTTGGTGGCGCTATGGCACTGGAGCATTGGGATACGGTGCACCTCCACTATGAACGTGAATTAATGTGTTGACAGCATGATGGATGGCAAACGCACGAAGGCCGTGTCTTACTGCTAGCGAAGCTTGCGCTCAACGGGATATAAAGTCCTTCATAACCTCTCACTCTGTGACCCAGTTCAATTCTCTATCGACATCAACTCCACAAGCCCCAAAGCCTCAGCTCAATCAGTTTTGATCACACATACCTGTTTGCACAACTCGAAAACATCTTCATCATGTCAGCCAAGCTCAGCAGCACTGCCGGTCTGTGGACCTTGAAGGCGACCACCAAGACCCCAGCTGAGAGTAGTTTCACCGTTGGCATGAGTCCCGAAGGCAACGAGACTGCTCTGCGTGACGATTCTCGTCAACTTGTCGCTGCAAAGGACATCCAGCCTGGTGGCAAATACTATGGTGAGTGAGCTGCTCTAATTCAAGTTTGTGGCCACATACTCAACAACTTCAGCCATCGTCAAGCTTCAAATCAGATACGAGAAGCAGGAAGCGACCGACGGCCGTTGGGCACAAGGTAGCGGATGGTTGATTAAGCCAGATCTTCTTGTTACCGCAGGCCACTGTGCATTCGATCATACCTATGGTCTTGGTCGTGCTTCGAAGATCAAGGCTTACATCGGTTACGCTGGTAAAGAGTCCATCGGAAAGCCCGGAGTCCAATTCAGACATGGTACGCAGATTCTTGCTCCGATGGGCTGGCTGAAGAGCGACTTAAACAGAGCGAATGATGTTTCCCTCATCCAGCTCGACAAGCCCTTTGAGAACGTTAAGCCGATCAAATATCAGGCGACTCCTACAACTGGCACCATGAACCTAGGTGTGGTCGGCTATCCTGCTGATAAGACTTACAAGGACGAGGCTGCGGCACGCATGTACGCGCAGTTCAAGTCTGTGACAATCGATTTGAACTCTACATTCCTTCACATGCTGGAGTATTCTATCTCCTCTTATGCAGGTGAGCAAACATTCCCCCAACAACGAAATATATGGACCGCTGATGCTGGAACAGGTCAATCGGGTTCGCCTGTCTTGATCCAAGGCAAGAATATTTCGATTGGAACCCATGTGTATGGATTGGGGACAAGAACGCTGCCAGTGTGATTCGTGGCAAATTCGGAAACTACTACTCAGCCTCTGAGAACGTTTTTGCAGGCCGAATCGAGCCCACACAGACGACTGGCCCATGGAAAGTCATCAGTCTGGATGTCAATCAGATAACCGGTGAGGACTCTCTGCCAGATGCCAAGCCAAGCGACGCTGAAGACTTCTGGAGCACTCTCAAAAGACGATAAACATTGGTGCCACTGTTGGTTCCAGTATCCTGACCGTTGGATCACCCTTCTTGGGGCCTGCTGGTGGTCCAATTGCTGCTGTGGCTAGCGTTGCACTCAGAATCGCCAGAAAAGCTACCGAGATGGAAATGAGCGGAGAGTCCGTTATGGATACTGAATCCAACATGACCACTACCGGTCCTTACAAACAGTATCTTTGCCGGGCAATCCTGTCCGAAGCTGCTCTGATGTCGATCCTCAAGATGAACCAAGACACCGCGAACAGATATGGCTGCATTCCCCAGATGCAAAAGTATTGGCTCACCCAGAGATCCGGTGTTCCCAGTGCTGCCAGGCTTATCGGGCCCGCTTTGCTACTGCCAGCTTCTCGCATCGCACTGCACAGCGCTGCTCCACCTCGCCCTGTGGGACCATGGCCCACCATTCCTCGTTCTACTGGCACGGAGGCCTCACTGGATGGCAACCAAGAAAGCTTTGTCGAGGCACTCGAAGACGCCGCCAAGATCGATGGTGCAAGTGAAGGATGGCTCGAGTTCGTGGGTGGCGTCCTGCACACTGGTATCAGAATGGCTCCAGCAATTATCCATGCTCTGAAGCGCGAAGCTGCACTAGATGGCGAAGCTGCCCTGGATGGCGAGACTGCAGTCGACGGTGAGGCTGCAATCGATGGTGAAACTGCAGTCGACGGTGAGGCTGCAATCGACGGTGAGGCTGCGATCAATGGTGAAACTGCAGTCGACGGTGAGGCTGCAGTCGACGGTGAGGCTGCAGTCGACGGTGAGGCTGCAATCGATGGCGAGGCTGCGTTTGAAAGCAGCATCTATGGCGAGTTGCAGCCGGATGCGGAAGCTGTGTGCCACCGTGCATTGATGGGTGAAGCTGCGCTGCAAGCCATCATGAACATACCTGCTGCCCAGCTGCAGCAGGAAGGCTTCTTCTCCAAATTCTTCATCCCGGTCGTCAAGCAGTTGGGCACTACAGTTTTCAAGGTGGCCCCAAGCGTCATCAGAGTTGTTGAGCCTCTCGTGCACCAGATGATCCAGAAGAAGTTGCACGGCCGTGGAGGTGGTGAGACAGACTTCGTGACCGATAAGGACATGAAGGATCGTTCCATCGACGACCTACTCAAAGACGACTCTCTAACCGAGCCACCGGTTGCCAACTATAACAAAGGCAAGAACCAGGAGCCAGATGCCAATGGGTTCGTCCCGTTGCCCAAGCCGATCCCCTCTAGAAAGGTGAGTGCAATCCGAGCTTCACGTAAATTGACACCTCTGCCTGCGCAGGACGATGGTCTCATCTTCCTCGATCCTGCTGGGAAGGTGGCAGTACCACCTTCACCCGAAGATTTACAATCAGAGACGTGGAGATAAATGATGCGCTAACATGTGCATTCTGGTTCCATAGGGTGCTGCGGTCATCGGCAACGGACTTCAGTCTGCGGAGGCAGTTTCAGTATACTAGAGTGCGATCACTAGCTCGCTGACAAGTTTTCACCACGGTGGTGGTGGTGGTGGTGGTGGCGGTTGGTGATGGGGATGGGACTAAGGCTGTTACGGTCAGCATCGCGAGGGGTGCAGAAATTGACAGGAGAGAATCTGTTTAGTGTGTTTGGTAAAGTCACTCCTTATCATCTTAGTCTAGGGCGAAGCAATTGCAGTTCACCTGCGAGGGTGGTTTCCTTCTCATTGGAGTTTACCAGATGATTTGGCCTCGTTTCAGCTGGTTAACCCAGAAAATCCGAAAGAAGTCCAAGCTCTCTCGGCTCACAAGGTCCGTTGAGAACAGATAAAGGACAACCCAAAAGTTTGCCAAGATGTCAGCTGTCGAGCGGCAGGTCTTGCCGGCGTGTCGCGATTTCTTTTGACGCGCGACACAAAGTGTCGAGTCTGCGTTCGTGAGAAGAGGCATCAATGGAAGCTCGGTATCATCGCCCATCCAGGGTCTGTTGTCTTACAGAAGAGCGACACCTTCAGATCGTACCTTAATCGAACGACAAAAGCGTTGATCAAGCAGTGTGCAGAAGTGTTCTCTTTCCAAATACTGTGGCCACCGCCCAACTCAGCCGCAACTTCTTGTCGCCAGCAGACCTGCGTGACATCAATCTCGCAGATACCAGAACAGGAGTAACACGTGGTGTAGCTCGATTGAGCCAAGCTATGATCAAGGACATGGTCGCATTGATGCAGCTTCAGACCGGGCGAGCAGCGGTTCAGGGACGACGCGAGTACCCAAGCATGCTGATGAACGAGTCATTGATAATGATTGTACCATCTGAAGGGTGGCTACAGTAGACACGTCAAGAATCTGGTCAACTGACAACTCTTTGGTCGTTCATTACCATCCGGCATGAATTTCGAATTGGGGGACGAGGGCCTTCCAGCCGACGGGAGAAAGTCAGCAAGCAGTTGGTCATCACGCGAGACGGCGCAGTGATTGCACTCGTATCATGCGAGATGAACGCAGCCTTGTCGCATGCATCGTTCTCGAAGCTGACCTATAGACAGAGCGCAATGCTTGACCATGAAGCGATATCACGCACATCCGACAAGGCGTATCGCCAATACAACGGTCGGAAAGTGGCCCACCGAAGGAGGGACGTCTAGAATTTCTTCTCTGCTTCACACATGCTCTGCTGCACCCACGTGCGACACCAACAACGATCCTTCTGACCTTATATCAACCGTCTCTTGGTTGCCCTCGGCTTGACAAAATCAAAATGGCAGAGCAGCGCGAGATTGGTGACAGGGGGCGGAGTAGAGGCGCTCTGGGCAAGCTTGGCGAGCAGCTGAAGAGGGTGAGCCAAGGCCTGGAGAAGCCTATGGTCAAGACAGTCGGGTCCTTGGCCAACATACACGTCGTGCCTCCAGACCAACACGTGTTTCCATGCTCGAACCTCATTGTTCCGACCGTCCTACCTTGCCAAGATTTCCCGATGACATTCGCGAAGCGTTGCAGTATGAGGTAGGTTATGCTTCCGCTGAGGTTCGAATTGGTCTTTGCAGTGGCAGTGTAGGCAAAAGGTGAGCCTTGGGACTCTTGGAGATTGTTCATAAGCACTGGAAAGACATGACCGATTTTCTCTTGTCTTTTTCTGATCAACCTGCATCTTTCCTTCCCATCAAGTGCTGAATTCTTAGGCTTGGCAGTTTCTTTGTTCTGCAGCTTCTATAGCACTCAGTTGAGATGCCAGTTCTTCACGAATACACTTATATCTTTGCCATTGGCACGTTCTTTGCTCTTCTTGAAGCATACAACAATGGTGCCAACGATGTCGCCAACGCTTGGGCAACCAGCGTTTCATCGCGCTCAGTCTCATACCGCCAGGCTATGGTAAGCTAGAAAGGCGATGTATATACTCGCACGATCATGCTAACAGTGGTGTCCAGCNTCCTGTGTCTTGTGTTCGAACTGACAGGTGCTCTTGCTGTCGGTGCCAGAACCGCCTCGACTATCAAGGTAAGGGTGGCTCCTATTCACTTCCTCAAACGAATACTGACGTGGANNAAGAATGGAATCATCCCATTGGATGCCTTTAAAGGCAATGCCCCGGTCCAACTCCTTGCTTTCACATGTGCCGCTGCGGGTGCTTCGATTTGGGTTATGTGGTGCACGCGACACAACGCCCATGTCTCCTCGACTTATTCCCTTGTCTCGTCCATTGCTGGTGTCGGTGTCGCCACCGTTGGCGTTAGCAAGGTCCAATGGGGTTGGAATAGTAAAATAAAACCCTATGCAAAGATTGGTTAGAACGCAAGCTGACCAAATTTTTAGNATGGCTCTGGTCTTGGTGCAATTTTTGCCGGCCTCGTTATGGCTCCCGCCATCTCCGCAGTCTTCGGTGCCACTATCTTCATGCTCGTCAAGACCACTGTACACATGAGAAGCAATCCCGTTCCTTGGGCGGTCTACACCTCGCCTTTTTTCTTCCTCATCGCCGGAACTGTCTGCACTCTCTCTATCGTCTACAAGGGCTCTCCCAAGCTTGGCTTGAACAAGAAGCCTGCATATTGGATCGCCGGTGTCTCTGTGGGCAGCGGTCTCGCTCTCGCGCTTCTGGCCGCTCTTNTTTTCGTCCCCTATGTCAATCAGCGTGTCCTCCGTAAGGATTACACCTTGAAGTGGTACCACGTCTTCATGGGACCTCTTCTCTTCTCACGCAAGGCTCCTACTGATGCCGAGTTCGCCATGGTCCCCAACTATAACGTAATTCACGAGGAAGATGTCGTTAAGGCCAAAACTTCAGCACCTCCCTCAATTGAGATGACCGGCAGGANNGGCGACTCCGAGATCACCACTGGTGAGCTTCGTCGCAGATCTATTCACGTCTCTGAGGAAGGTGGAAGTGCCGCCTCGTCGCCCGAGATTGCTCCTATGCGCAGAAACAGCATCAACAACGAGAACCCCAGAGAGGCATACGCCCGCCTGCTTAAGGAAGCCAGTGAGCAGCACCACGCCGATCTTCGTCAAGAACGCGGTCCTCTTGGTTGGGCAATGCGTACTGTCCACGAAAACCAACTTGGCGCCGGCTCCATCTACGAACTTCACAATATCAAGGCCATCCTCAAGTGTATCCCCGCAGGCATCATCATTGCTCTCATGTACGGTATCTACTACGACATTCACAAGGCTCAGGTCGGTGTCCTCGGCACCCCTGAGGGCAAGCGCATGGCCCGTGTCTACGCTCATGCTGCCCGCTATCCCAACGAGGTCGAATACTTGTACTCCTTCGTTCAAGTTATCACTGCCTGCACTGCATCCTTTGCTCATGGCGCTAACGATGTTGGTAATGCTGTCGGAGTTTGGGCTGCCATGTATGCCGCCTGGTCGACCGGCTCCTCCGTCAAGGCCAAGGAGGTAAATCTTTTCCCACAACCCATTACAAAACATAAATCCTAACCCGATTCAGNNAGTGTCCCAACTTGGCAAATAGCTGTAATGGCGCTTACGATCTGTTTCGGCTTCATTACCTATGGTTACAATATCATGAAGGGTGAGTTTTGGGATTTTCGAAATTTCCCACCCCCACCACCAACTCAACCCCCCTACTATGCTAATAGATCACAGNTCATGGGTAACAAGATCACCTATCACAGTCCATCGCGCGGAAGTTCCATGGAGCTGGGTGCTTCCATCACTATCCTCATTTTCTCTCAGTATAAGCTACCGGTCTCTACCAGCATGTGTAAGTCAAGTTGTACCTATTCTTTTCGATAACGCACCAACTGACCCTCTTCCAGGCNNATCACAGGTGCTACCGTAGGCGTTGGGCTTTGTAATGGTAGCTTCAAGGCAGTGAACTGGAGTCGTGTAGGTCTGCTGGTGTTCTCCTGGTAAGTTTCCCGATCATGGTATTTTGACTCAAACGCTTACAAACGGCCAGGTNTCATGACTATTCCCATCGCTGCATTGATTGGAGGCCTCATCATGGCCATTACATTGAATGCCCCCAGCTTCTAGGGTAGTGGAAGCGTGGTGAGGCTTCGGGGTGACGACTTTTCGAGTTGTCCTCGCCATTGATACATGTTTTAAATGTTAGAAGAACAAGTTGCCATATTTCTGCCCCATGGTCCAGCTGAGATTTTGTGAGCCAAGCGATATCACCTCTGTCCACAGCAGCGTTTTCTCCATGTTGTCCTTCTTTTCACGCATTCTCTGATACTTTGATCGGTGTCCTGCCTGTTCCATATCGCATTATTGCCATTCGCGTTTTCGGAATTATTCGGCCATGGCTTGAGGTTCGCCCGCTTTGCCGAACAACAACCGGGCGAAGCTTCCGCTTTCGTGTTGCGACTGTCAACCTCTTTGTTCTTCAAATCATTGCACCATAATTCGTCTGTTTGGACCAAAGTGTTTCGCTTTGATGGAATTCGTTGGTTCTGGGTTGCTAGATACTGAGTGTCCTTCTTCAGGCTCTCATAGTCTGTCTACCGCCGCCTCCTATCTTCCGAGCCTCGAGTCCGCGACAGACGTCCACCACGATGTGAGTCTTCATATTTGTGCGGGTACGTTCTTATTAGCCTTTTCATACTACTTATAGCTCCTAGAAACTATAACTATATTAGTTACCAATAGAATAGCCTAACTACCTTTAGTTTAACAATAGTTATAATAATCTTAACGGTTACTACTACCTTATTAGCTATTCAAAAACCTTACTTTGCTACTTATATAGCTAGCTTTGTTCTATAGTTTAGTAGATTAACTAGGTTAAGTAGGTTAAGTAGGTTAGCTAGAAAGACTAGCTTAAAAGCAATTTTAGAAAGAGTTGGGCCCACCTACCTATAATTTCTTATAAACGTTAAAAAGGTATCTATCTTACGTTTTATTGTTAGCCTTTTCTTGAATCGGGTATACCGTAGTCTTAATGACATTGCCCTTATACTATGAGTGTGTTAGTATGCTGCTAGACGTCCTACGATAGAAATCCTACTCTATATGTAAAGATATCTAGTCGGTAGTTACGCTTTTATTGTGTCTTGTCTAGGAAAGCGACATGTCACTATTGCTTAGGGCCTGACGTCTTTAACAGATGTCTTGGATCGCAAGCCTCTAGAAGCTATTATGGCAGACTTGGGTGATTGACTCGAGAAACAGAGCGGACTGAGTAATGGAGAAACGGATGTACTGTAACGGTGTGATATCTGGAAGATTAAAGTAGAAGCAGGCGTGCCAATACTCCAGACGGAAGCAGTGAACAATGTCAATATTGTCTCTACGGGAAAGTCACCCATATTTGACCTCGAGCGCAGTAAATATAGCCAAGCTAATGACGCCAAAAAGATCAAGAATGAACATCTGCGCAACTCCGCAGCACGGTGTCTCGCAAGAAGTAGGGGCAGACTCAATCTGGAGGTCTAAAATCACAACCACCATGGTGTTTCTGCTAGACTTCGTATGTTGAGCAGCAAGACCGACTTGCCCGAGCTTGAGGAATCCAAGTGCTGACACTGCTTCGTGTCGCTCGAGAAGGCTGGTGTAGCGATGGGGACATTGTTTTGCTGACACTTGTATATAGAGGAACGTACCACAAGGTTTGCAGGCACCCCCTACTCTTGAGCGGATCGCGGAGAAGATGGTGACTCGAGATATCATTGTTGCAGAGATTGAAGGCGGGAGGATCTACCGGCAAAAGTACCTCACCATCAGATACCGGGGCCAGACTCCGAGGCAAGGGGGAAACAGAGGCAGTCATGACCTTTAGCGGTGTGCAGTAGTGTTTCCGTGCCATTGAATGGGGGTAGAGCAGACCAGTGGCCTAGGTGGATCGAAGTCGGTAGTAGCGTCAACGTCTTCCAGGTGCTCGCAATGAGTCGAGAGTCCAAGCTGATGGTAATCAGCGACTTCGGATACGAATGTTGGAAAAGTATTGGTGGCCAAGGGAGTATGTGCTTCGAAAGCGTGGAGTCTGAAGGCAAAGGGGTCGGGAGTGAAAGGGCGCTCGGCGGATAGATGTGAACGAGTAGCAAGAGCTGCAGAATCGTATCGTTTGAGAATATTATTTTATAAGCGTCAAGTCTAGAAAGCACTCAAATCACCGCTTTACACATGGGCTTCGGGCCTTACAAGTTCTCGCTTCGGCGACACTCCGAAGTGGTGGGACAGGCCGATTGTCAAAGGCGACCACGAGGACGCTAACGTGAAGGCTGAGGCGACGGCTAATACAAATGTCTCTGCTAATGCGCTCAAGGTCGCCTCCATTAGTAGTGATTGTGAGACTGCAGCTTGAGTCGGGAGCGAGCTCTCGATGATGAAGGATGGATATAGTAGTGAAAATTCAAAGTTATGGTTCTTCTTACTAGTTAAAGACTTCTGCCCATTATTCTACGTGTTGTGTCTAGACTAACTCATTCCCATCTGGTCCATAGCTAGGCATTTGCTTCTGTGCCTTNTGCAGCTCTCGCGCCTTCTGAACGCCAAACCCATGGGAAAAGATCTCTCTTATGTCTTCAAGAGTCATGCCCTTGACCTCCGGGTAGCAGAAGTAAACGCATGGGAAACAGCCCAAGATGCAGATCGCGGCGTAGAATCCGAAGGCGCCGGAAGGCGTGGTGTTCTCCATTTGGGTAAGGAACGTACTGGCCACAATGATATTGGAGCCCCAGCACGTCATGGTTAACATCATCGTTCCCACGGCTCGAACCTCCATCGGGAAGAACTCGGAGCTGAGCCATGCGGTGTTTCCCATACCGGAGGAGTAAAAGCCGACATAGATGACCATGCAGACGAGAACTAACTTCGCTGGGATGCCGACACTGACACCAGCCTTGAGAGTCAAGTCGTGGTTGACCGGGATCCAGTGGAACGCAATGGCAGCAAGGATGAGAGCCAGACCCATGAATGGCATGGTGAGGAGGAGGATTCGGCGACGTCCAACACGGTCGACAAGCATGAGATTGACCCAAGTAAAGAAGAAGTTGGTCCCAGCAATGACAGTACCCACAGCTACTGGGTTAGAGAAGCCAACAAGTGCAAAAAGCGTCGAGGAATAGTACATCAATGAGTTGAACCCTCCGAGCTGAGAGATGGCCATAAGACCGCATGCCGAGACCAAAGCGCGGAAGTTTGCTGGGACAACGTAGAGTTGCTTGAACACCCACCATTGACTCTTGCCCGCAGTCATCTGCTTAGAAATCTCGATGTGTATCCTGATGTGCTCGCATTTCTGGTTGACCTGTTCTTCGGTACCATTGGGGTAAATCTTGCGAATAACATCCTTCGCCTTATCTTCTTTGCCGTGATAGATGAGTTGGCGGGGCGACTCGGGACAGAACGGTAGGAGGGCACATAGCACGATCGCGGGGATCGCACCGCCTCCCACCATATATCGCCAACCTCCATGCGTGCTAGCGAATGCGGCACCGATACCATACGAGATGAGCTGGCCACCAGTGATCGACATGTTGTCTAAACCAATCATGCGGCCTCTGTATTTGGCTGGTGATACCTCAGCGATATACATGGGCACTATNTCTACGATCAGATGATATAGTTTCGGGCAACGAGGGGTTGACGTACCGATCATAGCTGCACTTCCAACACCAAATCCTACAACAAGGCGACCCACTGTCATTTGAGCAAGACCAAACGATGCAGCCTGTAAGATTGCTCCAATGATGAACAGAACGCATCCAACGTAGATGGCTGGCTTGCGTCCATACTTGTCAGCCGTGAGACCAGCGAATATAGCACCAAAGAAAGCTCCGCCCGATGTGATAGATGTGATGAGCTCCTTTTCGCCTGAAGTCAAGACTTTGTGGTCCAGGGATGTTCCAATGTATACTAGTACGGCGCTATGGAAGCGTGAGTTGCGGAGCGGAAGAGTCTATCCCATGTCTCTCACTGACCTGATGATACCCGTATCGTATCCGAAAAGCATACCACCAATGGCTGCTGTGATGGAAACAAGCCATGCGAACTTGCCAGTCTTGGTTTCTTCGATAGTGTCAAGATTGTCGAGCGAGTTCTGCTGCAGATCGACATGTTCGACATGATCAGTGCCAGTCTTCTCTTTAGTATTGCCAACGAGACCCATCTTGGCTGTCAAGAAGGATGATTGTCGGGTTGAGATGGACTTAGAAGATAGTTTGAGAATGTGAATGGGATGGTGGTTTCACAAGTTTCGAAGAGACATGGGCCACGAAGGGAACCATTAAAGTCTTATAACTCGATCTCTACTGCGTTATCGCATGCACGGACTCTTGATGAGGACGACTCGCGGCCACTACAGATGATTATGCATACGACCCCGCATGGGATACCCCAGACGTTGTGTCTTGTTCTGGTGCAAATCGCCGGGGCCGTCAAATGCCGGCCGGCGCCACACCTTGGCGACATATCTGGGAAAGGGCGCGATGCTGCTCTGCAAATGCGCATAAACCACATATTCTGTCATCATCGGGCGAGCATTCCTAAACAGTCGGGACAGGGCAAGCCAACCCCGCTTTTATCATCATGGACGGGATTCCACATGGTCAGCAGACACAGCTCGGATGTGGGTCTCGATACGGGCTGAAGGCCGCGCCGGTGCCTTCCTGATAGTGTCTAGAAAGGCATCATCGCTGCCTGCTCGGTCGTGCCTTGTTCTCCTTTCCTCTTTCCGCATCAATCGATTTTTGTTGACCACTGCAAGGTCACGAGTTGTCTTGTTCAAGCGGAAACCTGGAGCAGACATGACATAGGCGGCTTACCATGTCCCCTAGCGCACCGGCCCGAGCGAAAACTGGTTGCCAGGCGAGTCAACGTCGCGCCATGGCCTCATCCGGACACCTGCTAATTATGTGGTAGAATTGCAAACTCCGGCATGTAAAATGTAGGTGCGCACGACCCAAGTCGCAAAGAGCTCTGCCGGCAGTCCTTCAGAATGGCAGGTCGGTGGTATCGGTAAATCCTGGACCAGCACACGTAGACTTTCCAGTGTTCCGTCCTTGACAATCATCTCGGAGGAGGGCTTGAACACGCAAAGTCGTAGCCGCCGATTGTCGAGCAGCTGTGGACTGTCGGCTTGCTAAACCTTGTGAAGCGTAGCAGCGCTTTGGTTTCTTTACTTACTTGTTCTGTCTTAGGTGACGACGAGCAACCGAGTTGTGCGAGGTGCAACTGGTCAGGAGTGGAGTGTGTTCGGCTTCTGAATATTCGTTTCTGTCATAATCTCAATCCAACGTACGTCCGCACGACTTAACCCAACACCGAGACGGAAGAAATACTGAGCTTTCAAGTGTCCCCGCGGCGAGAGGTCCTGAGAAATCTTTCATCGACAGCCAGCCATGGGTATCAACTAGAGGGGCCTTGAGCTTCGTTGACGAGACACGGGACACAATAGCGATATACGGCACACATGTCGATGATAAGGCGTCCAGCGACGGATACTCGACCCATACCCCAGTCCGGCCGGATGGCGATATTGCTGCTGCAGGTCTACCTCAATCGCAGTGGAGTGTCGTACTGGACTCTATCGACGAGGAGTTTCCACAGTCAGGGAATCATAGTGACAACTTACCTGCAGGAAGCTCAGAGCAGGACGACGCAGACGAGGGCGTGGAAACTCAACATGGCACTGGAGACGAAAGCGACTTTCGCTTGGGCATGAACAGTCATTCTGATCACCTGTCTATCGAGTTTGATACATTTGACAGGCCAAATGGACTCGGGTCACACAGACCTAGGCGCATGACTGATATTCCGTCGTATTGCGATGTCGCAAGGTCATCTCGCAGCCTGCCCTCTCCTTCCTCTCACCCTGGTTTCGGCCACCACGAATCGCCATCACACTCTCTACTATCGAGACCGAGCATCAGTGTCGAGATCGCAGCTGCCGAAAGCGCAAACATACCACACGGGAAGAGTCCATCGAGGACTACTTACTCCTTTGCCACATCCATTTCACGTCCCCATACCGAAGCAGGTCTACTTGCCGACCCTCAAGAAGCGCGGCTATTACGCCATTTTGTCAATCACCTGGCCATTTCGTTCGATCTCACCGATCCTTCGTGCCATTTCCGCAATATCGTGCCTCAGCGAGCTATGAACGACCCTATCTTGATGAATGCGATTCTCGCCGCCTCCGCCCGTCATCTCAGCCGCGTTAGTGGCGGGGACNCCTATATTGCAGACAAATACCATCAAAAGTGTATCCAACATCTCATCCCGATACTCAGCGATGAGGCCGCAGTGTTGGACGAGAACCTCCTGGCTAGTACGGTCATCCTACGGTATCTCGAAGAGATTGACGTGCCACTCTCAGGCAAACTTCACTTGGATGGTGCAGGCCATCTGGTCGGAGCTCATGCCTTCATCAGTGCACAAGAGATCTCCGCGGTTTCCGGGGGCCTGCGACTTGCTGCCTTCTGGATTGGTCTCCGGCAGGAAATTTATGTCGCTTTCGTCACCCAGCGGTCGATTCTCTTTCCTCTGCAGCATTGCAGCGTCGATCGCTCATTTGGAGCTGCGGACGAAGGCACGTGGGCAAATCGAATGATCCTCCATTGTGCAGAGACCATACAGTGGTGCTTTGGACTTCGTGAGCATGAACGATCGTCAACTCAATTCGAAGACCTTCTACGTTACGCTGGAAACTGGCTGGAGTTCATACCTCCGTGCTTCACCNCTCTATACCACCGCAATGCTGATGCCGACTCTGATGCCGTATTTCCAGAAGTCATGTATCTCTCAGATGCCGCTGTCACAGGCATACAACATTATCATCTCACTCTCATTTTGTTGAGAGCTTATGATCCCACGATACCTAAACTCGGGTCTCGACGCACAACAGCATTGAAAGAGATGGACAATGAAATCAAGCATCACACTAGGACGCTTTGCGGACTCGCGATTAGCAATAGTAGCACGCCGCCGAACTTTGTGGCCGCTTCAATGGCAGTGACAATGGCCGGCGATAAGTTCACAGAGATCAAAGAGCAGGAAGCCTGCATTCGAATACTGGAAACGTGTGAGGTTGAGCATGGATGGTCAACTATGACCGCTCGGGAAAACCTCAAAGAAGCATGGGGTTGGAGTTGAAGTCTTCTAGGTGTGTGGTGCCATGTATCATCAGTTGTTTTGAGCGACTGTGTGTCTATCTCGAGCTCGAGTCTCTGGATTATCGAGTGTGAGCTGCCGAGACTATGACCTTCACTCGAACAACAAGGGCAACCTGATTCATACCCTCATAAAGTCTTGTGGCTGCCCTCTTTGGATAAGTCCTGCTTGCAATGTATCATGAAGAGTCTGTGATGTCGAAGATACACTTATGAAGCGCATGATTAGAGCTTCGATAGGCTGAATGGTTCATTCATACAGGCTTGTTGACTGAGTCCGCTCCTCGTAAGCTGTTCGCTCTGGTCGAGGTGCGAGCTGCCGCTTGCTCAACCCTTCGCGTCCCTGTGGTTTCTCGCCACCACCTTGCAGAGGACATCGTCCGGGCACATCATGAGGCTCATTTGGGATGAAGTCATGGGATCGGGGGAGAGATCCAGGCTTGAGTCCACCATGTTCTTTCTGTCACCAGTACAGGTGTATGCATAGCAACCTCGGAAACAATTGTCAGACGCTCTCTTTCTGGAACCCAACTCTCCCGCCTGCCCAATAGAGGCTTGATGACTTCACCAGTCAGCATTTATGGCTAAGGTCGAAAAGCCAGGGTCTGAGCGAGAACATCAGTAGTAATGACTGTCTATATCTGGCACTGTAGTCTATCTGTATAACTAGATCATAGAGCAGCCTTCTCAACACGTCTTCCAGTCTCGTCAAACTCGATCTTCTTGCCACTGTTCAAGCTTTCTTGCAGAGCACAGCCGATCTTCACCGCTTGAACAGCTCCGCTGAGCTTGAATGGTAGCTTGCTATTGTCCAAGCAAGCGGCAGTAAACTCGTTGGCCTCCGTAATGAAAGCTTCGGCGAAACGGCCATAGTAGTGCGGCGGGATCTCNCTTCTAACACCAGTCGGCTCCGAAATCTCGACTAAAGTTCCCATTGGATTGGCATTGACCGTCAGCTTTCCNTCTGTACCAATGATCTCGGTCATGTCGTGCTGACCAGCTGCCATGATCCTACTACTATAAAAGTATGCAATCTGGCCTCCCCAGAACTCGACAACACCAACACCGTTATCTACGTCCTTGTATTTGCGTAGATCGGGCTGGACGGCAGTGATCCCTACTGCATATGTGCTCTTGACAATACTGTCCTGGCCAAAGTACCACAGTGCGAGATCGATATCGTGGATGTTGCAGTCGACAAAGATGCCGCCGGAGAACTGTGCGTATTCGACAAAGAATCCGGAAGGGTCGAGCTTATCACAGGTTTGAGATCGGAGAACAGAAGCTCGCCCTATGGATCCATTGTCCATCCTGTTCCATGCATCGCGATAGGAGGCGTCGAACCGCCGGGAAAATCCACACATGACTTTGAGGTGAGGCTTCTTGTTTGCGGCGTCCACCACCGACTGTGACNNTGGATTGAGTGTAAGTATCGGTACCTTCCTAATGTGAATGATGCAGCTCGTTCAACATACAATCTCAGGGCTTGTGCTCAAAGGCTTCTCGCAAAGCACGTGCTTGTCTGCCTCGATTGCCTTAATAGCTTGCTCTGCATGAACAGTCGTGACAGTTGCTACTACGACAGCCTGGAGTTTTGGATGCTTGAGCATCTCATCATAATCGTTGTAAAGCTTCACCCCGAATGGCGCAAGATGTTGGGTGTACCATGCGATCTCGGATTCGGCCTCGGCGGGGCAAAAGGCAGCGACCAGCTCCGCTCGTGGAGTTNNTCTAGGCAAAGGTGAGCTCGTGCACAGCGGTCGTAGACATGTATGCCTCGTCTCACTTTCTAGGAAATGCAGAGCGTGTCTTGCCCCCATTCGGCCAAGACCGGCACATGCAACATTGAGCTTTTGGACCATGCTTGTGGCTATGTGAGCAAGCAAATCGTGTGTTTAGACGGTGGTACTGAGGTGACAGAGGAACCATGCTGCGAGCGAGCTTGTCACTTATGAGCTCCATGCCAGCTCAAAGTGGGACCAATGTCAACAAACAGGAGCTTTCCCAGGTTCACAGCTGCCATAAATTGTCAATAAGCGTGGTTTTCAGATGCGGCAAGTCTTTCCGTCGGTTCCCCAGACGCGATGGGCAAGTCGCTCCGCGCAGAAGTTGCGGAAACGACGGACGATCGTCCTTGATTCCAGCCAAGACTCCCGTTTGAGGAGTCCCCACCACAGCCCACACTAGCAAATCAGGTGATCCTTAACTCCTGATCAGATGAAACGAGAAAGCCATGGGATGGTCAACAACGCTGACTGGGATATATGGTTGGCAGGCGTTTTGCAGCTGGCCACAAGTTTACCACGATGAATGTCATCCTCCGATATACCAGTCAGCCTCTGGTGGTCAACAACTTGTCGTCTTGATATCATACTCTGACCGGCCGTTAGTATACGATGATTGAGCTAGGTTGCTTTGCGTGTCACGTATATGTGGAAGAGACTGGCGGATGAATCGGCGTGTGCCGCTTAACTAACCATAGAAGTAGCACATAATCATATTGGACAGAGTCGCTTGCAAGGAGTTCATTAATGCATGCTATTCAGTAATTGTTCTGTATACGATTGCGCTTCTAAGCCTTAGCCACACCGAGATCTCTCCTCCAAACCTTCAAGGGCAGAGGGCCTGCCATCAAGTTCGTGGTCTCCCACCTGACCTGTTCCCACCCGGGATGAGGCAAGGCAAAGCCGTACCTATGAACAACACTGGCAAGGAGCACAGTCTGTTCGAGATAACTGATATTACGACCAATACAACCCCGAGAGCCAGTACTGAAACTTATGAAGTACGGCTGCAAATCCTTGCCTTTNTGTCCCAACCATCGGTCCGGATTGAATTTTTCAGGCTCGGGGAAAATGATAGGATCACGATGTGCGACGTATGCTGATATAGATACTGTCGTATCACCCCGNATCCACTCGTCAAGTATCCTCGAGCCCTCAGGAGGAGTGCGCCTCGGTAGACCGAAGGTTGTCGATGGCGTGACACGCAGTGACTCGTCCAGACAGGCACGAAGGTAAGGAAGGTGTTTGACTTTATCATACGAGGCGACAACCTCTTCGGGTTCGAGGACGGCGTCGACNTCGCGGAGGCGTGAAAGACATTCCGGGTTCTTCAACAACCAGACCATTACGTTGTTCATGGCAAGGGCGGTGGTGTCAGAACCCGCGTTAAGCATGATGCTGACTTCCGCGACCACTTCACCCCATTCGAGGTTGTTTGAATTGCCGTTCTTATCCTCCATGAGCGCCTGGAAGAAATCGTCAAGCTTCTCACCAGCACGATAGCGTGCCAGGCGTTTCGTGGCCCTGTGGTAGACCAGATCGTTCCAGCCTTCGTTGAGCTTCCACATCTTACGAAAGCTTGGGAAGATCTTTGAAACATACTTGCTGTTGAAGTCATACCACTCGGTAGCCCAAACAAGAACGGCTTGTGCTTTGGCAGTAGCGTGAAGACCTGCGCGGTACGATTCCACTTCGTAAATTGTACCATCCATCTTCTCGCCTACGACTTTGTCGCTACCAGCATCCAGGAAGCCCAATCTTTCTGAGAGACCAATGTCGGCGATTGCATCTAGAGTGAAGAAGTTGCTATACGCTCGGTAATCGAATTTGACATCTCGCGGATCTGGAAGGACATGACCNTCAGAAAGAGGCGTAGTGCAGTGGGCATCGCAAGCTTTGATGAATCGGTCTGTTTTATCGGCAACCTTGTACTCCCACCCTTCCAGGTTCTTTAGGGCATATGCGCTAGACATCATTTTTCTCTTCCGAGCATGCTCGCCCTTATTGACGACATCTGCGAGATGGAAATGCGAGCCGGAGAGTACCTCATAGAAGACATCCTTTGTGCATTTCGAATTATGCCCGTATATGTCCTTTATAGCGTTCACACTTCCATAGGAGAGCGAGTTGGGGCCGATTCGAATGACTGGATGTGTTTTGTGCATTTCATAGAGTTTGTTCGACCGGAAACCAGTGTAGGCCTCCCACATGAAGCCAAGGTTCAGAAANCCAGCCAGAGGGTTGATACAGGGNTATTTACGAAGTCCTTTCGGATCCCTGAAATACTCCCATAGTGGTCTAATGATGAAGTATGACAAAAGCAGGATGATACAAAAGAGCGATAGCAGTGTGGTGTACATGATGAGCAAGGCTTGGAAGATTCAATGACGAAAATGAATGATGACTGAGTCCAGATATCTTGGAAGAAGTCGCCTCAAGGATATGAACATGACATTTCGCTTACTCAGCCACCCAGCAGTCATTCGATCGAGACGACTTGGGCTTGCTCATCCAGTGACTGCCCATGTAGATTGCGGTTCCTGAAGTCTTGAACAGACACAAGGGCCGCTAGCGGATATCTTGCCATGGTGTCGGGTTTAGGGTAAAACCCAGGAGGCATTGTTCGTCGGGAACTGATACCCTAGCATGACTCGATGCGGGAATGCGGGAAGGTCCATGCGGAGAAATTCACCGCTTACCCCATCACTGTATACATGTACCGCGGGGGACGGGAATCCTGATTCAGGTACTAAAAGTCAAAAGCCTTGCGGGCCGCTTTGCCAAAAGTAATGAAAATGTATCAAGTACCCGCCGCTCAGCTCTTCCTTGCGCGACTCGTCATCTCACTGCACTTCACGAAGTATGAGGGAGCCGAACATGGTAGGAGAAATTGAAGGTGAATGGGAAGGTCAAACGTGTAGTGCCAAGACGTTCGGCGATTGACCTTTCTTCTTTTGGGAGCAACAGACTGAACTAGGCCTCGATCCTGTGGACAATGACTTCAAGTTGATGAGGCGGTCTTTACTTAATGCCCGAAGACTCTCCTTGATAAATCAACAAGGTCGCTCCTCATACCCGTTTTCGGTCCAGGTCAAAATTACCATGACAACTCTGCTCGACCCACTTGTCTTCGT